AGCACCGAGACCCCGACCCGAGTACAGATCCTATGGAGCCAAGGCAGTGTTGCCGCGTTCCAGCAGAACCGGTATCTTCTCCATGTCTGAAAAGGAGGAACAACGCCTCATTTATGCTGTCGTGGTTGTCAAGACTCTTACTGGAGGCTTAGAGCAGATTGTCAACTGGGGTCTTGTGCACCAAGTCTTCCACTACAAGTTTGACCCTAACTACTGCCGTCATCGTTGGGTATTCCTTAGACCCAAGCTCGGCGGTACGGCGGATAAGCTGCAAGTCGAGTTCCAAAAGTTGTTCCTTGAAGCTTACGAAAGTGGCGAGATACCTGGCATCGACTTTGTGGAGCCAGAAAAGTATGATTGGTTGGCCATCGTTGAATGGGCTGAAAGAAGGCTCTCTCAGACAAACCCTTTGAATGGACTGCCAGAGTTGCCTAAGAGTAGACAAGCCCTGGATAAGCGCTTCGACGTCAGACATGCTACTGAGGTGTATAACATTCCCCGAGAAGACTTCTGGGTTGCCAACGTCACACATTTGCGCAGAGAAGAGCTGGCAAACAGCTGGACGTTCGCCCGTCCACTTGCAGGAGCTGCGGAGCCTGTTCAAGATGATGACGACCTCATGCTCGCCTTGTCATGGGTTCGCGCCAATGTCATCACTCCAGATCCCGTATATGACAGCAATCAAGCACACGAGAAGCTCATTAAGATTGAGCAACTTCTTCCGCAAGCGCTCGACCATCTGCTTGGAGCCAAAATTATTCGTATGGAGAATAAGGGTCGTCAGATCCCTGGACGTAACTACGACATTTCTGATTCTGTTTTGACAATGTTCAAACGTCAATGGGATGTTCGCTACCTGAAGAAGACTGCAGCGTTCAAGAAGACTATTGATGAAGCGTTTGCCAATGACAGTAAGCTGACCATCAGTTACCAAGCCACGGATGCCGAGATGACCGCCATGACGAATTTGGTTGCTGCCGGTCGCGCCAAGGTTGTTTCTATTCTACCAGAAACAAATCATACCATGGGAGCTCCCTATCCTCGTCTCACTAAATGGGGCTTCACAGAAGGCAACTACAAGACAGTGCACATGGACAAGTCGCGCCTTCACTTCCTGCTCGAGCTTCACCCAACATCCACATATATTCAAGGCATACCAATCTCGCCCATTCCTGCACCTCCACTCTCCAAACAATTCCCTGGCGAGATTGGCCCACGTCTACCTATTTGGACCGACATCCACGGCAACGTCATCAAAGTCTACTGGGAGATGACCGTCATGGCTACGCTCTGGCTTTTGGCCTTCAGACCAGGTCTCAAAATCCAAGACATGTGCAAAGGCGCATACAAAGGCAAACTTTGGGACTGGGAGATGGAGATGTTCCTGTCGTGGGCTGAGGATGCTGGACTGGCCAAGAGGTTGAGGTATGGTGGTGATAATGGTCCTGAGGCTGATGGGTGGGTTGTGCAGGAGTGGTGGTGGTTGGCGTTTGCGACTGATTGAGTCTGTGGGTTGATATGAAGAGAAAGGTGGATCGCTGTTGTGGCAAAGGGTGGGATGTTTATAGTATGCACAGTTTCTTGCATCACTCTAGACGGAATAAATAACATTGCTTGTACAAACATGTAAATCTTCGACTCTTTTGTTGCATCAGTGCCTAAGAAGACGCGCTGTTGTGACACATGCTCTCAGAACAGTAGTGTAGGGATACAGAATACAGAAGCAAGATTGATGCATTTGACTGACAAGTGCAAGATTGTCGATCAAGTCAGGCAGAACCGGAAAACACTACAAAGCACATCCCACACCATTTTAGCAATCGCGTTCGTCTTGCTCCTAAGCCGGTCACGAGTCCAATTGACAAGAGTGTAATGCTCCGCGCATTGTGGTCTCGCCCAAGATCGAGACGGCATAACAAATGGAATAAAGTGCAAGGAAAGCAATCTACGAGGGCAGAGAGATGTGTTTGAGATATGCACAAGAGATGATCATGCACATGGTACGAGAAATGAAGGTAGGTGCGATGGAAGTCAAAAAAAGGCACAGAACACTACGAACCAGAATCGAACACACAACCAAGCAAAACGTATGACGCTTTACCCCTAATATTCCCGGCTAACGTACTAGAGATGTAATCATCGAACAAGTACAAACACGAACCGGCTATTCCGCTAAGTCAAACGACCGCACCACGGATTTGTTGGCTGAGTAGGTGGAAGAGAGGCGATTTTTGGGGACTATATAGTCTCATCCAGGGGTGGAGTCTCCCTCACTGTTGATTGTGAGAGTCAGGTTCGTTCACTCCGTGTTGTCGTCTTCGACAAAAAGTTGATCAAAAGCACGGATGACTCTGTGCCGGCGAAGTGGCTACGGAGTCTGGACGTGTTATCACTCTCACTCTATCTCATCAGTCGTGCACGACTAATCAAGTCTCTCTATCTCAAACTCTCTGCGCATAACAATACCTCTGCATCATCAATTTTCTCTACCACTACGAACGCCAACGAGACCACACATGCGACGGACTCGACTGTACCACCTGATCAGCCCAAACCTGCTGGAGAAGAAATCGCCATCGAGCCACCATCCTCATCAGCGATCATTCGCTGCTGGGATAACGAAGAAGTCAGGTATGGCAGAAGATCTCCGGACAGTACTTTTCGTGAGAAGATAAACTGATGTGTGGAAAGTCGAATCATCAGGAGTTGCTCTGAGATGGTGGAGATCCAAGCACATTATCCTACACTTGACGACGAATACTACACATACATCAACAAAGCACCGCTCGGACGCTTCTCTGCATACTGCAAGGCGATCTTCGGAGGTGGGTTTGCTGATAGCGCTCAGGAAGTCTTTACAGTCAACCTTCTCCCCAACGACTTGCTTAAGTTCAGAAGATGGTTGTACGATGGTCATCTGACGTTTGTCGAAAACATCGACGAGTGGATGGATGATGAAATCGACGAGTTTCGCTGCCTGGTTCGCCTCTACACCTTTGCCGACTATTTTGATTTTCCAGCTCTTCGTCGTGCGATTATGTCGCTTCTTGCATCTCACAAACATGATCGCTATCATCTCCGCGTACCTTGTTTGAAGTGGCTGGAGGGATGTCTCTCAGAATTGCCTCACACTTCGCCACTCTATCAATGGCTAATTGAGGCATGGGCCAGACACATGAATGATCTTGATGACTATGGCATACATGCATAAATCGTTTTCTTCATCTCATAGAGTTTAGAAGGGTAAAGGAAAAAGCAAGTGCAACAATTTGTTGCAGAGCTACGAAGGTGTTGTTTTCAGATACAAAAGGGAGATTTGTTCTTCTAAGAGCAGCATCATTGAGGGAGCCGGTGGTGTCAGGAGTGAAAAGCGTTCACTGGAAGGCGCAACGGAAAGCGCTTTCACATGGGTTAAGGACGTAACTACTCCATCACAAACATCTCTCTTTTTTCTTCATCATCATCACCATAACCACCATCATTGTCATCTGCGCTATCATTGTCATCATCGCCATCTTCGCTACCATCAAAATCCTTATCGACATTCTTTGTTGGACAGAATCATGACGTTAAGCATGGATTTACAGACGCTCTCTTGTGAACTGGAAGCAGCAAAACTCAAACTGGAAAGGTCAGAGCAAGAGCGTCTTCGCACTGAGGAAAAACTTGCAATCTCAATGTCAGAGTGTGATGACTTGACCAACGAAGTCAAAGCTTACGACATGTTCACCAACACTGTCGCTCAGCTTAAGGACGATCGCGTTCGCAGAGGTTTCTTGTCAAGATTACTCAGCGCTCACAAATCTGTCGACTGGAAGACCAGAGTCCTCGCAGCTGAGGCTCGTCTCGCGGTCTATGCCGAACTCGATTATCCTTTCCGAACAGCCCAGCAAGAGGTGGACAAAGCTTCCAGACTTGAAGAGGCCGCATCGACAGACAAAGACAAAATCGTCGACCTGGAGTCTGAACTTCAAGAAAAAATCAGACGGGTATCGAGATTGGAGGGCGAGAAGGCTACACTTAGCAGACAACTTGAGTTGGCTCGAGCAGAGGAGAAGTCAGCACGGGAGACTCTCGTGAATGACCAGAAAAAGCTACCCAGAAAGAGCTTGAGAACACCAAGAGCCGACTCGTTCACATGGGCAGTAACCTTCGTCAGGCTGGAGAGGATTACGATGACCTTAGGATTTCGACCAAAACCCAAATCGCCCAGCTGAAGGGCGAACTGGCCACCGTGACACTTACTCTGGAGAACATCACCTTTGCTCTCGAAAACGTCAAGGGCGAATCCAAGGATGCTCAAATTGGATCTCTCAAGACCGCCCTAACCGAACGCGACGGAGTGTACAAAACCCTCGAGGTGTCCACCTGCCTCGGAGCCCATCTTACCATCGGTAACCTCAAACTTGCTCAACTCGACAGTGAGGTCTTGCGGAAAGCCATTGGGGACTTTGAGGATCGCGCTGCAGTACGCGAGATCAAGAGGTTGAAGAGAGCAGATGTTGAGCTGGTGAAGGTGGTATCTGCTCTGGATAATATTCCTGGCAAATCGATTGTTGCTAAGATCGACTACCTCAGGACAGTGTATGGTGAGCGTAGCGACGTATAGAGAGTGCTCAAGCAGTTATCATTACTGATGACAAGAAGTGTTGGACTGCCTAAACGGGGATCTTGGCTGCTGTGGGGCCTGGTAGCTGTAGCATTGCGGCTGCTGTGAGAGTCATGGACATACTTGTGGCCGACGGTTTGGGCTGGTGATCGTGTGGTCGAGTTTAAGCATGCAGAACTGATATCGGTTGACGCAATTCTGAGGAGATAGTTGCTGTAGATATTTCCAGCTTACTGGACATGAGGAGAATCTGCTCACACGGTACCAAGGCGGGCTCCCAACACGACCATGCCTCAGAAAGTAGAAGACAATACATCAAAAGTCTCGTCTGGGTTTTCATCGTGTGAAAAAGTGAACAGCTCGTGCTTCAACAAATCGAACCAAAGATTGCCTAAACATTACCCTGCATGTCTTTCCCTTCAATAATCGCCGCCACATCCACCAAATCATTGCCAACATGCCCCTTGCCGATCAACGGCGTCTTGATCAAATAATATTTGACATGATCCCTCGTTCTGATATCGAACACAGCATCCAATTCTTCGAGTGGACGAGCCTTGGTCTCAGGCAAACAGAACCAAGTAAAGACAAAGCCGAAAAGATTCCAAGCAGCATACCAGCAGAAAGCGCCTTGTGGAGTAAAGGCTTCTCGCAGAGGAGGCCACGTCAATGCCAGAAGGAAGTTAAAGCCCCAGCAGGTGGCTGTTGCGAATGCCATTCCAGTATCACGGACAGCGAGTGGCTGTACGTTTCATCAGCGTAGATACGTGTGGAGGAAAGAGTGGACACTCACGAATGACTCTGCAGAGTATGTAAAGGGTACCGGACCCATGCCTGGAGAATAACCGACCATGAAAAGATAAATACCTGTAGCTACGCACCCGATGCGAGCGGTACCCTCGGCAGGAATGAAGAATGAGAAGCCAGTAAAGAACAAGCACGCCGCCATATATGGGAAAGTGGTAAGCAGAAGCCATCTACGTCCCTTTGTATCGATGGTAAGGATACCAGGAATGGCGAAAAGCCTACTCAAGGTTTAGTATGTGGCCCGTGCGCCGAGATGCCGGTTTGGGCTTACNCAGTTGATGATACCAGTACCCATGGACGCAAGAAGTGCTTGTTGCTGCCCAAAGCCAGCTTCACTGAAAATAGAGGAGCTGTAGTAGGCTATGACGTTAACCNNTAAAGCGAAGGTACAGTTAGCATGATCTCACGAAGCTGAATGGCAATAACACCACGGCTTTGCTGGATGTTTGAACTCAGCTCTGCGAGATGCCGTCCTGGACGGTGATTCATCATACAGACTGGGACGAACGCCAACGCTAGTCGTGGTATCGGTACCTTCGGTTTAACTCACGCCGCAGAATTGTTGCATAAACATGACGAAGAAGGCGGACTGCGCAGCACGACGGTTTCTCGGGACCGAGAACAGTTTGGTTGCTCTGGCCCAAGCAGTCTTTGGCTTGAGCTCATACTCGAGCATCAGGCGGACGTGGATATCGTAGAGGTCGCGAGCTGCATGCAGTCGACATTGACGAAGCCTGCAGAGAGACTCGAATGCCTGGCGATAACGACCCTTGCTCATGAGCCAACGTGGGCTCTCGGGTGCGAAGAAAGTCATACAGCAGACGATGATCGGGCTACTCATTGTCAGTCTTCCTTAAAAAGGACTCCCATCTGTACAGGGGACTCACGGAATACTGGTTGATGCAAGCATCAGTCTCCAATTCAAGCCCGGGTAACCATCGACTTGCACCGGGTAGAACGCTACAGATGCGATGAAACCCAACATGATACCGAAAGCAGTCCACATTTGCCACTGAGACCCCAGAGCACCTCTGATCCGAGGCGGTGAACATTCAGCAGCGTATGCGGGTGTAGTGGAAGATTTGGCGCCGATTGCAAAGCCTCCAACAAATCGCGAGGCAAACAGCTGCCATTTACCAAAAGTTGCACCTTGCCAAGCTCCAGAGGCGACAGAAATGAAACATGAGATCCAGATAGTGCCACGTCGACCGAAGTACTTGTTGAGAACAGGCGATGTCCAGCAGCCGATAAGGACTGAGCATAAATATGGAGCACCGTTGATCAGACCCTGCTCCCATGTGTTTGTGATGCCAAAATCCTCGAAGTAGAAGATTTGAGCTCCGTTGACTGCAGTTTGATCCATGCCTTGGACGATTGCGGCAGCTCCGCAGAGCACNTTGAACAATCAGCTTCTGTTACTGTCGCGAATCTGTTACTTCAAAGACTCACCTGCAACGTAGTACATCATCTTTGTTTGAGACCATTTATCCTTGAAGGCCGAACTCTTTTCTTTGGCAATCCAGTGTCTCTCTTCCTCTGTGGGATCAAGGCGATCGGTATCGTCACGGTTGTAGGCATAGCGAGCGCCACGAGTGAGTTCTTCTTTGAGGTCATGCAGGTCATACTGCTCGACTAGGCCTTCAAGGTCGACAATGACATCGCGCTCCGATTTACCCAGGTAAGGATCACGTTGTCTCTCCCACAAAGCGGCTTCATGCAAGTGGTCGGGTGAAGTGGAGCCAGAGCTTCTTTCATCTTTAAAATCGATTCTGTCGGTCTCGCCTTCAGAATCGGCACCTTCGATGCCGTTGAAAGGAGGCTTTTCGTTAGCCATGTTGGTTGAAAGTGCGTGGAAATGATTAAAAACCTAGTCATGACAACAGCAGGTTAAGTAGGAGAACCGGCATCGCAAAGGATCATACCGCCTAGAAGATCTACAGTGGGCAACTTGTCAGGCCAAGTAGATATTGGAAAGGCCATGGCTATGACTTCTCGGCTGTTTCTTGGTCTTCCATGTGGAGTGACATCTATGGGTCGCCACTGAGAATGAGTGATACTCATGTGTGCTCGAGTTGAAAGTTTGCAATATTGCAAACGTCCCGGTTCAAAGGTATGATAGTGAACATGTCATTGTTGAAACAACATGCCAACATGTCAACTTCGACGAGTTCAGCCAAGTACGGTCGACGTCACACTCGGAGACAGCCCTATGCTCCCATTACGTCTCTTTCTGCTTCATGTTCACGACTTGGCATGGGCGCATTCACTCATGATTGTCTTGCTACTGTCATGGCTGACGCTGCCTAGCACATTGGCGGAGGTTTGATGGAGGCGTCGGTGTGTCCATGGCCAAGTTTGGTATGGCTCGGCAAGGCTCGGCGGAGGTCACACTTGATGTACGAGGCGCGACGGTAGCGGCGGGGATACAGAGTCTTTGTGGACGTGAATCTTCGCCGGGGTGCTTGTCTGGACGTTTGGCGATGGTAGTCGAATGTACGTACGAGGAAGCAAGCTCCGAAAGACGAGACGCGCATTTGCCTTGGAGGTAGGACCGGCGCACCGTGCGGAGCAAGAACAGTCCGCCTCCCGAGTTGTTGGCAACAAACTCCAACGGCTCCTCGCTCGGTGGATTTGGTACCTTCTTTCGCCCGACACCTAACAGACTCGTCTCGACGCGTCGTCTTGAATGTCTCTGCACACTCTTGGTCGCCAGTCGACTGCAGCATATGCTTCGTCCGCCATGTCTACTTACTGATTGCGACGCGTCCATCACCATTACATTCTATGGCTGGTTCTGCCAAGATCAGCATCGTGACCAACAACAACGTGGACGACAACGCAAGCAGCAGGCACATCGAGCTGAACCACTCGCATGTGCAANACCCCCTCCAGGCAATCAAGCACCATCCGCGCGAGCTATTGTGGTGTCTCTATGCCATATTTGTACTAGTTCTTAGCAGTTTCGACAACCAGGCCGGCGGCGTTGTACTTTCAATACCTCAGTTTCGCAAAGATTTCGGTTCACCCTATCATGGCGACTATGTGCTCTCTGCAGAATGGCAATCTGCCTACACTGGCGGTCCCGTCCTCACTTCTGTCATTGGACTACTGTTGTCTGGCTGGCTCGCAGACAAGGTTGGCAGAAAGTGGACATTCGCTGTTGGCTATCTCATCATCTTCATATCCATCACGGTTGAGACTCTATCGACATCGAACCTGACTTTCTTCGTTGGCAAGTTCTTTGCGGGTTTTGCCATAGGCGCATTCACAACCACCGCCCTTACATACTTGGGAGAGATTGCTCCTCGCCCTGCAAGAGGCATACTCACTGCAGCGGCTGGTATGGCTCTGACAATTGGCCCTTTCATTGTTTCAATCGTCGTGAAAGTCACAGGTTATCAAGCAACTCGCTGGGCTTACCGCTCGGTTTTCTTGGCTCAGTATGGATTCAGTGCAGCGGGTGCTGTTCTGCTGCCTATCATGCCCGAATCTCCGTGGTGGCTGCTTAGTAGGAATCGAAACTCTGAAGCTACTGTTGCACTCTTCCGATTGGGATACACTGCGGACGAGGCTCGGGTATACGCAATTACCACCATCCAGGCCCTGGAGCACGCCAGGGAAGAGACAGAAGGCGCGACCTACCTCGAATGTTTCCAGAAGAATAATCTTCGACGAACAATCATTGCAGCAGCGCCTTTGTCTATTCAAGCTTTGAGTGGCCTCTTTNTTGTATCGTCATATTCGACATACTACCAACAATTGGCCGGATACAACACTCCCACGACTTTTAGCCTTGGAATTGTCCAGAACATACTTGCCATGACAGGCAATGCCTGCTCTTGGTTTTTGATAGACCGGATCGGTCGGAGACCTTTGTCATGCTATGGCATGTTGGCCTTAACCATCTTACTCTTGCTCACAGGAGGGCTTGCTTGTATCGGATCTAAGTCAGCTATAAAGGGGACAGTTGGGTTGCTGCTACTGTACAACTGGCTCTACTCAATTACGATTGGAGCTACTGCATATCCAATTTTGGTCGAGACACCAACAAGTCGTTTGCGAACCAAAACTGCTGCCATCGGACTGACGTTGCAAAACAGTATATTCGTAAGTTCATTACGTGGTCGCGCAAGAAGTTTTCTAATTGTTTTGCAGGCAATGTGGGCCTTTGTCATACCTTATCTTTTCAACCCGGATCGAGCGAACCTCGGTGCTCGAGTAGCCTTTATCTTTGGTGCGCTCGCAGTCCTCTCAACTGTCTACCTATGGCTGTGCCAGCCCGAGACGTCTGGACGTTCGTTTGCGGAACTGGATGAGATGTTTGTCAAAAAGGTTCCAACACGAGGGTTCAAAGCATACAAGACAGAAGCCGTGAATAGTGTTCGCCTGAATGTCCTCTTGAGGGGCGATGGTATACCAGTCCCATAGCTTCAGTCATATCATATTCATTGATATATGCTCAATTCATATTCTCAGAAGTTGGTTTTCTGAGAACATGGGTGCTCGTCAGCTAAGCTGGAAGGGGCAACCCTGGTTAAGTAACTGCCAAGGCCGAGCACGGGGATGCGTGAAGCACTTAACGCCTGACGCGTCTTCTTGCTTCCAAACTCGCCGCTCTTCATCTTGTCAAGGTATGTATGCATCATGGCCTCGATCCAGGCTATCGAGCAGACATCAGTGCATCAAATCCAGTCTGGCCAAGTCATCGTAGATCTCAATTCCGTCGTCAAGGAACTCGTTGAGAACAGCCTGGATGCTGGATCCACGTCGATAGAAGTCCGCTTTCGCAACCATGGTCTCGACGCTATCGAAGTGATTGACAACGGCACTGGCATTGCGCCAGAAGACTTTGAGTCTGTCGGTATGTCTTATCGTAAAAAGCTTGGGGCTGTTCAACATCTGACAAAAATGACCANNGCACTCAAGCATCACACATCCAAACTACGTAATTACGATGATCTTGAGAATCTGGATACATTTGGCTTTCGAGGTGAAGCACTCGCTTCCCTTTGCGCCTTGTCTCAGCTCTACATCATTACAGCTCGTGAGACCGATCGACCCCGAGGCACACGCCTTGAGTTTGAGGTATCTGGCAAACTCAAGGATACAACTACCGTTGCTGCACAGCGAGGTACCAAGGTCGTAGTTGAAAAGATCTTCCACAATCTACCTGTTCGGAAGAAGGAGCTGGAAAAGAACATAAAGCGTGAATACGGCAAAGTCCTGACGCTTCTGCAAGCATATGCATGTATCAGCACTGGCGTCAGATTCACTGTCAGCAACCAACCGCCAAAAGGGTATACCACTACGTATCCGGCAAGCATTATACCACGGCTGACCATGTCACAGAGCCNNAAGATTACATCCTTCTCTACTAATGGGAATGTAGCTACTAAAGACAACATCATCAAGGTTTTTGGCTCCAAAAGCCTACGAGACCTGGTAGCACTCGATCTCAAGTTCGAGATGCAGCCTACCATATCCACACTCTCAACACACGACGATAGCACTTCTCGCGGCGTCAAAGTCGAAGGACATATTTCCAAACCAGTGGTGGGAGAAGGCCGCTCAGCACCAGATCGACAAATGTTTTACGTCAACTCACGCCCCTGCGGTCTTCCTCAAGTCGCAAAGGCATTCAATGAGGTGTACAAGACCTTCAACATTTCGCAGTCTCCATTCGTTTTTGCAAACCTGATCATGGACACAAACTCTTACGATGTCAACGTCTCGCCTGACAAGCGGACCATCCTTCTGCATGATCAGGGAGTTTTGCTCGAATCTCTCAAGGAGGCCCTCGTGGAGTTGTTCGAGTCTCAGGAACAGACTGTACCACAGACAAGGCCTGCTCTGACTCAGCCAAAGTTACCTGGGTACAAGCCACTCACCGTCGTTCGAAAGCCGGAGCCAGAACCTACCCCTGCACCTAACGCAGAATCACTCACGCCCCAAGAAGATCCAGATGAAGCAGTCGAAGAACATCAGGACGCAGTCAGTCAAAAAGGTCCTCCTGAACGCCTGATCCACGATTGGGTTGGCAGAGGTGCTCAGGATCGGGATGATGTTCCAAGAGTACAAGCCAAACCACCAGTTCAGAATGCATTCGACCGCATGCGCCCGCAACGCACTCCCCAACAAGTGGCCCAAATCACGATCGGAGACAAAACTACGCGAACTGTTATCGGCAGTGGACATCGCAGTCCTTATACTCCGAAGAGGCACAAGATCCACATTCCAAGGAACTCGGTGGCAAAGAAACTAAGTCAGTTTGCCATGCCTGGTACTCAGATGGAGAGCGAAGAAGAGTGCTCTGAAGAGGAGAGCGAGCTTGGTGAGGACGAGAATCATGAAGATGCTGAAGAGAGCGATGAGGAGACACTGTTTGTACCACATACGAATGATCGGCAAACTATACGAGCAGAAAAGGGAACGCCTCAACTTACCTCTCAGACACTGGAAGATCTACACACGAGTCCCATTGATAAATTTCTACGCAGCACAGAAGAAGCCGACAAAGAGCCCCACAGAGCTCGCGAAGACGAACCTGAGTCTGATCAAGATTATGTCGATGAGGAGGCAAGGAGAGTGCAGGAGGATGCCAAAATCGCTCGCATGATTCAAGAAGCAGAAGGTGAGGCCGCTCGCTCATCACACGACAATATCAACCGCGCTACCCAGGCTCTTCGAGCATCGAAACACAAAACACTAAATCTGAGCCAAGCGTACGACATCTCGACAACCTCTATTGCAGAACAGGCAACTCTCCTCTCGATGGTCTCAGCAGTGCCACGAGAAGCCTGTCAGCCGAACATACCCGTTGCTGATGATATAGAGCAAGCGGACGCGGAAGCTCGTCTCTCACTGACAGTGTCCAAATCCGACTTTGGTCAGATGGACATCATCGGACAATTCAATCTTGGTTTCATCCTTGCAGTACGACCTCCTAGCGAAACAGTCACCTCATCCGATTTGTTTATCATCGATCAGCACGCTGCTGACGAGAAGTACAATTTTGAGCGCTTCACCGACACCCTGACTCTAGAACCACAGCGCTTAGCACAGCCCAAACAATTGGAGCTTACGGCTATCGAAGAGGAGATTGTCCTCGCGCATATCGAAGCACTCACTGCCAACGGTTTCATCATCGAGACGGACACTTCGGGCACAAGCGATGTAGGATTGCGTTGTAAACTCCTTACCTTGCCTACAAGTAAAGGCGTCACATTCGACCTCAGCGACCTGGAAGAGCTCCTCCATTTGCTTTCTGATCACTCTGGTGGCTTCATCCCGCGTCCGGCCAAGGTGAGGAAGATGCTGGCGATGCGAGCTTGTCGGGCAAGTATCATGGTTGGCAAGCCCTTGAAAGAGAACCAAATGCTCAAAGTTGTGAGGAACTTGGGTGAAATGGACAAGCCTTGGAACTGTCCGCATGGCAGGCCAACCATGAGGCACCTGGCTGATCTGAGCACTTGGGGTTTCGATCATTCAGAGGTTCAAGAGACCAACTGGAGAGGATGGGTGGAGCAAGTTAAGAAGGCGAAGATGGAAGAATCAATAAGCGATGAGGTGGAAGAAGATGGAGAAGAGGATAAGGACGAGGAGATGGGAAATGAAGAAGAGGACGAGGAGTGACAATTGTGTGATATCTCTTTCAAACGCTCTGTACATATTATGATACCCACTGGCGCATTGAATTTATTCGTATTGCTAGCATATCTCAACAAACCATTCGCGTTCTTTGTTCACATTGCTGCGATCATTGAATGAGTGAGTGTCTTTGAACCTCTCTGTGGCTGGAAGCAAGCTGAGTAAATCATGCCTCAAGAATAGTATCAGACTGGATATGCTTTCAAAAAGTGGAGGAAAACCGGTTTTGTGTCATCTGCAAATGCACCAATGTATTATGACAAAAGATATAGTAGTTAGAAAGTAAACAACCCAACTTTCAAACGATGCCCTAGGGAGCAGATTTGCATGTTGTATTCGGGAAACGATCGATAGACGTGCATTCCAACTGTTTCTTTGCTGTCCCCTGTCGTTCCAACTGCTTTATACCACTAAGAGCTGAGCTGAGCAAACACAATACAACCACGAGGACAGACGTGAGAGATCAGCCGCGAGATCCCGATGGTAAAATTGAACAAGACAATCTCCAAAAACTTGTGTCAAAATGCTCTGGCTCGAGGTCCGACAGCAGTACGTTTCTGTCACAGTACCTTTCTTCGTTAGGCCTCGTCGGAATCGTCTACGAGTGGCGCAGAGGTGTCAAAAAATATCCAAGCGAGCAAAACGTACAGCAGCAGGGATTCCCACGTGGTCACCCACCGTAGTACTAATCTGCCGTTCAACTGCTTATGTATGGCAGAGCGGACGGGATGCCCAGTTTTCAGCTGACTGTGGCCGTACGTGCTTTCTGCATTGTTTTTCTACATTATATTCATCATTCAATTTTCTAGCACTAGCAATAGCATAATGCGATATATTGACATCACATCATAGGTAACACATTTCATGGTCCATGGCAGCAATATAAAAGTCCTCGGATACTTTTTCGGGGAAAATGGCGTTTTCATCACAACTTGCGAAAACAACAGCTGATCATCAGTCAGTTATCGTGTGAAGCATGGATTTCGGGGCGAGTCTCTAAAAACTCACGATCTAGAATTTAGTTCATGCAACCACCAAATCAACCACAGTAGCAATGGTCACCAAACCACTCGCAGAGATGAGATGAGTACTTTACTCTGTGATACCTCTACTTTGGTCTTCATAGTGACCGGGTTGGGATTACAATATGTCAATTGGTCTGAAATATTGTTGTCGGGACCATCACCCTGGCCTCAAATGGCTGCCTGCCCTGGTGTGACAGCCGAGCCATGCATCGCACCTGCCAATCGATTGGCCATATTCTACCACGCTAGCTTGTTTGGGGTGCGTATTTGCGAGAGCTCTGCTCGGTAAGTGGGGTTGATCTCGCATGGCAAGATGACGATAAATGCGTATATGCACTTCTAACTTTTCACCTCCTCTTTCTCCTGATCAGCAGCCGTTGCCTTCTCGTTCTCTTGGCTGTCTTTATCAGCAGTTGCAGGCGCTGCTGGTAACGGCTTCTCGTTCGCAACGTCTTTGGCCTGAGGTGGTGGAGGCGGTGGAAGATCTTGTTTCTCCTGGACCACTGTCTTGGCGCCGACAGCATCGATGAGAATCTTGCCCATGTCGCCAAATACATCGATTTTGCTCAGCTTCGAGTCGAACAGCTGTGCATCTTTCAGAAGCCTCTGTTTGCCAGCAGACGTCTTGATTTCCACTCCCTGGAAAGCCTTGAGCCATTGCTCCTTGTAGCTGGCAAAGATCTGACTCAGGATGACTGTTACATCCATTTCTGCCAGATGCCTGCTCAGCACACGGTGTAATGTGCCTGTTTCCTTGGTCAACGTCTCCATGTATGCGCTCGTGCCCTCTGCATTCTTCTTCGCTTCGGCATCAAAGTCGAGTTTCTTCATCGAGTTAACGTGTGATGTTGCCCTTGCCATCATAATCTCGACAAGCTTGTCGTGAATAGCCATCTGATGATCTTGATACAGTCGTTTCAGCTTGTCAAACTCTCCGAGCACTTCGCCTTTGTTGGCTGAGCTTGCATGTCGGCGAACTGCTTCGCGGAGGTACGGTGACATGGCAATAACGAAGCTGAGCGCTTGCGAGGCGAGGGCCAAATGCTTGGTGGTGATATTTTTCAGACCAGCGATCCGTGTGGCACCAGCGCCTAGGATGAGCTGTGACGTACGCGAGTTGAAAGTTCGGAGGACATCGATCAAAGCAGGTACAGCGGCGGAAGTTATTGAAGGTATGCTGGTCATCAATGCAAGGAAATTGTCAATGGGACGAAGTAAGGCAATGGCAGACGAGACCAGAATGTAGCGCGTCTCGTCGATATACGCAGGACGGTTCGCAGGTTTGGCGTCGCTGCTTTCGCCGTTGTATGAAGAGGTACCATTCGCGGATTCAGATTGCGATGGATCTTCCCACACGCGCGTGCCCTCTAGCCAGATGGCTGGATCCGTGGACATGCCTTCCAGAATGCGTGAGAGCAACACCTGGTCCACCTCCTTGAAATCCTTAGCTTCCCATTGGTCGGAGTCCAAAGTCTGGGCGATACGCTGGTTCTCAGCATCGCCAAAGGCCCGCACAAAAGTGTTGATCTGAGTGTTGACCAGAGCCTTCAGCTGTGTGCCGGAGCGACCAGAGATAGCCTCGCATTCATCGGCAAATAGGCGATTGATAGTAAAGTAGCGGAGGAAACGTTCCAGTGGTAGTTGGTTTACCTGTTCGGTGCGTACTTTGAGAATGCGCGTAATTTGGGTGTGCGCTACGTCCACTGCCTGGCCCAATAGACTCGACATGTCTAGAGCCTGACTCAACTCTTCTTGTATGCCGCTCACTCTAGGTGCTGGGCTTCTAGATCGGTCGGCTGACCTTATACTAGGGCTCATCGGGGATTTTAATGAATCTGGAGCATCCATGGTACTAGTCACATCGAGCAGTACCTTGATTTGCATGCTCAGACGTCGCAAAGCTTCACTGATGTCGGTGTAGATATTGACGACCATGTCCTCGGCAGACTCCTCGTCCATGGCACGCAGGTTCCTGGCCAGCATGATAGATTTCTCCTGTTGGCTCGCAGCCTTACTGGTGCGTGTAGCAACCGATGTGACAGACTCGTTGTCGTCGTCGTTGGAGCTAGGGAGGTGCTTGCGAATCAAGTGCTTCATCTCTTTCATTATAGCCTCCCTGAAATCGGCTGTCGCTTGTGCAGTCTGACCCGAGTTGCTCAGACCATGTAATGAAGCGAGCAAGTCTTTCCGGAATTGGTCGTCAATCTCCATGTAAGCTGTTGGACCAGTCTGCAGGCCTCGTAAGCGCATTGATGTACTCGCCCAGCGACGCATAGTGTCTTTGGGCGGAACGTGATCGATATGCCTTCGTAGATCGGAAAGTAGTGTTTCGAGAAAACGGGATTCGAAGCCTCTGCCAATGCGGAAGCGCAGCTGGTTCATGGAATCGGACAGACCTTGCAGAGCATGAAGGGATCGCAAATCGTGTAGTTCTGTAGGCGATGTTTCTGACGATGGTTCAGCTTGTCCAGCGATTAAGCGATCGAGGCGCAACATTGCGCCGGCAGCAGCGTCGTATTCTCCTTTCTCGACCAACTCTTCACAATTCTTCGCGTCCTGCACCACACGGGCAACCTGATCGACGGCGTTGGCAAGCTTTTGCATGTTCTGGTATCTCGTCCGCAGACTGGCGACCTCTAGACCACCCATGGCCATGTCCTGATCCAGCTTGGCTAGATCGGCTCTCAACTTCTGAATCCTGCTAATGGAGTCGGAGGCCTCTTGCTCCAGGTCGCGCAAAGAACCCAGGGCGGCGAAGAAGGAAGTCGAGGCGGAGGAGATGGACTGGATAAGATGAACCTCGACAGTATCCATGTACCAGGACAGTTTCTCTTGTAGAATGGCGTTGCTGGCCAGGGCTTTTCGCGGCGGTAGAGGAGCGCCATTGGCAGATTGCTCCTGTTTTGCGGTGCCAGGAGCAATTTCGGCGCGCTCGCTGACTACGTCAAAGGTTCTTGGGTTCTCGAGCTGAAAGTTGTCGTCAAAGTAGACATTTGGAATGGTGGATAAGGGAGTGGGCTCGTTCCTACTACGGCGGGCGTAAGCGCTAGATCGACGTCGCGGCTGAGGAGAATGGGTGGGAGAGAGGAGGGAGGTGGTCGAGTTATGGCGGCCGAGGACAGGGCTGGTTGGGGCATCGTTCTGTGGCTTGGGTTGGGTATCGCGACGCAGACGAGAGAGGTTGTCGAACAGGGGACCGACACGAGAGATGTAGTCCTTGAAGGCGTTCGGATCGACCTTGGGTATGTTGGTCAGAGTGACTGGAGGGATATCGCGTGTGGTCGGGGCACGATAAGTCGAGGAGGCCGAAGCAGCTGGGGTCAGGAGGCCGGTGCGGACTATGGGGGGCTGCAGCAGGGTCGAGATGGCNTGTAGCATGTTTAGAGGATCCCTAAGAAGATGTTGTGGCGGATGCGCACCATTCTGGCCGGCTTCCCTCAGGGACTTGTCTGCTCTCGCGGGAGTGATGTCCAGAGCACCGCCTATTGAGTTGATGGACAGAGTGCTGTCATTGGACAAGCGGCGGGAGGGACGTCTCTGATATGACGAGGGGAAAGGGAATGACGAGTGGAGCGACGAGGGTGACGAGACCAGGTCGGCGCTGTCTTCGGACATGTCAAGGACATTGTCAGACCAAGATGATGGTTGGAGGCCAGCAACCACAGCACGCAGCACGCACCCTGATACACCCCGGACCCGCTACTAGGCCATCTGCGGACGCTAACTCGGTCGGGCGTTAATTGAAGCGCCAGTCCCGGTTCCGCGTTCGTGTTGTTTCTGTCACCAGCACTTTCTCGCGCGTGTTTACCCCCTCAATCGCATCGCACAACCACACCGCAAATATGGACAGAGAGTCGGTCTACACATTGAGCGTCTTTCCCGAGGACCGCAGTCAGACGGGCGAAGACTCTCGCGGCGCCACACAAGAAGCTCTCGTCGACTTCATCCTGGACTTCTACCTCCAAGGTAGCAATGTCTACCCTTACAGAGACCAGCTCCGCGAGAATGTCCTGGCCAAGCGATACTACTGCGACGTCGACATTGCCCACTTGACCACCTACAACGAGGAGCTCGCCCACCGCCTCAACAACGAGCCCGCCGACATGATCCCGCTGTTCGAAGCCGCCATCAAGCACTGCGCCCAACGCATCGTCTATCCCTCGCAGCGCAACATCCAGCTGCCCGCCCACCAGCTCCTGCTCCACTCGTCCATTACTCAGACCCTGATCCGTGGTCTGACAGCCACCCACGTCTCTCACCTAGTCCGCATCCCTGGAATCGTCATTGGAGCCAGCACCCTCTCCTCCAAAGCTACAGTCTTGCATATTCAATGCCGCAACTGCCAGCACTCGCAAAACATCTCAGTTCTCGGTGGCTTTTCCGGTCTTACCCTGCCCCGTACATGCGCTCGGTCCACACAACCTGGTGAAGACTCGGCAAAATGCNCCCTGGATCCCTACTTTGTCGTCCACGAAAAGTGCCAATTCATCGATCAACAGGTCATCAAGCTGCAGGAAGCTCCCGATGATGTTCCTGTCGGTGAATTGCCTCGTCACATCCACATCTCGGCTGACCGCTACCTGACGAATCGTGTCGTCCCTGGTTCGCGATGCACTGTTATGGGTGTTTTCAGCACATACCAGTCAAAATCAAAAGGCTCAGGAGCCGCCGTCGCCATCCGCACCCCGTATCTCCGCGCCGTTGGTATCCAGACCGACGTGGATCACACAACCAAAGGTGGTGCCCACTTCACCGACGAGGAGGAACAAGAGTTTCTTGAGATGAGCAGGAGGCCCGACCTATACGAACGCTTTGCCGAATGTATCGCCCCGTCCATCTACGGCAACAACGACATCAAGAAGGCCATTACCTGCTTGCTCATGGGTGGTAGTAAGAAGATTCTACCTGACGGTATGAAGCTTCGCGGTGACATTAACGTCCTGCTTCTTGGTGACCCTGGTACCGCCAAATCACAACTCCTCAAGTTTGTCGAGAAAGCTGCTCCCATTGCCATCTACACTTCTGGTAAAGGTTCCTCCGCAGCTGGTTTGACCGCCTCGGTACAGCGCGACCAAAACTCCCGTGAGTTCTACCTGGAAGGTGGTGCTATGGTATTAGCAGATGGTGGTGTAGTCTGTATCGATGAGTTCGACAAGATGCGAGACGAAGATCGTGTCGCCATCCACGAAGCCATGGAACAACAAACCATCTCGATTGCTAAGGCCGGTATCACAACAATCCTTAACGCTCGTACCTCTGTCCTCGCAGCTGCCAACCCTATTTTCGGACGCTACGATGATCTCAAATCTCCCGGCGAGAACATCGACTTCCAGACGACCATTCTCAGTAGATTCGATCTCATCTTCATTGTCAAGGATGAGCACGATCGTAACCGTGACGAGCGCATCGCAAAGCACGTCATGGGCATCCACATGGGCGGCAACGGTAACCAAGACCAACAACAAGCAGCTGCATCGATCCCCGTCGAAAAAATGAAGCGCTACATTAGCTACTGCAAGACTCGTTGCGCGCCCCGTCTGTCACCCGAAGCTGCTGAGAAGCTGTCCTCGCACTTTGTCAGTATCAGAAGACAAGTCGCCCAGGCCGAAGCATCTGCCAACCAGCGTTCGAGTATTCCCATCACTGTTAGACAGCTAGAGTCACTCGTTCGCATCACCGAAGCCTTGGCCAAGATCTCTCTAGCCCCAATCGCCACAGAACACCATGTCGACGAAGCCATCCGTCTCTTCCTGGGAAGTACCATGGATGCCGTCCTCTCACAAAACGGTGAATCCAACGCTGCAAATGCCGCCGGCATCTCGGGCAATCGTGAGCTCGTTGACGAAATCTCCAGAGTCGAAGACGAGTTGCGAAAGCGTCTGCCCATTGGCTACACGGCGAGCTTGGCCACCCTGAGGCGCGAGTTTGTGGACAGGAAGAAGTTCTCCGAACAAGCTCTCAACAGAGCCCTCTGGGCACTGCAGAAGAGAGACAGCGTGCAACTTCGCAAGGGCGGTGGTCAAGTGTACAGAAGCGGTGTCTAATGATTTGGCACCAATAACGGTATATGTCTGAAGTTGGTGGGAAGGAGTTTTCGGCTGGTTGCCATATGGGTCAGCACTGACGAGGCGTTCGAGGTGCAAGTGCAAGGAAGGCTTGAGATCAGGTTACGTGCAATACCAATCAGATACCATTTTATTACTATCTTTACAATTTGCGCAAATGTCGAATCTGAGAACAGTGATCGCGCTCTATCGACGTGCCACCAATGAGAGCACTACCTTCTAGATCTATCAGGGTCGTTGACGACAAATAGCAGAGGGAGGAAGTTCAAGTAATTTACTCATGCTTTCTCTCACATAGAATCAAATCGGTACGCCGAGCAGCGCTTGATGGTAGAAACCAAAGAACAGACGTTTTGCCTCCACTTCCATGTTCCCTTGCCGTCATGCTCACCCATCTCATCTCGTCTATGCTTCGTGATCAAGGTAAAAAGCAGGTAATACGCCCAAACCCAAGCAAAAAAACCAAGGAGAAACCAGAACAGAATACAATTGCCTAACGACAACACAAACTACTGCACTTGGCTGACAATCTCGTTTGCCTTGCCCAAGCTCTCGACCATCTGTTGGCACTCCTTGCGTCTGCGCACCGTGTAGTCGCTCTCCTTGAGCAGATCGTCAAACTCTTGTGTGCGGTACATTTGCTCCAGAAGCTCGCGCTGCATCTCTTCTTTTGAGAANCCTGTTGGAAGAATGTCAGTCAAATACCAAATAGGAGATGTGCATGGTTCAACTTACTGCACCAGGGTCAACATGATGGCTTTGGGTACCATGTCGATCATCGTACGGCGCACAATGTTGAAGTAGCTAGTGATGAGGAGTTTGATGACCTCGACCTCTTCACTCTCCTTCTCACTGAGTGTGCCGCTAGCCTTGAGTGTTGGCGGGGTGCCTCCATGGCAGCCATCTTCTTCTTGTTCTTGCTGGCAAAGAAACTGCCGNAAGAAGCCACCCGAGGCGTCGTTGCCATCGAGAGATAGCGAGGGACTTGCAGCACGCGGAGGAATAGCGGATGGTGGTAGAGGCTTGCCGGTCTTGGGGTCCACTTGGGTAGGTCTAGCGGCATGACGACGTTCGTTGACAATAGCCATAGCTCTGTGGCCGTTGAGGAAGTCGGGATGGCCGGTGTTGACGTAGCAAGCCTCCATAGCAACAAGATCCTTGACAAGCTTGTTGGATGGTTCCATGGACTTCTTGAAGAAGGTGATTACAGTTTGGTAGAGCTTCTCCTTCAGTGAGGGATATCTTCTGAAAAGTGGCTTGTTCAAGAGTTGGCCCAAGATGCGGACCAGTTCGTCGTGGACCAACGAGACACACTTCAGACTAGGGTCTTCCAATCTCTTAATCTGTTGCTTGACGATGAGCTCGAACGCGGTAGTACCGACGAACAGAGCAGGCGAAGAGCCGGACGAGTTGTAGAGAATAGTACGGATGTCGATGTCCTTGACCTGGTCGAAAGGATCAACGGCCTTGACACCGTTGGCATAGAGCTCATGGAAGACAAAGGAGATTCTGGCACCACCAGAGAGTTCGATGCTGGAGAGTTCTTGGTTGTTTCCCTCGAGGACTGTCCTGTACTCGTTGGAGAACTCGGTGATGATATTTAGGACGATGTTCGCACTGTTACCAAGGATCGAGTCACCAAGAGTACCGAGTTCGGCCGTGTATTTTTGCAACGATGCAGAGATTCTGGCTTTGATGTCGGGTAGTGTTTGCTTGATGTGCATCATAAGGATCAGGTTGAGCTTGCGAGCTAGGTAGGGNGTACCGCAGTAACTGCTCTTGTTGCGGTAAGCCTTGTGGTTCTCGAAGAATGCGCGCTCGTGCTCGAGGGCGTAGGAAATGGCTTTCTTGTTCTCGATATCACGCTGACCACGGTTGACGACAGGCACGTATCCCAGACGCAGAGGAATGATTCTACCAGCAAGAATGTCAACGACATCAGTACCGTCGTCCATCAAATCAACCTTGGTCAAGACGCCGATGGTGCGCTGACCCTCGGGGTCGACTTCACGGGCCAGCTTAAGACCGTCTGAGTTGGCCAAATCCGTATTGGCAGCGGTTACAGCGAGGATGATGGCGTTTGGCTTGCTAATCTGCTTGAGGACCATTTCACGGATTTGGCGCTCAATATCGCGAGGCTGGTCGCCGACAGGTACCTTGGTAAGACCAGGCAAATCGACCAGCGTCAGAGTCAGGACGTTTGGCGAGTAGATGCGCAGGTTGATGGGGGCAGGTGAGATACCGGCGTTCTTGCCAGTCTTGGACTCGGTCTCGCGCACAATCTCATCGCGGATCTTGTTGAAGTCATAGAACTTCTGGCCGGGAATGTGCAGGAACTCGCCCCACTCGTCCACGTTGGATTCCTTGTCTGATGTCCCGTCAACAGCCTCGGCCGCTGCGCCGTTCTCTTGCTTGGGGAGGGGTGCGCGGTTGATGAGTTGTAGGATGAGCGGCCGTCTGGTCACGATACCAGTTCCTCGCGGCAGGAAGTCCCTGCCGACTATATTTTCCAGAACCGAACTCTTTCCACTTGACTGCGAACCGACGACGGCGATTTGAGGAAGGTCGATGGGGTTTTGGACCNNTGCAAGGCGCAAGGTTAACATCGAGTCTCAGCGTGGGGTTGGGAAGTGTCGTACTCCGACGGTGGTGAAGACATCCTGGAGCTTGTTCACCAAGGTGATGAGACCAGGGTCGTTGACGTTGATGCTTCTGTTTGCACAGGTCAGAAGGTGAAGATACAGTGGTTGCTGCCTCTTGGTTCCAACTTACGGCGACGCATTCGTAGCCATGTTTGGGGATGAGCAGCGCGTGTGCTGGTTGCGCGACTGCGGGCGGAGGAGAGAGAGACCTGGCAAAGGGTTGCAGAGGTCTTGGTTGTTGTCTGACGAAGAGAGTGGCTCGAAGATGGCAATTGCGGTGTAAATAATGCCACTGTTTAGTTAGCCTCCTGATTGATTGCGACTGTATCTTGGCGTTCAGGCTGCTCCATTGCTCTCCACATTCAGACCCCTTTAGAGTTTGCCGACAAGCTCTCTTATCATGCTGCCTCGAGCTCAGCCACACCAGCAGCCTGTCGCCTCATGGACAAAAGACTCAGTCATTACCTGTAGCAGTCTGTTTACATCTACTCTATCTGTCTATGCAAAGCTGATCTTCCACCCTCCACCAATGCTGACGCCTGGGTTCCTAACAACTGCCCAGTCCGCCTTGCCCGATTCCCCACTAATAAATCCGAATCCGGCCTTCTTGCTCTCACCGCTGCCGCTGCCTCCTTCCTCCGACACGTCGACCTCCGTCTTGCTCTTCCACGAAGATGGCGCATTCACAATCACAATCTTTTCTACTCTGACATCCTTCATCTGCTGAAGGTACTGCGCCGTCTTCTTGTCCTTGGTGCTTACATCTTCCGATGCAAGCGACGACGTGGAGCCAGTGTACGTGAAGCGGCGATGGATGTATGCGCCTTGCTCGTAGTCGTAAGATTCACCATCGTCCAAGTAAAGCTCGCCCTCTGCATTGCCATCGTTTCCGAGAACCACCACAAGTGTGAAAGGGTCGAACTTCATCAGCCCACTAGATCTTCTAGGACGATCGCGTCTAGGAACAATGTGGCCGCCTCTCATAAGAAGCGGGATCTTTTCTAGAGGTGCTTCGATCTTTACATGACCAGGACCGCTGTAAGTTGTGTAGTCTGAGTAGTCAAAGTACTTCTCGCCATCTGGCAAGTATACGTCAACACTGGTCGAGCCTTCCTTCGTGACAGGCTTGACCAGCAGGCCAGTCGATCCGAGATACATCTGATCGTCAACGGCAAAGCCCTTCTCGTCTCCTGGGTGTGCGTAGTACATGGGCTGCACAATCGGCGCTCCAGTCTTGCTTGCTGTGTGGAACGCAGTGTACCACGCCGGAAGCAAAGCGTAACGAAGTCTCAAGGCTTGTGTGACAATACCCTTTTCAAGGTCGGGCAGAAGGTAAGGTTCGCGGCGGCGAGTATCGATGTGAGCATGAGCACGGAAGAAAGGATAGAAAGCGCCGGCCTGGTACCAGCGGGTGAGCAGCTCGCGAGAAGGGTTGCCGAAGAAACCACCGACGTCAGCGCCAGCAAGGGGAAANCCGGAGACACCCAAAGACAGCACCATCGGAAGCGATGCTCCGAGGTGCTCCNNCCAGTTAGCTTGGTTGTCACCAGTCCACATGGCTCCCATACGCTGCGAGCCTGCAAAGAATGAGCGAGTCAAGACGAAGGGTCTGACTCCCCCAGCCTTCTCCTCTGCCTTGTTGCGTGCGACCAAGCCTTCAAAGGTGGCGTTGACAAGTGTGAGGCCGTTGAGGTTGTGGACATCTCTGTGCTCCCAGTTGCCATAGTGTAAGTTGTCCTTGGGCATTGTAGTCTCTGGACCGTTGAAAACTGAAGGCTCATTCATGTCGTTCCACAACCAAAGATTGTGGGCAGAACCCTTGAACTTTGCATACTGGAACAACTGTGCCCACCACTTACGAGCAGCGGGNGAGAAACAATCAACCCAGTAAGAAGAACCAGGCCAGCACCAACCTTCGTAGATGTTTCCATCTTTGTTGTGAGTCGCGAGATCCTTGGACTTGAGCTCGTCAACGACAGAGTATCCACCCTCGTTCTTAATGTGAGGATCAATGATAGCAACAAGCTTTCTCTCATGGTCGTCGAGCTGCTTCTGCATATCAAGTGGGTTGGGGAAGGTCAGAGGGTCCCAGGTGAAATACTTCTTGCCATCAGTGTATTCAATGTCGAGCCAGATAACATCGTAAGGGATTTGAGATTTGTCAAATTTGCGGTCGACATCCTTGACATCTTCGTCGGTAACGTAGTTCCAACGGCATTGATGGTGAGCAATGGCAAATTGCTGAGGTAGCTGAGTATAACCGGTCAACTCGGAGAAGGACGAGATGACGTCCTTGGGTGTAGGGCCGAGGAAGACAAAGATATCAAGCAAGCCGGACTCAGAGAACCAGTGAGTCTGTGTGTCAGTGTGAGACCCAATACCAAGGCTGAGAGGGTTGGCACTCGACTTGGACTTGACGATGTCGATCCAAGTCTCTGCAGCGTTGAGCCAGAAAACACCGACAGTCGAGTCCTTCTTGTGAGCCTGCATGAAGGGGATTGCGCCATAGAGAGTCATGGGACTGTTCATCTCGTATTCGAACACGTCGGCATTGTAGAGACGGTAGGGGTCATTGAAGTTTCCCTCTCCGCCANNCTGTAAAAATGGTAAGCATCCGAACAGTTGAGAGAAGAGAGCAATTCAAGCTTACCGAGTCTGTCTTAGGGAGAGCGGACCAGTGTGCTCTGGAACTCCAAAGACATGTTCATAGCCAGGGAATGTAACATCGAGGGCTACGCTTTCGGGGCCTCGCGGTTTGGTGTCGGTGTTTCCACCAAAGGCCTCATCCCACCATGTGCTTTCATCTTCCGCGACCTCCTTGTTGGCCTCGTCGGCTTCAGCTTCGCCTTCCTTCTTCTCTTCTTGCGGCTTGTCGACCTTGGGACGCCAGTGCTCGACATTCATCAGGCCTCTGTCATTCAGTCTGATGTGCGTCTCTCCATCTCTTTTGAACTCAATACCGAAAGGAGAGTGGGTGACGATGGCTTCGAACTTGCTTCCAGGACCATACAAGATCCTGGTGGTACCAGTCTCAGCATCTTTGGCGGTGGCAGCACCAGAGCTGAGCTTGGTTCCGCCAACAATTGCCCACTTCTCAGCCTCGTTGTAACGCTCTTTCCGGGCTTTGGAGCCATGACGAAGCTCAATATCTCCCTTCTGACGCTTCTCTTCATCGACAGTGATCCTTGCGGTACCAGATTCGAAGAACGAAATGGTGACGGGCAGACGAACGGCTTCTTTGGAGGTTGCAATAGTCTTGAGGATGGTTCCTGACAACTGGCCCTTGGAGAAGGTGACAGATGCAGAGTCGAGGGCGTAAGGGCTGGTCCACGAGGAGGATTGAGAGGCGGCCGAGTCGGCATAGGCTCTGTTACGTTTGCAGAACCCTGACTGGTCACAGGTTTTGAAGTTCTCGTGCTTCACAGACACTTGGATGGTTTAAGCTATTGAACATCTTGAATTGGCCTTGAAGTCGCACTTACCAGCCGGTGAAATCAAGCAGCATAGAGCTGCAAACAGCAGAAGTAGCTGCGTCCATTTGGACAAAGATTGTGTGAGTGCAGCCATGGTATGGCAATGCAGTCGCGGCTACAGTACTTGACACTTTACAGCTGGCCGCAGTCGATTGAATGGAGAGTCTGGGGCAGCTTGTACGTCAATGCATGCTTATGCCAGGGGTTGTGCTGGAGAGCATAAAAGCGGCGGAGCTGCAGGTAGGAAGCTTTGGCCAAGTAAAAGCTGAAACGTACGGTAGACCCCGCCAAAAGCACACGGCACCCGCTTTCCGCAGTAGTCCCGACCGCTGCTCATGGATTCCAAAATCTTGCCCGCCAAAGATCGCTCTTTGCTCTACACTGTCAATCAAGCAATCACATCTACAACAATGTCTTCCTCCGAGCAAACCTTCATCGGTGAGTGATCTCGTCAAGTCGCCCTGCTCTCACTCGCGCGTTCCGAACCAATTCTGCCCCCGCCCCTATACCGCTGCTTCCACCCCTATACTGCTGCTAATAGATACAGCTATCAAGCCCGACGGTGTCCAGCGTGGCCTGATCGGACCCATCATCTCGCGCTTCGAGTCAAAGGGCTTCAAGATGGCCGCCATCAAGGTATCATGAAGAACAACAAGCGCTAGAAGATGTATACTAACAGCGATGCAGCTCAGTCAGTTACCACTACCATCTTCTGTCGTCCAGGACACATATTAACATGTCAATGCAGCCACCCCTGGCCAGGAGCACCTCGAGAAGCACTACTCTGACCTCAGCGACAAGCCTTTCTTCAGAGGTTTGATCTCTTGTATGTCACAACCAGGTCCTTGAGAACTACACAGCAGCTTGCTTACACTAGACGACAGACATGAACNNTCCGGCCCCATCTGCGCCATGGTCTGGGAGGGCCGTGACGCCGTCAAGACCGGCCGCACCCTTCTCGGTGCCACCAACCCCCGCGACTCCGCCCCTGGCACCATCCGTGGCGACTTCGCCATCGACGTCGGCCGCAACGTCTGCCACGGTTCCGACACCGTCGAAAACGCCCAGAAGGAGATCGCTCTCTGGTTCAAGAAGGACGAGCTCAACTCCTGGAAGCTCGCCCAGAACGACTGGATCTACGAGAAGCCTTAAATATCTCTCAAGACTGTAGATACACAGCTGGGGAACAGCACTTAGAATCAAGCTGAATCATCCTGTCTCGCATCGGTGCCCCGAAGTGCCAGCATGCGTGAATGTTTTTGGGTCCTTCCTAGAATTTGTTCCTATATCCCTTCGCGCCAATGAAACTTCCTGGGTATCCATCTTGCAACCGCCCAGCCGTCAACTCATTGTCCAAAAATTACCTGCCTGCTCACAGTTATGCTTCAGAACCGCCGTTCAACTGCTGTTTGAACTTCAATGCCAGATTCTGTACGCCACTCACCAGGCTCTCTCCAAGAGCATCCACAGCCCCCTTGGGACTCAACAAGCTCGGTGGCACTACCTCGCCAGCTTTGATCTTGAACAACTTCACATTTGTGCTGCTCCAAATACCACTTCCAGACGTTGACGCATGCTGCAGATCTTGTGACACTACCAGACCCCAGTAGAAAGCTGCGTACGCCTCCGAGAAGGGGGCCGTCATAGGGAACGTGTGAATGTTTCGAGTCGTCGTCTCCACGCAGATGCGGCCCAGGTTTCGTACTGGTTGTAGCACTTCATCCATGCCCAAGCCGTCTACAGCTTCTTGGCTGTCTTCCATACCTCTCTCCTCCAACAATTTTGCAGTCCAGGCTTGTAGCGCTAGAAGGAGTGACAGTGTTGTGAGGAGAGGCATCTGTGGAAGCCACGTCCGGACCTGTCCTTGGTCAGCACATGAGAACCTCACTCGATTGTGCAAACATACTATATCCATGTCTGTGGTTGGTGAGGTAAGCGCTCTCGCCCTTTCCTCTTCGAAATCTGCAGAATCTTTGCCCTTTTCGGGTTGCTTGCCTACGGCTCTTGAGGACACCGAAGGCTGTTTTTCTGTCACATCATCTCCATTCGGTGGCGGCATATCATCCACCGGAGGCACTACCGGAGATGTTGACGGATTGTAGATGTCGCGGAGCTCTAGCCATGTGCGTCCTCTTCCGAGACGTGGTCGAGGTGCCTTGTCTTTATCCAGATTGGCTATATCACTGGCTGCAATCAGGGGNTGTAGCACAGTGCCATCTGGACACAAAGTAGGCTCTGTAATGCCTTCTTCGCGGATCTGCTCCATCACTTGCTTGAAGCTTGGGTCAACCTCCATCCTGAGGTCTGCTAAATGTTCGAACGTAGTTCCATATTTCCATATCGCCCAGAGTAAGTTTTCGTTCTCTGTAGCCCATGTCAGCTCTGCTTCGACGGTCGGTTGGACGTACGGACCAGTCTCTGGTTTGTGTTCCTCGAGCATCGAATTCACTGCGCGAACCATATGGGTCAAGACCATGGCATTGATCTCGACGCTAGTCGACAGAGAGTTTCGTGTGTACAGGTCTACTAGTTGAATTAATTTCAGGCTTGTTGCCCGGCCAAGGTGAGAAATGTATGGAGAAACATTGACGATAATTCCGACTAGTGCAGCAGCCATGGCATCCAGATGACCATTCTTTTTAGGTTTCAGAAGAGTGAGCAGCCACNNTTGAGGTACATTAGTACGTGGTCATGATCGGAAGTGCGCTCGATGACTTACAGTGAACAGATAGTCGGCATAAGATCCGTGGAAGTTTTTGATCTGCATGAACGAGGGAAGGTTGTCATGTCCCTCAAACTGCTTGTTCAAGGAAATGGCGTACTCGGGATTCTCGCTCATTGTCTGCACACATAGCAGACTTACTCGCTTGACTCCTTCTACATTCTTGTTAGGGTCCAGGATGTAGAACAGGAGGAACACGGTCAGCTCGAACTGGCGGCCGGTCTCGCAGATGAAGGCACGGAAGTACTTGTTCGAATATAGAGACTCCCACAAGAGCGGAATGATGTCATGGGCCCAGACAAGCGGTCTTTGTACAATGTTCAATCCGTTGCTGTTTGCTTCAAGCGGCTGGCGCAAAATCTTGAGTATCCCATCGGCCAGAAATTGTAGATGTGTTGCTTTGTGTAGATGGGAGAAAAGATCACGGAACCGATTGTCCGGTGGAGCAGAACCTTCGACCCACGGTGTTCTATTCAANAGGTTGACCTGTAGGAAGTGCAGGCATATCCGAACGTGAGTCTCGTGGACTTCTCTAGGTGATGGCGAGAGGTAGCGAGCGTCTGGTTGATACTTCAGGACTGTGTTCAAGAGAGAACATAACAGGTATTGAACCTTCTTGCGATCGTGATGGTTGGAGATGAAATCAATTGCCTCACTGCCAAAGGTGGTGAAGGCGTTGGCGGGTTTATAGATACACTTGCTCTCCAGGACCAGAAGAAGTTGCATGATCTCGGTCCTCCTGCTCTCAAACTCTTTGCTGGTTTCCAAGCGTCGCTCGTAGGCGATTCCGCTCTGCCAGAAGCCATAGGTAGGGCCGTTCTTGCCGTTCATGTTGACAGGAAGTGTGAAGCCTGACCAGAAAGCCAAGTCCAGAAGTGAATCAATGAGCTCGACACCGAGGCATGTTGGAGGATCCTTGGGTGATGTTCTCCCCGAGTGGTCCAGACTCTCTGCTGTGGTGGATTCACCAGATATGTTTCGGGAGATGTTTGGCATTGGCAGGCTGTGTGTGGGTTCCCAGAAGAAGGACTGTTCCCAGCCGCACAAACGATCGCACTCGTAGACAAAAGGAAGGACGCGTGTGAGGGTGCGGACGCAATTCAAGGCCTCGCGCATAAAGGCAGCAGCATCTTTGTCGAAGAGAGAGTCGTCAACCCAGCGCAGATGGATCAAGTGTCTCGAGACAGTCAGGATCAGGGTCTCGAAGTTCTTGAAGGACTTGGGGTCGTCGCGCATGGTGCGGAGGTCGGAGGGAGTGATGGTCTCGAAGACATGTTCGGCTGTCTCTGGTCGTTGCCAGAACNNTGGGTTGACAGCGTGTCAGCAGAGGTTGGGCGAGGAGACAGGAGGGTTGGAGGCAGTTACAGTCTGCCAGAATTCGGTCAAGGTGGATGGAATAGCAACATCACCCGACGAGGCCTGGACAATGTTGGACTTGAGATCGCTCTGAACGGCGCCCATGATGCAGCAGGGCGAGACGGGCGTGTCCTGACAGGCTGGCCGAGCTCTACAAGGATGTAGCGGTCGTGTGGGTCGTCTTGTATGTCGCTTGGATCATCGGTTTGTCAAAAGACATGGACGGCCTGGACAGGACGGACTAGCAATCAGCATTTGAGCGTGACGTAGCGCCTACTCCTAACATGCAGATGGCAAGCTGGAACCCCAAAGACCGAGACCCCTTGGTTTTCCCGGCAGAGTGGATCCGCCATGCCGCCAGGGACGAGCCGACACTTCACAGCCCGATCGTTATGTGACAGCCGTGGTGCTCTACTACTTAGTCGGTGTTTGCATATTCGCGACCAGAATCTGTCTTTCAACCACGTCCAAACACTACAAGTGTCTACCTTATCGGTTTAAGCGTCCCAAGCAAGCAAGTTTCACAGCCGTGGTCGTCCTTCAGCCACAATCTGCTGCACGCTCCATCTCTGCTTCAATCTGCAGACCAAACCTTGACACAACTTCTGCCCCTCTCCAAAATGCATCCCAGGACCGCTCAGACATCCAAACCTGATGTTGGACTGCTCCTGGCCAAGGGCAAGCTCGTCGGCTGCCTGACCACCGGACAGTCCAAGCGATCTACCCTTGATTCGTCCGATATCAACAACTTTCATAATCTGCTTCAGCTCGCCTTGAACGACACTACCCGCTGCTCCAAAGAGGTCTTTCCTGAGTCTTCATTTTTCTGAAATGCATCCATCGCTAAACTGATCCCAGNNTTCAAAATGTGTCTTGCCTGGATTGTATGCCATGTTGCCAAGTCGCGCCGCAGGGTTGCTGCTTTCGGTGACTACCTGCTGAAGCTATCTGATTCTCTGCTGCCACCAGACATCCACTCTGATTTGGAAAAGTCTGTCCTTCTCCGCGCTCAAACTGCCTTTGGCGTGCTCCATCTGATAGATGCCATCTTCTTTCGCATTCGTGAGAACCCAGCCCGACTACTCCGCAAGCCCCTCCAAACCTACTTGACTTTCGCCAAAGCCATCGAGCCGACCGTCGTCCAGCTTGTTCAATCTGCTGCTATTAGCCGCGGCACCCACGCTCTTGCTCTTCACCAAGATCTAGCCTATCTTCTACATCACTGGACTCAGGAACGCCTTTTCACTAATCGCATACGTCTGGGTCTCCGCAGTATCGCCCGAAAAGCCTACACTAGCTGGCTGGATTGGATAGCAAGAACCCATCCATCACACTACGAAAAGCTGGTCACGAAGATATATTTCGAGAACATCGAAGATGACATTCCGGACACCCACGGCCTGCCAGGGGATGCCTGGTTCGATCTTCCCGTCGGAACCATGGTTCACGCAACGAAGGCAACGAAACCCGGTCATCCTGTGAAAACGGGACAAATCAAGCCGCTCGGCATGCCCGTCGGATCAGTCGACCCTGACATGATGGAAACAGTCCTCGGGCACATTGAGGAATGCAAAGACATCAGTGCGATACCCAACACGTCTACAACAGCGGGTGAGGATGAGTTCGTCCTCAATGGTCTAGGTCTTCGGCTGAGCAGAGACCCGATGAGCAACGAAGATAGACCCAAGTACAAGGTGATCGAAGGTTACTACGGCTTCAGCGTACCTTTCATGAAGATCTTCCAGAATATAGAGAAAAGTCCCTCTACTGGCCCAGAGCGCCCGCAGAATTGGATGCCTCCACCTCCTCCAGAGTTGGTTCAGCCTCCAGCTTTCCATACAGGGGTTCCATCAAACGTGCCACCACCGGGCAGAGATGCACAACACATGGTTGGGGTCAACTACAGACAGAACGACTATGGTCGCGGAAACAATGCAGGTTGGCGGGGCGAAGAAATGCAGGGCGGTAGGGGAGGAGGGAATTGGCGTGGACGAGGCAGAGGTTGGGATCGTGGTAGTAGTGGTGGTGGTGGTTATCGACCATACTAAGACCAGATCATCCTGGCCATGTTATGGGCTCAAGGAGATGGTTGCGACACTGCTACGAACTGCCAGCTTCCGATCTTGCGTCCAGACGATTATGAGCAATAGTACCATGTTTATTCCAGGACTCCCGTCAAGCCTCAAACGAAACGGAGTCGATATCTTGTTCAGGATGTCACTGCGTATTATCAATGGTTACCAGATTGCAAACATCTATGGATGCTGGCCTTCCATTGGTGGAATAAATCGCACGTGCCAAGGACTCGACTTCAACCTGACGATCTCCGACCAACATAACAACTACGTCCAGTCTTTTTGCTCACTGTACTATTCAATAGACTTATAGACTTTGGAGATAGCATGCCTGTACATAAAAACCCGATCTTGGCTGGATTCAATCCCGACCCCAGCGTTGTTAGGGTTGGTGAAAACTACTACTTGACAACATCAACAGTTCGTTTGACTATTCCTACGCTACCCAGTCCTTTATCACGACATCGACGGCTAACAAATATTTGATCACTAGNNTTTGAGTACTTCCCCGGACTGCCAATATATCACTCTAAAGATCTTGTAACATGGACCCTGATCGGACATGCCTTGACAAGGCCATCACAGCTAAATCTCAGGACCGGTGAGCCTGGCTCTGGCATCTGGGCACCCACTCTTAGATATCACGATGGCATGTTTTATATCACCTCCTGTCTTTGGACTGCCTACTCCCCACAGCAAGACTTGCGAGTTTGGCCCAGGGGATTCTACGTCTCCACCACAGATCCTTGGGGAAGTGATGGCTGGTCTGACCCAGTATATTTCGATCAACCAGGCTTTGATCAGGACCTTNTTTGGGATGATGACGGCAGTGTTTACCTCTCAACTTGCTACAGGGCGATAGACCATGATGTTAGTAGTGGACTCCNNAAAGGCTTCAAGGTTCACGTTTCGAGAGTCGATCTGGCCACAGGGGCGTCCCTCGATACTCCTAGAGTAATTCGAGCATCACCATCGGGCGTTGCTGAAGGATCACATATCATCAAGAAAGGCCACTATTATTATCTATTCGTTGCAGAAGGCGGAACAGAGAGCGGCCACATGGAGTTGGTGTTTCGGAGCGAAAACGGACCGTATGGCCCTTGGGATCCTGCGCCGAACAACCCCCTGATTAGCGCCAACACACAAGACGATGTTCAAAACACGGGGCATGCTGATCTGGTCGAGGATGTAAACGGTAGATGGAAAGCAGTCTGTCTTGCAGTACGACCACATCGTCAGAGAGTCTTTGACCAGGACAGGGACAATTTCTTGCCCTCGCCCTTCGGTGTGTAGAATGGGCAATGGTCGAATCCTGCAACTCTTTGCTGATATCAACAGNGTCGAGAAACTTTCATGATGAGCGTGGACTGGGAAAATGATTGGCCGGTATTCAATCAGGGAAAGAAACTCCAGCTCACCTTCGAAGCAGATGCTGAACCTGCGCCACCTGTCCTTCCATGGCGAGACAACTTTGGGGAAAGCAAAGACCTGGCTCCTGGGTGGTATCACANNAAAGTATTGCTGGATATCGCGTAAATGTTCTCACTTACTGACATCAAGACAGATGCGCCGCTGAAGCGGGAGTATTCTCTCCTGGAGCGTGACCGTCATTTACGCCTCTGGGGAGGTCCCTACAACCTTCAATCGCTTGAGAGTCCGACGCTGGTCCTTCGCAAACAGATGTTTGTGTGTGGGATTTGGGAGACTAAATTGGACTTTCGGGCCCGATATCAGCATTGTGAAGCGGGCACTGTGATCTACTGGAACCCTTACACATTCAGCAGCATTGGCATTCGCAAAGGGTTAGCTGGGGAGAGCAGAATGATTCGATTCACGACTTCGAATTCACCGGGAGACTTCACATCTACCGACCAACCGCTCAACTACATGGGTCCTGTCAAACTTGCAATCAAGTGCTCTGAGGTTGGGTACGCTTTAGGGTATGCAGAGCTTGGTGACGAGTACAAGTGGTTGGAGCAAATTAGCATGAGGACTATGACGGCGGACCCTCCGAGAGGAATGGCATTCACAGGCATGATGTTTGGACTATATGCATATGGAGAGCTTCAGAAGTGCCTGGAGCCCGCAGACTTTGCTTTCGCCTCGTTCACGAGCAATTGAATCAGAGCGGCGAAACGCCCATGTGGAATGCTGGGTGTATCACCCTGTCACCACGTTGTTTACCGTCTTCCAAAGGCACCATTGGCCGTGCAAGAAAGATATCGTCACCAAACAAGCCTACTCGCTCTCTAGTTCCGCTACCAAAAATTCTCCTGTGTCGTATTGCATTGATGTCGACGTGTTGCTTGATCCTGTGTTTGTGAAGATTTCGTGTTTCTTTGTCAGGAGTTCCACACTCCAAGCATCTTGTTGGAATGATTTATTTATTCTACGCCCACCTACACCGCGTCGGAAGAGACTGTCCTGAGCTGGAACAAAAGATTTCCTACAACACGGCGTCGAAATGATTCATATAGCTATCGCAGTGATGTTTTTGAAAACCTCGATCACGTCAAAATCACTGGTCTTCTCGCCAGGATGAACAACACCGAGGAGGAGCAACGTGAGATAACCGAGGCCGCTCTAATCCTGCTGTCTATGGCGGACGCTGTATGGGACTCACCTCATATCCACACCTCCGATGATGAGGCTCATACACCCCAGACACTTGTCGACTACGATATGACAGAGGCCGCGGAGAGTCTGTTGTTATTGTCGACTACCGCTCACGTCGCATGTGCTAATGATCAGATGAGCTCTGGCTTGCTCTCCACCCAGTCTATAGAAGACGGCGATATCCCTGGACATACTTCGACATCGCCTGCTTCTGCTGCCCCTGATATTGCTCCTGATGCTTCTGATACTCCTGATACGGCTTCCTCTTTCGCTTCTGTCTCGATTCCTGTCAGCGATCCCCAGTGGGCTGGACTGACTGCTGACTAGCAAGCAGTTCAGCAGAGGCGTCTTGATATGACAGCCTGGCAACGCCATCAGTACAATCTTCAGTCGTATGACCATGTCAACGCCCAAGGGTGTGTCATTGGCCGTTTGTGGCAGACGACCACCGAGCGTCGCACCTTTCGTCAGAACCAGCGTCGTAGGGGCGCGACTCTTCTGCGTGCTGCCACTACGAGGGGTAGGTCATTCTCTAACAGGCATTCGAGCAACTAAACGCAGGCGTGATCAATCCAAACTTGCAAGAGATACTTCTTGAACAACTTGCTCAGGCCTACTCTTTGCTTAGCCTTCGTTGACGATGCGCAAGTGGCTCTTGTCTAGCCAACCTTTGTCAGTGGGTGGTCCCTTCTTGTTCGACATCTTTGTTCACCGTCAACAAGACTTGCGTTTTGCAGCATTGTACAATCGTTGACACAGGCCGGTTTGTTTTGTCATTGAGCACTGTAGTTTCCAACCCTTTATGATTAATAATCGAGAAGACAAAGTTTCCTGCGAATTAGTCCAGAGCGTCCAATGTTCAGTGAGTGGTGAATCATTCTGTACTGTATGTTGGTTTTGCGAGGGATGACGCTGTCTGAACGATGGAACGTAGTAGTCTGTATCAACCAGATTACTTTGATGATGCATCGAATTACTGATTGTGGTGGTAAAGCTCAAATTGTCGAAATAAAAATGAGGTGAAGTTGTCGGTGTCAGAGGACCGCCAAGACAGCAAACCTCCGTCATCGCTGCCGTGGCTCGCCGCCGAATTGGTAATCACCATCGAGTTTCAAGGAACTCCCTTAAGCATTTTTCGACCAAGACACGAAAGTTCTTATCAGCTTGAGAAAAAGAGAACTCGACTGCCCGACTTTGACAGCATCTGGCAACATGTCTCTCGCTAACGTCAACGAGATCATCCTCGTGCTCTCCGGCAAGGGAGGCGTTGGAAAATCAAGCGTTACTACACAGCTGGCTCTTACCCTATCACTGAGAGGACACTCTGTTGGGATTCTAGACATCGATCTCACTGGACCCTCTATGCCGAGATTCCTTGGCATTGAATCTTCGAAGGTCAAGCAAGCACCAGGCGGCTGGCTTCCTGTGCCTGTGCAGGAAAGCAGAGACACGATTTCAAGCACATCAGACAACAACAAGCCTATCGGATCTCTTCACTGCATGTCGCTAGGCTTCCTTCTTGGCAGTCGAAACGATGCAGTGGTCTGGCGTGGACCCAAGAAGACAGCTATGGTCCGCCAATTTCTTTCGGACGTTCACTGGGGCAAACTGGACTATCTTCTAATCGATACACCTCCTGGTACCTCAGACGAACACATCTCACTCGTGGAGACTCTTATGAAGAACGCAGCCCCTGGCCAAGTCTCTGGAGCTGTGGTCGTGACCACACCACAAGCAATCAGTGTCTCCGATGTAAGGAAGGAGATCAACTTCTGCAAGAAGACTGGCATAGACATTCTAGGTGTTGTAGAGAACATGGCTGGTTTTGTGTGCCCTAACTGTGCGGAATGCACCAACGTCTTTTCAAAGGGTGGTGGAGAGGTCATGGCCAAAGACTTCAGTGTTCCCTTCCTTGGCAGTGTGCCCATAGACCCGGCCTTCATTGCTCTCATCGAAGAGGGAAAACGACCAAGCTACCCAGAAGGCACAATTATTGCTGGTCAGGACGTATCTGCGCAAACGAATGTGCCGGAGAACGACACTGGATCTTTGGTTGAGAAATACCAGAGTTGCTCTTTGTTCACAATATTTGATGGTATCGTTGGGCAGCTACTCGCCAACACCCAGCCTTGATCAGCACTCGAATGCCTGAGATTGTTTACAGCAATCTTTCTCGGCATTCTCAGCCTTCATCGGCTAGCCATCTCCTACTCCAGAGGAATGCAATGTGATTCGGGCCGAAGATAGGCCCGCCCTTGCATTTTTGGCTGAAGATCGGTTCGGTATGCCGACTAAGAGCACATGGAGTGCTATCCTGCGTCGGCGACTCCGAGCACATCCCCACACCTCACATGCTTGCCCTATTTTCCTAGCACCACAAGGATGACCACGTCCAATCACGAGCAGAAGCACCAGGTCTGACCCGTTTCCACTTGCCTGGAATGATCAAGTTTGCATATGCTCGAACGCAATGGGATCCCTCTGGACTGGTCACCGAGTCGTACCCGCTTACAATGACCCCAGTAGGTCATTTGGCAGTTAACAGGCTGTGCTTGTTTTTATCGTATAGCGCGAATGTTCATACCAAGGAGAGCTTTATCTAACTTGACCTAATCTTCCAATTTCTTGTGAGGTCGTTGAACAGGCAACATATATCCATGGCGTTCGACTTATCGATTCCATCCCGTCTAGATAGACTATCGACGATTGTTATTCCATTGCCGGGTCAAGATGCTGTTAGGAACTTCTATCGTGCCGTTGATTTTACATAATACAACATATATCATTCCGACCAGAGGTGCGGAAAGTAAGTGACCCAGAATCTTGGTGACTTGGATCTAACCTTCTCAGATGTCTGCCAGAGTTCTACCATAGTACTCTCGATATCGTTTACGACTCTTACTGCTGCAAATGGGCTGGTCTCTACATCTTATAGCATCTTTCCAGTCAACAACTATATCTCACAGGCTACCAGGCTCTCAACGACGATACTTCAATCGAGTACGGAGCCTTTAAACTCTTTTACTGTGCCTCGGAACCCGAATGTAGCCGCAACTACCTCAAGCTTCTCGGGCTCTTCTCTTCCACAGAGTCGAGATCAATCATCAATAGGGTCATCGGGAGATGTTGTTTTTGCTCCAACATCGACCAGTACTTCGCGTCTCACAAGCAGTTCGCATTTGACAACCACTTCGAGGTCTACGTCGCTGTCCTCTACTGATTCGGCCTTGCCTACCCAGACCGGTTCTAACACTCCCGCCAATACGCTTGGCAGTCCTGTCTTTGTACCACGACCAAGCACGTCGACTATCCTGCAGCAGGTCTCGACAACAGCAAGCAGCTCCATCAGTCTAGCCATCCCGACTGTAAACCCTGTCTACACCTGTCCCAGAGACAATGGCATGTACTATTCGGATACCAATAATCGTGTCTACCAGCTAGTCTGTAGCACTGATGAGCGAGACTCAACCATCGAAACAACTTATCAGTCGCAGTTGCAGTCCTGTGTCGACGCCTGCAGTGATGTCGTTGGATGTATTGGAGTTTCATATACTGCAACATCCGGGTTGTGCGCCTACAAGAGCAGCTTTATCGATCAAGTGGACTCCTCAGTTTCCGACTCTGCCATCCTGGCTAATTACATCTGTCCTGGCGCCGATGGTACTCACCTAGTGGATTCTTCTGGATCAGTCTATGAGATTCTCTGTAATACCTTCTTCCCTACAAGCAGCAATATTACCTCGAGCTTGGTAACTAGCGACTTGGCCTCTTTTTCTGAGATATGTTCGGACAACGAAGACTGCTCGGGCTTTACGTTCCAGAATGGATCGTGTACGTTAGTCAGCAACAGAAACTCCGATGATGGAGTCCTTCGGATGAACGTAGCCACTGCTATCCTAATAGCCAAATGGATTGCACAAGTTGTGTCAAGTAATATCGCACCATACAGAAGCACAAATCTTGTGAGATCCTTGCCAGTCGACGTCTCGCGGACCCCAAATTCAACGATCCAGGATCCGACAACTCTTTTTACTGGTGGGACCGTCAGGCTATCAGAGAGAACGGCAACTGCGACCTCAGGTATCATCGTGCTCAGCTCGTCCAATGCAGTATCCAGGACCAGCCTTGTTACCGGTCCAACAAGCTCGGCAAGTCCACCACCATCTTCGTCTGGCACCACAGAGCTTGCAATTCCTCTTTCAAGTAGTGTAGTACAGGATCAGACAGCGAGCCCTACGAGTGTGACGGTCCAGGCCACAGCAGGTGTGCCTGTCAGTTCAAGCTCGTCAGTTCTCTCTGCCTTGATCGTATCGGAGCCAAGTAGCTCTAGTACCAGGGCTTTCAAGAGTGACGGTAGCGTAGTATTCCGTCCAACGCTAGCCACAAGTCAGACGTCTTCCGTGCTTGTAGGCACTTCATCCTCCGTTGCTGGTTCGTCTTCTAAGCCTTTTTGTCGCCCAATGCTGCTTCGTCTTCTGAGCTTTCTTCATCTCCAAACACTGTTCCCTCCGATGTCAATACCATTTCTATTACGACAGTCACCACAGCTTCGTATCCTGTTGTACCATCTAGCCTGCCTGCCAGGACAAACTACTCTTGTCCTGCGGTCAACGGAGACCAGGTTCAAGTGAACACAGGAGGCTCGTACACAATTGGCTGTGACCAGGAGACCACAGGATATGATGTCCTGGTGGCCTCTGCGCCAGAATTCAATGACTGTTTGACCTACTGTGATCAGATCCCAGGCTGTACAGCTTGGACCTGGTCTGGTAGCTGTTACCTGAAGACGGGGACTTCTTCCTCTGACTTCTCCTTTCGACCTTCTACTCGAGGCGCAGTTTCTGGTATAAGAACAGTACCAGCTGGTGCTTCCAATCTTCCACAAAGCGGCGCTGCAGGATTTATTACCAGCTCATCTGCATCTACAGCACAAACTACAGGCTCTGTAGACTCGACTAATAACGGACTCGGAGTCTCATCTACGGTATCATCACTGCCATCTCACAACTCGCCGACAACTGTCGGAGAATCGACTATCGTTGCTTCGGATGGGACATCTGTGCAGAGTTCTGGGGACATCACATTTAGTACAACGTATCAGAGCAGCACTACAGGATCGCTACCATCTGGTGTTGATAATGTGTCCGACTTGGATCTAAGGAATACTGCAACTGCAACTATCACGATCGACCTCGGGTCGCCTTCTGAAGCTGCAAGCAGTGATATTGCACTTACCACTACAGATGATGGTATGTCGATGAGCTTGTCGATAACATCACACATCACTTTCTCAACCTCATCCATTTTCGCACCTTCTATACCGGTGCCTACCATCACTGTCGCTACACTGGTATCCACCCATGATAATATCACGCCCACATCATTCTCGTATCCATCTCCATCAACCACTTGCTCGGTCTCTGACGATGTGCTTGACATCTGTCTCAATGCAGTGATCACGCCCTCCATTGGCGTTGGAGGTGGGATTAGTGTTGGTTTCGGGAGCAACACCTTCACAGTTCTTGATGCATCGGCGAGTGTGGGAATTGCGCCCCCTGTTGCAGCAAGTGCAGGTTTTGGCATATCTGTCGGAACAGATGGATTTGAGGTACGAGCAAGTGCCAGCTCAAACGTGAGTCCTGGCATCTTTGACTCCTCAAGACCCACTACCGTCACCTCCATACCGTCAGCATCGTGCTCCGTTGGTGGAAACGCGCTTAACATCTGCATAGTCGCTGCCGTTACTCCTTCAGTGGGAATCGGCGGCAGTGCAGGTGCTGGCCTCGAGGTTGGTAGCAGCACCCTTTCTCTTGTCGATGTGTCGGTGTCTTTGGCTGTCGTGCCATCTGTGACAGCAGGTGTCGATGTTGGGCTCTCAAATGGTACAAACGGTATAGGCCTGGTTGCAAGTGCGACCATAGGGGCAGACCTCAATCTCAGCGCTTCTGGAATTATCACAGCTGGATTATTGCCAAACATCTCAGTCCCAACATCAACTGCGGACTGCTCAGCCGGTGGCAACGTCGTCAACTTGTGTGTCGATGCAACCATCGCAGCATCCGCCAGCGCTGGCCTGAACCTCAATTTTGGACCCAGCAGTAGTGCACTCACCTTGCTAGATGCATCTGTTGCGCTTGCACCTTCAGCTGCAGCAGGGGTTGATCTCAGTCTATCTATCGGTTCATCCGGTTTGAGTCTGACTCCAAGCGCTACCTCAGGACTGAATCTGGGTCTGTCAGCGGGAGTGAACCTCGGAGGGGCCGGTCGATTGACAACATCAACATCGACGTCGACTAGATCGTCGACTGTCTCAGCTATATCCATCGCTTTGCTCCCGACCTCAGTCGGACTGAATGCAGCACTCGGGCTTGGCTCTGGCCAGTCATCCTCATCAGCACCATCCGTATCGTCCACCACGTTTTCGAAATCGTCGTCGATCTCAACCACGATGACTTCGAGTCCATCTACATCCACACGAGCTACCAGTACCTCGAACCTCGTCCAAAGTCTAGTCGTTGGTCTAGGGCGTCAAGTCTCGCATACTGAAGCCCTGTCGAATGGGCGTCAGGGTTTCACTACTCTTGTGCGAGTAGGCCGCCACTGATCACGAGTCCAGCTGATACATGGTAGTTGTAGATGGTCGTGTGTATAGAAGTTGGTCCAGGCTCATGTAACTAGACCGATTGAGATGTGCGTTAGTTAGTGTAGTAATATCTGCTTCGAATCGAGTTGGAACCTAGTGACCACCGATATCTCGTTGCAACGTGTGATAGACACATGACAATACAAAAGACCTATTGAGGTCTCTCTCTTGTTCAGCTATCATCTGATTAGCTTCGGCCTGTGATCGGATTTAGACTGTGATCAGGTCACGTGCGGCGCTTCTCACTAACTAGCCAGATCAAGCTAGATTGCGCTTGTTCTCGCAGCTCAAAAGACAAGACTTTGCGAGCGGCCATTCCTGATGACTGTTCAGACAATCGTGCTTGATCGAGGATCTGTACAGCCTTGAGGGCACTTGTACCGGTACTAAGACGTGGATAAGCAACAAAGATGAGTCGGATTTAGGACTTGGCGGCACACATAGCAATGGCAACAGACTATTGTACAGCAGAAAAACAGTTCTCCCCTAAGGCCTTCATCTCATACGAGCCAATGTACTCCGGTTGACGCAAAAGGTCGGAGAATAATACCATTGAGAACACAGACCTGTAGCCGTAGCAAGACCAGCAATAAAGAAATGTAACTCAAAGCAAAAGACACCTCGGGTGATTGCCCAATGTATCGTAGTGATAATCATACTACTCGTTGTTCACAAAATCATCTATGTGTGTCTCGTCAGGATGATCTTGATCGTGTCCGCCAGCGGCAAATGCTTCGCCGGCAAGCTGGTTTTCTCCTTCGTGACCCAGGGTGGCGTGATCATCGTCGTTATGGACCATATCGGCGAATATGGAGTCGAGATTGGCATTCGTGTTGCTAGTTTGCGGACTGCTGAACGAGGGACTTGCCTCGGGATGCACCAACCTGGGACTACCAGAAGAGCTAGGTCGCTTGTCGAACATGGCCCCACCAGCAGTGAAGAGCGCAGGATCGAGATTCATCCCCGTGCTGAACATTGGAGGGTGCTGTGGCGGCGAGCGCGGTACCGCAAAGTTGGGCGGAGGTGGCGGGGATGTGTGAGAAGTATAGTTGTTTGAAGCGAACTGTGCTGGATTGACGGTGTGAGAGGGCTCGTCCGAAGTACGAAGTGGTGGCAAGCCAAACGATGGCGGTGCGAACAACGGCGAATCGCGATAGCCCGAGTTAACCATAGACTGGGGTTGAGTAGAAGGATAGCTGAACGATGGAGTCTGGTGAGGGTAGCCCGGTCTACTGCTAGGAGGGCCAGGTGTTGCTGTGGACATGCTGGACGGTGTGTGAGCTGCAGGGGAACCAGCAGGTTGGAGTGGCTGAGGCGGCTTGTTGTGAACTTCACTGCCCTTGCGCTTGTGAGGCTTGATCTTGTATTGAGGCGGAAGATCGTCAGGGTTGGTAATTCCCAGCGATGCCATGAGCTTTTGCTGCTTCGTAGGACGGGGCTTGCGGGTTGAAGCAGAAGAGTCGATGACTGGCGGGGCCTCTGGAGCCACAGGTGCTGACTTATGAAGTTCTTGACGCAGGAAGTTGGTCTCGTATGCGAGCAGAATGTCGGCGCCCTCGACCTTTCGAAGGTAGAAGCGGAGCGTGGTCACCTCGTCTGGAGAGACTGTCAGAGGATTGACGTATGGGCGGATGTAATCTCTGAAGGCTTGAGCGGTCTCTATGATGCTCGTGAGGGTTTCTTCTTCCTCAGGCTGGAAGGGCAAATTCTCCAACTCGTCTTGCCAACCGATGAGCTCTTCGAGCTTCGGACGAGCAGCGTCTCGAGGAATCTTCAGACGCCAATCACAGATGGGGCAAGTGTACTTGTCGTCTTCCTTGACCTTGCCACGGGCAATCTTGAGACATTTTCCGTGATACNNCTAGACGTGTATTAGTGGTGCAAAGCTTGCTGCAACGTGGATTAGGACTCACCATTCGTGGCACAATTCGCACTCAATCATCATACCAGCCTCAGGTCTACGGCAGAGACAGAAGACATCCGGGAAGTTGTTCTTGGTGTCGAGCTCCGGTGTATGTTCCCTTGAGGAAGGCTCAACTGGCATTCTCGGCTTATCACGAAGTTCGAAACATGCATCGTTCCTCTCTTTGACCAAGTTCATGTGCTGATGCAGGATATGTAGCGGCGCATTGGCTTTGCCGAATAACTTCTTGCCACGTCGCATCCAGTCTTCATGGCGGCGCTGCTCTTTCTCAAGGTCGACAGTGCCAGCAGGCTTGTTGTTCAATTCTTCCAAAGATGCCATGACATCTCTGACGTCCTTGTACATTGGCCGGGATCTGAAATCGGGATTCTTACTCTGTTGGTAGAGAGCAAGAATCTTTTCTTGAGCTTCGCGTTGTTTCTTGAGTATGGCATCGACTCTTGCAAGTGTCTCTGCAGTGACAGGCAGACCAGCTGCCTGCTTAGAAAGAGCGTCCAGTTGCTGGTAATGGACGTTTTCGACACTCATGATCTCCTTGGCCTTGGCTTCCCAGTACTCACCTTGGGTCCTTGCGTCTCGCAAGCGAAGTATATGCGGGTTTGTCTCGGGAATACCAATCTCCAAGCCACGGTTGATAAAGACGTCAACTTCCTGGAGTGTTTGCAGATGGACCGGACGGGTGTGAGCTTCGTCAAGCCATTTCACGTGATTGAGTAGCTTTTCGAGGTTCTCGAGCTCGGGAAGGTCAATATTAAGGCCTTTGCCAAGTTCGAAGACTTCCTCGATCTCTTGGGTAGAGCGCGGGTGGTGTTGCTGACCCATGCAAATGGCGACTGCCTTTGCTTTGAAGTCATTGATATCGGCTTCTCTTTCGCGCAGAGTCTTGTACTCTGGGCAATCGAAATGAATTTCGTCAGCGGTGGCGAGAAGCTTTTGCATGTTCTCAAAGTTACGAAGCTCCTTGTCGCGCTCGTCCGATTCAGCAACTGTCGACTTCTTGCGCGAAGGCTTTCCCTTAGCTCGGTTCTGCTGCTTACGAGTGATGTAGATGGTGGCCTCTTCGACCCATTCGTTGCAACGCTCGACATAGCGCTTCAAGTCTGCAAGTTGCGGGATGTCGAAGGGAATGCGCTCACCTTCGTTGAGCAATGAACGCAGAATCTTGAGCGAAGGACGGGGCTCCTGGCCAAGATAGTCGTCGACCTTCTGTGCCCAAGCCTCAGGAAGCTTGGCTCGGTCAACCACCTTTTGCACCATTGCCTTCAACTCCTTGTCCGTCATGCGGAGAGAGAGGATATGATCGTGAGCTGCACCAGCATATCGATCCGATTCCTTGGAGTCGCAGCACTCGTATGCACCAGCATGTAGCAGACACATAACCTTACCCGACTTCTTGCACACGTATCGCGATAGGAAGCTGTAACACTTGCAAAAGCTACAGACATATTCCTCCTCGTCCATGTCTTCTGTGAAGACCTCAGGCTTGCCGGTATATCTCTCGCCTTGGTAAGTGTCGTCTGTTGGCTCGGCATTGTCAGGCTGCTCGAGGAAGTGTTTGCGAGCATCCAGCTCCTTCTCGAGCAATCTTTCCAGAGCGGGAGCGAGCCACTTCGCGGTGTTGATTGATTGGTCGCGAGAAGCGGCTGTCAGCAGGAGCTCGTCGTGAGAAAAACATGGTTGACGGCGATAGTCACGCAGTCTTTGTACACCGCTTTCTCCAAAAGGTTCCCAGTCGACAGGTGCAAAGTTGACAGCTTCGTTGAGATTGAAACCGTGGTTAAAACCAGCGTGGTACGCTTGAGGGAAGGTAACGACCATCTGACCTGCGCGTTGGTCTATAGCATAGACACGCACGCCAGCTTTCTTCAGCTTCTCCGGCGGCATCAAAGTCACCAATTGGAACAGAAGATCTGGTTGCGTCTCGAAAAGCTCCGGCACAGCTTCCCGCATAGCGTTCTCGAACTTCTCGGCATCTTCTCCAGGAACGCCGTACCACGTCTTGGTTGCTCCGAAATGCTGGTAGTTGGCTGAGAAAGCATAATGGTCCTCGTTGTGCCAACAGAAGGTGGAGAACACCATACCGACGTAGAGCCATGGTACTGTCATGCCAGAGATGTCTGTCTTGATGTGCTTGAACAAGGACTCGCCATATAGAGGGAGAACGTTCAAGTTCCACGGATCTGTCGAGTAAGGATCTCGAGGCTGCTTCTCGATGGTGGGGAAGCCACTTCCATGAGTAGTTGAATGGATATCAGCACCGTATTCGACCTCAACGGTCTCGGTGATGTTCTCGACAAGCCTCCAGAACTCGCGCTCAACATCATCCTCGTTGACTGGTCTTCTTTTGTTGAGGATAGGATCGAAAGGCATCTTGTCAGCGAAGTGGTTCTCCTTGAATCTGTTTGCTCTTTCTTGGAATGCTCGAAGCGAATACACCTCGCCTTCTTCAAATCCAAACTCTCCAGTTCCGACGAGACAACGGGGACAGTGCCAGTCGTTTTCGGGTTGCTGCATCTTTACAGGAGGCTCGAGACATGCGCCATGATAACCACAATCGCAACTGTCGCATATAAGAAGCAAACCTGGATCTTCCGGCTTTGCGCACATTTCACATACTTCACCTGGAGGGAAGTTGTTGCGTTCGCGTGCTGGAACAAATTTCGGCGTCGAAGTCCTCGGTTGGTGCATGTGCGAGCCTGCTACCATCGGTGCCGGGTCTCTCTTCAATCTCTTGCTACGTCTTCCAGATGCATCCAGATCTCCGTTCGTGTCCTTCTCCGCACTATCACTCAGAGGCCGTTTTGCAGAGTTGCTTGGTTCGAATGTTGGCGTATTGCTTTCGTGAAGCTGTGGGCTATCCATAGTCGACCTCGGTATTGAACGTGGGTTCTCTGGAGTCGCGTGAACTCCGTTGGGTCCATTTACGGGAGTAAAGCCCGAGGGACGATTGACCGATGTAAATCCTCCATTCACAGGAGTAAAGCCTTGAATAGGAGCTGGAGCCGGGGCTGGAGGAGTTGGCTTGACGGGTGTCTGCTGGACCACAGGCATACCAGCGTCCAAGGAAGCGTTCAACGCAGCAGATGCGCGCATGGCTGGAGTGCTCTCGCCATTCGGGGTATTGTTCTGCGACTTCTTAAGAGGCGAAGTACCGGGAGAAGGGGTGAAAGGACCGCCGTTTTCCAGTTCCAATTGGTGTTGAACGCCCGGTTTTGCGACTCGGAGGTAGTCTTCGTATGGTTGTAGCCATTTTTGATAGGAGTTCTTGAGAGAAGTCGAGAGGCTGGACATAATCTTTCCACTATAGCCAAGATCACGACCAATCTCGGCCCATTTCTTCTGTTTGCAAACTCTTTCGAATCCTCCNCTGGCTTCGACTGCCTTNTTGAGTTTGTAAAGGTCCAGTGGTCGTTTGTCCACACTGGGAAACCGGTTGAGATTAGTACCATGTTGCCTATGAAATTTGGATAGTTGGTCTAGATAATTCAGATTTGCTCGAGTTCCTGTTTTTGAATAAGCCAATATACATCTGATAGTGTGTTTTGCGACTCACCACCCNTCAACAGAGTTCAACTCCTGACGTCGCACGCGAAAGTGGAATCGNCTGTCAACTATGTCAGCGTCAAGTCAGGATCATTGTCATGTAGTACGCACTGATGTGTCGATGGCGAAAGGCATCTGCCAGCCTTCAGGAGGAATGATCTTTGCGATTCCGTATTTTCGACCTTCAGGTTCAATCTTGCGCATATACGCCATAGGGTCGCGAAACTCCTCCTCGGTAGGCCGGAAGGTAGGCCCTTCGGGGATGCTGTGTAGTCTGTTCCTCTTGATGATCTCAGGCGCAGCATTTGGTTGTCCTCGACGCTCTACAGTGTTCAAGTCCAGAGGCTCTGAGCGTCTTGCGCTGAGAGGCATAGGTGTGTTGTTGACGGCTGCACTCGGTGTATGAGCAGCAGACTTGGGTCTTGTGGAGGCGACATTGCTGGCGGTGAATGTCGGGCGATTTGCTGAAGAGGCAGCAGCAGCCCCTCCGCTGCTTGGGGGCACGACCATTCGCAGGAGCCGGTGGGTGTAGTTATTAGGGCGAATGTAATGAAGTCGATTTTAGGCGACTCGGAAGTAACGTTGCTGGTGTGTGATGGAATTAAAGAGCGGCGTTGATGGTAATAGGGTGATGCTGCAGCGGGCACATTCGAATGTGTGGAGAGAGGGCGAGTGGACCAGATCTGATACGCACTGGGCAAGTGCTGACTCGGGGCGACGACCAGGTGACGATGGTTACTGTCGCATGCGCATGGGTTCGGGGTCTGCTCGACCTGAAGGCTGTGGAAAATGAACAAGTTGGAGAAGGCACCTGGAATCAGAGAGGCACGGTGGGCAGGTGCAAAACCCGGGGCGGAGGTACGAATAGAATCGAATAACTTCGGCAGGGTCGACCGAGACCATCCACGACCGCCCAACTCGACAGCTAGGCCAAGATTTGCTGGCTTGCTTCCGTGAGCCGCCGCGTGATGCCAGAACCATCTCATCTGCCCGGTTCCTGGAATTACCATCCACTCAATTGCCTTGTGGTCCCCTGTGTCATCGCAAACTGGCATTCTTCTTGCAAATCGTTACACTAAACCAACAAACGTTTCTATATCCAGAATTTCTCCTTTCCATTTCATGCAATCCGCGACCAAGATACGTCGTCAGATTTGCACAGATCTGCAGCCGAAAGCTTCAAGTTCCCGCACTTGACAGCCAATCACATGGCTCTCCGTCTCACATCGCATATTTTGGTCCTCCTCATTTCGGTCTCTGGGACTTGATCAAGGAGTATTCCTGTCAGTATCGATACAACATTCTTTGGGGGCGAATCGGCCATGGATAGGCCGATACCTGCATTCTATGCTTGCTATCTACTTCGTTCTACAGTCCGCCACCAGAATCTCTATGTTGGAAGCACGCCACATCCCGTCCGACGTTTGAAGCAACACAATGGAATTGCCAAAGGTGGAGCTGTGAGGACATCAAAAAACACGCTGCGGCCATGGGAAATGACTTGCCTTGTGACTGGCTTTCCCTCAAAAATTGCTGCATTGCAATTTGAGTAAGTCGACTGAACACCCCTGTTGCGTTATTTGTTCGTCAACATGCCAGGCCATTGGATTATCTCTGAGCACATGTGACAAGGTTCGTATTTTCTAACCATAGTTTTACAGANNTGGGCATGGCAAAACACACATCAGACGCGACATATTGCTCCAGATGAGCGCATCACTCAGGCCAACACAAAACAAAGATTTTCACCTAGAAGTGGCAAGGTACGCAAGCGCGCAGGACGCCCTCGTATGTCAATGCACGACAAGCTCGCCAACCTTCATATCTTGTTACGAGCAAAGAGTTTCGAACGTTGGCCATTACAGGTCAAGTTCTTCGCCGAAGATGTGTACAAGATGTGGCACAGATGGACGGTTGATATGCCTGAAGTCATCCGTCAAGGCATCGAAGTCGAGATGGACGAATCAGTTCTACAAAAGCCAGCTCCAGAAGGGGATCCTTTAAACCCTGTTGGCATTCATAGGATCGACCCTACTTATCAACACATGAAGACGGCCCTAGAAAAGAGCCGAGATCTGTTACTAATTCCGAGCACCAGCTGTGCCATATGTTGCTCTGCACTCGACTCTACAAAGGAAATGGCGCTTGTCTGTTCCAATCCGGAATGCAACTCCATCTTCCACATCGGGTGTCTATCAACGCATTTTCTCAAGGGCGAGTATGGCGCTCAAGACGCGATTGTCCCAACACATGGACATTGTTCGTCTTGCAAATCAAGCCTGGACTGGACCGATTTGGTAAAGGACTTGAGTTTGCGTCTTCGTGGCGAGAAGGAGATCACGGCTCTGTTTAAGGAGCCAAAACGCCGTAAGAAGAGTGTGAAGGAGAGTGCAAAGAGTGCTGCCATTGTGGATGACGAAGAAGCGGAGGAGCCAGGTGCTCTGGTAGACGAAAGCGATGCCGGGATTGACTTTGACGATGTCTTACTTCAGTCGGATTACGAGGACATTGATCAGATACAAGCTACGGCATCTGGCGGCGATGAGTGGAAGCTGGTCGATGAATTGGACGGACAGAACACACCCCTGGCCACCGCTTCAACGAGTTCTTCGGCCGCTAGAGCGCGTAAAGCAGTCATTGAAGACAGCGACTGGGACGAAGCCGAGGTCATCGACTGATCGAGGAGATTCTGATAGACCGAGAGCCACTCCGGATCACTTGCAGTTTAAAGTCCTCGCAACCGGTCTTCCTGATACGGACAGACTAGCACTATCTACCATGGCTGAATGCGCCGCAAAGGGGTCGAGTCATATACTGTGCTGATGCAAGCTTCAGCATGGTGGCGGATCGCACTCTCGACTTCCTCGAGGCTTTGACCAGCATTGATGGTTACAAAGTCAGAACCGTCATCAGTGGCTCGAATGTCGGCAAANAGCTGGCGAACACGATCTTGAAGCTCCTTCTTCTCGTATCGCTCTTCTCCCCAACCACCTCGCTTTGCAGCATCTTCTGCAGAGATATCGAGGAACAGACACAGGTCCGGACGGGGAAGGCCCTCTTCAGGATGACGGCACCAAGCGAGATTAAGGCTAGGGTTGTTCTTTGCGGCAGAATAGACACATCCAGAATAGTAATACCTGTCAATGATGACAGTGGTTCCAGCGTTGATGTCTGCTTCTATTGACGCTNNCTGCTTGTCGTTAGCAAGTGGCTGACACAAAAACGCTTCTGGAACCACGTACACCGCCTCCCATCTATTCGCGGAGAATAGTAGATGAATAACATGATCTTCTTGCTCACTCTGACCTTGCAAGTAATTGTTGATCATCTGACCAATTGGAGTTGTTCTATCTNNGCCAGAGCATGAGTGTTTCTTCCGAGTGCGGCAGGCAACTAATTAAAACATACCAGGAAACCGACGGTGCTTAACTGGCAGACCTCTCGCGGAAAGATATGACACCAGTCTCTCGCACTGTGTCGACTTTCCTGATCTGTCGAGACCCTCGAACACAATCAGCTTTCCGCGAGACATTTTTGCAAGTTTCAAAATGTTTGAAGGAGAGTGCTGAAGGAGTTGTGGTCGAAAAATCAATTAAACATGATGAATGAGACGCGAAGTGACACGCGCGAGTGAACCAGCCTTGGCAAAGGACTTTGGGATCCAGTCGGTCCACAAAGTCCAGGTGCTTCTTGATCTGAATATGACATCGGACAAGATGTCCGAGGAAACCATGTTCAAAGTCACGACAGCATCGACAAGCGGGGCAGTCAGGACCGGTGTGCTCAACCTGCCCAACCGACAAGCCATCAAAACACCACATTACCTGGCTCTAGCCTCTCGAGGGGCCATACCGCACTTGACGCAGGACAATGTCAGCAAACACACAAACATCTGTGGTGCATACATGGCAGCAGAAGACTGTACGTTTCCGACTCGGCAACGACCTCTCGCCTGAATAGCGAAGCTGACCGAATGTGCGTGCTCACCAAGAGAAATAAAAANNGTCGTAGAAAAAGGTACCCCAATCCTCAAGTACAACCCGCCGGATGGAACATCGCGACTGCGAGCATATACCGCTACCCCAGACAATCATGTGCTGGTCCTTGGAGCCCGCCGGTCATCACCCGTGCCCTCACCAGGAGCAAGCACCGATAGCCAGATGAGCATCATGACTGCTTTTGGCTTTACCAAGCTCCAAGACACGACGTTCAGAAGCCTGACATCTTCACTCAACCCGGACATCATTGTTGGACTGGGAGATATCCCGTATGGACACTACAAAGTCAGTTACAAGAAGATTGACAAAATCACAAATCGGACCGCCAAGTGGATGCAAGCACACGTCGACGAAAGAGCCGCGGCCAAGAAAGAGCAAGGATCGGGACTACCGCTGCTTTATGCACCTCTACTGCCCATATCTGCCGAGTCGCAGAGATACTACATTGAGCACCTCGAAGACATGGTGCAAGACATACAAGGATTGGCTCTTTACAACACAATCACTCTGGAAGATCTCCCCGAGCAGCTGAAAGCTCTTCCTCGACTCGGTCTGACTGAACCCAACAACCCTCGTGCAATGCTGCAAGACGTGTCTCAAGGCATTGATATCCTGACTTTGCCTTTCCTCAGCGCCATCACAGACGCTGGTGTAGCATTGGACTTCCGATTCCCAATTTCTGGTCCCATGCCGGACGAGCTTTTGCCACTAGGTGTGAACATGTGGGAGACGAAGCACGCGATCGATGTATCACCATTGCGGAAAGATTGCCCTTGTTACTCTTGCACGAACCATCATCGAGCGTTCCTGCAACATCTCTTGTCGGCAAAAGAGATGCTGGCCTGGGTGCTGTTGCAGATCCACAACCATCAAATCATGGATGAATTCTTTGCTGGCATACGCGAGAGCATCAGTCGTGGCACCCTGGAACAAGACATTGCCGACTTTGAGCGATTCTACGAGCCGGAGCTGCCGGAGTCAAATGGTCGCGGGCCAAGGTAGGCAGATCCCCAGAGCGCATAGTGTGTTGTAACCAAAAAGACTGACAGTTAGACANGACTACGAGGCTACCAATTCAAATCGGAGGGCCCTAACGAGCGCAAGAGAAACTCTGCGCCGTTCACGGTCTACAAAGCAAATCCGGACAAGATTGCAGAGAGAGGCTCAGTGCCTGTACCTGGTCCTGACGCCGTTGCCGAAGACTTGGAGAAAGTCGGATTCGCTGAGAAGACTGAATAGTTTGCTCAAGAGCATAGAAACCGATGGTGTATAGCAAACAGTTCAGCATAGACCAGCTATGAGTGTTCCTGGCAGCATACAAAGTCGTGCCATGCTCAAAAGCAAAGTCTTGGTATTACTCGCGTTCGTCAATGATGCTCACAACAAGCCCTTTCTCGCCAATTCAATCTTCCTTGCAGCCTCGCCAGCCTTGTAGCCTCCTTTTGATACGCACACCATACTGCCATCGTCCAACTCGACTTTATCTTCCAACTCGGGGAATGCGCAGGGGCAGTGGTGTGGGAAATGCACGCAGGACAAGGTGGAAGGACAGAGGTATTTGTCGCAGTGTACTGTTTGTATGCCGTCAGTGGGTGACTCTGTATTTGGTTCAAGAAAGGGAGGCTCACCAGCTTCGTATTGTTGCTTGTACCAGGCAGAGTCGGAGGCGGCGTTTTGTGGTTGTTGGTTTTGTTGGCCACCTTGGTTGAACATTTGCTCAAAGAACTGGAATTGAGCAAATGTAGGAAGCACGAAGAGCAGGAGAGTGGTGAAGAAGAGGAATAGTGGTGTCTTCATTGTTGCGACTTTGGATTTTGTTGCAGTGTCGATGCAAATGTGACTGCTCTTCGTGTTGACAGTTGGATATCTAATGTATCTCGACTTCCAGAGCCCTTGAGAGTGTGCTTGAAGAGGGGGTTGTCGAGAGAAATAGTATGCGATTGATGTTGTCCAAAAGCCAGCTGTGTTTGTCCACCCTGGCGGGCATCCATTATGCCAAGACAATTCACGACTCTCCGCAAAAGCTTCAGCACATCGCGCATCTTCACGAATTTTTCCTCCATCCACGCCGCCGACGACTCGACCACCCTCGACCAATCTCTCTATTTTCCTCCCACGACTTTTGCACGCACAATCTCGCCAACATGCATCTTATGTACACTCTTGACAGCCAGGGCAAGCGTGTCTACACCTTGAAGAAGGTCAGCGGCGCCGAGGTCACAAAGTCCGCACACCCTGCTCGCTTCTCGCCCGACGACAAGTACTCGAGGTAAGAAACCCATCGTCAACTAGCCCACACATTCGTGCGACAAGAGAAGAGAGGGAATCTGGGAGTGTTCGGAAAGAAAAATCGAGACAAAACGAGGAAGACAATACTTGCAATCACATGGAAAATATGAGCTGCGTCACAGCCAGGAAGCACACGACACCCGTCAAGCTACAAGAGAAGGATACTATGGCCAAGACGAAGATACGGGAACAGCACAATCGACGACAAGAACTGCACATGATTACAGTCCGCAAGATGCTGACTATCTTCAAACAGACACCGCGTCACCCTCAAGAAGCGCTACGGCCTCCTCATCACTCAGCAGAGTACGTTCTCCGCGCATCCCTTGCTTTTCTGGAAACAAACAACTAACATGACCAACAGAGGACCTCAAGGTTCTCGGCCAATAAGCGCATTCTAGCCTTGGGACCAATCATGGACATTTGAACATATTTTCGTACTATGGGAAAAAGAATGGCGTTCTGCGGCGCAGGCTTGTATTGGAGGGATTGTCTCTTTTGAAAAGGACCAAAAGCAGAGAGGAGCACGCGACACACTCGATCTTGCGGATGAGAGCATCGACAAGAAGCACAAGGGTCTCTTGTGTAAAGCAAAGGCCCGAAATTATCAAACATTTGAAACGTCAGAGACTGGCCAGGCCGTGATATTACTGCCATGGATTGATTTGTGAAACACACTTTTGTATGTCAGTCTGTAATACGGTTGTAATGTCTACCATGCTTTTCGTTATCAACAAAAACGCCACAACACCTTGCCATGCAAATCAGACAAGAAGATCGTACCGGGCATAAAATAACTCCTCTCTCACATCTAGCGCTTTCTCGAGTTGACGTTTCTACCACCACCAACCTTCATCCTGCCACCGGCTCTGCTGTTGCGATCTCCAGTCAAGATGCTGGGCAGATAGTCCTCGTCCATCAGATCTCTCTCTTTTCTTCTCTTCTCCACATCATGATGTCTCGTGTATTCCTTCTGATCCTCTGCGAGAATCAAGTCGTTGCCCCAGTGTCCTTTACCTCCACCTTGAACTCTGCCGTTCGCGCTTCCGTGCACCGGTTTGGGAATGCTGAAGCGGTCGCCACGAGTGTTCCATTGCATGTTCTTCTTCAAGTGCAATTTGAATTCTCCGTTGGAAGTTGTGCTGCAGGCCACTCTAGTGAGCGTGGGGCTTCCACATCTGGGGCAGAATTGCTTGCTCATTTCCTTGGTCGTGCAGAAACAGGCGTGGCAGCGCAAGATATATGTCTTGAGGTGCTTCACGCGCTGCATGGTCGGAGAGAGCAGGTTGAGGTTTATTTGCAAAAGCACATTTTGCATGGCGAAATCTGTCGTCAGCGTTGCGACTTGCAGGACACTCTGAGCGGCTTGAGTGCTCTCGGTGCTGCCGGACGAATCTTTCTCTTGATGCTTCTTGAGGTTCGAGGGNGTGATCCAGCCACCATCTGAGTCTTCGCCCGAGTCTTCGGCTTCTTCTTGGGGAGTCTCGGTGGGTTGGGAGTCCTGGATGACGGCCTCTTCGGAAACGGTATTGTCTACTTCCTCGATCTTTGTTTGTGCCAGGTCTTCCGAGATTTGCTGAACAGAGGCATCGGTGGTTGCTTGCTCTGCAATAGCCTCGGCCGTCTCGTCCTGCTTGGTCTCTGTAGCCTCCTCTTGCTTGGTCTCAATCTTCTCCTCAGGCTTGACGTCCTCCTTGACTGGAGGCTTGCCGTTCATGCCTTTCTGCCCAGGGTTTCTTCTCAGTCTCCAGTCGCCACCATTGCGCTCACATTCCAACTCGTAGGCCAGTGCGACAATTTGAATATCAGGCTTCGAAAGAACATCCAGATCACCGGTCTTGCGGGCAAAGTCCGTGACAAACTTGATGCTGGCAGGGTTCGGCGAACGAATGGTCAGGAAGGGCATGAGTTGCGTCTCTACGCGGGTACGGGTGGCAGCATCTCTGATTTCGGTAATGATGGCGGGGACAGTGACGATTTGCTCGGATTGGGCGAGAAGGGTCGACACGGTAGGGTGGTTGCGGATGATGGCACCAGTATCCAAGACAATGGTGTGTACCGGCTTCTGCGACTCGACAGTTGCGCTCATGTTTGCTATTTCTGTTGTCTCGTTGCAGAAATTCTGGATGGTCGGTTTTTCTGGCTGGCGCTGGAGGACCCTGCATGTGAGCCGCCAAGAGTGGACAAATCTGTACCTGCTCCTTAGCTTGCTTGTCTACCTTGAACCTTCGTTCTTGCTTCCATATTGACCTTTGCGATAGGCAACACTATCGTTGGATCGAACTAATCGACCAGTCAGTCCAAACATACTGTCGGCCCTTGAACCTGCCACCATCTCGGAGATTGTTAGTGCAGCTTAAGTGTCCTGTTCGGAAGCGTTGTGGCACCAGCAGCAGCAACTATAGTTCATGTCCTACGCTGGACGCATGTCAAGCACAATCTTGTAACGACTTCAAGCCAAATTCAGGAATGTGGAAGTCGAGTAGGTAACCTCAGCTCAGCTCAAAGGAAACACAAAGCAATCTGTCTCAAACGCCATAGTATCGCGGCTTACAGGTTCATCGATGGGCTATGTTAGCTATGGCACAGAGTAACATAGCTTGTCCATGAGCATTCTCGACACCAACAAATAGCACATGTCTGCAGGGATGGAGCATGGAGTGTGGATGTGACATCTGGCTTATCCATGCACACGCGAGATGTAGGCACGTCGTGTCACAGTGGGAGCGGCTGCATAGAGCCCAAAAAGACAGAGGTCACCACCCAAGGGTCAGGGCTCGCAGCGTGCCAGACATGCGATGGCATTGCTCGGGATGAGCCGGACGCTTTTAGACTTGTCAGGAATTGTGGTGCAAGTGCAGAAAGCCAATCAATTTTTTAATATCCATGGCTCAGAGGACGGCTCACGAGCGGCCAAGACGCATGGCGGTGTGGTGTCTCAGAGAACAAAGACAGGGAAAACACAGAAAAACAGGATACAAGGCGGGAGCTGGAAAGCAGCATCTGGCGGCACAAAAGCGATACAGCACATGGCCAAGTTGAAGGGACTTGTTAGCAGCTAGATAGTGGTCGCTGCGGGTCGACCGGCAGATGTATGGACGGGCCAAGCAAGTGCTTTCGAGGTACGTGCATTGTCGCTCGCTAGCGGGGCTTTTGGCTGTCAAGTGGTGAAGACTTGTGAGTTGGCAGAAGTCAGAGCAGCATCAGGTCTTGAAACCTTCCTGCGAAGCTCCCTTGACCTTGTCGAAGCTTCCCGTCTGCTACCGCCCTCCTCCACGTTCTGTCCTTTTTGCCAAAGCGTCCTGCCTCCGACATCAACAACCAGATCAAGTTTTTGCAGCAGAATGGCCTCTGCACCCACCACTCCCGGCGGTGGCCTCGACCGCTATGTTGTCATCCACGTAGCCACGACCTGCGACGAGCACGGCGTCTACGTGACCAAGGACTCGGCAGAAGTCATCGAAGTGGGCTGGATCCTGCTCGACTCCAAGAACTGCGACGAGGTAGGAAGGAGCTGCCCTTCTCTTATCTGTGAACACTGCTTAACGCTCCTTCTCAATCTAGNNCTTCACCGCGAAAGCGTCCTCGTCAAGCCAGTCAACACTCCCATCACCCCACTCTGCAGTAAGACAGGCCTCCAGCTCCGACCAAGTAGACAAGTCATTGACACATTGTGCAGCTNNAGCCTTACAACGCTTACCTGGGAGCACGTCCGCAATGCAGGCTCTTTCCGCGATGCCATCAACCGCTTCGACCAGTTCGCCCAGGAGCACCTCGTCAAGAACAACCACGAGTTTGCCTTTGTCACTCTCGACTCGTGGGATCTCCGCGTCCAGCTGCCCCGTGAGGCTCGCGACAAGGCCGTCGTCCTTCCTCCCTACCTGCAGCACTCGCGCACCTTCGACCTGCGCACCGAGTACCAGAGATGGCAGGCTCACCACCCCGAGTCGCTGCCCTTTGGCTCCAGCGCCTTGACCAACATCTGTGCCGCCCTCGAGGTTGAGCCCGTACAGTCCTCGGCTCCCATCAAGCACAACTTGCCTTTCCACTTGCAAGCTCTGGCTCCCGCCTCGCCTCGTCGTGCCATGGAGGAGGCTGTTACCCTTGCAAGAGTCCTTCGCGGTCTGATCCGCAAGTCCCAGCCTCCCCATGAGCACCCCGACGTCCTCACCCGCCCCATGGACGCCCGCGCAGACGTGCGTGCCTTCCTTTCCGAGCGTAGCAAGGTCCTCCACATGAGCGGCCTCNCCCATGACACTACCCAATCCGAGCTCGAGAGTTGGTTCACTCAATTCGGTGGTAGACCCATCGCTTTCTGGACCCTCCGTACCCCTGACCAGCACAAGCCCACTGGCACTGGTTTCGCCATCTTCTCCTCCCACGAAGAGGTATCTCAGATATTCCGATGCTATACTCCACACTCAGACTGACATTCCCTGTAGGCTGCCGAATCTCTCTGCATGAACGGCCGTGCACTCAACGAGAAGGCCATCGAGGTTTCGCCTTCTTCCTCGCGCGTACTTGACCGCGCCGCTGATATTCTGACTGCCTTCCCTCCCAGCAAGAACCGTCCCCGTCCAGGTGACTGGACTTGCCCTTCTTGCGGCTTCTCCAACTTCCAGCGTCGTACCGCTTGCTTCCGCTGCTCTTTCCCCGCCATGGCTGCAGCCCCTGACCCGATGTACGGCTACGGCTACGGCCACCCTGGCATGATGGGTCCCNCTGGACACCACATGGGTCACCACCACATGGGAGGTGGTGGCATGCGTGGCGGCGGTTCCACTCACGTTCCTTTCCGTGCCGGCGACTGGAGATGCGGTGCCGAGGGTTGCAACTACCACAACTTTGCCAAGAACGTCAGCTGTCTTCGTTGCGGTGCTTCGCGTGCAAGCGCCGCCCTGGTCGCTGACTCCAACTTCCAGCAGGTCGATGGATCTCAAGGCTACGGAATGGCCCCTCCTTCTATGGCTGGCACTCCTGGTCCTGCTCCCTACGCCCCTCAGCAAGGTGGCTTCAACTCTGCCGGAAACTTCCCTGGCCAGAGCTACGGTGGCCCTCAGTCAACCTACGCCCTTCCCTCCGGCCTCGGTGCTGGTACCTCTCCCTACCCCGCTATGAGCTCTGCTTACGGCCACAACGCCGGCATGCCCTCTGGTGGTTTTGATAGCCGTGCTGAGGCTGCTTTCTCTGCAGGCCAGAACAATTCCTCCTTTTCCAACGGCGGTGGCATGTACGCTGGCGAGCAGGCCACTCCTGATCCATTCACCTTCTTGAGCAGTGGCCTCAGCGGTCTCAGTGTATCGGATGATGCTCGTCGCAACGGCGCCAACNCCTCCAAGTCTCCTGCATAGATTGATGATGAAGACTTCCTGGATGACAAAGGAGGCCTCATCACCAGCGAAAACATTACAGGAGATAAAACACACACATTGTATTGAAAAACCGGACCGTGTACACCAAATCAATTCGGAAAGGGCAGGGTTAAATATGGGTTCTGCTTTTTTGGTCAGAAAGTTGCAATGTCAGTCAGCGTCGGCGCCTGGTGGGGGTGATCGGAAAGGTTTTTGATTTTTTATACAAATTGTGGGTGTGTTATTTCGTTACTGCTTCACGCCGTATGGTGGCAAAGATGGTTGTTCGTGGGTGGCTTTGGTAGGGCAGGAGCATGGCAAACAGGAGGGCTGTGGGACTGGTGGTGGTTCTGTTTTCAAACAAGCCACTATAAAAGAAAGAGCATTCAGGAGGGGAGGAAGGAGCGTTGGGCAACATATCTTATCATTATGGCATATTCTGGCAAAGAAAAGGAGGGAGGAGGAGGCGAGTAGAGGAGTTCTTTTCTTTCCCGCATGTTTTGTCGTTTACTCATTGTTCTCTCATCGGTCTTTTTTGACATTTTTGAATTATCTTCATTGTTGTTTGCTTCGCTTGTCTCTATGATATTTTGCATGTGTCGTCGCTGGTATGATTCTGTCTAGTCAGTACGCTACGTAGAAACAAATAAAACTCGAAGAACTTTCGAAAAAGCAAGATATAATGTCTATTATCCTATCGCACATTAGCTCTGCTCTTGCTCTCTCCTATAAAGGTCGAGATGAGAGAAGTCGCAAGGGGTAGACACACAAGAAGATAGAACAATCATAGTATGAGTCTATACAAATCAGGTAGTGGATAGCCTAATCAATCAATCATGATAACATCATGGTCATCTGTTTGCTTCCCTTTGCCTTTCTTCTGCAAACCTTCCCACCATGTCCTTACCATTGCAACCTTCTCCCTCTCCTCCTCTCCGATCTCGACTGGCGGGCCAGTGACCTCTTCTCTCACGCCATCCTCGCCAACTCTCTGGCTTGTGCCCTTTCTAGCCCATACAGGTCTATCGTCTTCCTCTTCTTGGCCTTCGTAATCCAGAGTGGACACAGAGGATGCACCGTAACGCCATACACACCATCCGCTGGCCGCAGTGGACAGGAGATAGTTCTTGTGGTTGCGAGATCTCACTACAAACCCTCGGAGCAAGACAACATCTCCTGGTGAAGCCTTTGGTAGACTTTGTTTGAAAGGACGAAAGACTTCAATCGTGACATCCTCTACGCTTTCGCCTTCCGAGGTCTCTTGAGAAGCGGTGTATTCGTGAAGTGGTTGGTCAACAACTCTGAATGTCGTGTAGTAATCTTTGGGACCTGACTTGGCGCGTTCCGCTGTGCCGGTGGCTGTTGTGCAGACAGCAACAATATCAATAAGAGAAGATTGCTGATTGAGATGCTGATGAAGTCCGGCCAAAGGAGTGAAGTACGATAGAGACGTCGATGTACCTTGGGATACGTAACGTTGCAGCGGCGGAGGCGAGATCGACTTTTGCCTGTCCCGAGAGGATACAGCTGCAGCCTTTGTTGGTGTGTCTTCCACAAACGAAGTACCAGAGGTCGTGGCTTTGTGTTCGGTGGCTGCCTTTTGAATCTCAGTGGTGCGTCGAGGCGTGAACCAGGAGCCGATGACGGGCACTTCGCTCAATTTGGAGCTCAGTGCGTCACGCCAGGATTGAGCAGGTGCGGACTGAGGCTCCTGTGGCGCAGCAGTTCGGCCCTTCACAGGTGTTCCGAAAAGTGATGCTTCGACCTCTGCAAATGGCTTGAGTGTTGGCTTGATCTGGAAGTCACTCGAGGCTTGTTCTACCTTCTCGACTGCGGTAGAAGGCTCTGGTTCAAGTACTGCCGTAGTGGACGTAGTATCGGCAACTCCTCGCGGTTCTTGTGCAGTCTGCGGGTGAGCTTCAGACATTGCAGAAGACGTCAACGACAAGCTAGCATCAGTCGCATTGAGAACCTGGTTGTCGCCGTCAATCGTAGCTACTGTCACTTTCTCAATCATCTCAGACGCCTTCGGTTCGTGAGAAGACACATCTTGCATCGCCCCATCTTGCACAATCTGTTGTTCGCCGTCTCTGGATTGCCGCTCGACTTTCTCAGTCTGCTGCTCGCCATTCCCAATCGACAATCGCGAACCAACTGACTTCCGACCTCTGAAAAGTGTCAAAGGTCTTGCCGGCTTCTTCGTACTTATAGGAGTCGAAGGCATTGTTTCTGGTTTCGAAGGCGTTGGGACTACCTCAGACTCAGGGTAGTCTGCAAGCAATTCGTCGTCGAGACCGACTTGCGATCTCATCTCTTCTGCAGCACCTCCATCGTCAGAGGTTGGTGTCTCTTCTATGGCGGCAAGCTGCGACCGCATTGCTGGAGGNACCAGGTGCCTGCTTCTGGGACTNGAGAGAGCAGTGCCCAGCTCTTGCGATGGCAGTATTATTGTCTCTCCTCGAGCATCCTGTGATGGCGAAGCCTGAGTTGCTGGTTCTGGGCTTGCATGTATAACAGAAGAATCATTGTTCTCTGCTTCCAGGTCGGTCGCTTCTTCGTCAGCACTGTCCGGTATGGTTTCGCTCCGGGTATGTGCGCGTGACGATCGTGATTGTGAGAATTGGGAGGTACGAGATGTCCAAGACGGCTCGACTTGAGAGAGATCAAGTTCCTCGATGGGCTGATCAAACGCTTGAGACGGGAAGTGTGAACCATCATGAGTTGCAGAACGAGTAGCAGACTCCAGTGCCTGGGCTTGAACATGGTCTGGAGTTGGGCTAAGAGTCTTGAAGCTAGAGCTCGACAACGGACGCAGCTCCTCTTTGACCTCTGTTGCGCTTTCCGGGCCAGATGCTGGAAATGCTTGTCTTTGTGTGGTTTCTATTTTGGGCTGTTCTAGAATGTCAAGATCTATCTCGACGCTCTGTTGAACCTCCAATTTGAGAGGAGCTTCGTGAACTTGAGCGGCGGCTTCGTTATCGTTCTGAGTGACAAAAATNTCGTCTTTCATGGACTCATCCACTGCAGCTGTAGTCTCTCCTTCAACGGTCCGTCGGTCATTCTCTTCATTGTCAGCAACTGAAAAGGCGGCAGGCTCGGGGGCTTCGGACGTCGCCTCGTCAGTTTGTAGTGGGCTAGGATGACTGTTAGANCTGAAGACCATCATGTCTCTCTGCAAGCAGTGCAGGATCAATCTCATGTTCTTCTTCAAGTAACGCAGGATCAATCTCGTACCCTTGTGATTGCGAGGAATTGACGTGGTCCCTCTCCTCAAGCAAGGCGGGATCAATCTCGTGTTCCTCTTCGAGCACCATAGGATCAATCTCATGCTCGTCAGTGGATCTGACAGAAGCAGCCTCGACATCCATAACCTCGGATTCGTCTCCACCGGTTTCTGATTGAGACTCGAATTCTTCCTCCACTGAGACAGGTTNGAGAAGAGTTTATGTCCTCTACAGACGCTGGCTCGTCTTGAGCTGGGCCTGCTTGAGCAGTTGTTTCAGTCTCCATGTCGGCCTTCCATGTTNTGGCTTTCAGGCTCTGCTTGTAGTTGTCCAGACTGCTCAGTCATCTTTTCAGTCAGATCCGTTGCAGCGGGGCCGATTTTCTGCTCTGCATTGGCGACGGGATCGGATGGGACAAGATCCACCTGCGGCTCGACAACTCGAGGCGCAGGCCTCTGTTGATCATCTTTGTTCTGGACAGCCGCATGTAGTTCCAGTTCTTGTACATCTTGGGCTGCCACTTTGGGCAGGATAGGTGCACTCTGTTGATGGACTTGCTGTTGTCTTATCTCCGCAGGCATATGATGGTAGTTCTGTTTGAACTGCTCCAANAACTCGGTGAACCCCTCAAAACAGTAATCCCGCTTCTCTTCGAGCTCCTCGAGACAGGCAAGCACATCGGATAGTTGACCTGATTGGTGTTTTTCCACGTCTGAAAGCTGGTTGTAGACTTTCCAACAGGCACTGACAAATACTTCGTCCTCCTTGAGACGATACTTGACACCCTCTGCAAATATGTTACTACTGTCAGCGGCGACTACCACATTGACTCCGATTTTACAGATGGTCTTCAAGGCATTGAACTTGGTCCATTTGGTACTCGGACTGTCAGCCTGCTGTGATATCTTCTTGACCTCTGAGCGAATCTGGGCAGTGACTGGTCCGCTGAGCTCGAGGTGCGCATCCTTCTGTTTGTTACCGAGCAAATTGTTGACAAGACTAACCGAAGGCAAGAAATCAATCGTCTCTTGAGGAACAGGAGCAGCGGTTGTATCATCTTCTTCATCTGATTCCGAATCGTCTAGTAACCCGACGACGTCAAGCCTAGATGAAGATGGTGGCGGAGCATGAGGAGGTAAAACTGTTCGAGCTGCTTGGTTGATGGTTTGAGATTGAGGTTGGGGTTGTTGAGATTGCTGACCAAGGGTCTCGACAGCAATATCTCTGTCACGCCAGGCGATGGTCTCATCCCCCGCTGTAGAACTAGTCTCTGACGCTGCTTGAGAAGGCAATGCCGTCCTCGTTTCTGTCAGTGTTTGAGCTCCATCTAGGCCAAATGGATGGCTATACATGGTTTCACGCATCGAAGGTTGACAAGTTTGATCCATCATCTCAACTTCGGACTCTTCTCTGGAGTCATCATCAGTATCAGGCATTACAGCCTGATCAAAATATCCCGAGCCGTCGGATTCATCATCAGCGCTTTCGTCGTCGCTTCTAGCCAACATCTCTTCGTCGAGGTCAGAGTTGTCATCGTGAATCACAGCATCATCTGCCTCATCTCCTTCTTCAAGGTTGTCGGCAACCTCGATGACACCGTTGTCTCTGGCAGTAAGGTCTTCTCTTGACTGTTGGAGAGCAGCCTCTTCTTGCTCGAGTTTACGTTCCAGGTAGTCCCAATCTGGTTCTTCGACGGCACCTTCGTTATCACTTTGCTCTTGCAGAGCTAAGATCTGTTCGGAGTTGTATACAGAGGACGCATCATCCGATTCTGAATCCTCACTAAGCGATTCCATGTCTTCATCAGATTCGTCGTCAGCAGAGCTCTCGTCGTCGAATCTGTCACCTCTCGAGCGCTGTCCGAATTGGACATCTGCCACGATTGGTGAAGAAACAGCCACTGATGGTCGATTGGAAGGTCCGGTTTCTTTGTCCTCCTTCTCGTCATCCTCATCCTCATCCTCATCCTCGTCCTCATCCTCGTCCTCATCCTCGTCCTCACTACCAAAAGACATCACAACAGGGTTTTCTTCAGCGCAGCCGTCACAGGTGTCTGCAACAATGCGAGGCGTTTGTGTTGTTGATCCTGTCCGCTGGTCCGAGTTTTGCTGCGAGGGTTCCGTCTTCGCCTGAACTATGTTGGAAGACGGCGCAGACTCTTGTACCTCCGCCATAATACTTGCTGGTTGATTCTGTATTTGGACGTTGGAAGCGGGTGACGATTTCTCGGCGAAACCAACAGCCTTTCCTGTGTTTGTCACATGCCCAAGGGCTGTCTCAGTGATCTCTAGAGTTCCTGCTACATTCGGAACAACTGGCGAAGGCATCTTCTGGGCACTTGTCGGGAAAGGTGATGGTAAAGGCAGGCCTTCAGTGAGCAGTGGCTGCAAGATTGGCGTTGTCGGCCTATTGATGGCTTGGGCACGCGCCATTTGTTCTAGAAGTTCGCTTTCGGTTGGCAATATAGTCAGACGCGGCAAATCAGAAGGTTGCATGGTTGGAGAGGTCGAAACCTGGACTTGGGACGTCACGGAACTTGCAGGAGCTTGTGATGCTCCCTCCAGAATAGTCTCTCCTGATCTCGTGGTGTCGTCAGGTTGTTGAACCACTGCTTCTGCCACTTTCTCTTCTGGATCTTGCACGCCGAGATTTCCTGCTGCAGACCTCGAAGGAGCCTCAGCCTCAGTCTGCAACAGCTGTTCCTCGGCAACTTTTACTGTTGGATCTTGTGCGACAGTCTCCTGAGCAGATTGTACTGCAATTCCCTGAACATTCTGGGCTTCAGAGGTACGCTGCTCAGGTCGTTGGTCCGCCTTTTCTGTTGACTCAGCAGCCTCGTGCATATCCAAGTCCTGACTTTCCTCGGTCACGTTGCCAGTTTCTACAGTGGCTTTTCTTGGCACTGCAGTTTCAATGGCCAGGTTCTCGTCTGCACCTGCAACCTCCAAGACATCATCTTGCTCTTTCTCGGGAGAAGGTTCTCGGGCGTCAAACTTCCATTCAGAAACGTTTTTGTATGAAACCCTCCGTCTCTTGCGCGATGCGACAGTATCCTGGTCGTCGTCTTCTGACACGGGTACGGGNGAGTATGATGTGCCTCCTTCAGACAATCGAAGACGCTTCATAAAAGCTGGAGAAGAATATACGGCGACTCCATAAGCATCGAAGGAAGTGCGAGGTTTGGGTCGAGTGATAGGCGTGCTTGGTGGCAGCATACTAGGCTTCGGTGACGTGGGCTGGATGGATTCGTCCACATTGATTGTTCTCAACTGAGCCTCTCCTCGCATGATGGTCATGGTCAGACGGTTCTTGAATATGAGCTCGCCATCAACGCTCCTACCGGGCGTCTTGACCAGAGCTGTACTGGACTCGGACAACCATTGCACGCCTACGAGCGCGACTTGCACGCTATCGCCGATACCAATGCCTGATGCAGCTATATGGCGCGCACTTGGTCCAGTAAACCGTACGCGTACTTGACCTTTCTGGTGTCGCTGTCGCGCGTCCGGGTCGGCCAAGAGAAGAGCGCATTGTCCAGTTGCTGAAGAAAAGGGCCAGAGCAGTGTGACCAGTGCCTTGAACCCACAGTCGGTAGGCAATGCCGAAGAAGGCGATAAGGATGATATAGGCACTATCTCCATACTGTCCGGAAGTCACGACATTTCTCGATCAGAAAAATAGCACAATCGATGGTGGAGCATGGCGACAAAAGCTTCGTGAACAGCGGCCATGTCTTGCAAATCGAAGCTCTTTGCGGGGATCCTCTTCGGCAATGACGTTCCAGCCTCGAGGAGCACGTGAAATGCTAACAAAAACATTTGACTTGGATCATGTGGTTGCTTCTACTCATTATGCAATAAAAATGCTAACTGTAGCTAGCTTGCAGTACAGCCAACATGCGATCAGCACTATAAGATGATAGCCGATAATAACAACTCCTCTTTCCTGAAATCCGCAGACGTACGCCATCTAATATTTTTTACCCCATGCCTTTGCCAGATGACTTAGATATTGCATCCNAAAGGAGAGGCAGCATAGGCTTGAAGAATGCTGGTACGGTTGAAGTAGCCGTCGACGCTGCGAATCCTCAAGACGCTGTCCTTTGCGGGAGGACCTTGGGCCCAGGCATTACCATTCGACCAGTTATTCCACAGCCAGAATCCTGGACTTGTTGGCACNTATATTTGCGTCAGCTACACAGATCGATTCACACAGCACAGAGTTCAGTTACCATTATCGGTGATAGTCTGCACCAGCTTTCCGTCGATGAAGAACTGGGCCTTGCCAGGAAGCCAATCAACACGATACTCATGGTAGGCAGAGGTTGCATCACTGGGTGCTGAAACTTGGTAGGATGACGGAGGACTGTTGGGAGAGACCTGCTCAGTGGTCAAGTGAGCAACACCAGTGTTAGAGGTCAGGAATGCAAAGTCGATCTCCTGAGTATCGTTGGAGTAGAAGGAAAAGCCATGGGTGGTACCGGGTACATTCGAGATCTTGGCGACTGTGCGGACAGAACCGTAAAGGATGTCATCGTAAGCAGTAGTGATCTGGGCAGAAGAGATGGGGCCTTTTGTTTGGCGTCCAGGGACAGTCAGGGTGATGGAAGGATCAAGTAGTGAGATGCCGATATTGACCAAGTCGAAGCGTCGAGGAAGAGGAGAGTTGCCAGCACTAACTGTGTAGAGAGAAGATACGAGGTCTTCGACGAGTCCGACACCTTGAGCAACAAGTGTCAAGGGGTTGTCCCAGGCATAGTTCATCCTGGTGGTGAAAAGACCAACATTAGGGACTTTATAGTAGCAGCCGCCGTTGGTCAGAGATGCAGCAGTCGAAGAAGTGTAGCGCTTCTCAAGCAACTGGTCGGCATGAGAGACTGTTATCGCGGCACTGATGGTCATCAGATTGATCGCGTTGATTTTGAGAGGGACCATGTTGAAAGGATGGTGGTTTGGAAAGGACTGTTTGAAGTCAAAATAAACAAGTGTGTTGAGGCTAGATTGCGTATCAAAAATCAGAACGGATCTGCTGTTGACGACCTGTTTTTTGCGACGAGTCTTTGTGTGTTATATCCTCAATGGTGAAGCGTTCAGATTGACGCAACCAATAGGTCAATATTGTGAAGACTCGCTTCTCTAGTTGAGCGACCGTCAACGTCGAAGCTATAACGGCGTACTTGGTGGAGCGACCACACAGTTCATGATTCGTGCCGATTTCAGGCAAGGTCTAAAGACAACACACCAAGAGACAAGCAAAGTCGGTCGAATTATGCACGAGATGTCGAGTCCGTCGGCCTGTAGCTCGTTCGAGATTGCATGCGCGAAGACAAACACACACGCACAAAGGACCCTACGATGTGATCGAGTCAAGTGCCGACTCTATCGGGCGGGCATATGAAGCGACGTTAACAACGTTGAATGCTTGGTATGATAGCTTCTCATGATACTCGTTGCCAGCTTCATCCAGCGAGCAGGACGAGTCAGGTACGATGTCGTCGTCGCGGCGGGTCTGTGGTACCAGAGGTTATCGGTTGCTGGATGTTTTAACCCTAGAAATATAACGAATCGATGACAGAAGAATCGGAAGATATCCATAGATCCTGCCGTGACCATACAATGGCAACAACACCATCCCTGGTTTCAACTTCCAGCTCCAATTGATACTCGTGGCGCTAACAAGATCATGTCGAATGTCTTGTAGTCAAAGTTGGTATTACCAGCTGGAGACGGCCACACTAGAACGCCGAAAACTATGCTTAGTGATACGGCAGAGGACGATAGCTAATTTAGCCCAAGGAGAGCGCTTTTAGACAGAGGTGAGTGAAGACGAGGTTGTTGATAACCAAAGCGACTCTCGGCCGGGTCCGTTGCCAAGCCATAACAAGCGCGCCTCCATAAGCCCTCCTTCGAGTTGAATAACTGCCCGGTCCAAAACAGTATTTCTAATAGAGGTCTCACACCTGGAAACACCACGGATCCCTAGTTGGGCACGATTGTTCACAAATCTGTGTTGAAATCACCGTAGAACGCAACCACAAGTGTGACATATAGGGAAAGAGGTATGAGACCAGGATTACGCCGAGAGTGCTGTTTGCTGTTGTCTTGATGCTGCAACGAACGAATAGCTAGCTACCTCTCAGCAGTGTCGGGGAACAGTTGACATAAGTGACGGGAATACTTACAGCAGCATAGCACAGGGGGCAGTGGTCTCACAATCGCTAATTTGTTATTGATCTAGACGGCCTGCTTGTCCCGAGCAAGTCAGCCTTCGACAGCAAAGCTCAACTGCGTACAAGGTGTCAATGCAGACGTAGGTCAGTATGACTGACGAACTACTTTGACTCGAATTCGGAGACACCTTCGATTCGCTACAACTAATGATTACGCAGGCACACTGATGAGCGCGCTATTCAACGGACGTGAGAAACCCTCTTGTATACCCACACATCTGTGTGGTTGGGACATGCGTGATGCGGCACCGAATCTGCAATCCCACATGCCACCTGTATGGTACGGGACTTACCTCTCGATGGTGCATACACTTGTTGATCTCTCAACAAGCCAGCGACAATCTGCTTTCGTCATGGCATACTTCGCCATGATGGAAGATTACAGCAATTCATCTCGAACGCCTTGGAAGTGGGTTCTGTGTCGCCGGTCCACGGACGGATGCAGCTCTTCTGGTCATTCGACATGACTTGGGACCCTGAGTAGGCGAACGAGAGTGGCACAGCAAACATGCGTAGACCCGGCCGTGTTACATGTAGACCGACTGACGAATCTGGACATCCCAACATCCCCCGTAGGTGGATGATTTGACAGGGTGTCAACATATCATGATACGGTCGGATATTCCGCGATAGTGCATAGGCGCAATAGTTGCGGGAGTCGGCGAGCTGCCATCATCTGATGTTCACATGCTTGCTGGGAACTGCTGATGGCAACAACGGTGCCGAAGCCAGATAGGCGATTTGATCTGGCATCAGAAGAGGCATGAAAGGCGAAGCAGACGTCGCCATCAGAAACTTCATCCTACTGCTATCTCGAAGGAACGAAGGCATGCCGCAAACGGGGTGCAGAAGGAAAAAGCGCGCACGCATGTGGAGTGCAGGAGCAGTACCTGGCATTTACGAGGCAGCGGGGGATAGCTGTCAAACATGCCACGACAGGCTGCAGCGTACAGCAGTCCAGGATCGAATCGGTTGGTCGTAGTGGGGGATGTCAGGACGATGGTGGTTGAGTGGTGGTGCGAAGTTGTTGAATGACATGTGAAATTCACATGCCGCCAAGCGGATGCAACCGAAGCGAAATCCAGGGAATGGGGAGAGCGACATGACATCGTTGGTTGTGAGGCAGGAGCACTGCAGCTGTAGCTATAGGTAGCTCGAGATAACACCACCAAAATGCCTGTTCCTCTTGCCCATTTCACTTTGGCTCTTCGTTCGGTTTTTGATCCTACTTGACCTTTGTTCGCATCCTGCCAGCTCGCCAGAAGCCAGCCATTGACCCTCTACAATTCTACAAGACAGCATCCTCAGAGTAAGTCTCTCACTTTGCTCATTGTCACTCGGTCGAAACCCTATCGACATGCTTCCTTCCGGCCGGACCAGCTTTCCTCCACCTCGTAGCAACTCTTCAACTGACCATTGTTCATCAGCAGCAATCCAATGCCTCACGCAGAAAGCGACATGTCCAGCCCCGTCACTAACGGTGACAAGCCTCACTCACAATTCTTCTCAGTATGCTTGGTGTGAACACTCATCCCTGATGCTCTCACTGACCAGTCTCAGCACCTGAAGTCCTATCCTGTCGTCAATGATGGCGTCGAGACATTCATGAACAACCCCTACGGAGCCAAGTCGCTCGACATTGCCGACGCTGCTTACACCAAGCTCGGAAAGCCCGTCATGCCTTACCTCAGAACTCCTTACTCATATGCCGCACCCTACGTGGCCAAGGCCGACAGTCTGGCCGACAAGGGACTGGAACAAGTCGACACCCGCTTCCCCATCGTCAGGGAAGACACCGTCACCATCAAGGACACGGTGGTGAACTATGCTTTCCTCCCCTTCAGAGTCGCCGATGAGGGCCGCACGTACTTCTTGAACACCTGGGAGGACCAGTACAACAAGACTGCAGCTCGCAACAACCGCGGCAACAGCTTGAGCACCAGCTTCCTGGCCATCATCTCTACCCAACTCAAGATCGCTGCTGACAGTGTCAACCTTGTTGCCGATTGGTTCGGTCCGAAGACTGAGGAGGCCAAGCAGAGAAGCGACTCCCTGTTCAGTAGTCTGTACAACAAGGCCGCATCTTACGGAGAGCAGGCCAAGAAGAAGGCCAGCGACGCCAACGACAAGGCCGAGACGTATGCCGAAAAGGCCCAGGAAAAGTCAGAATACTGATCACTTCCACACACCACACAAAGCTCTGTTTCTGATACCCCTCTTAAATCTTCCCGAACCTCACCACGAATACCCTTGGACCTATGACGGAGTCCAGAACGACGACGAGACGTCTACGACTTGATGCCGTTCACCGAGAAGCCATGGTCCACCCTCTTACGTTCCTTTTCGCAATTGCTCTAACCATCGTGTATGTACTGTATCGTCCATAGAAGCTTCAGGCTCAGACCTTGAATGCTTAATCGAATACATGATCCTTCTGCAATGACCCTGTTCAATCCTCCTGCTCGAAAACGTCATGCTGTGCCTGAGTTCTGCCTCCTGCGCTGTGGGTGGATTGACTGTAGTTGACAGACTGCGAGTTGATTCAATCAGTCTCAAATACGGTGGATAGACACTGACCACGGCCGCATTAACACTTGTACTGTGCGTTGAATTGTATGGATATTGTGCATTGATATCTGACTACCTGTCGATACTCGACATATCTCACTGTGGATCAGGTGTGGCCAACAGTAGTTTGGAAGGATATTTCCATTATTTAGTGGACAAGCAGCATTGGTGATTGTTATCGACAAGCGAGTGATGAATGTATATCCTTAGACCATCTCCAAAGATGAGAAGATGTCTAGTATGGTAGCATCAAGTGATGTGGATTGTAAAAGTGAAGTTGTCAACTAATGACAGGGTGTTTCTGCCGACAAGGCCCAAGACAGGGTCACCACTGATGTCATGGCTGCTTTCGACCATCTGATTAAAGAGATGGCGCCAAGAGATATGAACAGAAGATGTTACCTGCAAGCAGTAGAAGAGAGAGTCTAGATGATTGACGATAGCATGAGGAATGAATGAAGCGCAAGCGGAAAGATGTCAGTGATTGAAAGCATGTGAGCCGGGCCGAGAAGGTCGGCTTTGTTGATTGCTGGAGATTGACATGAATGGGCTTGTCAATCGCAGAATACCTAGGCTCCATTGAACAAAGATGCCGTGATGGCAAGGAACGCGATCCAACCGAGTTTCGACTTCTTCACGGGAGAAGAGCGCTCGCCGGCGCGACAGCCTTTGCGCGAGACGTTCCGTCAATCCACAGCGACAGTCGCGCGCTCTGGTGAGTGTTGCGAAGCGACAGCACGCAGCTACGAGACTGATCATGCAGCGCAGNACATCGCCAATGAATCGCTACGCGCCCAGCTGAATACACTGCAATATGAACTCGACTCGTTGAAACAGGAAAAGGAGCTCACTGCTCTCCAGCAAGCGAGTGAGATACGCGATGCCGAGCAGCGCGCAGAGCGAGACTTCAAGCGAGCGCAGGCTGCAGAGACGGCCCAACAACACAGCGCCAAAAAGCTAGATCAACTGACGCGCGAGTTGAGCGACGTTGAGAATCGGCATACCAACGACAAGATACAGCTGGAACGCAAGATCCGGACCCTACAGGATGACAATCAGAGCCTCAGAGAAGATCTTGAAGATGCCGAGTCGCGCCTCTCATCATCAGAAAGAGAACACAAACATGGCCTCAACGACCTTGAAACAAGACATTCAGCCTTGCAAGCTTCGTACGAAGAAGCTCAAAGAGATCTAGAGTCAAAAGTCTCGACTCTGCAATCTACACAACAGCGTTTGTCGCAACGAGAATCCGAGAACGGCAACCTTGAGAATGAGATCCTCCGCCTCAAGGCTCAGACTGGCGACTCGGATACTCTGGGTATCATCAAGCGCGAGCTGTCCGAGCAAGTAGCTCACATCAAGAGACTCGAATCCACCAACCGCGACCAATCGTCCGAGCTCAAGCAACTGCGCAAAACTCACAAAAGCGTCGAGATCGTGCAAGAAGAAAAGCGTGCCCTGGAACAGAAGGTCCGCGCAATGGAAGATTTGCGCAAAGAACTGGCAGAGGCACAATTGCAGAAACAGATTCTCGAGGACGAGAAGCGTAGCTGGACGAGTTACCTGGAGAGCGAGGCTGCTGGAAGGGAAGAGCTGGCCTTTGAATCACCAGAGGATATGGCCAAGGCGTTCGTCAATGAGCGCATGGAGAGGATCACTCTGATCGAAAAACTGGGCACCATACAACCTGAACTCACCGTGCGTGATGCTAACATCAAGACGCTCGAAGACGAAAAGGTTCAACTTCGCGCCGAGATTGAGAAACTAAAGGAAGCTGGCACTTCATCCACCACCGCGGTTCCTGTAGATGCAAAAGCTCGAGCACGCCTAGAACGCCAAAAGAATCTGGCAATCAAGGAGGTCGAATACCTTCGAGCACAGATGAAGGCATTCGAAGCCGAAGAGAACGAATTCTCACCAGAAACATCGAACCAGGAGGAGAACAAGCGCACACAAGAGCTCGAGACGCTCATCGATCAGTATCGCTCCGAAGTGGAGACTCTTTCTGCAGAGATGAAGCAACTAGAAAGCAGCACCCCTGCCGCGCCGACACAAAGTCTAAAGCGTCCACACCCAGAAGAGTCAGACGAGCGTCTGGGCGAGCTGCGCCGTAAGACACGCACACTCCAAGACGACCTAACAGCATTGCAAACCCGCTACTCGACCATCGAGACCGAGCTCAAGGCCAAGACAAGTCAACTAAACGCTCTGCGCGAGTCTTCACGCACAAGAGTGCTCGAGCTACGCGATAACCCGACCGCCCAAGCCGAAGCCATCAAAGTGACCACTCTTCGCACCCTGAAAGAAGAAAACGCAGCACTGCTTGAACAACTCGAAGGACGGCCAAATGGCGCGACTAAGGTCGTACCCATCAGCACACTTGACCACGCCCGTCTGCAGATGAGCGAACTCGAAGCCACAATCGCCCAACGCGACAAGAAACAGCAACGCCTAAAAACAATCTGGTCCGCCAAGTTCCTCGAATTCGCAGAAGCCGTGGCAGCAACGCTTGGATGGAAAGTGGTATTCCAGCCGAATGGTCGTTTCAAGGTCACCTCCATCTTGTACCCGACATCCATCAACAAGGACGGCGAGGAAGAGGAAAACTCTATTCTTTTTGATGGCGAAAAAGGAACTATGAAGGTTTCTGGCGGTACGGAGAGTGTATTTGCCAATGAGATCCGTCCGCTGATCGAGTTCTGGGTCGATGGAAGAAAGGAGATTCCTTGTTTCCTGGCCGCGTGCACGCTCGAATTTTACGACAAGACGACGAGAGCTGCCGAAATATAAGAGAACGAAACTCACAAGTACATTGTTATTCTACCATTCTGCACTCTACTTTTCAACATCTCCCATATCCAGTTTTCTGACTATAGAATAGACCCTGGCGTCTAGAAGATGAGCTCTTCTCGCGATAGTGGCGGACTGCCAAAAGCAGAAGCGTAGTTCCTTTGTTGTAACAAGCCTCGATCCTCGATACAAGCTTGCCACGGGCTTTGTCTGGTCAGGTTCCCGAACCGGAAAGGCTCCAACATACCTCGGCTTTTCAAGCATCCTTTGTGTTTGATTCAGTTTTGGGGTTTCTTAAAGTCCTCAATGAGTCGGGGCGCTACAGTACATGAAGACTTTGCTCGTGAACACAACTTCGGCGGCGACATCCTTTCGGACAGCACGGTTGCCATCTTTCGACATCGAGTGCCTCCTTACATAGGCTTATCTCGATCTGCATATTCCCATACATCTTTATCGCTTTCGAGAAGAGCCGCAAGCAAACGCCAATCAGTACTCACATACACATACTACATCACTATATACCATGGACGCCGAAGAAACAAAAGATTGCGACATCTGTCTCTCCAGCATACCCGCTACTTCCATATTAACCTGGGACTGCGACCAATGCAACTGGTGCTACGAATGCATCACCTCTGGCATAACTTCTTGCCCCAAAAGTCGGACTGGCCACAAAACTGGTGCGGACATGACGTGCCCACCCCAATCACTCTCAGGAGGATACTTCAGAAAACAAGAAAGCACATTCCTCCTCACGTATACACGAAATGGTATGAAAAATCAGAGCAATGGAGTCAAGTAGAATGTCCTCATTCCACCCGATTCACTCATTCAGACCATTTAGAGGGCCGAGTGTTGAGCTGTCCAAGCTGCCGCAGAAGCATCTGTATCGAGTGTGAGAAGCCAGCTCATGAAGGTCGATGTCACAGGACGTCAAAGGAAGACCTCAAGGCAGTCATGACTGCACTAAGACACGAAAGCGCCGCCATGTGTCCTCGTTGTGGCTACGTAACTGGACGCATGAAAGAGGGCTGCGATCGTATCGTCTGCCCTAAACCTTGTACACAAGTATTCTGTTTCAAATGCTCGAAGGACTGGAAGAGCTGTCCAGGGAAATGTACAGGAGGCGGTTCCACGGCAGTCCTGGCCAAAGAAGTCGAGGCTAAGGCAGAGAGTCCAGGTATAGCCAAAGCCTACCTCAGCGGGCTGGAGGACACTATCCGAGAAGAGCTGCAGCTTATCGATCAAGACAAGCTGACCAAAGAAAAGTTGGCAAAGATCGGGAAAGACTGTGCGGTCTGTGTTTCGACCATTGATCAGGCTTTGTTGGATGGTAGTGCCTCCTCGTTTACCGTACTTTCTGATGTTCAGCGATTGGTGCACAGCTTCGTAAATCCTCTGCGCAAGAATCGTGAAGCACCACCACTCAAGGTCGGAGAGTCCGATGTCAAAATCGATAAGGCTCTACAGAACGAGAAAGCGAGTAGGAAACGCGCTCCCACCGGTGATCCATTGTTTCAAAGGTTCATGAAGAAGGCCAAAACTGGTATCATCGAGGATGAGGAGGACAAGATCGATCTGGAAGCAGGCTCCGATGGCGATGACGATAGGGACATCCACGACGAAGAAGATGATGGCGGCGAGTTCGATGTTGATGGAGAGGACGAGTATGCACCTGGCAATGACGATGATGAAGCAGGCGATGAACTGGAGGAAGATCATGTAGAGTGGTGAAGTAGTCGCGAGGAAGTTTGAACAGATGCGCCGATTCTTCTCCAGGAGATCTTGTTCAAGTGCTTAGCATTTTAAGAGGAAAGAACGGCCAACTCAAATGGACCAATTTCGCACCTGCTTTCACCTTAGCAACTAGCAAGAGTATTCAAGAATTCACAATGAACGCTCTAAGCTGTTTTCGTATGAGCAAGAAGTCCAACTTTGAATATTGATGCAGTCGTGTGTATCGTGAGAGAAAAGACAAAAACGCCATGCAATGCATCCTAACCAACCAGATGAAACACCCCCAAATTACCACGCTCAATGCAACATAGCAGCCTATGAATCCATCCTCGAAATCCGATCATCATCATCATCATCCATTTTGAACGTGGCCTGGACCGGTGTATCCACCACCATTCGACCGGAGCCATAATCGTCCTCTTCGGCACCAGTCTCTGTCGCAATAGTAGGTAGTACACCAATAACCAAGCTGGGTTTGCGTTGTCGGATTAATTTGCGATGCTCTTGCTGATCACCTGCTTCGACAATGCCGTCGAGTGTAGGCAGGACACCCTGCGAAGATTTTCGTCGACTGAGAGACATAACCCCTGGACTGCTGGGGCCACTGCCCGTATCCGCAAAGCCATGCCTACGGACCGCTGGATGTGGTGGATATTCTGGTGTTGGTGTCTCGCACGCCCGGCCTTGTGCTTGCTTCGAGACCGCTCCCACGACTTTCCTGCCTCGCAACTCGAATTGTGGCAACAGTCCCATATGCGACCTCACTGCACCAGTAGTATGATCTGACTCGTCCGAGAAACACCTCTGAATCCAGTTCCGCGTCTTGTGCACCAAGTGTCGAAAGAGTGGTTGCAAGCATGCCAGACTAGCCGCCGAGATTCCAAAACCAAGTTCCGTAAGAGCCAGCACAATCTCGGGAGCCGAGTGGTCGTAAAAGCTGATATGAGCAGTTGGATCGAGGAAAACAGGATCAAACCAGACGCCATAAACATATGCGGTCCGGAAGCATGCAGCCACGCTGCCGGTCACGCCCAATGTAAGCAGAATACAGACCGAGAGTTTGATATGGGTTTTGAGTGATGATTTGATAAGCACAGAGACAGGTAATAGCGCAAAAGCCCAGTCTGTGACAGCACCAGTCGCTCCATGGAGATAGAGCAGAGGCACAAATCTATTGCGTTGCACACATTTGCCGCTAATCTGTCGGTGTGCAATGTGTTTGAGAGTGCCGCATTGAAAGAGCGACAAGAAGAGGGCGATGAGGGAAAGAATGATGGAGCATCCTCCTGCGATGATAATGGCACGGCGCTGCCATTGCTTCCAGACAAATTGACGATAGAAGAGCATGAGCGAGATTTTGAGGAATATGGTTGAAAGCATGAACATGACTTCGCCTAGCGTGAGTATCTAAACAGTTGGTTAGTGGACGCACTTGTAGAGCAGTCGCGTGGCACCTACCAGCAAGAATCTATCGGCCACGGCCAATGTGAGAATTGGATTGTGATGCTCGAGCAGCGCGACGCTTATTGCCAGAGAGCTCAGCAACATGTAGAAAAACNNTTTGGGTGTCAGTCAGCCTAAAGATAACTCTGGTGTCGCAACGAATGATTCGCGTACCCAAGCTGTCAGCATGCTGTAATCATCAACAGCAAGTTTCCGTTTTCCAGTCCGTAATTTTGCCCATAGGCGCAGGATTACTGCTGTTACGGTGGTCAAGACCATAAACATGATGGCGACTTTGAATATCATGCGTTGGAGAAGACCACCCCCAGGTAATGCATTCTTCGCATAGGCGTGATTTGAACCCATGCTCTTTGACTCGTCGGAGAATGATTGAAGGGTCGACAAGGCATGATCGAGTCAAGCCTACAGAGGCAGTACAAAAGTGCGGCTCTGCTCTCATAGATAACGGAAGAATTAAAGCAATCGAGACCAATTCGCCTGCATGCCAAGTCTCACGATATTTGACTGTCAGTCATGAGTGGTGAAGCTGTGCCGTTATCAAACGTCGAATGGTGGACTCGTCAAGACTATCCAACGGTCCGGCTTCGCATGCCTCAAGCCTCCAAGTACACAAATCCTATAGGCCTTTCAAGTGCAACGGTCAAGCTGAACAGCCACCGATCTCGCACTATGACCCGAAAGAAGGCTGGCGCCTATTCATCCCGGCATCCGAGCAAGACTGGTAGGGTTGTACAAGTAGCAAGACACGCGAGTTGAGACGGTGGACACTCCGGTTCCGTAGTTGGTCACCAGTCGACTGTTTCACTCCATATCGCGACTTTGTAGTCAGCCAGCAGTCCATGATGTTGCTGCAGGCTAGGACAGCGGGGTCGCGGTTCGTTTTGCTCGCGTCACAAGCGAAGACACATATTGCAAGTCGCGACAAACGAAATGTCTCTTAACCAACAGCTCAGCCATGCCACATGGGAGTGCCTATGTATACATGTACCGAACATGTCCGGAAGGTGGACAGGTTTTGAGTGGCAAAAGTGGAGTCTGGCCCAACCTGATCAGGTATGGATGCTCTGGTCCTTCAACTGTCAGATCTATATCTCTGATGAACCATGATATGCTCTAGTACAAAGACCACTGCAGGCGCTTCTAACCGGACATGTCTTTTGCAACTGCGTGATAAGCCGATCGTATGCTAGAGTAGATGAACGAACCGATGGTCGAAGACCAAGGCCTTGGTTTCGCTTTGGTTGGCAGACAACGACTGGATACACAGTACACGATGGCCGAGAGCTTAGTAATAAACGTGCGATAGAAGGCGCATCTTTGTCGAAAGTACAAAGAGCTAATTACATTAGGTGTAGATTCGTGAAGGTTGGCAAAAGGATGCGCAACACATAGTTAACCAATATGTTTCATAAAGGCGATATCAAATCAGCTTCAAGGGAGTTCTCCTGATACCAGCAGGGATATGGCTCATGTAGCGACTCTTTGCGTCAGGCCTCTGTAGTCGGCGGAAAGCCTCGGTGATGTGCTTGGTATTGACAGGAGTTCTTGCCTCTTCAGGTGGATCGAACAAGCCAGGTTCTCGACGGATTCTTTTTCTTCGTTGTTGATCCTCGTCGCCGCCGCTCTCCCGTCGCTGTATGTCTTCGGCATTCTTGACGCGCAGGGCTTCTTCTGTCAGAGTCTGGACGATTTCGAAGGTCAAGAAGCCCAAGATATCAACAATGTCGTCGTTTGGCTTGCTGTCGGTCACGACGCCGAAACCAGCCCATTCGCGGAAGCGCTTGCCTTTGCGAAAGGTGAAAGAGGCTTGTCGACATTCACTCCAGTGTAGATACTCCTCAGGGGTCATATTCTTTGTGCGATCGTCGGCATTCTTGAGACGGGTCATTGTGGCAGTCGTCATCTCTTCTTCATCTTCATCTTCTTCGTCCTCTCGCTCTGGGACTTGCTCTTGGTAGAAGCTCGAGACATCCCATGGTAGACCTACTTTTGCTTTCTTCGTCTTTGAGTTCCTGGTACCGACCGAGGGGCCGGCGGTGGCCAAGGTAGGGTCGTTGGCGGGCCCAACGTCGATATCAGCAAAGTCGTCACCTCCTCCAGCACCACCGCCGCCCTTGTCGTCCGAGTCCTTTGCAGATTTGCGTACATCTTTCCAACTAAGAAAGGTGCGTAAGCGCGAGACTTTTGCGCGGTCGTGACGGATGAGGAAGATGAGGTCGTCGGTGTTGATGCTGCGGACACCACGACGAGCGGCCAGAGCGGTTGCGCGAGTGAGCATCTCGACGACTTGCTGCTGGACGATGGCTTCGATGAGGGTGGTCGTCTCAGGGGCGGCTTCGGCCGTCTCTCCAGAGACAAACATCATCTGCTGGATCTCGGTGCGGTATTTGGCCGCCTTGTCCTTGTCGGCCATGGTGAGAGTGGGGGATGGGTTGAAGCCTGGTCAGGGTGCCGCGTAGAGAAGGAATATAGTTGACTGCAAGGTGGCTGAGATGTTGTGTCTGAGGCGATAGAGTTCTGGATACGTAAGGGCGTCAATGTCGCATGGTGAATATATGTATGAGTAAGTTGTTGTTGATGGACAGTTGATGGATGAGGAGGGATGACGGACAGGGTGAGTGCGGGGAGAGGGTCTCGATCTTTTTATTATTTCCATCTTGGTGCTTCTTTCCATCTCGGTGCTTCCTTCCTCATCCACACAACAACCATGTTCTACGCAATCGGCCTGGGTCTGGCAGACGAAAAGGACGTGTCGGTCAAGGGTCTCGAGATCATCAAGCGCGCCGAGCGTGTCTATCTCGAGGCCTATACCGCCGTCCTGCTCGTCGAGAAGGAAGTCCTGGTACGCGCTCTCGCTGCCGACATGCGCAAACACGCACTAATCGCAATCGCAGTAGNNGAAGCTTACTATGGCCGCCAAGTAATCATCGCCGACCGCGAGATGGTCGAATCATTCTCAGACGAGATCCTCGAAGGCGCCGATAAGGTCGACATTGCCTTTNTGGTCGTTGGCGATCCCTTCTCAGCTACCACTCACACCGACTTCATCATCCGTGCCCGCGAGAAGAACATTCCTACACGCATCCTGCCCAACGCCTCCATCCTGACTGGCGTCGGCTGCACCGGTCTGTCGCTTTACAACTTTGGTCAGACCGTCTCCATGGTCTTCTTCACAGACAACTGGAAGCCTGCAAGTTACTACGACCGCGTCAAGGAGAACGTCGCCCTGGGTCTGCACACTCTGGTCTTGCTTGACATCAAGGTCAAGGAGCCCAACCTCGAATCTCTGGCCAGAGGCAGAATCGTCTACGAGCCCCCACGCTTCATGACCGTCGCCCAATGCGCCCAACAGATGATCGAGACCGAGGAAGAGAAGGGTGAGGGCATTTGCTCAAAAGACAGACTGGCTGTTGGTGTAGCCCGCGTCGGCGCCGACGATCAAGAAATTGTCGCCGGCACTCTGGAGCAGCTGGCCGAGGCTGACTTGGGCAAGCCCCTGCACAGTCTGGTCCTTATTGGAAAGCGCATGCACGACATGGAGAAGGACTACGTTCGCGAGTACGCCGTCGACAAGAAGGTCTTTGATGAGGTCTTCGCAAGGGACTACCACCAGTCGTAGGTCCTCAGATACTTTATCGTACATTCTGCATAAACTCTTTACAAACGTTCAATACTGTGTCAACACCTCGCTGGAGACTAATACAGTGCAAGATTGTCTTCGTTCAACTTTCCAAACAAATCCTCCAAATCTGCACTGATACCCATGATTTCTTGCGCCAGTGAGCCAGTCACAAGTGCNTGTCGTTTACGTCAGTACAGGTCATCAGGAAAAGGGCTCTATCGGTCAGACTCACCATAAGCATACAACAACTCATAGTCCTCCTCAGTGGCAAGAGAAGCCTTGTCACTATCCCTTCTGAACTCGAAGATCCTCGCCAACAGTCGGTCTCTTGTGTGATCGATATTGGGCAACACATCGTTGAGCGGATACTCTAGCTTGACGGAACTAGCCAACACAGAGAACAAATGGCTGATTCTCGCCGACAGAGCAAATCTCTCAGCTCGAGTATACCTAAGTACTTCTGCTTCTCCAGGGCTGGCCTTGAGATCCTTGGCTATTACCATGTTCATAGCGTGAAAGTTGTCCAGCATACGCTTCGTCCTCTCCAAGATCTTGCCAAACACCTTGTCAGGGAACGGTGCTCGGAATTCAAACTCGGAAGCTGCGGCTTTGCGGAGTGCTTCCAGTTGCGCGAGGAAGGTTTGCAGTTCAGATTCCTCGCGTATGTCCATGTATGCTGATGCGGGCTCGCCGAGCAGGAACATAGCCAGCGGATCTCTGCGCCAGATCAGTGACATGCGTAGCCAAAGCAGGCAGATGCCGTTTTTGAGCTTGCGACGAGCTGATATGGGCCAGATGACTCGGGTCACGACGATGCCCCACAGACAACCTGCAATGACCGCCACGAAACGGTGGAGTACGATTCCCCAGATCTCGGGGTTTATACCGCCTTCATCGTCGTCGTCGTCATTATCCTTGGCTGACAGCGAGTATGCATATAGAGCAGACAGGTTATACGTAAGGAGAATGAAGCGTCCCATGGGTCCTTTGCCCTGCACCAGGATGATGTAGAAACAACCAAGCGACATAAGCCAGCCAAAGAAACCGAGAAGCCAAGGACTATCATCTGAAACAATCCAAGCTACGATTGCGAGTATAGCACCCATGGCTGTGCCAATGAAACGCTCGATACCCGTCGTATTGGAGGCTCCTATCGTCATCGAGCAGACGACCATGTAGGAAACGAGACCCCACTCTCCGCGCCAGTGTTGGTAGAATGGCCGAGACCACACCATGAACGATGGTAAAGCGAAGAGTGCTGCGCCCACGCCGACCTTTATCGCAAACCGGATGTCATCTCGTCGGATGAACTTGAACATGCGATAGATTTGATGGCTGAACGGTTCCTTGATGTTGTGTCCTGCTCTGGCAAAAGTGTCCGCTTGGAGGATAGGCTTGATGATATCAGTCGTCAATGCTTCGTCGGGTTCGTGAACCAGCGATAGACCTGCTTCCTCATTCGCAGTCTTGTCACTCGAGTGTCTTCTCCAGAAGGCCATCCAATTCCAGGAACGTGTCCGGTCTTCCTGTTCTACCTCTTCTTTCAATTCTTCTAAGATCTCCAGGTACTTGAGTGTGTCTTCGGCGAAATCAACCATTGCTGCAGCATAGTGTCCACAGCTTGCAGCAACTTCTTCCAAATCAGCCACACGCTCCAGAGACTTGGCATTCGTGATCTCCTTGTTGCGGTACAATGTAGACAATGCTTCTTTCCTGGCATTGTTGAACAGCTCAATGGCCTGAGCAAGACTTGTTCTGAAATTGACATTAACAGCGATTACATCGTCGGTCCCAGGTTGAAACGGCAGTTCGTCCAGAATCGACTTCAGAGTCCAGGCCAAAGACTTCATTGGTGGTCCTAATTGGGTAATGAATGTCGTGAACATATCAGAAGGCGACAAGGAAGGTCTTGAATCAGGAGCGTTGCTAGTGAAGCTTGAAGCTATGGGACTGAATGGGATCGGCTTATCGGCTGGCGACTCGGGAGTCTCACTGATGGGTGTCAAAGTCCCTCGAATCTCTCCAGGTTCGCCTACAAGCTGTGAGACGCCCAAGAAAGACGATGACATTGATGCCATTGCCGAGTCTGATCTATTGATATATGGTGAGGACTTGATGAGCGTGAACTGCGTGTTTGCTGCACTGTAAAGACCGCCGATACTCTGAGAGAGCCCTTGCAGACATTTGACAAGCTTGACCTCGATGCGATATTCCTTTTCTCTGCCCAGCACAAAATGCTCGTATTTGGCTTCGATCAGGTTCTTCTTCATCGAAGTTTCGTTGGCTTTGCAATCCTTATCGACTTGCTTGTAGGCGGCACCCTGCATTTCTGTCTCTGAACCGGTCAAAAATGCTCTTGTGATAGCAATGAGTTTGTCTCCTAGCAAATCGGTTGTCTTGACAAAGTCGCGATGCAACTCTTTNTTGGCGTAACGGGGTTTGATGAGAAGATTGACTGTCGTGGTAGCTGCCATACCGAGTAGGACCATACGTAAGACCTGGAATACCTTATCCTCAGAAAACTTGGCAGCTTGAATGGATCCTTCCTTAGTCAAAATGGTAATGATGGCCAGCGAGGCGAGACTGCACCCAACGTTGACGGTTGGATGCCCAAGTCGTTGTTTGAGCCAACCTATGAAGCCTAGGCCACCAGCACAGAAAACCACTAGAACGATGGCATGGCCAAGAACCAAAAGATCGCGCTTGCCGAGAGCCATACTGATAGCCATACTAGTGAAAGACACGAACGCTGCGTACACAAAGGCGATCAAAGCAATGCCAACTGCTTCGATCATGCTGCCCACTGTCCTCGAAGGGTGAAAGTAGACCGTAACAGTCGCGACGACGTGTTTGCCATCTTGCTTTCCGAGGAAGGTCGAGACGAAAGGAAGAAACGTAGCCAGAGATCCTAGAAGATAGGCTATAGAGCACTTGAATATACCCTGTCCGAGATTAGAAGCCCAGAAATCGACAGATTTGTCCCGCCAGCGGTAGAAGGGTTTGAGAATGGCATTTGGCTCATGGGCTGGTCGTGATGGCACGTCAGAATCTGCGCCCAACAGGCCCTCACGTTCCTCTGGTGACCCAGCTTCTTCGCGAGCATCATCTCCTAACGTCGGCAGCGAAAAGGCGCGTCTAACGCGCTCTCCAGTCCGTGGTAGGATCAGTGTTGCATTTCTAAGNCTTCACGGTCGTCAGCAGCAAGCACGTGGCGGCGGAAGCACCTTTGAACTCACGTTGCGAGGATTGAAGTGACGGCCCAAGGACGAGGCTTGCCCAGCGTTTCCGGATGGCATTACTCACTGGAAGCAAGCAGACATATCCCCCTGTCTATTCACGTATGAGTATGTTTAAATGTTTTGGAAAATATATAGGATGTCGGCGGGTTGCCTAGCGGTCGACGTCTATGATCTGCACGCATGACTGCCGGATTTTCCTTAGCGGTAGATCGGGCCGATCTCGAAATCGATAATCTGGTTTATCGCAAAGAGCCTCATCTCTTGATGTTGACCAAAGAGATGCAATTTCGACATCAACATTCGAAGTCGATCGTCGATTGTACTGGTTATCTCAAAACCAAGAAGTCCGCATGAATATAGTTGAATCGAGCCGAGTGTCTTTACAACGACCTCTGAATGTTGACAATAGTACAGACGATACTGGTAACAACACTTTGTGCGTAATAGAAAAAGCTACTGTTCAAAAAGAGAACAACAGAATGGACAAGAATAAGACGAGTCCTCTCGCAATGCAACATACCTCTGCCCAGGGAAAAGAAATATGATTCGCTTGCAGGGGATGAACACCATAAAGTACACCAAAAGAAAAAAACTCCTCGCCGGCCCCGAATGCCCTTGCCTCTACGCCATAGCAATGCAGTGTATCAACTCATGCAAAGATTACCTTTCTGAGTTTCGCCTAACCACAGCCAATCTCATCTTCGCCAATCCAAGTAGTCCCGTATCTTGGGACAGATCGAGGAAAAGTCTCTTGCAGAAGTCTTTATTTGGCAAGCTCCCTTCGCGCCAGTCTCTTAGCGGTGGCAGCTTCGAGCTTACGTCTGAACTCCATGTTCGCGATGCTCCTTGCTAGCTCTCGATCTCGACTTGTCGCCTGTCCAACATCGAGACCCTATCTCGATGATTCCTGGCTTGCAGTTCGCGGTTGCTGACTCGGCGTCTGAGGCAACAACTTGATCTGCTTGATCAGATAACTCTTCTCATCCGAGAACTGGTCATCCTCTGTACGATCGGCTAAGAAGTTTGGCAAGAAATCCAACAGGCGTTGACGATTCATGGTCAATAGTCGCTTGACGTCGGGTGATTTGTTGGGATTCGCAGCAAAGATTTTGAACACGTGGAAAGCCTCATACTGCACCATCTTGCGATCGTCCTTGAGCTGCCACATTATAAGCTTGAGGTTGTCGCCAGACTCGACATAGCGGGTCATGATTTCGTAAAATTGGCGGTCCAGCAGAACTTCACCAAGCAGTTTGATTGATTGGCGCTTGGTAACATAACTCTCTGATTTTATGAGGATGTTGTTGTACTTGTCGAAGAATTGGTCGAAGTTGGTGTCGATATACTTAGCGACCATAGGCTTATGTCTTATCAGGATTTGNCTGTCAATCATGATCAATATCTTGTTCTAACGTAGAGGGTGTGAGAAACTCACGCGGAAAGTGTCGAAAGCATCGGTGCTGACTTCGAACAAACTCTTGTCGATCCAATCAAAGAACTTCCAAAACACACCCTGGCCCGAGGCAGGCTGATCTGTATCAATGCTGCCAAGATCCAGAGGCTGGCCGTGTAGACTTGGTTCGTCGTAGAGAATTAGTGCTGTGACAGCATCATGTTTCAAGGCCTCTTTTAAGATTCCTCCACAGGGCATAGCACTTTCGCGACGATCATAGCCATTGCAAAGCGCAATGATGACTTCGGGGCGGGTAGTGATGATGTATTGAAGGGCAATTGGTTGGTCTTCGCCCGGTTGCTTGTATCGCAGGACGTTGGAGATGATGGTTTGGGTATCTTTGCGCGATTCGAAGGGTAGAAGGTGGATGTTTTCGGCGAGAACTCGTAGAAGATCTTCGGTAACGAGGAGGTTCACCAGCTGGAATACCTGGTCGGGGCTGACGTCGAGTTCTGTGCGCAGTCGTCAGCCGTCCTGTGTTTGTCTGTCATTTGGCTGTGACTGATGCATACCGGGCGTGCCTTGGAGGATGACCTTCATTTGGCCAAGATTCCGTGCCACTTCTTCCTCGATCTGACCGTCGTCAGCCCAGTCCAGTGCGCTTGGGTCGTAGTGGTCGGATACCTTTTGTGAAGGCTTGTCCTCAGCAATTAGCTTCAGTATCAAATCTTTGGTCGACCGGGTCAACTCCTGGTTGGACCTGGCCTTGCTGCGGCCAAACAAGAACGCCATGCTGCTGCCTGTGTTGTGTCTTGTGCGCTGCTCCGTCTGGGAAATCCGAGATGTGGGCGGGGTTGTGGCACAAGGGGAGATCACAACGCCAACCGAACACAAGAATAACCTGGCAGGATGCTAACTTGAGGGAGGAGAAGGCAAGAAGCAAAGACGACAGAAGAATACAACAAAAGGGATTGCAAACAAGTCGTCACCGCCCTATGTGTTTACCGTTGTAGATTGACTTTCCTAAACACCGTCACTCCGAGAAACCTTGGCGTGTCAGGCGGCCCGAACTTCTTTGAATGTTTCATGTGATGCTGCCATCATCGAGTAAAATCGCTTGTACTATCAGAATGTCCTTTCAGCTGCGCGCTTGTTTCAACATGCGCATCGTTGACAGGAGCTAATCAGGTGTTCGATTACTCATCATGTGGTGATTCCATCCATGGACAATCTCCTCTACAGAGCGAACAGAGCCCGGGCTCAGAGATAACAAGAAGAAGCTGGGATCAGGCTACCCATGGCTGGCACGGGTGTGTCCTAGACTCCTGGAAACAATGATGCGCTCCTGTGCTAGGTATGAAAGAGGGTAACAAAAGTCTTGCTTTCTTCTGGAAAGAGTTCAAACATAGAGCATGAGTATAGGTTGATGACTATGTAGAGCTGGCATCCGCTCCAGATCCCTTTGCGTATGTAGTATACAACATCGAAAACTCATATAGAGCTTTGGGAGATTATACTCGGCAATGACCGGTACTAGAAGCCAGTTACCTGGTCAAAAAGCTTTGCTCCCGCCACTATCAAAGGTTAGTGATAAGTCGCTAATCAGAGATGATGAGACTTACTTCGTCAGCTTTCATCCTGTCGCCACTTTCGTAGACGATGAGGTTTTGCACCAGTTCTACTGCATCCGATGAAGCATTGGGTAATACTTCTGTCCAAGCTTTGGAAGGGTACTGTACAAAGGCCATCTTGCCCCAGTCTGGTAGGCCTCTGGCTTCNCTGCGAGGAGTTAACTTTTGACTCTGTATGTTGTTTCTGTGCAAACTCACAGGCCATCTCTCGATATCCGGAGTTCCCAGCGTAGAAAAGATGCTCTTAATCAAGGCAAGATCGCTCCCAAGATCACCAGAATCGAACAACGTTTGAGAACCCAAGCTCACCACTTGAGCAACCACACAACCAGTTGCCCACATGTCGAGGCTGGTGTTGTACCACTGATTGCCAAACATGAGTTCCGGAGGGCGGTAGCTCGTGGTGCCTACGTCCATGATCTTCTCCCTCGCAGGCTCGGACGAGGCATCGTCAGCTGACCATGCGATGCCAAAGTCAGATATGTAGGCCGGTCCAGACGGACTTTTGAGCAAGATATTGGACGGCTTTATATCTCGATGAATTATTCCGCAACTGTGTATGTGCTCAATACCTTGCATCAATTGTGAGAGAATGATCTTTTGGTCTCTTGGTTGCAGCCTGCCCTTGTTGAGTTGATCGTCAAGGGTATATGGCATAAAGGGGAAGGCCAGTACAAGTCGACCGCCAGCTTGCTGGAAACTCTCAACAAGCTCTACAACGAAGTTATGGCGAGCTCGTTCCAGTAGTCGTATCTCACGCACAGAATCATGAGGTGGCTCTGTGGCAGATGGATTCGTGACTTTGAGAGCAACCACACAAGGATGCCTCTCGAAGCCATGGGTTTTNGGAGTGATACCACAATCGGCCTGGGCTATAGCTTTGTAGACTTCAGAGAACAAGCCGTCGTTATGGTGTACTGCATTTGTATAACGACCGATTGTTACACCGCCGGTCGGCAGCACGAGATGGCTTTCCACTACTTCGCTGGGTTGTTCATGTGCGCTCGAGCTCAATGACAAGTCACGAACTACAGCATCAATACGAGATTCGTAATCTTGNCTAGACATGAGGGTATCAGAAACGAAAAAGCTCGGAAAGGGGAACATTGTATTATTGATTACCAGATTATCCGAACTATCAAAAGTGGTTTGCTCTAAATCCGTAGCTTGGTCCTGGGCATGACTAGGAGAGAGGTCAGTATCAGCGAGCCTGAGGGCAGCTTGANNCTGAGGCATGGTCAGCAGTCTGCATGGCGAATGCGGTGAATTACGCCTGACTTGCACTTTTGATATAGCCTCAAACCTCTCCAGAAAGGTCAAGTTGGGAGGCATGGCTGAAGGATTGCAGGAGCGGACAAAACAAGATGATATCGGCTATCGAAAATGGCTTGTCGTGGCTGTCTCGGGTCGAGCGAAAGGGCAAGTGGGTCCAGTTTTGAGTTTTGCGGGGAGCCATGATGTCGTCCTGCTGGCGGCGATTTTAGCAGCAGGCGCTCACTCTGCCGAAGGCTTGAGACACTCGACCTGAGACGTCCCCTCTGCTCTCTTCTAGCACCTTGCCAGAAGAATTTGTTCGACTCTCAAGCTACAGCTTCGGTAGACTGTAGAATTCTGTGGAGGACCAGAGATAGACGGCGTCCGAACAAAGACGTGCATTCTCTTGCCGCCTCTCACAGCGTCGCTCTCTACGACGACTTGCGACACAGCCGTGTGACCGGCAACAACCTCTACGGCACGATGCGCTTCACTCAACTCCCCTGATCATCGCCTCGGCCGCCGTCGTCTCTGTAACTACTGTCCTTGCTGCCGAAGGAGGCTTGACCGGCCCTTCGTCCAAGGTCACCGCCAACGGACTTGAAATCGTGACGGCCAACCCCAAGGCATGCAAACGTCCCACCAAATCTGGCGACGACATTAGTGTACACTACCGTGGGAAACTGCAGTCCGATGGCACCAAATTCGACGAGTCATACAATCGTGGTGTGCCTCTCAGCTTCAAGCTCGGTGCTGGAGAAGTGATAAAAGGATGGGACCAAGGTCTATTAGGCATGTGCGTCGGCGAACAAAGAAAGCTAGTCATCCCTCCGGAACTGGCCTATGGACACAGCGATCTGGGAATCATTCCTCCGGATAGTACTTTGAGTATGTTTTGCCTTACCATCATGTAACCACTGTTACCGTACTGACACGCTTGGAAGNTCTTCGATACAGAGCTCATCCAGATAGCCGGCGTACCAGTCGAGGTCGACGAGCCAGCTCTCAGGCCCGAGGAACTTCTACCGCCTCCCCCAATCCCGCAGGACGATTTTCCTCCGCCACCGCCTCCCGGCAGCGAGAAGGGTCCCATGGTTCAAGTACAGGATGGTGAATGTAAACTGTTGGGCCCCTTTGCACTGATCGTCCAGGCCGCACTAGGCGCACTCGCTCTACTCTCGCTTGTGTTCAAACGTTGGAGAGAACGCCCCAGACGCCCACTCAAGATCTGGTTCTTCGATGTCTCCAAACAGGTCGCCGGTACTNTTTTGCTCCATCTCGCTAATCTGGGCATGTCCATGTTCTCGTCGGGAAAGTTTGACCTGGCTAGCACAAAACCCGAAGATATCTCTGCAAGCTTTTCTGCTGTCACTGCTGACGACGGCAAGATGCCAAATCCTTGTTCATTCTATCTCTTGAACCTTGCTATTGATGTAAGTAAACCTCACTCAATCTGGGGGATTCGTGCTGACAATCTCACAGNNACCACTATTGGCATCCCTGTCCTTGTCATATTGTTACGCGTTCTACACAGTCTTTTCGCAAGGACTCCTATCGCAAATCCACCAGAGTCCATCAAGTCTGGTTACTACGGCAATCCACCGCGCGCTACCTGGTGGCTCAAGCAGTCTATCATTTACTTCATTGGACTATTCGGCATGAAACTTTTCGTCTTCTTGCTCTTTGCAATGCTTCCATGGTTGCCATGGGTTGGCGACTGGGCCCTACGCTGGACCGAAGGCAACGAGGCCCTTCAGATCGCGTTTGTGATGTTCATCTTCCCTGTTGCTATGAACGGCATCCAATACTACATCATCGACAGCTTCATCAAAGGCAAGGAATCAGATAGGGAAGGTTTCCAAGCAGTGCCTACCGAGGACGACGACGAGCACGGTAGAGACAGCGATGACGTAGAGGATGAAGACCGCTCCAAGAGAAGGAATAGAGTCACCACGGCGGAGCATGTCGCCGAGGCTAACCCTACAGCAGTGCCTTCTTACGATCACGATTCGGACGCTGAAGCCTCGAGCGGAGGAAGCTCGAATCGTAGGAAGTAGCGAGTCCATTGCCCCAGACGACTGTAGACAGTATGAATTTTTATGAAGACATCTCTCATTATGCATCAAGTTTATTTGCTAGATCTTCCAATGGGGCTCCTTGACCGTCGACGAAGTAATTGACGTGATACACGGTGCGAAGAACGGTGTCTGTGATCTCCGTCTCGACTTTGGCTCTTATGCCGCCTGTTCGAGTCTCTCTTGTCGCCACGGCTGCGCGTTTCTTCTTTCTTGTCATGTCTGGTTGTGTCTTCGAGTGAGAAGCCTTCAAGACTGCCCACGCTTTGACTTCTTTCTCTGCGGTCACGTTTGTGTCGACGCTCTCTCCTCCTCCTCCGCCTCTCTTCTCTCTCGGCTTGTTCTAGCTCTCTCAATTCGCGTTCCTTCTGCGTCTTCCATTTCTCCCTGTCCGTCTCGGCCCGCTTGAGCTGCGTCTGTGCTTTGCGCATGAATGCCATGGGATCGTTGGAAGTCAACCTTGTTTGCTCCCTGTCCCTACGACTTGGGTCTTCATTCCCCCAGACATCCTTACTGGGCTCCCGGTTTTCGGTACCTTGTTTGCTCGACGAAACATACCATGGTGCCGAGGATGTCGACTGCTTGAATCCAGCCGCATTCGAGAAGCGCATGGTGTACTGATCTTCAAACTCACGCGCCTTCTTTGCCTTCTCAGCTTCTGCTTCGGCATTGCGAGAGTTGGCCAGTAGAGCACGTTCGTTAGGTGCTGCGAAAAGTTGAATGTGACCAGCGTGATCTGTCAGTGACACATCGTCTTCATGCTTGCTTCTTTCGCTGTTGCTCAGCTTTTCGCGGACAGCAGCTCCAGTAGCGGCGTCTTCTTTGGCAATCCTCATCTCTCTGTCGGTATCGTCCTCGCCTCTCAAACGCCTTCGTTTGCGATCCCGACCATCATCACCGTGTCGAGGCCGGCGAGCACCATCGCTTTCTCCAGGTGGCAATGCTGCTGTTATTGGTGGCGGCACCTCACCTCTCAGGATAGCAGTCCGACGAGCAGCATCTTCTTCCTGCATGCGTCTTTCATCCTCTTCCTCTCTGGCTTGGGCGGCGGCTTCATCTCGACGCACGCGATCAACGTTGTCTCGATTGTAAACGTTCCAAGACTTTTTGCCCAACAAGTGTAAGACCATGGCGTCGCGGCACGAAAGGACCGTGAGAGTCAGCCCAAGTCACACTGCTCTTCCGGTGGCCGTTGTGTCAAAAAGGAAGCACGCTGCTTTGTGGTGGCTTGACGTGTGAGGGTAAAACGGCGTGGAGCTGTGAGCGACGAATGAGAGATGGGCGGGCCAGATTCCGTCGCCGAGTGGAGCACAACGGTTCGGCGCGGGCTCGAAAAGGCTGTGATGACTCGCGTCTGTGGGAGGAGCGTGAACGTATTGAGCCCAGCGAACTGGTGATGGACTAAAACCAAACGAGCTTCGCTGCATGAGCCGTCTGCCTCTTCTGTCCCCGTGCTACCTCGTGCGACTGTAATGTCTTTTCTCTCTCGCTCTCTGCTGTCCCTGGCCGTCTTGTGTCTTCTGCCCTCTGCTGTCGCTCCGTCTTTGTGCTGTCCGTAGAAGACTCGCGGACCTCTCAGCTCTCAAGCCAACACCAGCGACTCGACGCGCCAATTGCCAACGGCCACAAAGAGACAGCATACGATCACCCGCGTCGCACCTTCCTTCGAGCGGCCGTCCCAGCCATTTTCCTCATCCAGTGTCCACAACCAAAGAACCTTCCCTGGCTCAAGCGATCCGCTTAATTGCAGGGGGCTCGGACGCTTAATCTCACATACTTTTTCCCACCCTTTCCAAGAGCAACAAGACGAGATTGACGAGGCTCGCTCTCGACATCTCTGACGTTCCAACTACTCGTGCTCTGCCCTCGACCACCGTCTTCGACATCCGAGTCAACTTCATATATCGTCCCGCTCGGCAATCGCGTCAGCCGTGTCTAGTCACAGCTCGAGCATTCCCTGACACGTCAATCGCACATCATGCCGACATATTTAATCCATGGCTTTCGCTGGCCGCGGCCACTTGTCCGCATCCATATCATTCTCCAGAACCTTGACGATGCAGCTGCGGGTGGCTCATCGCGCCTGCGACGACCGAGACACTGCTCGAAAACTTTACCGAATTGTGGCCGCAGACTGTTGCGAACCTGCCCAACCTTCGCTTTGTAGAGCAATTCGATTCCACCGATGAGTCTCCAGCTGCCTGTTCACAACCCTACGCCTACGTTGCAGACATCTGCGAACAGGTCAAGTTGGGCATTGAGGTGGACGAGGTTCGGGGAAAAGGTCTAGGCGATGAACAATGGAATGCACTCATGGAGTTGAGAGACAAGCTTGCGCCGGATGAGAAGGTTGGCTGGTTCGTGGTTGTTTGTGGGGACGAAGATCGCACAGATACAGGCCTGGAAGAGGAGGAAGAGGAGGAAGTTTATGCGACAAATACGACATTGCCAGTCGGGCTACCAGTTCGGGGAGCGGCGCATACTCGACCGGTTACGTCCAAAGAAGGCGGCTATAATGGAGCTACGCCCGAGACTACCTACACCAACTACAGCGACACGACGAGTTCACGACGTAGCAGGCAAAGCAGAAATAGCAGCGAAGTATGCTTCAAGCCCAACACGATCAATCAACAGACTAACAAACGTGCAGCGTACCCCTACCGTCACGACAGCACCGACAGCAAGTCCCAGTCTTGAGTCACCACGCGAGAAGAAAGGTCTACGCAAGATGTTCAGTATGGTGAGGCAGAAGAGCATGTCGAGTTTGCGTAGCAAGAAGAGGTGAGAGGACATATCTCCAGAACGCGACCAAGGATACTGACTGTGCTAGCTCCAAGAGCCTACGCGAAACAGCGCGTAGCGATTCAGGCTCAGCACCACCACCAGTGCCAGCAGTACCGTCCATGGCTCAATCACCCAGACCATAACCCCTGTACCCATTGTAAGTGGTCGATCTGCACGAGAGAATCAGGACTATCGGCATCGGAGTTTTCTCTTCTTCATACCCTTGGCAAAGGACTTGGGGTGATTGTGTAAGACTAATCCATTGGGCATGTCTTCATAGCGAGCGGGACTCTTAAAAGGCACATTTGGGCAGCAGTTTTCCAGACTTATAGGCGACAGCATCTATACTGATATTAGGTGATTCGAGTAGTCTCTATGAAATATGATTGATATGCGTACTTGATGGTTGATGTACAGACAGCCCAGAAGGGAAGGTGAAGGCGAGGGCGGTGGCCGGCGCGAACCCCGCAGACGTCAGACGATGGCTGGGGGATTCGCGGGTTGATGCATACCAGCTCGACCATTCATACATCACAAACAATCAACCACTCACTCGAGTTGGAGAACCTAGTCGTCATGGCGCCGGCATCAACCCTAGTTGTATGAAACCAGCAGACTCCCGAAACCGCAAACAGCATACAAGAACTGGCGACTGACACGCGCCCAAACAGAACAAGCTCAAAGTGCAGCTCAAGCTGTCGATCTCGCGCCTACGCATGGTACAGCAANAAGACACAGCAATCGCCAAACAGCAACGTCGCGCCATGGCCCAGCTGCTCGAACAAGGCAAAGACGAGTCCGCCCGCATCCGCGTCGAGAACATCATCCGCAGCGACCTGACCACCGAACTGCTCGAGATCCTCGAACTATACTGCGAATTGCTGCTCGCGCGTGCCGGCCTTCTGGAAGGCAAAGAGTGCGATGCAGGGCTGGAAGAGGCGGTCAAAAGTATCATCTTTGCGGCACCCAGGACCGACGTCAAGGAGTTGCATAACGTCAGGACACTGTTGGCTGAGAAGTTTGGCAAGGAGTTTGTGCTGGACGCGACGGAGAACAAAGATGACAAGGTTGCAAAGCGTGTCGCGGATCGCTTGAGGGTGGAGCCGCCCAAGCCCGAGTTGGTCGAGGCCTACCTGTCGACTATTGCGGATGCCTACAACATCGATTGGCCCAAGGGTCGTCTAGCGGCTAGGGAAGCGGCCGCCAACCAAGAAGATGATGATGACGATGATGACAACCCTAGCGGTGGTCAGAAGGTACCGGCTCTGGAAGCGCCAGAAGGTACAGAGCCACTGGTCGCAGCAACTCCTCCACGCAACTTGGGTCCAAAGAGTCCTGTTAGTGTTGTACCGCCGAGTCCATCAACGGATAACGTCTCCCCGCGCATCAAGCTACCAGGGCCGCCGGATCTCAAACCTTCGGCTAAGATGGTAAAGGCAAACAAGCCTGACACGACCGGTCCTGGAGGCAAGATCCCAGATGTGAACGAGCTGGCAGCGCGGTTTGCTCAGCTGAAGAGGTAGCGCCCTTCATGCTTCTCAATCTAGAGTCTCGAGGGTCTGGTCCGGTTGAGCCCTAATTCACTAATATCTTTTCTTGTTCTGTGCATGCCCAACCTCTTCTTAGACCCTGCTGCTGTGAACATCTCGTGTCTATGCTATTCTGGAAACGAGAGGTTCGTATCTATGTGGCACAAACCATAGATAAATCTGTCAAATCTGACTGTTATAGCGATTATTAGTTTGTATCACGACTGAATAAACATTCTTGAAGTCAACCACGTCGTAGACCACCAAAGTTCGCAACTGGACAACTCAAGATCGCAATCGAAACGACAAGAAACCGGGCTGAAGATGTGTCTTGTCTATTCCGTATAACTATAAGAGGGTACAATAGTTTCTATGATCAGAACGAGATTCGTCGAGAAGCGTCAAATCAACCTCTTTCTTTGGTCACACAGTTCACAGACAAAGACAATCAAAGACAAATGTGAGAAATTGAAACTTGAATTTTATTCAAATGAGGCGAAGATAAGAGTAAAAGGTAAAGATGATCCGACGGATACATCCAAGAAAGAATACTCCGACTACATCATTCCTGTATGTAATGTGTCATCCAGACATACATGCTCGTTCAGCATCACTTAGATGCACTGAGAGTAGTAGTCGTTCTGGACCTTGCAAGTCGAGCCAGACTCGCAGACTGTGGCTCCAGTATGGCCCTTACCGCCACACTGCTGGTACTTCTTGACGGTGCCGCTTGAGCCAGTAGCAGTGGGAGCAGCGCTGGTAGACTTGACAGAAGTGACAATGGTGGTAGGGTTGGCAGACGAAGCAGAGGTGACGGGGACCTTGGCCGAGGCGCTCGAGCTAGTCTTGGGGGCAGCAGAGGTGGCAACAGCAGAAGTTCCGGCAGCAGAAGAGGCGGGTGCTGATCCGGAACCGCTGGGCCAGACGGCAGGGCCAGGGGGCTGGTAGTTGACGGGGATAGGGTAGTAGATGCTCAGCTCAAGGCTGTCTTCGTGGCCAGTGTAGACACCGGGGATCTTGACGGTAGGGGAAGGCTTGGCGGTAGAGCTGCCGGAAACCTCAATCTGAGCGCAAGAGATGTAGAATTGGGCACCACCGAAGGACGAGGCGCTGTGAAGACCAATGTGCTCGATGCGAAGGAGGTACTGGCCAGCTGGGGTGTCCTTGGGGAGGTCGAAGGTGACGTTGCTGAGGTGGTCGGCCTTGAAAGTAAGACCGTTGTCGCCATCCTTGTAAGTGTTGGCACCCATGGTGTAGATCNNTGTAAGTTGATGGCACTATTAGTATGTTTCTTGTATGGAGAGTGGTATGCTGCAACAACTGCCACATTACAGAGAGCTCTCCAAAGAGTCGGAGGTTCTGCCTTCGAGACAGGATTGAAACACCCCTGGGGACTATTGACTTGTGCTTACCTTAAACCAGTCACCAGAACCGTCGTACTTGGAGGCATCGCCATCGGCCTTGGACATGTAAACGTTGAGGGGACCAGGGTGCTGGATGGGAGTGTCGACAGCGAAACCAACAGTGTCACCAGCAGCAACCTTGTAGGTCTTGGTCTGGGCACCGGTGTCGAGACCACCAGCGTTACAGATGAGATCCTTGGAGGTGACATCGGTGACGGGCGAGTTCATGTTGCTGTTCTGGCGAACATACTCGTACTCCTTGGTAACCACGTCGCCAACGATGAACTGGTTGAAGCGGTAGTGTGCCATTGCGGTCTGAGCCAGAGCGGCAGCAGCCATGATGGTAGCGAAGGAGCGCATCTTGGAGTGTTTGTTGTGTATACCGCAAGGGTCTTCTTGAAGAACGAAAAGTAGTAGAACGAATGAATTTTTGGTTGGTGAGTGATGAAGAACGGACGACCAGCGACCAGAGTGGAAGAGAAAGAATGAATGAGGCTCGAATGCTTGATGGAAAGAACATAGTATTCGAGAGAAGAGGTTTTATATACTGACCTGCTCACTATACCCACTGCTGGAGTGGGGGCATACTAGGATATCCTGTTTCAGATGGTTCGGTTATGCTGTAAGCGAAGCGGCAGAATGTGGTCTGTTTCGTGTAAAAGCTTCAACGACAGCAGTTTACTGGGACCAGTCCAATTTCTCAATAGCTTATATACTCTAAAGAGCTTGGCGAGGTTATTCGATGTATATCCTGGAGAATTGTTGTCTTTCATGGTTGGCTCTCTGCAGGCCACATGAGCAAGAACGAATGGCATTCGTGTCGAGATTCAATGCCTCTAATCCTACGCTAAGGTATACACCGGGTATACTGTTACCATCCAAGCGAGATTAAAAGGTCATGTACATGTTAATCACACCGCGATTGAAGATGTGATACAGGACAGCGCGAAGAGAGATCTGGAAGGAACTGAAGTGGAGAAAGCAGCGGCTCATGCCAAGCCTTGGCATCTGCGGGCCGTTCCCGGAAGTGTGTTTCAGCCAGCAGGAGAACCTCTCGTTGCGCCTTGCTCCGTTGTTCAACGCATGGCGACCCACTATGTTTTGTGAAGATTGAGTTCTCTCTCGCATATCGGGCGTTTACTGGGCTTGCATTCAATCCATCGATCGTGCACGAAGAAAGAATCTGAATAGCAGACATCGTGCTAGCCAACCGCAGGATTGCCATTACCGCCAATGCTCGAGAGTCACCTGAGGTATCCCATGGTCAAATTAATCTAGGCTATGCACCAAAGTCATCAACACAGTACGTTTAAATGTTGCACCTCAAGAAGAGACATTTTCTGATCATCGAGAAGCTGCCACCAGTAGCTATGAATAAGAAGAAGGCGTGCACCGAATGTAGGCAACAGAAGGTTTGTTATGTCAACACCAAGCCAATATGGGCGAGTCGCTCTGAGCTTAGCATCTACCACAGGCTAAATGCGATGCATACTTGAACTCAAGCGATGCTTGTTCGCGATGTAAACGAGTTGGGTTGCAATGCACCATTTCCAATCCGTTCAAGAGAGAGAACAAACGCCAGTATGTGACCACGAGGAAGGTGCCACCCTAATCGCTTATGCCTCTACAGGAGATTATCAGAGCTTGAGAAAGAGACAGACACTCTACGGAGGCGTCTCATGACAGAAGAAGTCCAATCCAGCGTCATCGAGCCCGTGCAAACAGAGCGCCACGACCACTCTAATATACCTTCTCACTCTCAAGCTTCGATAGCGAAATACTACCGTGTCTCTAGTGGAGAATCGCCTTTCCAGACTCTTGGCTCGGCATCTCTTGCTACTCCTTCTAATGCAACTAACAATGCAACCTTGGATGGTCAAGCACTAACGACAACCCCTCGAACATTGGATGGAGTGACCGTGTCCGCCAGTGATATCAATGGTATCTTCGAACTGTACTTTCGGGAATACTCACAGTTCCTACCCATCCTCGATCCCAGGCCGTCGCCAGATTTGTGCTATCAGCAATCTCCTGTGCTATTCTGGATCATTATTGGAACTGCTTGCAGAAGCTATTCACGGAACCCAACTCTTCTAAGCGCACTTGCAAAAGGCATCACTAATGCGGCGTTATTGTCCGTAACCACCACTGGATCACCCTTGCAGCGTGTTCAGGCGCTTCTGCTGTTAGTCACATGGCCTCTTCCCGATGCTGTTGAGACTAACCAACAAGAGATGAACTATGTCTTTGCCGGTCTCCTACTCCATTTGGCGCAAAGAAGTGGGCTACATGTGCCTGCCGGCTCTGACGAGTTTTTCAGGGCCAAAACGCCCAATCTTCCGGACATAGGCGTAGCTCGTCGAAATGAGCTCTGGGCACAAATCGTATTGACTTATCAAAGGTGAGTGCGAGTACAGCAGCCTCCCCGTGCGCCAAAGTATGTAAGACATGTGGTTGTAGAAATTTACAGTGCTATCAAGAAACAAAGCTAGATCCAAAGGGTTAACGTTATCTTCGAACATCTCAATGACCACACCTTTGTCTCGAAAGCAACTGTGATTTTCTATAGCTCATGATGGCACTACGTGTCATTGTGGTAGAAGAGTCGGTATTGAGGTTGCGATAGTCTTTTGCACACGGGAAGGTGCAATTTCTTACGTTGCTAATGTTTTTCTAGGAGCTGCATATGCAAAGGTTTCCTAGCACGCACTTCTTACGATATATCTCCTGAGATGAGCCAGAGCCACTCTCGGCAGCAAACGCTATCCTCAGCACTAAAGCTGCGCATCAAGTGGCAGGATTTGTGTGTTCAATGCGGCTCTGCTGTGTCAGAAAATGGAATACGCAACTTGACTCCTGACCAAGATCGCGCGCTGTCAATCATTATCAGAACGTATGAACTCCAGATCAGAGATTTGGAGCCTACTGCTGCAGACGGTAAGTGCTTGGAGAACATCATTCGCACTTAAAAATTAGCAAAAATACAACTTGGGCTACCACACAGTGCGCTATGCACGCTAACACCTTCAGACTCTGATCGACTCGAGTGCAAATTTGCCCAGCTTTACATACGAAGTTTCTACTTCTTGAAGCAGGACAAGACATCATATGCCGCCAGCTTCGACAAGATCCAGCAAACTGCCCGCCAAATCGTCGTCAAGGTGGAAACGCTCATCCGCAGTGTCTCAAACCCAGTGTCCATACCAAACTACATCGTCTGCGCTCTCCTCTTTGCCGCCTACGCCCTCCTCCGCATTTTGAAATCATCTATCCCTTTTCTCTCTGGGGAGAATGAGGAAGCAAAGTCATCGCTCTTTACCACTATCAGTTTGTTGAAGCGCCTCTCTATAGATGCCAACGATATGTGTTCCAAATCATGCACATTTCTTACACAACTATGGAATAGTCCGAGGGCGTTCAAGAAAGCAGACGGGACTGATATGTTGGTCCTGAGAGCGAGGAGCCGGCTCAATGGCAGCCATGTCGTCGATGCCATTCTCTGGTGGCGAGAGGAAAATGATTCGCACTTCAGACTGCAGATGCAGACCTTGAAAAACAGCTCTATAGGTAAGTCTTCGACACAGTGATCTCTAAGATGCGACACACTGACATTCAAAAGATCCAACAGATCCATTGAGAACGGGCGCTCAATCTGGCCATCCAGTCGAGAAAGAACAACAACAACAGCCAACAACGATCGATTTCGATACTTCTTTATTCGATTTTGACTACTTTATGAGCGGCGATCTTTCACTACCGCAGGATCTCTTCAACTTCCCAGGCCTGGATACCATGGGATCGAGCAGTACATAGATCGGACAACGGTATCACTTAAAACCACGGCATTTACTCTACAGACCTAGAGATTCTACGTCTGCTAGGCGTTATCAAACCCAAGCTTCACACCTTATCAAAACTCTCTTATCTCAGCTGATTTCCCGCTTCATGTACAAGACCACAACCTTTGTATACTAGATATTTTGTATCTCATCTAACAGTCAAAACGCTGTGGTGGTGAAATTCCACCTATGGTTATTGTTCTATGCCGCCTTGCTACACTCGGGTAAAGTCTTCAAAGTCGTCCTCAATCCTTTTGCCTCTCGTATTCCCCCTGCGTCGTCCATCAAGCACGTCCTTCCAAAAGTTGCATTTTGTCTCAGCACCCCTCATTTCTTGCCCTCTCTTTGCTCTAGCTTCGTCTTTTCCGCAGCACGCCATTCAGGCCCCCATCTTATCACCGCCCACAGACAAGGCGTCGTCAACACCCAGAGAAAGGCCACTGCCGTACTCGCCCACCAAATCCCGATAACACCGACCAAAGGCTGTGCAAAAGCCGTAAAGGCAGCACCCATGCCACATCTAGCCAGGTTGTTCGCTGCAGATGCCGTGCCTGGTTGATGTAAGTTGATGTCGACAATCAAAGTACTAAACACATTGAAAGCTCCTGTGGTAAAGTTGCCGACGAAGAACAACATGACTAGTGGACCTGCCAACGAAGTCTTGTAGTGCATTACCCAGCCGTAGGTTATGGTGACAATGGCCGAAGCATAAATTGCTGGGATGCCGATTTGTAGGCGCGCCTTCTCGATGGGGAAGTCGTCAGATTCTTTGGCGTTTGAGGAGGATTCACTGGAAGGATCGGCCTGATGCGTAAGGCGTTTGTAGTTGCGGTCCAGAAGTATGCCGACAGAGAAACGAGAAGCCATGCATCCAACACCAAAGGGCAAGTAGCAAAGGCCAACTTGCAAAGTATTCAAACCATATTCCTGAGAGAGTTGGTCGGTCAGGGTGATTAGAACGATGTAGAAGCCTGCGTACAAGAAGGCACCGCAGAGTAGGATAAGGCCATCTTCCTTCTTGAGTATGATTAGTAGCGATGTGAATGGATTTGGCCTCTTTTTGGATCGCTGCAGCGTTCCAGCTTGCTCAGCAACATTCTTCTTCCGCAGGCATGACCATAACGTTCGGTTCCACCTCTGCGGTGGAACAGATCCATTTCCGACGACAGCTCTACAGGTCTCAGGTAAGAGACAGAGCGTCACGACCAACATGACTCCAGAAAATATGGCCAGGAACCAAAAGATAGATGGCCAACCAAGATAGGTTTCCAGCAGACCGCCGACTGTAGGACCTATAGCAGGTCCGAGCATGATTCCAGCACTTGCATACGCAACCCGTTTGCCTCTTTCCGCTCTTGTTGAGACATCGGCGACAACAGCCTGACCCAAAGCGACCGTAGCTGCTGAACCAGAGCTTTGGATGCAACGGAGGACTAGAAGGGCGGCATACGATCTTTGACAAGCTAATGCGATATTGGCTGCGATTGAGATGATGAGGCAACCTATGTAAGCAGGTCTTCTGCCCTTGACGTCGGACAGGTTGCCAAAGAAGGTCGGACCAATGGCCTGGAAAATCTGGAGCATATCGTCAATGTCTTAATCTCTCGCAGTAAAAGGCAATGGCTCACCAAGNTAAGTTGTTACTGTCAAGTTGATGTCCGATGTCGAGACAGACAAGTCTTTTGCAAGTGTGCCGATAGCTGGGAAGTAAATGCTCGCTGATAATGGAGACAGCAGACCGATGAAAGATATGGTCAAGACGATGAGTTTCTTTTGTGTATGGGTGAAGGTCGAGAAGGGAGGTGCAGGATCTGTATCGGATGAAACTGTGCCAATTGCCTTTTCAGCGTCGACAGACGGGTTGTTGGATAGTCCTTTGTTGCTTTGATGTGCCTGACTATCAGTGGTCGAAGCCAGGGTTGCGCTGGCCTGTTGCATGACGATACTGGATGTCGAATAGTATCACGTTTTCTCGTTGGCGAAACCCCAAAATCGAAAGCTGGTTACGGAAAGAATGAGGAGCAAAGATTGTGTTCATCAGCGCGCAGGTTGTAGTCATATAACCAAGGGTGGTGCATCGACCGGCTCTGAAAGCCGGTTCAGGGCCGGTTCAGGGCCGGTTCAGGCTTCGACTCCCATCATCCTTCCTTGTGCTGTCGAGAGAGACGTCACAGAATCAGTTTCGGTCAATAGTCCCTCCAATCTTTGCATCCACAGAGTTGATGTTGGAAAGCAAAACGAAAATGTTTGGTTGTGACTGTTTGACCTTTGTTAAACCAAAAAAAAGGAAAGAAATATGAAGCTGGTGAAGAGTGGGGTGAGAAAGAAGATAGATTTTGCGAATAAGAACCAATCATTGCGCCGTGAACTTTCTTCCTGGGAAAATGAAAATGGTATCCCCGTATAACTACTAGATTACAAATGCAGAACTCCCTCTAGAAATGCTTTTACAGCATCAAGCTGAGGGGNTTCTCAATGGCGGCCTTGAGCTCCTTCATGAACTCACCACCGACAGCACCGTCAACGACCTTGTGGTCGAAAGAACCGGTGATGACGATCTGCTCGTCCCACTCAATGCCGTCCTCATTCTCAGAGGGAATGGCGACCTTCTTGACGGCGCCAACGGCGATGATGCAGGCCTGGGGAGGGTTGATGACAGCAGTGAATCTGTCAATGGCAGCGTTCATGCCCATGTTGGAAATGGTGATGGTACCGCCCTGGTACTCCTCGGGCTTGAGCTTGCCGTCACGGGCACGCTTGCCGAGCTCCTTGATCTGGCTGGAGATGGACTCGAGACCGGTACCGTTGACGTTCTTGACAATGGGGGTCATGAGACCGACGGGGGTAGCGACAGCGACCGAGACGTCAACAGTGTTGTGTTGACGGACGAAGACGTTGCCGTTCTCCTCACGCCAGCTGGAGTTGGCAGCAGGGACCTTGCGGGCAGCGGCGGCGAGAGCCTTGACGAGGAAGTCGTTGACCGAAAGCTTGTACTTGGCGTCGGCGGCCGAGTTCAGGGCCTGGCGGAGCTTCATGAGCTTGCTAACCGAGATGGACGAGGCGACAAAGTAGTGGGGGTTCTCGTTCATGGACTGGGTCAGACGAGCGGCAATGGTCTTGCGCATGGACGAGGCAGGGACGTCCTCGTAGGTGGGGACACCGGCGGGGACGGCACCAGCGGTAGCAGCGGGCTTGAACTTCTCAATGTCCTCCTTGGTGACGCGACCACCGGGGCCAGTGCCCTTGACCTGGCTGATTGCAACACCCTTCTCAAGGGCGAGCTTCTGGGCAGCGGGGCTGAGCTTGGGCTGACGCTCGAGAGCGGTCTGGAGACGCTCACCGGTCGACTCGGACTCCTGGGCTTGGGGAGCAGGAGATGACTGAGCAGGAGCGGGAGCAGTGCTGGAAGAGTTGGATGGGGGCTCAGAGGCGTTGGCGGCCTCCTGTCCACTGCCCTCCTTGGCCTCCTTCTCACCACCAGCGTCCTCAACGGTGAAAGAGTCGAAGGCTGAGACATCGGTACCCTCCTCGGCCATGACGGCGATGGGCNNTGCAACAGTGTCAGTAAAGAGTGTTGCTCGCTCTGCTTGGAGCTTGTGTTCTCTTACGTTTCCGACAGCAACATCCTTTGCGCCCGAGTCCTTGAGGACCTTCACCAAAACACCCTCCTCTTGGAACTCAAAATCCATCTGGGCCTTGTCGGTCTCGATCTCGACAAGGACATCACCNGGAGCCAGAGCATCACCGGCCTTCTTCTGCCAGGTACCAATGTTTCCGGCGGTCATGGTGGGTGAGAGTGCGGGCATGCTGATGACGGTGTGAGGGGGAAAGCTNGCATTGAGGACTTGTCAGCGGTTGCGGTGGTTGAGTAGGAGACGGCGGTGCATACACTTGGAGGCATAGTATCTGCTAAGGGCACCAAAGACGGCGGGAGTTGCGACAGACTCTCTGGCTCTCAGCGACTGCAGACACAATCTTCCCGATGCGCGGGCAAGCAGAGCTGCGGCCGACATTGTGTGTGATGTGTGGGTGGGGAGTAATAGGGAGGAGAGAAAGGAGAGATATGCGAGGACCAGGATCTCTGCCACCGAGCACAACGAACGTCGAGATGTAAGAGGAGCGAGGAGAAGGTGTTGCTGTGAAGCTCTCAACAAAGGCCATCTCGGACATTTTCCCACTCGACGACTTGCTCCGAAGGGTCTTGGCAGCCGAAAGGGTCAAGATTCGTGCCGACTTTTGCCTACCCTGCCCGTCCACAAGAACAATCTCAAACCTGCTGTACCAAGTATGCACAGACAAGTGTAACGTTTTCAAAGACTCCAGACTCGAGCGGTAATGTAGCCTCACTGCCGGCCTCGAATGATACCACTACAGCCAAAGATATGTCCTGGAAAGTGCAACGGAGTGAGATTGTGCCTTCGGAAGTACAGCCGGCACCACCAGCACGGCCAGCCAACATGATAAGATTTGGGCATGCCCGGGCGGCGCGTAGACCTGCAGCGACTCAACAAACACACGACCTCACAGTTTGACATATCTTTACAGGGCCCTGAGAGGTTCCCGGCCAGTATAAGTCGAAGCACGAGGCTTCAAGCACCTACGGACAAGTTCTTTGTTGCTTCTTGGGAAAGTGGCCTATTCATAGACGGCTTGGCAGCATCTGGCTTGATTGGCCGAAGCGTTGTACTCCCCATAGTTGTATTATTGCCTAGATTGAGAGCTGTCCATTAAAAGACTCCCACCTAACGACTATACGTCCCGACTGAACTGGCCAGTCACATGTCGCATTGCTGCATAGCAAATGGAAAAAGCAGGCATGGCAGATACCGAGGCTCCTGCTCCTCAAAACATGGAGCCTGATGTCGCTCTCGACCAGCCTCAAGCAGACGGCCCGCCGCAACCCGACATGGACTCAAGCCAGGAACTGCACGATGTACCCCTAGATACTGCACCGGACTCGCGAGCAGACACATCTCCGGTCCTCACATACGAGCCCGACGAGCCAACACGGCAACAAGACGACGCAGCCATTGAGACATTGCATCCGGAGGTTCAACCCACAACTCAGCCTGACCTTCCGTCAGAACAACCCGACCAACCCCTACCGACCATCACCACTCCCCTCCCAGAACCTATATCAACACCACAGTCCGAGAACGTCCCCAATCATGCCGTCGACCCTCGTCTCATCCAGCCTAGTCGCCAACGCACCGACTCGCAGTCCACCACTGCTACCTCTCGCTCGACAACTCGTTCATCCATGGTCTTTGTCGTGAGCGCTCTAGAAAAAATCGCCGCCTCCAAGGATGCTCGTAAGGAAAAGCCCTTGGCCGACGCTACTCAGCGTGCTTTGACCACAATTAAGAGCCAGGGAGATCCGACCCAGACGGATCCCGAGATTCTGTTCGCACCTCTGCAATTGGCTAGTCGCGCGAATACCGTCGCCATAGTCACTACTGCTTTGGACTGTATCGGCAAGCTCATCAGTTACTCGTACTTTTCTGTTCCCACCGATCCGAACAATGAGAACCAGCAGCCCCTACCGCTCATCGAGCGTGCCATCGATACGATATGCGACTGCTTCCAAGGCGAGACCACACCCGCCGAGGTGCAGATGCAGATTCTCAAATCTCTATTGGCTGCCATTCTCAACGACAAGATTGTGGTCCATGGTGCAGGCTTACTCAAGAGTGTTCGTCAAACATACAACATATTTCTGCTATCCAAGAATAGCTCCAACCAACAGATTGCTCAAGGCACCTTGACACAGATGGTTGGAACCGTTNTTGAGAGAGTAAAAACACGCATTGCTGGGCGCGCTGTCAGGGTTGAGTCCTCTAAATCCCCCATGNCCAACGATTCTGGTGAAAACATCGAGTCACTCTCTGATGGTGCTGACAGCGAGCTACCACGCGCTTCCACCGATGTGCAAGAAGACGAGGAAGAGGACGTTGATACGACCAGAATGACTCTGCAGACATTCGAGACTAAGAAGAGTTTCGATGATGCTCGGATAGCGGACAATGCTCCTACTATGGTCACTCGCCTCAAAAGATCAAGAATGCCTGCCCGGACTGCTTCTGGCAATGACGGTGTCCCTGCCATTACCGTACAGCCCGATGGCTCTGATATTACTGAGGAGGACGAGGAAGACGAAATCTTCATCAAAGACGCCTTCCTGGTATTCCGCGCAATGTGCAAGCTCAGTACAAAGACCCTTCGTGTCGAGGAGACTGTTGATCTGAGATCTCAAGGCATGCGTTCCAAGCTGTTATCTTTGCACATCATTCAGACTACCATCTTCAACCATCATGCCATCTTCACCTCACCATTTGCGACTATTCGCAGCAGCTCGAACAACGATCCCACGAGTTTTACTCAGGCAATAAAGCAATATCTTTGCCTTAGTTTGAGTCGCAACGGAGCTAGCTCTGTCAACAAAGTGTTTGAGATCAGCTGCGAGATCTTCTGGCTCATGATTCGCTACTTGCGTGTCACGCTCAAAAGAGAAATCGAGGTTTTCCTCAAGGAGGTCTATCTAGCAATCTTGGATAAGAGGACGGCACCTGCGTTCCAAAAGCAATGCATTATTACCGTCTTGACCAGGCTAGCTTCAGATCCAAGAGCACTAGTTGAAATCTACCTCAACTATGACTGCGATCGAGCAGCACTCGACAACTTTTACCAACGTATCATCGAACATCTTTCCAGGATTGCGAGTTCGCCTGTGCAGGTCACGGCGCAGCAAGAACTGCTGTATATTGAGCAACAATCAAAGCATGGCAATGCTATGTCCGAGTGGCTAGCGCAAAGCACTCTGCCTCCATCCCTTACGACCTCTACAATCGCTGGTACCTCAGATGCCAACCAAGACATACCTCCAGAATACGTCATGAAGCAGAACTCCCTCGAGTGTTTAGTTGAGACGTTACGTTCCATGGTCAATTGGTCTCAGCAAGGTCTCAACGATGTTGCTGCATCACTTTCAAATCCCGAATCGCGTAATTCGATCGAAGATTTTAGAGATTCAATTGACGCTCGCGAAAATGGGGTCTCTCAGTCACCGATGCTACCGAGTGTGGAGGTTTCTGCGAATGCCGTGTCTGGCACTCCCTTAGCTGAGGATGATCCTGCTGAGCTTGAGCGAGTCAAACAACACAAGACCGCGCTTAACAATGCCATCAAGCAATTCAACTTCAAGCCCAAGAAGGGTGTCAAGGTCTTGATCGCCGGTGGATTCATCCCCTCAGATTCGCCCCAAGATATCGCTCGATTCCTCATCACCAACGATAGGCTAGACAAGAAAGCCCTTGGTGAATACCTAGGAGAAGGTGAACCAGAAAATATTGCCATCATGCATGCTTTTGTGGACAGTATGAATTTCACCAAGACACGATTTGTCGATGCTCTCNGAAACTTCCTGCAAAGTTTCCGTCTACCAGGAGAGGCTCAAAAGATCGATCGTCTGATGTTGAAGTTTGCTGAAAGATACACGGGAGGCAACCCTAATGCGTTTGCGAACGCAGATACTGCTTACGTGCTAGCCTACTCTGTTGTCATGCTGAACACCGACCAGCACAGTGCACAAGTTAAGGTTCGCATGACTCCTGAAGACTTCATCAAGAACAATCGTGGTATCAACGATGGCCAGAGTCTGCCAGATGATTACCTCAAGTCTATCTTCGAGGAAATTGCCCAGAATGAAATTGTCCTGGATACCGAGCGGGAGAATGCTGCCAACCTAGGTATGCTACCTCAGGGCGCTGGTAGCTTGGCTGCAAACATTGGTCAAGCGGTTGCCAATTTCGGGCGTGATTTGCAAAGAGAAGCGTATGCTCAAGCTTCAGACCAAATGGCTACCAAGACAGAGCAACTCTTCAAGAACCTCATGAAAGCCCAGCGTCGTGGAGCTGCCAGGTCATCTTTGGTGAGGTTCATTCCTGCATCCTCTTTCAAACACGTTGGCCCAATGTTCGAAGTGACTTGGATGTCTTTCCTGACTGCGCTCTCCGGCGGAACCCAAGAAACAAACAACACCGAAAGGATCAAGCTCTGCATGGAGGGTCAAAAGTTGGCCATTCGCATTTGCTGCTTGTTCGACCTTACAGATCCCCGACAGGCTTTCATCGCTTCCCTTACTCGTTTCACAAATCTTTACAACATAGGAGAGATGAAGGCCAAGAATATCGAGGCTCTCAAAGCCGTTCTCGATGTTGCCCAAAATGAAGGCAACTTGCTCAAGGACTCATGGCGAGACGTTCTCACATGCATAAGTCAGCTCGACAGATTCCAACTCATCTCCACTGGTGTTAATGAAGGCGATGTGCCTGATATGCTGAGGACGCACTCTTCTACGAGCACCCCTAATCGCAAATCTCTAGGCGTTCCTCCTCGTCACCGTAACAGGAACTCCGTCAGTAACATAAACTACCAGCCTGATATTGCTGAAGAGAGTAGATCTGCAGATATGGTTCGCAGTGTTGATCGTATCTTTACTAATACTGCCAATCTGTCTGGGGAGGCCATTGTGCACTTTGTCACGGCCCTTACTCAAGTCAGCTGGCAAGAAATCCAGTCTTCTGGTAACAGCGAGTCTCCCCGTACTTACAGTCTGCAGAAGCTTGTTGAGATCAGTGGCTACAACATGACCCGTGTTCGTTTTGAGTGGACAAGCATCTGGCAAGTGCTAGGTGAACATTTCATTCAGGTCGGCTGCCACAACAACACGAACGTCGTTTACTTTGCCCTCAACTCATTGAGACAATTATCCATGCGTTTCATGGAGATCGAGGAATTGCCTGGTTTCAAGTTCCAANAAGACTTTTTGAAGCCTTTCGAGCACATTCTCAGCAACGCCACACAAGTCCCCGTCAAGGATATGGTCTTGCGCTGTCTAATCCAGATGATCCAAGCTAGAGGAGACAACATTCGCTCTGGCTGGAAGACTATGTTTGGTGTCTTCACAGTTGCAGCTCGTGAGCCTTATGGTATGTGTTTTGTATTTGGCAGCAATGACTTGGTCTAACACTCTTCAGAATCGATAGTGAACCTCGCCTACGATAATGTCACCCAGGTCTACAATGACCGATTCGCCGTGGTTATTACTCAGGGTGCCTTTGCTGACCTTATCGTCTGCTTGACTGAGTTTTCTAAGAACCACAAGTTCCAAAAGAAGTCTCTGCAAGCCATTGAGATGCTCAAATCTTCAGTGTCAAAGATGCTTCGTACGCCCGAGTGTCCACTCAGCGTCAAAGCCAGCACTGTCAAAGACGCTCCTACGGCAGAGGGTATGCCCAAACAGCCTACTAGACAGACTCAAGAAGAGCAATTCTGGTTCCCCGTTCTTTTTGCCTTCCATGATGTTTTGATGACCGGCGACGATCTGGAGGTTCGATCTAGGTATGTTCAATTCAAGAACCCGCTCATCCGCGAACGCTAACAGTCTAGGGCTCTCAATTACCTGTTCGAGACATTGACACGTTATGGTGGTGACTTCCCTCGCGAATTCTGGGACACCCTGTGGCGCCAGCTGTTATACCCTATCTTCATGGTTCTCAAGTCGAAATCAGAAATGTCAAAGGCTCTCAACCACGAAGAGCTTTCGGTGTGGCTATCGACAACCATGATTCAAGCGCTTCGCAACATGATCAGTCTCTTTACACATTTCTTTGAATCTTTGGAATACATGCTTGATAGATTCTTGGACCTTCTGGCACTTTGCATCTGTCAAGAGAACGACACTTTGGCTAGAATTGGCAGCAATTGCTTGCAACAGCTGATTCTCCAGAATGTTCACAAATTCACCCCTGAGCACTGGGAAAAGGTTGTTGGCGCTTTCGTTGACTTGTTTGCACGAACTGAAGCGACGGCTCTCTTCTCCGCAGCAACCTCTTCCTCTTACAGGAAAGACTCGAGTGCCTCGAACGGCCTTGCCATGGCCGAAACCCCTTCCGCAGACCCCGCATCTATACCACAGGAGAGCCCTCTCAACCTCAATGGCGAAGAACTCTCGACAATTGAGGGAACGCCTAGACGTCCTCGTGGCAACACCACGGCTACTATGCAGTCCGATCGAAGTCTTTCGCCCTCGAAGCAGGCACAAATCGGCGACGGTAATGAACTTGAATCCTTCAACAACACATCCCAAACACCCAACGCGCCGGTCGTTGTCACTGCAGCTCGTCGCCGCTTCTTCAACCAGATAATCACCAAGTGTGTTTTGCAATTGCTGATGATTGACACGGTCAGCGAGTTGTTCTCCAACGACTCAGTCTACGCTGCCATTCCTTCTCATCTCCTGCTGCGCTTGATGTCACTGCTCAAGAAGTCTTACCACTTTGCTAAACGCTTCAACGAAGATCGCGATTTGCGCACCAAGTTGTTCAGGGAAGGTTTCATGCGTCAGCCACCAAACCTGCTCAAGCAAGAATCTGGGTCGGCTTCCGTTTATGTTAGCATTCTCCTACGCATGTTTTCTGACGACGGAGAAGAGCGCAAAGCATCGCGTGCCGAGACAGAGCAGGCACTCATTCCTCTGTGTGCCGATATTGTGAGCTCTTACATTGAGCTTGACGAAGACACACAACAACGTAACATCATCACTTGGCGGCCCGTTGTAGTTGATGTGCTTGAAGGATACACAGCCTTCCACACCGAGGATTTCGAACGTCATGCCATCACTTTCACGCCACTTGGCGTTGGTCTCATGAATCGCGATATGGGTCCCGAGCTCCAACGAGCAGTACAAGGACTCTGGGCTCGTGTCACTGAAATCAAGTTTGGCGTGAAGACATTTGCTCATACCAGTAAGACGACGTCGGGACTGGTCAGCCCAAGTAAACCGACGATGTTCAGCGGACGTCGTTCAAGCAGAGGAAGTCGTTAGAGATAATGGTTGATCAGCATGGGAACTTGTAGGATATGTATACAGGCGTTGCGGAGTGAATAGCGCCGTCCTGAAGTGATACACCTTGCTTGATGACAGGCAGTTAGAAGAAGAACCAAAATTAGAGTTGTATACCAAGAAGTTTTGCATACCAGGTCAATCCTCGACCAAGGAGCGATGGGGCAAATGTTATCAGGTTCGTCAAGTATTCAATACTGAACGCATGTTCTTGGACCGACCAACAGCTTCTGAACAAGATTGACGACAGCGATGATAGGGCGAGAGAGACGACTCGAAGAAGCGTAGAGTGTTGTCACATGCGAGCTTCACTCTCACATGGAAGGCGCATTGGCGGTAGGCTCCAGCACCTGCCTCATCACTCTCTTGGAAACGCGCACTTTGGAAGCCGCTTCTCCACCTCTCCACTTCTCTCTTCATCTTTCACCTCTCATCACAGTGCATCCTGCCTTGACGTCTTTCATCAACTGATCTCGGAGCGTCGACATGGCTCATTCGACTCGCAGCTCGGCCGGTGCTGCGCCAAAGGTATACTTATACCAGCATCATCTTCGTCTGCATGCGCATGGCTCGATACTAACACTTAGTGGCAGAAACCCAGGGCGACACCAGCTGCCACGAAGGCCACCATCCCGAAGAAGAAAGTAATTCAGCAGAATCCGGATCCAACCCCAGTCGACTATTCTGATAGCGATGTCGAGCCTACTCAAGACTTCAAGGATACTCTGACAACCAAGAGCGATCGTATGGTCCGAAAGATCCAGTGCACGATCCCTGGTGGCACTACTGCAACTGTGAGTTTGGTGCAAATCAGCAGCCTCGATACTCTTCTGACAATCATGATAGCGCGGAAAGAACAAGAAAAGGTTCACTCAGACTGTCGAACTCTCTTCGAAAAAGCCCTTCTCTCTGGAACCTGTCTTGATAGAAGAAGGGCCATATGCTGGACGTCATATTCTTGTTATGCAGCCCGAGCCTGATGAAAACGAAAAATTTCCGTTCCTAGATTTGCCTGCCGAGATCCGCAACATGATCTATTCTCTGGTCCTTGAGCGTCCTGGCTATCGCATTCATCTCTCTGGCAAGCATTCTGGAGTTATCAACACCTCCTGGTTCGGCAAGAATACATACATCTCAAGACGCGACAACCCTTACAGCACCAGCCTTATGCGTGTGAACAAGCAAATAAATGTCGAATCGTCGCCTTACTTGTTCAGTCGTCATACTTTCGAATTCGCAGACTCTACGATGCTTCAGAGGTTCCTAGAGTACCTTGGCCCAGAGCGTATCACGTCCTTGATCTCAGTCTCTGTCCAGCAACAATATGCTGTCTCTGCCAAACAAGCATACCAACTGCTGTCTCCTGCAGTATCTCTTGCTAAGCTTGAGATCAACCTTTGGCGCGGGACTGCTCAATATCTCGACTGGTCTTCTATTCTGTTGCCCTTGTTCCAATCCCTATGCTCGGATGGATGCAAAACCCGTGAGGAGGCCTATGGCATTGTCACGATGCCAGGAGCTGATAAAGTTTATTGTCAGACACATCGCTGGTCATCTGCTGAGGGATGTGACAAAAGAAGCAAAACGTATGATGCATTTCATAAGAAGCTGCATGACGGGATTGAGAAAGGATTGGACGAAGCTGAGGCGAAGAAGGAAGCGATCAAAAGAGGCTCGCCAATCAAAACTAGGTCCGGACGTAAGACGAAGGCAGTCGACTACTCAGGTATGGAGGAATGAGGGAGAGAGAGCAAGATACTTTCAGCGGCAGCTACTGTCAGTTGCGACATGTTCCTCATTGCTACAACAACAACAACAACACACATGGCTTGAATCGACACGGAGATATGATATAGCTCTTTCATAATATGATATCCCATTACCTAATTGCTATCTGTTTCTGTGACAATTCGCGCTGCATCATTGAGAAGCAGAATGAAAAGACTGTAAAACCGCTTTCATGCATTAACGATTTCGTAGTGCTTTTCTATCTCGTACGCGCAACCGAAAAAAAAATCATCCATTTCACGCCCTTTCTTTGCAGATCATACCAATCATTCTCATCAAAAAGGGAAAGAGGGCAGGTAAGAGATAACAGAGGTCTAAATGTTTTATTCGTTATTTGGATTTCTTGATCCCTTCCCAAATGTCCTGGATTGGCCTTATGCGTTTCGTCAAAGGTGAGACAAGAGGGATGAAGGTTTGGCGGCACCGGTGCTTTTGCCACTATTCTATGCGTCTTGCATCTCGGCGTCCTTCTTCTCCTGCTCCTCACGCTGGGCGGCCATCTTTGCTGCGGCTGCGGCGGCGGCGGCCTGCTCTTGCTGGGCCTGCTGGATGGCTTCTTGCTCGGCGCGCTTCTTTGCGGCGGCCTCCTCTTGGGCCTTGAGGGCGGCTTGACGCTCCTCCTCGAACTTGTCGAGGTAGCGCTGGGCGATGGGGCCACCGATGGCGCGGATCTCGTCGATCTTTGATTGGTAGACGGCCTTGGTGGCGTCGTCACCCTCGTCGTAGAGCCAGTCNCTGGAGAGAAAAATGTCAATATTGGGATAGGTATGATGGGTGTGGTTTGTAATGCTCACCTCGCTAGCCTCGAGCTTCTCCTTCAGCTTGGTCTTCTCGTCGTCGCTGGAGAACTCGGCGTACTCCTCGTCAATCTTTGCGCGCATTTCGTAGATGTAGGCCTCAAGCTCGTTCTTCTTGTCCTCGGTGTCGGCGACAAGCTTGTCCTCCATGATCATGCTGTGCTCCTTCTCGGAGAAGTCGGCAATGGCTTGCACGTCGAGAGAGGCGGTGCCAGAAGACAGAGGAAGGTCACCCTTCTTGACCTGCTTCTTGACCTTACGGGTCTTGGGCTCCTTGTCAGTGTCCATGCCCTGTGAAACGATATTAGTACTGGGCGCAACCTTGGGTCGCTTGCTCTCTCTTTTGATCGGATTGAGATTGCAAAGTCGCGTTGTCTTGAAACTCACATCTTCGCCCTCAATGGGCTCCTCGACCTCCATGTCCTCAACGTAGTATCCAGACTCGACGTTCAGGATACCGTTCAAGTTCAATCTAGCCTTGAGCTTGCAGATCATGAAGTCGTCCTTCTCGTCGGCCTTAACGCCCTTGACGCTGAATCTGCCGATCCAAGGGTTCATCTTGCCGGGAAGCATCTCAGGCTTGGCGTATTTGGCCTCAAGGTCGAAGGCCTGCTTTCTGTAGAAAGTGAGGATCTTGGTCGAGGGCATAACGTTGCCGCGGTTGAAGACGGTAAGCGAGGTGTCCTCATCGGGGATCTCGGCGCTCTTCTCCCAGGTGAATTCAATGGGGTAGTTGCAGATGTCGTGGATCGAGAAGTCGCGGACACGGAAAACGGGTGAGAGGATGGCGCAGGCGAAAGCGGAACCACGGGCGATGGCCTCGTCGGCGTTGAGTGTGAAGGACAGCTGCTTGCCAAAGAAGTCCTGGATGGCGGCCTTGAGGGCGGGGACACGGGTGCAGCCACCAACAAGCTCGATGGTGTCGATGTCCTCGACCTTCAGCTTGGCCTCAGCAAGAGCCTGCTCAAGAGGAGCAGTGCTGCGGGCGAGAAGAGGCTTCATGATCTCCTCGAGCTCCTCTCTCTTGAGGAAGCCGCGGACATCGACATCGTTCATCAAAGACTCAATGTTGATGGGGGCACCAGCGTTGGCGGAAAGAACCTTCTTCAGCTTCTCGCAAGCGGCGACAACACGGAGCTTGGCCTTGGGGTTCTCGTTGATGTCAACCTTGAACTTCTCCTTGAACTCGGCGGCAAAGTGGTCGACAATGGCCTTGTCGAAGTTGCGACCACCGAAGTGACGGTCGTAGGCGGTCGAGATGACCTTGAGCTCTCCCTTGCGGAACTCGACAATGGAGACGGTGTAGTTGCTGTGACCAATGTCGACAAAGGCGACTCTCTTGGGCTTCTCCTCGGGACCGGGCAGGTCAGTCTTGGTGATACCCCAGCCAAGGGCAGTGGCAGTGGTCTCGTTGATCAGACGCAGAATCTTGAGGCCGGAAATCTCGGCAGCATCGATGATGGCTCTTCTTTGAGCGTCGGTGTACCAGGCGGGAACGGCGATGACCATGTCGTTGACGGGGAGCTTGAGCTCGGCAGAGGCAGTCTGCTTGGCCCTTGTGAGGAACATGGCGGTCAACTGGGTGGCAGTGAACTGCTCCTTCTTGCCCTGGTATGAGATCTCGGCGCCAACCTGGCCGTTGACGTCGACCAGCTTGCACGAGACGTGTTCTTGCTCAATGGCGACATCGGGGTCCTTCAGCGATCGGCCAGCGAGACGGGTGAGGGAACCGACGGTGTTCTTGAGGTTGGAAACTTCCTGTGTCTTTGCGGTCTCGCCGAGGTAGCGAGACTTGGGGCCGAAACCAACCAGGGCGGGAGTTGCGCGGTTAGAGACTTCGTTTGTGATAACATCGACACCACGGTTTCTTGCGACAGCNCTGTTGCGCAACGTGTCAGTATGTGCTCGAGCGCAGAGTGAACAGACACGAGGACTCACAATGACGGCATTTTGTGTGCCAAAGTCGAGACCGACGACACTGGGCGCAAAGGGTCAGTTGAAGCTGCGACATGTGGCGGGCAAGGGTGCAACTCACGACATGATGGATGTGCGGTCTGTAGTGATAAGAAAGAACTTTTGTAGGGGTCAAACAAGAGTCGTCTATATGGCGACAGGGGTATCTCAATCAAAGAAAAGGCGCTTGAATAGTCTGGAGAGATTGCAAAGCAGGAGTAGGTGGGATAGAGGGGCTCTCTCAGTAGCGCTGTCGTCGTTGGGACCCAAAACACGATTTTTCGAATCTTCTCGGCGTTTCGAGACGCACGGTCTCCGAGTGACGTTGAGCCAGGTATGTTGTTGAGAGTGCAACCCGAACCATGTATACATCTTGGCGACAACACGGTACGTGTGAGTCGTTTCGTGAGAACGTTGGATCCGGAATTGAAGGAACACATTCTTTGTATCACTTGTGAGGGTCCAGTAAACTTTGGGCGCTTGCACACCGGTTTTGTTGCTTTCGAGCATTTATGTACAGCATCGGCCCATGGCCATCTGTCTAGACCCGAGTGCGATGAATCTCCGACATCGATCAACAAGAATCGTCAGGAATGTCCTCTCATTTACCATCAATCTGCACCTTCGCAGCCTTGTCAGCAGAACCAGCCAACTTGTCCAAAGCTTCTCCATCTGCCCTCAATGTGACCCAATCTTCCATCTGCTCGGCTCCCAACATCTTGTAGAAGTCCAGAGATGGCTTGTTCCACTTTAAGCAACACCACTCTAGTCTCTTGCCACCGATTCTCTTGACTTCCTTCGCCAATGCTCCGATCAGTAGCTTTCCGTAGCCCTTGTTACGGTGTTCAGGAAGCACGAACAAATCTTCGAGGTAGACTCCAGGGGCTGCCCACCAAGTAGAGTAGTTGTTGAAGTACAATCCCATGCCAGCCACTTCATCGCTTGGCGTACGGATTAAGAGGACTTTGGCGTAGCCAGGTCCAGATGGAGGTTCGCCTCTAGAAGGTGCGAAGCATAGAGTTGATGCTAGTGATTCCTCAGTTGCATGGCATGACGAGAGAGCCTTTTCGTAGTCGGCGAGTGCACGGATGAGGCTCAGGATATGAGGCACGTCNTATTGTACGTTTAGAACATGGGTATATATGACAAGCTATGAGCACAACAGTATGTGCTACGATTGCTCGTATTCACGTTCGTGTTTCAACTCACCTTCGCGGGTTGCGTGACTTATGGTGGGTTGGTTGGACATGGTTGAAACTTGACGACTTCCTGATTGCTAGGAAGATTTAAAATTGCTCGAGTAGGGGTAAGTAATCAAGAATGTAGAGGGTTTTCAGGTCAATGGTTAGAAATGTTGTAGAGAGAGAAGAACGCCCTGTCCATGACATCCAGACATAAATATTGACCATTGCCCCAGATTCTTGGCAGTGACGATCGTGGCAGATTATTTGAGGCTCACGATCAGCGTACTTTGGAAAGAACGTGCTCTCATGGTCAAGACTGTGGTCTGAAATATGGTTGTTATTATACGTGAAACATCTTCCAGGTATTCCATGGAGTTAAAATCATCATTGTTCCCAGCCGCGTTAGCACGGCTTACGAAGGTCCAAAGCGGTAGAATACTAAGAATCGTGAGAGTCTGTATGGTACTAGAGCCTTATGACCGTATCCCGCTCCACCAAAGGACAACACTCGTTCTGTCTATTCAACCATGGACTAAGGTCCATAGATACACCGGATGGATCTACTCACTCAAAAAACCAGCTAAGATTGCATCTCTGTAAATTTTCCTGTTACACAGCTTATCAGCAATGGTTTCTTTTTGACAAGAAATTATGTGTGATAATATGTATATGAATGGAAAGTCAATGAGTCAGGTTGTCAGAGATGTATTTATCGTCAAGATTGGTCAGACAATGTAGATAAGTATTCGTAAGATCTGTTCATCATGCAATGGCATTCCCTTGGAAGAGGTAAGAGGTAAGAGAGTAATACTAACCTTTGAACATGTAGATGGTGGCACATTCCCCGATGAATGGCGACTTTGACCACGGGCAACTATGGCCTCAATGAGGTTGTGTTGAGACAACACAAGCATATGAAAGCCAAGCTCTGTTGCTGTGAATTCTTGTCGAATACAAGGCTAGCGACGAGCAAGATTACTGACCACAGACAGATATTCCTGGCAGTGCCAGTTGTGCACAGTCAAGTGAATCAACTCTTATCCAAACCGGCTTCGTCGGTAGCATTCGCTATCCTTGCTTGGTTAAGAACATTGCAACCCCATTCAATTGACCACTTTTCGGACTTTGCATTCCATGACATTACAGGACACTGTGCAAAAACCGTGGCCCAGCATCTCCTCATTGAGCGCGGGGTGATTTTACGGGCATGGAAGGATTTTGTCACATTGTTGATAACAATATCAGGTGAGTTAAGCTGGACAAGTCCAAGGGCGAGCTCGAGTGCAGAAGGAAAGCTGGGTCCTGAAGCAGGCATGCGGCGACGGGGAGGAGGACCTTGGAACTTGATTTGTCCCAGAGCGAGATCACGCAAGCGTTCCCACTCGGCAACAGGAAGAGGCACAACTGTTCGCTCCAGGACATCGGCATACCAGTCCCGGACAATTTTGGCGATGCGCTTCTTGGGCAGGGGTTTTTCCCAACTGTTCGTCTCGGGGATTTTTAGAGACCATGATCGGAGAAGAGGACGAACAATGTTGGGCGGAGAAGCCAGTTTTTGAGAGTCAAGGAGGGCGATGTGTTGAGGCGAGAGCTTGGGCAAGGTGTCGGGCTTGGGGTCAGCATCGGCAGGCGGCTTGTATTGAAAGTCACGCAAGATCTCGTGTCGTCTCTTGCCAATGCGAGCATAGGTCAGATGGAGGACTTTGAGCAGGGGTTTCAGCTCTCCTTGGTTGGCGCGACGCAGCTCGGACAGACCTTTCCGGGCATGGTCGAGCTGCTCGCGTCTCCGTGCTTTCAAAACGTCGTCAGGTTTGTGTGCAGGCGTGTAGTCTCGGAAGCGGGCGACGGCATGGGTGGCTATGTAGATGCGAGCTTGGTGGTCGGAGAGATAGGTGGCTTCGCGCAGGATTGCGCGCAGCAAATGTCGAGCCTCACTGCATTGTTGGTGGGTGAAGAGCGGCGGCATTGATGTCGAGCTGCAGGCGGGCGCGACGCTGCCTGTCGCAGCAAAATTGGCGGGGCCGGGTGCCAAAAGGATCGACCCGGTGGACACAAGTCTTCGCCGAAAGCTGTGCATTGTGCATGGCGTCTTGGGCGAATTTCAAGCCCAAGCCAGCCGTCGCTCTCGATCAATTGCCTTGTACCTGCTTTGCGCCCACCCTCGTCATGCGTAAGAGGTTTCACGGTCTGAAGAAACNNCCGTATGCCATTCGCCCTCCGTTCCCTCGCGCACCCACTGACAGCGCGCAGAAAGTCCGAGCCGACTGGTCAAAATGGTCCTTGTATAACATCTCGCGCCTTCAAACTCCCTACGCCGCTTCAAAGACCTTCTTCCAGCAAAAATGGCTAGCAAAGTCCCTGACCCGTGCCTACCACGGCGAGCAGATTCGTGAAGGAAAATGGACTCGCATGTTTGACCGTCGCCTCCCCGCCGTCGTTCCCATGGACTACAAACTCCTCGCCCGTACAGATGGCTCCGAGCAGGCTACTGGCCGTGGCTCTGGTCTCAACATCAGGAAGAGAAAGGACGACTCGGAGCAATCAGAAAGGCCAAAGCCTCCGCAAAGGACTCCATACATGCACATGACATATTTCCCAACTGAGCGCAGACTTGATACTGCTGTCTGGCGTGCTCTGTTTGCTAGCAGCGTCCGTCAGGCAAGACAATTCGTTGTTCACGGCTCTGTCAAGGTCAACGGAAAGAAGGTATTGGCACCCAAGCCGAACATCTGCTTTGCAAGCTGACATGTATAGATGCAACATCCGGGCTACCTTCTCAATCCGGGCGACATGTTTTCAGTAGAACCCGAACGCGTTCTCTACGCTACTGGCGCACGCAAGCACAACAAGAACTCTCCGGACACACTGCAAGGCCGCGAAGAGCCCGATGAGGTCGAGCAGATTGTGGATGACGATGCCGAGGATATTCCTGACGAGTCTGAAAAAAAGGACAACGAGGACGGCTCAAAGGCATCTGCCAAATCTACCAAGACGATTCCATCAGCCGATGAGGATCCCAAGGCCGCTCTCAAGTCGTTGCTTGCTCGTGCACAAGACATTACTAGAGACAGCAAGGAAGGCTTGTCTGGCAAGCGCAAGCAGGACCTACGCGCCTTTGCCAAGTCTGTTAAGCAAACCATGTCCCGTCTACGACCCTCGGGAATTGCTAAGCCTGGTACCGAGACCATCGACACATTGGAGGAGACGCTAAAGGCCATCGCTGCCAAGGTGCCCGTCGAAGGTGCACCAGCAGAGGCTGCCCTGCCCGACCAGCAACAGAAACCGGTCAAGAGAGAAGATGCGTTCCGCGCACGCAAAGACGCTGAGCTACTACACGCCGCGCTTGCGCGTGCAAACGAGAACCCGATTGATGCATCAAAGCCATATGCTACACCTTGGAGACCGCGTGAGTTTATGAGCGCATTTGCATTCATCCCGCGGTACTTGGAGGTCAACCAGAAGATCTGCAGTGCCGTCTACCTCCGTCACCCCGTCGCTCGACCTGGCTTGGCTGAAGTACCCACACCGTTCGCCAACGAGACAATGGCTCTTGCATTCAACTGGTACCTCCGCAGACGTTGAACGACTTGGATGTGGTGTCTTTCAGCTTGTACATGTTCAAAATCGATTGGGGCGGCGTTATATGCACATCTATGTACTATAGTAAACGGATTGGGACATGGCCCAAAAATGAGATGAGCCAATTGGCCTACTTTTCTGATATACAGTGGATACCCAACGTGCTGTCTCAAAGAAGCTGAAGAGATGCCCCTGAAAATCTGCAAGACATCGATCGATCAGGGAAACAAGAGTAGAATACACTTTGATAGTGTTATCTGTGCCAGAGCCGACGACCCACCGGCAGCCAATAGGTGTGCGTTTGCGGGTGGTGCACGGGCCAGCAGAGCAACACGAAGACTCCCAGTCGCGTCTCTCGCGACTGGCGCATCTGCTCAGCCGAACGCTGTAGACATGAGTGGTGACATTTTCGGTTGCTCTCTCTACACAATCTATTCTGCATACCGCCTGCCCAGAAACGACTTCCCTTCTGCACTCTAGTCGCCTGTAGAGGCCACTAGCCAATATGGCCCATCACACGAACCGAACTCCGCACGACCAAGGCCACTACTCGATGCCATACGGCTCCCAGACAGCTCAGTATGCTGTCGCTCAGTCACCCGGCATGGCCCAGACTTTCAAGGCTTTACAGGATGCCGGCTATGGCCAAGGAGCTTCAGCACCTGCTCCTCAGCAGAACATGCGTCCCACCTTTGAAAAGCCCACCATATATACCGTGAGCTAACCAATGCCTGCTCGTCACTTGTGATCGACTGACAGTGAAGCTAGGNCTGTGTACTCGGGCGTCCAGGTCTATGAAATGGAAGTGAACAACATTGCTTGCATGCGACGACGTTCCGACGGCTGGCTTAATGCCACTCAGATCCTCAAGGTTGCCGGTGTCGACAAGGGAAAACGCACAAAAGTTCTGGAGAAGGAAATCCTACCTGGCGAGCACGAGAAGGTCCAAGGTGGATACGGCAAATACCAAGGCACCTGGATCAACTACCGCAGAGGTCGCGAGTTCTGCCGTCAGTACGGTGTTGAGGATCTGCTTCTTCCCTTACTGGAACACGACCTTGATGGTTCTGGCGCTGGTCAGACTACCGAGACGCCGACTAAGGAACAAGCCATGGCCGCCAACCGAAAGAGATTCTACGCCGCAGGTGCTCAAGATAGAAATGGTCCCGCTACTTCGAACACCTTCTTCCAGAACATTTCTTCCATGTCCTCTGTCGCTCTCGCTGCTCTGAACAAGGCTGCCCGCCTCAACTCGCCAGCGCGCCCGAGTCACATGAGGCGATCTTCCCAACAACAACAAAACACTTCTCACAGCATCATGGCTGACGCAAGCTACCATAACAACCAAATTCCCGACTCTGGCTACAACACACAGAGCGCTGCATGGAGAACAGCACCGGGTGGTCAAGAGCCCCCAAGAAAGCGCATGAGACCCAACGATGACATCCCTGTCGACGCTTCAATAATGTCACTCGATCCAACAGAGCCCGGTGAATCCTTCCTCCAGAGCACCCAGCAGTATCTCGAAGAAAATGTCAACGGTTCGGATGAACCCGTCACGCTTCCTCCATTACCAGTGCCCATGGGCATCGATGAAGAAAACAAACGTCTGTTACTCCTTGACCTCTTCGCCGAATCATCAAGACAAGACTTCGCTTCACATCCGGCCCTTCTGTCTCTATCACCGCAGGATCTGGACATACCCCTGGATCCTTCGGCAAATACTGCTCTGCATTGGGCTGCGACGCTATCAAGGGTGCCGTTACTACGATTGCTCATCCAGAAGGGTGCCAACATATTCAGGGGTAATGCTGCAGGACAGAGTGCCCTGATCTCGGCCGTCTTGGTTAACAACTGTTGCGAGCATTCCTCCTTTCCCGATGTCCTAGAGCTTCTGAGCCCTCTGATCGAGGTTAGAGATGCTCAAGCGCGAACCATTCTCCATCACATTGCTGTGTCTTGTGGCATCAAAGGCAGAGCTCCTAGCAGCAAGTACTATCTAGAGGCTTTGTTGGAGTTCCTGGTCCGCAGTGTGTCAAAGCCTGCACCGGTTGAGAATGGCTCTGCAACTCCCGGACAGGCTGGCAAAGAGCGAATGAATTTGATGCGCTTTCTCACGCATATAGTGAATGCAAGAGACAAGGCAGGCAATACTGCGCTGAATCTCGCCGCTAGAATCGGCAACAGAGGTATTATCCAGCAGCTCCTCGAAGTCAAGGCCGACCCAACCATTCCCAACCAANAAGGTATAACAGCCCGCGATTTCGGCGTAGGCGTCGAAGACGAGAATGGACAAGCCAATGCAGGATTCAACAATCCATCGAATATCGACCCGATATTCTCGCAAGCACCTAACCGCCCTCCATCACAGAACGCAACCACAGAAGGCGCGAATGAGAAAGAGCCGTTACCTGCCTCCAACACAAACGTGACCGAAGAACAGAATCAGGATGTCATCTCTTCACTCACGAGTATGCTCACTGCGAATCTCGCTCAACACAAACAACTACTTGCCGAGAAGACTACTCAGATTGACAAGCTCAATGCTCAAATTCAAGAGTTGTCAGCAGTAGCAAAGACAGAGAGTGACCAACTAGCAACTCTTCAGCGCCGTGCCAAATCTCGCAGTGAAGCTCAACTCAAGATCGCAAATTTGAAGCGCATCCTTGAGGAACGTCACCGCAACGGCAGGAAGGTAACAAAGACAAACACTGTAGTAGGAGATGCAGACAGCTCTGTCTCCTCCGTGCTTGCAATTGTCGACAAACTGCCATCCGAAGTTTCAGATCCGGCACTAGCAGTGCACCAACTGGCTCCGCCACTTCAACAACAAGTTCTCAGCAACACGCCCTCAGTTGCCGAGCTACGCACTCTCAAGAAACTCTACGAGACGAATAACGACCGTCTACACCAAAAGTCTACGCAGCTGAAATCACGCTCTTCACAGCTCGAACATCTGTACCGCAAGGTCGTATCTTTGTGTACCGGTGTTGCTGAAGACAAGGTCGAGGATCAGCTAGGTGCGCTTCTGGCAGCCGTCGAGTCAGAGAAGGGAGCACTCGGAAGAGAAGAAGCAGGCAGGGTCAGGGAGTTTTTGATCAAGGTCGAAGGCGTTGGTGGTGGCAGCGAGGTCGTTGCCGTGTAAAAAGAAAAGTGCATAAGAAAAGCCTATATGGGAAGGAAGGACGATAGGAGCATCAATCGCATAGCGAGGATCATGGCGTAGGAGTCGGGATTACACGAATGATATCGGACGTTTGCTCTCTAAATTCTTTGCTCTTGACGTGTGGTATCGTCGCACACGAAGCACTACTTTGATGCAGTTTCTCAAGTCAAGCCATAGACTCTCAATGGCAAGCAAACGTTGGCTGGTCAGTAGTTCGTGCATCGCATCGGGTAGCAACAGCAACTGCCGTTGACAGAGGAACGCACCTGCTTTGTTGATCGTTCTTATCTTATCCAATGTCACATGCTTTTTGTATCTGTGGTGTCGCCTCCCGTCTTGCCAACTCTCATGGGAACCTTGTGCCAGGAAGCTCCTCTTCGAGCAACATGTGCATTTAGCTACCAAGATCTTCTCCCTTATCTGTGCATAAGCGATCTATCTTTGGGCTTCCAGGCAGGACAGAGCATGAACGTCTGCATTGGGCTTGCATGCGAACGCCTAGAAGATCAATCAATCCGAAACATGAGGCTCTTGCAGTGGTTTGGTTGGATGCCTGTCACCTTAGCTAAACGTGTTTGATGCGGTGGTTCAGGAAAGCATACAAAGACTCTCGAATCATGATCGTGGTGGTAAAGAAGGCTCCAGATTACAATGACATGTTGTATCTTAAGTGTGTGCAAGTACCAGTACTATATGCTGGGCAAGAGATTTATCATATCGAAGATTATGGAGACAGTGACATATGAGTATGCAAGTTTTCAGAATTGTCAAATATCATGATCGTTTAACAACATCTCTTATGGATCAGTGGCTATTAACAATGTCTGGGAAGCGCACCAGGACCGCAATCTTGCCAGTTCTTGATCTTCTCGCAACTCCAGCTGGTGGTGACATTGGGGTCAAAGTCTGGTCCCTTGTAGGTAGTGCGGTAAGGGAACTTGCAGTTAGGGTCCCAGTAGCTGTTGTTGTATACTGCATTGGGTGCTTGTGTTACAGAAAACGTCGATCTCGAAAGCCGTGCTCAGGCCGTCCAATGTTCACACTTCAATATGGCAGGATCCGATAACACATGGAACTTGTGAACATCTCGGAAGACATATGAATGTTGTTCATCTCAGATTCTACCTGGTAGAACAATTGCTATCTATGTACAAGCGATCGAGTGTTCGTTATGATATAGGCAGACGTTCGGTAACAACCTCTCTTGCGTCGTTTCTTCCGCTCTGCAAGTTTGCAACAGACCATCTTTCTTCACTCTCTCAATCTTGCTAGCAAAGATCTGAGCTCTACATTGCGAGCGTACCCGTCTGTCGGATGTCCATCGAAGAAGCGCCAACGTAGATCTTGAAGTCACCAGTCGGCAAAGCCCACTCTTGTGCAGTCACATCCCAGAAAGAAAGATCTCTACGACGCAGTGAAAATTTCACTTGGCTGTGTTCGTTCCTCTTGAGTTCAATACGTTCGAAACCACGGAGAGCCTTGATGGGCTGGTCTGCTCCGGAGTCCTCTGGGTAGCCAATGTAAAGTTGTGGAATCTCGGCTCCGTCACGCGAACCATTGTTCTTCACAACGACATCNAATCTGTCGCAGTCAGTACGGATCTCAAGGCTTATGTTGGCTCAACTTACCTCTGCGACAACATCGAACAAGTCCGCACGACCTCCAATCTCAAGGGGTCCCTTGGAGTGGTATGAAAGGTTAGACATGATCCGGGTGGTCTTGAGATCACTATAGTCGAAAGAGGTGTACGATAGACCATGGCCAAATCCATATCGAGCAGTGGTGTTGCTGTGCTCGAAATACTTGTAGTCGATATAATTGCCCTCGGAATATGTGCAGTTTTTGGTGTAGCAAATATCCACATTGTAGTCGCTTTCATTCTTTGCAATCGTGTGTATGAGCCTACCCGACGGGTTCACGTCGCCGTAGAGTACATCAGTGATAGAGTTACCACTTTCTTGTCCAAGAGGACCAGAATAAAGCACGGCGGTGACGTTCTCGTTTTCAATCCATTGGTCAACCAGGCGTATTCCAGTTGTGGTGACAACGACGATGGTGTTGTTGCAACTGGCAGCCACGGTGTTTACCATCGTGTCTTGATCGTTGTTGTAAAGTTCAGTACGATCGGCACCTTCACCTGACAAAGCATTGATGAAGACAAGACATGCGTCGCTGGCAGCTGCATAGCCCGCGTAAGAGGCATCGACAGCGGTCTCCGATGAGGATAGAGTGACCAGAGTGTTGCCGGAGCTGCTTGCAGTATAAGTATCGTTCAGGATCCATTTGACATTGGTATGCTCCTTGGATGCTCTCAGCGTGATAGCCGCCTCAGGAGTGATGAGATAGGGCAACGAAGATTGAGCAGAGCCGGAGTCGCTGGCAAGATGGCCATCGTAGGTAGGTCCGGAACCTTGGACCGTGAACTGCATGTTCGGTCCACCCATCACTGGTCCGGCGTTGGCACCGAAGAGTGTCAATCTTCTAGGCTTGTGGAGGGGGAGACCACCTTGGTTCTTGAGAAGGACGATTGACTTGGCACCGTTTTCCCGAATAATCTCGGCGTGGTTAGACATAGTGTCAACGTAGTCATCATANCTAAGGTGATGTTAGCGTATGCCTCTCGTATTGTCTTTCGGTGCACATACTGCTGCCTTTGATGGTTGCTCTCCGTTGTCCAGATTGGCTTTGTAGTAACCGATCACATTGCGAATGACCATGTCGTCCAGACGAGTCTCAGTGAGAGAGCCGTTGTTAAGGAAGGCTTTGACGGTTGACGCTGACCAGGTGCTACTGGACCCATAGTCTAGCCCACCCACAATGGAACCATACGCCGTCTTTTGAGCATTGGTATCGGGAAACACGAAGCCCGGGAAGCCAAGATCGGTTTTGAGTGTATTCATGAGAAGAGACTTGTCTTCGCAAGCCGCAGAACCGTTGACTTCATTCATTGCACACATTACAGCACCAGTACCAGCNTACGATTTGTTAGCGTGAGACTCAACTGCCATTGCAAGCAACATACCCTTGATGATGTCGTACCATGGCCAAAGGTAAGTCTCCCTGAACGTCTTGTCGTCTATGTTGGATGAATAAGGGGCAGATTCGGTAGAAGACTCGGCAGATCCAGTATCAGAAGAGTTGTCTGCTCTGAGTCTGAGAGTCATGCCAGACGGAGCAGAGCCTGAAGGAGCAGAGCCAGAGGTCATCGAGGCCATCGAGCTATTGCCCGATCCCATAGAGCCGCTTCCCATACCTCCGCCCATACCGCCACTTGAAGAACTACGGTTGGTTTCTTGCTCATATAGGATGAAGTGCNNTGATGTAAAGTTAATGAGTTTCGAGTGACGAAGACAAACGTATCATACCTTGCCTCCTGCAATGACACCACCGGCTTGATAGGCTCTAGCGCTGATACCACCAAGGATTCCATTGAAGTAACTGTCGGGTCCGAATGACTCGCCATTTCGACCGCCCCAAGCTGTTCTGCCCATGGGGTTGGACACGGGTCCGGCCAAGAGCTGCAATCCCTTTTGATAAAACTCGGTAGCTACAGCTTTACCTTGCTTGTAGACAGCGTCTTTATCCCAAGTCATAGCCAGCGCACAAGTCATGGAGAACGCGCTTTCATAATAGAAGTTTTCCGCTCCTTGTGGTCCGTCAGACTGAGCAAGGGCTGTCCAGTTGGCTGAACCGTTGGTGAGAGATCCAGCTCCAATGATAGTAATCTTTTCCTCGACTGTGAGCTGCGAGACGAAGTTCTGAGCTTTNTTAAAGGCAGTCTGCCAATCTCCGAGAGACACAAGTCCATTGGTGATAAGACCTTCCTCTGTAGTGTTGACGGATGCGGTGCANAGAGTTGCAGCGCCCAAAAGGGCTACGGCGGTTCTCATGGCAGATGATGACTGATGTACCGGGTGGTAATGAACGAGAAAAGAAAGCGAATGTACAGGAATTATACCAAATCAAAGAGCAACTGGTCCATGATATAAAAGCCCATCCATGATGAGAGTCGATAGAGTTGGCTGTCGAGGAATATGCTGTCGTAAGCATATGGCCAAAGTGAGAGGCTGCTCTAGGGCATTTTGCGTCAGCCTCAAACATGGCCAGAGGAACAACCCTTCTAGGGCCTGAGAATATGGGATAATCAGTTGTTGATCGATTCTGTAAAACTATGAGTATCGCCACGAGGCCTACATCTCGACCTTGCGAAGGTAACCCTAACCATTTCTGAGCTATCCGCTGAAACTGGAATCGATCAATCGAAACAGATCCGAGCTCTGTAGATTTCCCTGTATATGGCCGTAGCCGCGCAGTCTCGACCTTACCAAACTCTGACTGGTTGTTGTGGCCGATGGCTCTTTCCTTATAGATGGACCTTTGTTTCAGACTAGGAATTGGTAGGTGCAGACTGGGGGCTTTGATGACGCATATAAGAATGCCCTAAGTGGTGGACGGATTGGTCGATGGTCGCGTTATTGTCGTCGCATGGACGCGTCTCTACGACTCCACTGCCACGCGTAAGCAATCTTTTGCTTGGGAGAGGCAGTGTCAAAACCTCGTCGCAACATCTTACTGTGTCGTGGACCGAAGGGCGATGCAGCAGAATGCACAGCACAAACCTCGATGCAACCGTGCAAGGAGGTTGTGGACATATTATGTTAATAAAAGCGACAGAACGCGAAACGCGTAGCTAAGAGCCGCTCAGCTTAAACCGCTGAATGATGGAGCTCAGCGTAACTGCCCAATTTGGGAAATCATGATGATGCGGGCACAGCCACAGCAACAATTTGCCGATACGACATGGCGTTTCGAAGTCCATACATCTGTGCATCACCCCTCATGTCCAATTCTCATACTTGATCTCAGTTGCATCATTATATTCAAACTCCGCAGGCTACGTATCGCAGATTAAGTTGTAGCTAAAGATGCGAACACCATTGCTCGCGCTGTTCGCGGTGATGGCATGCGTATGCCACGCCTCTCGCTACGTCCTCTACCTGACTGGGCAGCATCCAGTCTTTCCTGCCGACGCCCATCTCGCGGATGTTACGCATGTTGTATTGGCTTTTATAAGATCTTCGGATTTCATCGGAAAGAGTCCCTCCTCTTGGGATCTTTTCACATCTGTCGAAAGCGTCCGCGCCAAGTTTCCCAAGAACAAGAATGTTTCCGTCATGATAGCTATAGGTGGCTGGGGAGACACCAATGGCTTTTCAGCGGCTGCCGCTTCACAAATGGGCAGGAAAGCATTTGCTGAGAACGTAAAAGCTATGCTTGATTCAACCCGGGCGGACGGCGTCGACATCGATTGGGAGTATCCTGGCGGAAACGGCGAAGACTACAAGCAAATCCCAAACTCCCAAAAGAGCTGGGAGGTCGAAGCGTATCCAAAGCTGCTCGCCGAGATCCGAGCAGCCATTGGACCTGACAAAATCATGTCTGCAGCAGTTCCGTAAGTCTATGAATTTGTATTCACTCATGAGTCGGGCTGCATCAGCCCGCCAAAGCACCGTCGTGGCTTGACTTGTACAGTCTCTCATCTCGTATCTCTTACTTCACCAGCGAGCGAAAGCAAAGACTGCTTACCATGAACCCGAGACATCAATAGCAAGTCTCGTTCGGGAGCATTGATGCTGTGCATGTATGACTGGTCGTCTACGATGTTCACAGCTGACAAAGTCTTTTCGTCATTTCGTGTTCATCTTCAAGGCAGACAAGCCGGCGCATCTCGACTCATGATGCGGCACAATCCTTCGAGAGGCATCATGCTAACGCATATTAAGGGGCAAACCAATCGATATTCAGGTCGCATTTACAAAGATACGCTTGCTGGCGCAACGGAACATCTTGACTTTCTCAACATCATGACATATGACCTTTTCAACAGGCGAGACAACGTTACTATGCATCACACCGGCATTAACAATTCGATGGTTGCTGTAGACACATACCTGATGAACGGTGTTCCTCCTGAGAAAGCGAATCTAGGGTTTGCCTTCTATGTCAAATGGTATCGAACAAATGGCGACTGTAGCCATGAGCCCGTAGGCTGCAAGACGGCATTGATGGAGGACCCGAAGACAGGAAAGGATCTAGGTCAAAGTGGATCCTTCTCATGGCATGACAAGGTGCCCAAAGAGCTTGAGAAATCATTCCACACAGCTTTGAACAAAAGAGAGTGGGACGACGATGGCAACTACTACTGGGATGCAGAAGAAAATATTTTCTGGTCATGGGAGACGCCTGCATCTATGGCAGAAAAGTTTCCAACCATCGTGAAGCATCGCAAGCTTGGAGGTGTCTTCGCGTGGGGCTTAGGAGAAGATGCGGACGCGTTCCTTCATCTAAAGACGTTGAACGCTCTTTACAGGAAATATCTCAAGCTGTATGTTCTTTCTAGCCGTCACCTTGAGCAATACTGACCGCACAAATAGCAAGTCAAAAAGTGCCAAGTCCGAGAGGGACGAACTCTGATTGATGGTTGTAGCGCAACTTGCATGGCATAGCTACTGTCCTCGAAAGAACATCCATTAACCAAATTGCTTTGACAGAGAAGGAGAAGAGTTAGCGTCTCTTTTTCAGATCCAGGGTCGCATCGGAGCAGAGGCCGTTACCCCACGAATGGCAGTTTGAGCCTCCTTCTTGCATCTGTCTTCCGATGCTTCGGCGCATGAACCAAACCCTCTACGCAAAAGTCTTTTTGCTACATGAATTCAAAAATCGCTTAAACGATATCACGTCTGCCTTGCCAAATTCCTGTACCTTACGATCAGGAGGTTCTTGAGAGTGATCGCGATCTCAAGATACCACCGGCCGCCGTATCGAAAAATCGCAATGTTGAGATAAAAATGCTTTATGGACATTGGATGCAGTTCCTCCCTTGTTGCGTGTAATCGAGGTCGTACCGCTGCTGCGGCCCGCTCTGTGCGTTGGGGCACTTGACCACTGTGCCTTTACTATCACACCTTCACCATGGCGATTAGCCCACAGAGAACGCAGGAGAGCATGGCTACCATTGTCGACCATCACACAGCAGATCGAGTCTTACATTAGCCATCGACGACAAAGGATGATGGCTCCGATCCCTTCGGGCCATCACAATTCGTTAAGCTGCATTTTGAAACGACAACCGTTATCTTCGATGCCTATTCTGCCTACAGGCCCATGATAGGGCTTACTTGTCACCACGGGTTGGGCACTCAACACGAGAAAGAACTGCGCCCATGACGGAGAAAATGCTCATCTTTCTCTCATACCAACAACGGCATTCTGGGGTTCGGGGTGCCAATCAGCCGGGATCTTCTGCGTCATCTTTACGAACGCGCCTCTTTATCCTCAGCCTCTACTGCTATGCGCATGTCTTTTCCTCTAACTAGCCTCGCGGCCGTTACGTGTAGCCGGCGGAACGCGACAGTGACAAGCATGCTATTTTTTGCAACTGCTGCCGGCTTTTCGGATGACCTTTAGTGCGACGACTTTCTTGGCCTACGAATGATCGAGCAACACGACGAGACAAAGGAAAAAGTCGGCGCAGCCTGGTGACCAACTTTTCAATTCCAAGGATCATCGTAGAGAAACAGATTGAGAATCTTGGGGATGCCGCTGACCTCGAGGCTTCAACAAAACTTGAATGTTCCTAAGAAATCAGGGAAATGCATTTAGAAATCTCGCCAACATTCCAGCGCAATTTTTGCCGAATGCGACGACATATGATCGCTTTCCTGCATCCGGGGAAATTGTAGCTAGTAGAAGTAGAAGAGCCGCCAAAGTGTGACAGGGGTGTGGATCCTTCGCCATCATTATTCAGAGTTGTGTGCTTATGAGGTAGGCTCTCCGGCCCGTTCATGCAATAAGCAGGTCTCCCAATCCTATTTATCGGGTTGCAACGCAAAGCACAAAGCGCTTATATAGCGCCTCTACCTATCCTCGATCAAGTTTCTTCAAAGCATCTATCTTTGTTGGAAATTATATATGTCCGACCTGATCAATTGCTTTGTCTGGTCCTGCTACTCAGATCACACTTCCTTGACCTCGACCTCGACCTCAACCTCAACCTCAACCTCAACCTCAACCACCTATACACCAAAGTCACCAGTATCCCAACAACAGTCAATATGCGCGCCCAAGGTTCCTACTTTCCCGTCTTCCAATCTCCGGACAGCATGCCAGATCTACAAGGCAGGACTGCTATCGTTACGGGAGGTGCATGTGGGATTGGGTATGTGTATACTCCATTACCCCAGCTCTGATATGTCTCATCTGACAAACTCAACAGCAGTGATATCGCTCGAGCCCTCGTCATCCACAAATGTCGAGTCATAATGGTGAATGTCCATGAAAAGCAGAGCACCGAAGCACTCTCCACCATCCGCGATGAGGTTGGCTCGGACGCACTTCTTGAACATCGATACTGCGACATGACGGACCTCATACAAGTACAAGAAGTGTTCTCCGCTCTATGCGACGAGCTTCCCCGACTGGATTTGTGTATATTCGGCTCAGGGATTGACCAGGCCCACTTCACAACCGATATACACTGCATAGATGCTTACTTTGGCATGATGTGGCTGGGTCATTTTTACGCCAGCAACCTTCTCTGGCCTCTATTCCGCAGAACCTCCAGGATACCCAATACACCAGCCCCTCGAGTAATTTTCGAGGCCCCAGGACAGCAACGTCTACAGAGCCTTTACGACCGCTCATCTAGTGACGAAGAAAACGCACGCCGCTCTGCTTACAACGCCGAAGTGTGTTCTGAGATTTTCCGCCGCTCGAAAACGAGTCTGTTACTTGGTGTCAGGCATGGTCTCGCCGAGCGTATCGTCAAGCGCCATCACGACAAGATTTATGCACTTGCCGTCCAACCGTCAAAGAACTTGGCAGATGCAGGCAGGCAACCTAGAAGGGACAGCCATTGGCAACCCTCAAATCTGTGCGATCACGTTCTCGACACTCTATCCAAAGATACCAACTTCACAGTACGCAGCAGTTCGCGTATAATCCTCTATGCAGCCACATCACCCGATGTCGAGAGCAAGTACCTGAATGGCGCATACCTAGTCGATGTTGTAAGTCGTTCGTCCCAAGCCTGCTTTTGTACATATTGCTGACGTAGGCACCCTAGGNGCGTTTCAGGACGAGAGAAAGATCTAGCCGCCGATCCTTCCTTGGGCCCTGGCTTCTGGGACATTAGCGAGAGAGCCATCAAGGCAGTGGTGGGCAAAGATGCCATGGTGCCTTGGGACCACGAGTGGGTGAAGTCACCGAAAGACGTGTCTGCATAGGTGCTAGTGAGGTTTTACGAATATAACGAATTTCTCTTTCTCATCACTCTGGTTTTCACCTATATGTTTCTCGTAACAATCCACAACTGCATCAAGTCTTCCCAATACAGCGAATTGATGTTCAGGGGCAGCAGTCACCAAGCAAACCAGGTTTGCGGGCTGCACCTGCCGAATGCAACGACGATCTTGGGGTGAGATGCGGAGAGCAGGACGAACTTCTCGGCCTCGGCTGCAGGAGCCGATGTGGAGGTGGTGAGAGGGCGAAAAAGCAAAACAAGCAACTCCAGGGTTGTAGACGGATCGTACCTGCCGACTAGTGTGCGATTTCCAGGGCAGGAAATACTCGAATACGTCTACGCAAGGTACCTGCTACTACTTGTCTTTGAGAACGAGGTTATGCAGCTCGTTCACGTAGATTCTTGCCCCTATGCCATCGATTGGGTGCTAGTGCTAGTACTGTACGTGCGGCCTAGACTTTGCTAAATGTCAGGTCATGATGATGAGCTGTAGTCGCATTGTAAGAGAGGGAGGATTCGAGAGACATGTGATAGGGCTTGGAAGAGGATGCGATGGCTCGGCTCAATCTTCAATACCGAATACAAGCAAATATCATCCTGGCGCGATCCTTTAGGTCTTATAACCCTGCTGTACGCGTGGACGACGGAAGAATAGGCAGGATCAAAGAGAGAGTCGTATGTCATACCAGGCCAAGAACCCCTCCTGAAGGAAGCCAAACACCACCGCCAAAAACGCCTCGCTAATACCAAGAAATGTATGGCAACAGAAACAAAAGACGAGCACCATGATAGAATATCATATCTCTTGTCCAACAGCATATGCACCAGCAAAGTCCATGCCCGCAATCTGACCTTGTAGTTGGTCAATCTCCTTGGTCAAATCCTCGACATTACCAGCCAGACTAGCCACTTCATCAAACCTCCTTCGTTTGTTGGCATCAGCAATCATACCCTCAACGAAGAATTTTTGTTCCTCGAGGACTATCATCCGCTCTCGAAGTTCTTTCTCCTCGGCTTCCAAAGCGGTGACTTGGGCGGATGACGAGCTACTCGCTCGACTGCCCTGGGGCCTGGTCTGATCGTTCCTGATGGCAGCCAAAGGATTCGCCGAGGACTTGGCTTGCGGTTTGCCGTGTGGGGTTGCATGTTGGAGCAGTTTGGGCAAGGATTTGAGGGGAAGCATATGTATGTGGAGGAAAGTAGTCGCCTGTGCATAAATGGCCTTTTGTAAACGGTCCTGCGTCTGACTCTCGGTGGGCAAGTCTCTAATCCGTCTGGCCGCAACGTCATATTGTGTGAATGCATCCATAAGCCGCCTGCGTACTTTGGTGGCATCGTTTAACTGAGTAGGTGTTGGAGGCTTCTCGGGATCTTGCAAGGCCTGGAGAAGTTTTTGAAACTTTGGCAACAGAAGGCGGATGCCACGCTCGAACTGGACAAGGTTCTCATAAGCCCGCTGATCCGGAGGTCGTATCGAGAGTTGACGGGCAAAGTCGGATTTGCTAAAAATTGTGTGCTGACAGTCTTTGCACATACGCACATCGACAGCCATCTGACCAACAGACTTTTCTAAACCATTAGTTTTGAGTGGCGCATCGACATTCAAGCCAATCTCAGAGGAACAGCTCGTGGCTGGATCGCCACACACGACTCTTCCACATATTCGGCAATGATGGCGACGGAAAGAGTATTGAGAAAACTGTTGCTGGCAGAAAGGACAATGCGGGACCAGGGCGTCATCTTCCCAGGTTACAACCGACTGCTCCAAAGTGCGGATGTGATTCTTAGAGCCAGCGAGAGACCACAGGAAGCTACTAGTGCTTTGGTCATTCTCGGGCGGAGGTGGATTGGCCAACAATTGTGTCAGCCTCGAGAGGCGCTTCTCCAAGCGGCTCACTTCGAGGTATGCTTTGTCTACGGTGCGTCTGCGAACAGCAGCGAACTCTTGGGTGTGGTCGCGCTCGAGTCCGGAGTGATCGTTGTAACCCGGGCGACTCTTGTAACAAGTCTCGCAGACGCGACACCACAAGCCGCGGACAGGTTCGTGTTGGGCAGAGCGAGACAGCTTCATCTGATACATGGTGTGTTCCTCGCAGAAAAGCTTACCGCAGTGTCTACAATTGATGTTGCCGTTCGTGTTTCCAAGACGCTTTCCGCACAAGGGGTCTGAGCAAGAGTCGTGGCCCGAGGAACGCTGCCAGTGTGCTTTGGTGACGACATGATCAGGATCTAGGCGAGTTTCTGGTAGGACAGCAGGGGCTTGGGCAGGAGTAGTATGGCCCGAGTTCGAAGAGGGTAGAGGGGTGGCCGAGGCGAGTTGTGTGGGAGCAGTCGCATTGGACTCGAAGACGTCGAGGCCTTTTAGTTTCTGGTTGAGGACGGCGAGCGGCTGGAAGCGCTTTGCCTTTTTCATCTGTTGTTCGAACCAGTTCTTGACTTCATCTTGCTCGACTTCCTGCAGGTTCTGGTGGTTGTCGTCGAGGTGTCGGTTGAGTTGCAGGAGCGTGACCATGTCCTCGTTGCAGATGGGACAGACGAGGCGCGAGCTGGCGGCAGCGGCGCCGACGGGGCCATTGTTGGAGTCGAGGGCGACTCTGGAGGCGATGTCGTCGGTCTCGGTGGTGCTTGTGTGGGAGCTGGACGCCAGCGACAGGGAGCTTTCGGAGGGCGTGAGCTGGTGTGGGCGCTGGGAGATGACGGCGGGCGACAGCGAGCGGCCGCTGCCCAGGACTCGTCCTCCTCCTAAGGTCCTTCGCGATGCCATGGTATAGGAACGGCACGAGGCCGACAAGTTGGTTCTCAAGGCTCAAGGTTGTCGACTACACCGCCCTTGGCCCCTCGGTCTCGGTGGCTGTCGGCCCGTTGCATGGACCAGATGTTCGACACTCGGTATGATGCGATGCCGCGAAAGACGAACTTTCCTGCGGGGTTTGCCTTTCTTATCGCCAATCGACAAATAATATTCTGGTATCACTCCTCTCACCCCTAGACTGTTTTCCCCCTTCACACAACCTCTGCACCATGGCCAAGTTCCCGGAAATCGAGGGCGGTGGCTCTCTGATGCTCGCCTGGCAGATCCGCAATAAGCTGGTTCTGATGGTGGGCGGCGGCGAGGTCAGTCGCACATGACGCATATCTTACCTTGGGTGTTGACATTGACCAAAAGTCAAGGTAGCCGCCGGTCGCATCTTGAACCTCCTCAACTCGGATGCCAAAATCCGTCTCATCAGCCCCCGTGACGGCCTCAACGATGAGGTCGCCCACCGCGTCGAACAGGGTCTCGTCGAATACATCGATCGCACCTTCGAGCCCTCGGACCTTGACGACCCCGCCATTGCCATGGTCATGACCGCCATCGACGACCCAGAAGCCTCGACCATGATCTGGAAGTTGTGTAAAGAGAAGAGGATTGTTGCCAATATTGCAGATGTCCCGCCAGAGTGTGACTTCTATTTTGGAAGCCAGTACAGAGATGGTCCTCTGCAAATCATGGTCAGCACCAGCGGTAATGGCCCCAGGATGGCAAACATTGTTCGCAGGAGAATTGCTGCCAGCTTGCCTCCCAACATGGGCGAAGCCATCAAGAAGGTCGGTGCCCTGAGGAAGAAGCTGAGAGTCGTCGCTCCTGGTAACGAAGAGGGTCCCAAGAGAATGAAGTGGTATGTATACCCCTCACTCTGCTAGCAACTATACAAAGCTAATGCCTTGTAGGNNATGATCAAGGTCTGCGACAAATGGTCTCTCGAGGACTTTTGCACAATGGAAGAGCGCGACATGGAGGCTCTACTCGAGAGTTATGCGCCCGATGTCGTCCCTTCTTTTGAACAAGTTCGATTAGGTGAAGATCCCAATGTTTGGGAATTTGATGGCTCTTTTGGTTTTGCTGTCTAGGTTTGATGAGCATGCGCATGATATGAGGTTGGCGTCTGGTTTAGATTTGGGGATACCAGTCATGGTTGGCAATAGACCTGTGGTTTTGTTTCGCTTCGATGTATTATTATGTTCTTCAAAATTATTAGTGTCATGGAGTGGTTGTCTGACGTGTCGACTGATCTGAATTTCTGCTTCCAATCCCAACTTTGACTCCGCGACATTCATCCTCAGACCATCAACAACACAACATGGCCTCAACCAATGCACAGGTCCCGAATTATGATGAAGAAGTTGATTTTCAAGCGCTGGCGATGATTGATCCCGACTTTGCCAAATTCTATGATGACGCAAACGGACACGTCGATTTTCAGGATCCAAAGGCATTACAGCAAGTCTTCTATCGTCCCGAATGACTGTAATTTGGAAATACTGATTGCCATTAGANNCAGCTCACGAAAAGCATTTTGAGACGAGACTTCAGTCTCGAGCTTGACCTGCCCGATGACAGGTTATGTCCTCCGGTCCCCGTCAGGTACAACTATATTCGATGGCTCCAAGAGTTGATGGATACAACCAGCGATGTCGATATTGAAGATCNNCCTTCAAGCAAAAAAATCACTGGCTTGGACATGTAAGTGCTCTGCCAGCCAGCACACATCAAGATCCTGTCTATCTAACACTGTAACAGTGGGATTGGTGCATCATGCATTTACAGCCTGCTAGCTTGTTCCTCACGACCATCTTGGAATATGCTTGGTACTGATATCGATCCTAAAAACTTCTCATACGCCAATGGAAATATTGAGAGGAACGGATTGGGCAAGCAAATTCGAACGAAGCTACATACTGCTGAAGACGCTCTGATCTCGCCCAAAGCATTTGACCTTGACAGACTCGATTTTACCATGTGCAATCCACCCTTCTACTCAAGCGCAGAGGATCTGGCAGTCTCGAGCGCCGGGAAGTCCGGCCCTCCTAGTGCCGTATGCACCGGCGCAGAAGTCGAGATGATATGTCCAGGAGGCGATGCCGGATTTGTGCTACGTATGGTTGAGGAGAGCAGGGAACTGAAAGATGCTGTCAGATGGTACACGAGCATGCTCGGAAAGCTCTCCAGTGTGCATCAAGTCATCGATCGACTCAGGGAACTTGGCATCAACAACTGGGCTGTTACACTGCTTCGAGCAGGAAACAAGACTCGGAGGTGGGCTGTAGGTTGGAGTTTCGGAGACAGGAGGCCGAGTAATGTGAGTAGCTTGCAGACTTCGACTCGTAGCTATGGTACTAACAGATACAGGNCGGTTGCCAGAGGCAGTGATGTCGGCACTCATATTCTGCCTTACCCGACAGCTCAGACTATCCACACCATTGGACTTACAAGGCAAGAAGCGGCTGATTTGCTTAGCAAAACCCTGCAAGCGCTCGATATGCAGTGGTCCTGGCAGTCTGAAAAGTGGGCCGGCCATGGTGTCGCTACTCAGAACGTATGGTCACGCTCGGCAAGACGCAAGCGCAAGAGAGTGGAGATGGAGCAGGAGGACGGTCAGGAAGTGACATCGCAATCTAAGGCTCTCAAATCTGCAGATGCTGTTGGGATCTCGCTGGGGTTTGATGTCGATGTCAGAGAGGGCGACATGGAAGTCCGTTGGCTTCAAGGAAAGGACAACGTCCTCTTCGAGAGCTTCTGCGGGATGCTGAAGAGATCTATGAAGCAGAAGTGACGGCGAGTAAGCAAATTCTTAACATCGATCAAGCCGGCTGAGCATGGTTGCTATGAACATTGGTCTGGGAAGACTTCGTGTTCGATGTAATCCAGTAGACGGTGACCCTGGCCAGTGACATGCACAATGACGCACGGTTTGCAACGTGGTCGCCACTTTATTCCCGGCTCGGTAAAACATCTTATCAGTCGTTCGCGATGCCGACACGCGACACAATTTTTCCTCAACCAGTGTCCCGCTTCCTCTTCTTTGGTCAACTGTCGTACCTAATGATCTCTTCTCTGTTGGAATGATGTGTGCAGCATTCGGTTACGTCAAAGGCATTCAATAACACCCTTACACCTGGATATTCTATAACTCAATCATTTGTGATTACTTTTTGGCGATTCATTTTTCCCTGCAGTGAACCGCGGATAATTGGAACCAGCAAATCACCGTCCAGCGATAACACCTTCTGGAATTGCCACAAAAAAGACTTGATAAGTCTACAACTCTGCGCGGTATCGCCGCGTGAGAATTGACCGATCTCCTGTCGGAAACCGACTCGAGGATACGCAACAGCTATCTGTAGCACAGACAGCTGGCACAGGAATTACTGTTGTACGATGGACCACTTCAATTCTACCAATGAAGAGCTTGCGGGCACCATCCGCCTGTTCAAAGACTCGGATTCGACATCCTCGGACAAGATCTTGTTGCTTCCTCAGCCTACGGATTCGCCCAATGATCCACTGAACTGGAGTTACTGGCGAAGAATGTGGTCGGCTGCTTTGGTGTTGTACATTACTGCTTTGACTGCTGCTACGTCCAACAGTGCCGGTGCTGCAGGTACAGCATTGGTCGATGATTATGGTATTGGTTGGGGAGTTCAAAACACTGCAGCCGGCGTTCTGTTTCTGGGTATTGGCTATTCATGTCTGGCGCTGTCTTCTGCCAACTGGTTGTATGGCAGACGCATTTCGTACATTATTTGTCTAATCGCGTCTATCATCGGCAGCGCCTGGTTCGCTCGGTCTGATAGTAAGGTGGACACGATTCTTTGCCAGTTGTTTTTGGGAATCTCCGAGTCAGTTGCCGAGGCCACCGCGCAGCTCTCATTGACGGACGTCACCTTCCAACATCAGCGTGGCTCGGTTTTGGGAGTCTACGTGCTTGCAACCTCCGTTGGAACTTTCCTTGGACCGATGATATCTGGTTTTATCGCCGACAGTCCGCTTGGTTGGCGCTGGATGGGCTGGTTTGCTTTGATAATTTCTGGTTGCACTCTTTTCGTCTTCTACTTTGGTTTGGAGGAGACCGCATTTGACCGCGACAGTGTTCTGGATGGTCTGGCCACTGGACGAAGCTCTGCCGAGACCGAAATGTCTGGCGAGAAGAAGACGGTCGCTGATCCTACATCCGTGATTGTCAGCGACGGAACCAACAGCGATCATGAACCTAGGAAGGGCAATTTGATTCCCAACGGTTCTGACTTGGTCCCAAAGTCTTACTGGCAGCGCGTCGCTCTCATCACTCCATCACCTACGCTGATCGGAACTGGATTCAAGCAATACATGCGTCGTACATTTCATACCTTGCGTATCTTCTATTTCCCAGCCGTCATCTACTCCGGTCTGCAATGGGGTATGCAAGACGCCTTCCTCTCCTTCTACATGACCGTCGAAGACGACAACTGGACGTCTGAACCCTACAACTATGGCGACCGTGCAGATGCCATCATGTGTATCCCCACGCTCATCGGTGCCATCATCGGCTGTGTTTATGGAGGTTGGTTCTCCGATGTCTTTGTGCGCTGGATGGCAAAACGCCGCAACAATATCTCCGAGGCTGAAGACCGCCTTTGGCTCATGTATCTACCCGCCATCATCTCTCCAGCCGGTCTTATCCTCTTCGGTATGGGAACTCAATGCGTGTGGCCTTGGCCAGTACCCTACGTCGCTCTGGGCTTCATTGGTTTCGGTTTCGGTTGCGGAGGCGATCTGACCATGGCCTATCTCATGGATTGCTACCCTGATGCAGTGTTGGAGGGCATGGTTGGTGTCGCCGTCTACAACAACTCGCTGGCTTGTATTTTCACTTTCGTCTGCTCGATCTGGCTTGACGCCCACAGTCTGACTCAAGTCTTCGTCACACTGGGTTGTGTGAGCTTCGGCGTCATGTTCCTCGGTACGATTCTCATGATGTGGTTTGGCAAGGCTACTCGCAGATGGACCGCTGGCAAGTACAAGGAGTTCCTGTACATCAGAGGGTCTGTGTAGATTCGAAAAAGTTGTTCACCTTTGGCATTTTCTGTATATTCTTCTTGTCAAACTCTCTTTCGTGTGTATACTTTGGACATTGCTATAATGTAACTAGGAATAATGACAATAGAACCATCACTTGTAACCACATGAGCCACACAGAGATGTACATCTTCGCTTTGAAGAGGACAAAGTGAAGCAAAAAGATGTAATTCGATGTTTACGTTCCAACGCAAGAGGCCCTCTTCATTTATTCGGATCAGAAATTGGTGATCCCCAAACATTCCACGTCGCTGAGCTAGAACTGCTTCGCTCAGAAGAAGGAGGACGACGGTTGTATGTCTGCCTCCGACATAGTAATCGATCTCGCAAGCTTCGTCTCGGCTCTTCAGGAATGGGATCACCCATTATTGCTCTGATGGTAGCTGCAGAAGCTCCTGCTGTGGGCTGTTGGGTTGTTGGCTTCTTGTTTGGTTGACTAGATTGGTATGCAGGTGGTGTATCCGAGGCCAAAGACTCGTTGTAAGTCGGCAAAGTGGTTCTTGTGGTATCTGTACTCGCTCGCCGTTGTCGCTCGGTCTCAGGCTGGATCTGCGACTTATTGTCGGATTTTGTGTCTTTGTTGTTTTGGTCTGCCATCTTCCGGTTGAGCTAGCAGTGAGTTTCATCGGTTTGCGTCGTAGAGTCTGAACAAGTCGGAGGCATGCTTATGTATGTGAGAATGCATCGTTACACCTTGGCGACCAAGCCTTGGTCTGAATCAGCAGAGGTGTTTATTGCCGTGATACCCGTGATATCATGTCAGGTAAGCAGTTGACACCTCGGAGGGTTGAATTAGACCATCTCGGTCAATCATATATGGTTGTTTTGAGTAACTCAATCTAAGTCGCCTCAATGGTCTAGTGGTATGATTCCTGCTTTGGGTATATCTAAATTGCAGGAGGTCCCCGATTCGATCTCGGGTTGAGGCCTTTGCATTTTGCCAGATGGCCAGTCCATTATCTTGTCCACCACATCCGGTATATCCTGCTCGTCAGGAGTGGGCTGCGTGATCCAAAAAGCCAATTTGAGAGAAGCAACCGAAGCTTTCCTTTCTGCATTTGAGCTTTGACGCCGAGGCGGTGTTGTTTTGTTCTGAAGACTTGGAGAGCAACAATCCTCCATAAACATGACCAAGGCCGATCCTCTTACTTTCTTGTCTACTCTGCGAGCATGGCAACTCAAACATCTGGCGTTTCTCACTGGTCTAAATTCTACAGGGACAAAAGCACAACTATGTAGGACTCTGGCAGACTGCACGTACAAGCCTCCCCTCCCTAGCCCTCGATGCAGGATTCTCAGTGTGGACATGGGCGTCAAGAATCTCGCATTCTGCCTACTGGATCTACACAAGTTGCCTCAGGATCCCGATCGAATTAATGCGCAAGCCGGCGATAAAACGCTGTCTTTACATCTCTCGGACTGGAAACGCCTGGATGTGTCAGAGAGACTAATGGCTAAACAAATAAATCTATCGATATCAAAGTCATCGCAGATACCTGAGTATTCAGTTGGCGAGGGTGAGGGGACGACTGAGGTCGTTTCCGAAGACCGGTCCAATATGTATGCGCCTTCATCGCTCTCCAAGATTGCATTCAGTCTAGCAACCGAATTTCTGCGATACGAACCAGACTATATCCTGATAGAACGCCAGAGATTTCGCTCTGGTGGTGGACCAGCTATTCAAGAATGGACTGTTCGAGTGAACATGCTGGAGAGTATGCTATGGGCATCTCTGGAAACCGTGCGACACGGCCATAACAGAACTCAATCAGGTCAAGACCAAAGGTTTCCTGACGTCCTAGAGATGAGCNCCCGACGTGTTGGCATGTTCTGGTTGACTCGTGGAGACTTCTTCCCAACCCCAGCAGACATAGCTGCGTCACTTATGGTGTCACAAAACACGGCAAAGACGATGGAAAATGAAATCAAGAGAAGGTCTTTTGAGAAGAAGGACAAGATTGCATTGGCTCGACACTGGCTATCGCTTTCGTTGACTACGGACGAATTGACGATCGATGCAGACCTAGCTCCGATGGTTGCTTCGTTCTGTTCGCCAAGAGAACGACAAAGTCGGCGGCGAAGCAAAGATGATGAGAGCGAAGAAGAAGTCAAAGATGCATCTGCCATTTCTGGTAAATTAGATGATCTGGCAGACTGTCTCGTGCAGGCGGTAACGTTTGCTCTCTGGGAGCAGAATCGCGCAAGAGTCCGGGAGCACATCAATTCTTAGGAACAAACAAAGATGGCAGACGTGAAATCATGGTTCAGGCTTCATGGTTCGGAGTCGTCGCTCTTCTTGCCCATGGCAGCTCTCAACTTTTCCTCGTTCTCTGAGATGGGCGAGCGACCCTTTAGTTTTTCGGGATGCGTGATTGACTTGGACGGGCCCAAGAACTGTTCTCTAGCACCGTGGGCCAGCTCGGACAGGGTACTACCACCTTGGTCTAGCTTCTCACCCCGACCGTGTCTTCTCCTGCTCTCGGCTAGTAGATCGAGACCTTCACCACCACTGTCGGCGTCGCGATGTCTCTGGGCGTTTGCTTTGGCGGCGCGGATGGAGGTTCTGGTATAGACGAATAGCAGGCAGGCCATTGTGAAGGCAGCGGCGGGAGCAATGATTGTGCGCGAGTTGAAGGGCATCTTGCGACGAGGATAAGGTGAGGCTGGACGGCTCATTTCGGTGGTGCCCGCAGGCCCTTTCGGAACGGATAGTCTGCCACCCATGGTTGATGTGTTTGGTGCTTACAGAGATGAGGCTTTCTCACATGGAAGAGAGAGACAGAGCTGCGTGAGCAGGTGGTGTGACAGGAGGGAAGGCCCGGCTTGATCATGATGCTCTTGCTTGCATCCTGACATGCACCATGATCCGTGCGCCGCCGGCTTTTAGGTTTAGAGGCCGTGGTTCACGCCGAGAGGCAGCTCCCTTGACTGGCACCTTCTTGTCTGCTCCGTCTGCTGCTCGTCGAGGATCTAATCAGCGTCCCAAACGTGAATTGGAAATCAAGCCTGAAGTCTAGCTTTGTCATCGCCCTTCTGCTGCACCCAAGCTCGAAACCTTCTGTCCATTTCCCATCCCACGTTTGCCGGCCATCGTTCATTGGTGGCGCTAGAGTGATTGACGTAAGCAAAGCCCGCCTTTGTGTTTTCTATTTCACATCAACCTTCCACCGTTGCCCCTCGTCGTCACTCATCTGCTTTACTATATTATATGCGCGCCTTCAGTACTTCCCCGCGGTTCTTCTACAGCATACCGACGGCCTCCTCCCGACTCCACAATCTAACCCGTCAATTTTCCACCACTCGTCCCATCATGGCTCCTACTCCCAAAGAATGCGACTTCCTCGTCATTGGTATTGGCAGCGGTGGTCTCGCTGCTGCTAGGAGAGCTAGTGGCATGTATGGCATGAAGACCATTGCCGTCGAGAACTCTAGACTGGGTGGTACCTGTGTCAACGTCGGGTACGTCGCACTGTCTTCCTCATCGCAACTTCCTCTCTAACATAGTCCCGTAGATNGTGTGCCCAAGAAGGTTACCTGGAACGCCGCCGCCATTCAAGAGACCATCCACGAAGCCAAGGCCTACGGCTTCTCTATTCAGGAGACCGCTCCCTTCGACTGGACCACTTTCAAGCACAAGCGTGACGCCTACGTGAAGCGCCTTAACGGAATCTACGAGAAGAACCTTAAGAACGACAAGGTCGAATACCTCAACGGAACCGCCTCTTTCGTCTCCAAGGATGTCGTCAAGATTGTTGGTCAGGACGGCCAGGAACAACAGGTCCGCGCAAAGAAGATTCTTGTTGCGGTCGGCGGCCGCCCCAGCACAATCGACGTCGAGGGTGCCGAGCTCGGTATTAACAGTGACGGCTTCTTCGACCTCGAGAAGCAGCCCAAGAAGGTTGCTGTCGTTGGTGCTGGTTACATTGCCGTCGAGATGGCTGGCATGTTCCACCACCTCGGTACTGAGACTCACCTGTTCATCCGTCACGACAAGTTTTTGCGCACTTTCGATCCCATGATTCAGGACAAGATCATGGACGAGTACAAGCGTCAAGGTCTCCACATCCACACCAACAGCTCGCAGAGCAAGCTCGAGGATCTGGGCAATGGCATGAAGAAGTTGCACTACAAGGATGACGATGGCGAGAACACTATGGATGTTGACTGCGTCCTATGGGCCATTGGTCGTACACCCGAGGTCGAGAAGCTCAATTTGGAAGTCACTGGCGTCGAGCTTGACGACAAGAACCACATCAAGGTCGACAAGTACCAGAACACCAACGTTGACGGTATATACGCCTTGGGTGATGTCTGCAACGCTGGTATGGAGCTTACCCCTGTTGCCATCGCCGCCGGCCGTCGTCTCGGAGACCGTCTCTTTGGCGGCAAGAAGGACGCTCACCTCGACTACACCAACGTCCCCTCGGTCGTCTTCTCTCACCCCACTGTCGGCAGTATCGGTCTGACCGAGCCCGAGGCTCGCGAGAGGTTCGGTGACTCTGTTAAGATCTACTCTTCCAGCTTCACCGCCATGTACTACGCCATGATGGAGCCCGAAGACAAGGGCCCCACCGCCTACAAGCTCATTTGTGAAGGTCCCAATGAGAGAGTCGTTGGTCTGCACATCCTTGGCCAGGGCAGTGACGAGATCCTGCAGGGCTTCGGTGTTGCCATCAAGATGGGTGCCACCAAGGCCGATTTCGACAGCTGTGTTGCTATCCACCCTACATCTGCCGAGGAGTTGGTGACCATGCGATAGATTCCATGTACGAAAGATGTAAACTAATAAACGCCTATATACGACGAATATCTGAGATGTTCAATTCGATCGCATAATGCTTCTCTATGCAATCTAGTCAATGACTTTTTGTTTCAGTCATTAAGTGGAAGTACGGCAAGCCTCCGGTACGAAGACAGCGTTTTCTTTACAATATGATACTTTACGAACGGCCAAGAACCACGATCTTTGATGTAAGCAGCAAGTTGATGAGGCAAGTACATCGGTCTCGTTCCTGCCTAGATAATGACCTTTAGCCCCCATCCCCCTGTTAATCCTCTAGCAACCACAAAAGCAGCACTGGCAGCAACATAACAGGCCCCCGCAAAAGCAATCAATCCATCGTAGTCCTGCCTTCCTCCTTTACCCAGTATAGCACCAGCGATAGGAATACCTATCAATGTTCCAAAACTGCTAATCGTGAACGTGGTACCCGTCCTCTTACCGATATCCTCGGTTTTACAAACTTGCTGGATGCAGACTGGTGTCAAGGAAATTGCTGCACCGGACCAAAAGCCAAAGAGCACAGTATATGCGATGATGGCTGCATGAGAGGACGACCCTATCAACCAGAGAAGGAAAGTCAAAAGACAGCAGATTACCGCCGTGACGGTCATGGTGTTGAGGCGTCCATAGCGGTCGGCGATATAGCCAGGCAGCAAACGGCCGGGTATAGCAGCAGCATTGAGAATAGGGATGAGTGCATACGCCAACTCCTGCTTCATGCCGGCATCCAATGCTTGATCAACCAAGAACGTATATGGAATGAACACTGCAAACTCGACGAGGAAGATGGCAGCAGTTGTGGCGGCATACGGCGGATCTCTGAGTGCGAGAATATCGATTTTGGCGCCTTTGATCTTGTTGGGTGGTAATCGGCTGCGAAGGAGCAGACAAGCAATTGCGCACAATGCTGCACTGATGAAGCCGATGATGCGTATTGCCCAGCCGAGTCCAATCTTTGGTGCCAGAAAGAGAATGATGAGTGAAAAGGCAAGACCGCCTGTCCCGCCCGCCGTGCATGCAATACCCATTGCAAAGCCTCTTCGAGCGTGGAACCAGTGGCCTATTGCTGAAACAGCGGTGGTAAANAGGCAGCAAGTGCTCAAGCCACCCAAAACGCCAAAGGAGAGGATGATCTGATAGTACTCGGTGCTTACGCTGAGTGTCATCAAAGACACCACCAGTCCGATACTTCCAGTCATGACCAGCACCCTTGCTCCATAGACATCGAACAAAGGGCCAATCTGTACACCCGCAAAGTACAAGAAGAACGGAAACGTAGAAAAGATCCAGCCTACCGAGGAAGAAGAATACGAAGACAGTTGATGCGTGGAGATCCATGCATGTAAAGTACCGATGGTGTTTAGAAGGCCCATGCCTGCCGTCATGGCACACCAGGATCCTAGAACCACTAACCAGGCTTCGAGACCTCCTTCGGGATACTTTTCCAAATCATTGTCGATGGTGGATAGCGTTTGATCACCAGAAACGTCGTGATCGTAAGGTGGTGCTTTTTCGGAAGCGGACTGGTGCTGGAGTGATTGGCGTGGTTCCTGAATCCTTTGTTCTTGCATCGATTTTCCATCCATTGAGTTTGTGTTTTGCTCTCTTGTTGGGGACTTGGGGGTGTTGTCCGTCATCTTTATGAACTCGTCCGGAACCTGGAACGCGGGTAAAGGTGCGTTGGGAGTTGGCGTTGCAGGCTTTTGGTTTGCCTCCTCACATAAGAGCTATCAAGTCGGCCGCGAACAATAGTTCTTGATTTTGTGTAAGCATCGCTAGAGGAGGGCAAGATATGAGTATCATCAGAGCGAACTACAGAAGTGTGAGTCTCATAATCGCTGACAAACATCGTCGTTGACGGTTCGGCCAAACTAGGGGAAATGTCCGTAGCGGATGTTGAGCGCAGATCGTTTCTTTTCTTTTCTTTTTCCTCTTTTTTTCAGATCACTAAAATACCAGTGAAGATTAAGTATACCTCAAGCTCACGGTTGTGGTAAAGTCTGCAGGAGTTTGTTGGGATGTTCAAATGTAAAGGCAGCATACACCGCAGAGGTTGTAGTTGTGAAGCCAGGGAGAGATAGAAGGTAAGCCTGAAACTTTTCTAGTTACACAGGACCTGCTCTTATGAGGAAGGACTGGAAGTCAAGAACTCCTCATTGGACCTTCCAAAATCAGTATGGTCGCGTGCTCAGAATGGCCATATGCCTTAGGTCCCAATTTTCGCAAATTTGTAAGAGACGTATCATAGTTGGCTACGACCATGTTACCATTCCCTTCCTCGAATGCTTTTTCTCCAAGTTGTCCCCTCCTGGTGTATTGATAATGAACCAAAGATCCCGCTTGAACGCATGACAAAACAAAAACCACATGAGCAGAGATGCAGAACTACCTTGTCTCTCTGTTGAAGCCACGAGCTCTCATAGAAGCCTCGATAGCACTCCAAATCTCCTCGACAGTTTCACGGTCTCTCCATCTCTGTTGAGCGGTCTGACCCTCACGGTATGCGTCAATGCCGACATTCAGCACACCTCTACCCCAGCCCTTGATTGTGTCGGGTAGAAGCTCGTTGCGCCAGCCGACATAGACACCCAGAGCATGGCTGAAAAGCTCGGCGGGTTGACTCCACTTGTAACCCTTGAATTGCCAGGCTTGACCAGTCGTAAAGACGGCTACAACGCGATTCCAGTAGTCGGGCTTGAAGTTATCAGGCGACTCGACGAGGATGAAACGCAGAGGGCGGGTGGGTTCGATGGATGGCATGACACGGTTGACGTGAAGGATGTTGAGAGTGGTCGAGGTGGTGGAGGTAGGAGGTGTGTAGACGCCGTCCATGAGGAAAGACTTGACGTTGGCTAGGCGGAGGAGTGACGATGCTGAAGGAGAGAGGAGAATGATAGGCTCGGGACGGCGGCCACTAGAAGGCTTTGCAGGACGAATGGCAGGAGCTGGCGTAATGAGGGCGGGAGTGGGAGCAGAGGCCTTGGAACGGCCCAAGAAAGCTTCGGCATACTTGCGCACATGGGAGAAGTCNCTATGGTGTCGAGTCAGTATAGTCGGTCGAGAGAGCGAAGCGCATCAAGGACGTACGGTAGGCTTGCTGCCTCTGAGAATCGAGTTGCGATCGCCCGTCTTGCGCTCCAGAGCGTAAATGTCGCGTAGCTTATCATCCTCGGCCCTCGCATCTTGCATGACCACGTCGCCATCTCCGCTAGCCATCTTTGCGGCATCGTGTGCCTGGGCACGCGTCTGACGGTTGTCGTCTAGACTTTTGATAAACTCGCTGTCGTTTTCGCCAGACAGCCAATTGATGAGGTCAAGCTTCTCTGCAAAGACCAGATTGCGCACTTCGCCGAGGCCATTTGATGAACGCGCCGTGTTGAGCTCCTGAGTTGCAGCAATATAGTCTCCAGTGCTCTTGTCCTTGTTCTGCCAACACCAAAAGATACTGGCCAAGTCGAGGGCGCCATTGGTTTGCGAGACGAATCTCGTTGCTGTTTTCAATGAAAGCGCAGTGTGTTGTACGCCATCGGCAGCGGATTGTGTGTTGAAGAGCAGGTGCGATGCTTCGGTCAAAGGCGCAATGTCGCTGGCTGACGAGGCGTCGGCGCTGCGTGTCGGCAAGGGTGATGACGAGGCCGCCAGACTCGTCCGGAACAGATTCAACGCATCAGTTTCGCCTGCGCTCATCTTGTCGCTTCGTCTATGTCGAGATGATGGAATCGTGTCTCGGTGTTGGCCAGCTCAATGGTATCCCAGTCCAGCTTGGGACGCGGAAGGTTTGCCGCGCCTTGGCATTCACCTCTCTCTATCCTGTCACTCTGACTTTCAAGCAGTAACGCGATGCTCTTGTTCAGTGTTTGTACTATTTGATAGCTAGGTATTCACACTGCCTGTCTGAACACAAAAGCCATGCATCATTCAGTCAGCCGTCTCATCGATCAAGCCAGCATGTTTTTGAATGTAGTCGTCCTCCCATCTTTGCTCGGTTTCCTCCCTGCTATGATGCTTCCTTTGCCATGTATTGGGCAAAGCAACTGTCCATGCATCGAGTTTTTGGGGTGAAGGGGACAGAGCGGACTGCTAGGCAGATGTTCCGGCACATCACTAGCAACTTCTTCCTCCTCATCTTCCGCTTCCATCTCCACCTGTTTCATCTTTTGCGAGAAATAATCTGGCGCCCTGTTGTCTTCCTTTAAACCATGCTCGCGATCTTGCTTCACTTCCTATGGAGAGCTCGGCTTTCTTCTGAGTTCTGTCGATCCCGCGACCGAATCGCGTCGTGTTTCTGCTTCATCGCCCGCGCCTGGAGGGCTGGTGTAATCAAANAAGAATCCTCGTGACCTTGAAGTTGGGCTTTGTGTGCCCCTGCACATTGGAGGTGTGTTGACTCGCTGCATCTCAGATGGCAGGAAGCTCAGTCCAGGTACTGGTCGATGTGTGTATTCTCGTCCATCCGCACCAACATACGAGTCTTTGCGCTTGGAAGCATTGCCTTTGACTGTGCTTATGGCTTGGACAGACGCATGCGTGATTCTTCTCCGATGGGAGCGAAGACTGAATAGACCGAAGCAACGCAATCCAGGTGAGGGTGATCTTGACATGATAGAGGGCTGCATTGATTGACGTCGATATGGACCTTCGGATTGCAATAACTTGGTCGCTTCCCTTCTGATCGGAGCTGGCACAACACTGTGCACCGTCAATACTCGCAAAAATCCCTGCTTCGGTGCTTCTTCAGGTGCCGGAGGTGTTATCGTTTCTTCTTGTCCCTGGTTGACGGATTCCGTAATTGAGCCAACCGTACTGACAACTGAGACTGGGTTCCCTGGGTGACCAGGTCTCTGGTGTGTACCTCGTGTAGGAATAGAACCATTTGATTTTGGTTGTGTGGCGATACGTGGTCTGAGTCCTTGAGATGTTCTGCTTCGATGATGACCTTTTGAAGGACTGCTGGTGGAAGTCTTGTGGATTGCGGTGCCGATGGAATGTCCCGGTGCGATAGAAGCCTTTGCACGGCGGGCTTTGAGCTTGGAGTTATAGAAGGAGATGTGTGGATGAGCTGCGCCTTGACGATTCGGAGACACGTCGCGGGATTTGTTCGATGTTTCGGAGAAAGTCATGGATTTGAGTGGAGGTTGAAAGCCAGGACTGGGTGGAGCTGATTGCATAACGATAGCAGGTGAAGATACAATGGTGCGAGGTGGGGCTGGACGATATGTGGTTGCAAGCGAGAGGTGTGGAGGAGCTACCATGAGTTTNTTGAAGTTCTTTTTGGTGATACGCTCNCTCTGGAGGACGTGAGCAAAGCTGCTGGCCTCCGATGACGACCATTTGTCGCTCGAGGAGGATGTCGGGGTACGTACAGCAGCGGCAATTGATGATGATAGTTTATGTTTTACAGGGTGTAGTCTAGAAATCGTCAGTCTCTTGTTCTCGCACACTGAAAATAGGTGATGCTCTGACTCGATAGTTGGAGTTCCGGTCAATGCATATTCATCCTGATTGTCATGTTTGGGCAGAGCAAAGAAGCCATCATTAGCGGGTGCAGTATTTGGGAGTTTCAAAGCCCCTTGAGAGTGTTCTCCCAAGCGAAGGGGTCTTCTGCTCTCGAAAGGGTTGACTGAGGAGAGTTGTGTCTTTGGTGATGGCTGTGGTGATGGTGCGTGTGGAGGGCATAGTCCTGATCCGGAGGGTAGGAATAACGAGCCCTCGTTCCATCCCTCGAAGAAGTTGGATAGTGAGCTCTTCTCGAGGGAAGGGGTTCGTCTAGGCTGCTCTGGCTGCCACTGCTGCTGCTTGACGAATCCGACTCGGACAGGCTTCTGCGATTGCGAGGCCATTGCTTGTCGCGGCTGGGAGGCTCGTACTTCTTTTCTGATCTGAAGATACCACCGGGATTGGCGAAGCAGAGGCCTGCAAGTACCAATGCAAATAATGAGAAGATGCCGCGTTGGAAGGTTCGCTTGTCGTCGACGTAGTCGTAGTAAGGCATTGTCTCTGGAACTAGGGAAGACAAAGAATCGCTTTCAACAGCGTTCGAGCATCTGATGGTTGGAAAAAGAAAGAATCTAGGTGCGCGCAGAGGAGAATGTGCGCTATCACGTTCCCTTTCCAGGCACGAGGTCATCAGGTCCTGTTTGCGACTCGAAATGGCAGGAACAGCCAGGTTGCGGCTTCCTCGACTGCCACACTCGCGAAGCTGGACTTTTCGATACCCGATCTTTTCATTTGCACGCCTAAAGTAGGTACCTACATGTTTGCTGTTGGCTTGTTGAGTACCTACCAGAAACTCTTGATTGTTCAGTCATCTGTCATTAGCGGTGCTAAGATATTGCTGGCGACGATCTAGCAAATATTGGGCTTCTCGTTCTGACCAAATATTTGAGCTATCTCAAGTACAATCTTAGAGTCGTCGCTATCCGAGTCAGCTCAGGGTATGCCCAACATTCGTGCGACCAGCCATTGAGACCGCTCGTAATGTACCAGCCAGGATGACAGCCAACCTTCACCACTGATGATGCCTCTGGCTCTCAGGCACTTGAGCGCAAGTCAAGATTGCTGCCAATGGTGGTTGCGAGACCCGATACTCAAGTAGCCTCAAAGATCAGCCTGCGGTGAGAAGTCAACGCCACCAATCGACATGTCTTAAGATTAAGGGGTCACGGGACCGGCGCAATAGAGCGCCAATCAATTGCCCCCATCGAACATCATTACCGTGTCGCCATGACACAAAAACCACGCGTTTCTCGACGCGTTCTTCTGCCTGTATCACAGTCTGGACCGGTTTGAAAGGAAGAAAGAAGAAACAGGACAGAACAATGTCGACACAAGCGCCCGTGTTAACGGCCCCGCAGCAGCCACTTGCGGAACCGACCACAATCATTCCCGAGTGGGACTCCAATGCTGTGCAGACATACAAAGCTGGAGTCACGGCAACGACACATACAGAGAATCGCCCTGGTGCAAAGACTGTGTTGCAGGAGAAGTTCAATGCCGTCCTCCCTCGATCGAGGTCATACTTTGGCCTCAAGCGACGTACTTTCCTCATCGTCCTTGTCTGCACAATTTTAGCATTGCTTGCTCTTATTATTGGGCTAGCTGTTGGCTTGACGAAGCATTCGANNAAGGGTAAATGCCCCATCTATTGAAGTTTGTGGCATCGGCTAACGGTCCGCAGTGGTCAAAATCTACCATTGCCAACAAGCAGCGAACAGCATGAAGGAGACCTTACATACTATGGCACTGGCTTGGGTAGCTGTGGCATCACATCTTCTGACAGTGATATGATTGTTGCCGTGTCTCACTACGTCTTTGATGCAGCATCCAAANGCTCTAATCCCAACCAGAATCCTCTGTGTGGTCTGAAGCTCAGGGCTTCGAGATACGATGAGCAGGTTGGAGAGAGGCGCAGTGTTGATCTGAAGGTTGTCGATCGATGTGAGTATTGTCTTTGACTGATGGAGTCGTGGGAAGTATGTACTGACCTGTTCAAAGGCGTTGGTTGCCAAGCCACAGACATTGATGTATCTCCAGCAGCTTTCGACAAACTTGCAGCCAGAGCCAGTGGTAGAGTCGATGTGACTTGGGCATGGCTGTCTCCTCAGGCGACCGCTTGAACGCCTCCGGTTTTGAAGCCGAGATTCACGTTGGTGACAATGGGAGACCGACTTTGATGAAGACATGATTGATTCGTAGCGCACACCGAGGTGCTTCTAGTTTTGCAGATCCAGCCTGCACTTTTTCTATGAAGAAACAAACTCTGCGATCAACTGGATATCGACACAGTTGCGAGGCGTAGTAACATTCATCCATCTGTACCATATGGCTATAGCTTTGCCCCATTCTAAAGCCTGGTCGCAAGCTNNGTTCAGAAAAATATGGTCAGCACTGGATCCACCACAGAATAACAGACATCAAGACTCACCATACCAAGACACCCTCTGAGATGCCCAATCCACGATTCCACCCTCATTGACAAAGACACCCTTGGTTCCCTGCTGGCCGGAGAAGATTTGCGCAATCGAAGCATTCGAGTACGAGACCAACGGATACAGCACGAAGCCCTGGGGGTTCTCATTGCCAAAGACCAAACTGCTGTTGCTGGCATTCGTCGTATCGGTCAAATGACCCACGATGGCATCGCTCTTTGAAGGTCGAAGGGTTGCATAGTAGCCTGGTGGATAGGCATACTGGGCGTACATGTACCCAAGGGTAATGGAAGTGTCGTTCAGTTGTTGAGCACGGATGATGAAGGTATCTGAGTCCAGAGATACTGGTGGCAGGGTTGTGTTTGTGGTTGTGGTGTTGGAGAGAGCAGTAGTGTTGGCCTGTCTAGGCAGTACCGCTGCGGTGACGGTGCTGATACTGAGGACCAGTGAGGTGATTGCTTTTGTGAAGTACATGATAATGGTAATACGGTAAAGAGACGGAATAGAAGCAGTACAGCAGTAACGCGGTAGAAGAGTTCTTATATCCTGTAGAACATCAGAGAGAGAAAAGTTGCAGAGGCGCCAATGCTCAACAGTTCTCTGCTCGCTGTATGACGATCTTATGCGGGTGTCCGTTCACAGGAAGTCTCGGACCTGTTTGTGGCCCTTTCGATATGCAAGTACTACATATGCCAAGCAAGCGAGCTTTTCGATACCTGTCTATCGGTTCTCTTTGCATTCACCGTTACAGAGTACTGCTCTAAAGGGCGAGTGACAGATTCATTACCTGAAACTGCCAAATCTGTCATGTATCAGCTTCGACGTCGATGCTATTTTCTACACGAGGTTGTCTTTTTGTCTCACTCTGCGACGTCAGAGGTGCAAAGATAGACTTTTGCAACGCTTTTCCTCCAGTCTCCTGTCGATCACTGCATGACGAATCGTCCAGAGCGAAGCCAAGCAGCACGGCTGGATATAACAATTGAACAGACGCGACAAGGACTCTTCATTGTCGTTCTGAGTGGTTGACGGAACATGCAAACGCCTTTATGTCGAGTCGCAACGTAACATGAAAACATTTGATCAGGAACTTACTGTGTCGTACCAAACACAGCAACTTGCAAGTTCACATAGTAACCAGGGCAACCCTGATCCCAAGTATCGGACTCTTTTTGTTGTGCTACCCTGACAATTCCTGGATGCTTGTTAGACCATCTTCGTGGCCGGATCTAGTAAGTATATAGAAAGTCGTAGTTGCTCGGAGAGGACGGGCAGTGTCAGGAATGAAGGTAGAGAACAACTATGAGAACAGGGCCCGCGACGCTGTATATCTATAAGTACAGAACTCTCGAAACTCCAACAACTTCTTTTCAAGATTGGCCCTCGATATAGACTCTAACAAAGAAGGCTCCAACTCGAGGTATCGTACAAACTCCAGACCAAATCAGTCTCAAAAATCGAAGAAGCATACGAAAAATGGTCGCGAGCTTCAAACACACTCCCACTCGGCAAAGACACACCACCTGGCACTCCGATCCGCCAATACAAGACCCCTGTATACACCTCTTTCGCCAACCTTGATGACAGTCTCCCACGTACTCCCCAGTCCCTCTTCTTCTTCTTCTATTCCTCTGCCACTGCTGCTACCTCCATATTCTTGTTTTCTTGTGAACCGGATGATCTTGCCCGAAGGAGATTGGATGGCCAATTTGGCAGGTTTTTGTTGTTTTTCGCTCAGGTTCGAGGATTCAGAGAGCATGCTGCCGGTGTGAGATATCCCTGCTGAAGAGGACGCCATGGACATTGCCGAGGAGGGACGGTTATATGGAGCGGGCGAGGTGGAGCGGAGGCCTAGTGCTGAGTTGCTTCTTGCTCCGCTGGATGCTGCATTGTTGGAGCCACCCCATGTGTCGGGTGAAAAGCGGGAGAGTGAAGTTGGGTGCTGACGCACGCAGAACACGAAGGTGTTGTTGATGACCAAGCGAGCGCATTGAGGTTGTGCAACATATAGGTCGTGACGTTGGGCATGAGGAGTGGGGTGGCGGGTGAGGAAGGTATAGGGTGGGTTTTGCCCAGTGTGGAGGAGTGGCACTGCTAGGGCGAGAGCATGCGGGTTGTCCTTGATGCTGTGCATGAGACCTCGTTTGCCGGCGTAGACTTTTAAGATGCCTTCACCTTCGTCGCCGGGCAGGAGCGCTTTGACGACAAAACTCTTTCGACCAGAGATCCAGGTGGGCTGAGCGAGAGCAATCTTTCTAGTCACGTCGCCCGATTCAAAGAGGTCGCCGTCCATGTCGCGGGCGAAAGCGCGGGCCTCGACTTCTGCAACGATTTCCACATCTTCAGGGACGGTGAGTTGGAGGTGTGCCATCTCTAGGTTCTCGAGGTATGCAAATGAAGTGTCGTAGTTTGTAAGCTCAATGTGATGACGGAAATAGGGCGGACAGGCGCTTGGTAGCGAGATGAGGACTTCGTGGGGAACAGGTGGTACAATGTGCTGTTGCTCGGGTAAAAGAGGAATGTGAGTATAACAGATCTCCATGGGCCGTGTGAGGAAGAACCAATGATCTGCAACCGTGTTATTTGCTGAGCTGTACATGCTTCTCTTGGGGTTTGTAGGGTTGGCCAGGGAGCAGTCCATGATGCGCCATTCACCATCAATGATGACGGCATTCCAGAAGTGGTTTGGTCTTGCGATGGTTTCCAAATCAAGACGTTCTCCGGGTCCTTTGAGATAGCCACGAATGACTTCGGCATGGAGTCCTACTGCAGAGCAGAGGTCGCGGACAAGCACGGCAATCTCTTCTCCACAGCCACGCTTGGTCTGCAAGACGCGTCTGGTATCGATCTGACCTTCGAAATCTTCTTCCCAAGTGATGCGTTCGGCGACCCATGTGAAGATGGCACGAAGACGTTGAACATCGCTACGATAGGGCCTGCAAAGATAGCTCTGCGCCAATGATGTCGGAGTGATCATCTGAGGAAGGGCAGAGATGAATCTCGTACCTTTGTCCACCAAACCAAGACTTGGGGCCGCAAAGTCTGTTGGTTCAGTAATGGCTAGTCCGTCAAGACCTTCGTCACCCTCGGTCCGCTCCAGTAGCTCCTCAACTGGATTGAGAACGAGAATGTCCATCATTTCACAACGTTCAATGCGTTCGACTCGTTCGTTTCTGCTCAGTGAGTTGGAACGATTGACATCACGCCTGACCTGCATCCATCCATCGCCACCTCCAAGACCCATATCACGATGTGCTGTCGATGTAAGTGCGGGTGGCGAAGAAGGCATGCCACCAGAGATAGAGGTGACGCCATCAGGTATGATGCTCTTTCTGGGTGAAGCTGCTCGGCTTGGAGGTCTGCCAGATGCAATTGTGCTTCTTGCATTGGCTGCTCCAGTCTTTGCCGTTGTCTTTGCTGTGTCAATCATCTTTCTGAAGAAACCGCTCTTCCTGGCCTTGGGAGCTGAAAGACCNCCGAGCACTCCGGCAGTCTCGAATGGATTAGTAGTCCAATCGGCGACAGGAGTTGGTGCGGGCTGCGTGGCGTGACTCGAATGGAAACTGATTCCAGTTTCTGGAGATTGAGGCCGGGATTGCATGGCTGTTTTGGGGCGTTCCTCCTTGCTACACTCTCCCTGGAGGTCGCCGTACGATCTCGAGCTCAATGCGCTCAACGGTCTTCTTCCTTTTACACTTCCAGTCAAACCCCACTTGCGCCTGGCAAAGCTACCAGCACTAGTGGCGCTAAAGGCACCTGCAGAGTGACCGCTCATGATGCTAGTACTAGTGATTTGAGTGCTCGTAGTGCTGGCCGTGGAAGTACTGTTGGTACCCGAAGAGGAGCTGGTTGCATTGGTCTTGCTTGTTTGCGTTCTGCGAAGTTGCTGTCTGCTTGCAAGGTCGTAGACAGATTTTCGCGGGCTGAGACTTCTAGGAACCTGAGTGCTAAAACGAACACTACCTGAACTGCTCAGGCTACTGGATGTCGTAGGCCTACTGTCACTTTGAGCAGCACCCCCAACAGTCGGAAGATCGGCTCCAGTGGATTTTGTTCGTCTCAAGCGACTTTCCATACGTGAGACGTATTCATCCAACGCAGGCGGACCATCTCTTGAAGGCGGCAAAGAAGGAATAGAACCGTGGTCTTCTTGTACGTTTGCCAGTCTGTTGGGACTTGTTTCCCGTCGGTACATGTCCATGGCAGATTTTGCCCTCGCTTGGTGGGCAGATCGGGAACGTATGAGATCGAATGCGTCTGGTGACCAGATTCCATTGGGACTTTCGGGACCAGGAGCAGGCGATGATCTTCCAGCAACACTGCTCATGTCATGCAGAGAAGACATCACATCGGCCATAGCATCGCGTAGCGGNGAAGGAGTCATTCCAGAAGACTGGCCATCTCTGGAGTGGCCTCCAGGTGTGGTGTAGCCATTATTTAGATCAGCCTCGTGGGAAGGGCGCGGNGAAACAGGCCTGCCCTGTTGATGAAGAATACGATGAGGCGGCGGTGCTGGGGGCGGAGGAGAGGATGCATCGTCTTGTGGGATTGGCGAAGGCTGTCTTGAGATTTGATGCATTGGTGGTGGGGCGGGTGAGGCTGTTCTGAAATAATCATAGTCTTGTGGGGGTCTGTATGCTTGATATTGGCCTGGCGCAGCCATGGGAGTAGGGGTAGGAGATGGAGATGGTGAATGATGGAATTGAGAAGGAGCAGGAGATGCAGCGCGAAAAGGCGAATTGCTTTGATGAAAGGGAGCGGGTGACATGGCTCGGTAAGGATTCGGTGAGGCAGCTCGACTGTACAGATCGGCGTTGGTGTTGGGAGAAGCAGCACGATACATGGCAGCACTGGGTGAGGCATGTCCGCTATACATAGCCGAGTTGGGCGAGGCCTGTCCACTGTACATGGTCGAGGGATTGGGAGAAGTGGAGCGATACATGTCTTGAGGGTTTGGCGAAGCGGGACGATACATGGCTGAAGGAGCGGGTGATGGCGCTCTGTACATGGTCGAGGGCGCAGGTGAAGATGTCCTGTACATGGCAGATGGAGCTGGCGAAGTAGGGCCGTAGAAAGCCGAAGGTGCAGGCGAGACTGATCGATACAAGGTGGTGGGCGCTGGAGAGGAAGCTCTGTACATGTCTCCTGGCGACGGGGGTCTGCTAGCAGAGGCGCGCGGCAGCGGAGAAGGAAGGCGAAATGTCGACTCTTCCTTTAGTGGTGAGGAATGGGGTTTCTTGTCTGAGCCAGGAGCCTTTGCCGTCTTCATGCTCGAGTATGGGCTGAACTTCTTCTTGACTGCTCTGTCTTCTGGTGTGCTGCCACGCGAATTGCACCCGTCGTCGCGATATCCAAACTCTTTGTACCCTTGGAATGGTTTCCGAAAGACGCTCTTTGACTTTTGCGGCGCAGCGACGGTCGTGGGCGGCGAGACATTGCGGCGGATGGGAGCTGGTTGGAACTTCTCGTCGAGCACCTGGACAAAGTTGGAGGGAAACAGGCCAACCATGCGCCGGTCGCGCCGCAGACGACCCATCCACCACGACCCATCTCCTGCATTGAGACACTCGATCAAATCTCCTTCGATGAAGCCCAGGTCTTTCTTGGTCTGTAGAAAAAGTCAGCCAGTGTTGAGCCTCCAAGCCGTCGTCGAGACGTTGCCCACCTCTCCACCCCAAGAATAGACAGCCTTGCACCAGCAGGGAAATTTGGTCGGTATCGACTGGCCCGCCATGTTGCGCAAATAGGTTGTTGAGCCAGGTTGTGTGTGTTGATGTCCAGTCAAGAGGTCGCGTTGTTTATGTCGACGGTCCAGCAACCAGAAACGGGCTCCTCCAGAAGAAATGAATGACGGCCGAATCGCAAAAGGACAAGAAGCAGATGGGAATGACGAATTTCTTCATGCGACCGCCTGGACGGCCTTGTGTGTGTTATGGCGCCTGGCGCGGAGTTCAAAAATGGTGGTTGTCAAGGAAGTGTTGATTGTTTACGTCTCGAAGCGCCAGCCGTCTGTGACACCACAGCCACCCACATGTTGCAACCCGTGAAGCGTCCGATCTGTCCCATCAAATTCGACAAGACTCCATAGTTTTCAGCTCAACTCGGTGGATAACACGGCCGCCATCCTTGTATACTCGTCCCTTGCGATCCTTGTGTTTTTCTGTTTATACTTTTTTCCATGTCCTTATCCCCGCTCGCTGCCACAACAAAGCATGCCCTTGCTGCAAGAATTACAACCTCCGAGGATCAGATAAGCTCTCGCGACCATGATCCTCGCGCGCGTGTGAACCCCATTGTCGAGCACAAGGTTTTGCTCCACATGCGAGCATTGGCAAATACCCACTTACACTACTGCATCTGCCCTGGTTGAACCTTTCCTTGCTGCATCCCACCGCCAGCCACCCGGTTTCCAGCAGATCCCTCACATTTCAAGAGTCTCACAAGCACTTTTGCAAATCATCCGAACCACGTCTCATCAATGCTTCCTCCTCGATCGGGAGCGCCTGCTTCTTTGTACACGTCGTGTGCATCGTCCTGGTATCATATCTAGTTAGACTCCGTGAATTCCTCCAACTCCGTTGTTGTTGTGCCTTGGAACCTGCCCCACGCTGCAATGCATTCACCAAAAATGACGCGCTAATCGTCTCACGCTTTTTCTCTACACCGCCATGTCCTTGTCAAGCACAACGGATACCAGCCCTGCTCTTCCGCTCTCGTATACCCGTGCGCCGAGTACCTCGCCAATGGCTTCTGTCAAGCGTTCCTTTAGTTCTGCACCTTCGGGATGTCCGTTGGTCATGTTTGCCGAGTATTGCTCCAAAAGCTCCAATGACCGAAGCAGCACCAATGCAACCTTTTCAGCTTGATCCTTCTTGTGCTCGTCTGTCAAACCTTGCTTGAGCACCTGGTCATAGGCTTTGAGGTTGGGAAGAATAAGTGTTCGTACACCTGCTGCTCCAGAGATGCCTCGTAGGCCAAGGATGGCTCCGTAATGAGTGCCAAAAGGTTTGTGCGAGTCGAGGAAGTCCTTTAGACATGAACGTGCGATGCGAGGTTTGAGTGTACCGGAAGTTTGGCCATATTGTTTGGCAATGGCCGTCAGCAACGAGGCAGAAAAGTCGCGAAGTGCAAAGTGTGCTTCGGGACCATCGGTGGATGTAGAGCCAAGATGTTTTCCGATCAAGCATGTAAGAACCGGAGGAATCAGTGAAGCAACGTATGGAGCAATGTATAGGCTGGGGTTCTCTAGCAGGGCAGCCAGCAGCTGCATCATTTGCCTGAGAACGAACAAGCTCTTAAGATTGTGTGTGACCTTGTCTGCGACGAATTGAACAAAGTATGGCACCAGCTGATGAAGACCAGGATCAGTGCGCAAGCTGGCGAAGGCCGAGATGCGAAACTCCTCGTTGGTCTCGTCCAGGATGGCGCTACAGATGCGTTCAAAGTATAGTTGTAGTTCTTTTGATATGACATGTTTGACCAGAGGCTTGACAGCAACATTGTCGTTTCCACCGATGGCAGCCAGGTTGGGATTTGCGCCAGGACCTTTGGGTAGAAGCTCTTGGTGTCGTTGATCGGCAGAGGTGGGATTTTGAGGGATCGAGGGTTGCACGCCTTCTACGGCGAGCCAGTGTGCTGTANNGATAATGTCAGTTGAGATTGATGGTAGACTGTAGGGCAACGAACCTGTTAGGGACATCTCGCGCGGCACCTTTGGTAGTGGAGCGTTGATGAACTTCTCAAAGTCGATTTCTTCATCCTCGACGTAATACAATGGTTGTCCAGGGCCTATTGATGCCTCACCAAAGCGCAGAGGTCTCGTAGCTTCGTAACCATAGAGAGGCTCAACATCAAGCAGGCGCAAGGCCTGTGAAATGTCTTGTGTGCTCAGAGTAGTTCTCTTCGCATTGCGCATGAATTTGAGGGCTTCTTCCAGGATTTGGCTGACGCGATATTCGACATCCTGAGCGAGTTGGGTCACAACGTCGTGATTGAGAGCGCCAACACCAACAGATTCGGCGACATCTGTGATGTTGTCTGGATTCCAGACCGGGTTCGACATTGCGGTGACGGCAAGGGTGGCAGTGATGGAGACCAGACCACGTGCGATGGAGAGCTTCGGTTGTGATTGACTAGGTAGTGAAGTGGATTCAAGGTACGCGCGTGGTGTTCTGGTCGTGATGATGTGCAGCAAGCACGGCAGTGGCTTCGTACGCCCGTAATTGAGTGGGCGTAAGACTTAATCTCGCTTGTGCTACGATGGAGGGCACAAGAAGCACCGAGCCAGATAGTGATGGGTTAGTAGAGTCGATTAGCAACACTGAGTGGAGTTGTGTCAAGAGTGCTCAATTCCAGCCCGCGTCAAAGACCAAGCCCGCAGCTCGGAAGACGCAACTTCCCAAGACAGCGGCCTTTCCCGCGTTTTGCGACGCCAAGCCTTCTTGGTTCCTGCCCTTCTTTGCTAGACCCTCCATCGGTTGCACTTTCCTGCCCCTCGTTTTGCTCTCAGGCTCTCTAGCCCGAGTCTTTGCTTCTCTCTCCCGTCGAGCTCCATCATGGTCCTTGATCCACCGAGCCAACCCGACCCTGTTTGGTCAAGCCTCGATTGCACTGACATGAGGCGTGTCTACGTGCCGCAATTGCGCTATTGACACGCCATCAGCTATGTCTGTCAATCTGATGCTCATGTCATATTGTACACTAATGTCTATTAATTGTCATCATCCACATCTAACATGTAGTGATCTGACTGCTGCTCGGTAGTCTTTAAGTGAGCGACGATATCTATGGCGTGGAGATCCCATGCTTAGGCGAGAGACACTTGTGCAGACTATCTGTCGACGGAGCTGCATGGCGCTACACCCACGTTGTATCCTTGACAAGGTCAGCATAGTGAGTTTTGTCCTTCCCACTGAGGTCGCGCCTAAGAGCATGTGGTCAAGACTCGACAGACTGCCCCTCAAGTTTGAGCAGCCCGTCCCGCGCGGCATAATCTTCTCTCAAAAGTCTTCTTCTCCAAACGATCATGACGTTCCCAAGGGACCCTTTGACTATGCTAGAGTTCAGCCGCCTGAGCACTGTCGGGACTGGTTTTGGTGCCATCTGGCAACGCTAATGGTCTTGACTGCGACCATCAAATCCACAATTGCGCTCCTTCCACACCTGCATGTCCGATCCACTGTCCCGAGCATATTCTCTGCCAATCTTTTGCTTGTCATTCCATTGTAAGACTAGAACATTGCGACCATCTATTTGACGTCAAGGCTTTCTTCCGAGGCATTGATAGTCTTTCAGTGGACAATAAATACCCCGCCGGCTCCCTTCACAAGCACCAGCCTGTTCATCATCTTTTTCCTTCAATTCACTTCTACCATGCCTTCCATCACCCTTCTTGCCCTCTTGGGCACCGTGGCTTCTGCAGCCAAAGTCTGCACCAATGTGACTGTTCCAGTCTACATCAATGCAAGACAGGCTGTTTTTGACGTTCCTACCTTCGAGTCAAACTTCGATGCAGTCAAGTTTTCTCTTGACTTTACCAACATCGGTATGAACTACACCGACGTTGTCACTACCGGATTCCAGACTGTCACTGGAAACTACAATATCAGCGCCAAGTACTGCAAGCCCCAAGGTGACAACAAGGCCAACCCCGTTGTTCAGGTCTTGACTCACGGTATTGGCTTTGACAAGAGCTACTGGGACTTGTCCTACAACAACTACAACTACTCTTACATTGATGTTGCCGTTGCTGCTGGCTACCACACTGTTTCAATCGACAGATTCGGAATCGGCAACTCTTCCCACGCCGATCCTCTTAACATTGTGCAGGCTCCTGCCGAGGTTTCTGCTCTGCATGAAATCAGTTCGATGCTCCGCAACGGAACCTTTCCTCAGGTTAGCCAAAAGTTTGGCAAGGTGGTGCACGGTAAGTTGATCTTGCCTGTCATGGGGCCGAGTCCTTGTTCATGGAACTGATGAGTTTTCCTAGTCGGACACTCTTTCGGCTCCCTCCAGAGCTACCTCTTGACCGCTCTCTACCCTGGTTCTTCTGACGGTGTGGCTCTCACCGGCTTTTCCATGAATGCCACCTGGCTCGCTCAGACTCTTGCCGACTGGAACCTGCACCTTGCTCGTCTCAACCAGCCCCTTCGTTTTGGTGACCAATCCGTCTCTCGCTCCAAGACCAACACTGCTTGGCTCAGCCAGAATGTCATCTCAATCCTTCAGTCTGCTCTCAGTGCTGTTGGTATCAACCTTTCGGACTCTGATATTTGGCAAGAAATCGCTACCACCGAGGTCGGTGATATTATCAACGGCTGGAATGCTACTGTGGCACCTATTGCACAAAACCTACCTACCGGATACCTCACCTGGAGCGATCTGACTTGTGAGTCTTGATTTTGAAGCTGTATTGTCCTCGACTAACGAACCCTCGAGNCAAACATTTTTGCATTCTTGTACCCCGGCTACTTTGATGTTGGCGCCGCTCTCTATGCTGAGAGTACCAAGCAACCTGTTACTCTCGGAGAGGTCTTCACCCTTGGCAATGGTGCTCCTGCTAGCTCTCCCCACACTGGTCCTGCTCTTGTCCTGACCGGTCGTCAAGGTGAGTTTTCCAATGCTTAAAACTCTTGCCGTCTCAGTGACTAACTTCCTTTTCNNGATACGATCTATTGTGGAGGCCAGTCCAAAAAGTTTCCCTCCCCCATTCTATGCTAACCGTCTCATANNGGTGATTGTCTCGCTACCGGTGGTGCCGCTGCTAGCATTCCTGCTGGAGTCGCTGCAGCATTCCCCAATGCCAGCAAGTTTGAGGCCTACATTCACCCAAACACTGGCCATGGTATCAACTTCCACTACAACGGTAAGTAGTCGTCTCATCAGATGCACGAACGTTATTATGCGCGGGTTGATAAGATGCTAACGTCTTTTCTGTTTCAGNCTACTGGTGCCTACAATGTCATTCAGAACTTCTTTGCATCCAACGGTCTCCAGAGCTCATAGAAGCAGAGACAATTCCTTTCGCCTTTGCTCAATTGCTACTCGAACTCCAGCCGAATGCACATCATGACAGCATGATGCAGCGACACGATTTCTTAATGTAATATGTATAGACATGGGATTTTATCTCGATCCACAAATTTCTTTTTCCTCTGCTATATCCTGATATTACAGCGCATCAAGCTATCGAAATATGTACCGTACGGGCGTGTCACGTCGTATGGGGAAGGTCTGAGATGGAACTATAGATGGTGTTTCAATATATTTTAGCCTCGTGGCACGAAAAGCACTGCAGTTCTCATGCACGGCGGCTGTCGGTCAGGCACCCGATCCGAGCTTGTCCCTTCTCCCCTTACTTCCCAAGATACAACATTACCTCATCTCACTGCGACAAGATCAAAAGAAGTGGCTTGCATGCAACGACACTAGTTCTGTGTTTGCCACAACCTGTTGACTGGGATGCATGAGCATAAGTTCTCGTTCTGGATGCAAAACCTTTTGCTCAACGACCATGAAGATGGTCGAGCAAGCAGGTAAAGTCCTTGGAGTTAATATGCTTAAGGCTGTCGTGGATACGCACTGGCTCGCGAGCAAGGCACGGGGCGTGTGCGCCAGTTGCCGTCAACCGAACAGAGCCCGTGGCTGCCGCTCAACTCTTATTCCCCTTGCCTTTCTCGCCGACCCGTTTAAGAGTGAGACACCGAGTCCGGCAAGAATGTCGATCTCTCATCGTGGCTCTCTACAGTAATCAAGTTGGTCAATACCAATCTCCCTCCCAGCAGAACATTAGGTGTGTGATGTTATCAGCTGAAACATCCGATTTCCTGAGTCCTTGATTCTCAGGGTCGACCGCCCCGTAAAGCAGACTGGCATATGGAGCGGCATCATGATCTTCCTCTTTCACCACTCATCCAGACTCGCTTAATAGAGTACCCGGCTGCAGACGAAGTGGAGTCTTGCTTTCTTTCCCTTTGATCTGCAGGAATAGACACGGTATGGCCCTTGCACCTGTCTCGGTGTTCTCTTCGCGTGCAATATATTGCCGTGCAGCCACCCCTTTTACCCTTGTTCGCAACACGAAAAGGTACCGCGGCCAAAAGTCTTGGTCTGGTGATGCATGAATGAAGAGATGGGAAGTGGTTTTTTGGTCTAATCGTTCTTGTAGCATCAGATATGAGATGGACGACTAGTATCTCCACCTCGGCATGTTGATGCAAATGGTAGAGCCCATGACTTTTGACTGCTTTCCAGGGCTGGAAGATGTCTAGACTTGTCAGTATGCTGCTAAGCATCCAATAGTGCACTCACTGGCCATGGTAGATACTATATACACAACCTTATTCCGACCCTCATCAATCCTGACGCCTTCGTTCCCGTGGCGCAAACGAGAAAAATGGCGCAACCCAGATGCATTGCGCAATCAGCCTCTTGCAACCGACTTACACAATCTAGGGACACGAGATGTACGCTCTCAGCAACCGTCATGTTCTGACTTTGCATGGAAGCGATCTGAGTGCGTCTGTGACACAGGAATACAATTCTATCATCACCTATGCTGCTTGATTGAGAATGGGATATTGATAACCTGGATATGCGGCATCAGTGTGCCAATCTGGCGTTCAATTGTAGGACTTTTGCCTTTGTTGTGATTGTCTCAAAACCGCACCGAGACTCTATCATGATCATGAAGATATGCAATAAACCGTTGATCTCAAACGAGAGTAGCTCACATGTCCGCCTTGGCAGCAGCCTTTCTCTTTTCGTTCGTCCTCTGGATATCCTTGAAGAATTTACTCGTCGGTTTATTCTTCTTGAGCTCTTTGTTTCTGCTCTTGTTATACTCGATGTATGCCATGTCCTTGCCACCAGCGTATTCTGAGAGGGCGCCAGCTGTACGACGCACACCAGGTTTACCCTTTGGTCCCTTGTGCATTTGTCTTCCACTAAAGAGATCGTCTTGAATATTTTCGACACTGCCACTTTCTTCGCCGGCCATGAGGACGTCTTCGAGAAGTTCCATGCGTGAGGACGTGTCGCGGAAATGAAGGCCCTCGACTTTGTCGATACCTGTTAGATGGGTAATGACCTTGAAGGAATAGCCTTGATCAACGAGGAAAGCTTGACGTTTCGACGAGTAGTACATTTCGTTTGTGTCTTTGGAAACAAGTGAGTAGAAGAAGGCGTTGAAACCCTCGTCGTTTCTACGCTTTGCACGCAAGATGCGGCCTAATCGTTGAGCCTCTTGACGACGAGANGCTGAGGTTGTTAGCATTGATCAATGTTAATAGCATACTGCAACTTACCCATAATGACTAGAAACCTGAATCAGGCAAGTAGCCTCTGGCAAATCCAGACTGGTATCTCCAATCTTGGACAAGAAGATTGTTCGCACTGATTCGTTTTGTTGAAAGTTTTGCAGAACCATTTCACGCTCTCTTTGTGGCGTGTCTCCGTAGATATAAGGCTTCTTCAGACGTTTGGCATATTTCTCGAGAGCATATACGTTGTCAGAAAAGACGATAATCTTGTCTCCTCTTTTNTCGTGGTAATCTATCAGGAACTGACAGGCTTGGAACTTCCTAGGATTCATGGTGGAGAGTAGAGAGCGTTTGTTGGTAGTACGAGCCTTGAGGTATTCGCCATAAAACTCGGTTGTCATGGGACACCAGACTTCGGCGCATTGTACACGAGCAATGTGGCCTTCTTCCGACAATTGTAGCCAGTTGGCCTCATACAATTTAGGACCGATGAGAAAGTTCAAGTCCTTGATCTTGTCATCCTCTCGTAGTAAGGTAGCAGTCAGTCCGAGTTTAGAGTGTGATCTGATTTTGGATGTGACACGTCGAAACATTTCGGCAGGCACGACGTGAACCTCGTCGAGAACCATCAAGCCCCATTCTCGATTTTGAATAAAGTCCATGACTTGCTGACTGTCGTGTGCTCTTCGTGTGTTTTGGGTGACCATACTGTATGTGCAAACGATGATGCCTGCTCGTTGATTGAGTTTTTCTTTTTCGCCCGAAGTAAAGATGGCAATATCATCCGGATTGATGTTTGACCATTTCAAAAATTCATTCTTCCACTGATAAGCACTCATGGCAGAAGTGCACAAGACGATGGCAGATTTCTTGACTGTACAGGCAGCAGTAATGCCGACCAGAGTCTTGCCGGCACCACAAGGTAAAACAATGATTCCACTTCTGGCACGACCATTGCCGAACATTTTACTCAGAGCGTGTTCTTGATAGTATCTGATTTGAGCCATGGGTCGTAAATCAATGTCCAGATTTGCGTTGATGTCGTCGTTTCGAAAGTCGTATTCGTTTGTCAGAGGTAATCCCAAAGTGACATTGCATTGTTGTTGAACTGCTTGAATCTTTTCACCATCAATTTCGAACGAGTGGACTTCATCACCCTCGTCATCATCGTCTTCATCCCTGAGGTAGGCTGTCATGTCCTGTTCTGCTTCATCCTTTTTATCGTCCTCGTCTTCGTCGTCATCGTCATCGTTCTTTTTGCAGCCTTTCTCTGTGCTTGAGCTNTCGGCTTGCTTGACGCCAGCAGCATCCTTTGTTCCTGGAATGACTAGACCCCCNAGTTGAGGAGCCTTTTCCTGAATCAATTCGTCGGTTTCGTGAATTCTGGCCGGACCAACGACGGGATCGCGCAAAAGCATTTGCAGGACAGAAGCATCCTGACTTTCAATGTAATATCTGTTGTGCTTTAGGACTAGACGGATTTTTCCATATGACTGAGTAGAAGTGAAGATGAATTCTTTTAGACTGTCGGGGAGCTTTGTTTTTGAAAAGACCTCGAGTTGGCGAATAATGTCGTCGGTGGTGAGGCCAACCGAGACGGCGGCAAACAGACTGTGGCCTGTGATGGTGTATTCATGGACGTTTGTGGTTCGCGACTGGGGCTCGGCAATGTTGATTAGGAAATTCTGAGCCTGCTTGAAGGAAGGAGAAAAGGTTTCGACAACGATTCTGCCCTTTTCGGGATCGAGCCAGAGCGGACGCACGGCGTGGTCAGGTTTCAGTTCGAGAGCGGAGAGTTCCTTGTCGCTGCGAAAGAGACGAGTGGCTTGATCGGAGTCCTGTGGCCTTGTATTCTTGGAGCGGTACGAGGATGGCTGAAACTTCTTGACGGTTTCTTCGTAGTCGTCGTTCTGAGGCGTGTAATCGTCTGGGTCGTCGGACATGTATTCGTCGTCGCTACTGCCCATGCTGACGGGAGTGTTGACACCCGACGCCGCACGCTTGGATGGGCGGGAGCCGGTGGCGGCGGCGGCGGCCTTGCGTTTGGGCGGCATAGCGAGCGTGTCTGGAAGAGAGGAGTCTGTGTCGGACGGCTAGATGGTGTATCTTTGAGAGACGGGATTATGTCGACTCCACGTGCTGTAGCCTAGACTTTGTGGATGACGGAATGCTTCACGAGGCGGAGAAGCTTTGGTGAATTCAAAGGCCCTTGTTTCCGCTATCACCGGTCATTGTTCGCGACTGCAGTGATATAAGCCGGCTTGTGTTAGTGATACTATTGATATCATGAATCTGACTTGGTGTGCATGAACGAGGCAGTTTTGTAACCAGGCGTGTGAATGGAAGGTGCCGGCTACAACTGCTTGTTTGGCAGGGAAGGTGCGGCTGGGGCTGCCCTCAAGGTCAATCTCAGGTGATGCAACCATTTGTCTGCCACGACTTTGCCCGATTCTTCTGCACTTGACCTTTGTCTTGTTTGTGACCATCCACTCTACCTACAACTGCCAATACAATACCCATATACCAACCATGAATACTGTAAGCTCCCTAAAGGCTGTGTCGTACGCCTCAGGCGGCTAACTTGCCCCACAGGTCAGATCTGTTGGGTACGCTTCAGCAACAAAAAGTCCAAATTGCTTCACAATCCTTCTGACAACACTTCTCCTCACAGCTACGGCTGGGGTGTCCTCATCGTCGCAGGCGGCGGTGCATACTACTTTGCCAAGAAGAGCATCAACAAGGATCGTGCCGAGCGCGCAGAAGCAGACAACAAGAGACGCATGGAAATGCGCGAACTCCAGAACCGATATCCCATCCCTCCCCAAAAGCAAGACAGCCACGCAAACCCGAGCAAAGAAGCCACCGAAGACATGTCGCCGGCCTCGGGTCACGCTGCCGAGAGTGGAGGTCGCAGTCCCTTCGAGAGCTCTGCACCATATAGGAGCAAANAGGGTGATCGCTTCAGCTAATTACAAACGAGTCCGTCGCCTCTGCTCAATCATCCGCCGTGCCCGAAACTTGTTATATCCAACTATATTTCCCAAGCGTTGCTCACAGATGCTCGCGCCCTGACGGCCACTCAACATTTGCGCTCCGTCATACACCTTCTATAAGACTCAGTAATCAAATCGAACGTTCGTGCATCTATCCGATGAAACGACTACCTACCATTGTAGTGGAAGTTGATGCTGTGGCCAGTGTCTGGATGGATGGATGGAGGCCTCAAACTTGCTGGCGTTGGGTCGAATGCTGCAGCGACTGCAGCAGGAATACTAGCAGCAGCGCCGTCAGTAGCCAGACGGTCACCTATGAGATAGTTAGCGTAAGCGCAAGGGAAAAAGTCGGCATTTCAACCCCCGCAGTATACTGGCCACAAGTCCTTCTACCGTCCTAGACAATCTGGCTACACAACGACAGCCACCTGAGCCCAATATTGTCATCAACCGATGGCTTGTCGGGGATTATGGAAACCCGAGATAATCGGATATCAAAGTCTTCACCCAGAATTGATCGTTTAATCCCGGTCGCCAACGTCCTCGTTGTGGTAATATTGGTGATAGTCATCAGGCCGTACGTATTTGCTGCCCACACTCAGACCATTGCTCCTCTTGCCCAATCTCTTTGTACAACACCATGCCACTCGAGACGGCACGACGGTGACGACTCTCACTCAATGTTGCTCCGATTCTTCTTTAAGATACATTTATACTGTAGCATCTGGAGTTCATTTCACACATAATTCTTTCTATTGCCAAACCAAGGCATATACAGCCGACCACAATGGCTGCCTTTCTCATTCCTGGATATCACGAGTAACAAACACACTACTCTTCTCGCTCCTTAACCTATGCTTCAACGCCCAGTGTCCATGCAAAGCCGTGCCAGGCTAGTTCCTGAAACGCCATATCCTTAAAAGCGACCATAATCTCGTTTGCAACCTTTGTGCTCCTTGTCCTCAAGATTTGCGACCGAGACCAGCATAGTCTTCGAGGCGAGAACCATATGCAAGACAGTCTCTGTAGCTGAGAGGTCGNCCTAGGAAACTCGTCAGTTTGACTGTATATTTGCCCTTGCTCTGGTCGAGCACTCACATCTTTGCATATGTAGTATCATTCCGTGTACGTCTACTCATCTCTGCCGCTCCGGCAAATGGCGCACTAAAGGCAAGTGTACAGTATCCCATGAGTCCGATAAATTTAACTCGGTCTTTGGGACTCATGGTGTTGAAGTGAGTGGTTCCTGAGCGGATGCTTTGCATAAGCGCTGCTGATGGAGATGTCATGGTGCTCGTATTTTTGATAAAAGTGGTCTTTTGGTCCTTTGTTAGTTTTGTGGACAGCAACAACACACGGGGCAACACTCACATATAACCTCCAGTTGGTCAATAAAAAAAGTGGTAGTGAATCCTTTGCAAGTGTTCAAGATACCCTCGAACCTTTTGTAGCAGCGAATCCCGTCCTTTTATACCTCAACACCACCTTGATGAACCTAAAAGTATCACATGCAGTGGCTGCCTCATATGGCGCAAAGACTGCCTGAATCATACCATTCCAACGAGGGCCCCACTTGAACATGGCCTGTGGAGCAACGATTCCGCCAAAATGACAAGATGTCACGCCATCTCTCATGCCCATCTGCCCGATCGAAAGGAGGATTGTTCTCTTGCTTTCACACCGTCTGTTGCCGCACATTCTTTCCGACTCTATTCAGAGTTTCGGTGTCTTGTTTCGGCATGTTTCGATCAAAATTAGATTTGAGGGCCTTGTGAGAGCGGTGGTTACGAGCGGAAGTCATGGTCGGCATGTTTGGAGGAGGACCTTGAATCGTGGGGCCGATGGCTTGACGCCCGGACAAGCCCGAAAGCGACCCTGACAGTGTACTTTGTGGGGTAAATGTTTCTTTTGTTCCAGTCGTGGTTCATGGCACACCTTAATGTTCACCACGTCTTTTCACCATCTGCCCATCGTGCTAGCTTGCTCTCGGGAGTTCAGATGTATGTTTCCAAGGTAGTTTCACCCAGTCATACCGCCATACTGTGTCAACTCTCTGATAATGGCTCTGGTAGGTTTGCTTGACTCGCTGTCGAACCTTGAAACCGATACGTTGATCACTTCAGCTGCCAACGCGTCGCATCCGCTCATGCGTACGCCAAACGCGTCTGGCGGTGGAAAATGGTCTGAGGATGTTTGAAGACCGTTGAAAGAGGAGGTTGGATCAGATAAGATCATGGATATTTAGAATATCCACTGATCATCTCAGAACTGCGTCATTGACTGGGGCTTCTCAAACCTACAACCTCCTCTCCTCGTGTTTGAGCAGCTCTTTTTCTTTGACATCAGCCAAGCTGCCTGACAAAAAACATAACTAAACACTTGGACCAGAACGCCAAATGTCTACAGGAGCATTGCCACCANAAAAGGCGGCTGAAAAGACCCTCGAGACTGGCGTCCACCATCTCGAAGAAGACTTGCAATTGACCTTTCTCAAGAACATCTATGGCGCTCTACTAATCTCGGCAGGAGGCTTGCTCTCCCTCACTTTGGTTACTGGTACTCCGGGCTTGTCACAGACCAATCCTGGACTTCCACGGATTTTGCAGGGAATCACGTTCCCTATTGGCCTTGTCCTGGTCTATCTTGTGGGAGCTGAGTTGTACACTGGATATCCCATGTGGTGAGTTCCTGGTGCCTCATGAAACATGCACAATCTAATTCGATACCCAGGTNTCGTAATGACTGCTCTCGAGCGAAAAGGTTCCCCGATTCAATACATACGTGGCGGTATAGCATCCTGGCTTGGAAACCTTGTGGGCTCCTTAATCTTTGCTGGCCTCTTTACCCATCTCACTGAGATCCTCAGCGAAGATCCCTTCAAGAGTGGTACCATCTCCATGGTCTCCAAAGACATCATCGAATCCCAATGGCACATCATCTTCCTTCGCGCCATTCTCTGCGGCTGGCTGGTAACCTTTTCTATGATGTTGGGCACACAAAACCAAGACGGCATTAGCAAAGCTTTGGCTTTGCATTTGCCCTTCTTCATTTCGACAGCGGCAAAGTGCCCACATACAGTCGAGTACATGTATCTCGGCTCCACTGCCATGTTCCTTGGCTCTCCCATGTCGGTGGGCATGTTCATCTGGAAATGCCTGATTCCCATTACCTTGGGAAATACTATTGGCGGAGGCCTATTCACGGGTGCCTATTCTTGGTGGGTGCATCTCTACTGTGATGACAAAAAGGCTGCTCATGGTGATGGAAATGGCTGGGGTAATGTCAGACTTGATGACGATGAGTAAAGGACCTGACATTTGATGAGCAAATGAGTTTGTGTACAAGAGGACAGGGAGGTGTTTTCATAGAAATTCGACTTTTTTGCTGCTTAAGATGCCGAGCTGTCGCTCATCTAGAAACCACGTCGTGCGGGACCTCCAGATACGTTCCAGATCCATCAGAGACCATTCACCTTGCATGTTTACAGCGCACCAAGGGTGTGGATCAGGGATTAGTTCCACGCCTTCCAGCTAAAAGTTTGCCCAACTAGAAAGCTTCTGGCGCCCCAAAACGACCTTCCCTCAAAAGTCAAGAGCATTGCTGAGAAACAGGACAACGACATGGCGCGTTGCGAGTACAATCGTCTAGGGCCAGGAAAAAAAACTTTGTGGAGACGAGGCGCACTTGTTTCTCCAGACATGATAATACGTGAAGAGCACAAGAAGGGTAAGATGGGGTATTTTGGTTGTTTTCAAAAGATCCCTTTCTTGCCAACCTCGTCGTGATTCTCATAACATAAGCCTCCCGTACGCCGTCCTTATGCTTCGCTTCGAAGTCGTCCAAAATGACATTACTCCTTATCTCTTGCTAGTGTCCTCCTTCAAGCTGACAATGCGGTTCAAAATGATGTTTTCGGCCGAGCTATCCTTGTCGACACAGAAGTATGCGGTGCGCAAACCCTGGAAGCGTACAGCCTCGGGGCCAGTGTTGCCCTTGGCTTCGCCCTCCTCCTTGGGCCAGGGTGCACGCTGTTGAATGTCAAAGAAGCCAGCCTCAATCATGGCATGCTTGTGCACAATCTCGCTATCGGGATTGACATTTTCATAGTAGCCGCCCTTCTTCCAGTCGAGCTCGTTGGGGCGAGGGTTCTTGAAGAGGGAGTTGAAGATACGAGCCTCGGCCTTGATTGGCGACTTGTGAGCTGCCGACTCACCAATCCAGTGAATGCGGGCCTTGCCTGCGGGTACTTCGGCACCATATTCGGCACGAATCTCATTAACCTTGCCGTCCTCGCCCTTTGTGAATGATGTGCAGCGGAGAGGGTGCTCGGCATAGAGTAGACCAACAGACTTGCCGGGGGCAAGACGGAAGAAGTCTGGGTCGTCGACCTCGCGGAAATCATCGCGATCAATATAGATGGTCTTGGTGAAGGGAAGCTTGTGCATACCCTTCTCCTTATCCTTGGGGTCAAAAGGCACCTCACGCTCCTCGAGGTAGTCTTCGGCAAGATTGTCAATGACAACCTTGATGGGATCAAGAACAACAATCAAACGTGGCACAGTACGCTCTAGGTAGGTGCGAACTGAGGCGTCCAGCATGTGCATCTTGGTGTCGGCATTGGCCTTTGTCACACCAAGGTCCAGGACAAACTTCTTTAGGGCGCCAGGAGGAACACCACGACGACGGAGAGCGACAAGAGTAAAGAGTCGGGGATCATCCCAGCCACGGACAACAGGAGGAATAGTCTGAGTGCCTGCGACAGGCTTGGACACGGCAGTCTCGGCGCCAACTTCTTCTTCGCCAGTCTCCGCGATTCGAAGCTCATCAGCAGCTCCAGCAAGCTCCTCTTCTTCAGAAGGCTGCTGGCCACCGGCATTGACACCCTCAACCAGCATTTGAATTCTACGCTTGGAGAGGATGGTGCCCTCGACATTGAGTCTGCCATATTCGCGCTGCATGGGACCCTTTTCTTCGGAAGCGGGAAGCTTGTGGTTAAGGGCCTCTAGGAGCCAATTGTAGGCAGGGCGAAGAGTCTCGAATTCAACGGTGCACAAGGAGTGGGTGATGCCCTCAAAGCTATCGCACAGACAGTGGGTGAATTCGTAGGTGGGGTAGATTCTCCACTTGTGGCCGGTACGGTGATGGTAGTTTTGGTCCTTGACTCTGTAGGCGGCGACATCCCACATGGAAGGGTTCTCGGCCAGTGTCTTTAGCTTGGCCTTTTCCTTCTTCGTCTCGGACGAGTCTTCATCGGTGACAGCATATTCCTCTGGCTTGGTACCAAGATACTGCTTCATGCGCAAAAGAGCCTGGCCAGCCTTGTACTTGCCGTCCCTCATGGCACGGAACTCTTCCAGAGACTCGGCGACAGGTCTGCTCCAGTGGCTACAGACGGAGCGTGGGCCATGGTCGGAACCTCCTCTTCCCTTTTGGACCTCTTCGGCAGTACAATAGCATACATAGGCCTTGTTGCGGTTGATGAGCTCTTCGGCCAGGCGGTACAGCTCGTCAAAGTTGTCGCTGCTGTAGGTGATGTTGGCGGGCTCGAAACCAAGCCAGCTGACCATGTCCTTGATGCTGGTGAAGTAGCGTTCCTCCTCCTTGGCAGGGTTGGTGTCGTCGAAGCGGAGGTTGCACTTGCCGCCATAGGCTCTGGCGAAACCAAAGTTGACGGTAATGGCCTTTGCGTGACCAATGTGCAGGTAGCCATTGGGCTCGGGAGGGAAACGGGTCTGGACGTCTGGGACGGGCTTCTCATTGTACACACCCTTTAGCCAGCCTTGCTTGAAGTTGGCATTGGGGTCGGCGGGAGCAGCGGGCGTGCTTGCGGCTTGCTGTTGTTTGGCAGGAGCGGCTTCCTTGTGCTTTTCCTTGGCCGCCTTTGCAGCTGCCTTTTTGGCCGCCTTTTCGGCGGCGCGCTTGGAGATTTTGGGCTCTTCGGGGCTGCGTCGGCCATGGTGTATGTCGCGTGTGTCTTGTGCTGGTCCCAGACAGGAGGACGAGATAAATTATTGCTCACTTGGTTGCTGCTCGTTGTCCCGCGCCGCGATAAGCTGATAAGCTATGGTCACGACTTTTGACCAGCACGGCTGCCCGAACTTCTTGAGCCTTCGATGCTTCCATGAGGCGACGTGTAGATAGTTGTTGCAACTTAGCCATATCCCCTGACACCCGCCATCATGTATGTTCCTCCTCATCGTTTCTTGTGACTTCTACTGACCTTATGTCTCCTTCCAGGGCGCCGCTCGTGGATAATGCCCAGGTCAAGTCTGCCTCGCTCCACAACCCGCTGCCTCTGGCATTGCACACATATGTCTGGCCCTTCCTGATTGTCTGGCCCGTCTTTTTCGCCTTTTACCTGTCCGAAGAACGCTACGAAAAACACTTCAACGGTCAAGAATGGACCTTTGTCTGGTCTGGCAGCATCGTCACCATTCAGTCCCTCTTTTGGCTCTCCACTNTTTGGAACATCAATGTCCGCTCCNTCTTCACCACCACGCGCGCTTCCGATGTGCGTAGCGCCGGTCTGATCAAGGTTCTTCCTGCCGAAAATGCTGGCTCTGCCGACATCTGCTCCATCGAGCGCGAAAATGTCGACGGCAAGACCAACATCTCCTTTCTATTCCAAAAGCGTCGTTTCCTGTACTCGCAGGAGAATGGCACCTTTGCCCCCTCTCCTACCCCCCTAGACCAAGAAGTCAAGCCTGCCATTGGTGAATTCCAAAAGTCCAAGGGTCTTACCACCGCAAAAGAAGTCGCCCGTCTCCAGCAATACTATGGCCCCAATACCTTCGACATTCCCGTCCCCTCCTTTACAGAGCTATTCAAGGAACACGCCGTCGCGCCCTTCTTCGTCTTCCAAATCTTCTGTGTCGGTCTCTGGATGCTCGATGAATACTGGTACTACTCCCTCTTCACCCTCTTCATGCTCGTCGTCTTTGAGAGCACTGTCGTCTGGCAGAGACAGCGCACCCTGACCGAGTTCCGCGGCATGAGCATCAAGCCATACGACATTTGGGTATACAGAGAAAAGAAGTGGATCGAAGTTCAGAGCGATGCTCTTCTACCTGGTGATCTCGTCTCGGTTGGCCGTACCAAGGAGGACAGTGGTGTCGCCTGCGATATGCTCTTGGTTGAAGGCTCTGCAATTGTCAACGAGGCCATGCTTTCTGGAGAAAGTACCNCTGTTCTCAAGGATTCCGTTCAGCTCCGCCCCTCTGACGCTCGCATTGAACCCGAAGGTATCGACAAGCTCGCCTTCTTGTATGGCGGTACAAAAGTCCTCCAAGTTACTCACGGCAACACTGGCTCGGACGATTCGGACAAGATTCACCCCGTCGTCTCGGGCGTTCCTGCAGCTCCCGATAATGGAGCCATGGCCATCGTCGTTAGAACTGGTTTCGAGACCAGTCAAGGCAGTCTCGTCCGCACCATGATCTACTCTACCGAGCGCGTATCGGCCAACAATGTCGAAGCCTTGCTCTTCATTCTGTTCCTCACCGTCTTTGCCATTGCCGCTTCGTGGTATGTCTGGACCGAGGGTGTCGCCAAGGACAGGAAGCGCTCCAAGCTCTTGCTGGACTGTGTCCTCATCGTCACCAGCGTCGTGCCCNCCGAGCTGCCCATGGAATTGAGTTTGGCCGTCAACACTTCTCTTGCTGCCCTCAGCAAGTACGCCATCTTCTGCACAGAACCTTTCCGTATTCCCTTTGCTGGCCGTGTCGACATTGCCTGCTTTGACAAGACTGGAACCTTGACTGGAGAAGACCTAGTCGTTGATGGTGTCGCTGGTCTGACTCTTGGTCAAGAAGGCGCACCCGCTGAGGCCGATGGTGCCCAGACTCAACTCGTACCTCTGAACGATACCGGTGTTTGCACCACCTTGGTACTCGCTACAGCCCATGCTCTCGTCAAGCTCGAGGATGGCGACGTTGTTGGTGAGCCCATGGAAAAGGCCACTCTCGCCTCTCTTGGCTGGACTGTCGGTCGCAACGACACCTTGACTAGCAAGACTGCTGTTGCCGCAAAGGGCACTGGCCAGTCTGCCGCCGACTTGGTTCAAATCAAGCGTAGGTTCCAATTCTCCTCTACACTCAAGCGTCAGAGCTCTGTCGCTACCGTAGTCACCACTCAACGCGATTCTGGAAAGAAGACTAGAAGCACCTTTGTTGGTGTCAAGGGAGCACCCGAAACCATCAGAAACATGCTCGTCGACGTTCCTCCCAAGTACGAAGAGACCTTCAAGTACTTTTCGAGAAATGGTGCCCGTGTTCTCGCTCTTGCCTACAAGTTCATTTCCACCAACGACGAGATTGGTCAAAACAAGATCAACGACATGAAGCGTGAAGATGCCGAGTGTGACTTGCAATTCGCCGGTTTTCTCGTCCTGCAATGCCCTCTCAAGGACGATGCAATCAAGGCTGTTCGCATGCTAAATGAGAGCAGTCACCGTTGCATCATGATTACTGGTGACAACCCTTTGACAGCCATCCACGTTGCTAGAAAGGTCGAGATTGTCGACCGCGAAACTCTTATTCTTGACGCTCCCGAACACGACAACTCTGGCAAGAACCTTGTCTGGAGAAGTATCGACGACAAGATTAGCATCCCGGTCAACCCGGCTGAGCCCATCGATCCCGAAATCATCAAGACCAAAGATCTCTGTGTCACCGGATATGCTCTCTCGAAGTTTACTGGTCAAAAGGCTCTAAAGGAAATCATCCGCCACACATGGGTTTACGCTCGTGTTTCGCCCAAGCAAAAGGAAGAAATCCTCCTTGGACTCAGAGACGCCGGTTATGTCACTCTAATGGCTGGTGATGGTACAAACGATGTTGGTGCCCTCAAGCAAGCTCACATTGGTGTTGCCCTTCTCAACGGAACCGAGGATGACCTTAAGAAGATTGCCCAAAACTTCAGAGAAACCAAGATGAAGGACGTGTACGAAAAACAATGTGCCATGATGAAGCGCTTCAACCAACCTTCTCCGCCTGTCCCTGTTCACATTGCTCACCTCTACCCTCCCGGTCCTGGTAACCCTCATTACGACACAGCCATGGAGCGCGAAGCAACCAACAAGGGCACCACCAGCGACGTTCTCAAGGCCGTCACTGAAGCCAAACACAAGGCCGAGGTTGCTACCGCTACTGCCAAGGATGGTGAGACCGCCGCACCTCTGACTGTCCAAGAGCAGCGTAGACAAAAGGCTCAAAACGCTGCAAGTGCCATGGCCGAAAAGATGTCAATCTCCATGATGGAAGACGCTCTTACCGATGATGAACCTCCTACTATCAAGCTTGGTGATGCCTCGGTCGCTGCTCCCTTCACCAGTAAGCTAGCCAACGTTGTTGCCATCCCCAACATTATCCGCCAGGGTCGTTGCACTCTTGTCGCCACCATTCAGATGTACAAGATTTTGGCCCTCAACTGTCTGATTTCTGCGTACAGTTTGAGTGTCTTGTACCTTGACGGTATCAAGTTTGGTGATGGTCAAGTCACGATTAGTGGTATGCTCATGAGTGTCTGCTTCCTCTCCATCTCTCGCGCCAAGGTATGTCTATATCTCCTCCACATCTCTTGATTAATGCTAACACATTTTCCAGNNACCGTCGAAACACTTTCCAAGGAGAGACCTCAGCCCAACATCTTCAACCCATACATTATTGGCTCCGTCCTGGGACAATTCGCCGTCCACATTGTTACCCTCATCTACATTTCCAGATATGTACAACGCACCGAGCCCAAGAAGTCCGATATTGATCTCGAGGGTGAATTCGAGCCCTCGCTTCTCAACTCTGCCATCTACCTCCTCCAACTGATTCAGCAAATCTCCACCTTTGCCATCAACTACCAGGGCCGTCCTTTCCGTGAGTCCATCAAGGAGAACAAGGGCATGTACTACGGTATAGTCATGGTCACTGCTGTCGCATTCTCTTGCGCAACCGAGTTTGTTCCCGAGATCAACGAGCAGCTAAAGCTTGTTCCTTTCACCACCGAGTTCAAGATTACCATGACCACTATCATGGTTCTCGATTACTGTGGCTGCTGGATCATTGAGAAGGTCCTCAAGCAAATGTTCAGCGATTTCCGTCCCAAAGACATTGCCATTAGACGTCCTGACCAGCTCGCCATTGAGACTCAGCGCAAGAAGGAGGAAGAGGAGAAGATTGAACAGGAGAAGATTGCAGCGCTCGAGAAGCAGCTTGGCAAGGCATAGACGATGAACATAGAAGGACCCCTGTACAATATAATTGAGTGAGCTTTTAGATGTACGACTTACAAAGGGCTGTTAACCCTGTCAAACTTGTCCATCTTCACACCAGCCATGTGTAATAGCATATATGACGGCGACTGCCCAAAGGCTATCATCTCAATCTGGCCATCGTGTCAGGCAATGTAGAACTTCTCTACAGAACTCTCGCTTCGATTGTCGTTGAACGAAGACAAAGAAAGCGTGCTTGTGAGAATAGCAGCATGGCAAGGATTGTTTTTCTTGGTTGGCGACATTCGATTGTATATTGGCGAGAGAGGCTCATCTCTTCTCATCGACTTCTCTGTACTTGATTTGCATCGCCTTCTCGCTCTGCTCGATCTAGCCGGAATGAGTTAGCGTGGCTGGATGTCACTGGATCAATTGCAGACGACAATTCTTGCCCGGCATTCGAGGACATGAGTGAGATATCGCATCGCTGGCGCTGTATCCAGCATTGCCATCCCAAGCATTGCCTTGGTGTTGATCTTGAGATGGATGTGGGAGTAACTAATGGTGGTTGGAACAAGATACGCGATAAGTGTAGGCGGATTGGGAGCTTTGCTTTGATGAGCGCCTCTAGATGCCTGGGCGGGATCTTGTCTGTTCTCGTGATGCTCCTTCTTGCGAAACAACGGTTTGTTCTCTGGATGAGGCATGAAGTACAGCTGCAAATCATGCGCTCTTGTCTTTGGTGGTAGAGCATCAAGCTTGATTCGACGGCATCAGAGGAGGCAAGCATTTAATTGTCGATGGGACCATGGGTAACCTTGTAGGCCTCATTGGGATGTTTGATGATTGGTATGGTATATATATAGCAAGTGAATCTGTTCATGTAGATGTTGTTCAGCTAACTCAAGCTAAGGTTGTGGTGGTAGGTGGCAGCAGCTATACTTGAAGCGCCATTGTTACACGACGAGTATCAAATTCGATAGGCACGTCAACAGATCGATGCAGTCTGCCTTTCAAGTCCCAATGATCGACGTAGAATGGAAGACTCAGTGGTAAGATGGGCAAGTCGATGTGGAGAGTTCGAACATCAAGTTGAATGGGTCAGATCCTAAGATCCAGAATCAGAACAAGCATCAAGCAAACTATGGCATGCATTTTCAAAGCTAGACCTCGATGCCAAGTCAAGTCAATTGGCACACGGCCGGCTGTGACCGTCCGGACCGTAGACGACTCGAGGGCTCGAGCGTTCATGCAGCACGGCATAGAAAAAGTTGACAAGTTCCTGACTCCTGCACATCCGGAGCGCAACATGGTCCGTGAAACACTCGATTGTTGAGTTTGCGGGCATCTTCTCTCTGTTGCTGTGCCGTCTCTGTGCATCTGCGCGTGTAATAAGAAGAAGATCGGCAGGAGGATCTCTACTGCGTCTGACGAAACACATGCGAGTCCGTCTCATAAGTTAGGTGCTACACCAAGTCAAGTTCTTGCCCTCTCTTTTTCTTCTCGTTATTGTTTTCCTTTGCCACTGTCCTTGTTGTCTCTCCTCTTGTCTTGCAATAATGTGGAAGACCGTGGTTTCTGCTGCAGCCTTCTGCTCTCTCTCAGCGATGGCATATTCCCCTCTCGTTGTCAAGAATCTAAACACCCATCAGCCGATAGGCAATCCTGCTGGTCAAACAAACTACTATCGTATCCAATTCGATGTGACATCTTCGAATGGTGGAGACAGCTCATCGACGACTTGCCAGGCATCCTGGGGAGACAATTCATGGCTTGAATCGGAGCCTTACAGTATGGCCGTACCTACAGGCAAATGGATAGCTTGCGGAGCCAACGACTTTCGGTTTCAACTCTTCCCCTACTTCAGCATCGGAAACTTCAGTCTTGCAGTTCAGCAGAACTTTACCGACGCGACGTAAGTTTTGATTGATAAAAGAGATAAGAGCATCTGCCTAAAGCAATAACAGGNNACCAACCAAGAGATATTCGCAACCGCAAAAACGCACATGAGCAATTCGACATCATCACTCAGTTGTGACATCAATCCACAGGAAGTCATGTACCAGCAGCATGCACACGGTGATTGCAACATGGCCAGCAACGGCAGTGTCTCGCTCGAGGTCGAGGCAGAGGCTTGTACTTCACGCGATGCTACGACAATCTTCGAAGTTAGTGGCTCATTCGACAACGGTCCAGAGGACATTGTCCTTGTCGGCAGTATCCCAGAACTCGGCAACTGGTCTCCCACTCAAGCAGTGTCAATGTCGGTCACGAATCCGCAAAGCGCAGGAGTCCCTACGTTTGGGGCTAGAATCTCGATTGCTGAGGGCACGAGTTTCGAGTACAAGTACATCATGCGGGAAGCTGATGGCTCTGGAGCGACATGGGAATGTTGCGAGAACCGGGTGTATACGGTCGCTGCCAATTCTGCGTGTAGCGAGATCAGTGTCGGATCGGACTGGTTCCGTAATGGTGGTGATGCAGTCCAGGAATAGAGATGGAGAGCATGTACCGAGATTGCAAAGACTACTCGAGTATAAGAATTCTTAACGAGACTACTACGATATCGCACAGTTGAATGTCAGAGAAGAAGCAGAGGTCGATACGGTGACATGTGAAGAGGCACGTCATGGGCGGGAGCTTGTGCTTGACCTTCGGTGCGGGAGTGGGGAGGCTTGAGCATCCATGTCCAAGCAACTGACCATCAGGCACAGTCACTCGCAGTGTAGCTACTACCACTACTACCCTCTTTCGACGCCGTGGTATACGCGTGACCACGACGGGCATCCTGGACTCGTCCTGAACCGTGGCTGCATTGTTGGCCGCCAAGCGTCCGCGCAGTGCGTCGCCGCCAGAGGCAGAGGCCGCCCACAAGAGAGGCAGAATGCACTTCCAGCCCCAAGACGACGACGACCCGTCCAACCACACGTCGAATGGTGCCTCGAACAAGCATGCCGCCGCCATCGCCACCAACGACTTCTACGGCCACAACCGACAAGAGGTGACGCGCATCATCATTCAGAGCCTCTCGGACCTAGGCTACCAGTCCACCGCCCTCAAGCTGAGCCAGGAAAGCGGCTACGAACTCGAGGTCCCTAGCGTAGCCGCCTTTCGCACAGCCGTTCAGAATGGCCACTGGGACGAGGCTGAAGCCTTGCTGTTCGGCGACGCTACCCGCCATGGCCTGCCCCTGTGCGAAGGCGCAAAGAGAGACGACATGGTCTTCCTGATCCGCCAACAAAAGTACCTCGAGCTGCTCGAGCTGCGCCAGCTCTCAAAGGCTCTGATGGTCCTCCGGCAAGAGTTGACCCCGCTGCATCAAGATGTCGCCCGTCTGCACACTCTGTCCAGCCTGATCATGTGCCGCCGAGCAGACGACCTGAGGCAACAGGCCCGCTGGGATGGCGCCAACGGCAACTCGAGGCGGGACCTGTTGTCTGACCTGTCGAGTACGCTGACCTCCACTTTGCTCAAACACATGCCAGACTGACCACGACTCTAGNAATCCATATCCCCTTCCGTCATGATCCCCGAACACCGCCTCGCCGTCCTCCTAGACCACGTCCAGCAGCAGCACATCGACCAGTGTCTATATCATAACACCACCATGCCTCCCTCACTGCTGCACGACCACGTCTGCGAACGCGACCAATTCCCTCTACACATCTTCCACGAGTTGCAACATCACGGCGACGAAGTCTGGCATCTCGAATTCTCCCACGACGGCTCCATGCTGGCCACCGCCTCCAAAGACAATACCGTCATCATCTACGACACCACTTCATGGATGCCCATCTGCCGTCTTAACCAGCAAAAGCCCCACAACGAGTGCGGTGTCTGCTATGTTGCCTGGAGTCCCGACGACACATACATACTCGCCTGTTCACAGGCAAGAGAGCTGGCAATCTATCAAGCTCGCACAGGCACTCGTGTTGGCGGTGTCGACCATTTCCACTATCCCGTCACAACCGCTGCCTGGGCCCCCGACGGTCAAAGCTTCATTGTTGGTTCACAAGATTCTAGAAGACCCCTCGGCCTCTACCAGCTATCAGACCAGTCATTACTGCATTCGTGGATCAGTCATGATGCTCAAAGTCTTCGCGTAAATGATTGTACAGTCTCGGCTGATGGTTCCCGCCTTGTCGCTATAAGCAACGACAATCGCGTCATCGTCTACGACTTCAAGACACGTCTAAAACTCCAAGAATGGGTCATGGAGGACAGGCTCACTTGTGCCACTCTGAGCCATGACGGCAAGTCGCTGCTCGTCAGCATGAACGAAGGCCGTCTGGTGCTCCTAGACTCGGACACTGGCGAAGTCTTGCAACGCTACACTGGCCTGACCCAAAGTGAATTTGTCATAAGAAGTACCTTTGGTGGTGCTGGCGAAAATTTTGTCATTAGTGGCAGCGAAGGTGATACAAAGCACCGCATCCCAACATGCTTCAAGTTTGCTAATCTGTTGCTAGATTCACGAGTCTATATCTGGCGAAAACACACTGGACAACTCGTTGTCGCACTGGAAGCCCATCCTCCGGGCACCGTAAACTCGGTTGCCTGGCATCCGACCAATCCAGCCATATTCGCTTCTGCTGGCGATGACAGAAGAGTCAGAATGTAGGTCTTGCTTTTTTTCTTGTCCTTGACAAACTCAATGTACTGATGCGTTTTCACAGATNGGTCCAATCGACCTGCCGACCGTAGGCGCTCTTCCTTCATGACTACCATTTCTTAGCAAGGACAAATGATCCTTTATTCTTATGTTGCATTTCGCCGTTGGGTCATTTGAGATCTCAACCAGTGTTTGATCTTGCTTTTTTACTTTTTTTCTTTTTGCAGGGAATGGGCGACACAGCTGGTTGTGCGCAGAGGAGTTTCGGGAGCAGTATCTCATGAGCTAGCTTATTTCTTTTCTACTCTGGAGGTTTGCTCGAACTTGACGATGCGCTAGATGGATGGTCAGTCTTTGATGCTATGGTCAATTCCGACCAGCTTATTCGATCACGATATGCACACTACATAGTTGTATGAGCTCACGATACATTGAAACCCTCTCGAGAATGTGTTGGAAATGATAACAAGCATTGCTTAGGGACGGCCGTGGTATCGTAGTGAACACTGTTTGTTCAATTCTCCAATCTTCTCCAAGATCATCACTCAACCCTTTTTGAACCCAAACTCCTTGTTGTCTTGACCGAAAGTCTCGTGGTCTGCTCCCGTTGCGGCTCCAGGAAGAACAATTTGGAACTTCAAACCAGAGAAGCCAATGATGCAGTTGAAGGCCTTGTCGCGCTGACGGACATGCTCGAGCTTCGCCTCGACTCCGTCTGCAAAGGCAAGACGAATGCCGTCCGACTTGACCAACCCAGCAGTCTTGGGTTCAGTCTTTTCAATTTCCACGAGCTCCGACCATAGACGGCGCCAGACTTCCTTGCGGGCCGACGCAACTGGAGACGTTCGTCGGTAATAAAGGCCGTCCGAAAAGATGACCAGACGACCAGGTACGTTGCGCATAGAGCATCGGAACGACAAGATGTCGAGGCCACCGAGAATGCTGGTCGAAGAGTCTGTCGTGTGGAAGCTCGCAGCATCGTCGTCCTCGCTATCCGACAACTGATCGTCTTGTGGCCATGTCGTTGTAGTGACCGTGGGAATGTCCAGGCTACCGGCGGCCAGTCCTCCTCCTGGTTGAGAGAGATCCTTATCCCACTCTTCTTGGACTCGCTTTGCAATCACTTCCGCTCTAGTCTCTTGAGCCTTTTCCCTGAGATATGTCATCGACCAATCCGCGTCATTCGGAATGCCCCAAAAGATGTAGTTGAAGGCGTTGACAACATGTCGGTACTCGGGGTGGTAGTGAGCAATGTAGCGGGATCCGAAGAACACGGTAATGCAAGACATGCTCACGATCTTGATGGAGTATTCACTAGGTGTAAAGATTCCCAGCAGAATCGCCGTGAAGAAGAAGAAGAGCGTAGCCCAAGTGAGCCTCGGATCGCGCCAGTCGTAGAAGTTGTTCAGTGACTCTAGCGTATCGGCCATGTCAGACAACTGCATCTGTATCTTGGGTCCCGCACTCTCAATGACAGGGTCGATCCAGTCTGCTCCGTGCTGCTGAAGAAGAGCACTAAACTTGTAAGCAGAACTACCTTTTTGAAGTGCAGACGTGTACGCCTCGCGCATCTCTTCAACCTGCTTGCGTTGGAATCTGTTTTGTAACACAGTGACAGCGCAGTATACCAGGATGAACGTGATGCAGTAATCGAGATACCAGATGTACAACCAGATGGCTAGCCACTTTCTCGATTTTGCCGGATTCTCCCAAAGGTATAAGCTCCGGAGTGAGAGAAAGAAGGTTTGCCATGGCGAAGAGGCAATGAGGATGCGCTCTACAAAGCGTGATGAAGCCTCTCTATCGAATGGAGGCTGTCCCGTGTAATCTATCTGACCCATACGATTCGTGGCGAAGCTTTGTATGGCATTGAGTTGGCGTGCTTTCAGCCACTCCAGCCAATTGACACGACGCTGGCCAGTTTGAGTGTCGACATAAGTGTAATCCTCCTTTGCGGGTGTTGAAAACTCGCGTTTGGGAAAGACGAGGGCGCGTCTAAAGTGGCGGCTCGATGTCCAGGCCACCTTTCTGCTCTGTCTTAGGCCTTCTATCCTTTGGACACGCTCACGCTGATCATCGACCGCGTCTTGGTCACCAGATACATTTGAGCGCGAAGCCGATGTTTTCGCTCTCGAGAGACTTTCGTGTGCATCGAGGAATTCCTTGTCAGCTTCCTCAGATAGATAGGGACGATCCTGTATGGCTGCTTTAGAGGCGGCCAGCTTCTTGGCAGCATCTTGAGGGTGGATGATAATCTTTACACCATTCGAAAGACCGCCAGCGATGCGAGCCGAGAGCTTGGGTTTNTGAGAGACCAATTGAGATGGGTCAAAGGCTGGGTCGTGACGGATTTCTTCGTACGGATCGTCGGCTTGGCCCTCTGCAGCTTCTTCCTCGGGAGTCAAAGTGTGTTTGTTGAGATGCAATAAGTTCTTGGTCTTCGCTTTGGTTTCACGGCCCAAGCTCTTGACCTTTTCCTTGGTCGAAGGCGAGCGCTTTGGAGAAGCTCCGTTGGTAGCCTCATTCATTGTGAATCGTAGTTGCGTGGGGCGCGTTGTTGTGCTGAAGGCTCATGGTGCTTTTGCAAGAGCCCAGTGGTGCTGATGCGATGAATAGACCTACGAATCCAACAGTCATGATGTGAGCGCAACACGGCAGTTCGTCTCTTCTGGTGACAGGGTGGCCACGGTTCGTCCTTTCACGTCACCTGCCCGCCCCACACCTCCAGTTGTTCGTTTCTCGGTCGTCGGAGGACATCCCGTCCAGTCAAAAGCATTGACACTTCATCATGACGTTCGCACCCTTCTGGATCCTTTTAAGCACAGAGTACGGAGTATTTGAACAAACACGATGATACTCTCTACCACCTGCTTGATTCACTCGAGGTCGCATATCAAGTCTAAGCTTTGGACTGGAAGCTTATGAAACTTCGAGAAGAACCAGAAACCCGCTGGCCGCCTCACTTGTAAAAAGCACTGACGCTTCCATCTCGGATAATCGACCACTGCCAGATTCCGCTATCTTCGCGCGCATCTTGGTGCTCCTTCGTGAACTGCAGGGCTGGGATAAAGTTCGGTTTCATTTATGCACCATCGATAAGCGAAGTCGATCTCCTGCACTCGTCATGCTCACTGGTCGATTCAAAGAACACACACCGACCCCTTCCAAGTTTGCTCCTTACTTCACCGCTGTCTATTCGTTTGTCCACAGTCTGGACAAGAGAGAAAAAATCTCTTTGCACTAATCTCGTAAACAGGGGCCTAGTCGCCTGTCAAAAGTGAGGACTGACCGCCAGCTCGTGCTTTGGTCATGACTTCATACTCGTACAATGGGTTGCAGCCCAAATCTCCTCGAGACGTGGAGAGCTATGGCGGCCCGATACAATGGCGGTTTTGCAACCATGTGACTGGCCAAGAATCGAGGACTACTCTATGGGATGGTGGGACAATCTCCGGCTGAACGCTGCTCAAATCAAGGAACAAGATAGCAACAGTTATCGAGATCTGCCTGTCTCGGATGGCCGCTGCAGACATTACCTTGATGTCGAGCGAGTCAAGAACATCTCGTGACTCTGGACAAGGAGTATAGACTGATTCCACAACGTCTGATAGGACAGGGGCTGTTCATAACGTCGAGAGTGTGGTGGTGCCGAATGGAATGAAATGGACCCTGTCTGGATGGGGCTGTAGAACGGTCGAGGGTACATGGTATAGATGGTGGCCTGATGACAGCGGTCGGGAGAAAGAGAGTGCCGGGTGTTGTGTTGTTTTTCACGAGCAAGAGAGTATGTCAACACACGGACGCGTCGAGCAGTGACTGCCGCTGTCACGGAAACATGAGAAAGCAGATGGTCATACAGTCAGCTCGCTAGAGTCACAACGGAAGATGGAGTTTGGTGGTGTGTAGGGTTAGGCGGGTAGCGAGTAATGTCTTTGGGCAGGCTCGTGACGGCAGGCAACGTTGGCAGTGGTGGAGGCGACGAAAAACGGGCACGGCGACAATAAGATTGCTGCGGTGACGGTTGTCGGGTGTCGAGTTGAGGCTCCCTTTGACTCATTGACCTTTTGGCGGTGGTGCTGGTACCATGGTTAGTAGAGAATCGTCATATCTGAAGGTCCTTGGCTGCGACGTTAGATTAGACCATCAGTGCGTAGGCGGTATCCGGCATTTCTGGAGGCCCAAAGCCAAAGGGGTGCAGACGAGGAGCGCACACGAAGAGGCAGACGAGCAGCTGCATGGCGGACTGATGGACAGCAAGTGCAGTCAAGATACAGTCGCTGCAGGCAGGCGGCTCGCGGGCGATCAGATTGAGTGCACGGCACGCGGCTTCTAAAAAAGCATGTAGCGAGCAGAGCATAGAGGGCAGCAAGCCGCTGTGGCACATCCGAGGTTGGCCAGGCAACGCGGGCGGTTGGCATGGCTGGCGTCCGGGGGCCATCTTCTTGTCCATGCTGCGACATGACTAGGACTAAGCTCTCGCTGCTTCTCGGGCATACAATTCGATACAAAAGCCCGCCGCAAACCACTCGCATGCATGCTCCGCTCTCGACTACCAACCTCATCTTCTCTCTGTCTGCTGCTGCAACGCCCAAGCCACCCAAGACCGAGGCTGCTGCACAACAAACACAACAATGCACCCTACTCTTGGAGAAGCCGCAATGGCCGACGACTATCACATGCTGGAAGAGCTGGGCAGTGGCAGTTTTGGTGTCGTATACAAGGCCGTCGAGAAGGCCACTGGCGATCTGGTCGCCATCAAACACGTATCGACGCCCCTGCCCCTATACACTCCCTCGCACTGGCTGACCACATTCCCACAGATTGACCTCGAAGGCAGCGACGACGACATCCAAGAGATCCAACAAGAGATCTCTCTGCTAAGCACATGCTTGAGCGAACACGTAACACGATACAAGGCCAGCTTTGTGCGCGGCACCAAACTATGGATTGTCATGGAATACCTCGGTGGAGGCTCGTGTTTGGATTTGGTATGTCAACACGATTCTATACAAGACTCGAAACCCTTTCTGACACGCCCAGNNCTCAAATCCGGCCCCATCAACGAGGCTCAGATCGCCATAATCATGCGCGAATTGCTGCTTGGCCTTGACTACCTGCACAATACTGGCAAAATCCACAGAGATATCAAGGCTGCTAATATTCTCCTGTCTAGTTCGGGCAGAGTCAAGATTGCCGACTTTGGAGTCGCCGCCCAACTGACCAACATCCAGTCGCAGCGTCTGACCTTTGTCGGCACTCCATTCTGGATGGCCCCCGAGGTTATCCAGGAATCAGGCTACGACTTCAAAGCAGATATCTGGAGTCTAGGCATCACCGCCATGGAACTTGCCAATGGCGAACCCNCTCACAGTCAGGTTCATCCCATGAAGGTCTTGTTCTTGATCCCCAAAGAAAGAGCCCCGAGACTAGAAGGCGGCACCTGGTCCAAGGAATTCCGTGAATTCGTTGCCCTCTGCCTGAACAAGGATGCCGACACGCGACCTACCGCCAAGACTCTTCTCAAGCACAAATTCATCCAGCGCGCCGGAAGAGTTGATTCTCTCAAGATGCTGGTTGACAGGGCCCGCAATCGCATCGCCAACGACAAGAAGGATCGTCTCAGATACTACGAACAGACCTTGCACGAGCTTCACGCGCCAACCGAAGAGGATGATTGGGTCTTTGACACCGTCAGACCAGCAAACTACCACTCTCAAACCGTCAAGCAACGCGACCCAGCGCACGTGATTGCTTNNTGGGACAGCGAGGCCGAAGATGCCTTCGCCGCCATGGAAAACCTCGATTCTTCACTAGGAGAATCACCTTCGTACGACCCCGCTGCAACTATTCGCAACCCAAAGCAAAACTCCAGTTCTCCCTCTCGTCAACTTGATCTTTCCGCCACAACTCGTAAGGTATCTGGCTCAACTCCTACTGCACGCCGTGTCAGTAAACAAAGCTCAAGCTCTAACAATACTACCCGCCGTCATTCCGTTCAGGCAAAGCAGCCTTTGGGACTCGACATGTCATTCGGAAATGGAGCTTCGACGGTGCGCCAATTTAAGCGCGTTCCCTCCGGCGGAGCTCGACCCTCGAGTTCTGGCTCTTCGCAAACAGCCGTCGAAGATTCCGAGAACCAACCCNCTGCTGCTGCTGTCATGATGCCGGATACAAAGGAGGTCATCCTCGGAAGACGCGCCTATGTCAAATGCATCGATCCAGCACTACAAGAATTATACGCCTCCACAGCTCCTGGACCCAAGCAGACTGCTCTGGCCAGAATGGCAGAGGCTTGGAACGTCTTGGACGAAACAGATCCCGAGGGTGAATTGTTGTTGCTCAAGGCCATCTTTGAGCGAGTTCAGAGAGACCCCAGACTTGCCGCTCAAATCGTGCCAGCGTCACAGCTTGCTAGTCTTCGCAGCAGCCCTTCAATCAAGAAGGTATCCCTCGTGACCGAGAAGGAGATCACACCCCCAACCTCCCCGTACAAGTCCGAAATGGCACCTCAACCCCGCTCAATGCGTCGCCAGAGCGCCTTTGTGGACAGTGAACGAGAGAAGATCCTTCGTACTGCCATCCTGGAAGACAAGATGCCCGGAAAGGTCGAGACTGGCCTCGAACACATTGGCATGCTAGCAGATGCCCTATACGGTCGCTGGAGCGAGGGCCTGCGTATGCGTTGGCCTAATGCTTAGCTGCCGAGCATCCTCGAATCTTCTGACGTTTTTCGTCATTAATGTCTTTTTTTCTTAATACCTATATAGCATAGCGTGCGTCGGTCATGGTCTGGCGTTGTCGAGCAAGGAGGCCGGCACCTCATCGCTCTTTCCATCATCCTGGTTTTTCTGTCTTTCTTGTCGTTTAGCTTGATACCCTATCTGAGGGACGATTGTCGGTCTGCAGTCAATTTGGTTGGACAGCGCAAGCGTTTCGAATTTTTTGCTTCTGTACACTTTTTGGATTTGTAGGAGTTTGGGAAAAGGTGGCCAGCCTGGTCTAAGGGCTTTTTTTCCCCTTCTTTTCTTGTTGATAGATATATAACGAACAAGCAATTGTGCTTTACTTTCCTCACACCTTTACGATTCTTTTTAATGCTTGGTTCAAGGATTGTCACACCCCAAAACTGTCAGATTCTGAGTTGTATAGTTTCGTATTTGGATTTCATACATAGATTATGAACATGCTCGCAAGCGCTGATGCCTCGGAAAAGGGAAGCAAACCCTGTGCACTGTACGCCGACGCTGTGGTTTTTGCAAGGAACAAACAAATAATTCCCCCACGCACATGATGTTGCAACCGAATCCGGCCAGCCAGTCATCAAGCAAATGGTGCCTCGTATCCTCCAATAGTGATCGCAGAATCACACCGGGTGACCGGGGATTTTGTCGATAACTTTTGTATGCCGTGTAACGCCAATATGTTTGCTTTGGTTGTACTAAAGTCCCCCAAAACGCCTTGAAATGCACTTTTTGCTGTACTTGATTGGACGGATAAGAACTCGTATTCGCGCGTGCTCATACTGCGGAGTCACAAAATTATCCGACGAAGCGAAAGAGGAATGCGGATAATTAACAGCTGCCCACGAAGAAGTTGTGGGCGTCCGCCTCGGGATGGTTAAACGGTGTCCGCATGCCTGGGGTCCAAGCAGGTGTGGGATTCGTCGTGATTCCAACACTACTCTCGTCTCCATCCTCGTCGGGATCTCCAGTGCTCTCGGCGTATTCGGGGAACTCCTTGTCGTCGTCCATCCATGTCAGTCCGTTGGCGGCTTCCTCGTCTGGGAAGACTTCGCGAGCGTATTCTTCGAGTGACCGGTAGCCCTCCCATAGACTCCTAGCTTCTTGGGGATATTCCAGAGGTCCAAAGTAAGGGGCTCTCTTTTCGCCAAGGGTTTCCTGGAGTGATTCGAGATGTTCTCGGTAGCCGCTGGGGATGGAGACCTCGATGTCTATCGGGCCAGGTACGTATTTGACCGGCCTGCCTACACCGCGTGAAAACTTGATGCAGGCCTGAATTGGACTTAGTCGTTCAAAGGCAAGCGTGACCCTATTTGAATAGCATGAGCTTGATGAATCCAAGAATCGTAGCACGGTTTCGTGTCATTACCTTTGGCCCTTCCAGGCATTTGGACCCATCTTGAAAATTTGCAAGAGGGCCGGGCCTACATCATGCTCCGCGTCTAGCCAAGGCAGTGGATCGTGAGGGTGGAATGGGGCTTTCCATAAGAAGCTACCATCTTCCTGGAGTTCCATGCGGAATAGCGGATAAGGTAGAGAGGTAAAGTTGTTGTTGTAAATTCCAGTATAGGTGAAAGTAGCCGGGATTCCAAGTTGGCGGACGTAGTTCTCGATGGTGAACTTTTGCGACCATAACGGAAGTGGTCTCCAGTCTGGATTGTAGACAGAGTGATCCGGCATGGATGAGTAAATGTAGTGAGTTATGCCGGCTCGTTTGGCGGCATCAGCGCAGGCTTTGCCAATGGCGACCTCATCGCCCCAGTGAGTAGTGTTGATAAAGGCCAGCTTGGCACCCTCGAAAAGGTGGTTCAAAAAGGGGATCAGGTCAGCCTTTGGTTGGCACAAATCTCCTTCGACAATCTCGACATTGGGTAAAGCGGCGAGTTCCTCTGCGACTAAACCATCGCAAGTTCGAACCTGNGCTTTCACGCGCCAGCCCACAGCAGAGGCGACGCGGACAAACGAGGCCGTCTGGCGACCAGTCGAATTGATTGTAACAACAGTCTTTGTAGGCATCATCAGTGGCATTCTACCAGGAGTGATCGGGCAAGCCACCACGTGATATGGCGACCGTGCCCAGTTGCGAGGAAACGGCTTTTTTCTTTTGAAGAAAACTGAGATGCGTAGAGCAAGGGCTGAAGAGCAAGCAGCGGTCGAGGAAAAAGGCGTGGAAAGGTCCAAAGGGGGCTGTGGACTGGAACGACGGTGCGTCAGGGCAACAAATTTGGACGGTCAAGACCAAACAGAGAAGAAGCTTCTGCAACCTGATGCGCGACAGACGCAGAAGGGGCACGCTCGGATGATTGGCCGGCTTCGTTCACCGCAGGGAGCAAGGTTTCGATCTGAGCTCGGCGAGGAGACGTAATTTTGTACTTTTTGGCAGCTCTTCAAAACAAGGGCCCCTCTAGTGCAAGGTACGAATGTGTGGGAAAAGGTGCGGGGCAGGAGGGAGGCAAGGAGACGGAAGGATGGAACTAGCTGCCAGCAAGAGAGTGCCGACACGTTGCTGCTGATGCTTGCTGACAACCGGCTCTCGTTGACGTTGTGGTTTTTTTTTCGACCGCCTTGGATCAGATGAGACTGTGGCTGCCCGAAAAGGACAAAGCCGTGCATTTTGGGTACAGCATCACACGCCCTGTGAGATTTGACCTCGTGGTGATTTCCTGCACCTCTGTCGAGCACATTTTCATCGTTTCCGGACTAGGCTTAGCAGCTTTACATAATCGTTCCTGATGGCATGGTTTGGTAGGGCCGGGATCGGAACGATGGACGGGGCTACGAGGCAGTCCCCAATCATCACATAAAATGGGCACTCGGAGAGATTGCACGCCTTCGAGACGTAGAGCCCCGCCGCGTAGCTTGCGATATAGCCAACAAGGCAACCGCGTGACCAGCAGGCACGGCGTGAACCTGAGTTTTGCTCGAGTAACAGCATACCGTACCAGGTTAGGGCCAAAGACTGTCTTGCGGGGAGCCGCGAATTAGGCAGGTCGAACAGGCTTGCCAAGTGACCAATTTTCTAGCATCTCCGCCGCGACTGGCATCTGAAAGCCACATCTCTGTGCTGTGAGCATCTGTGTGCATCATCATCAGCCAAACCATGAGGAGTGTCGACATGGGCCGTTGGTAGATCGCCTCGGACCATTTGCCTCGTGCGCCCAAAGCCGAAACTTGCCGTTTGCCGGCAGTCTGAAGCAGTTCTCGTCGGCCTGCGACTCCGGTGATGCTGCTGCGTTATTACGGAGGAGTTGGTTTTCGGTCGGTTCAGTTTCCTTGCTGGGAATTGGCGGGGAAAACTGAACTGACCAAAACCGACTCCTCCGTATTGCAGTGATGAAAACCCCTTTGGAATGGCTCCGAGGCTCGTTTACATGGCTCCATCCAGCAAAGGATCACGAGACCCATCTCGACGCCTCCAAGGATAAAATGATGAACTCAACCACATACAAAGTCGCACAAGTCCCACCCGATTCGATGACGCGAGCACAGAGGGTAAAGACATCATGGAGGCACCACCACCCAGCTTGGCACGTTATATCATAGGCGAACACGAGAAGTATGCGCGAACAAAGGTACATAACAAGTCGACCAACTCGATTTTGCAAAGACAGGAGCCTCGTCAAACAAAAAGGTCATTGGTTGCCATGTTTCCATGCCTCTGCCAATCGGAGACACTACCGAAGCCACAACACTGGAAATCACAATCAAAGACATTCACCACAAGGAGCAAAGACAATCTCTTTATGCGAATCGACTATGCACATATATCCCACGTGTTTTCATCCCTCCAGATTCAACAAGATTCAAGTCAACTCAGCAAATTTTGCGAGTCTGTCAAGGTTTTGGACAGTTCAAGAACGAGCTGCCTCGCTCATCTCGTCATGCTTATGAAGAAGCTTTGCTGGTAAGGCCCTGTTGCAATTGTTAGCATGCTGATAAATCAAGAATCNATGTTTACGCTTACATCGATACAACCATCGTAGGCTGCCTTGCGGACGAGAGGAGTGTTGTATCCTCCAGGCTGGAAGAAAAGGTCGCCGTATCCTTGACCAGGGAAAGTTGAAGGGATCCAGCTGTATGCATCGTCAAAGTCCCAAGCAGTAACACCGACACAAGCATCTACGTCTGCGCACGCACCAACAGAGCTCGTGTAGTCAACGACCTGTTGTTGCTGAGCTGCAAGAGTGGGAGGTGTAGTGGTACGGATATCAAGCTCGGTAATGGCTACATCAACGCCAAGCGCGGCAAATGCCTCCATGTTGGCAGATTGGGCAGCTCTGGAAGGAGTCTCGCCGACGATGAAGTGAGACTGCAGACCGACACCGTCAATCTGGATCTTGGCGTCCTTGAGGCTCTTGACAAGTGCTTGTGCAGCAGTGGATTTGGCTCCAGCATTCTCAATGTTGTAGTCGTTGTAGTAGAGCTTGACCTTGAGCTTGTTCTTCTTGACGGCGGCTTCTGCGGCCTTGAAAGCAATAGCAACATAACCAGGGCCGATGGTGTTGTACCAGATATCAGATCTCCAGGTGGCGCTGTCGGCCAGGCTACCAGTGGTGCCGCTGTCGCTCAAGGCCTCGTTGACGACATCCCAAGCGTAACAACGGTCGCCAAAGTGCTCGACGAGGTTGGTGACGTGGTTCTGAAGCACCGCGGTCAGGGTCTCGTTTGTCCATGTGCCCGAGGTGAGCCAGTTGGGAAGCTGGTTGTACCAGTTCAAGTTGTGGCATCTAACAAGCTTTCCAGGCGCAGCGTCAGCGAGGAATACCTCTGCCTCGGTGTAGTTGAAAACGTTCTGCTCGGGTTCTGTAAAGACCCATNNCTGGAGGCGATTAGTTATACACTTTATGATATGGTAGGTCTTTTCTTACTTCATAGCATTGGCAGGTGTGACCTGGCCCCAGTCATCTCTGTTGGCAAGTTCGGCGCGGTAGTATTTGTCGGTGGTCTCATTGGTTCCAGGGACATCTGCAGCTGTACCAAAGTAGAGCTTGCCGGCCTTCTTTGCGTAGTCGTTGAGGCCCTTCTTACCAGTGGCTGTTGCCAATAGAGTCGTGGTTTGGACGGTGTTGGAGGCAGAGCTGGTAGTGGTGGTGACGACAGCAGAAGTTGCAGAGCTGTGTGCCGACGACTTGGTCGAGGAGTGGGAAGAAGAGTGGGAGGTGCTGTGAGAAGTACTGTGGGAGGTACTGTGGGAAGTGCTGGTGCTACAAGAGGTCGACTTGTAGTCTGCAGCAGGCAGGGCGGAAACAAGAGGGGCCGCCAACAAGCCGAAGCTGAGCAAAGAACGGATAGACATCGTGGAGGGATTGTAGTGTAACGAAGGGACTGCGGCTTCTTGCTTGATGATGGGTGTAACAGAGATGAGTACCTACATATATATATACTGCTCTACAGAATTCTTTCCTGCCTACAAATGGCCGGATAATCTGGTCTTGCTCTAGCAATTTGATGTTCCTGCATGCAAGTCCCTTGACAGCGACCTATTGTATGCGCGAACAGGCTAAAAGGACAAGGTTTTCTGGCTGGAGATTGCAGAAGCTCCATTCGCTTTCGCAAATGAAAGCAGAAGGTGAGTGTAAAGAGCACTGGCCTTCGGGGCCCCACCAAAGCGGCAGGCGAACAGGCAAAGAGCCATCGTGCCCTGCTCTGTTGCTCCGCACCCGCACCCGCATCCGCATCTCCATCTCTCTAGTGTGGAGACGCGGGGAGGAGCGGTTAAACAATGGACTTTCGTGGTGAGAGAGGTCATTCGAAGGAGGGAGCCTCGGCTTCTATCCTGATATGTGGCCGTGATGTGGCATCTTTTCCCAAAATATTGGTATACCAAGACACCGGTTAAGTGAAGGCTTGATCACAACTACCAAGCATTACCAAGCACTGTGGCAGACATTAGCATGACAGACGCCGGGATTTCCACTATATGCAGCCTCTCCTATGGCCATACCATAGGTTTCGACTTGGCTAAATTCAAGAGGGGCGATTCTGTCCATGCGACGCCTCGTTGATGTCTAGAACCACAAGCATCCGCCTTGCAGATATTTGATGATCTACCCGGCTACCCTGATAGAAGCAGGGGCAAGCGATGGTTTAACCGTGCCGAGATGCTATGATCGGATGTAAGGAGGCTCAAAGCAGAGCCGATATCGTTTGGTCACTGCAGAACGCTGCAGATATAGCTGAGATGTATATTCGACAAGTAACGTGGTATTGCATAGTCGAAGAACCAATAGACGGATATCCTCCACCAGAAAGAGACGAGATTTGCCTTAAGCGCCACAAACTCCGTGGTCAGGGGACCTTCCTCTTGAACGCCATTTTTCCAAAAGAAGAAGCATATGCTCCTAGTATTACATGGACCGATGTCCTAGACCTAAGCGATCGGGTCGGCGGCCGTGTCGTCGTTCGGCATGCGCATGTAATAATCGATAGCGGCACTGAAGCCAGCGAAACCAGCGCAACCCAGAGCAGCGGCCTGCGGACCGGCTTTGGCAGCGAGGGCACCACCTGTGATGCAGCCAGCTGCTACGCCATTGTACAAGTCATTCTTTGCGCGGAACTGTGGCCACGATCAGCAAGTATCCCAGCGAGAGGCGGCACATGTGGCAAGTCCACTTACACCCTCGATGCAGCACTCGGTTCCAGCGAAAATGCTACCGACGAGACCAAAGTTCTTTGCGCTGCTCCAACTCGCCTTGCCCATCTCTTTGAATCCTTGTCGTAGCTGATCCTTGACGGGAAGTTTTGTGATTGCGTCTGCGCCGGCCGTCATGGGGGCATCGTATCGCATNCTGTAGAAGGAGTCTTGGTTAGCCTGTATTCACGAGTAGATGCAGAGAAGCCTTACACTCGACATGAAGAGACCGAACAGACCACCCAGACCAAAACCCATGACACCCGACATTGCAGTCTTTGCGGGACATGACTCCATGGCTTGTTGCATCTAATTCCTTGTCAGTTTCTGCTGCTCGTCTTGTTCGGTATAGGAAGTGCATGCGCACAAATTTGATCATCTGCTGCTCCTTCAACTTCTGCTCATCCAGACCAACACCTTGGCCGCCCAAGCCTGGAGCTGACATGCCGGGAAATGCCATCTTCGAAAGTGTTATTCGGATCTGCGCAACAACGACGAGATCACTCTGACAAAAGCTCGCGCGACTACCTGACAGGACCGACCATCATGCCAAGAAGCTAGATGATTGCGGCGAGCTTAGGTAATCACCGAGCAAGCTTCGGTCAGGGTCATCCCAGAAACATGAGCATGAAATAGATCTTTATGGAAGGACACATCCCTTTCAGGAATATACGGGTCAAGACTTGGAGGAGACGTCGACCTGATGAACTCGGATTCGCGGTGTGAGTGTTGATCTATGTGGATGCGGTATAACGTGTCTGTGGTAGTTGTTGAGTATTCCCAATCTCTATGCAATTTACCTCCACACAAACATATGCGATCCATGATAGGCCAACAGCGACACAAGCATAATTTGATATGCATAAGAAGCATGGGATATGAAGTGATTGTCATCTGCACCAATTGGAGTCTATATGGCCTTTTTTATATACAAGGTGCCAGGCTACATCTCGTAAGACATATGGTCATTACATTCATTAGATCAATCGTTCTTGGTCTCCTTGAAAGACCCTGCAGGGGAAATAGCTCTTTCCAGATAATCGCCCTGCCTATCAGTATCACCCAAGGTAGGAGACAAACTTCTCTCCCACTCGTTCATGAGATGTGAAGCAGTGCGTCTAAGATTGCTCGGGGCTAGTTTGTTCAGCGCAGGCCATGGTAACGAGTCCCTCTTTGTGTCTCTGGATGAACTGCACATTATATTAGCCTATGAAGTATCTTAGAAGATAAACCTAGCCGACCTTGTGCTGGTTGTGGGACTAGTGTCATCTGGGCTTGAGGACGTGTGAAGCTCAGAGATCGACGAGTTGGATCGCGACGGCTTCGGGTCAGAGTCAGGAACAGTGGCTTCCCAATTCTCCCATGCATCGAGAGAAGTCGTCGAGGCACGGTTGACCTTGACGGGAGGAGGAGCAGATTTCTTCTTGGAGGGTTTGCGAAGAATAGGAGCAGGTGTGGACTCGTGTTCCTTCCAAAATGAGTTACCAATATCGAGATATGCGATTTCTTCGGCGGCTGATGGTGCTGGCGAGCGAGACTCTGTTCGTCGATTACCGGTTGTGGCACTTCTCTTCAAAGGCTGGGGATTGGGCGAAGGTTTGAGACTACCTCTACTAGGTTGAGGCCTGGGAGACCTTGAAGGATTCGGGGAGCGAGATTGTGTTCGTGAGGTTGTTCCATTGATGCCTTCGTCGCCGACAGTAGCCTGTCTCAAGTCCTCGATAAAGGTCCACAGGCCGTCTCGAAAGTCAGAAGCCATTTGTTTGCCAGTCTTGAGCAGAACCTCGCGAGGCAAGCCCAGATCAATAGCATCGTCTGCTGTACGTGCCACCTCGGTGGTCAAATCGGCGTCGGTGGGTACGCGAGTAGGGTGTGGGGGTCGTGACGAGTCTTGCTCAGGGCGTGGCTGAGGTTGCGAGCGAGGTGGCGGCGGGCGCACAGCGTCAGGCGACAATAGTGACAAGGCACGAGCATGACGAGAGCCGGAAAAGACCGTACGGGTTGAATTCTTGTTGCTGCTTAACAAGGCTCTACGTCGCTCCATGTCGTGCTGTCGGGAGGCGAGTAGCGGATCGGCGGAGTCGGGCGTGGCATGCAAGGATTGCATCTTGTGTACCTTGCGTGGGTCGTGTTGACGCTTCTTGTGAGCTTCGTGGGCAGCCCATGTTTGCTTGAGACGATGTAGTTCATGCTCAGCCTTGATCAACTCCTCTCTCAATTCCAGTACGCGCCGCTCGTGGGCGGCCAGTGCGGTGAGAAAGGCAGAATCGGTCGGGCCAGCAGCTAGGGTGGGCTTCTCGGCGAGCAGAGGAGTATAGGGTAGGACTGGTGAGAGGGTTGCCGAGGTTGGCGACACGGATGTTTGGATAGGGAATGTGAGGCTGAAGCGCTTCGCCTTTCGCTCCGACATGGACCGCGCGTGAGGACTGATGCCGCTCCTGCTCCAGGGCCGTTGTTCGTCCATGATGGTGTTGCTCAGGAGCAGAGAATCCGAATTGTCACACGTAACACCTGCATTGGAGTCGTCGTTGGTCTTGCCTTTGGCCGCTGCACACGCATGTTTGGGATTAATAAGGACTCCCCGGCCGGACCCTGACAGGAGGCCGCGTTTCAGCCAATCAAACACTCGTTGCCTATTTCGATGCACAATACCGTCATGCCTTGCAACGTCTTTCCTTCCAATTGTCATCATTGCTCATCTCTGTTTGCTCGGCATGACTTTTTCTCTGAAATCAACACCGATTCGTTGCTATTTCCTCTGGACTATGTATCTGCGTTGATAACGTCCCATGCTCTGAATACGGCACAGATCACCCGTTCGCATTGCCCCTGCCTAGCTTGTCCGTACATTGCTGCACATGGCCTTGACAATACGGTAGTCGAAGATCTCGACTCTGTCCAAACCCAACCTCTCAACCTTTGCATAACAAGCACGATACTGTTGTGTCTCTCGAGGGTCCACCAGTACCATTTTTCGCATCCCCTTGTAGGCCTGACTTTCATACACCGTCCCCGGGTCTTGTTCGGGCGCCCGAGTGTCTCGATCCCAATGCGTCAAGTCTTGGATGACCACCGCGCCATGCTCGAGTACCTTTTGTCCAATCTTTTCTTTTTCTGCCTTTGGCAAGTCTGCTATGAAGACAACTGACCGGCTGAATGTACATTTGTCTCCTTGAGTAAGTGATGTAGCCTGTCCCAAACTGCAACGCCCCTCAGTCCAGCTTGGTCCATGTGCTTTACCACTGCTCGATCCGACCGATTTCTGAACCGTTTGCTGAGTGACGTCTGAAAGTGGCGTCCGTAGCGATGATTCCAGGCCCTGTTCGAAGAATTGCCTCTTCTGTTTTCGGCATGGGGATGCGATATGAGTGCACATCTGTTTGATTCCGCTGTCTCTGCTTTCACACAACTTGCGCTTGCCCAACACCGTGGGTGGCTCCAGCTTTCTCGATCCATTCAGTGGAGACGATTCCGGTGGAGTGGGCAACTGGGAATCTTGTTTGATATAGGTGGTTTGAGCCTGTACAATCGTCCTCATGCGCAGTTTGTCCTCTAGAACAGCCGGGGGCTTGATTTTTGAACCAGTCTTCGTATGTGAGAGGGTATAAGTCGAGCCACTCCGGGCTGACCGAGGGGTCGTATCGGCAACGCTTGATCGTGGCGTTGTGTTGAGGCTATGTCTTGCGTACCTCCGCTTGTGACTTGTCTCCAACTTGGTCATCCAATTGATGTTCTCTTGTGTTTCAGAGTCCTGAGGGGTATCCAAGGCTTGGACTGCTGCCACTTGTAGTTCATCGAATGTGATGCAATCTCTCCATGTCCGGTCTCGATGTAGCTTTCTCACTCGAGGGTGTCGCAGCATGAAATAGCCGCCAGGAAGCTTGCTGTACGAGCTACCCAACACCTCGAAGACCAAAGGCTCTCGAAAATAGTCCCGAATTTGTAACATGCTGTCGGGTTCGATCAAGAGTGTCGAGGTGCTCTCGATGTATGGTTCTGCGAGCAAGGCACCCTCGACGTTGACCCTCGTCAAGATTTCTGTTGATATGCAACGATTATATGCAATCGTCGCCACAATTCTGAATCTAGGCTTAGTACCATATTGATGGAGTGCACTTCTGTTCAACAGGCATCCCAAGTGAAAGTGTGTGTACCTCAAGCGTAAATCCGATCGCTTTTTCGCTTCTTGAGCACCGTAAGATGCGGCCACGATAGCAAAATCAGCTTCGTCACCAAGTCCGGCTATGTAGTCCTTTTTGAGCTTGATGCCAATTAGTGAATCGTGAGAGAGATAGGGCACACCACATGGTTTGAGGACCAGACCCTCATGACGACATGCAATCGATGCCGCAAAATGGTTCATAAGCCTGCGTTCAGCATTGACCCGTGAAAAGTCCATCACACAAGATTCAGCTGGGGCTGCTCGGCCGTGGATTTTCTTGTAGACGCTGCCCAGTCGGGCTTTGCGTTCCTCGACAGATTTCGACAAGATATTTTCGTCATCAAGTAAGAGAAGATCAAACAATACGATCATCAAGTGTTCGCTCGGTTGGCCTGGCGGCTCGTTTTCAGCACCGATAAACGAGCCAACGCGGGAANNAACGTGTTTGCGAATCTCGTCGAATCCAAGAATGCTGTTTTCGGCGTCAGAAAATACCACCATCTCTCCTACCAGAATACATGCGCGTTTGAATCTGCATTTGTCACTTCCTAAGCGTAGGCATCTCCTGATAGTATCCCGCAGACCTGCTCGATCTTCGGTGGAGTCTCTGCCGCTCTTGGAATATATCTTGAGCCAATCATCACCTCGAGTGAGATCGACATGTATCNNTATACACGCGGATCGTCAGCGAGTGTCTAGGCAAGCAATGATGCGAGACTCTTATACCTGGCAGTATTCTCCATCATATTTCCTTTCCAACAGCCACTTTCCCCCAGCAGTCATCTGCAAACAATGTTTTATAGACCTGGCTTTGGTGTACTCGGGACGACTAACCTTGACACCAGGGGTTGGTCTAAACGATGAAAGGACAGTTTGCCGCAGAATGTTTCTGGACTGAGGATCAGGGCGACTCGGATAATCAGCAAAGGTTGTCTTCAAGGCGGCGCATGCATCCTCAAAGCTGTCTTGCATACCAAGCAAGTCCGGAAGTAGGAAGTGAATAGACGCCATGATTGACCTTTCGTTTAAAGACACTGGAGCGAAGTCTTTCAAGATGAGTCGTACAAACCATTTGGCTTCGACAGGGTGAAGGCGCATAAAGATATCGGCGAGGGAGAGATCGATGCTTGCTGAAGGACGAAACTGGCGGACCGATGGAGCAGAAAATCTGTTCCCTGCAGCAAGGGCGTGCAACACATCATCTGCCTCTTGCAGACCGACATACGGAAGAGCCGGCGGACCACGAACGTTTAGAAGGCGCTGCAAGCGATCTCCAAGATCACCATTGTTGGGTTTCTGAAATGACGCAAGCTCTTGTCTAGCAGAGGCGCTCAACCCGAGACATCGACCAAGTAGTTTTAACAGGGACGCAGGCTGTAATCCATAGACGCGATCCTTTCTTTTGCATGGTAGAAATGTTGATAGCAATGCGGTGGTACCAAGTTCATCCAGAGCATCGATNGGCTTTTGGTGCGATGCAAACCAAGAGGCATGTTGACGGTAGAGCCTCGACTTCAGTTCTGCTGGGGGCAACGGAGGGTCGTGACATGATATTTCTTCGCAGCGCTCAAGATAATCGCAAAAGTATGCAAACTTGAAGGACATTGGCTATAGCATAGCGGGTATGGGCTCCAAGAAGCAGATCTTGTGCCTCGATCAGTGGCGAATATGCAAGCAATAATAAGCAAGAACGGAAAAGAACAATGAAAATGTGATACAACCAAAAGCTCAAACGTGGTGAGAGTTCTTTGTCTGAGGGAGACGCGACGAGTGGCCCGAAGATGGCGCGTCGGTGCCTCGGCGTTGGCAACGATACCAACGCCCTGTGATTGACCGTTGACATCGACTGCTGACATCGAAAGAACAACCTGAGTTGGCATCAGATGAGTATCAGATGCCAACGCGGTTAAGAGCACCTAGTCTTCTAGACATGTGATTGCGGGAGTGCGGGGCGCATGGGTTCCCAAGGTCTTTCAATGTTTAATTATGTTACTTCACCGACTCGTCGTCCAAAAGAATACGCATCATGAGTCCAGACGATAAGAAACACAAGAACAAGCTGATCCTTCGTGGGATCAAGCAGAGCAGCCCTTTGGGGACGGGTCTCTTTATAGGACTCCGCAGTCTCGACCCGGTCCTCCAGTATGGTCTCCTTGCCAAAGGCATTGCAGCCCCTGCTATTTACAAGCTCGGAGGAAAGACCCTGGCCCAAGGACCCCCGGTCACAAATGCTCTCCTCGGTGGTCTCGCTCTGTCGCCCTATCGATTGATCCTCCTCGGCATGGCTGCAGGCAGCGCCATCAAGCAGAACTACTGGCTTGTCGGCATTTGTCAAGAGGAGTTCCCACCATTGTCTGCCGTTGAGGTCTCGGTCTTCAACACTGTCTTCAATTCTGTCAACTCGCTGCTCTTCACCTGCTCCATGACCTCTGCTTCGGTCAACGGCGAACACTTTCCGCAGACTCCCCTGCTAGTCGGCTCCGCATTATATCTCGTCGGCATCTTCACCGAGACCTTTTCCGAATGGCAGAGGCTACAGTTCAAGAAGAATCCCGCAAACAAGGGCAAAGTCTACACAGGAGGCCTGTTCCGCTTCGCAAGACATATCAACTATGCAGGATATACACTCTGGCGTGCTGGCTACGCCTTGGCTGCTGGTGGCTGGACCTGGGGAGCCATCGTTGGCGCATTCTTCTCGTACAACTTCATCTCTGACGGTATACCCGAGTTGAACAGATATTGCCAGGAGAGGGTAAGTTGCCCTCAGGCCAAGTACTGCTTCACTGCTAACACTACCTTCCAGTACGGCGAACAATGGCAGAACTACAGAAAGCAGACTCCCTACAAGCTCTTCCCATACATCTACTAAGCGTGCTTCCCCAGGTGGGAGGTTGGAAAGAAATTATTATAATGGCTCTAGAGGTATCTTTTGTAGCATAGCTTGCGCGTACTGTCGACAGTACTTTACTTGCTTCTCTTGTAAATCTTGCGGAGGAACTCCTCAAACACCTCCTTCTTGAGGCCTTCGCTCTCGTCCACTTCGGCAATGTGTTTTCTGATGTCGCCGACCTTCTCTTCTTCGTATGCATGGTAGACCTGGTCGAGCTGCAAGTCGTTGAAGAGAGCCTTGACCTTGGCCTCGTCGTCCTTGTTCTTTCTTCCGTAGTGTTGCTCGAGAACGGCACGCTGCTCCTTGGTGGCACGCTTCAAGGCCTGGTTCACCAGCCAACTGCACTTGTTGTCCTGAATGTCGGTGCCAATCTTGCCAAGAGTCTCGGGGTCGGCGTAGTTGTCAAGGTAGTCGTCCTGGACCTGGAAGTATTCGCCCATGGGGATGAGGATGTCGTGTGCCTGCTTGAGGTTCTTCTCGGTGGCCATGCCGCAGAAGTGGAGGGCCAAAGCGACGGGGAGGTAGAACGAATAGTATGCGGTCTTGTAGATGACGATGAAGGTGTACTTTTCCAGACTGAAGTTGTCAAGGTCGACGTGGTCCTCGGGGGCGGTCAACAAGTCGCAGGCCTGGCCCAGCTCGGTCTGGAAAGTGACTTCGTGGAACAACTCCATCAAGTCGACGTAGTTCTTGTCTTGACGGAAGTACTTCTTGAGCAGGATGTAGATGGCGCTCTCGAGCATGAAGGCATCGTTGATGGCGATCATGCCGACGTTGGGCATCAGGTACCAGCAAGGAGAACCACGGCGTGTCTTGGACGAGTCCATGATGTCGTCGGAAACGAGAAAGAAGGCCTGGAGCAGCTCGATCATCCAGCCAAGGGTGGCAGAGCGGAAGTACTCGTCGTCGGTCAGGTCACGCTTGAGGAGCAGAGCCGATGTGTCGACGACCGACATGCCGCGGTTGCACTTGCCGCCGACGGTGTTGTGCTGGAGGGACTCCTCGAACCATGTGAGAGCCTGGGTGGGGAGCTTGTATTGCTTGCAGTGGTCGCTCAGGTCCCGGATGAGCTGGGGGAAGACGGACTCGAATCGCTTGAGAGTGGTGGGCATGACGGCGGTGCTCGTGTGTGGGCGCAAAGAGTGGATAGGTTTCGCTGTTGTACTGTTCAGGATGCGGCGAGGACCTGAAGAGCGCAGTCTATACAAGGAGTGGGCGAGACGAAAGATGGCGACAATACGAAGAGCGAGTGTGCTGAAGAACAAAAAGTCGTCCCATTTGTTTGGCCAAATTGACCTCCGTCTCTCTCCCCTTGCGCCGCAGCCAGAACCCCACCAATCTCCCTCCTGATCCACGACTCAATCCAAATTAGCAAACCACTCTACCGCTAGTCATCTTCTTCGACCGCATCCGTTCCATTAATACTAGAGACAGGATACACTGCTCTTGAGACGTTCATGCTGGTGAAACACAAGTAAACATCAACGAAAACAATTCCGGGCAAGCCAACCATCTCCCCGACATCCACCGATATGGCTACTCTGTCTACCGAGCAAACATTACAATTACGCACTCAATTGCATCAGGCTGTAGCCGCATGTAACGATCGCTGCTTGTATCGTTCTGCAAAATGGTGGGCGCATACACTTGCAACTAAATATTGCCAGGTCTGCTAACATAACAACCAGGNNGCTGCAGAACTTCTCAATGCTTTTCCAGATTCAGATCATGACCTTGACTCGGCCTACGATACAGAACCAAACTCTCCGAACGGCGAAGATAATCCATGGTACAATTTTCAATTTTCACAAGACTCGCACGAAGCCCGACTAGAACGCAGAGAGTACCCTAAATTTCTCATGGCCAAATCTNTTTTCGATTGTCGTGAATTTGATCGTTGCGCTGCTACCTTGCTACCTAGTCTTGTCCCACAACAACCAGTTGCTAGAGATGCGGCCAATGCTGCCACCAAAACCAAACCAAAGTCAACAAATCCTCTACCAGGCTTACCACAGCTCAGCCAACGTTCTCTGTTTCTTGCCTTGTATGCCAAGTACATGGCTGGCGAGAAACGCAAGGAAGAAGACAGTGAGATGATTCTAGGTCCTACCGATGGTTCTGTCACTCTGAACAAGGAGCTCATCAGGATATCCAGCATCCTTGATGAATACCTGAGCGCTCGAGGAGGCCTCTCAAGTACACACGAATCACAAGGTTTCTTGGAGTACCTCTACGGAGTTGTCTTGCTGAAAGGCAAGAACGAAATACTTGCAAAGGCGTGGCTCCTCAAAAGCGTCAACCACTGTCCCTGGAATTGGGGAGCATGGCAAGAACTTGCAGACCTGTTGAGCTCGGCCGAGGAGGTCAGTGTTAGAATCTCCGGCTAGACAATCTACTAACACACCTGTCCAGNNCTCAACGAAACAACCGAACACTTGCCACGAAACATCATGACCTTCATGTTCCATATCTACTGTAGCCAAGAGCTTTTCCAGTCGACAGAAAAGGTCTACAACGAGATCAACCAAATCAGCAGCATTTTTCCCAACTCAGCCTTTNTGCAAACTCAGCGTGCTCTGCTGCATTATCATTCCAAGGGTGAGAAACTTGGCACACATTGCCGTCGTTATGTTTTACTGACCGTCTATGCAGAGTTCGAGGAGGCCGATGGGCTGTTCACCGACCTTCTCTTGCGGCATACTTATCGACTCGACTCGATGGACTCGTATTCAAACATTCTCTACGTGATGCCATCGAGACCGAAGCTAGCACATCTCGCCTCGGTCGCGTCAGCCATCGACAAGTTCCGTCCCGAAACGTGCTGCATCATCGGAAACTATTACTCGCAATGTTCAGAGCACGAAAAGGCAGTCATGTACTTCAGACGGGCTCTTACTCTAGATCGGCAGTTTCTGTCAGCGTGGACTCTAATGGGCCACGAGTACATCGAGCTCAAGAATACCCAAGCAGCCATTGAAAGTTACCGACGAGCCGTTGACGCCAACAGAAAGGATTACCGAGCGTGGTACGGTCTGGGTCAGGGCTATGAACTCTTGGACATGCATTCGTATGCTCTGTTCTACTTTCAACGCGCGGTCGCTCTACAGCCTTGGGACCCGAAGATGTGGATGGCCGTGGCAAACTCATTCGCCAACTGTGGCCGGTTACAAAATGCGATACGGTCATACAAGAGGGCGCTGGTTGCTGGCAGCTATCTTGATAATGGTGGTGGCACAGTCAGCTTTGCATCTTCAGCAGACCCACTCGCTGGAGCAGTCGGAGGCGCATTGGACCCCGAGATCCTCTATCAGATCGCCCTTCTTTACGAGCAGGACAATAACATGGACGAGGCATCCGCATACATGGAACTCACGCTGGCGCAAGAGGAAGGGCCGGACGAGGACGACTTGCCACCAGGGGCACCACTATCCAGCGCTGGAGGAGGTATCGGAATCACGCAGACAACAAGCAAAGCAAGATTATGGCTGGCCAAGTGGAGCTTTGTCAAGCAGGATTGGCAGCGTGCGTCGGAATTGGCAAACGAACTGTGTCAAGATGGGGTCGAAGTGGAGGAAGCCAAAGCTCTGGTCAGGGATGTGAGAGCCAGATTAGAGGCCGATGGCCATGTAGGTGGATGAGAAGGCGTAATCCTCCAGTTCATAATGCAATAAAGAGTCATGGTAAGATTTCGAACCAAGTCAGAGCAAGAATGGATTCATGAAGAGGATAAAAAGTCGGATATAGGACAGAACAAGAAAGGGGGAATCTACAGAAGAGCCAGAACGAAGCTGGTGAAGACGCTGAGTCCGACGACAGTCCAGCCAGTGACCTGGACCTGCTTGTTGGTGATGCCCTTACCCATGTCCCACATCAAATGGCGAAGGCCGTTGAAGCTGTGGTAGGTGAAGGGGAAGCTGGCAACGAGCTTGGCCAAGATGGCAAGGGCAGCAGGCCATGCGGCAAAGGAAGCGGCAAGACTGGCGCTCTCGACGTGCCAGCCAAAGGCGGGAGCGATGAGGTATGAGAGACCGAAGACATAGAAGGCGCCGGAGAGGGTGACGCCGGTGACACGGTTGAGAGCGGAGCCGTACCAGGTGATCTGGGGCTTGTAGATGCCCAAGTGAGGCGAGACGGGGCGGTTCAGGCGCTGCTTGGCCAGGATTTGTTGCGAGGCCTCGGAGTCGGACACGGACTGGAAGGCGGCGTGTCTGNNGACAGAAGACGTGTGTGAGATTGACGAAAGCTAGAGCGGCGCGAACAGAAGCAGTCCGTACCTTTGCTGGACCAAGCCGGCGGAAGAGAGTAGCTGGGGAGTGCGCGACGAGAGGAGCGAAGGCTGGCGGACCGCCACTGCTGCCACGTTAGTTCATGTCTCAGTGGGTCCGAGTCGGGTAGACGTACGGCGGCGCGCTGTTTGCAGACCGAGTCTCTGAGCAAGCATTGTGGTTGTTGTGTCTACTGCGTCGTCGTCGTCAAGTCAAGTCCAAGTGCAGTATGAACATCGGAATCCCCAGCCAATTGAAGCCGAGGCTAGCCTGCCCTTCATTGACCAATCAGCGTGCCCCAGAGGTAATTCCTCTCGGGGTACAAATTCTTCGCTTTCCGTTTTGTTTTCTTCCTTTCTCTTCTTAACATGGGACCTGTCACCCACCGCTTGGACTATCTCAGTATGATATACCGGTGTTTTTTGTTTGACATTCTGTCGGACCCCATTTCAGGTTTCTAGACCGAAACTGCCCGTCGCGTTAATCGCCCATTATTGCCTGTGACCTATGGCTCGGTGGGTTTCAATTCAGGGCCACATCTTTTCGTTCTTCTATAGTTATTGTGCTTTGCGCATTTCGCTCACAACGTTGTGAGCTTGTCTTGTCCCGACCTTGTCGCTTTGCAGTCGATAAATTTGCACCCGACAAGGACGCGCACAAGAAAAACCGGCATCCGTTCTAAACAGAATACTGGTACGGCGTGTCCGCATCCGCTGCAATCTATAGTCATGCTGCCTCGCGTGGCTAAAGACCGTCATATACCCTTGATCTACGTCTCATCACTCGCTGATGGAGAGCATTGTGCTGTAGCTGTGTACATGTGAGCATGATAGGGCCCATGTATCGTATCGCAAATTACTGCATTCCTCTAGCAGTCACGATGGTTGATATCCATTTTGAGGGTCTACCCAGAATTCCCATAACACCGAATCAGATCGTCCCTCACCATTCATTAATCCCCATGCCCGCCTCCTTCATCCTTCTTGGCCATCTTTTTCAAGAAGCCCACAAAACCTCCTCGTTCGCCTTGACCCTGACTTGACTTCCTCCTTGCAGCTCTTGGTGCCTTTGGTCCTCCAGTGTACTCATCCATGGTCTTGTACCCAAAAAAGCCAGACAGGGTTTGGGCTTCCTCGCTGGGTTGCACGTATTTNTTGTGCTCTGCCCATTCAGTCAGAGCGGCTATGTATGCCGCCTCGCTTGGGAAGCCTTTGTAGCTCCCTGTTTCGGCATAGGTGGGGAGGATGGTAGAAGCGGTTGTTTGTGTGCTTGGTGTTGGGGAGGGCGGACGAGCATAGTCTGGATTGTCGGTTGCGGATGCGGGAGGATTGGGCGCGTAGTGCTCCTGCAGTGTCGTCGATTGCGACCGCGGTTGAGTCTGGGCTTGTGGTAGGACATTGCGTGTATTGGCTTGAGACGAAGGAGCTCGAGAGGAGCCCAGCAGAGTAGGTGTTGTTGATGCTGGGTCTCGTCGCGTGTACTCTGGCGGTGGCGCCATAGGCTGTGGTTGCTGCATGGTATGTGTGTGTTTCTCTACGGCTTGTTTTCTTGCTAGCTGGAGAAGACACGAGCCGTTCAATGGCTACCAGTGTGATAAACTCCTTCAGATAATGGCAGCGATATATTGGACAGGATGATGCTATGAGAACAGCGATGCAAACATGGAAACGAACAAAGACTTGACCTAACCTTAAGAGCAAAAAGAATCATCTATTCTGGTACGGGCTGTGCCTGCAGCGTTTGACACAAATGTGCTTGTATCTCTCGAAGATTATGTTTGTCCAATGCGTGTGCTGGAAGTCACCATGTGCTTGGAGTCGTTCCGTCATGATCGACAGTGACAAAACAAAGGTTGAACCTCCGCCTCAGCCTCAGCCGAGAGAGCCGCATTCTTCTCCAGCCTCAGGACAAGCAGCATCTCTAATGCCATCCGAGCCCCTCTCTATCTGGTCGTAGGAGCACATCGCCACTCAAGCTTTGAGATGCGGGCGTGAGATGACATTCGGTGCTGAACGCCCAAGTACCTACTGCATGCAAGCCACCCGTATGACCCCTCACGCAGGAACATGTGCCTTCCTGAATCAGCCAGACTGGTAGGCAACAGCATGTGTCGCTGATAAGCTGGATAACAGCACGCTTGAGATTTATAAAGCAGGTACTGGCGTGCCTTCGCCTTGTGGGTCTCGCTCTCGTGCTCAGCCTTTCTTGATCGGAAAAGACGCACGCTATGAATACCCTATGGTCTCTCTTTGGCAAGGGCAGTCAAGTCAAGCAGGCCCAGAATGGAGACATCCAACCGGAGACTGGTGATGGCTTTCCTGTGCCAAACCACACTCTTTCATACTGGCGATCAGAGTTGCACCCTATAGACTCATACTGCTCATCCGAGCAGCTGCCCTCGGAATGTGATATTGCCATCATCGGAGCTGGCATGACTGGGGTCAGCACAGCCTACCACCTTTCACGCCTATATGCCGCAAACAATCTAGAAAAGAAACCATCAATCGTTATTCTCGATGCTCGTGAGGTCTGCTCCGGAGCCACAGGACGAAATGGCGTATGCTGAGCCACTTCAAGTATCTGCTGACTTCGACTGACATGTACGGCAGNNGGTCACTCAAAGGTTCAAGCGTTCACTATGCGTAAAGTGATGAAAGAGCGTGGTTTGGATGCTGCCAATGAGCTTGCCGCTTTTGTATCTGCTCAGAAATATCAGATGAAGGACGCAGTTGATAGAGAGGGACTGAACTGCGAATTTGAGATGCGACGCAGCTATGATGTCTTTATTGACAAGGGAGAGGCAATCCAGGCAGAGCACTTATATCGTACAGCCACAAAAGAAGGCTACCAATGGGCGAGGGACCTGGATTTTGTGGGACCTGAACACGCTGAGCAGGTATGTCAATTTACCCATTCCTCGATTGACCGATGCACGAATTCACAAGCAAATAGGNTCACATCAATAAAAGGTGCAAAGTCAGCCATCAGCATGCCTGCCTGCAGCCTGTGGCCTTACAAGTTCGTCACACAGCTCCTCTCGCGGTTGGTCGACTCTGGAGTGGTGACTTTGTTCACAAATACTCCTGTACTATCCATCGATTCCTCAGATGCCTTGTCCACCCTTCTTCATACGCCCCACGGATGTCTGACAACCAAAAGACTCATATTTGCTACTAACGCTTACACCCCAGCAATTTGTCCGTCATACAAGAACGAGATCGTCCCCTACAAAGGAACAGCCTGCCATATCGTACCTGACAAACCGGTTTCTCCACACCTGAGCCATACCTATAACATTTCCTATGACCATCCAGCCGACCAAGCCACAAGAGTGGACTACTTGAATCCGAGACCAGACAGTGGCATTGTAGTTGGCGGCGCAAAGTTCCTCTTCGATGCTGACAAGGACTGCTGGCACGATACTACGGATGACAGTACACTTCTCCCCAATGTCCGCCCTTACTTTGCCACCTACATGCAATCTAACTTCAAAGGTTGGGAGAGGAGCAATGCTAAGACCACACATCTATGGACAGGGATCCAAGGCGAAACAAGGGACGGCTTTCCTTTTGTGGGTAAGATTCCTGGCAAAGAGAATTGGTTCGTTGCCGCTGGTTTCAATGGAGGTGGCATGTCATTCATATTTTCCTGCAGTGAGGCACTGGCAAAAATGGTAGACGGTAAGACGTATGAGGAGACTGAACTGCCAAAGATGTTCGATTCTGGAAGGATGTTAGGCTGATGTGCTTTCAGTGGATCTGATTCGGTTTCTCAATGATATTGTGCAATTTTATGGATTTAGATTTGGGTAGGGCATCAATAGGATGTTATGTCATAGATCGTGAGTCTCATCAACCTAGTGATGGACAACACCCTTGCTCCTGCATATGGAAGGGTCTATGATTGTACACCCAGTCTCTATATCCCGACCAAACGGTCAAAGCACTCATGCCGAACTTATGGAACAGCAAGAGACAATATATCAAGACACTTTAGAAGCATGAAGAACACAGTAAGACCGGTCAAGTCGTACTGGCTTGTACCCGGGTAATGTATAGTAATTCCGTTCCCGCAGAGCGTCTTCTTGAGTAGAGAATGTTGCGTTACAACAGAGTACATCACATAATTATTGCGGGACAGTTTCTCGTATTATCACCCGGTTACCTCGTTCATGCGACAAGCGAAGGAGAGTGGAATGTATCAATGAAGGGACGAATGGGTTTCAATTTCTGATTATTTTCATGTATTGGGAGAGAGAAAGAGAAGCAGTAGTATCCTCCATCATCATCAGGCACCTAGAACTTGGTACAGGTGCACACGACGCCGGCGACCGGGCCAGGAACAGAGGGGTCCACGGGCACCTCAATGAGACCGACATAGTTGATAGCTTCACGGAGAAGAACGTCAGGGCCTTCTCTGCCAATTCTCTTGGCGACCTGCTCATTGAAGGGGTTGATGAAGTTGGCCAGGGGTTGAGAGCGTTTCGAGCTGCTGTTGTCAACCTGGGCCATTTTGGAGAAGATCTCGCCTAAAACTGTCGTTGGAAGAATATGGACCGTGCCTCAACACCAAAGGTAGTTATAGCCGGGACCTCTGGGCGACGGAAAGGTTTGGAAGGTCGACTTCGTCTTCCGGAACCCGCTGGTCGACGAACAATTGAAGGTGACTACAGTGACCAGGCACTTCTTCACAAACGCTCCACGTACGCTTCACAGACATTCGTCGATGTCGATGCCTGTTAACCGTGCTCCCTTCGACCAGTTCTCCTGAGTTCTTCCTGTCCCCCTGATTGATCATCCAATCTCTTGGTGTCACTCAGAACAAGTCTTTCTTTGCAGGTAGGTCAGTGTACTTCCAGAGGTAGGTCAGTGGATAATCGTTGATGGGATTGATAGTCGACGGACGGGTACAAGCCACTTGCTCCATTGTTCTGCCTTGATTTCTTGGTATCTGTGTCCTGCTTAAACACTCTGAGAAGTCACAAACCTTTGCCACGACAAGTGCTTACATCCAGAGAGCTTGCGACTCGTCAAAGGACGCCGGTGACTTGCTACATCAATGACTACCTGATTGGCGAGCGTCTTGAAACCTGGCAGTCGATCTCTCACAGTCGACTGACTCATCTCCCACTATACAGACTCAGCGTACTCCCTGTGTACAGGCTTGTGTTTCGAGAGCCTACGTTGTCGCTGTCGCTTCGAAATCCTCCTCGGGCCCCTGGATTCTCGATTTGATTTTGGTCAGCATCTAATAGCTAGGCTTCACACACTTGAGATGGTCAATCTATCGTCGGGCTACACCGACATCCACAGCTATGCCCGCGATGTCATAGCATTCATGCATGAGCCGCTATCAGTACAGATTACAGGAGGCATTCATGTCAATGATGCTTTCATCTATGACGCCTGGGAGAAGCTGCCTTGCGAATGGACGACATGGTGGGAGTCATTGCCCAGCCCACAAGACGCACAAAAAGACCTCATCAACAGTCTTCACAAACAACCAGAAGCTAGGCGCCATGATCTCCCTGGCCGGCCAGGGAGCTTGTCGCGATGGCTAGAACGGATACGCAACCTGAGTCTCGATCGCGAACAATTGATCTTACCCGACAATATTCCACACGTTGAAGTACCAGAGATCATGGCCAGTCGTATGGTCACCAAGAAACTGGCAGAAGTTCGTGCAGGCGCTCGATACATCAACCACATCTGCAAAACACACAACATCACTCGCGTCATAGACATTGGCAGTGGACAAGGCTACCTCTCCTTGACTTTGGCAGCAGCATGTGCTCTTAAAGTCCTCGCCATCGATGGCAGTGAGAAGCAAATCCAAGGCTCAAAAGCAGCAGCTCAACAAGCAGGACTCGTCGAGAACGAGCACATTACACATCTCGCTCGCTTTGTAACCGGTACAGACGAATTAAGTGCAGAAGTAACACTCTGGGCGGAGGGAGAGAAGTGTCTACTGACTGGTCTGCACGCCTGCGGTTCACTTTCCGAACATATGATTCGTCTCTCCACCACCGTTCCCTGTATAACTCAACTCGCAGTTGTAGGGTGCTGCTTCAATCATATAAGTCCCCTCTCAGCCGAGAACCCTACAGGTTTCCCAATCTCGTCCTTCATGCGTACGAACAATCTCAACCTCTCTACTTCGGCCTTGATCACTGGCTGTCAAGCTCCAACAAACTGGACACACAACCCCGACTCGATATTTGCAAGAAAACACTGGTATCGTGCTGTCCTAGAAAAACTGCTGTTCGATAAAAAGCTAGTTCAGGAGGGCGACCAACGACCAGTTTGGGGTATCAGGAACGGCGACTTGGGGAGTTTTACCGCATATACTTGTCGCGCTCTCTCATCTCTGAAATTGCAGATTGGTCGGGATGTCACAGAGCAGGAGATTGCAGAGTATGAAGAGAAATATCAGTATAGAATGGCGGAGACAGCGATATTGTGGACATTATCGGTGTTGCTGTGTAGGGTTGTGGAATCTATGATTGCTTTGGACAGAGTGTTTTTTCTCAAAGAAGCTGGAATGGCAGAGGTGAATGCGTTGCCAGTCTTTGAGTATAAAGAAAGCCCAAGGAATCTGATGGTTGTGGCTTCCAAGAAGGAGCTGACGGATTTGAGAGAGCTGTAGAGATGTTGCGCTGGTTCGGATGCTTGGTTAAGGAAGAGAGACTCTGCTGAAGCCTTCGACGGACAAAGTGTTGATTTATAAAATAGATTTATGATTAGATACCATGATGCCATGGGTGACAAAAGACACAGAAGACGATATCATGAGTGTTCTTGTCAACGAGCCGAGACTGTACACCGACAGACTGATGCAATGACCGAGCGTTAAAGTGTTGACGGCGGGAGACGTGGGACGAAAAAGATTTCTACTCGACATTTCTACAATCTTCTATTTGACTGTATATTGTGTAGCGGCTTGAATTCAGGTTCACTCCGAAGTGGATGTGACGACGTTATTCGTGGGTTTTTGCTCGAAGAGCGTGTTTCATGATGAAGTGAGGCTTGATTGTTTTGACTTGTGTTGCAAGTATGGCTCAGACAAAGAAGTCTCACTTGTGTTGGTTCAGTACTCGTAGTGGATTGAGGCTGCATAGAAAGCTCGCGTCCAAACCTCTCTTCAGATCTTCCTCACAACTCGCAATCCATTCGCATTAGATACGGCTCAGCCCAGAGTGTGAAAGTAACCATCTGATCACCTCCTCACAACAAACAGTTCAGCATCGAAGGTAAGTCTTCCTGTCACGAAATCATCAACGCAAAGCTGAATTTGAATCAGGAAAGAGCGACCATCATGCCTTCCTCAAGCGACCACAACACAGACAAAGAGCGTCGCCTCATCGGAGTCTTCATCTATTCGCATGTCCGCCTCCGCCGTGCCGATGAGCATTTTCTGAACATCCACCTCACTTCCGCCTTCGCTGCCGTCCTTGAAATGGAAGAGGAAGACCTCGAGTTCCAGCTAGAAGACAAAGAGGGACTTCAAATGGTCCATGCCGAGGAAGACAAACTTGCCAGATGGAAGGGAGGCACCAAGAGTGCCCTTGTGCATTCAGCTGCCGAGCTCGTGGAAGATGTGGCCAGAGATACGGTGGGCGAGTTTGGAGTCAGGGAGCAGGAAGTCATGTTTCAACTCGCCGAGACCATGTATGGCGTTGCGAGGGACTTGAAGTCGCCGAAGATTGACTATATCACCATCGATGACTGAGCTTCATTGGCACCTCAAGCAGCGCATTCGCAGCCACCAACCTTCTTATGACTGGCGAGAACGAGGGATCCCCGAGACAGAGCACGAATCGAGTCCCCACCTAGGACATGATTGAGGAAGCTTGGTGTTCATCTACACAGAGAGGGCTCAGCGCAAACAATTTAATCATCAGTAGCGAACAAAGATTCAACACCAGTATTTTGACACTCTTGGTGTTCCAAGATGCAGTGGATTGTTTTGATAAGATTCGAAATTGAAGAGATACTTAATATCTAGAGATGTCGGGATCTTCTGACACCGCCTACACAACAGGATTATGCGTAGCCAGTTCTTATAGAACCACTTGTCCGTCTTCGCATCGACCTGATCGCAAACCAGCAATTGAAATACAGCACAGACTTGCACATAACGTGAAGTCTGCACCAGGTGCCGGCAAGAACTGTCTAAAAGGCTGCGTTGAAGGAAAGAAAGCGAAGATTTGGCAAGCAAGACTGAAGTTTTATGGAAAAGTGGGCTGGTCAGTGCGCCATGTGGGGAACTTAGGGGACAAGCAACATTCACGACGCTTGGCTGCCTGTCATAACTCACCTAGCAACAACAATTACCCAGGAGTCGTCGCCCACCAAAGAGGAAGTCGCTGCTTCCCGACAGCCCGGACCTCTCAGATCAAGCACCAGTACCTAATCATATACCGACCGGCAGCGCCCTCACCACACGATGGCTTCGGCCCTCTTCTTCCTCGACCTCAAGGGCAAGGTACACATCAATAGACAGCTCCTGCCACAAGCGCACCCTAACAGTACGACAGNNACCCTTCTGGCGCGCAACTACCGCGGTGACATCCCCATGAGCGCCGTCGACAAGTTTCCCGTCCTCTTATCCGAAGCCGAAGAAGAGAGTTCGGCCGTCNCCNCCTGCTTCAGCGACGAAGGCATCAACTACCTCTACATCCGTCACAACAACCTCTACCTTCTCGCCCTCACAAAGCGCAACTCCAACGCCGCCGAGATACTACTCTTTCTTCACAAAATCGTCGAGGTCTTTACCGAGTACTTTAAAGAGCTGGAAGAGGAGAGTATTCGTGACAACTTTGTCGTCATTTACGAATTGCTCGACGAAATGATGGATTTTGGACACCCTCAGACGACAGAAAGCAAGATTTTGCAAGAATACATTACTCAGGAATCACACAAGCTGGAAGTGCAGGCACGACCACCCATCGCAGTCACAAACGCCGTCTCGTGGCGTTCAGAAGGCATCCGCTACCGCAAGAACGAGGTCTTCCTCGACGTGGTCGAGTCTCTCAACCTGCTCGTCTCATCTACCGGAAACGTCCTACGCTCAGAAATCCTTGGTGCCATCAAGATGAAGTGTTATCTGTCTGGTATGCCCGAGCTGCGTCTAGGTCTCAACGACAAGGCCATGTTCGAAACCACTGGCCGCGCAACTCGCGGCAAGGCGGTCGAGATGGAGGATGTCAAGTTCCACCAGTGCGTCCGCCTATCACGATTCGAGAACGACCGTACAATCAGCTTCATCCCTCCGGACGGTGAGTTCGAGCTCATGAGCTATCGTCTCAACACCCAGGTCAAGCCTCTTATCTGGGTCGAGTGTATTGTTGAGAACCACTCTGGCAGTCGTATTGAATACATGCTCAAGGCAAAAGCACAATTCAAGCGCCGCTCTACCGCCAACAATGTCGAAATCTCTATTCCTGTACCAGAAGACGCCGACACACCACGCTTCAGGACGAATATTGGCTCAGTGCACTATGCTCCTGAGCAGAGTGCTATTGTCTGGAAGATCAAACAGTTTGGTGGTGGCAAGGAGTTCTTGATGCGTGCTGAGCTGGGCTTGCCATCAGTACGTGGTGATGATGAGAAGGGCGGTGGTATGATGGGTGGCTTTGGTGGCAGTATGGGTGGCGTTGGCGACCGTGGCAAGAGCAAGCGACCCATCAACGTCAAGTTTGAGGTATGTCTTGTGTGTTTTCTGTTATCTTTAACACTTACTGACTCGTCCCTAGNNATTCCATACTTTACCACATCCGGCATCAACGTGAGGTATCTCAAGATCATCGAACCCAAGGTAAGGAGATGAGCTGTAGAATATCTCAGGCAAACGCTAACTCAAATTCATAGCNTCCAATACCCTTCCCTGCCATGGGTTCGCTACATTACACAATCCGGCGACATTGCTGTTCGTCTACCAGACACGCAATCATGATGACAATATAATAATGAAGAGTCCATTTCCCATTGATACTCAAATGCTGTCAGCCGCACTCATTCGCTCGACAACATTGTGAACCTTCTGTGTTCATCTTTTTCCTGCTCATGGCTACATCAAATCCAGCTTTCACGAACGATCCCCCAAAATATAGTCAACTCAATATGAACAACATCGAGCGTTTTCGCTGGCAGTGTTTGATACTTGGTTACTCTACATTCAGCACACAGAGACCAATCTTGGAACCCGGGTCTCGAAGACGAACGGCAATGGGCGACAATAAGTGAAGCCAAGTCTGCTGCATCTCAGAGCGCAAATCTCAGGGGCGTACAACCACAGATATGCACAACAACATCTGAAACAATGAAGTGTCCAGAGAAAACCATCACCTTTACGGGCTCTTTCTGGATCAATGACTGATTCAAGAAACTTTGTGCAATTCTACATGATACTGTTTGAGAGTCTGGGCGAAGAAGAGAAAGAGTGATAGGAGGAGAGCAAGTGTGGTATTCAAAGTTCTCAAGTTTTGCTGTTGCTGATGTACACAGACTATCTTTGTCCTTCCGTGCTTGCCTGCAGATCTTCACCTGGAGTCACGCTCAGAGAGAAAGAAAAGAGGCTAGAAGAGCTCCGGCTCGGTCTCTATCATGTCTAGGTAGGATGGCATACGACGCAGCGACAGCTGGCGACCGTCTCCGTCATGATACTGTGCACATGATCGACGAAGAGCTTGACAGATCTGAACGATCTGCCGCTGGGATGTCCATGAACGGTCAGATCAGATTGTCTGAACAGAGCGTAACCCTTGGAAGGTTCGCCTTCGAAGTTGATGGGTTGTCCNGCCTGTTGATCATAACATACATGGTCAGCCAAAGTACAGAGCTTGGGTCAACGACACAGATTGCACTTACTCCACTGGTCGACAAGGTCTTTACGTGCGTTGTATGCACTGGTGAGCTTCTTCAGGAACTCCTCGTCCTGAACGCGAGTCTTGTTGGTGGGCCAGTTTCCGGCTCCATCGCTTGTGAACTGTTCATCGCTGAGGTCGAAGTTTTGATGTCCTGGGTTGATGCCTTTGGTGGTTGGTCTTGAGGCTGGTCTTGGAGTCGAGATCTTGGGGTTGGTTGGGTTTCTCCACATGCTGGGATCGGGGTCGACCATTTTGGATGCCCGGTGACCTGGTGGGCGAAGGTTGTGTGTGGTTGTGAGAGATGTAGGAGAAGGAGTTGCTTGAATTGTAGAATTATTATAGGTGGGACAGAGATCTCCGAAGCGATGGGAGCGAGACAGAAGGTTCCGGATCCATGGCTCAGCTTCTTTGGGCGGCTGTGAGATTCAAAAGGCCCTTTGCGTCGAGATAGGAATGGTTTGCTGGTCGAGTTATCCGGCGGAAAGAAGCGTTGGAGATGTTCTAGTGCCATGTTGGTGTCATTGCTAACAGCTGCAGTAATTCAGAGTCCCTCCTGACTCTCTTCTTGTAGGTCCCCCTTTTGTATGGCCACATCCTGGTTCCCATGCAACAGTATGCCTCTACGAATCCCTACAGTGCATTATCCCAAAGCCACTGTGGTGTCGATCCACCATTGCTTTCTGGTCAACGGTCGAGATACAGTCACGTTGTTGGGTAGCAGTAAGTTTGACAGAGATTTGCATGCGGAGAGAGGAAGCCGAGTGTTGCTTCGTACCTGCCTTCCTTCGTGAAGACAGCGGACAATGGAACGAGTTGAGAAAATACCAGACCAGAATCAAATCGTGAGCTTGTCCACAGAAGGCAAGTCCGAGATTTGTTGCACCTGCCGTGCTGGACTCTTCCACTTCCCACTTTCACACGAAACACCAGACACCAAAAACCACCTGTTCTTCCGATCGTCTTCCATCATATCTTGATCACAATCCGTCAGCAACGTTACTTCTGAATGACCAATCAACCTTCCATCCGAGGTCTCGTCCTTGGTCCCTTACCCAACATCAACGATACTTTGCCATGTGTCACCATCAATCTCAGCACATTCGCAAGCGATGGTACTGGCCGATACCCTATGCACATGACCAGATCAGATGATCAGCATGTTCTCGACTACCCCACCCAAATATTCAATATAAAGGGTCTGGGCCAAAGCGGTAACCATCCATCCACTCGCATCTCCAACTCCAATCCTGACTGATATGTGAAACAAGTATACAACATCAGCTTCGTAGGCACGCTTCCTCAAGGTTACGCGGCATTCAGCTACAGAGGTTCTAGTGGACACGCTCTAATCGAAATTTGGGGACATAGTAGCGGGCGCCCTTTCACAAACTTTCAGAGCCTTTCGATACATGCGATGAGCGTGATGACTAGCGAATTTGATGGTTGCAGATGCCCGCTCTGCGATACGCCTTGTCCGGCTCCTGCAACATCTCTTGATACGAATGCCGCAGACACTCCTGACCTGGCTTCTAAGGACTCTCTCGATACAGCTTTAGATACCTGGGATAGTGCTCCTGACACGCTCGATGCCTTGACACCTCCTACCACTTGAGCCTCAAAGAAGCAGTTGCTTAGCACAGAATGATCGAAGAAAGTGGAAGAACAAAACATATTCATGTAAAAGTGAGCGTTGTCAATCGGGGCGCTTTTGCTTTTGAATCCCCTTGAAGTTCTGAATTTGTAGTAGAAAGTTCAAGATCAATCACTAGTTCAATTCTTCACTTTTGTGGCATTGAGTCCTCTTGCTTGTGTCCTGTTCTTGTTTCCCTTCAATAGGCAGTCTACTATCCAGGCTTGTGTGGCCATCTCTCACCCGCCGGCTTGCTGCAGCTAGGCAAAGTGGGAAGGACTATTCCCAGCTCAATTGACTAGAAGCAATCGCTCAGCTTGCGAGTGAAACCATTATCAAAGCAGATTTGGCTGGAGTGGACTTTCTTTCTCGTACTGATCAAGCATTATTGTGACTTAGCTAACAAAGAACTGGGTCTCTATGGCATCTGCATAGCGCGGCAAGCATCTTGTTATCATCAAAAACAGCAAAAGGCCAGAGCTGAGCTCTTATGGGAAAACCATCCCTCAACCCCTTGATCATAGTCACCAGATGTCGGCCATCTGGGGGCATGAATTAAGACGTACAAGGCAGGATTGTTTTATCATGAATCAGGAGTGTATAAGCTGTTACACCACTCGACCAATTACAGTAACAAATGGAATCTGAGATGAATATATGTGCTAGCGAAGGTTGTCAGGGTTCGAATTGGATGGTTGCGATTTCTCCCTTTTGCATTGATCCCTTACTGGCTCACACTGCTAACATGCAACGTTTTGTAGCCTCCAAATAGTTTTATGATAGGGGCAATACATTGTTTTCTCTCATCTTGCCATCAGTCTTGAGGTAACTGGCTGTCGAGAGGCATGAGATGATACAACCTGTGTACTTGCTCAAAAGAATGATCTGGAGGTCCACTTTCCATGAACAACCCCTAGCAGTCTGGTGGATAGACCTGGCACTGGAAAGGAAAGCTCAACTTGCAAAGACCCAAACCCCGAACTCTGCACAATGACACGGAAGAGAATCAGAACAAGCAAACGACAAGTCGAGAGCAAAACGAGCAAACGCTACTCCACGGTACATCGGCAGAAGTCAACAAACACGCATGCTTTTCTTCTTCAAGTACAACTCGCGTTGTTACTCGGACTACAATCAAGACACTTTCTCAACAATGAACAATCCACCACCCATCCCCATCGCCAGCCAGGCTCAAGACATCGACCTCGGCGAATACCGCAGCGACGGAACAGGAGAAGAATGTTTCAACCTCATCACAGTCAAATATCAGACGGAAGACTTTCTCGAGCACTTGACGCACATCTTTAACACGCGTGGCTACGCACTTACGGCGTTTGGTATGTATCGTCTCTCTCTGCACACCACTGTATCCGGGCGACTGACACTATGAAAACCAGGCCACTATGTCAGATTTGTCAACTCTCCGCCCAAAGGTTACACGGCATACTGGCGGCACCGAAAGCTTACTCTGCCTGAAGATCCCCAATACTTGACGATCGGCGATATCTACGTGTACGGACACCCGTCCAAAAAGCCCTTCAAGACAGTCGCACGCTTTGGACAGCATCTCGTCAGTATCGTGCTGGGCGACCTGGAAAACTGCAAGTGTGATCTTTGTGACGGGACTGGTCCACTACCTTCCAACCCTCGGTACCCTGCTGATATCAAAGTGCCTGTTATGCACGGAGATGGTTGGTTTTCGAGACACGGGCTGTCGAAGAGAAGTTAACGATCGCCAGGAGAAGACGGGTAACCAAGGACCGGGTATAGCATGTACCAAAAGTATCAAACATCAGAATGCTGATACTTCAGAGAAACTCCTGCCAAAGATCAATGTCAAGATTGGGAGAAGGAACCGTGACCATGCTTCTGGACGTTACTTATCTGGTGATCGAGACATATACCTCTTTTAGGCATCTATGTCTGGTTTCGAGGCATAACAATGCACGATAGTTTCTGAAGACATAACAATGTCCAGAAAAAATAAGCAACATCAACAACTGAGATCTCTCTGGAAATGCCTCTATTCGAAAATCAGATATATCGCTATCAAAGTTCAACAACCACCACCAACTGCTCACACCTCCCAGAAACCCTGCTTTATCTCCTACGGGGTGGTTTGTATGGGCTTCCGCTGGAGAGAGATGGACCACTCGAACCTGCCATGGGATCATTGAAATCTGGGTCAAGGTCTTCGGTACTATCTTCTTCTTCTTCTTCTTCTTCTTCTTCTTCTTCTTCTTCTTCTTCTTCTTCTTCTTCTTCTTCTTCTTCTTCTTCTTCTTCTTCTTCTTCTTCTTCTTCTTCTTCTTCTTCTTCTTCTTCTTCATCGTCTTCTTCTTCACCTCCAATATGATCCTCGTCATCGTCATCCGTGCCTGCCCTCACTGTTGAGCTTAGAACATCTAGAAGATTCTTCGCCTTCGCCTTGACAGTTCCATCGTCGTTGTCCTCTTCTTCGTCGTGGTCATCTGAAGATGAACCTAGCACCGGCAATCCTCCAATCTTTGTCTTCTTCTGCTTGGGCAAAGATGGAATGTCAGCGAGAACGTCATTGATTTGGTTCTTTTCACTCGGCGACCAGTGCAACCATGACGAACACAAGTCAGAATCGTTGCAGTCTGGTGCTGTGGCCATCTGTCTCCAGTGAGATTGAACATCGCTACTGTATAACCACTCGATGATCTGTTGCGGTGTGGGTCGTGATTCAGGTTTATTGCTCAACATTGCCTCTAGCAGATCCCTGAGTTCGATACTGTAGTCGAAGGCTAGATCGGCAAGATCATGCGTGAATGGTTCATCCCAACCTTTTTCCTCGTAATCTATCGCATCTGGATTCTCCAGCCTCATCAGGGTTACCGCTGACATCGCAACTTGCCAGATCTGTTGTGAGTGATTTGATGGTTAGCTTCCAGTTCTTCTCACGCTGGCTCTTCTGTCTTTGCAGGCTCGGAAAGTATGACTCACATTTGTGGCAGAGCTGAGCTCCCATGCCTCTTCGTTATACACGTCTTCATTCATTTCTGGGGCAATATAACCAGGTGTCACTGCATCGAAGAATTCCCCTGGGTTGTCAGGATCGAGTGGAAAGGTGACATGTGAGGAACCAAAGTCGCCAATCTTTGCAGCATGGTGAGAAATCTGTTGCGGAATCGTGTGGATGATAAGAGTACTGACCTTGCAAATTGGATACTTTGGAAAATCTTCAGGGTCTGGATTTGCCAGAAAAACNTAAAGTCGAGTCAGTAGGTTCGACCTGGTGACATTCATAGCTTACTTACTATTCTGTGGTTTGATGTCTCTNGCATCAAAGGTCAGTCATGGTCTTCGCCTGGTTCAAGTAGCTGTCACTTACTGATGGACCACTTGGTAGTTGTCTTTATATCTCCGTAAGGGTATGCTGTTCATGCGATGCGATGCGACAGCCATCTGCTTCAGATAGTACCAGACAAATGGCTCAGGAACTCTTGTCCCAGCTGCNAGAGTCAATCCATCTGGGGGTTCGTGTCCACTTTCAGCGTCAGATCCATAGTTTGGGTTGAGATGCCGGCTATTCCGAGTGTCAGTTTCTGGACACCATATACACCATTGAGGAACTTACTAGGCTTTGATTTGTGCGTTCATCAGGTTGTGCAGGTCACCTCCGTCGCAATACTCCATATAAGTCCTGTTAACCTTCCATGTATGGCTGATAGAATGGCCCAGATACTCGACGATATATCGCTCCCATCTCTCGGGTGTTGGCAAGCTCAACAGTCTGTTCACTATTGATTCTCGAGGATCGTATCCAAGCCTGCCTTTTTCCCACCAGTCTTCCTGAGCCCACATCTCTATCGGCTGCCACGAATCTTTGATCACAACTCGTTCGGTGATTCTCTTNTGGTTGTCGACTTTGACAAACAGTCGAGCACAACCCTGACCACCTTTGCCCAGCTTTCCCTCGACACCAATCCAGCCTCCATCTAGCCGTTTGACGTTCTCGAACAATTCAACAATCTCGTGTTTCTCTGGGGTCGACTTCATGATTTGAGGTATTAGGACCTTGGGGAACTTCAACACTGCTTCCTTGACCCTCGAAATCATACTGGCAAGAAACGACATATCTGAGGCTGAGGCTCTAGATGTGGTTTCAGATGACTTGGGCATTGTATAGCTTGAAGCGATCGGGTTGTAATATCCAGAATGAACAGTTCCGTTGTCACCGTAGACAATATCGTCGGGGAAGCTGCCATTGTCGTAGTCGAGGTCATCAAGTCTGATTTGAGGGATCATGGTTTCAACAACCACTTTTCCTTTGGCACCATCGAGGAAAGGCTCATCGTCAATCTCATACAGGTTGGCAAAGGCAGATAGCCCATCAGACATCTCTACGTCGCCATCTCCGTCCCCCTCCAAGCGAGGTTTCTTTGCTCCAACTTTTGCCGATTCATCGCTGTCCAGAGGTCGTTTGGTCGCCATGTTGGATTTCAATCCTAAGTCAGTATGTATGCAATGGAACAGTGTAAGATCTGGTAGACTGCACATACTCAATGCTCAACCATTTTCTCTACATCACCAGACGATCTTTGTTCGAGCCGGATTCGGCTGACTTGGTTTTCTTGAACATTGCATTTTCTTTGATTGATCAAGTCGCAAGGATTCGGCTGCTTTCGGCCACGATTGTGACGAATACCAATAAAGAAAGTGCATCCAGAACATGGCGAATTGATTAAAATCATTGTTGTTGGAAAAATGATGATCTAAAAGATCAAGGATCTTTGTGTGAGTAAAAAGTCGTTGTTGTTGTCTTGTAACGGCAAGTCGAGTGGTAGGAAAGAACGACCACCGGTGGTTGTCAAAGAAGGACCCGACATTCAGCATTCCTCGGCACATCGGCAGCCTGGTGACCGGCTGTATGTTCTTGCTTGCATAGTACAACTCTTTTAGTCATACAATAATCTATCTAGCACGTCTTGACAATGTCAGTTTGTTTCACCAAAAACATGTTGGAGCAGGACTTAGAGCAGAACACTCCATCAAGTCATGCCCAAAACTACAGCTTGGCCTTTTGACCCTTCTTCGCCTCTTCCTCGGCCTGTGCCTTCAAGACTCGTCGTAGAATTTTACCTGAGATACTCTTGGGGATTTGATCGACGAATCTGACACCTCCTCTCAGCTTCTTGTGGTTTGCGACCTTTGCGCCAATCCAGTTGACAATGTCGTCCTCAAGAGCTTTGCCGGCCTCGACACCTTTGCGTGGTACGACGTATGCTCTGGGAACTTCTGTCGCGAGATCTTCTCTGTAGATGCCGATGACTGCGACGTCATCGATCTTCTCGTGTGCAACAAGGTAACCCTCGAGCTCTGCCGGCGGGACTTGGAAACCCTGCAAGACTCATGTCAGATTCTCAATCATGCTTGAGCGTATAATGGATCTTACCTTGTACTTGATCAACTCCTTGACTCGATCGGTGATGAAAAAGTTGTTGTCCTTGTCCTGGTAGCCGACATCACCAGTCTTGAAGTAGCCATCGGCTGTCAAGGCGTTTGCAGTACCCTCGGCGTTGTTCAAATAGCCCTTGAAAATGTTAGGTCCCTTGAGCCATAGCTCGCCAACCTCTCCGACTGGCACTTCGTTTTCTTCTGGTGACATGTATTTGGCAGTCATGTTGGGCAATAAAATGCCGACACTGCCTACTGTACTCTGCCAGACGTCCCATTGCTGAGTGTGAGTGGTCGGAGAGGTTTCACTCAAGCCATAACCTTGTTTGACCTTGAGCTTTGTACGGTCGTATACGGCATTCACGAGCTCTTTGGTCAGAGGCGCGGCCCCAGAGTTCATCATGCGTATCGTGCTCAAGTCGTACTTCTCGACGACAGGGTGCTTGCTCAAAAGCAAGACTACTGGGGGTGCGACATAACTGAATGTGATCTTCTCTTCCTGAGTGATGCGGCAGAAGTCCTCAATGTCGAACTTCGGCATTACTACCGTGCGACAGCCCTTGTAGAAGCTCATGTGCAAGATGACGGTCAAGCCATAGATGTGGAAAAAGGGAAGGAAGGCAAGGATCCTGTCTTCCGGAGTCAAGGGTGCTTCTGCTGTACCGACTTGGAGCGTATTCGCAACAATGTTCTTATGGCACAGCATGACACCCTTGGGGAGACCTGTAGTGCCGCTGGAATATACCAAGAATGCCAGGTCCTTCTCCGGATCGACCTTGGTACGTCGGTAACGGTTGGTACCGGCGGTGTTGCGGATCGAGGTGAAATGCTTGACTCTCATGTCGGGATCTCTCTGGTCGCCGATCAGAATGATACGGTCTTCTGGTAGACCGACCTTCTTTGCGGCGGCCCGAGCAGTCGCGATAACGGGCCATTGTGTCACCAGAGCCTTTGCACCGGAATCTTTCAGCTGGAAGGCCAGCTCGTCTGCACTGTAGCCAGGGTTGGCGGGCGAAACAGTGGCTCCTGCCCAGTGAGCACCCCACATGACAATGGGGGTGTCGATGGAGTTTGGGGTAAACATGGCGATAACGTCTCCCTTCTGCCAATCCCAGGCACCCTTGAGTCCTTTGCCGAAGTCAATGGCGGCATTGCGTGTTTGGGAGTACGTGTAAGAGCGTTTGGTGTAAGCATCTTGGAGGACAACTNNGAACGTGTGTTAGCCAAGACAATGACGGAGGCATCTGAAGTGCACACTATGGTCATCCGAGTATGGTCTGTCCTTTCGTTCGAACAAAAAGTCCCACAGACCGACTTCTGGGACCTGGATGCGTGGATATGGGGACTCGGTAGGCATTTTGGTGTAGGAGGTGGGAAAGTGAAAGCAGAGGGAGAGAAGGAAAGAAATTGAGACGAAAGGGTTCTTACCTATATGATCGTGTGCCGAATAGCCAGCACGATCCACAGCGCACAGTGGCTTATTCCTCGAGCATCGTCACAGGCAAAGTGATCAGCCCCGCATACAACAACCGGGGTCATGTTTGTGGAGAGGTTTGGGTGACGAAAGTTTGACATGGACCGAGGTATAGAGGTTTTGCACACCGGACATAGCCGACGGCCGAAAGCGGCAATCCGCCAAGTATAGCATCTTTATGCTTCGGATGGTGTAGCGAACAGGATTTCCCACTGATAGAGATAGAACATGGCGTCTCTAGTATCACCGACTCGGCACATCGCCAGGGCATTTGCACCCACGACACGCCTCACACAGCGACGATGGGCGCAGGTGCACGACATCCGCTTCCTGGCGACGCACCAGAAGCCCGACCACAGAGTCTTTGACAAGTACAAGGCCAAGCTCGAGCAAAAGGCGAAGCAGGAGGGCCACGGCGACGTCGACAAGCTCAAGTCGGCGTACAAGGACAAGATTGTCGAGCTGCGACAGCAGGCCATTGTGCCCGGCGCAAACGCCCCTCTAGACACCACCATGGCTGCTCCCACGACTCCCAATGCCCCCTTCCAACCTCCTCCGCCGCCTCAGCCTCAGACACAACAGTCAGAATCGCCCAAGGCCTCTGCATCGGCCGAGGAAAAGGCAGGCATCAAGACACTGGCATCCTTCATCGACGTGGCAAAGACAAAAGAGCTGCCCCAGAAAGAGATTGAATACATCTGGAGGTTGCGCCACGCCAGCTCTCCCAGCTCCCTGTGTGCCGTCGTGCCCACTCCCACCTACCACCAGATCGCCGAAACCGCCCGCAAGCACCCCCAGTTCGTCCTGCCTTTGCCCAAGGAGGGTCAAGGTGCCGAGATTCACTTTNTGCAGTGGACCTTCNCCTCGCCCACCACTTGCACTGTGCTATTCACCGCTCTGGCCGAGTTCAAGCTCAAGGGCGAGTTCGCTCAGCCTCACACTACCGTCACCCACCATCTGGATCTAGCCGACGACAAGGGCCTGGTCCTGCTCGAGGGCACTGTCATCGAGGACAAGCAGATCACTGTCGAGGAGGGCAAGTGGCTGCTGATGTGTCTACAAAAGTTTTATGGCAAGGCTGCCGAGCAAAGTCCTCGCAGAAAATTGATGGAGCAGTTCAGCCAGNGAGACAGCAGCTTCAACATCGAGGAGCTCTTGGAGGAGGCCGAGAAGATCTAGACTCTCGCTCCATGCCAAAACACATGTACAGTATTATTGTAAAAACACCAACCTAGATTAACGAACACTTTTTGACAATATTTTTTCGTTTTGTCGCCCAACCTCATTCAAGCACGCCATCAAGGTCCGACGTCCTTGATGCGGGGTACTGAACACAAGAGAGAAGCAGCGCTCTTTCAACTTCTTTGCACTCGTCTCTCGACAGAACTGTATCCAGTCTCGGAGTACCAGCATGAGATTGGCATCGATAGCTGCTGTATGCGCTTCCGCCATTGGCGTCTCAGCTCAACAACAAGTCCTCAGCCAGCAGTCGAGACCGCCAAACATCGTCTTCGTTTTGACCGACGATCAAGATGTCCATCTCTCATCTCTTGAATACATGCCACTGGTTAAAAAACACTTGATCGACAAGGGAACCTACTTCGACAAACACTACTGCACCACTGCGGTATGCTGTCCAGCCCGAGTCACTCTGATGACGGGCAAAGCTGCACACAACACAAACATCACAGACGTCAACCCACCTTACGGTGGCTATCCTAAATTTGTCAAACAAGGCTTCAATTCGGCATATTTACCCGTATGGTTGCAGGAAGCTGGCTACAATGTCTACTACACTGGCAAGTTGTTCAATGCCCACAATGTGGACAACTACAATACACCATACCCAGCTGGATTCACAAGCCATGATTTCCTTCTGGATCCATACACATACAACTACATGAACAGTTCTTTCCAACGCAACAAAGACCCACCTCAAAGCCACGAGGGCGAGTATGTCACAGATGTATTAGCTCAAAAGGCATATGGTCTTCTCGATGAAGCCGTAGATGCAAAGAAGCCCTTCTTCCTCATGATTGCACCGAGTGCCCCTCATGCCGATATTCAGAATAACAGCGGCTCACTCACCTTTGACGCGCCCATCTCAGCACCCCGACACGCCGATCTATTCGAAGATGTCAAAGTGCCCAGAACAGCGAACTTCAACCCAGAAATGCCCTCTGGGGCAAACTGGATTCGCTCACTTGAAAGACAAAACACTACGAACGTAGACTGGAATGACCACTTTTACCGCCAACGCCTGCGCGCCCTCCAAGCCGTCGATGAACTAGTCGATAAACTGTTTTCACGCCTAGAGTCGCTTGACCTTCTCCATAACACATACATCATCTACAGCAGCGACAACGGCTTCCACATCGGCAACCACCGCATGCAACCTGGAAAATCGACGGGCTGCGAGGAAGACATCAACATCNCTCTAATCGTCCGCGGCCCCAACGTGCCTATCAACCAAACCACGCAGCTCGTAACCAGCCACACAGACATTGCTGCCACCATATTTTCACTGCTGGGTATACCTTTACGCGAGGACTTTGACGGAAAACCCATTCCTGTAACTCACGTAGCCATCGAAGCAGAAGAAAACAAAAGACGCGAGCACGTACAGATCGAGTACTGGGGTTTTGCTGGTGGCGAAGGCATTTATGATCGCAGACTACACCAAAACAACACTTTTAAAGGCATTAGGATTGTTGCAGAGGGCTACAATCTCTACTACCAGGTATGGTGTACTAACGAACACGAACTCTACGATATGAGCAGCGATCCAGGACAAATGAATAATCTACTGGAAGATGGTGGTAAGGTGGATTCAGTGTTCGGATACTCGCTGGAAAAAGTGGTGCAGAGATTGGATGCCCTACTCATGGTGCAAAAATCTTGTAGGGGAAAAGATTGTAGAGAGCCCTGGAGGTCGTTGCATCTAGATGGTTCAGTGCAGAGTCTGAGGGATGCAATGGCCGAGCGGTACGACAAGTTCTATAAAGGACAGGTCAAAGTGCAGTGGGATTATTGTCACAATGGCTATGTTCCAGAAGCTGAGGGACCGATGTTTGAAGATGAAGGATCAGCATTTAGCGGCGAGGGCTTCATGTGGCCCGATTGGATTTGAGCGTGGATTGCAAGTCACGGTATTACTGTGTCTCTGTCAGACTATATGCAAAGATCCGATCCTTTGTGCTGACGGAATGGTCACGAAGGATTGTAAGCTCGTATCACCGTTTAGTCCTGGCACCTGAGATGGTCGAGCGAAAGAGTGAATGGCATTGCCCCACCGGTCAATTCGACTCGAACATCGATAATGATGTCTTACTTCATCTTGTCAGAACCCACGAAGGTCAGAGCTAGCAGTCTGATGAGTAAATCACGAACTGGTTTATTAGACTTCCGGCGCTCCCTCATACCAGCCATCCTCACCGGTTGTTGCGGAAGATCTGCATCACGACCACGAAACCGTAATCTCATTGGTCGATCGACTTCATGTCTTTTCTTCGATGCCTAACCTGAAACAGCATGCATATACGATTTGCATATATATAAGTAGCAATGGCCTGCCTTGTCATTCCGCATTTGCTCCCTCAATATCCATCGTTCCTAATCATCTAACAACCATGAACGGTGACAGAAAATCTTATGCCCTACTGGATGGCGGACGCCCGTCTCCAATCAATGAATCAATTTGGTCTTTGTTCTCCAACGTGGCCAAAGAGAAGCCTGACCAACTCGCCGTCATTGCACGTACCCAACCTGCCGATCTTCTAGCATCAGTTGTTGGCCCCTCCTCATCGAGATCAGGGGTGGAATGGACATTCTCGCAAATGATCCAAGGCGGTAAAAACATCGCTTCTATCTTCAGAAGCCATGATGTTAAGCCAAACTCTGTGCTTCTCGCTTTCCTCCCTTCAATATGTGCGGAATGGTCCTTGCTCTGGATGGCGGCAAACTGTTTTGGAATCACCCTAGTCACTATCGACAAGCGAGCTCTTGAGCCAGCAAGGGTGGATGAGTTGACTTTCTACATTCGCTCCCTCCAGCCAGCAACTGTGGTCGTTCATGGATCCGATGGTGCCGAGGCCGTGGATAGAGTCTGTGCCGAGTTGCAACATTCGGTAGACTGCAAGATGACTCTTGATGCCGGCGAAGGAGCGGACGGATGGGTTGGATTAGCAGCCTTCGATCCCTGTGTTCACGTACACAGTTGTGCTTTCAATAATCAAGACGCGAACTACGACCGCACAGCTGTTATCCTATACACCTCGGGAACTTCAACTGGCCAACCCAAAGGCTGTCCTTTGACGGAGAAGAATCTTATTTACGGCTGGTCCGCCCAGAATCCTGTTCCTGCTGGTGATGGGAAGAGCACGATGATGTTCGCAAACTCGCGAGCCATAAACCTGCACTTGAGTAGCGAGACTTGGCTGGTCGGTGGCACGGTAGTATATCTCTCAACAGGCTTCACACCTGAAGGATTGCTATCGACCATCGAACAAGACAAAATCACCTGTGTCACACTCATCCCACCAATGTTGAAGACAGTGGTGAAGCACCCATCTTTCTCAAAAGAAAAGGTCCAGAGCGTGTCGAAAATACTCCTCGGTGGAGATATCGCAGCAGTAGACTATCAAGACTTGGCCGTCGAAAACTTCCCAAACGCACAACTCGTTTCTGGCTGGGCAATGACGGAAGGTCTTTGGATCACCGGATGGCCTTCGTCTCAAGCTCCAGCACGTAGCCAGATTCCTGCATCGACGGGCTTGTTGGCACAGGGAACAGTTCTCTCTGGAAGCGTTCTCAAAATCGTCAACGACGAAGGTGGCATTGCAAAGAGGGGAGAGACTGGAGACATGCATATCCAGAGTCCAGTCGTGATCAATGCATATCGCGACAATGCGGCCGCTGATACTTTCTATGAGGACGAAGAAGGAAGATGGTTCAAGACTGGCGACATCGGGTTCATTGATGAAGATGGCCTCGTCTACGTATTGGGAAGAAAGAAGGATGTCATCAAGCGACTTGGTATCCCGGTTCCGCCAATCTTGTTGGAAAACGTGCTTGCTCAATTCGGAGGGGTTCAGGTAAGTCTCTGGGGCTGGCATTGCTAAGTGGTCGCTGACAGATTGCAGGCATCAATCTTTGGCCTTCCCAATTCAAAATTGGGTGAAGAGGCAGTGGCAGTCGCATCTGACATGACAGGAACGACCTCGAAAAGATTGCAAGATCTGGTTATCGAGCACTTGGGTCCAGACTACCCGATTAGCAAAGTATTTACTCTGCAAGAGTTGGGCATGCAGAAGTTCCCGGTCAACGTGACTGGAAAGGTGATGAAGATCGAATTGCGCAAGGCCGTGGAGGATATATTGTCGAACGAGTCGGTACAAAAATAGCTAGAGGCCGTCGGCAACCCCAAACCCACCAACGGAGTCCGAACAAATTCGATTCGAGAGTTTGACAAGTTTTCGATTGTATACAACAAATACTCTCAAAAGAACTCAGTCCGTGAGCCCCGTTTCAAGCCACGCCGGTTTTGTATGGAGCATAGGCCAAGAAATGAGCATGTTTCCCCAGAAATTGAGCAAATTCCACCTTGGTGGAACAAACGTGGGTTCGGACAATGGGGAAACATGCAGCTGAAACGTGATGACAGATTGTATAAGGGAGCCATGTGCTGCTGCTACCTTGATGGTCATTGATCTGCATATCATTCCAACTCTGCATCTTGTTCTCATCTCCCAACTATCATACCTAGGCCAATTCAAGCTTCAAAGTCAGCATCCCAAAGAACAAAGACCATAATGTGTGGCACCGAATCTTCTCGTCCAGTGCTCGGCGGCACAATTGCCATTCTGAAGTCTCTTGGCGAATCAACATTACCAGACTTATCACTCCTATTTCATCAAGACGAAGCTTCAACCACAACAGCAACATTTCAGTCTTCCTCTGTGCCAAATACAGACGATGTAGAGTTGAGCAGTTGTCAGTTAGTGATCTTGTACGTACCAGCTCCTTCTACGTTTCTAGGAGCAACACACTCATAGTAGCGACAGCNNCGTGATGGAGACCTCAGAGCTTCGGCGCCCACGACATCGATATTACACGACTTCCCACTGTCGACGTTCACAACGCAGTCATTCAGCTTGCCTCATAAGCTCGATTTGGGAGTCGGTGGTGAAGGTATCATTGGCAGAAGAGTCGGATTGGTCAGACAAGCTCAGGTATTGAGGCAAGGCATCATCGGATGGAATTGAAGACAGGAAGATATGAAGCAACGAGCAGCGGAAATGGCGTTTTGCGTTCCGCTCAGATCCGTTGGACTGTGGGGTAGGTGGTATACCAGGGTGGCATATCCAGCGACATTTGATGAGCATGTACGGTCAGTTCTGATACTATGTTATGTATAATAGCATTATCGTTACGACCATGACGCTTCTGAATGTTTTGCAGATAGCATACTTGGTCTGCGGTGTCACAAGACCGGGAAGAAGGAAGAAGTTGAGTTTCCACAATTGATCATCTCCTCGTCACTGCTCACCGATGCGGGGTCACATATGGCAGCGGGGTACCTAGTATAGCAGTACTTTATAGGCTCACCCATGACTACGGTTCCCCCTCGTATACATGCAGTCTGCTTCATCTTGCATATCCATCACTCGATACAGCGAAGAATCCGACGGTTCAGTCAATCATGGCAGGAATCCAATCCCAGCTGGACTCTGGAGCAGTACCCGGCCACATCTCAAATGTCTGCCCTCAAGGCACAAAGCTCTGGCTTCTCGAATGCGGATGGCTAGCATGTGACGAGGGCTTCGTCGTACGCGGTGCCAATACATCTCTCGCCTCTACAGCCGGCCAATCTTTTGAAAACAAGCGTCGCAATCTTCCTGTGTACTGCTGCTTGATCTCCCACCCACATGAAGGCCTCATTCTCTGGGAGACTGGTTGCGGAAAGGATTACCCAGATGTTTGGGGCCCGCAGGTGCATGACGTCTTCCATAGGGTCAAGTATGAGGAGAGACACGAGCTTAGGAATGCGATCGCAGCGACTGGAAACAAGATTGAAGATGTCAAGAAGGTCATCATTGGACATCTGCATCTTGATCATGCTGGAGGTCTCGACGAGTTCTTTGGCCGCACAGATGTCGAGGTTTGGGTCCATGACAGAGAGTTGAAGAGTGCATTTTGGAGTGTGGCTACTGGAGCCGATGCTGGTGTATATCTGAAGCACTATCTCAACTTGGACNTTGTGAGTGGAAAGGATGATAACGACAGAGGGCTGCGCTGACAAGGATGCAGGAACTGGAAGACGTTCGATGATCGTACCATTGACTTCTGTCAAGGCATCACGCTGCATCACCTACCCGGACATACCGATGGATTGATTGGCATGCAGATCAACTTGCCAGACAGTGGAACTTNNTTCTTCTTTATTTCGGATCACTGCCATGTTATCGAAAACGTAAGTTTACTTTTGAACGCGCAAGAACAATTCACTGATGTCGAATAGTGGCGCGATGGCATCCCTCAAGGATGGCTTGCTCGAGACCACCCAGCCTGGTTCCAGAGCACACAGCGTCTAAAGCGTCTCGAGCGTACAACTCGAGGCAGGGTAATCCCTGGACATGACGAAGAGACATTCCTCGCATTGCAGAAGGAGAAAGACGTGTTCACCTGAGTCACTGGCCTATGCCATCTGTCAATGTAATGATTAATGCGGTATGTAACTTGAGCAGATGTATTGGTACGTGGCTGATCGACAAGTACTTTTGACATTCAATATCGTCTCTAAATGTATGTTTTTGATGAGCTTCAAAGATTCCCGAACCCTCGAAAGCTGTGAGCCTAAAAAGTGCAGATCTATCTCAAGCCAGCAAGTCTGCGCTGCTGAACCTCGCCCAGGGCCTTGCTGCCACTCAAGAAGGCAATGGTGCCAACCAGACCAGCAGGAGGCAGGATCTGGAAGAGAGTCCAGGAAGAGTAATAGAGGAAGAAGATGAACTCCATGGCGACAATACTTCCGAAGAACAGGGCGTGCGAGACAGGGGCAGCGTTCATGGCCTTTGAAAGGTGGTTGAGGTTGGCGCCCAGGAACAGCCATCCGCCAACAAGGACGGGTAAACAAGCCAAGACGGCGAGGGTGAAGACGCTTGAGAGGATGGTAGGAGGAGACTTGGGGTCGCTGCGGAAGATGTGGTGGATCTCGGACAGCTTGCCGTAGCGGAGAGGAGGCTCGGGAGTGCTGAGGGGCACACTGGGGTCGCGGGTGACAGCCAAGTCAAAGGCGTGGGTGTAGTAGGCTCCGGAAGAGCCAAACGAGGCAATCAGAAGCTTGGCCTGGATAGGGTCGCTTGCGGTGAGGAATTGGAAGGGGAGGTCCTTTTGCGACNNTGTGACGCGCGTCAGCTGCCTTGTACGAATTGTAGGACGAGAGAGTCATAGGCTCACCAGCTCGACTCTGGCCTTGCCGCTCTCCTTGACACTGAAGACGAACGACTCTTCGAGACCGGTCTTGGGTTCGTGAAGAGTGAGGAAGGCCTGGTGAGGTCTCTTTGCTGTCTTGTCCTCAGTGGTTGTCAGGAGCAGCTTGAGCGTGTCGGTAGGACCGAGTTTGATCTGCTTGCTGAGGTGCGCTTCAGGAGACAANCCTGTTTGAGAAGAGTCAGTCTTGCAATGCGACAATGCTTCTACAGTAGCTACTCACTTCTCCTTGAGGGCACCACCTACACCAGCTCCTTTGCTGGCAATGCTGAGCGTGGCATCCTCGAAACTCCACGAAGCAGCGGCAGCAAGGCCTGAGCCAAGCGACAGCAGCGGCAGGACGATTGCACTCGAGAACTTCATGGTTGTTGTCTTGTCCTTGGATGTCGGGAGTCTTGGTGACGAAGCTCGAGAGGCTACCTGGCTGCTCCAGCCCTCGGCTGACTTGCCCCATCCGACAACGCGAGTCAGTCACTTTTTGCGACCTGCGACTGCTTGACCGAACACAAGATCACATGTCATGATAGACCATACATATATGTGACTCGGTACGCATGATGGAGAGTCATGGTAAGGCAATTGACCGGAGAAAATCACGGGGCAACGTGACTGCTGGGACAGAGTGACCGCTGTTGCACCTGAGAGCATGATTACCTCTTTCGGAAGGAGCATTGGGTGCTGGGACAGAAGCTACTTCTCTTGCTGCATGACTTCCTGCCTACTGTCAGATGTTTTGTAGAAGAAGCAGCGCATCCAGTGTTGCGAACTTCCTACTATCTACCAGGCATCCAACAATGACTATGTCCTGATATTGTATTCGTTTGGTGCAACAAGCCTGGGCCATCCGGAGAGTTATAACACCCTCGAACCGTGACGCCCACACCTTAAACTTTGCCGACTGCCCACCGAGGCCGTTCAGTCACTCTCTGCAGTCTCACAGGTTCAGCAACAGTCAATACTCCAGAGCCACTGTTCGCAACCAGAGTACAGGTTCAACTCCACTTCGCATTCCACATGCCGAGAAGGCACGCCGCTTCCGGCGATGCCTCGCCAGCTTCGCAGGACACCATCAACGTCGCCATGCCGCGACAAACTCGACCCNCAACCCGTCTAAAACTAATAGTTCGACCCAGAGAACCAGATCCGGAACCGGAGGAATCCCCTGCTCGACCCAAAAGGAAGGTCTCAAGACCCGCCAGGTACCTGGACAATGTGTGCGAACCTCTGACCAAGAAGCGAAGAACGACCGCAGCTTCCATCATGTCTCTACAGACATCGACTTCCCCTCTGCCAACTTCTGGATCGCCTGCGNGAAACTCGTCAGACCCAATTCTGCTGACCTCTTCGAAGCCTGTCGATGAGAGCGACTACACTGATCCTAGCGAGGTCCAACATGCTAACTATGATGATGACTTTTGGACCAACTTCGTCGATGATCCTCCTCGTTCTTCTCTGTCTGCACTCGACTCGGTCATCGGCTCGGCAAAGTGTCATGAGTTGCAGTCCGATTTCCTACCAGAATCAGATGCCCTCCCAGAAGCTGCTGGATTAGTGTACGATACCTTCACCGAGCTAACCAGCGAGCCACCAACAATTCCCATCAAAGAGGTGCAAAATCCAATCATCCTCTCGAGCTCTTTCCCCACGCTGGCACAAAAGCAGGACAGTCCCGAAGTCATCATCAGAAAGCTACAGGATGCATGTCATGCTTTGGGAGGTTTGAACATGCCGCCCATTGTACCACAGCGTCATATATCATCAAGTACGACTGAACCCAAAGCCCGTTCAGAACAAGACACCGACCTTCCTGACAAAGATACGGACGAACACGATGGTGTCGACGCTTTGCTGGCCGCCGCTGCTGGATGTGATCAGGCTGAGGATAATCAAGAAAAGGACCTCAACGAAGCACAATCTGGAGAGCCAGACGGGGAAGTTAGTCTTCTCATAAACAAAGCTATTGAAATCCTCCGCCATCACATTTCCAGAATTCGCGGACTTGCAGCAATCCAGGCAAGTCAACCTGGCAAAGGGAAGCACCCCAGATCCGACCACTGGAACACAGACACAGAGCAACTGGTTCTGTCTACACTGGAGCCTTTACTGTATGGCGGCGCGACGAACATCGGTTGTATCATTCCGAGCGAGCGTGCAAACCTGCTGTGGCAGTTGTATCCGTGGCTTATTCACTTCGTCACTGCTCCTCATATTGCTCTGTCTCGAACAATCGGACTACTCCAGCAAGCCACCAACGGTGCGAATGCTCAGCGACGTGTCCTAGCTCCTAAGAAGAAGCGTTCACTCAGTCAACCTCAGAAAGCAAGAGCAACGAAAGTTCCCGTCCCACACAAATTCTTGTCTCGCCAGAAGAACCCGTGTTAGGACTTCGGCTCAACTGTGCGTGACACCATTTCGCTCAGCTCGGATTCTATGTCTAGATTGAGTGAGAGCCCGGTTCTGGTATCAAGATCGAATCGTACTCCCCAGCAGCTCCGACACGCCACCACAAAGACGGTCATGCACATCCACCCAGACGTGCTCATAACCAAGCGCCAAATGGCTATCAAATGCCTTACAACAATCATGTGCGTCCACAGCTTCACCCTACGTTCTTCGGCCACCCGCCGCCGCTGTTCCCTGTTAGCCATGGCATGTTTTTGCCTGCTGGACCTTGCACCCATACCAACAACCAGCTAGGCCCAGCAGTTTTTGCACAACCTGGCCTCGGCCACTACTCGACTCCCACAAAGCCGATGATCGTCAATCCGGGCTACCAACCGTATCAGTGGACGATGCGGCCTTCTTTCCCTCCAAATAGCTGGATCCCAATGCCCAACTTCGGAGTGCCTTCTGTTCAGAACAGTATGCGCAACCCATTCTGGCGTTGATAACCTCTTCTTACATGAGAGAGCTCATGTTTTATTGCTTGCCAGCTGAACATTACTTTTGTCCTTCTATCTTCTCAACTTCCTTACTTTCGGGATACAAAGGTTTATTTCACCAAAGATTTATGCAAGTGGGAGTTCTTAGTGGATGGAAAGGCGGTTTGTGTTTTTCTGTGTTTCTGTCGTATACCCTCTCTTTCCCTCGTGTATTGTTCTTCTAGCTTGGAGATTGGAACGTAGTCACTCGCTTGCTACGGCACACCAAGCTGTCACAAGGGCTCGGCTGAGGAGGTATAATTGCCGTGGCTATTTTTACAGTAATATACAGCTTTATGCTTGCTCGTCGTATGGAATATGCGTCCAGTATTATGTACAGTACCGTATCAGACGTCTGCTCAGTCCTCCTGAATGCCCTCAACACCCACGACACCCTTGGGACCCAATTTTGCCACAGTGCCACTCCTCAAGCCCAAGACTCTCTCAATCTCGGCAGCACTCATGTTCCTCTGATCTCTCATGGTAACGAGATTTCTCAAAGTGCCCACGTCCAAGAACCTCCTGCCAGCACTTCCNCTCTTTCCAGCCTCCAAGAATTCTCTCTCCGCTTCACCAGCCAACTCTGCACGAGCTTGCAACACACGCAGTGCCGGATTCAATCGCTGCGGAGGTGCGGTTGTGTTGTTGCCTTGTTGGCCGTAAGGGTTCGGGAAGTGCGAGCTCGGGTGTGCGGCAAAGGTTGAAGAAGGCGAGAGGGTAGGGTTGGGTTGTACGGCACCTAGTTGGCGCAGCGAGCGGGCAAAGTCTGGGTCTGAGGCGTCGAGATTGATTTCNTACAACTTGTCAGTCTCCGTTTTCTTGCCTCTGATATAGAAAAGACAAAGAGGGTGGGTCAATTTACCTTCATTGCGCTGGCCACTTGCGCGGGCTTGAGGGTGGACTGTGGGACCCGGTTGACGGTTCGCGGCTGGTGGTGGCGGGGGCTGGGATGGAGCGTTTGATGTGCGCGTGGGTGGTGCTTGTGTCGAGGTCGCTGGTGATGGGCGAGATGGGTATTGGCGTGTTGCTTTGGTTGCAGCATTGGCGGCGCGGGAGGCGGGTTTCGATGCTGATGAGCCCATGGTTGGTTTCAATTAGGTGTTCTTGGTACTGGTGTGCTCGGTTTTGATATCTCGGTGGCTAGCGGTACGTAAAATGGTGGGTTTGGTTGCTCGTAGAATCTGTCTCAGGCCTTGGAGCTCAATTTGGATGCATGACGAAGAGATGCTAAAATCTGGGGTCGATATCGTCCGTGCTTTCTGGTCATCGCAGAGCCTCATTTTCATGCAGTTGTCAGCTTCTCTTTGTCTGTCGTTGCGAGATGTTTGTCGAGTTCGCATAGTACCTGTATGCGGTATCGGCCATAGTTGGATGTATCACGAGAAGACCATTGGCATGCCTGCATTGTCCCGACGTGTCGTCCAATTGTGCACCTAACCGAGAACATGCCTTGCCTCTTACCAACCTCTCCGCATGCAAAAGAGTCTTGTCTATGCCGTCTTGACGTGGCAGCCTGCCTCAACCTTCCGTATCCTTTGACCGACATGCTTGATACTGCTGTCAACAGAAGATACCGACCGACATCTCCGTTGCGTGCAGAACCGGAACTCCACATCTCACTGGCTGGCTAAACTGGCTAAAAGCCTTGCATGCGATCGATCAACATGATTTGACCTTAACCCCGTTGCGACTCAATACACTTTACCCTCCCCATGGCTTCCACGCCAGCCACGCTTCAATTGTGGCTAAATCTATCATGTCTAATTTGTCTTGTCTCCAGTTAGCTCACGCAGGTACTTGTGCCAGATACCCTCGGCACGGCAACGCCATGCCGAACATTACATTAGAAGCCTCGAAAAGTGACGTCTTCTCCATCCAAAATCCTCCTGCAACCTGTATGCACCAGATGAACATGGATGACAAGCTCCTCTCTCCAGTCGACGGCAGACTGAAAGTGTGGAGTGCCCCCATCTTTCCATTTACCCTGCGGAGAAGATGCGGAGTTTACCACCATCATCCTGGTATTTGCATCCATGCCGAACTAAAGTCTTCACAGCCCGGTCAGATGTGTTGATCTTGACCATAGCAAGCAATCGGCTTTGATCCACCGCTTGGACACCATGACTTGACCCAATGCAAGAACACGAAGCTCCGCAACTGAGACCCCACTGAGCTAAAAGACTTTAGCCAAGCTCAAGGTTGGCAGATCCCCATACTCGTTCGAGAGAGTGACCATCATTCCACCTCAATGGCTTTTGCTCGGCTGCAATGATTTGGTATATATAGCTGCTTATCCCACCCCATAGACTTTGACTTGAAGCATCCCAATTCTACCGGGCCACATACCTCCATCATGGCCGCACTACTTTCTCTTTCTGCATTGGCATTGCTCGGGGCAGGTGCCTCTGCTCAGACCTTCACAGGCACTGCTCAAGGCGGTTTCCCTGACTGTACCAATGGCCCTCTCTCGAACAACACCGTCTGTGATAAGTCCGCAGGTACGTTCCTTCTCAACCAGACCTACTTGGTTACCATCTATTGACACTATATAGATCCAATTGCAAGAGCCAAGGCTTTGGTCGCTGCGTTCACCGTCGCCGAGAAGCTCAACCTTACCGGAAACAACAGCCCTGGTGTTCCCAGACTTGGCCTGCCTGTTTACCAATGGTGGCAGGAGGCTCTTCACGGTGTTGCTTCATCTCCTGGAGTCACGTTCAACGCCAGTGGACAGTTCGACTCTGCCACTTCTTTCCCTCAGCCCATCTTGATGGGTGCTGCTNTTAATGACGACCTCATTCAATCTGTGGCTGAGGTTGTCAGTACTGAGGCTAGAGCCTTCAACAACTACGGTCGTGCCGGTCTCGACTTCTGGACACCAAACATGTAGGCCTTCATTCCGGATCAAGAAACTGGAAGATTCTATACTAATTCAGTTTTCAGTAACCCTTATAGAGATCCCAGATGGGGCAGAGGCCAGGAGACCNCTGGTGAAGACCCTTACCATCTCTCTTCTTACGTCCACTCCNTCATCATGGGTCTTCAGGGTGGCGAGGACCCCGAGATCAGAAAGATCACTGCTACTTGCAAGCATTTCGCTGGTTACGACATTGAGTCGTGGAACGGCAACCTTCGCTACCAAAACGACGTCCAGATCCCCCAGCGTGATCTGGTCGAGTACTACCTGCCTTCTTTCCGTTCTTGCGCCAGAGACTCCAACGTTGGAGCTTTCATGTGCACATACAGCGCTTTGAACGGAGTTCCAACCTGTGCCGACCCTTGGCTTTTGAACGACGTTCTCCGTGAGCACTGGGGTTGGACCAACGAGGAGCAGTGGGTCACCAGTGATTGTGATTCTATTCAGAACATCTTCCTGCCCCACAACTTCAGCGACACCCGCCAGGGAGCTGCTGCTGCCGCTCTCAACGCTGGTACTGATCTCGACTGCGGTACCTACTACCAGCACCACCTTCCCCAAGCCTACAGCGACGGTTTGATCAACCAGACTACCGTTGACCAGGCTTTGGTTCGTCTTTACACTTCGCTCGTCCGCACTGGATACTTCGATGGCCCCAACGCCATGTACAGAAACCTGACCTGGTCCGATGTCGGCACTACCCACGCTCAGCAGCTCGCCCTCAAGGCCGCTGAGGAGGGTATGGTCCTCCTCAAGAACGATGGTCTGCTGCCCCTAACTATCACCAACGGCACTAAGATCGCTGTCATTGGAAGCTGGGCCAACGCTACCCAACAGATGCAAGGTAACTACTACGGTGTCCCCACCTACCTCCACAGCCCCCTTTACGCTGCTCAACAAACTGGTGCCCAAGTCTTCTATGCTGGAGGACCTGGTGGCCAAGGCGACCCTACTACCGACCACTGGCTTCCTGTTTGGACTGCCGCTGAGAAGGCTGATATCATCCTCTACGTTGGTGGTGTTGATATCAGTGTTGAGGCTGAGGGTATGGATCGTGAGACCATCAACTGGACCGGTGCTCAGGTCGACATCATTGGCGAGCTTGCCATGTACGGCAAGCCTATGGTTCTTGCCCAGATGGGTGATCAGCTCGACAACACTCCCTTCGTCAACAACCCCAACATCTCTGCTCTGATCTGGGGTGGTTACCCCGGTCAGGACGGTGGTGTTGCCCTTCTCAACATCATCACCGGAAAGGTCGCACCTGCTGGTCGTCTTCCCGTTACCCAGTACCCTGCCCATTACGTCGCCGACATCCCCATGACCGACATGACTCTGCGCCCCAACGAGACCACTGGCTCGCCCGGCAGAACCTACAAGTGGTACAACGGCACCGCCGTCTACGAGTTCGGTTACGGCATGCACTACACCAAGTTCTCTGCCGATGTGTCTCCCATGGCCAAGTCTTCCTACGACATTTCTTCCCTGCTTTCCGGCTGCAACGAGACCTACAAGGACCGCTGCGCCTTTGAGAGCATCGCTGTCAACGTCCACAACACTGGCAACGTCACCTCCGATTACGCTGCCCTCGGATTTATCGCTGGTCAATTTGGACCTTCTCCTTACCCCAAGAAGTCTCTTGTCAACTACCAGCGCCTCCACAGCATTGCTGGTGGTGCCTCCCAGACCGCCACACTGAACCTGACTCTTGGCTCGCTCGCTCGCATTGATGATCACGGTAACACCTACCTCTACCCCGGTGACTATGCTCTGATGATCGACACCATGCCCGAGCTTACCATGGTCAACTTCACCTTGACTGGCAACCCTGCTTGCCTTGACGAGTGGCCGCAACCTCCGGCTGGTGGACCCACCATCCCTCCTTCCGACTACTTCTACGGTGGCTTCGGAAGCAGAGGCGAGTTCNCCGTTCTCGCTGCATCCGAGGAGCTTGCTCCTGGAGCTTGAAGAATGATTCAGATGAAAAGTGCAATTACTCTTGAGAGGGTTCGGTAATTTAGTCTAGCGCCAAATAATCATGTAATGAAGAATGAACTCCCTGTATAACTCTACCATTTTCGTTCCTGCAAATATGTCCAAATGGTATGTTCATCGATGGGGGGGGGTGGGCTCCAGCATAAGTGGGGGCTTCCATATCCGGAAGAAGTCGGCATCTGCACCTTCTCAAAACAACGGTCCTTTCTTCCTTGACACAAATCACCCGATACAAGATATCTGTTGCTTTTGATTTCTGCATACCTATTACCAACTCTTTCAACAGAAATCATTTGATCACACCTAGTCCTCAACCACTCTCCTGCACACTTTCGGACACATGGGCATTTTGAGCAAACCATGAACGAAACACAAGATGCTCTACAGATGATCAAAAGAGCATAATGCAACTGGCTACCATTCCCGAATCTTGTTGGCCATACAAAAATCCATACTAGCAAAATGAACTGGTCACAAAGCGAAAGGGCATATCATGCATATGCGGGTACCCGTATGATCGCATATTATTCAATCACATTGGGAACAAAGCGATCACTCGGCGGCAAGCGACTTCGCATCCGATATCACCTGGTCTGTACTGAACTGTTTGATCTTCGTCTTTCTAACATCACTGTAGGATTTAGTGCACAAACGGCTGCAGCAGTGAAGTGAAAGCAAACGACCCAAGCTTCCAGGTTTCAGAAGGCGGCAGATTTTCTTGCTTCCTTCCCTCTCCTTCCTCCTTCAAGCCAATTCAAGCTATCATACGACTTCAATGATGCAACTACCCATACGATCTGCACAGGGGCCTCCGACCAACCCCGTCCGTCAAAAACTCACCCTTAAGACATTGCCTATCGAGATCAAGAATGAGATCTTCTCCTACCTCTTGCTTGGCAAGAACGTGAAGTACTCAACCGGCGGCCATGCTCCAGGACACAGCTACACGTTCCACGTGAGCATCATGCGCACAAACAAGCAGTTGCACAAGGAGACCGATAACTATCTGCGCTCACACAACGAGTTCGCATTGATCCATTTGAAATATCCTCGCCTCCTCAGCGGCTTTGCTCCGTACATTACAGTTGGGAAAAAGGTCAGGAATTTCCGGTCGCCTGCAATAGAAATCACGGTGGAGGACTTGGAACCAAAGGCCCAGTGGCCCCATCACAATCCCCTCTACAATCGCCCATCGGATAGGGTTTATGTTCAACGTGTACTCTTCCTGTCTCAAGATTTGCCTCACTACTCCCGCCAGGTACAGTTGGAGATCCACGTCTGGCCCTCTTGTCAGATTTACGTCCATCCGTCTCGCGGATCACGTTCACTTCAGTACACACTTATCGTCGTCAAGAATGATCGCAAGATCGCCTGGAAGGTCAACCCTAGCTATCGTACAGATCTCACTCCTGTAGAACGCAGAGCACGTCAAGAAAGGTTGATCGCGCCTATGGCTGCTGTGTTTGTTCATGGACAAGCGATTCGCTTTCCAGGTGTCGATGCTGATATATCTGCTCGTGTCATAGAGTCCACGACACCTCGTCTGGTCTCGATCGATGCAGTCGGATGGAATCTCTTCGAGAACATGCAAGCCCAGAAACGCCGCTTGGATGAATGCCTTGTTAACGGGTTTGGAGAGCCACATGATTTATGCCAAGCGTATGTCTTGACGGCTCAGTTGGTTCACGATGCGCGTTCATGGCCCCAATACGCTCACCACTACAACACTGCGCTCATTCTCAACACTCCTTACATCCCAGCGCTCCCGCCTACACAACCCTTGGCCATGTTGTCGTTCAAACCTCAGGCTCTGCGTGGTTCTCCTAGTGACATCTGGCTGCATGGCATCGCGACCATCGGCCTGGAATACCTTCTCGACGCCATGGGCCTGGCCCTCGATACCAACAACTTCGTCCCTTTGCTCGGTCCAGACATGACCAGAACTTTATGGTGCATGGCCAATGACNCTCACTGTTTTGAGCCAATGCGACAAGAGCTCTTGGACATTTCACATCACTACAAGGCCTGGTCTAAGGTTTTCTCAGATGGCATAGAGCACGTTCTTGACGACAACCACTTGAGAATGGCTATCTTCGATCTCGAGCATGGTGTTTCTGATGATCGAGACAGTGAGTATGTGCTAGAGGATATCAGGTGCTTGAAGGAAATAATACGGGTGAGTGACTTGATCAAGCACAATTCGTTTCCAGATATTGACCTAAATATCGTGATACAGACAGAACAGATGCCCGAAGACATGGACAAGAACTTTGCTCCCGGACTCAAACGTCGTAAACGCGTCTTTGCCCAGCCACTCAACCTTGTACGTCCTAAGGATCTTCATGGCTGGACTTCAGACGCCATTGACAACATGGATCCCGATGTCAGAAAGAGTACTATCAAACACTCGGATGCCGCAATCAAGAGCAAGACACCTGTCCCGGCTGAGAAGACTCGTTCAGAAGGACATGTGATGTTGAAAATTATCGATGGTACCCCCAAAATTGCTTAACCATAGAGCAGTATGGTCCGGATACGGCGCTGGATATATCCACTATAATGGGTGGAGTTTTACTCAATTAGAAGGTAGAACAAGTCGGTAATTTCCGAATAGGCAGAATCCCAAAGCTTCAATGCCTATTGAACATGCTCGCCAATACCTGTGCTGATTTGAGTTCATTTGAGCCCGTTTCTTGCACCACAAGCATCCCTAGGCAAGTTCTGGATACAGAAGCAGCGATGCGTCACAGGTTGAGTCACCACCTACCTATCTCCTTTGCAAATTCTTCCGTACTGCCTTCTCTCTTCATCTTCTCTCCATTCCGACGCATATTCCGCATCGAAATTCATATCACAAAAGAAGCATTACTTGACAACGACATCAAAATGCCAGCATCATCCTGGAGAGAAGAAACTCCCACTGGCAACCTCAGAGACCGCTTCGACCAGCTAGTCTCAGAACACATAATAAAGACCAACACCACACAATCGATTGTCATGGAACGCCTCGACAAGTTTAAGGCCAAGCTCGATCTTCGCATCAACCGCATCAACGAAAATCTACGTCGCGTTAATGCCCATCTTGATCGTGTTGGCAAGCGATTTGATGCTATCGACACTAAGTTGGAGGGAGTTGCTAGGCAGAGCATACTGCAGAAACTGATTGCGGATCTTGAAGATGATGTACCGCAGATGGTGGAGGATGGGGTGGTGAGTGGCTTGGAGGGTGCAGAGTCATCTTGCGATCAAAAGGGCTGTAGATGAGACTCGATGTGGTTAATGACTCTTTGTTGAACGTTGGTCTGTTTTGGACAGAGTAAATGAGAATGTAACTGTCTTTTTCTCGCAGCTTTATATGTTGATCTGTGTTTTGCGGTTTCTGCACTTGATTGCAAGTTTGGCAAAGTCTTGATTGTACTTTTCCTCTAGATTATTTTGGATCCCTGTAGGAAGTCAACATCTAAAGCCTTTACGATTGCACCGGCATGTTTTTTTTCTCTTTACGACAAGCATGGCTCCTTGATTTGTTCAGCGTCAAGAACTGCACACCCCAAAGACTCTACTCCGGGACTAAACATCTTTACCAAAAAAGTAAAAGACAAGATTGTTGTCAAAAGCAGCTAAAAGACATTGATCGGCTCTCTTCTGAATGCCAGACTATAAGAAGCATGTAAGGAAACAAAGAGAGATGCAGCGAGTAGGAATCGAACCCACGATCTCCTCGATCCAGGAAGATGTTCGGCAATGCCAATGATGCCGGTGTACCCGACAAAAACCCAGCTCTGGAAATTTGTGTTTGCAAGACGCATTTGCAAGGCGCCCTAATCACTGAAGCATCGCTGCATCGGGCCCTGTCGACTCAAAACCATATGCCCAGCTTCAGTTCAACATCTGAGGTGTCGCAATTTGCCTATCAATGTGTGAGTATGACGAACGGAGCTTCAAGTGTTCTGTATGCAATGACGCAAATTGAGTAAGAGTCGGGCAGCTCTTTTGCTTAGGCAGAGTGTGGTTGTTCTGCTTTGACTCGTTGAGGTTGGGTTGATGGTATGAGTTTTTTGGAGCGTGTTTGTATTATGGTACTTGGCTGGTTTCAATGGCGAAAATAAACTTGATATTATCTGTTTGCTTTGTTGTATCCTTTGAGTATGTGGTCGCGTGCATGTATGCAACAGACATGCAAACTCTGGGTATACTGTTGTTGGTCCCACAATCTTAAAGTAGATGGTAGCACAACCATTACTATCATTCATCATAGAAGCTTATGGTATAATCGATGATACTTGGAAACAGAAAGAGTGCAGGTAGATAACTGGTGGTCATAAATCGTTATATATATACATGCAATAAGAAAAGCACCGACTTTCAACTCCCCTTAGTATCGGTAGCTAAATCCGAATAACCAAGCCAGCGGCCCTGACGGATCGAAGAGTGTAGTGTGAAGGTATGCCAATCTCATGTTCGTTCGTCGGTTGTTCTTAATCGCTCAATCTCGCAGTTGCAAGTATGCAGGATTAAAAGAAGTTGGTTGTCGAAGAAGTATTGATGGTTTACTTCTGAGCATTGGGACCGACACCTCTGACAGCACTNGTATGTTGGGTCAGCTTACTGGTATGAGATGGATGTGTTAATGGTAGTGCTTACTTGTCCCACATCTTTCCGAGCATGCCCTTGGGTGGACCCTGCTCCTCAATGCTTGAGCGACGGGCAGAGTAGGCAGCGTTGTCGGGGCTGCGCTTTTGAGAGAGGATGTTGTTGAAGAGACCACCAGAGGAGCGACGACGCTCACCGTCGAAAGAGGCCTTGGGCTGAGTGTCGGTAGGAGAAGACATGACGATAGTTGTTTGAGTTGAAGGTGGTTGTTTGTAGTGTGGAGTGATGCTTTGATGAGATAATATGCTTGATGGAAGGAACCAAGATCCGATGGGCGGGGTGCTACAGTCTTATATACCTGTGGTGCTACCTCAGGAAGCTTACCTCTGGAGCTCTGACATGTCATCGGAGTCGGAGCTTTTTCCACCATCCGTCGTCAGGTCTTTCCTTTGTCTGCACGACCACTCCGCTGGGAGTGGTGCTCTCGTGATTCTTCCTGAGGATCGCAGCGTTGGTCAAGCCATCGACACATACTTCGTCGTCATGGTCTTGAACTCAATCCAATACGGTCCAATGATCATCACTCCTTAGCCCGTTTACTCTGCTGTCCCTCACCGAAGAGGGCTAGTCCTTAGCAAGCCACTGCCCGTCAGCAAAAGTGGTTGTCCAATTTTCCCCACGATAAGGCTGACCTCGACTTTCGCGTCGCGATCGAAGTGCGGGGGAAAAGGCTTTGTTGATGTCATCGGCCTGGTCCCTGAATCTATCTCTGGATCTGCCTACTGTTATTGGTCACAACAGCAGTTTCAAAGGTGGTCCACGACGGTGAGATCGCTTCGACCCTGTCGTGTGTTGAGCTTATCTCATAGCCCCCGATTCGCATGTGCTTTGATCTAAAATGATATGCACATGCCAGATCTCCTCGCAAAGAGTCAAGAGACACATGTGATTGGGAAGAGTTTAAGATGGGCAAGGCCAATTCTGGGTGATGGTCTGGATGCCATCACGAAGGTGTTGTTGAGTGCAAATTCTCCTTCGGAGTGAGCTCCTTGCTCGATGCGAAGGACATGTGTTTGAGACACGCGGATCTGACGAGGTTTCGGCCGGGAAAAGTGGCTCTTCCATGACGAGCTTCTGAGGGTCTAGACTGTGCCATAAGGGGAGTCGTCCATGATTTGGAAAACGGCTTGCTTGACTGAGAATTGAAATCGGAGACGTGCTGTTCGTCAGAGATGAACACGATCTTTTGGTTGGCGAACTTCTATCAGAGGGAAGGAACATCTCAATCATGTTAGAGATGTCCCTTCGTCGTGGCTTCTGTCAAAGGCTTGTGATCGGTGCATCGCTATGAGTCCGGTAATACTGTGGGTATGACCTGCATTGAGCCATCAGTTACTTTAATTTTCTTAGGCTTGATCAAGTTGTGTGGGGACAACCCAATTAGACTGTCTAAATTCACAGAGGCGTCGTGACTGCCTTGTGAGAAAACGCTCCTGATGAAGCAGAGTACAACCGAATAACCCAGATCAAGAATGCGACGCTGAGTATAATCCGACTATGTCCCCTTGAGAAGTGTATGCCACCTCTCTCGAGCTGATGTTCACAAGCCGGCTGTCGATTTGGGCAGATGAAGTTGAGTCATATGGAAAGCGCACAAGGAAACACAGTCGTGTCGGCTCGTGTAAGGGCATACTGTTCAGACACTTTGGTTGTTTGTATGCCTTCAAGTTTGTGGTATGTTGAGACTTGAGGTAGGGGTTCCTGCAAGACTTCTGACGAGAGAAGTTGCGATGGACGTTGTATAGAATGTCTTGGCGCTGAATGCGGAGTGTGACTTCCTCTGTTCGCGACGGCGCAGCAACTCCGTCCAGCATCCTTCATTTATCGCCTTTTCTCGACACAAACCAAGTCCAGATTCTACACGACCATACAGCGACCGCACATTCTCTCCCCCAACAGTACATAACAAACACCTTCATATACTTGATCCTAGCGCCTTCTTGCGCGCAACAAGATCAAGATGGGTGGCGATCTGAACTTGAAGAAGTCATGGCACCCCGTGCTCATGTCCAACCAGAAGCGCGTCTGGGAAGAAGAGAAGAAAGCACTGGACGAGCGCAAGAAGATCGACCAGGTGCTCAAGGAGCGCGCCGAGGAACGCCAAATTCAGGAACTACAACAGATGCAAGAGGCCGCTGGCGGCAGGAAGCGTGTCGACAGAGTAGACTGGATGTACGGCGGTCCTTCAGATGGCCAGAAAGGAACGACTGAAGAGATGGAGGCATACCTGCTTGGAAAGAGGAGGCTAGACGGACTTGTCAAGAGAGATGCAACCGAAGCCATGCAACAAGCTGCTGCCGTAGGTCCCTCGGCTCTGCAGATCGCCAACAAGCAGAGAGACACGGCAACGAAAGTGCGTAACGACCCCATGCTGGCCATCAAACAANCAAGAGCAAGCCGCCCTGGAAGCTATGATGAGTGATCCCACCAAGCGTCGAGCTCTGCTCAAGGCTGCCGGCAAGGACGAAGACGACTCCAAACGAAGTCATCGCAAACACCGCCACAGAGACGACNNGAACACCGCAGCAAGCGCAGACGCCACGATGACTACAGCGACGATGAGAGACGTTCATCCCACAAGCACCGATCACACCGCCGACGTTCGCCCTCATACTCTCACTCACGATCACCTGAACGCAGAAGGAGAGATGACAAGCGCGACGACAGACGTGACGATGACAGACGTTCTTCTCGCAAGCACGACTCGCATCGTCGCAGTATTTCACGCTCCCCAGACTCGCGTAGACGAAAGTCATATCCTAGCCCGCGACGCTCAGATTCGCGTTCTCCCTCTCGCAAACATAGAGAAAGGGATAGCAGACGACGTTCGCCTTCCCCTGTGCGATCAAGGACAGAACGAAGATCTCCCTCGCCTAGACGTCGTGCATCACCAAGCTACGAACCTTACAACAATCGCGGTTCTAGACCTTCAAGAAACGACAGAGACGACCGTCTACCCAGACTCTCCAGAGATGACAACCGCCCTGTGAGACAAGAACGGCCCGCTTCTCCTGACCGCGAAGCAGAACGCTTGGCCAAACTAGCAGCCATGCAATCTAATGCCACCGAATTGGAGGCCGATCGCAAGAAGCGTCTAGCCGAGCTGGAAGAGCGTGATCGCAAACAAAAGGAAGAAGATGATAGGNAAGAGAAGCGAAAAGGGAAATTCGTTGGACAACTAAGGAGTCAGGCCGATATGGGCGAGGGTGGCGGTCTGGGTGCCAGGCTGGCTGGCAGGACTGGATTGCAAAGGCTGGCTGGAGATGAGTAGATTGCATCTCCTCTATATCAGACCAGTTGGTAAAGGGGCCGCAAAATTGGATTGCATTGCATCGCGTTACTCGTACTCGAGGAAGATCTACTTAGGTAGCATAAGAGCTATAGCACTCAAGCATATACATAACAGAACGGTCCAGCAACCGTACTCATAACATCCTTCATGGCGACATTGACACCTCTGCCAGCCCACCCAATACTTATCTCCGTGTTCAAGGTCGTGTTTGCACTAGGCGGTTGGTTCAAGAAAGTGTTTGTGCCAGCAATAGCATCTTTGCCGTAGACTCTGTTCTCGGGGTCCAACATCTGCCATGCTGTCCAAACAAGATCTATCATGCCGTGGTGGAGGTAGAAGGCCGGATCGCCTGGAGAAGTGAACACATCGCGACCTGGATCGCCGCCCATGGAGTAGTGGCCACCACCGTGGACGCCAATGATGCCGCTGCCGGGAACACCCTGCATCTGCATCTGAAAGTCGTAGACAGACTTTGGTGCAAGAATGTTATCGACGATGGCGGTGAAGTTTGCGAATCGTGTGTTGAGCTCATCTGTGAGGTCGCGCTTCAAGCAGCGAGGGTTGTAAGACAGAGGACCATTGGGACTGACAACGGTAATGTTGCCAGGCACAGTCAAAGAAGCGGGACCGAGGTTTACAGTCATGTTGACAAAGGGGCCAGATTCAACACAGCCGCCTCCACTACCGACAGGGAGGTAGATCTCTGGAAGACCATTGCCGCCTAGGACGACTTCGAGACCGGTCTGGTTGATGTAGACGCCATTGCCGCTCATGCTTGTCTTGCTGCCGTCCCAGACAGGATTCTGTTCCATGCCGGTCTCGGCAGAAAGACCCCAGTTCCAGTAGGGTTGTGTGCCTTGGTAGCCGCACTCGTTGCGAAGTGCTTGTTCGTACTCCCAGAGGAAGAAGCGGTGCCAGCCCAAAAAGTTGCCTGTGTAATGGATCTGAAGAGTTTGGTCGATGTGGGTAGCAACCCAGTCATCGTAACGTGTCTTTGCTCCGGGAGCCCAGGAGGCAGGCGATTTGGCAGTCTTCTTCTGGAGACAACGAACGGCGTCGGTATAAGCGATACGTTCTCTCGGCGAAAGAGTGCTCCACTCCTTGCGGATTTGCACGTTGCCGGGCTTGCATGTCGGACTGAAAGACTTCTTGGCTGACTTGACAATGTATTTGGCATGGGAGATCAAGATCTTCAGCTGCTCCTGAGCAACTTGGATGTCGCTCGATGCCGATATTGGCAGCTTGTCGCCAGGACTAGCATTGGTGCCAGCCAATACGGTGGCAAGAGTGAAGATCAACCCGGCCTTCATATCAGAGTGTGTGAGAAGCCTACCGTACTCGAATAGCTAGATGAAAGCAAGGAATTGACCATACCTTTATACTTGACCTGACATTCCCGTGATATACATCTTTGACCCTCTATCAGTCCGTGCTAGCTTTAATCATTTAGCCATACTGTCCTACGCATGCCTGTTGTTCGTCCTGTTCTAAGTTTGTACCAGGATGCTGGAACGATAGGTGGTCGTGGATCCAAGACGCGGCATGCTGCAGATGGAAAAACGCGAAGGATTTCCGAGTCGCCAATATTGATTGATTAGACCGCCTCGACCAGCCTCATATTTACAACCGAGGTGGAAACGATCGATGCCAAGACGTTGTCTCTGTTGATTCTGGGATGGATATTGCGGTCAAGATATTTCTGTAGTTGTTCGTTGTTCAAAGGGCGTGTAGCGAAGCTGTGGTAGCGGCTCAATGCTCTAGCCTGGTGGTGTGTTGATCTCAACACGGCCTGTATAGCAGCAACGCCATATAGTGGTTCTACCTGTCCAATGATACCTCTATGCGATATGGATTTTGAGTCGGTGGACTCAGGCAGCTGCATTCTTAGATTCCTACCACTTACGGTTAGTGCTTATCCGCCGGACTCGGGCCACCGTGGTCACTCTTTCCGGTAAACACCTTGCCGATCATATAGACTGCAGCTTGTCTTCGACTTCACTCTTGTTCATCAGACAGTCGTATCGAACGACATACAAGAGTCAAGAAAAACTGATTCTGAGTAAGTCGATATGTTTCAGGCAACAAGCGATTCGGTGTTGAAAACAACAAGTCTCTTGCTGCCTTAAGTAACCATGGTATAGAGTCATATTTGAGGCGCGAACATACGCGATGGTGACTACATCTTGCAGCACATAGCACTCATCTCGGGACGATGCAAAGCGATAGTTGACTTGTTGGAACTCACAATTGACTTCAAAGCTAGGTTGAGTCCAGGAGAATTCAGAATACCAATGATATCCGGTATATGGTATAATGTTCAGCACATTGCAGAACGGGACGAAGTCAAGATAAAGTCCTGGAGATTCAGCATGGCAGCACGCGTGGACACATGGATTGAGCGAATCAGAATCCATTCGCTGCTACGAGCTCGTCAAATATTACAGAGCTGCGACTACAGGAGTCTTCTCTCTTCCACTAGAGTTACGTCTGAACATTTACAACCTTGTCCTGGACGAGGACTTCGAGATACATGAAACAAGACTGCCAGCACTACTTCGCACTCGCCTACAAATCACGAAAGAATACTATCAACTCTGCAAACTGCGCATCGTCCTTGTCAGCGAGAGAAATATTGGCAACATCTTCTACAAGCTCTGGAACCACTGCAAGTCAAGGTGGCTGGCTAGATTCCGAAAATATAAATTCAAAGATCATCGTGTTTGGGAGCACTGGGAAAGAATCCTGTACATTGGAAAGTCGATCCCTATGGCCGATTTGTTTGTGGATATAAAGATAGAGACGTGGTGTAAACATGCTGCTGGGTATCCGAGAAGCGTTTTGAGGAGTCATGGACGATGTCGGNGGTGCAAGGTACGGAGGCTGGGGGATTGTTGTCTTGGATTTATCGCCATCTTGATATTGTGATGTTTGTCCTGTTCTGGTTGCTGCTGATCGGGGGTGCTCGATGCTTGCTCTTGCTTGGCTTAATATGTGGAGTTAAACCGTTCACGGATGATCCTCGCATGATAATGTTGATGCACTAGAAGGATTTGAATGATACAGTATGAATGAGCAAGTTTGTAATACCACCACAAATTTTTCAATCGTGACATATGAAAATGCAAGTAGAATTTGGGCATTGCAAGTACGTCGAGGGGAAAATAGAGTTTCGAGATAGACGTTTGATGACGAGTGACGGTCACCGGCGCAAAGACAGCCGAAAGCAACTCGGTCTTGGCAATAGTGTCTCTCTTTCCCTCCGTGGTCTTCATCCCACCTTCTGTCTTTGCAATCACACAGTCATGGCAGAAGTACGACAGCGCACCAAAGCGGCAGACCCCACGGTCGCGCCCAAGGAACCCTCAAGCACGAACAGCACCAAACCAACCAAGAAGAGCTCAGGCTTCAGCTTTACAGATGTGCTTCGCATTTTGGGCGGCATACTCTTGCTCAACTGCGCATTGAGTTACTTTGTCACTTCCTCATCCCTGACATGGGGTTGGCGACCCTGGTACTCAAAGCCTGCTATGGTGGCTTCCTGGCTGGTATATCTCACCCCACTACCCTCCAAGCACACGCCACTGACGGACACAAACAGANGAGGACCCGTTTACTTGACCGACGAGGAACTTAAAGCCTACGATGGCAGCGATGCGAGCAAACCAGTATACATTGCTCTCAACGGCACAATCTACGATGTCACTGCTGGCCGCCAGGTCTATGGTCCAGGAGGAAGTTACAACTTTTTCGCTGGCCGTGATGCAACCCGCGCTTTTATTACTGGATGTTTCCAAGAGGACTTGACGCCTGATATCAGAGGTGCAGAGTTGACGTACGTCCCTGTGGATGATGATGCTCCTTCAAAAGCCGAGTTCAAGACGAGAAGGGAGAGAGACACGAGATTGGCCAAGAAGAGGGTACATGACACTATCGAGGGTTGGAGTCGCATGTTCAAGGGCCAGGCCGGAAAGAACTATTTCGAAGTCGGAAAGGTCAAGAGGGAGGAGGGATGGTTGGAGAAGTTGCCCAAGAGGGAATTGTGTGAGCAGGCGCAAAAGCAGAGACCCCAGCGCAAGGCTTGAGAAAGAGACTCTTGAAATGGAACATGTGAATTTTGTACAGATATACAGAGTGTATAGGGGAGGTGTAATAGTAGTACAACGATCAACGCTTGACCCAGGCAGGCATCTTGCGGGCCTTGAGCTTTCCGGGCTTCTTTCTCTCGACACGACGCGGGTCTCTTGTGACAACACCAGCNTGTAAAGTAAAGTCAGCACTGCTCTGGCATGTCAATACAGATCTCAAATTCAACATACCTCTCCTCAAAGCGGGCTTGAGCAACGGCTCGTGAACCATCAAAGCCTTGGACACGGCCAGGGCAATGGCATCAGCCTGGCCGGTAGTGCCTCCTCCTCTAGCAACGCACCAGACGTTGTACTTGTCCATGCGCTCTGTTACCTTGAGGGCCCAGAGGGCACTCTCACGGTCGTGCAGACGACCAAAGGCTTGAGTCAAGGGCTTTCCGTTGATCATAACCTCACCCTCTCCTTCTACCAGGAGCGCAACAGCGTTGCTGCTCTTTCTCCTGCCGACACCTCTAGCGCGGCCGTATTCGTCGACAACACCAGGCTTGGGCTGGTTGTGGAAGGGCTGAACATCACGCATGTAGCGTCGAAGGGCAGTCGCGACGTCGTCGGGCATGAGGTTGGGGTGGATGTAGTTCAATCGTTGCAGGACCTGCAGAATCTTTGTGTAACGAGCGGCCTTGACGGGCTCGTTGCTGTTGACCTTGTACTGGGCCAGAGTCTTCCATGCAACGCGGGGAGCATGTCCAGTGGGCAGAACGGGCAGCGTCTGGTACTTGCGCAGCAGATTCTCGAGGTTCAGCAGGTCGTCGGTGAAGTCGGGCTTGCCGGTAAAGTATGAGGGCGAGGCGGGGACGATGCGCAGACGGTCCATCATGGCGGCGTAGGCAGCGATGCTGCGGCCACCCTCGAGGTCATCATCTTCGGCCTTCTCTTCGGCGGCGGCGGCATTGTCGTTGGAGCCGAAGTCGATTGGAGGGGCAGCGCGGATGTCGCCCAGCGGAGTGTCTGAGGTGGTCGAGGCCAGACGGCGGAATTGTGGTTGTGAGATGGGGAACCTCCTTGTGGCGGGTTGGCGGAACGAGGCAATTGCGGCGCGCAGGCCTGACCGCAGTGCACCGAGCTCCATGACTGCAGACGTGGATATACCTCACTGTCGCTGGCGCGGGCAGGAAGTTCGCTGGACGAGAGCGCTGGCCGGCGGAAACAGCCGAGGATAGTCCGACTAAAAATTGGACGGGGCGGCCAAAGCTCAACGCCGCCGCTCTTCTTTTTCACCACCTCGTCCATCCATCCCCTCTGTGTAGCTTCCTCTTCATCAGTTGCACATACCCCTCACAATGTCTTCTTTCGGAAAGCTCTACACCTACCCGGTATGCTGATGGATCCTCAGACAGCTCCTGTAGCTTGTCGCGTCAACCTTCATAGCAAGCTAACACACCACGCAGGGTAACNCCCGTACCACCGCCCTGCTGGCCGTCGCAAAGGCCAACAGCCTCAACCTTGACATCGTTCACACCGAGCCTGCCAAGGGTGTCGAGACTGAGTACCTCAAGCTCAACAAGCTCGGCAAGGTCCCCACCTTCGAGGGTGCCGACGGCTACGTCCTCACCGAGTGCATCGCCATTGCCATCTACCGTACGTTGCCCAATTGCCCCGAACTCCACCCAGCCCGCCTCCCCTGCAATGATGAGACATATTATCAAACAGTTATCCCTGTCTGAAGACTATTGTTGAGAATTATTTTTGATCTGAATGCACCTTTACCCCTCACTCCTGCACTTTTCTGCAAGCCCACTCTATCTGCGACAGCTTGCTGACCGCGCCCGCCATACANNGTCACCTCCCAGAACGAGAAGACCACCCTCCTCGGCAAGACCAAGCAGGACTACGCCTCCATCCTCAGATGGATGTCCTTTGCCAACTCTGAGGTCCTCACCGCCCTCGGTGGCTGGTTCCGCCCTCTGATTGGCCGTGACCCTTACAACAAGAAGTCCGTCGAGGACGCCCAGAAGGCCACCGCCAAGGCCGTCGGTGCCCTCGAGGACCACTTCCTCGTCAACACCTACCTCGTTGGTGAGCGCCTCACTCTTGCCGACCTCTTCGCCGCCGGCATCATCTCCCGTGGCTTCCAGTACTTCTTCGACAAGGAGTGGCGCAGCAACAACCCCAACGTCACCCGCTGGTTCGAGACTGTCACCAACCAGTCCATCTACTCCGACGTTGCCGAGAAGCTCGAGTTCATCGAGAAGGCCATCCCCAACCAGGCCCCCAAGAAGGAGGCTGCCCCAAGGCTGAGAAGCCCAAGGAGGCCCCCAAGCCCAAGGCTGCCGCTGACGACGAGGAGGANNGGCCCTGCCGCCCCCAAGGCCAAGCACCCCATCGAGGCCCTCGGCCGCCCCACCTTCGTTCTTGACGAGCTCAAGCGCAAGTACTCCAACGAGGAGACCCGCGAGGTCGCCCTTCCCTGGTTCTGGGAGAACGTCAACTTCGAGGAGTACTCTCTCTGGAGAATGGACTACAAGTACAACGATGAGCTCACCATGACCTTCATGACCTCCAACCTCATCGGTGGTTTCTTCACCCGTCTCGAGGCTTCCCGCAAGTACATCTTCGGTGCCGCTTCCGTCTACGGTACCTCCAACGACTCGATCGTTCGTGGTGCTTTCCTCGTCCGTGGCCAGGAGGCTCTCCCCGCCTTCGACGTCGCCCCTGACGTCGAGTCCTACGAGTTCACCAAGCTCGACCCCAAGAGCCCCGAGGACAAGAAGTTCGTCGAGTCCATGTGGGCCTGGGATGAGCCCATCCAGCCTGAGGGCAAGGAGTGGGCCGATGGCAAGGTGTTTAAGTGATTTTTCGGTCTTTCTAATGGTTGGACGATGAATCAAACCACTAAAAAGAAGAATGGTTGACCACCCAACTTCGGCCTCTAATACCACGGAGTGCAGCGAGTGGGTGGCGACATTTTTGTCGGTACCATCACCTAGGAACCGAGTTCTATCTGACACGAGCGATGCTTTTAGACGAGTTCTGTTTAAAAAATATTCAGCGCGAGTGTGCTATGCCACGACATGACCACCACAAGCATATTTCCCATTTCAGTCTGCCCTGTCCATCTATATCCATGTGATGCCTTGCGATACTTCTTGCCATGTTCTTATTTATGATCTACTTAGCAGCCTCCATCGCTGGTCTATGATGAAGTCAGTATGTCATCCAGTCTGGTCGTAGACCAATCCTGACATAAATGTCGATACTTCCTAGTAGACATTATCATTCAAGATCAATTATATGTACCTGTCAGAGATACATCTCTGCCTGTCATAAGAATTGTCTAAAAAGCTCATGTACAGTTGCTATCCGTTGCCAACTGTAGCCGTATATGCTATCTGCTTTATAGCTAAGTACGCTAGCATGCGAGCAGAGGTGAACGTAGTCGAGGAAGGATGAAGAGTCTATCATGGCAAAGAGAAAAGACGGGTAGACAAGACAGTAGTGCTATGCTGTATGTCACAAGGTTCTAAAATGTTCGACAAGACGAACAGCCTGCCATCTAAACATATTACTACTGTGCCAGTAGAAGAGCGTAGGCGAGAATATGTTTGCGATATATGCTTACCTCTAGCCAGTTCTCCTTAGTCCTTCTATCAGGCATACTCGGCTGGATGTGCTTCTCCCTAGCCTTCCTCGACCTTTGCTGCAATTGGATTCAAGCGTGCTGTTTTGGCCAGCTTCGTCCTGCTTCGCTCGATTTTTGATCCTCTTCGTCACTTAATCACCGACCAAGATGGGAGTTCGGGTTAAGTTTGGTCTTCTGTTGGCGATCGGAAGCGTGGGTTGAATGTTACTAACAACTCGTTTTCTGGTGATTTGTAGGAGCTGGCAACCTATATTGGCCATTCTCGTGCAATAGAGTAAACATCAACCTCTTGGACATACCCCTTCGAGAACACCCAGTAAGTGGTGATCTATTCAATCACTGTCCCGCGACGACAGAGATCAACAACTCAACCTATAAAACGCACGATGGGTTCAACACTAAAGATTTCTTCACAGGGAACTGCTTAGCGGATGTCTCTCTGTTTGCATTGTCTTTACAAAGTGTTGTGTATTTTCGTGGTTTGAAACAGTGATAGACTCTGGACGTGGAGAGAGTGGTGCCTTATTTGTTCAGTTTCTGTCTTTCCGCGCAACAACTCACTTTTCTGCATTGCGTTAATTCTTTGTCGGGCTCAACTTCTTCCTCTTTCATCACCATACCTACCGCGATTTCTACAAGGCAGCATTAAAGGCTGTGTTACACCTTCTCGTGTTTTGTGGGCCATAACACACAGTCTTCCTCGACAAACAAGATCTCTTTCACCCTCACCACTACGCACCTCGCAACCTACCAAGGCGCAATGCGAATGCCGCGATCTCGTCAACACCATCTCGGATAATTCCCCATCACTTGATCAGTCGAGACAACCACAGAACTCGATTAGTGTTTACACAGCTTTCGCATCGATCGGACCGTCTGTGTGAGCCTGCCATGGTCCTCTTTCCCAACGAGATCTGGCTTGAGGTCGTCAGTTACCTCAACCTTCCGGCGGATGTGTGTCCACGTGAGCATGAGAAAGTCGACAAACACGATAGACTCATACAGCAGACCGTTGTCAGTCCATGTCTTGTGTCCAAACAACTTCGCGCCATCTTCCAGCCACGGCTATATCGCAGCTTCGTCAGATACAGCAGACCTTGCGCTCAACACCGACTTCTGACAACCGACTCTGAGTGGCTACACAAGTACTATCAACGCGATCAACGCACCTTTCGGATCATCCGAAAGGAATCAAGGCTCGAGAACTTCATCCTTACCTTGATCCGTCGTCCTGACCTCGCCGCCATGATCAAACATTCACGCATTGGCTCGTTCAATCAGACCAATGATCTTCCAACATGCTTCCGAAAGCTTTACGACAAACTACCCTTGGAGGAAACAACTTCTGGTGCATTCCTGGCTGCACTCAAGGCCTTCGAGGGTTCCGAGCGTCTGTTTCCCGTTCNNAGGGGCGCGTGGAAGAAAGGCCTTGAGGATGGTAGCGAATCGGCAGAAATTGCACTTCTACTGACTCTGCTACCAAGTCTGCGATCAGCACGTTTCGAAACAGAAAATCTGGGTGATTTTGTGCAAGCGCTATGCAATGTCAATCTCGAACCAGATTCCAGCTCTTAGGTCATCAAGTCTTCATATGGAATGCTGTTTAAACATGAGGTTGAATTAGAATTAAGACCACAGCAGCTCCCTCTGATCTTCCCAGCTCTTGAATCACTAAGTGTGCAATCACTAGGTGATTACAACAACCTTGAGGGTCTTCTTTCGCTACCCTCCCTCACATCGTTCAGTGCAAGAGGACTCGAAGGCTATCGTAGCTTTCACTCATTGCGATCGAAGGCCACATTTACTTCTCTTCTCCATCTACAGCTTGAACACTGCCAGCTAATTGGAAGTTATGAGTATATCCTGAAGAGATGCATCAGACTGCAATCACTCGAGATCAATACTAGCTTCGCCTACAATCATGCAGAAATACCGCCTATCATCGTCGATGCCAGGCTTTTCGATTTTCTCGAGAACGTGGCAGGCACCCTGAAACGTCTGGCTTTGATGATGCCTGAGTACGAGATTCATACCTCTATAAATTTGAGATCATTCGGGAAGCTGCGCTACCTGGAGGTAGATATGAACTTGTTGCCTCCTGACTTCCGTCAAGCACTGCCATTTCATATCGAGGAACTCGTTATTCGACAAGTCCGAGTCTTGATAAGGCCGTATCCCGACAATTTCCTCGACACGTTCACCCCAACTTCTGAGTTTCCCAACGTTTCCGCATTGAAGCTGTATGTGCAGGAGGGTGAGAACGACGATCTGGAGAATGAGCTGATTGATGTACAGAAGCGAGCTCGAGGGTACAACATCAGCTTCGAGTTTGTGAAAGAGCCTGCTGAAAATCGTTGGTGGTTTTGGTGGGACAATTCTGAGTCTGACTCAGACCGAGTTTCAGAGGGTATCCATTCCGACAGTGACGATACCGATTCGGATCCACAAGAATCTCAGTGTATCCGGTGGATGATCAAGGGGTTTTCATTGATAGCGCCTAAGGAGAACAGGACGCTGTACCATTCACCAAGCTGTGGTCTATTTCTAGAAGAGACATCACACTTTGCTAAGACATGCCATAAAATAGTTATAACAGTGTACAGTGCTCTTGAAAGCTGAAGCAATATTGCTTTTTCAGACACATATCTGTCATCAAACGGAATGGTGCATTACGATGGCTTACACCATTTGTCATGCGTAGCTATGAGAGAGGGGTTGAAATGGTGAATTTCAATGGTGTGACAGGAATACTCGAAACTCAGACTGTGGTAAGCTATGTCGCCAGCCACTCGCTGCACTCCGTGGTATTAGAGGCCGAAGTTGGGTGGTCAACCATTCTTCTTTTTAGTGGTTTGATTCATCGTCCAACCATTAGAAAGACCGAAAAATCACTTAAACACTTTGCCATCGGCCCACTCCTTGCCCTCTACATATCAGTTGATACTTCCGAGCGGTGATGGAGTCAAACTTTCTTTCCAAAGCAGGTGGTGAGATTCTGCCACGTCTCAACCTTTGTTGATTGCTTGCTTGCTCGCCCACTGTCTGTTTTATCAAGCAATTGTGAGACAAAGTCCTTCTACAGATATGAACTGAAGAGTTTTGAGATCGCTGCGTCTTGTTCTTGACATTCGCTATCTCTTACAGCTCCTGTCTGGACTGTCCCAGAATGTTGCCTGGCTTTCTGAAATCAACGTACGCAGTCTATAAGGAGGACACAGACTCTGTGGCTTCCTGGCTGGCATCTACTGCTCGAAGGTGCGGTTATTCACTCGATCTACTGAGCAACATAACTGGGGATGCATCTGATCAAAAGGTACCCAAGAAGAAAAAGAAGAAGAAGAAGAATGGCAAAGCCCCTAAACCTGTTGATGCACCAATCACCCAGAGTCAGAGCTCCATAACCGCTGCTGCAAATCCAGTGACCTGCACAATCGTTGTCAAAGACTTTGTACCTTTGGCCGAGTTCCCTCTTCTTTTGTCGGTAATCTGGACCGTGCTATTGCTCTTCGTGGAAAGCACAACTCTTGGTTCAGCGATGCTGGTCAGTCTACGGAGGACGATGGATCCAACTTCTTTCTTGGTATTCTTGAGCGGGTTCGTGAGACATGCTGACCTTAATTCACGTCTAGGCTCCAGACTGCTACCAAGACACATCGAGGCTTCTCTTGACCAGAATGTCTAATTCCACGAGAAGCAGCGTATCAGTACACGGAGGCTCACAACGACCGCGTGCTCGGCCAAATTCAGAACATCATCGACACCTGGATCAAGCAAGATAATGTGGAGAAAATCATCGAGAGGTCTCTTCGAGGAAATCCCACCATCGCTACCCAGATTACTGGTGAGCCACTCAAGCTGCTCAAGCAATATCCTTCGCTTTGTGGCATTTGGCTGTTCTCTTTGAGGTACTTGATGCAAGACGCCGGTATTGCTTTCTGCAATGCTTGGGGTTCAGTCATGTATACAGCTCATATGTACAACGCTGCTCGTCAAGAGAAGCTTCTGAAGAGATATCTAGAGAGACATGGAGATGGCACTGCTGCTTCAAGGCAACGGCAAAATGTTCATTGGTGACCGACCAAATGAACCTGAAGGTATCTATATAACACTCTCACCTCGCTGTGTCCTGTAACACTATGCTAACCAGCCGTCACTCAGACTACCTCAAACGATTCACTCTCTGCATGGGCTGTTCAGTCACTTCCCTGGCCAAGAACCCAAGACAATCTGCTCCCAAGGCCTCGCCAAAAGGGCCCTCGTGGCATGGAAGACTCGTTCGAGATAGCACAATTGTTTGCTGAACGCTATCCCTACGATGGAAAATCACTCTCTACCGATCTCGATGTTGTGGAGAAGCACGTCAAGAGCCAATTCAGCGACCCTGAAAACTCTGCTACTGAGGGTAAGCCCACGACCGCAGGGACTGCGACTCAGGTACGTAAACTGGCCACGGCTGGTGTCAAGGGATGATCTGATGCTGACTGTTTACGCAGGTCACCGAGAGTTCAACACCACCTCCAAACTCAACGCCGGCATCTTTCTCGAAGGCCTAGCCAACTCCCTTCACTCTGAAGGCATGCACCTAACCTTCGACTACTTCAACCTACACCGGTTCTGCTGGATGCTCCTCCGCAGTGTCAAAGATGCTTGTGCGGACTCCATGCGTCAAATCTTTGGGCCTGCTTACCTCGAGCGTGAGAATCAGTTGCCATCTGTGGTGGGCTATCTGTTCATGTGTGCTTTCTCTGCAGACAAGGTTGATAAGGACGAGGGCGTGGAGGCGAGGAGTGAAATCTTGCTTCAAGCCGTGGGCGCGCTAGAGAGCAAGATCGAGACTGGAGCTGGAAGTGTTCATGCGAAGATCATGGAGGAGTACTATAATTATGCTGTGGATTGGGATGACTTTGAGCAGCTCGCGGCATAGAAAGAGGTGGTCCGGATGGGTGTTGCAAAAGTGGCTGGCAGTGATTTTTGAGGAACATAATTTCATCTTAGAATATGTGCTCGACAAGCATTTGTAGCCATGCACCCATAAAATCACAAGGATGTTTACGCGTAACTTGAATCATCGTAAGGCATTGAGAGCTTTTGCTGCTGAAGTGTGGAAGGCAAGTGCGTGCGACAATGCAGCGTCTTCACGGGAACACAAAATGTCACCCTTCCATCACTAGAAAGGCAAAATTATCGCACATGAAAGAGCGAACTTTGATGTTTGCGAGAAACAACAGACGAGTGCAAAAAGAGAAGATCAGAGCAAAACGTACAGCAGCAGGGATTCCCACGTGGTCACCCACCGTAGTACTAATCTGCCGTTCAACTGCTTATGTATGGCAGAGCGGACGGGATGCCCAGTTTTCAGCTGACTGTGGCCGTACGTGCTTGTTCCGGAGATTCAACGCAATATCTCCCTCTAATCATGGAGTCCATCAATCTTACGGCGATGCCATGCCCTCGACGGTCAAGATGGTAACATTGTCTTAAGTCTCAGCAGTAGAGACCCAAGTAAGCTAAAGTATATTAGTCTTTTGGAGCTTGGTGTCTATTACAATTTCAGGAGCGTAGCAGCTTTTCGACAACGCGCTTCAGGCTGTCTTTCTAATCAAAGCCTGACATAAATTATTTTCCATCATTGCGGGTCATCAGAGCTGCCAATCGGCATCAAACAGAACCACCAGACAGTCAGTAAGTGCAATGATACATTCTATCTGAACGAGAAGATGTGGATACGTTTCGTGACTCCTCCACGTAGTTGTCGTAGATATTGATCCTCGTAAAGGGTACAACCCTGTCTCGAATGTGCAGCATCAAGCTCAACCACCCAAGGCAAGTGACATATAGACTCGCGAATGAGCTAAACTGAGCATGAATTTGATGATATGTCTGTATCGGATGATATTGCTCTGCCAACACCATTGATACAATCACTTTCTGCGCAGAAGAATTGCTGCTTGTCGTCTCATTTGGCTCTTCAACCCCACGAGTTGTGGCGGCGGCAAGACTTCCGTGAAGACCTCGCGGCGCCTGCAGAAATTTACGAAGAGCTGAGTGCTGTCTGTGTGCATCGTACGACCAGAAACAAGAGTGTGTCCGTGTATCTTCGTGGAGGTGGATGTGCTTGGAGAGTCAAACTGCGGCTCTTTACGATTCTTGGCTGGATGTCTCTTCAAACTGATGACTTCATGACGCGCTCCTAGTGGATTACAACATCCTCAACGCGTTCTTTGCGACGTATCGTGAGATCATGGCGTGTGTTTGGTGATTTTCTAGGATAACTTTTCTTGTTACAATCTGCTTTGTACCATTTTTTGATCTGACGTTCCTCTATTCGCTAAGACTAGGTACGACCGAAACCCACTGGTGACACGAAACAGACATGGCTGCCACGTACTTTACGTGCACTTTAGGGCAGGCGCAATCCTTGGGCCTGACCAACTCCAAGTTCAAGAATATCAATCACTTCATTGATTCTCAGGCAGAAGCCATACCGTCCCAACCTGCTGTTGGCTTCGCCATTCCCTCCAACTCGAACTCCCAATGGAGCAGCAAGACATGGACCTTCTCGGACCTGCAAGATGGCTCTCAACAGGTCGCAGCTCTGCTGCAGAAGACACATGGAGAACTTCTGTCCAACTCGGATACGGTCGCATTGATTTGCCCAAGCACTCCGGAGTTTCTGTTTACGTGGCTTGCTCTCATGCGATTAGGCCACCCTGTCCTCCTCATTGCACCGCAATGCCAACCAGCAGCTATCGCACATTTGTGCAAGGCATGTCAGACTACTGTCATATTCCACGACGAGACTTATGCCGATCAGTCTGGAGAAGCTGCGAATGTTGCTCAGGATAATGGTGAAAAGCTCCATGCTATCGAGTTGCCATTTTCCAAGGATCAGTCTTTATCAGACATCATGGCACAGGAAGCAACCGGATCCACAACTTTCCCAGATGTCAAAGAGACAGATGTTGCATACCTCCATCATACTTCTGGAACCTCTTCCGGTGTACCCAAGCCAATTCCGCAAACACACCGCGCAGGTGCTGGTGTTCTTCCTTCCTTCCCTGATGGAAAGGAACGCGCAACATTCACGACCACCCCACTATACCACGGTGGTGTAGCAGATGCCTTCAGAGCATGGACGAGTGGCGCGCTCATCTGGCTGTTCCCTGGCAAAGGTATACCAATCACTGCAGCAAACGTTATTAAGTGCTTGGGTGCAGCAGAAAAGGGCGCAGAGCAAGGTCTTCCTCCTGTGAAGTATTTTGCCTCCGTACCATACGTACTTCAGATGATGGAGGCAGACGAGCAAGGCTTTGAGTATCTTCGAAACATGGATATCGTTGGCGTTGGTGGTGCTGCTTTGCCAGCAGAAGTGGGAGATCGCATGGTTGGCAAAGGAATCAATCTTATCTCGAGATTTGGCAGTGCAGAGTGTGGTTTCCTCATGTCATCTCACCGTGACTATGCCAAAGACAAGGAGTGGCAGTATCTCCGCAGCAACGAAGGAGCCGAATATCTTACGTTCGAGAAGAATGAGGACGGTCTCGTTGAACTGGTGATCAAGCCAGGCTGGCCACACATGGTAAGGTCTCTCCCAAATGCTGGTAACAAACATCAACTGACGCGATACGTCTAGGCCAAGAAGACTCGTGATGATGGATCCTTTGCTACGGCTGATCTCTTTGCACCCCATGACACTATTCCAAATGCCTGGAGATACCACTCGCGAGCTGACTCTCAACTTACGCTGATCACTGGCAAGAAGTTTGACCCAGCTCCACTGGAGGGCGCAATTGCTACTGCAGATCTTCTAGACGATGTTCTGATCTTTGGAAACGCACAACCGTTCCCTGGCGCCTTGCTGTTCCGTTCGAAGACGGCACGAGATATTCCAGACCATGACCTCGTACAGAAGATCTGGCCAGCCATCGAGAAACTCAACTCGGAAAGTCAGGATCACGCTCGCATACCTAAGAAGATGCTGGTTGCCATGCCAGTGCTTGATCAACCACTAGAGAAGAGCAGTAAAGGTACCCTTCAAAGAAGTGTGGTCGAGGCCCGCTTCGCACAAGATATCGACAAGGCATATACCAACATGGGTTCCTTCAACGTCGGTGACGTGCCTGACGAGAAGGTTTCCCACGTCATCATTGAGATGATAGAGTCCATCGTCCCGAAGAAGGCGAAACTGGAAGATAACACAGACCTGTTCTCTTATGGCGTTGACTCGGTTGCCGGTATGCAGATAAGACATGGCCTTCGACAACTCCTCCCACAATCCACCAAACAGCTGCCGCTCAACGTGGTAGAGGATTGCGGAACGGTCAAGAGATTGACAGAGTATGTCGTCAAGCAGCGTCATGGTGAAGAGCTTACCGACGAAGAGGACGAACGCACGCTCATGCTCCAACTCGTCGACCAGTATTCCAACTTTGATAACAGAAGCCCATCGTCGTCCACAAACGGGCAGGGTCAGGGCGAAAACGACAAAGGAGATGTTATCGTCCTGACGGGTGCAACGGGAGCTTTAGGGGCTCATCTCCTGAACTCCTACCGTCAACTCGATTCCGTCAAAAAGGTCTACTGCCTCGTCCGAGGAGCTGAATTGCAAGCTTCAATTGAGCGGGTCGACAAGGCTCTCAAACAGCGCGGCCTTGGTGGCTTGGAAAATGGTGACGAGAAGGTCGAAGTCCTTCAAACGTCACTAGGGGATGATCACCTGGGCCTCTCCAGTGGAGATTACAAAAGGATTGCACAAGAGGTTTCGATTGTTATGCACGTGGCATGGAGTGTCAATTTTCGCATGCGTTTACGCAGCTTTGCAAAGGACAACATTGCGAGTAAGTCATGCCCCCAATCCTACACATGCATGAGTGTGACCAGCCCGTTTGGAGCCTTCACCGCTGTATCAGAAGACCTGGTCATAGGGTGCATAGTATGCTATTCTTGCAATCTATGCACCCAGAAACCAGGTTCTGTATATTGCAATTAGATGAATTTGCTGCAGGGCTGCATCACCACAAGAATAGCAAAACAGACCATCTGCTGACCGCGGTTTACGATGTAGGTGTGACAAATCTCATCAATCTTGCATTGAGGTCCGGCAGATCTGAACCAGCCAGATTTGCATACTGCTCGAGCGTAGCAAGTGTCATGGCGTACAGCAAAGGCACCTCCATCCCTGAAAGAATCATCAACGATCCAGAAGCAGCCAGCACTCTGGGATATTCCCGCAGCAAGTGGGTCGCCGAGCAGATATGCAGCAGAGCGAACGAGCGCTCGCAGCTCCTAGGTCGCATTGCCATATTCAGAGTCGGCCAACTTTCAGGGGACACCCAACGCGGCATATGGAATACCAGTGAGGCCTGGCCGATGATGCTGAGCAGTGTCAAAATATCGCGCGCATTGCCGAACCTCGATCAGGAAACACTGGACTGGCTGCCCGTGGATCTTGCTGCCACGGCCTTGATGCAAGGAATAGCAAGCGTGGACGGGAGCGGAGACGGCGCGCATGTCCTGCATGTGCTAAACGAGCACCGTCGTCCTACATGGCCCACAATGTTGCAATGGCTAAAGAGACGATGTGCCTTTGACATTGTGGACCCGCCCAAGTGGGTAGCGCGACTCGAAGATATGCAGGAAAGAGACGGCGCCGATCACCCCGCATATAAACTTCTAGACCATTGGAAAAGGGCTTATGCCCCTGAGCACAAAGCGGAAGACACAAGTTCGGCACCGACCGTCTTGCCGTTTGACATGGCGAGAACCAAAGATGCAGTTGCGGTTCTGAGAGACGTCAGTCCTGTTGACGAGCAATACTTTGCCAAGATCTGGGACTGGATTGATAGGACCATGTAGATACTCGGCCATGATCGCTTTCGCTTCCGCAGTAGATGTAGTTCTACATGTACATTGGTGTATAGACTTTGAGATCATTGGGATCATTGTGGAAACACAACCCCTCTCTTCGCATAAGTTTACTCTGTTGATTGAGCCACTTGTTGAGAAGGATTATGGAAAACACACTCTCGTGATACCCATGCAATACCAGTATGAGCGAGATGAGAAACGTTGACGACGATAAACTCTTGCCCCTGGATTGAAATTTGGCAGGTATAGACAGAACGTCCAAGCCTCGGCATAATGACCTTGGTATAGGAAGAGGTATGGGGATGGGGATATAACGTCTGGTGGCTTGGATTGAGGACCACAAATCGGTTGAGGGGATAAGTGTGAACGATTTGAATAATCATGCCTGTACCAAGCCTCCGTGGACCTTGGTGGCAGGACCTGTCATGCCTTACAGGGCAGGAGGATAAGGCTGCATGGGCCCAAAAGCCAGGTGTTGGTACTTGCTTCCGAGGATGTTAAGCGTATCGAGTGGGGACGTCTTTTTTTCAGAGCAGGCAGGTGTAGACAGGAGCCCGGATCTGGGTAGTTTGGCCTTGCGCAAGTGACCTTACATGGCGCTAGCGAAGTGTCTCCTGTCGAAGCGGAGCCGTCGCTGTTCATGTCAAAGGGGGTGTAAATGTATGGAAGTGTGGTGCGGCAAGAGGCAGCGCCCGCTGTCCCGCGATAAGGGATAAGACATTGGACTGCTTGGCGATCTGGCTTGGGGTCTGCACGAGCACGCCTTCTCACGTGCTTTCGCACCGACGTCGTGTGGCTTGAGACGATGCCATGCAGGTCGAAGGTCCGGCGACTTGACAAAGTTGACCAAGCCGACGCGGTCGGGGAGTTCGTCGCCGGGAATGATGGGGCTAGAAGAAGACTAAGCCTATTCCCCGGCCTCTTGTGGGTCGATCATCAGAAGAGAGCACTAGACCTCAATTGAAGCCACAAATGACTTTGTATCGCACAGGGAGAGACTCCGAAAGAGAAATTGCCGCTGTCAAATCGATTTCGGTACTGTAGCGAAAGTTTTGTGCCTCTTGTCAAATAACCTGGAGAAAGAAGCGAGAACAGCCTTACACAGGCAGAATAGACGAGCAGTCGTGCTCCCTTTGGCCAACCCTGAGGTTCCTGCGTCGCGTACCTGCATGAGCCACACAGATCTCACGAAATCCCAGACTCCCAATGACGTAGAGGGGTCGGAGCGCTGTGAAGATCAGGTCACTGCCGTACCGCCGATCAGAGGCGTGCTAAAACCACAGACTGAGTCAATCCCCAGTTGTGAACCCGTTTCTGGCGGTTATGCCTGTCGATTGTCTTAATCTGCTGCGGAGCCAGGACAATAATGCACCGAAAGCATCCTGGGAGATCAATTTATCCTGTAAGCTGAAAATTAGCCCGAGGTATACGATAGTTGTATGAGAAGGAATAGCGTGTATAGCTTAATCGTGCCCATCGGCGATGGCTTGAAGGCCCTCGGGAGGCGTTGCCCCGTTCCTACAAACACCATGGTCACGATGTGGAAGCTTTTGCCGCAGATCTGAGTCTGCCCGCATGCGAACACGCGACTTGAGCGAAACAGGAGTTCGACGAAAAAGTCAATGGGAGAGATACCGAGCACTGTAAGCGATTTAGGAAAGCGACCGAGAAGTGTTGTTGAGAAGTCAATGAGATGGATCCTACTCGAGCGTACTCGTACCTGGCATGCCGTTGGCGTGTGTGGGATCATTTCCACAGGGCAGAGAGAACCGAGCGGTGCACACACACATGCACAAGGGTCTGCAGAAATTAACGATCGACGTTGGAAGGGTCTGTAGCAGGGTCTGTAGGGATGAAGAAGGTCTGAAGGAAGTGTTCCATTTGCTGAACCAACGAGTTGGGCAACAAACGCTATCATTTTGATTATGATGCATATTGAGGTGTGCTTTGTGGAAGCTTTCGAGAATGGCCAGCTTCAGAGGACCAGCCTGAAACACTGGGCCCGAGGACGGAGAGTGAACGTGGGGAAGCACACAGCCAATCAGCAGTGACAGGGACTTCACCACACCTGATTATCGCGTTTCAGGATGTATTTTGATTGTCGTGGCCTACGTAACCTCAACCACGTGAGAAACCATGGAAATTATTTGAGGCCAAGATGACAGGTAAGCGGTATATGATGTACTACTATATGGTATATTTGTGATATAATGATTTTGATTGGCGAGTAAGACATCGTAAGTCGGACGACTCATGAGAAATGCGCAGCACGGCAGCGTCATTGGCCGACAGACTAATCACAATCACACCTGATTCGCAAACAGCAGCGCTCATTTTCAGTCAGCTCCGACAAATCCGAGGGCACGATCAAGCAGGTACAGTACAGTACCTGCAATACATACTGGATATCTGGCACAGCGGTAATTTCAGACCTGCGTACGGCCGAGTCATTGACGATTGCAGGATGATCGTTTGCATGACGGAGATATCATATGCTCACGGATTGCACGCCACCAGCAGCGATGCGACTGGGCACCCCGCCGCGTAGCCGTCTGGATGTGTGAGCGTTTGCTGTGGGAGAACGAGACGCGATAACCAGTGAGCGGACATGTATCTACCCAGGCTGACCAACGGGCAACGGACGAGCAGCACGACCTTGATAAGAGTGGATAGACGGTTTGCAGTGTCAGCCGTCAAGCGGACTCGCTCACAAGACGTGTTTGTTGACGGACTAGCCATGTATAACTGTTATGGATTCGAGTGTCGATCGAGGCAAGATAATGCACCGCCCGGATCGGGCGCCACTGCTCTGGACACTGGACACGCAGGTGAGATGGTCTACAGGGCACCTCGGGCAGATGCACGTGGATACTCGTCCTGAGGCTTCACGATTGACAACTCGAGGTGCAGTAGTGCCGTCGTTAGAATCAACAGCCTTAGGTTAGCTGGCGTGATGGCCGTTCCCAGCAGAAAAAATAAGAGTCGACGACGGATGGAAATAGACTCGACGCCGCGCCGCAAGGCGTCGAGCGGCAAGCTGGCGCGTTAGCGTCGGGATCAAGGCACAGACAGGCGCCTTCGACCGCTGCACGGGGCATGGGAGTAACGCGTTTTGAGGGTGCCAGAGGGTTCAGGTATGTGCACACTACAGACTCGCTGGACCGGTGCAGATGGGCGTGGCCTTTGTCAGTTGGTACCCACCAAGCCGTCCGAGGCTTCCCCATCCGCCGCCATGATTGCACCGGCCCTGCGGCCAGTTTCGAGTTGGACGATCAGTACTTGTATGCTCTGCTCCCCCAGCCATAAACAGGTCGTTTCAGACACCACTCGACCCGGCCATTCCCTCATTGCATTGCTTTTGCCATCAACCCGTTGGACGTACCATTCTTTTTCGCTGCTCATCAGACGTCACTTGGACTCGATAGCATCTTATACATAGCCCAGCACTCTACCACACTCCCAATCCGTCTTCTCATATCTCTTCTGAAACCGACTCGTCTCTTGCAATCAAACGCAAATCCCAATTTACACACGGCATATCCCAAATCAATCGGGTAAGCGTCGTGTCGAAGCCACCACCGCCTCTGGACCCTCGAGGCTAACCGAAATTGTTCAGACCCAATGGAACACCAATATATGACCCAGACTCCCATGCAGTCACCCATGTATTACTACACTCCTCAAAAGCAGCAGCACATCCACTACAACTCGCACATGGCTCCTCAGAACATGGACTACTTTTCTCAACCCGTCTCATCTCACGTTCTGTACTCTCAGCGCAGCTCTCCTCTCTACCAGCAACAGCCTCAGTACATCTCGCAAGCTATGCTCACTCCTGCTGCCTCGCCTCGCCCCCAGCACCAGAAGCCTACCATCATGCTCCAGCAAGAGATGCACAACATGAACATGTCGTTCGACTCTGACTGCTACGGCCCTGCCACCCCCACTCTGTCTGCCACCAGCTTCAACTCTGCCGACAGCCCTCAGTCCAACTACCACATGATGCCCACGCCCGCCAACGAGCTTCACATGAACCCTTTCGACGGGCTCAAGCAGAACTGTGAGGACGACATGTTTGGTGAGTGGACTCAGTCAGGATCTCCACCTTTGACTCCAGGTACGTGTTTGATTGAGAGGGCAATTTCCCTGGATTGGCCAATTATAGAGCTAGGGCTGACTCGCTAGCTGAAGNTGTACCTGCATCCCGCCTCGGCATTTACCGAGAACAGCAGCTACCTGCTGTCGACGTCTGCATGCCCATCATTGTCACCCTCGCCATCGCCCATCCCGCGCTCTGCCATCAACGACGCCAGTGTCTGCGATCCCCGCACTCTGACCGTCCCCAGCAACGTTCTCCCCTGTTTGCCCACCCTGTGCGCCGGCGATGACGAGGAGCACAAGTTGATACTCAAGGGCGACTTCACTCCCTCCAAGACTTTCGACGCGTTCGAGTTGATGCCTGCCAACCACGGCTTCCCCACATTCGAGCCTCTTTTCGAGCTCGACGTCGAGGACGACTTCTGCGCCAGCAAGCGCCAGCGTCTTGACTCACACTTCACCAACGACTCCAGCTTCTGCTTCACCGACGCCAGCTTCAGCGACGAGGACCTCACTTTCTCCCCTTGCCAGTCCGAGTTCTCCTTCACTTCCGGCCCCGTCATCGACATGACTCCCGCCCGCCGCACCGTCGCCAAGAGATCGGACAAGGTCCCTCAGTACGCCGCTGCCGGACACTCGACCAACAGCCAGCCTCAGCAAGTTCCCAGCAACGCTGCTGCCTCTTCCTCCTCATCTGCCTCTGGCGATGACCACTCCCACTCTGGCCCTTCCTCCTCCTCGACCACCCGCCGTGGTCGTAAGCAGTCTCTGACTGAGGACCCTTCCAAGACCTTCGTCTGCACTCTCTGCTCGCGTCGCTTCCGCCGTCAGGAGCACCTCAAGCGCCACTACCGCTCTCTCCACACCCACGACAAGCCTTTCGAGTGCACCGACTGTGGCAAGAAGTTCAGCCGCAGTGACAACCTCAGCCAGCACCAGCGCACCCACGGCGCCGGCACTGTCGTCATGGGAGTTATGACCAGCGACATGACTTCCCAGATGGCCGTCAATGTCCCGGATGTGGGCTCCGGTGTCCTGCGCCCTAAGAGCGAGACCCCTGACGCCAGCGAGCTCGGTGCCATGCTCTTCGACCACGCCGCCGCGGTCGCCGGGTCCAGCAGCAGCAGCCAATCGGGTTACGAGTCAGCTGAGGACAACAGCTTCCAGCAGAAGAAGAGAAAGCGCGATGACTAGATGTCCGTCGCCCAGCATCCTTTCTCTTTCTGACGTTTGACGCCTTACGACCCCTCATGCCAATCATCCTCCTTTACGTTTGCTGCTTTACCTAGACTTGCACACCCCGCAAGGTGCTGTCTCTCTGGATGAGAGTACAAGCAAAAAAGTCACATACTCTGGCGTTTCCAGCCGCAAAGCGAGCTTTTTCCTTGTTGCTTTTTCTTCACTTCATGTCTATCTTTACACCTTCCTGGGGCAAGGTTTCTTTCTTCGCAGCCCCTTTGCTTCGGGCTTTTTCTGTACTGTACAGCGAGATATCTGCATTTGCATGGATGGGAGCTCTGGGAAAACGGTCTTTTGCTATCTTAGCTATCTGATTATCAACAACAAGCCCAACAGTGGCCTCTGACATTTCTGAACAATTTTCTTGCCTCCTGTCCATGAATCTCTACCTTGTACAACATGTCTCTGATTATGCTTTTTACCTTCACAAGCTTTCCAAACTTGCCTTTGTCAACTCTAGGAACCAACGTTTCAGATGGGCAATCTGCGGGAAAGGATCGCACTCTACCAAATTCTCAAGTGCGCAAATCTCCTCTGTGCCGCATGCCGCCCCAGATTTGCCTACAATGCTCTAGCAAGAAGATTTTCATGGTATCCATGACTCCTGCTAGAGACACGGCACTTGATGATGTGCACGGCATGACTCCGACACCCAGGCTTTGATCTCTCCAGTCAAGCGCTCTTCGTCTAGTTAACCCATGCTTCCGAGTCTGCAGAACGAAAGTGGACATTGCACTGTCGCTACAAACCGTAGCTAGTTATGTGTGTTGATCATGCACACTCTCCTCCTCGGAGCTCGTACGAGTAGTAATCAGCATAGGAGTTCACAAGGATTAGCAGGAGCATATTTGTCCGTACTCGACCGGCAGCGACAAGAGTGCAACTCACAATTGAACGTTCATGCCTGACTAGACATGAACCTTAGTGCCTTGTGTACAAGTATTCCAGTATCGCCGCTGCCGCTTGTTAGTATGCGCTCTTTGCTGAGGGCATTGGGCACACGAGCGGGCGGCTCCTTGATTCGGATAGCTCAAGCGAAAATCCCATCTTCAAATCCAAGATCCCACGAACACTGGTATCCACTTTGCTGCCAGAGCCCTACCACCAAACTACATCGCGAGAGTTCGCAAGGGTGAACAGGGAGGCATGATATTCGCTTAAAACAGTTCTGTTCGTCTAGACGCGACAGAGATGCCCCTGGGCCTTTGGTGAGAATGTGTGAATCGATTTTCTTCTCCTCACCCTCTCGCTTTGCTCGGGAGTCAATCGTCTTGGTTCGGAGCGCGACTCCGACGGATCGTGACTAATCCGACTCTCTTTTTGGTGGGCTTTTTCAAACACCCCACATTCTTGGTGAGCCAGACCTTTGACGCCCTACTTGACTCGTTTGCTGCTGCCGCAATCGTCATGCCGCGTTTTGCACTCATCTCTTCTTCGCACTTTTTCCCTTTCTTTATTATTTGTTTTTCCTTTTCTTCTCTCTCTGCCCTAAAGGCCCAGAGCGGGAGATTTGCAGAGGGACCGACCGTGACGGGCCGTCCGTCGCGAATCATACCCAACTGGTTACGCCATTTGCATCGACTCATCTTTCAGATCTTCGATCTCGAGGAGATTAGGCAAGCCAAAATTCCATGGTCGCGTTTTTCAGCTACTGGTTTCAGAAGCAATCTCTGCTACAACACCAACCCACGGTTGCATGAATATTCTCACTTAGATTTCTTGTTTGGGGCAAGAGTCATTGACGTGTGTATTTTTTGATTGCAGGGATGGCTGCATGTCATCACGTCTTGCAGGATGAGGAGGCGCTACGTCAACATCAAGTTCATGTTTCCGACCGATCAGGATGCAGAAAGAGCTATGCAAGGAACAAGAGTCAAGCGCACCGGGGGTCTGGATGGTTATGGATACCTGGCTACATGCACCTGTCATGCAAAGCATCGAAGTAGATCTGGCATGACAGCTTGGGAAGAGACGTATCTTCCTGCTTCGCATCCTCATCCTCATCCTCATCTCGGTGCGTATGACTCTCCTTGTCATCACCAATTCTCCGAACGCCATCAGGTACCTTGGACGTTGGTGTAGCAAGATAAGACATAGCACGCATGACTATGCACAACCACGCGTCTTTCATAACGTCGACCTTCCTTTCAAGGTCTATGCAAGTATAACGGTCTTTCTACATGACCCTTCTTGCCATGTGCATCTGTATCTTCTGACCCTTTAACCCCTCAACAATACGCCAATGCCGGGCACAAGACACGAAGGATTCGTGGCGAATGAGAAAATCAAGAAAACACGACGAGATTTATCGAAATGAGGAAAAAGGGCAAGAATGGTAGAAGAGATACGTATACGTAGTACCTCTCTGGACTAACACCATAGGATCGCACACCGTGGCCCCGTCGGAACGACAGTGTGCATATATGGAGAATCTCACGGCTTTGTTCGGTGGAGCGTAGGCTGAGCGGCCACCATCTGGGGCAACACTGGCGAGACGCATTCCTGCCACCATCTGGCTCTCTGTCTGCCACGATGCTGAGGCACGATCTCGACGACGAGTGTTTGTATGTACGTGGGCCGTCGGCCAAGAATTGTCGGCGCAAATTGATGTGGGATAAACACGGCTACACGCTTCCTCATTCCAAGAATCCTTCGTGTGATATTTTGGACGCCAGCGACCCGCCTGCCCCATAATGCCATATCCACTGCTCTAGACCTTTGTATGGAGTCCCCAACACATGTCCATTGTGGGAGTGGCTGTCGTCTCTGTCCAACGGACATTATTGATTGACTACTTGAGTAGAGGACCATAGAAAGAAACAATCGAGTCTGGCAGCACGAGCGGTCAGGGGGCGATGGAAATGGGTTGAGCTGTACAGTTGGCAATAGTGGCAGTAGAGAGTGGATATCTCTTTGGTGGAGTGATACATACAGGTCCCCAACTACTACTTTCTCACTATAAGGTAATCTTCTCAGTATAAGCTCTTCTGCCCTTGTGGAGTAGACAACTGTTTGTCGTACTTTTAATGATCCTTCCTCTCACGCGTTTTTTGATCAAGCAGCTTGCGTGATTTTATCACCAGACACGTTGTGGGCATGTCTTAGATTCTCACCCCACGAGAAGGTGGAGTATGGAGGATCGTGTATTGTGGGTTTCTTTCGGAGCGCGCAGTGACGATCGTCAATTCTGTGCCTGTAGGAGACCAAGACACATGCTGCACGAAAACAGCACGGCATGTTTGGTCCGACATCTGTCGAAAAGCACAACGGGTTTTGCTTGGCTTGTGAGGATTTGGTGCTCCTCAATGGATATACTCCTGCCGAGTCCACAAGGCCTTTGAAGAGAATCCAGACACGCGCAACGGGACTAGCTCTTCTCTTGCATGCACCTTCTGCTTTCTCGCGGTCTTTGTCTCTGGTCTATCCCCCACAAAACGACTGGCATGTCATCGCAGGTACGAGTGTGGCTTTGTGGAGGCTGGTGTAGCTGAAGTGTTAACCGATCTATGGTGTCTCTTTTGGCGTTTGGCGGTGCTTGTCATTCATGGGGCAAAGCCACTACCTTCATTCTTGTGTACGGACGTAAAAGGCCTCCGGAGGGCTGAGGCCCCGAGTAAGTCCAGTCCAATCCCATGGGGAAGGATGAATTGAGCAGGCACGGGACGGCCCATCTCGCCTCTTGAGGCCACATCTACTGACGGATGATGTACTTTTTATTTCCCGCATCAGCAGTGGTAGTAGATCCAGTGGATCTCAATAAAGTCGAATTTGGCATTTTGGACGGGAAGGATTTTTTAATGGGCATAAGAGACGATGTCCTTGGAGAAGCAGCTGCTATAGCCAGTCTAGTCCCGATTCCGTGCATAGATCTGTCGATCATGGTCGACATTCACGATTCGTGCGGGAGAGATTCTTCTATCAGTCTCCACTATCATGGCTCATGAAGATATCCACAAAGTATGCAAAAAGAATGGACGCTCGTGCATGGGAGAAATAACACAAGAAACGAAGACGCGGAAAGCAGGAGACAGAAGAACTCAGAAGGCACGTGGGCTTATCCATCCTTGCGCATGTACAAGGGATATGCAGACCCTTATACACAACAGATTGACTTTGTTCCCTCATCTGAAACAGCAGGCACACCTAAATAGGCTTCTGGGATACCCTGCGTAAAAGTAATCCCTGATGTTCTCTCGTTCGGAGCTCACTACGGGAAAGCTAGACGACCCTTTCTTGCCCATCAATGCAATTGACTTTATGCTTGACCCAACATTTGCAGTCCTTTGTTCGGTCGAGATTATGCAGGGCGTACTGTCCGACCGAAGGTCTAGCACATCGTTGTCCCTTCCCTTTTGTGCCCACTCTTGGCATCTTAGCGTTGACCCTGCATATCCTATGGAGAGAGAGGTATTCAAGCATTTATCCACACAACCTACAGCAGGGATCCCATATGAGGCAGAGATAGGCGACGAGCGCACCCAAACGAGACCTCCGCACGAGTGTTGTCGGTAGCTGCTCGATAGGGAGCAGCATTAGGCGCAAGAGGGTCCGTGAGCAGAGATGGTTGACGACTCGGTACTTCGTCTATACCAGCCCCCTCTTGCAAATAATATGTAATCAGATCGAGACAAATTTCGATGGTTGAATTTTGGGCGTGTGTGTTCCAAAAGGCTACACGCGACTAGAGGCGTATGTCAAGCGAACGAAGGATCGAACTCCTGTTCTCTGTGCGATGTCCTTTTTGGCCGAGAACGCAATGCCTTTTGGAAGATCTTCTGGAACGAGTTACGCGGAAAGCTTGAGATGGAGGGTGTAGCTTTCTTGAGATAGACGAACTACCGCATGCGGTCCGAGATCGCCTTGCACAGCATAGCACCGCCACAGACAGGGAAAATCGATTTCACCTCTGCCTTTCGCACGTCGAGACCGCGATATCCCGTGATTTGCAGCGTCCTCCATAGACTTCAGCCTCTTATGCAGTTCACAACGGTCTGCGGAAAGAGGAAAAGTGCGCAAGAAAGACGTAAGCGTTCCGCACAAGACACAGCCGCAACTCTATACCTTGCTGGCATGCCCAGTGTTGTGAAACGGCGATTGTTATGAAACGGTCGAGATAAACAATGAACAAGCATATCTGAGACGCGTTCTTTGGACGGTTTTGTGCGTTGCACGGCTGGAGAAGACAGTTGCTGCTCACCGTTTGTGCGTCGTTTGTGTCGTTATATGCCCATCCATTCCCAAATCATTTCCGCCCCGCATGATTCCCGCAACTGTATCACCATTGCGTACCTGGCTAGCACAAAGATTAATAGCTGAGACATGCAAGCTCGCGTGCAATTGCCATGTGCAAACGTACAAAACGCCTTGCCGACCACGGAGGATTGTGGATAGCCTTCATCTGCGTAGGATTCGCTCAACAATAGGAACATGCTGTATAGAGTAGATTGTGGAACTTCTCCTTGCTGCAAGCGATCGACGAGTCAAACCGTCAATAGAGAGAAACTCAACAAAGGCGCCTTTTTCGTTCGTCTATACCCCTGCTTCTCACCAGGCCTATTGCAAATTGGGCATTGTGCATCTTCACTGTTATCCACTATCCCAGAAGTCTATACCACGCCTCCGCGAAGCTCAAATGGACAATGCAAAAAGTGCCGAGGTGAAAGACTAAGCGAGACAAGAGAAAAGGCAAAATTATCATGGTTCGTTATACAGTAGAGTTATGCTTTGGAGTCCCACCGGAGCCCTTTCGAGCAAACTAAGCCGGTGAATGTCTAGTCTGGAACTGCCTTTTTTATGTTTCCTCGTCCAGAAGTTGCTCGGAGATGCCCGTCAAATGAAGAATGCAGTGCATGCCTGGCTAACAACGCAACCCTCAACCTTAAGGCAGAGCTTCAAAAGAAGCCCTGGTGACATTCAAAGTCTGGAGTCGTCCTCCACTACACAAGACAGTATATGATTGCCGATCGGCCACGGCGAGGTCGGAGATGGTCGCAAGGGACGTCCCAGGAAGCGGAGCGCCGTGATGATGGACGAGAGTTTGTGGGGATCAGGAGTTATACGAGATAGCATGGGGTGAGAGGTGTGCAGTAGCGTACATGGTTACTCTCCCTGCTCATCTCCAATCTTCTCCAGCTTGCCCATGGCTCTCTTCTCGCCCGTCTCGCCGACGATCCTGATACGGTCGACCCTTGTCTTCTCGCCATCGCCTTCTCCCTCGGCGACAAAGATGACCAAGCTCGTGACGTTTTGAAACTTGACGAAGCGCAAGTCAACTCTGGCAGTGCCAGTCTTGGCATCCCAATCCGACTCCTGCAAAGTAATGTCTTGAGTTGAAGGGATCGACTCGGCCTCGTCGAATGACAGGACGTTTGACTTGTTGGTGTAGAGCTTCAGGGTGCGAGGGCGAACAACGTCATCATCGCCCTCGGTGGGGAAAGATGTGATGTGAAGGCCGTGGACCTTGAGTGAGCTCTGGAAGGGAATGTACATCATGAGTTGTTCGTCGGTGTCACTCTCGATCCAGTCCTTGTCGGCGGATGACTTTGATTTTGAGATGGCGCTGGGCTGGGCGGTGTTGAAGACGGCACGGGCATTGCCAGCTTCCGAGTCGACATTGAGGAAGTCCAGGTTGAGCAGATCAACACTGTCGGTGATGTCTGAGTAGCCGCGGGGCAGGGATGCGCCAACCCAGGTGCCAGACGAGGATGAAGATGAAGCATCGGCTGAAGAAGATTCGGCTTCCGAGGCCAGGGACTTTACAGCAGCATCGAGAGCTTTGGGGTCGGCGCCGCGGATGCGCTGAGTCTCGCGGCCATTCTTGAAGACCATGAAGGTGGGCATGGCGGTGATGTTGTAGGTCTGGGTAATGTCCTTGAGGTTGTCGGTGTTGACCTTGGTGAAGGTGATCTGGTTAGGGCGGGAGAGCGAGCTGGCGAGCTGCTCGTAGAAGGGNGCGATGGCCTTGCATGGGCCGCACCAGTCGGCGTAGACTGTCGTGATGGTCAGTATAGAGATCGTGGGGTGTGTCTCGGCGCACTCACAATCGGTCACGACGATGCGCGACGATGATAGCAGCGAGCTGAATTGCTGAGCCGACTCGATGTGCACAATCTTGGACGACATGATTGCTGTGATTGTATGGTCAAGTTGTTGTTGTTGATTGCTTGACCTCTCATTCACATTCACATGGCGGGGCAAATGGCGGCGCGTCACCGAAGGCCACCGAAACAAAGAGACGTCAGAGGCAGCAACCACGAGCAGGAGCAGGAGCATTCTGTTTCCAAACATGCCTTCCACCACCGCAACTGCCCTGACGCAACCTCTTTACGGACTCGCTCTTTCCCGTAGCGAACGCATTCTCGTCGTCGCTCTTTCCTATACCTGGTGTCTGCCTTTGTTTCTGTCCTTTGGCCGGCGCTTCTGGAACTGGGCCCGTTCCCGCTCGAGCAATCACTCCCAGTAATCGCTATAATACCCATCGTAATCCACGACATTTCCCCCTTCTCGTATCCATAATCATGGCATCCCACGTCGTCGTTCTGGATGTCGCATTCAAGCGCATCCAAGTCAAAGTCTCGCCCGCCACTTCTCTACGCAGCGTTCTCGAGCAAGCATGCGACAAGTTCCAACTCGACCCTGACCAACACATTCTCAAAAATACAAAAGACAAGCCTATCGACCTCTCCCTCCCCTTCCGGCTCTCCGGCCTCGTCTCGGGCGCAAAGCTGCAGCTCGTCCAGTCCTCACGCTCTCCCTCGGTCGTCAAGGTCGCCCTACAACTCCCCGCCGAGGACAACTCGCCACGTCTAGAAGACCACTTCCCCAGCAATACTCCACTCTGGCTCATACTACGCAAGTTCGAGGATGGTGTCGCTGGAAACACAAACAAGCTCAATCTCACAGAAAGAAGCGCCCCGAGCTCACAGACTGGCAGCGGCTATCTCTGCTATCTACAACCTTGTCTCAACATTGGGGGCAGCGCAAAAGAGCTGTCTAGCTTCTTGAATCTACAAAAGTCTCTTGCCCAACTAGGTCACAACCGCGGCAACGTCTTGATCAGGCTGTCGTTCAAGAATGAGGGCGTGCGCATGGAAGAGGCCAAGGCCCAGATCACCACATACCTTCAAGCTCTGTCGCCGCAGGATCCTTCTCAGACACAAACTGCATCGTCACACGGCGCGCACGCAGCTCCGGATGTCCAGCTCTCTTCGCTCCCTAACGCCGATGCTGACAACTCTGCTATGCCACGCGAAGACGATGCTGCCCAAGATCCATCAGGGGACACTGTCATGTCTCCTGCTCCCGATCTTGCTCCCGCTGAACATCCTGCACAGGAAGAGGACGTGATAGCATCGTCTTCGACAACGCAGATGCCTTCGACCGAAAGTCAATTCCCTTCGTTGGATACAGGCATTTCAGTCTACGCTGCTCCCTCTGACAATACCCCGTTTGCTGCAAGACAAGCGTACAATGAGGCTGACTACCTGCCCTCAGTCGAACATGCCAACGCTCATCAAGCCAGCCTCACCAAGTTGGGCAGAAATACACGTCTACTGTCTGACAAAGAGATCGCTGCCAATAGTGCAAGCAAGGCAGCAGCTCTCGACGAAATTAAGACTGCGACTCTTCGCATTCGCTTCCCGGATATGTTCACAGTCGAATGGAGAGCCACACAGTCAGACACATCCGAGTCGCTTTACACAAAGGTCAAAGAAATGCTCGATAACCCTTCACTCAGATTCAAACTGCAAATGACTGGCCCCCAGATGAAGCCACTCATTTTCGACCCTACAAGTCAGCAAAGATTGATCAAAGATTTGGGTATCAGAGACCGTTCTCTTATCGTGTTCGTTTGGGACGACAGTGTGACGAAAGAGATTCGTGACAGGCCATTGCTGAAACAGGCACTGAGAGGACAAGCCAAGGAGCTTCAAGTCAACGAACCAGTCGCAGAGGAGGAGGCCAAACAGGTGCCTGCTCCTAAGTTTGAAGAACCTAAGAAGAAGTCTGCACTCTCCTTTGCGGACAAAGAGGCTAGACTAAAGAAACTGATGGGCTTTGGTAAAAAGAACTAGAGCGTGACGAATCGCATTTGAGCAAGCAAGTTAGTCGTTCTCTTAATGATTGGAATGAAATAATCGCATTTTCAGAGTCTGGGAAGAAGAACTCATAATCAGTCGTTCGCTCTTCTACTCCATCAATCGCTATCACGAACAGACCCCAACTATTTATGCCTTTGGATCGTCGTTCTCTCTAACATCACCTTGATAATCATCCTTCAAGAAATGTGATAATAATGGCTACTCCAATGCGAAGTCCTTGCCTTGGTGCACAAGGTTGCAGTTCATCGTTCTGTCGTTCATTGTCTGCTTGTCTCTCGATTCGGACCTTCATGACCACATTTCTCTGTATCTCGAACCATGTGATCGCTTCATGGCTGTGTATCAAATTTCTTGATTGGTCTTTGCATTATCACCTTCCTTGTTTGTCTGCCTTTCTCTCAAGCGCTCCTTCCTTCTATATCGCTCCTTCCTTCTATAAGAGCAAACATGGTAGGTCAAAAGGAGAGTAAACAGAAACAGAATACGTGCGGTCTTTATGGGTAGCAGCCGATGATTGAGACAGGTTTTCCTGTCAGAGTTATACAAGTCTACTCTGGTGTGTAAGATGATATCGAAACACACAAGAAAGGGAGACCACTCACATTGCCTAGACCCTAGGACATGACTTATCAATTCAGATGTATTGCTTGAGATGTGACCGTTTGTACTGTTTCCAAGACTCGCAAATGTTATACTAGAGTGGGGAAGAGAAAGTCTTCGATCTATGCCTCTTGTACTTTCTTGTTCATCCCTCTTGCATACAATGGGCAAGATGGCCTATATGGTGGTGCTGTGGCGCATGCTGCTCGCCGTATCACGGTTCGAGTCTCTTTTGCGCCATTTCGATTCGCACTTTTGTTTCTGTGGATTTATTGATGCTTTGCTCCTTGTGAGCAGAACCGGGACCCACAATACCTTGATGACAGACCTCTATACCTCCTTACTCTACGAGACGGGCAGTATGTATTACCTTCCAGTAGTATATAAGAATCCAATCTCTCTGAGGTTACATGCTGGGCTTGACCATCATAGTATTACGCTAGAGATGAATGCAATTCTGTCAAAATTTGATACCGTCTGGAAAGGCGTCTGTGTGAGCATCATTCTGTTGACTCCATCGACTGATGTCGCAGCTGATATAATGGAATATATAACATGTTAGCCATCTTGGTGACAGGATGTTGACTGATAAGTACGTTCATGGGTAACTAGCAGGGACGGACTAATGACATTGGAGAGACACCTCTCATGCAGATGATTACGGCGGCTGTTGGTCTATTCTCGTTGGTGATTTCGATTGAGTAACATGTCTACCGATGTATATTGCTATGTGCTTCTCCGGCAATGGCTTAGCATCACCGGAGCTTCATTACGATAGCAGATAGTGGCATGTTGGCTGATGTGGTGGAACCAAGATGTTTGACGGGACAGTAGGATGTCAACCAACGATAGCGAGAGAGCGTGTCCTATAAATGAAATAAATGTTCCGTCGATATGCCATCGGCAATGACCGATGCCTCCGATCGTGGGTGACAGTCCTTTGGACGTCTACGTCAAAACAGGTCGTGTGCTCAAGCCTGGCAGTGTCATGAATATAGTGAATAGTGCATGGCCAACAAAGTCGTGGACCTGAAAGATAGTGGTATCGATATAACAAACACTCCAACACAAACGCCTCCCAGAAGTCCATATTATGTTTCCTCACTGTTCTCCAATCTTTGTCCGCACCCAGAACATGTCCCGAACCCGAGAGTGTTCTCTCTAATAAGCAGTGTATGCAGGAGGCGTGTACTTGAACTTTGCCGGCTCTGGCGTCACGACCGTAACATCACCAGCTTCCAGATCGATGGATTCTCCATTCGCTTCTCGCATGGCGGCCGCTTTACGTGCACGTTCTGCTTTTTCGACCTGCACGCGGTTCATGTCTGATTGGATGCCTCTGTTGTAGAGTCTGGGAATGTACCACCAGATGAAGGCTAGGCATACGACACAGAGACCTGCGAGGACGCCGACGGGGATGGCCCATGATTTTGTGCTGCCCATAGTGACTGTACTACGATGGTCGTGTGTCGTACGAAGAGGCCAAAGGTATGATAATGGGTAATGTGGTGCAACGACTGAGCCAGATGGTTCGACTTGGCTTGCAGAAGCTTTGCTCGGCAGGTGAAGCTTTGTCTGGGCAGTGTCAGTTTGGAGATTGGTATATGGGAAGGTGCAACGGACTTGCTGAACTTTCCAATGTCCCGACTTTATGTAGCTTGAACCTGGACGTTGTTGTGGGAATCGAGTTCAGTTTTGGTTGTTTTGTGTGAGGTAAGGAGAGTCAAGAGACCAAAGTGACTCTCGTCTTGCGCCCGAGGGAAGGCGCGCCTATATTGTGGTAGGCGCAGGCAAACCAACCATGGAGCGGGGTCCCCGGCAGCCACCACGTTGTAAGTACAGGGTACCATCAAGCGTAGGATTCGATTTTCCGAATCAATTCCATCACACCTACCAGACATGCTTGCCAGCCGACAAATGCTGCTTCTTGAGTAGAGAGAGTGAATGCCCAATGAGAACATTCTGCTTACTCGTTTTCATCGTCGCATTGTCGATGAAGAACTGGAGAGATGCGGAGTCCCCGGTGCAGTATGCAGACAAGCATTGGTCAAACATCTTACCGTTGTGGAGGAGCGCGGGCTAGCGACGAGGCGTGTCATGGATTGTCCACATCGAGTCGAATACACGAGATTTGGCAAAGCGTAATTGACCACACAACACACACCTCATAGCCACACGTACGTCAAAGTGTCAGCTGGCTCAAGGTATTGAGCCGTCTTATCCGGAGTACCTTATCAAGAAGGCTGAGGCTCTCCATGAGCATGATGAGCGTGTCCAGTGAACTGCGACCATCTAAGAGATGGTAGATATTGGTTTCTATACTCGTCAAATTGTCCAAAGGCCTGGCGGTGAACTCGGCATGCGCGTTCAGAGCAGGTCCCATTAGAAACTGTGATTTACCAAGTGTTTAGGAACGACTTCCGCAGAGCGACTTCCTAATCTGGAGTCGATGTTTTGCGGAAAAAGCGCGGACATCACGCAGTTGTGTGTCGCGATCTGCCTAGGAGGTGCGTTTTTGTACTGACCGACGTTCAAAAGCAAGCGACAAATTCCATGACCACAATTGCAAGCGCCAGACGAGCAAAAAGAGCTTGCGCAAGAATGCAAAACATACAGCAGCAGGGATTCCCACGTGGTCACCCACCGTAGTACTAATCTGCCGTTCAACTGCTTATGTATGGCAGAGCGGACGGGATGCCCAGTTTTCAGCTGACTGTGGCCGTATGTATGGGAAATGCTAGTGAAGTGACATAAGTACTACTTGTCTTTGTACAACGCAGTCAAAGTTGAAGTTTTCGCTTGTTGATGAGCACTAACAGCCTCGTACTATAGATGCTTCGATTATTTTAGGCCTTGACCTCTTCTTTTTCCCACACTTCTCGATGTGTTCAAAGTCCCTAGGTCCCGAAGTTGTTACCTTCGAAGCTTGACAAGGCCGATTCGAAGGTCGCGGAATAAATGTCTCGTCTAGACAGATGTGAGCTTTCCATTGCATAGGTATCCATCCAGGTGGTATCGGCGGTGAAGTGCCAAGACTTAACGTCAATCTCCCCGAGGCCGGTCGTGGGGCTTGGTGGGGTCTTTGCTCGCCTGAACGTCTCGAACCTCTTTGCGACTATATTGCGGCGGGGCAGTATCAGACGACAGCCAACAATTTTCCCCCTCTTCACCTTCCCTTGTCTTGTTGAAACATAACATTAAAAACACATCACACAATGTCTGCCGCCAAGAGAAGCCCTCCCTTCAGAGCCGAGCACGTTGGCTCACTGCTTCGTCCTGATGAGCTTGTCCAGAAGCGTTACGCTGTGGCTGCTGGCAAGGCTAACGCTGAGGAGTTGAAGCCTATTGAGGACAAGTCTGTCACTGAGGTTGTCAAGCTCCAGAAGGACTGTGGTTTCCATGCCGTCTCAAGTGGCGAGTACACCAGGTATGTGTTCTTTTTCTTGCTTCAAAATTGCTTAACGCAAGGATGTCATTCTGTCTTGCTTCTCACCCTGTTCAATTCCTTCTCTCAAATGTCTTCAATTGCTATAAAAGCTGCATATTGGAAAAAAAAGATCGCGGCAAGATTATTACAAGAACGAGCAAATGGACGAATTCTAACTTGACATCACAATTGAAGACACATGTTCTGGGGTACTTTCTTCGAGGAGCTTCACGGTATGGAGGACCGCCAACTCGGTGTCCTCAAGGGTTACGACGCCTCCATGTTCCGTGACTACGCACCAGACGTCAAGTCCTTCCTCGAGGCCAAGGAGATCCCCAACGCCGTGACCGTGTGCGTGGGCAAGATCAGCCACCCCGGCCACACCAGCAACGCCCGCGAGCTCGAAGTCATGAAGGCCAATGTCCCCGAGGCTGAGTGGAAGAACATCAAGATCACCGTCATCTCTCCTTCATGGTACCACTTCCGCTACCGCGCTGGCCGCGCTTACCCCCAGGAAGTCTACGCCAACGACGAGGAGTACTTTGCCGATGTCGCCAAGGCATACCAAACCGAGCTGAAGCTGCTGCACGACGCCGGCATCCGCAACGTCCAAATCGACGACCCCAACCTCGCCTACTTCTGCTCGGAGGCCATGCTCACAGGCTGGAAGGCCGACAAGGGCAACACAAAGACCGCAGACGGAATGTTCGACGCCTACGTAAAGTTCTACAATGCCTGCTTCGAGCGCCCCGCAGACATGCACTTGGGCATCCATCTCTGCCGTGGCAACTACATGGGCAGCCGCCACTTCAGCGAGGGCGCCTACGACAACATTGCCTCCAAGCTCTTCAAGGACCTCAATGTCGATACCTACTACCTCGAATACGACACTGCCCGCGCCGGTGGCTTCGAGCCCCTGAAGCACCTGCCCAAGAACAAGAACGTCATTCTTGGTGTCATCACCAGCAAGTTCCCCGAGCTCGAGGACAAGGAGAAGATGGTGCAGCGTGTGTACCAGGCCGCCGATTTCATTGCCGAGGGCAGCGGTCAGTCCAGAGAGGAGGCTCTTGAGCGCGTGGGTGTTTCACCTCAGTGTGGTTTTGCTTCTCACGCCGAGGGCAACTCGCTCGGCTACGAGGACATGCGCAAGAAGCTGCAGCTTGTCAGAGGCATCGCTGACCAGATCTGGCCCAGCCAGCCTTAAGTCGATGCGTCTCCCTACTTGTATTCTTTCGTTCTCCCTTTGCATTGAACGAAAAAAAGGCAACTCTTGGAAACCTCCCAAATCTTTGGTGGGGGTTAACATCGCATTTCATTTTCCTTGTCATTCTACAACACTTAACGGCTATTCAACAAGCACAAGTCACAAAAGATACCAACGACCCACAAAACGTACATACAAAACTCATAATCTCAACATCTTCTATATTCCAAATCTACAAATCTCCAAAGTCCCACCATTCATTGAACATCCTTCCCGAATTCTGATCCAAAAACTCAGTAATGGCAGCGAGATTTTGATCGTTGAAGGCCATGTAGTTGGGATCCGCTGGTGTCGGAAACTGCGCAACGCCAGGCATAAAAGTAGGTTGTTGACCTGTTGTTGCAGCAACTGTGGAAGCAGTGGCGGCTGGAGTGGGCATAGGAGGTCTCGCAAGCGACGGACCTACAGAACTTTGGAAACCATCTGCAGGAGTGATGTTCTGGATTGTTGAGGGAGTGGGTCGCACCATCGAGGTGGCATCTCTTGTCACAGCTTCACGCGCAGGCGTGGCAAACTCTTTGCTGAAAAGGCCTTGTCCCGCAGCGGTTGATCTGCTTGGCGAGTTAAAGATGAGAATGTCCCAGAGGAGGTCTTGCTTGCTGCCGCCTGAAGCTGTGGACTGAGGGCTTGTTGAGCGACGTGATGTGTCCATTGCTTCGAGCTTGTCTAGTGCTTTCCTCNNTGTATCGTGTCAGCTTCAATAATATCGAGGCTACAAGAGGGAGGGATATGATACCATGCGTTCGACGTTTTTGAGCAGCGATGAAAGCTCNCCTAGTTCTTGTCGCCCCTTGAACAACCCCTTCTCAGCATTCTGTCGTAAACTTTGAATCTCCGCATTGCGATAGTGAATAAAAACTGTGATCGCGACCGAGATGCAGTAAGCCAAGAATGGGTCCGAGACATTGACCTCTTTCTCCTCGAGAAGGTCCAAAAGACGAATGATCCAATTCGAGTGCACCACCACTTGATCCGACGTCGACTGACTGAAAGTTCTAGGACATCGTCCAGCAGCAGCTATACGCAGCGATATGAGGAACGGATGATTAAGCAGCATATGAATCGTGTGATACATGAACTGATTCACCAACCAGCAGCTCCAGAAAGCCCAATTCTGCTCGATGGCCTCCTTGGAATGCTGCGTCATCTTTGTCCTGTCAAATCGATATTCTGAATAGAAATTGGATTCCAACTCCAGAATATCGGCTTGGATTGCAGCATAGTCTGATTGTTGTTGCCATGGTGCATGAGGGAGTGCACCGCTTTTCGTGTCTGTAACATACTTGGCGGCCTTTTTGAATATGTCAAACATCGGCAATGTGTTGATGATGATGCCTGGAACTGGGCCGTCGGCCACAATGTTCTGCGAGGATGGCGATACCAATTCTCCTCTTGAAGTCGCGTTGGGACTGACTGGTTTGAAAGAAGCATGGTAAGTAATACTTTTNGCGCCCAACGTCAGGGTTTGTAGGTTGAACATATTCTCCATGATGGCTATGCTCCAGAAGCAACGTCTTCTCTCCTCGAGCTCAACTGAATTGTTGATGACTACCTGTGGATCGAGAAGGCCAGATGTTTGGGCGAGAGCGATGGCGTTGACCAGGAACAAGTGCGATCGCTGCCCATTGTCGTCTNNGATGTCGTTAGCTACAGCATGAGTACAAAACGAGGCACACATACTGGTGAAGTCCAAGAAAGACAGCAATACAAATGCCTGTATTGTGCTTAGTCTGACGTCTCCGGTGAGTACCCTGCCCAATGCTAGTTCTCTTGCACGATGAGCATTAGCCTCACACCAATTGTCGACTTCTTGACCTCGTGCATTGAGACGTCCCGCCATGGCGAGAATGGCAAACTGGACCTCTGACCCTCTTGTTGGATAGTCCTTTTCCAGGTTCGGATGGAATAATGGTATAGGTTGACAGTTCCATTTCCTCAAGAGGATGGGTACTGCGATCTCAAGGCGATCAGGCTCTTGAGGTATCGGCAGTCCTGACGGAGTGGTGCCATCAGGCATCTCGAGTGACCTCCTTCTTGACGATGGTACTCTAGGTGATGCTCGTGAGCTTTCGACATGGGATTCCAGTGGTGTCCGCGGTAGTATTGTAGGCGGTGTACCAGGTNNCTTCTCAAGTTAGCACTGCCCTTATAGATATGTGCAGTCATCCACAAACATGGCTTTGAGAAGAGATTCGAGTTTATTTTCCAATTCCGAGAAGCGAGCATTNCTTTGTGTCTAGTCAGCACGATAACCAGATACCAAGTGGTTGGTCGAGACGAATTATAGGGCAAGTATTCTCAGCCCAGCCTGCGATAACAAACTTACCATTCGTCGCTCGATAGCGGCAGATCTGACCTCTGGCATAGATCCATCATCCGCATATACACAAGTCTGTTTCAATCTTGTGCAAAGAGAACACGCAGGCTTCTCTCCAGGACATCTCGACTTCTTGCGNACTGTTCTCAACAATATCAGTTCCGTCTCTGCAAGAGCCTTTGAGTCGTTATAGAGGGAGGCTTACCGACAGGCTTCACAAGCCTGAGAGACGCGCTTAGGAGGCCGCCCGCTCTCCGGCGTTTGTTGCACACTACTGCTCTCCATACCTATTGGATGGTGTTGAGGGGACAAGGCGGTCCGGTGTGCCGTCCCTTGTGTCTCTGTGTACGGGAGCAGGCCGGTGTCGCAGAAGATTGTTTCACGGCCCGTGTTGCTCCGCTCAGAAAATGCCAAGCACAAAGTTCACTTGCGACTTCCCTGTTAGAACCAAAATCCGGGCCGGCTTCCGTCCTCTCTGATCTCGTTATCGCGAGAGCAATCGCGTGAGGACACAGATGGCAGGGGAGAAGTCGAGTTTTGACGTCTGTGATTCGTCACTGAATCAAATGGTATCAAGGAATGGTTATATGCAGAATATCTCAACCTCTGGGGACGGCTAGTATTCCGATGAAGAGATATCGAGACATCTTCGTTCGAACGAATTGTAAGAATCACTGCAGATACATTTTGAGAAACAGCTGTTCAAACTAGTTCGCCCACTGCTACATTGACAAGCTTCTTTTAACAGTTTCTATGATTCTGGTGTGAGACAGAGTGGAGTGTGAAGCCTATCGATACATCGACAAGATGGTGCCATCAGAGAAGTCGCAGCCAGCGACCGAACCGTACGAGACCGACATCAAAGAAATACACGAGACCACTTGGAGTTCGACAAGCTCTTCGAGTGCTTCACTCCGTTCTGTTCACGATGAGGAAAGCGTAGATGAACAGAACGATCACACCGTAGCCTTCGCAGATCTCGAGCCTACTGCTTCCAGAAGCATACCGCTTCCGCCTCCGCCACAGCCGCACTCCAGTCCAAAGTATGAGGTTAGATGGGAGGAGAACGATGTCGGAAATCCTAAGAATTGGTCGGTCTGGAGGAAGGCGCATACTATCTTCGCTTGCACAATTGCGAGTTGTACAGTGTGAGTCCCCTGATGGCGATGTTCCTGGCTGGTACTGACACAATGTGTGTAGTNNGCTTTGTACTCTTCCGCATATACCTCAGGCATTTCTGGCACAAACAGTATGACTGTAGAGCTCGGAGTGTCTAACTCACTAGTATCCCTTCTAGGCTTGTCAACATACCTCTTCGGTATGGCTTTCGGAAGCATGATCTGGGCTCCGCTGAGCGTAAGTCAACATAGTGCTGCCATGCTTGAGCATCTCTGACTCTCTTTTCAGGAGATGTTTGGCCGCCGGCCGGTGTATATTTCGACACTGTTCGCCTTCATGTTCTTCATCTTCCCCTGCGCCATTGCAAAAGACGTCTCGACCATCCTTGTTTGTCGCTTCTTCGCTGCGATGGTTGGTTGTTCGGTCGTATCAAACTCGCCCGGCACAATCAACGACGTCTCGACAGACAAGCACAGGGCTTTTACCTTCAGTTTTTGGTGCATCGGCTTAATGAATGGACCCGTCCTCGGTCCGCTTATTGGTGGCTTCGTGTTCGATAGTCTGGGTTGGCGATGGATCCACTGGATAACACTGATACTTGCCGGTGTATCTTTCCTGTTAATGGCAACGGTGCCGGAGACGTACGGTCCTGCTCTCCTCCAGCGTCGTGCGGAAAAGAAGAGGAAGGATACTGGTGACAGCCAATGGTGGAGCCAGCATGATGAGAGACGAGCATTCTGGCCCTTGCTTGGAGCATCACTCTGGAGGCCAATCTACCTTACCGCTACGGAGCCGATTCTCTGGTTCTGGGATCTGTATATCCTGATCATCTACTCGATGAACTGTAAGTATAGCCGTGTGCTAACAATGTCGAAACATATTGACATGTGAACAGACTTGACATTCGTAATCTACCCAAGAGTGTTTGTAGGACTTCGTGGGTGGTCGACCGGTCACACTGGGCTCTCGTACCTTGGTATTGGTGTCGGCAATGTGTTGGTGATCGTGTGCGAACCGCTCCTCAGGAAGATGATCCAATGCAGGAGGCTAGGCGCCAACGGCAAGCCAACGCCTGAGTCGCCAGTATTCATCGTGTGCATCGGTGCAATCCTGGTGCCCATAGGTGGTTTGATGTTTGCTTGGACATGCACACCGGACGTGCACTATATCTGGCCAATCCTCTCGGGCATTCCCTTTGGAGCGGGTACGACAGCAACATTCATCTATGGATCCAATTACATTGGACGTAGTTATGGGATGTACGCAGCGTCGGCCATGGCTGGTAATGTGTTGACTCGTACTATTGCGGGCGGTACGCTTCCGTTGGCTGGACCAGCGATATGGAATGCTCTTGGTCCACACTGGCAAGGAACACTGCTGGGACTGTTGGAGGTTCTCATCATTCCTATTCCGTTTGTGTTTTACAAGTACGGCCATCTGATTCGACTCAAGTCAAAGTTCATTAGCAGGATGGAGCAAGAAGCCAAGGGTGGAGAAAAGGGAGGTGCCTAATACGGATATAGAGCAAATATATCCTTCCCATGTGCTAAAGTCTGTAACTCCACTCACCTCCCACAAGAGCATAGAGCGAAGTGTACACTTTGAAAAGGCACAATCCTTTCTCGAAGCAGAAGGGTAGCCAAAGAGAGCCGGCAAAATGTGGACTTTCAGTGGATACTGCCTTGTTTCTCAATAGCATCGTGCATTTCTACAGCTACACACGTTACATACGTTAGCACACGGGGAGGATAGAACTTAGGCATGATCAGAACGAAGTCATGAGCACGGTTTTCTCAGAAGGCAGGGGCGATCAAGAGAAGGAAGAAGTGAGAGGTCGAAGCTTTCTGGATGTCAAGCCCAAAAAGGCAGTGACAACAACCCCGCAGTCGAGCGCGCGACAACTCGCTGCCGTCACTTTTTGGTCAACGCTCGAGTCGATTCGATTGTGGTGGCGTATACCATCCAATTCTTACATCAACCACAAGGACTCGGTCTGAACGAATGGCGGACGGGAAACCGAAGCGATCACTGTTCAAACGACCAACGTGGGCCGCGGCTACACAAGCGCCTGCATCAGCATCACCAGATCCGACAGCCAAACCCGAGGCGCCGACTGACATTTTCAGCCATTCGCACACATTCAGCGAGCTCGTAGAGNGATCGTCAACGCCAACGCCAACGTAAAAGAGCGACAAGGATGTCTTGAGGCGAAGTCAGACCAACGAAGTGAAGGACGAAGAGTCGCGAGCGGGCAAGCGCCGGTGCATAAGCGATGAGGACGGCACTGAGCTTCCTACCAAGCCCAAACCCAAGGATACAGAAAGAAAGACATCGATACAAGCATCTGCTGGCTCAGAAAGCTTCGCGATAGCTCCTACACCACAAAAACCACGACCGCGCCAAGAGACAGTCGTAGAGTTGCTGGACGACTCGGATGACGATGAGCCCGTCAGCTACACCAATGCCTCGCACAATATCACTCCTCCGAACGCCACGAGTCTTGAACCTACACTTGCCGCAGAAGCCGATCCAGATGCTGACCTGGACGCCGTCTACTATTCCGACCCAGAGATGCGCGAGTTTGCTCGTCAGGCTCGCGAGAAACGACGACGAGAAGAGCGAGAGCGAACCGAGACTGGCGCTCACGATCCGACTGTCAAACTCCTCATCACCTCGTCATTACCAGGCACCGGACCTCTGATTGTTTCCCGAAGGCTATCGCAGAACCTACAAGCTGTGCGGGAAGCCTGGCTTAGCAAGCAATCTTTAGACCCGTCAATCGCCAGTCGAATCTTCTTCACATTCAAACTACGGAAAGTGTACGATGTGACTACCGTCCGCAGTCTAGGAATCAAGGTGGACTCTTACGGTCGTATTATGACCGATGGACCTTTCGCCAACACCGACGATGAGCATGCCGAGAAAATTCACATCGAGGCCGTGACGGATGAAGCATGGCAACAGCTCAAGGACGAGAAAGCCGCGAGGGACGCACCGAAACAGAACAAGTACCTGAGTAATGCTGCAGCTGCGGACGGCAGAGGCGCTAGTACCGAGGGCACACCTGCGGTTGAGGGAGAAGCTGCTGTCGAAGAACCTCTGATCAAGGTTACACTAAAGGCAAAGGGTCACTCGGACATCAAAATCAAAGTACGACCGGTAAGTTCTTGTCCTATAGCCACACCGTACATGCTCCTAAATGTTTACTGACCATTTGTTCACAGANGCACAACCTTCGTCAAGATGATCAATGCAGCACGACGGAGTTTCAAGCTCGATGCTGAGCGGCTTGTTCATCTCGAGTTCGATGGCGAAAGACTGGAACCGCCAGAAGGACTGGTCAAGGATACGGACATCTCGGACATGGATTGCATCGATGTTCATATCAAGTAAGGGGTGGTGTTTCGTCCAATGTGTTTTACTCTTTTTTCCTTTTCGAGCGATGGCGCAAGGATTTGGGCAATGCTAGGTGGAAGGCGTGTTTTTCAAGCTCCGGGAAGGAGGCTTGGTTTATGATAGTCATTCAGAAAGCTTTTTCGATCTTCCTCTGCACTTCCTCTGATGTGTAGGTTGCAAATCGCCTCGATATTCCCTCCTCCGCCGCTGTAGGCGTGTCGCACCTTGCCATTGTCTTCTTCCATTGCAATCTCCTCTGCAAGAGGTTCCTAGCTCCATCTGCAGCCGTGTCCACTGCAAGCGAACCTCCGCTCGTTCCTCGTTCTACCCCAGTGCCAGATCCTGACCTTGAATGTCTTGTACGCACACCCCATTTCTCTTTCTTCCCCTTCTTTCCCGTCTCCTATCCTCTTTACACCAAATGACTCGGCAGCAAGAAATTCGCAATGCCTTCCTTGACAGCATACTCATGACCACAATGCCCACAAACCAACTTTCCATTACTCACACTCGTCTCCACAAGCAATGCATGTAGATCTTGCAGTGTTTGTGTAGGTTCCTTTGTGCTCTCATCCATCAAGTCTTTTTCTTCTGGCGCTGTTTCGGGTAGTGTGGGGAGACCGAGCTGTATCGCAAACCTCTCATTAGCATCTGTATCTTGTCTTTGTGCCTGTCTTTGGGGGTTTATGGGGTATGGAGGGAAGGGGGAATTCACCTCTTCACCCAAACTTCTGATTGCCTTCCACTCTAGACGCGGCAATACGTTGACCAAGAACTCGGGGTTCAATTCCATTTCCACGCGTTCGAGCTCGGCGTCGCGGGGGTGTAGGGGAAANGCGGCGGGTTCTTGTTTGCAGGCCTTGCGGGCGCAGGTGAGGAAGTTGAGGGTGAGGAGCTTCATTTTTATGTCGGTGTTTGCTCAAGTCTTGTAGCAGAGGAATGTAGTTGTTCGAGATGCGGAGCAAGGTATGATATATATGGTCGTGCGACAAAAGTGGTATCGGTGGGTTTGCGAGAAGGTAGATTGTGGATGGGTTTGGTGACGATGCGCGTTTGGGCAAGATGTGGAGAGGAAAAAAGATCAAGGGTCCGGACTTTGCGATGGAGTTTAGATTTCAGAGGTCGAGCATGTGAAAGGACTCCTCCGGACAGCATCGTATACCAACAGAATCAATGCAGTTACTAAAACCAATGTTCCGAGCAGTATTCAATGATTGGTAGTCACATGTTCATACTGGACAAATAAATGTCTCTTTGACCGAAAGATACAAAGGCCCTCCATCACTCCAACTTCCGCTATGCATGTGGAAAAGTATATGAGATAGGTAGTCATTCCATTCCAAAAGCTGAAGAACGCAGTGGCGATATTTGATACGTTGCTGATACTTCCTCACTCGTTGCGTGGGTATATCTATGTCGTCTGATAATCTCATCTCGTGGGTTGTTCATCTTGATGAATTATGGTCGTGGTCGTATCGATGGATGATTTGCTCAATGCTGTTCTCATGTGCATGACTCCCTGCCTGGTAGTACGAGCCTCTCACTTTCATCTTCTCCTCCTTCCAGAGTCACGCTCGACATCCTCGTCCTCCTCTGGCACAGCAGGTGTTCTGCGGTCGTGTCGCTTTGACCTTCTCTTCCTTCCGAAATCAATGTTGCTGGCAGAGTCATCAGGTGCTAGTTCCGATCTTCCGTCATCGAATATGGACTGCTGCTCATCATCCCATGGTCCACCAGGCGTGCCAATCCTCACACCGATATCAGACGCCATCGAGCCTCTACGTGCTTTGGCGGCCATTGCGAGCCCAGCACTGCGTTCGCGTAATCTCTGCCTAACAGCTTCGGCTTGCCTGTGCAGGACCTCGAACTGGTCTTCCAAGGCTTCCATACCGCGGTAAATTTCGCGCTCCATCTGAGCAAGAACGGCAATCTCGGTCTCTTCATCCATCTGAACAGGGGCTGGAGCACCGCCAGGCATACCAGGAGCTGGCGTAGTGCCGCGAGAGGGAAACATATTTGCTGTGTGGTCCGGAGACATGACGTTGCGCAGGGGTGAGAAGGGNGTTGTGTTACGAGATGGCACACCTCCGCTGAAAGGGGTTGTTGTTCTGGACATGGGCGTCATGTTCGATCCGAAGACTGCAGAAGGCGGTACAGCCTCAGCTCCGCTCCACAAGAAGCCATCGAATCGACCGGACACCAGAATGTCCCATTCACCAGCGCTCACTGCGGCAAGTGTGGCAAGCATACTGTGCAAATGTAGATTGTTGAGCAAGTAGATAGTGCATTCTGGGTCTCTTGGCAAGTGTGGAAGACGATACAGACGTTGTAGAGCAGCGGCAGTTTTAGCCAGGACCTCGTTCTTAGGTTCATTAGCAGGTGTCGGCGCTCTCGAAGAGGGCACTGTCGAGAGACCCTTCATCAGAGCTGTGAATAGCGGTCTTCGTTCAGGCTCGATGTGTGTGAGTATGGCGAACGTCAAGGTTTCGTCATCAACTTCTTGTGGAGGGCTAGATGGAGCGTCTGGTTGTCGTACGAGCCAGTCTTGGACTGATCGCTTGGTTTTCGCATTCTGTTTGATGTAGTGAGCGCGATATTCATCCGGCACGTCAGGATCGAGTTTCTGCATGGGCTCAACGCCGGAGAGATTGAACCCTGGTCCTTCGGATGACAGAGAAAACGGAGGCCACTGTGGAAGCTCTCTACGGCCAGCGACATATTCTAGAATCTCGCCCCAGCTTATCCCCGTATCCTCCTCATCAGACAGAGTTTTNTGGGCGGACTTCGGGCACAAGACGCATCTGCATCGCTCATGCGAGATGCTACGAGCAAAGACGGCTTCGAGGCGATCTAGCAATCTCCTAGCGACTGAGCGATATCCTGTGGCTACGGCCAATGACCCACTTTTTGACAAAACTTTTCCGATATCTTCGAGACGACCACTCACAGGCGCAAAGATGTGCTGAACATCGACCGCCGAAGGTATGCGGGGAGATTGATACTGGGCATAAGATTGAACGGGTTGATCGTTAGCAGGTGGAACGATAGATTTCGAGATCAAGTACGGCAATCCACCATTCTGCAGCAGATAGTCAACACGAGGGATATCTTGGGCAAAGACCATTGGCGGAGGAGGTGGTGGAGGAGGCATAGCGATCGAGTCTGGATGGGCGGATCGAGGAGAGAACCCAACGGGAAAGACATCAATGCCAGGAGTGGATTTTGGTCTCTGAACATGCGGAGGGAAAGCTGGGTCTTGCGGAGCGGGGGTGCGTGGTGAGGAGTCAGGTCGTGACTGGGGAGAATAGTGCTGCGCAACAGAAACGGGAGGAGGCCTGGAAGGAAGTTTGCGTTCGGGGGCAACTGACGTAGCCTGTGAGTCGACGGTGGTCTGACTGACGGTCGAGGTGGGCTGAGAGGGAGCCTTGTACTTGGTCGAGCCGGTGCTTGGAGCAGAAGCGTCAGAGACACTTGATGGAGACGGACGACGGCTGCTCGCTGCAGAGCCTGTCATGTTCACTCGCAGACCGTTGTCCATGCTTCTTCTAGAATTCAGACCGGCCTTGGACTTGACTCTATCCGTGTGACTCCTCATGTTGTTCCCGCTCTTTGCTCGTCGAAGGTCTACGTCCTCGGCCGTCAGAGGAGGGCTTGGTGGGACACGTGAGGGGCTGTCGGCCATGTCTGCTGGAGTGCGAGGTCGTTGGTCGTGGACATCAGTAGTGCTTTCCGAGCCTGGGGCGACGGCCTCTCTGCTGTGTGCTTTTGAGAAGTTAGGATACGACTGCGGCCGCTTTTCGCCGATCGACGAGCGCCGCTCCATCTCCGGTATCGACATGGTGACCTTCTTCGACGAGCATTCTGATAAGGTGGATCTGTCCGGTCGCGATGGGCTGTATTCCCTGCTTGCGTCGCTGCGTCGGCGAGTGGTCGTTTTTCTAGCCGATGATCGAAGTCGGTCCTTGGTATCCTTGTCCCTGGAAGACGGCTTGGGCGAGCCGCGGTCGTAAGATTTCTTGCGCCGGCGAGGCTCTTCTTCGCGGGAGGAGGGCATCCTGAATTAGGGGAGCCAAAAGGCAGGAGCGATGCAATGTGGAATTCAAGCAGCAGCTACCCTGATGAGCTCTCTCCACCTTGTGTGAGACAAGACTGAAGTTGGGCAGAATTGCGGCGGCTAACAAAGCGACCTTGTCACTCTAGACGCGCCAGCGCAATCCATGCAGCAGTGCCTGACATGGTTACACCAAACATCTCTTTTCGCCCTCGTCATTGCAGAAGAGGCTGGTGACCGCCAGATTCCAACTGGATAAATTAACGCCAGGACCGTTGGAGGGTCTGAGGACCGCTCCGCCCCGACCCTCGACAGGTTTGCCGGGACCCTGACACTTTGACATCTCGCTCCTGCTACATCATACATCCTGGGAAGTCAGCATCGTGTCCAGTTTGATCTCAATCCAAGAGAGGCGATTCTTGAGAGGCTCCATGAGACTCTCCTACATAAATGCTTATGTGCACATTGGCATCGTTCGAAGTGCACTGTTGCACAATAAGANNGGTTTCGGCCCTTGGTTTCACCCAGGGTTGCTCAAGAAGCAACCTTTACAGATGGACAACCCGAGTTTATCTTTCAGGAAAAGTCTCACGAGTTTTNTGTAGATTTGAAAAGTCCGTTTGAACTACGAGCAACCTCATTATACTTTAATCCAGGTCAAATGCAGATTTCTGCTCGAAATCTAGAAATGTTAATATTTCACGGCCCAGTCATCTGCAACATGACTTCTCCACATGCAAAAGAGCATCAACCAAGACAACTCTCACAAAGTTCGACAAAACTACAAGATCCTGTATTCATTCTCAAAGTGGAGGGTCAACTCCAAAACACCGTCGAGATATGAGTAGTGTACACAATGGCCACTGCCCCAGTTCTCAAAGATATCGAGCATTTTTGTAGCTATGGATATGAGGGGCAAAATGCGGGCAGCAGACAGAGCTCGAGACGCCTGCTCTTATTCCCGAGATGGGAAGCTTCTCCATGCTTGCCTGTCGCCGACCAGAGAGATTCCACTGGCAGGACAGGCTTCAAAGGAATACAAGACGCAGCTTCAATTGGTTGAGGAAGCCCGAGTCAGAAAGGGCAGTATCTGGCGGCGAGGTGACCAAAAGTCAAGACAAACGGAGGATGATCCCCCGGGCAGCGAGGCGACGCTAGCCAATGACAATGACGGAAGGCGCTGCGAGATGCGAGCTGCCCCGCCGATTGCGGGCAGTGCGATGGATACAAGAAAAATCCCATCGCACACCGNNTCGACTCACCTTCTTCACCCAGTTCTTGTCACCGACAGATTCTGGTATCCGNCATCTTCACAATGGCCGCCAACAGCTCGCAAAAGATTGGTAAGAAGCCGGCTCGCTAGCCNNACCCCTCCGGCCTCGAGGCACGCGCTCACGCAATGCTCAGCCATCTTGTCCGTCTACGACAAGACCGGCCTGCTCGACCTGGCCAAGGGCCTCGTCAAGAACAATGTCCGCCTGCTCGCATCTGGCGGTACCGCCAAGATGATCCGCGAGGCCAACTTCCCCGTCGAGTGAGTCTCCACCACCACCAGCACCAACTGCCTGGCCAGAGCTGACCAAGGCGCAGAGNATGTTTCGGCCATCACAAAGGCTCCCGAGATGCTCGGTGGCCGCGTCAAGACCCTCCACCCTTCAGTCCACGCCGGCATTCTTGCCCGCGATCTCGCTTCCGACGAGAAGGACCTGGCCGAGCAGAACATCAACAAGGTCGACTATGTCATCTGCAACCTGTACCCCTTCAAGGACACCGTCGCCAAGATCAACGTCACCATCCCCGAGGCCGTCGAAGAGATTGACATTGGTGGTGTTACCCTGATCCGTGCCGCCGCAAAGAACCACTCGCGTGTCACCATCCTATCAGACCCCAACGACTACCACGACTTCCTCTCCGAGCTCGAGAAGGGCGATGTCACCGACGCCACCCGCCAGATGTTCGCCCTCAAGGCTTTCGAGCACACCGCCGACTACGACACTGCCATCTCCGAGTTCTTCCGCAAGAAGTACGCCGGCAACGGCAACCAGCACGTCTCGCTGCGTTACGGTACCAACCCCCACCAGAAGTCGGCCGCTGCCTTCATGAAGGACCAGAAGCTGCCCTTCAAGGTTCTGTGCGGTGCTCCCGGCTACGTCAACCTGCTCGACGCCCTGAACGCATGGCCTCTGGTTAAGGAGCTCAGCGCTGCCCTCAAGTTCCCCGCTGCTGCCAGTTTCAAGCACGTCTCACCTGCTGGTGCCGCCATTGGTGTTCCTCTCAACGAGGTCGAGCGCAAGGTCTACATGGTCGACGACATTGAGGGTATCGAGAGCTCTGGTCTTGCCCAGGCTTATGCCAGAGCCCGTGGTGCCGACCGCATGTCCTCGTTCGGTGACATGATCGCTTTGTCGCACGAGGTCGATGTCCCTACCGCCAAGATCATCTCCCGTGAGGTCTCTGACGGTGTCATTGCCCCTTCATACACCAAGGAGGCCCTCGAAATCCTCAGCAAGAAGAAGGGTGGACGCTACCTCGTTCTCCAGATGGACCCCGAGTTCGAGCCCGCTGCTCAGGAGTACCGTACCGTCTACGGCATCAACCTGACCCAAGGCCGCAACGACGCTCACATCACCCCTACCGACAGCTTCGGCACCGTCATCACTCCCAAGGACTCTGCCGCCCTCCCCGAGTCTGCTCTCCGCGACTTGACCGTCGCTACCATCGCCTTGAAGTACACTCAGTCCAACTCTGTCTGCTACGCTCTCAACGGCCAGGTCATTGGTCTTGGTGCTGGCCAACAGAGCCGTATCCACTGCACACGTCTCGCTGGTGACAAGGCTGACAACTGGTTCATGCGCTTCCACGAGCGTGCCCTGAACATCAAGTGGAAGAAGGGCACTAAGCGTCCCGACAAGAGCAACGCCATCGACATGCTCTGCAGTGGCGTCTTGCCCGCTTCGGACGAGGAGAAGCACGAGTACGAGAAGATGTTCGAGGAGGTGCCCATTCCCTTCTCCGTCGAGGAGCGCCAGGCATGGTTGAGCAAGCTGTCCGAGGTCGCCGTCAGCTCCGATGCCTTCTTCCCCTTCATCGACAATGTCTTCCGTGCCGCTCGCTCTGGAGTCAAGTACATTGCTGCCCCCACTGGCAGTCAGAACGACCAGGCCGTCTTCACCACTGCCGAGAAGCTGAACATCACCTTTGTTGAGCAGCACATCCGTCTGTTCCACCACTAGAGGAACCATTGACCTCTTTGCGGAATAGAATCGCGTTTCAACACAACCGATTCTCTATAGCTTTTGGGATATTAGAAAGGGAATGTACATGACCGGACAAAAAGGAGGATCTTTATGCTTTACACACACAAGAGAGTTTATTAAGCTCTTCTGTTTTTTTTTATGATGAGACGAATAACCAATTTATCTTCAACGTTTTTGGAAAGCAATCTTGGAAGAGGTATTGGTTCATGTGTGTCACTTGGGGATTCGCAAAGGATGTGAGGCAGGGTGCTCTACCTCAAATGATGTTTTCGGCTCTATGAGCACCCTCATGTCGGTGGCCTTTGCATATCATGTCCCTCTGCAAGGCTGCAATCTTTAACACGGTTGGTGATGCTGTCCTTGCCAAATCTTGTATGAGCTGTCACCTATGGTTGGACTCGATCTATATACTCTCTAGTGGTTGTCACTTTAGTAGGGCCAGAGAGTGGCAAGGTTGGCTCTTCAAACACAACGCGAGGAGATATCAACACTGGTTGAAGGAAAGGTATAGTAGTGTAAAGTTGTCTGATATCATCTATAAAAACCCATGTACATGCCCCCACTCTTGTTGCTATAAAAGTACAGAGCATAAAAAGAGCCAAAAGTGCACTGGTAAAGCAGAAAACAGAAAGAAAAGGCTCGCTGAATAAGATGTTGCGAACAGAAACCATCCAGAAGAGAGCGACAGTAACCATGAAAACCCCCATGACCTTTGGTTTGTGTTCTGCCCGTTCGCCATTCCATATTCCTGGAATTCCCTCTGACATTAAATAGAACGCCAATCGTTGTCGTCGTCATATCAATAATAATACATGAAGAAAGTTAATTTATTAGTACTAGTGTTGCGAGTCGTATCTTGTTGCTAGACAGCTTAGAAGTTTCTGCTGGGCTCGACAGTTTGGCCGTTGGCACGCATGGGGTTCTCGCTTGCGTACGAGGCACTCTCGGAGAAAGTGGGACCGCCAGAGTAGGAAGGACCGTTGCCGCCATTCTCGATCATCTCCTCAACACTGGGGAAGCGGTGATCCTTGCTGTGAATAGCAGGGAAGAAGTCCATGGCGTAATGACCTTGGTAGATGATGTAAATGAGTGAGATGACCCATTCGAGGATGGCAGCGGTGTTGCGCTGGTCAGCGTGACGACCTAGGGCAACGAATGCNTGGATGGGGTCAGCGATGTGTCGTACAATAAGAGTTTGAGTGTACTTACCAATAGCAAGAGCAATCTCGACGAAGATGAAGGTCAACTTGATCCAGAATGAGGCACGCAGGATGCGGTACTGGCGGAAGTGAATGCCCAGACGTTGGTATTCGGCGCAAGCGAAGATGGCCGAGATGATGTAGCCAACACTGTAGAGTCCANNTCAGCAACAAGCGTGGTAAAGCGTGTGGAACACAGAAACATACATGAAGATTACGAGACAGATGTCGTGAGCGGTAGGGTGAGAAACGGTATCCAGAATGGTCAAGAGAATCAAACCGATGGCACCGATGATGGCGAAGGCACAAGCGAAGCCCGACAAGACTTTCTGAACAGTAGATGTGTTGTGGGCAAGGCGACCCTTGTGGCGCAACCAGCGTTCTGAGACGAAGCATACATCAAAGACGACAACGCTAACGGCGGAACCGGCGATGAAGAGAGGTTGAAGGCCTGTTGCGCCAATGTCCGAGATGTATGCAATTGTTTGGCCTTGTTCCATGCTAACGTAGAGGGGCGAGCCCTTTGCGAGCCAGGTGCCCAGCATACCGAGGAGTGTTGCTGTTGTCACACGAGTCAGTCGGGGGTTGCAAATATCAAATGCGGCACTCAGCATACCTAGCCAGACACATGCTGCGAAGAGCGGCAGAATCCAGTATGAGAAGACGCCGAACATGTTTGCGGGATTCTATCTTTACTTGATCAGGTCGAAGTAGGTGTAGAGTAGTGGAGGGTTTAGAGTTGTCGCGTGAAGTTCGATGTAGAAATGCTCGTTCGTGGCTGGGGCCGTTGCGCGATGAGATTGTTGCACAGGAGAATGACCACAGCAGGAGATATTATAGGAAGCGGAAGGTGAGAGGACTGTCGTGGCAGGGACAAAGTCGTCGTCAATGGTCAGTGGCAGGGATGAGAGGGCACGATCCAAGTTGGATGGGACGGCCTTGGTTTTAATCATGTTGAAAAAGGCAAAGGCAGCGTCAGAGGTTCCAAAGCCACACTGGAGCAGCAAAAACGTCATAGGCGCGTTGGCGGCATCTCTCGGAGCACGGCTCGAGATCAACGTCGTCTGCATGGGGCACGGGGAAATTGCGATGCAATTGTCATCAACCAGAGAGCGGCATGTTGAGACGCCTAGTCTGCTACGTTGGTATGGTACAGGAGGACATGGGTTGGAGGCGACATGGGGAAGAAGGCAGGACACATGCAGGCGGTCGTCCACTCCGTCGGAAGGCTGAACGTAGGACGGTTGTGGCTGACAGGGCAAGGAACGAAGAAGGAGCCAAACGAGACTGAGATTGATTGGGTTGTCGTTATATTCAGATATATGGTTGGAAGAAACAGCAGACTGGGACAGACATGCAGATACCCAAGCCTACCTTACGATTAACAGTACCCACAAGTGAAAGCAGGGAAGGCGCATGGTCAAGTCTGACGTTAACACCACCAGCGGCAGCAGTTTGAGAAGAGCGTGAGAAGAGCAACAGCGAGGGCCAAAGAGGCAGTCGCAAAGCAGGCTATGCTGTGAGCTTCACTACGTGCTCAGAAGTTCCAGGGCCGGCCCGGGGCTCAGCTGGAAAAGCGAGAGGCTTGGCGCCGGCGCGCACACACAAATCGCACGCGGAGTTTTCCCGGCAAGCAAATTCGCTCCTGCCTGGTTCTCGATCTCTGACCCTCTCTTTCCTGGTAGCGGACGTCGTCGACTAACACCACAGCAAACATGCCCAAGGAAGTCAAGCAGAAGAGCGGCCTCGCTCGCGGCTTGAACGCCGGCCACGTACGTTGACCCCTATGCCTACCGTCCACAGGAGCCACTGCACCCGCCGCCGCCGTCCATGATGCGAATTGCGATAAAGAGGAGGACGATAAATTTTCTGCACCGACAAGCACGACACATCCGACACGAGCTGGAAGGAATTGGACAAGGGCGACACGAGCACGCAGCCACCACCGCATTCGCATCAACGACCTACGCACACCCCCCACTCCGACATTCGATCAAGCAGCTTCCACAAGATCAATAGACTAACACGTCTCTCCTCTCTACAGAAGGTCACCNCCCGCCAGCCCGCTGCCCGCGTTTCGCGCACCAAGGGTCACCTCAGCAAGCGCACCGCTTTCGTCCGTGACGTCGTCAAGGAGGTTGCCGGGTACGTTCCTTTCCTCTGCCGAGCTTGAAAATCTCTTCGACCTTGGCCCATCCGACCTCAATGAATTCAGACTAACATTCCTTCAAGTCTCGCTCCCTACGAGCGCCGCGTTGTTGAACTTCTCCGCAACTCCAAGGACAAGCGTGCCCGCAAGCTCGCAAAGAGAAGAGTACGCCATGACCAACCTCAACCTAACCTGGAACATCTTTGCTAACACCAGACACAGCTTGGTACCTTCGGCCGCGCAAAGAGAAAGGTCGACGAGATGACCAACTACATCGCCGAGTCCCGTCGCGCTGGTCACTAAACTTGCCAACCTGGGTGATCGCTGGTTGCAAAGTCAAAATGAGGAGTTAGTTCTTACTTTTACGGGCACGCAATGCTATGTGCAATGGGCAAACCATGTTCCTTTTTTTCCGAATACCCTGCAAGCGAAGGAGACACTGCAACAAGTTCATGACGGCAGTGGCCCGCACGCTGCACGTTGCTGGGGTGGATGAAGGAAAAAAGAAAGACTATCTTCTCGAAATGAAAATGAGAAAATTGGTCCCGCTCCGTTTATGATTTACATCTCCTGGCCACTTCTTTACTTTCTCAGTGACCCCCGCTACTGATGTCTTGCAAGTATGGTTGAATCGTGCCGTGCCTGTACACAGGGTCTTCTGCACATCGACAACCATCACCGTCTACAACGATCATCTCCACGCCTGGCAGGTCCGAACAACAGGCATTCCGATTCAACAGCAACACATCAAACCTCGACTGCTCCACAACAATCAAACACCCGCAAGAACAAGATACGTCGCCATACCAGTTCATTATCTCGGCCTGTCTTCTATCGCTGCTTCTCCAGCTGGCTTGACGCCCACCAATCAGGGATTGCAATGGTAGTGGTCATACCAAAACTCTGTCCTATGTTCAGCTCCTGGAAGTCTGCTCACGTAGCAAGACTTGGGCTGCCTTGAGTCATCCATCTCGTTGTCATTCGTCGAACTTCTTTCCGATGACACCATCACCTTTCCCTCTACTCCATCTGGCACACAATTCCCGTCTCCCTTCTTCTGCAGCTAGCTTCCTCTGTGTCAAGACTGGAAGTCCATCACTGGTCATGAGCATTCATCTTCTTCCAAACACTCTCCATCTCCATTCTCAGTTTGTCCATGCCCTCTTTCACCACCTCGAGATCGTAGGCCAACTGTCTTGTCCTCTCTTTCGACCTTGCAGCGATCTTCTTGTGTGTCTCTCCCCGTGGAGTCATAGCTCTTGGCTCAGGAGATGCGCTGTCGGTCAGATGATCACGACGATGTTCTTGCTGGCGCTTGATGCGGTCTTGATGGATGTCTTGGTTCATTGCTTCCAGACGATTGAGTTCATGCGCATANCTGTCGAGAAGCAAGATGTTAGTATGCTACCAAACTAGGATGATAGAGGTAAATTGTCTTACTGATTCGATGCGTGAATGAAAGGCTTTGCACTGCGAGGCAAGATATAGGTCGTTGCCGCTGTTCAGGGTAGGCACCATGGCTGAGGAAAGCATGTTCATATCTGCTCTTGCTGCTTCCATGCTAGATGCTGAGATATGCTGTGCTGCGAGGCTCATGATGTTTTTTGGGGGAGAGAATTGTGATTTTGCTTGTTGAGGTGATAAGGTGGATTACAGCAGCAAGTTGCGAGCATCATATGTCTGCTATGCCATTGCTTCGCTAGACGTCTCTTAACTCGCGACATATGACACTTCCAAGAACACCAGAGACACTGGTAGAGACAAGCTCTGTATGACATCTGGCGGAAACATCAAGATGTTCAGTATCGCGAGACATTGCTCAAGACATATCCTGGCACTGCCTTGTATGATTCATGATATGTACTCTCTCTCGCCAGTTAAAGATCACCGAACGAAGCCGGTCGCACTTCCACTCTCATGATGCCGTCCAAATCAAGACCTTACCGCCTGAGGTCCTCCTGCTTTTGTTTCCACAATGATGTCTCGACGTCTCGTTTTCTTCTTTCGTCAAGGATCGGGGGCCAAATAAAGATAGATCAAATATGAGACTCGTCTACATACAATTCAAAGTAGAATTTCATCCATATTTTTGTGATAGTCTCATTCGTTGATGAATGTTAGTTGCTTAAGGCAGTTAGCTCGCCGGTACAGCAATCATTTAGCCATTGGTTATAATATCAGACGGCAGCATAACTTGCACGTACGGCCACAGTCAGCTGAAAACTGGGCATCCCGTCCGCTCTGCCATACATAAGCAGTTGAACGGCAGATTAGTACTACGGTGGGTGACCACGTGGGAATCCCTGCTGCTGTACGTTTTGTTCCATCTTCTTTGTTGTCTTCACCTTTCACCAACCATAACAGATTACATCAACAACAATCTTTTAACTGTGACAGACACGCCTCCTTTCCTCATAGATGTTATGTTTTGCTACATGTACATAGTATGCACTTGATCAATCCGGATAGGACGTGCTAGAGAGGATCAAAAACAAGCCCGTTCATTAAGTATCACCATTCAAGCTCCGTCTATCAAGAGATGACTCCAGAGCGATCAGTCCATGAGAAGTAGTGTTGTGGTTGTGATTTGATACTGTTCTGACCCGCTGTGCAAGCCTGATCTATGATGTAGAGATGCTCCGATGGACAGCTGAAGCATATCGTCTTCCTCCTGTAAGGCACTTTGACTTCCCTCTCAAGTTTCATTCTTCCTGTTGACCACCGATCCACTTTAATTCATGCTTCCGTGCATGTCTCGTCCGATGACCTTCTTAACCCTGTAATCATGAGCAACTCAGTCTCCTTCCTCGTCTGAGTCGGGTTGCTCGGCAAATCTGACGGTGTTGAGACGTTCGCGAATTTCATAAGGGCTGGCAGCTTCAAAATCACCTGTGAAGATTGGTCCCGATCGACACGTAAGATTGCTAATGAAGCAAGAACCGAGGCCATGAGTTGCTCTGCAGAGAGCAGTCTTGAACATACGTGATTTGTCTTTTGTCCATGAGCTTCCGTCGTTGAAGTGGCAGTCCTTAAGTTCAAGATGCCAGGGTGAGCTCCTGACGTTCCCGAGCAGAAGTGCCAAGGAGCGGACCGAGAACTCGCAGTTGACGATATGCATGTTCTGGACCGGTAACTTGCTTAACCAGTAATCCATACAGCAGTTTGTATAGAAACCATGCTCTAGGCCGTCAAGCTTGAAGCGGGTACCATTCTCGGTGATGGTCTATTGAGGCTTGAACAGCTTTCCCTTGTTTGACCACGATCCCGCAGATACACAGATACATTGCGGTCTACACCAGGAGCACCACGTTGGAACAGAGCCCCTGGTAAGAACAACAAGTGCGATTGGAGAATGTAATCAATGTCAGTGTCCGGCAGTTGTCGAAGGTCGATATTCAAGGTCGCAGAAGGCAATCCAGGCGGCCTTGCATCGAACATCAGTCTGGCGAAGTCTGCAGCTCGTATCGCAGGTTCGGAACTCTGGTCAGATATAGGATGGTGGCAAACGACACCAAATTGGAAGTCACGCCTCAGGCAAGAGATCTTGGCGAAGATTTTGGCCAGGAGTGCTCTACACTCTTCTTTNTGAGCTAGATCACCTCCAGTCACGGTAGCCATGTATGTTCTAACACAGGGACCAAGCTTAGGATGCGTGATTAGCTCCTCGAGTCGCTGGACACAGGCAAGGGAGGCATGGAAGTGAGGTTCCGTGATGAATGCAGCGATGAAGTGCTTGCTTGTGATTTGCTCCAGATGTTTGCAGGTAAGGCGTATGGACAGAAGATCTTTATCCTGCGAGAAGTCAGCGATGCGTGAGATAAGTTCATTGGGAAGCCGAAGCATTTTGTCGTGGATGAGTTGCTGTTGACGCGCGCGTGGAGTTGAGCAAGAGAAAAAGCGAGTTGAGTCGATAAAGAAGAGCAGGGAATGGTTGATGGAAGTGAAAAGTCGTCAAAACGCGGCAATGAAAGGGCAGGAGTCGATAGTGAAGTAAATGGCAGACAACGCATATCGATTAGAAAGAGGAAAGAACGATGGTGTTAAAGATTAATACCTTTCAGCTTTGCTAGAAATCTTTTCTGCGATGTAAGCCACAGATCAATCCTAGTACTATAGTTCGTACGAGAATACAACCACGACCAATCTTGATGTTATTATATGAATGAACTAGGAGCAATGTTAGGAACTATCGAGTGTGTGGTCAGACTCGGACTTCCTCTCTTGCTCTGCAAAATCATTCTCGGCCATTACACGTTAGTAGATTACATGAACTACAGTCTTATCGTGATGCACTTTGTTTCGGCAGCGTTCCGAGCACAGTAGAGGGTCAAAAAGTGGTATATGGAAGGTACGAACAAGACACGAAGTCGAACTTCAAGAGGCAGGGTCAAGCTGAAGCTCTTGGCACGCTGAGTGCATCAATGCAGGCACACGAAACATCAGACACGTTTCAAGAACTTAGCTCGTTGTATCGATCAAGCTTGCTTGATGCAACAGACCCACCTAGACACCGGTCTCATTGTCATATCAGTATGCTTCACGTACCGACAAAAGGACGCCGAGGTCCAAATGGCAATCGTAGAACTCGCTCAGTCTGCAAGAGCGACACTGACACACATGAACATCAATTACAAGCACGACAGAAGCTCCTAACTCTCCTCCAGGTGTACGACTAAAATCAAGTTCGGACCAACGAGTCATGGTAGAAGTAGAACTCGCACCAAAAGCGAAGACTTGTTCAGTCGGAAGATCTACTAGACAAGTCGCCATTGGCGATCGTGTCCAATTTTGGTTTGCACTTTGAACATGATAGGTCTAGATGGATACGGACCGATCAAGATATCTTTGTACTTGCGCGAGTATGTGGACTATGGTTACTTGGTATGAGAAAGATCGACGAAGAATTTCGGACGTATGGAGAGACAATCAGTCAGTGCGAGCGATGGGTTGATATTCAAATTGTGTTCAGATCGTCCGCTGGAGGATGATAGTAGCCTACTGTAGCCTCGTGCACAACACATGGTTCATTACAAGTGTTGGACGAGTACAAAAATGATATAGAAGAACAGACATGATGGTCTCGGATCTCCCCACCAAGAATCACCCACAACTTTGAACGTGTGAGCCATCAAAGGATGTCAAACCGTGAACCTTTACACGACATGTCGTGTCGCACCCAAGTTCGTAATGCCGAGACCTCAAAGAACCAACCACTGAGCTGTCGAGATGTCGCATCAATGCTGGTTGCACCATGGGAAGCCCGAAGCCATGGCATACCACTTGGAGACACGTCCAGCTGTAACATAGGGCGTTAGACGATGGAATCGTCTTGCGAAGCGCTGTATACGTGTATGTTAATGCAAGGCTGAACCAGTGGCTTCAAAGTCTCAGCTCGGCTTCATTCAACAAAGACGCAAATCAGCGCAACAGCCGACCAGACATCTCACCGACTGCACTAGAGCCGGAAAACTGCATTTCCCAATGTACCAGTCTGGCTATCGGCGGGCTGAACTATTTGACACACATCTCAGCACTCGTCCGCTCTGAACCGACTCAAAAGATGGTCAGCTCATAATCGCAGTCGGAGCGAGGAGAAATGCTATCCGAACAGACTCACTCCAAACTTATAGTCGCAAGCCGATGGTTGGAATTTGGTTCCCACGTTCACTTCAAGATCGAGTGGTATGCATGAGATGATCGTTGTTCTTACAGCGTAGAGTAGAGATAGATCAAGATGCACACATAGTTGTGACATGACTCGCTCGCTTTCGTATAGCTTAGTCAGCAGTTGGTCCCGCAGACTAGGCACAGTCTCGTCGAACCATTCGTTCAAATCTCGTTTGATCCTTCCGTCCTTGATACATTTGAAACTTTCGAGGGTCCATGCAAACGTCCACCGAGAGAACACTTCCATGACTCACGAATAATGAGACTCGACGGAATTGGAGATGAACCTGTTCCTAGCCGCAGGAAGAAATGGAACATCCATGGAAATCTGTCTTTTGATCTCTATCATAAAGCAGAAGGTGTAGCCGGGCTATGTTCTTCTGGCGTGCGTCCTTCAGCCGCCACGTGTGACGATGGCTTCAATCTATTTTACTTTGGTAACGTCCCGGGAAATGGGAAAAGATCTGGAGGATCTGTTTCTGCTCCGCTGGAAAGACGACAAGGCATCGCTTGCACTATATGTCACAACTGACATATCACACCAAAACAAAATGTCGAGCCATAGTCTGTGAAACAACCAAGAGGCAGTTCATGCGACTTCTGACGATGCCGATCACGGCAGGGACGTGCTGGCGGCGCGCAGTATCGAGGCTGGTGGTACACCAACCATAATTGCTGTCGCAGGACTCGAGGACCAAGCCATACGAACGTGCGCTGCAATCATGGAAAAAAAGTTCGCCGAAAACGGAAGACTCTTTCCTGTTAGGCCTGTCTTACGTACAGTTCTCTCGCCGAGAACTGCACTCTTTCGGTCGACTTCGCTCTTTCTTGACTGCAAGGGACGAAGAAGCTTTTTTTTTAGGTGTTTCTCCCAGGCTGGAGCGTTTTCCATACCCGCCTGCAGATGGTAGCCCAAGACCTTGTGTAACAAGCAGATCCCCAAAAGGCGCCCCCTCGGTAGGTCCTTGCCTCGTAGGGCCAGGTCAAATCTGACTGCTGGGCATCCGTACCACTTACTCGTACACCAATCATGTCCTCAGACAAGCGAACTTCGGGTGCTATGACCTTGTATATAGCCGTTCTCATCTCGACCCCACGATGGAATCGCCCGTAGTCAGTGTTACAGGCCTGTGCGATAACCTTAACCAAAACCTCAGCACGGCACCGCTGTTCCGCAGAAGCTCCCACAGCCCTCGACTATTAAGATGTAAGGCCACCTCATCTTGCAGATCTCCGCCTCGTACTATATCTTATCCTTCATTCCTGTCTTCTTTTCCTTTTCCCTCCCCTTCGCCGCCGAAAGGCTACAACGACCGCCCGAGAAGTCCCTCTGTCCCACACGTCGCAAAGATGCAGTTGCCGCCTGCTAGTGTGATGGCTAACTGGCCAACACCAAGCTATGAGAATCCCCAAACCCAAGGATTACCACTCGTTATTGTCAATGTCATCTTCATGGCTCTAATCAGCTTGGCCGTGCCACTACGTCTCTACGGTCGATACATAAACAAAGGCCGACTAGGATGGGACGACCTTAACATGGCAATCGCATATGTACTGCTGACCCGTCTGACATGTCCATATACTGGCTAACATATGCATACAGATCTTCNNGCTATGGCCCTAGGTGTCGTCGTCATCCTCGCCAACGTTCGCTATCAGTGGAATCGCCATCTGTGGGACGTCGAGTTCACAAAGTTCCAAGCTGCATCCATAGTAGCACTCGCCTCGAAGCTGCTGTTCACATTCGCTGGAGCCTTCGCACGCGCTTCTCTCATTTGTTTCTACTTCCGCCTCATTCAAGATACTGGTTTCAGTACCTTCAAGTGTATTCTTTGGGGCGCATTCGTGTACAACATCGCCATCGGTATTATCTTTGTTATTCTTGCGGTGTTCCTTTGCTCGTGAGTTCCATGGTCACATTCTATGTAGATACTCCGCTAATAACTCGAAGACNCCATCGAAGCCTATTGGGTATTCCCATTGATGAAGGGTGCCAAGTGTCTGGATGAAGGTCCTGTAACACTAGTTGCTGGAGTACTGAACTGCATCTCAGACTTGACGGTTACCCTGCTACCAGTGCCTATCATCATGGGACTCAACATGCCTTTCAAGCAACGACTGGGAGTAGTTGGGCTATTGTCCTTGGGCCTGATCGTCACCGTCGCCGGCGTCGTACGCACCTACTACATCTGGAGAACACTGATGAGCACCTACGACGAGACCTGGGATTCAATGCCGCTGTACATCTGCGCAACGGTCGAGATAGATCTAGCCATCCTCTGCGGATGTGCACCCTCACTCAAGCCTCTTTTTGCTCCAATGATTGCCCACGTCAGCGAAATGATTAGTACAGTCACCGGAAGCGGTACCAACTCATCTCGCGGCACCAAACTACACGACACTACCATTACCCGATCTACCGTTATCTCGCAGCATAACCGCAAGAAGTCTACCAGGGATGGGGAACACGACAAAATCTCGATGCATAACATTGCTGTTGAGGGCCGTGTGAGCGAAGACAACGACGAATCGAGTGATCTATATCATGGGATCAGCATGCCTGCCTCGCACTCCTCTACTGCATTACGAGGACCTCAACGGTCACTCTCAGGCGCTTCGAGTCAACGAAACATGCTTCCACACAACCGCGATGGCAGCGCAATGTCAAACTTGGACAGCCGAGCGGACAGCGAAAGCGACGACCACATTCCAGAGATTCAAGTGTTACCGCGAAGAAAGGGCTCTGAGCCTGACGTCGAGCTAGGCGCCTATAACACGGACTGGCGTGTAAGCAAAGGTGTCAAAGCTGGTTGGATCTGATATCCGTCGATCTTCAGATTCATTAATTGATTTAATCATCAAGTTCGGGAGATCGACCCGCTGGATCGGGTGCTCCCAACTCTTACGACTATTATGAATTGCATATACCTCTTCGGTAGCATAGCATGGAGGAATATAAAAACCAGGGATGATACCCATCGGAACCAACTACAGCAAATCTCAATGTAGACATACAGCATGCATTCTTTCTTTCACCTCTACGGCTGAAACATTCTTTCCCCTTCCATAGACTCAAGCTATCCTTTTTCACAAGACAAATACCTCACCATTCACCCCTTCTATCTCAGATCCAGTGTCCAGATCTCGCATGACTCCAATCCACAAATTCAAGACACTCAAATAACAACATTTCCATACCTTTCGCATGTAAGCGCAAACCAAGCCATTATCAGGTAGAAGAAAACCAGCATCTCGCAGCCGGAGCGAGAGAGTCAAGTAAAACGCTTACGTAGACTTTCCCCAAGCTGCTTAGTACGTTTAGCGAAGAGGGCACTTCCTCCCTTTCCAAAGAGTGATACAGCCGTTGCAAGATTCTAGCACACTGCCGAACGTTATTCGACGTTTTGGCACGTTTTCCAGAAACGCGTTTGTCGTTTACCTTTTTTTCTTGCTCCGCCGCTTCTCATTGGTGCAGATAGAGGCGGCTGTTTTGTCGAATTGCTAAGCGCGTGTTCCATGACTCGTAGACAAGAAGCTAGAGGCTGGAAGCTGGAAGGAGGAATTTGTTGTTCGTCGCTGGCGCTGTTTCATGAGCTAGGACCGCATGGCAAATGATCGGCGACTAAAAGGAAGGACCCAATCCATCGAAAGACGAATGTGACTTTCTTGACCTGGATTCAGTCCTCGAACGAACATTTGGTAGAATAGCAGGGAAGTGAAGATCGAAAGACTATAACTTGATATATTCTGTTATCTATCTAGATGGATGTTTGGTCTATATACTAAAGATTATACAAAAAAAGGATTGATGGTTGATCAGCAGATTGTAGCCTGCGACTCGTGCCTGCTGTAGTGGCAATAGGTGATGTTGTGATGACGATGACAAAAGAAAAACAGAAGAATAAGACGAGTCTTGAGCCCAACTAGGAAGGCGCGAACCAGAGCTGTGTGGCACCACAGTTTGTCGGGAGTGTTGCAGTACTATTGTAGTAGTAGACGTGGTATCCAGTGGCCGAATTTGCATCGTTGGATCCAAGTTTCATCAAGCAGAACTTGTAGTATGTCTTCGCGGTATAGCGCGTGTCTACCATGAGAAGCTGCGTGTATCCATCTGAGGTGGTGCTGCCAGGCACCCAGTTGGTGCTTCCCGTCGTATTGCTTGTGCTCCAGTACAATTTGTCGGCTCCAGTGGGTGTTTGGTAGTAATAATACGCATTGTGTGTAACGGAATAAAGTTGGCTGGTGTTGGTAATGATGAAGGTCTCGCGAGTGCTGTTGGCATAGTAATTGTCCGTCATGTGTGTAGCGGGATCCGAAAGAGCGTATTGACCGCCGGAGTTGACGGGTGCCCTGAAAGACATGTATCCGACCACACCAGTTGGGGCGCTTGATGCCACTGAGATAACGGTGGTAGATGTTGTCGTCTGGGTGAGCGTTGTAGTGGTCGATGCTGTGACAGTGCTCGTAAGAGTGGTTGTCGAGACTGTAGGAGAAGTGACCTCCGAGCTACACGCCGAACTGAGATCAGTCGATGAGAAGGTTCTAAGAGGCGTTGGCGTGGTGTTCGAGCTGGCTGTGTTGGCACGACGCTGCAACTGCGTTGTCGGCATCTCAGCGTAAGATCCACTTCTGCGACGAAGGATGGCTGAGGGAACAATGCTAGCGGAGCTTGTAGCTCTAAGCTCATGAGTATGGTTCTCACAGTCGCAAGTAGCGCTCGGCTGCTCGACATCACGCTTTCTGTACTGCTTGGTCTGGGCAACGAGCGATGTAGTCGTAGTCGTCGTAGTAGCCACGACCTGATGAGTGCTTGTTGTTGTAATGGTCTGAGTTGAAGAACTGTATCCGAGATAGGTCGAGCAGAAAGGCTGGTAGCTCGAAGCTTCAATAATAGACTTGGCGGCTGAGACAGAATTGTAGGAGCTGGTGCTTGCTTGGCTCGAAGTCGAAGGGACTGCACTTGCCGATGTGCTGCTGGCGCTGGTAAACACAGAGTTGACCGATGAACTGCGGCTGGCAGAGACGCTCGGTGATGAAGCAACCGAGGCACTGCTAGACACTACTGAAGAGCTGATCGAGCTACTGAACAGTGAAGAGGCTGCCGAAGAGCTTATGCTGGATGGGAAGCCCTGAGTACTGCCGGATGAAGCAATGACACTCGTGCTAGACACTGTCGAGGAAGAAACGACACTCTGGCTAGATGCCATCGAGGAAGAATCAGTACTCTGGCTCGAGACCGCTGACGAACTGACAACACTCTGGCTGGAGACAGTCGAGGAAGACACGATACTCTGGCTAGAGGTGACTGAAGAAGCGCTAGAGCTTTGGCTAGAAGCGACAACGCTATCGCTAGAGGAGACCGAAAAAGTGCTGCTCGAAGAGGAGGGTGCCCAAGTAGGACTAGGCATCCCAACAGAGTACGATGGGCTCTCAGACGTGGTTGAAGCGGTGCTCGAAATAACATTGGTGGTACTAGACACCATAGAATTGGTAGGCGTCGTGATTGATGATGGAACACTGCCTTGATCGGATCCAGAAGTGGAGACAGAAGCAAGGTTGCCATTGTAGCCGACAGCCGTGATTGTCGATGTTTCAAGGCTGCTCGAGGTAGATAAAGAGCCGGATGTCGAAGTCGACACGAATGAGGACGTCGAAACCAACACGGATGAGGATGTCGAAGGCACACTACTTATGCTTGGTGAAGAATCCGATGTGGAGGCTGATACTGACGAGGACGTCAAAGGCGCGCTACTGATAACGGACGAGGATTCGGTCGTCGAAGCCAACACCGATGAGGATGTCGCAGACGCACTGCTGCTAATGATTACATCTGTCGATGAGCTCGACATGCTGACCAAGGTTGAAATAAGGCTTGCTGATGACGAATCAGTTGACTGAATCACACCAGACGTACTAACATCGGATGAGCTAGACAATATATCACTACTTGTGGAAGTAGCTTGAACATCAAGACTGCTAGTGGCTGATGCCGATGTACTGGCTGGACCATCGTTGGTTGAGAGTGTCCATGGAGTTCCATTGTTGCTAGCAGCGGCATTGTTTCCGTTTGTGTCCACAGTGCTGCTGTATATACTGGAGCTGTCTGAAGCCGATGAAGAGGCCACAGAAACGGTGGAGCTCATCGAGTCGGTGCTACTGATAGCAGAAGACGCAGCCGCCAGAGTGTTTACTGCACTAGGGTTGCTTAGAGCGCCCGAAGAGCTTGCGCCGGCAGAAACATCATCTCGGGTCGAATTGACTGAGGACAACTGACCCGAGATGTAGTTCGCACCAGCTGTTGTGAAGCTACCAGACGAGGTCTTCAGGTAACAAACACCACTGGCGTCGCCATTCTCACTGCCAACATATGTGAAGCCTGTGCAGCCACTTGCCGAAGCATCGTCGCAAGCAGTCATACAGTCGAGGTAGTTTACCACTGCCTGAGCACTTGAGTACGAGTTGACCGTGGAGTCGGAGAAACAGTGAACAGTATAGTTGTTGCTGTAAGAGTCTGTAATGTTCTGGCCATTGGCAGAAGGACAAAGAGTAGCCATAGGCAGTCCAGAACTACTTGCAGCGGAAGTGGTGCTCGAAGGGACATCACTGGATGGTGCCGGAGTATACTGGCTTGCGAAGGACGAATCGGGAGTTGAGGTGGTCTGGCTTGAAATGGTACTGCTTTGTGAATCGACTGAGGTGGGACCCGCAGCAACGCTGCTAGAGCCAAAGTCGGTCGTCTGAGAGGCATCGGAACTACTGGTGATGATGGCGCTCTCGCTAGAAGTAGAATGAGTTGAGAAAATGCTAATCGAGGATGTATCAGTCTCTCCAGAAGAAGATTGAGCTGTAGAAATATCCTGCGATTGAGTTGACGATGCCAATACAGAAGTTGCCAAGTCAGTGCTTTCTGTAGAAGAAGTCTGTGTCGACAAAGCATCGGTACTGGAGGATGTGACACTCTCGCTACTTGAAGACAGAGATGATGACAAGCCAGTGGGGAGATCAGTGCTAGTAGACGATGATGCCTGGGGCGAGCTTGAATCAGTCGACGATGCTTGGATCGTGCTTGAATCGTTCGATGAGAGCTCTGTCGTCGTGGAGCTCTGGACTGTCTCGGTGCTTGATGTGATATCTGACGAAAGAGTAGTTGCCGGATCGGCACTGCTGGACACTGGAGCATCCGAGGTAGACGAGACATCCAAAGTCGACCGAGAGGTACTCTCCGGAGAACTGATAATAGATTCGGAGGTGCTGCTAACATCAACACTCGACGTCAAATCACTTGCAGTGCCAGTCTCGCTAGGAGATTGGCTAGTAAAAGACGAGTCACTAGTGACCGAAGCCGACACGCTTGCAGGAGCACTGTTGCTCGAGACAGCCGTAGTACTTGCAATATTCTGGTTGACGTTTGAGACAGCCACATAGTACAAAGGAACCCAAGAGCACTGAGAAGGAACAGTAGGTGCAAAGTATAGGTAGCCGTCGTTGTTACAAGTCATTGCTTGTTGAACGACGTTGTCGGACTTGCACCCCAACTCACCAGTCTTCTCGTTCTGCGAACAAGAGATATAACTGTGAGAGTCCACCACTGTACTGAAGTAGAGAATTTCAGGAGTGTTCATGGGATTGCGGTTGGCAGCATACGTAGTGTTCAAGCCTGCCTCGATAAGATACCCCGTAGCTTGGTCGATGTAGAATGATGTGGCAGAGTCTTGACCAGTAACGTAGCTACTAGCACCGTCTTGTCCTGGAGATACCGTAACAAAGTTGTTACCGGCGTCTCGAATATAGAACGAAACAGTGGTAGAGCTTGCAGAAACCGAAGTGGAGGTGTTGTTGCTCTGAACAATTGTACTGCTCGCCACTTCAGATGACGCAATGTCGGTGGACTCTGCCTGGAGCTCAACAGTAGTCGAACTAGACTCGCTCGATACCGTCGATGGTACATCTGTGTCCTCGGTGGAGATCTGGCTTGAGCTGGTATCACTGACAACTGTGCTCTGTTCGGCACTGGATTCAGTAACCGAGGGTGTGGGGCTCTGAGAATCAGTCGTGGTGACTGCGCTGTTTGATGCGGGTGTTGCGGCAGATTGTGTTGAAACATCATAAGCGCTGTCAATGCTAGCAGATACAGTCGCGCTGCTCAAAGCGTCGGTGGCAGAAACACTGCTTTCCGTTGAAGACAGAGTCTGCTCCGTCTTCGGCTGTGAAGAAAGTCTCAAGACTACAGTCTGGTATAAGTTCGATGATAATGAAGTAGGCGAGCCTGCGCTAGACGCGTTCTGGGCATGAGAAGAGTTGCCCTGGTAGCCAGCAGACCCATTTGCAGATGAGCCTATTTTCAGGTACTGGCTAGAGCCTTGAGTATCAATGTAGAGCCCTGAAAAGTGGTACCAGCCTGCTGATACGAGCAAGACAAGGTTTCATCAGCATTGATCGCACAGATAACAGGGATATAGTCGTTAGCCTTGACATCCTCAGGCGATGCTAACATGATGTTGTCTCCATGTCCAGGCCATACCGCCAGCATGTCAGATGTCTCGCCATCATATACGTAACCAGACGAAGAGTCCAAGGTATAGTTGCGAATATCGAAGGTGTTGGCAGCCATGTTGAAACCCAAGAAACCGGAGTTATTCTCGGTCTCGAGACTAGTCTCATCGGCAGACGACGATGAATTGGTCGCGTAGAGGTAAAATCGAGAGACTACATCAGTGGCACTTGCAGAATCGCTTCCAGTTGTAGTTGACGACAAGACTGTGGCAGATGGTGTCGCTTCAACACTCTGGCTATCACTAGACGTGCTATCGGTGGCGCCGACATTGTCAGAAGAAGTGTTTCCTGGGGCATCTGTATCCGTCGCCTGGGAAGCTTCGGCAGACAGAGTGGTGAAAGCATTTCCAGACCCAACAGTTTGCGAATCATCGACAGAAGACGCCGTTGTAGCTTGAGAAGCATCGGTGGACGGAGTTTCCGTCGAAGTGGTAGAGACAAGTCCAGAACCAGTGGTCTGTGTATTATCTACAGACTGAACACTGGTGGCTTGATCGTTGTCGCTGGATAGTCCGGCATCGATGTCGGTAGCTCCAGTCTCTTGCGAGCTAGTGGAGGTGGTTTGAGCATCTTGCGAGCTGGTAGAGGTAACTTGTACATCTTGCGAGCTGGTGGATGAATCGATCGTAGATTCTGCAGAAGATTCGGTGCTTGTAGCCTCAGTAGTTGATGCATATGCACTAGATGTGGATGACGCTCCTACAATAACTGTAGAAGATGCAGAGTCTTTAGATGGTGCGATTAGTTGCAAGTCAACATCATGATAACTGAGATCGTGGAAGCCGGCGTACAAGATCCACGAGCCAATCTTTTCACCTGCAACGAGGAAAAAGTCGACGGTAGTCTGCGTACCTGATTCGGTAGCTTGACATGACAAGTAGTTATTGGAGTCAACGCTGCATGGGCCCAGATAGGCGTAGCCAGGGACGTGATCTGTGGACAGCGGAAGAACGGGGCCTGATGCCATACTCAATGGTGTTTGACTGTCGATCTGGAAGCCTTGGTAGCTTCCATTCGAGTCTACTAGCCACTTCATGCTGTCGACATTGAGCTGGATGGTTTCCCAATCCCAGTTGAAACCAGTGGCAGTGCCATTGCTCTGGAGAGCAGTGTTATCGGCCGAGGTGTCAGAGTGAGAAGCATAAACACCGGCGGCTCGGCTCTCAGGAGTGGCGGTTGGACTGTTGAGCGACCCGGCATCAGTGCTTGTTGCCGAGCCCATGCTCGTACTTTCAGGAGTCTGAGGGTTGCTAGCGTCCATATCATTTGGTGTCTGGGCTGGAGATGAAGAAGTCGACAAATCTGCCTCAGGTGTGACGACAGGCGAACTGGATGTGATCATAATAGTCTCTCCAGAAGACTCAGAAGTAACTGATGAGTTCTCAGGAGTTGGTACCGATGCAGATTCGCTGTCAGATGCCGATGCTTGTTCAGAGATAACCGAAGAGGATGGCTCGATATCAGACGAAATTTGCGAGATCGCAGCAGTGGAGGTGGCCGATATGGACTCTGGCGACACAGTTGAGCTACTTGTCTCGGTAGCCAGAGAAGACTCGGTCAGATCTGTAGCACTTTCGCCAACCATGGATCTGGAAACAGCAGTGTCAGAAGTGATGGGCAGAGTTGACGAGCTTCCAGAAGAAGTCGTTGCCATATCCGTCGATATTGAGGAACTTGCACTGGGAGCATCAACCGAGGTGCTGCTTGCCATGACTGATGTCTGGGAGGTCGCGTAAGGCTCGACGCTTTCACTGCTGGAAACTATTTGAGAAGTGCTCGAGATATTTGGCGAGACCGAGGTGCTCGAGCTGCTGACAACAGACTGGGAAACCGAGCTAGTATATGCAGAAGAGCCGCCGGTAAATGAGGTGGCAACCGTGCCGATACTGCTGGAAATGGCTGATCCTGATGAAGAGCTGGCAGCCTGGGCTGAAGCAGCGTACAGCTTAACATCAGTCGTGTCCGGGTCGTTGGCCTGAACAGAAGCTGCGCGCATCACTAGGAACAGGGATCCATCAAGATTGACGACTGACATCTGAACAAGGCTCTGACCATCGATTGCTGCAGAACAGGTCATACCAAGTGCGGAGTCAAAAGAGCAGGTTAGAGGCACGGAACCGTCGCTGTTCTCAGTACTCTCAAAGACGTTGTAGTATGTCGCAGTGTTTCCAGACTCAAAGGGAGTGATGGTGTGTTTCTGAGAAACAGATAAGACATAGTTGCCAAACAGGATATGGTTGGTCATAGGATCGAAGCTGAACTCTTGCGAAGTTGCAGAGTCTCCGAGATCAAATCCAAGGACACCGTTATCGTTTGTCGTACCATCTCCGTTGTTATTCTGAAGCTTGGAGGTCGATGTGGCCATGTAAATAAAGAAACTGGCAGGAACGTAGGAAGCTGCTGTAGAACTGGCAGAAGACGAAACAGATACGCGAGAAATGGAGACGGATGCCTGCGATGCAGAAGTCGCCTGAGACGAAGAGACTGATGCCTGCGAGGCCACTCGAGATGAAGAGACGTGAATCTGTGAGACAGAAGAGGCTTGGGATGAAGGGACAGACTGATGCGAGGCAGAGGAAGAAGTAGTCTGAGCTGCAGAGGCCGGGCTTGTTGCCGAAGTCGTGACAGGAACCTTGCTACCTCGAATGCGGACCTGGCTGGTTGTCGATGTAGTGGTTGGGGCGCCTTGAGACGAAGATGATTGCGAGACGGAGCCATTGAGGTCGCTCGAAGTGGATCCTGAAACGCCCAAGTCGGCATTCGAGGACTCGGGTACATTTCCAGATGAGCTGCTCGACGCTTCCTGCAATGCTGAAGTCGAACCAGCCTGGCTAGCTGAAGAGCTTGCAGGTGCCACTACTGCCTGACCTCGAACGCGAGTTGCAACTGGCCTGGAACTAGTTGATGATGATAAGGAGGATAAGGATGACTGAGTCGCGGAGGATGATGACGAGAATAAGGATGACTGGCTCACAGACGATGACGACCGTGTGCTTCCCGTTGAAGACGTCAGTGTGCTCGATCCTGCTGCATTTGATACACTTGAAGTTGAAAGAGCCGATGAAGTCTTAGTGGTGGGTCCTCCTCTCGTTCGGGTGTTGGTGGAAGAAACTGATGTAGACTTTGAAGCCGAAGAGCTAGATTTTGCAGCAGGGACACTAGATGAGGCCTTTGAACTGCTAATTCCTGATGAAGAGCTGGCGACTTTCGATGACAAACTCTTAGCGGTCGAAGAGGAAACTTTGCCAGGGGTGGCCGTGGTGGAAGTTTTGGTGCTCGAACTTTTGACGCTCGAACTCTTGACGCTAGAAGACGACTTCTTGCTGGAAGTGCTCGAAACTTTCGATGAAGACTTGACTGAAGACTTTGCTGAAGATGACGTCGAAGCCTTTGCTGGGGACGAGACGATCTTGGCAGCTGTTGATTTGATGCTGGATGTACTTGTTGGCGAGTTCAGGATGCATTTGCATGCATTTGTCACCTGAGACGCAGAGAGGCCAGGGATAGGTGAGTTGGTTCTTGTGTCTGCAGCCCACCATTTGCAGAAAGGAACAGTGTGGGTGATATCATCCTGCACAGCAGTGACATCCTTGCTTACACAAGCAAGCTTTGTGCTGGTTGTCTTGCTAGTGGTAACAGCTCTCTTCGAGACCTTTAAAGATCTTGCGGGCGTCGAGACCAGCTTTTCTCCTCTGTTTATGGTGTAGGTAGATGTGCTGCTTGTCGAAGATTGGCCGTTGACAACACATTTACAGACACTGGTAAGAGAGCTAGCCGCAAGATCAGGGAGAGGCGACGTGTTGCGACTGATGATGAGCCAGAACTCGCAGAACGCTTCACCATATTTGACATCTCCATTGAAAGTTTTGAGATCGGTGGCGGAGCAAGCTGAAAACATTAGCAATGGTGCTGTGGCTATTCAATGTGATGTAACACTTACTGGTGGTCTTGACCGCGGTGGTTGCCGTATGAGCGAAAGGAGCGAGAAGGAGTGCTGGAAGAGCAAAAGAGAGACGCATCTTGCTGGTTGGCAGTCGGCTCAAAACCGCTGGAGAACAAATGAACGAATACCAAGACGGAAAGTAGCAAACCAAACACCTCACGAGGAGACACTGGGAAAGAGTCCTATATGGACTACGCAAGGATACCTCTTAAACCTCCAGATCAAGGATCAGAAGGCACATATAAGACATCGCAACGGTACACATTTTCTGCTGCTCATAGAGAACCGGCAGAGGCGACTGTGTAGACCAAGCCAATAATCACAACGGGCCCGAGAAGGATTCAGAGACAGCCTGGTCCACTGCCGAACGTTAGTTTCTATGTCTACGAGTGTTGAGCAGTCCGGAAAGTTGAACGAGAGTCGCAACGCCGCCCAGATATCGTGACTCGTTGTGATCGAGGATTGTATGGTCGTACGGCAATCGAGAACAACGTTGGAAACAGCCTCTCGGCATTCTAACCTAGAGTAGGTTATTGGCATCTGCGTTTGGTCCCCGTAACTGTGTTGGTATGCTGTTTGACCAACCGCAGTGTAGGGCGGACCGGGCAGAGCAACGGTCATAGATGGTGGCTTGGTCGAGACTGTGGGAAAACACAACGTTTGTCTCTGAGAACAACCATGAATATCCGTTCGGAAGGACTTGATTGTATCGCCGCACGGCTTCGATGGCGGAGTTGATACTTGGAATACACTTCCTCCTGGAATACATATGGTAGATAGAGGTGGGTACAGTCTGGGTCAAAATTGAAGTGTGGACGGGAGAATGAAAATGTCGATTCTGATCTTACTCTTGGCATCATCAACATCACACGATCGATCGTATTCATGGCCAATAATTCTGGCCAATGTGCAAGCCTCGTAGCAAAGATGGGCCGGCCGCCCTTCCTTCTCTCTCTTCAAGCTATAATCCTTCACGATATCAAGTCTGGAGTGCCGGACTGTAAACACTCCGTAGGACTTTTTCGTACGAGATCAATTCGTGGCTCGTGGAGTCTAGATGCCGTTGCATGCTATGAAGACGTTGATTAGGTACTCCGAATGAGCCCCTCAGCATGACTCGTAACCCGGCTATCACCAGGCTACGTCAGCGACCCGCAACTCTTCGCCAGGCCCAACACAATGAGAATGGGCACATTGTTTTCTCTGAACACTTTAACAACGGTCATCTTGCAGGCAAGAACCCGACTCGGAGCGTAGAATACCACAAACATGTCTGGTTCGTCACAACGCCTGCGCATTGGTATCATCGGCGCTGGAGAAGGTATGCAACGGGAGACCATGGCATGCAGAAGCTATTAGAATTGACACAAGTCGTCAGTAACCCAAATCATTCATCTGCCCACCCTTAGTCAACTGTCGCATCTTTACGAGATTACTGCTGTTTGCGATCTGTCCAAGAAGGTCCGTCTGATGTGCCCATTGGTTCCACAGTATGGCTGACAAGCATTGCTCTTTAAGAATGCAGAGCACTGTGCAGCAAAGTACCACATTTCCAAAGCTACTACTGACCCGAAGGACATCTTCAACAGTCCGGATGTAGATATCGTCTTCATCTCCGTCTCTGACGAGTTTCACGAGCCCTACGCCATTGCAGCTTTAGAGGCGCAGAAGAACGTGTTTATTGAGAAGCCTATCACCCTGTCAATGCAATCTGCTCAGCGCATCATTGATGCCGAGAAGAAGTCCAAAGGCCGCGTGTGGGTGGGCTACATGAGACGCCACAGCCGTACTTTCACGGATGCTTTCAAGCGAGAGCTCGAATCCATTCCGAAGATCCTTTATGCAAGATCTCGTGACTTCTCAGGACGTATGTTTAACTCACCTGCCTCGAGCGGTTCCAGAATTACAAATGCAGATCTTCTGACTCGTTGCANNGCAAACGGTAAATTCACCTCCCAATCAGGCACTTTCCCTGTCAAGAACACCGACTTCCCACCTTCGGCAGGAGAAGAGCGTAACAGAAGAGTGGACGCCCTCTTACGGGAAGCCTTTGGCACTGACCCTACTCCCGAACAAGTGAACTATGCCCGCTTTTTGGGCAGCTTAGGTAGCCACGATCTGTCTCTCATGAGAGAATCTCTTGGCTTCCCTGAGGATGTGACCGCTGTCACTGTTAACGAGCCCTTCTACTCTGCCATATTCAAGTGCCGCAACAAATCCGGCGATCCATTCTTCGTGACTTATGAGTCAGGTATCGATGGAGTGCCAGAGTTTGACGCCCACCTCGCTGTATATGGCGAGAACAAGCGTGTTACCATCTTCTACGACTCCCCTTACATCAAGACGCAAAAGCCCGTCATGGTTAGAGTTCAGGAAGTCAACGAGACTGGCGAGGTTCAGACCAGAGAAATCATCAGCTCTTTCGAAGATGCCTTCGCCACTGAGTTCCAGGATATGCATGATTGCCTTGTCAATGGGAAGGAAATCAAGACCAGTGCCGAGGACGCTATCAACGAGCTCAAGCTGTATGACTTGATGTACGCAAAGTATGCCGAGACCAGCAAATAATGGCCATACACCCTATGAAATCGAGAAATCAATCTGTTTACATTTTGTCTAAACTGGGCTTTTGATGGGTGTCTCGTCATGCGAAACAGTATACTCGGTATGCCTGACGATAACCAGATCGTCATGGCCCCCATCACTGCTCACACTCTCGTGCTCACTCCAATACCTCTGCTCCCCAGCCTGCACAATAGTTCTACTTTCCAGCCCTTGTATCGAGGGTCTCAATTGCAGCGGGCCATCCATCTCATCCTCAAGACTAGGTGTCTTGACATGGAATCTATACCCACTGAGCTGCGTTCCAGTGTTTGTCCCTTTCGTGGTAGTAATGTTACTTTTGTACTCGCCTCCGTGCGTTCTAGGACCGCTGGATGATCCTACAGCAGACATGTTGTATGACCCCGCAGCACCGGGCATATGACCCATGCCGAAGCCGGTGCTGAAGCCATCGGTAAAGTTTTTCGAGGTCGTGAGGGTACAGGATATCAATGCGTATGTAAGTTCGACGGCCATCAATATTGTTACAAGGGTGCTGGATAGGTATATGTCGGCTGTTGAGGCTGAGGCGAGTTTTGAGGTGTAGAGTTGACGGATCACAGAGAGAGCTATTGTGNNCTGTGGGACAATTAGCTGGTGATGTGTACCCACGTGCAAGGAGATATCAACATACGGGATGCGCGTCCAGAAGGTCACTACAACCATGACCTTGCGCTTTTGGGGCATCTGTAATGACCATACGAGATTGATCGGCAATGCCAACAGAATGACTTCGGAGATGATGTCCAGCACTGCTATAGCCTGCCACCTACCCTCTTCACTAGGACAAGAATGCTTGTTTCCTGCAAAGTCCCAGTAGTAGCCAGATGCTGAAGGACGTCCGGCTGCGATTATAATGGCGCTTGCGACAGCCAAGATGGTGTAGACGAGGATGAGGATGTGATAAAAGTAAGAGCTGCGAGTCTTTGACTGAATACGCATGAGGAACACTAGAGCGGCGATCTTCGCAGCATGAGGAGCGAGGACAAAGGTCACAGCGCTAGCGACTGCAGTCTATGGGGAGCGATTAGCTTGGAGTCAGTGAGACTGTCCAGCCTATTGACTTACAGAACTCATTCGACCAATATTCCCCTTGATGGCATCGTATGGTTTCCCCAGGCCAGCTGTGAGGCATGCATACGAAGCTGCGAAATGTGCGATGACAGCGACGGTGGCGACAATTACGACGACATCATCCACGCCGAAGCTGCTCCTCCGCAGATGTACACGAATGCAGGTGAAGATCAGCGTGTACGTCAAGCAGATGCTTATAGCGACGTTCAAAGAATTCGCATATCCAAGATGGTGGACCAATCCTGAATTGTTGGTGGTCATTCTCTTTCCTCAATTCTGACACATCTGACAGGTACAGTAGGGCTGTCAACGCAAAAAGCGAGCGAAAAGAACGTATATGAAGGGAACCGGTAGTGTTGCAATATAGAACGGTATGAGAAGGAAGGGGCCCACAAACGACGTGACCCAAGTAAGGAAAGGTTCAAAGGAAGGAACAAAAGCTATTGTTTTTCTACCTCGCATCTCTAGCACATATGTGATGATCTCCCAGTGGTAGTGGCATACAGCACATACATGGATCCGGCACTTCACCGCACCAGTGCAATACGCCCTACAGTAGTACCTTCTGGCTTCGGCAATCGAGGGAAGACAAGCGTGTGTGCAAGTGATCAGTCGGCGAGGCATAGCGTCCCCGCTTTAACAAAGTGTGTGTGGTTGCTTCTTGCCCTCTGTTGAAGGGGCCAGAATCGCGAGATTATTGTTCGGTGCGTGTAGAGTGTCCAGGGCAATACCATAAGACGCTCGGACACCCGGATCAATTCCGAACCAAAGCAGGGACGCTCGCATTGAGGCTTGCACCTCATGGTATTATAGAAATCAAAGGATTGTACATACGAAACTGATGGCGAGATGTTTTCCACAGCTTGTTCGTGGACTTGCTTTGGCTGATGGCATCGATGTCTCGAAATCCATGTGGTGCTGACACACTGCTACTCGGTATACGGTGGTGCATATAATCGGCCGCGTGTGCGTTTCACCCTCTGCTGGCTGCAGCCCATCGATCCATCCAGCTGGTATCATAGAAGAAAAACCGGAGTGGTGCCATGTGGGCCATTTCAACTGCTCGAGCGGACCTCTTGTAGCGCTCCTGCCGCGAGTTCCAAGCAAGTAGGATTTGCTGAATTCTTCCGCATGATCTCAACAATGTTGCGCGCGTAAAGGAAGTGAAGGAAGTCCAATTCTCGGTCAAGCATTGTCGAGAAAAACAAGAAGACGCTTCGGACCTGGCCGGCGGCACGGGTCTTGGAGAACACATTCCGCGACTGGTTTGATGGCTTCATCTACTTTTCATGTCCTCAATTAACAAAATCTTGCTTCGTATAGCCTCGGTTGAATCCTTCGTTCGCAATTCTCAGGTCACAGAATGCTTGACTGATCCTTAGCTTCCCGCACGGCGCTCGGAAAGATGCTTGTTCGAACCTTCTCATCTGTCAGTCGGCGGCTTCAGAGTCCACTATACAACCGAAAACTCTACTGTTCCTTCGAGAGACAAGGTGGTAGGTAATATCTCTAATCCTTGGTCCCTGCATGTCTGGGTCTTCAGAGAGCAGCTGCTTCCATATTGCTTGAACTCCCCGTACGGCATAGACTTTACACGCGAACAACAGGCTGACGGGAGAATCGCTTCGTAATTTGACGATCAACCTGGACGACCATGATCCGCCCCCAGGCGATTGAGCACTCTAGTGGAGAGAGCAACTCCGCTTAGGTGAATTGCTAGTGTTATACACAAAAGCCACGGGCCAACCAAAGCTCAAGACGATCCGAGACTACCGAGATTCCTTCGATAGTAGATACGAAGGTATCACTCCACTGCTGATCCATGTTGCTTACTCACCTTAGACCCCACTATTGTAATTGAAGGTACACCACTGCGTAAGATGTAGCGAACCGCAGAATTTTGGCTCGCGGTCTAGTACGCCCGCCGGCTCATATGGCTCGTTTCTTGATGCTCGTGTTAAGGCTCTCCAAATTGATCTTCTCTGCGTGGTGTAAGCTCTTGGACCTGGATGGTTCGCAGCCGAGCACGGTGCCTTTGCCAATGCTTTTTGCTACCGACAGTACCACTGCTCTGGAAACAAGCATATCTTCATAGTCAAGCCATAATCGCCTCGTTTCTGCTTCCTTCCACTTTTCAGACTTGTCTCTTACACGCCGTCTATTCAAAGGGCCATGTCTGTGACTGGCAAACCTACTCACAGGCTCTCCTTCGAGGAGGTACCTTCGGAGAATGGCTCTCTGCCCGAAGTCAAGAAGGGCACTGACGCCGATGCTGCCGACATGTCGAGAATGGGCAAGAAACAGGTTCTGAGAGTATGCTTTGTTCATCCTCACAAAGATATGCAACACTTGACTAACAGAACTTGGTAGAGAGAGTTTCGCTTCATCTCCATTGTCGGATTTATCTGCATTCTTCAGTCCACTTGGGAAGGTGCTCTCCTTTCCAACGATCAATCGTTATACAATGGCGGCCTGGCCGGTACCGTATGGACTTTTATGGTCACTTGGGGTTTCACGCTCTGCATAATTGCATCGATGGCTGAGCTTGCCTCCATGGCCCCGACCGCAGGCGGTCAGGTAGGTCTCGTTGCTTCCTCTGAAATGATCAGCAATTGCTAACTTTATAAAGNNTACCACTGGGTCAGTGAGTTTGCACCTCCTTCTCTCGAAAAACCTCTGTCCTATATGGTTGGATGGAGCTCTTGGCTAGGTTGGGTGTCTGGCATTCCCTCTTGTGCACAATTCCTCGCCTACCAGGTTGAAGGTCTGGTTCTCGTCAATAACCCGGATGCAAACCTTGGAGAACTGTGGCAGATCGGTCTCTTGCTTTTCGCCTTCCTCTTCGTCACTTTCGGCTTCAATATCTTCCTTTCGCACAAGTTGCCCCTTGCCGAGGGTATCATTCTCGTGCTCCACGTTCTGGCTTTCTTCGCCTATCTAATCGTCTTCTGGGTGATGGCTGATGTCGGATCAGCAAAAACCGTCTTCACAGAGTTCTCTAATGGTGGCGGTTGGAGCAGCCAAGGTATTTCTTGTCTTGTTGGGCTGGTCACGCCCATCTGGTGTTTCATCGGTCCTGATGCAGGTGCACACATGAGCGAGGAATTGCGTGATGCTTCCCGTGTGCTTCCCAAGGCTATGATGTGGGCGACCGTCATCAACGGCGCACTCGGCTGTGTCATGATCATCAGTTTCTGCTTTGCTGCCGGCGACAATCTGGATGGCATCTTGAACACTGGCACTGGCATCCCTATCGTGCAGCTTCTCTACAACATCACGGGCTCCAAGGCTGGAACATCAGTTATGACAGTCGTACTCCTGGTCCTCCAGTACTTCTCCGCCATTACTACCATTGCATCTTCCTCGCGCCAGACTTGGGCCTTTGCCAGAGACAGAGGATTCCCCTTCAGCGAGTGGCTCAGCCGCGTGGATCCCCGCTGGGATGTCCCTGTCAACTCTCTACTCCTCTGTCTTGTCGTTTCCCTCATTCTCGGCGCCATCAACTTCGGCTCCGAAGTCGCTCTCGACGCCATCATGTCCGTGTCCAATTCGGCACTGTTGTTCAGCTACATCGTCTGCATTGGTTGTGTGCGTCTGAAGCGCTGGCGCGGGCAACCTCTTCTACCTCGTAGTTTTGACTTGGGTAGATGGGGTGCTCCTCTCAACGATGCCGCATTGGCATTCCTGATCGTGGCGTTCATCTTCTCGTTCTTCCCCGAGGACGTTAATCCTGATGCGCCGGACATGAACTGGGCGATTGTCATCTGGGGTGCCATGTGGGTGATGGCCGGTAGCTATTACTACTTTGGCGGCTCCAAGAAGTACGTCAGTCCTGGTAGTCTCGTCAAGAATATGTAAAGTCAAGAACAGTTGTCCATAGGGCAATATGGCACACAATTAATAGAATCAGACACAACAAAGTGTCCCATTACTTACACAATCTGCTCGGGACTGACTCTTGTTCAATCCACGGCTCTTTGGATAACAGTTCACAATGTCTGACCGTCCACCGAAAACTCATGATCTTGCTGAGCCATGTAAATGCTTCGATCAAGACAGTATACTAACGTTGTGGCAGAATTCTCTAAACAGTATGTAAGAGTGCATGTTTGTCGGAATGAACATGGGATATCGAGTGTGGTTGCTGGTGCTGGATGACCAGTGCCTCTTCCGAAGATATGCCAAGGTCACGACCATGATATTTGTCACCCAGGACCTGCATTTTCGTCCTTTCCTTCTAGCGGATATTACTCATGTGTTTTCCTTTCTCGACCACGTGCGCTTCAGGAACATTAGTCGTGCAGAAACGGTTGTTCCGGCATGCATCCGAATCTTCCTTGCATCATGGATATTCTGCTTCTCCCAACTTAAATCATGCCATTACTCGACATGCATACCATCCATGTCGGCGCATGAAAGAATGCCATAGACTCTGAGGTGTTTGTCTTTCAGGTACCATGCTACAGCGAGATTGGCTTCTCGCAACGACAACCACCGTTTGATAAACCTAATTCGCAGTCATCCAAATCACGATCTCAGAAAGTTTGGTATGCACCGATTCGGAAGTCTCGGCCTGTCGTCCAGCGTTTCACTCTCGATGATTTACGTCATTATTTTGTTGCTGGTATGCGAAAGATGAAAACATAGAGATGTCAGTCAGAGTCTGCTTCTTTTCTTCAATCAAATCTCCTTCTGTTGCCCTTGCTATTCCATTTGACAGCAATCCTTTCCTTCGTCTCTCGCGACTCGACGCTTTACGAACACTTTAAAGCAAGAAAATCGCCGGATATACCATTACAACGAAACGCAATGTTCGACTCGTCTTTCTCCTACTCCTCCGAGCAACCTCTCTCCAGAGGGGCTTCCGACGCGATTGCGCTCAGGCTAATGCACGATATGGATGTCATCATGCACCTGAACCCAGACTGCAAGGGGATCAAACTCGTGTCGGACCCATCAGCAATCCCGCAAGAATACAAGGTCGAAGACAGTCTAGCATTCGTGCCCAAGAAGCTCTGGAGCGGAGGTGTATGGTACACGGCATTCTTCAAGCCTGTCGAGGACGGCTGCGACATCACAATTCAGGCACCCGGTGGCTTTACTTCGACCAACAAGTGGCGCTTGGTCAGGAAGCCAGATGGAACACGAGTTATCTCGATTACAAGCGATGCGAAGTGCAGCAAAACATTCGCGTACTTTGTCAAGAAGTTCTTGGAGACTCAACATGGTCAACTACAACGTACCTTCAATGAGCGCGTCGAAGCAGTCGCAAGACCTGGGATTCCACGCCGCAGGTCATCGATGCCTAGATCTTTCAGAACGATGGGTAGCGCTCGAGACATGGTGGCCGCCTAAGGACGAAATCAGCAATTTTCTACGAGTGGCTTACTTCGCATTTGCACCGAGACGGCGTTGGTCATTGCTAGAAGGAAGCCTGTTGGAATCAGGCCATTAAGCCCAGGATGTTCTTGGATATACATATCACGACTTTTACGACTGTAATAATAATTAATTCCATAACACGCATTTCCTTCACAAATTGGTGGTTAATATGAATATCATTGCGATTTTAAGTCGGGCAGCCACGGACGGTACTGGCCGAGGAAATACGTTGTAGGGCTGAGTCCTGAAGATGCATATCTTGCCTAATCGGTGGTCGATACGAATGGGCAGCGAGCGATCTCCGTAGCACCTGACTTTTGTGCAAGGAGAGATCGATGACTTTGACACAGCACTATGCGCATTCCTCAAAGTGAGTTGAGAGAGGATGCTCAACTGATGGTTCTTGCAAAGCAACAGGCAAGACGACGGCGAGATGCAAAAGGAAACATGGAAAAGTGCACATTGGCATGAGCCTGTTCGGGGAAACGGTTCGCCTGGTCGCACCTCCAACGGCAGGTGGCCCGTTGCCGCGACGGAAGATATGCAAAGGGGAAGTCGGGATGTGTAGCCGAGGCTTGCGGGAGTGCAGTTTCCCAAATCGTCGCAGTGACAGCGGACTCCATGACACGCGCTGATAAATCGACCATACGTGCAGCCGACAAGGCGCAATCTCGACCGGGCCGTGACTTTCTTCAGTTTGCAACACCGGCGTCGACTTGTACAGACTTGCAGACTTGATGCGCGCGCCGTGAGAGTCGAGTTGCGAAAAGTCTTTGCGCCGCCAGCGTCGCCCCGTCCATGCAGTCGTCCAACACGGCGGAGAGTGGCGGGCTCAACTTTGTCTTTGAATCCGGCTCTTCTGGACGCGAAAACAAAAAGTATGTCAGGTCGCACGCTGCAAAGGTTGGCTGGTCGCAGAGGAGCAGGAAGCAGGCACAGGCTGGCCCCAAGGACGTCGACGTCGCCGTAGNNCCAAAGACAACCCGACGCCCAGGAAGCGTCGCAAGACGACTGCTGCACACTCCGAACAACAACCACAACACCAGAAAACCACTGCTTGCTCGCCTCCGCCCCAACACTTTGNTGAATAGACCTGTCCACTATCAAGCTGAAGCCGGAGCTGGAGCGACATCTGGAGCTGCGATTGAAGCCTCGAGAAGTTCCCCATCGAAAGCCACACAGCTCCCGCCACAACCACATGCCCTCAATCGACATGGTCACTTTGCTGCATACTCGGCTTCGCAAGCGCCCACTCCTGCCATTCTAGCTCCTACATATGCCTCTGCTCCAATTCCCTCCCCAGCGCCGTCTCACCACTTTCATCATCCAGGCCAACCCGCTTCCGTACGAGTTCACGATGTGGAAACGAGCCCTCCAGTCCGAGTAGCCACAACTGCTGCTCCAACCTATCCCTCCACCCAAGGTGTCTCTCAATGGCACACGAGGGCCGAGCCTGTCCATTATGACTCGGTCGCACAGCAATCTCATGTGCCGCTGTTTCGGCCAGCCGCATCGCCAGTGACAATGCACCCGCCACAGGCCATGCCCGGAGCCGACATCCTTCATCCTGTACCACCAGCCAGTGCGTTGCCTTCTCCGCGACTGCCACCTCTAGTAAACACGCCGACCTCGAGACCCTTGTTGATAGGCGCCAATTGGAGACAATACGACAACATGTCTGCCACGAATCCTGAATCCTCACGCCCGTCCACGCCAGCTATGCCTACATCAACGAGACATGAAGAGCACACCGACGTCTCCGCAAGGACACCACAACGCCCGTCGCCAAAGAGAACGTCAACGCCTGCCTTCCTTGAACTGGTTCTGAATGAAGAGTATCCCATGTGGAAGAATGTAGATTCTGGCAGCGACTCGTTCAACGTCTTTCCCGTCAAGTGGCAGCCTTTCTACGGCCGCCTGCTCCAGAACNTGTGAGTGCATCAGATCAGGTTTGACTAGGTGAAATGCTCAGGCTGACCTCCAACAATAGACCGCTCCAACATGCTCGTCCAACTCGACGAGATCCTCACAGGCTGGACAGTAGACCAAAAGCTAGAATTCAACCAAATGCCACTGCGCCTCGCCGGCTCGGAGCCCTGTCTCTTCTACTCTCTCCTCGCTACCGCCTCCATCATGATGCCTCCAGGTCTCATTACGCCGACCATCCCACGCTGGCTACAAAATCGTACAGTCGAATGCCTCAACCAAGCCTTCGCAGACCCCAAACGCGCATACAGTGACGCCACAATCCTGACGCTGAACATGGTAGCCCTCTTCGAATCCTGCAGTGGCCACGCTTCCGTCGCCGCTTCCACCCATCAACCCGTTCTGCGGCGTATGGTCGACGAGCGCGGTGGATTGACCGGACTTGCCAGAAACGACAACGAAGACTCGAAAAACTTGGTCAGGTTCCTGGCTTGGACGGATAGGGTTATCAGGTGTCAGACCGGCAATCCACTCATGTTTGAAGACTTTAGAGAAGAGGAGAGTGTGCAGAAGACGGATTGGGAAGGCATCTGGGCGAGGATGGAGAGGAGGGTTGAGGAGAATAGGCCGCAGCCTATTGAAGAGTTGCCTGATTGCTAAGGTATATCGTTTCTCAGCAATCGCCTTTTTTTGCTTTTATGTTCTGTTTGGGATGGAGAACACTGATCTGGAGTTTCAAAGGGGTGGGGTTTGTTTGCTCTGTTCTCTGTGTGGTGTTTCTGTCTCCAATCTTTGTACAGTCGTCAGTTTGTCTTTTTGCTCCCGAACTCGTAGAGTTCAGTTACCCGTATATAGCCAAGATGATACCCAGATACCACAAAATTGCAATCTTTCTTTTTTTTTCTTATCTTCTACTCTCTGGTCTTGTTTGCGAGAAAGAGGCTTCCGGCATCCATCACATCGTTTTGAGGTCTATTGTAAGCAGCTCGAAATTGAAAGATGGAAAATTTGGGTATGCGCGTTCTGGCAGGCCAACAACTACGAGTATCCAAGCATCCCTTTCTAAAAGAAACAGGGAATCGAAGCTTTTGAAAGCTTTTACAGTCCCAAAACACTCTGCACACCAATACTTCTCGCATCCTCTCTCATAAGGATAAACGGCTTTAGATCAGCCTTTTCAATCACAGCACCACCACTAGCATCTGCTTTAGCACCAGTCTCGCCATCCAATCCCTTGATCCTATCCCTCAACGCCTCGGGCCCGATGACAAACAAATTGGCAACTTCAGTCAGTACCTCCAAACTCTCGATAAAGGGTTTGGGCAATGTTGTCCAAGACTTGAGTAATTCAATGTATTTGGCCATGTCTTTGGAGACAATGAGGCCGCCGGTGAGGGAAACGGGATAAGCGCGGAAGTGGGCGAGAAGGAGGGCGCGAACGCCCATTGCCAGCTCCAGGAGAAAGTTTTCGAGCACTTTGCCGCTGAGGGCTGTTTCCGCGCGGCTGTGGACTTTTGTGAGGAAGTTGAAGAGGGCAAGGCAGGTGGGTGTTTGGAGTTGGTCTAGTTGGAGTAAGGCATCGTCGCGAGGGCGGAAGTCTGTCTTCTTTTGTTGAGACAGAATGCGTGAGGAGTAGGAGAGGGTGGCATCGATGGTTTTCTGGAGGATGGTGTCGATTTTGGATTCGCAGCGGTCGATAAAGGAGTTTGTTGTTTTGTCGAGGTCGCGGCGGATAGTGAGGTTGCTGGCTGCGAGAGGGAGAAGAAGGGTTTGGATTGTGGCGAGCAGTAGGTGGAGGATGCTGACTGCGCTGCGGAGGTCGACGAGGTGGCCGAAGTCCGGTTCGGTTTTTGTGCTGCTTTCGGCTGCTGTGGCGGACTCTGTGACGGCGTCCAGCGCTGTTTCCAAGTAGATCTCGCCCATGTTTGCGATGAGCAGACCCAACAGTTCTCGCACATCTTTGGGTGTCTCATGTCCGTTAGCTAATTCAAGACCTCGGCCTACACTCTCGGCCAGCCATTTGAGCATGCGTTTGATGAACGGTAAGCTCAGTTCGCCATCTTCTTCTGATACGTCAACGTCATTCCTATTATGGGTATGACTTGCGGTAGGGTTTAGTCCAGCAATTCGCAAAAGAGTGGACTTTTGGGAAGCTGGAATATCCGAGTTTTCGAGTCTGTCAAGATATGTGTCGCGTGTTGAGGAGATGAGTTCTCTGCTACGCGCGGAAAGAGAGCCGAGATATGACGTTGGCATTTTTCGTCGGCGAGTGTGGTAGGTTGTGAATTTGAACAGAAGAGAGGAGTAAAGTTCTTCCAAACTTCTCTTCTCACGCTCGATATATGATGAGCCAGAGAAGTATGGCACAAACAAGTCTTCGAGTTGCTGGTCAAGGACAGCGGCAGTCTGTGCAGAGGCAGGTTCTGGATGCTCAGTCAAGCCGTGTGCCTTCAAGTCTTCGACCAAGGCTGAGATGTAGCTCCTACTGGCTTGTAATGAACGCAGAAAAGCTAGACCAGAAATTGAGTCTGCCTTGTCGAGCACCATTTCGAGTTTCTGTTGTATAGATTGTTGGAAGATTCTCTGTAAGAAGCGCACCAAGACTTCTTCATGGAAAGGGAATGCTCTCTTGATGATAAAGCTCTCTTCTTGCACGACAAGTTTCACTTCATCCACCAAGCTCTGCAAACTAGGCTCAACACCCGGCGGTTCGGTGTCTGGGTCGGCAAGACGTTCCCACGTATCTGACTCGGCGACCAAGTCTTCGGTTATGAGCTGGCTGCGGTCGATGAAGAACTGATGCTGATTTACAAACAGACCCATGACACTAGCACCATCACCAAAGTCTTTCAGAGCAACAGCACACTCTCTCATGCCGTCAAAGTTCTGGCGTCTGTAAAAGTCGTCGAACTGCTTCAAGAGATCCTTCTCTAGTGATTCGAGGAACTTCTCGATCAACTCAGTGGGCGTGTCGTGACCGTTCGTGCCATCACCGTTAGAAAGCGAGTTTGATGAGTCAAGACGTTGGCTGATCTTGAGCAGTTGACGAGCAATATGGGCGCAGCGCAACTTTCCCTCACCACCTTGGAGTCTCCTGACATCGTCAAGGCTAGACAGATCACGACGCTCGCTGACGTCGATCCAGCACTGCAATATGAATTTGGCGTCCTGAGCACGCTGGCTTTGGCGGTCCAGCTCGTCGAGTCTCTCTCCTATCCTCACAGCAGCATTTCCTCCTTGGTCGCCATTATCCAGGCTCCTTTCTAGACGATGGAAAGAGTCGACAGCACGTTCGAGCTCCCGTTCNCTAGCTTGGACGTTCGTGTTGTGCACAGCTTCTGCTCTTCTTACACCAGCGGATAATTCATTCTCTTGCAGTTCAAGATCCTCGCTCAGCAGCTTGAGTCTGTTCAGGGCCTGTTCGAAGGTACGGATCAAGGGTTTGGGGTCAAAGGCGACAGCTTGCGGGCCAGTACGGCGACTCGGAGGAATTGCAGCATCGGAAAGAGCTTCGATAAAGTCCTTGACTATGAAATCCTGGCTAGAGAAGGTGTCGAGAGTAAATTGAGGCTGTCGCGAAGCACCAAAGCGGGAAGGAGCAGCCGAGACGCCCGAGAAGATGGACGCGTTGTCGGCAGCGGAAGGCATTGCAGTCGTCTTGCTCGCACTACCGCTCTCTTGACGAGGACATGGCAATATGCACAGAGTAGTGTATAGTGAGTCAACAGCGGGGTGGGAAGGAGCGAGGGGGTGGAGACGCGTGAGCTGGGCCAAGCGCGGAGAGGCTGACGTCGCTCCTGCCCTGGAATTATTCTGTGAACCACACCTTCCAAGTTCCAATTGGGAGTCAACTACACAATGGTTGGAGCCTTGAAACAAGAGGCTCTCCGTAGCAACACCGGCCCTGATGGACGGCCACTGTCGGCACAAGAACGCGAACGATTGCTGCAGCCCTATCTGCCCGATGCTTCACCTCGCAACCCCCAGCGAACGCAACCGCTGCGCCAGCTGATCAAGGCGGGCCTGCACCTCTTGCTGTACAACCTCATCCATTTCGCCTTCTCCGTCTACCACCGCTTTCGCGTCGCATACCACAACCTGATCGACCGCGTCTTTGCCGTCCTGTACTACCACCACCGTACCCCAGAGTACATCCAGAAGGATGTCCACCGCCTGAAGAAGCTGCCCAAGCACCTGTCCGTCATCCTCGAGCTGGACGACAGCACACGCGACAACTCGAGCCTGGAAGCCCTGATCCACGATGTCTGCGAGGTCGCTGCGTGGTCCGCCTGCGCAGGTGTGCCCCTGTTGAGCATCTACGAACCCTCCGGTACCACGGTCCGCACTTCCTTGGCCACGTCCTCTGTCTAATCGCTTCTAGGCCTCCTCAAGCAGTCCCTGCCACTCGTACACCGCCGCATCTCGCGTACCTTGGCTGCTTATTTCGGTCATGACAACCCAAACAAGCCAACCCTTTCGCTGGGCGCTCCTCACATGCAATCTTTCTCGCCGCCTGCCTCGCCCAAATCAACCCTCGATGCCAACTCTTCGAAGTCGCCTCCCCATCTCTCCATCCTGCTTTTGTCAGCCTCTGACGGCCGTGGTACCCTCGTTGATTTGACAAAGACGTTGGCTGAGATGAGCCAGAAGNGAAAACTTGCTCCCAAGGATATTTCTACGGACTTGGTCGATGCCGAGCTCACCGAGAGCGTCATGGGCGAGCCTGACCTACTAATGCTGTTCGCTGATGGTGTCCATCTGAAAGGATACCCTCCGTGGCAGTTAAGGCTCACCGAGATTTTGTAAGTCACACCCTTTGCCGGAATGAGGCTTCCATTGCTCCACAAGCAACCCAAATGCTGACATATTCTGATCGCCAGCCATGTTCCTGACAACAACGGCGTTGGATACCAAGTCTTCCTGCGCGGTCTGTACAAATATGCCCAGGCTCAGATGAGGTTTGGAAGTTAGACATTGATTCGAAATATTAACCAACGTCACCTGCCTGTCAATGGCCAAGGTTTGTTACTACTCTTGCTGTACAAAACGTCACCCCACTGCGCCGAGGTTGCAATCGACGTCGTGGCACCTAGTAACATGGCCTGGAGGCGTCATAAGACCATGTACCCTCGAAGTCGACTCTTATTCTGACACTCTTCTGTCCATCTAGATCTTTGTAAGTCTTAGAACCCAAAGTCGCACCGAATGACCGTCATCCGAAGACACCTGCGAATTGTGGGGCTAGTGTAGAATGCTCATGGTATAGTTCCTTCCTTCAATTCATTGGCAACTGCCTGCTTTCATTCTTGATTTAGTGATCTCAAGTCAATCGTTCTTTCTATATGAAATGACCCTTCGCTTCCTAGATTTACGGGGTCTCGTCCCAGTCCTTCATCACCTTCAATTCATCAAACGCCTCACTCTAAAGTCCTGGGGCGCAGTCTGTACGGACAGATTCACTTTGTTAATACGCATACCCTCAATTCTTGACGATTGGGTTGCTGCGTCCACTTCTACTATTATGCAGCACTCCTCTTCGGTATCGAGATTCGGCCTTCTCCATCTGCCGATCGAGCTCCTCGATCAGATCATTCTCTACTGCGTCACTACTGAGCCTATGACTGTCTCTCTGGCACAGACAGCAAGCTCTTTGACGCGAAGTCTATTTCCTNTCGTCTCTCGCCGAAAACGTTACACAGTAACCAACTACCCATACAACCTGCTCCTGGTCAATCGCCTGATCTCTCGCCTTGCTTTTAGTCACATCTGGACTCACAAGTCTCTCGTCATCTCTCTGACTCCATCAGATACGCTATGCTTCCTCCTGCACGGGCTAAGCCAACAACAAAAGGACGCGCTATGCAAGGTACAACTCCCTAGGTTCTTACTCAGCTGGTCATTTCCCGTCAACTCGGACATCTGGCTAGTCGCTGGCAAGGAAAAGACCGAGAGTTGGTACGAAGATGCCAAGGACCCCGAGAAGGATGTCCAAGGCAAGAGGTTCCAAGCACTGGTTGGCATGTTGGGTAAGAGACCCAGTTGTTGTTGTCAGTCATGGAAGCTTAACATGGGACTCACTCAATCGTGACAGCTCAAGTGCCTCTTTCTTCTGCGCAGCTGGTTCTCTTGGAACAGTTCTCTATCGGCTGACTGCTCTGTCGAACTTTGTGATGCGCGGAAGACGGAGGTATTATCTGACATCTCTCTTCAACCTTTCGATCTACGGTCTTGAACGCTGGTCGTCCTCGAGCACTCGTGGCATCGCCAGCAATTAACTCTCCTTTGTAAGCACAACTGCCCAATCTCTCTATCAGAACAACTAACCAATACAGGCTGCAGCCTCGAGAGCTTGTTATATCTCCTCGCTTGTTCATGTTTGTTATCGGACAGCACAACCTGGCGTTGGAGACATCTCAAGTTTGTCCTTTCAAGCATGGCATTCTGCATTCACATGGCACGTGGGGTACTTTCAGACACTGTATCTCTTGTCGAGTGTCTTTCAAGTGACCTATCAATAGTTGAAAACATTAGTTTTGAATCCCCTCTTCAAAACCAAACTTACTTCTAAGTTCTTTTGATGAAACCGGCTAAGATTTGATGCGTCTGGTATGACCCTGGCCGTGACACCGTACTAGACTTAAGGACTCACCACTTTATACAATGCCCTTTTAGTTAAGTTTATAGAAGTACAGTATATTACTTAAGCTGTTTAGATGCATAAGATCAATTCATGATACTATGTTGGCTCGATCCACGCTCAACCATGCTGTTTTCGAACTCCAGGATAATCTTCGACCAGAAACATGCATCCTTTGTGACAACATACATTCGATCCTCTAACGGTGTCAAATCTCCCCAGCTCTTGGTAGCACTTCTTTAGAGTTCGGTGGAAAGGACATAAAGATAATCAAGTAAAAAGAGGGCAAGCCAGCAAGAGACGTAGTAGCAGACTTGTGCCAAAAAATGCAAAAGAATATCTATCCAGAGGATTTGATTATGCCGATTGCCTGAATCGAACAAGCGATCTTCGCATTACAAGTGCGACGCGTTACCCCTGCGCCAAACCGGCATGTTGGGGGATAGATGGAATTCTGCTTCGCCTGTTCCACATATCAAGCTGTGCCTGCCTCAGCCGCCCTCCAGCATTCGTAGGCCTCTACATCCGGACCGCAGACGAGGTTCCGGATCGTGTCTCTCGGCTTCAATGGTCGAACGAGACAAACAACTTCCAACTTTGCAGCCAAGAGAGAGTATAGAAAGTAGAACAGTTTCACAATTGCATGAAAGTCTCTGACCAGACCAAAAAAATGGTTTCTCCCAACTGATGCCACGGCATCTGCCGGCAGCCTGTGCGAAAGTCCGCCAAGCCATCCGCACAGGCTCGATGAAGCTTTCGCGCGAAAAATTATCTGCCATCGACAGCGACATTAGAAGTCTTGGGAGGACAGCAGTTTCAATCTTTTCCAACAAGACTACACATTCAAAATGGCGCTCGTTAAGGCCGGCGAGGCCGATTACTCGATCAAGCCCGAGAACATCACACCCACCATCGACACCAGTGCCTGGCCGCTGCTTCTGAAGAACTGGGACCAGCGTACGTCGTAGAGCTCTTCCACATTTGTGATTCCTCTCAACTAACTCGCCTGCGCGCAGNTCCTTGTTCGCACTGGTCACTTCACCCCCATCCCTGCAGGCGCAACCCCCCTCAAGCGTGATCTCAAGTCGTACATCTCCTCAGGTGTCATCAACCTCGACAAGCCCTCCAACCCCTCTTCGCACGAAGTCGTCGCCTGGATCAAGCGCATTCTCCGTTGCGAGCGTACTGGTCATTCCGGTACTCTCGATCCCAAGGTCACTGGATGTTTGATTGTCTGCATTGACCGCGCCACCCGCCTGGTCAAATCGCAGCAGGGTGCCGGTAAGGAGTATGTTTGTGTCATCAGACTGCACAACAAGCTCCCCGGTGGCGAGCAGCAATTCGCCCGCGCTCTCGAGACCCTTACTGGTGCTCTCTTCCAGCGTCCTCCTCTTATTTCCGCCGTCAAGAGACAGCTCCGTATCAGAACCATCCACGAGAGCAAGCTTTACGAGTTCGACAACGAGAGACAGCTTGGTGTCTTCTGGGTTTCTTGCGAGGCTGGTACCTACATCCGTACACTCTGTGTTCACCTTGGTCTCTTGTTGGGTGTTGGTGCTCACATGCAGGAACTGAGACGTGTGCGATCTGGTGCCATGGACGAGCAGAAGAACCTTGTCACCCTCCACGACGTTCTTGACGCCCAATACCTCTACGACAACCAGCGCGACGAGAGCTACCTCCGTCAAGTCATCAGCCCCCTCGAGTCTCTGCTCACCACTTACAAGCGTGTCGTTGTCAAGGACTCTGCCGTCAACGCAGTCTGCTACGGTGCCAAGCTTATGATTCCTGGTCTGTTGAGATACGGTATGTTTTGTCTCGCCACATTGACCATGAACACTGTGCTAATAATTTACANNGAATCCGGTATTGAGGTTCACGAGGAGATTGTCCTGATCACCACCAAGGGTGAGGCCATCGCCATTGCCATCGCCCAGATGTCGACCGTTGAGCTCTCTACTTGCGACCACGGTGTTGTTGCCAAGGTCAAGCGTTGCATCATGGAGCGTGACCTCTACCCTCGCCGCTGGGGCATGGGCCCTGTCGCTACCGAGAAGAAGAAGATGAAGGAGAGCGGCAAGCTCGACAAGTACGGCCGCCCCAACGAAGCCACCCCTGCCAAGTGGAATGCCGAGTACAAAGACTTCAACCTGACTGTCAACGGCGAGTCGACCACCGGTGCTGAGAAGATCGCTACTGAGGCTGCCCCCGTCAAGGAGGGCATCACTGGTCAATCCAAGGACACCACCTCCACCGACGAGGTCATGGCCGCCCCCGCTGTTGCAGGAGACGGCTCAGACGTCAAGGACGCAACCATGGAGGATGCCGGCTCAAAGAAGGACAAGAAGCGCAAGCGCGATGGCGAGTCAGCCGAGGAGAAGGCTGAGCGCAAGAAGAAGAAGGCCGAGAAGAAGGAGAAGAGAAAGAGCAAGAGCAAGGCCGACAGCTCTGACAGCGAGTAAATGCAGATTTGACCGCAGCAGGGTGGAAGCATGGAACTAAAAGTAAAGCGCATTACAATGTATAGTACGCGCGCGGACAGGAAAGGCGGCGTTTGGGCACGGTGTTCAGGCGTTGAATATCAGTGACGGCGATTGCAGCATATGCCAGCGGGAAAGTCGGATCTCCTTTGCAATGAACAAAATCACGTTTTATCACCATTCACTTGATTTTGATTCTCCTGACTCGGTCTTGTGATGGGGTTGGAGTGAGCAGTCGGATGTTTGAGTTTGATAAAGCATGAAACTGGCCGTTACGCATGACGTGGGATTGATCACGCAGCAGAAGGTGGCAGTTTATCAAAAACCTGAATAAGCAGTCCGCGACGTAGGAATACAATAAGGCCTATATATGGAAAGGAATGATAGGTCCTGAACAATCGTGTTGTACATAGGTAGATACAAAGGGCCAGACCGAGTCTCTTCATTCCTGAATCTCCCGCGTTGGCGACGGCTTCGCTTTCACGAAACTTCCCAAAGCGGAAGAAGACTCACCAACTCGCTCTTTCTTTGACTTTCGAGCCACCAAGACGCAATTCTCTGTCTTACTTCTTTCTTCTCTCTACACCACACATCTTCGGCCTACTAATCAGTCGCTCGCCTTCTGTCCTCTTCACAATCAAGGATACCCGAGATCGACAGCCCCTCCCCTCATACATCATGGCCGACAAGATCCTAATGACCGAGTTCAAGACTCTCTCCAAAGAACCCTGGACCAACATCGAGGTATGTCGTGTCCATTCGATCGTGGATGCGACTGCGAAACTGACATTCAGACGTCCAGNNCTCATCGACGAGAACATCTTCACCTGGCATGTCGCCCTCATGGTCATCAACCCAGACTCGATCTACGATGGCGCCTACTTCAAAGCAAAGATGACATTCCCTCGCAACTACCCTTTCAGCCCTCCTGGTACGTCGCTCCGCCCTGACTCTTACACACCGTCCGGTACTGACTGAGATCGCANNGAGTTCAAGTTCACCCGCCCCATGTTCCACCCGAATGTCTACCCCGACGGCAAACTCTGTATCTCCATCCTGCACCCTCCCGGCGAAGACGAAATGTCAGGCGAACTCGCTGCCGAACGCTGGTCCCCTGCTCAACGCGTCGAGTCTGTCCTCCTCAGTATCCTATCCCTTCTCGACGACGCCGAACCCTCCTCACCCGCCAACGTAGACGCTGGAGTCCTGCTCCGCAACAACCTCGAGGCATACAAGCAAAGAGCCCGTCAAGACGTCGAAGCTAGCAAGGCCGACATCCCTGAAGGCTTTGTCGTGCCTACACAACACGCCACCTATAAGCCCGAAGTCGAGGACGCCCGGTTCAGCTGGAGCGACTCAGAGGTCGAGGACGACTTCGACAATGATAGTGACGCAGAGATGACCTTCGATGAAGATGATGAGGACGATGAGCAGGAGATGGCTAGCGACAGCGATGATTGAACATGAGGCACTCATCATGGTCCACACATTCTACGGCGTTTTTGCTTTATTCGATACCACCAGCGCGGCGTTCAGGACGGGAATTCCACAAGCAGAGACATGAATTATCACCGACCAGGGACATGGGCATATGCACAGGAGTTACCGGCTGGTTTACGGCGCATTTTTCAGCTGCTTTTTCAACACTTTATTACACAGTTTTTATTAGACCAATATATGGAGGATATCCTTTGTATTCACTTCTTCAGAGCATTCAGTCTTTTATCGCGGGATCAATGTCCAGCGAGAGCCAGTAGCGACTATCACGAATCGCTCGAACAATGAATAGTACACTCGAAGAATGAATGGTATAGAGTGAGTGAGGGGCTCAATGACGTAGCGTGGCCAGTTCACCGGGCCAGCAATCAGTCAACTTTCAAAGCAAACACTCGGTCGCGTTTATCATATAGACCTTTTGTACAGTCGCAAAGCGCATCTATATCCTCCTGTACAGGCACCATGGCCGACTCGAACGAGGAGACCATCCAGATGCTGACCGGCATCTCCGGCTGCACAGATGATGATGCGCGTAGATGGCTCAAGGTCAAGAACAACGACGCAGACGCTGCTCTGAACGCAATATTAGACAACGAAGATCTTGCAAAAGCCGAGGTATGTTGTCTGTTACTTCCTGCTAAAGACTGTCACGATCCAGCTAGAGAAATGCACAATACCTTCCAGAAGGCAGTGATGGCCATGGAGAGAGATTAGTCAGGATATCTTCCATGACCGCACTTCTGATATGGGAAGTATTGTGCATCTCATAGCTTATAGTATCGCGATACATCCCCTTGAGAGAGTGGTTTTGTGTCACAGTCTTTGGCACACTTCTCACCACGCTCATATGTTAACCCACGCCAGACAACCAATANCCTGGAGCGAGAATGATTTCAACGCCGGCCGCGATGGAACCGCTGCATACGGTCCTCAAAACTACTGTGCGATATCCTTATTAAAGACGTTCTACATGTGATAATGAATTAACAATATCAAGNCATACAACGAACAAAATCTGCGCCCATTAGGACAGAGCACAGCCCCGACCAGAGGCAACTCACCCGCTCCTTCTCTCCATCAACCTCCCAACAGAGATGACGAAGACGCTGATCTACAAAGAGCCATTGCCGCATCACAATCACAACCGACCGGTGTTACTCTACCCGGAATCAGCACCAACTTCAAACCTGCAACGGACGACCATTACGAGCCTTCCAAGTGGTCGATGACTACCGTTGGTATGGAATCCCAGCAGGCTAGCGAGATCATACCAGATCTGGAGCCCCATGAGCGCAAGAATGAAGCTGGTGAACCGATTTTCTTGAAACAACTTCCTTCTGGCGATTATCTGCCCAGTTTGCTTACTATTGCGCACTCTGTTCCCTTGGCACGTAAGGCTCTGTTGGCACCACACAAGACTTACTCTTCCTATGGCTCGGACTCTGAGTGGTGGAAGGGCCATGGTATACGCCTGCCCAAGATCGTCAGCACTGTCAGTGGTGAGCCTATGGAGCCAGCCACCACCAATCAGGATGAGATCGTCGCAGAGATGCAGCGTTTGATGGCTTTGCTAGACGACAGCTCGAGGTCATATGGCAGTGCCGAAACCCTTGTTCGCCTCGCAGAAATCAATGATGGATGTATTCTGGACAAAGTCCTTGAGGCGTGGGAACATGCTGCTTTAGATGACATGGATGAGTCTCTAGACACCGATAACTTCGTCTTCCACTCGCTGGTGGGCTCAACGAACCCCGAATCCATGACAACTACGGATCTGTTCTCCTTGCCGCTGTCCGTCAGCCCAGCCCCTGGCGGCTCGAGTCAAGAGCTAGCCGCTATAATGGACGACACTCTTTGGGATACTGACGGGGATGAACCGACCTTGTACGACAACTACATAGATCATTGCGCCCCAGTCCTACCTATCCGCCTGACCCAAAATGACTCTTCAAAGGGGACTTTGAATGTCATCATCNCCCCTGCATTCTACGTCGACAAGTACCTCAAGGAGAACGCCGATCTTACAAAGGATGTTCGTCAACAGATGGCTCTGAGCAAGAAGAAAATCGACAGGATCCAGGCGGCACAATTTAAGCTGAACAACTACCAACACGCGCAGAAAGGAAACTTGAGTACTAGCCAGTTGATGAAGCACGCGCAAAACTACTTCTCAGGCGAAACCAGAAAGAACCTGCTCGAGGAGAGAGAAGGTGCTGGCGCAGGTGGAGACACTGACATTCATCTGCCACTGGAGCATCATAGCATGATCGCCGAGCAGTTAAATGCAGTGTGTAGAGAGGTCGACTCAAAACTTCAGGGTGCGTGCGATCTCTGTTTGTGACCGTCAAGAATGCTAACAGGTGACANNGCCCTCGAGGAAGAAAAAGAAAAGACTCGCAAGGCACTGTCAGAGCTCTCAAAAGAGGCTGGACTGCCCGAAGAGAATCTCAAGCACAGATACACGCTCAGAGGCGTCTCAACCAAGCCTCACGTAACATACCTCCTGCGTCCTCGCGACCCCTCCGACACCGCTATGGTTGATGACGAAGATGCACCGGAAGGCATGCAGTGGTGGCGTATCGAGTACGATGTCCAGGTGAATGGCGCCAAGGTCATCAAGACCAAGTCAACACAGGACGATGTCATCCGGGCTGTGGAGCTTGAGCACAATCAAGCCCTACTGGTTTACGCCAGCGACTACGCCATCTCAGATGAACATGATATCAACCTCACCTCAGCCCTTGACGAGTTCATCCATCACGACGACGATAACTTCACCTCAGAGCTACACATGAACGGCTATGGGCACATCAACGTGTACCCTGCTTACGAGGGCGTCCAGCAACGCCGTGGTTCGGGAGACAGTACCGCAGTCAACTACGACGAGGGTCTACCTGGTTATGAGCCACCCCCGTACGACTCAGGAATGGAATACGGTCGTATACCTATCAACATGCAAGGCACCAAAGATGTAGCCATGAACGGCGGGCACAGCCCTCCAGCCCATGAGATTCGACTCGAGCAGGAGGAAGTACAGCCAGAGGAGACCGACACCAAAGGAGGAATCGAGATGGCTGAAAAAGCACCTGCTGCTCCTTCATTGTACAGGTCCGGAAACGACGGTTCCAAGGTCATTGAGATGGGCAGTGATGATGCAATGACAGGTATCAAGAGCTCAGACGGAGAAGTCGACCTGATTGATTTTAGGGACTAGGCGTATACTCCCCATCGTCTCCTGTCTTTTCCTCTCACAATTAGATAGCTTCTTGCGAGGTCCTGGATTGCATTGCATACGTAGTTGATTAGTCCATCATTAATCATCATTTTGACCTTTCTTCTCGCCTCCCTATACGTTCGGACATACCTGAGTCTGATACAGTAAGCAACCAAATCTGTCAGTTCATGCAGCAACCTCATTAGCCGAACGACTCAACTGCTACCAGAGATCTTGAGTTCGAGCCTCTGCGACGTGCAATCCGCCACGCTAAGCCATTACTAGTCTGTCAACATTGTCCAACAATCGCAGGGCTGCACAAATCCTGCAAGAGGAACCAACTTTACATGAGAGGAGTTGTCTTGCAAATACAAGTTGCCCTTTTCTTGTGAAGTTCGATGTCTACGGAAGCTAAAGGCATGATATCTTTGCAAACACAAGAATTGTTCCAAGCTGAACGCTGGATACAGCAACATGTTGGGTGATTTTTGCTGTCGTGATTCTCATGCCCTGCCTGGCTCCAAACCAAGACCATAGCCTTTCTTTCTTGCTCGTTGTCATGGCTCAATCGCTTGCTTCCCCGAGTCACTGATGTATCGAATGTTTCACACGGGGTAAAGTTGAACAACACATCAAGCGGTAAAAGAGTTTTTGTATTTGACACGTCCAGACTACTCGAAATTCAATCTTCACGATACCGAAACGCCTCCATCCAAGTGGCAATCTTCCATTTCAGAACCACAATACCTTCAAAAGACTGCGATTACAAACAAGTCAGACTACAGATACAACCCTCTAAGCCTGCTCGTTACCCCAAGCAGGGAAAGCAGGAGCAGAGGTTCCATCACACGAGAACTGAACAATAAAGTCAGAGTTTTGAGTGCTGGAATCGAGGATAACGGTTCCATCGGGTGCAGTGATGGTGAAACTAAAGACCACCGGTCCGCCCTGCTGGCCAAACACAATACGGAAAGGAAGATAGTCTCCGGTCTTGAGAGTATGGGTGGCGCTGGCAGTGTTGCCTGGATAGCTGCAGCAGACAGCCTCGGCATTGTAGTTGTTCAAGCTGTAGCCCTTGTATGCGGCAGCTCCAAGGTACAAGAAGACAATGTCGTCGGCATTGGAGGTGGTGAATGTGTAATCGCCGTCGACTTGGGCAAAGATGTATCCGCGGTGGTTCAGGACGAAGTAACTGGCAGGGACGTCCTTGCCAGTGCCATACAGATCTACGGTGGAGCCGGCAGGTTCATTAATGCCTCCAACCTCGGTTGTTGTACTTTGGTAGTCAGGGCCGACATTCCAGTAGTACGAAGGATCCATGTCAGCGACATCGTCACCCCAAGGTTCATCGGCATAGTATGCAAACTGAATTCCTTGGTTGCCACAAATTGAAGGCTTCGGGCATGACACGACCGTGGAAGTAGATGTGGTTGGAACGGTTGTGGTCACTACTGTAGTCTGGGTGGCAGCAACACCCAAGTAGGAGGTGACCACAGGGACGTATGTCGTGCTCACATAGACGGTTGAGGTGGGCGTAGGAACGCCGAGGCACTTGCATGCACTAGAGATAGCTGTGCAAGCGATGTTCTTCAAAAGGTTGGGACAGCCGCTGCAAGTTCCAGCAATGCTGATTGAAGCCGGGATGGAGGTGGATGAGGCGGTCGACGTAGTGGTGGCCTTTCTCTTGGCCAGGTCGCGTTTGGCAGCACCGGGAATACATGTTGTAATTGTGGTGGAGGACACGTCGTAGCTGGTTACAGTAGATGCCGTGATGGTGATTGTGGTGGTGGTGGTCGGAATGACTGTAGTTACAGGCGAGGTAAACTGCGCAGTAGAGGTCGTTGTTGCCGTCTTGATTCCGAGGAAGGTCGAACAGAAAGGCGAGGCGGACGGATAGAGCTTGAGTAGATCAACCACCAGGTCAACTGCAGGGCAGACATTGACGGTGCGTTCATCGAGTGGGAAGGCAGAAGTAAGAGAAGCAAGAGAAGCAGCCATGAGGCCAAGGTAAGCAGTTTTCGCCATGATATCGTCTCAAGTTGTTCTCGTATCGTTGAAGGAGAAAACACTGTGTAATGACCAGGACACTCCTTGGTGAAGGACAAGCTCTCTCTTATACTTACAGCAGCCTGTAGCAACTAAAAGGAAGATGATTTTAACCCACCTCATCGTGTCGGCCAGACCGAGATACTCTGGAAGTTGTTCAGCTGAAGTCGAGAGCGCTACTAATCCACGCAGTTTCAGCTATACCGTGCAGAAGATCTAGCAGTTTCCCACTTTGCTCGTGCTAAAAGATGCAGGGGTGAAGAGCTGAAATTTACAATAAACGCTGACTTGAGGAGCTGCCGTCAGACGCTATTTGGAGCGAACGGTCCAGTCTTTCAGGTAGCCGTTGAATATGATTGGAAGCCTTTTCAAAGCCTCGACCATGTATGTGAGGTAGAGACGCCTACTCCACACAAGCAACAGAACTGTAAAGAGCAGACTGGTCTATGTGCCGCCCCCGCACGTGGATGGTATATACCAGGCATCTTGAGGTTGAGGGACGCAATGACCAAGCTGGATGGTCCAGTGCTGCAAATCCGGTATACCGCTTGGTATCGTATCTCGTTCTGTCACTTTAGGTCATATGAGATGGGCTGGCTGGCCGGCGGCCGTAGACTGCTGTATCCAGGGGAACAAGTCTTTGGCCTAATTGCCATCTCAGCTGTCGACTCTCGCAGATCTTGAGGAGCCCGATAGAGAAGTGATATCGGGACAGCCGATCCGTCACAGATGTTGCTGGAATGGGATCATACTCCGGTGATCAGTTGCGAGGCTCTCCTACATTCGTGACGGCGGATTGCCTCCGGACGATTTGGCGCTTGGTCGCGACGCAATCATCACTAGCATAGGCTAGCTATGCAAAGCCTCGTTGGACTCACCTTCGTGAGCTGAAAGGCACGGCCGTGACCGGTGGATGGCTTCTCGAAGAAACGTTCAGACCTATAGCTGCAGCTGTGTCGTCGCCGGAGCCGAGGTCAGGTTATGCGATTGGTATATGCACCATCAGTGGGGGCGGATGTCTTCTAGCTTCCAACCAAACCTATGCCCCTACACGCGACGTTGACAGGCCGTGTCCTTATTGAGTATATGATAGTCCTTAGTCCAATTAAGCAAAAGCTTATCACGGTCTTGAATTGCAGGTCGAAAATTCCATGCGTCCACGAAATGGGCTTGAGGGACGTACTTCTCCTTAGCCGCAGTCTTGACGTGCGGGAGGAATCGATTTGATGCAAGGCACAGGGGCGGGAGAATCAGATGAAGTTCATGAAGATCATGATGTTGATGACAGGTGGATGTCAATCGATGTCAACCAGGTTGGTCATGTGGAAGTCGCGCCTCCCGAGGGAAGGTGTCGCTAGGGACTAATGAGCGTTTTGTGCAAGCATTTATGAATTGTGGGGAGTCTTTATCTCTATCACTTCGACTCATTCAACTCTTTGATATTGGCCTCAATATTTGAACCGTGTGATATCTCATTCTTGAGATGCCGTATATTGTGCAGGGAAAAAAGGCAACAATTACTGCAACAGCAAATCAACGAACGCCCTACTTCAGGACCTAGGATCAAGGATAGGACAAGACAACATCTCCAAAACATAACCTTTTGAAAATCAAAGGAAGCAGAAGAGGAAACCAAGGGACCAAGCAGAGAATCCAGCACAAAAGACATCTCCTCCGCTGCTAGAGTCAGCAAAGCAGAACAAAAGAAATGGCAACACCAAACTCATCCCTCCACTTCCTTTTCCTCCTCTCGGACTCGGCATTACCACTAGGTTCCTTTGCCTTTTCCTCAGGCCTAGAATCCTACCTCGCACACCACAAACCGCCTTTTCCATCTCCAACCACACCGCCATTAGACTTCCATTTCTTCCTGCACTGCAGTGTCAGAAATTTGGCTTCGACATCTTTGCCATATGTGCTTGCTGCGTATAAACAGCCAGAGGAACTACAAGTGTTGGATAATGATTTTGATGCCAGTACATCTTGTACGGTGGGAAGGAGGGCTAGTGTGGCACAAGGGAAAGCACTGTTGAGTCTTTGGGAGAGGGCCTTCGCGGTTTCTTGTGTTGGATCTTCAACAACGGATGCTGCCATAGCGGCGATCACTTCTTTTGCTGCTGCGTTCAAAGCGACGAAACCTGATGAGTGGGGGTTGAGACTGAATGCGCATTTTGCTCCTCTGTTTGGCGTGCTGTGCAGGTCATTGGCATTGTCGGAAGAGGAAGCGGCATATTTGTTCCTTTGCAATCATGCCAAGAGCATTTTGTCGGCGGCGGTGAGAGCAGGTGTCATGGGTCCATATCTTAGCCATGGTGTTCTGGCGTCTGAGAAGCTGCAAGAGGTCATTAGGGGTTGTGTGGCTGGGGAGAAAGGAACAAAGGTCGAAGACGCCGGACTCAGTATTCCGGTTATGGATTTATGGGTGGGACGACACGAGTTGTTGTATTCAAGGATATTCAATTCTTAATAAGGAGTGGCAGATCATTGTTACTAGAGAAGAATATCAAAGGTTCATTATTTCGTTTCTATTACTACCATCTCATCATGTCGAAAAAGGCCAGCCTCCCCAAAACTGCTTCCGCTTCAATCAAAAAACGCTCAGAGAATGAAAAACCACAGGACAGGAAAAGAAGAAAAACGATGACGCTAATTTTTGACTAACCTGCTCACAGAATCTCCTTGAGCTGGTTCTTCTGGGCAGGAGTCAGACTTGTAGGGAATTGAATCTTGACGCCGACGATAAAGTCGCCTCGTTGATCTGGTGTCTTGCTCTTGGGCATGCCTAGGTTAGGATAGCGATCCTTGTAGGTTGGTGGTGTGGGGCCGCCAGAGCTGACACCGATCTGCTTGCCGTCGATGGTCTTTACGGTTCTGGACCAGCCGGTCAAGGCTTCTTTTAGGGAGATTTCAACGTTGTGGATAATGTCGTCGGCTTCACGTTTGTAGAGAGGGTGTTCTTTCTGTGATGGATGTTAGTAACTGTATGGAAATTTTAATTGTGATTGGTATATTCTTACCTCTTCAAGGATAAAGTGCAAGTCTTGCACTCCTCCCTCGACCTGGTCTCCCACTCCAGCAAACTTGATCTTGCTGCCGGGCTTGAGGCCTTTNTTGATCGGAACCTCGAGGATGCGATCTTGTACCGACTGCTTGCCGGTCTGCTCGTCGAATGTCTTTCTCTTAATCTTCATCTTCTTGGTGCAGCCAGTGAACAAGTCCTCGAGAGAGACGGGCAGTGGCTTTTCCACAACGGTGACTTCGGGTGTTTGTTGACGTCTGGGCATGCCGCCATTCATGCTAGGACGGGCACGAGCGCCTGCGCCAGGGCGGCCACCGAATGAGCCTCCAAAGCCGCCGGGCATGCCACTAGCACTGCCGAAGGACGAGAAGAAGTCGTCTTCGTCTCCCCCATGCCACCACCTCCCNATACCTCCAGCACCACCTCTGAGGAATTCAGAAAAGATGCTCTCGGGGTTGCTGAAGGAGAAGCCACCAGGCATGCCACCTCCACTCGTCGAGAAATGGAACTTTGTACCTCCAGGCCCTCCCGCTGCTCCAGGAAGCCTCCGAAGCCCCCAGGCATACCACCAAAGCCACCAGCGCCGCCANGCATCATCCGGCGGNGGAGCACCACCTCTTAGAAGGAACTCGAGACCGAATTGATCATAGGTCTTGCGCTTGTCGGCATCGGAGAGGATTTCGTAGGCTTGCGAGACCTCCTTGAACTTTTCCGAGGCTTGAGGGTTGTCCTTGTTCTTGTCGGGGTGGTATTTCAGAGCGGCTTTGCGGTAGGCCTTCTTGATCTCGTCGGGTGTCGCCGTGGGCGCGATGCCTAGCGAATCGTATAGCTTTGTCTCGGCGACCATTGTGTTGCGACGAGGGATGTATGTGTGTGTGTGTGTGTGTGTGTGTGTGTGTGTGTGTGTGTGTGTGTGTGTGTGTTGAGTCAGTCTAGCAGTGGGCGAAGCGCGATTGCAGGTGTCGTATCAAATGAAAAGCAAACTTCCATTTCTTGATCGTTGGCCCGGTCGTGGTTGCTATGAACGTGACATCAGGTGCACGTCTGGGGAAACTTCTCGAATGCTCTTTCCTTCTTCACATGCCCATCGCACCCCACACTCTACCATTAACTTCCACCATCACTTTCATCACGGATAAGATCATTGTGAATATAAACAGAAGCGCCGGACTATACCGAGTCGCTTGAGATAATGGTATACCCTGACGTTGTCAAGTGTCCGGTCTTATGCAGCTTTGCGATCCTTCAATGCAGTGGCAATTTCTCAGGCAAGAAGCCTGTTGCGATGGTCGATGAAGTTTTGAGTGAGAATGTTCCCCGTCCCCTGTTCCTCGACCTTGAAGACCTCGATCGCTGTACTCTTGGCTTCTCTCCGAATTCTCCAAACACCTTCGCCAACAATGGTCTGCTTGAGAAATTCGAGGAATTGGCCTGTAAAGTTGATGCAGATGTTGCCGTTCCACTTGTACGTGCCTTGTTGTTGTATTCTGGATGGAATCTGCTGGGTGCTCAACTCTTCGATGTTCAACAACTTGCCATCTCGCGAGCGGAAGCCGATGATGATTTTCGGCACACTGTAGTTCAATTAGCCTCATGTTTCAATGCCAGACTTAGTAGATAACGCACTTAAGNNCAGGAAAGATTGAGCCCAGAATTTGAGGAGCTTTTTGTCGAGGACCCAGCGATCGCGCTCATGTTCTGGTTGTTTGGATGTCTTGAGCTCTACCCATCTGGCGGGCGCTTGTGGATCATCGGGTTTGTAGCCGAGTACTNNGCATCATGTCAGTCTTGTTTGGTAGCCAGGCAACTACTGTTCCTCACCTCCGTCTACCTCTCCTCCGATGACCATTGAGGCACCACCAATCTCTGTTCTGCAGATGCTGCAATATTGGGCATAGTTGTCGACAACTTCGTCTTCTCGTCCCTCGATCTCTTCTCTTGTTGTCTCGCCCCAAGGCTTGTTCAAGAGTGACAACGTCTCGAATTTGTAGCCNTATCATGATCAATACCAGCTTATCGAAGCTGTTTGGAGCATGCTATGCTTACCCCAATACATGGCCATGTCTTGCGGTGGACCCCTATTCCGTGAGAAGCGAGCCTTTTGTGCTTCTCTTGACGCAGCCTTGTATGCGTGGTTCTCTTCGATGTATNNCTGTTGCGACATGCACTGGTCAGTTCTTGCTTAACCATTGCTACTGTCGGATAGACATTGCCTACATTGTGCCCTTCGAATTACATTAGCTAGGTCATCGCAAAACATTTATTGGATGATGCGCACTTGGAAACATGTTGCGTTCATCTCAAATCCATCTTCCATCTCGTATGGCGCTGTCAAGATCNNTGGACGTACGATCAGTATACCGCCTGTAACATGAGCATTGAATTCAGGACAAACTCGAGTCATCATGCCTCTCCACGTCACAAGATCGACTTCGGTCTTCTTGCCACTGCGTTTCTCAGCCTCGACGAGTGTGTCCAGAAGACCGTCTAAGTGCTCATCACCACTGTCATCTCGTTGCCGAAAAGAGTTGTATCCTTTTGACAGATCAGCAGGAAACCTGGAATCTTGATGACCAGGGACATTGAAGAATGGTGGATAGTAATATTTCAGTGATTCATTGTCGAGAGGCTTGAGTTTATGGTCAGAGTCGTAAGAGAAGAAAGCAATTTCCTGGTTACATCAGCCATAGTGTTTATAGTTTCTGCGATATGTGCGCACGGTCGGCTTCTTGATTCTTGTATTTGCTCCAGCGAACTGCTGTATGGGTTCGACCAGAAATTGCTGCATGGTTCTTGTCTTCAGTGACCATTGTTTCATCAAGAGATGCAAGTGGCTTTGATGGAGGACGCGAACAGACGCGCGCTTTATGCGGGATGCACTATACCGCATGCGGACTAGTCCAGCCCATCGCACAACTATGCACGCGTTGCCAACAGGGCTTCCGAACAATTGGTTGTCAAGATATAATGGCCAAAGTATTCCTGAGGAGAGATGTTGTACCAACATTAAGGTATACATTCCTTTCGTGTCCAAGATAGAGTATCAATTTCAATCAGAAATGGTAAACAAAAATGCCATCACATCATCAGTCTTCCATGACTAAAGATCAGATCCGAGTCCACACTGATTCTTTCGTTCGTCTGCTGTTGTTCCGTCGTCTCCCTTCTGCCCTCTGCGACTGTACCAAACACTGCCCGATGAGCGGTAGGGTTAGGTAGATGCGTGAGCGTGTCTATGGCTGGTTGGCGTTGTGGTCCTGCGATTACTCTTCCTGTCTCCGTGCTACGACTCTGGCCCGCACTAGCTGACCCAAGTCGTTCTATTGGCATGCTAAAGACAGACTTTGTCATTCGGCGGACCGAATTTGTTCTATAACAATAGTCAGTCGAGTGTCTCATGTATAGCTCCTTAGTCATGAAACCTACTTCCTGGATGTAAAGGTTGAGGCTTTTCGAAGAAGGCTGCCCAACTCTGCCGGGTCCGCAGCTTGAAGCAGAGCCTGTCGTACCAAACCAGAGCGTTTGGTGGATATGCTGGCTTGACTTCCTGCAGAAGAAGTGTTTGTCTGCTCGACAATCACCGAGGCGTTTGTTGTCTTCTCTGATCGGGTTGTTTGCGAATCTTCTGGTCCAGTGTACTTCAANAAGTGCGTCAAAGAACGTAAGTTCGATGTTTCAGCTTGCGCTGTACGTGGTATCATTGGCTTTTTGAAGGGTCGCCAGGGAATCGCAGGAGACAAGTCGATTGTGAGGTCGTGAACTGGTCTTGGGATCGAATCGTTGGTGGCAGTCTCAGTCATGGATGAACTCCTTTCTGAAGGGACGCTGAAAACGCTGCTTGAAGCTGCTGGGCGAGGAGAATGAGATCTCGTGATTTCGTCGCAACAGATCTCGAACTCATTGTTCAGAACAGTACTGTTGAAGACTAACGGCGCAGGCATCCTGTTCAGTAGTCTGAGTCCATACCGTCCTTTNTGTTTGAGCGTCCATTCATACGCAGCAATCTCTTCATTCTCCACGACCAAATGATGCGATAGAGTAAAGTCCAGCCCAAGGGAGTGATAGGCGCGGTTGTGATCAGTCTGTTTGAGAATATAAGCACACAGCTTGAAGCTGATCTGCGCCTGCTCGTAGTCCGCAAGTTCGAATCTCACGACACCAAGGAAGAAATGGGCGAGTGGAGCCATGAGAGGATGCAAAGGAAGAACCTTTTGAAAAGCTTTCTCAGCGTGTCGGTACTCTGCCTGGAGGGAATGAGTTATGCCAATGTTGAGCAGCAGAATAGCCTTGGTCAAACAGTTCGGTGCCTCTCTTTCTAGCATCTCAAACTGGCCTATAGCCCAGTCCAGATCGTAAGTAATACGGACAAGGAAAGAGGCATGGTTCCACACATCTCGCAATTGGTTTTGTTGAAGCAGTGAGGGGCGGCGATGCATGAGATTGTTATCCATTGAGACCACTGCAGTGAGCAAAGTCTTTGTCAATGACGAGCAAGTTATTCTGGAAGTTCGATGAACAAGTCTGGAGGTCGTTGGCTAATGTCAGTAACTGGGCACAGTCTTATACAATAGATCATGAGCATGGCTCAGCGGTTGCCGACGTGGCATGTCTACGTCAGGTTTTTTTCCATGTGCTTTCAGCACATTCTTGTAGTGTTGATTCCCACGAGCTCTTGTCATGTGGTTGATGGTGCGGATTGGACCATGGTCTCATGCGAAACACAGGTTGGACAGGGATATGCACACTCCTGTCAACGTTGGTGAGATTTTGTGATCTCGATACTGACGATTTTCAGGTCAAGGACCACAAATCGTCTGCCTGGTCGGAAGAAGACACAGCCTTCTGTAACAAGCATGGTGACTAAGGCAATGAACCTGTCAGAGTCAAACTTCGCGTACAGTTCGGATACCTTATACTACCCCCGTGTGCGATAAAAATTCACAGTGCAGTTGTAGAAATACACAATCCTTTCTATGATAGAGCGACATCAACGGAAAATGTTATGCTTAGGCATATCCGTGGTGACATCTCTATCCACAAAGACACTGTGCATTCTTATAGCGTGTGAAAACACAATGAGTTAGTAAGGAAGAGAGGTTGATCGTAGGGTTGTGACTGTCTTTTGCACACGGGGAGGTCAAGGCTCTGCCACAACGACCATCTCGTAGGCTGCTGCTCCACAGTCTTCCAAGATTGTGAGATGACTGAATCTTGAGCAAGCAAACACACCTTCATAATCCTGCCAATCCATCTTAGGCCCAAGCCAGATGATCTTAGAGAGATTGGCATGATCGTGTAATTCGAGGTATTGCACGATCAATTTAGATTCGCGAGGATATGTAAAGATCCAGGCATGAGATTTACCTGCTTGCGAACAGAGGTCCCATGTACCACCCACGAAGAACATGTTCTGCTCGGGTAGATACTTGTTGACATTTGGAGAGACTTCCACACCGCAAACGTCGTATGAGTCCTCGAGCAGTTGCGAAAGCAGGCTTTCAAGAAGGCCGGTACCACTGCCGATGCTAAGCACAGAGATGGCTGGGCCATGAGGTAGGAGGTTGGCCAGATTGTGGAGCAGGGGCTGCGAGATGGCCATACAACAATCCGGATGATGCCTAGGCTCAGTAGAAGAAGCAAAACTTATAGCGGTCATGATGTTGGCAGGGCGATTCATGAACGCAGACAAGAACCGGCTGTAAGATGTGGCTGGTGCTGCAGGGAAGAAGATGAAAAGACCCTCGGATGTCAAGAGGCTACCAGGCGCACGGCCGCACGGGGCGGCGGCCTGTCGGTCATTGACCTTGACAACAAGGATGGAGATCTCGCTCAATTTCTTTTGCAGAGACACTTTTGTGTCTTGACAGGTCTTGTCTCTATTCTGATACACGCAAATATTCTTACGACCTGTGTAACCATCCTCGTGACGATCAAGTGCATACAGGCGTTGCTGGCCCACGACCCTCGTCTCCTTAATCGCAACGATCCGCTCCTTCCATACCGATCTACTTGTTTAGAACCGTTTCCTGCCAAAACAACCCGACTTCCAGGACTGATCGCCGTTCGGTCGCTCTTGCCAACTTATTCTCCAGTCCCGAAGCATTCTCAGCAAAAGACGACGTGCCAGACAAGGCGTATCTCGGTGGAACAAGGGTCTAGCAGACGCTGGTTGTACCGCACAAAGGTCATGAACAGGCTGGACCTGTTGTGCATTAACCGTTGGCGCGGCTCTTCATCGTAGTAACGACGATAACAACAATCCACTTCTAAGCATGGCGACTGCATACCAGTCTACCCCGCGTTGGGAGCAGTCGGTCCCCATGGGCCACGAGGTAAGCGCAAGTGCTGTCGAGAGAGTATGCGCAAGTTTGGTCGGCTAACTCTCTTCTGCAGNNAACCTCCCTCTGGCCAACCAAGCCCTGTTCGAGCCCTCGTACTCTTTCGACCCCAATCAGACGCCTCGCGATTCCTCGAACTTCAACTCCCGCCGACCTTCCCAGCACACCGCTACACTTGATGTCGACGCATACCAACTAGAACAGATCAAACGCGATAGTGGAAGGAGTATGAGGAAAGGAAGCACTCACTCACGAGGTTCGAGTCCTCAGAAAGGCCCAGTGTCCCACATCCGCCGGCCGTCAACATCGCACAAGCGACCATCGCCTCCTCTTACGATACCTCATGCTGAGTCAGAAGCCGCTATCGACCCCGACCCCGAAAGATCAGCCTGGATCCATCGTGACAAACTTGCCCGGATTGAAAGTCAGGAATTGGCCGCTGCCGGCTTCGGTGCGCCTCGAAACCGTCGCCAAAGTCGTTCTGATAGCCGTTCTGCAAGCCGGTCAGCAAGTCGCAATCCCACCTCACGCGTCCCAGCGAGCCAGCTTGCCTTCACTAGTGAAGTCAACACTCCCAAGGTGCCTGGGTTTGAGGAACAGAGTGGAGCAGGCGCAAATCAGGACCAGGACTCCGACGAGTACGAGGAGAGATTGCAGGAAGAGCCTCGAGTGGACCGCAATATGTACAGTCGAAGTCTTCCAAGATCGACTCTGTCTCGCATACCTGTTGCAAGAGCCAGCCCTGCACCTGTTGCGCAGAGTGTCGTCGAACGCGATTCTCCTCTACCCCGCAGCATGAGTAGTCCTCTTGGAGATAGTGCAAGCAGCAGGTCTCGCAGCCGAAGCTTGGGAAATCCTGCCATGATTGCCGAGCCTGCAAGCACGCGATCTGCGATACCCTCAAAGCCAAGGCCACGCAGCTCCCACATACAGGATTCGCCCAGTGTTACCGAATCGCCTTCACTGACCACTCGCACGACGCAATCTATGAATGCCGTAACGAGGGCCAAAGCAATGAACAAAGCTGCTGTAGGAGGTTCCGTGGGTAAAAAGACCATCCCACGTACCACTTCAAAGGCCCGCAACCCATCGCCTAAGGACAGCCCAGTCAGAAGGCCTACATCTGGATCTACCAGGTCTCGGCCGACCTCGTTTCACATGCGACCAGAGGGAGAGGCGCCTTGGGTTGCGACTATGTCGAAGCCTGATCCCAGGTTGCCACCAGATCAGCAAATGCTCCCTACTCACGCGAAGCGTGCAATGCAAGTTGGATCCGACAGTGCAGATGAGACTGAACAGACTTACCCTCTTAATATCGACTCCTTAAGCGATGAAGAGTTGGTCAGAATGGGAGCTCTACCTTCACCCGAGGCAATCAAACGAGCAGAAGCCAATGCATCTAAACAGCAAGCCACGAATGCTCTGCCGCCACCATGGCCTCTCACAAGCATCAAGAGTGACGCCAGGAGTCAGACCGGAAGTGCTAAGGGTACAACCGGCGGATACACCATCACTCCAAAGATTGCGCCTCCGATTGCCCCGCCGAAGTCGCCAAAGCCACCAGTTGTTCAGCCTCAAGTAACCAGCTCGGTCGACGCTGGTGTACAAAGAATGCCAGACCTCGACGAGAAGGAGGATGGCAAGAAAAAGAAGAAGCTCGCATGCTGTATTGTCATGTAGAGCCCGAGTTCGAACCATGCATATGCCCAACCACACGCATACTGTGCAGAGGAGCAACACCAAGATCGCTCTTTCGATTCTTTTGTTTCTGTTTCCTTTGTGAGAATCCGAGAACGTCTACTTTCCTAATATCTTCTTTTTTTTTCCAGTGTCTTTTCGCAGTTGCTTTTTCTTGTCTCCTAGCGTCCTAGCAAGCGAATGGCGTTGTGTCTTGTCTTTAAAGCGTAGTCAATTCTTTTGCTTGTTGATATTTCGAACTGTTGCTGCATTAGGCTCTTCAAATCAAATTTCCAGTTTCTATGAGTATTTATAGAGTCTTGTATCATATCACTTCTACACATCGAATGTCTCTACCACGACTGTGACTCGGTTTCTCTAACTGAATAAAACAATACTCGAGAAGTCCTCAGCGAGGTGATTTGGAGGCAGTCCATCCTTCACTAATCTCAAACATGTCATGTCTTTTGATAGACACCAGAGCCGATAGAGTTCTGCGTCGTGTCTACAATGTCACAATAAGACTCGCACTGCCGAATCAGACACATGCTCTACGACAACATCACATGAATTGATAGAAAAAGTGCACATTACTCACTGTCGTCCTTCAATGCAAGAGTGGAGACAGGCAGATGCATATCACGTGAACCTCAAATCTTGGCAAACTTCAGCAGCCGAGCGGGCGCACAGACCGAGAATCGCCGGCACTCACCACAGAAAGTCTGAAGCGCGAAATCCACACTCTCCAACAACCCACACATATCGACTCTTCGAGGATCACCCGACAGCGTCGTTATATCTATTCAAAATGGTACGCACCACCGATTGAAGGGAAGCGGAAGAGATTGCCTTGCCTTGCGCAGTGCACAACTTCTTCCCGTGGACTGAACCCTCTGCGCCGCAACGAAAAAAGCACCACTAACACTTTTTTCCCTCGCAGTCGGATGTAGAAGAGCCCACCAGCCCCGTCGCCGCCGCCGAGGAGGTCGAAGTTGGCGCCGATGAGTCCGCCCAGAGCGGCTCCATGTCCGTCCTCGACGCCCTCAAGGGTGTCCTCAAGATCTCTCTGATCCACGACGGACTTGCCCGCGGTCTCCGTGAGGCCTCCAAGGCCCTCGACCGTCGCCAGGCCCACATGTGCGTTCTTAACGAGGCTTGCGAGGAGGAGGCCTACAAGAAGCTCATTGTTGCTCTTTGCGGCGAGCACAAGATCCCTCTCATCAAGGTCCCTGATGGCAAGCAGCTCGGCGAGTGGGCTGGTCTCTGTAAGTTTTTTGCGTTTCTTCACTAGCCACATGAGCGGTTACTAATAATTCCAACAGGCCAGATTGACCGTGAGGGTAACGCCCGCAAGGTCGTCAACTGCTCTTGCGTCGTCGTCAAGGACTGGGGTGAGGAGTCGCAGGAGCGCTCCATCCTCCTCAACTACTTCCAGACCGAGCAGTAAACGCTTCATTGCGCTTTACGCCGCGTCTTTTCTCTCATAAAACCACCGAGCTCCCCGAACAACATCATCAATTACGTCAACACAACAGTACGGAGGGTCGGGCACTGGTGGTTAGGAAATGGCAATGGCATACAAGTTGAAAATGGAATGAGAAAACTCTCCAAACACACAAAAACCTGTGCATCTCTTTGTTTCATCGTGAATCGTGTCTACCATGCTGCAAAATTCTTGGACTCTAGAGTGGTATACATTGTTGTCTACAGTCATGCGACTGTCTTGTCGTCGTTTGACTCAAGTCATTTGAACTGCCATGACCCAAGCATTCCACCGTTCCTCGCAGCAAGCCTCAAATGTTGATACGGACTCGTCTTGGTATCAAAGTACAAACCATCAATATTCCCATCACTCCTCCTCAAACTAACATAGTAAAATCCGCTGATGGTCAATCCGTGATTCAAGTCGTTGTCATCCCCTTCGCCAGCCGTCCGATGCTCGGTGTGTCTATGGCAGAGATCTGATCCGGAGTGTATGAAGCAACGCTCCTTCCAGCGCATAAATATCCACTCGGACATGATTTCATCCATCTGCGCTCGACTTAGCATGGCGCGAGCGACATCCTCATCGGATTTCATGCTGCTGAAAGGCGGTAGATTTCGCCAGTACGAGGCGTCTGTTTGGGCTGTCGTCGGAGGAAATGTGATGTCTCCTAAGTTTGGTAGATTGGCCGGTGTGAGAAAAGTGTGTACGTTCAAGTCGATTATTTGCCCTTCCAGATATGTCGTGATAGGAGGTGCTGGTGTGCATGTTTCGACAGAAGAATGTGTCGTATTAGGAACGTCAAAGGCCTCCATGGTACCAGCCACAGTCATTTTACCCAGGTCTACCGCCTGTACTGTGACCTTCACGGGCCAACGATCTTGAACCTCTCGGGGTGGTAGAGACAGATAAGAGAAGGGGTTTCCAGGAAATGTCGGAGGAATGGAACGAGAGTATGGATTCGGGACATGAGCAAGCCATGGACGAGTAGCGTCGAATGCTGGAGGCGTGCGAAGAGAGGAGGCTTTGGCAGATGTGGTGGTATGCTGTGTGCCTCGATAAACAGCGCCTGGTGTAAGCCACGAGGAAGGCTGGGGACCAAGACAGCTGCCCGTATCTGTTACTAGGTCATCATAGCACTCAGGGGCAAAGAGGCCGTGATCAAGGGCTGAAGAGAGCGACTCGTCGTATGAAGAGCAATCGCGCACATCGTCTAGGTATTTGACAGCAGACTCGAGCAAAGGCGATGGCCGTGACAGAGAAGTCGATTGTGGCTGTTCTTGTGCAGCAGGACTATCAGCCAGGTATGTCCGACGGTATGCACTTCGAGCGTCTTGAGCATCGTCTGTGTCTTGATTATGCTGGGTGGCACCGGGCGAGAGAGCGCTGGTACGGGCATTCTGCATGATGGCAGCACTTCTCAGGTCATGGCGACGATACAGAGCACGGCGGCGGAAGGCAGCTTGGTCGGACTCATGTTCTTCATTGGTACGGGTAGGAGCCCAATCGTACAGGGACTGGTGTGTCGGCGGGACGCCGTACGTTGGCCTCGAGTCCTCCAGCCGACTTAGTCTCGCAAGTACTCGTTGTAGTCTCTGCCTCCTCGTTTCGTCTTCGGCTGAGCGATCGGTGGCTTCTGCTTCTCGTCGGCGGTCGAGGCGGTTGAGATCTCGCAAAAGTTGACGGTCACGGCTTGAATTGGACATTATTCTTCTGCCGCCGCGGCGTGCCAGACATCAGCGGCTTCTGCGTTGACGTCTGGTTGTATCAGAACAAGTATCCATCTCTTGGATCCTATTTTCCTTCACCTACTTGGTGTGTCTTTGGTGCGTGTGTTGGACGATTGCAGCAGTAGCTTTGACTGACCGCGCGATGATGCGACTGCTGCTCAACGGTAATGACGCCTGTTTCGAGGGACCCTTTGTCGTTCAGCACACGACCTGACTACTTGCAAAGAACAAAGAACCGGAACGTGATTTGGATCAAAATCAGGTCAGTCAACTAGGTCTGAGAGTACCCTAAATGCTTGTCAAAAGAGGCGACTTGCCCGCTGGGGTCGTACCTTCCTAGCGGCTGTCGTCAAACCTGCAAATCATCGACCACCCGAGTCAAATGCCATTAAAGGCGACATTGACAGCGATACATTCGGAACTCGTTGACTATTGTCAGGTACCGCATCGGGTTTGAATTTTCTTTTGTGTCTCGCAGTCAAATCATTCGAGTCCCTGTGTTATAAATAGCTAATTACCATCTCGAGTCGCCGTGACTGCGATTCTGTGGGCCCCATCTTGGTTCGGTACGCGCCATCGTCTCAGCGTGAAAGGCACTTTCGCGACGACATTCGTCGCTCCTCTTCATCTTTTGTTCCACAGCGACCACTTTTTCCTTCCTTGTCTCTGCCTATTCACTCTTTTGTTGACTTGTGGCTGGCCCACGTCTAGACGCTCTTTCTCACTGACCCCTATTCATTGTTGCATCCACTACAATTTCTTATTCATTCGTCTTATCGCACTCTGTTTTCAACATGTTTAGATCTCATAGTAGGATTCAGTCCTCTAATTCTGTCTCTAGTTTTGCACAGTATGACGAGAAGAGAGCTTGGATCGCGGAGGACGATTTTGAGCCTTCAAGACAAAGCAACTCACGCCAAAGGACTTTGGTGTACCTGCTCCTTCTCTCCGAGGCCGTTATGGCGGCATCTCTATCGGCACAGATCCCTTTACTTGTTGTCACATCTTCGACTGCTTGTTCGGATTACAGCTCCGCCTATATTCGAAGCCTCCTGGAATGCTCCTATGCCTTCGGCAGCACCTGCAGTATCTTTTGGGGATATGCCACCGACAAAAACGGACGGAAAATTGTAGCTATGTTTGGTCTTACTGGAACGCTGGCCTGCTGCCTGTTTATGGGCTTTGCTACCAATCTCCCAGGCTGGGTCACGCTACGATTTCTGGCTGGATGCATGGGCTCTGCGGTCTTTACATCTGCTCTTGCGATGCTTGCCGATTTGAGCATGCCATCTGCTAAGGCTCTACGAACTGTGTCCCGCTTGCCCCTCATATCAGTTTGTGGAGGAATTGGTCCACTTTTACAGTCAATCGTCAGGCAGATTAGCGAGCATGCACCTGCTGGGATCTGGTTGCAGTGGCCCGCTTTGAATGGTCAAATTGCATGCGCTGGTTTGATCCTTGTCATCTTCTTGGTAGAGGCTTTCTGTTTGCGTGAGGTCAGTACTGCACCTGTCTTTTGAGACATGCACATGCTTACTGTTCTGTAGACCTTAGACTCTCGTGTTGCAATTGGTCACAAAAGCGAGGAGGCATCCTTGCTTGAACACAAGACTGAGGACAGCGAGGCATTTCTGTCTGTATCCATCGTGGACATTGATGAACAGCCAGCGACGATCTGTATTGACGATTTTCTGCACGCGCCATCATTTGTTACCCTTTTGGCTTCCTTCTCTATTCTATCATTGCATTCATCAACATTTGAGGTGCTGCTCCCGCATCTCGCCGACTCGCCTGCCAATATGGGTGGTATGGGTCTTCCTTGCGGTCTTCTGAACACGATCATCACCATCGTGAAATTGGTGGCTGCTATGGGAGTATTCTACGCTCTGCCGAAACTTTCAGCAAAGATGTCTGTTCTGTCAACCTACCGTCAAATCTCTGCCGTCTTCCCTGGTATCTACGTGTTGATTCCATTTTGCGCAATGCTCGCTACAGTATCTGGAGCTCCGGCGACGTCTTGGGCTGTATTCAGCACAGTTGCTGTGGTTGCCAAGGAGCTTTTTGTAGAGATAGCAATGGTGCTGGCCATCTTGCTCGCATTCTCTGCAGCACCAAACGCAGCGTCTGCTGGAACTGGCATCGGTCTTCTCGGACTGTCCAACCTCTTCAAAGCGCTTGCAGTTGGCGTAAGTGGCTTGAGCTATTATCTCTCGGATGCATGTTCAGTAGTCGCTATCAATGCGACTTTGTGGGCGTTATTGGCCGTATTGACATTCACCGGCTGGTGCATCAACTGGAGACTGAGAGAAGCTCCCCTCGTCGGACAGGACATTCCAGCTGAATTATTGAGATGGAGCAGCGTCTTTGATGCCGAGTCTGACTCTGAGGCTGATGTGTAAACGACGAACATTTCCTTGTGTTGTGAACTCAAATTTCTAACAGGTACATCCTACCATTCTTTTAGTCGTCATATATTTCTTGTACATCGATGAAGTATATCAATTTTCATTTGCCTCAGGCCTCTTCCTGCAATAGCACAGAACGATGATAAAGCGAGGAAGATACACGGCTGTTCACAGTCCAGGGGGAGTCGACAAGGTCACAGTCCTCAGTAAGCCATTTTGTGGATTCCAAAATGTACTCTACATTTCAAAAGCAACACGTAGTATGGACTCTGAGCGGCGTCTATCAGGGTTGTGCTGCTCATGGGTGGATGACTAACCGTTATTCCCGAGATTTGCCTCTGCGCTCTTTGTGCGTTCCTCCTCCATCCGTATCCACGGGTTGCGCGTTTTGTGCGGACAAACCATAACATGCCCGAATCCAAGACGATTCATTATATAAGAAGGTAGGACTCTGCCGATAAACTGGTAATCTCAAAACACTTTCCACTTCTTGTTCCTTTTTATTTGTAACATCGCAGTCCATCATGGCGCAACCACACACAACTGCAGAGACGGCCACAACAACAAACACTACATTTTTCATATCTAATCTCCACTGTCCCTCATGTATCACAAGCATTCAGTTCTGTCTGGAAGACTTGGGTATTCAACCATTTTCGATCTCACACTCGATAATCCAGCACTCAATCACGATCCGCCACGGTTTATCCATCTTCCACACCGCCATCACCTCAAATCTGGAAAAAGCAGGCTTTGAAGTCTACAGTGTTGTACCAACGAATCGGAAATCGGCATTTCGGCCTTGGCAACCTCAAGATACTGGCAGCAATGAAGACTGGGGCTTGGAGCAGGCTGTCCAGCGATGGAAGACTGCATGGAAGGACAGAGATGCAGAAGTGGAGAACAGCAGGAAGAGAAAAAGACATGTGGAGCAGTGTGCGCTATGTCTTGACGAACTGCAGCATAGTCGTGGCTCTTTGGAAGCTTTGATGGAGAAAGTACACTCGTTTGCTGATGCTTCTGCTGATGTCGAGAGAGGAGTTTCTGTTTCTTCTCGAGATGAAGACGAGGAGAGAGTTACAGAAAAGCTTGACTCTGTGGAGTCTGCTACACCTGAGCTCTTTTGTGCTACTCTCTCGATTGAGGGTATGACTTGCAGTGCTTGCGTTACCAATGTCTCGCAGGCCTTCTCTCAGCTTCCGTTCGTACAGGACGTGAATGTCAATCTTCTGAGCAACTCAGCCACTGTCGTCTTCTCGGGTCGAAACAATGACAAGCTCGTCTCCGAGTCCATCGAAGATGCTGGATATGATGTGTTTCTGAACGAAGTGGAGCCTCTGGGTGTCAAGACTACCAACGAGCAGACGTGGAAAGCAACATTCTCGATCACAGGCATGACCTGTGCTGCTTGTGTGCAATCTCTTACCACCGGACTGGAGAAGCCGGAATGGATTGAGAGTGCTCAGGTGAACCTGATCTCCAACAGCGCCACCGTTACGTTTAGAGGAACCAAAGAAGGCGTCAAAGATGTCATCGAAATCATCGAAGACTCGGGCTTTGACGCTTCCACTGAAGAAGTCAACAGTATTCAAACCACCCAGGAGCAGGCTCTGGAGCGGAAGGTTATTTTGCAGATGACAGGCATGTACTGTCATCACTGCCCACCACGCATCATGAAAGCCCTGGCCGACAACTTTGGCACCCAAGTCACGATCGACGAAGAGTGCAGTATGGCAAACCCACTACTCAGACTCAGCTATCGACCTCAGCCACCAAATCTGACACTGAGGCACATCCTCAATGTTATCAATGGGCTGAACACAGAAGTGCAAGCCTTCATCTACAATCCTCCAACCATCGAGCAACGATCAAGGGAAATCCACGCCGCCGAACGCAGAAAGATACTCCTTCGCTTCATGCTGTGTCTCACAACAGCAATTCCAACATTCGTTATCGGCATTGTATACATGACGCTCGTAAATCACGAAAACAAGGGTCGCAGATACCTTATGCAACCCATCTGGGCAGGTACGGTCACCAGAGCAGACTGGGCTTTGTTCATCATGGGCACCGTCATCTATTTCTTTGCCGCCGACATCTTCCACATTCGAAGTTTGCAGGGCATTTATCTCATGTGGAAGCCTTCATCACGCACGCCCTTAAGCCATCGTCTACTCAGATTCGGCAATATGAACATGTTGATTAGTCTGGGGACGTCGATTGCATATTTTGCTTCCATTGCCGCTCTCACCATCAATACTACGAGTGCAAAGAATACGATGGGACAGGCACAGGCTTATTACTTTGACTCTGTGGTTTTTCTGACGTTGTTCTTGTTGGGTGGTAGAGGGTTAGAGGCGTGGAGCAAGGCGAAAACCGGTGATGCCGTTGCTGCTCTAGGGTCCCTGAGACCTGACACTGCTCTCTTGGTCATTCCCTCTGCTGACGAAACCTCCACGACTCTGGTCAAGACAGCAACCGAATTGCTGGAAGTCGGAGATGTGGTCAGAGTCCTCCAAGGCAGTTCTCCCNCCTTCGACGGCATCATCGTCGACGGCGAGACCAAATTTGACGAGGCAAGTTTGACAGGAGAATCCAAACTCGTTTCCAAGCACATCGGCGATCAAGTCTTCTCCGGCACAATCAACAAAGCAGCACCAATCGATGTGCGATTGACTTCCATCTCGGGCACTTCCATGCTAGACCAAATCATCAAAGTCGTCCGCGAAGGACAAACCAAACGCGCGCCGGTGGAACGTATAGCAGATATTCTGACCTCACGTTTTGTTCCGTTTATCATCCTCATCGGCATCTCTACATGGCTCATCTGGCTCTCTTTAGGTCTGTCCGGCACCTTACCATCTTCATGGCTGGATTCGCAGATTGGTGGATGGCCGTTTTGGTCGCTGCAGTTTTCTATTGCCGTGTTTGTGGTGGCGTGTCCTTGTGGTATTGGTCTTGCTGCTCCTACTGCATTGTTTGTGGGTGGTGGGCTGGCTGCCAAACATGGGATTCTGGTCAAAGGAGGAGGAGAGGCGTTTCAAGAGGCGAGCATGCTTGACTGTGTCGTTTTTGACAAGACGGGCACGTTGACGCAGGGGACTGCGCCCGCTGTTGCTGATTGCAAAGTCTTTGGCGATAACTATGCGCAAGAGGCGTTGATGATGGCCAGGGCGCTCGAGGAGAATAGCAGTCATCCGGTTGCTAGAGCTGTTGTCGAGTACAGCAAAGCTCAACTTTCGAGTGTTGACTGCAAGCAGGCTCTCGATGTTGAGGAAGTGCCTGGTAAAGGACTTCAAGGCGCTTTCAACATGGACTCGGAAGCACAGGTCACAGCAATCATCGGCAATGAAGCACTAATGGCAGATTACAACCTACAGCTCGACTCGGAAAGCAGGGACCTGGTTGAAAGCTGGAAACAGCAGGGCAAATCAATTGCTCTTCTATCAACCTCTTCCTCTTCAAAGACAGGCTTCAGTCTAGTCGCAGCCTTTGCCATTGCAGATCCGCTACGACCTGAAGCAGCCACAGTCGTCAAGTGGCTGCAGAAGCAAGGGCTCGAAGTATTCATGATCTCGGGTGACAACACAACCACAGCAAACAGCGTGGGAGCAGCGGTAGGCATACCGGCATCCAACATTATGGCTGGAGTTATGCCAGAGCAAAAAGCAGATAAGATCAAGTATCTGCAGCAGACTCTTGCACCACGACATCCGCGAGCTTTGATCGGGCCTCGCAAGCAGAGGGCTACGGTAGCCATGTGCGGCGACGGCATCAACGACTCTCCTGCTCTGGCGAGGGCGGATGTGAGTATTGCGATTGGGTCGGGGTCTGATGTGGCCTTGTCGACTGCATCTTTTGTGCTTGTCACATCCGACTTGCATGCATTGGTCAGACTTCTGGAATTGTCGCGTGTGGTATTCCGCAGGGTGATGCTCAACTTTGCTTGGGCATTGGTGTACAACTTGATTGCGTTACCCGTGGCGGCAGGAGCGTTGTATGCGATCAGCAACGGAGGAAAGCACGTCCGGCTGGATCCAGTGTGGGCCAGTTTGGCCATGGCGCTGAGTTCGGTGTCCGTAGTGTCGAGCAGTCTTCTGCTGCGCACCAAGATTCCCTTTGTAGGCTTCAGAGCATCCGAAATATAGCGTTAGCGTAGTCCGCAGGTATATCACACAGCAGGCATCTTCCTCTTGTGTTCGCGGTTCTCCCTCCTTCTTCTCGCGTCTTCCTTCATGCGTGTCTCGATCTTGACTTCCATCTCCCTCTGATCCATCAATGTCTTGATTTCCCTCTCAATCCTCGCATTCTGCTGTAGAGCATCGTTGCGCGCGCGCATTCGATCCTTGGCCAATGCCATGTTCTGCTGCATATGATGTTGCACAGCCAACCCCAAAGCCTTTCCATCCACCACACCCTCCCTCTCGACAAACTCCCTAGCCCAATTCCTCTGCTCTTCAGGCGAAGGACCAGGACCACCTTCTAGGTAACCACCGGGATGCGTCAATCGTATACCTGGCACGGGACTCGCAAAGATACGGCGGGGATCGTGGACAGAGAGCGGTAGTTGCTGCAGCGTAACCTGCGGAAGAGACTTTGAATCTATATCTCTTGCGCGCACCGAGATGCCTTGTTTGGGTTGCTCGGAGGAGTCATTGGGGATAATGAAGATGCCGTCACGAGAGCGCGGTGGGTATTCGAGGATGTGGTAGAGGGAATCTTCGTAGTGGACCGAGTAGGGGATTTGGTGGGGGAGGTAGGTTGCATATTGGATGTTTGCTGCTTTATTGTCTTTTCCGCGAGGGCTGACGGATTGTGACATTTTTTTGTGGTGGGCGACAATGGCGATGATGCAAGGTGCGACGCTTAGGAGCTTGGAGATGATCACTGGATGATGCCTCGGATGGAGGAGAGTGGGTTTCCGCTCACTCCGCTCCGCTGGCAGCAGTCTTGGCACAATTGTGGTCAGCGACCGCAGGCAGTCGCAAGCAAGCAGGTGGTCGCGTAGTCGCAGTCAATTCAATACATCACATCTCACAAATCACAACATGTCGTCTGGTTACGGCTTGACTGGAGGTATACGAGTCTCTGTTCACTGCTTTGGACAAGGTGCTGACAACTCGGACAACAACCAGGCCCCGGCCGCTGCTTTCCCTTCTGGCAGGAGATGCTCGCCTGCTACGTCGTAAACACAAACTCCGAGGACGGCTCTGGCAAGAAAAAGTGCGCTCCCATGCTCGAGGACTACTACGAGTGCCTACACCACCGCAAAGAGGTATTCAATTGCCCGCGTCTGCCCCAGGAAACGAAGGGCCTCTTTCTGACGAGACCGCAAACAGNNGCCGCTCGCGTCCACGCCCTCCAGTCCGCATACCGCAAGCACCTTGCCGCAAACCCCAGAGACGACGCTCCCTCGGCCGGTCAAATAAGGAGTCTGGGCTTGATCGAAGGCGAGCTGCACGAGAAGGACATGAAGGCCGCTGCCCTGCTCCCCCACGTCAAGACCAACTAAAGAAACACACACTACAACTACTATACCACCGCTTTCTTGCTTTCGAAATTCATTTTTTTGTTTCATAATAAATTCTCTGTCTTTTCGTATGGGCTTAGAATGATACAGCTTCAATCTCTCCATCAGCAGTGACATCAAACACGCCGAATTTCCCTGCTTGGTGGCTTCCTCTGCTGTGTATCACCTCGATGACATTGACTAGCTCTCCGTTGCCTTTAGGTCGTGCTGTTTTCGGGATGGCATCGATGAGGATCTGTGTATCCACCAGGTGACCCAGCGGCTTTCCCAATCCTGGTCTCGCCTTGATGGCCTCAAAAATGGAGACGCGTTCTGCATCGCTTCCATAAGAAACACTCCAGCTCAGCAGTATGACACAGAGATTGTGCTCTTGTGCCATGCTTCTCAGTCTTCTGATCAGCGATGTCATTGTAGCTTGACCNTATACAATCGAGTAAGCTTGCTTTCCTTTTCTTGTGCAGCAAAGTCATCAAACCATATAAAGCATACCTTGGGCATAATTATTCTTGAGCAAAAGCCCCAGCACCTGACTCAGATTGTTAATCAGAACCATACCGTGCTCTTCTTTTGCCATCTTCTTTTCGTCTTTGGCTTCATGCTCTTCTGCCAAAAGCATCTCCTCTGCTTCTTCCTCTTGGCTATCTCGAATCGTGTTTTTCGGTATACTCTTGCTTTGCAAGCCATCAACTAGTTCGTTCAAACCTTCCACCACGCCTTCAAAGTCAAACACGCGCATAATGTTTACTCGGCCGAGTATGGATGTTGCAGTTTTGACATTGTCTTCATGGTTGCTGTTGCTTGTTTTGGAGAGTCGAGATAGCAGACTTTTGTATAATGAAAGGATGTCAAAATTGCCAGATGCATCGATGAGAGTTGCCGAGTGAGTGCTTGAGGAGAAAAGATGGGTGATGAGTATTTGGAGAGATATNCTGTTTGAATCGGTATCGACGTTAGCCTCTCTTGTCTGACATTGAAGCATGCTGATGTGTGTTGATCGTGTCCCAGTGAATGAAGGTGACTCTGGCATATAGCTAGACCTCACTTTCTCGTAAGATCCCACGCCCAAGAATAGGAACCAGGTGAAAAGGAATGAATGGACGCAGTGAAAGAGACATACCGTTTCAGCAGCTCGACTTCCGGTCGCGCCACTAATGTTGTAGATGCCGTCCTGTCCATACACCAATCCCCCACTCAATGCATCATCAACCGAAGCGCTGCATTGAGTACCCACTCGCAATCGTTGCCTGGTTGTTTCCTCAAATAGACCTATTGAGACCTTTGTGATCAGGTCGGATGCTAGTACTGGTTTTGCTGCCATTTCTGGGGGATATGATCTGTTGAGTTTGATCAGCCGAGAGAGGTTGGTTGCCTTTGGAAAGAGCATGGAAGTTGGTTGCTATGTTTGAGGATTCCAAGATTCAGAGTGAAACTGTTCGACCGCACTTCAAGCTTGTTGTTGACCAAGCATCTCGGTTCACATCGCGATTCGGCAATTGAACGTGGTTTCATGAGATAAGAGGTTTGTTATTTGCCGACTTTATTTGTTTTCTCATGGTAGAATAAAGAGAAAAAAGCATAACCCCGAATAAACGCCTCTATCCATCAATCCTTCCATACCCATAAACCCCTCTGGAGACTTTTATTCAGAGACACAACCTTATGAGTTGCACCTGATTCCCGTGCCCAGCTCCTCGTCCTCGAAATACAAAAGAGAAATATAGGAAGAAACTCTCGACCAGCTGTTTGGTATCGGATGGCTGTCGATGATGAGATAAAAAGAAGAAAAGGAAAAAAACAAAAAGAAGACGTTTTCAGAGATCTTCGCGCCTGGCATGATTCTGCTCCAGACGTATGGTGGCGCAGAGTAGGGGACCGTTGGTATCCAAGAGAGAAAATGGCAATCTCTTTCGACCACTTCAAGACTCTCTTCTCTCGGGTCTAGCTCTACGCCCACCCTTCAAACTCTTCATGCGGTTGAGGAACCCGCCTCCGCTGCTCTTCTCGGGCACGTCGTTCACGGCGACTGGCACACTGTCTGCAGTGATACTTCTAGTAAGTCCGTTTCGGGGAGGGGAGCTCGGTGCTCTTGCTCGGCTACCCTTGGTCTCTTCGGCGTAGCGGATGGTTGCGCCCTTCTTCTCGTATGCATCGTTGTAGTCGGAAAAGAATGGGTTGCTCTCCTTGCTGGCACCTGCAATACGGTTTCTACCACCTGCACTTTGCACTTGGCCAGGGCTGTTCGGAGACATGGGCCCATAGTTTCCGTCAGGTGAATTTACGTTGTTGCGATTTTGCGAGAGTCCTCTGAGACGTACGGCGAGCGACTTCTTTCGAGTCAGACCGCCTCCTGGGAAAGCAGATGTCTCGGTCTCGGACTCTCGACGTTGAAGGTCCTTTCTAGAAGCTGGAGCGCCCTCAAGGAAAGTCGAGGTCCCCAGACCAACGGATTCAGAGGTGTGGATCTGTTCAACGCGATCGGCAGGGTTGAAAGACTGTACATGCTTGGCAGGTGCTTGCACGCGAGACTGGGAATAATCGTTGAAAGCGTCCTCGCCACGTCCATGAAACCTGTCGAGGTCGATATTCTTGTTCAGAGGACCAGATCCACCCAGGGCGTTGTTGGCCGAGCCTGCGGGGAATGCTTGCATAGGGGCACGAACATCCTTCTTACGGTTACGGTGTGGGTTGCATGCATCGAACGGTCCGTCGTGGTGGAAGACTGTCGAGCTTCTGTTAGTCTCGGACCGTGGAATCGCATTTTTTTAGATAAGATACTCACGTCCTTGGCCATAAATGCCTGTGACATCAAGCTTGTCAATGAGATCAAGGCCCTGGGGCTTCCTGGTCGGCTTCGATTTTCCATCCTTGGTTCGTCCCTCCTTTTCGCGACGTTCTTCACGCTCTTTGCGTCGCTCTCTTCTCCTTCTGTCTTCTTCCTTGCTATCCAAGATGGAAGATTCCGAATTGCGGCGAGGGCGTCTGCTTTCAGTCTTGGCTGGGCTGGCAAAAATGTCTAGGCCGTTCTCTCTCGATGGGCGCGGTGGGCCTCGCGGAGGAGCGGGGCCGCGTCGGCGAGATTCATCTTCCTGTGAGCGCGCGGGTCGGTGCTGAGACGGCATAGTGCCTGTTCGGGGNACTCCATTGCTGCGAGGTGCAGGAGGAGCTNNGACAAGAGTGTTAGCCGGATTTCTGTGAGTGACGAGTGATGTATTTTTACCTCCTGAAGCGGGCTTCTTGTCGAGCAATGACAGGTCCTTCTGCGATACGTTGTTAGTCATTGATCTTGGTGAGAGAATCGATTTGTTCAGTGAACTGTTCTAGGTGCAAAAGGTCGAGGAGTAGGAAAAGGTCGGTCGGTGAGTGCTGGAGTATTGTGCGACAAGAAATATGATGGAGAGGTGATTGATGGCGGGGCTGGGTGCTGACAACAGGCGATACATACAAAANATGTCCTCAGTAAAGGCGTTCGAGGAGCCCTGTCGCTGCGGAGCCGGAGGGTCGAGGAATGGATTGTTCGACATTCTGTGGTCGGGAGATGGCAGAGGAGAGGCAGCACGGCGGAAGGGGTTGTTGGAAGCAAAGTTGGCACCGGCACCGGGAGAAGGAGCGCGCTGGCCTGGTTGAAAGAGATGCGACATCAGCAATGATACGGCGACGACGACGAGTGATGGTTGGGCATAAGGGCGGGATATTTTGATATTGAAACAGGCTTGAAACGCAACAACAAGGGGCGCTTACCAGGCATGGTCGTTGGAGCGAGCGACATGATTGCTCAGTTCAAACGGAGATCGTACAAGGGGAGACGTAGGGCGTCTTCGAGAGGATGCAGAGTGCTATGTAAGCGAGCCCAAGAATGAGGAATGGATCGACAGAGTTGTTTGGCTGGAATCACAATGTCGGCGCCGCTGTCGTCGTGCCGTGTCCGAGGCCGCTGTCAGAGCTGTGATGCAGCGCAAATGTGGACTAGTAACTGCTGGGGACAGAGAGATGTTGGAGATGGGTTTGACAGGAAAAGAGTACGAGTAGAGACGGTAGTACCTAGGCTGTTTACTAAGATGAGAAGGGGGGCTCGAGCCACAAGGGTCTCTTGGGCGCCGCGCTTGTTCGTTACTCCGCATTGGCGCTCCTGTTGATCATCGTATTCTTTTGCGATAAACTGCCGTTGGCTGTTCAACTCGAACTCTCGCTCACCGGCTGCTGCTGCTGAACTGTCCTATAGCTACAGCCACAGGTGCTGCGTTCGTTGCAATCGATTGTGATCCTTCCTTCAATCGAGGAGCACGCATCGTCGCATCGTCGAGCGCGCATCAGGGGGCTGGAAACTCTAATCTAACAAGCACCTGAATCAAAACCACGCTTCTCGAAAACTTACCGACAAGACGGACTACTGGCGGGGAATTTCGCCAGCATCTTCCACAAACCACTTTGCTCTTCTTACGAACTAGTCACCTGCGCCGTGCGCGTGACGCCTCACAACATGGCCAATTCGAATTACGGAGGCTATACACGTTTCGAACTTGAACTCGAGGTGCGTCTGAAATAACGAGACGTCATGTGTGATTTGGATCACCGTTCTCATCGTTGACGGCCCGTCTCCAGTNTTGTCCAGTGCCTATCCAACCCACTCTATCTCAATCACCTAGCAACTCAGAAGCTGCTGGATGATCCAGAGTTCATCGCATATCTCTCCTACCTCCAGTACTTTGCGGAGCCGAAGTACATCAAATACCTGTCGTAAGTCTATCTTCAGCCTCACCACGTGATCCATGTATTCATGTTTTCCCTCTCCAGCTACCCGGGCCCTACTATTCGAGCACTTGAACTTCTCCAACAGGAGAGATTCAGAAAGGATATCCTGATCCCAGAGACTGTCGCCAGGATGGCAGAGGAGGGTCTCCAAGCCAGCACTGATGGTCTCCGCCGCGACTGATAGAGAAACGGCGCCTCCAACGGCACGCTTCCTTCCTGTTCCTAGCCATGATACCCATAATCCAACGGACTCGCATTTTCCTCTTCTGTTCAAGCATATGAACTCCTGATTCGAAGGGTATCTACCTGGATAATTGTGTCTCAATACCAGCCAAGACCCGACGTGTTGATGCCGAGCCTGTGTCCACAAACGCCGCGCTGAAAGATCGCTAAAGAGGAATGTTGCTGCAGGATGCTGCGCAGATGATTGCGCGGCCTTTCTTGGATGACGAGAAGATCAATTCTCGCGCCATTCAGAAGCACACTTTGTACANCTGTTCTGAGGTTAGCCAGTGATTAGCCTAGTATGACATGTTCAACTTACCTTGTAGAAAGTGGTCATGGGCTCATCAGCACTTCTGATCTGAACCTGTCTGAAGTATGCCTCGCGGTTGTCGCACTTCTCTTCCCTACAGTTGACCTCTGTCTTGTCGACGTTCTTCCAGCTGTCGGCGCCTCCCAAGACATCTTCGACTTCCTTGCTCTTCATCATCTTGCGCTCAAAGTAGCGCTTGTCCAGGATCATTTGGTAAGGACATGTTCGGCATTCGAATCGGTTGACGTTTGCAAAGTGCTGCTCGTTCAGAGGAAGGTGGTCCGCGGGGATAGGTGTGATGGTCAAGAGGTTCGAGCAACTTGGACAGACTGGTTATAGAAAGTTAGGATCCTGTATGGAATCGATAGAGAAAGTCACATACAAAGAAGCATGTTGAGAGACTGCGCACCGAGCCAGGCGTAGTTGATGTATGTGTGAGAGCAGAGGAGTCAAATACCGCTATCAGGGAGATGTCAAGCAGAATCAGTCGTCAGACGCAAGTCGAAGAGATCGAGACAGGCGCAATTCACAAAAGTTCGAGAACAAATGCCGCCAAGACCCCGCTCTATGCCGAGGCTTTTCTTATAGGCAAATCTTATACACGTACTTGTACGCCTTCTCCTAATACAATGTGAAGCGACTTCTGAACTATAGAAAGACACAGTGGTTTTCGAGACCACGGGCATAGCCAAGAGAGCTAGTAACAGTTAGCCTCTCAGCGCATACTGTCTTGTTTCCTGAGACTATTGCGGATCTGTATGCCGAGTACGCATTACATGCTTTAGCACACGGGGACGGGATCAATATTCTTTAGACGCGCCTCGAGGAGGATTAAATACCCTTACTGCCTTGTGGACTGCCCGCTACCTTTTCGCCTCATGCACGCGTGGTCAAATACATCAACGCTTCCATCCTGTACGCCCGCCTGCCCACCTACCCATGACCAGCATGCCTCGTTCAGATGGGCGACAATAAGGTGGCTCTCAAAGCGATGCTGCGTCGATTAAGCTACGTCCCAAATGTCTATCTGTTCCTTAGGGCCAATACTCGTTACTAAGACTGTTGTGCGCGGGCAACTTCCTCGGCAGGCGGTTGAGGCTTACGGTCCTTGCGTGCGGCTTCGACTGCTTCGATATTAAGCTCCGGTCCGGGATCCACTTTCTCTTCCTCCTCGTTGATATCACTGGGTACGCGGTCGAGTAACTCGCCGCTGTCTGCAAGCTTCTGGCGTTGCTCGGCGATGATCGCGTCGGCTTCGCTCACGCCGCCCTTCTGTGCGGCCGGATCGCCATCAACACCAATAGGCTCCACCTTGCGTTCTACCGTCTGCTGCAATGCCTGGTTGTCGAAGCGGACGATCATGATGGTCAGGTTGTCCGTCGAGAAGCGGTTGAGTGCATATTCGACCAGAGCCTTAGACGCAGCTTGCGGATCTTTGATGTTACGGACGAGATCTACTGCCTCTTGGTCCGAGCAGACATCCCACAANCTGTTTGGCTCGTTAGCATTTCCATTTCAGTACGGAGAATTGTTGGAAGAACTTACGCCATCACAAGCCAGGATTAAGAACTCGTCAATATCTGGTTGGATTACCGTCTCGGTAGTGTAGGGATGACCGGTAATCAAATCCTTCATGTACGCATCTCCCAGAGCGCGAGTAACAGCCAGAACACCATTGACACGGTTATTCAGAATGAGGCCTCCGGCACCTGCGATTCTCTTGCCCTCGTTCTCGTCACTACCCTTGTGGTCGTAAGAGAGGCGAAGAGCTTTGCCATTTCTGCAAAGAACGATGCGTGCATCACCAACATTGGCAGTGTAGAGAACGCGTTGGCGCGAAGCTGCCTCACGGAGCTTTGCAGCAGGAGACTGTGTCGAGTCGGCACTGATCGGCGTTGAATCCGAGCTGCCCTTGATAGCGGCAGCGGTGGCAGGTGCAATTGCGGTAGAGCCTGTGGCTGACTGAGAGTTGGGTATTCTATCTTCCCAACGAAGCACAGCAGTGATTGCGGTACATCCACTGTTCTTCAAAGGAAGCTTCTCCAGCTGCTGATCGGCAGTGGTGAAGGTCATGTCAAGAAGTTCGGGGATAGGAGTATTCGGATGCTTGCGAATAATTTCCTCAAGAAGGCAGTGAATCTTCTTGCCGCACCAGTCGGCAGCGAAATTACCAGCGTGTCCATCAAAGATAGCAAAGTAACCATTGTCCGTCTCAACGACATCTTGAGAGTTGGTCGAGTTGGTAGAAGATATACTCTTCTGAGCCGTTTCTGAGCCGAGAGCGGGAGCAGGAGTGCAGAGGAAGTTGTAGAGATAGGCATGTGTGTCTTCCATGGTTCTTCGGCATTTCTTGTTCTTATCTTCGGTGACACCGACCCTGAAGGTGGATCGTGGACCAGGCTCGGATTCTCCGGCCGAGTTGTTGAGTGCACCCTGGGGAACGCTTAGGGCAGGATCGGTTCTACCAAGCTTCTGCATAGGAGTCTGCGGTTTCTCACGGGCTTCGGGAGAGGAGCTGTGGAATTGGTCCTTCAAAGACTGTTTGGCATTTGAGAAGACGTTTCGTGCGCCGGCGAAGCTGCTACTTCTCCTCTTGCCAGAGGGACTAACATCTTTACGGTCTGCGCTTGTGCCAGCATCAATAGACGAGGGCTCGGCGGAAGGAACAGAGCTTGGTTCGGCAGTCTTGGGCATTGCGTCGCCTTCCTTGGGCGAAGATCCAAACATTCTGTTCAGCAGGCCTCCCTGAGTGGAGAAGCTTCTGCGATTCTTGCCGGATGCCAGGGTGAAAGCTGGGACGTGACTGACGCCACACGAAGGTCGAGATGGGATGCTTCAGAAGCAAGAGAAGGCGCGTCGGACAGGGAATGGGTGATGGGGCCTTTTCTGCAGCATAGCATCAGCAAAGTGTCCGGCAAGCGCGTGGAGGCTTTGGTCTGCCGACATGCAGCTTCGTATGAGAAATAGGCAGGCAGCTGCAGCGTGAAGCTACGGGACAGCCAAGATGGACAGCGAGACTCACTTGTTTCAAATGTAGGTCTTAGTGGTGCGCCGGGTCAGGATGATGGAGATTCTTAGGTTGTCAATTGGAGAACGTGAGGGGGTGCGGTTCTCGGAACTGATGTCACTGGGATTGACGCTTCTGGAAAGAGCTCTTGGCGCGAACCGTTGCAGCCTATCCAATGTCGGTCTTTCGGATCCTCTCACTGCCGTGAGTGCCTGCAGGCCATATCTGATCTTGTTCTGGACGACTGGAAGACCAGTACTCATGCATCACTCAGCATTTAATCTACTCGGTCGCACCACCTTAGCGGTTCAGGGGATGCGGATCAAGTCATCAATCCCAAGCAGGTTCCCCGCAAACCGAGCAAGCTGGGTCAAACATTTCGTATTCACGTATCGTGAGCTATACATGCTTTATGCATCAACCATCATTGTCCTCTTGAGTGTAGCAGTAAAGGGTAAAGGGTTTAATGAGAGGATGCCATCTTCGTTACCGTGTAGGGACGAAGCCACAGGTATCACTGTCCGGAACGCCGTACGCTTGCCATGCAAACAGATATAACCAACGCCAATATTTAGCAGGCACCTCATCGTCGTAGACTGTCCAACCTGGCCTGGAGGTCATCATCGCCGGGGTCACCACCAATGGCCTGGGCTACTTTGCCTTGTTCAACAGCAGTGCTCTGCAGGCCAGTTGGAGTCTCGCCCATCTGAATGTGTGTCAGCACGTATATAGGAAAGGCAAGAGAACTACTCACAGCTTGGCCAAGGTCAACACCGATCTCATCCAACACCTGGTTGACGACTTCCTCGCCTTCTTCCTCGTCCTCCAAGCCCGTCACGTCGTCGATGGCGTCGTCCATCATCTCTTGTCGCTGATCCATGATATCGTTCTCCCGTTCGAACTCCATGGCAATGCGCTGGAGGGCTGGGAGGTTCATTTGTCTATTCATGCTGCCGAGGAGCTTGGTGGCACCCTTCATGGATTGCATCATCTGGTCGTTACTGCGCACAGTCTGAAGCAGAGGTCAGCATGAGGCAGCAAGGAAGGATTGGATCAGGCGTACTTGGATGCGCAACGAGATGGCCTGTAGCTGAGTGCGCATCTGGTAGAACTTCTGAATGTATCGTCTCGTTCTGACAAGGTCCTTGGCCTGAATCTTGACTGCTCCCATCTGGCCATTCTTCGCGTTCTTCTTGATATCCTGGACTAGCTTTTTCTCCTGGTTCTCCAGCTTCGTGCGTTCACGGTCAAGTTCGCGTTGGGTCTTCTCGAGGGCGCGCTGGTGTTTTCGCATGCGCTCTGCGGGCGTCATGCGCTTGCCAAAGGCCCATTCTACAATCTAGACAGAGACAGGCCATCAGCGACTGAAAAGGATGTTGGGACGAGCTTGGGCGCATGTGGTGCTCACATTCATGGTAACGGAGGGATGTATGAAGGAGAGAGATTGCTAGGCGGCCACAAACAAGGTTGATGTCAGTCGGGTCGCAGTAGCGCGGGGACTTGTGCACTCCCCCCACACGATGAACATGGCGTTCCTTCCACCTCGTGCAAAAGACAGTGACAGCCTGACAGTCTCTATAATATGCTATGAAGATGTACAGCCGCTCTCTGAATAAAGGTGTGGCCATGGAGATGCCTGCACAAAACGATCTCTTCATGGACGTCGCTCTGTTATAGAAGGGATTGTGCAATTCTACAACTACACTGTGACTGTCTATCTCACACGGGGAGTCACTATTTTGTCCGTGCGCCAGTGCCCGCCACGCCAGAACGATTAGAAACGGCATCGAACGGGCCTAAACCTTCCGTCACAACTTCGTTTCTTGTTCGACACTTTTACTTTCTCTTGCTGCTCGTCACACCACCACCAACCTACGACGACCTGCGACTTTCTTACTATCTCACTCAGACTTCTCGCAAATACCAAGATCTGGAATGCACTGAGCGTCATTCTGCACAACACCAGCACATCATGAGCTCAGGCTCCCCCTCTGGCAGTGGCCGTGCCACACCCTCGAATAGCTCTTCCTCGCCCATGCGCCGCCACCCAGGTCGTCCTCAGTACATGACTGTCGGAAATGGCTCGACTTCTGAACATGCCGCTCGCCTTGCCGCCATGCTGGACAATGACTCTGGCTATGGAGGAAGCATCGCTGACGGCGCCACCTTTGATCCCACTTTCGACCAAGATCCTATGACCCAATTGGCCACAGCCCAAGGCGCTACATGTGAGCACCAGCTCCACAACCAAGAGATGTATATGACATTCTGACAGATTCTATAGNCCGACAACGAAAGACGCGCCATCGCCAGTCATGTACACCAGCTCCAATACAACCAGAACCGTACCGCACTCGGTCGTGCTATTGGCGAGACTGTCGACACTCTCAAGAAACTACAAGACATGAACTCGAAATGGCCTGCTCACTATCCTACTGTCCAACGTCCAGCTCCTGCACCTCGCTTTCATCCAGATCCCCGACCTGGTCTCGTTCATACTCAATCCGGTTTTGACAACCACCATGCTCCTGAGCCGTTGAAACGCCCGGCTCCTCGTCGTGCTGGTACTACCATAGGCGAAGACATGATGGAGCCCGAATCTAGCGGAGCGGCTGCTCGTGCTCCGGCTGCAGAACCTAGATTGGTGACCCCACAACTATCCCAGCAGTTTTCGGTGCTCAAGATTGAGTTGAAAATGGAGGGCGTACATCAGACTGAGCTGGTTCACTCTCTGGAAAAGCAATCAATAGCATCCCTTCTTGACGGTCAGATCAACAACAGTGTTCGACACTTGTTCTCGCTAAGGGATCGTATCGAGGACACTTCCAGCAAAGTCCTGATCACCGGTGATCTCAATGCTGGAAAGTCTACCTTTNGTAATGCCCTTTTGAGACGTAAAGTCTTGCCCGAGGATCAACAACCATGCACCAGTATCTTTTGCGAGGTTCTGGATTGTCGCGAGAACGGAGGCATCGAAGAAGTGCATGCAATCCCAAATGGCGTCGAGTACAACCGTCACGATGAAAGCACGTATGCTGTTTTCGGTCTGGAGCAGCTCGAAGATATCGTAATCGACAACGAAAAATGGTCACAGTGCAAGGTATACATCAAGGATGTTCGCTCGGTAGACCAATCGCTGCTCAACAATGGTGTTGTCGATATTGCCTTGATTGATGCTCCCGGATTGAACAACGATTCGCTCAAGACCACTGCAGTCTTTGCTCGACAGGAGGAGATCGATGTGGTTGTCTTCGTTGTTTCTGCTGCTAACCATTTCACGCTCTCGGCCAAGGAATTCATTTTCAACGCCGCTCGTGAAAAAGCATACATGTTTATGGTCGTCAACGGTTACGATAACATCCGCGACAAGAAGAGGTGTCAGGAAATGATTCTAAAACAAGTCAACCATCTCAGTCCTGCTACTTTCAAGGAGTCCTCTGAGCTTGTACACTTCGTATCGAGTAACGCAATTCCCGTCGCCCCTGCTGGCGGTTCAGACGGCCCTGGTGGCTCTGGAAGCGGATCCGGCTCAAGTAGTGGTGGCCCTAATGGCGATCCTAGTAATGACGATGAGCCTTCGGACAAGAAAGACAAGGGTAAGGGCAAGGAACAGGAGAAGATTGATGACTTCAACGAGCTCGAGGCTTCGCTGCGCCGCTTCGTCTTGGAAAAGAGAGCACGTTCCAAGCTCGCTCCTGCAAAGACCTACCTGCTCAACGTCCTCGGCGATCTTGGTAGCCTTGCCGGCGTGAACAAGGAAGTTGCGCAGAACGAGCTCGATCGTGTCACCAAGGAGCTCAAGGAGCTTGAGCCTGTGTACGAGAAATCCAAGAAGGCACGTTCTGAGGCAGGGGAGGGTGTCGACTTTACTATCGATGAGACTGCATCGGATATTTACAAGGCGTCTCGCGATACTATCAACAACACAATCGCTCGTGTCGGAGAGCAAAACTTAGGCGTTGAATATCCTGGCCTGTTCAGCGTCTACCAATACGCAGATGAGCTGAAGACAGCTATGCTTGAACAGATTACACGTTCGGTCCACGACTGCGAGGAAGCCGCTAGAGACCATACGGCAAAAGGAGTCGACGGTATCAAGAACCTCGGAGTCCTCCACCTCGGTGAGGATTACGAAGATCTGACTTTCAAATCCGAGTACATGTTCCGCTCGCGCAGAGATGCCTTGACACGACAAGTTGACGTTGACGTCGAGATGTCGGACTTCTTTGATCTGGCAAGCCTATGGGAACGTCAAGAGAAGGTCGCAGGAGCAAGTATGGCTGTCACTATCGCTGGCGTTATTGGTGGCCGTATGTTCGGAGGTATCGGTTGGGTTGATGGTGCACTCGGCGCCGCAAAGGTCCTGGGGCCCAACAACTTGCGTAGACTGATGATTCCTGGCGTCGTCCTCGCAATCGCTCTTGGTGCTTCCTATGCTTTGAGCTCAATTCCCCACTCGCTTCCACGACGACTTTCGCAAAAGCTATCGGCTCAGCTTGCAGAGCTAGACTACACGCACGCCAACGCTACACGAATTTCGTCCGAGGTCAGGAGAGCACTCAAGTTCCCTGCCGACAAGCTTCGTGAGGGCCTCCAGCGAAGTGTCGAGCAGCTGCTCGATGAACGCAAGGAGAAGATCAAGCTTCAGAGCGAGAGCGAGGTAGCAAAGAAGTACTTCAGCAACCTTGTTCGAGAGAGTGGTGACATCCGAAGCAGAGTGATGCGCGTCGACTTGGAAGGACCGGCACCTGGTCATCTGGGCGGCCGTGGCGTCTAGTTGCCGTATCAATGGGCAAAAGCAATTGAGTCTAACATTGGGAAAGGCGCAAAAGGGCGTAAGGAGCAGGTTTCCGTTTATCTTTCGTTTCTGGGATCCAAAAGGAATTCGATTGTACCGTTCAACTTTTGAGGGTAGCTCGAGGCATTGTGCACTTCTCTTCTCTTTTATAGTTCAATACCCTCATACATGTAATGCTATTCTACCCTGATTTCCCTGAATACAAATGTTGCCCAAGAAAAGCTATCATTTTGAGGCTGCTCATATGGCCACACGTCTAATTATGCGAACAACTGTGCATTTTTATAGCATACTATAGCGCCATCTGCTGACTGCGAAGAGGAGCTACTGATTGAATTTGACCACGTATTCTCCATAATTTAGCACATGTTCTCCAAAAGGGCCCTGCTTTTAGTTGTCGATCTCTCTCTTTTCTTCAGGATATTCAAAATGTTTTGGTGAATACGCAATAGTTGAGTTAAAATGTGGTGAGCCGAGGCGCGCGAGCAGGGTCCAAGCTGGCTGGCAAGGACAATGGCAAGAGCGTCATACGAAACATCTTGTTCACCAAGGTAGAATGGCGGGCGACTGAAGCACAACCTAAGTAATGGCCGATCCGAGAGCCATTGTCGCACTGGTCATCCTTCTATTCATTTTCTTCTCGCCGCCGCCCGGTCAAGAACCGCTGGTACGCGCTCGCTCGCGCCTCGAGCACATCGTCGCCGCCGAACGCCATGACTTGACTGTCCTTAACCAAACACATTTGGGGGACTTTGATCCGGCACAGGACAGGTGGCTCAACATCAGCGGCTTTCGGNGAAACGACACATTCGCGTGGCAAGCACTATCTCTTGTCAAAGAACGAGCCAGACACCAGTCAGCACATGCCTTGGGTCATGACAACCTGGTGCGTCTTGATGGCGGACATGACGAAGACCCACCCTTACCGCTATACCGAAATGTGACTGGAAGTCTGTACGGCGAATGGATTCGCTCGCCTGCCCAGGCATCGGTCGTGCCGCCAAAGTTGAACATGTCCGAATATGCGGCCATCGGTCCCTTTGGTCCTATTCCAATCCAATCATTTAGCAGAAACGTCACTGCAAAGTCAGGATCACTTGAAGTCCGGTTTGAAGAGGCGGATACACCAGAGACACTGCTTTGGCATGGGGATAAGAAAAGGGCTAGGGAGGTCAAGGCCCAGATCTCGGTCGGAGACCAAGAGGTGGGTGATTCCTGGGACAGCAAGCTGTTTGGTGTGCACTTTCTCGACACTGGCAACATAATTCTAGCTACCACCACGAACAAATTCGCTGGAATCTTCGGCCTGCCACATATGGCTCTCTCGGGCCACAATTATCAATCCGCACAAGAGCTGCTAAATCGAACGCTTGGAACATCTATCGGTCAACAAGAGGACGGTCTTCTCCAAAGCTTCAGCCCTTGGGCGCCAACTGGCGAAATTACTTCTGAGTCTTTGCTAGCTCCCACCTGCGACTTGATCGTCTACCTACAGCAACATTTAGTCCCAGTGCCTGGAGTCAAGCCTGGACCTGATCAGGAGTCTCTTTTGTCGTTCATCGAAAACGAGATTCGCTTCCCCACCGGTGCATCCATTCCACCTACTCAGCAGATGGCTTTTTCCATGGTGGCATTCTCGCCAGACTGTGGATTTGTGATTGAGTCAAAGGGCCCGCCCGATTTTGTTCCACAGGAAGCCAACCACTTGCGTGGGCTCAAGATTGAGGTTGAGTATGAGCGTGCAAGAAGCCACCTACTGCTCTTCGCTGCCGTTATCGGTGGTCAATTGTTCTTTNTCTTGCGCCAAATGAGGGATGCAAGCACTCCATCTACGAGAAGCAGGATCAGCTTTTATACAATCAGCATGTTGTCGCTGGGAGATGGCTTCACTACGATGGTCTTTTGCTTGATCAGTCTGTTCATCCAGGCTCTGTGGGTGCCGCTGATAGCTACTGCTTTCTTGGCCTTCATGAACGTGAGCTTCTTTGGTATGAGGTTCTTGATGGATATATGGGCTGTACAGGCGCCGGAAAGGGAACATAGAGAAAGGCAAGGCCGACAGCAGCAACAGCAACCTGCTGCTACACCTGCAGCCCCAACTATAGCTCCGGCGAGTACCACGGAAAGTGCTCAGCCGTCCGTACCGCCTCTGCTGCCTGTCGTCACTCCTGCAGGAGCAGAAGTGCTTCCTCAGCCCGTGACAGCAGCGCGACCTGTCGACACAGGAGCCACACCAGTCTTTATCCCTTCCGACCAAGACATGCAGGCTGAGGAAGACGCTCCTAACGCTAGAGCTACAGGAGTAGAGGCTGGCCAACGTGCCCCAGGATTCGGCTCTCTTTACACCCGCTTCTACTTCCTCCTTCTGGCAACACTGTTCCTCTCGTTGAACGCGACTTCCTGGCCTCCAGCTCTCCGGCGAGGCTACTTCACAATTTTGGCGTTCTGCTATCTGTCCTTTTGGGTCCCGCAGATCCATCGCAACTGTATGCGCAATTGTCGACATGCACTGCGATGGGACTTTGTAGCTGCTCAGTCGTTGCTGCGACTCTTGCCATTTGCTTACTTTTATGGTTATGAGCAGAATATCCTCTTTGCCTCTGTCGACTTGATAGATCTCGGTGTGCTTGCTGGCTGGGTCTGGATACAGGTGTTGTTGCTGTTGAGTCAGGAGATTATAGGTCCTCGCTGGTTTGTGAGTGGTACCTGGATGCCACCTGCCTATGACTATCACCCCATCCTCTGCGACGACGAGGAAGCGAACAATCTGCCTATTGGAGCAACCACTTCTATGCCTTCACCCGAACAGGAAAAGGAGGCAAAGGACAAAGGCAGGCGTGTTTTCGATTGTGCCATTTGCATGCATGAGATCGAGGTGCCTGTGTTGAACGAAATTTCTGCTGCTGAAGGTCTTTCGACCGGGTCACTGGTCCTGGAGCGCAGGAAGTACATGGTCACGCCTTGTAGACACATCTTCCACTCCAGTTGTTTGGAGGGCTGGATGAAGTTCAGACTCGTGTGTCCAATCGACCGCGAGGAGCTGCCGCCATTGTAAATACTTGTACATAGTTGATAGCATGATCGTTTTCTTCATTCCTCATCGCCGAACGATAGTTTTATCGGCTTGCCCTTTTCTTGGGTTTCTTTGGTTTGCTCTCGTCTTTGCTTGTGTCTTTGATGTTTGCNNTTCATCTTCGTCATCGCCTCCTACCACTTTAGCCACTTTACGCTTTTTGGTCGCTTTGCCTGCATCAACAGTCACGGATGCTCGAGCAGGCGCATCGTCCTCATCAGGCAATGCCCCCGAAGCCTTTGGCTCATCTCCCGTCAACTCTCCAGTCACCATATCCTTGACATCGCCGAATTTAGACTTTACATCTGCTTCTTCGTCTCCATCGCCAGAAGTGAGTTTTTCATACTCGGCTTTGGTCAAAGTCTCGGAGCTTCCTTCTACCACATAGGTTGGTGCGTCTTCGTCATCATTGTTGGGGTTTTTGGTNCGTTGGGCGCGGGCGATGGGTTGTTCGTGACGGCCTGAGGAGGAGATTGCGCTGTTCTGATCGCGCAGGCGTTGGAGGAAGGCTGGTTGGGAGGCTGATTTGTCGTAGGAGAGGTCTTTTGATTTGATGTTGCTCATGGTTGTTTGTGTGTTGTGGTGGATCACCAAGAAGTCGTGGGTGCGTTTCTTGATTGTGGTGTGAACTGGGATGACCCTGGCCTTTGATGTTTCCTGTCCAGGCTTACACAACCTGTATGATCTGGTGGTTTTTGACTGATGGTTCGATATGGAAAATCCAGACCTCTCAAGAGATTTGGTTTCCTTGGTATTCTAGTTCCAATGAAGGTTTTGGTGTGTTGATGTTGATTTTTGTTCCTCTGGTGTCTTTGGCTCACTGAAGCTTGACCTTTTATTCTCGAATCGAAGAGGAATTTCTTTGAAGCAACAAAGTTGGCTGGAGATGGATTCGTACAATATCAATTCTTTCACGCAAGAAGACCTTGATCGCTTCGCTTGACTCGATCATAGAAGCTCGGATGCAGCGATTGAGATGGTGGAGAAGAGGGCAATTTCACGGAGTGGTGGAGTGCGGGTCAGCCATGGCACAAAACACTCGGTCGAGATGTGGGATGCCAAGGGCAAGGTTGCGTAAGAAGGAAGAAGCAACCAGCCGTCCGCTCCGTACACGTTGGCCATATGTGGCAGCAAGAGAAACTTTGAAGGCTCTCTAACAGTTGTCAAGCAGCCCGCCGACAAGACACTACTCCAGGACAAGGATTGCCGTCGGTATAGACCTGGCAAGAAGACAGCACGCGAACAGTTCGGCCCAGTAGCGGGACCCTTTATTCGCCAGCCAGCCCCCTAAATATCCTTGCGTGTCATCACACACTCGACAAGTCGCCAATCACGACCCGTCGAAATCTCGTTTCGACCTCGAGCTTCTTCCTATGCGTCCAGTCCACGCATACTCGTCGACGTCCTCTTGAACCGCGACGTCCGCTTCGCCCTGACACGCTCGTCGGTCGCTCATCACCCGTCGGGAACAGCTTTGCAACGCCGCATACCTCATCGTCAACTCAATTGTCGACCCCGAAATCCCTTCTCGACGCTCGGTATAGCTTCGCATTTGCGTAGCACCCGCTATAGCCGATTTGCAACATGAACTTCCTCCAAGATGTTCGCAAGCGACTACCCACAGCGCAAAAGCTGCCTTCATACGATGATCTCTCCAAGAGTGCTGAGAAGATGACGCCGAGGTTAGCCTTCTTCCGCCGACGCATACGTCTGAGAGAGAATTCGCGCATCTCAATACCTCTGGGCCTGGTTCTGCTTTTTCCGTGCTTGATTGTAATATTAATACTGCTCCTCTTCGTGCGGCACCCTACCGAGGCCGGCAGGATACTCATGCCCGCTGGCGCACCCCCATCCATCAGGTACGCTATTTCCATTGCTCTGACCTCTTCTACTTGCCCTGACACGATGCGTTACAGGAAAATCAGCGAGAAGCACGACAAGGTCTTCGTCACAGGCTGTCAAGATCCCGCTCTCGAGACCAACCAACCGCGCGCCAACGCCGCTTTCGTCGTCCTCGCCCGTAACAAGGAACTCGAAGGTGTTCTGCAGTCGCTCAAATCAGTCGAGAGACACTTCAACAGATGGTTCCACTACCCCTACGTCTTCCTGAACGACGGCGACTTCAACTCCACCTTCAAAGACGAGGTCCGTAAGCACGTCAGCTCCAACGTCGAGTTTGGCAAGATCGATTCCAGCATGTGGGGCTTCCCCGACTGGGTCGACCACAATGTGGCCAAGGAGGGCATCAGAAAACAGGGCGATGCTGCTATCATGTACGGTGGTATGGAGAGTTATCACCACATGTGCAGATTCTACTCTGNNGGTATGTCTACAATCTTCTCGAAGACTTGGATTTGTGCTGACGTATACAGTTTCTTTTACAAGCACGAGCTCCTCCAGAAATACGACTGGTACTGGCGTGTTGAGCCCGAGATCAAGTACTTCTGCGATATCACCNTAGTACGTCTTGTTACAGCACCGGCCTCTGATCTCAGCTTATTGACGTGTAATAGCGATCCTTTCGTCCACATGGAGCGCAACAACAAGACTTATGGATTCACGATTGCAGTCAAAGAACTCAAGGAGACGGTACCCAACATTTTCAGATACGCCTCGGCCTACAAGCGAGTCAACAACATCACCTCAACTGGCCTCTGGGAGATGTTCCTCGAGCCCAAGCCGGAGAAGCCAGCAGACGAGCTGCCCAAGGACGACCCCAAGTACAAGAAGCCTCTTCCCGAAGACATCCTTCGCACAGAACCTGGCGCAGGCACTATTCCTGATGTAGACCNNCCGGAGTCCATGGAGGGCGAAACATACAACATGTGCCATTTCTGGAGTAACTTTGAGATCGCTAGACTTGACTGGTTCAGAAGCAAGGAATACGAGGACTTTTTCCAGATGATGGACCGCAGTGGAGGCTTCTGGATGGAGAGAGTAAGATGCAGCCCTCTGCGACCGTGTTCTGCAAATCGCTAACTTTTCACAGNNTGGGGTGATGCTCCCATCCACTCGCTGGCAGCAGGTGTTCTCCTATCTCCCTCGCAGATCCACTACTTCCGCGATATCGGCTACCGACACACAACCATCGCACATTGTCCAGCAAACGCAAAGGCCCGCCAGGAGCCTCGCCCGCCTTATCTTGAGACGACAACCACAGACGAGAAGAAAAGAATCGAGGAAGATGCATACTGGGAGGAGTGGGATGAAGAGAAGGAAAATGGTGTCGGCTGCAGATGCAGATGTGATCCCGAAGTGCCAGAAGTCGAGCTCAAAGAAGGCAGTTGTCTACCCAACTGGGTAGATGTGGCCGGAGGTTGGATCACACCAGGGCCACCAGCATGATCGAGGATGTAATATTGGCTGTTGTATACGCATGAGAGGCGCGAGTCGTTTTTGCAGCGATCATGGACGGCGTTATTTGATCGGTTTGAATGGACGGTACATGTGGATACAAAACCTGGATCCCAACTTTCGGTCGTCTTGTGCCTCCGCTGACCTCTGGTGTTCTTAGCAGCTTTTTTTCTTCTGAGTCTTGATCGTACATGATATAGTAACGATACAGACACGAATCAATGGTTTTTATTCAAGATACAGACCATGTTGTTTTGTCTTTGCATGCATGCTGCTGCAGAGCAAGAATCAAGGCAAAACGGTGAATCGATCTCATGGGCGAAGCCGTAGTGAGAGCCGCGGTCCAGAAGCACAAGCAGTCACCCAACAGGTTGATGGCGTGTTTGCTGAGATATTCGAAGGCCTATCTATCTGTCACATGCAAGCAAGGCGGCAACCATCACGGTGCAGCTGTGAAAGCTTATCAGGATTTGCGGGGTGTCTGAAGCACCTTGATTTCTACTTCTGTCCGGGTGATACAGTACATCGAACTTTCCATCCTGTTGTCAAGGCTCTGCAGACTCGTATTGCAAGCTTCTATCTGAAGCTCTCAAGGCGGACTGCTTGAAAACAGAACAGAAAGAACTCATACCCACGCGGCTGCCCCTCTCTAGGTTAAGACAAGGCCCACCCGATTGGTCTACCCCTCCTCCCAGGCTGCAGCGGCCCAATAATCTGTCTGGTAAGCTGTTACACCTACACTCAACAGGGAGACGACAGATAAGGCTGGCTCTTCACCAAAAGGTTTCTTTCCTCTACGCTTTTCCTGACTCACTGACAACTTGGCTCGATCGTTTCTGACCTGGTTGTCAGCTGCCCGAACCGTGACTTCTTCTTTCGGGCGAGATCTACGGACGACAACACCACGCACGCCTTTCTGTGAAAGGTGGAAATTGCTACTGACCGCAGACTGTTCTGCTCGCAACACGACGACCAACACTCTGCGTCTTCATCACCGCACTTCCTACATCCTACTTATTGTATCATCCTCCCCTCATTCTAACGCCTCTGCATCACACTCTGACATCGCTGAGAGATACACACTCTCAAGCACCATCCTCAGTCACCATGACTGTCCACACCAAGCCCCTCGTTCATCACGAGGAGGCCCACGACGAGTCTGACGACTGCGTCTCTGCCGACGACTTCACCCCTTCCCTTCCTACCCTGGCCAACCGCCTACCTGAGTCCGATGCCCGCAGCGTCAGCGATGTTGAGTCCATCTCCGGTGACACCATCAGTGATCACGCCAGCGATGCCGAGTACGATGAGATCAACTACGACGAGATCCCCGCTCTCGCCGCTCGTGCTCGCTATCAGGAGACCGAGCCGTCCGAGGAAGAGATGGAGCGTGTCATGATGAGCGACAGAACCATCGTCCCCCAANCCCCCACCATGGCTCAACGTATGCCACACATGTCTTCCCAGCCCACCATCAAACCAGACACCGCGCCCGAGCATGTGCGTGTCACCGGTCTGTCCTTCGCCGAGAAGCCCTATCAGTTGCCCGACCGCCCGCTGCGTTTGGTCTACCTTGCCAACGACTTCAAGAGCAACATGAAAGCTGTGACTCTCATGTCCAAAGTCTATGGTGCCATGACTGGCAACCCGGCTAACGAGGAGGCCATGTTGGATGCAGCATCTCTTGCTGAGTCTGATGATGACATCTTGCGGTCACTTTCCGACCTCCCTACACCTGTCGATATCATTCGCGGCATCGAACTCGATGTTTCTCCCGATGGGTCTTTGAATCAGAAGTCCGATTCGATGGAGTCTGAGCTCGAGAGGTTGAGACCCGATCTGGTCGTTTTTCATCGTGCCCACTCCCACGTTGCCTGGGTTACCTTTGCCAAGAAGGTCGCTGATCTTGGTATCCCGATGATGGAGATTCAGGACGACTCCTTTGATGTCACTGTTGGCGACGAAGATTCTGCATGTGTTATTCCACACACTGCCCAGGGCGACCACTGTCTTCGTCTGTCCGTCGTTTCGAGCTCCGATGATCAAGACGAGGAGTCCTCCAACAAGGAGGTGCCCTTATCAGAGAGCGTGTTCCATGCCTTGGAAGATGATGTCTTGCGCCGCCACCTTGCGTACCTCGCCGACAGAGCCAAGGAGCTCGATGAGTCCGAGAAGAACAAGATGTTTGTCCAGTCTGGCAAGCAGTCGAAGGCACCCAAATTGATGTCGCTTCTCGATTCTATCTACATCAAGAACGCCGCTCAGAGCTTGTTGGCAGTGCTCGTGATACTCTTCGCCACCAGCTTGCCCGTCTACTTCCTCCACCAACAGAGTCCTGCCTCGGAGTTGGCCAATCGCGCGCCTGTGCTCCAAGCTGCTCTAAACAACTCCGGACTTACCAACGTCAATGCAAGCGACATTCTTCGCTACCCCGTTACCACCAGTATCGTCGGAAACTCCACCACTACAGCTGTAGCATTCCCTACGGCTGTCCACGTTCATGTCGCCAAGTCGGATCAACTCCTCGTCTCCCTCCCCAAGGTCTACTGGAAGTCTGCTCAGATTGGTATCTTCAAGAACGGCAAGGCTCTGACCAACGTTAACAACACGCGTGTCGTTGATGGAGTGCTGGCTATCTCGCTGCCTTCTACCGATGCTTATGGTCAGGTTCAGATCAGTGTGCTCTCAACCAACATGCCTATGCGCAACGAGACGATCAAGGTTGACCTTGGCAACCGTCTCCTGCAGCGTGCCACCTACGAGAATGCCGCGAAGGGCGTTCAGCAAGATGTCACTGTAGTCCACCACGCCGCCAAGCTTGCCCAAGCCAAGGTCATCTCTGACGTTCACTCCGTCTTCAACATGTCGGCCTACTGCATCAGATCTTTTGGCAGCAACATCCTGGAAGGTGTAAAATCCACCGGCCATGCTATCGGCTCCGCATCAAACCACACGTCTCATGGCTTGTCTTACATGGGTGGTCTGACTTACAACAAGACTTCAGACCTTGGCTCTTTCGTCAAGAGCGCCATCCCTCAGAGACGTCATTTCATCAGAGCCCGTAATAACGCTTTGAAGATCAGAACAAGACTTCTTCGTAAGTCTAGTACTGTCAAGCAGAACATTGTCAAGCCCAAGCCTGGACTTCCTCAAGCTTTGCTTTCCATGAAGACGAGGTTTGCAGAGCTCCAAAAGCAGTTCCCCGGCTTCAACGCTCTCAAGAAATCTACTCCTGCTAAGCAGCGCAGCAAGGCTTCCCAAACAGCCAACAAGGTGAAGTTGACCGTCAAGACAGTTGTCGAGTCGAAGTCGAAGAAGGCTATCTCATCGGTGACTGACACAGTCAAGATCCCCAAGGGTCGCAAGCAGTGCAAGAACACTGACAAGAAGCTCAAGTCATCGTGTGTTTAGTAACAGCATGCTTTTGGTGTTCAATGGGTAGGTTTTTACCCAGGCGTTTTCAGACGGTCTCAACTCACACAGCCTCCAAGGGCAACAGGGTCATGAACAGGCGCTGGAGAGGGAAATTCTCGGTTGTTGCGATGTTTCAGTCATTTCTTTTCGTTCGACTCTGGAGGGGAACGTGATTCGATAGGCGTGCTTTTGGGAGGAGAGAAACGGAGATTAGTCAGCACCACCCCTTCTTGCTTGCAGCAAATGGAAACAATATGCTTTATAACGTCGAACCCTTCGAAGGAAGATCGTAGTTCATGCAAGAGAATCGTTTGGCTCTTACTGTAGATTAGCCAAATATGCAAAATAAGGTATTCGTGATGCTGCCGTTGGTCGAACCCCCGCACTTGGTGGACCGATGGCTGTCCCAAAAGCGTAAACCGAAGCGCCATGCAGAACGATCCGAAGCACCATAATCATGACGGCGACTACATAAAGAGAAGAGAGATGGACGGCATGGAACAATGTGAGATACTCGACGTCTTTCTCACACTTTAGCACCCTTCTATCCAAGAACCATTCCCGGATTCAACACGTGGGAGCAACAGAACCCAGATCTGATCATCAACGAGACAAGAGAAGCGTATATCATTGGCGACCATGGCTGCCATCCACAAGACCAATCCGTCTCTGCAGGTGACGGCGGATCACCAGATCAAGATGGCCGAAGCACCGATTGAGAAACCAGGGTATGGAGAGGTGTTGCTGCATATAAAGTGTACCGGCATCTGCGGGTGAGTTGTCTCTCTTCCTCTCAATTCGACATCTACGTTTCTGTAAAGACAAGGTGACTAAGGTTCTTGATACTAGATCAGATATCCATTTCTGGAAGACTGGACGCATTGGACCGCTGATTGTGGAGAGCGATTGTATTTTGGGACATGAGGCTTCTGGTGTTGTGCTTAAGCTTGGAGAGGGAGTCAAGGATTTTGTGATTGGTGAGTGCTTTTTTTTATTCTGTTTTTCTTGTTTGGGTTTTCGTCTTTCATTCTTGATGATGCTCTCTTTGGCTTTTGGAAGGTCTTTTGCTGCTGTGCAGGCAGGAAGAGTAAGAAAGAGCAAAGGGATTGGAAAGAGCAGAAAAGAGAAAGAGTTTGAGAGTTCAGAGAAAAGGGGAGGAGCAAGGATATACACCGCACAGAAACACTGATCTCATTTGCGAAAACAGGCGATAGAGTAGCAGTCGAACCGGGCATGCCCTGTGACAACTGCTGGCTCTGCAGAGAAGGAAGATACAACCTTTGCGAAGATGTCAAGTTCTCTGGCGTATGGCCTCACCACGGCACCCTCCAGCGCTTCAAAGTGCATGCTGCAAAATGGTTGCACAAGTAAGTTGCTTGTACCTACCATGCTTTTCTTCGCAGCAGCTACTAACACAGACCAGAATCCCAGATAACGTCAGTTTCGCCGAAGGCGCACTCCTCGAACCCCTCTCAGTCGTCCTCCACGGCATCCGTCGCGCAGGACTCACCCTCGGTCGCGGCGCGGTAATCTGCGGTGCTGGCCCCATTGGCCTAATCGCTCTCCTCTCTTCCCGCGCCTCTGGCGCACACCCCTAGTCATCACGGACCTGGAGCCCCAGCGCCTCGCCTTTGCCAAAAAGCTCGTCCCCGAATGCGAAACCTATCAAGTTTCCCGAGACCTCAGCTCTGAAGATAATGCAAAGGGCATCAGGAAGCTGTTTGGCGAGTCGGAGTATGGGTGCCCAGAGACTGTGCTCGAGTGTACGGGTGTAGAGAGTAGTATTGTTACTGCAGCGTTTGCTGTGCGTAGAGGAGGTACGGTGATGGTTATTGGGGTTGGAAGACCGGTAGTCAACAATATCCCTTTTATGCATATGAGTCTTGGTGAGGTGAGTATTTCCTTTTGTTTTCCAGAAAAGTGGATCGCTGACAATGAGGAACATAGATCAATCTTAAGTTCATCAATAGGTATACCGATACCTGGCCCGCGGGCATTGCAGCCGTAAAGGGCAAGCTGATGGATCTAAAGCCATTGGTTTCGCATGTATTTCCGCTGGAGAAAGCGGTGGATGCCATGCACATCTGCGCTGATTTGAGCCAGGGCAGTATCAAAGTGCAGATTGTCGACGACGTCGAGATCAAGCCTGAGGATGTCGAGTGAGCATCTTGATGCTGTTCGAATCTCAAAAATGGCATGTTGATAAGAGAGGATGTTTGGTTGGGCATTCTTGGAGTAAAAGCCCAATCCACGATGCTAGATTGGTATATTCTACATCATGAACATGCATAATAGAATCGAGTTTCAGTGTGCGAAGTAGCCAAACGTGTAAGCATATTCGAACAAGGGCAACACGCAATTTACGTGTTCGCCTAAGAATATCGTCTTTCTCATCTTCATCGCTTGTCCAAGTGATCTGTGGCAGTTTGCAAGCGGGTATATGTATGAGAAGGGAGTGACAACCGCGTGTCAGGAAGGAGCGAAAACTGGAATACAAGGAAAGAGCAAAACATCGAGTATAGGAGGAAGGAGCGATTAAGAACGAAGGAAGGAGCGATCAAGCATAAAAGGAAAGTGCGGTCAAGTGTAGAAGGAAGGAGCGATCGAGTTGGAAAGGAAGGAATGACTGACATTGTAGGAAGAGAAGACCGAACATATGAGGAAGCAACGACTGACATTCTAGGAAGAAGCAATCCAGAAGGAAAGAGCGATCCACTCCTTTCTCGTTCTCGTGATTTTCCTTGCGCTACGACCAGAAGTGTGACGGGCGCGATAGTTGTGCACAAGCCAGCGCCTGTCAAGAGTAGGGGTGGACTCAAGAGATGTGGTGGTTCTATAGTCAGAAGATGCCCTGACCCTCCTTGAGAAATTCGGTGATTCGGCGTTGAGCGACGGCGCTGAAGTACTGTATAACACCTGCAAAGTCGATCAGCTAGGATACAACAAAGACGGCTACCTTGTAAAAAGACAAAAGAGCCAGACACACACTAGATGATCACGAAAAGGAGAGCGAAAGAAGATGTTCCAGTTGACTTTTTTCATTTGTAACAAAACCCTTCAAACGACCTTCAAATGCGAAGTTGTACAGGAGTATCGCAGTGTAAAGAACACAGAACCATGATTATGTGCGTTTGCCAAAAACAGATTCAAGTCTCGAAGCGTGTAGACAACAAAGGAAACCCCTCAGAGGAAACAGAATCATCGCTCGATGCCGTGTGGCCGAGTCATATGTCCACCTCCGTATGCTAGAACAGAAACATGCCGTATCGAAGAATGTGTGAAGTTGAGATCATCGCTAAAAAAGACATCAAAAGCAGGAGAAAAATAAGTTTCTATGCTTAGATGAGGAGAGCAGCGAAACCAGCAACACCAGCAAGGGCCATGCCGGCGTTGAGCTTGCCTGCAGCACCAGTGTAGGATGAAGGGTGAGCACTAGTGGCAGAGGCGCCGAAGCCAGTGGAAGCAGCAGTTCCCTGGGCACCAACGGGCATGGTGGAGTTGACCATGGCGAAAGGAGCAGAGGTGGGAACGTTGACGNNTTGACGGGGATGACGGTGGTTCCGACAGAGACGATGGAGGATGAGACTCTGAGAGGGCAGTTGGTGACCTCAGGGGCGCACGAGGAGATGGTGACAGCCTTGGTGGAGTAGAGAGTCACAGTCTGGGGCTGCTGGGCAGGAGCGGTGGTGTTCTGGACAGCAGCAACAACGGGGGCCGAGGTAGGAACAACGGGAGCCGAAGTGGGANACAGCAGCGACCTCAGTGGAGCTCGAGAGTCTGGCAGGGCAGTTGGTAACCTCAGGCNNTGAGAGAAAGTCAGTACAAATCTTGTAGATATCGATATATCAGATTCAACTTACACCGCAGGAGGTGATGGTCTCGACCTCAGTGGAGTGGACGGTCTGGGTGACAGCGGGGGCAGCAACGGCAAGGCCGGCGAAGAGAGCAGAGGCGACAACAGCGAAACGCATTTTGATTGATTTGGTTGTTTGGTTTTGGTGGGGTTGTGTGAAAATAGTCGTGGGTGGTTGGAAAAAAGGTGGTGGTGAGTTTGTTATTAAAGAATGTAGTGGTAGTTGGTGTGTAAAGAGTGTAACGACCGAAGTCTGATTATTGTAGTGAGTTGGATGGTGAGGACGAAGAGCGCAGTTCGAGGTCGAGCAATGCTTTGGTTTATAAGGAGGCATGTGTGTGATCGACGTCGGCCGGGGAATTGTTTGGGAGATTACGCCCTCCTGTCGACAAAGGCTAATGCAGGTCCAAGTGATCCGAGCTCATGGCCACGATGCAAGGGATACCGACACAACCGTTGGCTGGAAGCTTCCAAATGATGTTCATATCTCTACATTGCCGTCTCTGGGTGCTGCCAGTATCGTTGGTTAGAGGTTGAATCAAGGCCTCAATGGACTCATTGTGCACGGCAAGCCCCAGAAAAACAGCAACATCAGTCCCTATACTGTAGATTAACAATAACAATCCTGGACTCATCAACTTCTGATGCTTATGCCAAGTTGTAACAAATTGTGCGACACGCGCGTCTTTGTTCACCGAGTCATGAGGTGGCTTACACTAGTGTCTTCACATGTAGAGGGCTGTAAAGAGCATCTTCATTTCGGCTGCCAGATCCAGGTATGCATGTGGGCGAGCATCGTGTGCACAGACAATCACAATCAATGCACACGCCTATCATCCGCAATCGATAGTCTGCGTGTTTTCCTAGGGCAAGATGCGCTGCTCCTCAGACAACAGAAAGGCATCTGACATTGGATCTGGTAGTTTGGTAACTTGTATTTGACCGCTACGAAAGGGGGCAGAAACGCACACATGACATGGCACTGCCTTTTGAGAAGGTGAAACCGTGAGGCCGTTCCACTACTCTTTTGCCGCAAGTTTAAACAAAGCAAGCGAGCACGCCGTTGGTTCTGATATATACCACGGCTATCCATCTTCAATCTACCGCATGTGAAGATCCAACTGCCTTGCATACTTGCTACTGTCCGAAAGCCCACGACACACATCAACGTCTTTTCTCCAAACGTCCACGAACCATCATTGCCGTGAAAAACTTCCCTTATAAAACAGGTGACATCCCCAAAATTCAGGAGTAGATGAAACCTATGGGGGTGGCCGACGCCACGCGGAGAATAATGTGTGTTTGTTATGTCAACAGCATTCTTCGAAGTACTTTGTTTACTCTTCGACCGAAGCTGACTTGGACCTTGACTCGACCATCTGAACCTCGTCCATCATCAATGGGCAGAAGGAGACAAGCATGTGTGCAACTCTTGTATTCATTTCTAACAAGTAAGGTATAATTGACACTGCAGCTTCCCGCAGAGCCCTGGTATTTTCTTCTTTTGTCGTAATATCGAGTACTTTCTAGAGGCAGAGATTATGATTGCATTGCGTCGCTGTAGCTCTTGGCCGCCTGGCTTGCGAAGAAGCGCACATCGACATCGTCGTCAGTCATGAGTTTTTCCAGATTAGGCATGATTTGTTCCCGGATAAGCTGGTCACCCTGGGGACTTCCTGATCCAGTCTTGCCCGTCTTTTCGAGCGAGAGGACTGTTGACTCGGTATCAGGCAGACGCTTGAGGACGTTGATCAATACTGCATATGACTTTGCGACGTTGAATCTGATGTTGGGAATCTGGTCGTTCACAAGGTTTGAGAGGATGGGGAAGATGGACTCTTGGATGACGGGAAGAGACAAAGCGGGGGCGAGGGTCNNTGTATGATGTTGTCAGCAAAGGTCCAATGTGTGGTGTCAGAATCAACTTACCGAAACTGCAAAGCAAGTGGTCATGCGGTACAGGTAGTTAGGGTGGCCGCCCATAGCGACAACCTTGGGGACGATAGCCTCGTTGGCCCATTGCACACCGAAAACGTCTGTAAGCTTCTTCAGGTTCTGGGTGCTGGCCTCGCGGATGCTGAAGACGGTGTCGCCGAGCCAAGACATGCACAGGCTGGAAAGCTTCTCATCGAAGAATTGAACACCGAGCTGAGAAGCCAGGAGAGGAAGATGTTGGATGATGGCCAGTCTGACGCGCCACTGCTTGTCCTCTGCGAGCTGAACGATGGCAGGGAGGAGCGACTGCGACAAGAGCTCGATACCGATGACGTCGTTGACAAGCTCGAGCTTGGAGATGATGTTCAAGCGGACATCAGGGAACTCATCCTTGAGCATCTGGAGGAACATGGGCAAAAGGTGCTCGGTGGTCTCCTGCTTGCCGAGAATGGGAGCCAGACCACTAATCTGGGTACCGAACGAGGCGCGCACTTGTTGCGACGAGTCCGAGACAAGCTCCTCAACTGCGGGCATGACTTCCTGGAGCAGGACATCTCTCTCGATGAGGGCGCAGAATCCAGGAATTTGACCAGCAATGGCAGTTCGCACCTCGGCCTCGGTGTCTTTGAGGAGCTTGATGAAGGCAGGAACAAGATCGCGGCTGACAACCTCATCGTCGACGGCCTTGGCAATCNNTACAAAATATGTTAGTACGGCAAGTGTGGGAAACAGGACTGATGGTGAACGCACCTTCTCGAACTTCTCTGCGACCATGTAGCGCACTCTCCAGCTCTTGTCCTCGAAAAGGCTTCTTAGTGCAGTGAGGAGAACGCCATGGCTCGATTGCTGCTCCTTGGGGACGGTCTCTGCGATGGCAACCAGGATTTCAACGGTAAGAAGACGAACGCTGTCCTGATCGTCGCTTGCGAGATGTTGGAAAAGAGGAATCATCTCTTCGATGACAACATTCGGCGGCATGACGCGCAAGAACTTGGCCAAGTTGATAGCTGCCTGTCTGCGGACCATGGGGGTATCGTCGTGGACGAGCTGTGCGAAACCCTGCCTCAGGGACTCTTGTGTCTGGGGATCGGTCTTGGTGTATGCGACCTTGTAGACGCCGGTGGATGAGATCTTTGCGGTGAACCAGTCTGCTTTTGAGAGTCTGCCGATCAGAGGGATGAAGTACTGGTCAATCTGTTCGGTTGATAATTGTTCGCAAATCTTGTTGAGTGACTCGACGGCCTGTCAAGTGGTCAGCAAGTCTGGCGCGATGGAGGGCGATTCATGAAAGCTGACTTTGTCTCTGACGAGCAGTTCCTCGATGGCGGCGAGGTTCTCAAGAGGAGAGAGCAGCACGTGAGCGTACTCTGGGCCACCGACATACTCGACGAAACCACCAAGCTCGTCGCTCAGAGCAGTCAAGACCTCGTCTTCGTCCTCGACGGATTCTTTTGTAGGAGGTTAGTGATTGTTTTGGAGCAATGCAGGCGTGTACAAATAGACAGTACCATCAAGGAAGGGTATGAGCTCATCTCTGGTGCGCTCGGGGCCAAGGGCAAGGGCGATGGTGGACAAGCGGCGGATGGCGTTTAGTCTGAGCAAGACATCGTCATGCNNTACAAAGCGCGTCAGAAGCGAGGACATGGATACAAAGAGTCGAGGGTTGTTGACCTTGAGCTCGTCAATGAGGACGGCGATGGGGTAAAGCTCGTCGTTCTGTTGCGCATCCATGGTGGGCGATTGGAGCTTTGACAGATGAAAAAAGAGCGTCGTGGGCAGACGTTCAGCCCGCGGAAGAGTTGCTTGGACGTGTTAGTAGGTGTTGGCGTGGGTGGTTCGAGGAGCTATCGATGTTGCGGTGCGGCGTTGATGGTGTAATTAGAGAGGGGGCCAGCAGACGTGTCAGAGGCAGCGTCTGGCGGTGGAGCGTACCTGGTTACAGGGGCGACAGCTGGTACGGCGAGGATTGCGATTAGAGACTTGTCGAATTGACAGAGGCAGAGATATAAGTTTGGGATATTGCGTGACGGAGGAGGCTGTTTGCTTGGTCGTCGCTGGCTGGTGGACGCTGTGCCCGACTGGAGTTTCGGTGGTGCCAAGTCTCGAGATTGCTGTCCCACCAAGCGTCCAAGGACTGGCCTGTGAATCACCCGCATACCGTTTTGTTTTCTTGAGATTTCTGTATATACACCAAAGCAGTGCTCTACAAAATGCCTACTATTTCGGTCGACAAGGCCGAGCTCTTCAAGGCTCTGGGCAAGACGTAGGCCGCCATTGAATCCCCAACCTACCGCAAAATATCCTAACCACTCTGCTCANGCTACACCACCCAAGAGTTTGACGAACTGTGCTTTGAATTTGGTAATTCCTTGTTGCTTCTGGTCCCCGCAGTAATCCGTACTAATTGTCTCTTGCAGNGTATCGAACTCGATGAAGACGTACGCCTGACAACTGCCTCATACCTCTGACTGGACCCTTCCTGATGCGCTTCGCAGACAACCGACTCAAAACGCCCAATTGTCGATGGCGTCGAGGAGCCTCCCCAGCTCAAGATCGAAATCCCCGCCAACCGCTATGACATGCTCTGCTTCGAGGGCATTGCCATGAACCTCAATGTCTTCCTCGGAAACACCCCTCCTCCCAACTACCGCCTCGTTGCTCCCAAGGATGGCGAACTCCAGACCGTTACTGTCAAGGAAGAGACATCACAAATAAGACCCTACTTCTCATGCGCCGTCTTGAGAAACATCAAGTTCACAAAGGCCCGCTACGAGTCCTTCATCGCTCTCCAGGATAAGCTTCACCAGAACCTGGCCAGACAACGTACCCTTGTCGCTATCGGTACCCATGATCTCGACACCATCAAGGGCCCCTTCACCTACGAGGCTCAGAAGCCAGAGGACATCAAGTTCGCCCCCTTGAACCAGACCAAGGAGATGACCGGAAAGGAAATGATGGAATTCTACGAGAAGGACAAGCACCTTGGACGCTACCTGCACATCATCCGCGACTCGCCCGTCTACCCTATTATCTACGACAGCAACCGTACCGTTCTCTCCATGCCTCCCATCATCAACTCGAACCACTCCAAGATCACCCTCGACACAACCAACGTCCTGATCGACATCACAGCCACCGACAAGACCAAGCTGGAAATCGTCAACCACATGATTGTTTCCATGTTCTCTCAGTACTGCGAGGAGCCTTTCACCATTGAGCCTGTCAAGATCATCTCCGAGCACAACGGACAGACTCGTGAGGCACCTGACCTCACCCCTCGCACCACCCAGGCCGAAGTCAGCTACATTAACTCTATTTGCGGCTTGAAGCTTCAACCTCAGGAGATTTGCGATATGCTCAAGAAGATGTGCTACCACGCTAAGCCCTCATCAACACCAGATATCCTCGACGTCGACGTGCCGATCACTCGTGCCGATGTCCTGCACCAGGCCGATATCATGGAGGACGCCGCAATCGCCTACGGCTTCAACAACCTCGAGCGCCGCTTCGTCTCAGCCACCACCTCAGTCGGTGCAGCTCTTCCCATCAACCGTCTTGCCGACATTGTCCGTTTCGAAACCGCCATGGCCGGCTGGTCCGAAGTCATGCCCCTGATCCTCTGCTCCTATGACGAAAACTACACATGGCTGAACCGCAAAGACGACAACCTCGCCGTCCGCCTCCAAAACCCCAAGACCCAAGAATACCAAATTGTGCGCACCAGCTTGCTACCGGGTCTGCTCAAGACCATCCGCGAGAACAAGCATCACTCTGTGCCCATGAAGATCTTCGAGGTCAGCGATGTCGGCTTGAAAGACGAGTCTTGCGAGAGAAAGAGTAGAAACGAACGCCGCTTTGCTGCTTGCTGGTATGGCAAGAGCTCTGGCTTTGAGGTTGTGCATGGTCTGCTCGATCGCATCATGTTGATGTTGAAGAGTGCTTTCATTACCAAGGAGGAAGGTCTCAGCAACCCTGCCGTCAAGGGCTATTGGATCGAGGAAGTGGATGGTGAGTACATTTCTCTAACTGTGTTGACCATCATGAAACTGACATCTTGCTTAACCANNGACCCGACTTTCTTTGCTGGCCACTCGGCTGCCATTTACGTCAAGATTGGCGACAAGCCGCAAAGAGTTGGCACCTTTGGTGTCATGCACCCGACGGTGCTCAAGAACTTCGAGCTGCCTTTCCCTGTCTCGGCAATGGAGATTGAGCTCGAGTGGTTCCTGTAGATCAGATGTGTTTGACCCGTTCGGTAGAAGACGATAAAAAGATATCCACGGCGTGCGAAAAAGTAAAGACGAGTAGAAATGAAGCAAGGTTCTGCCACATTGACATGGAAGTTATGTGCTTTTCTTGTGCTGCATTGGTCAAAAGAGTGCCCAAATAATGACTTGGTTCTTCAAAGACGTAGTACCTAGTGTCCGTGCTATGCTATGCTTCCTCTTTACTCCAGTGAATGATTTCCTTCTTCCTTTCAGGGGTATACTTGCTTTACTGTCCCTTGTGCCCCTATAGACGCCAAAACTCCATGCCTGCAGGACAAAAGAACAGAACGATTAGATGGAAGCCGCAATGGCATCGACCATATCAACCTCCTTGTCTTCTTCATCAGCTTGGATTTCCTCCTCTACATCCATACCTTCAACAGTCTTCTCCTCGGCTGCACCCATACCCTCATCAATCTTCTCCTCCTTCATCTCCACATCATGAGAATGCTGGTCATGGCGTTCCTCAACCACAGGTCCAACACCCAACTCCCTATCCTCTTTGTTCTCCTTGGGCGCACTCAACCCATGAAACTCCACCGTACCACCCACGCCACCAGCCCTGATTTCCCTAGCTCTAAGGCGAGCGCGTTCAATGATTTCCTCTTCTTCCTTCTCCAAGCTGTAGATGACGGCGCTGTTTTGCTTGGTCTCAAAGCTGAAGTCTTCCATGTGCAGTTTGGCCCATTCGTAGTGTCTGTTGCATTTCTTCTTCATGCAGGTGGAGCGCTCGGGGTCGTTGGTGTTGCTCATGCCTACATCGCCATCGACGTCTTCGGTGGAGGGTAGAGGTAAACTTCCAATTTGCAGGGCTTCCTTGCCGGCGGCTGAAGCGCGCCACTCGTCGAATTCTTCCTCGCTCCAGGAGAGACGTGAGTCGTAGCCGCAAAGATCCTTGGGCTTGACGTTTCTGTGGTCGGCGAGGCGGGACGCGACGGTCTTGAGCATGGCGACAAACTTGGAGCGGTCGCGGAGGAGGGAGTGGCGGGCGTGTGCAAAGGCTTTGAGGTGTGTGATTTGGTCGATGCGTTCGCGTTCAATGTCGTTGAGTGCGGATTCGTGGGATAGGGGGATGTCGTCTTCGGCGCCTTCGTCCTTGATGGCGTTGGGAGAGGAGCCGGGCATGGGAGAGACGGGGCCGTTGTTTAGGGTGTGCAATGCTTCGACGGTAGGGCGCGCGGTGACGATGGACTTGAGCTCGCTAATGCTGATGAGGCCGCCTCTGGCTCCTAGGTCGTCGGTGGTTGCTTGTTGGCCTCTTCTCGATCTGCTGGCTGTGTCGACCACTGGCTGGCGAGTCTGTTCGGTGACCAGCGCGCGGAAGAACAGTTGACCGCATCTGTCTGAACAGAATTTCGAGTGCTTGTTGACCAGGGCAGGCATGCCGCAACCAGTTCTGCGACACATTCTCTTCCAAGTCGTTTCGCCGAGGCCCTTTTCCGTGCAGAAAGGGCAGATGTATTTGTCGATCAGGGATTTCCACTTCTCGGAGATGTTGACGCATTTGCCGTGGAACCAGTCATCACAGCCGCCGTCACATCCTATCATGAAAGTTCCGGTGTCCGGTCTACGGCAAAGGCAATATAAGTCCGTGTCAGAAATCACACCGCCTTCCTCTTCCTCTCCTTCGTCTCCAGAAAAGTGTTGGTCGCCATTGCCATCGACGTCGGGTGACGATCTTGCAGGCGAGGATGCGGTACGCACGGAGCGAGGGGCTGGCGAGGACTGGGCTGGTGTCGCCGTCGAGGAGGCCACAACCTTCTTCTTATGACTGCGTTTCGCAGGAGCGGCGGCACTACGCTTAGTGACGGCAGCAGCAGCCACGCCCTTCTTCTTATGACTCCTCTTGGGAGGTGCGGGAGGTGCGATGGCAGCAGTCATCTCGGTTGAAGGCACAGGCACTGACGATTCGCGCAGCGGCGATTGCGTCCGCGAACTGTGCTCGTGTTTGAGGGATGTGATGGTCGAGTTCTCGGGTTGGCGAATCTGTGTTGTAGTCGGTTCCTGCCTGGTGTAGGAAGGCTCTCGATTGTCTGAGATCTGCTGGACTGTGGCGGTCGACTCCAGAGAAGAAGCCTCCGGTTCTTGCAACAAGTGAGAACTGTCGTGGCCGACTGTGTCGTCTTGCGCCGAGACTTTTACTTGGTTCGAGAGCGATGGAGCTGGTTGCATGTCATGGTTGCTTGTCGCAAGGTCCGGACTCTTGATCGCATCAGCATCTTGGGACACTGCCATATGCGTCTCTGACTCGGCGTCTAATGTTCCTCCAGCCGACGACATGATGGACTAATATCACATCTCTTGTGTCAGAGACAAGGTGCTCAGAGTCGAAGCCTCGTGCATGTGAAATCGAGAGGCTTCGAGCTTGTCATTTCGGACGTTTCGGGCGTAGTCTGAGCTGGGGTTGCACAAATATGTATATGTGCATATCTCTGTCATAACTCATGAATTGATAGGAGCGAATTATCTAAGGTATGCTCCTGTCCATCTCGTCGACCAGCTCTCAATTCGAGTCGCTGCTGCCACCACTGCTATCGTCTTCGCCTCGTGCCTCGGTCCTGCGGCGTCTTCCCTTCCTCTGAGATTGCGCCGCCAGTTCCTCTCTTCTCTTTGGTACTTCGTTGGCACCAAGACTGCGTTCTAACGCTCTTGCAAGCTCGGCTGGGTCTCCCACATCACCATAGACCTGCTTCACCATTCCTCTGACTCCACTGTCACCGATTTCCGTTCTTCCACGGGGTCCAACCATCCACTCGACCATCTCCTCTCCAGTCGAATTGTCACGGATCTTGATGACATAGCCGTCTTTTTCCATACGCTTGAGCAGCTTCTCTGTCTTGTCTCCTCCGCTAGCCATGATGTTGATACTGTTTTGCGCCGCTGCCTCCTCCACGTTCACTCTTTTGAGGTAGCGTTCTAGCTTTCCGTCTGGTAGTGAGCCGCCGGCCAAGTAGATGAGTGACACGATGAACGTATATAGTCCCGTGTACTGCGATTCGAGTTCACACGTCGGTGCTCGTGATGGAGGTAGAATTTCTGGTTGGCGGAATCTTTCGGGCAATACTGATGTCAAGACCCAAGAGGTAACATTCTTCTGTGTAGTCTGCGACTTCTGCGCCGCTCTGCGTTGTGCCAAGGTGACTTTTTCTTTCTGCGGTAGCTCGGTCATTTCCATGCCGAAGGTTCCTCGAAGTTGGGTTTGAGCTTCTGCGAAGACTGCTTTGAATTGTCGATTGTTCGTTCCGAGAATTTTGGTGGTGATGTCGTTGCGTCTGATGGGCGTCCTGGAATATTCGCATGCGAGAGCTAAACGGACCAGGTTCTTCACCATGGCGTCAAAATTGCCATCGCCTTGAGTATTGCTGGCTTCGCCGGCATAGTCATCTTCATCGGGGTCTGACACTCTACGTCGCTGTGGTGGTCTAACGTCTGCGTCGGAATCGTCTGGGTCCTCGTTGGCTGGNCTGTAATAGCATGTCAGTCTAGATACCAAGTTGATATAAGATCAGCGACTTACTGCGCGACGCTTTCGAGCAGGAGGCATTGTGTTACTCGACAGAGGTGTAGTGGATGGATTGACTCGAGAATGTGAACTTGTGAAGCTCACGCGTGGGTCGCGACTTCTCCAGCCAGAGGTGACGCGAAGCCAAATTGATTGCGACGCGGAAATGGCGGATATAAGGCAAGGACGTCGAATCTTGGCAAGGTCATCGCAAGGAAGGAACAACTCTTGCTGCCAAAGCTACCGGTCATTCGCACACAAACATACAAGATGGCGGACAAGCTCCGCACCACACAGCAGCTCGAGGCGCTCCAGAACAAATACGTCGGAACCGGACACGCCGACACGACCAGATTCGAGTGGACCTCTAACATTCAGCGCGACAGTTTGGCCTCGTATGTCGGTCACCCGCCTCTGCTCTCGTACATGACTCTGGCCATGGGCGAGGGCACTCGCGAAGAGATGCGTGTCAAGCTTATCGAGAAGATGGTTAGGCCTGTTGGTCCTCCCCAGAGGTGCGTACCTGAAATGCCGTTCTGCATCTTGCACTGGTTGACTTTATCACAGACGAGAGACCAGGAATGAACTACGACCGATGTCTAAAACAACCGCCAACATCACCACAACAAATATCGCTCCGCCGGCTGTCATCTAGCAGTCCAGCGCCGCTTCCAAAGCACTGTCACGACTGCCACGGTACACATCGACCATGTATTCGAATCAACCGAGGCGCATTCACACGGCAAGCATCTTCGACCATTGAGATCGGAAGAACCGCAATCACGGTAGAGAGTTTCGAATGGCATCGAGCCGTAAACTTGTCCTTCTATAGGCTTCTCTTATGCACAGATCAAATGAAGAAGATCAACCCCCAAAACGCCTGGCCATGCTCGTGATTTCCCGTTCTGATGCTCCTGTGCTGCAGTGCTATGATGTTGATAGTAGGAGAAGGTATGCGCTTAATCGCTGTCGCTGGCACTACCAGCGCCGACGTCGTCATCATCTTCTTGTACGACGTCGTCACCAGCCAGCATGGTGAACTCGGCCTTCTGCAAGAGACTCCTGAGCTCAGTGTTGCGCGGGTCGGTGAGGTCGATGGGGCGCAGCTTGGCCTTGTTGCGTATCCTGAGTGTCTGTCAGCCTCGCAGTCGGCTACGATGTCACTTGTACCACATACCTGGGNNATCGCAACCAGCGTCGATCAGGATGTCGATGATAGCCTGTCCCTCTTCCCACTCCTCCTTGGACAAGCTGTTGACATATCTCACAGCCTTGTGCAAGCATGTGTCTCCCTCTCTCTTCTCTACTCCATCAATCTCCACACCTTCCTGATCCAGCAGCATATCCAGAACCTCGTAGGCACCATACTGTGCGCCGATGTGCAAGGCACCGCAGCCCAAGGCGTCAGTCGCGGTGTTGAGGAAGTTGGCAAGTTCGTCGGCCGACTTGAAGCCTGACAAGACTGTGGAGAGGAGATCGGTGTTGTTGCGACGGCATGCTTCGAGCAGGAGTTCGCGGGATGAGGCACCCTGGGTGGGAGATATATTAGCAGTTGCTTGGAGCTGACTATCTGGTGTTTGATTACTTCGTCTGCCATGGTGTCCAGAAATGTGCGGAACTGGTTATCGCAAGAAGTAGAGAGGTTAATAACAGGATCCAAAGGTCAAGTGAGTATTCGATGAGGTAGTCAAGGCTGTAGAGTAAAAGTGGATGCTGCTCCTTGACCGTCTGGTTGCGTTCGGGGGTGCTGCACGGGCCTTTTGGTCTCCGAGCCTCCGGCTCTGACATCAAACGTCGATTGCAACGACAACCGCTGGGCAGTTCAGCCAGTCCTCGTCTTCTTTAACAGGCCTCGTTCAACTTCCTCGTGTGTGCCAAAGACAGTCACAATGCCACGACTCGTGGACAACAGCTCTCCTAGCATGACATGTCACCAGGTGACAAAGCTATGCAAATGCACAACTGCTTTCCGGACCGCAGCATATACAGGCTCGGTGGTTGTGTCAAATCGGATAGCTGGAAGAAGTGTCAGCTGGTGAGTCAACTGGGCGCATGAGCCACACACGATCGAAGTTGTGGCTTTCGACATGTGCAGAACATGTCGAAGTTTGAAATTATCTTGATATCACAGCACAACAGCACAGATGTTCGCTCGGAATATCTACAAGAAGAACGGTACTCTCTGTCGACAATGGCAGAACATTTTCACCTTCATAAGACTGCCAGCAGGAATTCTCTTTCCTGTTGCTGACTCAAAATATTGCCGAGCATGGCACTTGACTTGAAGATGGCTCATTGCTTACTGCTTTGAGAGCTTTCGCCAATCCACTTCATCTTCTCGCTATACAGTATACAGATTTTTGTAAGAGTCTCAGAGGTTCATATGCCATGCACACGTCTGATCGCGAATGAGACCATGGAGAGCTCCTGATTTTTCTCAAGGTAGATGAATTTATTCATGGTGAATGATCTATGCGCAAAAGATTCCCGGTAGGCGACCGCTCTTTCATCAAGTTGGGCATCTATACATTGCATGCTCAAGTTTCGGATCATCAGTGCAGCCTTCCGAGTCTCAGCTGCATGTCTCGACACCTGGCCAACCGCGGATGGACTTTGCGACTGCCGTGTCTCAAAAACTCTGGTAGCAATATGAACTGGTAGCAATATGAACAAAGAAATTGAAGAGACCCTTATTTTCTACTCAGAGAACCATTCGTTCAAGGACCGTATATGAGGTCGTATCTCTATACATCCCAGAATTGGTCCTTCCGTTCACGCAACACCATACAAGCATGTCTGCACCAATGGACGACTCCTTCTACTCCAACGACATGGACAACTACTCGCTCCAACAGTACACTGACTTCTCTGATAAACCGCCTTATGGCGGCGTCGACNCCCGTCTGCTCAGCTCGCCCCAGAATACTCCCCTGCTCAGCAACGAACAACCACTTTCGCCTTTCAACCACACCGTCTTCAGCCGTCGTCCACCCAATCCCACCTTCTTCGAGCCTGATCTGTCTCTTCACTCTTACGAGCCCATGCGTCACCAAATGCTCGGTCATCGCCGCAGTGTCTCCGTTCCTCCCGAAGACCCGATGCCTGAGAACGTACAACCACCTCCCGCTCTGGTGTTCCACCGCGGCGGTACACCACTAGGCGACTCCATGGGCACCGACAAGGGCAATAACACCACGAACAAAAAGTGGTTGAAGAAAGCCGCTGCAGCCCAAAAGAGACAGATGCGGAGACACTCGCCATACCCCATCGGAGGAGAAAGGATGCAAGTCCAAAGAAGCCACACTCAACCCGTATTCTTGCAACAACAGCACCACACACCCCATCTCGGACCTACCAGTGCGCCTCAGCAGATGATTTTGATGACCGAAGATCAAATTTCTCAGGCTGTGATGCACAACTTTGACATTAGTCCCCTGTCGTCACCGCAGTTTCCTGTCTTCAACACCATCAACACTGAAGGACGAAACATACATCTACCTACCGGGCTGACTGACGTTGATGCTTTGGCTTTTGAAACAAGAAATGATGTCAGCACTGCTGTTCTCGGCATGTTTGGTTTCGCGGAAAGACTCTCGAGGGATTGCGCAGCCATGCGTGAGTTCCTGAGAAGAAGTTTCAGAAGTGGCGAGGAAGATGAGGTTGAACGGTACGTCTCATTGCAATTTCTTTTTGAGAAGACGCTGAAGGACAATGGCTGATTTCGTTGTGCCGTGTNNAGTATTCGTCAAGAAAAACGTGCTGTCAACCACAAAGCATCCACTCTTGAAGATGGACTTGAGATGCTGCCACTGCCAGACGGAAAGGCTGAAGAAGAGTTGACTGTGCCTGTCACGGGTCAAGACATTAGAGATCTTGATGGTACGTTTGTTCCTGCTTTTGCCAGCTCAATTAGGTACTGACAGATGTTGTTACAGNATGAGAAAACGATTGCTTTGTTGGAATTGTACAGTATTCCATTCACTGCAGACATGTTTTTGCATGAGAAGAAGCTGGCATATCTGCGGTTCGTTGGCGCCAGTCGTGCTCTTATGCACCTTGTGTTAGACTGAAGTGCTGTCTACGGACTTACTGTGAGGAGGACTTGGTGATAGATACAGATCTTTAAAAACACATCTCTCAGTGGACTTCATCTCATTCCCAAATATCTTTGTGTATTTGTATGGTTGCAATGTGATGTGAACCGCAAGCAATGAAGGTAAAAGCACGCCTCCTGAACATCCCTTGAACATCCCTCGAACATCCCTTAGACATCCCTTGGACATCCCTTGGACGCCTCTTCCACCCCCGTATCTCTCTATCCTTTCCTTCCGTCTTCCCTTCTCTCTTCTTCGTGCGCTGCTCTTAGTCACATACAGAGCTATTAAAACGGACGGCGATGTTTAGATCGAGACGTGCCCCGTAGAGAGCCTATCTGAACGATCGTTTCTCTTTTTGGACGATTGGGACCCCTTCTTGAACAACTAAGATTCATTTTCGGCTTCTGAAGACAGAGGTCCCTCCTTAGGCGACTCCTTCTTGAGCGATAGAGGTCCTTCTAGGGGCAACTTCTTCTCGGGAGACGGAGGTCTCTTGATAGACGACTGGGGTGTCTTTCTGAACGGCAGAGGATTCTTGTTGAGCGACTGAATGCTCTTCGGCGGCGATTGAGATCCTTGCCTCGAGGGCTGAGCCTCTTCCACAGTCTGCAGATCTTTTCCCTTCGGATGAAGTCTTCTTTCCTTCTCATCCAACTCTGAGTCAGAATCGTTTTCTGCTTCATAATCCAACTCTAGTGTTGAGTTGGAATCCAGAAGCTCTTCTCGGAAGATTGGATCAATCTCGTTCCACGTGGGCCCTCTGGTGGTTGATTTTTCCTGCTTTCGCTCCTTCCATCCCCTTGCGATCATAAATCCTTCAGGATCGCGTCCTGGTTCCAGCAAACGCCCGTCGTAACATTCGTATGGGCCTAGTCCAAGATTATCATTGAGAATTTGACCATCTATCATGGCCTGTTTATGACTGATGGTGCCTCGTTTTTCACACCTGAACATGAATTTAATCAGCCTTCCGTCGGTTCTGGCTATCCTCCTTGATCAAAGTATCCTGCGAGCCACTCGGCGAAGCATCTTGTGTACTAACAACATGGAACGAGAAATCGAGTTCGCCAACCAACTCCTTGATATCAGCTAACAACGCCTTGATGTCATCACCAATACACTTTGTCGAGATCTGCATGACTGCAAAGGCTGCAAAGCCAGGCTCGGCCATGTGTCTTACTGACAAAATGTTGGAGTCCAGGCTCTCCAGCTTTGCGCTCAGACGGTATGGCTCAGGGTGTTGAAGGTATGGTGGTAGTGGTTGTCCGCTGGCCACCGAAGCTGAGAGAAGCGAAAGCAGTGTTGTAGACTCCTTGCTGGTGATGTCTGCTTCTTTGATGAGACGACGGAAGTCATTCAGCCATTGTGATTCTGAGCCATCTTTGCTTGGATTTCGCATCTCGGAAAAGGTTTGAGATGCATAGCTGAGTAAAGAAGCGAAGTTGAGAATATCTTGAATACGAGCAATTATCCTGTCGTAGTTTTGGCGAGGGAAGCGGCCACCGATCGGCACATCATACTTGATGAAACCCGAATGTGTACGTAGGCCTTGCAGCACAAGCACAGATTTTGAGAACACAGTCTGTCGAATCTTCTCGAGCTTCTTGGCTGGATTTTGTCCGTCGTCGAAAGAATCCAAGTCATGGAAGTCGCCCCTAACGCGGAACTTGACCGTCTCGACTACGACCGAGTAATAGTTTGCAAGCAAGTACAAAGACGAACCGAGGTTTCGGCGAAGCTCTGAGTGTTCCGAGATGGGATAAGGGAATACAGTCCAGATCCAAGCCACAAAGATACCTGCAGCGACAGTAGCGAGGCGATATGGAGCCAGCTCGTAGATGGGGTAGTATGCCTGACCGTTTGTCTCGGAGGCTTGCACGCCAATCTTTCTAACTTGCAGCTCGTATCCGATGATCAGAGTGTTTGTCACCGAGTAAATCATACCAACAGGGATGAATCGAGGGAACTTTAAGACGATGAAGAAGCCCCAAGCAACGAAAAACCAGAAGAAGACGAGTACACCAGCAGTATGCCCGTCGACGATGTACCAGATGATGAAACTCGTCACCATGGCAGAGAAAGTGCCGACAAGACGAAGCACGAAACTGAACAGACTTTGTCCAGCCGACGGAGACATACTCAAGCCCACCATAATCTGAGCCCAGAACAATCGCTGTCGTACGTAGAAGGTCTGAGTGTCGTGTAGATAAGCGACGATGGCAAGACACATGGTTGCACAGGCTGCTCGAAATCCGAACGACGATGCTGGTGAGCGAAGGAAATGAGCAATGCCGCGGACTCGATCTCCAAACTTTTCCCAGGCGTTACTAGGAGGCAAGTGCTCGGGATCCTTGCGCTTGTTGTAAGCGTCACCGAGATATACATTGGAGGCTCGGTTACCATCCTCGTTCATGCCGTGCTGCTCGTCCGTGTATGCGTCTTGCTTTCGACTGTAAGATGACTTGATCCACTTTCTGAAGCGCTTGATGCCAGGTACGATGAGTCTTTTGCGACCCAACTTCCCACTCTCAACCTTAGAATCTGCGAACTTGACGAAATCATGAACGGTCATAGCTATCGAATCCAGCAGGTAATCCACGTACAAGACAATGAAAAGTCTAGCCCTGTATTTTTGGCGCTCATCATTGTTCTTAACATTGTTATACCAATCGGGTGCGGTGAACTCGGCGGTTTGTGTGTTCTCAAAGAAGTCGTCGGGCAACGAAAAGCCCCTTAGCTCACACCAGCGCCTTAAGAGGAGTCGCTTCTGACTGTGATACTCATTCACTCGTTTGAAGTGGTAACTCTGGAAATTGTTCTCTCCAGGGTGGGGTCGGTCACCATCGGATTCAGAGTCCACGTCCCTTTTCGGTGGCTTGATCAACTGTAGAGTGATCAATACGTGCTCGAAGCCCTCGTCGATATCGCCAACGATTCTGGCAAATGGTTCGCGCATCGTCCTGAAGATGGCATGCCAATCTGCAACGGCCTCCATTCTGCTCCTCTCGTTGGGGTCGTCCAGTTCTTCGAGCGGCTTCTCTGGGGCGGGATGATTCCAATTCCTGTCTTCGGCGATTCTCTCAAAAACGTCAATCACACTGCTAAGGCCTATGATGGGGAGCATCAATCCTCGTAGTTGTTTGAAGATCTCTTGTAGATCATCTGGGCCAAGTCGTCCAACGGCGATTTCTCTCTTGGCAAACGTCAAATCGATAGAGAGTTTTCCGTGCAAAGCAGCAAGTCCTGCAAGCGTATCCTTAATAGCTTGAGCTTCTGCGGTTCGCTTCGGCTTCTCTGGAATGTTAGTATCGCTTCTCCCAAAGAACATATCTCCCTCCTCCAGGCTTTGAAGATATGTAAGATTGGCCTTGGTCATCTTGCGCAAAAGCATGATGTATCCTGTAAACTCCTTGAAGACGACACCGCGCATAGTTATGGGGAAGATGAACAGAGAGACACCACCCCCAATCGCGAAACCCGTAAANAAGGATTCGAGAAGTCGTTTGACGAAGGAAATTCCTGTCGCCATGGACCCGAACTGCGGAGCGTATACCATGCTTACGTTTGCAAAGATGGTCGCGATGATACCAGGGATCATGAGCTGAGGATTTCTCGCTCGCATAGTGTTGATAATGTATATCTCAAAGAACAGCCAGATGCCACTGACTGCTGCAGCGGATGAGTTGTAAGTGGACGTGGCTGCGCCTGGAGAAGGGGTTCCGCTTGTGCCAGGTCCTCCTGTACGTACGGCCGTCTCGGTGTGCAATCTGGCTTGAACTGCACAGTATATGGCTAGTAATGCGATACAGGAAGCGAAACAGGTAGCCAGCATGTTCAATAACCAGGTCTGCAGGAATTTGGCTCTTGGCATAATTGCAAAACTCAATATGGAAACAACACCAACAAGATAACCTAATGTGGTATATGTTTCGGCGAAGTCTGTAGCCTGGTATGCAGCCAGACTGATGGTTGGCGCAAGAGCACCCNNCTGCAACGCTGTCAGATACATAGCCTCCTCCTGACAGCAGTAGACTCACTTTGCCATGATTTTCATCGTCGTCACGTCCAATTGTGTTTTTGACCATAATCTCGCAGCTCTTTCTTTCAAACTAGGTGTCTTTGCCTTCTCGGCTTCATCTTGGTTACCAGCGCCTCCATTATCATGATGTTTTTCCGAGTTGCCATTAGAACTGGGCGCATCCGTCGCCGGCGGGGTCCGAGAAGATTGCGATGTGTCGGTCATGGTAGGTATCAGCACAGCTCAAGCGAATGGCTCTGCTTCGATGTGATACTAGAATTGCAGGCGCATACTCTTGTCGCCTGTATGTACGCAGGAGCAGGAGCGCAGAGGTGAGACCAAAATAATAATAGAGATTGCGAAGACGGCCGCCCGCCAATTACGTCGGTGCACGGTCAGAGCGTGCCGTCGTCTGGGGTCGCATTGTCCGTTAAATCCGAGTCCGAGTACCCGGATGGCGGCTCTGTATTCGGCAATCGCTACGAGTCTTTTCAGAAAGCATCTCTCCACTTCACGTCAAGTCGATTCACGAAGGACTCTGTGACTCTGTAGAACAAGCCTGACGCCTGCATTGAGATTGGTATCGTAGTACGGGAAATCGCTACATGACGCTATAACGGCTTCGATGTGTTCTCGCATCAACATGATCGAGAAAGAGGGATGGAATGATTCAGCCATAGAGACTACGGCCGCCATCTTGCTTCCAAGCATTATCCCCTCTTGTACGCCTCGCGTTACCTGAAGACTCGAGAGGCTCCCATACTGCCTCGCTCGGCATACAACGCCTGTGCAGGATTCTCTGGTCGAATAAAGGGTTCGATATTTCCAAGGCAGGCCAGAACGTGGTTCTTCCCGCAAGTGCATGTCTTGGACTGAGCCCGAAGGTTGGCTCGAGGATTGTGGTTGAGAGAGTCATGCTCTACAGGATCTCATCATCATCGTCTTTGTTGGCAGCGTTGTTGACGGGGTCGGCGGTGTTCGGCGCTTCCACGTTCTGCTCGACGTCCACATCCTCGTCTTCGTCTTCCCACTCGTCACCGGGCATGGCAAATACTGAAGGTCTGCCAGGGTTCTCTTCATCACTTGAGTTGGCATCCATGTCGACTGCTTTCGAGCCCTTGGCGGCCTTGGGCTGAACAAAGCGGTTGGTCTTGTCATTCATGGCCTCCCAGGTCGCCTGTGTGTGGTCAGAAGGTGTCGCTTTGAGTCAAGTTTGGTCTTGGGTACACACTCTTCGGTCGTCGATCCTCCTCGCTCTGACAAAGCTCTTGGCCTTCTTGGTGTGCAATACATCCATATTCGCTTCGGCGCGCTCCAGGCCCTTCTCTTTTCGCATGCGCTGGGCACGGGTCATGGGCTTCTGCTTCTTCTTTTTNGAAATGCCAGCATCGTGTGCTCCGGGGTAGTAGTCTGCGGACTCTTTTGTGGTCTTTTCTGATGTGATTGACTTGTCGAGGTTGATTCCTGGTGATGCTTCACGGCGCGCGGCGCGAGAGCGAGTAGAAACGGCTGGGTTCTGTTAGCTTTCGAAAGGCATAGTTAGGGCGAGGCTTACTCACGGNCGAGCCTTTGCTTTGGTTGCTTTGGCCATAATGGTGTTGTTTGAGTGTGTATGTTTATTTGATGCGACGGGAAATAATCCCAAAAAATGATGCTTCTGCCAGCGTCACTCCGAAGGCGGTGAGTTGTCGCAACCAAGAGGGTGGAGTCTGGACCCTTGAGCTTGTCGCATGCCAACCGAAGGTCTGTCTTTTGCTGACTTTGGTCGAAGCCAACCGAACCCTGTCTTGTTTCCGTGGTCCATCCTTGAAACAGCAATCCATGCTGAATCAACTCCGCCCCTCTCGCTCCCTGCCATCTGCACTGAAATACGACCCAGGCGCATCATGAGCGCCTCGTACACATACTCACACGCCTCCTACTCGTATCGCGACGACTCTTCGGCCTTGGACCGTCTGCTCGCTTCGACCAAGGGCGCCTGGATTGCTGCTGGAATAGCCATTGTTTACTGCGCCTATACATTCGCCCTCAGGAGCGAAGCAATGAGGAGGATATTTGGTCTTGGCTCCGGCTCGGTCAACATACTTCCCGGCGCAAACTCATTGAGAAGAGCCAGTTGGCTCGGTGGTCTTGGTTCAAGCTCCGATGCGCCACCGGGTCTTGGGAACAGGAACCAATCATGCTATCAGAACAGTGTTTTGCAAGGAATGTCTGCTCTCCAGTCCCTGACTGCCTACCTGGAACAAGTCGACGCAACCAAGTCGGAGGATACATCAACAACTGTTGGCTCGTTGCGCGACCTCATGGGACAACTGAATGACTCTTCTAACAATGGCCGCTGCATCTGGACTCCGGCCAAGCTAAAGTCTATGAGTAGTTGGCAGCAGCAGGATGCACAAGAATACTACTCAAGAATTATGGATGATATGGAAAAAGAGACAAAGACCACCAAAGCCGCACCAGGCACAGCAGGACTCAAAGAGGTTGGCTCGTTGGACACTGTCAAGGCATCCGATTCGACCCACCAAGATTTGATCGCACAAAAACCCAATCCTCTCGACGGCTTCCTCGCTCAGCGTGTTGCGTGTACTAGCTGTGGCTTCTCCGAAGGTCTTTCTATGATCCCATTCAACTGTCTTACGGTACCGCTCGGCAGAAACTACAGCTACAGGATTGAGGACTGTTTGAACGAGTACACAGGTCTGGAAGAGATAACTGGTGTGGAATGTGCAAGATGTACGCTTTTGCGTACCAAGTCCCAGCTTGAACACATGACGACTGAATCCGAGGACTCGACCGACCACTCTGTTCCCTCGTCTGCCTCTCTGCCTCCAGAGCTTCGTGCTATGGTCCTCCAAAGGTTGCAAGCAGTAGAGCAGGCGCTTGCAGACGAAGATGTTTCGGATGACACATTGAACAAANAATGCCAGATCCCCAAAAAGTCACGAGTATCCAGCACCAAGACTCGTCAAGCTGTGGTTGCCAGACCGCCGCAGTGCTTGGTGATACACGTAAATCGAAGTGTGTTCGACGAGTACACAGGTGCGCAAAGCAAGAATCTTGCCGAGGTTGCATATCCTAAGATGCTCAATCTGGGTTGTTGGTGTTTGGGCACTACCAAAAACGACGGTGATCAAGAGGAATGGCGCATGAATCCTTCGAGGTCTATGATTGGGTCTTCCGGTAACGATTCGAGGACTCAGTACGTTCTCAGAGCTGTCGTGAATCACTACGGTCGTCACGATAATGGTCACTATACTTGCTACCGCGAGCATCCAGAACACGTCCAAGATACTAAGAACAACACTCCATCAAAGCATACACCTACAAAGTGGTGGCGACTCAGCGATGATGAGGTGTCCGCAGTCAGTGAAGAACATGTCCTCGGACAGGGTGGTGTGTTCATGCTTTTCTATGAACGTCTGGACATTTCTGCCCCCGAAAACATACCCCAAGCCACGGAGAAGACGCATCAGGAGGTGTTCACGACCGACATAGCAACGAGCATCAAGATTGAAGAGCAGACAGACCAACCCGAGGCGATCGTGGAGGAAAACAGAACTGTTCAGAACGGAACTGTTTCACAGCAGTCTATCGAATCGTCGCCAGAGATAGAAGTGGAACAAGCACCACTGCCACTGCCAAACAGGAGGACATCAACGCCTCATAAGATGCGGACGGCTGGTAATAAGGGTCGGCGCAGGTCATCAGGATTCTCCCAGACACTCCAAGCGGTTGCTGCGACCTGAAAACATCATTCATTGAAGAGAGGCATGTTTATTAGCGAGGCGTTTTGATGCATATTCTGGACTCGTTAGGAGCACACGGTCATGGTTGACCGGACCACAGACTGTCGAGATTTTATCCTTTTGGTCTTTACATAGCTTTAATGATGATCACGACGATTAGATGCAACCTGCATCACTACGATCAAGTTATTGCTTACCTATTCAAAGTGACACGCCTGGCAGGAGAACTAACACAGGCATGGTCGATAGATGCAGCTGTCAACCTGCAGTGACACATCCGACAATGTATTCTCACTTGAAAAGTCGACGACATTGATTTTGAGAAGTATTTGATAGAACTGAGCCATTGACTTGTACAGACAACATTACCATCAAAATCTTCGTCAGAATAAAATGTTTGCATGGTCGAGCATACAGAGGTGAAGCGAGGAAAGAGCAGAAGAGTTCTTGCCGAAAGCGGGAATAAGTGGGGCGAGCCACAACGCTAAGCGAGGAAAGTGCGATGTGGAAAATTCACACACTCTGAGATTGAACGACGACTCGACCAGCGACCAACGACAACTCGCCCAATCCGACACAGTACGATATACCTCTCACGCGCTCTACCGTAAAACCAGCATCACTGACCTCGATTTTTCGTAAAGATGCCCGCCGCAAAGAAGCATGTCCCTATCGTCAAGAAGCGTACGTCCGCCCGTCCAAGGAGCCACCGAGCACACCCGTCCTACACACATCCAGAGACCGCCGCCACGATAGACAAGACCGCCGCAGAGGAAAAACAGGGAGCCCGTCGCTGACAGTGATGGATTTGCAGGCNNACTTCGCGCTTCACCCGCCACCAGTCGGACCGCTTCATGCGCGTAGACCCCAGCTGGAGAAAGCCCAAGGGTATTGACAATGCCATGCGCCGTCGCTTCAAGGGCCAGGCCGTCATGCCCAAGATTGGTTACGGTTCCAACAAGAAGACCCGCCACATGATGCCCTCCGGCCACAAGGCTTTCCTCGTCAACAACGTCCGCGAGCTCGACCTTCTCCTCATGCACAACCGCACCTACGCCGCTGAGTACGCCACCCTCCTTTCCACCGAGCAACAGAGCCTTTGCTCTCCACAACAAGCAACAACAGTTCTAACATGCACACTTACAGGANTCTCCCACGCCGTCTCCGCCCGCAAGCGCATCGACATTGTCGCCCGCGCCAAGCAGCTCGGTGTCAAGGTCACCAACGCCAAGGCCAAGATCACCACTGAGTCATAAGCGATCTCGTTGTAGTGGTTCATTGGTACTTTTTCTTCGGCGCAGAGAGAGGGGAAACTTTTTTAGTAGCACTTGATCATGCTCTCATCACGGAACGGCCTCTCGGACTGATAAAAAGATCTGGGCTTCTGGGGGTGGTGGTCACATAGGCGATTTTTTCATCACAACAAAAAACACTTGCAATGGAAAACGTCTTCGAGGCTACGTTGTGTCGCGAACAAAAACAAAAATTGAGGGCAATCAAGAAGACATGGCTTTATGATCATACTCTGGTGTTCCCGTTTGCTGAACCTGTGCCTGCCCATTCATCATATCCTCAAGAGACGAGTAGCATGCATTTCGCAGTATCAAGTACCAAATGTCCAACCTCATTTTTCCTGGCCATCGAACATTATCGTCCATCAATGTACAGTATGCTCTTCAAGATTATATGCAAACAAATGCTTGTGCTGTAGAGTCCCTCTCAGCTCATTGCCTCGGGACAGATGATGGATTTGAACATTTTCTTTGGTCATTGGATATCAATCTAAACCCACTTTACATGCCAGAACCCTTTTCTGTTTCGGCAATGAATTGACGAAAAACTGGACGACTTTTCTGTGCTCGAAAAAAGATGCCAGATGCAGAAAATGAAAGAAACAAAAAACACCCGCACCATGTATGAACGCCAGAGCGCCTCGCTCATGCAAGCTTGCCAGCCATATAACCCATTGTCTGCCGGCGTCTTTTTATGTCTTGCTTTCCCTCCTCCCAAAAAGTCTTTTACTCCTCCATGGAGTTGGGGTCCTGGACGGGAGTCACGTCTGCCGAAGCCTGGCTCCAGTAAGCCTTGACCTGGATCCTGAACTCGGCCATGGCGACACCGAAAAGCTTGAGCAGAGCGGTCTGGTGGCTGTTGAGGGTGCGGCCCTCCTTGCAGAGCTCGTAGTCGCCGTCGAGGACGACCTTGCCCTTGTCGAGCTTTGTGGGCATGCCCCATTTCCTGACGGTGACTTCCAAGCTGTGGGGNAGGGCAACGTCTTCGTCGGCGGGCAGGTCGCCGCCGCGGCTGTAGACGACGCCGGCGGGGATGGTGAAGTCGCGGGTGGCCTTGACACCGGCGCGCGCATAGTCGATCTCGGAGTAGTTTTCAAAGTACTCGAGGACCTCTACGGGGTCGCGGTTGGAGAGCAAGAGGCCAACGCTGCCGTCGATGTAGGGAGTGAGTTTGGAGAGACCGGGTTGGTATTCCTCGGCGTCGGTCATGCCGAGGGCCTTTGCCATGACTTTGGTCTTGCCGAAGAAGATGCGCGAGTCGGCAAAGTGGGTGCGGACGTCCTTGAGGTAGGTGTTGCGCATATTCTCGACGCCAAAGACGTAGATGTGGGAGAAGTTGTCGGCGGCATCGCGGACGTTGTCGAAGAGCTTTGTGCGTAGCTCCTTATCCTTCTTCTGGACTTGGGTCAGGTGGACGACCTTGGATCTCTTTGACTTGGGCATGTTGTGTGGTTTGGTTGGTTGAACTTGATATGAGGGTTGGCGATCGGAGCGTAACAAAAAAATCAGGATGCAGCTGCCATTTTTGCGGGGAAGGATGCGCTCAAAGCCCCGACTGCCGACCCTCGACCTTGTTGAACATGATGCAACATGGTCGAAAGATATCTGTCTCCTGGTCGTCGCGTAGGCTGGTCATGATACTGCTGATACTGGTGAGATGATCGAGTTCATGGACTATGTCCAAAATGCCTTCTACTCGGCCTCGCTGTGGGACCATGACAATTCTTACAGCACCCTGACGGCCACGGCCAATGGTAAATAAATATGGCCATGTCTACTTGTAGTCCTCGTTCGTTGCGCTGACCCTCTGCCCAAGNCCCTTCTTGACTTTCAAACTCCCCATGGCCTTCGTCTCCGTATCTCGTCACTGTCAGCGCCTGGCTTTGCGACATCGTACACTCTCTCCAACAGAGGCTTTGTCGATGGCTCCATCTCCTTCCTCTACTCGTCCATGCCTATGCGCATTCCTTCCCAAAGCAGCATCATAGACTTGCGCAATCTGGTCAGAGGTTACAGACACCTTCCCGAGTTACGCCGCCCCGACGAGACGTATCTATGGGAGATCTGGCAGGCTGGAAGGAGGATCGATAAGAAGGACACTCTGCTGTACGGCCGCCTGTACCTGCCCACATCCACCCTCGAGGCCTTGTACTTGCGTCGCATATCGCCTTCGCGCCTTCTCCGCCTATCTTGTGTCTCCGACTCGGCTCTTCCCAATGGTGGTTCTGTCCTGGCACAATTGCAGAATGATCATGCCAAGTACTCGACCGAGTACCTCTTCTCGACCGACAGCTGCTTGATGGGCATCCGCGGTCTGTACAACTTTGGTCTCGATCCCCGCACCATCCCTCGGACCACAACTCCCAGGGGCAATGTCGTACCCATCGACCCTCAGATCGGTCGTCTGAGCGCTGGTGCCGAGTTGTACTTTTCTCCACTTAACAAGTCTGGCGGCGTATCGACTGCCATCCGCTTCACCACTCTGCCCTCCCACACAGGCTTCCCTTATACCATGGCCTTGACCATGAATCCCCTCATGGGCAACATTTCCTCCAGCTACGCCGTCAAAGCTGGCTCAGACGTGGCCTTGAGCTCCCGCTTCGACTTCAACATTTACAGCTACGAGTCCGATGTTCAGCTCGGCCTCGAACTCTGGCGACGGAAGCCTGAAGTCCTAGCTGTAGAAGATAAAGAGCCACCACCGGCTAAAGAGTCGGTCTTGGAAACCAGGATTACCAAAGACCTGCTTCAGCAAAACAACACACAGGAAGTCGATAGTGTGTTCAAGGCGAGGGTCAACCAACATGGCAAGATTGGCGTGCTCTGGGAAGGCCGCATCAAGGATCTGTTGGTCAGTATAGGTGCAGATCTCAACTTGAAGAGAAGAGACAATATCATCGGGTCAGTTGGTCTGGAAGTCTCGTATTCTTCTTGAAAACGAATGATACCCTTGTTTTTCGCTATTCAATGAACCAAACATCTAAACTTCACAACTCTCAGTCTTTCGCCTCTAAGGAAAGAATTTCTCAAACTGCTCACTCCCCTTTACCCCCTCCAACCACTTAGCTCTCTCACAAGTATACACCTCCGCCTTTGGCTTTGCCTCGTCCAACACACCCTCGCCATCCAAAACCCCCACCCTCACCACCAAGATGCCCTCTGCGGTACTCATATCGCCTTCCCTCCACAGACTACTCCCGCAATCACCACAAAATACTGTGGTTACCGTACGTCCTGAATCTGCTTTTGCAGAGTACTTTTTNGGTGTGCCGGTGAGAAGGTCGAAGGAGGAGGTGGGGACAATGATGTTTGTGCTGAAGCTCGAGCCGGAGATTTTGCGGCAGTCGGTGCAGTGGCACACTGCCTTTTTTGACACATGAGTTGTTGAATTGGTTTGGTTTGGTTGAGGGAGGGCAAGGTGGGTGCTTACCTTGTTTAGTGGTTCTCCTGTATAGGAAAAGGTGATGGCGCCGCAGTAGCAGGATCCTTTGCCCATTGTTTGTGTCTCTGTTGTTGGTTTGTCTTGGGAAGTGTTTGTGTAGTTTGAGATATGCGATTGACAGTCGGGCTGAATCGCTCTGGCTTTTGGTTCTTTGCGCTGCGTCGTAAAAACCTATTGGTGTATCTAGATGACGACAACGTAGCTTTATCATCGCTTCTCGGCTTATGAATATCATCTCTCTGTCCTGCAGGCGAATTACAAATCCCATGAGCGGGCGTTCGGATGAGGTTGATTGGAGCGGTCTAGATCCGCAATGACGGATTGAAGCTTTAGAGAAGCATCGCACGTGATTCAATATTGATACCTCTATATTCCATGGTTATCAAGTATATCCTTGTTGGGTAGATACATCTCAAAGTGCTTCTTGTTATGGAATCTGCTGCGTTCTTGAAAGATCCTGCGATAGTATGAGTTTGTTGAGATATTGCGACTACCCGATTACGAAGAGCCTCGTTGCGAACCTGAATTCCAATGTATTTGTGAGACGAGTGTCCATATGCTTCACCAACAACCGACAAATATCGTTCATCTATACAGATTCTGATATATGGAGACTACAGACTAGTTCTGGCTTAAATATATCTGTTGCAAGTCATCTTTGAGGTTTATAATCTGATAAGATGAATTTGAGCAGGGTGGCAGGTTCAGCAAGCGAGACGATCAGTTGTGCAAGTATTCCTACGGCAGCTCTCACAAGACCGCAACGAAGTACATATTTTCTCATATGTCTTGGTTTAGTGGTCTGCTGGTTTGTAAATGCGACTATCATTTGATGTGTAGTCGCTGTTTTCTTATATCAAAAAAGGAGTTTGCTTTCCTCTATAGACCTACCTACCTTGAACCCCTTTCTCGATGACTCTTTCATCAGAGTGCTTTATGTGTCATACTTGATACCCTTGACATTCTGTGTGTCATAAGCCCTCTGATTCAGCGGAAGATTGCTCAAGCTTTTTAATGCCATGTGACTTGTGTATCTTTCTTCATCATTCTACCCTGAACTTAGTACAGTGACCCGTCTGCTCGTCACACTAGCATCAAAGTCTCTGCTGCGCCATTTTGACGCTTTTAACTCGTGATTCCAGCTATGTTTTGTTTGATAAACTTACAAACTCGTTGTTCTAGAACAACTATTCATAGGCAGCGTAGTTTGGTGTCAGTGCTGATAGACATCGGTCTTTCATCAATGTCTTGGATGCAAGCAGGAGAGCAGACAGTAAGACAGTGATTCTGATGCTTCTTCTCTGATTCAAAATTTCCAAGGGCAAGTCAAAGTATCCGTTGATACCATCATACCATTTGTATTAGACACCATCGGCTTCGTTCTCACTCGACAGGCAACACGATCCACTAACCTCTTACAAGCCATTCGAACTTGAGTCGACCAGGCTCGAGAAATTTCTGTTACTGGTACGTCTTGATCTCTGTCCAGAAATTTCTTTGCTACACGCATGTCAGAACCAGCAAAAGCAATCATGGCAAACTTACCAAGCACAGTCATACCACCCACACCTACCAGAGTTCCCCCCACCTGCCTGACGAGATACTCATACGCATCGCACAATTCATCGACAACGAGGATCTCTCAACCATACGTGCCGTCTCCAAGCTCTTCCACGACGAAACACAGGACCGATTCGCCGGCCTCTACTTCACCAACGTCTACTATCCTGCCACACTCACGGGTCTTGTTCGACTCATCGAAATCTCCCAGCATCCTTTGTTCTCGCAAACAGTCCGCAATATCCTTGGGTTCAGCCAAGCACTGCAGGGATAGAGAGGATGGTCGTCAATCGTGCGCAGTAGCCCTACATTCTGGAACGCATACGATGACATTGCTGTTCCCATGCAAGCTCGCAATTTCGGCATTTTATTAGTCGATGGCTTGTCGCTGCAAGGGCAAAACGAAGCTACCATGGAGTACGCTTTCTACTTGACCTCTTACTGCAACCCTGAGCAATTCATAGTCGACGTGCAAGACTTTGCCAATCCTATACGGAAAGGCTGTATAAATCAGTGTCTCAGTCTTTTGAAGTCCAGATGCGAGACAAACTGTACCTTTATCGTTCGCTTCGTGCACAAGAACACCAGAAACACTCCTTCAGCATCAATCGCATTCGAAAATAACGGACACGGCCACACACTCACCTGCATAAACTCGCACAAATACCGCACTTTTGCGCAGGACCTCGTCACCTCCACAGAGCAGATCACCGAAATAAACCTCTTCAACTGCGAATTTATCAAAGCCTATGGCCACGGTAGCTTGCAAGATATCGTCAAACAGCAAAAGGACACCTTGCGATGTATTACCGTCAAGGACGCTCGCACGGCTAGAGTTTCGTCGTATGAGGCTCTGATCAGCTCCATCATGGCTTGCGAAAATCTCGAGTTTTGCCATGTCAGTAACCTGAGAACTTTCGGTGGTGGGCTGGGGTTCAGAGGTATTTTTGAAGCTAGTGGGGTTGATGAGATCAGGAAAGGTTTGTTGGCCTTGAATTGGGGATGAGCGACCAAGGAAGGAGTCGTTGACTCTGTGGATTGATGAGAGATGGCGAGTGAGACCAGAAAGCGCCAAAAGAGGGAAAGTGCGACCGCCACCTATCAGAAGGTGGTTTAGAAGAGTGAAGCCGCTCAGGTTACCCCAGTTTGGCGGACTGCTTTCCAGTCAGCGTGAAGATATCAGACGAGCAGGTAATATGATTTGAGTGAAGACCCTGCGAATTCCAACCTGGAGAACGTACCACGAGCATTGAGATCAGGTGCAGGCACTTTGACAAGCATCATACCGTTACCCCAGAAGGTCATTTCTCCCTTGTCTGTGTTTCCACCAGTTGACTTAAATTGCATCGGCAGACGATGACCTGTAACTCGAGGCGAGGGCAGGAACGGATTCATGTTGGATGTTAGCTCGTGTCCGTCCAGACCAATAACCAATTTCCTGCATAGTATCGTAACTTTGGATGCGCTTGTCTCTGTTTCCTCCTAATATTTTCCCAGATCTTGCTGTGATGGTGCCCCGCTGTGCCTGGGTCATAGTCCTTGTTGTAGAGCAGCCACTCACCAGACAGTTCTTCTCGCAGAGGTGCAGGTCCTTAACTCTGAGTTGCGCGAGTAATAGTATTGATTTGCGCCTGTACTTCGGCGTGATAAGTAGCTGCAGTCTCTTTCCAGCTTCTGATGACTGGTAGTTGATGTTCATCTTCAGATTCGGGACCGTTATCATCGTCGCTCTCCGAGTCCTCCGAAGAGCTGTCGTTTGAGTATGGATGCTCAATTTCTGGATGCTCTGCTAGGTACTTCTGATCCTGTACAGATGCTCTCCCGATTCTTTGGACGCAGCCGAGGATTCTGAGTCTTGCACATCTGATTTGTGTATTTGCCATTGTTGTGATGGGGTAGACTGCAGGGCTTATGTAATTCTAGCTGGACTGGTTCGTCGACTTGAGAGATGCTGCGCTTCAGTGGCTGACGTAGTGCTGTTGCAGGCTCAAGGACATTCTTCTTGGTCTTTTCTTCCAACAATCGATTGCGCTCAACAACGACCAGATCGACAAGCTCGCTGAAGGTCAGATCTGATGCTTGGTCCAGTACCAGAACATTACGAGTTTTCAACAGCGTCTTACGCCAATCGTTGGAGTCTACACCAGCTGTGAGATTGCAAATTTAGCCGCCCATGATCACTACAACAGAACAAGCCCTTACGGAGAATGGACCATTCGAAAGCGCATCGAGCCAGAATACGGAAAACTGCGCAACGGCAAACACTATATCTACGTGCTTAGTGACGAAATAGATGATGGCCCGGACGGTGAAATCGGGTGTGTTCGACTGCGTCACAATGGTGGCCTAAGATTTGGTGCTCGCAGCGCCGAAGGAGAAAACCTACGTCGTCTGGTGGAGAGGAGAGAACTCAGCCCATCTAGCATGCCAGTATCGCAACCATATCAAGGAGATTATACAATCTATTAGGCGATCGACAGGGTCCGGTCATTTGGTAGATGGGATCCCGATGTCCCATTTCCAAATCATCCTCGAACATATAGGATGGGTGAGTTTTCTCTCACCAAAGGAACCTCAGTTGGTTGTAGATTTGAGAGTATTTGAGAGTATTGGAGTCAAACAGTCTTACTAACCTAGGTGTAGGAAGTTTGGGGTTCACATTGCTTGATTGTTCAGGTTTATCCATACAAACAGATCTTGAAAGGTTTCTCCTGCATCTCCATCATAAGATTGAACGAACGAGTTGACAGAAGTAATGCATGCAAACAGGGATGTGGTACCACTCCATCATCACGAGTTTTGTGAACTCTTCAGCTGTAGATATTCCGATGTCTTTCTATCAAGCCAACTCCTTGGACCGAAACTACTGCATAACTGCTCTTGCATGACAGTATCAGCTCTCTCAGGACCACATCTACATACGTAGCCAATCACTATTGAGCCACCGAATTGCATTATGCTACCACAACCACGATGACATTGAGAACGAGGTACATCCTCTATTGACTACAGGCGTATATAATCAAAATTGATTAAACAAGCGATTGAGTTATCCATTGAACAGACACCTATCTACCGGTCGACTGGCTTCCTACAGCCATATCGTTAATGCAACCAATACAGCCGACCAAGAAACACCGGTCACCTTGAGGCTATAACCAAGTACTCGACAGTAAACCACCCAATTATAACCATTTAACAAAGAATGCAGTCATGTGGACCGTGGTCGAAGCTGCTTGAATACCAAAATCATGTAGTCGGGAACGTGGTGCATGTAGAGCACAGAGCGGGCGTAGAAATCATCAGTGGCATGAGAGAATGAATGTAGTTGGAGTTGTCTTTCGTGGAAGACCATGTCGAATAGTGTGGCTGGTACTACCCAAACACTGATCCATAGCAACTCCTTGCTCACTCGGGTATGGGGAGCTGGAAGTCTTTGTACTCGTCATCCTCGTCGAAAAGGAGCGAAAGCTTGTTCATAGGCTCGACAGGAGCATCGTGAACTTCGATGGCGGCGTTGCGCTCGCGAATTAGCTCTTCGACTTCGGCGTCATCGGCCATCAGATTCTCCAGTACAGTTCTGGTCTTCTTCTCGGTAGGGGTAACGGGCTTGTCGTAGAGAGTAGACAATGGGCGTCTCGAGGCAGTAGAAACAGCGCGGCCTCTAGCATAGCCGAGTGTGTTGCGTGAAGCGGTAGTGGCAGTAGCATGACGAGACGACGATGCAGTGGGGGCAGTCAAGGTCGAAGAGGGCTTCCGAGACAGAGGGCGAGTAGCGGTGGTCGGACGTGAGCGAGCGGTGGCAGTTGCTGTGGGGGCAGCGAAGCGAGGACCAAGTGCAGTGGTTGATGATGATCTCGATAGAGCACTGACAGCACGTCGGGCCGACAGGCTTGAAGGAGCTCGGGACTGCTGCTCCTTCTCCTCGAAGCCCTTGCGAACCTTTGTGAGGTCTAGACTGAGGAAGTCGTCGGCTTCGAGGGCGCGGCGGATGATGTCTTGCTGAATCTTATCGGTACGAGCCATCATTTCGCGATTCTTGCGTTCAGATAGACGAACGCCGTGCTCATCAGGAGCGTTTCCAAAGGCGCCCCAGATACCGATCGTGGCGTACTCGGGNGAAAGGATCGAGTAGTCGCGTTCGTGAATTGTGTCTGGATGGTCAGGTAGNGGCTGGGACAGATCAGTCAATGAGTCGGAGAGGGAAGCAAGGACAGACTCACGAATTGATCTGGGAGGCATATACTCAATGTCTGGGACACCATCATCTTGCTCCTGCTGAAGCGGTTCGGCCTGGTGAATCTTGACCTTCTGTCTGCGTAGCCGGGGACTGAGGGTCTTCTGGGCAGATGCTTTGATGGTCAAGGGAGCCGGAGTCTTTGCCTTGGCGTTAGTCGTTTTCATGCCCAGCGGGGCGCGGTTGCGTGGGCCGGCCGGAGTGATGAAGGCATTAGGATCCAGGTTAGCCTTCTTGGTCGTCTTAGTAGTCTTGAATCCAGAGTTGAAAGCATCGTTTTCGTCGTTTTGGTTGCGGCGGAAGGGCGTCTTGGGAGCTTTGTTGGCCGGAGTTTTTGCCTGTTGATTTAATGGTTTCGCAGCGGCGGCAGCTTGATGGGCGTATGCCAGATTTTCTTGATCAGCGCGTGCAGCGAACATGGTGGTCGATTATCGTGTAGTCTCTCTCTGTGGAACCAGGTGGAAAGGTCAAAGATTTGTGCAATGCGTTAGGCAGTAAATGTAGGTCGCGTGGTTGTTGAGTGCCTCTTTGTTTACTTCGGCTTATCTAGTCGCATGACGGACCTTTAGATGAGCAATTGCGACCGTGTCAAGTTTCAACAGCCGTGACAGGACGACGTGCTACGAACTATTGTCCTAACCACGGTTGGAGAAGGAGGCCTGGCCGGTCGTCTGTTGATGCTCGCTGTCGACGCGGCAACGCAGCTGTCACGGACCAGCAAGGTCGCCTTGGCTTGGCGGGCATCGGAGGTCGGGGCCCGGGCAAAGCACAGCGTGGGTGGTCCAAACGTCTCTACCACACCAAACTTCGAGAAGCATCCCCCTCCCCTGAACCTCTGCACTTTATACACATAATACTGCAACCCGAACAAGACCGCTTTCTCGACCTCCCTCTACATTCTACCTATCTTCAGCTCTTCAGCGCCTCTGACGTTCTACCACAACTCCACCCTTCAGTAATCACAACAAACACACAAGATGGATGCCATCAAGCAGGTGCGTGTCATCAACAAAAGCTCCAACACCTTCACTCTGCATGCCACATCTACCTGATGAAACTCAACGATTCCCCTTAATACACCGCAAGGTGCATGATTCGAAATCGTCCAAATTACAGTCTATATCTGATCATGATGTCGCTGCTGCTCTCTCCCATTACCCCTCGTGCCCCACCGCTTCTTCAGCCACAGCTGACAAGTCTCTCAACAACAGCGCATGAACGCCCTCCGCCTCGAGGCCGACGAGTCCGCAGCCAAGAACGAGGAGCTCAAGGCAAAGGTCAAGTCGCTTGAGCAGGAGAACCTCGCCAAGGAGCAAGAAATCACCTCGCTGAAGCACAAGAACCAACTCCTCGAGAGCGAGCTGGAGAAGCTTGAGTCTGGTCTCAAGGACGCAAAGGCCACCGCCGACGAGAGCGCTCAGCACGGTACCCAGAACGAGAGCTTGCAGAGAAGACTGCAGCTCCTCGAGGAGGAGGCCGAGGAGGCCGACAGAAACTTGANNGAGAGACCAACGACAAGTACGTTCACACATCTCACATGCCCTTAATACCTTTACTAACACAATACCCACAGGCTCCGTCAAACCGACGTCAAGGCCGGCCACTACGAGCGCAAGGTGCAAGCCCTCGAGGCCTCTCGCGACCAGTGGGAGGCCAAGTACGAGGAGATGGCCACCAAGTACAACCAGACCAAGAAGGAGCTCGACGACTTTGTTGCCGAGATTGGCAACATCTAAGCCACGTCTTCTGTTTAACTTTGCATCCGTTCGTCGCGGCCTCTTTCGTATTCTCCCGTCGGCCTGTTTTCATCGACGTTTCTTCATCTTGGGTTGTCAGCATGGGCGTCATCACCGCTACGTAGAGAATGAGAGCATTCTCCGAGCGTTTTTCTGAACTTGTTACTCTTTTAAAAGAAATCATCATCTCCCTCGCACACGATACCACCACCGCTTTGCCGATTGAATGGAAGCTTCCTCTTTGACATGAAAAAACAAAATGCTTATTTGGGTATCATGCGTGTTCTTGAAACGAAATGTCTGCGCCCATCACTTTTCCGTCCTGGCCTTCTTCGCAGCGGCATTCTTTGCCTTTTGCTTATTGCGCGTCTCTTTTCTCTCGCCCTTGCTCTCGTATCTGAACTTCTTCTTCTTGGGCTTGCTCTTGGGATCCACCTTTTTTCCTTTTGACCAGACCGTCTTCTTCTTGACCACATCGCCGTCCTTGCCATCTGCATCTTCTTTTACCACAGTAGTCTGCTCTTCATCATCCGAGTCTTTCGCGAAAGCTTTTGCGTCTTCCATAGCTTCGATGGTGACAGTTGTGTATTTATCCTCGTCGACGTACTCGTCCACGCCGTCGATGGACGGTCTAGGCGGTGAAGCAATGCCGTCCCATTCTTCTTCATCTTCCGCGGCAGATGTCTCATCGTCCGAGTCTTTGTTCGCTTTTCTGAGCAGGTCGTTTACTTCGGCGACATGGCGTTCTAGGTCTACTTTTCTCTGATCGCGCAACTGAGTTTCCTCGTGTCAGTGTCTTGATCAAGCAGTGGTGACAGATGTGAAGCGCAGTATTTCATACCTCTTTCCTCGCCTTGACCTTTTCTTCCTTNNTTCGATCTTGGCGGACTGTTCTTGGGCGTGCTTGATACGCTGTTGCTTTCTCTTGCGGAAGCCTGTGAGCCATTCGTTGCGCGCTTCTGGGTCGAATTTCAGTTCGTCGACTTGGGTGGTTGTCTTGCGGCGTTTTGCTGGTGGTGCACGAGGTGCTTGTCGTGGTGCCATGGTGATTCTGGTGTCTTGACAGAGTTTTCAGGGAGGAGCGATGTGAGTATATCGTGATAGAGTATATGCGACTCCGATCTTCTGGTTGTTGAGAGAAATATGTGCTGTGTAAAGAGATGGTTGGAATGTCTTGTTAGCAGAGCAGAATCAATTGTTGCAGAGACCAAAAATCAAAGTCCGTGCGTCAACGATGATGATCCCTGGACCTGGGACGTTTGCTGTTAGACATCACCTCACTATGCACTGCTCATCATAATCAACGTCGATACCATGTGGGCAACATTGTCCCGGGCAACTGGCCTCAGCTTGAGAAAGTCGTTCGTCTCGATCGAGTCCAGACTCTTCTCGGTTTACGGTGCCAACCTCGTGAGTCTGTCTACAGACCCCGCCAAAAGGAGGCAGCAACTGGACGCACTCAACCTCCGCAGACGTACAGATCCTGAGTGGCATAGACAAGAATTGATCCGGCGTGAGAGATACAGGAGGCGCAACGCTGCCAAACTTTCCGATTATAACAGCCAGTATAACAAATCGTTCCTTCCGCGATATACTTCAGATCCCACGGTCCAGCTTTCACAGCGGTTGCAAAACTGGGTGAAACTACACGTATGGGTGCGTGAGGAGCTTCCTTGGAAGACTCATCGTCCTGTGCGTTACGAGACTCCCACTCCGCGTCGTTGTGAGTTCTGCGGCATCACGAGACGTAACGGCTTGCATTTGGTTTGGCAGCGCATTGCCCAACCAGACTTATACAGCTGCCATCGCTGTTATGCGAGACAAGGTACCGAAACTTGTCTGCCTACAGGATATGAGGACATTCGTGGCATCAAAGAGCTTGCTGCACGGAAAAAGCAACTGGAGCAGCCGAAGTCTGGATCACCTTGAGCTAGAGGCACTGCTGACAGCAAAATACCATTTCGAGAATCATCAAGCTCACTGATCATGGCTTCAACAATGCCGGGACTAGGCGTTGTTTCTGCATCTACAAGATCATCACTCTTCTGAAACACTACTTCCATAAGTTTTCTCATCAGCCAGCTGACAACTACAATATTCGTTCTTGTTCGGTCGTCAGCCCAACGGATTAACGAGACCAACGAGAATAGCAGACCATCCTGAGACTCAGCAGATACCCTGACCCAATCAAGTCTTTTGCGGCCCACCAGCAATCCCTGCATCGCGTTCTCCTACCTACCTCTTCTACTACGCACGCCCTAACTTGCATCAAATCAGTCGTTTGGTCAGCTTCGCTTGTTTGCTCCGTCGAACACGTTCGCTCATTCCTTCAGAGCTCTCATCACGAACTTTCAACAGATCGACACTGGCATACTGAGGTGGGGCAGACAAAGTCCGAGGAGAAGAGAGGAGGAACTGGGGTGAGCTGGGCCCTATTCTTATTGCTGGCCAAAAACACTCAAGATCACAGGTTCTGCTTACTCATGTTTTCGCTTGCCCAACGAAGATCAATCAGCAGTATTTATGGTCGAGATCTGCCAAGGCTTACAGCGTCCTATGATTCGGAACTGGTTTCGACGCCTGCTGACAACAATTAAATCCGAGGCTGCACCGCTATACATGAACGATCTCGTTGACATCAAACGAAGGGTTGACGTGTTCCGCTCTCGTCAAGACAACAAGGGCATTGTTGTCCGCCTGCTTTGCAGACCGGAGCTCCCAAGCGACTTCATAACAGCCATGGAGCATGAGGTCTTGACTAGAACCATGGGTATTGATGCTACTGTTGTGTACACTGACGGCGACATCTACGACGCACTCAGCCGAGGCGTATATCAATGTCCTAAGCTCCGTTCCCTAACACACAGAGCCCAGAGAGAGGCACTGGCATCGAGGTGGCGCATATTTAATCTCCTTCAGGGAGTTAAGCGTGGTGTCTCCCTCGAAGAAACCGTTGAGATGTTGAAGAAGAAAGTGCTATGCGGCAAGAGACAAGACAGCAGCTTGGCCACTTTGACGCCAGATGATTGTATGTAGTTCTGAACACTTCTTCTTAAATTCCAACGCTCATCAAGTAATAGAAAATGTCCCGTGTCTGCATGCTCTATGCTGCCTGCAATGTTGCTTTACCTCTTTTGGGTCGAACGACTGCAAACAGCAACAGCAGGAGGCTCGTTCTTGGACAAAGACTGCAAAAACTGGCCTGTCTCGAATCTCTGCCTGAATAAGGAGACCTTGGCTTTCACACATCGCGCCGCAACACAGAAGGCGAAAGAGCGCGCCGGAAAACCACAATCAACTCTTACCTGAAGGCGCCAGCAAGCAAGCCACACCAACAACAATAACAGCATTGCTGATTCGAAAACACAACACTCTTTACGAAAAACATCTCTCTTACCTTCTTCATGAGTTGTGAGTAACCCGCACGTACTTTCCACCATGGCGGCCGATTACATCACCTCCGCCGAGCAAACCATGACGCTCGTCCGCCGCCTCGCAGCCCACCTCGCTGCCGAACCAAATCTTCCCACCGCCGAAAATCTTACTCGCGGTGAAGTCGATGCATGGATCAGGGCACTGAATACTGGTATCCACGGTCGGGTGATTGACCTGCTCGCTCTACCTGTACTGGAATGTCTGCTCTACATGCGGTAAGTTTTTACATCATCAGACATTACTGAATATATTACTAATGTCGATATCAGTGGCAGAAACCTTGCCTGGAAAACCAAACATCTGAGACGTGCGCCTTGTGAGATGTTTCAGCCAGTGGTTGTCAACCCCTGGGTTCAACAAGATATTACATTGAATCGCGAGCACCTCCCCTGGATCCCTGGTGACCACCACCAAGCTATTGAGATCAACGATGACGCAGAAGATCTTGTAGACACAGATGAGCAGGCTGTTATGAAAAATCAAGACACCGAGGAAGACTTTACAAGCCCTGAAGGGGAAGGCACTCAGCTCGATGACACCCTACAGGACGTCGACGATGACAATGACTCTGCACTACAAACTATCGAGCAAGACACAGACGACCAAGATGCTGCTCTGCTGCCTAGCACTACAGCAGCCGAGAATACTTATCGCATAAGCTCGCAAGCCAATCACAATAGAGACACCATGATGGAAGATGTGCCTGAACAAGACGACTTCGAAGAAAACAGCTCCACACACAGCAACTCCGACCACGAGGACCTAGCCCACTCCACCTCCACAACCAGCGAAGAAGAACCCAATCTCGCCTACGACCATCCTGATCGAACTCTCTGGTGCACATGCAACGGTCCAGACCCAGAGGACGGTACATACATGGTTCTATGCAACAATCACGAAGACAATGACGTAAGTTACCAGCTCCTGAACTGCTTTCTTACACTGTTTGCTAATCAAAGGTCACAGTGCAAAGGAAAGTGGTATCATCTTTCATGTGTTGGCTTGCAAAGAAACCCCTCAAAGGAAGTTGATTGGTACTGCGAAGATTGTCGCAAGAAGTTCAATACTGGTGTCTACAGCAACGGTTGTGTGAACCCAAAGAGAAAGATTAATCCAAAGAGAAAGCGATGAAGGATATGGCTACGATCGGTTGCGTCGATAGCCGGGCTGCGAGAAGAATCATAAAGCATCAAAGTGCGGTTCAAAGAAGTTTTAATCTTGTGAAGGTAGTTTGGACACGAGAACTAGGGGCCCTTTTATGGGTGTGGTCGCCAAATCAAGTAGCATCTTGCTTCTCTCAAGAATGACCGTCCGCAGAAATGGACCCTGAGGTCTTCCAAATTATACCTGCTTCCTGCCTTGTCGTCTTGCACCGTGATAAATAAAAGCTCACAGATCAGGCAACAATAGTAAATACTGCACAAGCACAATATTCACCCTTGTAATGTCTCTCGATCTTGCTAGGTCAAGCAATCGGCTGGCTCGATGCTCTACATAGAAGGCAAGCCACGGTCGTCTTCGATGACTCTTTAGGTGGGAGTGGTAGTACTAGCAAGTATAACTCTTGCTCGATCGGAAGGTCAGAGTCTCGATTCTTAGTTCTACCCCTTTTTTCTTTTTTCTTCATTTTTGTTCTCTTTCGGTCTCTGGAATCTCGAGTCAACCGATTGGCAAAAGCTGTATTTGGCAGTAGTGATGATTCATGTAAATGACCAAAAGCTGAACTGTTTACATGTAGTCGCTGCTTTTGCTCAGCGAGTTGCCGCTGTAAGATTGGAAGGATCAAAGCAGCAGTTTTGACAGAAACCAACCAACTCGTATTCTCATCTTCAGCATTGCTGACTCTTCGTACTGACTTGCTGTCTGTTTACATTCTCTTTTTGGCCTTTGGTGCTCATTTCTAACTCACAAGGAAAACTTTCCATCTCTTCGCCGGCTGCACACTGTCATACTGGTCACCAAAGCTCAGAGCACTTAGCTATCCTGGTCGACTGAGAGGGAAGCGATGCCTTAGCTCTGTTATGATGCCAAACTGTTGTACTAGAGGACGATCTTTAGAAGAGAGGCTATTGCGGAAACATCAGCGAATTTTGCATGTCACAAGTTGATCTGAGTAGAGTCTTTTGGTAGCAGAAGACTTTCTTCCATTCATAGCTTAATGATACGAGAATCTCTCAGAGCAGCGATATCAGCAACAAACGATTTTTCCCTCCATACTTGTGGCTTAAATCCATGAGTACTCCTCATACGCTTCTTGCTGCAACGAGACACGGTCATATAGACTCCAGCGTGTCAGTCTTGTGACTTCACTTCTGCACAAAATCCTTGACCAGATCCTCCACCATCTGAGTGTGCAACTTGGTGCTGAAGAAGACGATGATGAATTCTCGCAACTTCATCTCAAAGTCTGTGACAAAGTCTGGGTCGCGATCGACCTCTTGCTTGACTGCATCACGAATCTCGGCCTTGAAGTCGTTGAGTGTGAACTTCTTGAGGAATGCCAACATGGTGGTTGCTGTGAAGTTGTTCATTTCCGGCAATCGGTTGACCAAGCCGAGAATGGTCTTCTCAATGCCGCAATCAAGGAGGAAGTCGTTCCAACCGGGGGATGGAGTCTCGTGTTCTGACTCCGAGCGTTCAGGGGTGCTGTCGCAAATGTTCCCACTTTGGTATGGTTCATTGATGGACATACGGTTCTCCAGAGACGGCCTCAGTCTTTTGGATGAAGGCATTGATCACTTCCCATTCTTCTAGGAGAGGATTGATGTCCTTGTCACGCAAAGTGACCCACAGAGTGTACAAGCGGTGGTGCATGTCTCCCAGACTGAGTTTCACCTTGCGCATCTCAGCTCTAGAGACCCTATAGATAGGGTCATTGGGAGTGCCGTTGGATAAGTCATCGTCCATCTGGTTCATCAGTCAGTCTTGAGCAAATGGTGAAGACTAGAATATATGCGCACTTTGCTTGTTTGCGAAGAAATCGAAAACTTTCAGAATGGAGAGTTGCGAGTGAGGAGAAGTTGCGAGAATGATCAAATGCGTAGGAAGAAGAACAATGCGTAAGAACTGGAATGAGTTGTGCTCACTTTCACTCAGTCCTCACTCCGTCCAAAGGTTGACTAACAAAACAAGCAGCCAGACCAACTGTTGTTTCTTCGCTGGAAGTAGGATGTCACGATAACGGGAATATCCTGATGATCACTTAGGTGGTGGATGTGTCTTTGAGCATGCCAAATCTGAACCACATCATTGGATCGTTGTGCCTTCCTCTGTCAAAGACCAAAAAGGTTGCTAAGCGCAGCGAGTGGGAATCGAACCTACGATCTCCTCCATTCAGAGTGATCCAATGCCAACACTAAAGTGCCTGACACCACACCCCTCCCGCTTGTGTTTGCAAGACTCATTGACGAGGCGCTCTAACCATTGAGCCACCGTTGCTTTTCGTTGAAGAGGGATCGATCTTTACTTGCATGTGATGGTGGATGCATTGGCAGAGTGAGTGTGTTCGATTCCCGGAGGACGAGTTCTTTTTTATGTTAGTCAGTTCAACATCACAGTATTCTTATACTGTCAACACCGGAATGCCTGATACGATATACCGGATTGAGGTGACAGACTTACTTTGGAAGTAGCATGGCAGTGAAAGGTGCAAAATTGCTCTATAATCCCTCCAATCAACGTCCGCAATCGAACTCATGACCATCATTGTGTTGCCAACACGCGAGTCAGCATCTTGTTTGGTCAAATATTCGTTGTCGAGAAGAATGAAAAGTCCCTCCAAAGTCATTACCGTGATCCTAATTCGCTCAATGAAGCCAGGATAACCGTTCTTCTGGTAGCATAGATCAAGAGCCTTCGATAAGTAGATCTTTTTCCAGCAGTGCTGGATAGAGTTCTGCGCCAATTTTGGTTGCCGAGAAGATATGTGAGTTTGTTTGCACCTCTTCTGGAAATTCTGGTGCTTCTTAAGCCGTAGATTTTGCTCCTCGCTCCTTCCTTCTTCCAGAGAACCCTTCTATTACTCCTCGATTACGAGCCTGGAGCGACATGAGACTCATTGCTGGACTCATTGCCGGTTTGGCGTTGGTTAACGCCATCGCTGCAGCCCCTATCGCTACTCAGTACGACGACTCTGATCTTACTGGTTCGAACGAAGCCGCCGCCAACCCTAGTAAGGAACATACGAAGAATCAGAACTGGGCTGGTGCTGTCCTCGATGGATCAGACTTCCAGACCGTGACTGGCACTTTCATCGTCCCAAGGGTCAGCTTGCCCGCCGGTGCGCAACCACACTTCTTCGAAAAATTCGGTGCCGCCGCCTGGGTGGGACTCGATGGGAGTACATGCCATGGCGTAATCATGCAGACCGGTGTGATAATGCGGATCTCCAACGATGGAATCCTCGAACAAGAAGCAGTCTATGAATGGTTCCCAGATAAACCGGTCAGATTCAAGAATCTCAAGGTCTCACCTGGCGACAGTGTGACTCTCACCATAACAGCCTCTTCTGATAGTGGTGGCGTTGCTATCATCGAAAACAACACAACGGGTCAATCTGTCAGACACAAATTTGTCGGACGCAAACCTCATCTTTGTCGGACCAATGCCGAATGGATTGTTGAAGATTTCATCCAAAAACGTCACAAACACCACGCTCTCTTTGCAGACTTTGGCAGCGTGAGTTTCACTAACGCTTCGGCTATCACTGGGGACGGGACCAGATCTGGTCCTACTAGTGCACGTATTCACGACATTGTCGGCAAAGACTCACATGGCAAGGAATATCTTTTGACCAATGCCGCTGTGGACGACTCGACGGTTTCCATTTCTTACGGCAAGCGACCTGTATCTGAGAATGATGGTTCAATTGTGTGTTAAATTCTGCCACGCCGGAAATTTACTCGCTGTTCATGGTGTCTTACAAGTTATGGAAAGCTTAGGTTGAATCGAGATTGTAGGACATGCATGTTCAAGGAGGGCTGAATAAGGATGGATGGTCTCAAGAGCTAGAGAAGAATGCTCCGAGACGTTCTGAGAGCGATATGCAAAACATTATCTGCGTTTCGAGATCGGTCACAAGTATGAAACCGATATATGATGATAGCTTTGCAAAATTCCAGAAATGCAGATTTTGGAATGTCTACAAGACTTTCAAATATCTGGATATAACATAGACTGAGTGTGATACACTTTTCCCATTGAGCTGTCTAGCTAAAAGCGAATTGCTGTCTCAAGTTGTGATCCATCGGTTTCTGGACCGCCTTGATAATCCAAACAAGAAGACGTTTTCTCACGTTACATTCGAAGTTATTCAGAAACTCTGGATTTTGCTTGACCACTTGCTTCGTGGTGGTGAGTAAGACGTTCAACCAGCGGGCAAACTCTTGACTCTGGAGGATCTGCTGGATGAGGGGAGCTTCAAGTCCTTCGAAAGCCTGAACATCCTTGATGGTGGTTTGAATGACCTTTTCGACACCGCTGCTGATCAGAAAGTCCGTACAGGTAAGAGAAGTAAATTCGTAGTCTTTGATGGGCGCTGGAGGAGCAGACTTGTGAGGCTCAGGGGTGTAAGGATGCTACCAACAGATGTCAGTGTACGTTTTCAATTCAACGAGTAACCTCATTGTCCATTTGAGTGATCAGATGATTGTGAAAAACTGAAAAGGGTCATCAGACTGAGATGGTGTTCGATGAGAACGTGTAAAAGCATCACTCTTTGTTGACAGTAGTACACAACTCGAGGTGATAGTCCTTTGGAAGATGTGTCTGAATGAGGTTGGTTCTGGAAGAAGATTACCTGGGCTGTAGCTGGGAAATGAACGAAGCAACCTCGTTGGTTTTGGACACCATTCAGTTGACCGCATCCTCTGGATAGATACCAGCGTGGACTCTAGGGCAACGCATGTATTCAATTGCAACACGTAGGCCTTCAGCTGTGTTTTTCGCCTTTGTAAGGTCCTCTGGAGAGATCTGGTGACCGGCATCATCTGTTTTCGTGACTTTTGGTGTCTGCTGATTCGTCAAGTTTGATGGATGATGCGAGATAGTATCAGGCAAATGCTCACCATTTTGTAGAACGGACAGTACGATCGACAGAGGACTGGTCAGAGCAGTGCAAGAAGAAGGAAAAAGTATGGAAGAGTTGCGCAGACGATGTTCGCAGTTAATGTTGCTCTCAACCTGGATCAATCGCCACTTTTGCCGGATAGATGTGTGGCCATTGTTGTTAAATTGATCGAAGAAGTGAAGGATGTCTATTCAAGGTGTTTATGGTTTGATTGGCATCTCTCTCGCAGCCGCGCATAGTGATTTTCGAGCCATCAGATTAGGTACACTCACACAGGAGACGCGTTCAGAGAAGGCTTTGTCACTTAGCTGTCAGTGTCACATGTCAACGCAGCAACAGGCAGTCGCGACTATCTTGTTCAGACCCAAGAACGTCACCAAAACAATTGCCTCGCTTTCATCTGTCTCTCATCGTTGCATCTCATCCACTCTCTTTGTTTTGTCCAACATCCCATCCGCGGTCCAAGATGGCGATGCCATCATCCCGGAAATCTATCAGATTCGCATCGCAGCTGAATGAACCAGCTTTCAAGCGCCAAAAGATGAGCAGCGACACTTCCACTTCTACTCTCTCCTATGAAACCACTATCACTGCAACGACCGCGCAGAGCGTCTGCTTGGTGGGCTCTGAAGACCTATCTAGCATGGTCTTTCACGCCGCCGACCTTCAGAGAGTGACCAACTCTTGGTCCACACATCATCCCTTGACCGGTGCCGAGTTCGAGATGAAGATGTCGTTCAAAGCCTGCGAGAACACCGCCAACAGCCTTCGCAGCACACTTGAGAGCCTGGAAGTCAAAGCTGCCAAAGATCATATAGCTTGCAAGTGGGGAGACAACACCAGCGATCCGCACAGCACGCACGAAGGCAGCGAGAACCGAGACGATGCGGAGGCAATCGCGAACAGACTCAAGTATGTCTCTTGACGAACCACAAGTGCAATCTGAAGACTGACTTATGGACNNAGATCGGAAGAGACCATGAAGTTTCTCATCAAGAGCGGCATCGAAAGAATCATTGATGACGAATTCACGCGCCTCTCCCGTTTCAAAGGCACTCTACGTGACTAGTACCAGCGATGGATCCCGCATAAGAGAGCCTTCAGAGACTCGATCATGAAGACCGTCGAGGAGGAAGCAGACCCACTTGCGGACTTTGAATCAAAAGTCAAGGTTTACTTTCAGCAAGACGTAATCGAGCGCGCCACAAGTGAGCTCAAACGTGAGATCGAACTTCAGTGGAGGAAGTCCGAATGATGTGCGGCCGACCTTTAGGCATAGTAGACCGATGGTATGAGGAGGTTGGCGAATTGCTTGACGAGGACGATTAGCTGTGATTATGGACCAGAAGCATTAGCTTGACTACGATACGAGAAGTGAAAGGGCATGCTTACTGTTTGCATCAATAGATCTCAACATGACTTTCGTTTTGCAACACCCTCTTACCACTGCAACACGTTTTTAATTTGACACATGCTTGACCCTCCTGATCAATCTCCAACATGTCAAACCCTTCCTCGAGTTTTCACCCTCGCCCGACTGCCGAACCAACCCGCTCGCGCGCTAACCCACAAGACCGACCATCCACGAACTCAACAGGACACCGACCATCCACTTCGACCCACAAATCTCGACGAAGAATGTCCGACAACACCATCATGGCACAACCAAAGCCCACCACCACAAACACCCNNTACATCCCGCACGCCTCTCTTGAACCCATCTCAACCAAGATCAAGAAACTGCAGAGCAACCTCAACAAAGTAATAATGGAGGGACGCATTTTTGGACCAGGCAAAGAACAACTGCTGGGCTGCAAACACAATGTCGATGCCTTAGCAGCTATGGTCAGGGAGCTTGATGTTGACAGTGCTGCGTGAGTAACTTGGTTCTTTATTTTTGTTCCTCCCGGAGTAGAACAATGAGCGAACCATCGCTGACATTTCGCAGACNGCAAGAACTCTATCAATATCATGGTGGAAGCGAGCATCGATCAACTCTTCGACGATCATGTCGACAAGACCATCGCAGTTGTCGATGAANACACCAGACAGTTGATCTACAACGCGCTGGATAGCAGTTCTGCAGAAGACAATGTCAAGGCTGCTATCAAGCATGGCCTCGACGCAGAGTCAGACGTGCTTCTGGACTTCGAAACCAAGTTTACGCGACATTCCAAGCAAGCTGTGGCTGATGCAATCAGACGCAAAGTATTGATACAACTCGGCGGGCTTTGAAGATCCACTTACAATCTACTTCTCAATAATGTGTCCTTGCGAAAATCGCCCGCACCTTTTGACGGTACAGTGCATTTCTGTAGCTGCGATGTGGCAGGTTTTAGCACATGGAGGAGAAAAGAAACATGGATGACATACCCAGCACAAACAACTTCTTCTCCCCTACCTCAAACACCAAGACACAAACAACCACAGCACAAGCACACCACAAATTAAAAGCAAGCTTGAATCGAAAAGAAAAAAAACAGAATCTCCTTATTATTCTTACTTGTCTCCCATTGACTCAATTGCACTTTCACATTCGTTCTTCTTGTGTTTATGGCAAAAGTTCCCATCTCGCTCCAAAGAAACCCCATACATTCGTTTCCATCTTCGCTGCTCCATTTTGAGGGGTTGTAAATGCAAGAATAAAGAAACCAACGCCATATTGATGAAACAAAAGAGATTGATAAGAGCGGGTTGGCGTGGCAATGGAAACGTGGAAATATTTGTCTCCAGGAGAAGCCGTCGCGGTGAAAAAATAGAAATAATGGAAAGACAAGAAGTACTAGGGTGATGGAAGTGAATAAAAGGGGGTAAGCAAAAGAGAAGGGAAGTCTATAGACAGGGTTGCCGAAAAAGGGTTTCCAGCGTCCGGGATAAAAATAGTGGTTGAAAAGTTCGGGTGGTTTGCACACAGGCAGACTTCAAGGTCCTAGTTGAAGCCTTGGTACAACTCTTCCAGAGTCTGCTCCTGGGATTTGCCGCCGGCGGTGCCGCGCTTTTGCGCTCCTCTCTCTTCTTGCGCAGTTGTGCCCAGCCTNTCATCGTCGTCTTCTTCATCGGGTCTGGGTTGGGGCAATCTTGGTGAGCCCTTAGGTTTGTCGATAACTTTGATGGTGGTTCGCGGTACGTTGCTGCCGTTGCTGACAGGAATGTTGTTGGGGTTCAAGAACGAACCGGTCGAAGCGTTCTTCTTAGCGAAGTTCTGAATACCAGATTGCGAAGTCATGCTTGCAGTGCGGCTAGTAGAGCCTTCCATAGTCACCGGACGATAGCGAGATGGCATGCCAACGTTGCTGCGCTCGCTAGGTGCAATTGAAGGAGTGTAGCCTCCACGGGGTGCGCTGAGACTGTAGTCGTACATTGATCCGGCATAGCCCGGAGGCTTCAGATTGGTCATTGTGCTGGATCTCTGTTGCTGGTGCATGGGACCTTGAGGACCAAGCATACCAGGTTGCTGCCCATTAGGACCACCCATAGACATAGGTCTTTGCATCCCGTTGGGCAGCATGTTTGGGAAACCATTCTGCTGAGGGCTCAGCTGAGGCATTTGAGGCATCTGCATTTGCGGCATCTGCATTTGCGGCATCTGCATTTGCGGCATTTGACCACCCTGCATCGCCATCATCTGCTGCATCATCTGGGTCTGCATCGCCATCAGTTGCATCATTTGCTGCGTGTTCTGTTGTTCTGCGCCCATCATAGGCATCTGAGGCATTTGCGGCATGAAGCCACCCATGCCCATCTGCGGTGCGGCCATGCTCATCATCGAGTTCGATCGCGGCATCATCTGAGGCATGTTCATGTTTCCAGGAAGAGGAAGTCCATTTGCGTTGAAAGCAGGGCCTCCATTGTGGTTGACACGTCTAGCAGCACGAGCACGCTCCTCACCGGCGATGACACCAACAAGACCGCCTCCTGCCTGGGGCATACCTGGCATCTGCTGAGGAGGCATCTGAGGCATTTGAGGCAGTTGGTGCATAGAAGGAGAGGCTCCACCGTACACCGAGCCGCCAGAGCCGAAAGCAAGTGGCTCGCGGTTAGCGGGNTTGACGAGACCAGCTCCAAAGTAGGGATCTGCAGGGAGGTTGCGAGCAAAGACAGGAAGGTTACCTCCTCCCAAACCGCCATTGACGATAGAGCCGGCGCTTCCAGGGGTAGGAGGAGCACTAGCAAGGCGGGTTGGGGGACGGTTTTTGCTAGGGAAGCCGTGGGCCTGAAGGATTCCCAGAGGAACCTCGTCATCCTCCTCCTCTTGCTCTGTACCAAGACTGACGTTGGAGAAATCTCTAGTCAGACCAGGTGCGCTGTAGGAGGCACGATCCAGGCTTGGACGGCCGGCTTGCGAAGCAAGTTCGGAGGGGTTTCCTCCTGCAACCTTCTTCATCTGCTGTCTGTACACAGACATGTTGGCCTCCTGCTTGCGTCTCTGGCGAGCAAGCTCTGCTTGACGTTCGGCCTCGTCATCGTCGTCGTAACCTTCCTCCTCAGACTCTTCGGATTCTTCACTCTCTTCAGGACTGACTGCCTTGCGTTGAGCCTCGAACTCCTTTCTTGTCATCCTCTTTGTGGGCGAGAACTGTCCAGACTGAGACCTGGGGGCAACCGGGGCAGCCGCTGGGTGCACAGCACGGCTAGTAGGACCATTAGGAGAGTGGTCGAACATGCCATCTGAAGTGTTGCTCGTGGGACGCAGATTGTTAGCGCGAGGAGTTGCGTGCTGAGATTCGCCTGCTGGGTATGTGGTGGGGTTTCTGGTGGCCGGAGTGGCTCTCTGCGGAGAAGTCGGCGCTGTGAAGGTCTCGACGAGGGGCGACCTTGTTCTAGAGATGGGGTGGGCAGCATCGTCTTCGCTGGAATAGCTGTTTGATCTCTCGTGTTCAAGTTCATCGGCAGGCGAGCCGTAGCGATCGGGTACAGGTTGATATCCAGGCTTGAATCGAGAGAAGGTCGAAGGAGGATTGAGGGCAGGCGAAGAGATCTCGGAACCCAGAGCTGGAGACATTAGTCCGTCGTTGGAAGTTCGGCTAGCCCATGAGTAACGGTTTGCTGATGCGGCAGACAAGTTTGTCGGCCTGTGGCGAGTCTCGGGCTCGAGCTCGGGCTCGGCGGCTGGCAGAGGTACCTCTGGTAGAGGAGTAGGCTCAAAACGAGCAACAGGAAGGGTGGGCAAGGGCTGGGATGCCTGTTGAGAGGGACGTTGTTGGTAAGCGTTGTTGTAATTGCTGAAGCCTGGTGACTGTTGTCGACGTACCGATCTGCCGTAGTTCTCATGTGCAGGTTGCGGCGCTGCTACATTGCTCTTAGCTTGTCTGGGCGAGCTCAGTCCTTCGAACATGTTCATGCCAAAGTCGCTGCCAAAGTCAGACATAGAACCCAAGTTGGCATCGAGCCTCGGCGGCACAGCAGTGCTGGCATTGCTGCTCATTGTTGTTGCGCGATCACGGATGAAGCTGTTCTCGGGCAGGTCGGGCATGTGAGCTGTTGTAGCAGTCATGGTGCCAGGGCTGGCGCTCTGCTTGCTTCTCAAACCAAAGGACATAGCCCTGCCTGCGCGGGCCGAAAACGACGGTGGCTCGGGAAGTGCGTTGGATGCGGCCGAAGATCGGTTGCTGCTAAGGTTGCTGTTGCCGTTGGCAGCTGTCTTTCGAGCGAAAAGGTCTTCGTTCTCTGCTTCGTGTTCTGCCTCAACTGATGAGGGAAGAGTAGACGAGGAGCTGTAGCGTGCAGAGGACGACGAGTTGTCAAAGTAGCCCGAAGAACCCGAGAGGGCTGTTCCGCCACTACCCCTGCCCAATTTTAGCACCCCATTGACGTTGTGTGACCGAGTCTGGCTCTTGTCGGGTACCAACCTGTTTGCGCTTGCGATCAAGTCTTCCTGCGACTTGCCCGACTTCCTGTTCAAAAGGATACTCGATCCTGGCCGCCCGCCGCTTGTTCGTTTCACAGGGCCTCCAGGGTATCCGCCGTTACCCGCTGTAGCTGCCTTGTCGGGTCTTTCAAGGACGCGGAAGCTGGACGAGGCGGGTGCGGTTGATGTGGATTCCGGNGGAAGGTCGAGGATGTTTCCAGACGATTTGCGACGGGCAAAGTTCTTGAGCGGATTCTTAGGCATATAGAAGGCTGTGCTGTGTTGTGCGTAACAAGGCAGGTGCTGTTGTCGTGTCCGACAATGCCTGCGAGGCAGTGGGTTGAGCGAAGGGAGTTGCGTTGGTTGAGCGAGCGAATTAGAGTCTTGGTGATGGACTGTCGGAGATGCGAAAAAGCAGAGCTGAACGAAAACGCCTCTTGAGCCGGTATGAATAATATGTAAGAATGGGTATCAACAAAATTATCTGGCTCGAGGTTAGCAATGAGGCTGGGCTCGGCGGTTGGGTCCTAGCAGCGAAAGAGGGATCCAAGGTGATTCGTCGAGCAGGAAAGAACAAGAAGGCTTCTCCAGGGGAACGGATCAGCACCGGCAACAACAAGCGCCAAGTCGCTGAGACTCTTCAAGAAAGGAGCGTCGAATGCAGCGATGTTGTGAAGAAGGATCTCCAGATGGTGAAGGCGGACAGAACCGCTGAACGTTCACGTTTCGATTGAGAAACCGTTGCGCCTCCTGCTCGAATGCTGCTAAGAAAAGCGTCGGGACGTCACTGACCGATGATTGGAGTAGGCTGTGTGTTAGCCTTGTAATAGTCGCACTGTCGGTGTCTTGTATGATATAAATTGGCAGCGAGTGAGAGGCTAATATTCAGGAGCAGCGACAGAGAACACAATGCTAGAGCCCAGATATGAAAAAATGGGAATGAGCGAGGTGATCGGTCGCGCCTGCCTTCGTATTTCGCTTCAGGAGTCGTAGTGGTCAGGCACGGGCAACCTGTGCGCTAGGCCAGGTAGCTACTCTCCCGCACTTGCCAATTCTGCTGTGGCTTCGGCGAGATGAAATAGTGCAAGATGATGTCGCCTTCAGCCCGCCAAACGCGTGTAATCTGACATCGCAAACCCATCGCAACTGGAACAGCCGGTTTGCCTCGGAGTCTATTGCCAACTCTACCTTGACGTCCAACTTGTCTGCCATTCTCGATATACGCTCAGCGACGCAGCTTCAATTGAGCTCTTCATGAATCGCTGATGCCTGCACCATCAAATCTCCAGAGTCAACAACCACTCCAGAAGACTCCACACTTCTGCGTTCATCTCCTCTTCTCCCTGTTCAATTGCCAAGCGCCATTTCAAAATAGCAACTGGAAAGGCCCTCCTCAACCAATCGGCCTGTCATGTGTTTTTGCATTTACCTGTTAATTCACTGCTGGCCCCGGTCTTCATGAGCCGCTCTCTACTTCGTTATGTCTAATCAATGCGTGATCCATGATGCATTGGAAATGTTTGCGACGCGCTTGCGATCCTTCCAATCCGGCTGTGGCGCCATCCTGGCGCCCATTGACCACGACTTGGATCTGCGTCTGCATCTGCGACACACTCCACGAGTCGAAGCAAAGAGAAGCTTCATTGAAGAAAATTTCCCGTCCGTCTCCCGCACGCACCTCATTCTGTAACAACAACAAGGGGCTGCAGCCGCAGCACTGCCCTATTTTTTCTTTCTTTTTTCTTTTCCCTACCTTGATATCCACTATTATTTTCGGCTTCATTTGGACACTGTCTCATCTCGTCAAGATGTTGCAGCGATCCCCCGAAGGCTGGTCTCACGTCTCGGACTTTGCTACTGCAGGGGACCAGATTTGCATGAAATGTTTACTAGATACTTGTCCTGGGTACATATTACGACGCCTTCCCCAGTAGAGAGAAATGCCGTGGATGTGCTGCATCTCATCACACCTCAAAGGGGAATCGACCACCGCACGTTCGAGGTGGTTGGTGTGGCTGTGACATGTTTATGCAGCCATCTTGAGTTCGCTGTTCGCTCCCCGCCGCACATCACCCGCGCTCGATGTTCTCCACTTCCAACCCCATCGCGATGCTGGTGATGCTTTGCTTTGCTTGACGTCGAACGATCGCTCCGACCTTGGTTTTCTCAACCACGGCAATCTTTCTGACACTTTTTACTCCTCGCTTACCAGCCCATCGCAATCAAACCCTGGGCTCTTTGTCTGAACATCTTCGGAGTATCGTTCTCTTGTACATCCAAAGATCATCATGACGTCCGCTCCTGGTCGCATCAACCCCTCGGCGCAGAACGGCTTCAGCAATGCCGCCCTGTATGACAAGCATCGCCCTTCGTTCCCCGCCCACAGCGTCTCTGTCCTGCTCGACGGCGTACGCGTCGCCGACAGCCCTCAAGCCACAGTGGTGGATCTTGCGGCGGGCACCGGCAAGTTCACAGAACTTTTGGCCGACAGAGATGAGGGGTACGAGATCATTACCATTGAGCCGCATGCCGACATGCGCAAGGTTTTGGAGGACAAGCACCTCAAAGGCGTCAGCGTCCAAGATGGGCTGTCCACCGACATGAAGTCCTTGAAGGATGAGAGCGTGGACGCCGTTATAGCTGCCCAGGTAGGAGATTGATCGTCTACTTTTCTTGCATTTATCTACCCCTCCATTTCCTCTTCCGGTTCCCCATGTCACTTCCCATTGTCTCCATATCAAGATGGAACCTTATGATCTAGGTCGATGACATTGCTTTAAACTTTACCCCCAATGCAAAGTCATGAGACGCTACTTTATTCAGGTAGGCTGACAGTGACATTCACCTTCCCGTTAGGCATTCCACTGGTTCGCCAACCTTGAATCCCTGGAGGAGATCAATCGTGTGCTACAGCCTCACGGCGCCTTTGGCGTGATTTGGAACATTGAATCTTGTGAGTGTGAACCCTCTTCTAGCTCCTCACCATCATGCACACCATACCGTCCATCTCTCCATGTACATCATCATGCCTCGCATGTGATCTGTTTTTCTCCGAACAGAACCCTTGCCTCAGAAGAAACCTTCCGTGACAGATCAGCTGCGAAGCATACTCTGCATCCTACCAGCCACATCCAATCTTCACATACCATCTGATCGAAACTCTAAACTATGCTCTAGACAACGCACCAAAATCCCACGCCGCAACCACTGCCTGGGAGCAAAAACTCCAGGACCTGATCTTGTCCTTTGACGACAACCAACCCCGTTTCCGCCACGAGCAGTGGCGCAAGGTGTTTGATTCCCAACTCTCCTCTAACCCTTTATCCATAACCTCTTCCGCCGAGCCTCTGTTTTCCCTGCCGCTTGCCGAGAATGTGGAAGAATGGAGTGTTTGGTTGAGCGAAGAGGCGCTGTGGGATAGATTGAATACATTGAGTCAGATTGCAGTTTTGGATGGTGAGGAGAAGGAGGAGGTGAGGAATGTGGTCAAGGAGGCATTGAAGGGGGATGATGTGCAGAGAAATGAGAATGGGGAGTTCGAGTTGCATGGCATGACTGTTTCGGTGTGGACGACCAAGATTCCACAGAAGGGTGCTGAGAGTCTGTTTACTACTGTCAAGGATGCTTTGGCTGGTAGGACTTGAGCAGAACTGCAATGAATTCAGAGAGGTAAAGAGAGTCGGAATGATGGATCGCGTAGTAGTATGGAAAGAAAGTACAGGAGGCGCGTGCCTCATGATTCTGAATCCCAAGAACACTGCTGACGAGGGTTGGTGTCCGCGCTCCTTCCCGCCATGTCAATTCCGAGTATAATATAGTCCTCAGCGTTTCCAGTCCGGATGATCAATCTTTCGACCTCCCCTGTCATCCACAGGACGGATACCAGCCATTGGATCATATGTGTAAGGAACCTCAGTCGTCTGCGCATCCCTCGCAATCCATGTCTCAAACCTCATCCGGCGTTTCCTCGACGTCTCGCATCCAGGCACAGTAGTTCTTCTCAACCCCCTACGAGTCGGCAGAAATATACATGACTGCAATCCCCCATTGTCAGCACTATCCCGCTCTGCCCTCAAACTCTTACGCAAAAACACATACCATTATTGCCCCTCACAAACGCATCCCCGTAATTTCTTCTCGTCTTTCCATCCACAATCTCGTTTGTTTGCTCGAGCGCAATGTTCATGTATCCGTCTACACTCTGCAATTCGCCGCGGTACACGACGCCAGAGTTTAGTTTTACGGTCACGGGCGCGCCAATGATTTCGCTGAGGAAGCCGGAGGGGTCGCGCGCTTCGTTGATGGAGGTGGGTGCGTTTGCGGCGGCGGCGCCGGCGCCATTGGGGTTGGGTGATGCGCTCATTGTGTGTGTGTGGATGTGTGGATATGACTCTTTTGCGCTGTGTGCTGTAAAGGGTGGGCTTGGAGTTGTAGAGATGATCGTGTTGCGTTCGAGGGAGATTAATGTTGTTGCTTGAGTTGATTGTATGGACAATGATCACTGAGCAGCTTCACCAGGTCGACTGCGATATCAACTCTTGGCAGGAAAGTGAAGCTCCAAGGTGCACGGATCCTATCACGGTTCGGTCCGTCTGTCCGAACAAGGCGTTCCCAACCTTCGGAGACGAAACTCTCCACCGAGCCCTCGAGCGAGACTTCAAGGTCGCGTGTCTGATAATCCTCATCCTGGTTCTCGTGTTACAGATTCAACTTCGCGTTCACGGTAACAGAGTGACGCGTGTCAGTTGTCTGACGCTGATCTTCTTCCGAGACGTCTCGTTGCTTTTTCTTTCTCCTTCTGACCTTGTTGGGTTCCTGTTTGCAGCGTGCAAATCGTCATCTCGCAAGGTTTTGAGAGCTGAGAGCTAGGTGCTCACCTCCGTAGGCTCGTGTCTATGCCAACTCCGACAACTCCTTCACCGCCACATGCATCAAGCCCCAATACCGGTTGCATGGGTTGGGTAATCGTGCTAGGGTCTTAATTGTCTCTCACCCAATTATCGGGCACACATGCACAGCACGACAACTCTTGTGGAATCTGCACCACCGTTGGAATCTTGAAACCGTCGTAGGTCATGAGTTCATCAGCTTTCTTATCTGTATACTGTATCTAGGGTATCGGTATAAACAATTAGGTGGCCGTTGCTTTGTCAGCCATCCTTCTACGCCTTTTCCCGTCTCTTCAGCTTTGCCAACTACTGTGCATAAACGCTCCTGTAAAACCAGTTTACAAGGCGTTGTACTCGCTGGCATCCTGGTACAAGTCGATCAGGCAACTAGCAGACCAAGCTTGAGTGGGGCANCTGTGAATCACGTTAGCCTTCCTTGCCTTTTGCATATCGCGTGGAAAATCACTTACCGAATCATGGCACATGGACCCCTTCTCGTTGGTAAGCTCAGTAAGTCCAGCCCAAGGAGAGTCGTGGATCATGTGTCTGCAGCCTGCAAGTCTGGTGGTGACCTGCTGGAAAGCCTCAACCTTGGCCTCCTTTGTCTCACGGCGCATCAAGTCGAACTTCAGGAGTGCACGCAAGAAGAAACCACGAGGCCAGACCCATTCAGGTCCTTGGTGGTAGTTGCGTCCTCTGGAAGTGTGGAAGTCGTTGGAGTCATCGCTGTTGATGTAGTTGGGGCGATACTCCATGTCCGAGGGGTCCAGAGTAGCCATACCAGTAGGACCAAGGAGAGCCTCATCGGCAATGATCAGAGCTCCGAGAGCGTGCTTGGGATCAAAGAGATCAGGTGCAACTGTCATTGCGATAGGGAAGTTGGGACGGAGCTGGTAGTCGCGGTACTCCTTGTTGCACTTGTAGACGTCCTTGTAGATGCCACGGCGGTTGACAATCTTGCTGTCGACATCGTACTTGGAGTCCTGTGCAGGATCGGCAGGAACATAGTAGCAGTGCTCGAAGTTGTCGCGAATCTTCTGTGCCCACTCCTTGAAAGTGATGACCTTGTCGCCCTTGATGCTGACGCCCGAGTACTTGAAGTGGCTGTTCTTGTTGAGACCGTCAACCCACTTGAGACAGCTGTAGAGAAGACCAGTGATCTCAACAGGTGCACCATCACGGGAAGTACCAGGGACACCCTTGTTGCCAGCGTGGTCGCTGGAGCCCATNCTGTCCATCCATGTACCGCAGTTCCACTCGTTACCACCGAAGATGATACCAGTGTTCCAGTCGGTCTCGATGTCGATGTTGAAACCAGCATCCTTCATCTGGTCGTCGATGCCGGGACCAGCATTGGCTTCACGGAAGTGCACGCCGGTAGCGTGACGCTGGAGGCACTCCTGGACAACGTCCTCGATGGTCGAGGTCTGGGAGTAGGCGCGAGAGTCTTCCCACGAGAACCAAGTGTCGTCGTAAGGCAGGAAACGTCTGGCGACCTTCTCCTTGAGAATGTCACGGCCGTTGGGGACCATGTTGCAGTAGTCTTGGATGTTCTGCAAAAAGAACCAGACAGAGTCGCGAGAGTTGTATCTAGGGATCTTTCCAGAGCCGAGAAGATTAGGAATCATACCGTGCTTGACAACACTGGCAAATGCCTTGATGTGCTCCTTGGCATCCTCAAAACGACCAGTGGCAAGTAAAAGACCGCGAAGAGAAATGAAGACATCACGTCCCCAGCATCTTGCCCAGTCTTGAGCAAAGTGAGGCAGACCAGCTGCCAGGGAGGGGACGAGCTTGTCGGGCCACAGAGAGGCATTCTTCATGAATCCCTCGCACTGGACACTGACAAGAGCCATAGTCTTGAGGAAACGCTGTCCTTGGCGGATATTGGTGCTCATTTGCTCGATGGCACGTTCTGTGGAGGCCTTGTATGCAGTCTGGATGACAAGTGCAAAGTAACGAGGCAACAGGAAGCTGGGGAGCTTGCGAATGGCTTCGAAACGGTCCTTGAGCCAGCCGGCAGGGGCAGAAAGGCGAGTGTAGCCGTCACGAGAGACAAGCTTCTCCAGGCGGTGGACAATGAAGTCAAGAGCCCACTGACCTTGTCTCAGGTGATCACAGATGGGGTGGCCAAGGTTGTTGTCCTTGATGACGTCTCTCAAAACACTCCACCAACCCTGGAGACCACAGTAGACCAGCGGGCTCAGACCGGGGATGTTGTAGACGCCATCAGAGCCGCTCGAAGTGGCCTTCTCCTCGGCGTCGGCGCGGTAAAGAACGGCGTTCAAATCGTTGAGGTCACACTCTCTGAATGCATCTCTGGCGCCGGAAGTGACGTACTTGTCAAGACCCTCTGAGTGCTCTGCGCTGGGGATCCAGGTCTCGAAAACTGCGATACTGCCAGGAGGGAACTTCTCTGGGATGGTAATGACAGCAGAGTCATTCTGATTGTCAACCTTCACACCACGGATGTCCTTGGTGTTTGCGTTCAGGCCTCTCAACACCTTGTCGTTCATAGCGGCTTGCTTGGCCTCGTGGCTTTGGTCGACCTCGAGGTTCCAAGCACCCAGCAGAGAGGCCTTTGAGCCAGTAAGGTGTACAGGCTGGAAGCCAGCGTTGCCGTTGCCGTAACCAGGGAAGGCAGTGTGAGCAATCAAGTAGTAACCCTTGCGTGACTTGGGATGCATGCGGTGAACAGTGATGTACTCGCCCTCGTGATGGACGTGAGTCTCTTCATAGTGGTCCTTGCCCATGATGGTGTGAAGCTGGTTCAACAGACGCTTGACGTTTCCAATGCCAGGGCCCTCTCCAACCTTGAGGTTCGACATGGTGGAGTAAGGTGAGCTGTATTGACGCTTCTCGTGGACAAGCTCAATGAGTTGGGGATAGACCTCGTCGTAGCCAAAGACACTGCCGATGGAGGCAGCGCACATGGCCACCAAAGCAGAGTTGGAGAGGGTGTCTCTGGCGTCTCTGCGCTGAGCAGGCAACTCGTTGTCGTGAGTGCAGTCCATGAGCAGGGCGTGGACGGTAGCAGGGCGGATCTTGTGAACGACCTCCTTGACAGAAGGAGCTGGCTCGGTACCAGAGTTGCGCTTCTGTGCATCTGAGATCTCGTCGAGCTCGAAGCTGCCAATGGGGCGGCCACAGTTCTCGTGAACAAGCTTGCTGACCTCAGCAGTGCTCCAGCATTGCATGGCCTCACGAATCAAGCAAGACAGACCAAGACGCTCAACGTAGACATAGTCCATCTTCTCGTCGCCAGAGAAAAGCTCGGCCATGACCACGAGGTTGGGACGAACGCTTCTTGCAGCGTCAAGCATGTACTCGGCAAGGTGAAGGGGNGTAGAGTGGCAGTTGTCGATGCGGAAACCGTGGAAGTGCTTGGCCATGAGGCGAGTGTACTCAGCCATGAAGTCCCAGAGGAAAGGACTGTCCTCAGGGCCGGCACCGTAGCGCAGCTTGACACAATCACCCCAAGGAATGAGCTCTCTGCGGAGGTAGGCCTTAGAGTTCGGACCAGCGTTGTCGATGAGCACATTGGCGGCCCAGACCCAACCATTGTTGGCCAAGGCCAGCTCGCCGGCCTCGTGCTTCTTTGTCGTCTCGTTAGCAGGGAGTCTGGTGAAGTACGACTCGATCAACGGGTACTCCTTGTTGATCGGCTTGCCCACCATGGGACCGCCCTCGATACGCATGTACTTTGTACGGCCGTAAACCTGCTCCAAGATGGCGGTGCTGTCGGTGTTGTATTCTTCGTAGAAGACTGCGTTGATTTCTTCCAGGAAGTGGGTCATTGCACCCATGGCGCTGCGCTCGTCTGTGGTACTGCCAGTCTTGGTGTTGTACTTGCCGAAGAGTGACTGGAGAAGCGCGGCAGCATGTTGAGGGTTGATCTTGCGGCGGAATCTCTCACCAAGGTGGTCGGTGCCGGACATGGCGTATTGCTTGAGCCAGTCGGTCTTCTGCTTCGAGGACCAGCTACCGGTACCAACGAGGTCAGGAGTCTTCTCAGGGAACTCGACCTGGTTCTCCATCCATGCCGAGACGGCAGCCGAAGCGTCACGCTTGACATCGATAATGTAGAACTCCCAGAGCTTGATGGCGTTGATAACTTCCACGCGGAGAGGGTTTGTGACACGAACGAGGTCATCTTCGTTGTTGATCTGAGTAGGAAGGCCACGCTTCTCGAGCTCGGAGCTGAACTTGAGAAGCTGGGTGTCCAGTTCAAAGGCGGCTTGCAACCACGGAGATGTCTTCATGTTGTAACCTGCTTCGGGGTGCTCTTCCAGCCACTTGCTGTTGTTGGCCGTGTGGTTCCAAACAACATCGGTCAGCGACAAAAGGCCAAAGTTCTTCTCCATCTTGGCGGTCAACGCCTCGACATCCTTCTCGCCGTTGGCAAAGATCTGCTTGTCGAAGGTGAGCTGATCGTAAATGCTGTAAGGAGAATTCGAGTCACCACGCATCATAAGCGGAGTAAAGTGGACCATGTTGTAACCTCTCTCGCTCATGCCGTGTAGGTGCTTGTCCCAATCGTTGGAGAGATCACCCATGAACTTGGACAGACATGAGATGATGGACAGACTCTTGAGGGGCAAAGTCGAGTCCTGAACGGTCAAGCGAGGACTGACATCAAGGTACCAGACCTTTGTCTCTGTGGCCTCGGGAACATCGCTCTTCCCTGTCGTGAGCTTGGGGAGAGGGGTGTAGGTGATGTAGTAGGAAAAGGGACCGGCGTGGGGNATCTCGACATCAATCTCGATGTTGCGATTGAAGTCGGGAGTCAGTCTGCATAGATCGTCAGTAGTAAACACGTTGCGAGTGTGCAGAGTAACTCACTTGTACTCGGTGTAGTTCTTGCGAACGAACTTCTGGCCCTTGGTGGGGATGTTTACCCAGAGGCTGCCCTCGCGACAGATGGAGCTGGTACCTTCAATGACGAAGCGGATCTTGTAGGCAGGATCGCTGGGCGGTGGCAGGTAGATGTACTCGCCGGCTACGTCGGGCGAGCCATCGTCTCTGAGAGGCAGGAGGTAGATGGCCTGCGTCTGTTGTAGAGTCGGAGCCATTGGTGCGGCGGATTAGGTGGTGTTGAGCAAAGCAATGGTAGCGGTTGGGTAGGTGTAGATTCAGTGATAGAAGATGAGATCTTAGAAGATGAGAGGTAATGGATGGTGCTAGTGAATAGCTGAGGTGAGAATGCAAAGACGACGGACGTGAGCTGATGAGCGTCGAGACTCGAGCAAGCAGCGAATGTGATGATGTTGCGTGAAGATAAATTAGGATAAGTGACAGCAAGCAAGCCAATTGTTGACTGTCTCGAGGATGGATAGGCAGGAGCAACTAGGGGCCGTATGTACACAGAGGAAGAAAGTGCAGGCGCGTGGCAGAAGTTTGCTGGATCTGTTACTCGGTACCTGATGATCTCGGCGATCGCCCATCGACCTCTTGCTCTTGCCTACTTTCGCATGCGGGACTCGATAGCTCCTGCTGCCCACGAAAAGCCGCCAACGTCATCGTCCTATCCCGCACTCGAGCTAACTTGATGAAGACACTTGCATTCCTCAACCAACACCTGTGCTTTTCACCGGCTCACCAAAGACGAAGATATTTCGCTTGTCCATCCACTCGCACGTTAGCGACTCCGTTTATATTGCTCGCTGTGCTTGGGAAATGTTCCAAAGAAGACGTGTCTCGAGTGCTGCAATGAGCTTCGCAAAGCGACCGAGAGTCAAGGCTTCGGTTGACAGCTGCTCTCCACGCTCTCCGCGGCCAACATTCTCAACACCGGGGACTTCATATCGACCCGAGCGGCTAGTTGCCGTCGCTGCGTGCTGTCGCTTTCCGAACACATGGAGGGCCGAAGAAACGCCAGTCTTCTGCTGCGGAGAGAGAGGAGATCGAGAAAAACGGAGGCGGAGACGACGGAATCGGATTCAACAACATCTGCCGCTTACAAAACTTGGTATCGTAGCCGTTTAACAGCCCTATCGTCTATTTAAACCATTGAAACCGGTCGCCAGCGATGTCATGCCTATCGAATCACCCCCATTGACTGCGCTTGCCGACAAACCTGACCTCTACTTGAGTCGTAATTACTTGAGGAACAATGTTTTGCTCGACATGACGTTCTATTTTCATGGTATAATCAACTAACTACACTTCGAGCATGGCCGCATTCGCTTGCAGTCCTCATCGACGACGATTCATTGCCTTGTTACGGTCTGCAATCTGGCGTACGTCCAACGTCGAAACAGTACTACCAGGCATCAACTCTGATCAAATCAACATAAAACAACACTGATCACTTCGGATTGGTGAGAGTGTTGGGAATTGTTTTATGGCTGGTTGGAAAACTGCATTGTACCATGATCCTTGACGGCGACTAGAGTTGAAACTTGAACCAAGCCCAGCAAGAGGCAAATGGCCAGTCGTCGAGGAGACTAGGAAGCCATCAGGAGAGAATACAGCTCATGCTTCCTATCAGGTCTTATCGGAACCTTTTAGGGAGTCCAAAGTCCTTGATCCTGTGGATCCCAGGCTTACTTTCTGGCCTATGTATATCACGTCTCGCTGCTCGAGCCATAAATGGCAGAGAAGGGTTCCTCGCGCCAGACGAGCTGCCTGCGCTCGAGCTCCTCGAAGGCGAATTTGAGTGCGAGGTTGAAGAGATCCTTGACAAGCGACTCAGAGCAGGAAAGACGATATCGTTGGTGATGTGAAAAGGCTGGGCAGCGATTGCAACCTTTGCAAGCCAGAAGAGCATCTGGACCATACCCGGGACCTTGTACAAAAGTTTCAATCTCACGGGAACACTAGAACTGCGGCGCCGAGACAGCACAACAAAGAAGCTACAAAGAACGCAAAAGAAGGGAGAGTCACACCAGAAGGACATGCAATCGACAAAGGTTCTAAAATTACAGACATCATATGGAGGTCGAGCTCAGAAAGGACTCCCGGAGCAGACGAGAGGGGGCACCAAGATCTTTCGATGGTGGACTTCGAACCCAGTCGTCTACTCAGCCGAGAGCCACCCTCAGCAACGGCGGTAACACGGAAGGCCTACACAACCAACTAATACAAGGAAAACAGCTGGTACAGAGGAGCAATGTACCAAAAGTGCTGCGCCCGACAGGAAGCCTAGGCGCGCACAGCGATAGCAAATGCTTCCTCCAGCTTCTGTTCGATCTCGACAACGACCACCTCAGTGATGCGAACATTCATGACAAGATTGTTGCTCAGAATACCTCGAGCACATGTGTGCGGTCAGAGTGAGATGGGCTGACACTCTGCTTGTCTCTACAGAAAGCTGGCGTCAGATCTTGTGGAGAATCAGCCTCGTCCAGAGTCGTGCTTTAAGATTCGGGTCTGGGCCAAAAGAGCCGCTGGGGCTTGAGTCGATGCTAGGAGAGTCGGATATCTCTGGCAATGCGGGAGTTGCGAGCGTGTTCAGCAAATCTCTCTTCCTACACCACAGCTCTTCTGCGACGATAGAAGGACATGCATGTTTCCGATCTGAGCGGTAATCTCGGCGCGAAGGGCCTGATCAACCACCGACATCGAAGAAGTCGACCTTGACGAGTCGGTCTCAATAGTTCCATGTCGGGCATGCGTGCAAATGGTAGGCAAGTCGGTGGCGTCGATGTTGTACCACAACTTGGGGCGGTAGCGGGAATCTCCTCCATAACGACCGAGTTACGGTACTTGGCCAGCAGACAGTCGATGCCTTGGATGGTGGCATAGGAAACCTCACACTTCTTCATGGAACCGTACATGTTTCACTCCTTACCGACGCGACGCTGAACGAAGTTGGTGATGAGCTCCGGGCGAACAAAGTCGCTGCCTCCAGCAAGAGACGCAGTGTCCTAGAACCGTTAGTTAGGAACCTGGTGGAGTACAGGACCATGCAGCAAGCAAGCCAAAAGGAAACTCACAAAGACACAAGTAGCGTTTTGGAAATTGATAGAGATCTTGGGGTTGAAGCGGAATCTCTAACATTCAGATTGTTGGAAAAGTCGATGCGAAGGTAGGAGAAGTCGTAGTGACCCTCCGAGGTAGCATCGAAGAACAGTTTTCGACGCGGGTAGGGATGTTGCGCAACATGATGGTGGTGCGAACATCGATGCCTGCCTCGATCTTTCGAAGATTGACAGTTTGGGGCTTGTTCAAGCGCCAAAAGGCCATGTCGGTCTGATGAACCGGGGAGTTCTCAGAGGGACTCCACCAGGCAGGCTGGCGAGAGCCATGTCCGCGGTAGCCACACCGGGGACGACGGAGGACGTAGTCGCCACGAGAGCGAGGAGCATAATCAACTCTGGAGCAACACATGCAAGTTAGGGTGCTGCGCAGAACGTGAAGTATAGGCACATCAGGCGGCACTGTGCTTGGCCGTATACGTACACTGTTTCTTGGTGAGTGATTGTTGACGATGATGACGACGACGAGAATAGAGAAGAGGTTGGTTGGTTCGCGGTTGTTGTGAGTCGTCGCGCAGAGGGAAGAGGAGGAGAGCGAGCGGATCTCTGAAGAGATTCAATGGCCCTTCCTCAAACCCAGCGGTACGGGACCTTCGTCGGCGCAGTTCGACGACGATGGTGCCTGCTTTCACTCTCGTCCGTGACCCCGACTTTGGGTGAAGGAGTATCTCCTGTGCAGTGGTCGACAAGTGTTCGCTCTTACTGCACGACAACACCTTCACATACTTATAGCACGTGAGATGGTCGATCACTATCAATGGCAAGCGACATCACCGTCGAACAATAGGTACCTCGTCGACTATCACTCAGATTCGTTCGTCGTGCATGAACGACATCATAATTATACAAATAACTCCTTCTCTTTCTCTCCTTTCCTCCATCTTACACCACTATCCCATCCCACGCACCCACCACAACAACAAGATGTGGCAGCAAATCAAAGATATCTTTCGTGCTTGCTTCGGTGAGCGCGACACCACCGAGCAGCCTACCCGCCCTCGCAACTCTGTCAGACCTGCTCTTCGTCGCTCCTCCTTCTCCTGAATCCATTCCTCCAACGTGTCGTGGCATACAGACAAACAGCTATCTAGACGCAGTAAGTAATACTCCTGCTCACGCTGTCCACGGAGAGGGATATACGAGAGGCGCCGGCAAGGGCTCTCAATGGACAATTGCACGGTCTGACAATATGCGTCTTCACAGTGACACTTGCATACAGCACGAGAGACGAGATGAAGTAGACATAAGATATACCATGTTCCAACGAGGGTCAGTACATCACTATGAAATTGCAGAAAAACTTCCACTAAACCAACTAAGCCAAGGAGATAGGGTCGGATGTAATGCCTAGTCCATGCAATCCATACTGGTCTTGAGAAGAGCATTGATGAGACTCAAATCAACATAACTCTCTCTGTCCTTCAAGCCCTCAGGGTCAAAGTTCTTAGCGAGATTCTCGAACCAATGCATGCGCTCCTTTTGCTCGTCGGTTGGCTTTGCAGCTCTATAAGCGTTCTTTAGCTCTTCCCAGCCATGCATACTTCCAGCGTCCTCAGCAATACCATGACCATTGCCATCAGTGCATTTGAAAGCATCGTCAACGTTGCCACGTCTAACGATCTCAATCTCGTGACCCCAGTTGTCGCCGAAATCGTACATGTACTCCCACTCTGCGTTCTTCCATTCCTTCTTGTTGAACTGCTCGCCGACATAGACTTTGTCTGCCTTCTTCTCGGGGGTCTGAGAGTGCTTACGGTCGTAAGCGTGCAGCGAGTCAATGTGTTTGTTGTCGTTGGGGTTGACAATGCGAATATAGTTCTGGCGAGGACCAAAGTCTCTCTGCTCGCCCGCGTCTTGACCCATACGACGTGCGATCAGAGCCCTGATATCGTCGACAGGACGCTCGTCGGCAGTGGGATCGCGAGCGACAAAGTCATAGCTGTGTGCCGCTGCCCAGCCAAAGGCAATCTGGATGGCATAGTGCAGCTCCTGGAAAGTGGCGTCATCAGGGCAGACCAAGGTGCGCCAGATCTGGGGCTCTCTGGAGTCAGGAATGGTGATCTTGAGGATCCAAGAGGGCTGTTTCTTAGGCTGGCATGCGTGCTTATGGGTAGGCCAGTCCTTCCTCTGGCAAGCGGCACCTNNGTAGTCCGGTCAGCTTGGCCATCTGGCGACGTGGCCATCTCCAAGGCGCTCACCGCAATACTTGCGATTACCGCAGCGGCCGCAGGTGACGAGCTTGGGGTTCTCCTCGAGACAGACTTCACACTTTCCGGCGCTCATGATCGTGGTTGTTGGGTTGGTTGGTAGAAAGGAGAATGAAGACGAAAATTTTTCTTTGAAGATTGAGAAAGCGGGGTCAGTTCGGGCGTCTTGCTTGATCATTGATCGGTCATGCTCGATCAATGATCAAGCATGCTCGAGCAGGATGTACTTACAAAAGTGCGGAAAAAAGATGGGGGAGTGGTCGATAACTAGACTCGAAGACTCGAGGCCTCAGCAAGCAGTCTGTTGCAGAAACTCGGAGCTGTTGGTCGAAAAGTCGAGCCAAGCAGTGTTTTATTATATTCGAGCAGGTCATAAACAGGGTTCAATCATGCCTCGATCATGGTCTTAACATGGTCTGAATACTGTTTGAACAATGTTTGAACAGACTTCGATGTACGCGACAAATGGCTCCGCAAATTACTTGACTTACCGAAAACAAGTCTATCTTGCGTTTGTAGTTGGTTGGAAAAATGTTTTGCGACGTCTTCGCTCGAAGAATCGTGTACTCATGGTATACCATCTGGTATACCATGGGTCAAAGCTTTGCCAAAGTGGAACGCGTGAGGTGCGACGTTCGTGGTTGCTACCTAGAGCATTGCAACTACATTTTGTCTGCATCCATACCACTTTTTATCTTGATACTCTCGAAATCGTTACCAAGATGCCTCCCAAGCGTAAGGATATCTTAAAGATGTCGTTCCTAGCCTGTCGCTGACGAAAATGCTGCAGGCCGAACTCGTGACGACGACGCGTATGGTTCGGAAGGCAACTCCGACGTCTCTCCAGCTCCTGCAAAGCGCGTCCGAGTCAGCAAGAAACGTATGTCTATTACATGCCTATCACATCAGGAAATGATTCGTTGTTCCACGAGAACTTCAATTTAACAACAGTATAGCAGCATCTGCCCCAGGATTACACACACTAGAATCCTTGCTCGCGCTCTCTCACGATGAACTCGCGAAGCATGCTCTCGATCTTCAGAACCAGCTGTCAGCACTTCAACAAGGTGGCAGCGGCAGCTCCGGCGAAGTATGGAGCGAAGAGAAGATTGCCGAACGCGCAAAGAAGACGAGAGACGTATGCGCAGCAGAGATCAAGAAACAGATGAAATGGCAGCCCAGCTGCAAAGGAAGTACAAAGTGGAGTTACACTGGCATCGTCCCTCATGAGGATGTCTTTTACAAGCTCTTCGGATTCGAGAAGTCCAAAAAGCCATGGAAGCAAAAGGCAATCGATACGGTCGACCTGGAACAATATATTGGTGATATCAGTGCTCCTGTGAGTTTTATACAACTGCACTAAAATTCGAAGAACGCCAATTCTGGACAGATCAGGTATAACACCTTGAACCTCACCGGTAACAGCGTCAAGGTTCATTGGGATCAAGATGAGAATACCCTTAAGTTGACTGGGACTTATGGCTTGTAATGGCTATGTTCCGAATCATCTCTGTCTGTCGCAAAACATCGCTATCTCGATCAAGTACATCGAACGGCTTGTAGGCGATTATATGCTCATTCGCTTTGTGATACGTAGAGCCTAGCTTCTTCGTGATCAATCGTCCAGACCTTCGTGTACCCTTGATGCCTCGACGTTTGTAGGCTGCAACATCTGACTTGAGGAACAGGTGGCCTTATTCTAGTGTAAAACGATCCTTCCCCACAGGAGACACATCTACCAACAGACAAAGAGCTTCATACCTCGCTTCAACAACATCATCAGACAATGCTTGTTCCCAAACTGATCGATGATTACGCTCCTTGGCAGATAACATTACCACTCTTGCTGGCAGTCATAGGTGTGCGCAGATACGCAAGGCGTGGTAGCACCATGAGACAGCCGTTGCTTTGCAGCATGCTGTTTATACTGTTCTTTTTGTGTCCTAGAGTGTTTAGTAGTAACGCTGCTGAGTATGGTGTGGGATTCACTCTTGCCCTCGACTACGGGTGAGCTAGGCTATCTCTGGCGACTATCATATCGAACGCTGACGTGTTGTCTTGTAGTACAGCGAGCATCTGGTATGCCAATGGTACAGCAGTCAATGTTGTCAAGCTTGAGGGAGGACCTATGTACAAGCAGGTTATGCGCTCAGGGAGTGTTGAACCTTACTCGCCGACATCCACTCCTGAACTGACTCGAGGACCGCTGGGTCTCATGACTTTCCAGAACTATTTACCATCGTGGACTACTGCAGAACCTGCGGACCACGATACCGAAGCCGTCAAACGGATGCTCACAGGCTTGAAGGTAGTCACAGAAGCCTATGTGGAAGAGCCCCTGACTGCTGTCCGGCTCAGCACTCCTTTTTCAGTTCAGTATAAAAGTCCATTCTGTAACACTCTGCAAACGACAGTCGAAACTTTGGGCCTAAGATGTTTCGGCATCGTGACCGCATCGACCGACATAACAGGGATCTATGGTCTACAAGGTCAATGCGACAACGACCCCTACAAAACACCTGACCAGAAGGAAGATGACCTGCCACGCCAGTACCTGGCACTCGACTACAGCCGGGCTGGCATATCAGCATTTGTGGTAGAAGAAGAGTGCAGAGTTGAGTACACACATCGAGAGTTGCACAACACTACTCTAGGAGCAACTGTCGAATTTCCCAACAAACGCGAAGATCTGACCCTTGCGCTGGAAGATCTTGTCTCTCGACCTTTCGATGCGTGGTACACCGCATGGCAAGCGAATGTCTCCGGACTGGTCTTGCTCGGCGAGTCTACAGAGGATGCAATGTTGCAAGAAGTCTTGTCATAGTCGTCAATATATATCTCCGAGCATTGCATTATCTACGATGATGTTATTTGAGCTATCTGACCTGTTATGCTTTAAGCAAGAGATATCGATGAGAAAATCTCGTCGATCGTAACCTCGTTTACGTCTTTAGGCTCGGCGACATCGAGGTGTCGATGCGTGGAAATGTTAAGGTAGATGGAACGGCGTAAATCGCCATTGAAATGGTTGTTTTAGATCATGTCGCCGCCGTTCATGCTGACGCCGTTGCTGTAGTCGCATTATCCCATATAATGCTGTCTAAGAAGGGTTCATATACTTGTAAAGTGAAATGTTCCTTGCATTTTGGACACTAAATGCCCCCCTTGCTTTAGTGAAATTTGTAGCCATAGAGAAATGTGAAAGTGATCCAGAATTTGTGAAAGTGATATACCTGTAGATGTGCCATCACCGTCATAATCTCACAATTGATCCTCTCTCATGGAGGTGCATACTAATTCTTCAAGCCATAGAAAGTCACAATACTTTGTAAACAGCATTCGCATCCATAGAGACTCTATCAAATCACAACTCTCAATCGACACTACTTCTTCCTATAGAGTACCGTGCATTCCTATAACACACTGCAACAGCTTCTCGCTCATAGGAAGTGATACCTCCAAAAACAAATCGAGAAAAAAGGAAATTGCAGCTTGTGGGAATCAAACCCACGCCTCTACGATTCTGGTGAGATCGCTGCGAAAACAGTTTCATCAACCATACTATGCCTTGTGTTTGCAAGAACAGTATTTGCGTAGCGTCTTAACCACTGGACTAAAGCTGCTGAACTTGGAAGTTGATGAAACTTGGGAGTTTAGGTAGTTGAGGTGGGTTGGCGTTGGTGCCTTCCTGCATTCAGTGGATGCTATGCAATCTGATAGTTGTTCTGGGCAAGGGCCTTCTTACGCGACTTCCTAGCTTCTAATTTTGGACAGCTTATTGTAACTCGAGCATAGAAAGCATCCGGTCTTGGTCGAACAGGAGTTGAATCTCGTTTCAAAGGTACGTGTTTTGTTCGCATGAGGCGCTGTTGAATACAACTAATTCTGGAAACACTTGAAGCATTTGGTGAAAACTTTGATAGCATTTGATGTTAAGTTTTGGTTCACCACTAACGTGTAGCAAACACCTTGAAGGTCTGCACGTCCCTCTTAATCCTGTACAAGTCTCCCAGCTTCAATTGCCAAGAGTCGGCCCATCTTGTGTCTGTAATCTCCTTAATGTCCTCAATGTCGACTCTATGGTGTTGTAGCCATGCTTCAATGGCATCCAGATCCTCGGGTCGGTTTTGCCATGCCATTGCACCTCGCTCGTATTCTATGAAGCTATGCAGTCGTTGGTCAGGGTCGTTCACGGGAGGAGGATATGCGGATGGTCTGGTCGCTGGGGGTTGTGGTTGTTGGTTGAGTCGTGGAGCAAAGTTGGGCGTGTTTGCGTTTGTGTAGTCTGTGTTTCCGCCGAGAGACTGTGAGGGAGTATGCATGATATGCTGGGTTGGTTGTTGTTGTTGTTGCGGACGCTGCTGTAGTTGTGGCTGTTGGTCGCCGTCTTGTAGGCCATCCACTTGATGATGGTCCTCTCCTGACCTCGGATTGGTGTTGTTGCTAGTCATTGGGCGTCCAGCAACCATGGTACCCTCCCATTGGAACACGCCATTGGGAGCGACTGGCACATTGCGGTTGGAAGGATCAAAGTGCAATTGCTGTGGAGACGGTTGTTGCGATTGCGGCGTGTTCGGAGAGCGAGCGTCGCCAGGTCTCTCAATGCGCCATGGCCGTGTGTACTTTTGGCGCTTGGAAGGCGTGTATTGGACGCATTTGTCGAGATGCTTGACCAGCTCGGTCGTGTGCCAGCTACGTTCTTTTTGACAATGCTTGCATACTGCGCGTTCCGTCCTGTCGCCTGGTCCTGGTGGCAGTCGCGTAAAGTTCTCTTCGACCTCTGGTAACGGTGCGCGGCCACCTTTCCGCTTCTGACTATGAGGCTGAGGAGTGGTGTTGACTACGGCTGACATGTTGCTGTGAGTTGCTGATGCATGATGGTCAAGGGAGCGGCCGCAGGGTAGCTCTAAACAGGAAAATCATGATGATGTTCATGACGCAACGCCAAGCCTACATCACCTCTGAAGGGTCTCCTACCTGGTAGGTAGTCGAGATATCGAAATACTTTTGGTTGAGTACGAGATAGAATATGTATTCTTAGCATGCTAGCATCCTTGCTCATCACACATGCGTAGCCATGACTCTGTGCTGAGTCGTGGTAACCATCTTTCACCAAGGCCGTGCTATGTCTATGCATCCTCATCATATCATCATCGGATCTTTGGCTTGCCGCACCGATAGATGCTGGCTGGACGTGGTCCTCCATTTGGTGAGGATAATCCTTCATGTATGTATGAGGATGAATTGCAACCGTTGGTGCCATTGATACTTAAGCTGGCCAGTACGAAGCGTGTGGACGTCTTCGGTCTTGTCTGGTCCTAATATTCTCATCATAGAGTAGGTCAATGTCGATTTGTGGTAGACGAGATATCTCGAGCCTGGGCGTAGAGAGGATTTGAACCTCATACACCAGTACCGGGAAANGCGCCCTTCTTGTTGAGCACGACCATTCCATGAGCTCGAGAAATGTAGCCTTTCATCATGCCCTTGTAGATCAGGTTGGCAAGCAAACACTCGACCTCGTCACCCTCGAGCTCGGTCTCGCCGCCGAGTTTCAAGGCAGCCGTGAACTCCCTCAGGGGGATACGGCTTCTTCGAACTGACTCCCCGCCTTCTTGACCCTCTTTTGGTGCTTCGAGCTCACCAGCAAGATAGACCTTTCGGACAAGATTGCGAAGGCAGATGTCGCGGCCACGTTCGAGGGTGAGGTATACTCTGCGCTTGACGAACTCTTCTTCTCCTGCTTGGAGAGCAGCGTCAAAACCGGCCAGGTCACCCTTCTTGATGCAAGCACAAAGCGGAGCAAAGAGGCGTTGCAGACCAGGATAGGGCGCCAACATTGTCTGAGTAGGTAGGACATGGGCAGTGATGAGTCTAGTCGGGATGAGGTATGTCAAAATCAGTCTGATGTTGCGAGTGGAGCCTTTCAATGCCTTGTTGTAAGCAATGGTTAGATGTTCCTCGGCTTTTGCGTAATCCTCATGCAAGAATTTAAGGACGCCCAGGTAGTAGTTGTAAGTGACTTGCTGAGCACGAGGGAACCGCTCGAGTGGAGGCAAGTCTGTGTTTGTCGCTGAGAGCGATCGGATGACGTTTTGGGAGAGTGCAATTGAGTTCAGCTGTTAAAACAATTAGCATATCGCATTTCATCAATAGAGGGGTATAATCACCTTGAAGTATGTCTTGAACTGCAGATTCGCAATGTAGTATGCACCCCATTTACGCGAGGTCTCAATGGGAGATCTATCACCAATGCAAAGACTGAAGACTCTGTTGATTTGGCGCGCAGCATCCTCGAGCTTCTCATTTCCTCCGGCAGCATCTCCGACATCCTCCTCGAAAGTGTTGAATGATGTCTGCCCCTTTTGGAATGCAGCATCATCGGCTTTGATGGCAAAGACGCGTAGGTACTTGCCCACAAGGTAAAGACAAGGTATTGTCCAGGCATCAAAGACTTCAATCTGATAACCTCTCAAAAGAGCATTCAGAAGGTCCTTCCAGGCATTATAAACCTTGTCCCAGTTGGCGACCTTGCTTTGAGATTTGGTCGCATTCTTTCCTAGATTGAGTGATTCTTCGGCAATGAGAATCTCACCAACAGCCTTCCAGTATGCGACAAAGACATCAGCCCAGGGATTGACTTCGTTTCTCTCCAGTTTGCAAGCCGGGTTGTGCGAGAGAGCATGACGAAAGTCTGATTGAACGCTGAAGGCATTCGAGTCTCTGTGCAGGGCATACAAGCGACCACTATCATGCTTGGGGGCGACTGGCGACAGCGTGCTGGCGAGCTCATAGCCACCCCTTGCCATCATCGCACGCCCAAAGTCAAGCATTACGTTGTTCATCCTGCCGATCGAGTCCACGCGACTGCGGTACAGAAGACGAAATGATCTATACTGAAGGTATCACAAAAGACCTACACAGGGAGTCAGTGACAACAACACTGGCATGTGATGTTGATGGCCGATGATGAATCTGGTCTGAGCTTCACATAGAAGCCAAGTGACACGGCGAAAAGTAAAGCCGGCTCCGAGCTGGACCCCAACGCCAAGGAAGGCGCGAGGCACGGCTTGTCCCGGTAAACGAGGAGTCTGGCGTCGAACTCCACCCAGCGCGCAGGAATTTCTCTCTCCCAAGCGACTTGACAATTTCCGTTGTACTAACCTTCCAGCAAACGCAACAGTGAGTCTATCCCATCCATCCATCAACAATTGCGATACTGACAATTATCCAAGATGGGTAAGCAAATTCTCTTCCAAACACGTCTTCCTACCGCCGAGTTCGATCCACCGCCGATTTCCTTCCTCCATCTGGTCTGCGCACACCCGTATCTTCGCTCGCATCGTCTGCAATTCTGAATATGGTCCAATTTGGTTACGACTGTTCCGCTTGCAAATGTTCGACACGCTTGAAGAAATCGACTGGACTCATGGAGGAATCGAAAGAATGCGCAATAAAGAGGAGGAATTGAAGGATCGGATCGGCTGGCTGGTCGACTATCAGCATCAAAGAGCAAGGAACATTGGGCTAATATATACTGCCGTACAGCTCGCCTCCAAGAATACCAGGTCGTTGGCCGTCTGTTGCCCACTGACGCCAACCCCACCCCTAAGCTCTACCGCATGCGCGTCTTCGCTCCCAACGAGGTCGTCGCCAAGAGCAGATTCTGGTACTTCTTGTCTCAGCTGAGAAAGGTCAAGAAGGCAAACGGCGAGATCGTCACCCTCAACCNNAGGTACGACTATTCTCAAACCTATACAATGCTATCTCCCGGAAATGGGCTGCAGCGTTTGGCGTTAAGTGACGCGATTAACACGCGCCTGCAGATTCATGAGAAGCGCCCCCAGAAGGTCAAGAACTTCGGTATCTGGATCCGCTACGACTCTCGCTCTGGTACCCACAACATGTACAAGGAGTACCGCGAGATGTCCCGCTGCGAGGCTGTCCAGGCCCTCTACCAGGACATGGCCGCCCGCCACCGTGCCCGCTTCCGATCGATCCACGTACGTCCCTCTCTTGCTGGCCTCGTGTTGCCCGCCCTGGCTAACCAGCTCCGCAGANTCATCAAGGTCGTTGAGGTCGAGAAGGCCGAGGACATCCGCCGCCCCTACATCAAGCAGCTCCTCACCAAGAACCTCAAGTTCNCCCTTCCCCACCGTATTCCCAAGACCGCTGGCAAGAAGGTCTTCGCTGCCCACCGCCCTGCCACCTTCTTCTAAGCGTGTCGCTTCCGTGTGTTGCTGCGTACTGCTGGTTGGGATTGGCGTGGAAAACGGATGGAGGGCTTTTGGACCGTGGAAAGAATAATCCTCTTTTGCTCGCAAAGAGCAGCTCAACGGCCAAAGTCAATCAAAAGAACTTTTTTCGCAAGTCTACTTTCACGACAAAATCATGACTTCCTTCTAACTCTGCAGTGCTTTTTCTTTTCCTTTCCCTTCTTCCCCTCCCCTTCATCTCTCATCAGTGACTTTGCCCCTTTGTACATCATGTACACCCCAGCGATGCAGCTCGTAGGAGTTGCCCGAGCTACTTGCTTTTCAACGCAAGAAGCTCGGAACGGAGCGTTGGTAGATTGAATGTCCAGCCGAGGGAGAGAGGAGTGCCTTACGTCGCTTTTATCTTTCTTGTGCCGGCAGGGGAACGAAGAGACTTGGCCTAGACTTTCGTGGGTCCCGTCTAAGAGAACCCCCTAACATCTTGTCGTCACAAGAGATCTGCTTTGATAGCCTTGTATCGAAATATCACTTGACTTTGTCTGATTCGTCTCTCGTCGTTGTTGTGACAATTGTGCAATTAGTTTGCATTCTGATACGGATAGGATGGCTGTTCGCAGTCATGTTACCGGGAAATGTACTTGCTCGTTGGACTATTTTCCAAGGCATGATTATACGGTATAGATCACTACTCTTCAGGATTCAAGTCTTGATCCTCGCCAAACTCGACAACCACCCACTGGCAAAACTTTTCAAAGTCCTTTGCCCACTGCTGCATCCTCATTGCCCTTTCCCCNTTGCCATACGCACCATCCTTGAGTTCCAGCTGCCACTGCTGTGTGTTCATGTCTTCAAACGAGGCCCATCTGACACTGTTTTCTGCCAGCGAGGCCAGACCTTCCAAACCTAGGTTCTCCCATCCTTGCAGCGCTTGCCAGAAATCGTGGGTCATGCCGCTGTGCCCATGGCCTAGAATTGCTGGGTCGTCGTTGCAGAGGGAGACGGGGACGCCGCGGGCGAGCAGCGCAGGCAGAGGGTGTGACATTATGCTGCCGGTTAGACGGAGTACCTCGTTACTGATTGGACAGCTTTCGATCAGGATCTTCTTCTCCTTGACCATGTCGCACAGTAAAGGGTGTTTGTAGAGCGAAAACGCATGTCCGATACGTCGTGTACCGAGCAGAATTGCATCAAACAGGTTTTCATCCGTTTCATCGCCGTCTCCAAGGGTCTCTCCAGCGTGGAAGTAGAAGGGAATGTCGACTTTGTTCTGCGCGCATGCTTTNTTGAACCAGAAGAGTTCGGGNGTGAGGTCTGCGAGGGGGCGGCCGAGGTCTTCTTGGCCCACGAGGTCGAAGCCGCAGATTAGTTCTGGATAGAGGGTTTTCATGTCGATGCACTCTTGCATGCTTTCAATGACCTTGCGTGAGTCAAAGCTGCGAAGGGTGGTGTAGATCAATCTCGCGCCCCAGAAGCCCTTGCCCAGAGCTTTGAAGTTCTCAATTTCCTCGTCGAGGATGTCGATCATGAGTTCGTTGTTTGCCTCGGGCTCTTCTGAGCCTTCCTTGTAGAAAGGGTCGAGGAAGGTGCTGCGGATGTCGACGTATTGGACGCCGTCTTCGACCAGATCTTCGAACATGCGGCGCAGGAAGGCGCGGAAGGTTGGTTCGTAGTGGAGTAAGCTGGAGATGATGCCGAAACATGACTGGAACTTGCGCCAGATATCGTTGGGGCCATGCATGTGCTCTATAGACTCGTCTTGGGTGATCGTGATACGCTCCTTGAGCCACTTCTCGAAGCCCTTGCGGCCACCGTGCGGGAAGGCATCAGCAGCGGTATCGATGGGGATCCATTGGTCGACGGCATATGATGCATCCCATATCGAAGATGATTCGGAAGAACGGTTCTTTAGCCACTTGAAGACGAAGGGTACAGAAGCTTGAGCATCTTCGGAGTCAAGAGGTTGACCGGCTCTAATATGCATGCCATTCGTGTAACAAGCTTCCTGAGTAAGCCAGTCCATGTCGACCATGGCCTCCAAATGGCAATGCAGGAGAGCACCCTTGGGCATCTTNTTGACAATCTTCCAGAGTTTGGATTGTTCAATCTTGGGACGAGCGAGGGTGAACATCATTCCAGGATAGATGTCCTTCGAATCAGAGGCCAAGCTGTCTTCATAGTCCTTGGTCCAGAGTGTTTGTTGTTCCTCGAACCTGATGGCAGAGACAATGGCACAAGCCTCGCGAGCCATAGGGGACAGGGTCTCCCGGAAAGCATGATCTTGAGAGTGTTAGATGTGTATTTATGAGGCTGATAATGAATTCAACGAACCACTACGCTGCTTCTTCTCCTGAGCAATGAGAGCATCTCTGCCCTGGAGGTATTTTTGGAGGAATGGCTCGTCAAACGATGGGACACCTCTTTCGGCAAGCCATTGTGCATCGGCGTCGTCTCGTATGCTGAGTTGATCCATGTTTCGTACAATACACCACCGCACGGATGAATATCTTCTAGAGGCAACAGAAGTGATACACAAACAGACAAAACAGAGCACCCAAGGCTTTCTGTAGTCGAAACTGTTACAAGGTGGATATGTTGCACAATATCGTCTAGTGCTTCGCGGATGATCGAGAGAGAAATACAGAGGGACTGCAAACAGCCCATACGCACGCACAGACAGTTTCGGCCACAACAGGCAGCGATCGGCGACCTTGATGACGGTAGCCTCTTGTCGGTCGTGACATGCGGAGAGTCACAACTCTAACGCGGATGTCTTGACAGTCAGGTGCACGCTACAGATAAAGCGGCGACAAAGACACTAGCATCACCTAAGAGTCGTGTGAGAGCGAGCGCCAGACCCAAGACGAAACACTAGCCACAGGCGACGCATAACACCTTCCTCCAACACTCTCCTCATGTACCCCGCGAGTCGTCGTTGGTGTACCGTAACATGAATATACGAATAACAGACGTGCTTGGTTGAGCGCGACTCTTTGTTTCTTCACACCACCGCCACCATGGCTTCGTGGATGCCCGCCTACTTCCAGAAGCGCCTGCTCCGGACTGCCNTTATCGCGTATTGCCTTGCTGGATGTAGACTCCTAGATCTCGACTCCTTGGGCGTGAAGATCGGCAGGACCAGCACTGTCGAGCTCAAGAATGTCGGGCTCCATGTCCAGGTATACATGTTGCAGACGATAGTACCTTCCTCTGTCAGAGTGGCTAACACGCCCTAGGAACTCTCGGCCCTGCTGCAACTTCCACCGAACCTTCGCCTCCAAGTTGCCCGTGTATTGTCGCTACGCCTGACTGTTCCTGCCAACTTCTTCCAACAAAGCATCGTCGCCGAAGTAGATGGTATCGAGGTTCACGTTGTAGCAGACGTGCCTGCTGAGTCTCACGACAATGCCGACGACACAAAGGCTCCCGAGCACCGCAAGACACCCCGACGAATACACTCTCCTCCTTTCCATGACAGCGGTGGCCAACTCTCGACTCAACAACTCGCCCAGTCTATGCTGCTAGAAGAACCAGATGGAGAAAAGCAAGAGTTGGAGGCTCGCTACATGGCCAAGTCGTCCCTGAGCGACTCAAGCGATGAATTAGGCACTGGCACAAGTCTGGGTCTACCCGCCATGGTTGCTACCTTTCTGCAAGGCATCGTGGATCGTGTTCAAGTCAGGATAAAAGATGTCAACATCAGATTGTCTCTTCACGACTCGACCCCTGAGGCATCTCCCATGATTTTCGTCGCACATCTGGCAGACATTCATGTCAATGCTGCCGCTCCATATGCTGCTGATGCTGACAGGAACCTTCAAACACCGGCTGGGAAGCGCAGGCAGATCGCTTTGGAAGGACTCAGTGTCCATTTTGTTCGGGAGGAACGCTTCGCTCAAACACGTACATCCATGGCCGATCTGTTCGCATCCTACACATCAAGCACCACGAGCAGGAGAGAAGGGCAGAAGAGTGATGCTTTCTCGGAACAGGAGCCAGCCCTGGCCGAATCTGGTGTTTTACCACACATGAACTTTCCAGCTCACGCATATTTGTCCGATTCGGACCATGAGAGCTTACCGGACAAGATGACACAAAGCACTGCATCTTTTGACATACGACCCGGTGAAGACAACATCTCTTGGGCCTCTAGACGTAGCCAAGGGTCTTCTGATCGTGAACAAATATGGTCTTCATTTGCTCCCGAAGACGATCGATCGGCCTCAGAATTACTCCAGGACTTGTCGTCTTCGGTTTTTATGAGCACAATCGACACTCGAGGATCTTCTAGCGTCATGTCACAATCAACGATCGGACAATCTTTCACAAGTGCCCAAGCCCCACAGACCGCCTCGAGTTCGAGGTTTATGCATCAGGATGAGAACTTCAGCCCTGTTACGCCCGAGCTTGAGGATGTCGTGCCCAATATTGGTGTTGGAAGTTCGCCGACTCTATCTCCTGACGAGTCGGACGATGGACCTGACCTGACAGAGTCCGTGGTCTACAGTCACGCCGAAGCGGAAAGTATGTACATGAGCGCTGTAGGTCCAGCATCAGGTCCAGCATCAGATCCAGCATCAGGTCCAGCACCAGCATCCCCGAACCTCAACATGCTTCCAGGTGGCTGGAACTCTGTCATCGATGACGATGAAGACTTGGATCCCCCTTTCTTGTCGCAGCACTTGGATGAAAAATCTGGCTATGAGTCTGAGGATCGAGCTCCAACACCAACTCTGCTAAACCAGTCACCTGTGTTCGAGCGCCAGTCTGAGCCCGAAAGCCAAAGCACGTCCGTAATATATGTCTCGAAGGAGCTTTTGGCTATGCACAAACTGAATATTGGTATTCGCCAAGCTCCTCGCGTTGGTACACGCACGCAAAAGGTGGAAGATTCGATTTCTCAAAGTTCAATGACAACCTCCACCTTCCAGCAAGCCCCAGGTGCGTTCTCAATCTATGCTGGAGAGGGCCGGTCGTCTGTCCGATTCGACCGCCCTACAGCATACGAGACTGCCAGGGTTTCTGAGGAAGGCGAGGCAGTGGATACAACCATCGAAGTTGAAGTTACTCCGATAACGTTACAGTTGGATGCTGGTACAATCCGTTCGTTGATCACAGTATCAGAGGTCGTGAAAGGTCCAGAACCATCTTCAGAATCGAGTCAAAGTTCCGACAATGATGATTCAGTTGTGGACCAGAATCTCCCAGGACTTTCCTTACACTTGCAAATGTTCTGCGTGTCTCTGTTCGAAGACTTACCGGAGGCGTCGGTAGAACTTACTGATATATCTGCTTGGCGTCCTTTGCCATACCCGGATCATGAGAAGAAGGCGTTGCTGCAGCTCGATTTACAACACATCGACCTCGAAGTTAGCCATCGACCGCCTCCTGCAGAGTTCGGGCTCAAGATTGGCAATCTCACATTCACAGCTGGTACCAATGACATTCTCTCGTTTGATACCACGAAGCATCAACGAGATCAAAGGAGCATTCGGCATGCGATCACTGTTGCATCTGCCACAGGAACAACACTCCAAGGGCAGAGCGTCAGAAGGATAGAAGCCGATCTACTTCCCCTTCGCCNNCTCAACCTCGACCTAATTAAGTTTGACGATGACTTTGACTCACTAGGTGGGATGATTGGTATCGTCGAGATGAGCTCCTCCCTGTTATCTAGCGGCTACTTTTCCAACAAGCAAGAGGCTTCGGCCCCACCGCGCAGAGGCGTCCGCTTCAAAGAATCTGCGGCTGATAAGAGCGCTGCTCCTGAGATAAAATTCGGCGCACGCTTGGAAGGATTTGATGTAAGGCTGGCCTCTAAGTCGTGTTCCTTGGAACTGCAAGCATCGACGACGAAAGTTGTACACCGACAAAATGGTCTGATTATAGGTATTGAAAAGGTATCTCTTGCTATGCCTATGACGGATGCTCCGGCTGAGCGCTCCAATCTCGATATTGCTCTCAAACAGGTCAAGCTTGTCTATACCTTCTCACCGTCACAGAATGATCTGGGTCGTCTGATATCGCTTGTCACTCCATCCAAGAACAAGTACGAGAATGATGATGATATTTTGATTGATACTCTCATCAGGCAAAGGAGGAAAGGATCTGTTCTCAACATACAAGCATCGTCCGTGCAGACATGTATCTTGGACTGGACGTTCATACCACATCTCCAGTCGCTCGGTGACGAGCTTTCTAAGCTATCAGCTGTCACGAAGTACTTACCTGAGGATGACACTCCTGGCATATTATTCTTGATCAAGGTCACAGATACGCAGCTCAAGTTACCCGTCAACGAACAATCCGGATTCTTGGACGTTTCTCCCAAGAACATACAGGTCGCTCACGTCGGTCTGCCCGCTCTCTTCGCGCTCTCTGTTGGCAAGATAAGCCTAGGCCAATTGGGAGGACACGATATCGTCCACGAGATGCTTCCAGGAGCCTGTACAGATGAATGCCCTATGCTCATGTTGCGTATGGTCGGAGATGAAGTGGAACCTGTCGTGAAGGTGAAGCTGTTCAACATCTGCGTCGAGTACGACGTTCCTACACTCCTCTCTCTCACCAGTACTGAGTCCGCCTCGGAAGTGGAGCAANAAGTGCAAGACCTCGCGGCATCTGTTCTTGACAGCTCAAGCTTAGGGCTTAAGAATCCATCACGACCTGTGCCCGAAGTGAAAAAGTCGTCTGGAGGCGCCAACAAGAAGCTCGCAATCGACGTCTTGTTACATGGTTGCGCCATTGGGTTACAACCTAGAGAATCGGAGTCGAAGGGTCTTTTTCTACTGAGGGACACTAAATTTGGTACTTCTGTTCCTCCAGAGGAGTCCTTCGAGGCCATTTTGAACATTCGACAAGCAACGCTCTATGTCGTTGACCACGAAATTATGCCATCTCTGGACAACCCAGCCTCTCCTGCTTCATCCTCTCAGCCAAACCACTCATTACGTCTGGAGACCTATCTCCTGAACAAGGGCTACGTCGCCGTTAGTTCGATCAGATCCGCTCAAGTCGTCGTGTGCGTTCTCGAAGAAAATTCCGACCACGAGAGGTTTGTAGATGTCGAGCTACGTGACGAGTTCTTCTTGTTGGAGACTTGCGCAGATTCTACACAAACTCTGATTGCTGTTCTAAATGGTCTTTCGCCACCTGCAATTGCCAACGTCGATCCTAAGTTCCGTCCTCAACCAGACACTGGACTCACGACCCTGGATGATATGGTAAACTCTGTCTTAGGTGAAGCATTCATGAGACCTGGCCCTGCTTCCTCTTCATTGTTCGATGCTGAGGTAGATCTGCCATTATCTGATGGGGAAAGTCTGATGGTTGGGTCAGAGCCGGCTACAGGTCTTTACGAGCCAGTCGATGAAGGCATGGGTTTTGAAGATGGAGACTTCTACAGTGGAGGTAATCTACAATCAGACACGGTCGAAAGTCTTCTCGAACAAGATCCCTTCGAGATGACGAGCTCGCCGCAATTCGGCGACGACGCCTTGCTGCGCAGTCTGTGGAAAGAGCTCGGTGGCCCATCCGCGACGACTCCTGCGATCATCAGGGCGTTTTACCAGGACGACCGAAAACTCGATAAGATCTATGGTGGTTCAAGAGCACTGGGTGAAGCCCATGAGCAGCAGAAACGATTCCCAGTGCAAGTTCGGCTTCGAGAGGTTAACATTATCTGGAATCTGTACGATGGTTACGACTGGCGGCGTACTCGTGAAGCAATCACTCAGGCAGTCGAGAAGGTGGAGATGAAGCTCGAAGAACGCAAGTCGAATAGAAGAAGATCGAACACCTTCGAAGACGACACTGAGACGGTTATTGGCGATTGCCTGTTCAATTCCATCTACATCGGCGTGCCCTCAGCTCGTGAACCCGCTGATCTCCGCCATTCCATTAGCAACCTGATAAATCAAGGCAACGAGGCTGCCAGTGAGACAGAAAGCTATGCCACTACTGGCATATCCAGGCCAAGTCAAGCTGATCTCAGTCGTCAGAAAAGGCTCCGGAAGAAGCGACTTCGTCTTCAGCGCGGCGCGTCCCACAAACTCGGCTTTGAGCTCAAAGGGGTCTCCCTCGATTTTCTGGTACACNCCCCTGGTGGCGGCGAAGTGCAAAGCTCCATCGATGTTAGGGTGACAAACTTCGAGATCTTCGATCACGTACCAACATCCACTTGGAAGAAGTTCTTAACGCTTCACAGCAATAAGAAGAACATGCGTGAGATGATGAAGCCCATGATTCATCTGGAGCTCTTGAACGTTCGACCTGTGCCAGAATTAGTAGCTACCGAGATGACTATTCGTGTAAGTAGTGGTGAGATTATTGGCCGTTCTCAAAGCTGACAATAATTTAGGNCTTCTATTCTACCGCTACGCCTGCATGTCGACCAAGACGCGCTGGAGTTTATGACCCGCTTCTTCGAATTCAAAGACGACTCGTTCAAGCCTGCCGATGCTACTGCCGAGCCACCATTCATACAACGGTTGGAAGTCAACACGGTCAATCTGTGTCTTGACTACAAGCCCAAANAAGTCGACTATGCTGGTTTGCGGAGTGGTCGCGTGTCTGAGTTTAAGAATTTCGTGAGTCTTGAGAAAGCCAACATCAAGCTCAAGCATGCGATCATATACGGCCTTCGAGGGTTCGATACGTTGCATGACACCTTGAGTGACATCTGGACACCTGATGTTGTACACAATCAGCTTCGCGGAGTCCTCGCCGGTATTGGAATGACAAGACCCCTTGTCGAACTTGGAATCGGAATCCGTGACATTATTGCAGTTCCCGTCGCCGAGATCAAAAAGGATGGCTTCAAGGTTCGCAGCGTTCAGAATGGAACCATCAAAGCCCTTAGCACGACTTCATCTGGCTTCGCACGTCTGATTGCGAAGGTCGCGATCGGTACGGGGACCAGACTGCAGGACCTCGAAGACATGCTCTCTCCGACTCAGCGCAATCAGGGGCTGGCGGATGTTGAGGAGGAATACGAGGAGCTTCAACCACGCCTAGTCAGCAACTACGCAGACCAGCCCTCAAATATGCTCCAAGGGCTACACTCAGCGCGTCACTATCTCGCGCAAGATCTCACGACGGCACGGGATGCCATTATTGCTGTCCAAGGAGACTTTATGGCCAGTGGGACCGCTGCAGGGGCCGCTGCTGCGGTGATGCGCCATGCGCCAACCATCTTGTTGCAACCTGTCATCGGAGTCAGCCGTGCGGTTGGTCAAACCTTCAAGGGTGTAGGCAATCAGGTCGACCGTGATCATATCAAGAAGTCGGAAGATGTAAGTTTGTTTAGATTTCCTTTAACCGCTGTCGTTTTCTCATATCCACGCTATTGTCTTTGCGCCATGAGATGCTGACGTGTTTACCAAAATAGAAGTACAAGCACCATTGATACCGGTAGTCACCTTGGCTACAACGGCGGAGAATCTGGAGATGTCGGGCATTTCCTGGGTGCAGGTAATCTGGGACGAGACGAACAAGACAAGATATCTCAAGGCGACAAGGGGGAAGGGGAGAGGAGGAACACGAGAGGGACGGTTTTCTGTAATCCTCATGATGCTTGATCATAGCTGCTCGTATTGAGACGACAACATGCTTGGTGTCTCGTTTGACTTTGTGTGATGGGGAGAATACGACCCGTGAATCGGCGAACAAAGATAGCCGTACTTCGCTCCAATTTACTGTCAAGGTGTCTATTGCTCGATGATTTGCTGAGACGCTATCAAATGTATTGCCACATCGGACTCGAGTGACAAGAAATGCAGAATTGAGGCTCTATCTCGCCTTGTTCGCATATTTAGCGTGTTTCATACGATTAACGGACTTGCCTTTTTTGCATCGGGTTTTCCTCCACAAAGATTGTTGTGTGCCTGTCCTTAATCACTTGGTGCTATTCTATTCTTTCTATTTGCCGGTATGTATTGACTGAGATGAAACAGTATGGGCAGGAAATCTCAGCCCTGTTTATGATAGCTTTTGGCTGAGCTGAGAGGCAGTCAGGACAGGGAAATACTGTTCAGTGGGAATGGTAATCGTTGACAATGTCATATCGGCATCGTGTACGTCTGGACGTCTTTCTTTCGCAGCAAGGAGGTGTTTTGATGTTTGATCTTGCTTTGGTTTGCAACAGTGTTCGAGCGCCCTTTTTTGTTTTGACGGGATAGTGGTTGTTATTGGCTCGTATACTCAGTGGCTCGGAGGAAATGGTTTGAGACGAAGCATAATGTCACTCATCGAAAATGGCGCCGTGTCGCCCGGACATCTATTTTCAAAAATAGCAAAGTGTTAGAATTGACCTTGCTCTGGTCTTCGGTGGTATCCGGCCGGTTGTATGGGGTTGCTTGTAGTCATTGGCTTGTTTAGAGATAGACTAGGGCAAAGGAGAATGTCATCCATCGGGATTGGCATCGTGACGTTTAGTGTGGTGACATTTGATCTGGCTTACGGCAATGTCTAGACGTTTACTTTCGATGCAGATGTTGCGACAGAAGATATGTGTTTTCCCAGAGTTCACTGCCAGAGTGTTACTTTCTACCCTCCAGGGGTAGGAACGATCCCCGGACTTGCTGTCCATCCCCTTCAGAGCCCGATGCTAGAATTAGCCCCAGAAATAAATCAAGAGAAGCATTTGTGTTCGAGCGCGGTATCATTTGGTGGCGATTTGAGATGACCATGACAAGTCATCAGGTGATGATGACCATCATATCGCGAGCCGACCATAAGAGTCCATTTCTGACGTCCTTTGAATCAATCAAAGCCCGACGAGACATCTCGACTTCTCTTGAGCCCATCAAAGCCCGACAAGAAAGATCCGAAACTCAGTCGCGATATTGACCGAAACGTTTGTGAGGTGTTTAGCAGTGATGGTTCAAGATAGAGATCGGGACTTAACGTGACAGAAACGATGGCAACGTTGCTTTTCTCGATCCAGAGAATGCGCTAAAAATAGATGATCTTGGGAGAGGTTAGTGTGGAAGGATGAATAGACTTGGCCTTTTGACTTCAGTCAGAGCCATGACACGTTCAGCTTTGGCTTCAGCACCATGGATTTTTCACCCGACCCCTCACCTTGAACAGCCGAACAGCGTTTTCAGGCTTGAATCTTGCAGCCAGAGAAACGGCCATTGGGAATAGGGAATGCGCCGGGAATTGAAAGTGAAAATAACATTATATTTGATCCGAACTCATCACGTTTGAAGACAATTGAGCCGAGCAAAGGGTCTAGAGCAAAACAGCCTGGATGTCCGGAGTAAGAGGCAGAAGAAGCATGCCCCGCCGGAGCCGAGCGAAGGGCGCTGCGAGCAGCAGCAGGGCGGCGGTTGGACCTGCTGAGTTAGGTCGAATTGAGCAAGTTTGAGGTCCCGACTCGCAAGCGATTCATGCAACCCAGAGCAATTACTAAATGCAATCCCAAAAGACCAGAGCGAAGGAAGAAACAAAAGAAGGGTCTGTTGTGACCTGCCTTCTTGGATCCTACATGATGCCGCCTGCGCCGATGTTTTGCGGGGATTACGCGAGGAAGAGTAACCGATGCTGGTTCGAATCCACCATGCATCGGAAGCTGTGAAGGATTCAGAAGTCAGACCGAGGTGTTCGGCGCAGCTCCTCCGAACAGAAACTGTATGTTTCCTTCAAAGCCAGCTCGTTCAATTTTCAGTAAGATGTTGCGAAGCCAAAGTCCATGTGTGGACGTTTGGTATGAACTTGAAAGCGCCCATGCTCTCGCCAAGGGAGAACACATGGTCAGCGCCGAAGAATAAATGCACCCTTTTTAGCTGCCATGCGCTCATCACTCTCCAGCCTCCCTTTTCTTGGACGCAAGAAAACCAGGAGCAGAATGGCGGTAGCAAACTGGTCCGTCGGCCGTGGCGGACTACATTGGTGGGTTTTGTTGGTTCTATGTCTGGATCGGCTGGCGAGACTCGCTTCTCATTATTCCCATGGAGAGCGCCCCTGAGCCAGCCATAAGCTTCCGAAATTGGACGTCTCATGGGCATCGAATATCCGAGAAAACCACATCTTGTGCTAGACATGAACTTTGAAGTTTCGGATGGGCTTATACCATTTATAAGTTGCCCACAATGTATCAAGTAATCTCGAGGAGGGCCAAGAATGCTTCGAATCGGGCACGGATCGAAGCACGGATAGCTGGTCATAGTAAATGGTGCCATTGATACAGACTATTCTGCATGGTGCACGTTGAACTTGGAGGCGGTTTCTTGCTTGAAAAGCATAGACTTCTTGCGGTGCGCGCGGACCGCAGGCGCCCTCTCGAACCAACCTCCTCTGAGACCGACTGCAGGTGATCGCTCATTCTACAAGGTTAAAGACATGCTTCCATGAATAGTCAGAGCCGCAAGCCTGCTACTGGAAAGTGTCAGCCGGCTGGCTGATGTGCGTGAAAGACGTCGACGCTCAGTAATAATACCGCCGGTGGGAGGGATGCAACTGTAGATCCTGCGGCGTCTCGGTCCGTTCAGGGCGTTCGAAGGATTGCTCGCAGAGGATTATGATGCGGGTCAGAGTAGCCCTCGTTAGGCAACGCTACGGTGCCATGCGAATTGATTGTACGACAAGCAGCATTCTACCAAAGCAGAAGGCATCTGCATGACACCTCGAAAATTGAAGGACTATCGATAGCGTCACGCTCTTTTGGATCTGATATGACAGCAGGGCCTGATCGCAGCCATGTTGCTGCACGGCCAGCAAGCTATTGTCATCAATTTCATGACACACAACTAGAAATGTCGGATGTCGGATGGCGGAGACTTGTAGCCCCGCCACGTGAATTTCTTCAGTATCGCGAAGGAGAGGTTGGAGCTCAGCAAATACCGATGGGCGATGGCACTACGATGTAGGGCGCAACGGCACCGCTGGGCTCCGGCAAGACCAAACGTAAAAGAAAACCAGTGTTTGCGCGAATTCCAGAGTTTCTGGCAGGTCAACACTGAATCTAGTCAACGCCCATAAACTCCAAAGTGGCAACGTCCAACGATTGGCGGAGAATGACTTTTCTCGCTGCTAAAAATAACCACAAGCGAAGAATACCTACCAGTCTTTCACTCACTCGGATGAGCTCAGCTAAGTCGTAGCACGTGGGATCAGCAACTCTTGGTTTGTTCGCCTTCACAGAATACCAGCTGGAGCAAAAGACGGTTCAGGCGGTGACCTGGCTTAAGCTGGCTGAACGTCCAAGATGGGCTCACGCTCGACGTTGCACAGTGAGGCGATGGAATGGACGACCACCTCTCGGTGAGCCCGGGCGGAAGGGTGCGCCTGTCAGAATCAGACTGGACTGTGCAGAGCATGAGGATAAAAAGATCTGGGATACTTTTCGCCTGAGTCTAAACTGCTTTGGTAGTCGCCATGCCCTGAACAAGCTCATCCTCCGGTTTGGGTAGCAGCTCGCGCAGGCCCTCTTCCTCCCCAGAAGAGCTATGTCATACGACGTTCTGACCCGTTGGCAGGTCCCTTTCGGTAAAATAGTACCTTCGACGGGTTCCCGTCGAACACTATGTATACCGCCTTTGCGTTCTTGACCAGTTCGTCTTGAACCATCAAAGAAAAGCATTCGGGGTCCACTTATTACCGGGTCCATTCACTCGCTTCCCTGCACATCATCAAGCACGCTCGCTGCCTAGTTCTTTTCTACCACTTTCCCATTTTCCGCATTTTGCCTTTTTGCGAACCTCACACGTCTGCTGGCCCTTCTAGACTTTCCTTCTTTCTTTCCTCTATTCACCAAGCCTCCCACCGGTCTGGGAGATCGTTTGTTATCAAGGAGCCAGGCTCTTCCTATACAAAAACTGGTACATCCTCGGTCGTCCAATTCAAGCCCAACATCATGGCTGGTCAAGGCGCTGGTCCTNCGCGGCGCAGTCACACCAAGAGCAGAACAGGATGCAAGACATGCAAGCGTAGACATATCAGATGTGATGAGACCTTTCCTCAATGGTGAGCACTCACGCTCCTGGTTCTTCCCGCCGCGCCAATTACTAACGTGATCATCAGTCGTAATTGCACAAAGCACCAAGTCCGCTGTGACTACATGGACCAACAAAGACCTGAAGCAGAGATACAGGCACCGCAAGACCAGTTACCCTTGCCCTCGTCCCCCGGCATTGAGCACATGCTCGATGTCTGGCAACAGACGGGCAACTTCCCTTACCCAGAGCTCCAAGTGTTTCCCCCGCCCAGACCACAAAACCATTCCAGGGTCGAGCTGCGGCTGATCCAACATCTCTCATCCATCTCGAGGTCACTACTCATGAACAGCACCAGCGACATGACAGTATGGGCCTCGAAGGTCNCTAAAGTGCGTGTTACCCCTCTTCATTGTGATCATCCACCCCTAATTAGCCCGTTTAGGTATCTCAGTGTAGCGACCTCGTATTCGTACGTCATGCACGCATTCTTGGCGTTCTCTGCCAGCCATCTGGCATGGATCTCTCCTNCTCCAGACACGCGCAAGATCCAGATCCAGCATGGCGGTATTGCTCTTCGCGGTCTTCACGATGCCCTTAGCTCATTCTCAAAGTCCAACGCAGATGCGATTCTTGCAACTTCTATCCTTCTTATGACCCAAGCAAACGACTGGCGCACGTGGTCCTCTCTCGAGATAGGCATCCGAACTGTTGCAAGTGCTATGACCGGGTGGAAACACGAGTCGGCCTTTGCAGATTTGATCAACTTGAGCCCTTGCAAGCCTTCGGATGATCCGCATTCACTTCCCAGCATGCAAGAACGCCATGCTATCCTTGCGAGTGTCCTAGCCGCTCTTCAGCGCCTGCAACCTGTTCTAGTCGCCAACAGCCCCGAAGCCTACTGGATCGAGCAGCTCCTAGGTTATATATCATATCTCATCAACACCCAGCCTGCGCAAACGGCTGCTGAGCAGTTTGACCAACTGTATAGCCTCCGCAAATGGGTCCTATTTGTTCCTTGTCTACTTCTGGAGAAGCCAATGGTTGATGGTCCCTCAACACTTGTGGTCGCCCATCTGTATGCCACGGCGCTTGCTTTGGAACCTCTGTTCCCATCCCTTGGCGCATCGTTCTGCGCTGCGATCAGCTTACCTCCGCTCGAAAGAATTATTCAAATGACTGCCCCTATGCAAACGGACAATCACTTTGGCCAGCACGCACTGGAGATCAGCTCTCTTATGCATTTCCCCCAGCAAGCAGTATCTACTTATCGCGCACGTTTGTCATGGACGCAGCAACACTTGGAGCAAGTACAACTTCAACACACGCCTCAACAATCCCCTTATACCCCCGTCTTCAACTTGGATGGTGCGAATACGCCCTTTATGAATTTTGGAAACCTCAGCCCTGGTTTTGTTCCCTCGTCAATCAGCCATGTCCGTGAGGAAAACCGCATGTCTCAGGGCTCATTAGCAGGATCACCTTACCTCGGGGTACCTACTCCTGCTCCATCCTACGAGGGTGGCTTTTCCGACGGCACCGGTCACTGGGGCACCGCACATTCACCTGCCTTCCCTCCGAACCATTACGCAGGAGGCGAACAAGAGCAAGGATACGATTCATATGATTTTGAGCAACTAGAAGCACCTCATGGAGGCTTTCGAGGCGGGTTCGTAGTTCCCCCGACCATCTGGGCATGATCAACACATCCCAAGGAGTAAAACAAAAACTAAAATACGCTACGCGATCCAGGACTCCTTCTATGCGGCATACACCAAACTCCCAGGGCTACAGCCAATGACACACTCGCACCAACCTTTAGGCGACGCGTCTTCTCCCTTTCGTTTCAATCTCGCTACGCGAACAATGTCTGAATCCAGACACCATTTCTCGACTTTTCTTTCTGCCTCTTCGATTTTGTCTTTCCGTTGCACCCACGAGCGCGCATGATACCCTCCGATTTTCCGATACCGACAGTCCATCGATCACAAGAAGCGTCCGACATCCGCACCATCCTATACCACGAAAGAAAAGCACAAAGACTCACCACCTCTATTCTCGATACGAATTTCCTTTCTTACCATTTCGTTTCAAGCATATGCCTCTTTCTTTTTCAATCTTGCATACATATTGGCCGTCTCAAAAAGGAGTTTTGATATATTGAGCATCCCGCGTTTGGAATCCTGGACATGAAGACAACGAGCGTACGGTGAATGTATGTGTCGCTTTCCCCCTTTCCATCTTCATCACACTCAAAGGAGGAGTCGAACTTCCTCCGATTGTTCGGCATTTGCATTCTTTTCTGCTTTTCTAGATTTCATTCTACATATACACTGAAATGGAACTGCGGTCGTGAACTGCGAATCCTACACGTTGCCCAATCCAGAACCACCGCTTTGTAGATCAAACCACTCGTCAATTTGAGTCCGCGAGATCCGTGGATCTTGACTGCCGTGGAATCCGGGTGCCGGACCATGGTGAGTCGGATCGGGACCCGAGAATTTACAACACCTGCTGCAGGACCATCTCGTTGCTAGTCCCTTTGACATTCAAGACTGTCAACACAAGCAATGTACACACGTACTTGTATAGGCCCCTTTCTCCAATAGCCAATTTCCCCAGAGCAGACTTTATTGCCGGTGCTCTTGCTTTCCATCCTCCGGATGTCGCGGCAGTCTCTGGCGTCGTCGTCAGAGGTTCCACAACGTCAACAGAGCAAGAAAAAATCAGGCTATTAAAGCAGAGAGGCGGAGAACGGTGAAAAGAAGGCTAAGGAGAATGAATGTCGATAAGCGAGCATGTGATATATATAGGTACATTGTGTGTGTAAACATAGCAACACCTGTTATTTTTTATATGGCTATTGACATTTGGCATCAGGGCTGGCTTGCTTCTGTGAGAGACTTTCTGCGGAAGGGATTTGATGGGAATCTCGGTGAGAGAGGCTTGAGTCGCGTGGGCCAGCCAAAACTTGTGATCCCATCATGATGCGATCATAGTGCTATACGTTGATTGCAGGCATGGACAGGCATGGACAATATTGATTCGTGGTATGCGAAATATATCATGCGAAAGAGAAGAGGGTATTTATGGCTGTTGACCGGGACACCCTGGTGAGTAACCAGTTTATGATGTTCATTCGTCGACCGAGGACCTCCCACATGCGCGACCATCTTGTTCATCGTTTGTTGCTACAAGTGAATCTTCTACAGTATGTCTATGCCAGAACACAACGAGATGCCATAGGACTTGACGCGGTTTAGTTCGTCAATCCTGGCTGTCTCCTCGCTAAGAACAAATCTTGAGTGGAGGTAATCATAGTGTGGTTGGCATGTGATCATTTTTCCAATATGCTTGTAAATTATATCAGGGTATATATAAAGAGAATTGTCTTTGTCTATGTGTTTATCCAAGCAATGCATCCAAAAGAGTCAAATGGTCGTGAGAAGGCAGCGAGTCGGGTGCAAAGCCGACAGCCTCTTTCGATATAAATGTCCGTCAGGCGCTCTTTCTGCTTCTGGCCATCGGTCGCACGACGCTACCTCGTCTATTGCTTCCTCTTTGTGCACCGACTAGCGCCCGGCTGTCTGGTTCAAGAAGGAGCGAGTTCATGCAAGGAATATCGGATTTGCGACGTGCGCCTGCAGGAGCACTCCAGGATGAATGTGACACTGAAGTGCAGCAGGCAGCAGTGTCACGCCCCAAGTGATCTGGACTCTCGAGATTGACGTTATGCGATTGAGCTGTAGCATTGTTGAGTCGCTCGCTTGATCGTTGGCCAAATCGCCAGACTGACACAAAGCCAGGGTCACCTCGAAAGATTGTTAGCGGTGATTGTTTAAGCAGAAAGCTTAGGAGCCCAGAGGCGGACGACCTCATCGAGACGAGCCAGCATTTCGTCCTTTCTGGCCTGAGAGCACCAACTGCCCTCGATGCCGGCACGGCAGATGCTCGTCCACTCGGCCACCGACAGATCAAAGGCCTCGTGCACAGCGCAGTAGTTGTCAAGGATATAGCCTCCAAAGTAAGCCGGGTCATCACTGTTGATGCTGAACTTGACGCCAGCGTCCAAGAACTTGCGGATGGGCACTTCCTTGACTTCCTTGACACAGCGCAACAGCACATTGCTCAAGGGGCACACGGAGAGCATAGTGCCGTCCTTGGCGATCTTCTGGAGCAGAGCATCGTCCTCGATCAAGCGGATACCGTGGTCGATACGCTCAACCTTGAGGATATCCAGAGAGTCAGAGATGAAAGTGGATGGGCCTTCCTCACCAGCGTGAGCAGTGCGACGAAGACCGAGCTCCTTGGCTCCGGCGTAAATCTCCTCGAACAGAGCGGGAGGGAAGGGCTTCTCGCTGGAGTCAAGACCAATTCCAGTGACCGAGCCGTTTTTGAAGCTGGCCTGGACATCGGCGTCCTTGAACATGGACACACAGTTGGGCACAGGCAAATGACGCAGGAAACAGCAGATCAGCTCGCTGGTAATGCCAAACTCCTTCTGAGCACGAGCACGAGCTGCACTGAAACCAGTAAGAACGGTGTTGTAAGAGATACCGCGCTCAATGTGTGCCTGGGGATCGAAGAAGACCTCCGCGTGGGCCACACCGTCTGCTGCGGCGTGGCGGAAGTAGTCCATGGCCAGATCCTCAAAGTCAGAGTCCGAGATCAGAACGGACATGCCGATATAGTAGTAGTGCAAGAAATCGTCCAGAGAAGTAAAGCGATCGTAACGTGCCAGGAGAGTCTCTGGCGATTGGAAAGCAGGGTCATCTTGAGGCAGGGTGATGTTGTTGCGCTTAGCCAGTGTGAACAGAACCTCAGGAGAGAGCGAGCCCTCCAAGTGCATGTGATGCTCGCATTTGGGGAGCTGCTGGAGGAATGAGTGGAATGTTGATTTGCACATGTTGCTGTTGTCGTGTATATGTCGAGACTATGGTTGAATGGTATGATGCTCCGGCAAACCAAGTATACAGGAACAAGTACTAAAGAGTGGTAAAAAGTTTTGAAAGCCTTTTATTAGACACAGCAGTATGGCCTTTTATTGTCTGAAATCGATTCTATGTCTTCTCGTAACTAGGTGAAATCTCTACTCATTTTTTCTCGCCTGTTGCGAAGCACGGCCGAGTAGGGCCTGGAGCTCGAAAAACGTTTCGGCCGGCTCCGACGACGCTGAATTGCTGAAGATACCAACACGATTCATCTTCCAAGAGTATGTCAGGAAGATTTGTGGAAGGATGCCACGAGCCAGCACGCAACCAAGATATATGTGCTGGTATCTAAGGATAATAGATACTTTGAGCCCTGAGCGACGAGATCCATTGTGGAATTGAACACGTGAGACTGTTGGCTGTCGGCACGGCAAACTGGAAGAGTGGATTCGAGCGGTCTGACTAGTGCACCGTCTTAGCAGTTGTCGGTCGCTGACGGAACGAACTCTACGAGCCGTTTGACGGGAGTTCAGGGTGCTGCAAGTCAGCGGTGAGCTCGATGGCTGGAGCTATGCGATGATACCACCAGGGTCTCGAAGTCAGAAGGCTTGGAGGCTTGAACGTGTTGCTTCAGCAAGCGAGGATAAGACAGCCTATCGTATCGTTCAAATAGAGTGCTGCTTGACCACGTAGTCATGTCTCGAGAACACAAATATGCATACTTGTATCTTCACCAGTGGCTCAAGACTATTGTAAATCCGACCTCACCAGCTGCAGCGTTTCGGACGAAGCTGGCATGTTTCGGACAGAGGTTGTCTCCGAATCCTGCTCACCGGCGGGCCGGCGGGTAGGCGACAGGAGCATTATTGTCCGAATAAACAGCAAGCGAGCACATGGTGCCGGAAGGCCCGATTCGCTCGGTTCGCTCGGCCGCGCTTGACCGCATCCTTTAGCCATGCATGTACTCGACGCTGTCAACTCCGAAGTGACTTCAACATCGCTTTTGGAGCGAGGAACATCCAACGATCGTTTTTGTCGTGGTCTCTAGGGCTGCCAAAGTCAGAACAAGTACTCGAGTACCCCTGGCCACTCTTCGGAATCTGGTGTGGACCGGAGCCTATTCTCGAACGTTCGTGCAGCGGACCTGTTCAGCTGGGAGAATGCATATACGGTACTCATGTCATGGTTCCATGATTCCATCTTTGAAATTTGATCAATAATCATAGCGCAAATGTCATACAAAGATCAAAAGATCTGGAACGAGCCAGAAGCTTTACCTAAGCGGCCATAGCGTTATTCCATCAGAGAGGTTCATCTTACAAACACAAGCGCAACTACCGAACTTGTGATTGCATCAGCAACGTGCGTCGAATACATCCAAGAGTCCGTCTTGTACACGATACATACAGAAGAGGAGCAAGAGCGATTGGTCTATATCGAGGATTGAGACACATATGGTTCTGGAACACATGCATGGAACCACGGAACCATGGAAAGCGATGGCGGCCATGTGTTGTTTGAAGCACTGTTGCCTCGCAATTCGGCACGAAAGCTTCAACAAGTGCCGTGGTGAACGTTCGGCTGCGGGGCTCCCCAGCCTTTCACTCCGAGGTCAAACGACTGGAATCTGGTTGTCGCTCCGCACTTTCTTGCTCGGATGACCGACCGACCAAGTGTGACACGGTGTGAAAAAAACGATCCTTTGATTAGTGTTGTGGCCGTTGGAGGCACGGATAGATGGCGCTGTCACACGTCTCCGGCCTAGAGCAGCGACATCTGACCAAGTAAACAAGCGAGTTGATGTGGCAGAAGGCGCACGGGTGAAACTACCGATCACTACGATGCGTCCTCCTGTTGAGAGGTGGACTGCGCTTCTTAGATGAGTGCAGAGGTAGCGGGACACAAGGGGTACCTTTCGGTCCCGGACTATGACGACGATCACGGCGGATAGATCCATAGTCTCCCAAAGAACGGCTGAGTGTACCGACGCATGGTGCCGCACGCGGCCATCTCCACGGTGGGTAGGGCTTTGCGGTGACTCGTAAGACGGGACAGAGCCAAAGTGCTGGGATATAGCTATTGGCGGCTGAACGCTGTGGCTTCGAGCAAAGCCACTGCGGTCATACTCGACAACCGGCAGCGAGCGCGATTGAGGGTCTTGGTGACGACGCGAGAAGTGACGAATACAAGGCTGCAAGGAACGAGTGGAACGATCGGAAGTGAGCGAAGACGTAAAAGCGAAGTGTAAGCTTACTAGTGAGAAAGCAGCGTTGCGACGATCAGGTCGCTCGAGCAAAGTAGGCCGTTGATTGGTGAAACAATGGATTATTCTCCTGAAAACCTACAGAACCATCGGCAGTGTCTTGTCAAGTTCACGGCAACGCGGTAGATGGCTGTCGCTGGGCTGTCTGTTTGTATTGGTCAGCTGTGCACATAGGCAGGCAGGGTTTTATGAAGGCCCGAGATGGTCGGGTAGGCCACGGGACGGCCAAGGTGACATTCGGCAACGCTAGTCAAACCGCAAGCGCGTTCTTTGCCTACTGTCATGCCGTCGAGTCTTGGAAGAGCGCAAGCAATCTTATAGCGCCATGTCAGGGAGGATTTGTAGGCGCTGACTCGACGCCGCCAGATAAACGAAAAGGGAGCTGAACCATCTGCAATGCACACAAGACTCACAGCTGCTGCAAGGGCACCCACCGGAGAGCAAGGAGCTGCGTAACGCTCCTCTGTTACGATGGTCGGTTCTTGTTGGATGTCATCACCCGCGCCAAGTCTGCACTACGACGGGAAGTTATGGTAGCGGCAGTTGTCATTGAGCAAACGGTACGAAATCTAGGGTTTAGACTTTTGAGTGATTCTAGTGGTAGAAGGTGTGCCACCGTGTCGGTAAGCCGAAGAGACAGTCTCTGACATGTAGGGACAGACAAAGGGAAGATACGGTGTTCGAGACAGCGGGGTCAGACTGGGAGGGGTGATGGTATAGGATGGCAATGCAAGAAGCAGCAGATATCAACAGCTGGGCCATTTGCGTGCACAAGTGCTGGAGCAGCCGAACCATGCATGCAGGAGGAACTACAGCAAGGCGAGATTAGCCGCCGCCAACGTGCACGTTGGCGGCGGCCGCATGGCCATGAGAAAGGGAGAGCGGGAGGGCCTGTGCTGAACCTGCCTCTGAATAATAATAATAATCTTTTGAGGTTCGTCGAGCAACCCAATTCTCATATTTATGCCTTGTTCGGATGTCGCGCTGACGTCTTGAGTCTGTCGCTGTGTGGCTTTTTCGTCTCGACGGCCTGTTGTGCATCTCTTGGAGCGAAGCCTCTTTCTCTTTTACACACTGCGACCCGCGTGTTTGCGCACTTCTCTCCCCTCCGCCTTTCCCTGACACTTCTCTCAAAGCTTCCACCCGCCTCATCAATCGCGAACTTGGCAGCCCATCGCGTCGTGCAATACGCCCTACCCTCGCGTGTTATTAACTCGTTGCGACTGGCGGTGTGTTCTGTAGTAATCTAACCGCTAACGACGATCCTACGAAAGCGGTTTTCACAGACGTGATTGCACCTTTTGTGTTGCGTCGTCTCAGAGTTGGGCTTCCTGCCACACGTCACTTCTTAGCCGCTTCTCGAGTCTAGCATGAAATTGGCCTGTCTTTGACGTTTTACGCACTTTCGGAAAATCCTCTCTGACTCTCTTGTCCCCGGCCCATGAGCCTGATGAACGACCAGAAGCATCTTGCTCCCGAGGCCGTCATGACCAACGATGGGCGGAGGCCGGTCAGCCAGCAACCCGATCACTACNCCCCTCAACCTCAGTATGTTGGCAATGGAGCTTCACCAACCGTTTCCCACCACAATGGCCCGATGCAGCCATCTCCCATGACCTACGCCATGCCTGGCCCTCCCCATTCCGGTCCCGGCCCTGCTCCTGGATCATTCCATCCTGCCGTGACGACTGGACCACCTCCTCAGATGTCGATGCAGACATCGCTTCCGCCGGCGCCCTATCCTCCTGCTTATGCTATGCCCCCGAACTCCAATCCTGCCGTCGCTGGCGCCATGTCGGATACGACGATGATGATACATGATCCTAACATGGGTGCGCCTGGCATGTCCCCAAGGCATCATTCTGCTGCTATGCTCTCTGCGCATAAGAGAGCATATCGCCAGCGTCGCAAAGACCCTAGCTGTGACGCGTGTCGCGAACGCAAAGTTAAAGTAGGTTGCGAGGGCTAGCGCACGTGGCATGAGAGACTCAGGACTGACATGCTGCAGTGTGATGCTACCGACACGTCTAGCTGCACTGAGTGCTCAAGCAGGAGCGTCAAATGCCAGTTCACCAAGGAGACCAACCGACGCATGTCGTCGATGAAGTGAGATGATTGCACCTGGCAATTTGAGGTAAAGCTAACAAGTACCAGGCACGCTCAAGACCTCGAACGCCAGCTCGAGGAAACTCGACAGGAGAACCGACAGCTACGTAACATGCTCAGCGATCAAGGCGGCGCAACTCCAGGTGCTTCCATGGCGCCCCCATCGACGAGTGTCTCAGGACCTCCAGAAATCACTCCCAGCAAGCAACGAAACGGACGTCCACTCGTTATGAACAGTTTCGACGGCGTGAGGGCAAACCTGCGCAAATTCAGCCAGGGCATCTTCAAGCCACCGCATCCCTACAGCAAGCCTACCGTACAGGTTCACTGCGCCGATTTGTCAACTCCGCTGCCCNCCAAGCAGCTGGTCGACAATCTCTTGCAGAACTATCACACTGTCCTGCAGCCGCTGTGCCCATTCCTTCATTGGCCCAGCTTCATCGACGAATGCGAACAGCTGTACAGAAGGGGCACCTTCCAAGGCTTGCGCCAAATCTGGAAGGCTCTCTTCTTTGCAGTCCTCGCATGTGGCTGCAGCATACAAGACGCGAGAGGATCCGCACATCCTGAATCAGAATGCATCAAATTTGCCGAGGTGGCCAAATACTGCACGAAGTCGGTGGACGACGACATCTCGCCTGACCATGTGCGCACTTCTCTGCTCCTCAGTATCTGTTTCTCGAACATGAATCGCAAGGCAGCGAGTTGGTTCTGGCTCGGCTCGGGTGTCAGGTTTGCTCAGTTGCTAGGCCTGCACCGAGAGCATGGTCAGCTACCACAGTTCGAGGCCGAGATGCAAACCCGTCTCTGGTGGTCTGTCTATAACTGGGACAGAATTCTCTCTCTCGAACTCGGCCAGGTTCCCATCATTGACGATGGCGACGTCGACGTCAGCGAACCTACTCCAGTTGACGATGCAAGTATAGGGCCAAACGGACTCGGCAACCCAGGTGCACGTCCGAACTCGCTTATTGTCTTTGTCCCTATTGTGCGCATCATTTATCCTCTCAAGAAGACGCTCAAGTCTCGCGCCATAACCGCCTCGACTCTCAACGCCTACGATGAACACTTCCGCTCTATTATGGGCTCCTGGCCCGATCCGTACCCGATCCACTCGAACGCTCCGCTCGATCCTGTATATTTCAGCGCTATATTCTTGCTGCAGATAGCCCGCTTCCACTTGTATCGCCACAACCTCGCACCTCCCTGTCGCCCTCAAGAACGCAAAGACGCCCTATACCGCTGCCTCTCGGTGGCCAAGGACACAGCCGTCTATCTCCAGCGCTCGATCCAGACTTCTCCTGGTCCACCTCGCTACTCCGCTCGGCCTTTACGCCCAAGCCCTGAATGGAACGCACGAATGGCTGACATTGCCCCTTTCTTCCTCGTCTTCCACTTCTGGCGTTGCACTCTTGTAGCTGCTCTTTGTGGAGATTACGCGACTGCTATAACCTGTGTGATGCCACTGAGCGCAATTGGTACTCGTGTGATAGTCAACCCGGCTTGTGGACGCTACATCTCCTTCTTCTTGGATTGCCTTATCGAGCGCATCCAGAGTGGCAGAGGTAGCCCTGAGATGCTGGAGGCAGACGAAGAAATGCTAGCCTATACGAGCGCCGATATGCAAGGGTCTCACGAGACTGCCTGGGCTTGGACTGGTGGCGAGGTGTTGCAGAGAACATTGGATCACACTGCCACTGCTGCTGAGGGTGCAACCAGCGCATACGACCAATCAATGGGAGAAGAGCCGGAATGGAACGGGTGGAATCGCGTATTGGACATCCTATCTCAATTGGAACAAGAACAGCATCGCAGCATGCAGCAGCAAGGCCCGCCACCTTCGCAACCACAGGCTCTTCAACAGCAACAGCAGCAGTTGCAACAGCAACAACCTCCTCCACCACCGCAGTATGCAGCACAGCACATGCCTCAGCAGTATGCTCAACTCCACCAGCAAGCGCCATCAGCGCCATACTTCCAATCACCCAGAGCGCCAACGCCGCACATGACCCCAGCACCGACCAATGCCGGGCCATCCAATGCCCCCACACCAGCGGGCACAAGCTCTCGCATCAGCATTAAAGATATTATTTAGACGACCAAGGACGCTCATGACACACGCATTTCTCGTTATCGTTTTTGTCATTTCTTTCCTCAAAGCGAATGCATAGCCCGAGGAGAAAGGTAAACATCTCAGAGGAGGTTGGGAATGGGGCTGGAGTTTTTTCTATTTGTTTCAGCTTGATTTGATTGGCTTGCCGGCTAAAACGCATTGTTGTTCACTACTACGAAGATCACGGTTGTCGCTTTGAATGTCCATCTCTTTCTCATTGCTGTAAAGCCGTTTTGTGTTTTGGGCATACGATATGACGATCTCTATTCAGCTCCCCATTTGTACGGCCGGAATACATATGTTGAGCGGCTCGAAGGTTTCTCGATATCTCAATGCCGGCATTTTGAGTTTTTGTTGCTTGCGTGTTCAGATCTTCGTATGTAGATCAAATCGTCTAGTCCACTGTTGTCGTTTGTAGAGGTCTCGGGTTTTGAGAACCAACAGCGGCGAGTTTATACTCCAGTATAACCGGCGGTATCAGAAGGAGACAAGAAGGTTCGCACCCAGTCGCAGCTGCCCTAGTTGGACGATAGACTTTGCGACATACGCCGGCTTTCTCTCCCTGCACATCTTTACTCGAGTGAGATGTTCTAGGGTTACGCGCAAAGGTTAGGATGTCGGAAACAGTATATCGTAAGTAACGGATGGAAGAGGGAAACGTGTTTTCAGCAGATCTGATCGTAAAGCGTAGAGCACGTTTAGCAGGTGTTCTATGCAACATATCTTGCATTAATCGCGATGTGCAGATTTGCATTTCCTCGCATGTCACGGAGCCCCCTCCGGAGCTCTACGGGAAATACCGGGGTCAACAAACCACATTGCCGACGCAGCTTCGAAAATTTTCGTCCTTGAACCTTTGTTCCTTGTCGACGAGCAACAAACACCATCGCTGCATCCGAAAGACACGATTTTGTCCGCAGCCATCATTCCGCCGTTTTCTGCCATGCGCAAGCCCGCTCAGCTGGAAAATGCTCTACGCAACGCTCTAACGATCGATTGCATGAGTGACATGCTGGTCAGGCGTGAGGGCTTGAAGTGCTGAGCTAGGGCTTCGTCAGGATCTTGTTCGAAAGAAGAAGGTGCGAAGGTGCTATTGAGATAGGAGCTCCACATTGGCTTCTCTCTTCATCAAAGTCAATTCTCAGCGCAACGACGTGTTTGTTTTGGGAGTTCGCCTATATGCTTTGTCTTTGTATCCCTACAGGTAGGGGAGATATGAGTTCATCTTTCAGACTGCGTTTCTTTGTTGCTCTGCCTGGCCAGCAGGATTGTTGTGAATCAGCTTTCCAGACTTGTAGTTGAGGATGTGTGGATTGATTGATATGATCTCTTTACTTTCTCTCATCACTGCTTTCCATTGCATCAATCAAGCGTCCAACAGACCACATGGCATGCTTCCAACACTACACGCCTTCCTCCCCCCCCCCCCCCCCCCCCCCCCCCCCCCCCCTCCTCGCCCTAAGATTTCGACTTAAACCATGTACATCGTCCTCTGCCTCGCTCAACCTCCTGTCTTCTCTATCAAGAAGTTTCGAGCTGGATACCCTTATTTTGGCTCTCGAAAGAGAATGCCAAAAGAGGAGTAAGGGACAAGAACAATATCCGAAGGTCTTTGAGTACGACTGCATTCGTCATTCTCCAGGATTGCTTCTTTGGTCGTAATTTACCATTCGGGACATGTCTTCATCAGAAAACTAGTTATACATGTGCTATAGAGACAAATATCGGTTTCTTTATCAACTTATCCTTCAGTAGATGTGATTATGTTTTTGTGTTTTAAGGATCTGTTGCTTCCATTTCCACCATATGAATTTAGATTGTTTATTTTCTCTAGAATCTCTGAAATCATGCTCCTCTCTTGATGTGCTTATACCTACTGCTTTTTGACTCTGATGGTATGAACATTATCTGATCAGCTCTTCTCGCCACACAAGCTTAGAGTACCACGTTGCGCAGCTTGCTCCTTGATGAAAGGACTAGGAGAGAAGGTCTATTGTATCTTCTTTCTGCCTCTGCACCTCTAGTATATCCAGGGGCTTAATGAAGTGTTCCTCTTCCTGGGTGGACAGGCTTCGCATGATACCTTCTTCTGCTCTTTGTGATCGGCTACCTCTAATTCTTGTTGTTTGTCTTTGGATGCAAAAGTTTATATAGCACAAAAGCTTTATACACTATTTTTTTCCTTGCGAGATTATAAATTTGTGAAAGCATTAGGTATGTGATGTACTTCTTTTGGATCAAATAATGGACACATCATTCTTGGATGAGAGAGGTTTACACTGTGGAGCATCTCATTGCTTCCAGGAGAAGGAAAAGGTACAGATATTCTTCTGTTGTACAATTGACATGATTAGATATTCTAGATGTGCAAAAGAGCCAGACAACAATCTAAGAACAGAAGATGGACAAGACTACTCTTGCTTTGATTGTTCATCACGCACCCAACCAATGGCTTGACCAACCTGTACATATTGCCCAGGCTTGATATTCCATCTCCAACCACCCCTTCTATCCTCTGAAGTACCACTCGCCTCACCCCATCCTTCGTCAAAGGAAGGTCTTCTGCCCTTGGGAGCCTCAAAGACCAAGACAATTGTGCTGCCAAGTTGGAAACCGCCCATTTCCTCTCCGCGCTGCAGGGGTTGGCCATGCAGTAATTGAGAAGCGTTATTGTAGGTAGCTTCTGCAAATCCAGAGTAAGGCTCACCCTTCTCTACTGCGATGGCAGCTGCGCGATCGGCTGCTGTGTCTGTGGTGAGGGAGTTTGTGCGGAGTTCCTTGTCGAAGTTTATCTTGATGGAGCCGACGTTTGTGGCTCCTACGGGAGTGTAAGAGAAGAAACCGTAGCGCCAGCGACCTAGAAGGACGACGCGCTCATTGAGGGTAAAGAGGCCGGGGAGAGTGCGTTGGAGGTAAGGGGATACGGAAAAGAGTTCACCGGCAAAGTGACGGCGGGACTCGACGACCCATGAGCAAGGAGAGTGGAAGCGGTGGTAGTCGCCAGGGGCGAGGTAGATGACTGCGTAGTAGAGAGCTGTGGGTCTGGCTGCGGTGGAGACGGGTTGCCACCAGTTGTCTTGTGCACCGCCGCCGTCGCCCAGAGCGAGCGAGTCGCGGACTTCTTGCTCGGAGCTGGCTCTTGCGGGAGTCGACTGATCTTCGGTAGAAGTCTTGGGGGTGCCTTTACCAGTCTTGGGGTTGGAGAACAGATTGGGTAGGGTGTACGAGATGCCGTTTATCTGAGCAAATTCCTCGTCTGCACGGATGATCTCCTGGTCTGCTGACTTTGAACGATCTTTGCTGGGTTGTGGGTTCGCAGTGGCGCGAGTGGGCTTTTGCGAGCCGAGCAGAGCGTCGAGAGAGTAGGTTACGCCTTTGACTTGTTCGACCTCGCCGTTATCGATGGTACCGAACTGGATGACTTTGCCGTCTGCAGGACTAAGGAGAGCGTTGGGGTTGGGATCGAGAGGGCGAGCGCCAGGCTTGAGTGTGCGGTAGAAGAAGGAGGCCAGGTTGGGGAAGACGTGGAGGTCGGGCTCGTTGATTTCGTCAAAATTGACACCGAAGATCCAGCCGTACAGCTTGAAGCCTGGCACGCGGAGGTAGTATGGGATCTCGAGCTCGTTGAAGCGACCCCAGATACGCGACATGGCCTTCAGAGGCAGAGTAGACATGATCTGGACCTGCCAGGGGCCCGAAGGTCTTATGCGCTGTCTTTTAGGGACATTTCCTCCATCTTCGAGTTCGGCCTGTCGGCGAGCCTTCTCCTCTTCGTTCTGGCGAGCCTGAGTACGGTAGAATTGGAGACCACCGAGGAAGGCGATACCGAGGCCGACAGGAATGGGTTTCCAGACGACCTTTGTATCGCGCAGGGCATTTCGAAGGCGTGTGCCAAAGGGAGCGTGCGAGGGGCGAGATGATGAAAACGGTCGTGAGGTCTGGTATCTCAAGCGTTGAGAAGGTCGTAGTAGAGGTGTGTGGGGGTTGCCCAAGGCGCGATGCCGTAACACTTGAGTGGACGACATGTTGGACGACGTGACAAGAAGTTACAGGGAAAACTCAGTGACGTGATAGCTGTATAGAGGACCCCGGATTTCGTTGCTTCCCGAATTGACGTAGCCGCGGTAGGGCTGAGCGGCCAGCTTGGCCAAACACACGCCTGCTAAAGGTGTAAACTTAGACACACTTTCACATGTGAACAACTAGACCTTCCTTCAGGTCGTTCTTTCCCATCGCTCGCGAGTTCCGGCGTCACCGCGACAAGCACAAGAGATGGCACAACCGACGCGCACACTGTCGCTCCGGATCCTCTCGCCGTCGGCCGAAGTGGGCGATGGCCTCGACATGGCCAACGTGCCCATCGACACGACCATTGCCGCCTTGAAGGCCATGTTGACCGACCTGATCCCCTCGAACCCCCAGCCTGATCGTATGAGACTCATCCACTTTGGTCGCTTCCTGGCCGACGACAACGAGACACTGGCACACATATTCGGAGAGGCCGTCATTACCCAAACCACGCCCTTCATGTTACATCTGGTTGTCCGCGCCCCTCCCACGCCCATGGAGACTGCAGCTACTCGCCAGCCGCTCTTTGCCTCATGGGGTCCTCAGAATCCCGCAGGAGGTCCTCCCCAACAACAGCCAAACGTCCTCCCACCAGGCGCCGCGAACCATCCCTTGATGCGACCAGGTGCTGCCTTTGTCCCCCAGCCCCAAGGCGCTACTGCTACACCACCTCACCCTGCCGCTCCTACTCCTCCTCATCAACATGGCCACCCTCCACCACCAAACCTGCTGCAACATCTCATGGAGCGCCAGCAACAACACCTCAGACAACTCCACCCACAGTTCCCGCTACCGGGCATGCCGCGACCCACTCCTCCTCACAGCGCTCCACACACACCACCTCCGTTCGCGAATCACCATGCCCACCCACATGTCCACCACCACCACCCGCATGTCCACGCCCATCCTCAGCCACAACACCAACCCCTCCAACAACCACACCAGCGTACCGCTACAATTACAATAAACCAAAGCACTATCGCCGTGCCAATGCCTCTCGGTCCCCATGGAATGCCCATGGGCCAGATGCCTCTACCTGGCTTCCCACCAATCCACAATCTGTTCCACCAACAACCTCAACCACAAATTCAGCAATTCAACCCTGCTTCTCCCACAGTCTACCTGCTGTCGTCGCGTAACGGCCCACAGGCTCTTCTCTTCTCACCACAAGGCACATACACTGCAAGTCTACCACACACTCCTGTGCCTGCTATGCCCACTATCCCCAATCCACTCTTCGCTCACTCCCGACCTCTCACACCTGCCGCTCAAGCCGCGCCACCACCTGGCTTCCAACCACCTCCTGTCGTTGTCGATCCTCCACAACCTCTAGAACAGGTCGCACAACAACTCGTCCAACAAGTGAACCAAGGAGGTGCAGTGAACCAAGGAGCTGCAGAGAACCAAGAGGTCGACGTCCTGNCCCCGTGGCAGCCCCTTTTGGCTCAGGGCTGGATGTTGCTTCGACTCTTGTTCTTTGCATGGATCTTGTTAGGCACAGGTCAGGGTTGGCGAAGACCATTGGCTCTTCTCGCAATTGGTATCCTCTTCTGGGCCATTAACGCTGGTGGAGTTGGTAACACAGTCAGAGATGCTGTGCGTTCGTGGTGGGAGGCTGTTGTTGGATTGCCTGGTCAGCCTGATCAACCACAAGGACAGGAACACGGTGCAATCAGACAGGCCTTGAGACCTGTCGAGCGCCTGCTTGCTCTCCTCATCGCATCACTATGGCCTGGGGTTGGTGAACGCACCGTCATCGCTAGAAGAGAAGCAGAGGAGAGACAGAGACGCGAGGAAGGAGAGAGACAGGCAGCAGAAGCAGAGCGCCAGAGATTAGAAGCAGAGCCGTCTACCACTCAACAAGTGCCCACGAGTACGGGAGAGAGTGATCCAGTCGCTACCATCGAAGGACCATCCACTACCACAGCCACTGGCAACAATGTTGCTGCCGAGGGACAGGAGATCAGGGAGAGAAAGACGGCAACTCATGACTCCAGTGCAGAGCAGGCATCAGCATCACAATCCGCATTGTCTCGCGATGAACAGAGGGCACAACAGCTTAGCAACCTTACACAAGACTGGTGAAAAGGGACAATGATCAAGGGATTTCACTTCTGGTCTTTCTTTACTTTTGCATGTAGCGGGTAGACAATTACGAGCGAGCGACTCTTCCTTCTATGCCTCTTATAAAACCAATGCACCTTGTTTCCATCACTCGTAACACCTCTTCCAACGGACAACATGACGTTCGTGAGGCGACAAAAGGGAGCAAAGGATTAGGAAAGCAAAAACATATTCAGTAGTTCTAGTTTGTATGCTATGCTTGTTCTGGACTCCACGATGCATATAAGTATATCATATAGCGAAATACAGAAATATTGAAACAGCCATGCCATGCCGCCTTTGACAGCAAAAGAACCACCCTGTCTCACACACTCAGCTCGAAACTCCCATGCCCACGCAGCAAAGAGCAAAACCCAGCAAAAGCGCCCTCCAATGTAATAATCATGCACAACACTCCCTTCTCTCAACCACTCGTCTTGGCAAACACAAAATCAATCCTCGATCTCTGCTCCGTCACCAACGCCCTCAACACCACATCCTGCACCGCATCCTCCGCCTTCTCCTTGACTGCAACAATACCATCTTCCTCTTCACTGTCAACCTCACCTTTGCCTTCTGCAATCTCTTGCCTCAGCTTAACAGCATCGAGATGGGAGAATTGCATTAGAGAAGCCATGGCCACTTTTTCCGTGTCTTTGCCGTTGCTNGCCTTTTTCTTAGGAGACAGACGAGAGTGCAGGGCAGAGTGGTGTTGGCGGCGTAGGCGTTCTTGGGTCTCGGGGTCGATTTGGGAGGAGCGGAGGAAGGAGGGGAGGGCGGGCATTTCTTCTTCTTCTTCGTCTGAGGCTTCTGCTTCGTTGTCCTCGTCGTCTTCTGCCGTAGAGGCTGAGACGGTGGTTGGTGATGACGAGCTAGATATGGGGATAGAGCCATCGCATGCGCAGTCGCAACCGAGAAAATCATGCGTCTGGCAACTCTCGCGCGGGTCCAGCGTAAATAGATCTCTGAGTTCTTCAGGCGAGAAGCTCGAGGCATTTGCCTTGTTGTCCACAATCGAGTCGGCCAATCCTTGCTTCGTGAGCTGGCGCTGGAAAATCTTCTCCTCGAGTGCTCCCTTGGTCAAAAAGCGGTAGATGTGGACTGGATGTTTCTGGCCATCGCGGTGTACACGACCCATGGCTTGAAGATCAGTCGCCGGGTTCCAGTCAATGTCGAAGAGGACCAGGCGACTGGCGCCTATGAGGTTCAGGCCAACACCGCCAGCCTTTGCAGAGAGTAGGAAGACGAAACAGTTGTTGGCTGAAGTACGATTGAATTTGTCAACCAATCCTTGACGCTGGTTTGCAGGTGTCGAGCCATCAAGGCGCAGAAAAGAGTATTCGAGAGCAGTCAACATTTTGCCAATCATGTCCAGAGTAGCCGTGTAGTTAGAGACCACCACGACCTTCTCTTGCGTCTTTGTGTGGACGAGGTGGAGGAACTCGTCTAGAACCTGTAGCTTGCTACTGCCACCTGCACTCTTGAGATCCGAAGCGGGGACTCTGGATAGCAGCGACTTCACTGTGCCCTCTTCGCTCTCTGAGGCGTCTTTGATGAGAAGTGAAGGACTGTTGCAGAGCTTCTTCAACACGTTGATCATCGCGAAGGAGGCTTCGCTACTCTTGAGTGCTTGGTTCAAGACCCCAGTACTAACAACGGCCTCATACACATCCTTCTGCACCTGAGTTGGCTGGCAGTAAACCACGTACTCTGTTTTCGGAGGCAGATACTTTGACAAGATCTCTGCAGTTCGTCGAAGAATGAACTGACCAGTAATCGATGCAAGCTCTTCACTGCAGGCCTGTCCTTTTTCAATGTCCTTGGCAGTTGCACCCGGTGTTCTGCTTTTGAGAATGGGGCTCTCGTACTGCTTCTTGAAGGATGACCATGTCTTTAGGAGTCCGGGATTCACAAAATCGACCATAGTGAAGAACTCGCTCAAGTCGTTCTGGATGGGGGTACCTGAAAGAATGACCCTTCGCTCGGTGTTGAGAGATTTGATGGCCATGGCTGACTTGTTGTTGGCCGTCTTGAGTCTGTGGCCTTCGTCGGCGATAACAATGTCCACACCTAGTCCTTGTTGCAGTTCCTCCTGAACATTGCGGAGCTTCTCGTAGCCGATGATTAAGATGTTGTAACTCTTGCCTTTAGTGAAGTCACTGAGTCTGGTTTTATTGTTCTCGGCAACCATAACTCCCACTTTCTCATTGCCCAGCCATTTCTTAAATTCCTTGCGCCAGTTGTTGATGAGAGTGACAGGACATACGATCAGAGCCTTTTTGATTACGGGACCGTCCTCGTAGATTGGATTTTGTTTGAGCAGAGTCCAGACCAAGGCAATAGTCTGCAGAGTCTTTCCCAAACCCATCTCGTCTGCTAGGATTGCACCCTCGCCTACAAAGGGTCGCATTCCCATGACGCACTCGTACAAGAAGGCTACACCAGCGCGTTGGTGTTCTCTGAGATGCTTGGTCAAGTTCGGATCAACAACTACGTCAACAATGTGCTTTCCATCGGGTACGTGTTTCGGTCGCTTCATGACAAGAGCATTCGGTTCGTTAGGGTCGTGACGGGGGAGACAAACAGTCTTGCCATCCGACTTTGAGCGCGAAAGAGGGACACCAGTCTTGTCTAGCATTGGGTTTTTGAATGCAGCAGTTGGCTTGTTGAGCATACTGGCAGACCTCGGCGGTGCTTCAACTTTCGGACCGGAATTGAAGGCAGCAGTAGCCTTGCCGAGCATGCTGGCTGGCTTTGTCTGCGTCTGGACAGGACGAAGTGGCGTCCGAGCAAGAGGTACAGATGGCCGTGTGATAGTACTGGCGAGTTTAACAATAGCTGGCTTCGGGGCTTTCTTCTGAGGTAACATAGACTTCGCTTCTTCTCTAGAGATGCGTGAGTCTATCTCGATTTCCTTGCCACTCATGCTGAGTGTTGATCCCGGAAGTAATGGTGTTTTACAGACCGTCCTGCCGATGTCCTTGCCATCCGAGTCTTTGAGATTGGCATATCCTTGCGAAACGATGAGTATGCCATCACCGTCCCAGATTTTGTTCTTCTTGTTGGTTATCTTGCGCCAAAGAACTGAGAATCTTGCATCTACTGGGTCTTCGGACGGCCTTCCAGGCGATTCACAGATAGTATCTGAAGAGTTTCCATCCTGTTCAGGCTGCTGTGGCGATACTTTTAATCGTTTGGTAGGTCGTTCGGCAATGGGTTCCTGTATTTGCTGTGGGATTGGTCCAGGTGGCCTGGTGAGCAACGGCGATTTAAATGGCCTATACATGCCGTGCTGAATTGAATCAATTGTTCAAGAATTGATTGAGTTTGCCACTCGTGACTGCAAACCTCACGGAAAGATGAAACTTGTGGAGGAAGACGCGTTGTTGACGCGCGACCGTTGCCTGACGACATCATTGCTCTTTCCAAATTCGTGCAACCACACTTCGACTCGCTCTTGCATGAATGATGATGCATTTTTAGTGGGAAAAGACCAGTCAACGCAAATTCTCTGGTCTGCTGGAAATACAGTGTTCGGCAACTTTGACATAATCCTTGATTGTGAGCGGTCAAGTTAACGAACATATTATTCGATTGACAAGTCGCAGTAGATCACTAATAAGCTTATCCTTTTCATTTTACTCGTCCACACACCCTTGGGGGTCCTTCATCCATGCTATCACGACCACTTCAAAGCAATACTGCAACCACCCAGTGTTTTCCTCAGCCGAAAGAAATGCCCAGTTTTGATGATGCCGCCGAAAATATGAGTAGAGATGTACCCCCGTAGTCAAGGGTCCCGAAGCCAAATAACGCCATGCTAAACTCAAAGCTCGCTTTTCCTCCATTAAAAGCAGGCCTTGCGAAGAACGCCCAGTAAATCCTTCCCAAACGTCAAACTGGTCGCTTCAGATCACTACTTGATCTGAGACTGGTGCAGGAAAAAGAGGCGACGAAAGAAAGAAAGAAAGAGTTATTGCTGTAAATCGCGGTGGGGGCAGATCGTAATGCCGTCCGGGTAACAATATGTAGAAACGCCTTGAAGCACAAGTTGGCCTTTTCATCAGGCGATGAGGTGTATGCGTATGGTCAAAGCAATTTGTTCGTAGATGAGAGATGGTGTCAATCTTTCAACTTTTCGCAGGTGGTAGTTCACAAGTTGGTGCCTATCTAGCAAGCGGTCTTCTGGCCGTCCACACATGNGCTATAGCAGAGTCAGTAAAAGCCGTTGGGTTCAATACAGCATTCGGTATCGCTTACATGTTTGTGTATGCGTGGATCGAACGGTTGCGGATTTCCGCTCGTACTCCGGCAAGGAAGCCTTCGATTTCTTGTTTGCTCCAGCCAAACACACGTGAGAATGGGCCTAGACTCAGTGCTTCAAGGCCAGCACAGAGGTCCAATGCAGTCTGATGGAAGTTGCCAATGTTGAAGGCAGTAGGGTCAGTTGACCATGCCCGATGTGGAGCTTTGATGACTCGTTCTGAGATATCGGTGAAGCCAGCCTGGGACAAGGCTTGTCGGGTGTTGTGCGAATAGCGAATGGTCTTCGGTGTCTGGTCTGTAGCCCGCACCAGATAGTCGTACCATTGCCTGAGATAGGAGTCTGGAGGGAGTGTACCATCGTCACAACGAGGCTCAAAATCTATTTCGAGTTGTTCGATACATCCAAACCCGGGTCGGAGATGCNNCTGGTGCTGTCAGCTTAGTAGATGAATGTTTTTGTGAGAGGCTTACGAGAAGACTTTGGCGTATAGATTTGGCCAGCTTGAGACACTACCACCGAGCATTTGCAGATGAATCAGGTCCCACGAATCTTGGCCCAGGCTCCAGTAAGGTGTTTCGAAATTGAAAGGTATTTGGAAGCGAACATTGGGTGGAATCTGAGCAGGTTGGAGATTGGCAAGATCTAACCCGAGGACNCTGACAAGATTCGGTCAGTAATCAGAACCTTGAACGAGCTGCAGAACAATTACCTCTCCCTCTGGATATTGNCCTATTGACAAGCGCGTTAACTTAAGCCCATCGCAGTAGGGAGTGGTAGACACTTACTCGCCCATGTCAATTGCCCAGAAGCCAGTTCCGCACCCAAGGTCCATGATTCGAGGACGATGAGTGACCTCGGGGATCAACCTCGCCGAGTGCAGGCTCAATCCAGCTTTGTCGTAGAAAAGGTTGTGGTATACATCCATGCGATGGCGTTCCTCCNNTGGGATTGAACGTCAGCATGTGCGAATGACAGGCCAATGCGTGAATGGGCAAAAGTTTAAGAGAGAGCGGCTCACCTCGTCATGCGGGTACATGTATAGACCCTTCTGCCATGCATGGTACCAACGTCCATTCTCTTCATACCACTCTTGCTGCATTGGTGCTCTTACGGAGACGNNGCTCTGTGAAAAGAAGAGGGTAAGAAACTGCGAGACCGTTGGACGTGAAAAGGACAAAGTGGATGAGCTGGCGGGAGCGCGTTAGGGCTAGGAGGGAGTAGGAATGGATACGCACAGCACTTCTTGAGGGGCAACGAGAGACGCGACTGCTATTCTAGACATTATCAGGAAAAGCCACAGCACATGATCTCCAATAACAGCAAGGACGGCGCGCGGGCGGCTATAAGCAAGCGCAATTTGAGAAAAAGGTGGCCAAGAGAAGAGCGACGCGCCCCGGAGCGTGGACAGGCGAAGATTTAGTTAGCAGCAGCTTAAAAGCAGCGACAGCACGCAGTGGCAGTAGCAGCAGCAGTAGTAACGTCGACAAGGCTCGGGGGACGTGGGCGGCGGGGCGGGGCAGAGGCACTTTAAGGACACACGCAGTCGAGTTCCCAGCGAGACGGGTGCAGAGAAGTCATCAGCAGCGGCAAGCTGCACAAGTCTCGGATGGCTCCCGGGCTAGTGCTAGCAATATGTTTTGTGGGAAAGGGCAAGAGAAGCACCTACCTAACAGAAACAAAATAAAAGGGCGCCAGGGTTAGGTGCAGCCAGGAGCCGTGGATCGCAAGGTTCTACAGCACAAGCTCGTGCATGCTTCGGAGCGGATGGCATCCCCTTGGGCTCGCCAGTTGTTGCGGTGTATCACCCCAGGCATCTTCTCATCTCTACCAAAACACCAGTTGCACATGCCCCCACAGCAGACGGGGGTTTCAAGTTGGGCCGGAAGCTCAGGCTCGGCACGACACCGTCTCACCTCTGGCGGCTGACTGGCTGACCACGCCGTCGGGGTCGGTCCATTAGGACAGCACAGCGAATGAGCTAGAGGACGTGGCAGGTACACCGTTTCTCTGTGCTCTGCACCAAGCCCAGCTTTACGGATCGCCCTCTCGAATGGGCGACTAAAATACACGCCCTCGTGCAGCCCGAGTTTCGCACTTCCTTCCTTTTGAGCCGCTGGTGTTTTCCACCTTCTGCTCTGGTTCCACGACAGCTTCTCTCCCGCCAACTTGCCTCTGTGTTGAGCGTGCCACTGGCCACAGCACCGAAACACTGCAGCACCAAGTTAATATCGCCAAAGTGCTGTTATCTCGGATCCCGGTTCCAAGATCCCTGCTTGCCGCTAACAGCCCGCTGTCCCAAGAGGCCGGCGCTCTGAACCACCGCAAACCTTCCATTCGGTCGGTTTTCTTCAGCGTAGCCGACTGATACAATATACACACAAGTCTGTCCTCCTGCTTCAACTAGAGAAGTTAGAAGATTTGCTAGACAGGACCCCATCGACGAGTTTCGGCCAGCACGGCTCCGGCCAATCTACGAACTCGACTCTCTTCATGCGAGGAGCACACCATTAACAGCACACTGGGTCAGCCGACTCCGTGCGCTTGCGAGTGCTGACATCACAGACTGAAGCTGGAAATTGCAAACCTGGAACGAGCAACACCTGCTTGCGCCCTGCTATCTCGAGGCATGTTTTGTATACAACCACAAACGAGCCACTTGGTGAAGGTTTAAACGACATGAGAATCCCCTCCGTCAAAAGGCGCTCCACCGGCAGGGGGCTTTGTGCAAACGGCTGGGCCGTATCGCCGGTTCCTGCCGCCGCTATTTCTGCAGTCGTGGCCAACAAGGTTCCGATGGTAGGAAAAAGACTGGGCCGTGGCAGGTTGAGAGGCATGAAGGGCGTGATGTGATGTGCTCCAGAATGAATCCAGGCAGTGTTCACTCTCACATCGAAAACTTGACCCACTCAGTCTCGCTGGGATAAATCACGACCAAGACCTGGACTGCTTCGACTCGAGTTTGAAGTTAAACATGCATGCAGCAGAACTGCGACGCGACCGGAGAGAGTTGTGTTTGCACTATCTCGGAGATGAGAGCTATGTGCATCACGATGGTCAACTTCACATGCTCACTCTAGTGGGAATGCTCTGTCGAACCACTCCATCCTCCTGATGTGTGAAGTCTATCACCCGAGCCATCTCTCGTTTGTGTCTACAGCTGCTTTTGACACGAGTTGTATCTAATCAAAGCTGGTCTAGCAACCAGGTGCGATGAGTGGCTCTGAGCGTTACGAAAGTACTGTGCATCTCTACAACAGCGTAACAGGTTTTAGCACACGGGAAGGGCACAGTCACGTTAACAACATCGGAACATGACATCTGGCCGATGCCCGTACGAGATCGACTCGCGCTCCATTCCTTCGGGTACTGCTGTCAGCGTCACCCAATCACACAACTTTCGGTGTACAGCCAGGCCGACCCTGATAGATCATAGCGTTCCGAGCTTTTTGCGGCGCGCGACGGGACCGCGGCCCTCTCGTTTGTGTCGTCTTGGCAGCCGCACTCTATCGAGTAAATGGGGAATGTCAGGGACGGACAAGCTGACTCAAGTGCCACCCGAAGTGCTGGATTTTGGGTTTCACATCTGTGTCTTCTGTTCGTGCTCATATCTTCAACCAGCCCCAGTGCCTGTGAGCAAAAGCAGAATGAAGGACCACTCGATCGGCCAGCGACATGACCACAACGTGGCGTTATGCATCCAATCGGTGAACAAGCGCGATGGATGCACGCCTATGGAGAAGCTCTGGACACTGTACCACCCTCGCTACCAACTACACAATGGGAGGATATCGCGAGCTTCATCTAATTCCGAATTTGCTACTGCTCATGCACACACATCATGCGTTCCAAGAAGCAGTAAGATGCGCAAGAGCTAGGGAGACCCAACCATGCCCAGGTCACTAGACCCCTCTTTTAATCATTCTCGCACGTGGCCTTCTTAGTGAGAGCACGGTGAGGGACAGGGCTAGGCAACTCATCTACCCGTACGCAAGCTGCCGCTGTCAAATGTGCTTGCTCGAAACTGCGTTGAGTCTTTCGAAACCAGTCCGGATCAAATTCTACCCGATGGTCGTTCGTCGCTAACCATGTAGACGAACGGCCTTGCCTGCACGGCATTGCGTACCTCAAATTGTGTCTACGAAATACGTGTCTCACCAAAATCAGTACTAAGCAATCTGCAAGCCACAAAAGACCTTGATACCGTACTCTGCATTACTATTTGCAGTATATTGGATGGTTCAGTCGCAGCTTGCAACACGCTTCTTGAAACAGAACACTCAATGACATCCTGGTCGTTATTCCGCTTCCCAACCCGGTTCTCCTACTGTCATACCACTCAACGAGGACAGCATACCGTATTATCGGACGAAAATCTCGCGAAATCTCGAGGAGGGACTTGTCGCATGCCTTGCTAAGCCTTGGGGAAGGCCGAATCGACGCGGAATCCTTCAGCATTCCGAACTTCTTCTCTCCACAAGTCAAGACCCACAAGCGGCCAGTGCTGATGACTTGTGCATTTGTGTAACATCAAGGGTCTGTTACTGGCGGTGACCGTGACAGCAATCCAATCTTCTTTCTCACGTGGACCTTGATGTGGTTCGAGCACGAGAAGGTCCGTGATGCCGTGCGTCACAGCCGGCTTCACTGAGGTGATTGAAAGTGCTGAGGAGACGACTACAAAGACCACACTCGATTGATCACGACTACCAACATTCGGAGGGTGGTGTCGGTGCCTCCTTAACTTATAGGTTTATCCACGCATCAACTCAATACGATCTTGCATTGAGTCTCGTGTTCGTATGCAGTTCTCTCCAGCACATACGCTTCCAAGATCCATCTCTCTGCTTGCTCTACGCGAAAGCAATAGGTATGCTCTGAAGTCAAACACGAAGTCCAGTTCTTCTTGTGCATGCGGGAAAGAGCTTGTTTGTCGGAAGATAATCTCTTCATTCAGACCCTCCATAGGCAACTTCCTCTACTACAGTCCGTTCCTACGAAAGCCTTCGATCAGCCAGCTGCACCATTTTCTATGATCTTTTCTACGCCCGTACGCCATACGACTGTGCGACGCAAGGGTCGTCAGACAGCGCCAAATGTTGACGGACCCCATCCTAGTGATTCAGAAGCACGTTCAAGTACTTTGGGTGATGGGCTTTGCGCATCTCTGTTGCAGACTGTTGTGGTAACTCGCATTGTCGATTAATTTTGTCTTCCCTTCTTACATGTACCGATACGTCGGGTACCCAGCGTTTGCTGGCCGGACATCTTTACACCATGACCTGCGCTCATCCACATCATCTCATCTTGGTTCGCGGCGGTCTAACACGATTGCATGTTCGTGCTGAGATATCTTGCTTTTGGACATGCACCCGACACACTTTCTGCTTAATCGCTGCCTGTTCGTCGGCATATTCTGTAAATGTAAGCTACTCTTTCGATGAGTCTTGCTGCAGCGAAGGTAAGCGTCTACAGCATGCTTCGGTGCTCCCTCTCCTGTCCATTGTCCCTTTCTTCTGTTGGGTTACGCCATGGATATAATCGGGAGAGGCCACGGATGGCTGACACGACTCCACGAATTCATGTGTGCCGCCTGTGTTAACAAATTCTATGTCGCAAGCATGTCTTTGTATGAACAACCAACTGGTTGGGTCACGGAGGTTCGTCACCAACCGTTCGCGGAAACCATCTAAGTTATGACGAACCACCTGCTGGCCCCAGTCCGTTTCTCCAATTTCTTAGGGACTCACTTCGCCCATATTAATGAAGTTGTTAATAGCCGTGGGCTTTGCGCTCTTCAATCCGAAACACTTTCTCAACTGCCGGATTTGTCTCCTTGTCATTCAACCACTGCGACTTTCTATCTATAACTTTTCTTGACGAGAACGTCCGCGATATCGACGATGCAAGATTTTCCTCGGCTCTACTAAGATACAATCTTCCAGTAACTCTCGCTTCCGGCACATCGGTACGAGGAACGAGACAAGCGCCAGTGGCAACACACACAAGGGAAGATACGTACACGGCACTAGCCATTTTTCTCAAAAGAGTTACCGACTAAGAATATATTAAATGCGAGCAATGTCAAACACGGCAAGCGATCATCCTTACAAGAAAAAGAAGAAGATCTTGGAGCTTGGGATTTTTATATTGGCTTCCCAACAAAGCCTCGTTGGTGCTTACAAAGACAGGAAGGAAATCAGGCAACCAATGATGACTTTTTTTGTTGCTGGAGTTCTTTACCTTGTGACTGGAGTCTGCTAAACATAGAACGGGATTGATATTACCTGACCAAGTCCATGATGCTGAGGAGGCGACCCTGCATCACATCTAGACCGGTTATGATTGCACGGCCATCGCTGGTGAGATTCCTTCAAGCTATTAGTGGCTCTCGTGTGCGTACCTAAACAATCCTTACTGGTACAAGAGTTACTGGAGGGAACAGCGGCCGAATCAGAAGGTCACAAAAATCGAAATGGCTGCCGGTCTCAGTGTTTGACATGCACTTTCCTTGTTTCTTCTTTCCGTATCCAACTGCTCGCGCCTTCCTCCGTTCATGGTGTGTCGTAACTTCCTACAAACTGACACTCGTACCTTGTGTCCAACTGCGGCCTGATTCACTGGTTGCCAACTATTCACATACAAGCATACGCTCCCTCGTTTTCACGATCCATCATTATCATCACTATTGCCTTGCACCACTCTGTTCAACTACCACCTTACTCTCTGGAGAACACATTCTCCATTATAATCATAATATGATCTAAGTCTTTTCTTGCTTGCAGAACAGCTCTATCCCAGTCATAGGCTAGCTCGCCTGGTTAATAAGTCCTACACTAGAGAAGCTTTACTATTTGATCATTTGATCGTTTTTGGAGTTCACGAGCAAGCTCTTAGCCAGGATGCTGGACTTCCCCCATACATACTCTTCTATGAGAATGTTGAAGCTTGAGACAGAAGAGGGATGACAGAACCAGCTTTCGAGAAGTCAGAAAGGCACGATCTGTACAGGGGAGGCGAGGCAGAACGAGATGAAGGCAAGTAGACTGGAGATTACCCATGATAGCAGGAGGTTCTGTTATGCAATGTCCCTTCCTCATGTTTCTTGACCATATCGCTCCTTCCGTTCTAATATGATTGGATCGCTCCTTGCAGTCTGTGATCGCATCGCTCCTTCCCTACGTATCTTGCGTGTATCGTTCCTTTCCTTTGTATATTAGCTGGGTCGTTCCCTCCGTAGATGTTTTTTTCCGTATATATGTCTTGTTTGAGGCTCGTCTTATGATATGTTGTTCTGCTTGTTTTGCTTTTGCATTGATCTGTAACATTACTCTACATTATCTGTTATCTAGGATTTTAATGTTGTTGTTCTTGTTGGCATTTTTGTGTTTCTTCCCCTTCCCCTTTCCCTTGTTCCTGGCCTACTTGTGAACTCATGCTTGTATGCTTGACGTCTAGTTGCAGAGTATGAGGGTAAAAGCTTTGTGCTTGCAACCTAGTCATATGGCTCCAAGCCCAAGTCTGCCTTTGATACGTGTGCTTTTATTCTTACAGCGTATCTTCCTGGCACTCTGGCATGTTGTCTGGGTTTGGCCTCGACATTGTTTCTCTTTCTAATGGTCTGCTTCTCTCTTTTGGCGAGTTTGGATGTTTAGAGGAGCTGATGAGAGTGTAATGAGATCGTTCTCTGCTCTCTCTCTTGATGAGCTTGCAACTTTTGCTCATCGTCTTGAACTTCGGTTGCTCCTTTTGTTGGTTTCGCATCTTCCCTGGCGTTCTCCGGCTTCCGTGGTAACTTCTCTAGATTTGTTTCTTGCTTTGATTTGGTCGTTGTTGCTTTTCTAGTCTTCTGTCTCATATCTTTGTTTGGATTGACACTCCTTTTTCGACTTCCGTTGTGCCTGGTTCCCATGGGGTTACTTGGACGGGAGACGACTGAATGAAAGGAAGCTATGCAGACATCGTGACCTCAGAGCAAGAAGACCAACATGACAACACAAGCTTAGAAGGAGAACTAAGTGATCTGTTCATATTTCTCATTTATATATTTTTTTGTTATTGTGTTTGATTCCTCTTTGCTTCTACGCACCGAGACTTACTTGGTATACTCCTTCTGTAACAACTTGGCAATGGTGGTGAGCTGAATATTGCTCGTGCCCTCGTAAATAGCACCAATCTTGCTGTCTCTCCAGTACTTCTCCGCTAGTCCCTCTCTGACGAAACCCATGCCGCCCATCCACTCTATCGCCTGTCCAGACACTCTGCCCGCAACTTGAGAGGCGTACAACTTGGCCATGGCAGCATCCATGACAAAGTCCTCGCCAGCCTCCTTNTTGCGCGCGGCATTGTAGACCATGGCGCGCGCGGCGCATATCTCTGTCCACGCTTGCGCGAGCTGGTGCTGCATACCCTGGAACTCGCCGACGAGGGTGCCAAACTGCTTTCTGTCGTTCCAGACATACGAGGCAGCATTGGAAAAGGCACCCATAGCCAATCCAGTCATTTGAGCGGCAATGCCAATGCGACCTTCGTTGAGAATGCCAATGGCGTATTTATAGCCTTGTCCCTCTTCACCCAGCAAATTTCCCTTGGGGATGTCGCAGTCGTCAAAGTTGACGACGCAGGTGGAGGAGGCCTTGATGCCGAGTTTCTTTTCNCTTTTGGCGATGCTGAAGCCGGGGGTGTCCTTGTCGACGATGAAGGCTGTGATGCCCTTGTAGCCCTTTGAGGGGTCGAGGTTGGCAAAGACGATGAAGAAGCCTGCTTCTAGAGAGTTTGTGATCCACATTTTGGAGCCGTTGATGCGGTAGCCGTCGGCCGTCTTTTCGGCACGGGTCTTGAGGGCGAAGGCGTCGGAGCCTGAGACGGGTTCGGAGAGGCAGAAGGAGCCNTGTTGAGCATATGAGCTTGTGGAGGAGAGTGTTGTAGAAGAGTGGAAAGACCTACCGACAGTGTTGGTGGCCAACTGAGGCAGCCACTTACGCTTGCTCTCATTGGTACCGTACTTGAGCAACGTAGTGTTGACCAAAGTGTTATGCACATCAACCATGACACTCACACTGGGGTCCACTCTCGCCAACTCCTCAATGCCCACAATAGCAGCGGTGAAGTTCATGCCGGCGCCACCAAACTCTTCGGGGATTTCAATGCCCATGAGACCCTGCTCAAAGCACTGCTCGATGATGTCTTGGTCCATCTTTTCGTTCTCGTCCATGCTGCGGACTTTGGGCAGGATGACATCGTTGGCGAATTTGGACACGGACTCGGCCATCATGACTTCGGTCTCGGACATGTGCGAAATGGGGGTGGGGATGGCGCCAGTGAGGTCATGGGGTTCGCCGGTTGTTGTCTGCCTGCGAGGCTGCGAGGATGAGAGACTTCGCCAGCTGGTTNNGGTTGTCAGTGTGTGTCATGACTGGTATCTCTGACCATGTCCATACCATGGTCTTGAGACGACTCGCTGGCGGAGCGGTGACTGGAGGGTAGAGGGGCGGACAAAGGGGCGGATGCTCTTTGCTACTGAAGCCATGATGTGTATTGTATGACGAGGAAGAAGTTGCGAACGAAAGGAGGCAGATAGTCCGAGTAAAAGATCAAAAAGATGTCGGCTACATCATGGCCGGGACTCGGAAGAGATGCAGGGAGCAATGGAACCGCCGAATCACATGCGGAGAAGCAGAACCGAGGCACAGAAAAGTCTGGGGTCTCCGCGCCCTGCCGCCGCCATCGCCCTATCGTTCTCGGTGCGATCAGAGTCTATTTCTTGTTGCTTCTCGTAAAGGCTCAATGCTTATACTGCATATCTACTATCTCGACCGAGTATCGGTTCAATTCACTGGACGTGGTGTGTTTGACAGACTTGTCACCACTCGTGCTGTAGGCATGGATATTTGATATCTAAAGTAACAATACTCAGGTGTATTACTGCAAGAAGTAGAGGATGATTTCCTCCACCACCAGATTCGTATAGTACCCTTTGCTGTGTGAGACCGTGAGCTGTATGTCTCTTCCCGGAGAATGTCTCTCCCTGCTTTCCCGGGCATTGTGGTTTGAGATTTGCTAGGTACATCTCCTTGTCCATGGACCTGTAGTAGGCTGCCTGGTTCCTCAGGAAGCTTTTAATCTCTGACTCTCGGCTTTGTTGATCTTTTTGGACATCTGAGTGGATGTGGAGTTTTCGGTGTGTTGGAGCGGAGCAGCAGAGATACCGAATCAGTGCTTCGAGAACAAGTCTTAATATGATCTTGCACTCCCAGAAAGACCTAGGTGTCCCAGTAAGATACCACGAAGACAGCAAGAGATGATCCCTCCAGTCCGTCCACCCGCCAACCAAAGCATCGACCGCCCTCTAGTTCGGTCTAAACTTATTCCTCTTCATCTTCATAGCCTCAACCTTCTTCCTATCCTCCTCGAAGCCCTTGAGCAACTCATTAGCCTTCTCCTTGCGCTTCTCGCGCATCTGGAAACGATAAAAGTCCTCTTTGCCCTTTTGCTTTTCCTTTTGCTTCTCTGCTTTTTCTTGCGCTTCTTCTTGACGGGCGGGTCCCATGCGGCCGCCGCGTGTGACGGTGACAAAGCCGTCTTCGTCGGGCTCGGCGCGTTGGCGGGCGAGTGCGCGTGCGCGAGAGGCTTCTTGCTCGGCAAAGGCTGTCATGTATGCGTCGACGGAGGTTTGGAGGACGGCGGTGGAGGGNAAGCGGAGGGCGTGGTGGCTTAGGTATNNCCTTGATTTTGCACGTGTTAGCTCCGACGTTTCTCGAGAAGCAGAAGAGTAAAACTCACTCGCAGCACCCAAAGCAGGCACCTTGTCCACCATCCCATCATTGCCCCAAACAATCTCTTTACCAGCCTTTACCGCCTTCTTCACCTCCTTCAGTCCCATCTCCGCAGCAGCAGCATCCACAAATACAACCACACAAGTATTTCCACTCCTCCCCACACTTCTATCCCACGTCTCTGGCAACTCCACCTTCTTGGCCTCTCCGTCAGCACCTCTCTTCCTCTTTTTCCCACTTTTACTCGTCACCGGCGCTGTGATTTTTCTGCCTGTCCTTGCTCCTTCAAATTCTACTCTTTCTACACGCGCACCGCCTCCATGTACGGCGAATAAATTGCGCAAATGAGGTTCTGTGGCGTCGATGGGGAGGTTGACGATGAAGAGTTCGCGGGGCGTGTTGTCGGTGGCTATCTTGGGCGCGTTGGGTCGTAGGTAGAGGTAGTGTTTTGTTGCTACGGGGAAAGCGGCGGTCGGTGGGATGGAGAGAGGTAGGATGGTGTATTCGTTTACGCTCGCTGGTATACGACTGCTGCTATGTTGTGAAGGCGCCATGTTTTCGTGGAGTTGTGGTTGAGATGCGGTGTGTTTGCGACAGAATTGATAATTTTCTTGAAAGTCTCGGGGTCTGCGCTTTCGCTTTTTGCGGAGAAGTTCCGCGGTCGTCACCATGTCGCGGCAACGTCACCCTGACCTTCTCGAGTTGCTGCTTCCCAGCTTGCTTGTGGCTCTCCCAACAGAAATGGTATTCACGGAAGATACACACCAAGATTAACACTAGATCAAGACGTATTCTTAAAGAGGCTCAATACCATATCTCATCCTGGATACTGACCCGATTCTTGTATCCTCAAAGCTTACAACATTGCTCCATATCACTGTGAGCATAGTAATCAAATCAGAAACTGAACTGGGTAGAAGCTTCGGACCAAGAGGGGAAGGGACGCAATTAGTCGATATGCTGTATTATGTCTTCCCACTGCCAAAATGGCTAACTAGATAAAAATCCCTCTTTTCTGCCATCATCTCTCCTCTCCCTCTCCGCCGCATGCTCTTCTATCCATTTTTCTCTCTTCTCTTTTCTTTTTGCTCTAGTCTTTCCTTCTCACGCCTTCCGTGGGGCAATGGCCTTGCAAACGCAGGTCGTTGGTCCAAGAAGAGAAAAGAAGTCGATGAACATCGTGGTCGGGATCTCGTGATAAAACTTTTCGCAGGTCATTGGTAGGTCGTGAAAGAGAGCAAATCGGCTCCATGAAATGATGATAGAAAATAAGACAAGGCCGAAAATATGGCGTCTATATGTCGAAAAGCCGCTGGCGAGCACGCTTGAACGAGAAAAAGGTTGACCAGAAAGTAAACAAGGAAATGCTGGCAATGGACGATTGTGCAAGCAAGAGGACCAGTCGTGCTGGTACCATGTCAAAAGATCCCCATCATGGATAGTCTAGTTTCTGCAAGATCACTCAAACAGATACAGAGGCAGGAATAATGGCAGCAGCGGCGTTAGGAGTCTGGACGGGAAGGGGAGCAGCAGCGACAGCGTCGGCAGGAGGAACAGGAGCAGACTCGCCATTGACGTCGTTTTGCTGGCTGCATTCGCGGGAGATGTGGCCAGTCTCACCGCAACGATAGCACGTCTTGCCGGCAGTGTTGAGCGGGCCTCCGTTGGGAGCAGTGCACTCGCGGGAGATGTGACCAAGCTTGCCGCAAGCATAGCACTTCATGGCCTGTGCCTGGCAGTCGCGAGCGAAGTGGTTAGGACCGCCGCACTTGTAGCAAGTGGCAGGACGAGGACCACCAACGAAACCACCGCGGAAGCCGCCACGAGGACCAGGGGCACCGCGACCAAGACCAGCAGCAGCACCAGGAGTAGGGCAAGTGCGCTGCAGAGAAATACAGTCAGCCAAAATGCACGGGAATCCACGACGGGAGATGCACATACGGCAAGGTGACCAGGCATGCCGCAGGAGTAGCAGCGTCCGTTAGCACCGCCATTCAGACGGAGAGTAGGGCAATCAGCCTGGACGTGTCCAAGACCCTGGCAGTGGTAGCATTGCTTGGCTAGGAGTACAGATCAGCATACAGAACCAAAAGGTATGATGCACGACATACCCTCGGTGGTGCGAGGAAGAGGGCAGCTGCTCGACTCATGACCTATTTAGAGAATGAGTATGGCGAAGCAGGCTTCAGAGACGAAGATGNGGTACCAGGCTGCTTGCAGTTGTAGCACAGACGCTCAGAAGAGGAGCAGACCTCGGCGTAGTGGCCGACGTTGCCACACTTGTAGCAGGCACGGCGGGACAGGGAGGACATGTTGATCCTTGTGTTGTAGAAGGGGTAGGAGCCGTAAGACTTTTAATGTGTACCGTAGGTGCTGTATATGTCCAAGTTAGATTCCGTTGACCAAAATGTGTACACTTGAGAATGTGTCGTGGTGTTTTGTTCGGCCAATTCATCCTCCTCGTATAGCGGGTTGCTAAGCAAATCATCGAGCGAATTGTTGAGGAATCCGTCGAGCACTTCGTCGAGAGAAGTGTCGAGCGAACCATGTCTTTCAGAATCAACAAGAGTGTAGTGATGGCTATGCTCGACCGCAAGCGATAGATTGAGTCATTGCAGCCGACTTCTACAAGGGAATAGACACGGCGACGGGTTCGACAGCGTCCGAGAACATTGGGAAACCGGCAGGATGCATGTGGGACACTACCAGCGAGACGACTGACCTGGTGGAGCGCGAGGTTGCTTGACCTGCTACAGCGTCAGCGTCTACAGCTCCCAGGTGTTTGGTGTTTCAGAATCGCTCTGTGTTTCTGTTGTCTTACACTGCTGCTAAACGATTACTCCTCCTTCACTTCTTCGGCACTTCCAAAGCTCGGAACGATTGACGAGCGATCCAGCAAGATACAAGCAATGCGACAGCAAGGTGGATCGGGTGAATGAAGGTTGGGCGGTTGCGATTGCGGCGCGACAGAGGCTCGAAAAGAAGGAAACGCCGACGGGAGACCCACCCGACACCAGCTCCATGCGCCTCCTTCCGTGACCCGGCTTTATTCTCCGGCCTGCATCTTCGTCTTCCCTTCAACAAGCCCACCACCGTCGCCGTGACGAGAAAAGGACCATGCAGTGTCTATGAGCAGTCAACAGACAGCTCTGCCGACCGAAGGCTTCATGCTCAAGCTGCACCGTTGGGAGCTTCAGAGGTAGCTCGCATGTACCGAACCCGAACCGTGCACGCCGTCAATATATGAACCGAACATGTTGTCAACTGCATGCTTGGTGGCTGCGAGGCTTGTTGCATATTCATTATATTCTGCTGTTGACTGTTTGTTGTTCACAGATCTCCATGACTTCGCGAATTGGTTGCCGTAACTTTCACACCTCCAAACGCCTCAATGCGCCTTCATGCATCCTGTGTCCGATCTACTGCTTCTCTTGCTCAATCACTGCAGGTGCCTTGATTGTGCGCTCGCTCAAGAACTCGAGACCTTCACCACCNCTTTACATCTTGTATTAGCCTTGATTTGTAGATTTGACTCCGGTCATAGAGTTACTTACGTAGCTGATCTTGGGTGAAATCTCGACACCAGCATTGTCATCTTCACTTGTCACAGTAGCACCGACAGCCTCGAGCCACCTGGTGCCTTGGCGGAAGATGTCACGCTTGCTGNNAGTGTCGGGGTCGTCCTCACCAGTGCCTCTAGCGTTCTTGAGTGGTGAGAACTCGTCCTCTCTTCTGACCTCTTGGCAAGCGAACTTGTCCATGGAAAGGAAGGGGAAGCAGTCAAAGACAAACTGCTCGAGCTTGATGCCGTTAGGCTTCTCGGGCTTGATGGTCTCACCCTTGTCAGTGTCGACATAGGGGATCTTCTTTCTAGCAATGTGGTGGGGAAGCTTGTCTGACCACTCGGGAATGCTCTCAAGGAAGCTGAATGAGTAGTAGTGGTTAACAATGTTGGCAGCGCGGAACTTGAGCAGGCTTGAGTCCTTAGAGTCCTTTGCCTCGGATGTTTCCTTGTCAATCTCAGAGTACTCTACAACGTCGGGCTTGCCGTTCTTTGACAAGATGAGTCCAACAGACTCCTTGGCATCACGCTTGCGAACAACCTTGGTGGCAATGTCGACGTTCTTGGAGGCTGAGAAGCCAATGAAAGTGGGGTCGGCGACTCTGACAAGGCAGTTGTCGACGCAATATGCGTGAATGTGCTTGATGCCTCTCTTGGACATGTCTTGAATGACGCCTGACTTGATCAAGGCGTTGTAGAGACCACCGTTACCGTCGGGTGCTACAGCAACCTTGGACTTTGACTCCAACAAGATCTTGCCGTCGTTGGAAATGCAGGGAAGGGTGCCCTGCTCGAAGAAGATGACGTTGTTTCTGTTGAGGCCAAAGTATGCGTGCTTCTCGAAGAACTCCTCGGTGGGCTTGCGAGTAGGACCGCTGGTCATGATGTACCATGGCACAATGACCTCTTCCTTGCTGTGCTCGTGTTGAGCCAATTGCTGAATCTTCCAGATTCTCTCTGCTTGAAGCTGGAAAAGAGACTTCTGGCTAGGAAGACCAATGTCGTAGCAACCCTTGGGGGCAGAGCTACCCAGGCGAGTGCCCTGTCCACCGGCCATGAGGACCACGGCAACCTGGTTCTCGGCGATGGACTGCAGACCCTGTGTGTACCATCTGTTGAGGTCGTCGGGCTTGGAGTCGTAGATGGAGGAAGTGGCGGACTCAGGGAGCTGCTCGAGCTTGGGTGCAGCGTCGTCGGACTCGGGCTTGGGAGGGTTCAGGGCGCGGTGGGTGATTTCGTTGACATATTCAGGGTTAACATCGACGAGCTGTTCGTAAAGCATGCCCTTCTCGGCGGCATTGATGTCATTCCAGAAGGCAAAGACCTGCTCCTGGCCGGCCTTGGTGAACTTTTCCAGGAGCTTCACGTAGTCTTCGTGGGCAGGTTCCTCAGGGGCAGGGGTGTTGCCCGTCAGATGAAGCTTCTCCAAGACGTTGTTGATCATGGCGGCGGCCATGTTGTGTGAGAGGGGTAGAGCGGTGTAGTGGGGTAGCTGGGCTGCGCCTGGGTCGTATGAGGATATAAGAGTGCTTGTTGGCCGGATGTGTTGGAGATGAGTGGGAGGAAGCAAAGACGCAAGGATTCGAGGGGGATGGAAGACACGAAACGCTTCTTGACACTTTCTTTTGTGATGGACCTCCCTGCCGACGCCTGATTCAATCAACACTGATCACCATCAATGGAAAAGCACCCAAGCACCAAGCTTCGACCCCCACTTGCGTCACTCTATTTTTGGCTTGCCGTGCTCTCCTGCAATTTTGCGATATCCCTCCCACAATCAAATTGTGTTATGGAATACTCAGTATATCTGATTAAGGCCTCGATACAAAGTTCTTGCCGTACAACAGACATGGGCCTGCTGCAGCCTACAAAAGTCGAGAGCTCAAGCTCATCCCCAGTCAAACTCAATGGTCGGGTTGTTTCAGGCCTAGGCGCTAAACATTTGAACGTCTGAAACGGGGAGGCAGTAAACAAGACCAGCTTCAGTTCACTGTAATACAAGACTCTCGCCGTTCCCAACATCTGCCCAATTGACTCCCTCGAACGACCCAATCACCTCGTCGCTGGCCGCATCTTTGCTTGAAGAGCCCCTCCTGCGTTTCTTCTCGGCCTCTACAGCATCCTTGACGCTGATTTTTCGTCTTTTGAGCAACCACCCTACGATGCCTGTGCCTTTCTTGTCCTCATCGTGAGTGGCAATCCAATAGCTGGCCTTGAGCTTCCGCTGTGCTNNTTGGAGTCCATTATGTGCTCCTAGGTTGAGCTGTTGTGCTGCTCCGAGTGTAATATCTTCGAGGCCATGCAAAAAAGCTAGTGTCTTGATAGGCGGATCGGCCTTGGTCACCAAATCAAGGCTCTCGCTGTCACTGTGTATGCCATGAGGTGTATAGATGACTGCTTCTGCTGTTTCATCCTCCTCTTCTGGCTCTGTGTATTGATGCGAGCTGCTTCGTCTTGAAGCCTGCCCACTCTGCTGATTGTTGAAGGTGATCATGAGTGCCGAGTGAAAGTATAGCATGTCACTACCGGTTACGAGTCGCGAAATGCCGAGCCACTCTGGCAAAGGGGTGACTGATGTCGCACGCCAGTCGGGATCCTGAGAGAAGTGCGGTATCGTCTGAACAACACGGAAGTGCTTCCAAGACTCGATCAAGGGGATTGCTTTCTGTNNTATGTCCATGAGCGTGAGCCTTCGTACTTCGTATTTCGAGCCACTTACCTCTGTCGCGAAGACAGGCACGTTTGGATGCACATCTCGCATTGTGTGTTCATGACAGTGGTCGGTGAACTGATGGCTGATGGCAACAGCATCTATGAAAGTCTCAACCTCAATATGGCCCTCGGGATCTTGTGCATTGCTCTTTCTGCCTTTCCCGAGACGTAGTCCACTAGCCAGGCTCTCAGTCTCACGGATGAGGTCTTCTACCGCTGCGATGCTCGGGACTCGAGGGGTCTCGGCATGCCACTGCTTACTCAACCAACTCGTGTAATCGGTCTGTGTTCCGGAGAGCCAAGGGTCGATGAGAATGTTGAAGTAGACTCGACCTCCACGTTTGGTTGCGGCCACGGGGCGGGGNACCATGAGCAGCCATGCTGTGTCGGCACTGAGGTGGTGGAGGACTGGTCGACGCATGGCAAGAGCATCACTCACTGCATCTTGTAAGTTTTGATGCAGTTGTGTCGCCGGATCGTGCATGTCCTCCTCTTCAACATGTTGACCGCCTGCTTCTGTTTTCTTTTGGCTGTTCGATGACATGGACATGTTTGTTTCGGCCCCTCCCGAAACATGGGGAAAGCTTTGTGGTATCCATGTTGCTAACAAGACCCTACCTCATCAACTCTGTCCATGCTACTCGGAACAGGGACATGACCAGAGTCTCCCATGATAAAACAAGTGCCACCACCTATCCATTCCTCGCCCTTTTTCGAGAGAAGAAATTGGCGAGAGCATCAGAGGTGGTGCAACCATCAAGACTCGAGACAATGCTGATGTTGCCAACGCATCCTCCATCATCCTTCCTTGGCTCATGGTGGACACTGCCCTCTTCGTGAAACCTGAACAGCCTCACTCTGCGCCTACTGCTAAGCCACTGTCGCAAAACATCACTACATATCGATTCCTTGCCTCGAGCTGCACAGCAACTATCCTGTAACTACTCTGATAGCTACATATTCAGCATGACCAACGAAAAGTACAACCCTCCTCCGGGCCCTCCACCTGGTTGGAGCAAGAGGCAAGAAGCATCATCAGAAACCTATGCGCCTCCTGCAGGCCCACCACCAGGCTATCAAAGACACAATGAGAAGTTCAGCATGAACGAGCAATTTGCACCTCCTCCAGGACCTCCTCCATCCCATCGCTATGACGAAGCCTTGGATCAGACCGCTCCACCGGACTATGCTCCGTGGCTGTCAGTACCAGACACGAGCTTGCTCCCACCTGCTCCCGCAGTGACTCATGATACTTCACCGACTGCAAATGCAACTCAAGATTCTGCTGAACGGGCAAAGAATTGGTGCAGTCGTAGTCATCTGTACCCACCGGGTCAGATCCCTGCTTCGGTCCATGAAGATTTCCGGCTTCATGGTTTTGTCTTCAGCCAACCTCCACCACAATTTTCAGGCGAGGTGACGAGAGCGATGCGCCAACAAAACACCTGGGCGGTCCGCACACGTAAGAATTGTGAAGACTGCATCCTTACCACATCGGCTCCACTCTACTCTGCAGCTCTCAATGACCCATTGAGGAATAATGGAAGGCCTTTCACCATCTACTTTGAGATCCGTGTTTCCCGCATGGCTTCCGATTCTGGAGAAGAAGGTGATGCTGGAATTGCAGTCGGATTCGTAGCACCTCCATACCCTCCATTCCGACTCCCTGGATGGGAGAGAGCTAGTCTCGGTGTGCATGGCGATGACGGTCGTCGCTACATTGACGATGACGGAGGCGGTCAAGACTTTACTACTTACTTCAAGAACGGAGAAACAGTCGGTATCGGTATGAACTTTAGACCTGCACAGTTCCCTGGTCGCAGAAGAGATGTTGAAGTCTTCTTCACCAGAGAAGGTCAGAAGGAGGGAGGATGGAACATGTACGAGGAGCGAGATGGAGATGATTGTGGCAGCATTGTGGGACTAGAGGGTGATCACGACTTGATGGCGGCGGTAGGAATGTTCGGGCAGGTTGACTTTGAGGTGAGGTTCCGTCGTGAAGAATGGCTGTATCGTCCGTAGATGTCAATTGAAGAGAGAGTATTCTGATAGAAGTGCAATGACGCGGTCTCGGAGATTAGGCGGGATTATTCAAAGGTTAAATGCGGGATGCGGCGGTCGTGTTGCGATGGCTGGAGGCTCCAGCTGGCATCTGTTAACGACATGGACATTGACTTGTCGCATATCGCACAATGAGGACAGCATCGTGGCGAGCCGTGTCGCTGCTCTTACTATGCCTCGTACTGGCCTTTGTCAACTGCCAGGAGGCCGCCCTGAGTCAACAAGATGGCTCCCATCATGACACGACGCCATACATTCCCACCGCACAAGACCACGCCGAAACACACTCCAAGCTCCCATACGAGCAGAGTCCAGCTGTCAAGGATGCCCTCACATCTCTGCGCAAGATCCGGCCAGCAACAAGTCGCCTTGCACGCCTCAGCAAGCCTTCTGGTCTCGTGGCCAAGACCATCTACTACGCCAAAGAGCTGTTTGTCCTTCTCTTCATGAACCAGCCCGACCAAAAGGACCTTCTGATCACCGATGCCACGCCTCCGCCTCTCGCGCCCGCCCTGCACCGTGCCGTTACTCTACTGCAAGACGCAGCCGCCGATCAAGATCCCGACGCTTTGTGGCTGTTGGCCGAGATGAACTTCCACGGCAACTTCACCCACCCTAGAAACTACTCGCACGCCTTCGAATATTACCAGACTCTGGCATACCTAAATGGCAACAGCTCGGCTCAGTACATGCTAGGCTTCATGTACGCCACTGGTATTGGAAATGCCGTCCCACAAGATCAGGCTAGAGCCCTTCTATACCACACTTTTGCTGCTGAGCAAGGTGAGATTCGCTCTCAGATGACCCTCGCTTATCGCCATCACTCTGGAATTGCTACCCCGAGAAACTGTGAAGAGGCGGTTCATTGGTACAGACTAGTCGCAAAGCAGGCTGTTGAGTTCTACAAATCTGGCCCTCCTGGTGGCCACTCGTTGGTCAAGAACGCTTTCCGCTTGGTCGATGAAGAGGGAGGCATTTATGGCGAAGGTGCCAGTGTCAGCAGTTCCGGTGTCAATGCAAAAACTGGAGGCCCGACATCAGATGCCTATGCCGATCTGGACGACGTTCTCGAGTTCCTCGACTTCCAGTCAAGAAAAGGCGACCCCAAGGCTACTTTTCACCTCGGAAGGCTGTATTACGATGGCTCACGAGGCTTGGCTCGCAACTTCCCCGAGGCAAAGGACCACTTCATGCAGGTTGCCAGACTATATTGGACTCCTTCCGGCAAGGTCAAGTCTGATGTCTCGTCTCTTGTTGAGAAGCTCGCTCCAAAAGCCGCCGGCTACTTGGGCAGAATGTTCTTGCGTGGCGAGGGCACCGAAAAGAGCTATAGCAAGGCCAAGATTTGGTTCTCTCGTGGCATTGAGCATGGCGACGCTCTATCACAATACTCGATGGGAGTCATGTACATGGAAGGACTGGGTGTTCCCAAGAACCCTATCAGAGCCGCTGAATACTTCTCCCCTGCCGCAGACCAAGACCTTGCAGTAGCCCAGACAAATCTGGGCATCTTGTTTATGGATCAAGGCGACATTCAGACTGGCAGGAGTTACTTCGAGCTGGCCGCTCGCAACAGTCACATTGAGGCTTTCTACTACTTGGCTGAGCTGAGTAATCAAGGCGTTGGTCGTGACCGCTCGTGCGGCATGGCTTCTGTCTATTACAAGATAGCTGCCGAAAAAGCCGAGGTCATTCATTCGTCCTTCATCGAGGCGAACGAGGCCTATGAGCGAGGCGACCTGGAGACTGCCATCATCGCATACATGATGGCTGCTGAACAAGGCTATGAGAACGCCCAAGCAAATGTCGGATACCTACTTGACCACACTCGCCCACGCTACTCACTCCCCTCGATCTTCCCCTTCCTTCGTCGCCGTGTGGATGCCGCCAGTGATGCAGCTCTTGCTCTTATCTATTGGACACGTTCAGCCAAACAATCCAACACCGACTCGCTCGTCAAGATGGGTGACTACTACCTTGATGGTGTTGGTGCTGCGTCCTCTCCTGAGAATGCAGCAGTCTGCTATCAAGCCGCTGCCGAGGGAATGTTGAGTGAGGGCATGGCGAGTGCGCAAGCCATGTGGAATCTTGGCTGGATGCACGAGAATGGTATTGGCATCGAGCAAGATTTCCATCTAGCCAAACGCTTCTACGATCAGGCGCTTGGAACAAACGCAGAAGCATACCTGCCTGCCAAGTTGAGCCTTGCAAAGTTGAGGCTGCGCAGCTGGTGGAATGGTGTCAGTGGTGGTAGTGTCAACTCTATCAGAGATGAGCCTTGTAAGTGACATTTGGGTATGTCTAGCGACTGTGACTGACGGAATTACAACAGCTNNCAAAAACCTAGCCGAACACTCAGCCAGTGGCTCAACGACTTCCTCGAAGCCGACGCCGCCTACTACGCCGACCATTTCGAGGGCAGATGACTGGGACGACGCGCACCACCACATGCCCGGCGGCGACGACCTCTACGATGACGCTACAGAGATCGACGACGGTCTGGTTGAGATGTTCATGATTGTTGGCCTGGCTGCCATGCTTGCTTTTCTGGTATACTATCGCCAGCAGAGACAGCAGGAAGCAAGACGCAGAACAGAGCAACAGGGTCAGCAGCAAGGAGGAGATGTGGATGCTGCACCACCGCAACAGCAAGATCAAGGCTTCTTCCCACCACCGGGAGAGCCCGAGTTTGCCAATTGGGTTGCTGGAGGAGTGGGCCACTGAACGTCGTTCGCTGTGGCCTTGTTCTACACGTTTGGAGATTATTGCATAAGTCAGATCATTAGCGAGCCAATCACATTTCATTACCTATCGTTCTCGTTCGCGTGTGTCCACCTTCCCAGGAAAGCGTACATCTCATGGTTGTGAGATTGAATTCTGTCGTCCAGACGAGTTTGCAGATGAGATAGGCCAAGTCCTGACAAGGAAGGTTCAACACCCTCGGCCACATGGGTAGCGGGGTAGATAACGAGACCTACTGTATATACCCATACCTTGCACGCCGTTCTTTCTTGAACCAAGCAGTTTCTCGAAAAGAGACCCAAATTCATCATGCCAGACTACGAAACCTATGATCTTGGAGACTTCGAACTCCAGAATGGCGATACCATCCCATCGGCTAGAATCGCATACAAGACGCTTGGAAACAAGACATCACCAGCAATAATCTATCCTACTTGGTACAGCGGATNNGTAAATAGCCCTTCTGCAATAGATGATTTACAAGTTTACTGATACCTTTTTCGTGAAATAGTGATTTCGGACAACGAATGGCTCATCGGCAGCGACAAAACACTCAATCCTGACGACTACTTCATCATCATCCCTGCTCTATTCGGAAACTCGCAATCTTCATCTCCATCCAACAACTCTTTGCATTCATTCCCTGAGATCAGCTTTTACGATAACGTCAAAGCTCAGCATGAATTGGTTACCAAACACCTAAACATCTCTCACGCATTTGCGGTCCTGGGGTGGTCGATGGGTGCGGGACAGACTTACCAGTGGGCTACCCAATATCCAGATTTCATGGACAAGATAGCACCGTTTTGCGGTAGTGCAAAGACGAGTTTGCATAATCAGGTGTTTTTGGAGGGGGTCAAGACTGCGTTGGTGGCTGCTAAGGGTGCTTCTTCGGCTGGGATCTGTAAAGGATATACGAAGCAAGGAGAAACCCAAGAATGGACAGATGAAGAGAGGGAAGTTGGGTTGAAGGCGCTGGGGAGGGTATATGCTGGTTGGGGCTTCAGTCAAGCCTTTTACCGCGAGAAGCTCTACGAATCAGTGCTTGAGTTCAAAGACTTGGAAATGTAAGTTGCCCCTTTTGAAGACCCTAGACGTGTTGGATAGGTATTTTTGCTAATATTGAACACACACTTTTNNAGTTTCATGACCGACTTCTGGGAAACTTGGGCCCTCTCCAAACATCCAGAAAATATGCTCACCATGCTGCATACCTGGCAATCCGGCGACTGCTCTGCTCAAGACCCTTACAACAACTCTTTCCCTGCCGCCATGAAAGCCATTAAAGCAAAAGCTTTGGTGTTGCCGAGTAAAACTGATCTCTACTTCCCGCCCGAAGACTCGGAATACGAGGTGCAGTGTATGAGTGAGGGAATTGGGAGACTAGAAGTGTTTCCGAGCATTTGGGGGCATTGGGCTGGTGGACCGGGTCAGAGTACGGAGGATGTTAAGTGGTTGGATGAGAAGTTGAGGGGTTTCTTTGCAGAGTAGGAGCTAGAGTAGGTAAGGTGTTGTATAGTATCTATTGCCTTTCTTTTCTGTCTTGTGTTTCAGATTCACTGTCTGCAAACCCCACAAGTAGATGCTTAAGAACCTCAAATGTGAGAGAAGAGATAAATGCCATGCTTTGCCTTGCCAACCCTTCCATACCAACACGATATCAGAGAGGCTCTCATCGGCTGGACTTTCTTCCGTATGGTAAAGGCATTTCCTTTTTTCTACTTCAACATCTTCTCTTGCTCATCCTTCAACTCCCAAATATACCCATTAATAAACCACCTCCTCAATTCCTCCCTCTCCATCTCTTTAGCACCCCTAACCTCACCCACACAGCCTTTCTCCCCGCACAAACACGCAAACCCTCTATCCATCTCCCACTCCGTACTCGGATANAAGAAGCTCAATGCATCTCCCTTGTTCAATGGCCTGTCCCTACTAACCCTAACTTGCATATTCTTCGTGTCGATCTCGAGGGTAGGAGCACAAGAGTGATTTAAGTATGTAAATGCAGAGTCCAGAGAGATGTGGGCAGAAGAAGAAACTTGGAGGGTATGCCATTGTGGGGAAGTGCATGGTGTGTACGCGGTGATGGAAGCAAAGACTGCGCCTGCAGGTAACGAGACCAGAGACAAGAGTCCATGTCCAGACGCATGAGAGGAATATTCCAGTAACTCTTGGAGATCGTTTGCCGTGACCGGAAAAGCGGGTTTATCGTGCTCGGATTTTGTGGTTGCTGAAGATGCCATTGTTTGTGGTATGATGTGTAATTCTGATGTTGAGGGTGCTTGAAGTTTGGAGGGGTTGATGCCCAGTGATATGAACACAGACGGAGATTTTGGTGTTTTGTGATATCAGATCAGGTATAACCGAGATGCCGATTGCGAAATGTGGTATAGGACCTGTTATCCGAGGCTGTTTTGTTCTAGATGCATACCTGTCCTCTTGTGCAGCAGGGCATCGTGCCACTTACCGTCAATGCCGTCGATGTCATTGTTTTGGTGTCTGAGCGTTGTGACGCCCTGTGGGGTCTGTCTGGCGTTGATCTGTACAAAAGGCAAAGAAAGGACAGGGTGACATTTTGATATTAAGGAGACTACGCGAAATTGGTGGATGGATCAAACAGATGAGGTACAAATTCTATATCGTGAATGCTATGCCCAGAAAACGCCGCTCATTTCGACAAGAATGACCACAGACAGGCAGAAGGCTCCCAAACTCCGAGTCATGATAGAACACATAGGAACGAAAGACATTTACAGCTGGATGTCGTTGTTGAGCAAGCGCACCTCCTCTCCAGGCTTGAAAGCAGGCAGACCAATGTACGGGCACCCATCACATCTGAAAGCATCGCCCAAAGCGCAGTTACCGCAACTGCCAACCTTGCCCTGCACTGTAAAGTCGACCTCGGCAAGATCATCCGTATCCAGCTTCATAGTCTTGAGTGCGCTGTCGGCGGCCTCACGCTTGGCCTTGTCCTCGGCATCGATCTTTTGCTTGAGTCCGCAGGTGCAGTCCTTGCATGCGCGTCTCCTCTTGCCATTGGGCTTACAGGCTTCAGGGATGTTGATGGGACGCTTGCGGTCTTCTTCGCTGAGGAGTGTGTTGGGGTCGATTGTGGAGCCGTTGAGCAACTCCTCCTTTGATGGCAACTCCATCTCGTCGTCTTCATCGTAGAACTCCACATCTAGATCGTCGCCCATGTCGAAGCCGACCCCTGCTGGCGCTGAGGGTGCGGCAGGCTGAGGAGTCTCGGTAATAATCTTGTTGATAGCCTCGACATTGTTCAAGGGCACGGCTGCAGCATTGGCCTTCTTCTTCTTTCCAAAACTCAAACTGACGGTTTGCGCGGCCATGGCTGCAGGCTTGGACATGCCACCACTGGCATGCTGGACAAGACCAGCAAGAATGGCCTCTGTCTGCTCAGACGACGCCGATGTACCGAATGAACCATCCTGACTCTTCAGGATTCCACCAGCTCTGAGCGAAGGCACGAGTTTCTCGATTACTGCGCGATTGAGTGGCTCACGTGAGCCGTCGACATTGGTGAGTAAGAGGACAATGTCGTATGTGGAGGCAGGGAGCGAGACGAGACCGAGGGCGAGACGATCGAGCATCTGGATATCGGTAGCATTGCGATCGTGGGCTTCTACGATACTGTTGAGGGCGTCGGGGTGTGAGGCGATTGAAGGTGGGGCGAGAAGGAGCGTTCTTGCTTGCGACTTTGTCGGCGGCGGGGCGAACGAAAAGTCAGATGTGTTGTCGATGGTGATAGCGGGTGCCATTGTGAGGGATTTAATGTGATTGTTGGCAAAGAAAGACGTGTTTCAGTCTTTGGCAAGATTGCTTCAAGAACCAGAGAAACGCCTCGAAGTGGATCGTCAGTGGGGTCGAAGGAATCTGCTAGTCGGAAGGAAGAAGGCGGATTTCGAGTCGAAATGTTGTTCCCAAACAGTAGGATTTCCAGTGTTGTTGCGTGTGAGACTGAAGCGACGAAGATATGGCAAGAGCCAAGAAGAATTGCGCGAAAGGTGATTATCAATGTACAAACCCCGCCTATGACCAATCCGAGTCTGTGGCCAATCGCAGTCTTTTCCTCGCCCGCCGAACTCGGTCCGCGCCATTCACATGCTGACGGATCATCTGCCAAGCATCACGTTTGCTTTGTACAAATCAGGTCGTCTTGTCCTCGAAACAAATCCTTTTTATCTCTGTTGCCATTCCGTACTGCTACGAGAGTCAAGTCGGAAGAGAGTGCAGATGACAAATTGTACATGATGAGGGTAACGTGAAAGCGAAAACAGTCGTTTACAATATACATAAAACTTCATGAAAACTCCACCCTGTCCGTGCTGGATATACCGAAGCTCTTGCACCCCATCAATCATATCTGCTTCATCTGCCTGGTCATAACACTTATTTGACAATCTTGCAAATGAGGTCCTGGCCGTCGACAGAGTCCGACTCCTTGACACTGAGCTCGCCGACCTTACCAGAGTGAGGTGCACTGATGACCATCTCCATCTTCATGGCACTCAGGATGGCAATCGGGTCACCCTTGTTGACCTCGCTACCCTCCTTGACTCTGAGCTCGACAACGACACCACTCATGGGGGCACCGACTTGGCTGCTGTCACCAAGGTCGGCCTTCTTGCGCGACTTGTTCTCAACGGCGGCGTGGTTGTCGTCAACAGTGACTTGACGCACTTCACCGTTCATCTCGTAGAAGACTTCTCTCTGACCAGTCTGCTCGGAAAGAGGTCCAATAGCCAGAAGCTTGATGATGAGCACCTTACCCTTCTCAAGTTCGACGTGGAACTCCTCACCGATCTCGGGCTTGGCCAAGAAGTACTTGGTAGGCAGCACTGAAAGATCACCGAACCTCAGTGTCCACTTCTTGAAGTCCTCAAACACCTTGGGGTACATGACGTATGAGGCAACGTCAGTCTCAGTGTAACCACCGAACTGTTCCTTGAGCTTGTTGCGGACCTCGTCGAAGTTAACGGGCTCGAGATAGAGACCAGGTCTCTTGTCCATCTTTCTGCGCTCACGCAGAGCCTTGGTACGAAGAGGCTCGGGGAATCCACCGTAGGGCTGACCCATGAGACCTTCGAAGAATTCAAGGACGGATGAGGGGAAGTCTAGCTGCTCGGCCTTCTCGAGAACGTCGTTGTAGCTCAGCTTGTTGCTGACCATGAACTGGGCAAGATCTCCAACAACCTTGGAGGTAGGAGTGACCTTGACGATATCGCCGAGCAGGTCGTTGGCTTGCTCGTAAGCCTTCTTGGTCTGTGCCCACTGCTCACCGAGACCTTGCTGAGAGGCCTGGAAGATGAGGTTGGTAAGTTGACCACCGGGGATCTCGTGCTCGTAGACCTCAGGGTCAGGACCAGTAAGACCAGCCTCGAAGGGTGAGTAGAGGAGACGCAGCTGAGCCCAGTAGTGGTCGATCATTCTCAGGTGGTGAGGGTCAAGACCGGGGTCGAACTCGCTGCCCTCGAGAGATGCAACGAGAGCACCAATGCTGGGTTGAGAGGTCATACCCGACATGCTGTCAGTGGCGGCGTCAACAGCATCAGCACCAGCCTGAGCGCAAGCGACCATTGAAGCAACACCGGTACCAGCCGAGTCGTGAGTGTGTACGTGAATAGGTAGGTCGGGGTACTTCTTTCTGATTGAGCCGATCAGCATGGTGGCCGCCCTGGGCTTCAAGACACCAGCCATGTCCTTGATACCAAGAATGTGAGCACCCATGTTGACAATCTTCTCGACAACACCCATGTAGTACTCGAGGTTGTACTTCTTGCTGGGGTTAAGCATGTCACCAGAGTAACAGACAGTTCCCTCAGCAACACCACCAGCCTTGAGGACGGCCTTGACACCAACCTCAAGTTGCTCAACATCGTTCAAAGCATCAAAGACACGGAAAATGTCAACGCCATTCTTCTTTGCTTGCTCACAGAAGTGGGTAATGGCGTTGTCGGGAAGCGATGAGTAAGCAACACCGTTGGCACCACGGAGGAGCATCTGGAAAGGAATGTTGGGCACAAGCTTTCTCATCTTGCGCAGTCTGTCCCAGGGATCCTCGTAGAGGAAGCGCATGGCGACATCGAAAGTGGCACCACCCCAGCACTCAAGAGCCCATGCGTTGCTGAGAGCGTGGCTGGTTTCCTTGGCGATGTTGAGGAAGTCGACAGTACGGACTCTGGTGGCAAGAAGAGACTGGTGGGCATCTCTCCATGTGGTGTCCATGATCAAGCAGCCCTTGTTGGCTCTGACGGCCTTGGCGAAAGCTGCAGGACCCTGTTCCACAATGATGCTTCTCCAACCCTGCTTGCAAGGCTCTGAAACATCGAGGACATTCTTCTGCGCATCGTGAAGAGTGGGAATGATGATATCACCCTTGAACTTGGGCTCACCAATCTGACCCTTGATCTGACTGCCGTTGACAGCGAGATCACCAAGGTAACCGAGCAGCTTCTGGGCACGGTTTTGGCTGTTCACCAGAGCAAACAACTCAGGGGTATCATCGATGAATGTGGTCCAGCACTCGCCGGCAATGAAGGTAGGGTGGGTGAGGAGAGATGCCAAGAAGGGAATGTTGGTCTTGACACCGCGGATTCTGAATTCGACCAAGGCGCGGAGCATCTTTCTGCGGGTGATCTCGTACGTCGAGCCACGGCATGAGCACTTGACAAGCATGCTATCGTAGTGGGGGGTGATGACGGCGCCCGCAAATCCGTTACCTGGCAAATTGTTAGCTGTGCCTCACAAATCATCGTGTTAATTCTTACCTCCGTCCAATCTAACACCATTTCCACCAGCCGAGCGGTAAACCTCAATTCTGCCAGTGTCGGGTGAGAAGCCCTTGCTAGGATCCTCGGTAGTGATACGGCACTGGAAGGCGAAACCACGGACTGAGATGCGGTCCTGGGTCAGACCGAGCTGCTCGAGCGAGGCACCTGCAGCGATCTGGATCTGAGCAGCAACGATATCGATACCGGTGATTTCTTCGGTGATGGTGTGCTCGACCTGGATTCTGGGGTTGATTTCGATGAAGTAGTGGCGGTTCTCCTGGTCAACCAAGAACTCTGCGGTACCAGCGTTGCGGTAGTTGACCGACTTGGCCAGAGCAACAGCATCGTTCAGGATGGCCTGGCGGGTCTCCTCGGGCAAATCCTTTGCAGGGGCAAGTTCAACGACCTTCTGGTGACGTCTCTGGACACTGCAGTCACGCTCGAACAGGTGGACGACGTTGCCGTGGCTGTCACCCAGAAGCTGGACTTCAATGTGCTTGGGACGGTACAGGAAGCGCTCGACGAAGACAGTGCCGTTACCAAAGGCAGACTTGGCCTCGGATGTGGCACGCTCGAAGGCCTCCTTGAGCTCCTCCTGCTTCCAGACGACTCTCATACCACGACCACCACCACCAAAGGCAGCTTTGATGATGATGGGGAAGCCGTGCTTGTCGGTAAAGCCCTTGACCTCTTCAAACTTCTCGACAGGGCCGTCGGTACCGGGGACGACAGGAACCTTGCACTTGATGGCAAGCTCACGGGCTGAAACCTTGTCACCGAGGGCGTCGATGGTGTCAGGGGTGGGACCAACGAACNNTAGAGAGAGGCTGTCAGTGTGGCTCTTCTGAGGCCTTGGTGGACTTACAATCATGCCAGCGGCTTCGACCTTGCGAGCAAATTCGGCGTTCTCGCTCAAGAAACCATAACCAGGGTGAATGAGGTTAACATTGTGTGCCTTGGCGATCTTGACAATCTCGTCGCTCGCAAGGTAAGCAGCAACGGGTGTGTACTCTCCTCTCTTGCCAATGACATAGGCTTCATCGGCCTTTTGTCTGTGCATCGACAGACGGTCCTCGTGACTGTACACGGCTACCGTCTGTAGCGAGAGCTCGTGTGCGGTACGGAAGATACGGATGGGGATTTCTCCACGGTTGGCGACTGTGTCCTGGTCAGTAGATGTCAGAAGTTACGGGTCAAGGGATGGCATACCCAAGATCTTCTTGGCCTTCATGACCGAAGAGTTGGCGCGCAGACGGGCGTGCACCGTGTTCTGCGAGTGTGTGTCGACGCCCTCCTCAATGGCCGAGCCCTCGTTGGGGTTCTCGGCCTTCATTCTCTTGAGAGCTTCAATGTCCGACATGTTGGCGGTTCAATGGCTCGGAGGAGAGCTGCAGATGACAGCAGCTGCTTTCCAGAGCTCGTTGTTGAGGAATTGGAAGGATTGAAAGGATTAGAAGGAGAGTTTGCGATATGCAAGGAGAAGCACAGGAATAGTCACAGCTGTTGGACCTCAGCAAAAAGAGCGATGACGGTGAGCTTATTCCAAGTTGCTATCTCGGCCTCTGCTTGGGGAGCTTGGTTCTGGTTTCGGCTGATTGACCCCGCCAATCGGAGAAGCTGGCGAGCGATCGCGAGATAAGGCCGCTGCCTGCTTACTAGAAGGGATTATGAACGAATAACTGCCTGTGAGCCGCGACCGAGTTGCTGTCTTTCGTCGACGAGACTTCTATACCATTCATGTAGCTATATAGCATCCATGAAATCATCCTCGGGCTATCATTAACCCCGCCTGACGAACTCCTGGAGTAAATCGTCAGTGCACATCATCAACCCGAGTGCTTCTCGTCATTCGTCGGGTAGAAACGGAGCTTGCACCTGCTGCAAGGGTCCCGCGCTCCTTCGGCCATCAAATACCGAACACAGCTCCTCTATCCGCTGCCACTTACGGAGGAATTGGTTTTTGGTCAGTTCAGTGTTCTCCACCAATTCCCAGCAAGGAAACTGAACCGACCAAAAACCAACTCCCAGCAAGGAAACTGAACCGACCAAAACCCAACTCCTCCGTACCACTGCCTTGGGCCTCTCCGCTTGCTTCCCCACTCGTATCTCTGTACCTGTTGATTCTTCGAGGTCGTCGTTGTGCATGTCCCTGTCCCCACCGTGGATAACCTCACAGACGTCTGCTCGAGCTTCCAGAATCAAAGCCGGCCAGCCTCGGGCACTCTGACTGGCTGTAATTATCAACTGCAATCGATCCGAAGCAGCCACCTCCTGCGTCGTGCTTCAGCAACATGAAAAAACAGTCATAATTCTTCCGGTCATTTCATCCTTCGTTGCGACTACAAAGCCCTAGCCTCGGCCGACTACAATATCCCTCGGTCGTAGGGAAATATTCTCTGTTTCTATCACCAATCGAATCTAACGTGCAGGGTCACATGTCCAGGAATGGTATGCACAAGCTTGCTGGCAGTTCTGATGACTAACTATACACCTCGCACCTCCTCTTCCCGGCTCGTCAATCGCATCAGGACCTTCAAACGTCCTAGTCTTTTGTCCCTCTTACTGCGACGTCAATCGTACCAGCAAGTTGCATGTCCTAACCTAATGAAGAGACTTGCTCCTCATGTCGGACGGTCGTTCCTGTTACAGTACCACGCCAACCTGGGAAGAGAGTGTCGAAAACAAACAATCATACCATACACAGTAGTTCGTTTGGTAGCAGCATGCTTGCCTGGAGACCTGGTTTTCTCGTCTTTGCATGTTCCTCGTTATGCTGAACCTATACGGAACCATTCAATGGTTTGCTTCGCCAGTTGTCTTGATAGCAACAGAATTATCTTCTCGAGCCGGCAACGAACAAGCCAGCAAGTATGTAACCAAAGGTTCCTGTTCCTGAACCACAAGATGCGAGGCCGAACGTCGTCAAGAACAGAACATCGCGGTTTGATGCCAGTCCACGTCTTACGCCGCAAGTCGTCTACGTCTTGTTTGACCCGGCGATCTATCGCACTCGATTGAGCATCGAGAAGAACAGCATGGCGTCCGAAGCCACGTTACTGAGTCCATTGACGGTGACCAAGAACCCAGTGACAGGAATACCGGCCTAGTATTGGTCACTAGCAGCCGTAGCCCCCAAAACAGAGCGCTGATTCGATGTAGAGGTCAAGATACAAACTGCTTGGTCGATCGTTATCAGGACGTAGTGGTCAGACTCGTACCCATCATGTTCGGATCAGAAGCGCAGAGTTGGGATGGTCGACTAAATGGCTCTCACACGAGCCAGTGTACGCCATCTTGCCATGTGTGTGGTCTTTGGAAACATCGCTGGCACACCGGTGGGTTAAAGACGACGAGATCTGTTAGCGTGTTCACGGTCCTCTATTGACTGATCACGTGCAGCGAGCAGAGCCAAACAGTTTGCAAGTACAAGTACGTGTCGGAGATTTCTCGTCCCTGCATGGCTAGTCTCAAGATACACGTTGGAAGTGGTAAGAACTTGAGGTGGATCTGAAGATCGCCGGGTTTCACACAACTCGCAGCTGGGGATCTTCCAAACTCGCAGAGGTCACACACCTAACGCTAGAAGTTGCCGACGAGGTCCAGTATAGTAGTCAGGCCGAGGCGAGTCGCTAGCTTGTTATACAGCATCATCGTTACCCTTACGGAATGCCGCGGATATAGACTAATTGATTCTAGAAATGCCGGATATTGATGCTAAAAATTTAAGGTTTGGCTGACCGTTGCACATCAGGGCCGCCGCCTTCCGAAGTCGACATCATGCCTCCAAGAATTGCTGTTCAGTGTTCACGAACAGCGTCTAACTCCTCGACGTGAACTGGGAGTTGATTTCGACTAGAATAGGATCAGATCAAGTCGTTGTAATACTGGCTATATTGAGCCATGTAGCGCTCACGTCTACCTGTAATTTAGGCAGGCAGACGGAGCCGTTGCCCATGACCACAAGGCTACCAGTCCGCGGTGAACCCTGATCGAAGCTTTATTTGTCCTGCTATGTCATAGGTTGTCTATGGTCAATGTTTCGCGACGGCGGCGTGCAGTCCTTTATCATCCTCGTGCATCTTGAATCTTCACACCCATATCACACCGTTTAACACTCACAACACCCAAGTCGCAAACAGGCTCAACACAGCCGGCATTAGCCATGTCGTCCTGCTTCTCCGGATCGGACAGGAAACTTCAGAGGAACAACTCCAAGGTCCATGATGATGGCAGAGCCGACGTCTCCTTCGACGAGAAACTTCAGGCCAAGCTGTTGCGCAAGTTCCACCACGAAGACAAAAAGGCAAAGAGGAACCCGGATGAGGCTGAGGCCAAGGAACCCAAACGTGCAGCACTTCACTGGCGCAAGAGAAAGGACGACTTTGTAGCAGATCTCCAAGGTTTCGAGGGAGTGCCTCGTATGAACATTGCGGTAGGCCAGCTTCGTCATCATGAAGTCCAATCACAAACTAATTTCTGAAGANTTCTCATAACCGGCTCAAGAGGAGATGTTCAACCCTTCATAGCTCTAGGAAATGTGCTACAGAAGGCGCCATACAACCACCGTGTTAGAATCTGCACTCACCCCAACTTCAAGGACTTCGTCGAGGACAATGGACTGGAATTCTACTCGATTGGAGGCGACCCTGAGAAGCTCATGTCGTACATGGTCCGCAATCCTGGTGTCATTCCGAGTCTCGAATCTATGAAAGCTGGTGATGTTGGCGACCGTCGCGAAGAAATCGCAGAGATGTTGGAAGGTTGTTGGCGAGCTTGTACCCAGGGCGGCAATGGCGTTGATCCTATCAGACTTCCTCAAGCGAGCAAGATCAGCTCGGACACGATAATGGATCTGCCTGACCCTTTTGTAGCTGTAAGAAACATCCAGTAAAGCCGTGGTGCTGTTCTCATTCAACTTCGTGAGGTCATGCTAATTTTACCTTCGCTCTAGGACGCTATTATCAGTAACCCTCCAGCATACGCCAATATTCACATCGCCGAGAAGCTGGCTGTACCTCTGCATATGATGTTCACTATGCCTTGGAGTCCGACTACCGCGTTCGCGCATCCTTTGGCCAACTTGGACACCGATAAGGGAGATAGAAAACTCGCCAACTACCTTTCATACTACAGCATGGAGTTACTTACATCAGAAGGATTGATCGATTTGATTAACGACTTTAGAGAAAACACGTTGGCACTTGATCCTCTTCATGCTGCTTGGGCCCATCAATTGCTGCCGCAATTGAAGGTGCCGTTCACATACTGCTGGTCGCCCGCACTCATTCCGAAGCCAGAAGACTGGGGCTCACACATCACCATCAGCGGCTTCTTCTTCATGGACCCAAAGAAAGATTTCGAGTTTGACGCGGATTTGAAGAAGTTCCTGGATGCTGGCGACCCACCAGTATACATTGGATTTGGCTCGATTGTAGTTGATGATCCAGAGGCGATGACCAAGATGATTTTGGACGCTGTGAAGCAGCTCGGAAGTGAGTTCACATGCTACCATGATGAGATTGATCTAACAATCGCCAATANNGTCAGAGCTCTCGTCTCGAAAGGTTGGGGTGGTATCGGAGGTGAAGACGTCCCTGACAACGTCTTCCTACTTGGCAATGTGCCCCATGACCAACTCTTCCCTCACTGCAGCGCAGTAGTCCATCATGGTGGTGCCGGCACAAATGCCATCGGCATATCTTTGGGATGTCCAACAGTCGTCGTAGTAAGTTGATTGATGAATGTCGTGTGAACTATGCTAATTTTACACCACTACAGCNCATTCTTTGGTGACCAACCGTGGTGGGGAGAGATGATTCACAGAGCTGGCGCTGGACCAGCGCCTATACCATACAAGGAGCTGGATGCGGACAACTTGGCCAACCAAATCAGAGAAGCACTCAAGCCTGAAACGAAAGAGCGCGCAAAAGAACTCGCGGCGAAGATCAAGGAAGAAACTGGTGCAAAGACTGCCGCCAAATTCTTCCATGAGACAAAGCAAATGCAGAATACCGGCTGTTTTCTATGCCCTGACCAGGCTGCAGTATACCGTGTAAGAAGAACCAATATCAGGCTCAGCGCTCTTGCCACAGCTATTCTCGTCGATCATGGCAAAATTCACCCTCAGCATTTGAAGCTTATCAGAAGAAAGCGTTGGTACGTCGAAAAGGGCGCTCAAGAGCCTCTCATCGGTATCTATGGAGCGATTGAGACGACCGGAGTCGGCTACAAGAACTGCGTCAGCCGTTTGGCCAAAGACCTGCACCACAACAAGGCAAGCAACGCACCCGGCAAGATCTTTGTCGGCGATGCAGAAGCTGCTGGCGAGGTACCTGGCGCCCTCAAAGCTGTCGGTAAGTTCACTGGTGCCGTGGGCATGAACACTCTCAGACTTCCTGTGGATCTTCTCTACAACCTCGCCAATGGATTCCACAACGCGCCTTTCCATTTCTTCTCGGACGACACCGTTCGAGTCCGTGGCGAGATCAACGGCGTCATGTCTGGAACCAAGGTTGGATTCCAAGAGCTGGTCTTTGGTTTCTACGATGCGTTTACCGGTGTCGTCACTCAGCCCGTTCGTGGCTACAAANAGCACAGCAGCGAAGGTGTCGGTGCAGCAAGTTTCGGATTAGTCAAGGGAATTGGCAAGGGTTTCGTCGGCCTGGTCAGCAAAAGCTCCGCTGCCGCCCTCGGAGTGCCCGGCTACGGCTTCAAAGGCCTCGAGAGATCCATCCGCACAGGCTGGAAGACCCGCGACACACCCAACGAAAACAGCTTGGCTTTACTACATGCCTTTCAAGGCCAAGAACAAGACAGCCAACAATTGGGCAATGCAGCCTTGGCTTTGGTGTCTCAAGCCCAAGGTAACAGCATACGCAAACAGATCCGCGGCAGGAGGGGCTGGCAGTGCTTCATGGATTTGCAACATCTGAGACAGAATCCAGACAAGGCTGCTGCCAAAGAGGAAGAGATTTTGCAGGGCTGGGACCGCCTCAAGGTTCCAAAGGAGTTTACTCGTGTTGACGAGTAGGATATGACAGAACACATTTTTGTACGAGTATGACGATTAATCTGTAATAATAGTAACGAGTAATGGTATACGTAAATCAAATGCTTTCTCTCAACCATGACACACATATGTGGGAAGTGGTCTCAAACTCTACAGATGCTGTTTGAAATGCAAACTTTTATCAACAGATAATTGAGGCGCAGAATACTGACGCCTGATCAGACTGACAAGCTGACGGGAGAAAGCACAATCCCAGAAATATTGAAAGATAGCAGCATAACTTTATCGTCAACCTCATCTAAAGTCTTCCCATCTCAGACACAAAATGAATCATCTGCTATGCGTTTCTTAAAATCGCAACTGCTCGTGCTGTGCACATAGAGAGTAAATGTAAATGTCGAAATAGGGTCATCCCACCAACGAGTCTCGGCAAAACAGCAATATTCTCGTATTCAGAAGTCGTGATAATTCGCCACCCCAGCTTCGAACTTAATGCTCTCAACTAGCAATTAGACTACTAATCTTGCTATTTGATGCTCTATACAGCTGCTGTCGTCGCAATATTGGTGTACTAGCTCCAGGTGACTGGTCGCTATCTGTTGCTAGCTTTTGAGCTATATTGACCCACCTGACAGGCTTCATCCAAGCTATAATCTCGCTGTCAAAACATGCCTCTCAACGACTACGACAAGGACCTCATCGAGGCCATGTTTCGCGACAACAGCAACGTCGAAGCAGTCCATAAAGTAGTGCCCCATGCGGCTCGACCTACGCTCTACCGCATGCAACAAAATGTCACCAATTTTGGCAGGGTTAGGAAGCCTCCCTCTGCGCTCAAGCGTATAGGAGCTCCACGCAAGATCACGCCAGAGATGCGTGATTATGCCATGCTATTGCTTGACCATAGAAACGATCTGTGGGAGGAGGAGTTGGCCTTCGAATTGTGGTGCGAATTCGGCATTCAAGTGTCTCAACCGACCATTAGTCGTATGATGAAGGAGGAGAGGCTCTCGAGCAAGGTCAATACTCGCATCGCTAGTCGTCAATCCCTTGTCGAACAAGCCCTCTATGAAGAGAGGCTAGCAGAGCTGATGACTCGAGGCCATGAGGTCAACATTGACCCTATGAATATGCTGCTCTACCTTAACGAATCTGCAGCAAGCGAGAAGGCCATGTTCCGACGTCGTTCATGGTCAGCAATTGGCCTACCTGCCTTTACAAGGTCAGAGCTAGTGTCAAAGGTGAGGTGTTCGGTGCTACCAGCGCTAGATATCCATGGATACATACCAGGTTCAACCCTTGTCGTTAAGGGTGCGGTTACACAGGCCATGTACGAGCACTGGCTAGAGACAGTTGTATTGCCTTAGTGTGAGCCATTCCTAGGAAGAAGGTCAATTGTTATAATGGACAATTGCTCGACCCACCACTCAGATAAGGTGTGTGTTAGATTTTGGTGTATAATTGGCGGTGAATTAACGCCCGCTAGATCACTGATCNTGGGACACCAATTTGGCGTATATTTGCTATACCTGCCGCCATACTCGCCACACCTCAACCCTATAGAACAGACCTTCCACCTCTTGAAACAATGGCTTCGACGACATCGAGATCTAGCTCCTCGGGTTAGTAACATGGACCCTCAAGCTTATAAGGAAGCATGGATCCTACACCTCGAGAGAGCAACGCATTGGGCACTCGATAAGGTCAATATTAGGAACTTGTTCGTTAGAAGCAGGGTATCACCTCAAATTTGATGGTCGCTAGTGTCGGAGGTGTTATGGGCTAACGACGAGGAGCCGGAGGTGACGCTCTGAGGGTGCTGAATATGGCTACCTTGAGGGCCGGAGGGTGCTCGAGGAGTTATAGTAGGCGAGCTATTTAATAGGCGCTGAGCTTGCTTATAGTTATCAACGAATTTAGTCAGTTCCTCGTGGAGGACTATTCGGAGGCCGGATTGCTTTACTACTCGCGACAACTGCTTGTCAGACGACTGGAATAACAAGCGCAAGTTCCAGTAGTCTTGCTCGAGCTAAACCCTTGCTCTATCGAAGCCAGCTGACCAGTCCGGATAGGCTTGTTTGAGACCCTCCCAAAAGGCCTCCCAGTTGACAGCGGTATTAAGCTCAGATGGGATGGGTGACACTTGTCGAGGAGCAGCTATAGGAGGCGCAACGAGAGGAGGAGGAAGAGGAGGAGGATCAACTTGCTGTGCCTGAGCTAGACCGACATAGAAGTTGTTAACAGTTGAAGGGGTTAATGGCGAGGTTTGGGCAGAGCCTCTACCTCGCGCTGAGGCCTTCGATAGCTCAACCTCGTGCTGCTGATGTCGTCTGATAATAAGCTGTACGACGGAGCGAGAAGGCTCCTTAAGTGTACAGAGACCTGCCCTTACCTCTTCGCGCCACTTCGCTGCGGTGCTAAAGAGGATCTCATAATGGTGACCCTTATGCTCGAGGCAAGCGAGACCTCTACGCGCATGTACATGGCAGTGGTTAGGTCGTTTGCAGAGGTGATGTTGGGTAACCTCGTCCCAAAAACAAAGGCCCTCTCATCGAAGTAAGTGGCAGTTTGTTGTATAGAGCGCTCGGATCGGCGAGCTCGAGGTCCCGATGTCGTTGAGGGTACTGGTGTAGAGGCCTCATACGAAGGAGGAGCCTCTAGCGCTGGCTCCTTGCCATTTGCTGTCCAAATAGACTCGATTATAATAGACAAATCTTTAAGGCCGGTGGAAGCATTAAAGCGAACGAGGTCCATGGCCTTCTTCCACTGCTCGTCACCATGCTCAAGTCTATACAAAGTAACTGCTTCAGTTGAGCGCACACCGCGAGAGCCTGTCGAAGTTATTAGAGCTCTAATCTTCCAAGGGTAATAATTAGTGATTTCCTGATCTCTAAGATGAGGTACAATCGACCGATCTAGCTCCTAACGAATTGTTACCCATGTCTTCTCACTATTAGCAAGGTCGGTATCGCCATTAGATATCTTTTGGTGGCCCCAACGACTGTCGAATTGTAACTTGAACGGTATTAGGGCAGGTGGTGTCATAACGGCGGAACTCGTGGCGATAGTAGTCGAATTCGATGATACGCTCTTCGCGTGGAGGGTCCCTTTAGCCTTCTGATTGACCTTGGAAGGTTTGGTGACCTTATTCGTAGAGGTGGTTAAGCGACGAACAGATGTGGCTAGGTTATTGCATGGCTTCGCGGGTCGCGTTTTGGGCGCTAGGGCCTGTATCTTAGTCTTTTTGGAAGTTTTTGATCCCCTTTTTTTCCTAACGTGTTCGTAGCATTGGAAAGTGGTTTCCTTAAAGAGGGTACCTTTCCTAAAGGTGGTTGTGGCTGTTGGGTAGAGGTATTGCGTTTTGTTGTGGCCCGGCGAGGTGTGGATTCGGGAGGTGTTTGTTGGTCAACAAGGCGAACAGGAGCCTTACCGCGCGTGGCCCTTGGCGTGCTTATAGAGTGTCCTTCTCTAATGTCTTTCTCTTCTTCCTCGAAGTGTACACGTCGTCTTGAGCCTATATAGGTAGGTGGTTGAGCTGGCGAGGGTGGTGGCTCTAAGAGGCTAGATTCGCGATTTCGGCTTTGCGAGCGCGTGCGCACGCCAGTTTGAGAGGCTACCACCACGAGCAGAGCATCAGCAGCACTGGATTGATTCATATTGACGTGTATAACAGGTAATAGTACTGTGGTTGTATAGCAATCTAGCTAATAGTCATCTAACTAGCAGTTGAGAGCATCAAGTTCGAAGCTGGGGGTGGCGAATTATCACGACTTCTGAATACGAGAATAAGCCGATCATCCCCGCTTACCAGAACAACAATGACTGTTTCTTCAAACACAGGAATAGGTCTATAGTGAGTCGGCTCACAGCGCTACTCCCGTCTTTTAGGCACAGTCCAGCCTGCGTCTCCTTTGTCGATGACTAAACTGGGTCGGCGACTCATATGGGATGCCGGTAAATCCTATCGGTCAAAGCAGACTTATACCATGGCTCAAGGACGATCTATCACCATATTACTGGCTTAAACCGTTGGGTCATGGTGGTTTAATAACTAAGAAGGAACGTACTGTATGCAGTCCTTGGCGAAAGATCCTGCCAGAGGATGGACTATTTAATTCGAATGCCATATCACGATTTTCTACTCTTATCTTGTGGACTTTGTTCCTTCTTCCTTGGGATTTCTGATCTTTCCTGTTGTCCTGTTGGTCAAGTCATCTTGACACTCCAATTGAGTCTACAGATTCACATCGTTAGCCATTGGGATTGCGCTATAATATAAGTCTCTACAGGACTTCGAGCGTGCCTCGCAGGACAAGTATCTCCCTCTGTATGCTTACTTTCTGCCGCAAAAGTGCTAATGCGATGTACAGTAGTAGCATTCGCAAAACCCTCATATCCGCTCGCTCATACATGTCTCATCTCACAGACATGCTTCGTCGCGCTCCACACCACCACCATCAACCAAAGCCCAACCAACTCCATCCCACCACCCCCAACTCGAGCCAAAGCAACACACCTCCTCCATTTCCAACGACTGAACCGCCCAATATCCCCACATCTCTCCATCTACCGACCGCAAATCACTTGGGTGGCCTCCATCTCCCACCGCGTCAGTGGCCTTGTTCTTTCTTCCTCTTTCTACGCTTTCAGCATCTCGTATCTCTTTTCCTCGTACACAGGCTGCGGGTTTGAGGACATTGTCACTGGAGTGCAAGGATTACCTGTTGCTGTTTTGGCGCCGGCCAAGTCTGTGGTGGCTTTTTCGGTAGTGTTTCATGGGTGCATGGGTATAAGGCATTTGGTTTGGGATTGCGGGAAGATGTTGTCTAATAAGAAGGGGTTGATTAGTGGGTGGATTGCTGTTGGGCTGAGTTTGGTGGGTGCAGTATATCTGAGTGTTGCGTACTAGAGCAAGTAGAGCAGACAACGTAGATGGATAATCATGAGAGAATGGTTGTAACGATTGTTGCTTTGGCTTGTCGTTGCTAAAGGCCTGTTAAGGAAGTCGTGGTCAACAACCCAAGCAAGTATTCGACGATCGAACCTTCCCTTTCCATGGAGAGCTAAAGATCAGCTACAAAGCGTATGTAAGCAAGATGAAACGAAAGCCAAGCATCACACTAACCATTCCATCTAGCGATTCCATTCATCCATCATTACCCTCCATACTCTATCCCACTTTTTTGACAGGCTCTCTCAGATGTTCACCTCACCGCCTCTGATTATCTCGCCGACAGCGTCTACCAACTCACCAAGTACTTCACCAATAACAACCTCTGCCCTCTCAGCACCAACAATACCAACAAACGTCTCCCCACTCTTGACAAAACTCACAACTTTGAACGGCCGAGACGAATCTCCATGCGGCTTGATCAAACCAACACGACAAACGCCGCCAGCAAAAGGCATGGTATCAACATCATCTTCATCGTCTTGATGATGCACCAAGCTGTCGAAACCGGAGTTCGCATTCCAGCCCACAGCGCCTGCGATAGCAGAATAGCCTACAAAGTCGTAAGAGCTGGATTCGGCGACTTGAGTGGCAATGGAACGGAGTAAAGTAGCAGTGTCTTGGGAAGCAGAAAGACAGACGCGGACAGGGGTGAATTGGTAGCAGGGGCCCATAATGGTGTCTGCATTTGCCAGGTTGTCGATGTTGCGGCCGGAGGTTACAGCGCCGAAAACGACGTCGGTGGTGCGAAGGCGTCGAGCAAGAACGAGTGACCATGCTGCCGTGAGGATGTTGGCGGTAGTCACGTCGGAAGGCTTGTTTGTCATGTCGACCGGGGCAGATCTGAACAAGCCTTTCTCGTTGTCTTGGGCTGAGAAGCCTAACGATGATAATGAAGAGCCAGAAAGTAATACTTTCCAGTACATTAGAGCCTTCTCCCGCAAGGAAGGTTCCAATATGGCAGAAATGTAAGTCGCGAAAGGCTCACTGGTAATCTTGCCACCGTTGTACAACGTCTCGAGATCAGCGAGAAGTGCTGGCAACGTCACACCATCATATTGAGCATGCGACAAACGGAAAGTGAGACCCTCTTCCCCATTGTCGCTCTTCATGTGCGATATGGAAGCAAAAGCACTACCCAGCGCGAGCTCCTCATAGGTATCCTCAAGACACATGCCTTGGAAGTCCTCCTCTATCTCACCCGCAACTTGCTTGCTGAAGACCACATCCAGATTCTCTACCACGACTTGGTAGAAAGTCGAATTGTGCTGGATGAAGACAGTGCGAAGGATATCATGCGTCTTGACGAGCTGCCTGCAAGCATCGACCAACCTCTCACTGTCGATGTTTTTATCAAAGATCATGGTGGTGTATTGCAGCGATGTTCGTGGATATGCGACAGTCTGCTCAATATCAAGTGCTTGAGTATCAGTCACAGGAAGCACGTCGCGTACAGTCCAAGTCTGGTCTGCAAGCTTGGGTTTAACAACTTCGGACAAGAAAGTCTCGATATCTGACAGACCCAGGGTAGAGAATGGCTTGTATGGCTGAATCTTTTTCTGAGCCTTTGATACGTCCAGCTTCATCACCTTGGCAGCATCGCCAAGACGCATGTGTTGGAAGATATCGGCTACCGACAAGGCATGTCCTTGAGAACGAAGACTAGAGACTAGCTTCATTGCCAACACTGAGTCACCACCAAGGCGGAAGAAGTTGTCGTCAACATCAATTTTGTCTGCACTGATGCGAAGGATCTTGGCCCAAGCTGTCCTGAGGATATCCTCGGGTACTGTCAGCTTGGTTTGAGCTGTATTTGTCGACCAGGCTTGCTCGAGTCCATGACGAAGCTGACTGAGGACGTCTGACGGGATTTCCGAGGCCAACTTGTTCAACCTATCGCGGTCAATTTGTCCACTCTTGTCAGTAGGCAAGTTGTCGACCACGATGTATGCAGATGGCGCGACATAAGATGGCAATGAGTCGTGAGTATACTTGTCGAGCCTCTTTAGCGCAAGAGCAAGTTCGACTGGAATGCTGGCACGAATTGTTACTTCCGATCCAAGCACTTTGTGGTCCTCAAGCAGGACGTTGACACTGTCTTCGAGTGATGGCTGTTGATCGATGAGAACAACAATCTCTTGGTTTCCCTCTGATGACGAGTGCATCACTGCGGTAGCGCCACGAGTAGCAGGTGGCAAGTATCTTGCAATATGTGCTTCGAGATCAGCAAAGTCGACCGAATGGCCTTGGATAGGCAGGAAGTTGTCCTTTCGTGCCACGAAGACGACGCCACCATCACCACGTAGCTCAACCAGATCGCCTGTGGCTTGTACTTTGCCAGTGCGACCGGGATAAGTCGAGCTTCCGGCTAGAAGCCAAGCTGGCGATTCGATGGTCTCACCAGGAAGGAAGTTGCCTTCGAGGCAGAGTTCACCGACAGAGCCGACAGGCACCAGGTTAGACGCGTTACGAGAATCGCACACCCATGCCACAGTCGCAGGAGGGTAGATAGATCTCTGCTTCATGTTTGTGTCTGCACCCAAACGTTTGGACGATTCGTCGTAAGCTAAGGGTGGAGTTTGGTTCCACTGCCAGATCTGGTCCAACTCCGCCTCTGATAGGCAGCTGACCTCGCTGACGTGTCTCGAGAGGTCTTTCGTCAACTGCGTACAAGCGACTTCGAGCTGTGCAAGTATACGCTCCATCTGGGCGACCTCAATCAAGGTGCTGTCGAAGTTGGCGCAGACCCTGAAGCCGCCCTTTCGGATACCACATCCGACCATGAGGGGNTAAGGATTGAAGTGGAGTGCTTCACGAACAACATCTCCAAGCTGGAAGCCAAGATCGTTGCCCGCATACTCTGGCTCCGGTTGGATGACCAGACCAGTAGGTGCTTCCGATGCATGCTGAGCGTCCTGGCTAACCTTTCGGATGTTCTGCCATCCCATGTGCTGGTAAGGGGTTCTAGCTATTATACTCTGCTGCACGGAATGCAAGAAAGATTCGAGCGTGCTCGTTCTGTTGATGCAGACACGGATGGGTACTGTAGCAATCAGAGGACCAACGATGCTCTCGACTCCAGCAAGCGCAATATCACGACCAGTCAGCGTTTCGCCAAACAAGACATCATCACTTCCTGAATATTGTGAAGCCACAAGTGCCCATGCGCCGCGAATGAGTGTTGCCAGTGTGAAGGGGAACCCAGCACCAGTATCAAGAGGTATGAGACGCTCAACCATAGCATCGGGGGTGGGGACAAAGTCTCTTGATGGCATGCGAGGGAATTGGGGTCCGACGGCGCCCTTGAGCCCCTGTCTCCAAAACTCTTGCATGGCCTTTTCGTCTGTCTCGCGGACATATTCGACAAAGTCTCTCATGCGAGCTGGAATCTCAATAGGCTGATCTTGCAAAGCATCGCTAACTTGCTTGAGAATGAGCGGCTCTGACCAACCATCATAAAGCAAATGGTGAACACTCCAAACCATATATCGTTTGTCAGCCTCGGCTGTCTCGATGATGGCATAGCGGGCCAGATTTTGACCAAGATCCATTCTCTCATTCTTGTCGCTTGCAAGATATTGCCTCAAGTCGGTGGCATGTCTCCAAGAGATGCCCTCCTTTAGCACGACTTGTTGGAGTCCAGGCTCTTCGAGCTGGGCAGCACGAGTGCGAAGGATAGGGTTTGCAGCGATGACCTTCTCCCAAGCCCTCTTCAGTGCATTCACGTCCATGTCTTGAGGTATGGACGCCACTCTCTGAGCGAGATATAGCTCGACAGATTTGAGGGAGAATGTGAAGAGGGACTCTTGTGTAGGAGTGCAAGGATAGATATCCTCGATGTTCTCAACATTCGTCTGACAAGCTTGCGCTGCTTCGAGACGAGCAACATCGACTGAGCGTGTAATGGTAGAGAACGACTGTATCTCCTTCTGTGCTTGAGCATCGCCAATTTTGACAACAGTGGCCATCGCAGAGAGATTCGGGTTGCCAAAAGTGTCAATGACGGACAAGATAAGACCTTGTGCTCTACAAGTCGACACAAGTCTCATTGCTGCCAGAGAGTCGCCGCCAAGGGCAAAGAAATTATCTTTGAGACGGATGTTTGAAGCGTCTAGATTCAATACCTGACTCCAGGCCTGCTGAAGACGATTTTCCGGGTCATTGAGCTCACGATCAGCGTCAGTGGAGCCTTGGTCTAGGTCCCTCAGATCGACTGTGGTTCCAAAAGCCTTGAGTTGCTTGCGATCAGTTTTTCCGGAAATCAAAACTGGAATGTGGTTGACTGGAACGTATGAAGTGGGCACCATGTAACGAGGAAGAACTTTNTTCACCTCGGCGTCAGCTTTTGAAAGTGCATCGCGCAACTCGTCTGGAAGCTTGATCGAGCTGATGTCTGTTTGTCCGTGTCCTTTCGAAGTGACAGGGGCAACGAAGGCCACCAACGTAGCTTGACCTCCTGTTCCTTGCGGCACAACGACCTCAGCAATCACCGTGGTACCAGAGGGAAGTCTAGCACCAAGCTGACTTTCTATCTCGCCCAGCTCGACACGTTGGCCACGAAGCTTGACCTGGGTATCTTTGCGCCCAGCGAAAATGATGCCACCAGAGCCGTCAGGATCGTACTTTCCGAGATCTCCAGTTTTGTATAACCTGCCACGGCGTCCAGCATACTTGTCGTGGCCTTTGACAAGCCAGGCGGGATCGTTAATGAATACGGTTGCCGTCTTTTCGGGGTCATTCAGGTAGCCTTGTCCGACGATAGGGCCCTCGACAAGCAATTCGCCGACGGCGCCAGCAGGCATGAGTTGCTCATGGTCATCAGGATTGACAATCCACATACAAGCTCCGTTTCCAGTACCAATCGAAATATAGTCTCTGCCAGTGGCAGTGTCGCTGTTGATCGTGCATCCAATAGTGCACTCACAAGGACCGTATCCGATGACGATCCTGGTGTCTTGACCCCAGAAGTTGACATCTCTGGCGGAAGCTGCCTCTCCACCAAGGCCCAAAACATCAAGTGATTTGATGACATCCGGATCCAAAATTCGGGCCATTGAAGGCGTGATGCCCGCATAATTGATCTTCATGTCTCTGATGACGCCGTTAATGTCATTCAGGCGATCTTCATCAGAGGGAATGCAAAGACAGCCTCCATTTCCTACCGTCAGGAACATACTGTCAATGCTGACATCGAAGGCGTATGATGCAAAGTCGAGGACTCTGGACTTTTCTGTATAGCCGACTGCTTTTGCTCTGGGGATAGCGCTGCTGGTGTATGTCTTGTGAGAGATTGTGACACCTTTCGGCGTGCCAGTGCTTCCGGATGTGAAGATGATATACATCAGAGTGTCAGGATCAACCGATGGCAATTTATTCATACGTTTTGGAAAAGTCTGCTTGAAAGTATCTTCTTCAACAATGAGATGTGGTACATCCGGCAGGATGGATTTCGCAAAGCCGTGTTGATTGCGCGAGGAAACGATCACCTTCGCGCCAATCTGTACAGCCATGTTTTGGAGACGAGCAAGCGGAAGTGACGGGTCCATCATCGCAAAGGTCGCTCCTGCTTTCATGGTTGCCAGTACTGCCACAATCGCCCATCGTGATTTCTCAAAGCACAATGGTACAATATCATGTGGCTGCACACCCTCTGCGACAAGCGATTGTGCCATGAACGTAGAATATTGATCAATTTGCCCAAAAGTCAAGGTGCCATCCCAAGAATAAATCGCGACCTTGTCGGGAAACTGCTGTGCTCGTTCGGCAACCATTTCATGCATGCAGAAATCGTAAGTAGGGGGCAACTTATCATTGTAACGCCAGATCTCGTCCAGATCACTCGATGTTGGTTGTAATGAGTCCTGAATCGTCATCCTTTGGTTTGAGATGCAAAGCTGGATGGTGTCCGCTAGTGACTTGATGTATCTGGTTACTTCGTTATCCAGCATGTCCTTGCTGCGAAAAGCTGGTTGGATATTCAGTGTTCCGTCGAGGAAGCGTACTCTGAGATGAAGTGTCNNTCCTTTGCTCTCTACGTCAGCTGAATATATCGATTACTGCACTCTGTGTCTTGCACGCACTGTTGAGTCCCCGGACTGCTGTGATAGGATGTTGGTGCTCAGCAGTAGCGAGACAGGCTCCAGTCTGGCAGTCTCTTTGATTGATTCTGCTATTGAGATCTGGTCCGAGATAGTCCTGACAACATTATCGATCGAGTCCTGCAGACCTTCCGTGACTTTGTCCATGGAGATATGCTTGATTGGCTCCTCCAGCTCGTCTGAAGAACTGTGATATGTCCAGTCAAACGAGACACATTCGCCTTCTCGCGTGCGTAAGAGCACGATCAACCATGATGCTAGCACGATATCCTCTCTCATGCCAGTTGGTGTAGAAGTTGATTGGGGATATAAATCAATCATGTTGTAAGAGAACCCACAGTCCCTTGATGTACCACTCACAGCTCCAGACTCGAACTCAGTGGAGTGTTTGTAGCCCATCTTTGCAGCCTCCTGGACTTGTCTTCGTAATTTTGGTAATGATAGTGTACAACAGACAAATTCAGACTCAATCATGCAGCCGATAATACCGCAAAGGTGGTGTCTCTACACGAGTCCGTTTGCCCAGAGTCACCATGGTGGAACATGCCGAACAAGACCAACAGACCATGATGGTCCTAAGCGACATCGGGTCATGGCCTTCGGGCACGGTAGATCCGCTACAATGGCACGACATCTGATAAGATGAAGAGTTTTCAAGGCGTACGTCCGAGTGCCTAACACGAACAAAAGTCGGGAGCTACGCGACACGCTACTAGAGGTCGGTGCATCTGATCAGATGAATCGCGTCCATCGACATCGTTGGTGGTCCACTTGGTTTACGAAAACCTTCAGGCAGGATGGATGATGGAGTGGGGTTACAGCACAGACGATCTGATTAGATTTTAGGCGAGCTCAATCAAAGCGCTGACCACATAGCAGAATCGATCTCTCAGCTCCACTCTTGCTTTGGGGACAACGTTACTTCTCGGATCAGATTAGATTCGGCGTGTCAGACCAAAACTCGTACTCGGCCACAGTATCCATCTCTTCTCCACGAGTATACTTCTGGTGATGGCGAGGTTGTGATTTACGGAGGCACACACAGGATCTGCAGGGCGTCCTAACGCACGTCCCATCCTCCTGCACGAGCGAGAAGTCAGAAAGTTGGGCGCTGCCAACGCGTCGGCGTAAATCTTGCCATGTTTCCTGTTGCAACGCTACGGCACCGGCGGCGTTACCTACTTGTGCCATCTCGCAGATCATAGCATGGCTAAATGATACTCTCCATAGGTCGACCAGCATGTGCGGGTTGAGTCATCTGTGCCGAGGCATGCCATCAGGGTGTCCAGAAGATAGTTGCTGCTTGAGCTAGGTTTTCGATTTGCTGCTCTCGTCAGATCAACACTGCTTCAATATCACAACATGGCCTCTCCATCACCACACCAATACCCCCGGNTCAAGCTACCTCATCCTTTCCTCACATCGTATCGAGTCAATGTCGTCTCGTCGAACGCACCTGCCAGACGAGTCTTGCACCTGGAAGAGCAACCTTTGAATGGCAAAGCACTAGCTGAGGCATTGCACTCGGACTCGTTGACATGGCTTGACCTGCACACGACGTCCAAGGAATCTCATCCTCCGCTTAACGACAACAGTGATTGGGCTCGTGCTGTCCGCGGTCCCCAGACGACCTTCAAATGGTCAGACAGTACCGCTCCCACCCTTGGCCAGGTGTGGAACGTTGTCCACGCCATCTACCTCGCCCATCCCAACACTGAGCACTTCCGCTTGACGCTGCAAGGCGCAGAGAGACAGACCCTTCACGACGAGTTGCTAGCCACTGGTCTCGCCATTGAACATCCCAAGCCATGGCACTTGCCCAGCGAGTCCGTTCCTCGTAGTAATGAGCTTCTTATCCTGCGCAGCTCCTTCTGGCAAGGCGCCGCATCACCCACTGGCCCGCGTCCCATCTGGGTTCTAGGCGACGGCATCGACAAGCCCCTCCGTCAACCTCTCTCGAATTACCCTCTGATGCCCGAGAACCACCACTTCACCATGAAGTTCCCCAACGAGCGCGTCTACGCCCGCCATCCCATCCGCCGCCCCAAGCCCGCTCCCCAAAGCATATGCTACTCGCGCTACATACCCGAAGTAAACCAGCACTTTTCTCTTGAGGTTGTCGATTGGACATCCNCCGAACATCTCAACCTCTTCCACACATGGCAAAATGACCCTCGCGTCGCAAAAGGATGGAATGAGACTGGAGACCTCGAACACCATCGCAACTACCTCAGGAACTTACATTATGATCCTCATGTTCTTTGCTTGTTCGGCCGCTTCGACGACACTAGATTCAGCTATTACGAGCTGTATTGGGCAAAAGAGGATCACTACGGCGCACACTTTGACGCTGGAAACTACGACCGCGGCCGCCACTCCCTTGTCGGCGACTCCTCCTTCCGCGGTGCCAAGAGAGTCAATGCTTGGTACAGCAGTTGCATTCATTACTGCTTCTTAGACGACCCTCGCACTGCCAATGTGGTTGGTGAGCCTAAGGCATCTGGAAGCATCATTCTGAGCTACGAGCAGAGTCAGGGTTTGGCTATTGGCAAGTACGTGGACCTGGGACATAAAAGAAGTGTGCATAGTGTCGCGAGTAGGGAGAAGTGGTTCCAGCTCTGTCCGGTGTTCTGGGATGGGAGGGAGAGACCTTTGGAGAGTGCTGATAGAGCCGCTTGGGCTGCTAAGTTGTAGGACTCTTTCCTGTTTGTATTTTTGAAACTAGATGAACATGAACGAATGTTATGGTTTTGAGTTCCTCGAGGCAGAATATACAAGTACACGTCTGAGCATAGAGTCTGAAGGCAGTAGACTGGAATAATGAGCGAGTCTGCTGCGGTTCTTGTGTCTGTTGTCCAACGATAGAGATATCATCGTTCCCATTCATTTGGCTTATCTAATTATTGGCGCGTGACCCTGCCCAACCAAGACTTATAACACTGGATAGTTGCTCAGAAGCCTTGGCCATTATCATTCTGTCAGCTAGACCTCGGATGCAACACGAGCTTCATGCTCTAGAGTACCGGTCGATGCAGCCAAGTGTTTCTTGCAATACCATGCCAAATTCGAGCTCATTCCGCGAGAAGCCGATCGTCGCGACATACATCCAGATTTCTGACAAGGTTGCAGCCAAGAACGAGGTGCATCGACGGTGCGTTTAGGGTTATCAATCTGATAATCGACCCGCTCTGATGCAGGGTGCTCGGATCAGTAGGGCTTGGCGAGAATGACTTTCCCGCTCCTTCCGTCTACCAAGCTCGTATCAGAGACTTGTCGCGCCATCGACAAGCTTCCCCTGGCTCGTCGTGCAGCCTTGATTTTTTTTTTGCTTGCTTGCTTGCTTCACGGAGGCTGATCCAGGGTCCGTATCGTTGCCGTTCATCGATTCTGTTGGACCGAGGATGCGATGATCTTTCGCTACATCCGAATCCCGACCCGATTCTGAGTATGCCTGCCGAAGCGAAACAGCACGGTCCATTCGTGTTGAACGCGAGCACTTGCACATGTCAAGAGCCACCGTTGCTTTGGCTTGCTCACATCATCAACTCGAGATGACGTTGGGCCGTAGCTTTTGGCCTTGTCAGGATCGTTCAGCCGAAGTCGGGCTGGATGGTCAATGGATAGACATGGCGGGGCATGCATTGGTACATTTTTATCAGATCCGCGCTGGATGATGAAGACATTGATGTAAGGAAACAATCGCAATGCAAACAATCAATTCCATCTACGAGGTGAACACACCGAAGCATCAACTGTCTGTCTTTCATGGACCGGCAGATCCTCCCTTGGTTACTGTCGCTCTGNGGGAGTTTCTTGACATCCAATGCGAACGATATGGAGAGCGTGAAGCACTTGTCTTTCCCTGGACTGGAACACGATGGACATACAACGACTTGAAAGATGAGAGTTCGAAGCTCGCCAGATATCTCTACTCAAGGGGCATTCGTCCTGGAGACAGGATTGCAATCCTTGCTGGAAACAGAGTTGAATATGCTTCAGTCTTCTTTGCGTGTATGCGTATTGGCGCCATGCTGGTCATCCTGAACAATACATACACGATCCCCGAGGCAGAATATGCTCTTCAGTACACAGGTGAGNCAATGGACTTGTTTCATGACAGCAGACACACTCTAAACAGACTTATAGATTGCAAGATCCTCTTCGCGACACCAACGATCGGCAAGCACATCGATAACTCGAACATGCTGAGGCAGTTCTCGAACAGCTCGGAGAAGTTGCCAGCATTGCAGCAGATTGTCATTCTTGCAGACAGCCTCGACAACTTACTGCACTATCAAGACGCCATCAAGATTGGATCGCGACTGCCGAACGGACCAGTCAAGCAAGTACAAGACAGCCTCTCCCCTTACGAGACATGCAACCTACAGTTCACAAGTGGCTCAACCGGTCATCCTAAGGCAGCTATGCTCACACATCACGGTCTGCTCAACAACTCCCGCTTCATCGGTGATCGCATGAGTTTGACGGCGGAAGACGTATTGTGCTGTCCACCACCCATGTTCCACTGCTTTGGTCTGGTACTCGGCATGTTGGCTTGCTTGACACATGGCGCGAAGATCGTATATCCCTCAGAGATCTTCGATGGACCTTCAGTACTGCAGGCCATCACTGACGAGAGATGTACTGCCATCCACGGAGTGCCAGCCATGTTTGACACCCTGTTCAGTCTACCACGACCCGCAGGTTTCAACTGCGACAGGCTACGAACAGGAATCATCGCGGGTGCCCCTGTTCCACGCCACTTGATGGAACTGTTGGTCAACGAGTTTGGCATGACAGAGTTCACTAGCAGCTATGGCCTCACCGAAGCCTCGCCAACCTGCTTCAATGCCTTTGTCGATGACTCCATTGACCGTCGTCTCACAACAGTAGGAACCCTGATGCCACACGCACATGCCAAGATCGTCGACAAGAACAATCGCATCGTCCCCATCGGCACCCGTGGTGAACTGTGTATCGCAGGCTACCAACTCCAACAAGGCTACTTCCGTAATGCTGCAAAAACAGCTGAAGTCATGGAACGCGATGCCGATGGTGTGCTCTGGCTTCACACGGGCGACGAAGCGGTCTTTGACCGCCACGGCTACTGCTCCATCACAGGCCGTTTCAAGGACATCATCATCAGGGGCGGAGAAAATATTTACCCACTGGAGATCGAGGAACGCCTTGTCAAACACGAGGCTGTCGAGCGTGCCATCGTCGTCGGCTTGCCACACTCCAAGTACGGCGAAGTGGTTGCTGCTTTTTTGCAACGTAAAGCTGGTGCTGTGCCAAAGCCTAGTGATGAGCAAGTGCGTGAGTGGACGAGACAAACACTGGGCAGACACAAGGCTCCTGTCCATGTGTTCTGGCTGGGTGAGAACGGTGTCACGGATCAGATTCCTATTACCGGTAGTGGCAAGATTAAGAAGTTTGAGATGAGGAAGATTGGAGAGGAGTTGTTGGCTTCCATGCCCAAGGCTAAGCTTTGAGCTTGTAACAGCAGGCTTTGTCTGTTCTTCATTACGACTGGAGGCTTTCAGTATGTTGACCGTCGAAGTAGATTGTTTCTTTCGTAGCAAAAAGTAGTGATGTTCCCCAAATTTCACGATTGTATAATCTATGGACAATGAGTCTTTTGACGATGGGTCCCCAGTTTCGCCATCTAGCGCTTTTGTTGCGGAGTAAGAAGAATGATAACATACAAAGAAGATGTCAGCATTGAACAAGATACAGATAACGCTATCAACGCAAAGATGCAGAATCAATTACACTTTTCCCGTTCCAAACACTCAAATCTACCATGTCTCCACGAACGCCTCGAGGATACATCTTCTCTACAACATGGCAACCTCACCTCTGACCGCCTCATTTCCAGCCACACTTTCAAGCACAGAAGCCAACAAACGACCACTTCTCTCCACCGCATACCCCATATCCTCATCCCTCAAGCCTTGCTCCAGCGATCCCATAACCCAGATGCCAGTATCCTTAGCCACGGCATTCCTGCGGAACGAAAGCTTGTATTCTGCATCCACCGCCGCCTTTTTGTCCTGCAGCAACCCAGCAGCTTCAATGTCCTGCAGTAAAGATGTCGAGTGCTCGTATCCACCTGCTGCGATGACGATGTCGAAAGCGTTGGGGCTGGTGCTGGTGGCATTTGTACGTGTGTTTTGCAGACCGAGGCGGAGTTTGTTGCCAGAGGGGATGACGGAAGTTACAAGAGACAGAGGTGTGATGGTGAAGCGCCAGTCGCTTGGTTTGTGTGTTGAGATGCGTTGGGCGTAGAGGTTTTCGTAGAGTGCTTCGATGGTGTGAAGGGAAATTTTGGGGGTTTGNGGAGGGGTAGAGGATGGAGAGAGTAGGCGAGGGCGTAGTTCGGGTGGGTATTGGGAGGCTGTCGCGCCGGGGAGGATATCGTCGATGATGTCCTGGGTACTGTTTTCGGCCATTGTTAGAAACCTTTGCGTGTGAGAGAATGGATAGAGAGAGGCTTACAAGGAAGTGTTGTCCTCTGGTCGCAATGCAGAGTCTGTGATGAACATTGTTGCTCGCACGCGGTGCAAGGCCCCGGCACTCTGCAAGTGCTCAAAGATTTCAGCCGCCTCTTGATCCGCTCCCACGATAGCAATATCTTGGTCCTTGAGATTGTGCAACAGAGGTCCAACTTCAGAAATGTGTAGCACCTTACCCTTTGCTCCCATCAAAGCATCGGGGATCCTAGGCTTGGAGCCAGTAGCCAAAACAACACGCTTGCAAGCAATAGTGCGGGTGTTTCCCTGAGCATCACAAACACCAATCTTCCAGCCATTGATCTGCGAAGCTCCATTCTTGACAGGAACAACTCTGGTAGCAGTGCTCGAGTACCTCACCCACTGTCTCTCCTCCATCTTCGCCGCAACCCAAGCAAGGTAGTTGCCCATCACCAATCGCGTGGGAGCCATATGCGAAGAGTTGACAAACTGCACCAACTGCCCACTCTCAAACAAATAGTTGACAAATGTAAATTCGCTGCGAGGGTTGCGTGTGGTGATCAAGTCACGCAAGAAACTCGTGCGTGTGGCATTTTCTGGCAACACTGATGCAGGTGCCCAGTTGAAGGCAGCCTTGGACTCCAGAAAGAGGACTTTGAGTGCTGTTTCGGAGTCTGCGAGTGTGGTTGCGAGGGAGAGTGCTGTGCTGCCGAAGCCTACAACGACAAGGTCGTAGGATTGGGTTGGGTGTGAGGCATTGGAAGCTGCAGCCATCGTCGTGGTTTCCTGCACTTGGAAGGACATATTTCCCAATGCTGTAACAAGCAAGCACCTTGATAAAAGGATAAACAAAAGATTGATAAGATAGAAAAAAAGTAGAAAGAAACGCAAGAAGAAGATCAGAAGATCAGAAGATCAGAAGATCCAAAAGATTGATAACGAACAGAGTACAGAAAAGATTGTCCTCTGCAACCACCCGAGTACAGTCCTACTTACTCCTCGGCAGAGCATGCAAATTGTACGGCCTTGTCCTCTCTCCTACAACTATCTCCGTTCATCGGCCTGCGAGCAAGATCATGGCATGATTGACACATGCCTCAAACCGCAATGTTGAGCGGTGCTCGTGCAGAGAGCAGGCCCAATAATTCGATCTGATAAAAATTTATCTTTTTAGCCTTTGGCACCAAGAGACGTATCCACATGTGCCGGTGTCATGCAGGGTCCATCTCGAGCACGAGCATGGACGCCCACCGTTAATGACGCCCAGAGCCGAAGTCAAGCCACCGTGTGTAGCAAAAGCAAGGCTCGCAAGCGACGAACAAAACCGGGAAGGTGCGGATGGAAGTCTGCAGAAAGTGTGGCAGCGGTGAAACGAGCGAGACGGACACGAGAAAAGGGGCCCAAGCTCGATGAAGATCATCTGATTATCGGCGCTTCCATCTGATTAGATTCTGGGTCGTGTGACACTCTGTTTTTGTGCCTTATGACACCACCCACCACTATCAGTCAAGGAAACATGTTGCGATGGTGAATGCTCCGAGGGCGTCCGACGGTAAAAAGTTTGATCTGATTAGATTGTTCTGGGAAGATGTGAGGGGTGTGTCAGTGTAGTCGTGGCGTGTATGCTAGTCCGCAACGTGGTGTTCTAGTTCAAGCCTCGTGCGGAGAGGATCTTAGAAGACTACTCTGCTGGATATGCCATCTGTTCTCTGAACATGGCCGATCTGGGCCAAGAAAGTACGAGAACGAGGGAGGGACAAAAGAAGTTGAAGCTGGAAAAAATGTGCATGTACCGTTATCCTTTTGTTAATCATCTCATCTATGCGCTGCCAGTAGACTTGTTCAGGTATCCCAATACCTTCTCACACAAGAACTTTCTCGCCGGACCTTGATCGTCATTGCTCAGAGCGTGCGATGCATTAGGCACAACGGCAGTGTGCTCATCATCCCAAATCTCCTTGTCTCCGCCAGCGTTGGCTGCCTTGGCCCATTTCTTCATCAGACCTGCTTTGTCCACCCACTCAGGGACAGCTTGATCCGCACCCGAGTAGAAAGCGGCCATCTTGTTCTTCAACAATCCTTGCTTTTGAATCATACCGAACGATTTCGCCAATTGTTCGTCGCTGAGATCTGAACTGAAGACATCATCCTCGGAGGGATTGTGCGGGCTTTCTGGGCTCACCAAACTCAAGAAGCGGCGTGCGGATAGTGGTGTGTTGGCAGGGTAGCCGATCTGGTATGTCAAGTGGATGGGTAGCAGCGCATCGAATGTCTGGTCATCTTTGCTGGCAAACTCCTTTGCCATCTTCTCTAGTTGCTCGTAGTATGCTTGACACTGCTCTGGGGTATTGCCGCGGAAGCCATGTTGACAGACGAGTTTGATGCATTCTCTGTCGCTGATGGGTGCTTGCATGATTGCACCGTCGAGCGCCAATCGCTGGAGATGCTTGAGATCGGAGTCGAACGAGGGGTTTGTGGTGTGGGGNTTTGATCGTGACAGGTAGTGTAACACCATCTGACTGCCAGTCGAGTGTCCCATCAATACGATCTTGCCATTGTCGCCGAACTTGGATGTCTTGTAGTCCTTGATGTATCGTATCGCTTGAGCAAGCTCGTCTGTGTCTCTATCGAGGTGTCCGAGACCCCATGATTGGTATGATGAGGTGAGGGTGAGTGAGAAGAGCGACCACTCGGTTTGTGATAGTGCGTGGACCAGATCTGCCGTGTAGGAAGTCGTTCCTAGCCCATCGCCGAGGCCTCCAACGAAGAGGATGCTGTGAGGCTTGCGTGCAGCATTGGCTGTGTATTCGAATGTCGTCAATGTCTCTGTCTACAGCTCATACATCAGTAGCTGTCGTTGAAGCTCGAAGCCGCGAAAACATACGAAGTGGTGCAGGATACCCTGCATGCCACCCTTGGGCCAGAATTGCGAATATTTGCTCATCATAATGTATCGTGCGAGGTACGGTGGATATGCTCAAAGTCACAAGATCCAGGTATCGGTACTGCTGGAGTCAACGGTATGCAATCACACGCGATCGATACAGTCAATGAAACAGAGATCAAGACACGAAGCAAGCACGACCCCTCGCCATGTCAGGCTCGACTCACGGTGATACACTCATCACTTTCTCCGGCCACGAAATACCCGGCGGCATCGGGCTCGAGCTCTGAGCTCTGCAACATCGTGGCAGCAAGAGCTGTCGCCAAAAACAAAGCATCTTGCGGTAGGACCCACCTCGGGTCTGATAACCCTTGACTGCTAGCGCTCAACAAAAATCTGATAAAACCGAACAGGGCTGCTTGGCAGGGCGCGTCGGATCAGATAGCTCCTTAGCGCTGTCCAAGCAAAGCTTCGGGGCGTTCGACATCCGCTAAAGCCTCGGATCAGATAATCTTGTTTCGACCAACCCCTGCACCATGCTTTGGTTTTTCTAGCCGATGGTGCTTCCAGTGAATGCCACGTAGCAGTGACAGATGTACCCACTCTGTTCTATGCCGATTGTTTGATCCGTAATCGCGTCCTAAGAGGCAAGCAAGTCGCGGTGAGAATAATTAGTGGCAGACATATTGCATACAATAGAGATATATTATGCTCGTTTATGTATGAGATGATATAGTGCAAACATGGCAGGCTGTAGATTGCAATGTTGTAGAACGTTGACTTTGACATAATGATTAAAAACAAGATATGATTCATACAAAATCGTTCATCCTCTTCTTGATCTGTGACAGGTGAAGTTGACCAAAGAACGTGTCGAGACGATTAGAACAAGACACCCTTGGTCTGAGTCTTGGTGAGCTTGACGTCCTTGATGATGAACATCCAAACAAGTGATGTTGCCATGATGCAAGTGCCGGCAATCAGCATTCTGCTCTGTGCGACTGCGTAAGCCTTGATGATGGCTTCACGGACGGGATCACCCATGGCGTAGCTGAGCTGAGTTTCAAGATCTTCGTAGATGGTCTCCCAGTCGGCGAGAGCATCGGCAGGAAGATACTTCTGCAATGCGCTGGGCAAAGTGTGTTGCCAGACAGCACCAGAGATACTGCCACCGATACCACCACCGATGTTACCGAAGACGTTGAGGAAAGCAAGAGCTGCAGCGGCATTGTTGTGGTCGGATGCAGAGAGAACAGCAACCTGTTGGCAAATAATCATGGTACCTCCGGCGAAAGCGATGAAGATCTGGCACATGATCGTGTAACCAACAGAGAAGCCGGGCTGGCGGAAGTAGATCATCAGCCCAATACCGAGGATGTAGAGAGGGACGGCGATCCAGAGCAGCCAGCGGAAGCGATTGGTGCCTTTGATAGCAAAACCAACGCAGAAGAGCCATACACCAGAAACGACGTCGAAGATGCTGCCGATGTAACCGGCGGTAGATACATCCACTCCGAAGACGACCTGAAGGTAGGACGTGAAGTAGTCATACCAACAGTAGTAAGAGATCTGGTAAGTGGCATCAATCAAACAAGCGCCAATGACAGTTCTGTTAGCGAGGAGCTCCCAAGGAAGGAAAGGAACGGGAGCGAGGAAGCGTTCTGCCAGAGCAAAGCCAATCAAACAGCAGAAACCGATGACAAGCATGACAATGATGTGGGGAGATCTCCAGTCGTCTTCGGCAGAGCCTGCGATGGTGAACGGAAGCAGGAACAAAGAGAGACCGGCAGTCAAAAGGAAAACACCGAGCACGTCAAACTCAATGACATAGTACCAAACACTCTGTCTGAAGGTCCTACTGGTCTTCGGTTTCTCCTTGAGAAGTCCATTCTTTTTAGCCTTGGAGCGGAAGTAGCGTAGCAGACCAAAGAAGGGGAGGACAACGCAAGGTAGGACGATACAGAAGGTTCCGTATCCCCAGCGCCAGTTGGTCTCATGGAATTGCTGGGCAGCTGCGGGACCAGCGTATGCGGTGATGATGAACGGAGACGAGGTGAGTGCATAAGCCAGACCTCTGCTGCGCAGAGTAGAAGTATCGATAGTGACAACGTCGACACAGAAGATCAGACCGGCAGATCCGATAGAGTAAAAGACCTGAGCGGCACAATATGTTCCAATGCTGTTGCAAGTTGCTGACAAGATCAATCCGAGAAGGAAGAACGCAAGCATGATCAGAAGACCAACAGTACGATCCCACAGGTTCAGCACCTTGGCAAGGGGCATGTAGGTTGCGGCTCCCATAATGGAGCCAATGATGGAGATGACGGGGAGCAAGGAATGCGCTTCGAATCCGGAGGTAATAAAGGGCGAAAGGTTGTAAGTAATGTTGGACTGGAAAGCGTTCACGCAGTAAATGGACCACATNGCTGATTGACGCGTCAGTTGAAACCCAAGACTATCGCATAACTCTGATACCTACAGTGCATAAGTTGCGATCATGGAGCTCTTGGTCCATGACAGTGTGATGGCCTCAGCCTGTGTGACACCAGCTTGGGCATCCTCGTTAGGAACCTCCTCGCTGGCTTGGTCGGCGGTCACCTCATCCTGTGCGTGTTTGGAATCTCCGTGGGACCCATATCTCTCTGGATCGTGGAGGTGCATCTCAGTGGTTCCGATTTCCGAAGCAGAGCTGGAACTACCTTCTTGCGGGTCAATAGAAGACGAGAAGAACTTCCTCCTCAATGCTGAAGGCATCTTGGCTGTTCTCTAGATGGAAGAGAAAGTATGGATAGAAACAAGGACTTCGGGGAAGAAGATCCCTTGTAGAAAGACAAAGGCACTTTCCTTTTATCTGGAAGGAGTCCAGCTGGAGGAAAAATGGGACCATACCTCACATTCGGGGTCTCGTTGAGGTTTAACGGTACTGGGACCCCCTAGCGTGTGAGGCCAAGGATCAGGGCGGATCAGATTAGTACGGATCGATTCTACCGGATTGCAGCGCCGCAGACAAGTCATGCGATTTCGGTAATTCTGGTTGCGCTCGCACGAAGCTGAATCGAAGCCCTAGGCTTTACCTTCCATCGCGCCTCTCAGAGCACACCCGGTCCGCTACGAAGAACCGCCGGTGCATCTTTTGATCAGATAAGATTCGACCAAGGATCAATACCAAGGCCTGTACCGACCGGTGAGGGCTGGCGTCGCTGCTGCCAACGGAATCTCGGCGCGTCTGGAATATTGGGCGGAGAGAGACGAGTCTTTTTCGGCCACTGTCGCGATTTTATGGAGTTGGTCCGGCGTCGGGACCCACGCGAAGCCTGAAGGATGCGCCCAACGTCCGCCCGCCGTGCAACCATGAGTTCATCAAAAGATCATCAAGATTATCTTATCTAGCGCGGCAGCAGTGCGCAAACGATGTCGCATTAGCCCGTCGCCGTCCGTTGTTTCTGACTGTGATTGACAGCACAAGCTTTCGTAATGGTTTGCTCTCTTCGCCCAGGCATTGTGTCGGCTAACTCGTATGACTATGGATCTGGCTTCGTCAAGGGCCGTGAGGTGCAAAATGGAGGCAGACCCACCTGATTTCTGGCGGCGGCCACCACCCACTTCCTGGTACTGTGCATCCTTCGTTTCTTCGTAGCATTTATTTATCAGATCAAAGATTTCGAGGTCCAGGCGCACTCTTTTGCTATTGACGGACCCCGCGGACCTTATTTGTTGTCTAGCACTGCACCACGACGGCATTGAGTTGCCTCTTCTTTGGTGTAACTGATGTTCGAAGCTGTCGACTCGCGATTCGACCAAAACGCATAACGACACTTGCCAGATCTTAGACGCGATTGAATACGTGATGGCAGGCTTCATCCAGAAAATTGGAGGTTACCCTCGTCTCCTGCTTGCAGGCAATCCAACAGCACGCGACATAGGCACATTATCACTCGGTACCATAAGCTCAATAGCAGCTGGAGTTCCGTTCCCTATCATTGGTATTCTATTCGGTCAGCTTCTGGACGACTTCAATGCAGCAACGTGCGATCAAGCAACCGATGCTGGAGATGGCGACCAAGGCAGCATCAACAACACTATCCTGATCATTTTCTATCTGGCCATCGCTCAATTTGTTTGCATTTATGTTCACCTAACTTGCTGGACTCTCAATGGCGCTCGGTTGGCACAAAGACTCCGAGAGAGTTATCTCCAAAACTTGCTCAGACAGGAACCTTCGTTTTTCGACAATCTGCCCCCAGGAGAAGTCGCATCAAGACTCCATGGAGACATCCAGACTATACGCTCGGGCACCGCAGAAAAGGTCGGAATCTGTCTTTCAAGTTTGTCCTTCTTTGTCACAGCATACATTGTCGCATTCATCAAAGATTGGAAGTTGGCCGCAGAATTGCTCTCTCTGATCCCGGCTTACTTCATCATGTCGATTGTTGGAAGCCACTATATCGAGAAGTACTCAGGCATGGTCTCAGACTACGCTGCATCTGCTGCATCTATCGCTTCAGAGGCACTGAACAACATCATGGTGGTTCAGGCTTTCGGCGCCAATGCTCGTCTGGAAAAGAAGTTCTCAGATGCTCTCAGAGCTTCTGAGCATGAAGGTATCAAAAAGGCTACTGCTGTTGGTATCCAGAGTGGTGTTCTCTACTTTGTCGCCTACTCTGCCAATGGTTTGGCCTTCTGGCAAGGAAGCAAGCGCATCGCAGATTCAGTAGAAGGAAAGTCTGGCGGTACCACTGTTGGCGCAACATTCACCGTCATCTTTATCCTCATCGAAGCCACTCTGCTTCTCAGTCAAGTGGCCCCATTCGTCCATCTTTTCTCAGCTGCCGTTGGTTCTTTTAACAAACTCCGTGAAGACATTGATCGCGAGCCTCTGATCGACGGACACACCAAGTCAGGCCTTGCACTTCCCCAGGCCGGAGTTGGATTCGAATTCAAAGATGTCTCGTTCACATACCCGTCAAGACCTGAGATTGTTGTTCTTGACAAGATCAGTCTATCTATCCCTGCCAACAAGCATACCGCACTTGTCGGACTTTCCGGTAGTGGCAAGTCTACCATCGCAGGTCTAGTCAGCAGACTTTATGATCCTACTGAAGGTCAAATTACGTTTGATGGACAGGATGTTCGCACACTCAACGCTCGTGACTTGCGAAGTTTCATGAGTTTGGTTCAGCAGGAACCTTCACTCCTTGATCGTTCCCTCCTGGAAAACATCGCACATGGCCTGATCAACTCCAGCGACCCTGATCATGCTCAGTTCAAGGATATCCTTCTTGGCTCTGATCTTGCAGAAGTCGCTGCTGACATTCGCGAAGGCACCGATCTTATGGTTGCTGCAGAGAAGCGTGGTCCTATCGTTGTCGGAATTGCTGTGTTGGCCAAGAGAGCTGCAGCCTTAGCAGATGCGGACCAGTTCATTGTCGCACTCCAGCAAGGATATGGTACTGTTGTCGGATCAAGTGGGCGCCTCATCAGCGGCGGTCAGAAGCAGCGTATCGCTCTTGCAAGAGCCTTGGTCAAGAACCCTGCTGTGCTTATCCTTGACGAGGCCACTGCTTCTCTCGATTCAAGGAGTGAGCAGCGCATTCAACGCGCCATCAACAGCATCACTAGTGGAAGAACTGTCATCACCATCGCGCATCGCTTGGCCACTATAACCGCCGCAGACAACATCATCTGCATGCATAAGGGACATATCCTCGAACAAGGCACTCACTCAGAGTTGATGGCCAGCGGCGGGACCTACGCTGATATGGTCAAGATGCAGACCCTTGGAAACATGTCCGAAGCAAAGAACGTGACTGCAGACAGCATCAGTGTTTCAGATCGCACGTCGACCGGCGATATTGAGAAGAAGAGCTTGTACGAGGACACTGTCGAGGCTGAAAAGGCCGAGCTCTCGGCAACGGAAACACCTGTCAGATATTCTGCAGATGAAGAAGAGCCAGAAGAACTCCCAGTACCTCCGAAAACTCTCTGGGACCTGGCAAAGGGCTATGGCCCAGCACTAAGACCACACATACTCTACATTTTTGTTGCTTTCATTGGCTCTGTCTGCGTTGGTGGCGCTTTCTCTGGCGAAGCTGTCATCTTCGGTAACACTGTTGGTAGTCTCAACCCTTGTCACAGTCCTAGCAGAATTCGTAACCGTGGTGACTTCTTTGGTCTCATGTTCTTCATCCTCGCTATCATCGAGTTCTTTGCCAACCTCGTGAGTTGGTGTGGATTTGGCTGGGTGTCAGAGAAGGTCGTTTACACTGTCAGAATCTTGTCGTTCAGATCCTTGTTTGAGCAAGATTCTCAATGGCACCAATCTGAGGGACGTACACCAGCTTTGCTTCTCTCGTATATCACTCGAGATGGAAACGCTTTGGCTGGATTCAGTGGCTCTGTTGTTGGAACTCTGTTTTCCATCACTGTCAACCTCATTGCCGCCATCATTCTTACCCACATCATCGCATGGAGAATTGCTTTGGTTTGCTTGTCACTCGTACCACTTCTTCTTGGAGCCGGTCTCATGGAGCTCCGCATTCTTGGTAAATTTGAAGAGAAGCATGAAACTGCATATACCAAGTCAGTGGACATTGGTGTAGAAGCCATCACTTCCATCAAGACCATCGCATCTTTCTCGCTCGAGGAAGAAATTCTGCGAACATACAGACGCTCTCTCAAGGGTCCACGCAAGGACACTCTCAGTGTGACTTTGCAGGCCAGTCTTTGTCAGGCCTTGACATACTTCCTGGGCAACTGTGTCAATGCTCTTGCCTACTGGTGGGGCTCCAAGCAGATCCTCAATGGCAACTACACACAAACACAGTTCTTGATCGTTGTGTTCTCTCTGCTTGTCGGTGCATTGCTGTGGTCGCAGATGTTCGCATTGGCCCCAGAAATCTCTGCCGCTCGCAATGCCATGGCGAGAATTCTGAGCTTGATCCAGATCGGCAAGGATAAGATGGCAGGTCATGTTCGCCCTGTCGACATGTCACTCGAAGGCAACAACGTCGAAGCTATGGCTGAGGCCAAGACTTCGCACATGTCAAACAACAAAGCTTCAAGTGTTCAGATGAGGGACGTACACTTTTCGTATCCGGCTCGTCCTGATGTCAAGGTAATGAACGGCCTAAACATCGACATCAAGCCCGGCCAATTTGCTGCGCTTGTAGGTCCCAGTGGTGCCGGAAAGTCGACCGTCATCTCTCTGGTTGAGCGTCTCTACGTCCCTCAATCTGGTTCTGTACTCATTGACGGCCTCGACGTTACCAAGACTCGCGACACTTCTTTCCGTGACAGTATCGCCCTGGTGCCTCAGGAAAGCGTACTGTTTGAGGGAAGTGTCGAGTTCAACATTGGTCTTGGAGCTCGCCCTGGACACACTGTCAGCAAAGAAGAGATCATTGAAGCGTGCAAGCTGGCCAACGTACACGATGTCATTGCTGCCCTACCAGACGGCTATGACACTCTCTGCGGACCTAATGGCAGCCAGTTCTCCGGAGGTCAGAAGCAGCGCTTGTCGATCGCACGCGCATTGGTCAGAAACCCAAAGCTGCTCATTCTGGACGAGAGTACCAGTGCCCTCGATGCTGAGAGTGAGAGATTGTTGCAGGAAGGCTTGGACAAGACTAAGGCAAAGGGCATTACAGTCATTGCCATTGCGCATCGTCTACACACCATCAAGAAGGCCAATATTATTTTCTTGATCGAAGCAGGAAGGTGTGTTGACAGCGGTTCGCACGAAGAATTATTGGAAAGAAGTCTGGATTATCGCGAGTCAGTGATGCATCAGACGGTGGCTACAGATTAGACGATACCCGACATAGCTTCTCGAAAAGTTTTTTACATGTTTGATTCTCATTTCTTTGTTTCTGCAACAGACAAGATCATGCTTTCTACTCGAGTCAATTTGTCGTGTTTGTCTCAATGGCTGGTAAAGTCGAGCAAGCAGTAAGACGTCTCGTATATTCTCATCTCTTCTCTTGCGTCTTTCCGTTCCTTGTCACGCATCTCTGAAATCCTCGTCCCGTATTCTTTTGCTTGTTCTCTTTCTTCATCTTCTTCTGTTTTATAATATTGCAAATTTTTGTAGTCTCGTGTTTGCGTATTTGGGCGCACCGATCTTGGTTCGGCTGCCAGTCTGGATCCTCTCTTGTATGTTGTCAAGCCGAAAGTCCTGCGAAACTGGTGTATGTGATTGTAGGGAGCTTGTGAACCCTCAGAAACCCAGCTGCATTGCAAATGCCTCTATCAAACGCCCTCAGTCGTGGCACCGGTATACCTCCGATGGCCCGTCAGCTTGAATATGGCCGACCCGGTGTCACAGGGTTTGACTTCGCTTCTCCAGAGTACAATAGCTTGAGATCTCGCGTCAGCCAGGTTGCGCTTCCTCTATTCACCAACGTGAGCGGAGTTTCCACTCTACTTCAGTGTATTATTGAGGCATAAAGAATTTACTCACTTGCCCTTCATGCCTTTCTGAGCCTTGTCGGTGGAAGCGACGATGGAGGCAACGGTCGATGGAACATCTGGCCATAGTATCTGAGTTTAGACCGGGATAGAAATAAAAAGACAAGCATTACGGTGCGTGTCTTTGTTTGTTTGGGAACGAGTTTATCGTGTTTCACACCACTACCATGCAACACCTCCTGCTTTCACTCGCAAAGTTTCTTGAACATTGCTCTCTCGACGCCGAGTCAATCAGGGAAAAATACGATTGCCCACACCGCTCAAAGCATTCTAGACGCCGAGTCATAGCGACAAGCATCTTCCAGCGGCTGCACTGCCGACGGTCGAGCTTCAAGGTAGGTAAAGGCCGATGCCGAATGTGCTCCAGAACCATGAGTGATACTCAGAGTAGCGCGACAGAATATAAAGGGCGGTACACCAGATAGCAGCAAAAAAACAAAAAGAAGAAGTAGAAGAACAACGATCCAGACCCGAGCTTGTTTGCTGCTGAAAAGGTGTCGCCAGTTGTGTCCTGCAGGTGTCGTTGTTGTGGGTGACGAAAAGATGTCTTTCGAGACGGCAAATGCAGTCGGTCATCTTTGCTGCGATCCTGCCTTCGACATTACGATCCAGCGAGCTTTGTGAAAAACACAACCCACCATGCGCGAGCTGATGGTTCATTGGCACGAACACATGTCCGGCATGTATTGGGGTCTGACACTTCGACTAGAAAGTAAGCGGTACGAAACGATGGAATTGTAGCAATCCAATAGTTGCAGGACATTCTGACTCAATCAGATCCTTCTGCAACTAGACTCAGAGCTTGGCTTCTGCAATCTCTGGCTGTATATTTGTCCATTCCACAATGTCACCAAAGTTCATCATTCTGTTCGATCCCTCAGGGCCATGTCTATCTTGCAGATCTTCCCACTCGCGGTTCACAGCCGTCTCGGGACGCCAACGAAAGCTGTGTTCCATACGTGGATCCAGCTTGTCTTCCATAGCATCCGTGATACTGTGTACACGGTCAGCTACATGTATTACTACCACGAAATAGTATGGTGTACTCACAATNCCACCGATGACTGGGATGTGACAGAAGCCATGGCCCGAGGCACCACACCCAAGCACAAGGCTAGGATATTCAGGATGCTTAGAGATCAGAAATGCGCGATTGGGAGTATCTGCACACCAGCAGATACGGGCAAAACTGAATGGTCGATCTGCGAGATGTGGCATTGTCTCGCGAAGGAAGCCCCGGGCTCTTACTTCTGCCTCCTTGGGAATTTGATACTTCGCAAATGGCACACTCGACCGTTGGGAGCTNGCCATGGGTCAGCTTGTGAGGTTGGCAGTGATCGTATCGACTTACTTCTGTGGATCAACTGTCCAGTTGCAGTAGCCGGGATGCTCATCGCACAACTTTAGCTCGCCCTTCTCCTCGTCAGGCTCCATGAAGAAGCCTCGCTCGATGTTGAACAGGACTGGCAGATTCTTGAATAGCTGCAGCTCTTCTTTAGTCATCTTGATGTGCGCTAGAGTCCAGGCTGTAGGACGCAGTTGATCCTTCATTTCGAAAATGATACCAGCATTTGCACCAGCACAAAGTATCGTACGGTCTGCCCGGTGCTCGAACCCATTTAGTGTCTTGGCTCCTTTGATATCGCCGTCTTCGATAACAAGGCTTTCAACTTTGCCCTTCTCCTCGCCAGTGATGAAAACCGCGCCAAGGCGTTCTGCTTCTCTGGCCGCGCTTTCCATGGACTTTCTTGCGTGTATCCAGCCGGAACCTTTCTTCATCCACCAGCCCTCCCAGCCGGGAAAGTCTCCCGTCAAGACACCTTTTGGCATCGTTGCCTGGAAATCTTCTTTCGTTTTGAGAGGCAGCCAGCCGGCACTCTCGCTCGGACCACTGGCCGAGTTCATATGGGCAAGTCCATCCTTCGAAGTTGCAGCGATGATACAGCCCGTTTCGTGGAAGTAGGGTTTGAAGACAGGATCCTCAAGCCAGCCTTTGGTCGCCTCGCTCACTAATTTATTGGCAACGAACCGCTCGTCGGCGTCGGCACCAGCGGCGAAGGTTCCTAGCTCGAGAATCTTGTTGACATCGTTACCGGCGGATATGGGAGAGGGTACCGGATAGGGATCAAGAAGAGTGACATGCTTATATCCTCGTCTTTTCAGGTGCAGAGCTGTGGAAATCCCCCACGTGCCGGCTCCGATGATGAGAATGGTCGAGTCTTTCGAAAGTGGAACAGACATCGTGGTGGAAGGTTGTGAGTAGGCTTCAAAAGAAGGAAAGTTGAAAGGGGGTTTCAGAAGAAAGCAAGGACCTCTAGATGCTTGATCTATCACACGAGAAGTGACCTACCGAACAACACGCTGCTACTTCGCCTATAATGACCCGTCTGAAAGCACAATTGAGTCCGGGTGACGGTGGGCAATGAACGAGGGGAGTCTCGATGGAGGGAAGGTCCAAGCAGAGCCCAGGCCACCCTCGGGCCTTGGCGTGCCCCAGCCCCTCACCCGCATCCTGTCAGCCTACATTCAGACGTCCTATCGTTCCACCGAATACGGGCATCATGTTTAAGGCCCACATACTTTGAACCAGACAGCGATGCCCCGCAAGCGCGTGAACCTCCAGGAGCCCCAGCGAAAACGGAACAGGACAGGCTGCGACAAATGTCGCGCTCGCAAAGTTCGTTGTGACGAGCAGAAACCGACCTGCGGCCAATGCAGTGCCAAGGGCTTTGATTGTCAGACAAGCATCAAGCTCAAGTGGGAACAAGACTATACCAGTGTTGGACGAGCATTCGGTAGAGCTGGTTTGTGGAGCAAAAAGGCTGCCGAGAAATCAAATGCTCCATCGCCGTGTATTCACGTCACCGAGGACGAGGTATCGTGGATCCAAATTCCTCTGATCTCTTCATACAGCTTTGTCAACGCTACGGTAGGGAACATTGAACAGCTCACGACTTTGGAGGACCTCGCAACAGACGCTGCGCCAGTATTGGATGTCATTCGTACCAATGATCGCGACGATACTTCAAGCACTGCTTCTTTATCACCATGGCTGTCTGCCAGACAACCTGCGTTCTTGCCTCGTCAACACTTCTTCCCATCTGCATTGCCGATGCTGCCTGACCTCCCCAGCCCGATGCACTCCAGCCTGCTTTCGTATTACTTAGAGAAGATTTGTCCAATCACTGTCCCGAGTTCCGTCAACAAATCTCCTTTTGCCAACTTGATCCTTCCGTTCTCCATCTCGTCCTCTCCTGCTGTCTTGGAGGCTCTGCTTGCTCTCGCCGCTTGCCACAGATCAAAGAAGGACATCGCTTTCCGTGCCACCTCTTTGAAGCTAGGGGACAATGTTCTTCGCAATCTGCGCGGGAGGCTTGGTACTGAAGACCCTCTGAAGGTTGCCATGGACCCCGAAACACTGGTCATCATGATGGTCTTGTGTCAGTACGAAATTATCAACGAGTGCGACAAACGCTGGGTCGTTCATCTCAAAGGAGCTCGAGATCTGATACGAGTCAGAAGAAACGCTCAGCTCTATCTTACTGCCGGACAGTCCTTCAACGGTCTTGTCGAGTTTGCTGAGAAGTACTTCGCTTTCCAGGATGTCATTGGGCGAACGGCATGCGGCGAAGAGCCGATCTTCGGTATTGACTTTTGGACATCTCAAGGCGAGGATACCGATGCCTGGCTCGGTTGCTCTGCTGGTCTTGTCTCGATCTTGTGCGAAATCACTGAATTGAGCCGCCAACATCGATCACGGCCTGGCGTAAGTCTTCTACCCGACTTTCAGTTCAAAGCAGCATCTTTAGAGCGCCGGCTCTGTAGTTTAAGGCAGAGGGTCTTGAACGAGGAAGACGACCTTCTACAATTGTCCGCAGAGCTGAAGAGAATGGCAGCCGAACTCTATCTACATGGTGCCCTCAATGGTGCGACTCCGGCGATGCCCCTTGTTGTCAGACTCGTACAACAAATCCTTCATCTAGTCTCAGTTCTCCTTGAACACGGGGTGCTTGCTGGCTTAAGCTGGCCCCTTTTTGTTGCCGCTGTCGAGCTTGATCCAATGGAGGACCTCGAGTGGGCTGAAAGGCAAGACCTACCCGATGAGGTGCCAAACTATGCTCGGCCGTTTGTCCTATATGCTTTGAGCCGCTTGGCTGGATCAAATGCTATTGCCAACATAGCCAAAACGAGGTCTGTCATCGAGAGGATATGGCTGACAAGGAGTCATGATGAGATCTCTGACACACAGTTGGAAGGGCTCGAGAAGGGTCAGAATGACTGGGAACGCTATGTCGCTCCACTCTGTGGTGGCTTGAGTCTTGCTTGAGGTTGAGATTGTCACCACGCGATTCAATACACTGGATCTTACTACCTCGAGTGCCTCATCAGAGTTGAGTCTGGTTTACATCTGCATTTTCAATCTCCAACACATACAGACTTTGGTTGTGTATTGCACTGTTGTCTCAGTTCTGACATTCGATATTGCAATGCTATACTGGATATCATTGATACCAAGCCACATTAGGGTTATACGCTCATGTACACAGTTGGCCAGCCTTACAGCGCGTTTTGGCTGCACCTTCGACCTCAATGGCGTTGCTGTTATCAAATGTGTATCTCTACCCCAATTATAGCACCGGCTGGCTGTGGGCTTGTGATGCGGGTTGATGTTTGGGGCTAAAGCTTATCGTTCATGCGGCTGCAGCTCCCATTGGCTTCGCTTGTACCTTCGACTTCTCCGCATTAACGTCCCTCTATCAGTGGGACATTGTTACCTCAATCGTAGGTATACGTATCAGAGGATACTGGACATACGATACTCATCGAGACTGTCAGCTAAGATAAAAGGCGTACCTTCCCTCGATGACAATGCTCGCAATACTGGATAAACTAAACTACTTTCCTGTTTCGACAAATATTCAGAATGACAAGTCCAGACTGCGATCTCGATGTGCCTGGTACTTAACAGCTTGTTGATGGTAAGCAGATTCGCGTATTGCGCAAAGACGTTTCTCACGACCCTCCAGTGAATCACGACGTTGATGCCGTCCATCAAGGCGACTCTGATATCCTCCTGATCCCACGCCCAACAGAAAGCGGCTCTGATCCTCTCACATGGTCTAGATGGAGGAAGTGGTATCAGCTCTTCTTGCTTGCGCTGTACGCATGCGCATTCTCGTTTGGAGAGAACACCCTCGGTGCCGCGTGGACAACCGTGTCCGAGGATACTGGCGTTTCATTGGTCAACATGAATGGCGGCAGTGCACTCAACTATCTGCTTCTCGGCCTCTGCAACATCTGGTGGATCAGCACAGCCAACAAAGTGGGACGGAGACCCGTCTTCCTGTTTACTACGCTTATCTGTTGTTTGGCTGGCGTATGGCAGGGCCGTGTTCATGGTACCGCACAATGGTTTCTGTCCAACGTCTTGAACGGTGTCGGTACAAGTGCCTATCAAGCGGTGATTCAGCTGTCAGTCTTCGACATGTTCTTCGCTCATGAGCGTGGTATGATGCTGTCCTTCTACCTGTTCGGCCAGCAACTTGGTAGCATTCTTGGCCTCATTACTGGAGGAATCATCTCGGATCATCTCGGCTGGAGGTAAGCTTTGGTCTGATAATACGAGCATACTTACTGACATCGTCTCTCAGGTGGACCCAGTATTGCGTTGCGATGATAGATGCGGGTGTCTTAGTCCTTCTGACTTTCACCTTTGAGGAAACGCTATTCCCAAGGTTCATCTTCGAGAGTATCCAAGGAGTCCTTCCAGTCACTGGAGGTCGATCCAGCCCTGTGATTTCTAGCACTGACAATAAGGACTGTGCGAAGAAGGATCTCAATCGCGTCACTACCGTACAGTCCGAGGGTCATAACATACATCAGCGCGACTTCCCTCGCCGTACCTATGCTCAGAAGTTGAAGCTCTGGGTGTACTTTCCAGAAGATAAAACGACGTACTTTCAGTACTTCCGTCGACCGTTCTCTCTCTTCTTATTCCCAAATGTACGTATACGAGGGTGCAGGCAGCACAAGTCAACAGCCATCAGATGGTGTTTCGATTCCTGTCTCAGGAAATTATACCTCCATTGCATTGCAGGGTCTTTCTTAAGACCGAATCAGCCCCCATTGAAAGCCTTCCATCGTTCGCGAAAAGGCAGGCTCTCAGTGGAAGCCTCCATCTTTGTCAATGGCACTCTGTAATGCGCTGATCATCACAACGCGCCATGCTTTGCTGTGGGAAGGTGCTAATTGTACCCTTGATTCACAGGTTGTCATCTCCGGTTGCATATTTGCATTCGGCTGTACAGGTAAATGGTTTCGGCTCAGCATCTTCGGGTCACCTATACTGATTAGTTGACAGCCGGCATCGTCTCTTTCAATACAATTTCGGAGATCCTGACCGAACCGCCTTACAATTGGAGCACTTCATCTACTGGTCTCGTTTTTCTTGCTGCTCTTGTCGGCAACTTTGTAGGATGGCTGACTGGCGTCCTGTCTGATCGGATAGTGCTCTACCTCTCACGCAAGAACCGCGGCGTGAAAGAGCCTGAGATGCGTCTATGGACCTTGTGCTTCTCCTTCGTCTACGCGGCGATCGGGTACTTCATGTACGGATTTGGGGCTCAAGCAGGGGCACACTGGATGACAATTGCCTTCGGAATAGGCTGTATGATTGCTCACCAGGTCTCAGCTTGTTCCATCGCCACGACATACGCCATGGAGTGCTTCCCAGGGATTGGTGGAGAGTTGGTCGTGGTCCTTGCTATATGCTCGTCCTGCATCAATTTCGCCATCAGTTATAGCGTGCAGCCGTTCATTGAGGCAGCTGGTTACGGATACGCCTTTCTCTTCTTTGGTCTGTGCGTGCTCTGCTCTATGCTCGCCGCAGTTCCCATGAGCATATACGGAAAGTCTTGGAGACGTAGATATGCCCCTAAGTGGAGAGAGTGGCTGTCGGAGAGAGAAAACTGATCCGTTCTCGACCGCTTTTAGGCTGTGGGAGGCATCTCTGTGCTAGCTTGATGTCAGTTGCTTGATTCCAGAACTTGCTGGTGATTTATCCAGTTTCTTTGATCTTGACTTGGCGGCCGAGAGTCTGTGACACCTTCCAAAAACGAACGACAAACACGGCATTGATCTGTTCCGTATGCTTGCCGATCATGAACTTGAGGATGCTGCATGATGGAGTGGAGATCACCACACAAAGCAAAACTTCAGGCTAAATATTGCATGTGCAGATGTCCGGTCTCCGTTTTCCTATGACAAGCTAAGGTGGAAATGAGCTTGACGAAATAAGGCAGCAGACGAGTTTCTCTGTCATTTTTAGAAGTGCATGGGTTGTTGATGCAGGTCGTCACCCCCACCGGACGGTTTCTCTCATACCCCTCACCCCACATGACATTTGCGGGGAGAGTGATCTCTGGACAGTAACTCTAAAGATGACCTCAGTCTTTACAGCCAACACTGAATTAGACCATGCTGCAGAGGAATGCGTCCCAGAACAAGGTCATTACCAAAGTCTTGGGCTACCCTCAATGTGGATTCACCGACTTCCATACGGGTAGTAGGCGCGTATCGTCCAGGTGCCATAGCCCGAAAGAATCATCAGGATTTCCGCAGCTCATCACGAGATGCAGAGTATACATGCACGGCCCTCCGGACATGCAAGCTGCGACTGCGGCACAGAGGGACATGGGGTTGCCAGCGCAGTTCTTGGATAATATACAGTCGATCAGTCAAGATGTTGCCTGCTGATCAGGGTATGTTGCCGAAAAGTTGAACGGGACAAAACATTAGGTGGACTATAAGAAGGTCAGTGTCACCATCAATTGGAAACACTATCGACATTCTCGACACATTGAGCTTGCGTCTCGAGTCAATCTTTGGAAACAAGATGTTGCTCTCGAGTGTTGCTCTGGCGGCCTTTGTTGCCACGGCTAATGCTTTGGACCTTCAAGTCGCTGCTAGTGGTGGTAATGCTACATCTCCTCTTCAGTATGGATTGATGTTCGAGGTACTGCCTTCTGCCAACATGACAACTTTTGTTCTTGGACTGACCATTGAAGNNGACATCAACTTTTCGGGAGATGGTGGCCTCTATGCTGAGCTCATCCGTAACAGAGCATTCCAAGGCAGCACTGTGCACCCATCAAGCCTTCTCGCCTACGGCTCTGTTGGAGGCTCATCTCTGTCGCTGAAAAACTTGTCTCAGCCCATCTCCAGCGCTCTACCCACTTCCATGAATGTTGCTACTGCCAATGCCACAAGCAACGAGGTCGGTTTCTCGAACACGTAAGATCGATGGATGTACATACCCAAGCCAATTGCTGACTCATCACAGTNNGGATACTGGGGCATTGGCGTCCAGGTCCAGGACTACACTGGCTCTTTTTGGGTCAAAGGATCTTATGCTGGCAAATTCACCACTTCCTTGAAGTCTGACATCAACAATGAGACATTTGCTACTGCACAGGTTCAATCGCGCGCCACTCCCAACGAGTGGGTCCAGCACAACTTCACTCTTACCCCTACCTCTGCAGCACCAAACTCGAACAACTCGTTCTACCTCACTTTCGACAAGTCTGGGGTCTCTGGCGGCTCGCTAGACTTCACTTTGATCAGTCTTTTCCCTCCTACCTACAAGAACAGGCCCAATGGTCTACGTGTGGACCTCGCTGAGGCCTTGAAGGCGCTGAATGGAAAGTTCCTGAGATTCCCTGGAGGTAAGTAGACTCATCAAGAGTTTCGGTGGACCACAAGCTGATAATATACAGGCAACAACCTCGAAGGTGATGATCCGCCTTACCTTTGGAAGTGGAATGAGACCATCGGCCCCCTCAAGGATAGACCTGGTAGAGCCGGTACTTGGGGCTACGAGAACACAGATGGATTGGGTCTTATTGAGTATCTGCACTGGTGCGAGGATCTTGAGCTTGAGCCTATTCTTGCTGTTTGGGACGGGTTTTACCTAAGCGGTCCGGTCACCCCTCAGGACCAGCTTCAGACCTGGATTCAGTTTGCTCTTGACGAGCTTGAGTTCTTGATGGGCTCGACTAGCACCAAGTACGGAGCTCTGAGAGCATCCTTGGGATACCCTCAGCCATTCCAGATCAACTACGTGGAGGTCAGTCCTGTTTTTTTTTCTCCACCCAGTGTGAATGATTACTGATGGTGGGAACAGATTGGTAACGAAGATAACCTTGGTGGCGGCAATGCCAGTTACTCTGCATACCGTCTGCCCATGTTCACCAGCGCCATCAAGGCAGTCTACCCTGACATCACCATCATCGCGTCTACTCCCACTGTCGACCCCATTCCTGACCACATTTCCCTCGACTACCACGAGTACTCCAGACCCGACAACTTTGTCAGAGAGTTCAACTTGTTCGACCACTACAACAGAAGCCACCCTATCTTGATCGGTAAGTTTATTGTCAGACGTGCTGGTAAACAAAGCTGACGAGAATACANNGGCGAATACGCCGTCATTGAGGGCAACAACGCTTCTATGGCTGCGGTGGACTGGAGTTCAAACAGAGAAAGACTGGCCTTCCCATCCTGGGAGGGCAGTGTTGCCGAAGCCGTCTTCCTCCTCGGGGCCGAACGCAACTCAGACATGATCATTGGCGCCTCATACGCACCAACACTGCAGAATCTGAACAGCTACCAATGGACTCCCGACATGATCAGCTTCACCGCTGACCCCACCAAGGACGTCTTGTCGACTTCATGGCACATGCTCAATCTCATGGCTAACCATATTGTAACTGAGACTCTGCCTACCACTGGCGGCAACTTTGGACCCGCTTACTATGTGGCTGGATACAACAACCAGACGGGATCGCATATGCTCAAGACGGCCGTGTACAACGCTACCAGCGACGTCCCTGTCTCAGTGTCGTTCAAGGGTGTGTCTGCAGGCACCAAGGCCACTTTGACAGTTCTGACTGCACCAAGCCACGACAGCTACAATGCTCCTGGCAAGGCACAGGTCGTTCAGTCGACAAGCACGACCATCACAGCATCTGCTGATGGCACATTCAAGTTCGAGCTTCCCAACCTCAGTGTCAGTGTGCTGGAAGTGCAGGGCAGAGCAACTTATTGGGCAGGCTCCTGGGGCGGACATAGGAGCAGTTGGGGTCACGGTGGATTTGGCGGATGGACTCCTAGCTTTGGTAGCTGGGGTTGGAACAACTGGAAGGGTACCGGACACAACAAGAGGGACATCCCCAAGGGCTACAAGGAGGTTGTCTTCTAGATCAGGACAAGGCTATGCAAGAGAATGGCGGCATGACGCATGAGTAAGCTAATCGGCATGAGACCAAGAATTGAGACAAATCAAAATTCGAAGTTTGCGTTGACCGAAGTTCGGTGTTCTGTGGTATACCGAAGTCGAGCAGCTGCTCTGCCGGGTGCACGGTGCACATCCGATGTCAGAGAGAACCCCGCCATCCCTCCACAGAATGAGCTCCATCTTGTACAGTTTTCTGGTGCAGCTTCCGATCAGGTCTCTCACGGAATACACGATCCGAGAGAATGAGGGGGCCTGCGGAGAAAGGCAGATGATTGCTGACCTTTCGGGTGTGTAAGAGTTGGCCAAAGGTGCAGGTTGTAAGAGCAGTAGGTCGCCAAGGATGCTTGAAGAAGGTTAAGGTACGCTTCCGGATGAGCGTCACACGATGCCCCTCGTCTGCTGCTTGTATCTTTTATGATATAAGTAGACGAGACATCCCGTAAGTCGTCGAGCTCAACCAAGTGTGTCTTGACCTGTGTTCTCGTCCACTCTAGTCTAATTGTTGATCCTCCGATCAGTCATTCACAATGGGTGTAGTCGAGCTCCTGTTCACACCATACACGCTGTTAGCGATTCCGATTCTCTTCTACGTCTTGCCATACCTGCGTAACTGGTCCATCCGCGACGTGCCCTCACCCTTCCCAGCCGCCTTCACCAATCTATGGCTCATGTATCAATGCCGTCGTGGCAGACGATACCTCGCCGTCGACCAAGCACACAAGACACACGGCAAATTCGTGCGCATCCAACCTCACCACGTCTCCATCGCAGACCCGGCAGCCATCCCCATCGTCTACGGCCACGGCACTGGCTTCCTGAAAAGCGAGTACTACGATGCTTTTGTCAGTATCCAGCGCGGTCTCTTCAACACGCGCGACAGAGCCGAACATACCAGAAAGAGAAAGACGGTCTCGCATACCTTTAGCTCCAAGAGCATTGGCCAGTTTGAACAGTATATGCATCACAACTTGGAGTTGCTGGTCGAGCAGTGGAACAAAATGTCCAAACTGGCAGACGGCAAGTACGCCAGAATGGACGCCCTGAACTGGTTTAACTACACAGCCTTCGACAGTAAGCTTGTCCTCTTTATTACAGATGATCATATATGCTGACCCACCACAGTCATTGGCGATTTGGCCTTTGGAGCGCCCTTCGGCATGCTCGAGAAAGGCGCCGACATTGCCGAGATCCGCGAATCGCCAGACGCACCACCCAAGTTCGCACCCGCCATCGAGGTGCTCAACCGCAGAGGCGAGGTTTCAGGCACCATTGGCTGCTGGCCTTGGATCAAGCCCTATGCCGCCTACCTGCCCGACCCTTTCTTCACCAAAGGCGTGCAAGCCGTCCAGAATCTCGCTGGTATCGCTGTCGCACGTGTAAAGCAGCGTCTCGACAATGCCGACAACATTGACCGCGTAGACCTCCTCGCCCGCTTGATGGAAGGCAAAGACGAACACGGCAATAGTCTGGGCCGTCAAGAACTAACCGCCGAAGCACTGACGCAACTTATCGCCGGCAGCGACACGACTTCAAACACCTCTTGCGCGCTGCTGTATCACTGTCTCGCAACCNCCCATGTAGTCAAGAAGCTGCAGCAAGAACTCGATGCCGCTATTCCTTCTGGAACTGCAGTCCCTGTGTTTGATCAAGTGCGCGATCTGCCCTATCTCGATGCCGTCATCAAGGAGACCATGCGTATCCACAGCACCTCTTCGCTCGGTCTACCTCGTGTTGTCCCTGCAGGCGGCGCCGACGTCTGTGGCAGACACTTTCCCGCCGAGACTGTGCTCAGTGTGCCCGCCTACACCATGCACCACAGCAAAGAAATTTGGGGCCTGGATGCCGACGAATTCAAGCCCGAACGATGGGAAAAGGTCACCGAGACGTAAGTTCCTCTTCCTCTATGTCTGCAAAACTCGATGCATATATGCTAACAACACACAAAACAGTNNCAAAAATCAGCCTTTATACCATTTAGCTATGGCCCTCGCGCTTGCGTTGGCCGCAATGTTGCAGAAATGGAATTGGCACTGATTGTGTCGACCGTCTTCCACAACTACGACTTTGAGCTGTATCAGAAGGAACTCGAGACCAGAGAGGGGTTCTTGAGGAAGCCGCTCGAGTGTTGGGTTGGTATGAAGAGGAGGGCTACCGCTGCTTGATTTGCTTGTTAAGTCGAGTTTGGAGGCTTTGTTGTGTAGTCGCTGTATGTTTTGCTGTACATGAATCTATGAGTATGGTTGAGATGATATGAGCAACATGGTCGTTTAGTGTGCAATGTATTATGTGTTTGACATCTTCAATCCAAACTGATCTACGATCGACTACTAAGACGGTTCAATATCTCAGAGAAAAACATAAGAGGCCACACATTTCATTAGGATCGTACTCGGATACTATGTAGACACGCTATCGCCAACCAACCAAATTCGAGCAGTATACAATCCCCTCCTCCCACCACCTATCTGTGCAGCAAACACAAAATAGCTATTGTCAAAAGCAGCATCTGCGCCACCAGGACCCCTGAGTCCTGCATATGCAGTACTGAACAGAACACCCTGTTTCATAAAGCCAGAAGTGGGAGATGAGCTTGTCGCATATGCCACATTGTAGTTTGTGGTGGTGAAGCAATTGGATGAGTAGAAGAGGTAGTATACATCACCCGAGTGTATCATGCTGGGGCCCTCGACAAGGGGGCCGTCTTCTGGAGAGTCATTTGTGATGAGCTGGAATGTATCGCCAATCTTGGTTACTCCATCGCTGTCCACTTGTTGGATGAGGATGGGTGTGGAGACGATTGGTTCGACTCCGTTGTTGCAGATTCCGCCATGGCCGAGTGAGTTGGCGTCGATCTTGTATACTACATATCGGGTGCCGTCTGCGTCGCGGAACCCAGATGCGTCGATGGCGCCTCCTTGGTCAGCTGGACAGGCGAAGCTCTCCTCGGAGGGTATATATGGGCCATCGATCGTGTCACTGGTGGCGGTGCCGATGCAATGAGGAGCATTGGTGTGGTATGTAGGAGCGCTGAAATACAAGAGAAATGTGCCATCATCCTAATTCTCGTCAGAACTGAATACAGAGCCGGATGCAAACACATATACCAAGTGATTGATATCCGGAGCCCAGACATGATTCTTGGAAGAATCTACCCAGCTTGGCAGATAGGGCAGCATGTCATCTCCTGGCTGGAGTGTCCACGTCTTAAAGTCTGTCGAGGTTGCGATTTGGATGTGTGTGCTTTTGTAGTCATACAGTGATTGTCCAGCAAAGGCATACCAGGTATCGCCGACCCTGAGAATCGAAGGATCTGGGAAATCTGTTGTGATATGAGGGCCGGACTCGGATCGTTTTCGTAACAAAGGAGTTGTGGAAGAAAATTGCAGGAGAGCTATCCATGCTAGAACGAGCGATGCTGTGAATAGGGTCATGGCTGCTGTGATGTTAAGATAGATAGAGACGTAAGGTCGAATGATGAAAATCAATAGAGATCAAGCTTTCTCAAGTCGAGAAAGTAACAAGCAACTAAACACGAGGCAAGAGCGAAGCTTGGTAGACTTATACACAAATCGAAATAGGCTCGATTTACTGCACCAGCATGACGATGAAGCATGCAATGCCATCATAAGATGCCATAGACATGTATACTCAAGCGAGCTTTAACAGCATGTGAAAACTGGGTCTTACTATACACAGCACGTAGTATAGATCTTGTAGTGCTGAGAGAACATACCACTCGATTTACGGCGAATCAACAAGCTTCAATGTGATTCTTTCCCGAATGGCCACGGTACGTGTAAGACGAGGCGTTCTGACAAGCTGAGAAAGCTGACATGTCTGCTCTTCCGCTGGCATGGCGTCAAAGCAGTGTGTCCATCGCGTGCTCGGCATGCGTAGGAGTAATAAGCCAATATGTGCAAGCAGGAAGACGATCTCTGCAAATTCACTTCATGCAACTTGAAGGGGAGGGTCGTGATTTGCATGATGTGACTGAGATCAACGCATGTCGCCATAGCTCAAGCATCTTGCAACATTCCTAGAACTGAGATGTAGTCTCACGGTTTACGAACAGAGAACGATTGATGGATTGTCTGTGAGATAGTTGGCCCTGAGAGCCCCGCACCGGGCCCGCATCGCACCGGGCTTCGCGCCGGGACAGTCTCGGGTCGGCATATGACGCAGGTCAATTTAGCCTTTGGGTGACACGAGAGCTGCGCTTGGGTTGCCGACTTCTTGCTCGCTGCATCTGTCCCCGGTTGTCACACACCAGCACAAGAGCAACTACTGTCAATCGATTATCGCCGAGCGTCCACAACACCTTCCAAACCAAACTACGTGTATTCAGTCCAGCATGGGTGTGTTCAAGACATTGTCAAAGGTTGCCGCGTACGGCACAGTAGCAGGAGCTGGTGGATGGGCTCTCTGGACAAGAAAGTCCAACTTTGTTCCCCTGTCACCCTCGGATTACATCTACAATACGACCTTTTACGCTCGCAATAACCCCGAGAGAAACCCTGCAACAGCCGATTTGTGTGTACGCAGGGTGCCGCTGAGCCAGATCAAGCCCGAGTACCTCGAGAAGGAAGGAAAGCTGGTCGAGAAGTTCTGCGCCGGCGTGTGGGGAGGCCTCGGTGAGTACATGTGCTTCGGTGTCTCTTACTGCTTTGATGTCTAATGGCTACCCANNGGATACGCATACCAGCGTCAATACCTCGAGAAGAAGTACCGCGATGCCGACACCGAGTCTCAGGTATGGGACACCAAAGCTCTCTTAGAATCCGAATACCCCGTTGGCACACAGATCACAGACCACTTCGAGGTGCTCACCAAGACGCCCGAGTCAATCATTGTTCGCTGTGGTGACTCGCCTCGCAAGATGGAAGTCAGACCCAGCGATGGGCTGTTTGAGATGAGGGCAGAGATCAAGCAAGACGAGGGTGTTGCCGAGTTCCAGCTGAAGAGTGTCTTCTACCAGGGTCTCGGCAAGGCGACTGGCAAGCCCATGCCTGCACACATCGAGTTCCTGCACAGACAATATACCAAGTTGTGGATGGAGACTGCCATCAGCAATGTCACGCGATGAGGAAGTTGGCAAGAGATTGCAGATGCGCTCTAGATGATGAGAGACGAGAGCAATGTGGACGAAGCGATTTGCATAGTAAGCTGTGTAGGTATGTGTATAGACATCATCCAAATGAAGAAAGAGCGACTGGTTGCGTTTGCACGTGGAAACGCAAGCAAAAACGCGTCATGGGTCAAAGCTTCGGGATGGTTGTTGCCTGAGGTCTCGACCTTCAAGGTTCTTTCCTGTTCGACATTCATGTCATGACTTGGCCATGAGTTGAAAGATTCCGTCCAACTCTCGACGACCAATGCGACTACCATCAACCCAACTCTGCAGGCAGCATGGCGCAAGGCCGGCCCCGCCGCAAGAAGATGGTCGTGTCTTCTGACGACGATGAAGACGACCCGGTGGCCACTGTCGACCCGGAAGAGACGCTTGTCCAACACGAGGCCACCGACGGCACCGGAGACAAGCCTATCAGGTCATCACATTCCAAAGCCAAAGTCTCAGCCTCGACTTCTGCCAGCACCAAAGTCAACAAATCCCCTCCAACCCTCGACGGAGTCGTCAGCCTAACAAGTCTGCTATCGAGGCACAGCCCAAACGTGCGAACAAGTCCATCTTCTCCTTCTTCAACCCAACTACACAACGCCAACAGGCCTCGTCTCAGGACTCGACAACCCCACTAGCCTCTGCCAACCCCGATCCGAGAGAACTAAACATTGAGGATGACATTTCAGCCGACGAGGCCACACTGTCTCAACCTTCCCAGATCGCCCAGACCTTGCGCAAAAGGAAGCTCATTAGGGATGACATTGGGGACAGCTCGAGGGATGGCGCACCAGCAGCCTCACAAAAGTTTCGCAAAGTCTCTGCCGGGACTAGAGCACCCACAAACTCGACATTCGCCCCGTCCGACACAAGGCCATGGACCGAACGCTTCGCTCCTGTCGACTTGTCCGAGCTTGCTGTGCACAAGCGAAAGATTACAGATGTTCGCAGTGTCCTGGAGTCTGCTCTGTCTGATCGTCCAAGGCCGAGGCTGATTGTTTTGAAAGGTGCGGCCGGTACTGCCAAAACAACTACTTTCAGTCTTTTGGCGAAAGAGATGGGTATTGGCATAATGGAATGGAAGAGTCCAGTCGGTGCCGATGCTGCAAGCAGTGCTTTCACGTCTTATTCGAGCCAGTTTGAAGACTTTGTCTTTAGAAGCGACAAGTTTGCTGGTCTGGACCTGATTCGAAGTGATGGTACAGCCCAGCCAGCTCCTGCCATCAAAGACCATGCCAAACAAATTATGCTCGTCGAGGAGTTTCCCAACACTTTCGCCAAATCTTCTCCTGCTCTGCAGATTTTCAGGAACACTATTTTGCAATACCTGGCTGCACCGACATCATCGAATCCCACACCCATGGTCATGATCGTTTCGGAAGCTCTGCTTTCAACCACAACTGCGTCCGCCGACAGTTTCACTGCTCATCGTTTGCTTGGTCCTGCCATTCTGAATCACCCACAGACTGCCTCAATCGAGTTCAACAACATTGCTCCCACCATCCTGACGAAAGCTCTGGATGCAATAATCATCAAAGAATCTCGCAAGTCAGGTAGACGCTTTGCACCTGGTCCTGCCGTGCTCAAACATCTGGCAGAGACTGGTGATGTCCGTAGTGCTATATCTTCCCTCGAATTTCTGTGTCTTGCTGGCGATGACAGTGGTGCTTGGTCATCAAAGGTCGCTTTCACAAGGCCTAAAGGTCGTGCAGAAGCCGCCTTGACTAGGCAAGAACAAGAAGCCTTGAAGGTGATCAGCAACCGGGAGAGTAGTCTTGGAATATTCCATGCTGTCGGTAGGGTCGTATACAACAAGCGTATCGACCCTTCTAGCCCTGTCCCTCAACCTCCGACATACTTTCCTCAACATCGCAAGCCAAAAGTTCCCGAACATGATCCTAACAATCTGATTGATGAAGTTGGCACCGACACGTCAACATTCATCGGTGCGCTGCAGGAGAACTATGCCTTGTCTTGCTCGTCTTCGTCGAGCGAAGATGCAATGGACTCACTCAATGGCTGCATCGATGCTTTATCAGATTTTGACATGCTATCTTGCGATCGCTTTGGCTTTGGAACACGGATGTCGTCAGGCTCTGCCCAGGACAATCTCCGTCAAGATGATATTTCTTTTCAGACTGCTGTTCGCGGTGTCCTCTTCTGGCTACCAACTCCGGTCAACAGGCTGGCGGGCCTGCCTCGAGGGGCCAAGCGTGGTGATGAGTTCAAAATGTTCTTTCCCTCGAGCTCTAAGTTGTGGAAAGAGAAGGAGGAATTTGAGGCCACGTTTGAGACTGTGCTATCAACAATGCACAAGTTGGCTGTGGGCTCAAGCTCTGATTTTACGTCTGCAAACACAGAAGGCGTGGCAGCATGGAAGCGCCAGCAGATACTGGACGTGCCTTCAGACGAGCAAAATGCCGACTTAGCCTCCTCCCCTTCATTCTCGAAAACCCTTCTCAGCTCTGGTGCAAGAACAGAGTTACTGCTTGAACGCCTTCCTTACGCCTCCCAGATATTGCCTCGCTACAAGGACACACCACCCTCATTTATTGCAGGTGTCAACACTCTGACTCGCATCTCTGTTTTGAATTCTTCGTCCACCGCTCTCGATGATGCAGCCCTGGATGTGATGGAGGATAACGATGCCGACATGCAGCAATCGGAGTGGACTGATCGCTCAGATCCAGAGTCCGCCGCGACGAAGAGAGGCAAGAAACAGCAGAATCAGAAGGGAGATTTTGAGGGAGGTGGTTTACATATACCCGTGGAGCATGCGGTGGAGAAGCTTGTACTCAGTGATGACGATATCGAGGATTGATACCCGTGAACGAGCAGAATATATCTTGTACACTGTTATGAATTAATATTTTCATGGACCGAAGGCTGCTGCTGCCTACGTCCTGCCCACTCAAAGTGTCTAATGGACGCCCGCTTTGCATGAATACTCACCATCATCGGTAGAACTGCCTCTCAGCACAACGGTCAGGAAGCTGATGAACGTTCGAAATGTATTACATTAAGGAGAATTACGTATCCATCATGAATCGCTTGCCATCAACACTATGCTTCTATGCCTTCATCATGCGCCCCCAGCTGAGCTCTTTCATCATACTCCAAAGGTCTTCAAAGCTCATCCCAGTAATGGTAGTACTGAGGAGCAGGCGCATCAGTCTCCTTCAACACCATCTCGAAATCATAACAGTCCAATCCAGACTCGATTCTCCTTCCTGCTTCGACGGAGAAGAAATCACCAACCGCACAAGCACTCCACTCATTAGTCATGGGAGTCCCACTCGAACCCCCATAGCTTGCAGAGTTGACCAATTTGACCTGGCCATCTGCCGTTTCTCCAAGCACAAATGTCATGGCGCCTGTCCCATACGCAGGCAAGAAGCCACCGGTGACATCTTTGCCATCCACAACCGTAGACCCCAAAGCCCATTTCGCATAAGAGAGGAATGGGGACCACTTGCCCAGGAACAGGGATTGGCCGCCATTGCCGGTGATGCCCATCCACCAGTTGTCGCCCTCTGAGGGACCAGAGATTATGGTGGTGTTCCAGAGGTCTGGGTTGGAGCCGTAGGGNGGCACGGCAGTGGTGTCTTTGTTGATGAAGAAGCGGCCGTCGTGGGCGGAGATGGGTTTGTTGTGGATGGTGGGGTTGGAGGGGACCAGGCGTAGGGAATGTATGCTTGAGCGGCCATGATGGTGGGGGTAAGAGCCGCGAGAGCTGTGAGGGTGGTGGTGGTGGTTGTGAACTTCATGGTGGTCTCTCTCTGAAGGAATTAAAGCAAATGTGGTTTTTGGAAGAATGTTTTGCTGGGAGGGCAAAGTCAGTGGCGATGAGGGACTCGTCTTTATACTCGTGCCATCAAATCTCATGGTGGAACCTGATCTATTAGCTACACGAGCAGGATTTCAGTAGTCGAGTCTGCCTGCAGATGTTGAAGCACGGTCTCGTGAAAGCTCGACTTATTGTGGATGCGGTATAGCTATTTTTAACCTTGCTTGCCGAACGTCTTAGGAAGGAGCTTCCCAATAATGCAGGGAACTATACGGTCAGGCGCGACGCCTGATGTGCATACCTATCATAAAATTCATTCGCGATATGGCTGACACGATATGTTGAAAAGGCTCGGAGCGAACAACATTATTACTGCTGGGATGGGAAAGAGCGACAGAGCAAAGCTTCGGTTGCCTCAAGCTTTCGATCAAGTGGGTTGCGCACTGCCCTAACAACAACCAAGCCAAGATTAACCGATCCGGCAGCACCGCTATTGACCACTAGGCAGATGATCATTCTGCTATATATAGTTTGAGTGAAGACTGGTTCTCATTGTGTGAGAACTCGCTTTGTGGTGGATTAAATGGAAAGCCTGGAATGCTACCACACACACGTAGACCAAATTGTGTACTGTAACTATATCAAAACGACTACAACCTCCATCATTAAACTTCGCACCTCTTCCTCATCATTCTATCCTCGTCAACGTCAACCTAGCGACAAAAACACGTCCGTACTACTGCAGAGTGACCTCGCATTTGTGTCCCTTGGGCACAATGACAAAGTAATTCTCCAAGTCCATGCAATCCGCAGCCATGCTCGGAGCAATACGCATACCCTTACACTCGCGAAAGAGAAAGGCAGTAGCATATCTCAATTCCATCCAAGCAAGATTGATGCCGAGACAACTGTATGCACCTGCGCCAAAAGCGCAGAATGTGCTCTTGGCCGCTGCACTCTGTTCTTTGCCCTCGAGCCAGCGGGTGGGGTCGAANTCTGCGATAGAAGTGTTTAGCAAAGAAGTCGATTGGACACTAGAGCATAGAACTTACACTTGGGCGTTTGGCCAGAGGTTTCCGTCTCTGTGCATCGTGTAGGCTTGTGTGCTGACTGTTGTGCCTGGAGGAACAAAGTATCCATCCAGCGTCGCGCCACCTTCGGGCACGACTCGAGGAAGACTGCCGGGCACAGCGCAATACAGACGCAAAGTCTCGTGGATGACTGCATTAAGCATAGGCAGCTGTTCGAGATCAGCGTCGGTGAACTTGTCACCCAGTTTAGCGACTTCCTCTTCCAGAGCTGCGCGGAGTTGAGGTCGAGATACGACTGCCCATGAAAGGAATGTCATGGTATTAGCGGTTGTGCCTGAGCCGGCGAAGATCAGCGAGGTTGATTCGGTTCGAACGTCCATGTCATCGACGTGTGCTTCGCCCTTTTCGGCCTCGGCCATGATGGTCGCCATAAGATTCGAGTCTTGACCACCCTTGCGGGCGTTCTCTACAGCTCTAGTGCCGTACCCAAGGATGTAAGCGCTGGAGTTGAAGGCCTCTTTGAGTGGCTTGAAGGGTATGCGGCTTCCAATCGCACGGAGCCATGGCATTTCGGCACCAATACCGTTGCCGATAAGAGCAGCTTCAAGCACTCGGATATACTCGGTTTTCTGAGATTATGGGTTAGAAGACTGAACTTTGTGGCTCGGTTGCTGACTTACCTTTCCAAGCTCGAGCATACCGAACGACTCGCCAAAACCAAGGACGCCGACAATATCCGTAGCCATGAACGTCCACCACTTGAGCAGATCCGCAACACCAGTCTGGGCATCAACCTTGATCTTCTCGACAGCAAGCAACGTCTTCTCGCGAACGGTAGGCTCCCAGTGCTCTCGAAGGTACGACTTGCTGAATCCACGAGCGAAAAGCTTTCTACGCTGACCGTGTTCGCGAGGGTTGCGCATGGTAAAGACGCTCAGACGAGGGAAGTTGGTCAGCTTCTCGTACCAGATGTCTTTTACGAACTTGGATGATACGGCATGGATTTGCTTGAAAGCGGCTGGGTCTGCCACGGCAACCTCTGTTGGTGAGATGCGCACTATTGGGCCATATCTCTTGTGTAGGTCATCGATGTAAAAGATACGGCGCCCTCCTGTGACAGCGAACTTCAGCTGTAGGTTGGTATAGCGGCTGATCCAAGGACCTGGTACGTCCTTCAGTGGTGATGTGAACGAAACATATATAGTCTGTCATTGTAGCTCCTTCAGCAGGCGTTGATGTTGAGCCAACCACATATACACACCTGTAATNACCCGGAACAGTACGGTAAAACCTATGCCGAGCAGTATGAGCGATCCTGATAGAGCAATCATCTTTGACAACTTGTGGAGTTCGAAGAAAACTCGATAGGGGTGACAGCACAGGACTACTTATGATGCACCTCCACTTACAAGATCACTCGCCTGCGCAGCCTTCAGCCACGAGTGCTGGACTGCCGGACTATCCGCATAAACTTCATGCTTGCAAGTACGAGACCAAGAATCCGTAATGCGTTATCGCAACATGCATGTGTGAAAGCTAAACGCAGTCATCGAATGGAGCATAGAAGTACCAGACGATGTGGCACGCGACCTGATCTGCAAGGAAATGGCCATCGAGAAGTTCACGATACGAGAAGCATCCCTCGCAATGGTCTGCATGAGCAGCATCGTACAGACCATGGCGAGAAATGATTGGCATAGGTAAGGAAGGAACAGTATGCTTCTTCGGACATTCGTGGGGGATCGCGAGATAGTTGCATTATACGGAACGAGGTGTCGACAGCAGATTAGCCAGAAAGATGAGGAATACAGGATTGCGCAGCCTTAGGCTCAGATAGAAAGAGAAGTTGATAGGTACCCATGTCGCTGGGCCCTAAGCTTTTGACCAAGCAACTGATGTGCAACCTCGTGCGGGGATCACAGTGGTTGGAAATCTTCCGCAGTGCAGACCGATAACCAGGATCTTGATGTGACGACTAGGTTACGCTCCAGAGTTGAATGAGTATATCCAAGCATGCTTGATCGTTGAGTGCTTCAACTGCCTTTGGTAATACAGATGAGTGCGTCTTATCACCGAGTGCGACTTGCCATGGAGTACAGATGGCGGGGTAGATAATCATCGTCCTCAGTGAGGTACCTGTATAGGCTGATCAGTAAGAGGCGCCGACTGATGCGAGCTGCAAGCTCAAGACGACGGCAGGCTTGGGGACCGGTGATAACATTCCAGCGGGAGCGCCCTTCTTGTTCCCAAGTTGGATCTGCGAAAGATATGGAATTGACCTTTTCTGACAGTCCAAGGTCTGCAAGTTGATGATGCAAAGCTGACATTATTGTTGCAGGGGCAGGCTCGCAGGACCCGTGGTTGCAATTCTCAGTCGGTCTCGGCTCGACTTGCCGCCGACAGCACGACAACTTACCATGCCTTGCACTAACAACAATCATCTTGTTGACAGTGCAACCATCTGTGCAGCAGATTCCCGGCTCTCCGCTCTATTGGCCATCAGTGGTCATTGGTTGTTCTGAGAGTAGGAAGCCTCGCGACGATTAGTGCATGCTGTGTTGAGATATTCTTCTGCCTAGTTCTATAGCCGGACACGAGTACGGTTGGCAATGATGAACTAGTATAAGCAAGATCATTGTGGTGGTGGAAAAAGACTTTCGAAAGGATTTACGAAGTTCTTATTTGCTCGGGAAATGCTTCGGTCGTTCCTGCCATTGAACGAAATGGAAGCAGAGCTGTGACGGAAGGCATCACCTTCGTCTACTCATCTCGATAAACCTCTCTTGAAGGTATATACCTAAACAATCACATCCACCACCATTATCAAATATTCAACATCATCTACTATCATCGAATTCAGTTAACATATCATCCATCAATACCAAGCACATCTAGGATGGCCGGACCAAGCCCAACCTCACTTCAAGGCCCCCTCGGACCTCTGTAAGGCGATATATGACCGTCTGACAGGCTGCATTTCACTGACCACCCCACGCAGGCGTCAGCATGCCGGATTCCTCTCCTTCCTTGCTGTTACCGGAGGACTTTTATGGGTACTCAGATCCCGATCCATGGCTCGCAAGCCCTTCGAAGAGAAGCAGAAGAAGATGGAGGATGTCATCGACCGTAATCCCGGCTCTACCATGGGACGGAGCATATCAGAGAGAGATCCCCATACACGTTGATGAAGCTTATTGGATGACCTATAAGCCGGCAAGACGACCCTAAAGACGTCTCGATACCTCTGAAACTTAAGATGGAATGAAAGAACGAATTATGAATAATGGCATTACGTTCGTGTAAATAAAGTGGCCGCAGAGCAAGCCGTAAACCAGCCAGTGTGGCCCAAAGATGTAGAAGTATGTCATGCTTTGCCTCCCATGGCTCCGAGCCGAGTGTAACCACCTAGATCCGTGCCTTCATGCAGCGTTCTAACCAGAATATTGTGCCGAAAAGAAGAAAGCCTAACCCAGAAACGCCTCATCCAAAATCCCATTAATATGCTGACGCTCATGAGGTTTGCTCAAGACCATGCTTTTCATAGTCCTTGGTGAGCATCTGGTCTCTGGCCTCGTAGTGGCCTTCCATTCTCCAGCGCCAACTCTCCATATAAGGCTTAAGGTCTGTGACCTCGGGTGCCCACCACTTGTCGTGTAGACTCTTAACTCCACCAAGAAGATCATCAACCTTAGGATAGTGGATATTCCATTCGTTGCCGAGCTGTGTCCAGGGCATGTTGCCGTCCTTGCGGTGGGCGTAATTCAACAAGTTCTGCTCGGGGAATTGAGGGTCGAAGCGACCGTCCAGCTTGAGTAGCGACATGTAGTATTCGAAGACTTCGGTCGAAGGCTTGAAGACGAAGAAACCAGCGTTGAGGTAGTTGACGTTGGGGAAGTCGTGGTGTTCGTCGGTGGGAGGATAACCGTGCTCGCGCTTCATTTCAGGCACACCGGCAAAGCTGTACTCAAGAGGCAACGCTCCTTCGTCCGACTTGATTTTGGCGGGCTGAGTCAGAGTGCCACGAGTCTCGACAGCCGGATCAGTGAAGATGGCGTCCAGAGGCTCGACTAGGACAGTGTCGCCGTCGAGGAAGCAGATGCGGTCGAACTGGGTGAACTCCCACAAACGCAGCTTGGTCATGACGTCCTGCCACGTGCTTGTCGCCGTCTTGACCCAGTCGGCCTTGACAAAGTCTGCTAGGACCACAACCGCTCCATCCTTGCGCAGTCTCTGTCTCTTTGCTTCTGACACATTCTCGGTAACCAGGACAACGAAGGGGATTGACTTGTCGCGCGACGACGTCTCGGGCGCATGCAACAACTGATATGCGAGGATGCGAGTAGCAACAAAGTAGTGATCTTTCTCCCAGTTCTCGTCTTGGTCGGCGTTTCCAGCGAGGAAAGTGGCAAAGGCGTACTCGGACTTTACGTGGTCGAGCTCGATTGGGTGCCAGTTGTCGTGCGACAATACCGGAGGCAAAACATCCTTGGCAGTGTCTGTGATGGATTGGATGACGGCGTCGCGGTGTTCGTCGTATGTGCGTGGGAGAGGGGTGAAGAAGATGGACAGGAAAATGACGATTGTGACGAGCGGAATCCAGAAAGTCTTTGCGGTACGGATGGTTGGTCCACGGCGAAATTGAGGAAGGGGCGAAGGTGGGGGAAGAAGATGTTCTTGGGCCATGTTGACTGGTACGCGGAACAAGTAGCGGATCGAGGTAGGCGAGAGTGATTTCACCGCCGCAGCAGGCTACTTGAGTGGGCGTGGTTGAACGAGTGTCGGGTCGGGAAACGAGTGTCGAGACGAGGGTACGAGGAAAACAGATACTATTATTGCTTGGTGGAAGGAAATTGACAAACGGCGAAAAAGGGACAAGGTTGCAGAGGATCAAACTATGACATAGCGGCCATCCCACATACGAACGTTGGCTGTCTCAATCCTCGATACGATGGCCAACATTAGACCAAGGACAGCCTCCCAATCTCGACTGATTACTGCGCAAGGCGTTGCAAGCGCTTGTAAGCTCTGCCGATAAGGAAAGGTCAGAATGCCAGGAATCACCAGCCAAGCAGATACGAGCTACACAAGGCCTCCCCTTGCTGATTGCAACTCCTTCAGCGGTTTTCTTTCAGCTGAACGGCACCAACAAGTCACAAAGTCCTGGAACAGTTGGGGAAGATGGTGTGTGTGCATGAACGGTCCCTGCCTGCCCCACCATCAAGCCAACTGTGCCTGTGCACTCCTGATGGTCGCGCAATCTGCTTGTTATTGCACCAACTCACAGCTTATTGAGTGTCTTGAGAACAGATGTCGTTTCCTGTCATCGCTTCAGAAAAGGAGTTTGAAGGCTGTCACGTTTGATCTCCCTCCTTGACCATGTGCGCCTCGCATGTTTGTTGTTCTGTACGCCACCACCAAGGCAGCCTGTCGTATTTTTATCTAGCTCTTGGCGAAGCCATCGAAGCTAATGCTCATTTGACTTTGTGCATTTCCATTCTTATACAAAGGGGTGGGCAGGCATCTAATCGAGGGTGTGAAACTTCGAATGTCTCTGCAGTAGTTGCGTGCAAGACTTCTTGTTTCTCAGCTCCGAGTAGAAGCGTTGAATCTCGTATCCAAGCAGAAGCGATCAAGACACGGTATTGTACACCCTGAGATTAGATACGGCACAAGACCCTTCTCGCAATTTGGCAGGAAATCCCGCCATATTTCACAATCCTCTCTTCTTCCTACTCTATCAGGCTGCTCTTCCAATCACTGAGCTCAAAGCGGTGGAACATGAAGAACCGCAGCCTCTCACTGCTGCGTTCAGCAGTAGAGTAAGAGTTTGTAAGACTCATCGAACTTGCTTACAAATAAATTTGTCGTCGGAGCTGCAGAAGAGCGGTGCTGACGCTGATGACTACACATGATATGGAACGGAGAGATTATATCTCCGGCCCTGTGTGACGCGGGCGCTCCAAACAAGATCCTCTCAGATGGCCAATTCGAGTCGCAAATACAAAAGATGCGGGGTGACCGCTTGTCCTCGGTATCAACACAACTCAACTCTTCTCATCTTCTAGCATCAACCACAATGTCCGGATCGGGGATCAAGACTGTTTTCGGCGGAGGTGCTGTTGGCTATGGCGCCTACAAGACTGTGGAAGAATGCCACGATATCTTCAAGATTCTCAAAGCTCACAACGTCGACACTATCGACACGGCCCAGCTCTATGGCGACTCTGAGAAGATTCTTGGAGAGGCAAAGGCCGGCGACCAGTTCATCATCGACACAAAAACTCCTGGTGGCTTCGGCCCGCCAGCCAACACCGCCCCGGATGTGATCATTGCGAATGGTCACGAAAGCTCGAAGAAGCTTGGAGCAATTGATGTCTTCTATATTCATGCACCCTCTCAGATTGAACCCAATGCCGAGGTCCTTCAAGCGATCAACGAGCTCCACAAGGCGGGCATCTTCAAGAGGTTCGGTCTCTCCAACTTCGTGGCTAGCGATGTCCAGGCTGTATACGACCACTGTGAGAAGAATGGCTTTATCAAGCCTTCCGTCTATCAAGGCAACTACTCGCCAGTAGCTCGTCGCCAGGATACCGAGCTGCTACCTACTCTCCGCAAGTTGGGCATCTCTTTCTACGCCTACAGTCCGCTGGCTGGTGGCTTCCTGACCAAAACGAAGCAAGACGTCCTCGACGGCAAGGGCAGATTTGCCAAGGAAGGAATTGGCGCTATCTACAACAACATGTACGCCAGACCTGAACTCTTGGAGTCCCTGACAGAGTGGGAGAAGATTGCCAGCGAGGCAGGTGTTTCGCGCGCTGAATTGGCATACCGCTGGGTCAAGTTCAATTCTGCTTTGAAGCCCGAACATGGTGATGGAGTCATCGTTGGTTCAAGCAGCCTCAAGCAGTTGGAACAGACACTGGATGGTCTTGATCGCGGCCCGTTGCCTGATGAGGTTGTCGAAAAGATTGATGCCATGTGGGAGACCATCAAACATGTCGCACCGCTCGACAACTATGCTGATGGTGTTAATGCGAGCAAGTAGACATATTCAGTTCCAGTAGGTGCTCATATTCAGTTCATGTTGACAAGATCAAACTCTCAGTGACACTCATGTCCTCTACGAGTGCTAATGCATGTAACGCGCGTAGCTATGGAAACGCACAGTGCTATCAAGAAACAAGGCACTATCCACTGAGAGCCAACATCTTGGCGGCCCTCTTTGGCTACTCCTCTGCTTCTGAAAAGCATTGTGCCTATTCATAGCGCAGGCTTTACTGGACTTGGTGGTGTTAAAGACGCTCACTCGTTAGGAAACTGCAACTGCGCATAAGTCTCCGTGTCGCTTATGTGAATAAAATCAACTAGCCACAATCACCAGCTCGCTCTTCATCGTACGCACAACGCTAAGGAAAAGTCCACCTAAAGTAAGTGCGTCTCCTGATCTTCTTCCTACTACCCTAACTTGATGGGGAAGGAACCGACTTGTTTTGGCAACTGTGCGCCCTTTGATTTCAAACAATACTTCTCTGAACAACAAGATCAGCCGGCGCGAGTCGACAATCAGTACAGTAGTCGTCAATAGGCCTTCATCCTGCGCACTCCATCAGGAAGGAAGACATCCAAAGTGAGTACCTCTGACTTGCCCTCCTACTGTAACTTAAGTCAACTAACACTTCCGTCTCGCTAGACTCACTCACCTCGTCACTTCAGTCGATACCTGCGCGCAACCGAAAACTCGGCATCATGCCCACGTTGCATTCGCTCACCAACATTGACCCGCCTTCACCTCTTGGTATACTCAGCATCCTCCCGCTTGAAGTACGAGACAGAATCTACAACTCGGTCTTGGCCAACAACGATGGCTGGTGGAACCAGATGATTTGGTTGCATCGTAAGGATGGTTTCGATAAAGTTGACCTGGATGCAAGAGTATTACTGGAATGCTTGCCATTAATGAAGACATCAAAGCAGATCCGCAGAGAATGTCTTGAGACTTTTCTGAGAGAGCCAGATATGTGCAGAGGATGTGACGGCCGTCTGGAAAATCTACTTACGAAGCCTGATGGGATACGCCTCTATGGCCTTCTCAAGGATCTGAGAACGCAATGCGATTTGTCCAAGCACACGAGAAGACTGGGTGTTGTGATGCAAGCCATGCTGATCCAGCCCCTCTGGCACGACGCAAACGAGGTTTNNTTCTTCGCCGAGGAACCTTTCTACCACCAAAACATCAAGCGTTGGATCCCAGACCAGATCAACAAACTGAGACGCTGCTTTGATGCCTTCAAGATTCCGTCAAGCAGATATTTTCTCGACTTATACTATGGAAATCCGACTCGTGTGACTTACGACTACAGTTTCCCACATTACCTCGACGATCTTCCTTGGGGTACCTCGCAACGTCCGATGGACTTCGCAGAGATTTATTGTGTGCAGGATGTTACTGTCAAACTTTGGATGGGGGATGCTGACGCCTCGACGAAAGCTTTGGACAAAGCTTGCGAGGACATGGATGAACTGATGTCGTGGGATCGTGATGTTTTCTTCGAAGTCGCCGACAATATCGAGGGTACTGATGGCCAGAAGGCAGACTTGAAGCGACAGATCGACGAAGGTTTCCTTTTGGTCAGCAGGAACATGGGGAGATTGAGAGAATATCATATTTCCTGGATTAGGCGTATGGAGGTGCTCTGGGATGGTTACTACGACGTAGCAGACTTCTTCAACATGGTCGAGAGCACTAACCAGACTTGAAGTCAGGATGTCCATCGCTTCAAGCACGTCCTTCTCGTACCTTAACAATGCCGGGTCTCTATCCGGTTGACTGCAGACCAACTTGTACCATCACTCAAGCGTTCATGAGAAGTCACATAGCAGAAAGAAATCCTTGCCACATTCCTCCATGATCCCCAATTCCTGCTATGGTTTACAACCTCTTCTGCTCAAACTAAGTAGCAAACCATTCAGTTCAATATGCTTCCGTATCCCTTTTTGAACCTCCTCTTGAGACTTGTGTCGATATTGAAGATACGCCAGGAGGATATTTAGAGCAGGGTCATCCCCAAAGCAACCTATTTTTGGAAGGAGAACTGCTATAAGTGCCGCAATCATACTTTTATACTCGCTCTATTGAGCTTTTGTATGGTGTTAAGACTCAAACTGAGTGCTGTATCGAGCCCGGTTTTCGTAAACCACGCTGGCGGTCGCTATGGCATTCTTGACTTGCCAGGGTAAAGAAATCTCAATGTTGTAGCTACGCAGTGTGGTCTTACTCCTTCTTTCTTCGCGTGTGAATACCACTCTTGGTAGAGAAAGTCGCACATTATTTTATCCAAACCACAGATACAGTGGAATATTCACCAATAATCAAGTCATTAGACAGTTGTTAGCTCTGCTGCCGCGGTGATGGGGCTGGCTAACAGGCCGCAGCAAACGAAATGGAAGCGAAGAGCTCTGTCAGCCAGAAGTGGCAGTTGCAAGCAACCAAGAGTCACAAGAAAGTCACCAAAAACAGACACAAATAGCTTCAGGTTGGCGAAATATGTTTATTTCAGAAGCCATCGTTCTATAGCAAGTACTTTCTTAACAAGGACTTGCATGCCGAAAATAGAGGAAGCCATGACTAGAATAGCCAGTACACTAACTAGAAGGGAGCATAAACAGGAAGAGGTGGTATCGTGCCCATGGAAACAATCAAAAACGCCGTGGTGATGTGACGAGAGGAGAAAAAATGCATCATCGCTCGCTTTCTGTTAACAGCCCCTGTATGTGATTTGATTCAATCAAACACGGTCAGAAAAAGCAGAAAGGAAGAAACGCCGGGTTGGATGCGAATGTGCAATGCAATGCGTAAACCGTGACAAGAATAAGGAAAAAGAGGTACAAGATTAACCATGAATAGGCATCTTGAGAATATGATACAGAAGAATTGAAAGTGCTTCAGCCGAACCTCAACTTCAGCCAACAGATAGGACACTAGACTCTGTTGTAGAAGGAGGTTGGAGGAAGATGCTGCTGCTGAGTCTGCGAGTACCACTGGTTTGCGGATGAGGGGTTTCCTTCGAACCACTGTTGCTCGATATAAGGCAGACGACCCTGTTGACGCTCCTGAGGACGTCCTAGTGGCTGGTAATGCATCTGCTCACGCTGAACATTCTGGGGCTGTTGCATGGCGCGAGTGGGAGGTGGGACGAGCAGGGTCGAGACACGGCGGACTGGTCGGTAAGGGCTATTACGCTGAGCCAAGAAGTAGGAGGGCGACAACTGAGAGACATGAGCCTGACCTGCAGGTTGATAATGACCGTCTGTAGGAGAAACAGCGGCGGAAGTGGGAAAGGGACTTTGATGCCTTGATTGAACAACAGACTGAGGAACCGAAGTCATGCCGACAGGTGTGGAGGCGTGCGAGATGGGAGCCGGGATAGATGTTGCCGGAGTCCAGGAAGTCGGAGGCTGAGTCGCGTTGTTCATGGAGCGCTGCGGATAATTCAGAGGAGGCAGCTGGGGCAACTGGATTGGCAAGTGCTGGGAGGGCTGTGATTGAGGCTGGGGGAGAGCAAGGCTTGGCAATGTGACTCTCGGAACATAGTGTGACTGGGTTTGGCTAGGTGGAGGAGGGAAGGCCGGAGTGATTCGCTTGGCCGGAGGCTCAGTGTAGCCGTCAAGACTTCTCTTCCTCGAGATTTGTGAAGCCAGATCGGGAAGCGGGCCGAGAGAGGATGGGTACTGAGGGAAGGATTGAGTGACGGGGTTGGTGGCACCGTAGTATGGGGGCGAGGCGTGGTTCGAGGTAGGCGGCGAGGGGAGCGTGTGTGGCAGTTGAGGCATGGGCCTCGAAGCGCGGTCAAAGAAGCTGGCGAAACGGCCCAGCCTGGTCTGCCACTGGCCCCATTCCTCAGCCGACGTGAACAGGGCATACTTCATGTTGCTCAGGAACTCGACCTCCATAATGTGCACTTCGGTCACCGAGATGCCCGACACCTCGGCCCATGTCTTGTTTGTGTATGTGTTATCATCCAAAAACTTGTTGCCGAGCATGAGTGCCACGGTGAGCAGACGATACTCGCTGCCGGGCTTTCCCTTAACGCTCGGGTTGAGCTTTTTCAGCCGGTAGACGAACAGGAGAGCGAGGATGATGACATTCTGTGTCACCTGCGTCGTCGAGAGGATGGTCGTCACCCACTTGCGGAAGCCTGTTGTAGGAATTGCCTCGGGTACCAGTGACTGTGCGTTGTACGTCGTTGCAGGGTCATCCGCCCGGTCCAATGTGCTGGAGCTCTCGAACCAGAATAGACATGTGATNCTAGTCTTAGTCAGCGGCGTGCTGAGACGCCCGAGTAACATGATATCACTAACCTGTGCTGCCAGCTCAGCAATGCTCCCCTGGCTGTTGTTCACTGATCGTGGGATCTGGAGCGAGGGAGCGATCGCGCTCAGGTGAGAGTCCCGCTTCTGGTTTGGAGGGTCGATGAAGTGTACAGGGTGTGGTTGATAGATAGGGCTGGGTGGTCTTGCAGCGCTGACATCAGGTTTCGGGAGTTGTACTTGGTTCTGGCTTTGACTTTGGCTGTAGTCGTAGGTGGGTTGGTCGTAGTTGCGGTGTTCGTACTTGATGGGAGCGGCAGTCGATCTCTCTCCATAGTAGCTGCTGTGCTGAGGCTGCACCTGGGCAGCAACACTGTTCATATCCGGCGGCGGGGTGAGGGGCTTTGTCGAAGGAAACGTGACCTTGGCCGAGCCAGCAGGAGATTGGATGTCCAGAGGGAACTTGTGATGTGAGTGGTCGAAGGTCTGAGATGTCGAGGTCGAAGAGTCGACGAAAGGGTTGCGGAAGTGAATGCCTGGCGGCGGATACATGGACAGCATGAGGCAGACGAGAAGGTGTGATGGAGATGAGAGAGTTCGTGTCAGTTGGAGAGCGAGAACGAGATCAGGTAATGGCAAAGAATTATTGCATCGCCCAGGGCTGCGTGAGGAAACAACAAGGCACGGTCGAGGCTCGTGCTATCCAGGTGGGGGAGGTGTGGACAGTCAAGCAAGGAGCTGGCGTGCGAGATGAGAAGATCAGGTATGTAGAGGGCAGGCAGGCAATAGGCAGGAGGTATGAGTATGACAGCAACAGCAACAGGAACAGCGGACGGCAGATCTGGCAGGACGAAGACAAGTCTGACCACGCCAAAGGCTATTCCATGATGGTTATGACACTGCGGAGTTGGTGGAGGCCAGCTCGTCAAGCACCAGCAGCACAGGGTACATAACGGATGCACGCAGGCAGCCAGCAATAACGAAGAGCCTTCCGATGATCATGGCGGAAAGCCGGCGGCGCTGGCAAACCACAACGTTCGTGAGGATTGCCCGGCGTGAAGTGTGAATCAGTGGTCGGGAGGTTCCAGACATGGACCCAAGACCTTGACCGCAACGAGGCGCAGATGCGAAAGGGAAAAAGAGGGTCAGTCAGGCCAAAACGTTGACATGGACTGCGGTCCAAGCACTGCTAGCTCGCCCGATACTGTATTATTGGCCAGCAATTCATCAAGCCAAACCTGCTGCCCCCGAGCGGCTGCCTGCCCTCGCTTTCCCAGCGCTGTCTGCAGTCCGCATTAGGCCGTCTATACCTAACTACTGTATCATCGTCGTGTCTCGTCAAAGGTGCGCACACGAGCGCCGCGTAGCTTGCGTAGCTCGTAGCCGCTGGGTGCAAGAGATTGCCATACTCATCATCCATGATCCATCCCCAAGCCCGCCCGGCCCGAACAACACGAAAGGATAACTGAAGATTGTGATACGATGCCACTGTCAATCATCGTACCCATGCCATGCCGCTGCTCCTTGCGGGAGTTGCTGTCGGTTGCTGCTGCTTCCTTCTCCTCCTGCTGCGATGCGCGCCAACGGATGTCGGCCTGACCAAGCAACGTAACGAATGTATCCGCATCCATCCCATCATCGATAATTCGCATCAAGTATTGGCTGTGCCAGGTCCCGCCGCTCACGCGTCAAAAATTAAGTTCAAGGATAAAACCATGTATGCAACAACTTATCAGTGACCTTCCATCCCTCGCCCTCCGGATCCATACAGCAATCGGCGTATATATGCTCGAACACGGGTGTGCATGACCTCCGCGGCTTGTGTGGCTCGAGCATTTGGCTCACCATGATCAAAGACAAGTCAGACAAGGGCACACTTGCACTTTCTTTGATTCGCCAACCCGACACGCCAATCTTGGCAGCCACAAAAGGGCCGGCAAATAGCAATCAAAAATCCTCTGACAGAAGAAAAACCTTGCAAGGGAATGGAATCATCACGGCCCCAAGCCATCGTTGCGTTAGCTGTGACTGGCGACGCAAACCGACGACGACGCTTGGGTGGCTCCGTCCGTCTCACACAGTCTTGGTACCACCTGCGCAGTAGTCACAGTGCGCAACAGCCAGCAGAATTATACTCGAGACTCCCAGACTGCTGCTGCCGGCTGGCGAGCTAATTTGATCGGACCAGTCCGTATCTCATACCCTCCCCGCGCTTCGCCGTCTTGCATACAAATCGACCCACACGCAGCCTGGGCGACTAAGCGATACGATATCCGACTTGCCCGACCGGCGTATTATGCACACATGTTTCTGGGACTCCTCGTGCCTTGACGATTTTAATAGGTATCATGCCGATGACACTACTGGCGTTCCTCCCCTAGATGACTATTGCCGCCGGCGTTAGACTTCCGCCCTTTCTTCTACTTATGACCCACCATGTCTAATTTGAAAAAGAAGGTCTCGAGTAAGCAGCAACATCATCTTGTTCTGGAATTCGTCTCCTAAAGCCGAGCAAGTGGCACCCGTCCGTGGGAGGATTTGCAGCTCTTGCTTGTCCATCCGTAACTGCCGTGAGCCGTGGCTCGTCGCCGTCGCCTCGATTCGCTTTCTTACCTGGTGCACAGTGCTTCAAGCAAGCGAACACTATCTTTGTCTTGTCACGCATGGTGCAGATGGCACAGCACAGTGATTATTACAATTCTACTTTGCTCCATACCGTTCGCTGGCTGTACCACACGCCAGGGCTTGGACATGCTAATCATTGCCTTTCCCAGCCAAGCGAGGAATCTGGATCCATCTCCCGGGACCACACCTTCACCTCGTTCTCATCTGCCTTACCAAGCATGCTGCTCTAAAGCAATACACAAAGCCTATCAAGCGGTGACGAGTCAAATACCATTTGATCGTTGTCCGTATTCCTCCCGAAGGCGTCGCATCATGTCTTAGTATTTACCAGCTGGCTTGAGCAGCATGAAACGGCTGCTTGCGAGACTGCATCACGTCGCTAGAGTGCACCCTTGACTCTTATTTCCAGCAAGCAAGCAAGCATCGCACACACGCGCGGCATGCTCGAAACTTTAGGCGCCTTGCGTGACCGCCTTTGGATCTTCAATATCAAGATCAGCAGGTTCTAACACCTGAACGCCGTTGCCGCTTGTTTGCAAGTCACAACTGGTGGCCGCATCAGCCTTGGTGGGTGGATGAACTAATCAAGGTATGATGCCCTTGATCAAGTTTCGAGAATCTAGATTGTCACCGCTGCCCGACTTGAGTCGCATGTTTTAACGATGGATGGTGCACCGGAAATCGTTGTAGGTAAGCACAGTAACCATCAGTAGTACAGGGTACGCTTGTTGCAACATGCTTGTCCTTGTACCCACNTCGGCGGAGTGTCCGAGACAGCAGCTGACACGACTGTGAAAAGCCACGAAGGCGGAGCGGGACCACATCATTCAAAACATAATAACATCCATCCATGCCGCCCGTTTGGCGTCCCATGCCTGATATCGAGTAACGAGGACTTCATATTGCGATCTATGAGCAACGAACATGAGCCAGCCCCGAGTCCGTATATCCGAAGGGCTAGCGAAAAGCACAGGTCTTGCTCAGCCTGGGCGGGCATCGTGTGGAAACATGTGTGGGGTCAGGAGGCGCTATTCCAATTGGGTAAGTTTGATTGATCTTGAAGACGCCCCTCACGAAACGCGTCCGAATCATTATCTCGGCGAGTCGTTTGATGACCTATCGTACATGCTTTTCCTGGATGCGGTTGGACGTTGGCGAGAGATGCTCCAGAAGCGAAGCCTGTGCTTCCAGCCCATCTTGTTGTGCGCATGATGCGACTCCTGGTTTCGTAGTTAGGGTGTGAAAAGTAAGATCAGATGCAGCGACAAGGAGGTCTCTCCATCATCTAATTCGTCATTAAANGAGAAGCGACAGCTGTGCATCAAGTGCAACCGTTACCGAGCAAGATGTTGATCAGGGCGAATGGTCGGACGAATCAACCATCGATCTCCATTTTGTTTTCGACCCGTGATGACAACCTCTTCTTGCTCCTCTCGCATAGCCGCTGTCTCCTGTGTTTGACCATCCCACATCNNTTTCCAACCGTGACTCCATACAACTCACTCCAACAGAACAGAGACACGCACGGGCGAGCACAGCGGGACGGGTTCGNNACGGGGAGCGGTGGTGGAGCGCACCAGACAAGGAGCCAAAAGGCAAAACNNAGTAACCACCAGANNATCCTGAAATCTTGCTCCCTCNACTCCCGAGGACGGCCGCGAGTCGTCCATACAAAANAAACCAATCATCGCTTGTCGCTGCCCGTTTCGCTCGNNCTCGTCGTTAGTGCATTGCCAGCAATGAAGTTCGTACTCTTGTCTGGGCTCCCTTTTGCTCGTTGTCCACCGCTTATCCNNTTTCTTTTCGATCAAATCATGTGGACCATGTAATCATCGACACGCTTGCTCCATTCCTGCATCTTGTTATTGCTCTCTCCACCTTGCCTATGGTGCTATGTTGATGCCTTCTCCTTCCGTGCCGCGCATTCCCTCTGGCGGACGGGCACAGGAGAAAAACTTTGACATCGTTCGTTCGNNTACGCGAAGGTGTGGATTCGGCGATATTTGCCAATAGATGATCATCTTGCATCGTGGTCCACAGCTGGCAAAGAGGATTTTACGAAAACGACTTTTTGCTTGGGGATTTTCATTTAGCGTGGAGCGCCTCGTACAAAGCCAGCTCAGCCTTCAGCTTGTGTGATTGAATGTTGGCAACTATCGAATTTAGAGAGACAACACGATCTCGAGCGCAAAAGGAGAAGTTGGCATCGGACATAGAAATCTGCCACAAGGCTACTGACTCTGCTTCCATCATGTGCAGACCGCCGACCGGCCGGCATCACCGTAAGAAGGATCAGCGAGAGCCCAGCCACATTTGCAGGACCAGCGCGGGAAAGAAGGTCTGCTGTGGAGCAGGAACTTTGTTTGCAGGCACGGTGTCGAGATGGAAGCTACGAATCTCAAACCCTCGCGCATGTCTCATCGTCTAATTCCACACACGGCTCTACCGCTTTGAGACCACGTAGGGCAGGTAGTTAGGAAAATCTACCCCTTGCTTACACGAGCCTTGCATCTTTACATTTCACTCCGAGGCACGATTCTGGCTGAACGACCAGCTCGATGAAAAGTCAAAAGCGTCGACGACACGCAAGGCAGAAGCTACGCTACGCAACTTGATCCTGCCCTTCAGCGGGCATGCAAGCAACCGGGTCCGACAGGCAGCATAGCTCCGTCACCCATGTCAATATACAACTTCCGCGAACATGCCTTGAGTCCCGTAACCCGGCTCGTCGGGTATGTTTGGTCGCAATGTGTAATGCAATGCTTTAGGAGAGTTGTATCGAGATCAGGACTATGTGCCGCCACATGTTCAAACCAGACTCGGATTTTGTATGTCGTGGCTTCTAGTTCTGAGGCATCTCGTCGCTATCTCTATCGCTCCTGTCTTCCTCGGTCCACGAACCCTGCATGAATGACCACAGCCGCACGCCGCCAACGGGCGCAAAGTGGTTCGTGTTTCTGGAAATGCTTTCTTGTCAAAACTAAAACCAAAAAACCGAGGATCCCGAACAGCCACTGATCCCAAAGATGAGGCGGCGTTGACGATACTTTTTCAGGCTTGGGCCGCAAGCCCCTGCAAGAAAGAATGACCACATTTTCTCGAAATCGGATCCTTGCGAATGTCAAAACAAGCAAAGGTCATGTTGTCACGCTTCCCAAGATTCTGGTGAGGGCTGAAAAACGAACACGGCGTTTTTCTCTTTTTCTTCCCTCATCCACGCCGAATCATACTCGAACAGGAAAGTGGAAAGGAAACCGACTATTCCAGGATGGTAAAGGCCAATCAAGCGAGACGGCGTTTCTTTCTCCGGGCAACGAATAACGAATGTTTGTTTCTTTCGTGATGGTTCGATATGCGGCTTGAAAGGTGGAGATATGCAAGCAAAGATGGACGACAGACACGGGGGTGACGCATAGTGTTCCAAGATTGTACAGCGACACATCATCCACAAGCAGACGTGGTCACAGGAGAGGAATCGATCTTCGGTTGATCTGTTTAATTGAAGCATCATTCCTTCGTTCGCCTGTCGTTGTCCACCAGCAAGCCAGGGCTAAAGGATTGGAACGGCAATTCGGTAACAACGCTCGTCTAGATTCCAACATGTATATGCTTGGACAAGTAGGCGAAATGTGCATGACATGAATGGTAACCACGTCTCGTGACGACGTCTTCTTGGATTTTAATCTCCACGAAGGACGGCACTCCTCGGTCTGGGATATCACCCATCACTAAGATGTGAGAAAACATCTTCGTCCACCCGAAATACTTTGCATTTAATAACCCTACCGTACCTTGTGCTGCGGCATCCCATCCCATATTGTAGTCAGATGAGCCATCTGTTGGGCGCAGCGAGCCATGTCCACTCGAGTCAACATCCCCACCAACACCTAAAGTAATCCAATTTACCCAGCTCGTGCCACACTACAGCTGTGAGGGTCGTCTAAAGTGGCCACACACGAGAAACCCCCAGTGCTGAGTACACGATCAAAGAGTCAGCAGCGAGGCTACTGTAGGGTGCAGACAGCCTCTGGTCTGTCTTCCCTCACCCGGCACTCCCAAACCATCGGAGTTACATTCTGGCGGTGTGTAGCGAGTAGAAAATGTAGGTGAGAGAGTCAAAGTTTCCTTTTTTTTTGTCTCCTCTACCCACTTCAATGTAAAATATTGTTGGAAATGAACAAGCGTGGGTTTGCTTTGCAAGGTGCTGCGGTCAGCGCAGCTAGCCAGCCCATCAATCCATCGTTTCCCATTCAGCTGGTGCTTTTGCATGCATGCATCCACGCGCATGGTTTCCCATCTCACCTTCTGTTTGTTCCCGTAAGCGATGGAAGCTCTAGTCACTTGCCCTCTCACAAAAGAAACATGAACGCACTGCCTATCCTAGCTGCAAAGATCAAGACAAGTGACAGGGAACAAGGATTCGTTTGCAGACTACATGGTCACCGCTCGAATGACTTTTCTGCTGCAATCTGTTCCATGCTCATGACTCTGAGCCTGGCCCACGAATATGCAGCTACGAGTACCACTACTACTTGGGGATAGGAGAAAATGCGTTGATGTCTATGGCAGTCATGTACATGTCATTGCCTCTTTCCATATCGGGGATATGGACATGCAGCTTTAGTGTCGCATCTGCATCCATGTTTGCTACTCACGGTGCAGGTGCAGCAAAGAGACAAGGTGCCTTGCATTCATGCCGCTCTGCAATTTTTGTGCCCAGTTATGTACAGGGAGACTCCTGATTCATGCTGTCCCGTCATTTCGAACTTTTCTGATGTTGGAGGGTACGGTGACACGCAATCCATCACGTTGCACGAGCACAGAAAAGAGGTGTGTGAGCGAGCGTCAAGAGTAACCACATGGCATACCACAAAAGTCATCAATGCGGAATTTCCATGGTGCCACACCCATCTTATCTTCTCAGCAACACAGGCATGAACCTCCCAAAGAATGTAAATCGAAAAGAAAGATATTGATACACGGGAGAGGCATCCCAGATTGTATTACACAAATCACCAGACCCTGTTCTCGCCCTTGATGGCAGATTTGGCGCCCTTGGAGGCGACCTTCTTGTGGTCGACACGACCTTGACCGGGTGTCTTGAAGAACAAACTGGGACCCTGGCCTTCTTGCAGCATATGGCTCAAGTAGCCTCTGTGTGCGGGATCTCTGTAGTATTCAATGTCCTTTCTGCTGGCCGGGTCGGGCAGCCTGTACTTGAACTCGGGGCGGGGTGTGGGCGAAGGAGCGCTCTGGATGCTGTAGATGGGGTCTGTGTCGCCCTTGAGGACGCGAGAGATGGAGGGCTTGGTGTAGTAGCGGGTGATGACCTTGCCGCCGACCGACTCGATGGCTTCGATGGCCGAGGCACTGGCGCGGCTGACGACGATCTCGACCGGGGTGGTGAGCTTTTCGGAGCTGCGGGCGAGCAACTTGACGCCGTCCTTGATGCCGTGGATGCAGCGCGACTTTGCCAGTTCCTTGAGGGTAATGGGTTCGTTTGGATTCAGACGGCCTGCGTCAATCCACGCTTGGAGACGGTTGATGTTGAGCGGCGTCATTTCAATCGAGTGTNNCTGGATTCACGTATGAGCCATCTGTTCGCTCTGTTCCCGCAGTACGAGGAGCGCTTACTGGTTCTCGAAGCCTCTGACACCGTGGACAACCTCTTCAGGCGTTTGACCACCATTGAAGTTGCGCGGGACCTTTCCGTGGGCCTTCTGACCCTTGTGACCACGTCCTGATGTCTTGCCCTTGCCCGAGGAGGGACCTCTTCCTCTCCTGATCTTCTTGTTGTAGGCGCCCGTGTTGTCCGAGAGCGACGAGAGAATCGAGGCGTTTCTTTGTTGCTGGGGTTGTTGTGCGCTGCGCAGGAAGGGTTGCAGCAGCGACGCTACGCTCGAGTGAGGTGCTGTGGGCCGGCATAGCGATGCCCGTGAGAGGAGATTGAGTCGTGGCGGCATGTCTGTCGGTGTGTGTGCGATAGATGGAATAATCTTCCCTTGTCCGTCCTCGACGCCGCCAACTTCGCGACGCCGGTCGGACATGGCTCTGGCCAATCACGTGCCGTCTTTATTCTGAGGCCATCGAAACTCAATCTCATCAACAACCACCCTTACACATGAGAAAAAACTTCTCGAGTAGAAGTAAACATGTTGGATCATTGGTCTATACTGTACATACCATCCTGGAGCCAGCCAGCCGTCATCCGTTTGAGCCATTTCCTACTCCAAACCATACCATGCCATAAACCATCTCATTCCAGAACCAAACTTCCTCCGGTAATTATCGTGCCTAGCAGTGCCAATGCTGTGAGAATACCTGCTCCAGCCTTATCACCAGTCGTGATCTTGTCCGTGTTCACAGCAGGCATACCATTGCTACCCGTTGTGCCGCTGGTCCCTGTACCTGCACTCGGATTGCCCTTGCTTGTGCCTCCAGTCGTAGCTCCCACTGGCGCAGCTAGATCCGTCGTATCCATCATCATCGCTTGGATGACTGCAAGAGCAGACATTTGTTCACCTACTCCTGAAACTCCATCCCATGTTGTTGAGTTCCACTCACGACCGCAGTGTCTCCCTAGTGCGCCTCCTGAACACTGTCCTGCCGCGCCCGCAGCCGACTTGCGCAAGTATGTGAAGATGCGCTCATAAAGTTCGGGCACCAGTTGTGCTGTCACTGCAAGCCATCGAGTAAGGAATGCTTTGAATGCCGGTTGGTCGTTGTTGCAATTTCCTAGTGGCTCACAGGTAACTTCAACCATGACGCCTCCCATATTCTGAGGGAAGAATCGAGCTAGTGTGGCGTTGAGAAGACCATCGAGGCGGTCCATATATTTTGCATCACCAGTCNNTGATTGTCTGTTAGTATAGCTTCTTGCATATCGTACGAGACAACTCACGTAATTGTAGAGGTATGCGTTTCCAGCAATGAAAACACCATAGTTGTATGTCCACTGCAGCTGACTGGCATCCGAGCAATTTTTCTGCGTACTGGATCCGTCGTTGATCTGCCAGTTCTGCGTCTCAAGCAGGGGTGTTCCGGCATACCAGTCCCACGTCTTCTCTGCCCAGTCGACATATGTTTGGTTCTGCGTGTAACGTGCCAGGCGTGCAGCCAGCTGGAAGAAGCCACCGTTGGAGACGGCATTCTTGTAGTCGTACCCAGCATTGAAGGTGAAGATCTGCCAGCGCAATCCTCCACCGCAGGTCCCATCGTCCCATCTTGATGCCTGCTCGTTGAACACGGCTTGTGCAAGTGCCAGCCACGATGGCTGACCATCTCCTGGATCCTCGAATTTGAGTTCGGCTGCTGTCATGGCACTGAATGCCCAAAAGACTTGGTCATCATTACCNCTGTTCATCATGTCAGTCAGAATGTCACAACGTGATGCACCGATGTTCTTGGAGATACATACTAATGACTTGGACTGATTTCTGGGCATGTAGTCCTTATCGTCTCCAACTTGGTGCAGTAGAGCCTGCTTGACTTCATCGTTGTATGTCGTGTCACCAGTGTAGTACCAGTACTCGATCATCTCGCCAAACATGGCGCCTGCTTCCCACCAGTAGTACGGTGCCGGCAAGTTTCCTGGAACATCTCCTGTTCGGTTTCCGGTATAGTACGACATCAGGTCGTATGCGACCACGCTAGACGTTGACCTGATCGAGTCNTGTTTGGCGTCAGCCTTGGTGACTTTGTGCCATGGTATTGCTGCAATCTTACCCGGACTACTGACATCAAGTTGTAATGCCGACCCAAACTGCGCTGTCAAGCACAAAGCGTTGACAAGCCATGACGATTGAACTGGTTTCATGTTTGACCTTTTGCGACCATGTAACGATTTCGAAAGAGCGGCGGCGAGCACAAGTTGAAAGCAGCCAGAAGAGTACCAGCCCCACGATATGTTGAGCGATAGACGAAAAGTGGTGGCGTCGAATGGCTGTCCGGTCAGACCAGCCTTCAAAATTGCTGGATTGTATGTACGCGACAGCGAACAGCGAGATCAAGGTGTTGTGATGACGAAGTGCGCGCGAATCGTTCAAAGTTGAAACAACCTGGTGCTTCCTCTGCACAGCCCTTGATGAATATCGGATTGTTCAGCATTACTCCGAAGGCCCGCTTTTTCATCTGCCTATTGAGAAGCGCAGACGGGGATCAGGTCGCCGTGTACCGCTTCAGGTCTCGAAACATTTCTCATTGGCGGACTCGCGACTCGTCGAGTGGTGTGGATTTCTTGTTGATCCTGATTTTCCAAAAACACGCAAGCGATGGCATGGCATCCCGTGTTGCCAGCCATCGTGTCCGAGCGATCCATCCTTCTTCTTTTCGTCGGTCCGACCTTGGACTTTCTACTTCCAGCTCGACAAACCAGACATCGACCAGCTGTGATGAATCGCTCCTGCACTTCTGAACACAGGAAGATACAACAATCTTTGGACGTTGCTCCTGGACGAAAATAACCATGACAGCCTCTCGACCGTTGAATGCCGATCGCATCGTTGCTTAGCGAGCCTTAGCATGCTTGTGTGTTCTTCGTGCTTGGTCTTCCTTTCTCATGCATCACCACCGAACCTTTGCAGCAAGACGCGAAACGGGTCCAAGTAGCCAGCCCTAGCTTGTCATCGTTGAGGGCTATCCAAGCGCCATTGACTACCTAGTGGCTGGTGGCGCGCTGCCCACACGGCCAGCTTCCAGGAAGTGGCTTTGAAATTGCTCCCTTCTTCATCACACACCTGGAGATCTCTGTCGGGATTTTTTATGTCGAGCCTAAAGTGCGTCGATGATGGGAGCCTTCTTTTCGACACATGACTGTTGAAGGTATATAAGACGAAAAATCTATGGTTCAAGCACGTACGGCCACAGTCAGCTGAAAACTGGGCATCCCGTCCGCTCTGCCATACATAAGCAGTTGAACGGCAGATTAGTACTACGGTGGGTGACCACGTGGGAATCCCTGCTGCTGTACGTTTTTGCACCTCGAGCACTCATTTTTGCCCTCTGTACTCGCCCCACTCCGGAATGGCTGCTAGCGATTGATATCACAGGTTGTGTAAGATCCTGATTCGACAAAGCTTATGGGTGTGCGAACAACCTCTTCTCGTACTGTGCATGAGCGACTGTCAATGTCAAGAAAAAGCGGGTAAAGCTGTGCCCAGTAAGTGCTTTTGTACACTAGCTACCCTACATCAATCCACTTTCTGTCGAGACCAAAACTACAAATAAATCTCCGCCCATAGCTGAGAAGGACACTCCTTCTAGCGCCCGCCTTGTACTCCTGAATGCCGCAAAAATAAAATCAACCAAGCCAATTAACACCATGAGAAGCCCACAGTAAAAAGTCTGGCAACCAAGGCGCGTCAAAACGCAAACGGGATAGGAAAAATCGAGCACGCTTAACGTAGTGAGGTGCGGTAAGGTTATGTATCAACCACATTCTCGTCGCATGCATGAGAGTAGGTCATTCGAGTGATGACTGTTGTCAAGTCCAGGTACTGGATTCAAACCCTGGAAGGAACCGGCCAGGTCGGATGCCACTGAGCAGGTCGTGAACCATCCCATCATTCTTGATGCCATCGATCCGCTGCCAGCTGTCGCAGCATAATGACTGGTCAGGTGCGTTCGCGACATCTCGTATCATGAGATCATCGATATATTGTTGACGCTGTGCATTCTCTTGATCCTCCTCTTGCCAGAGATAGCAAAATCCAGGACTGGCTTGACTAGAGGTCTTGAATGGTCGTCTGATCAGTTCGTTGAGATCGCGGGCGGTGTTGACCACATCCGGACCAAGCTCGAGCTGACCGCTGGCGGTAGAATACAGAGTAGTGTAGAATCGGCTGAGTGTCAAGTGGAACTGCCCGGCAGCTAGGTCTTTCTGGCTGCATGTTTGGAGAAAGCCGATGCAAGCGAGGGCAAGGTGTAAGTTATCTTGCAGCATACTTACGGGTCGTCTTTCCAGGTGCTGCTCAAACAGCATCTCCGCAACGTTGTGGAGTACTATAACACAGCTAGAGTAGGCCTGAAANGCTATACATTTGTCAATATCATCCGCACAACGCGCTTCCAGCATGTATAAGACTTACATGCAAACCCAACATTTTTGNACGATACGGCCTTCGACTAGCATTATCTTGAACAGCTTGGCAGATTCTCTGGCAGCGAAATTCGCTTGGACTACCAAGTCGTTAAATACCGCTTCGTCACCTGCAAGTAGGTTGCTTTGCTCGTGCATGCTTTGAAGAACACGACGCAAAAGCATAATCCGAGCTCCAAAATAAAGGAATTTGACATAGTAGATGGTTCTCCGCAACTCAAAGGATACCTCAGAGTTGTTCGTTAGATCGGCAGAGCGCATCTCGTGCGGTAGGCTTTGATACCAGTGGTGTAACTCGTTTGTGATTGTCTCAACCATGAGCGCACTCAGACCTTTGAAGGACAAGCTAAGTCGTAGCATGTCGAACTTGATGACCGTGATTTTGACCATTTCGGTGGTGACCTTTTCCTCGAGGGTGGCTTCATGCTCAATCTCGAGGTTCCTTATATTCGTAAGCTCTTTTGACAATTGTAACCCCGAAACATAGCCGAGAGTCGAAGATAACCAAGTCTCAAGGAAGACGAGCACTCTCCAGGTTTTCCGAAGTTCTGTCCATTGACTCCGTTCCATGTTGGGTGGGCAGACTTGTGGGATCGGCGGTCGTGTTAAGAGGTTTAGCCCCATNTTCTATAGGAACCTCGTTAGAAGAAGGATGCTGGAGTAATGGGTTGTTGACGTACCGACGAATGTCATGGCAACCTTTTGTTTGCTCATAACGTTAAATAGACAAAGCATGGCACACGTTTTGGCAGCCCGATGTGCGTCGGTGGTGAGGGCGTCTTCCAAGAGATGCTTTGCGGCACTGTACATGTTCTGTTGGGTACCTTCCGAGAGAGATTCCTTGATATATTGAGAGCCGAGAGAGGCTACAGCACAGAGCTCGCAGGCGGCGACACGGAGCGCTTGTTTGTCACTCTGGGCTTCTAGGATCCGAAATTGCATGTCAATATGGCCAGGCGAGAAGACATGGAATAGCTTGCCGGACTCGCTGTANAAGGTGTCGATGCATTTCCGAAGAGTATCCACGCTTGGTAAAGGTCTTTCATAATCGGAGAATGGCTGATAGGGGGCGTCAACAGTAAGTGTGTCGTCGTCGAGGGANAATGATGGATTAGATTTAGTATGGGAATTAGCACTTCTCGAACGCGAAGTGTGCGGAGTGTGAACAGTGTCGGCGTTGGAAGGAGGAGATGGACCAGAAGACATGGACGAGTCGGAATCCTGGCGGTCGAAGGGTTGAGCATGGGAGTCGGGTTGGGACAGGGTCAGTGTAGACAAATGGGATAGATCCTCAGTGGTGCGGAGATGGTTCAGCATTTCCTGGGCCTGAGAGGGAGATGCAGAACGCAAGGCTTCTATAAATTTGTGCATTCGATCGGCCTCTGTCACCAGCGAGGCATTCTTCCTTTTNAGAGCAGTGAAGCGTGTCTCTCCCGGGTTTACGGTATATTCACAAGAGTCAATGCCCTTGACGAGACAACGCTGACAGCTCGGTCGCATGCCATCGCACNNTGTCAAGACTCAGCGCTGGGTGGTTTGCTGAAAGGCAATGGGTTGATTGGATGATACCTTTAACTTCTTCAAACGACACTCGCGACATGCGGCGTTGATAGTGCCCCGCCTCGATCTGGTCGACTTGAGAGGGTAACTGTTGTGCAAAGGCTGCAGAACAGGAGCATCGGCGGGCCTCACAGGCTGAGGGGCCAGTGGTCGAGTGGCTCCGAGCACTGGCGGCGACATGGCTTGCAATGTTGCTGTCTCGACAATTGAAGCAGATGGACATGGGCAAAACAAAAAGCAGTCGAGACGGGGAAGAGGGCGGAGGGGCCTCCGAACGATGGATTATTTGAATTTGCGATTGCCGATGGATCTGGAAACAACGCCACCAGGGTTCAAAGCGATCTAAGCCCGAAATCGCCCTTGTCGTTCCGAGAAGCAGCAAAGGGCAGCGACGAAGGACGAAGGAAGGCGCGACCGACAGCAAGGTGGCGACAGGCAGGTGCCAGCTCCCAAGATCAGCGCAGCTCTTCGCCTTTGTGCCCCGCAGCAACCTCTGGTAAGTGGCAAAAAGGGACATGTTGGTAGAGGCCGGTGACCTATTGCGGCGCCCGACGGCGACTCGTTTGTGGGCGCGGTCAGGGTCACGGCGAGCCTGTAGGTGACGCATAGTCGTCTATGACTCGATGCGAATGTGGGGAAATTGAAGCTCCAAGCACCTTGATATTCTACCTGCTTCTGCCAATCCAACCAAGTCTATTGGAAGCATTCAACATCTATCTTGGTCTCAGACACAAGAGCTCGAAATAATGGCGACGCGGAACGACCGGTACAACAAGCTCTCGCCCCAGGAGCGCCGCGCTGGAGAATCGGTATGCGCCTCGCCACCAAATTGTTGCCATGGCTCTAATACAGACGCACGCAGGNCCCTCAGCGACTTTGCCGACTACGTGCAGAAGCAGCAGGCCAAACGCCGCCATCCCCATGACCAAGACTCTGCATACGGCACCCAGTCGGTTGTCACGACCGAGGAACATGCCGAGCTCGATATCCTCGACTCTCTCAACCTCAGCGACGAGCCCGCGAGCCTTCCGCTCAAACACCTCTTCCTTGACAAGTCCGACGATGCCGATGAGAGCCTGAGTCTCTTGACAGGCTTCGTCAATGGCCGCCTCGAAGAAGGCCATGGTGAGGCCATGTTCGACCTTGGCCTGGAAGACAACGGAGACTCTATGAACTTTGACAAGAATGACTGGGACTTTGCTCTGGCCAGACTGCACACTGTCACCGAATCACTAGGCGCCGACTACCGCATACTCATGACCAAGAATGTCGGTGGCGAAGACGAGGTTGATGTGAGCCCCAAGGAGAAGGCGTGCAGCGGAAAGTTGATGATCAGGCGGCGGCCCAACTCGGTTGACAATGTCATCGAGACCCGAATAGCCGTTGTCGGCAATGTCGATGCTGGAAAAAGCACCATGTTGGGTGTGCTGGTCAAGGGCGGTCTCGATGATGGCCGTGGAAAGGCCCGTGTTAACTTGTTCCGTCACAAGCACGAGATCGAGAGTGGAAGAACAAGCTCGGTGGGCATGGAGATCATGGGATTCGACAGCAAGGGTGAGGTCGTCATGGCCTCGACCGCTGGTCGCAAGCTCTCGTGGGAGGAAATCGGCAACAGATCGGTGTGTTTGTCTAATCGAACTACTCATAGTTGCCCTTCTAACACATGTTCTAGGNCGAAAGTCATCGGCTTCACTGATCTAGCTGGCCACGAGCGCTACCTGCGCACTACAGTATTCGGCATGCTCAGCAGTGAACCTAACTACTGCCTACTCATGGTTGCTGCCAACAATGGCTTGATTGGCATGAGCAAAGAGCATTTGGGAATTGCCCTAGCCCTCAACGTGCCAGTCATGGTTTGCATAACCAAGATCGACATCTGCCCGCCGCACATTCTCCAGCAAACCATCACCCAGTTGACCAAAATTCTCAAATCGCCAGGTGCCAGGAAGATACCCATATTCATCAAGAACAAGGAAGAATGTATAAACACCGCCACTCAGTTCATCAGCCAGCGTATCTGCCCCGTCTTCCAAGTCTCCAACGTAACCGGCCACTCCCTCGATCTCGTTCGTACCTTCCTCAATATCATTCCCCACCACGGTCATTACGACGCCGAAGCTCCTTTTGAATTCCACATCAACGATACTTTCTCGGTGCCGTTCGTTGGTACAGTGGTGTCTGGAGTTGTCAAATCTGGTGTCGTACACGCTGGCGACACTGTATTAGTTGGTCCTGACGGCCTTGGCAATTTCACGACGACGAGCATCAGGAGCATCGAAAGGAAACGAATAGGTGTCCCTGCCTGCAGTGCGGGTCAAAGTGCCAGCTTTGCCCTGAAGAAGGTTCGCAGAAAGGACGTACGCAAAGGCATGGTGTGCCTACTCAAGAACGACGAGCAGCCACCTAAGGTCCACCGCGAGTTCATAGCCGAAGTCCTTATTCTCAGCCACGCAACCACCATCAAGACAAAATACCAGGCCATGCTGCACGTCGGCCCCATCTCTCAGACATGTGCTATCATCGACATCGACAGAGCTTACATCAGGACCGGCGATCGTGCGACCGTAGCATTCCGCTTTGTCCAGCGTCCAGAGTTTCTTGCTGTGGGCGATCGTATACTGTTCAGAGAAGGTAGAACGAAAGGCCTGGGTATTGTCAAGGCCGTTGGCTACGATCCGAGCAAACCGCTCAATCCTGACGCTGGCAAGCAGAAGGCGGTCGCCACAGAGGTCGCGGACACTACCGCCCCTACTCCCGCTACTGCATAAGATACGGTTGTTTCTTCGTTTGTAAGGATGGAAATCTAGGGCCATCGTTTTCAGTGTTCGGGCGTATTCGATCGCTCGCAAGGCGTAGAGGTGTATCTCCCCTTCCTTGGCATTGTTTTAGACCAACTGTGGATATGAAATCGACGAACCATTACTCTAAAGTCATCGGATCTAGTCCACGTCAATTCTTTCTATCATCAAATTGTTTGTACATCTATACACCAAGCAGTCCAGAGCGGCTTGTATGGTCACATGCCCCTGGAGAGAAACAAAGACTGGCTGCATGATAAGTGTTCAGACTGTATCTTTATGATCGCTATTGAAGCAGTGCAGTAGTCGTTGCCCTCATAGTAGTCATCACCCTAATGCAGAAAGAAGAAGCAAATGAACGAGTACATGAGAAAGCAAAGCACATAATCGATTGAGACGATTCAGACCAAGTGATGCAATGTAACGAAAAATAAGATGTCACAAAGGAAAAACCCCATCTTGGAAGAACTCACCATTCACATTGCGATAGAGAAACACAGGGACGCAAAGATTGAGAAAAAAGAAGAAAAAATCATATTAGCATACTACACCAAAATTTACCGCACCAGAATTTAACTTAGCCTTTTACTTGAAGCAACGAGTGCAGTACCAACCAGCAGTCTCTGAAGACAGCATCTTAGCACTGCACTTGGGACAAAACCTCTCCATCTCAACGATTGCCCTGATGAGAGAGTCGTACCTAGCACTCTGCTCCCATTTTGTCATTGCCTGAATTTCAGTCTCGGAAACGCCTAGTTTGAGGAGCTCGTTTTCGAGGGGGATGTTGCGGACGACTTTACCGGTGCCTTTGGTCATTGTTGTTTGGGTTAGCTTGGTTTGTGTAAGGGAGAAGGGATGGAAGTGTAAGGTGTTGATAAGCTTGGTGTTTTGGTGTTGGAGATGGTGAGGAGCAAATGGCGGACTTGGAAATGTCTATATATCCACTTGGGAGGGGGACGATGGCTTTAGTTGCTACTTACGAAAGATTTGATCCAGCAAAGAGACGACACAAAGATAAGCGACATACACAAAAGACTTGCGAACAATGTTGAAAGAAGTGGTCAACTGACACAAAGAAAACGATGTCTCGAACATGGGCATTGTTCTTTCGATATCTCAAAGGATAGGCTCTTTCAGCTTCTCTACGGGTGCAACGATCTACCGTCTGATGTCCTGGAGAGCAAGAGGCAGCACGAACTATGCTCACTAAGAATCAGTGAGCAGGCGTAGAACTAGATAGCGAGCACAATGGGCAATAACAATCGCAGTAAGGATAGGGAGAGCAAGGCAGGCGCAATCGGACCAACCAAAAGGAAAAGAACAGAAACATGAAGCATAGAGAAGGAGCGATCAGACAAAAAAGTGACAAGAGGCGGTTGCGATACACCAATAAACAGGATTATGGGTATAGGTCAAAAAGAAGCACCATGGGTAGGATTCGAACCTACGACCTCCCGATCCCAATGAATGACTGAAGCGAACGACTAATCAAACGATTGGCTGAAACGAACGACCAAGAATCGGGTATGCTGACCACTACACTACCACGGCTAGTTTGCTTGTGGGGAGGCCAGATTATGTAGCATATAAAATTTGTCTCTCACTGGGGTGGAGAGGGTAGTGTATGAGCAAGTTTATTGTGGTGGCTCCCGGTTATTCCCGTGAGAGCACCTTGCCTGGGTGATTCAACGAGCAACACAGTTCTTTCGCTGTTGTCCGTATCCAGTGCGACAGGTCTAGCATTTCTGCGAGTGACGTATCTGTCGGTGGCATTCCCGAGAGCCCGATAAACTTCGAGATAATATAGAAATCTCCTTGACTGAGCCTACACGATCAAATGTCTCGTCCATCACACGGGCAGCCGGGTTTCGAGCTTGAATGGATGTCGCGACCGAATGGCGCATCAGACAGGGTTGGTGTTCGTGTATTTGATTTCAGTCACCTTTGGGTTGGTCCTCGGCGACATCTTGACGTGGAATGGGCAATGCCTGTGCGGTGCCATTCAAGGCGCGCTTCCTCTGGCTTGACATGGCCTTCTTATGTCGTTTGCTATTGACATGGACAGTCCAGTCGCTCTCGGTGACGGATGTCGTGTTGCAGACCTCACAGTGTTTGCGGCTCCAAAGATCCGCCCGAGCACTGGTATCAGGTTTCGAGGCCGTCAGCATCTCGGCTGCGAGCAGCGACAAGCTTGGAGGATCCGGCAGCGTCTCTTCTTTGAGAAAACTGTCGACCAACTTGAGTCCAGTCTCTGATACACCTTGCTCCCAGTTCGGCAGATCAGAGCCGTCGAGCATGAAGAATAAGTTTTTGGCTCCAGCCGTATCGATAGCATTGTTGAGCTTGATGCGGATCCATCTGATCTGACGCTTTGCGTACTGCCGTGTACCTGCCTTGGTCTTCTCGATCGCCTGTGCAAGTAGCTTGCTGAGTTGCGTTGGGCTTGTGTCGCCTTTTTGTAGAGCAGCTTGGTAGTCCAAAAATTCTTTGTAGCCGATGGCGACCCAGATGCCTCTAGTCGTGTCGATGGTCTCACCACTGGCAATTCTACTATCGTAAAATTCCGACAGGGTAGAAACCTCGTCCAGGAGACCTTGTGTCACCATCTTGTCAACACGAGCATCAAGACGTTTAGAAAGGATATCTGATTGGGCGCCGACCCATAACACAAGAGTCCTCATGCGGAGAAGAGACGCATCTTGGGCATCATCCGAAGGTACCTCCTGGCCAGCAGTTTCGCGGCGTGTTCTTTGTTCTTCGTAGATGTCTGAGGCTTTGCGACCAGTCTGGAGCCAGATCTCAAGGCTCCTTTGTATCTTGCGGCGGTCATTAGGATGCCATCTGTCAGCCATCACTGGGTCAACTTCTCTGAGCTTTGCAAGGAGTAATTCAGTGGGTTCTTCAAGGATGGCTGGCCTCTCTGCATTTTGGACTGGTTCTTCGTCTTGAGGTTTGTTTGTGAGCGCATCGTGGAACAATAAGGATTGTGTGTAATAATGTGTGCCGCCGACCAGAATGGGCAACCGGCCTCGTGCTCGGATCTCGCTGATTCTGGCAAGCGCATTCGAGACGAAGTTGCCCACAGTCCAGGTCTCTTCGTTCAAGCCTATACATCCAAGAAGATGGTGAGGAATGCCATCACGTTCATCGTCGGGCATCTTGTTCGTGATGACTGGCAAGCCCTCATAGAGTTGCATGGCATCACCATTGATGATTTCACCATTAAATTTACGAGCAATGTTCACGGCCAGNCTATTTGAAATATGAGTTGATGCGTTCCTTCTTTTTTTGCGAAATTTCTTGGATGTACCAAAAGTGTCCAGACTCACCTCAGACTTGCCTGTGCCCGTGGCACCGACCACTGCGACCAGCGGCGCCCGCCCTGTAATGTTGGTCATGCTAGAAAATCGACAAACGGTTCTTCTCAACATCAAACCGATGTTGACATATTGATTTGCGCTCTGAATCGAACAAAGATTTGAACGCCTGGGAAGCGTAAAAGCACGTGACCGTCACGACCCATCCACCTCACTTTCTTCCATTCTTCGTTTCCATGATTCATCATACATCTTTGAATATCCAATTCTACGTGAAACGAAATGGCACCTACTGAACGTCTCTCACCAAAGGTGGATGTCAACAACCTGACATTCGCATTCCCGGATGGCAGTACTGGTCTTCAAAAGGTCGCTCTGGAGCTACCCGCAAACAGCAGGACCCTGCTGATCGGTGGTATGTGATGCTGTTCGAGACGTGCTTGTTGCCTTGTTCTAACAGAAGCTGTAGCCAATGGTGCTGGAAAGACTACTCTGCTTAGACTTTTGTCTGGAAAGCGCATGGCACCGAAAGGAACCGTCAGCATTGCAGGCATTGACCCCTTCGCCGAAGGTCTCGAGGGTGTGACGTATTTGGGCATGGAATGGACCTTGAACTCCATCACCCGTACAGACATTGATGTACCGACGCTGCTATCATCGATAGGCGGTGATGCCTACCCCGATCGAAGAGACGAGTTGGTCAAGATCCTGGACGTGGATTTGAAATGGCGTCTCCATGCCGTTTCTGACGGTGAGAGAAGACGTGTGCAACTGTGCATGGGATTGATCAGACCATGGACCGTCCTTTTGCTGGATGAGATCACGGTAGATCTAGATCTTCTTTCTCGCTACAACTTCTTGCAGTTCCTGAAGAGAGAGACAGAGGCTCGCCCTTGCACCATTGTTTACGCAACGCACATTCTGGACAACTTGGCCGACTGGCCTACACATCTGGTCCATATGTCTCTCGGCAAAGTGAGACAGTGGGGTGCCATGGAGTCTTTCAACGTCCAAGGCGCCGAAGGTGGTCGTACTGGTAACAGTCTTTTGGGAGAGCTTGTTTTGGAATGGCTGCGTGAGGACCTCGCAGAACGTGGCCCGCGTAATGGACAGCAATCAGAGAGCAAGACATATGACACGCATGAGGGCAAAGGCGGATATGGCCAGCTGAAGGCACCTCCGCGCGAAGCTTAGGCAGTTTTTCAATATGATCGGAAGACGGGACGAAGATAGCGGAACAGGCGGCCAATTCAACATAGAGGCATATTTCGGAATGAGTAGATATGATACTGGGATACACGTTGGCAGATGTTCTGAAGAGATGAAAGTGCTTTTAATTATCATTGCGCTGTTGAAGCAATGAGTGTAACGATGACCCGAAATCTAGTTGATTATCCCTTGAACTCCTTGCTAGTAGACCTGGTTTGTCAAACGCCTCGCTCGACAAGCTTTTATCCCAAACGCCAGTTCCGCTTGCTAAATCGAAGCTTCGACCATAACTCGTTGCAGTTGGGTATAGTGTGCAGTAGAAGAAAAGAAGGGAGGAAAAGAAAATGCTCGTCGTGGAAAGAAACGAAAAGTGCTCATGAAAGGTGGAGGTGGTCCACATCCTCGTTAAGTTCGGATCCGTCGTAGTTGTCGATTTCGATGCGATAGCTTGGAGGGCTATCGGGAATGTCCTCGTAGAGCGGGGGCTGCTCATCCTCCCAAGCGATGCCCATACCGCTACGCTCAGTAACGTTGATGTTGAACTGTGTGCGCAGGACTCTAGCAGCGCCAGTGGGGGTTGCTTGGTTGGGCTTCTTGTTGGGGGCCCACTCTTCGGCAATAACCAGCTCCAAGACCATGACGTGGTTGATCTTGAGGCCAGAAGGGCTGTCGACGTCGCATTGAGGCTTCAAGCCGCTGTCGATGGAAGCAGTGAACTCGCCCTCAAGCTGGCCGTCGGCGAAATCCGTCTTCCAGCCCGACTTGAGGTCGTCGCTGCCGATGTCCCTGGTGTGCTCGTGCTGGATGCCTCTTCCCTCACCACCAACTTTGGCCATATGCTTGGGGCATGCTGGTGAGACAAATTTTTCTTGTTCCTCAATGCGCCATGTCAACTTCCTGAGGCGCCATCTGATTTGTGTGTCTTCTTTCTTGGTGGTAATGCCGGACATGCGGGCGTAGACGGGGAAATCGCCAATCGGGTGGATGACTGAAGGCAGAGTGACGTTGAGTGTCAGGTTGGTAGGAGGGAAGATTCTGACCGAGTTCTTGTCGTTTCCAGGGCGAATGGCGCGGTTGATGACAACTGGGCGGACGTACTCTGCGACTTCGCCGTTGACGGTTTCAGCACGAGCGACCAGCTTGTAGTCGATGCTTGCAATGTGTCCGTTGGTCGTGGTGGGGAGGTGGCCGGGAATGAGGTAGCTGAAAGGGAAATCGTGGTTGCCAAGTGCCACCTCGGCATTCTCGCCCAGGAATTTCCATTCTTTGATATCGTTTGACTTGGAAGAGCAGTCCTTGCAGTGGTCTCCCACGGGGCGCTTGGTCCAGGTGGTAGCCCTGAAAGCGAGGGTAAATGACTTGATGGCAGCAGAAGTTGTACCAGTAACGGCGAGTTGCATGCGACCAGAGAAGAGAGATCCCGAGGAATGCTGGGTGCCATCCAGAAACAGGACTGGAGGAGATTCTACAACCATGTCGAGCTTGATGTGTCTTGCGGCTTGACGACTCATACTCGACTCGCGGCTCTTGTCCTTCTTGCTGTCATAAGAGTGGCTCTTGCCAAAGTGGGGTCGTCTGAGATGCTCCATGCTGTCGTGGCGGGAGCCGTCTGATCGTACTGAGGATGCGCTGCGCTTCTTTTCGGGGACGGGTCTGAGCAGAGGTGAAGGAAAGTCGAATCCCAGGATGCGACCGGGCATGATTAGGTGACCGGGTAGCGGGCTACTCAGAGTAGCAAGTTGAAGGTCTTTTGAAAAGACGAAGTCCTGATCCGGGGTAGCGATCGACGTTTGTAGATCTCCCAAGGAAAGAGCTCCGTTGTGGACAAAGAGCGTGCCTGGGGGTGTGTACGGGAAGAATTGACTGAGGGAAACAAAGAGCAGACTCTCCTTTGCTTGTCAGGACTTTCAGCACTTATTATGGAAACTGTAAATAGTCGGGGTGGAAAAACTCTGTCATCATGACTGCTGGGTTTCTGTGACTAAAGTTTGGTCGCGCACGCACTAAAACGACTTGGACCTCATGATCAGAAAGCCACTTTTTCCCAGCTGCTCAGTTGGGCGCATTCGGCTCCCCTTTCTTGCATCGCCTGACTTGTGGCCGAGACTGCCTCTACATCAGCTCACGGCCGTCTCTATCGCCCTTACTAGAGCAGCGCACACTGCCATTATCGCTATCAGTGAAACATGTGCACGCGCAGCTGCTGTCAACGGCCTTCTATCGACCTTTCGAAAAGATGCTCTTCTCTTGGCTGCCGTTGGTAGGGCCTGCCAAAACAGGACCAGACCGATCTGGACAGGTCAGATTTAAGATGTCTAGCTCAGGAGCAACCGTCCATCACACGTTTCGCAACATGCCTTGGGGATCATTGCCGCTTTCTAGGCAATGTTACGCTCAAGACACTTTAACGAATCTATTGCATCTCCGGCGATATCGCTCTGTCTGATGATCCGCTTGGAAGGAATGCCAGCAACACTCGACCCAAGTGGCATCCCCACGTTCAAGCGCTCTTCGTCGGACGCGGAGCCGCGCGCTTGCATTGCATGTGCATCTCGACATGACTCAGACTGAGCCGAACTCGCAATCCACTTCGGCCTACCGTAGTGGAAACATCAATGTCACAATATCAATACATAAACACATCATACAAGAAGCCGATTCAAGGTATGGACTGAGCTGACGCAGGTTTGCCATGATATGATGCGAACCTTGAGATCCATAGATGCGAAACACACAGTTCTGCTATTCATGGGTCGCCTAGTGGACTCGAATTGTACGTTCCTCGCACGTTCCTCGTTGACGAGAAGGAACACGCGTGGAAACAAAAATTTTCCAACCAAGATACAGTTTTCAGAAGATCACCGATCTACCGAGAACTTCTTCAGGGTAAAGAAGCCGTTTGCGCCCTAGAAAGGGAAGGTTTTTTCACCGCTCATTTCCACTCCTTGGGTATGCTTTAAAGCCGACTCGCATCTTTGAATTACAGGACGTGCTTGAGGAGTCCGGTGCTGGCGTGATTTGCGCAGAGCATTGCACGATCTAGAAGCCGTGAAAAAGAATCAGGAGAGTGTGGAGCTTTCCTGCCGAACAACTTAAGCATTGAGCATTTTTGAAGGTCCGGAAGATGTCGCCATGAAGACTATTACATAAAAATTGGCCAAGCTGCTATAGACAAGCTGAGCCAAGCAACCACCACGGTGGATTTTGGGGACAACCGAACATTCAACTGGAGTCAACGGAAAAGCACGCCATGAAGAAGCAGTTGGGGCAACAAACACGATGCAAAAACCATGTCTTCTGGCTTGCACCACAAGATCGTTAAACGAGATGTAGTATCCGAATCAGGAATCTCAATGCGACGCTGTGGATCCGAAAAGGCTCAAGACGAGCCTCCGGCGGCCTCCACGTTTTCTCGAAGGCAAATGCCAATCAAGGAAGGCAACAACATCAAAGAGGAAAAATGCTGTCAATTGACCGAAACACAAGCTGCAGCTCTGAGAACACGCNGCCTTGGTGTGCTAATAGGGCGTGATGGTCCCAGAAATCTCTCCTNNGCAGTTGCCACAGCCGTAGGGCGTCTACGGCNNTACACGTGCGATGGTACTGGCNAATCGCTGGACGTTACAACGAGCTCGNCAAAAATATATCGAAGCAACACGTGGGGCGATGCTGGTCGCCATCGCGTTTTCCGTACAGCTCNNTTCAGCGGCATAGTGTGATGCTCAAGAAGGATGCGAGCGCAGACAGACAGCACGTGTGTCTTCCACCTTTTTAGACCGCGGACTATGGACATTTGAATTGATGTTCATCGTAACGCGGCCTCGGCGGTTTTTCTTGCAGCATCTCATGATACTCTCTGTATGAGCAGGTGGGTCTTTCGTGAAGTTGAAACGCCCACATTGACGCGAGAAGGAGCATCGCGAGCGCACGGCCTATACATCTTTTTGGTCATAATCGCGAGTGCATGTTGGATAATGGTACTCACCTTCCAATGTTCAGGAGGGTTCCTCCATGATCGCATCATATGCACAACAGAAAGCGATGCAAAGTGCACACTCGTCCCATCATCTGCACAATGGACTGACATTGATGCTGCATTGGTCTTTGGCTGTTCCATTTCTTGGTCCATATCAAGTCAGGGTCGCTGCTCTTACACTATTTTTTGTCATCAAGTCTTTGACAGCAAACAACCAGGGAGACATCGTAGCGAGTCTGAGAGAACTGAAGTCCAACTGGCACTATACCTGTGATGGCGGCATTAAGCACTACACGCTGCTTACTCTCAATACGATTGTATAGTTGCAGTCATAAGTTTGATCTTGCAGTATGACTTAGTAAAAGTGTATGCTATAATTGTAACCTAGACATGCTCCAACACAGAAGATAAGAAGACATCGGCACACAGATGCTCATATCGAGAAACAAAAGATAACGGGATGGAGGGAGAGAAGCAAAAGAGATGCAAAACATACAGCAGCAGGGATTCCCACGTGGTCACCCACCGTAGTACTAATCTGCCGTTCAACTGCTTATGTATGGCAGAGCGGACGGGATGCCCAGTTTTCAGCTGACTGTGGCCGTATGTGGCTGGTATACTTTTTCTCGAATTTATATACGTACAAAACCGATTCTGCAAGTGCTACTCCTTGCAAGGGTCGCTGAACAGTTGCGTTTGGCATCATAGCATTGGAGCCCTCCAAAGGACATGTAAGGACATGTGTACAGGTCGGGGTGCCTATCTCAGACAGGCTATCCCCTTCTTGTCCTTTTGTGTGAGAAAGACTGTTATGTTGTAGTCATAAAAACGCACAATGCTTTCCAGACCAAAGTCATGTCCAAGGAGATATCCTGTCTTGGAGTTGTTTCTGCGGGCACATGTATGACTCGGTAAGCAGTCGTGCATCAATAGCATACTATAGTGCTAATTGTGGATGGAAGAAGGATCCACCGTGATAATTGAGCATACGCGGAAGGCATAGTCAGTCGTTGCCATCAGTGTATTATAGACGTGACCTTAGGAAGACTCAGAATTGACCACATAATTCTCTCGAACACTCCTATAGCTTTGATTGACAGTTGATAACTTTTTCTTTTCGATTTCGTCTGTGGGAGTAAAGTAGAGAACAAACGCCATGGCGCCCGCCATATGCTAGTAAAGGTACATACAACATCCAAGAGAGGTTCATAGATATACAGACGGGGTGATCTCTTGACCACCCCTGAGAGGAAAAAGGCTGGGAGATTGAAAAGGGGAAACACATGGTCAGAAAGATCCTCTATTGGCGAGCAGGAGCAAGGTTGGCAGCAGACTTGCCAGTGAATCGCTCGTACTCAGCGTCATCAATCTCCTCAACATCCTCGCTAAGCTCCTCGATTTGACGTGGACGGGCCGCGCGCATTGTGAGGTATTTCCGGCTGGTATTGCGCTGGATCAGTTCCTCAACGGAAGTCGCGGGTTCCTGGTCGACAGGGGCGGCGGTGTGGCGGGCCAAACCAGCGAACTCGTGCTGGACAGCAGCGGGCCATTCAGCAGCGAACTCGGCATCCAGAGGGTTGGTCCATCGAAGGACGACGCCTTCAACAGTGTACAAGGGTGCCGGAACAGCAGAGTTGCGCCCCTTTGACCTGGGACTAAGCTCAGGCGGAGGGTTGGTGAAGATGGTTGGAGGCTCGATTTCCATGCTGATCTGATCCGGGGCGGAACCACGCGCGGCTTGAGCTTCGAGTTGCGTCGCAGCCTTGTCCTGTGCCGACTCGATGGCACGAGTGGCGGCCTGCATCTTCGCGTATCTGAGACGCATCTGCTTCAGAGCGATCAAGCTCTCACCAATCTGCTTGCGCGACGGAGCATCAGCACTGCCCTCCTGCTGCGTCTGTTTCATCTTGTTGATAGCGGCCTCCTGGTCCTTGATGGATTGCTCGAGCAAGGGTATACCACCCTCCTCAGATTCCTTTGCCAAAGCCAGCAGCTCTTCACGGATGCGATTTTGGTTTTCCTCGCGCTTCTGTGACATCTTGACACCCAGCTCTTCTTGGTCGCGCAAGACCCAGGCAAGGTCGGCGATCGAGTTGGCCTTCTGATCCATGATGAGGTGTGCACGCATGTTCTTGTCGGGCATCTTGCGGGCATTGGGGTCGGGGTGTTCCCAGTTGTGTTCGTGAAGCATACGGAGTTCGCGCAGTTTCCGGAAGGCGGCCAGACCTTGTGATGGCGAGGGAAAGGTGGCAGTGAGCAGCGGGCGCCACATATCCTTGCGCAGGGCCGAGGGGAGAGTCTTCTTTCCAGCGAAAGTGAGTTGCTTGAGGACTTGGTTGTTCTGNTTGGGCATTGTTAGGCCTGGGTGGTATAGCAAGTGTAGCAATTGGTAACGCACCTTCATGGAGCGCTCGAGCGAGTAGACGACCTGATTGGTCCATATTTGGTGGTAGACAAACAGATGGCGACCGTGGTCGGCCAGCCGTTTGGCCAGTCGGTCGGCTTTGGACGTCGACATTGTGGTATGCGATGAGACGGGCAACTGGCAATAAATTCGAGTCGCTATGCAATTGAAGACGCGAAATCGACCCCCGGTCTTGGCGCCGTCTTCTCCGCTTCCCGCAGCTGCTGCACCTGTTCATCATCGTCACATGCCGAAACACTGGCATTGAAAGCGTGCATCCCGATTCCAGCTTTCTTTTCAATGGGAATCCCCTGTTGCTAGTCCCTCCTTCCGAGTTTGCACAATGCCAGATGCGGACTCCAATGCCCGGCGGGAGCGACCGTGGCTCATTCCATCTGTATGCCCAAGCCCCCGCACCTTCACCTTCCTGCTTTCAATCAAGCCAAACACAACACGCACCTTCCCTGTTCCTAACACACGTAAACACAGANACAGAAAGGTTCGCCACTTGCAGGCCATAACTCTTCGCAATCTCGCCTTGTCCCACGAAGCAACCCGTCCTCGTCGAGGCACAATTGACGATGAAGCTCTGCCGGCCACCAAGAAGTCACCTGCTAAGATGCTCGCTCTGCGCGATGCCCATACTACCATGAACCATTCAAAATCTTCTGATGACCTTCGCCCCATCCATGAATTTGCCTCACCTCTTTCATCAAGCCCGACAAAACAACGCACCCCTCCTCGTCCCTCGTTTGCCAAGTTGCGCAGGAGAAGCACTCTAGAATGGGCTGCTTCAACCTCACAACAACGCCAGAGACGTCTCCACGATGTCTCTGCCCAAAGAATGGCCGACTTGTTCTACTCTATACACATCCCCAATCAACAAGGTCGGTCAGTGCTGCCGTCCACATCCCACAAGTCCTTCCACTGACACGTCANNCAAGATCCCATCTATGTCAGCGAGGTGGCTGAGAAGGCCATGAACCCCAACTTCAGGAACATCCATTTCGACTCGAACCATACTCAACTTATGAGACTGGACGAGCTGACTCTGAGGTTCTGGGCCAAGAGCGAGTCAATGTCAAATTACTGCTTGTTGATCGACATGACATTGAGCATGCGCTCACTACAGTTCATTGGCAAAAGCGTGAGCTTCTTTTCTGACTTTCCTGCTTGTTTCTTATGCTTATCTTGACCATCCAGTNTGTCGAGCTTTCACCACCCCTTTCCACCCAATTGTGTCGTCTTCCATCTAACCGACGGCTTCTATACCGCATTCACTGATGCTCGAGTCGATGAGCCGTTAGATCCTTTTCAGCATGGCCCTGCAAAGGGTACAACTTCTCGCACCTTGCCTACCTCGTCCTTTGATGCTCTACTACGCCTCTCTAAACTCGATGACAGCGTTCAAGATGCCTTGACTCTGCGAAAACAGCTTGCTTCTGAATTAGAAAAGACGTTGCAAGATAACAGAACATCGCTGGACGAAAAGACGCAACTAGCAGAGACGACCGACTTCCTCAAAACCATTGATTTCGCGACTGCTACGGTCAAAAAGCAGCTAAAAGCACTCGAGCAGAAACGCGACCAGAAGCGCAAAGCTCTTCAGAACCGTAGAGATTTGCTTGCGCGCGATTCTGCATTGCGAAAGGAGGTACTGTCTCAGGTCGAAGCTGGTAAAAACGACGTCTCAGACCTGTCCGTCCAACATACCAGTATAAAGGCGTCCATCACCCAACAACGCCGCCGTATAACCCACGATCTGTCGAAGATCTACCCCATAAACCCTGTGCCGAATCAAAGTCTTGCTTTCACGATCCGTGGAATGCACCTACCCAACTCAGAAGCATTGGATACAGCAACTCTCGAATCTTTAGCTGCCGCTCTAGGTCACGTTAGCCATGTCATCCAGCTCCTCTCACTCTACTTAGGAGCCATTCTGCCATACCCTTGCCGGCCTCGCAGCAGCACATCAACAATTCTAGATCCCATCTCCATCCTCAATACCACAAGCACAACCTCCAAAGCCGTCACTGACGACGCCGCCGCTCGAACCTTTCCTCTCTTTNGCAAAGGCGCTGTACGCTTCCGCTTCGAGTACGGTGTGTTCTTGCTGAACAAGGACATCGAGATATTGTTGTCGACGCATTTTGGTGTCAGGGTGCTGGATATTAGACAGACGTTGCCGAATCTGCTGTACGTGTTTTACTGCGCCACGGCCGGTGACGAGGAGTTGCCCGCGAGGAAAGCCGGTGGTGTTAGGGGTTTGATGAGGATGAAGGCACACGGACGTAATAGTACAGAAGAGGAGGGATGGTAGTGTGTCAAAAAGCGTATCATAACATCTGCATGGCATAGCGTGTGTAGCATATTAGCATTACCGCCGTCCTTTTCGCATGTTCAGTCGAGTCTTTCACGGAGAACTCAAGTAAGACAGGCAAGTATTATGAGAAGATGATTCAATACGATGAGATGATGAGAATGAAAAAAAGAATTCAGACATCCATAAATACGCCTTTTGTTTCCCTGACCTCCTCAATTCCCAGTTCCCAATGCAAGCGAGTGTGATGTGATGATGTATGGACTCTTTTTCTGTTTTTAGATGTCCCCGTTCTCCTTTTCTTCCTTCTCAAATAATCTCTCCTTACAAAAATGAACAAGCAATATCCACAAATCTCCTCTCTCTTCTTTTGATTGTTTTTGTCTTCCCTTGATTCAGTAACGCCAGAGGTTCCCCCATTTGCATACATGATGTTGATTACAGCTTTGTTTTCCAAGATAAGAATTTGATGGTGAGCGATTGAATAAGAAGAAGATGAGGGTTTCGTCGCTTCGTGGGTCGGGTTCGTAAATTTGTTCCAAAGGGGATGGGCACATGGCCATCTTGATATGAGCACACGAATATTTCGGTCGGTTGAGATTCTTCAGACGACAAAGCAGCCTAAGACATGGCGGTGACTGAGGACTCGGCACGGTGGTCGGCATGAGATGCCTGTGTCTCTAGAGCACTGGCCATTACATGGGTAACTACTGTCGGTTAGCTTGAGGAGCTTTGAGGATTTGTGAGGGTCAAACGCTTACCAGGCCAAACAGCCGCCTTCTCAAGCATCTGCGCTGTCATACGCAAGATCCTACTTCCAAGTCCGCACTTTGACAATCCATTGAGTCTGTCCAGGGGTGATGGGAGGCCCATCGTTCCGTTGGGATCTAGAGAATCCATCTCGTGAGCCAGCATCTTAGCTTGCAAGGCCATCTTCTCCTCCATGACGGTACATATACTTTCCATCTTGTTCAATAGCTCCACGTCTTCGGTGTCGAGCAACATAACGGCGGGCACTTGGCCATAATCGACATCAGCCTGGCCCAGCACGCCCACGTAACGACCAATACGTTCTTGAACAGTTGTTTCCCATTCAGCCAGAACTTGAGCGCAGTCAAGGAAGCAGAGAGCTGATTGGATTGGCAATTCATGAGCAGAAGAATCTGCGAACGTCAGGTTGCACTTGGACGAAATGACAAGCGAATCCGCTGCATAGAAAGCTGCTTTGCGCAGGTGACGCTCACGCTTAGAGCTGTGGCCTGACGAATGTGCTTGACCATGTGGATAAGCACCTTGCAANAAGTCGGGCGAGTCCCCAGATGAACCATTGGATGGATGATCAGGAGAACCCATATGTGCGAAGTCGATACCACAAGCTAGCTCTTCTGACATGGCCTCAAAATCGCGCTGCCAGAAGGCCTCTTTTGAGCGTCCAAGATTGACGAAGAGCCTCACAAATGCTAGGTCCAATAGAGGGATGCTATCAGCTGCCAAAGGGCCCAAACCGAAAGGATTTGGTCGCTGCAACTTGTGGCGGTCGTTGGCTTTCCATGCAGCTTGCCACGCGTTCAGGGCGGGTTCGATGTGTGCCACCATGGATTCAGTCTCTTGTGCTGTCCACTGGCGTCCAATGTGTCTGCTTCTCGTCTCCCAGATGTAATTGTGAAGAGCATTGATCAGAACCAAGCACCCGAATGTGCTTGGTCGAAGCTGGCTGCTTACTCCATGAGAGTCACCGTTGGGGCTGTATCTGTTGTAGCCGTACATGTTTTGTTGTCTTTGGTTGGCGGTCAAGAGATCGCTCAGTGCGGCAGAGAATGGCGTAGCACTGGCTTCGGCTGCTTGGGTGCCTCCTCTGGCAGCCCATTCTCGAGCACTATCCGCTGTCCAGAGCTCCTCATCGCAAGGTAGTGCAAGAAGAATCTCGGAGTTGGTGATAGCTGGCGTCTGATTGTACGCAATGACAAGCAGACTGGACAGGATGAAGATGGCGAAAAGCGTTCTCTTGCGCTCTTCTGCTTCCTTCCACTTCAACCATTGCAGGTGGACATTTGTGTGCCCATTGAATGGAGAAGAGCCATCATCCATGTGAACATCTGGCTTTTCATCTTTGGCGTCGCCGAAATTATCTTGGTTTGTGGCTGGATGTGCCAACTCTGCAGCACGAGCAAGACTGACCAATGCTGCGCAATGGTTGCTCGCAATGTCTGCCGCGGTCTTGTCGCCACAATAGTGACCATAGATGACGTTCAGCAGCATTGCCTGAACTAACCACAGCGGTGTGTTGTGCGATGAGCTTTCCGTACTGAAGTACTGACCGCCATTGACAGCTGCAGACATGTCGGCCTTGCGACGCTCTTCAAGATAGAGCTGAATCATCTTTTTCGCGGAATCGAATAACTCTTTGGAAGCCTGGTGGTCGTACTCGTATAGAGCACCAATTGCAGCCATTGCCAAAATCAGGCAACCTCCACCTCCGACTACGCCACTGTGATTGACCGAGGCCTGAGAGCCGGCGCTCCGCAGGTTGGTCATGTATTCAGGCGAATCGAATGACAATGTGGGTATATGAAGGAATGGCAGGTGAGAGTGAAAGTACTGGATGTATGCATTGATGTAACGCTGCAGATCAGCAGTGGGAGGGAGGTTTGGTCCTTGAGGCCTGGGCGATAGAGGTGAGCTGATGGATGGCTGTGAAAACTTTCTGTGGCTGAAGGCAGATTGTTGCGAGAGACTGAGGAGCAAAGCTTGACGAGTTGCGTCTGTGATTGAATCTGTGGAGATGGATGTTACTGAGCTCTGCCTCGCGCTATCTGGTACCGATGACGAGGAGATGCTAGGGCTGTCCGAATCAAAGTTGGAGAGGGAAGTTTGCTGGAATTGGTTGAAATGCATACCACTTAAAGAATCAGACACGCCAGAGTGCATCATGAGAGTGTCCAGCTTGCTATCGGCGATAGAAGACGGATCAAGCAAGTTTTGTGGCGAAACGGTGGTCATTGGAGGATCAATAGATGGAAGTCCTGTGCCAAGGACGTCCAGATTCAATGCTCCAGGAGTCATCAGAGCCTGCATGTCATTGGGGTTCCAACCAGCCTGAGAAACATTGATGTGGAAAGGACCATCCGTCACAGTTTCGGAATAACCACTTTGGCTGGCAGTACTGAACTGGGATGGCGATGACTGATCAATGGCCTCATTGTTGGCATGTGATTGTATTTGCGAATCCCAGTCTCGCATCCAAGCAAAGTCGTCTCCTTGACCAAACAAGTCGAATTGGTTCATGTGGAAGTTCTGGAGATTTACAGGCTGCGGTGCTGTTGAAGCGGCAAAGTGCAGCTGAGCAGGATTCACTGTATTCCCTCCTGGGGTGAAGAGCTGTTCCAACTCGGATGGCTGCATGCCTGTATAGGCCGGCGCGGTGTGAATGTGTGTCAATGGCTCACCAAAGTCTATATGGGAAGTGTGGGTATCAACACGAGAGAGGTCGAAGCCGTCTTGTTGGCCCATACCCGGATGCGCCATACTGTTGATGCCATTGAGATCCAGGTTTGATGGCCGCTGTTGAGCGTTGCTCATGCTCATCCGGTGGTGTGCCATACTGGCATGGGTTTGTCTTTGTGCATCGACCGGAGCGACGACACCCATCAGTCCGAGGGATCCTATGTCCAAATGGCCAAGTGTGCTCGCTCGAGGTCTACCGCCTGCGTTCCCCGCGGCAGCACCAGCATTGGCTATTGAGCCCTTTCTTACACGACCCCCATTGACGGGTCCACTAGTGCTTTCCCGTCTGTTGTTTTTCGGCCGGCTAGAGGGGTTGTTTGTGAAGTGCAGCTTCTGTTGGTGTCGCAGAAGCAGGTCTCGACGGGCGAAACATCTTTTGCATTCCTGGCACTCAAAGGGCTTCTCCTTGGTGTGCGAGCGCTCGTGTCTCTTAAGGTGCTCCAATCTGGCAAACGAACGGCCGCAGGTTCCACAGACGTGTGGTCGAGGTTTGTCCGTCTTTGGGGGAGGGAACTTGGCTTGTGTCTTGGGGGGCTGATTCGAGGGAGCTNNGTAGATATGTTAGCGGATGTCACTCGGAGCCGAGCAGGTGGTTGTACCGTTACCGACGACGGCGGGGTCGGCGCTCGTAGGTGAGATACCATCAGGCGATTGATCCATGGTCGGAAGCTCGGAGAGCATTGGAGGTGTTGACTGGCGAGTTTCCTAGGAGTGCGGCTCCAGGTTGTAGGCAGAGGACACAGGTCCGGAAGAAGAGGGCACGGGGAACGCGCGATGGAATGATGAAACAAGCAAAGGTCAAGAAAGCGGTGTGGAGAGGCCGGTATAGCCGGGATTGAGCTTGAATCAGGATACGACACTCGGGCAGAGTGTAAGTGGAGGCTGGCAGGCAGGAAGAAGGAGGCTATGTTTGGAGGTCAAGCGCGGGGCGTGCCGGGACTTTGGAAGGAGGACAGCAGATCCGGGCACAGAAAGAATAGATTGGTAGATTCGAGCCCGACGCTGCTAGAGTTCGGCCGGCGCAACGGGTGAACGCCTTCCTCAGGGACCTTCCAGAGGCCGGATAGATCCAAATTGGCTTTGGCCGGGAGGGAGCAGATGATGGCCTCGACGCAGTAGGTCAATGTAAGTGTCACTGGAGCTATGTTCAAGAGTTGGTGGTGAGAAGCAGGAAGGGAAGGTATGGTGGGAAAGTGGGATGTTCCTCGAACGAGCAGTGGATTGGGGAAGGCGCGACGGGTTCGGCGGGCGTTGCGCAAGAACCTGGGGTCGGCAAGTTTGGGGAAAGACAAGGAGGCCGGCGGTAATATTGGACAACGCGCTCGGTCCCTTGGAAGTCTTGAGCCACAGCAGTCACTGCACATATGACGGACGGGCGATGCTGGTCTGGCAATTGCTCACGGTAGAACAGGAGCCCTGACGACAACTGACAGCGGTGCTAGCAGCAGCAGCCTTCATGTACAGCAAAGTAGAGCCCAGCGGCGTAGAGTAGCATGATGTGCAAGCGCTCGGACGCGCCTTGGCGACTTGTGCCGCCGTGCGAACCGCTATCCCTGTCCGTCCTAATACCTCTAGCCTCAGCCTGGCCTAGTGCGCTCGAACAGATCCGCTGGCGGAGCCTGGCGCTCGACGACCTCATTCTTGCCGTTAAGTCTCTCTCATGCGTCCGCGGGGCCTGCATGTCGATTATCGGTGCTGTTCGCAAACCGCTGCTTTCCAATCCCACACGTCGCATAACCGAATCCTGCATGCCTATTGATTGTCTGTACATCAGAGGCACGGTCCGGCTCTCACCACGCTGATCCGGCCCACTGCAAACGACTGGCGTTAATGATGGATGCTGCTGATGATGATGATGCTCTACTTCTAGGGGTCATTACGAATCAGCCTTTCTGTGCTCAATGCCCAGAGCAGCCGACCGCTTCACTACGTTATATGACTCCCGGATTCATGGACTAGACCCCTTGCAACACTTCTACTTTATCTCCTACTCTGACTCGGCCTGCCCGAATGCTTACCAAACCATAAATACGCGGTCAATGGGTCTCCCCAGACCATTCGAAATCAGCCGTTGTTATTCTGGCCGAGGCCAGCAAAATCCTGAAGGGTCCTTATGCAGGTGCAAAGATACTTGTTGACATCTCGTGCGTTTATCGGGAGGCCACTTTGGCCATATTGTGGGCGATCTGTGCTGGTGTACTGAGGTACAAGTTTACAATGTGTACGAACTTCCAAGCATCCCAATAGGCCCTTCGAACCAGGTCAAGGCGAGCAGCGAGCCCCATACCTCGCGCCGAAATCGTTGCTTGTCTCTTGCGCTGGCAACGCAGGATATCCCAAGCCACGACTAAAGGCAAGCCCGACTTTTCAAAACGTCACTCACCCTCGGAAATATGACCGAGTATATGGATTGTTCGGCAGTATCCGGACTGCCTATGTATGTCTCTGATCTGGTGGCTGTTTCGTGTGTTTTGTCAAACCATGGTTAAGAATGTGTGTCAGTCTTCGTTAGAGATCGGCCCTCAGCTCAGCCTCCAATACATCATAACTCGCTATATGTGAGTGCTCATGGATGTCAGCAAGCTAAGCGCAGCCAACTCAGCGCCAAAAACATGGAGAACATGGGGCCGTCTGGGGGCGCAATGTCACGCGCACGGGTTTTGCACGATTCATGCGCTTGGACTTGCATCGAATGGGTAAGGAGCGAGCAGCCCTTAGCCACACGCTGCTCCGTGTGCCTCGTCATCCCCAGGCAGCGCTTTCCCCCTTGACTTTGTTGTCTGAATGTCATCAAGCCCTGCCCTCTGGATGCATGAGTCTTGGTTCACGCAAGACATTTCATTAGTCCATTGCATTATCATTGTACAGATCTCATGCCAATTTCTCTGGCAGGTGTTGATCCGATCTATGTGGAGGTGGCTGAACGCCTGCTTGCTCTCGAATCCTCCGAGCAAATTTGACACCTGTGAGTACAACATGAGAACGATGCGGTTCGCGGCTATCAAACCCTCGCACGGCTCGTAGCCATTTCTTGCGTGTCGCGAGTCCTCTTTTCATGAATTTAAAAGGCTTGGTCATCATCAATAGCAATGTACTGCTCTATATTGGCAGTTATAGTTGGGACCTGCACGAGTTTTTCCTTCATACTTGGGGCATCCGCTGTCCCTGCATCCTTCTCGAGACAGGCCCGTTATGGTGACTTGATACCGGACAGATACCTGGATGATATGGAGAGTGATGGCGTCTCTTCTAGCGAACGTGCGTCTAATCTACTCCATACTGCTCATGCGCTTGGAAGTGTGAACGGCTCTACGGGATTGAGATCCACTCTTACACCGAACCAAGAATGCAAGTCTCCTTCGGTATATGCTCTTGATACTTCTTCCAAGGTCCAATAGTAATCCTTCAGACATATTGGAGCATCCAATCGTTTCGCCCTGGCAAATGACTGGCTCAATACAGTCGACCCCAGGAAATAGCGCACGAAACCAGTTGCTTCACTGCTGCAATGCATCCCACTTCGCGTTGTGCGACCAGTGATGTGGCAGATCATCACCCCACTAGCTCTGCAAGGCATCGCCTTCTACACCTCCATCGGCTTGCCTATTCAGGGGCCCAATCATGCATATTGAATAAATGTGCTGCTCTGTAGTTATGCTCAAGACCCTCAGCATGGACAACCCATGCTGCCACAAAAACCAAACACTCTCCGGAGGATCCTTGTTGTACATGCTTTCTCAGCATTGAGCATGCATTCTGAAGAGCGTAACATCGTACGCCCTACCGTACTCGGATTCCATCATCCGGCAAAGACCTTGGCGCATGAATCTGTACAAGCGGTTGAGAGCATGCCACTTTTGCACNNCCTGCAGGACGTGGAACTGCTGATGCCCCTCNNGACATCGTGAGGAAACGTGGATGGAATAGAGGTCGANGAAGACACATCGAGACGACGAATCGAGGTCCTAACCGACTACACGCCGTCACCAAAGAGCATTGCTTGCATCGTACCAGCAGTAAAAAGGCCTCCAGACGACCGGGTACTATCNTGCACGCGCGAAAGACACGACCTCGGGCAACATTTGGTCCCACAGTACGACCGACATGCCTGCGATTTGGGTCCCGAGAGAAGTGCCAGCCAATTGCTTTCAGGCCCAGCAGAGCGCGCNTCTCGCGAAGAGGTCTACGATTATCGGTAAGTCGGCCTTTGAATTGAACAGCTGCATGCGCCTCTCGCGTATCGAGGGCGAGCCGTCCTACTACTGAATGTGCTACCTGCTGCCTCGGTCAGCACTACCTGCAGGAAATGGGTGTGCCGGGAGCCACAACGTCGTGGAATATTGAGAGACGCTCGTCGCAGGTATGTTGGTCATTTGAAGAAGGTTTGCCGGGAGGTGAGACACGTTATGGGATCCCTCAAGCGCTCACGAAGCCGTGATCGGTTCAGTGTATGAACGTGATTTCTTTTGCGATCGACGGCATGGCAATCCGGAAGATTCTTCGAAACCTTTTGAGTGTGAGATCGTCGTTTTAGCGAAAGACGCAAGGCCGAGAGCATGGACGAAGCAAAACGATAAGGCTTAGATACCAGAGCAAAGGAAAGCTGCTACGCTGGGTCGAACAACGGACCTTAGGATAATTGCAGAAACTGCAATCCCACGCTCTACCACTGAGCTACAGCAGCTCATAAAGATTATTGCTTAATATATACAATATAATTTGATGTCGAAGATCCTGCTCAGCTTTTGCGACAATCGATAATCCTGGTCCTTCCATAGGCATAATTCGAAGAAGGTCAACTGCTTTCTTTCACAACTGCACGTAGCAGCATATATGTTTCTGGTGAAGATAGATTTTGCTGCTTCCTGCAAGCGCGGTAGCGAACCATTAAAAGACGCAATATTACGGAACACCTACCGAAGAAGGTCGGGGCTTCATGGTAGTCAACCTCGTAGTCACTCAGTAGCTCGCTTCGTGGTCGAGATCAACCAAACGGTGACGCAGAATGCATGGAAGGACAGTCTTGTCACTTGTGGTATGCAGAAAGCATCCGCCACCCATGTGACACACTCTCATGATTTGTGAACCTCGCGAATCAACCGTCCGCGCACCAGCCGCTGGTTTTGTGGTGGCATTGTTGGCACTTGATCCACATTTGCTGCTACCACGGAATGATTTCCGCACAACATAGACTGCCTGTGGCATACCTGCCTCTTTTGGGCCTGGTATGCATTATGATATTGATGGCGAGCAAGCACGCGTGTGCAATCCGACTGATCAAGAGATTTCTGCCGAGTCACTTGTCAGGCCGGATTGCCAGAGCTCCGAGCGTGGTGTCTAAAATTGAACACAACCGTCAATGACAAAGATCATCGCGGGGAGAAGAGCGTGGGGCAGTGGACCCTTGGGAGAACGACTCGACGAAGCAGTTTGTCAATTTCTGGACAAACCCTCACACACTGTCCCGTCGACATTTGCCTGTACATGCATTCAATAATGAGCAATCACGATGAGATATTCGTCTGTTAAATGGTTATTACGGCTGAGGAAAAGAAAATACCCAGACACCTCACTCGCACACACACACACACACCGAGATTGCGCGCCCGAATGATAGGAGCGAATGACGCTTATCTCTGGCTTCAAACGCCTTATCGCGGCGAAAAGCAGCATGTCTGGCCATGTGATGCGCTCTTCTCCTGGGCATCCAGACGGTTCTTGTCCATTATCAGCAGGTAGCGTTGAATAATGGATTCGTTTGGTTGTTTTTGTCGTCTCGCCCTCAAACGTACTCGTCTTGTGAGCGTCTATCATTCGTATCTTGTCATGGATCCGTATTGAGTCATCTCGCACCATCTATCTTCGCACCACCTCGTGACTCTTCCTTCTTCCATCTCACACGTATTGTATTGTTCATCCTTTTCGCTGTTCGACAGCCTACCTAATCCCCTAACACTCACTCTTGCGACGCCGGTTCCTCCCTGCCACAATGTCATGGCAGGCTCTCACCTTTCAGCCTGAGCTGCCGCTCTATTGCACACCGACAAACGACTTCCTGACCCGCTTCTCGAGTACATTTCACACATGTGTGCCGACTCCTCTGGCTTTCATATCGACACTATTGGGCACCCTCTCTATCGTGTCATGGCTGTTCGCACAGATGCCGCAAATATATAAGAACTACAGGATTAAGAGCACGTCTGGTCTGTCTATCTTCTTCCTAGTAGAGTGGTGTGCAGGAGATGTCAGCAACCTCCTTGGGGCCGTCTTCACGAAGCAGGCAACATGGCAAATGATAGTAGCAGGGTATTATTGCCTTGTAGACTTTATGCTTGTCGCTCAGTGGATTTGGTACGAGCGTCTACGACACGGCTACAGGATTCGACAGATGTGGCCGGACACAGATGGCACTGACCGATCTGGCCGAGGTCAAGAGATGGTCATCGAGGGTATGCCGGCAATGAGTCGTGAGAACACGTTTGAGAGGATCAACAGTCCGGAAAGAAAGAGCTCGGCCAAGGATATCAATACGACTGGTAACGGAAAAGCAAGCATGTGGCGCATGCCAGTCTTTGGGGATGTCGAGAAGTACGGTTCGCCCAGGAGCCCACGTGCCATCAATCGCGTCCAGGCTTCTTCTTCCTTCCAGTCACCGTCTCCTCGCACCGTGCTGCTGTTGGCTTGCTTGATCTCTCTTGCCCACGCATCACCATTGGAGTCTTCCATTCACCATCCTCAACATCACGAGCCTGTTAGCAAAGTTTCGGGTCTGGCGGCCGCTGGTACTGTTTTCTCCTGGCTGTCGACACTCTTATATTTGGGCAGCCGGCTACCACAACTTTACAAGAACTGGGCCAGAAAATCGACTGCAGGCCTTAGTGCTCACCTATTCATCGCCGCGTTCTTTGGAAATCTCTTCTACAGTACTAGCATGCTTACGAACCCTAATCTCTGGGCCGATGCACCTGCTCACGGCTTGCATGGCTGGGTTGAGAGTACACCCAATGTCCGTTATGACTGGCTCATGCGTGCTTTGCCATTCTGGCTTGGTGCGGCCGGTGTGCTTGTCATGGATGCGGCCGTCGGTGTGCAATTCCTCATGTACGGCGAGAGTGAAGATTCGAAGGTTGTCGTACTGGAAGAATCTGGTGTTGAGAACTGGCGCTGGCGAAGAGTTAGTGGCTGGATGCGCGGCTGGGTGCCTAGTTTCGGTGAGCCTGTTGGCAGATCGGACAATGGAAACGAGAGGGACTCTCTGCTTCCTCACACATCGAACCAGGATTACGGAGCTGCTGCTAGAGTATGATGGATGACGGACGGATACATGACGATATACATGGGGGCTACACGTAGAGCTGCAGTGCAGTTCGGCTTGTTGATTGGGCATTTCTATGGCGTTCTCTGGTCTATGATGCTTGGGTATGGGAAGTCGGTCAACGGATACTAGCGGTTTGACGACAATGATATTGATGACTAGCTTAGAGGGTACAACCTACATAGCTTTGATGAAGCATGATTTCTATCCTTCGATTACATCTTCCTCCTTTGAATACTCTGTGCGGCTTAATATACTCACAGAGATCTTCTTATGCTTTGCTCTAGAGATATCGATGATGTGGTTGTTAGACTGATTATTGATGGGCTAGGACATGCTAGGGCGCTTCTTGAGTTTGGATGAATCGTCCGGCTCGTCCCAGTGTCGGTCCTGCTTGTGTCCTCTCACAATATCAGACGACAGCGAAAGTGTACTCGGTTGATCTGATCTTGCAAGCATCCGAGGGCTTCGTACTGGAACGGTGGTGCTTCTTGCCATTGCGAATAGTCCGGATCATCTCGAGCAATAATGCCCTGACATGTTTACCTAGATGCTTGGAAGAAATTGGTTTTCCAACATCATGTACCCACACTGTATCTCAAATTCACCTACTGATATTGGACTGATGACTTGGTTCTTCTTCCCATCCTGACGGATGTTGTGTCAGGCGTTTTCATGGACTCTCTTCAGGTATTATCGGGTTCATAATCGCAATCATACTGATTTATCCTGGAGAAAAAGATCATCAATACGAGTGGCTAAGAGCTGCGTACATGCCTCCACGTTCAATCAGACCAGTGACGCAGAAATTGTTGTCCAGGTCGCATGGCACGGCATGGTGAGGTCCGAATGACCGCTGTGACGAATGAATTGTTGTCATAACAACCGGCTGTATTGTACGGCTCCAAGAACGATAGGATGTCACTGAGCAGAGTTCACTCGCTGGTGAATCAGTTGTGAGAGCATGACTTGCATTAGAGGAAGTTGAGTCCTTCAGACAGGCTGCAACGCTGAGGTTGACAACAAAACCTGGAAGGTTCGACCAGGGTTTCTGATCACATGACTGTCAACATACAGATACTGACTTCGTACAAAGGCAGCAATAACACTCTTGTTGTCCGGGTGAAGTGATAGACTCTCGCAAGGCAAGACGGGTCTGCTCAGAGAAGACGACAGACGCAAAGTCACAAAGCAGAACACACTCGTCTCATCCAGGCATCACAGTAGCAAAAAGCAAGTCGAGGCTAGACTTTCCAGAGCACCTGAGTGGGCATGCTTATCTATGAGCAAGCTTATCTCCTCCAAGCTCCGTGTACGCTCGCTGTCCGTGACAGAATCAAATCACAGGCGCATAACCCGTCGATAGCGGTGAACCAGTCGCTCACCAGAAGAAAGAGGTCAGTGGCAATACAGACAAAGTAAAAAAGGAGGAGGGGAGGGGAGAGGAGGAGTCATCATCTTGTTGCGGTCGTGACCAAAGTCGTGATCGTGTGCCAAAAGAGCGGGTCGCCGCGACGATCAACGTGCTCTGATTGCGGCTTCAGTCTGCATTCGCGAGTTGCATCTCGTCCTACTCCTACTTTCCCTACAACACGACAATCTTGTGAATATACACTACCATAGCCATCGCATCGCCGCCTGCTGCCTCTTATATTCTTTCTTGCGTGTCCATCCTTTGTCGATAACGAGTACCCCGTTTCGCGGAGTCACAATCCAGCACCGTTCGAGACAGGCTTCGCTGCCGACTGACTCGACTCCCATCTGACCCATTCGACCTTCGCCCTTGTCTTTACCGAGTTCGCTTCTGTTCTCACCTTTATACTTCCTGTGCTCGATTGCCGTCGACGTACATTTCTCGTCGAACCCCGTATACCGACGTCGAAAGCCCAAATCGACAGCCCTCGCCCCTCCGTCGAATACCGCTTCCCTTCCTCCAGCGCGCCTCGAACCGTCGACCCCGGATCAGACAGATGCATTGCTAGCCACCTTGCTCCAGGCCCCTCAGTCCAACCACTGCCCTGCCGAGCTACATCAACATGGCGACACATCGCACCTCCACAGGCCACAGCCGTCGTGAGGCCCCAGTCGTCGAGGTCCCTGTTGGTGACTTCATCCGCAAGAATGAGATTGGCAAGGGCAGTTTTGCTACTGTCTATCTCGCCTCTCACAGAGTATGCCGCTCAGATCTTTGCATCTTACATGGTTCTTGTCGCTAACGTACACCACAGAAGCGAAAGTCTTTCGCTGCTATCAAGTCAGTCGTCACAGGAAAGTTGACTGGAAAGTTGAGAGAGAATCTCAACTCCGAGATCAACATCCTGAGGAAGCTCCAGCACCCTCACATCGTTGCCTTGTTTGAATGCGTCGACACGCCACAGCACATCCATCTGGTCATGGAGTACTGTCAAATGTCGGATCTGGCTGCTTTCATGAAGGGTAGGGCCCGGATTGCTTCACTGCCTGAGACGCATGATATCTTTGACAGATACCCAAATGCGACCAACGGTGGTTTGCACGAAGTCCTGGCCCGACACTTCCTCAAGCAGATTGCCAGTGCCCTTCAGTACCTGCGCAAGTACAACCTGATCCATCGCGACATCAAACCGCAGAACTTGTTGCTTAATCCGCCTCCAACGTACATGCAGCAACAGAGACCAGAGGACGTGCCCTTGGCCGCAAGCGAGAATTCCCTCATACCTGCTGTCGGTGTGGCTTCTTTGCCCATGCTGAAGCTTGCCGACTTTGGTTTTGCTCGTCACCTTGCCAGTACTTCGCTGGCCGAAACTCTTTGTGGTTCGCCCCTGTATATGGCCCCGGAAATCTTGGCTTATCAGAAGTACGATGCAAAGGCAGACTTGTGGTCTGTTGGCACCGTGGCCTACGAAATGGTGGCTGGAAGGCCTCCTTTCAAGGCGACGAACCACGTCGAGCTACTTCGCAAGATCGATCAAGCCCAGGACGTGATCCAATTTCCAGCGGGCCTGGTTGTTTCTCGGGAGTTCAAGGACACGATTAAATCTCTTCTGAAGAGGCAACCTACTCAGCGCGTCAGTTTCGACCGTTTCTTCGGAAGCTCCACAATCGTTGGCGATATTCCAGGCCTTGTTGATGAGGACAAACCACGCGTTGCTGATGCATGTGAGTCTGACATTGCCATGTCCGCTTTGAGTCTTCGTTTGCAGCAGCAATCCATCAATAGTCCTGAGCAAGAAATCGACACTGCTGGCAGCGGTCGAGCTACTCGTGATCCCTTCTCAGGCATGACTAGAAGGCCCACAGCTGCGAGCCCCTCGCCGAGCGTCGAACCTACAAAGAGACCTGAGATGCCTATCAACCGTCGTCAAACTGAAGCAGCCGTTCCTTCGGCGATGCCAGCTGACGCAAAGCGCTTTGTCGGCCCAGTGGAACAGAAAAGACCGCCTCTAATCCCAAATGCCACTGCTCCCTCGCGCCAAGAGCTACAGTACGCAGCTCCTATCCACCAGGGCAGGGCTAGTAACCCACGCTACGTTCCATCTCCTAGTTCTTCAGCTCCGCAGACATCACCTATGCATGACAAAATCTCTCGGGAGTCGCGCGACATGAAAACTGCCCATGACTTGACGTTCGAGAAAGAGTATGTTATGGTTGAGAAGAAGGCCGTCGAGGTTAATGCGTTTGCCGATGAGCTCGCAGATCGCAACAGACAGCCTGAAAACCACATGACTCGTCGTTCGACGGTCCCAGGAGTGCCTGGCGCCACTGTCGTGTCGAACGTCATAAAGACAGTCTCTGGCAGGCATGCAAACACGCTACCCGGTCGTCGCCCATCTTTCGACCAACGTGGCCAGGCTCCCACGCCTACAGACTACTTGTCACGAGCGCTGAGCGCAGCCAACAACCGCATACGTCAGGCAATCATCGGACAGCCTCAGGGTATTTCGCCTCCTCAAGGATATGCTGGCTTCCCTGCATCTTCAGCACCCCCTCTGCCGTTGACGATCGGTGACGGAAGAAAATCCCCGAGTAGCGTCGATGAGGACACTCGGATGCTTCAGATTGTGGAGGAAGGTGCGACTCGCAGTGATGTGGTGTATGGCTTCGCCGAAGTCAAATACCGGCAACTGCTCCCCGCCACTCCTTCTGCGGAAGACAGAACCACAATCCGCCAGATCAGTGCCTTGGAACAACCGCTCAACACTGGCGTGGACGTTGACAACCAGGATCTCACCCAAGTTGCCATTGTGGCAGTGGCAGAGGAAGCGTTTGTCCTATACGTCAAGGCCTTGGCCATTCTGGTAAAGACTATCAATCTCGTGAAGTACTGGTGGGATCGTCAACGCAGAATCGACACTCCACCTGGATCGCTCCCATCAAGACTCGGCGATATTAAGCAAAGCTCTCACGACATGAACAAGAAGATGAACAATGTTGTGCAATGGGCTCGCACCCGCTTTAACGAGAGTCTTGAGAAGTCCGAGTTGGTCGGACGCCGATTAATCGAAGCTCAGAAGCAGCTTCCTGCTGATCACCCAGGACACCCCGATAACCACGGCCAGTTGCAGTCTTCGGGTTCCGGCAATACTTTGAGCGCTGCTGTCGATCAAATTCAATTGACCAGCGGCGTCACGGCCGAGAAACTCATGTTCGATCGCGCCGTCGAGATGAGCCGGGCTGCTGCTGTCAACGAGCTCGTGGGAGCCGATTTTGGCGGTTGCGAGCTTAGTTACATCACGTCGATCATGCTCCTAGAAGCCGTTCTCGAGAATGACGATGAGCCCCTGCTTTCGAGACCAAACGCAAACAAGGCTAGAGCGGGCAATGCAATCCTCACCATCAATGGCATGGAATCTGAGGATCGCGATGCGGTTCTCAAATGTAAGTATTCTAAGGACGGCTTGACTCTGGACCTGTACTGACTTTTTCCGTTTANNGTGATTGAAGGCACCCGAGGCAGACTCGATGGTCTTCGTCGTAAACTCAGGCAACAGATCGTGCCGAGACAGACCACCCCAACATCTACGACCAGGCCCATGGCAAGAACATCTTCGTCACCAGGCACAGCTATGGGAACACCACCAAGATAGACAATCGGGACATCAATGTCAGGGCCTTCACCAAAGACAGCCTCTTCAAACGCAGGCTACGAATCATGGGAGTATATTGGGTGACTTTTTCCTTTCTTTCCTTTCGTTCTTCTCGCCGTTCTCGAGGATTTACACACATCTGGGACGTCACGCAAAGGGACCGGGTCGATGACGGCGCAACATGCAGGCAGTTCTTTCGGCTAGAGGACTTTTGGCATCAATTTCATCATGCTGGCGTTCATGGCGGAAGGTCAGGGATGCAGATGGGGAGCACCAGCGGAGCAAGTAAAGTAGCAATAGGGCGCCTCACACAACATAAGGCACTGGCACTCTTTCTTTGCTTCATGGACAGACAGGCACAAGAGGAGAAGGATTTTCGGGCTAAAGACGGAACAAGACGGTCCGGGTTATGATACTTTCACAGGGAGACCTGAGGATGAATTCGTTACAACATGTTCGAGATTGCTTGTCTGTGAAGCTTGTGCTGCTGTTGTTGACGCTCAGGCGGGAAAGGATGGAGTACGCGGCCAATGCGTGGTTTCTCGTATACAAATTGCGATGCGACTTGGTTGTCTGGCTCGTGCCCTCAACCTTATGATGGGATGGAGAGAAGTGCAGTGGCAATGGAGGCAGTGTGAAGAAGGTGGTGAAGGGCATCTGTTTATTAGGTTTTGGCAGGGCTAAAAATGGCGAGTACCTGCAGGCGCGTTGTCAAAGGAGGCACGATCAGGGTTCCTGCTGGCTGCCAAGGGTAGAATACGGCGTTTCAACTTAAGGCAGAGAGAGCCTTTGTCGCTCGAGCCTCAACCGAGCTCAATCTCTTGCTCGTCAACACGATAAACTTGCCGGTGGCCTGGTCACTTCCTTCAGCAGGCCTTTTACTCCGTCCATTCCTTCGCCTTGCTGGTCCATATCACTGCAGACTGCACATCTCGGTGCGACCATTGTCAAGACGACCGTTTCTGGGGAAGGCCCTCGATTTCTACCAACTCCGACACCCTCGTCTGTTTCATCTCGCTCGACTAGCTGTGGTCGGCAGACGTCCATATGACGAGTTTCGCAAATTCTTTTTGGTCGTCCGACCAGAGTTATGCAGGAGGTGTGCTCAATTCGTTCCTTCGTCTGCTCGCGCTAACCCTCCGCCAGNGACTGGGAGTCCTCTTTGGCAAGCTCCAGCAGGGCGTGCAGGAGAATCAGCAGGTCCTGACGATTGCGCGCATGCGAGCCGAAGCCGAAGACCTATACGGCCAACGTCTGGGCGACATCGATGCTGCTACCCTGAAGGTTGAGGGAGGATTCCAGAAAGACGATGGTGCCAGTGTCAAGAAGGTGCGTCGCCGAGTGCTGTGTCCCGCAGAAATGCAGGCAGAAGACGACTAACACAATCAGGCCTTTGAGGGCATGCGCTCCGAGATGAGCGAGGCGGCCAAAAACCACCGCAAGATAGCATCCAACATCCGCGAGCTCGTCGTAAGCCCTTTCGCCCGCTGGTGCGATGCTCACGCTGCTCGAGTACAAAACTCTCAGGACGACCTCCAAGCACGTATCAAGGCCCACGACCGACAGGCCGACCACGTCCGTACCTACCGCAGCCAGTACTACAACAAGTGCCGCCGTGTCGAAGATCTGGACGAAGAAGAGAAGCTGGCCTTTCAGGATCCTCTGAGTGAGGCCGCCCAAAGTCCCAAGCCTGCCTCGCAAATCCCAGTCGTCAAGCTGTCCGAACCTGAAGAGGAGGACGAACCTGAACCCATCGATATCGGTGATCAGACATACACCCCTGAACAAGTCAAGAAGATCCTCAACCACATGCTCGAAACCATCAAGCTGGGCGAGACCAAGGTGCCCATTCTCGGCACATACCACAACGTTTCGACTGGAGCTGATATTACCGATTACATTCAAAAGCACATGAATGGTACGAGCGTTAGCTACGCTGAGCGCATCGGTCAGGATATGGTCGGCCACGGCTTCCTGAGACTGATTGGTAATGTTGGAAGCACCTTTGCAAACAGCAGCCGTATGAACTATCAGTGGCGTCCCAAGGTCTTCCAGATAACCGGACTTCCCGAAAGACGCGGTATGGGCAGATCTGCCACAGTATCATCCGTCAGTTCGATCCCGGACTCGCCTGTTGGTGCTGTTGGCGAACTCTTTTCCGGGTGGAACCCTCTGAGCAATGCTCATCCGGGTGAAACTCCCGCAGCCAAATTGCGTAGGGAAGCTCGCGAGGCCGATGAACGCTACAAGGCCGCCGTAAGGAAACTCGATGCTCTTCGCTGCAACCTCGAGGAAGCCATGGTGGATCATCTCAAATTCATGGAGCGTTGCGAGCTCGACCGTCTCAAAGCCATCAAGAGTGTTATTCTGGATTTCTCCGGAGCCATTAGCAATGTCATCCCTAGCTTGCAAAGTACCGTCGACAACATGATGCTTTTCCAGGAGACTGTTCAGCCGCTGGGCGACTTGCGCTATCTCTTGGAGAATTATAGGACTGGTCCATTCGTGCCCAAAGTCACCATCTACGAGAACTACTACAACAACGTTGATGAGCAGACTTTCGGCATTGACATCGAAGCCCGCGCTCGTGCTGACAGGAAGCGTGTCCCTCTTATTGTTACCACCTTGCTGACTTTCCTCGATAACCATTACCCTGAGCTCGAAGGAGATGAAGCCCGTCGCAGCATCTGGCTCGTGGATGTTCCTTTGGCTGCTACGCACCATCTGCGAAACATTCTCAATACTGGCAAAGACACGGTTTCTCAAGACACGCTGGATCGTTATGAAATCCCTATCGTTGCATCGGTTCTGAAGCTTTATCTACTTGAACTTCCTGACTCTCTGGTATCAGCGCATGTCTATGAGATCATCAAGACGATCTACACAAGCACCGCACCTAATACCTCGGAGACCGCACGCATCTCTGTGATCCAGAGCACGCTCGGCCAACTCAGACTTGCCAACATTGCCACTTTGGATGCCATTACCACCCACTTCACGCGCTTGATTGAGCTGACATCGGCCGACGAAGGATACATCTCAGCCCTGTCCACTACACTTGCGCCCTGCATTCTTCGCCCCAAGCAAGGAAACACCCTTTCGCTGAACGAGAAGTTCAACTACAGGCTTGTACGTGATCTGTTCGCTCACAAGGACACCATCTTTGGAGAGCTTAAGCGTCAGTCGTCATTGACACACACCAACTCCGGTGCCTCGAGGCCTCGTGCTATCAGTACCGACGAGAGCAGACGTCGTGAGCACATGGAAGAGCGGCAACGAGCCATCATCGCTGCTGCCGAAACCCGTGGTCGTGCGTCTAGCCCTTTCAAGTCCACCTTTGGCGGCCCTCTTGGATCCATGCACAAGAGAGACCGCAGCAGCGGTGCCGAGACAAGGTTCCCTGTCACCCCTTCTGCAGCAAGCACACCTACCGACGTCCGTAACGCGAACCGTGGCAGTCTAGAGGTGCCTGGGTCTCCAATCCGCGCCCCTGTCCTGCTGCAGTCGCCACCCAAGGGTAACGGAAGAACCGACTCTATGCCGTCTTCCTCCGACTCTGCAGTATCAGGAGATGCTGCAGCTCCTTTGNCTCGTCAACGCAGTGACACTATCAACTCGGTAGTCATGACTCCTGGCGCTCAAACAGAAGCTCCCGACTATCTCGCCCATGCTCAAGAACAACAGCACGACGAAGAAGCTGGAAGCGATGCCGACTCTATAGCCCCGGAGCCGAGCTCGGGCATCAGCAACAACCGCCAATCTGTCGAGGTCGAGAAGCGCAACTCTCTGAACCGATCGATGGGTCGTGTTGCCCGTAAGGGTACGGCAAGCAGCTTGTCACGCCAGAGCCTGATTGGCAAGCGAGAGAGTGTCGGCAGCGTGGGCACTTCATCATCTGGTGCTGCTGCCGCTGCCGCACCTGCTACCGATCTTGTTGACAGCCCAGTCGACGTTGCAGAGCGTGCAGAGGAAGAGGCATTGGCTCACCGCGGCGTCGAACTCGTGGACAAGCCGATGGATGATGACTAGGAATGATCTCCAAGAACCTTGAAACGAACCGAAACGTGCACACGAGCGTGCTGCTGGACCTCTTTCGTTGTCCTTGTTAGAAATATTGTTTATTCTTGCCTCATTTACCCTTATGGTTTTGTCACCTTTCCCTTCTGTTATTCTCACAGGATATCCACAGCGAGTCATTTACGTATCATTAGCACGCCTGCTCTCTTGACCAGTCAATTAGAATCGCTGTTTTCCATCTTTACATGCTGCTCGCACTTCTTATAGCTGCCAGTAAATCATATATGACGTAGCGAAACGCGTGAATTTCGTGTTTGGAGCTCGACCGTCCGACTTGCTCGATCGGAGTTCTTGACATCTGCAAGCGACATCTGCAAGCGACATCAAGTTGCTCCTACTTGTTGGTTTTCTCTCAAACATGGCCTTCCAACCAGTATCGCCGCCGTCGTTCACCATGACACCTCCGACGCCAGAGTGCAACGTCGAAGTCCGTCCATCAGCGATCGCAGGCAACGGACTCTTCGCAACCAAGGACATACCAACAGGCTCTACGATTCTGCTTAAAGCTCGCCCTTTGATTGGCGAACTGGATTTGGCACGGTCACAGGATTCTTGCGGCAATTGTTTTCTGTTTTCGCAGAAGGCCGTCCGGACATGTCCTATCCATATCACAGAAGCCGATCGCTTGGGTCGGTATCCTGATTGTTCTGGCTGTCAATCCGAGGGCGAAGTATTTGCTGTTAAGGCTTGTACGGGTTGCAAGAAGGTGAAATATTGTAGTAAGGTCGGTTGCATCCAAGCTCAATAGCACTCCTCTTGTTTCTTCTGCCATGTGTTCCAGATATAACCAGAATTTCGCTCATGCGACCTAATTTTTCTACATAGGNTTTGTCAAAAACAGGCTTGGACCAGGTATCACAAACGTGAATGTAAAATCCTCAAAGATCCGAGCCTTCCACCTCTGCCGAGTTCTGTACGAGCTGCACTGCAATTGGCTTGTCTCATGGAAAACGATGCTGTATCTGAGGAAGACAAGGCAGGTGTGCGTCGTCTCGAAGCTCATAATTCGTCTACAATTGAACAGTTCAGAGAAGTCATGCAGTATGAAGTGACTGTTGCGGCGGCAAGAGATCTCTTTGCCCGCATCAGCCCTGATGATCACGATGCACAAAAGATACGCGACTACGTTGGAAAGGTACTTCGTCACCAACGCCGTAGATCATACAATGCTAAAAGAGGACAGGTTCTTCGTAACTCGTTGACACTCACTCTCCCCACTCTGGAACCCATGGGCGTTGCTCTCGATCCAGTCGTATGCTCAGCAAATCATTCTTGCGAGCCGAACGCAAGTGTCCTGTTCGATCAACCCAGACTTATGATGCGCTCCTTGTCGCCGATCAAGAAAGGTCAAGAAGTCTTTATCTCCTATATCGATAACACAGATCCCTTTTACCGAAGACAAGCTCAATTGACGATCCGCTACTGCTTTGAGTGTCAATGCTCCAAATGCCAATCTGGCACTGACGGACGAGAAGACGACTGGGCACAGCCACTGGAGAACCTCGAGGCTAAATGGGCTAGCCTTGCCGAACTCATGGACAGCCACGAGGGTTACTCTTCTGTTCCAGCAAACTTCTTGGGTGAGAGTAAAGCCGAGTGGAACATGTCAGTCATACAAGGTGATGTGTATGCCTCATACGAGCCGATACACAATCAAAGGACAACAAGCNTCGCCACGGAAGCGCTCGAGAATGCCATGCGAATCTGCAAGCAAACGGGTATGTGGCCCATCACAAGACAGCCATACGCAAACGTCCGCGTGGACATCGCTTCTCGCTTGATAGCCGAAAACTGCCTTGCTCTCGCAATGTATCAGATGGCAAAGACGTACTTTCTCATCGACCCTATCTTGTATCCGCAGGAACACCACCCTGTCAGAGTGGTACACACATGGAACCTAGCCAAGGCGCTGGTACAGGCGTATTCTTCGCCCCAAGACCTTCACGAAACCGTCGACCCGGGTGTGGAAGAGCTTTTCCGGATGGGATTTGATTTTGTGGTTCCCATCTGGAAACTTTTAAAGAAGCTTAGTGTGGATGTGCTCAAGAGTCATGGAGCGGGAAGTAACCTTACATTTATGGTACATGCACTTACTCAACAAGTAAGAGATGGAGTTGGCATGCAGAATCTGGTGGAGATCGAAAGAGATCCTTTGGGTGTGTGGGAGAAGTTCAAGGGTTGGGCACATTACTTGGAGTAGTAGGACTTGCTTGTGGAAGGCGGGATGGCGAGATGTCGCTTCTCAGTCGAGACTGCCCTGTTTCTTGGAAGTGTCGTGCTATTCACAGCTATACGCATCACAAGCTTGACGAGGAAGTCGCACCTTCTGCACTTCGCTCAGAAGCTGCCTCCAACTCTGCTGGCTTCGCTTGCCTGCGCAATCTTTCTTTCTTCCCTCACAATCAGAACTTCTCCTCGTTACAACTACCATCAGCATCTCCAGCGCGCTTGACGTTACCATCACTACGCTTCAACAACTGTTAGCAACGCACACTGCCGCTCTTGCCGCCGTCGCACCATCTGCAGCTGCATCACTCACCATGGCCAAGAAGAAGATCAAGGTCAAGCGTTTGGTCAAGCGTAGACTCGAAATCAGGTTTGCTTCGAGTAAGTCGTTGTTGCCCTATCCACTCCTCTGTATCTTGCTGATCTCATGCTCAGCCGGGTAGGCATCACGGTACATTCAAACCAACCATCAACTCGATGACAACGCGATAAGAAGATGGGCTATGAAACGTGCTGCCTCAAAGAAGGGGATCACAAAACCACTGCCAAAGACCGTCACGCTTCTCGACCTACCTCTGGAGCTCCCTTCCATGATCTTCGACTACGTCAATCATGTTGATCGTCCCAAACATCACCGCTACAAGATCCGGGTTGTACCCGATGGCGACTTGATTGACGACATGGTCATCGACCATCCCCGGTTATTGAAAGTTTGCTCGGCCCTTCATTCTGGCCTGTCTTCATACTTCTATTCGACCCGTCTTTTCCACGTCATAGTTCATATGAGATCGACTATCAAAAACAACCACGGCGTCCTGGGTTTACGGCAACTCGAGAACAAGCTTCCAATCTCGTGCAGACTTGTTTCTACCAAGTTGTCCATCCAAATTCATGAGCTGTCAAGAAAAGTCTTCGACTATTCAATCCTCTTACAGATCGCCACAATACTGTATGAGGAGTATCAAACCAAGAGACTTGATTCTGAGAGTGGACCCAAGCTCATGCGACTGCGTTGGCGACTTGGTTGCAGCGATCCAGAATTCGACTGCTCATGTCCGAAGGACTCCATCGCGAGACATGTACGACGGTTGCTGAACGAGATACACAGACAGGCCGCCGAGACCACGACTCAGACGTCCAAGACCTCGCAGGCGTTCAGCTCTTATATAGAAAGATGGCTCAAAATGCAAGAAGGCACCATAGATCGTACATATCGCATCAGGTGGACGCTCGAAACCTGTATGACGGCGACGAACACATATGATCGGCGCTTGGCGTTCGGTTTCTATTACAAGGGTTGTGAATGTTGGTCATCTGACTAGATCATACAAGTGGTAGTCGCTGAATCAGCTATTGTTGTCTTGAGGAGCAGAAGGGAATCATCTTGATTGCTGATCAAAGAAAAACATGGTACAAGGAAGATTGGAGGGTACGATGTCAGTACGCTTGACTCGTGGCTTGCGTTTCCATAGCTCATAAGATCGGTTGCTTCTGTTGCTGCGAACAGTATACTTTGGAGAATAACACAATTGACATTAGAAATTTTGACGGAAGATATATCGTTGAGAGTGAAGTGCTCTTGCCAAAGTAGAGTCTGTCACATTCGCATATTCGTCATCTCTCCCTCCCTCTTTTCACAGCATCACATAAGAATATTGCAAGCTGTGAAGACGCATGAATTTGTTTGACATTAGAGCCTTGTGAAGATTCAGGGAGAGCCATTGAGACGACGTTCTCCATGAACATTGTTCTAGAGAGGATTACTCATTTCATAGATGATGATAAAGTCGGTATGTGTGAGTATGGATATTGTGATGGCATAATGGCTTTCTTGTATTGTTTCATGAGAGCTTCAGCGGTAGAAAATAGCTAAGAAATGGAAAGAAGTCAAAGGTCATATTCTCAAATCAGGTACTGTCGTCGAAAATTTGGGTTGTGCTGAAGCAAAAGCCCGTGTTTGTTCGTAAAAGTGTCATCGATTGGGATCCTGTTTTGTAGTTTCAACGCCGAGTAGTCGATAGGCTTGATAGATTAGTTCTGATCTTGATCATCCACTGCCATTGATCATCGAGTCCTCGGCGGCTTTCTTGGTAAGCAATTCAAGCAGATCATCTTCAGTTATTTGTTCGTCTTCGTCGTGTCTGCTCTTTTTTGTGTTGAGGATCTGACGGAGACCTCCATTCACATCTACGGTCTTGTTGACGCGGGCCTTCTTGGGGGGGAGTCTTCTCAGACTTGGTAGACTCGACGGTCTGGTCCTCGGTGATGGAGTCGTGCTTGCGCTTTCTGGTGGTTGATGACTCGAGAGTCGTACGACGATGTTCGGGTCTCTCGTCGGCTTCTTCGTCTGTAACCTGCTTCACGGGTTCTTCGACTTCCTCGTCATCATCTTCTCCAGCCTCCTCTGCTCTGATCTTCTCTCTGACATTCATCAATGCCACGCCCAGCAAGTTCTGACCCCAACTCTCACGAGAGACCTTTTCCGCACCTGCAGCATTGTACCCAATGCCCCAAGTCTTGTCATCAGCAGAAGCCTCGACAATCAATCGATCCCCAGTCTCCAGCAACACCTTCTTGAACTTTTCGTTCTGTGAGAACTTGAGGTAATTACCACGTTCCACAATACCGACTTTGACTGGATCCCACACTTCATCATTGAAGCCCTTGATCTTGCGGCCTAGAGCCTTTTGAGCCTTGGAAGCGGTTGCGGCTAAGATTTGGGCGGCAATGTCAGGGCTGTTGAAGGTCTGGGCTTTGCCGTGCATCATGTATTGTTCGGCGCATGTGAATTTGACATAGGAATAGCCGGGGTCGGTGAAAGAGCATTTTTGGAATTGAGAGAAGATGCCGTGAGGACGTTCGCGGGTGCTGAAGAAGTAGATTGGCTTTGAAGTGCCTGCGGTAGTGAGAGGAGCCATGATGGAGATGCTTGATGGACGATATGGGGGATGTGTTATAATGGAACGAGGTAAGCTGGTTGATATTGAAAGGACAAGGTAGTGATTGGTGTTAAATACGTGAGGAGAGTTCTGTTGAAAGTGGCAGATGTGAATAGCTTGAAAGGCTGACAAGTATGTGCAGTGTTGAGGTGAAAAAGGAGCGAACAACTTAGATGTGAATATATGACAGCTCACTACTAAATTGTAGTGAGCAAGAAGGAATACCTAGAGAGGTTTAAGGTCTACGGACGGATGGAAGGAAGTGGCTGTCAAGTAGATCCCTCCTTCCCTAGCTATACTTCACTCTGGGTAACACGGAATCTGAATATTGACAGTGAGCAGTTTGGGTGGTTGTTGATATCCGTGAATTATTAGCTCTCCTTACATGGTACTCTACTTCCCAAAATATTGTGCATCTCACAATGAGATATCGGCTGACTTCGACATAAGAGGCCATGCCCCTACCTTCTGAAATAGGTCTGTATTGTAGACTTACATTTGGTAGATAGAGTTTTACTTTCAGTGCCGAGGTTGGTCAGGATCTCGTTCAGATCGTGTCGTATATAAAACTTGGACAACGAAGCAGAAGACTTCGTGGATGAGGTCGCGATGGTATTGTGGCCCGTGCGTCGGTTTCGAAGATGTAGCTCGAGATTCATCCATCGTTTTCGCGCTCCGTCAGACCATATATCAACTTTCTTCAAGCGCGCATCACTCGGCTTTGGGTCAAACACATCGCTGTACCGACTCTATCTATCTGCTCCAATCTGTTTTCCGACAACGCGACAGAACCTAGCGCCACGCGCGCATCCTCACATCTTGCCTATAAACCATGGACTACCAAGTACGTCGTGATCCTCATCCATCTCTCCGATCCCTTACTAACCTCACTCCTCCAGAACCGCGCAGGCTCCAAATTCGGAGGTGGCGGTGTAGCCTCAGCGAGCGCAACAAACGCCGACCGTCGCGAACGCCTCCGCAAACTCGCCCTCGAAACAATCGACCTGGACAAAGACCCCTACATTTTCAAAAACCACGTCGGTAGCTTCGAGTGTCGCCTCTGTTTGACCGTCCACCAGAACGATGGCTCCTATCTCGCGCATACCCAGGGACGCAAGCATCAGACCAACTTGGCCAGACGTGCCGCCAGAGAAGCACAGTTGGGCAAGGATAGAGATCAGAATTTGTCGGGCTTGTCGCAGGTGCAGGTCAAGAGGAATGTGGTCAAAATTGGAAGGCCGGGCTATAAAATCACAAAGACTAGAGATCCATTGACGAGGCAATTGGGTCTGCTGTTCCAGCTGCAGTATCCTGAAATCTCGCAGGATTTTCAGCCCAGGGTCAGATTCATGTCTGCCTTTGAGCAAAAGGTCGAGGAGCCCGACAAGCAGTTCCAGTACTTGCTAGTCGCTGCTGAGCCTTACGAGACGTGTGCGTTCAAGCTTCAGGCTCGCGAAATCGATCGCTCAGAAGGCAAGTACTGGACTTGGTTTGATGAAGACAACAAGGAGTTCTGGGTCCAGGTCACTTTCAAGACCGAGAGAGAGGAGAGATACAGCGGCGTGCCTGGTCTGGCTCCCAGACGTTGATTTTCTTCACATAAGTCACATTTTTTATTAATTCACATAGCGATGGAGTTTGGCGTTTTGAGATCAAGAGAAAGAAATCACACGCAAAAGGGGTATTACGACTGGCTGAGAACTTGTATCATGAGAAAGCAGAAAAAAGTAACAAGAAATGGAAAAATAACAAAAGGAACCCGCTCCAAAACAATAATGACATCGCGTTGTCCACCTAGTTGAACTTCCTAGCAATCATTCCTTCCGTGTTGGTGATGTCGAGGCTCGAGGCGTTGGATCAGGATCAGGATCGCTCGTGTAGTGCGGCCGTGGCGTCCTATCCGTGTCCACGACATTGATGCCGTGTGGCAAGAACAACTCTGGTGGCGTCAATGTAGCTCCCTCCTCTTCAATCGCCGCTTCCTCGTTGCCCGTGAGAGACGCCGTTGCTTTGAGGTTCTGCGTCGCCATGACCTCTTCGTTCGATACAACACTCCCCTGACTGTTTGTACGCAACATCTCGGTACCAAGCTTGGATGCTCCTCGTGTCTTAGACTTGGGCGATCGTGCTCGGATCTGAGCATTGCCCAGCTCTTCATCTTCATCGTCTCCTGATTCCGCACACTCATGTCTTCCCACCTCCAGAGACTTCTTCCTCGCCTCTATTGATTCCGAAGATCGTTGTTTGCGAGGCGAAACTTCTCGTGAGCTCTCGAGTTTTCCTGGTGCAGAGATCTGTTCCGTCAACGCCGGCATCTTAGACTCGGGCGGAGGTTTTGTTCTCGCATGCACTACTTCCTCCGGACTAATTCCTAGTCCGCCAAATTGGCGCTCAAGTTCGGACTCTTGCCAATCGTTGGTATGTCTACTGATAATGACAGGGATCGAGTCATATGGGCTGCCCGTCTCAGGTATTGAACTTGATCCTATCGAGTCCTCTCTGCTGGATCCACGGAAACTGTTGGTGAGCATCCCATAACCAGATATCGAACTAGTTGTTGGACTCTCCTCAGTCAATGGCGGTTCTCGACGTAGGCTCGAGGACGGCATCATGGGCAATTGTGCTGGGGTCCATCCAGGTGGGGGTGGCTTCCATTGGCAAAGCCGGCTCATAACTTCAATCAGTTTTGCAGTGTCCGGAGGCTTCTCGATCAACGCATCAAAGTAGTGCGGTGCCTGAAGCTCCTTGAGATATCCCGTGACCGCAACGATTGGAGTGTGCGAGTTTGCGTTCTTGGTATCTCTTATCATGCGTGCCACGTCTGCTCCGTTAATTTGAGGCAACTTGAACTCCATCATGATAATGTCAAATTTGACTTCGCTCATGGCGTAACGCATTGCTTCAGAACCATCTTGTACAGAAATAGTGCGACAGCGGAGCTTCTCAAGAAGTCTCTCCATGACAAGGCGTGAAACTGGATGATCCTCACAGATCAATACATCTAGTGGTCTGAAAGCAGGTCCCTCAGCTAACGTGATCTGGGAAAGTCTTCTTGTACTCTGCCTTCGGCGTTGCACTCGTAAAAANGCCTTTGCTCGTTGATCTTCGTTATCTGATGACGATGGCGAGGCGTCAAACGCCATACTCCTCCGCTTGTACTGCGATATTGGTCCAGGTGGCATATCATCATCTTGAGAGCCGATGGTGTGTGAACGCTGTCGTGGCGATGATACACTGCCTCTTCTTGCATTTGGCAGTGAAGACTTGTCTAGCATGTAGCCTTGTTGGCCGTTCAAGCTCTTTGGGATTTTGATTGGAGACGAAGCTGCAGACAATGACTTGAACCCGGCGGGTAAGTTGGGAGCATCCAACAAGTTACTGCTCATTTGCAAGCTGTTGATTTGCTGGGCCAACGAAGAAGAGGTTGATGTTTTCCTACGCTCGTGATGGCCTCCTGCACTGAACGACACCAACAAAGGAGATGATGGCTGGGAGCCTCTGCTTGGAGATGAGTTTGTCTTGCTCAAGAGTGAAGGGAAGCAGGTCTGNTTATTTCCTTTGTTTGATGAAAGCGTACGTTTCAGTGGCGCGGATCCTACCGGGCTTGATTCAACAGACGGAGAAGGCGACAGTACCACCGGCGATGGAGATATGAGACCTTGGGCGACCTTGCTCTGAGCTTGCATTGCTTCAGCACGAAGTTTCTGAATGACGTCCTTGTTTGCTTTCTCTAGAACAGGAAGGTTCTTGAACTGGAAGTTTCCAAAGTCATCCGCGGCAACAGGCTCACTTAGTCTTCGACTGCGACCGTCTCTAACGTGTGGAGGTATATGCAATGGCATCAATCCTCGCTTCATTGAGTTGACCTGGTTTCTAACCCTTGACAAGGCGTCGTGAGGTCGTTCTGGATAGTCGGCGCCAGGTGTGTTGGCTGGCGATGAAACCTGATCCTCAAACTCGGCTCTGAAATTTTGTAGTGTAGCACCTCTGGAGTCGAAGTATTCTGTGTCCTCAGGGTTTGCAGGTGCTGGGATGAACGATGCTTCCTCCTCTCGGAGCGTGTCCCACTCAACATCAGCGAACCATGGATGAGCTCTGATCTCATCTCCACCATTTGCAAACTTCTCATCGATATTGGACCCAAGTCTCTCTTTGGCGTCCGAGCACATAAGTCTGTTCATGAGATCCTTGGCTTCTGAAGTTACGGGACAATCTTCGTCGTCGGGCCAGTCAATCTTGCGATCTAGAATGTTCTGGAATACCTGCTCGGGAGTGTCTGCGTGGAAAGGTGGGTAGCCATACAAACACTCAAAGAGAATGCAGCCCAGGGACCACCAATCACTCATCTCGTCTTGGCCACTTCCATTGATCGTTTCTGGAGCGAGGTAGTCTGGTGTACCGACAAATCTTCGCGAACTATCATCAGGGTCGAACAGAGCCATTGGTGGAGGCAGCATGCCAGATTGACCAGGAGGGGTGCCCAGTCCACTCGTGTGGCTCAAAACGGGTTGTAGGGCGTAGGGTTCTGGCGACTCGCCTTCACTAGCAGTCTCTTCTTCAATTGGTGTTCGCCTCTGGTAACCTGAAGATTCGTCCACGATTGAGAAGCGACGGAACATGTTTGCCAAAGCATCGCTCTCTCCACTGTCGCTACGTTGACCAGATGTCCGCCGTGAAGGCTCACGAGAGTCTCCTTTGGTCAAGCTGAAGTAGGATGGCTGACCAAGCTCTCCAGCCAAGGCGGGTGTGAGTCCTGGGGTCGGAGCTGGAGACTGACTGCCATTGAAGTCGAAGGAAGTAGAGCGCGAAGATGCAATAGATGGCGCACGTTTACCCAACTTGAGCAAGTCTGGTGCATCGCCAAGCTTGTTGTTTTGCATTCTCTTTTGACGCCCGATAAGTCCCATCCGGGAGAGACCGAAATCTGTAAGCTTGAGATGACCTTTCTGATCGATGAGAAGATTATCTGGCTTCAAATCGCGATGAACGATTTGTCTGTCATGGAGATGCTGAACGCCCAGTACGACTTCGGCCAAATATTTCTTTGCCCAATCTTCAGGTAATCCACCTAGTGTTTTGACCAACGAAGCACAATCGCCTCCATTCAGGTACTCCATAACAAGATACAAGTAGTCTTTGCTTGCAAAGGTCCAGTAGAGTTTCGCAACAAAGTCACTCTCACCTTGCCACATCATGATCGCTCGTTCAGCCTTGACATTGGTGACTTGGTTTTTGGCAACCATATCAGCCTTCTTGAGGACTTTGATGGCATAATAATCTCCAGTGACCTTCTTCTTGGCAAGATAAACACTGCCAAACGCACCTTTGCTGATAGGCTTGATGACTTCAAAGTCTTTGATAGAGGTTTGTACCGCTCGGGGTTGTGGATTGCTGTTGACGGCACTCAGCCTCGGTGATGATGGTGGGCGGTATGATTCGGAATATTGAGTCGCAGAAGACTGGCGTCGGTGATGGTGATGATGTAACGATTGGGCTCGCAGAATGGGAGACTGGAAATGATGGTCATGAGAGAGTATGGGAGAGGTAAGCGGCGAAGGAGCAGGCTCCCCACCACTGGGTACTCGTGGCTTTGCGACTCGCAGTGGAGAAGAAGGCGCTATACTTCGAGTAGGAGACTGCTGTCTGCTATTGTTTGCTAGACTGGGTAGTACAAGACTTCTTCGTTTGTGTTCACGAGTACTAGCAACCCGGCTAAGAGTCAGTTCAGGAGCTGGTGAGTCTGTTCGCACAGGTATCGAGGCCAACGAGGAACGGACGCTGCTGTCGCTCTCCGCACCAGCATCGCTCTCCGGGGCTAGCATGGCTGCTCTCTTCTGGTGAATCAAAGTACTGAGAGCACTTCCATATGAGCGTGGTGTCCGAGCACCATGGGGACTGTTGGAACGCGAAGATTCACCAGTCGATGAAGGCCTTCGGTACGATGATGCTTCTGGAATGTTACGCAGCGCCATAGTCATGGCTGATGGTGCAAGCGGTGATCCATAGGGATTGATAGAGAAATCCTCTTGCATGCCTTCAGGTAGCCGTGAAGGTGGTCCATCTATATCAGACATGGCATCTCCAATGTGGCTAAACTTGTCTTGATCCTCATTCTCCTCTTCTTCCTCATTCTCTACGTCAGTCGAGGATGATGATTCACTCGAGTCGCTGAGTTCTCCATTGGCTATACGTGCGGCTTTAGCCACGGCTTCGTCAATACACTCTTGTACCAAAATGTGAAACTCGATGCGGAGGCGCTCAGAGTATTCCAGGATACGCCGGTGACGGAAGATGGCTTCAACTTTGGCTTTGCAGAAGCCCGAAGTGTCCTCGGCAAGCAGCGCGAGACCATGTTCGTTGTCCACAGTACTTGTGTTCGGAGGTTGCCACTGCAATACCTGTGATATTCTGCCTTCGGATTGAGGAGACTGGGTCCTGATCTCGCCATCTTGAGAGCTGTCTTTGACAGCGGGCTGACTGATCTCCAGAGCAGTGTCGCAAAGATCGAGAACGAGCTCAACAATTCGAGCCAAAGGACGCCTGACAGCAAAAGAGCGGGCTCTTTGGTGACCTAAGCCGGATCGCGAAGAACTCCGCGGCTTGAGTTGAGGACCTGCAGGTGACGCACGACCAGACGATGGACCAGATGATGGCTGAGAAGCAGGTCCAATGGGATGTCCTTTGTAGTCGCACAGCGGAGTGGGCAGTGGAGAGCCCGAGTCAGAGGGAGCATGGCGAGAATGGCGGGTCTGAACTTCCAAGGCATCCAAAACCTTGACAATGGCAGCACGATGCTCAGTCAAGTTTTCTTGGGCAATCTGGACGTCCATCTCGGCCTTATGCTCCTGCATGCATAACTCAGTATGCTTCTCAAACCACCAAGGGGTTATCTGGCGCTCGCAAATACGGCACAGTACTGGGGGCGGGGGCGGATGATCAGCTGGGTCGTCACTGCCGATCTCGGCCAAATGGGTCAGGTATTGCGCCAAAACATGAGCGCCAATTCCTAGGGACTCTGCAAGGACGTCAGGAAGGTCGATGGTTATCTCGCGATGAACTGCAGGCTTGATCATCCACATGGTCTGCGAACACGTCAGTAGTACTCGTGTGTCGCGCTGTAAGGAACATACATGACTCTCTTCTCCAGTGGCTCTCTCGTATACCATGATGCCTTGGGCTTCAAGATTTACTAGGTGCTCACGAATGTCTTGATCTTCTGGACCAGTAGTGAAAGCCACAAGTTCGGCATGGGGGCTCTCGACAGTAACTTCCAGACTCGCACCAATTGGTAGCTGGTATGCAACTGCGAAGCGAATGATACGGCTCTTTGTATCGTCGTTCCTCATGAGAGCCATGGCATCTGTGAAAATGTTCTTGTGGTCGACAATGATATCCGACATGGTCTTGCCGACTATCGATTCCGGGTCGACCCCGCTGAGATCCTTCCAAGAGGGACTCGCCCAGCGAATAGTTCCGTCCAAGTTGAGGTCCATGATTGCGTTGAGAGACTGTTCGGCAGCTCGTTTAAGATCTTCACGCTCTTCTCGGATGTCCATGCTGACTGTTCTCTCCATAGTACCTCTGTATCCAGTGTCCTTTGTTCCTACAGCCTCCTCTTTCAAAGTGACAACAGCAGGCGGGGCCAGCATTGTCGGGTTTGGCGAGTCGGCCATGATGTTCGTTGTGTAAGTTTAGCGATATGAATCGTTGCAGAGCACCTGCCCGCCAGGGCAGCCCAGTTGAGGCTTCGCTAGATGCGCGATTCGACCATGACCATCGTGACCAGGATCAAGATGGATGCTCCGGCGCTTGTTGGCAGCTCTCTCGCCAGTTGAGAGTCGCTATCGGGTTGCTGAGAGACGCTTCACTTTTTGGCGGCTAGGACGAGGAAGTGAGGTGCGAAGAGCGACTTCAGGCGTATTGGCAGCAGCGGGCGGTGGAGGAGTCCTTAGCTCAGGGAGGCTCGACCGACAACTGCGTGGGTAGTCGGGTGTAGCGATTGACAAGGCGGTGAATTGGTACGGCCCACAGCGAAATTGTTTTGGATGCAGTTGCGACTTGGGAATGGCAATGGCCTTGGACAACGAGGTCGAGTGATAATGACCAACCATTCACCCTGCCCCGCCTCCTCCCGTCCGCTAGCGCTTCTTTTGGATGCTAAGCCTTTGTTTTATTCGGTCGTTCCCGTCCCTATCTCGCGACTCGTGACTTCCTCGCAAGGTGCTAGAGCATGCTCGAGCAATTATTTTGTGTGTGGGTAGTCGACAGCGACAAGGCGTGCCTTCCATTTTCTCTCGTACCTCTGCCTCTACATTCAATCCCTCCATGACGAGCTGAAATTTGCGATTCCTGTATTTCTCGCTATTCGTGACAATCAGCTTACAACACCCTAGTCGAGAGTCTGCTGTGTACCATATAAAGGCATGTGACGGTGCCGTGCATCCAGTTCGTCAATTGCGAACCCATTGACGACGTGCTTCACGACGGAAATTACAACAATTTGCGTACCGCTGCAAAATTCGTAACTCACATCCGCGTCGTGCAGCAAGTTGGACGCATGATTATGCAGCAGCGCCTTCGGTTGCCCCGTCCAACTCGCCCAGGCGCGAGGCGGCATCGGATCCTGAGTAGTCTCGCGCCATGTCTTCTTTATAACATCTCATCGCCGGAAGGTGCGGCAGCGAGTAGCTCCCGAATTTGCGGAGATTGAGATTCGATGCTGGTGGTACAACCCTGGCCGTGGGATACTACCATCCTCACACTCATCTCTACATCGATATCTCTTGATGATTTACTGCATTCGGCTTCACGGTGTCTGACACTTATACTACTGCTCGTTCATGGCTGGTTTATTGCTATGCCGTGTTCCTGAATACCTACCTCTTGGTCTTGATTTAAATACTTTGGCTGTGATACGTTGATGGGAACACAATCATGTCCTGGAGCCAGCGTACTTGGAAGCCAACTTCGAAAACTTGTCAGACCTCTAACAACTCTACGTGTCTACTACAAGGCACTTGTTTTCTTTCCAGAATCACAAGAATAGCCACCAGATACAGCAACATCCGACCATCGAGCTCGAAATACAGAAGCCAAGCATTCAATCGCCAAGCCTCTGACAGATCGATCATGGACCCTCTTTCGCCGATCTCCCAACCTCTTCTTGAGAAACCATCATGGTCCAAAGAAACCGACCTCATGATGTCACTTTATTGAAGCATCGCATCCCCTGCCTCGATGCTTCAAAGAGATCGATGACGATAGAAGTCAAAGCGCAATAGGCTGGGCTGACCCAAACCGCGCTGCTCAAATGTCGCATTATATAACCAGGGTGAAAGACCATGCAATTGATCAGAGCAACACCAACCGTAAGACACTTCCTGAAATCTACTTGCTTGAAAGCAGCTTTTCCAATCCGAACATTCATACCTTCGACTTTCGCAAACATGCCTCCCAAGGACAAGTATACCGACCCTGAGCTTCGTGATGAAGTAAAGGAGGAAATCCACAATGGCGACAAGGGCGGCGCACCAGGACAATGGTCAGCCCGCAAGGCTCAGATGATGGCCTCCGAATACAAGAAGCGTGGTGGTGGTGTAAGTTTCTCCTCCCTCTAAATCGTCAACACCATCACAATCCGCAAATACACCAGCAATTACTGACATATCTTATAGTACACAACCGACAAGAAAGATCAAGACGAGTCGCAAGAACACCTGTCCAAATGGGGAGAAGAAGACTGGCAAACCAAAGACGGCTCAGCCAATGCANAAAACGAAGACGGCACCCAACAACGCTACCTCCCAAAGAAGGCCTGGGAAAACATGAGCGAGCAAGAAAAGAAGGAGACCGACGACAAGAAGCAAGCCGAGAGCAAAGAAGGCAAGCAGCACGTCTCAAACACCGACAAGGCAAAGGAGAGCAGGAAACAAGCCAACGAAGAAGAAGACGAGAAGTTTGAAAAGAAAAAGGCCGAGGAGAAGAAGGAGGGTGATGCAGAAGAAGAGGCACAGGCTGGTGACAAGCGTACCCGCTCCTCCAAGTCTGCCTCTCCCTCAAAGAAGCAAAAGCAGAATGACGGTGCCGCAAAGGAGACTTCTTCGCCCTCAAAGTCGAAGTCCAACGGCAACAGCACCGAGAAAGACTCCAAGGACGACTCAAAGTCTACCTCAAACAGCAAAAATTCCAAGGACGACTCCAAGGACTCACACGGCAAAGCAGCATCCAAAGATCGCCTGCCCAAGAAGGATCAAGAAGTCTACTGGAAAACACTAGGAAACTGGACAAAAGGAACCGTCGTCGAAGTTGCATACGAAGAGAAAGAGGTCGATGGCAAGAAAGTCAAAGCATCGGAGGACGACCCCAGAATTGTCCTGAAAAGCGAGTCTTCCGGCAAGGTTGCCGTGCACAAGCCTGATGCTGTATTCTTCGACTAGAGGAGAAGAAAAGACATATAAATCTGGAAAGGAGATGAGTTTATGTAATAGTATGGCGTGTATGATAGACGAGCAACATTGACAACTGTTTATTTCCAACCCTCCTTCTGAGGTTCGCATCCGGTTCACTACTTCGACACTGCCAGGCCATGAAAAAACATGCTTCTTGTAACCTCAATCAAAGCACTTATTTGGCATGGAAAGTATGACCTGATCTAACGTACACGATTTGCTTGTCGACTCTCAGTATTTGCACCACCATGCCAGCCAGAAAATCAACGACTGCTACTTGCAAATATTATGCATATCCGCACAACTATGCAACACACCTCGACTCGAGCGATGGTTAAGGTCTTTCACCAGTAGTCAGCGCGACCCTGCGTCTTGTTGCTTTGCTCCCATTCTTCCAGCTCAGCCATGTCTTCCTCGCTACCACGCCATCCCTTGTTCTGCACACCGACACCATCCATACGAATGACAACACGATCAATGACGTCCTGGACATTCGACAGCATCTTATCATCAAGCACATCCTTTGCGTTCCAAGCGGCATCATCACCCGTCTTCGTAACCAGATTCTGGTCGAAGAAAGACTTCGATGAGACTGAAAGGTTTGCCTCGAACCAAAACCGTCCAGATGCGATCATCTCAGTCTTCTCCCGAGACGCGAATTGATGAAGCGAGGTGTTGTCCCTCATCCAACCTCTGAACAGATCTTGTACCTCCGTGAGGTGCAGTGTGATGCGGTCGTTATGAATGTGACGGAACGAAAGACGCTTCTTAGTGTAGGCGCTCTCAATCTTCAGGTCACTGGTCACCAGGAAGCGTAGATCGACAAGACGACCGTCTTTGGAGTTACGAACTTCAGCCGATAGCTTCTCCAAGAACTCCATAACTGCCTTGCGGTGCGTATATGGCTTTCGGCCTTTGACAGCAAAGCAAGCATCCCACCTTCGCTTTGGATAGTGGAAGAATGCTTGACCGATTGTAGTAGGAACGAGTTCGACTTGTGTATCGTCAGGACCCTTGACTTTGACGATGAGGCGGTTCTGATATTTGTCCTCGCAGTGGAACTCATACCAATGTTCTTCGACAGTATCCTGATGAAACAGTTGTGGAGTTGGGATCTGGCACGCCTCGACAGTGGATGAGGTCAGCCTCTCGATGAAGTGAAGAGCTGATCCCTGATCCGAAGAGAGGTATTCCTTAATACCTGCTGCCATACGCTTGGAAGACATGGGCCTGGAGGCAGCAAATTCCTTTGCTTCGGGCTCCCTCAAGCCTTCAATTAGAATGCGGCCGATGGAGATCTCCATGTCTAGATGTCCTCTGTATGCTCTGGCACAGTCCAGAATCTGTAATAGATCGTTACTGCACTCTGGCAGAACTAGAGGCTTTGCCTGAGGAGCTGGAGTCGCATGAATAAGATATGCCTTTGGTTGGCTCTGGTCAGGTTTACTGGGTAGCTTGGTCAGCCTAGGGTCCCAGTCCGGAAGATCAAGCTCCACCTTAAAGGATGGGTTGCTGGACTTTCCCTTGACCTTGGACTTGGGTTTGCGATGAGCCGTCGTGTTGAAATAGCGTCGACTGGCGACTTCATCTTCGATCTGGATTCTCTCACTGAAGTCGATGGGCTCGTCAGGCTCAGCGGCCAAAGCCACTTGCGAATATTGGCCTGGCTGAGTCGATAGTCCAGGTGGTGCAACAGGAGTGGATGATCTCAATGACTGCAATTGTTGTACACGAGGTCGGGGAGCCTTTGTCCCAAGAGGAGGGAATGGTTCAGTGTCATCGTTTCCGACATAGCCTGTCACAGGTTGCGCAATGTATTCGACCGGAGCTGGGTGTGCAGTGGTGACGTCCCATGGTGCTCTGGGCAGCCTATCTGCGAATCTAATTCCAGATGCCATCCTAGACTGCAACGACTCGACAGGGCCTGATGAAACGGCGAAACCAAGATCGACAGAGCTAGGAGCAGGGGCGTAGATGGGATTCTCAAGGTGGCTAGCTTGGGATGGGGATGGTNNGGACGGCCCTCGTAGTCGATAAGGAAACTTGACTCTGGACGAACCTCGGCGTCAGTCAGCAAACTCGAGTTCNGGACGACCTTCGGAATCGGTCTCTTCGGGGAACCCAAGATCCTGAACAGGACGCTCAGCGTGCTGTCTAAGGGGTGCTGGTATGGGTCTGAGTGCTTCATTGGCCTTACCGAGATCAAGAGTCTCGATACCGCCACTCAACAGATCGCCATCCTCAGGCGCAGAATCAATGGTACCCTGCACCCACTCCTCGACGGAGTTGTCAACGAAGGTCACTAGGGGNTCGTGCATGCCTTCTCTGGTGAAATGCGGAAGTGGCATGACCGCCCATGTCTGGACCAGTGCTGCGTCGTGAGCGTAGTTGGAAGGCTGGGTACTGAAGACCCGCAGTCGATCGTTGACATCGGGACGCATCAAGCGCACCACACGTTGACGAGGCAGCATGTCTCTGGTTCTCTTTTCGTCCGGAGTCAGTGTTTGCAACAGGGTTCCATCTTTCAGGTGCTGCAGACGATGGAGCTGTAGAAGAGGATCGCGCTCCTTCTCCGTGCGCATAAGATGCGAGTTGAATCGTGGGCGGTGNCTACACCTCGGTCAGTAAAAGGCGTCCTTCCAGCTCTGCTGGTTGAAGCTTACCGAGTTCCGCTCAATGTTGTCCAGCTTCTTGGTGACAGTTTGGACCTTGCTAGCAGTTGCGTCGGCGATCGAGACGCACGCCTTCTCGACACTCATTTCCAAGGAGCACGCAGTGTCCTGGGCAACCTCCTGCAAAACTCGGTCTGGTAGAACAAGGGCGATGTTCGTGCTAGGATTCTTGGGACTCCAGAGGGGCTTGTTCTCGTCTTCGTGATCGGACGAAGAACCGCCGACATCAATGAGAGGTTCGTCAAGCGAAATGTCGTCTTCCCTCAGCAGCTCGTCAAGCTCGTCTTCGGCATTTGCGTTTCCACCCGTCTCGGCCGGGCGAGAGATCTTGGGGTCGCTCATGGCATCCTGAGGACCGCCCTGGTGCTGGTCAATGTAGTCGTTGCACAAGTCCACGAACTTGAAGTAAGCCTGTTCATGACCAGGTTCTGGAAACTCAATGCGGAACATCNNTAGGTCTGGTCAGTGGTGTACGGGAGTGAAAAGAAACGACACGAGAAGTCGTGCCCGGCGTACCTGCTTGTCCGACATGTATGTGCATCTGGCATTGGCGTCTTGAACCATTTCGTCGAACATGGTGATCAGCTCGTCAGGCTCAAGAAACTTCCACACCGTGCTGTACATGAAAGTGCTCGCCATGGTGGGAATGTGAGTGGTGAATTGGATAGCCCTGAGGCGTCAAGATTGACAAGTCCGAGGAGAAATTAATGGTGATAAGAGATCTTGAAGTGATCGCTCAAGTAAGGTGAAGATGTTGGTGTGCAGAAAATGGTCGGACGGGCAATTTTGCAGACGCGGAAAGTGCAGTGCCAGAGATCGTTCGTTTTTCCCCTGTGTTGATTGGGAAGCTGCAAGGACCCGTTCGTTTGCAGATGCCGCCTTGCATGTTCAGACAGGAAGCTCGAGCGGGTTTGCACGATAAAACACTTTTGAGTCGATTGCTCGAATGGTAGGCGCAACCAAACACCTGAAGTCTTTGACGAATGTCAACCCAGCCTCCTATTCAACTCCCCAGCTCACTCTCAGAAGCAGACAGTAGTGTCATCTTGTGTTCATATACCATGAGAAATGATCTGTTGATATCCGTATTATCCCCATTGTCTCCTCCTTTAACGCCTCGCTATGCAGCCATTCGTGAGCAACAATATGTCTGCTAACACTTGATCCTGAGAACAAAGAACCCATGAACACCTCTCGTAAACCCCTGTGTAGTCGGGGAACCCACTCTATACAACATAAACATGCCAGAAGAAATAACTCTTATCCCAAAACATAATTCACTTTTGCAGCCAGCCCCTGAGATGGGTACGAGGTTCAAGACGGTGGTGACGGCGGAGGCGAGTTTACACCGTTCTCGCTGTTGACCTTCTGCATGTTCATGAGCCACTTCATGCGATTCGTGACTTCTTGCATTTCTTCCAGCGTCCTCTCGAGTTCCACCTCGCGGTGACTGATTCCTCCTTTGAGTTCTTTGACGTCTCCAAGGACAAGGTCAACCTCGGAATCTTTCTCTTCCCTGTACTTGTCCGACGCTGCCAGCAGTTCGTTATACAGTTTTCTTGCTTTCTCCGATTCTTGACGCATCTGGTGGTTGACGACGTCTAATTTGGTCAGGCGTTTCCGATCCTCCTCCCTATCGTCACTCAGCTCTCGTAGTTGCTTGTTAGCTGCTGCGATGCGCTGTCGGTATTCAGATGATAGCTGGCGGTGTGAGGTCTCGAGGATTGAGGCGTGTGTAGTTGCGTGTTTGGCCTCTTCGACGGCTTGTTGGACTTCTTTGTTGCTGTGCTCTTGGTACTCGCCCATTTTGCGCTCGGCTTCCTGAACCCGGTGCTCCAAGGACTCTCTCTTCTGTCGCTCAACATCGAGCTCGGCCTTGAGATCTTCGATCTTGCGGTCGCGGCGCTTGATCACGCTCTCGTCCACTGCTTTACAATGCGAGAGTCGTGCGTTCTCGGCTTGAAGAGCTTCCAGCCGGGGCTTTTGTGCATTTGCCGTGCGTTGTAACTCCTCTCTTTTGGCGGCCTCTGCTTTGATCTCTCTTTTGAGTCTGTCGTTCTCGGCCATGAGCTTCTCGATGACACGGCCAGACTTTCCGAGGTTTGCATTTCCGAGGCCCGTGCCGCCAACCCAAGGGGTACTGTCCGAGAGGATTGGAGAGCTCTCCAACAAAGTCGTCGTGGTACTCATATCGTTGCTGGGTGGTTTCGGTGACAACAGGCGTTCTTGTACGCTGTCGCGGGTGTTTGTTGACAGCAGAGGTTGAGCTGTTCGAGGCGACGATAAGGCGGATTCGACCTCTGAAGCGGATGGATGGGGTGCACTGTCGGCAGGAGAGGTCGAGTCAAANGGAGCAAAGTCAGGCATGTTCAATTGAGGAGGTATCGAAAATTGACCATCTNNGCGATTGTAAAATGAGCGAAGAACGTTGCGGCAGTGACGGACACAAAAACAAAGGACCCTGCATTTGAAGCTGCAAGCAAACGCAAGAGCAGCGCCAACTGGAACGTGCTTACCGCCAATAATCTCTCTTTCTTCCTCGACACTTTCCGATGCCTTACGCCCAACATGCTTGAAACGCTGCGACAGATCTCTGAGCGTATTGAGTGACGACTTTCTCCGTCCGAGTCCAGGTTTCTGCGGGTGCTCGTTGGCCATGCTCGCCCACAGCAACGACAAAGGCCAGTGTCAAAGAGTCCGTGTGCACGGAAGAGCAGCAAGGCGGCGCAAACGGTTCCTGCTGTTCCTGCGGTACTTGTGGAGCAAAGCCAAAAGCATCGCGCGCGAAAGTGTGGGATGGCCGCAGACCTTATGCGCCTCGTGTCCACCTTAAAGTCTAAATTAAAAAGGACATTGCGCCGCAGGTAAGAGATACAGCACGTTAGGCCTTCAACGGCCGTCACAAAGACGACACTCACGCATTCAACCATGAACCGCTCCCCTCATTTGGCACTGCCTCAATAGACTATGTATAGCAGCAATCTCGGCGGGCCGTTATCTTAGAATCGATATAGCAATGCGCTCAGCCAAGCTGCTATCTTGATTGTATGTTTGCGTTATATCTATTTGTGATTCTCCTGTTTCTCTGGCAAGCCTGTCTTTCTCAAGGTTCGATGCAACACGAAATATATCCCTGTCCTTGGTGCAGGCTATGTTGTGAGCAAGACATGCTAAAGGCTTGAAGTATCTCCTAACCTAGGTCGCCACTGCCTCTTGTAGTTTTTGAAAGGCTTCTGGTCGGAATTTAGGCATGATTTTTGTCACCAGTGGCCGCGATTCATCATCTGTCAATCCTGTCAGTAAATGTGAAGGAGCAAAGGACGCGTGTAGAAACATACAGTTCTTGTAGAGATCTTCCAAGGCATCGAGTGCCATCTCTCTTGCCGGAGGTCGAAGCAGAATCAGATAGTGTAGCGCTTGAACCGCAAGCTGCACTCTTTCTGGATCCTTTGCAAGCCTGACCACCCGCTTAAGAACATCTTGATTAATGCTGGGAATCTCTGAAAGGAATCTGATGAGAAGTTTGTCCTTGGCGTCCAAGAACGGTACAATTCCGTCGAGGATTTTGAGCATCCACTTCTCATAATGCTCCGGAATATACTCTGCCTCCTCGTTCTGCTGTTTTTGTATGCGATCGTTGTACCATTCCTCGTTGAGCCAAGAGATACCGACATCAATACGCTTTCGGAAGTCATCGACGACGTACAGGTACAGCGAGTCTCGGATAGCATCGTTCAGTGAGAAGCTGCCNCTCGACAAGCTCGCCGACTCAGATTTGAGCTTGTTTTCGTCAAGTCCGGCAGGAGCGCGTGTGGCAAGACGAGTGATGAGGGTAATCCAAGCATCCCGATCGTGGTTGGTTGCTGCCAGACGATTGAAACCGGGTTTCTGTGTTTTGCTCGACGCAGGCTGATCCATTGTGGTTAGCGTACCAAAAACGCGGTTGACGGCCCCTTTGCTGTACTCTACAGTTTGTTCTGTAGTCAGTGGCGGTGGCGGAGGCAGGTTGAATGGTCCCAGAGACACAGGAGCTCTGTCGGATTCAGGAGGAGCTTGATCAAGGTTGTTGGTGATTTGGTCAGTACTCTCAACGCCGGGTTCGTAGTCTTCATCTTCATCGCCCTGGGCAGGGCCAGAGCCCATCACCGTACGAGCGGCACTTGAAGCAGTAGCAGGTCTTGCAGCCAAGGACAAGTATCTCGCCTGAACAGCGTTGATAGCAGCGTCCATTTTGACCTTATCTATGGACTTCAACAATGGTGCCACAATGCTCAAAACAACATTGGAAGGGATCACGTTCACATCAAAGTTCCTCAAGCCTTGGTCGTGCGTAAGAGTAAAAAGCTGGGCAAGACTAACAGGTCCCTGTGGCAGTGGTGGAATCTGAGAAGTAGGGGGACTGGGCTGCGGCATTTGCGCATTAAGACGCTGTCGCTTCGCCTCGGACAGACCATCAGTGGGTTCAGCGGGTGCTGCCCTTTTACGGCTTGACTCATCGAACACATCTACGAGCGTGTGTCTAAGCCTCTCAATGCATTGTTGGATGCGGCCAGCGAGAGAGTGGTTGGGGTTCTTCTTGATGATGTTCAGCAGGAACGCAGTTGTCGTTCGTGTCATAGATCTGATCATGACTTTGTGGGTCGGCGAGACAGGTGTCGTGGTAGCGAGTTTGAAAGGATTGTAGTTGAGAACGGTGGAGATGATCTTGTTGGCGACAGAAGGACGGCTTTTGACCAGAGATCCAAGACTGTTCAAGGTAGCGGTCACAAGCAACGCGTCGGTGCTGTTGTCCTGCAACACGCCTAATAATCTGTCGAGCAGACCTAAGGCTTCGGCCTCCAATGTCGAAGGAGACATTATGGGGTGATCGCGAGGAACCAGAGCAAGAGAAATCTCGTTCTGCTCAGGACGCCTTGGATCTGCGATCAGACCCGGAGTCTGGACCTGAACCACTCTTTGGATGAACTTGACCGAGCAAATATGAATACCAGGAGGAGCGTTGTGCATCCTACGCAGAATGCTCGACTTGATAGCAGCCATCTTCTGCCATGGTGAGGCGTCTTGAGGGTTGGCTACAATATGGCGGAAGACAAAAGGATAAATGCTTGCAGCTGTTTGGACAACGCTCTTGATTACGGCAGTGTCCTCGTTTGGGCGTTCGAGAAAGGCCTTGAGTGTGTCCAGAACCTGTAGACCCAAGTTTTGCTTGTGCTCCTGAGCAAGGACTGGGGATGCGAAGGTTTCGGCGAAGAAGTCAGCGCCCCATCTTCTCAACTCGAGGATGGCATCGGCGCCCACGATTCGAAGGAGGCCAGGAACGACTTGAGGATAGAGGACAGGATCGGCGAGTGCAAGGTTCCGAGCAGCATTCAGCTGCTTGATGGTGTCGGCGACATTGGCTTGAGCAGCCATGGTAGGCGGCGAGAGAGCGGAGGACGCGCCGAAGACGTCACGCAGACGGGGTAGGATGCAACTCGGTGACAGCTACGCTATTGCGACATGAGGTACGTGTGTAGCAGCTTCCACAGCTCTCTACAGAGGATGGGATGGTTTGCTGTCCCGGTGGATGATTGGGAAAAATGGCGACACAGAACACAATGCGATGGGATTGGAATGGGTGGTGAAGCTCTCTTGCTCTCGAGATGGGTTGACGCGCGGGAAAGCAGCGACGACCCTCGCCGGTCGATCTTGGCAGTTTCCGTTCTCGAACATGTGAATCGTGCCTTCCCTTCGCAGACGGTTTGATAAATTCACGACTCGAGCAAACATGCCTATCGGAAAGTACGCACAATCCAGACTTCACTGCAGACTGTCTCCCACTGACGCGATCGCAGGATCCCTCAGTCGTCGTACTACGATAAGTACAACCGGCCCACCGCCGCCCTCTACCGTGCCCGCCAGCCGTACATTGTCAAGAATGCCCTGACTGGCCTGGCCATCTTTGGCTTCGCTATTGGTGTTNTGTCCGTCGCATCTGCCTCTTCTCGTTCTATGCGACCAATCGACTGACCCGCCACCGCAGACTCCTTCACCATCCGCGCCGTCGCCCAGGATGACTTCGAGGATGTCGTCGTTCCCGATGCGCCCGCCACCCCTGGACATGCTCCTCACACCAGCACTGTGAGGCAGGTCGCTCCCAAGTAAACATGGACCGACTTCGACTCAACATCTGTATCACCACATGTACATTCAATCCCGGCATGGAAAAGGCGCAATGGAGTTATGGGAAGCCTGTCTCAAATAGCAGCAGCAGCATTTTTGTTCACACGAGCCACGAACTACAAAGATACAAAAGAAAACATGAATTCGCTGCATGGTATATCTACATCAACACAGTCTCAACGCCAGTGGGAAGGTTACCCTTGAAGGGGTGCTCGCTGGGGACAGCGTTGTCCTTGATCTGCTGCAGCTTCTTTGCATTGGCCTCATGTGCCTCCTTCTCGAACTTGGCAATAACTTGTGACATATCGGCGTAGTGGCCGGCGGGCACGTTGTGAGGGGCTCCGGTGTTAAGGATNCCTGCGGAAAAATCTCGTTAGCATTCCAATTCTTTTCGCGTATTCTTCGTGTGATTGTTCTCGCATTATAGCATCCTCCTCTTGACTTCTTTTCCTGATGCCGTGCTGCTGGGCTAATCATGTCGGACGTACTCGGGGAACTTCAGCGTGACGTTCTGGGCGCGCTGGGTGTTGGCAAACAGGTTGCGGTCTGCAGCAGCCTGCTCAAGGGCGTCGGTGTGAAGAGCGGCGATATGAGCTGCGTCCTTGCGGTAATGGTCGTAGCTGTTGATGACGCGGGTGAGGTACTTGTGCTCGTAGTTGCCCGGGCCAGCGAATTGGTACATGAGGTAGCCGATCGGGATAAGGGACATGGCCATGAAGAATCCGCTCTGTCACTGCCATCAGTCCATTGTCTCTTCTCATCTCCCCACGACACGTACTCCGAGCTTCTCATCTTCTGGGTATTTGATGCTGCCAGCGGCCGGGGCTTCGTGGTGGGCGTGACGTCTTGTTTGCTGGCGAGTGACTGCGCGTGCACTTTGCGCAGCAGTAGCTGCGCTTCTTCTGAAGGCCTGCATGATGTGTGGAGTGTACAAGCCCAATCGCTATGCTAACCAGTCGTCCTCTTGGTCCGACAAGAGTGATGTCGAGTCGTCCTTGGCGCTGTTTTGCCGGCCCGAGCGCGCAAAGCGTGGAGTGATGTCCAATCAGAAGCACTCTGTATATAAATTGAACCACCTTATAGAGATCAAAGAGACGGACAGAAACATACATATGCTTCACTGGATAGTGAACGAGGAATAGACATTGATCGCATTGATCCAAGCAAAATCTCGTCGCGACAAGTGGACTGTAAAATCATAGTCAAGAAATCGACATTTGCAAGCATGAGAAGACAACGCTAAGAATTGTGAGACTAGACACTAAGAGCTGGGAAATCCTTGTTCATATTGGAAACGGTTCATGGTATTCCGATGAAATCTTTGATTGTGCTGACCGAGTTCGTCGCGCATCTAGACGAATAGAACACGACTACTGAGAATGAGCTTTGTCAGACGTGACTTTGCTCAAGCTATTTTGTCAGTCTTCTCTGAACCTGTGCAACTCCAAGGTTCTTGCTGCCGTGAATGGGCGCACTCGTGCTCTCGACAATTGCAAGCCAGACCTCACCACTGCATTGTGGCTTCTGCTCCCAGGTGAATTCCGAGTAGTCTCTGGCAAGCCCGTTCTGTAAGTACCATAGGCACCACGAAACCCCGAGTAGTGTACCGTTCTCGTTTTGTTTTTGTATCAAATCCAAACTCCACGCTTCGAAAAGAGCCGCACTATGCAGTCCAACGCCAATAAGATGCATCCGTTCCAGCAAACTCCAGGAATATCAAGGCTTTGATGGGATTGGTGCGCACGCCAGGATGTGCCGAGTCATCGGGCATGTTGGTAGGTTAGAAAGTTGAGATGAATGGTCTCTCACTGCACAAAGTTCCTCAGCTTCATCATTTCGTCCAGCAGCTCCTGCAGGTCCTCATCAGAAATCTTGCCTTCGAGCGAGGGCACAAGGGTCTTTGCTTCCTCGGCGGAATCGGGGCATAGACTTCCNTTTTGAGACGGTCAGTAAACGAATGTATACTGTAGTAGTCAAGTAAACTCACCGAGCTGGCTGCGCTCGAAGCGCTCAAGCTCGGTGCGAGTCGTGAGCAACTGCTCGACAGCAGTGACGTGCTCCTGCTGCTTGAAGCGGGCAAACAACTCGAGGTACTCCTGGGTCTTGAGAAGAGTCTCGGACTCGGAGACTTTCTGCTTGATGTTGCGCCGGCGCTGCGTAACAGCGTTGATGATGGTACGCGCTTCCGACAAGTTCAGAGCGGGCACCTGCTGGAACTCTCCCAGACGCAGGATCGCCGTGGCCTCTTCATCTCCAGTGGGTGCTCTCTTTGGGCGCGAGATCATATGAGGTGCAGGAGCGGGTGCGCCGGGGTTGGCCATTTTGTCCGGAGTGGTTGACACGGAGGAGATTCGATCGACGACGGAGAGCGACTGGGGGAGTAAGGATACGATGGATCGACGACAATTGTGTGCTGTGCGACGACGACGTGTTGAAGTTGTTCTGGAGTTCAAAGCGCTGGCAACCAGCAACAGGGCTTGGCGCCGGCTTGCATGGATTCACGGCAGAGCCTCGATGAATCACTAACTTCTTCCCATAAGCACAACTCAAGATGACTTCGAGGATACAGTTCATGTCAGACTTACATCTGGAGCGTAATGGCTACGACTATGATATACCTTGCTCTGCACCCCATCTGGCCTTGGTTGGAGATATTGGACGCTTCTGCGACTACGACGACTATGCCGGTTTTCTAAGATCCCAATGCCAGAATTTTGACCAGGTACTACTGATTGCCGGCAACAATGAGTTCTATGGCTCGTCGCGACAAGAGGGACTGGACGCTGCGAACAGGCTAGTGCAAGATCCGACTTTGCAAGGAAAACTGGTATTCTTAAATTGTACTAGAGTGGACCTCGCAGGATCCAATATCACCGTGCTGGGTTGTACCCTGTACTCTCACATCGAACCTGACTGTACCCAGTTGAACAAGGATTTCAAGTGCATCAGAGACTGGAGTGTCCAAGACCATAACAGAGAACATAGACGAGATGTGGATTGGTTGCATTCGTCCCTTCTACAAATTGCTGAGACGGATCCTGGAAGGCAAGTCATCATACTCACTCACCACGCTCCGTCGTTCAAAGACACATGCCATCCCATGCACGAGAACAATGCTGTGAGTCAGTGCTTTTGCAGTAATACACTGGAGGCTTTCAGAACGTGGAAAGGTCACGAGCAAGTGAGCAATTGGATCTTTGGCCATACACACTGGAATGCTCGTTTCGAATGTGGAAACACGATGGTACAAAGTAACTGCCTGCCAAATCAACCTCGCAATCTCTCTTGGTGGCGGAGATTCATAATGTTCAGGCCATTCGATCCATGCACAGTCATCGACAGCGGTCCGGCACGTTCTTTGAGCAATTGGTTATCTATCACATAGGCTACATAGCTTCAACGAGTTCCTGTTTCGTACACTTCAGTTACCTCAAGCCAAGAGAGTCGACCGGGTTTTTCTATAGCTTGCAATATTACTGTGCATCGCCGTGAGAGATCCTTGGATTGTAAAAGCGAGGAGGGTGGAGCAGCGCATCGGACACCAAAATTAGATCGTCACTGTCAGGCAGGGACAGTACGGGGATTTTGCATGGGAATTTCGGCCATTCGGCGGCGTCCATTGGGCAAGTGCCATTCACGCGTGTGGCACGCTCACCAAGCAAGTCAAGCATTCAACGTCAGAGGGAAAGCTGATGCGAGAACATGTCGACGGCTGAGTAAAAGCTAGGGCTCAATACAATGGCAGGCTAGGGTAGTTTAGGAATCTGCATTGGTCGAGGCTAGGTTCTTGTCTAGATTCCTTGTCTCTGGAATTCTCACGAAATAGCACGGCGGGCGTTTGCGAGTCACGACTGGTCGCGTCCTTGGCGCCTGGGGGCTGTTCGAGCATTATTCCACCTTTGGAGCACGTAGTTGAGTATTTACCTACAATCGACCTACGCTGCTGGCCGCCCCACGCAGGCACTCTCTATCTCGACTCTTGGAACAACGTCCCATGCGGTCGCTATCCAGTCTTCCAACGAGCAGGCGCTGCGTCCGCCCCGACTAAACACACAATCGCCCGCCGCCTCCTGACTGTCCGCAACTGGCTGTCCCTAATTTGATGCCATTCTATTCCACACCATCCTGCTCGACGCTTCCACCCAAGTAGCCGCTGCTACCTTACGCTCGCTTTGTTTCCTCTGTTCGCAATTCATCCTAATACACCATGGGTTTACCGACCGACCTCTCCACCCAGCACGACGCTGATGACCATCCCTATCCTTCCGACATCGCTCTTCCACCCTCTCGCACCAACACATTCGAGTCTCCCGGCGAGTCTCCCTCCAGAACTTCCACGGACGCCGAATCTCAGCTTGAATTGGCGACTCGTCACAGACCCAAGCGCAGCCTGGACGTCAAAGACGATCGCCCTACCGATGCCCAAGCCTCACCTTCACGGGACCGCTCTCGACCCAATGGGAAACAATCCAACAGGATATGCGCAAAGTGCGGCGGTCACTTGACTGGCCAGTTCGTGCGCGCTCTGGGCGGCACATACCATCTTGAGTGCTTCACATGCCACGTCCGTATAATTGAAACATGGACCTCGTGCAATTGCTGACTGTTTGTAGNNGACTGTGGTAAAGTCGTCGCTTCCAAATTCTTCCCCGTCCCAGAACAGCCTCCGAATCAATACCCTCTGTGCGAAACAGATTATTTCCGCAGATTGGACCTACTCTGCCATGCATGCGGAGGTGCTCTTCGCGGGTCCTATATCACCGCACTCGATCGCAAATATCATATCGAACATTTTACCTGCTCTGTATGTCCGACTGTCTTTGGCGCCCAGGACAGCTACTACGAGCATGAGGGAAACGTATACTGCCATTACCATTATTCAACAAAGTTCGCTCAGCGCTGCAATGGCTGTCAGACGGCTATTCTCAAACAATTTGTCGAAATCTTCCGCAATGGCCAAAATCAGCATTGGCATCCAGAGTGTTATATGATCCACAAATACTGGAACGTCAGATTGCACCAGGGTGGTTCTGCGGACGACCCTCTGGATTCCGAGGAGAACGCTACAGAGGAGCTGCGAAAGATGGTCAAAGAAAGCGAGGAGAGTGTTGAAGAGAAAGTGCTTTGGATTTGGCGCACGCTCTCTGCCTTCGAAGAGAAATCGGCGACGTGCATCTCTGATATGTTGTTACATGTCAGCAACGGTGCCTATGTTGATGGAGTCATGACGGCTAAGAGGTTCATCACCCATGTCGACCTTCTTNTTTCTGCGGCGGACAATCTAGACCAGGTCTTGCAATCTCACACAGCGAAGGGTGCGTTTCTTTGTTGCGTAGCGTGTTCTGCATATGCTAACCTTTTCANNGGTCTTTCCTATTCGAGAGAAGCCAAACTGCTATGCAAGAAAGTTGTTGCTTTCTTCCAGCTACTCGCCGAATCTCAGGAAACTGGCGTGAGGCGGTTGGGCGTTACCCAAGAGCTTTTATCTCTCGTCACAGGCTTAGCGCATTATCTCAAGCTCCTGATTCGCATCTGTCTGCAAGGCGCTCTAAAGCTAGAGCGCGAAACTGGCAGTCATGAGGGTCTGACTAACTTCTTGGACGAAATTGGCGCTCTTGACGACAGACTCACTGCCGAAGAGGACAAGGATCCAAGAAGCGAGACAGAGAACTTTGTTGCACGATCTGCTGATAACTGCGCCGTCTGCGACAAGTCTGTCGAGGATAAGTGTTTCGTACGCAGGGATAGAAGATTCCATGCTCAATGTCTCACATGCACCAAGTGCTCGAGGCCTCTCGCCGATGATCATGCACTAGCGAGATGGGACGAGTCCTCTCAGAAGCTCTTCTGTGACCGCCATGCTGGAAGCTCGAGTGAGGGTGATCTCATTTTCGTCACCCGTCTTCAGCAGTACGTCCATCTTCTCCGCGTTGCTCATGCAAGGTTACTTGCCACTTTGCGTACAAGCGGCGCTCTGCCTCATACTTCAGGTCCGTTGAGAAGATATCTTACGTTGGATGATATAATTACTCACAGAGCTTNNTCAGATGACCCGAACCTTACAGACTACGACTCCAACCGAGGACATCGTGTCTCGCCAAAGGGGTCTATGGATCCGCCATTGCTTAGATCGAATACCCGCTCCAAGTCATATGCTGGCTCGACCAAACGTGAACACTCACCCTCGTATGAACAAACACTTGGGGATATCCGGAGGTTGCGGTCCACACGCATGGAAAAGAACATCTCAACAACAAACCGCAAGGCTCGTACATCCAGAGTCATCGATGGCCCCGAAGGTCTGCACGGCGATCCGGAAGACAGATTCGAACGCCGCCAGACTGGTAATTTCCAGATCGTCGATGACAGTGAAACCGGTGGATCGCGCAAGTCGCAGCTTCAATTCGGCAACCATGAATCTATGACCCTGGACGATATTCCAAGGATTGTCCAAGCGCAGCAAACGAGAGAGCAAAGACCCAACGCTTCCAAGTTCCATCGTGGTCCCATGATACCTCAGGAACCAAGACCAAAGCTCGTCAACAATGGCCACACACGACACGTCTCGCTCGGTAACGACGACAAGCCAGCTCTCATGGAGGGTGGCGCTTTCAAGACAAAGAAGTACTTCTCCGAACTGTCAGCACTTGAATATTTCATCGTTCGTCACGTAGCCGTACTTTCAATGGAGCCTCTTCTTGAGGGCCATTTCAACCAAGAAGAGTTGCTTGACCTTATTGAGACGAAGAGACCCACATTCTGGGGCAAGTTTGGAAAGGCCTTCAAGCCCGAGACAGGCAAGAAGCCAAAAGGCAACAAGCGGGGCATCTTTGGTGTGTCTCTTGAGCAGCTGGTAGAAAAAGACTACGCAGAATCAACAGATGGCATTGGGCCGGGTGCCTTGCGCATACCCGTTCTTATCCAGGACGCGATATCGGCAATGCGGACAATGGACATGTCTGTCGAGGGAGTTTTTCGCAAGAACGGCAACATCAAGAGACTCAACGACGTCAAAGAAGAGATCGACTCCAAGGAGATGGTCGACGTTGATCTCACGAAAGAAAATCCTGTCCAAGTTGCCGCACTTCTTAAGAAGTTCCTACGAGAGCTGCCGGATCCTCTTATGACATTCAAGCTGCATAAGTTGTGGATAACGTCACAAAGTAAGTTTTCTATGTTGCAAAGTGTTCGTAGACCATCTACTAAACGTAACTTAGGAATCACGGATGAGGAGACACGGCGAAGGGTACTCCACCTTACATGCTGTCTTCTTCCAAAGGCACACAGAGACACAATGGAAGTGTTGTTCAACTTCATGCAATGGGTATCTTCGTTCTCTCACATCGATGAAGAATCTGGCAGCAAGATGGACGTTCACAATCTTGCTACTGTGATGGCGCCCAATATCCTGCACTTGGGCAAGCGCGATGTACCGTTGGATGATAACTTGCTCGCTATTGAGGCGGTGCACTCGCTCATAGAGTACAATGAGTACATGTGCGAGGTAAGTGCTCCGTTCACGTCTCATACACTGAGCAATGAAAGGCTAACATTATTTGTCTAGGTACCGGAAGACCTAGCCCTCATCCTCAACGACTCGACGCTATTCTCGGCCAGCGCCGACATTACGACCAAGGAAATCTTGAAACGATATGGCGATCGTACGAAGGGGCCTTCGACTACACAAGGAGATGTAGCGCCGCCACCTCAGTCTACGACGCCCAAGTCCCGTGAAAGCAGGGGTAGTGCGCCCGTTGTCACTCGTGTTGACACAGATGCCGAACAGGCCAACGCATGGGGCAACGAAGCCAGTGTTCGTCATGTGGCAGCGGACATGCCACCACAACCGCCCTTTGCCATGCATCCAAACAAGTCATCCGAGAGCCAAGGCAGCCCCACCAGGAATGGCAACCGCAACAGCGGATACACTCCAAGACCTATGGGTGTGACATAAACCGAAAAGTCTACTCGGTGGTTGACCACTACTTTTATGCATTGTCTGCTACCGTGCTAGGAGTGGTCATTATTGCTGCTCTTCCTTTGAGAGGCAGTCAGCATCGGAGTCTCCGAGAAATGTCTCTTAGTTGCGATGAGTTCTTGAAAGAGGGGCTACTTGTTTTTTTCTTCTTCTTTCTTCTCTTCTTTTCACCTTTTACCTCTGTTGTCTTGACAAATCTTTTTCTTCTCCTTGTCATCTTTGCCCTTCGTCTCATTCCGTCGTCCGTTTTGAGTATGCGCATTCCCAGCATTGTCATCATCAGCAGTATCGTCACTATCATCGCTCTGGGGGCAAGTCGATAGTTTTAAAGTTCTTTACTTCGTCTTTGATTCGGAAAATAGGCATTGGTCATCAGCACAGGTCCGTATATGGGTCAAGCAAAATGCATTATCATCCATAATCTATATTCTCTGTCCCTGACCTCTTACTCTCGACCATGTCTGCAGGGGTACGTCCTACAAAAATGGTATTCTTGAGCTTCAAATGATGATTGTGCGGGACACCCTGACTACAAAGCCGATAGTGCGCAATATTGGTTGCAAGCGCCAGATATGTCAGGGCGATGGGTACTCAAAGATTCTAAGTGTTTCATGTTGGCTTCTGCCGTATTCCGTATCTTTATGATCAGTAATGAGTATGTGATGTTGGACGAGAGATAGGGCGATGGAGCAAGCCCGATTCCGGAGGCTGACAAACGCCTCGGCTGATGGCGTCAGATTCGAGGACCATGAGTTTTCTACCAGAGCATTGTAATCATACAACCTTGACTTTTCACGTTGGTCAGAGAGACAGGAGGCAGCATGTCGACACCTCGAGCAGCAAGGCAGCTTGCCAATGGGCTGTTCCGACGAACCAACCCTAGAACACGCTTCCTTCCCATCCAACGCAGCATACACAGCACAAGCAAACCGGCCTCGCAAGCAGCCGCTGGCCAACCCATTGTCGAAGCAGAGAGGCCCTCGGAAATACCAGTCGTGAACCCACCGCTCAGCTTCNCCTGTCTGGATGCCTTGGACAAGAAGACCCAGACCTTGACCAACAAGCGATCCTTGTCCGGACCCGAACCGTCGTACGCACCAGGTGCAACTGAGACGTTCCACTACCCCTCGCCGCTCCTGCTGGATTGGGGCGGTGTCTTGCCGTCCTTCGATATCGCATACGAGACATGGGGCAAGCTCAATGCCGACAAGAGCAATGCCATCTTGTTACACACAGGCCTGAGTGCTAGCAGTCATGCAAAGAGCACACCCGCAAATTCCAAGCCTGGCTGGTGGGAAAGGTTTATTGGGCCCGGCGCCCCTGTCGATACCGACAAGTACTTTGTCATCTGCACAAATGTGCTGGGAGGATGCTATGGCAGTACTGGTCCAAGTTCCAAGGACCCCTTGGCCAACGACCAGCCGTACGCTACCCGCTTCCCTATTCTTACCATGCAGGACATGGTGCGCGCACAGTTCCGTCTTCTTGACTGGATGGGCATCGAGAAGCTGTATGCCTCTGTTGGCTCCAGCATGGGTGGCATGCAGAGTCTGGCTGCTTCCGTCCTACACCCCGAACGTGTTGGCAAGCTGGTCAGTATCTCGGGCTGTGCTAGAAGTCACCCTTACAGCGTCGCTATGCGCCATACCCAACGTCAAGGTTCGTCTTTCTATCTCCTCTTCTCTCTTACCACCATTGTTGACCCCGTCGTAGTCCTCATGAACGATCCCGCCTGGTCATCGACACGCGGAAACTACTACTCAGCCATCCCACCCCACGCCGGCATGAAACTCGCTCGCGAGATCGCAACCGTGACCTACCGCAGCGGTCCCGAGTGGGAACTTCGCTTTGGTCGCCGTCGCGCTGACCCCTCGAAACCTCCTGCCCTATGCCCAGACTTCCTGATCGAGACGTATCTCGACCACGCGGGTGAGAAGTGGTGCTTGGAGTACGACGCAAACAGTCTGCTGTACGTCAGTAAAGCGATGGACTTGTTCGACCTAGGCAAGGAACACATGGACATGCTGGAAGGCGTGAGAGCATCCAATGTCCACAAGCTGGACCAATTCGGCGCCGACAAACCCACTCCAAAACCAGAGAGTGGAGCAGCGGATCTGTGTAACTTGACGCTGCCGGATACACCTTATGAGGAACAAGAGTCGACGGCGGAAATCATGAATGAAAATGCCGACATCAAGGCTGCTGCTCAGGACAACGAGCCTCCTGCTGATCTTGTCAAGGGTATGCAGGGATTGAGAGATATCCCTGCTTTGGTGCTGGGTGTGGCTTCTGATATCCTGTTCCCTGCTTGGCAGCAAAGAGAAATTGCTGCTGCGTTGAGGAAGGTGGGAAACAGAAAGGTCACCCATGTTGAGCTTGGCGAGGATAGAAGTTTGTTCGGCCATGACACCTTCCTGCTTGATCTTGAAGGCGTTGGTGGTGAGTTGAAGAGGTTCTTGGGTTAGTCTCACATGGGCAGAGAGCATATAGATATAATATCATGAGCAAAAGCATAACGAAATGTCTTCTTCATCATATACACATTCAATGTTTTAAGAGTGCGTTCTCCTGGTAAGAATATGCATGATGCGCATTTTTTCGTTCATGGTTTGTGGGTATCGTAGTATACTTTGAGCGTCTTCTAGACATCCTCAAACTCCATATCATCTTCGTCAGACTCGGCATTGGCATCGACAGGAGGCGCGACACTGGCCAAGGGCTTAGCATCAGCCTCTTGCTCCGTCTTCACGCGTTTGGCATCTGGACCTTCAGCCTCCTCGACCTTGATGTCTGGTACACTTGCGCCTGGAGGTACGTCTTCAAACTCGTCCTCGTCTTCGTCTTCTTCTTCCTCTTCCTCTTGCAACCTCGCTCTTTCTTGCTCTGCACGGTATGCGGCCCAGTAGTCGTCCATGACGGCATCGTCTCTTCCTGGCGTGCCTCCCAGTTTCTTCTCGTCTGCTGCGTCGTCGACGGAGAGACCTCCGGCATGTGCTTCTCTTTCTCGTTGCTCCCTCAGCTCCTTTGCGCCTGCCGTTGTCATGTCGCCAGAAACCGTCGACCTCGTGAGCCACTCGGGCAGAGCGTTTTGCTTGGCCTCCTTTTCGCGCTTGATCCTTGCAGCCTCTGGATCTGGTTTTGTTGTGATGTCGTCTTCCAATTGCACCTTGACTGTTTCGGGCGCCAGAGCCAGACCCTTGGATCCGGCAATGCTGGGTTTGACCTCTTCTGCGATTCTCGTTGGACGGTCTGGATGCGCGTCTCCTCTGTTGATGGGCAGGTGTAGCGACAAGGCCGTATCAAAGTCGTTTTCTGGTACGTTTGCCTGATCGATCTCGCGGAGCAGGGCTTCGATGGCGGCGACTTGTGTGTTGAGGCGCATTTTGCTTTCATTTTCTTGCAGGTCTTCGTCTACAGGATCGAGAGGGTGTTCGCAGAGATGGCAGAGAAAGCTACCACTCAGGGGATCGATGTTGTCCATGACTTCCAGATCTGTATATTGGCTCTTGCATCTCGGACACTCTAGATCCTTCTTTTCCGTCGTCGGCGCACCCATACTGTCAATGTGTTTGGACAACCGCGACAAACGGTACTTGATAGCATCAATGGCTGGGTGAAAGTGCAACCAGTACCAATCCACATGCTTGACATGTTCTCTACTCTTGAAATTTGGATTCGTCGATGGCGGCGGCGCATCTTCCTTCTTCTCGGCGCGCGTTTGTACGGATATCAGGCCGGCGTCTTTGAGCTTGCCGCATTGCTTCCGTAGCTCTTTCTTGTTGGTGCCTAGACAGTGTGCGAGGTCGGCGTCTGTGAGAGTGCTGTGGATGCCGAGGGCGTCGACGATGAGGACGTCTTCGGTCGAGTAGAATGCTCGCGCTGTTATGCGAAGGAGGTTTTTGGCGAGATCCATGGTTGGTGCTGTGGGTTGTCTGTGTCCTGACAGTCGAGGAGATGAGTGTGCGGCTTGCGTGCCGGATGCTCTTGCTTCTTTACTAAGTATGCATAGATGAAGAGGTGATTTTAGTTCGAATCTTCAACTGGTGTCAGAGGTGATAATTGCAAGGTCGTGTGAATAGTGAACTCAAAGTCGACTTCTTTGTCAAGCTCGAAACAAGCACATACAGATAGCTGACTGGCTGCAAGCTCGATTATAGATGAGGTATATATTGAAGTTATCCCAATATTGTTCATCATCCAATCATACGTCGCAGTGGTTTAGTGGTAAAATTCGTGCTTGCCATGCACGAGCCCCGTGTTCGATTCACGGCTGCGACATCTGTTTTGTCTCTGGCTCTCCATGTCTAGGATGTGAGAGTAAGCCTTTTGTTTTCCGAATATCTAGAGAATAGAGGACGAATGTTGCCACTGGTTTGCTAGATCGCTTGTCGAAACATGGCCGCTGTAACGACAGACTAGACATACGAAGCCAGTTCACTCTTTTGTGCATTTTATCAGGGCCCAATGACCATTCAACTTCAAACTGGATGCGGTTTCTCTGCACATACCAAAGATCATCTGTCTACAACCATGGATCTCAGGAATCTCATAATCCAGCATATCCCTTGTCTACATCTTCCGGTTTGATCTCCTGCTTCACAGCTTCACCATCTCCCTTGCTTTCACCCCATACAACCATTTTCTTGGTCTTCTCATCCCACTTCATGACATCTCCATCGCCAACATTATACCGGTAGTAATTCTCAGTACCTCCCACCACCATCGCTCTCCTGAACGTGATGTTGATCCTGCCGTTCCCGCTTTCTCCACCCTTTCTTTTGGGAATGCTATGCAACCATTTGCTCTGCGTCGAGCCTCTCATCAACACCATATCTCCACTACCCAAAGGCAGTTTCAGAGGTTTCGTCTCTGAAGCAATCACTGTGGCGCTTTTGTTTTCAGAGGGTGGAGTAGGTTTATGCTTCATCAAAAAGTCCCTTTTGGCTCCCAGGCTGAACGATGCGATTGCGGGATCCACGCCGAGAAACCTTTCGTCGTCGCTGTGATAGGATATACTGTCATCACCAGTGGCATAGTAGTTTACGAGGCAGAAGTTGTAGCGTTGGTCTGTCGCTGCTTCTGTGAGTTGGCGCAATAGGTCCAGACATGCGGGTATAGGTCGCGGTTTGCAAGTCTTGTAGCGGTCTTTGGGTATGGGCTTCTTTGTGGTTGCGTCAATGAGCGAGCCATCAGGTGAGAAGGAGGAGGTCTCGTCTACACCGAACACAGTCGTGAAGCGTGGCGTGTTGATATCTGTCTCGATGGGTCCACGCTTGATCTTGTATTTTACACGGTAGAAGAACAGCTCGCTGCGTAGAAACTCGAACAAGGCTGTTGATATCGAACCCGGTACGTATGGTTGGAAGTACAAGAGATCCAGATCCGGTTGGTCGTTTATTACTTTGCCTTCTGCTTCTGGGGCAAAGTTCAGAAGGTCTGTGATCTCCAGTGGCAATTGTGGTATAGCGAACGGATATGTCGAGTGGGTTGACGGCGCATCTTTTGATTCTGTGACAGATGTCTTGGCCTTCTTCTGAGATGGGCTAAAGAAGGTATCCAGAGTTCTTTTCGACATTTTGTTTCTTGTAATGTGGTGTGGTATTGAGTAGGAGAACGATCGCTCGGGAAGACGCGACGTGAACGCGCCAGCATTTCGATGACGTCGATGGGACAAAGAACAAACCTACTCTTGGAAGTGCGCAGTGATAATACCATGCAAGAGTGTACAAGACTGGTGAAATGATTGTCAAAGAAGAACCATAATAGGTGTGAAATTCAAGGTTGGGGTATCTACACGCTTCTCCCATTTCCTGCCCCAACGCCATGAAGCCTTACCAAGCCAAAGATGCTCGAAAGTCCGATACGCCAAAGTCAAGTATTGTAATGCGCCGTGCCCATCGTGAATGCCGTTTATTAACCTAAACCTCTTGTGAGAACGTCTCCGAGTTTTGCTCCTGCAAGCGAATCGTTTGAACTGCTCGCTCAACTTCGGCCGAAGCCACTTCCTGCCATTTCTCGCGGCCATCTTGCGCGGCCAAACCTTCAGCATCGCCGACCTTCTCGTAGAGCATACGAGACACATCCCGGTTAATGTCAGTATACTGGTCCTTGTTTATTTCGCCTCCACGATAACGAGGGCCAAGGACAGCTTTGACCATGCGCTGAATCTCGGTCTTGGTCGAGTAGGACATGTTACGAGATGGAGAACCAGGCGAGATATCTCTCGGAGGGCTGCTGACTTGTTGTTGGAGACGTCGATGTGATCTGCCTCGCTCATCCTTACCGTTCATCGTAGGAGAAAAGGTAGGTGAAGCAAGNGGTCGGACAATAGACGTGAGAGGCATGGGTGAGGTTGGTCTGGGGCGCGCAGGTTGAGGCGGAGGTGTGACGGATAATGCGCGGGGAGAGACTTGGCCAGAGTGGATGGGAGATGCTCCTGGTGAAGCCAGGTTGGATGGTCCGGGCTGCTCGTCGCCAGAATTGGCTTCAGCATCCGGTGTACTTGTTTCTTCAGGTGCTGGCTGTTTCTCTACTTCTTGAAGAAGCTGAGTAAGGAAACTCGGTCCTTCGGTAGGCTTCTGTATCGGGCGCACAGGGACTTCGATAGTAGATGGACCTGGTTCTGCTAGGGTTGGGATCGTCATGTTTCTCTTGGTCCTGGGTCGTTTGAGCTTGCGCGGAGGCTCGGCTTGCTCGCGCTCTGTTGTATTGTCTCGGGGAGACGCCGGAGAGGCAGTAGCGGATCTGCGCTTTCTGCTAGGCGGTGCTTGTGCTTCCGGGTCAAGCGCGCGGGCCTTGTCAAGCGCATTCCAAGCGCGTAGTTCTTCTTGCGACTCTGGCGAGTGTGCGGCGGCAAGGTTCCTTCGGTCCAGTAGGGTGGACGCAGTATCCCTGAAGCGATTTGCACCACCTTGACGACTAGCAACTTGGAGCCTGCGAGTCCAGGCTGCAAGCTCTCTGCGTTGAGCCGGAGTACGATGGATGGTTGTGAGGTCTTCATCTTCATGAGGAAAGTCGAGGTCCAGGTTCAACCGGCGCCAGACGCTTGCCCAGACTCTATCCCATGCTTCTGTACCAGGCCGTCTACCTCCTGCTCTTCTGGGTCTCGAACTCCGTGCCCGCGGGTTGGCTCTGCGACCAGTAGCGTTGGTGCCCAGCTCTCGGTGACAGGACTCGCAGTACCAGACGTCTGGAGCGGTGGCGTCGCTAAAGCCAGCGCAGAAGATATGGACGGTGCCATCACATCCATCGCAATACATGGTTGCGTGGGTGCTGTCGATATTACCACAAACGAGGCATGGAGCGTCTTCGTCGAACAATGAGTCGTCGATGATCAAGGTGGGGTCGACTTCGGCTTGCTGTTGTTTCTCCTCGACAATGTAAGAAGAATGGGCCGGGCCATCGAGAAAGTTGCGTAGTTCGACGACATTGAAGCTTGCGCGACAGATGGGGCAGCTGTTGGCTCGTTCGACCCAAGGTCGCAGGCAGGAGTCATGGAGATTGTGTCCACAGGGGAGTAGGTGAGCGACAATTTCATCGTCTATGGGATGCTTGCTGTATGCATAGTCAGCACTAATTCTGAGTCGAGGTGAAGATGAATCCCCCAGGAGGTCTTCGAAGGCGGGGGAGACGTCACCATCCAAGCTTAAGCGGCGGCACATGCAAGTGTTATCAAGCCGATCAAAGCGATCAAGGAATCGACGGTACCGACGAAGAAGGCTCCGGGGGATCAAAATGCTCGGTGTGGACAGGATCTGGATACCTTTGTTCAGAAGGGAGCACAGGAAGCGGCGCAGTAATCTCGGTCTCGGTCTTGATGGGCTTGACATCTGTCTCGGCACCGACATCCTCGGGGCGGAGGCGCAGGTCGCCCAAGCAGACGATGCACACGTCTGTCATTATCTCGGCGCCCGAAGCAGAGTCGTGTCGAGCTGGGCGAGCATGAAATAATGAGTGAAGGGAAGGGAGAAGGAAGGGGCGAGCTTTATATACTAAGGTATGCGAAACTGCGGAGTGAGGGCGCGTTGCCTTCGGTTCACGTGGAACGGATGACTGGGCGGCTGCTTGATCCGCTTCCAAAATCAACACAAAACGCCTTCAGATCCCAGGCATTAGCTCACGTCGGATCCTTGGATCTAGAGGCTGACTATTAACTGGTTGCTTTCACATGTGCTGCAGTTGGGGAACAAAGAAATCACTTGGAGCGACTGAATGCGCCGATCGTGCAGTCGCAGCCTGTGCCTGCCTTGCAATAGCAAAAATCAAAACATGTTGCGCAACGGCGCGATACTCTGTAGGATAAGTCATGATCGGTGTAACAGGGTTCGTTGATTCATTGCAGTCGATGATTATGGTAGACCGATCGATAAGTTCAGGCGGACTTGAGCGTGACAGTGTGTTTGGGCAGGATGACTGAGTTTCATTTGATCGTTCCCAGGATCCCAGCATGTAGAGAAGCCAGCGTGGATGGGTATTTCCTTCTTAGCTACATCATCCCTTCGTCAAAAGTCCTTGCTGATTTTTTACGCCGCGATTGCCCAATGGAAAAAGAACCTCGAAACGAGAAAACCGAAGATGGATTGCTGTAATAACTTGATGGTCGTTGTTTAAACCTCAGCAATCTCGCGCAGACGACGGATGGTCGAGCGGGTGGCAGCGGCGGCGGGAGTGCTGTGAAGAGCCTTGTGTTAGTCAGGTTGTCCAGAAGGGTGCGGAAGATGCGTCGTCCTGGCGGTCGCGAGAGGGGAAACGTACGAGACGGTGTAAGCGCCACCGGCAACAGTCTTCTTGCAAGACTTGCAGTCCCAGATGCCGACCGAGTGTCTCTTGACAGTAACCTTGCCGCAGAAGGTGCAAGTGTAGCGGGCATGCTGGGTCACTTCCATCTTCTTGACCTGTGGGAGGGGTTAAACATTGCTCTCGGCTGTCGCATTCATGGATCCTGGTCGAGACGCACCTGCTTTNCTGAGGGAAGCACCATAGCGGGTACCGTACTTTCCGGTGATGCCGACCTTCTTGGTTCTCTTGGTCATTTTGGCGGTTGGTTTGAAGACTCGATGTTGACAAGAGGGAAGTCCTGAGATGGTAAAGTGACTCCAGATTCGCAATTTTGAGAAGCTGCGTGCCGGAGCTTTACCGAGTCGAACAAATGCTTGGCGCTTGCGTCGCTACTTATGGATTAACTCCTCACTGCAAAAGAACATGCTGGAACTCGCTTTCTCTGATCTGAATAATGCTTTTCTCCTCAAGTCCACCTCCATGACTTGAGCATCTCAATTTTCTATCACATGTTTACTCCGTCTGTTGTCGAGTACAGTCAAGCGAGGCCATCTCTCAAGTCCCGCACCCTGAAGACGACGCTCGGGGACGGGTTTCGCCTAATCACCCTTAGATAAATCAATTGTCTACAAGAAGCATTCTCCTCCCTTTTTGAGCGACAAGTGTGACCCTGAAATCATGTCTTCTCGTCCTTATGAGCTCATCGTCTTCGGTGCTACCGGCTTCACTGGAAAGTACACCTGCGAGCACATCGTCTCGCAGCTACCCACTCNNGATCTCAAATGGGCTGTTGCCGGCCGCTCGGAGAGCAAGCTCCAGAGCCTCGTTCAAGAGCTCAAGCCTCTGAACCCGGACCGTCTTGCTCCAGGTCACTCACTTCAAACCAAAGTACGAGCAAGATAACAGCTTACACCATGCANNGAAATCGTGACTTCCGGACTCGACAAGCAGAGCATCAGCGACCTGGTGAAGAAGACTACTGTCTTGATCAACACCGTTGGTCCTTATATGCTGTATGCTGAGCCGGTTGTCGAAGCTTGCGCTCAGAATGGTACCCACTACCTTGACGTGACTGGCGAGACCCCATGGGTTCGTGAAATGATCAAGAAGTATCACGCTACAGCAAAGGCCAACAAGGCCATTATCATCCACCAAATCGGCGTCGAATCGGCCCCCGCTGATCTTCTGTCTTGGTCGATGGTGAACCACGCCAGACGTACTCTCTCAGCTGGTATCTCAGAATTGGTCTTCTCGGTCGCCGACTTGAAGGGCCAGCCCAGCGGTGGAACTCTAGCTACTGTGATTGGTCTATTTGACAAGTACAGCATCTCTGAGACTACCGAGGCCATGAAACCCTGGTCTCTTTGCCCAACAACTCCTCCTCGCAGCAGCTTGGAGGGCCCTACTCTATTCCAGAGACTCTTTGGTGTCCGTCAAGTCCGCGATCTTGGAACTCTGTCCACTAGCATCCAAGGTGCTACCGACACTACCATCGTCCACAGAAGTTGGGGCCTGTTTGAGAACGGTAACTTCTACGGCCCTAAGTTCCGCTTCAGCCCTTACATGCACGTTCGCAACATGTTTACTGGTATTCTGGTCCACTTTGCACTCGCTATCGGCATGGTTGCACTGATTTTGTCACCCGTACGCTCATTGTTAAAGCGCTTCGTTTTCCAACCTGGCGAAGGACCCTCAAGAGAGTCCTCTCGTCGCGACAGGATCGAGTATCGCGCTATCGCAACGGTCGACTCCGCCGACCCCAATGATCCCAAACGTATCACTGGACGCATGGCCTGGGACGGCAGCTTATATTGCCTGACCGGCGTGTTCTTGGCAGAAGCAGCAATCACGATCTTGAGAGATGAGACTCCGGCTGTTGGTATGGGAGGCGGCTCCTTGACCCCAGCAGCTCTGGGCGCACCCTTCCTGGAGCGTCTGCAGAAAGCTGGATTGAGGACCGATGTGAAGGTCATGCCCTAGCCTTACTCGCTCGCTCGCTCACTCGGAAAATATAGGTTTGTAGGATACAAGCGAATGAGGTGTATCTACTTCCAAACGCACGATTCGTATTTCATAAGATCTTGAGAATTACATTAACCCATTGATTTGTGTGGTCAATGATTACCAAGCCATGACTTGACCATCATCCCTGTCCGAGATTCCAGGATTGGCCCAATAGCGTCCGGTTGTGCCAGAAATGTCACCGAACCCAAGCTTTACAGGAATCTTAGCACCATCGACTAAACATCAGTCAGCACATTGCCGTTCATTTGAGCGCATACACTCAGTACTTACTGGGNNCTCCTTAGGTGGCTTTCCCATGATACCTCCCATGTCAGTATCCACCCAGCCTGGACAGCATGCGTTGATGGTGAGGCCTGGGTTCTCACGCGCGAGTATAGCAGTGATTGCGTTGACACATGCCTTGCTGACGCTGTAGCCTTGACCCTTGTCGCCAAAGCCCGAGTCTAGCTCGTTCTTCTCCTTAACAGCTTGCTAGAACACAGTAAGCTTTACTGCTGGCAGTCAGGACAGATCGTAGCTCACCATGTAGTCTTGGGCAATCTTTTCGACATCTTCGTATGATCCTGTGTTTCTGAAACGAGCTGCGTTGTGCTGGCTGTAGATTTTCAACTGCGAAGCCACAGACGACATGTTGACGATACGACCTGATTGCGAAAGCAGAGGAATGAAGGCCTTGCACATCTTGTATGTTCCACGGTAGTTGACATCGAGCATTTGCTTCACGCTTTCAGGAGTATGTTCTGGGTAAGTGTTGACTCCAGCATTGTTGACGAGTACGCTGACTTGACCGTCTTCGCGTTTGATATCTTCGGCCAGCTGCTTGATGTCTTGGTCTTTGGTTACGTCCAACTTAGGATATTTGATTAATCCAGAACCGGCACTCTTGAGCCCAAGGTCGGCTCCCGCACGCGACGCTGCGTACAGCTTGACATTCTGGTTGGTCTTCAAGATGAGTTCGCAGATGGCAAGACCAATGCCTCGGTTCNNTGTTTTGGGTTCTGTCAGGACGATGATGTTTCCAAATCAACCTCTGGGTTGACTGACCGCTCCAGTTACAATGACGACCATATTTTCCTCTGACATTGTGATTTTCAGGCCAAGAGTCCGGGACAATGAAAGATCCAAGATTGAGATAGACCGCGGAGAAGTAAGAAGTAATAAAGAAGTTCACAGCATCATTCCCCAGTGCTGCAGTGACCAGGACATTTAATGCGTTTGAGCATTCAGACCCCTACGAATCATGCGTCATCGATCGCAATGCTAAACCGGAAGCAATTGCTTAACACAGCAGTTTACTTGTGAGCATAGCGCCATGGAAAGGAATGAGCTGTCTAGTTGAGCCTCAACGTAGAACATCAAAGTGACCAACCAATGCATGAAATTGCGACACGATGCAGAACATGGATGTCGAGGTGCCTGGCGTGCGATCCGCCGTTAATGAGATCTGTGGCTGGCGGGTGTGCTGTGGATCTTCTGGGGTGCAGCCGTTCAGCCGCGGGCCGCACAGAGTGCACAGCATCATTGTCCTCACTACGTCAATCCGATGAAATGCCATCACGAGTACCTAAAACAAATTGCTGGTACAGTTGGAGGGAGGGGCTGATATATAGATGCCCCTGGTATAACTCGACTCCACTTTGCGACACCATAAGCCTCAACATCTAATTTAACTCTACCTACTCTTACAGCATGCCTGTCAAAGACAATCTCAAAGGATGGCATTGGAGAGAGAGAATCGCCAACTTCGAGCCATCATGGTTCACCATTGTGATGAGTAAGTTTGATCGGGGCCATTGACACGCAAGAACCGTTCTGATCGTATACCCAGGCACTGGAGTTTTGCAGCAATGCTTCGTTAACTTCCCATACCCCATCACTGGAGCAGACCGATGGCTGCGTGACATCGGCTTCTGTCTATGGATTCTCGAGATCGTACTGTTCGGCTTCTTCACTGGAATGCTCGCCTGGCGTTATATCACGCATCCTATACTGTTCAAGAAGAACATGATGGAATTCCCATTGAGTTCGTTCCTAGGAGCTATCCCGATCTCTTTCAACACCATCATTCAGGGCATCATATCATATTATGATTATCGAACTTCTGCTCGATGGGCGGTCTTCGTTCTCTACTGGATCGCGCTTGTCATGTCTCTGGCAATATCTTTTGGTCTTGTCATCTTCCAAATGAGCCATGCAAAGCCACAGAAGCTGTCCGACGTGGCAGGAGTTTGGGTCATGACCACTGTACCTCTTTTTGTCACGGCATCGACGGCAAGCTCAATTTTGCCGTTCGTATACATGGAGAGCACAAAATGTGCTATAGCCTTGCTCGTCACGGGCTTCATGGCGTGGTCTTTTGCTATTGCAGAAGTCACAATGATCATCACGATATACTTTTTCCGATTGATCGCAGACAAGACGCCGGCGGCACCTCTTATGGTTGGATCTTTCCTGCCTGTGGCAGCCTTGAGTCAAGGAGCATATGCCATTCACAGATTCAGCATCTTCTTGGCTACGTACATCAAGCAAGGGTACGCACCAACTCAAGTGTCTCCACCACCACTTTCTCAGGCCACACTCCTGGCAACGTCCGAGGTGATTCACTGGATGGGTATCATTATGAATTTCTTCCTCTTGGCTCATGCGACGTTCTGGGTCGTCCAGGGTACAATGAGCGTCCTTATGTCATTGCCAAAATTAGAGTTCAACATCGCATATTGGAGTGCAGTCTTCCCGTAAGTTCACAGCCATCTACACCATGTCCAAGGCTCAAGGTCATGCGCTAACTCTGTGGATTGTAGTATGGCTTCATATGCAAACACATGGTGCTTCCTCTCTCGTGACCTGCGAGATAATGGAATGAGAGGCTGGGCAGCGACAATGGTCATGATTGGGACACTGCTGTGGCTCTTCTGCGCTCTAGAAACAGTTTATAGGGGATTCTGGCAGGGCAAGTTGTTCTCGGCTCCAGGTCTCGAGGACTGGTTGGGCGATGGAGAGCAGGAGCAGGACGAGAAGAGCAGAGGTGGTCGGAAAGATGCATGGAACGGAAGCTACACGATACCTCCACCCGGATCCCAGGACGAGGAGAGTGGACAGGCCAACGGACATCAGGCTGACGGCAACGAGGGCGATTCCAGGAGAAGAAACTGAGCTTGGACATAGCATTGAATTGAGGACGAATGATTACGGGGTGTATTATTAGGCATTGGCTGGCGTAACAATTAATCATGCGAGCGAGCAACAAATATAATGTACAATATTCTCAACCATGAAGACACAGGGCAGAATAGGAGGTGAAAGAGTCGGTGTCTTGTCCGTGTTGATTCGGAGATGGTGAAACGCGTCATTGCTTGGACTTGTGCTTGAGCTTCGAGGGGCAGTCGACGGCCATCTCTTTTCCAACACAACACACACAACAAACACAATGCAGTCGGGAATCTCAGGTGCGTCTCTGGAGAATGCTATAGTCTGACTGTGAGATTGACTGGTCCACCCACAGCATCACAAGAGCTGCACGATGCATTCAACAGCCTCGTGTCCTCATCGTCACAGCGAGGCCTCCTGGCAACGATAAAGAACGAAACCCTCGTACCTCTCGAGACTCTACCCGCCAGTGGAGACTTCCGCAGCGATCTGTCCGGTCTGTCGCAACACCTCAGCAAAGACGAAGCGAGATACATTCTGCTCAAGCAAGACGGCTCGGCAGCCGACGGCTATGTTGCCGTCACATACGTCCCCGATACTGCCAATGTGCGCCAGAAGATGCTGTTCGCTTCAACACGTCTGACATTGGTGCGCGAGCTGGGAGTCGAACGGTTCCGCGAGACCGTCTTCTGCACCACTGCCGAAGAGCTTACTCCCGAGGGCTGGGATCGCCATGAGAAGCACAACCGCCTGGATGCTCCTCTGACCGAAGAAGAGGCTGGTCTGAAGCACATCAAGGATACTGAGGCACTGGAGAGCGGAGGTACTGGCGGCAGGAGCTTGCCCAGCGCAGGCATTGCCCTCAACCTAGGCGATGAAGTGAGCAATGCCCTTGAGAGCCTCAAGGACTCTCGCGAGGGCTCTCTGGTTATGATTGTAAGTGTTGCGGTACAATGGACGTGATATTCGGCCGAAACTGACAAGCGTGACAGANAAATCGACGTAGCCTCCGAGACATTGCACCTTGACGCCTCGAAACAGGACATCCAGCCAGCCGACCTCAGCTCCGAAATCAGCTCATCCGAACCTCGCTACTCCTTCTACAACTACCCTGGTCAGCAAGGTGTTGTCTTCCTGTACAGCTGCCCTAGCAAGAGCAAGATCAAGGAACGCATGGTCTACGCTTCGTCGCGCTCGCAGCTGGTCACTCTGGCCTCGAATGTCGGCTTGAACATCACANAAAGACTTGAGGCTAGCTCACCAGACGAGTGGTCAGCGAGTACCTTGGCCTCCGAGTTCCAGGAACACAAAGTGGAAAGCAAGAGCTTCGCAAGACCCAAGAGACCTGGAAGAAGGTAGACACCTTGCATATACATCCATCGCCTGCGACCGATAATGGTGCGCTTGAATCATACCACCTATCAATTCTGATTCTGTCGCAAAGAGAACTGCAGAAGAGTATGAAGAATGAAATCATTGCAGCGGTAGGTGGATACATCTCTCATCCTATCTCTTACTCTTCATAACTACCACCTGGTCTCATTTCCCTCCCTCTTTCCATGATATCCTTCAAGTACTCGTAGACGGCAAACGTGACAGCTTGACCGGGAGCGACGCGCATGACACGTGGTGTGATGCCCATCCAGAAAGCCCTGATGCCTTCTTGCTTCCACATTTGACTGCCGATGGTCACGATTCTACCAATAGCCGTCTCACCAGGCTGCGCAGGGTTCCTTTGCAATCTGGTCTTGATGGTGTCGATCGGTGCATTACTGAATGGACCCACAGCACCGGAGATCAAACCAATGAACGCAGTCTGCCAGCCAGGTAGCCCAGCCTCAGGGTGTCCAGATCGTTCCTGCAACCAAGCCTTGAGCTCAGTATAAGCGGTAAAGTTGGCCGCTTGGTTTGTTCCTTGTCTGAGCGCCGTGAGCGAAACACCTCTGTACAGCGCACCCACTCCCTCCTCCTTGACAACCGTGTACAACGCATGAGCAGCATTGCGGTATTTGGGGATATCCAAGGGGTCGGCCATACTGTGATGTTGGGCCTGCAGTCTAATCTTGACAACCTCCATTGGCGTGACGACGGCAACGGCTTCCGTGACTCCTGCTAGCAGTCCAGCCATGAACGTGGCTTTGGAGGTGATCTCGCCGGATTTTGAAGCTAGCGCCTGCTTGTACCATTCGTACGAGGTGAAGCGGATGGCCATCTTGGGAACGATGCCCGTGAGCACGGCTCCAAGGCCTTTGTAGAGGGCGAGTGGGGTCTCGCGTTTTACAATCGAAACTCCTGTTTGGATGAAGCCGCGACGAGAGCCCNNTTGAGGTGCTGTGTCAGATTGACTACTTTGTTATGGTATGAAGGGGAGAAAACATACACCACGCTGCGATCGTTTTGAGAGTTGCATGCGCACTTTTATCGTGTCGAGAGGGTGGCAGACCAGAGCTTCCATCATGCCTGCTCCGCCGCCGGCGACGAGGTTTGTTGCTGCAGAGGCTGGCTTCTTGCCGCCTGGGCCTTTTGTCGATTTTGCCGACATTGTTTGTTCCCTGTTTCTTTCCTGTCTTGGAGACGTGAAGAAGAAAAGCGGTGCCTTGGTTTATGCAACGCGGTCTAGGTTTGGTGCTTCCCTACTATCGAGTTCGTCCTTGAGCGAAGTGTTCGCGTCTCGAGGAGCTACGTTATGTCGAGTTGTCTCAATTCGTCAACGAGACGATGCGTTCGAGAGGGATTGCAGCTTGTATGGGATCACCAAGTAAACAGAAGGAGTAGTGCAGGAGAATGGAACATGAGGGGTCAACAAAAACGAGGAGAGCCTACTTCTTATTTACCTCATCATGAGCCATGTTCTCGTTTTTTGAGTCATCAGACCCTTTTCGTCGGTTACCTCTTACTTCGGGGGCCAGAAAGAAAAGGGTTGGCAGATGGACGAATGGATCACCTCGGTATTTGCTTCGCCAGCAGACTTTCAATAACTGCCCATGATCCAAAACTCGCGTCCATGCACCGAACAACAGAGCATTCTTTAAGATAGCAATGATAGACACCATTCGTCTTGTATCACTGTCTGCTTTAATCCAATCCACCCCTTCTAAAGTCTCTCAATCGCAAACAACAAACCCATTGCACTTGAACAATTATCTCGAAAATGACGTCGCGGGGCAGCCGAACACTGACATGTGCATGCCCTTTTTCCCTTCTCCGCAAAAGGCCGATCTGGGGAAGTTGTTCTTTCCTGGGGGCCGAGGCTTTGTCCCTCTGGCCCGAGAACAAAAAAACACATGAATGCGCTGGCCGAACGTTTGTGTGACCCGGTCTGAGAAAAAGCTTTTTGATTCAGACATTCCGAGTTTGGACCGCGGTATGTTTCGGGTTTGCCCTTCCGATGTCTGCCGTGGTTGTTGTGTTAGTGCTGGGGTGAGTCAAGACCATGTCAATAGGTCTTCGATCGACGGAGAAGTTTAGAGTAGAGACAGGGTCACCTTTGGGAGAGGGGTAGAAGCTGCGTCGAGAAAGAGATAGCCGGTTCCAGCGAACTCATTGCAGAGTTTCATAATGCAAGATTCCCATTGGTAAGATTGCTACTGTATACATTTTCAGAGCAGTACCTTGCATAGTCGTTCTTTCCCTCTCTGATGCTAAGAAGACCTGTCTTGTATGCTGGTTCTCTATTTTCCCCTGTAGCCCTACGAGAGATGAGATCAGTGAAGCAACCTCCCATTAACCCTCCACTTTCATAGCGCTCTCTTCTTGATCTCCACCAACAAGCACAGCAAGCATTTCGGCAACCTCTTTGGCATCTCCATCGATACGTGCTTGAATGTCATTCTTGTCCAGCGTCTTGAGCTGACCGAATAGCCATAGCTCCTGCATTTGGCGTGTGAGGGTCAAGATGTCCTCGCTCGTGCGTATCTAACAATTTGTCAGAATCAAGAGCGACATCCGTGTGTTTACGTGTTTAATATGCTCTTTTTCCATCAAGAACAAACATGGGTCTTTTGCAAGAATGTAATAGTGCGAAGCATAGAAAAGATGGATGATCGTGAGTAGAAGAAGAAATGAGAAAGAAATGGGAAAACAACAGAAAGAGGGAGAGAAACTCACCAGAGCAGCAGTCTCAATCTGCGTCTGATACTGGCTCAGAGCTGTACTGTTGCGATCATTCTTTTCAATCTGTNNATTGCGCACGCTTGTCAGCCTCCCGCCTCTGCACACCAGCAACTCTACATCGACCGCACATTTTGCTCTTGATTGATGCTCATTTCCATCACTCACCTTTGCCTGTTCGAGTAGTTTCTCGAATCTGTTGAACAAGCTGTTGCGGAGTTGATCGATACGCGCTGTGCTTGTGTGAGTCTTGTGATAGATGCTTGTCTGATGTGAGTAAATCATACCCAACAGCGCAGGTGTATTGCGCGGGATGTTGTTGTCCATGGTGACAAACTTTTTGTAATCAGTGGTCGACACGTCACTGAAAAAGGAGCCTGTGTTATGTCATTGTTGGTCGAGAGGGTTGTGGTCGTCAAATGAAAGATGCAAACACGCGCTGAACTTCGTGGTTCAAATCCAGTGTGGAGACGACTTCACGAGCACATTGACCGAGCTTGACAAACGACAAGGTTCACCTTCTTGAAATTTGATTGACAATTGCACAATTTGAGATGTTTGAGAGGAGATACAACTTCATTAGGTGCCTCGAACAGACTAGCCACTACTAAAAGCTAATTATACTGCAATGCAAAGCAAGACTCCAGACCATAGCTCATCCTAACCAATAGTGGATAATCATGACCCGATAATTGTGATCCGGAACAGTTCTGGTAATAGATTCCTCAACTGCAACAAATCCTTACTCCTCGTCAGAAGACTCCTCCTCATCATCCTCGTCACTCTCGGCGGTCTCGAGCCACTCGATGAACTTCTCGGCGCTCTTGCGGACCTTCTTGCTGGTGGGCAGGTCAACGTATTTCTTGCTAGCCTTGGAGCCCCAAGCCTTGAGGGTTTCCTCAGAGACGAGGTCATTCTGATAGTATTGAAGCAGGATAGCAGAGACTTGAGGGATGAGGTCGGGCTTCTCCATACCAACAAAGCGCTCGAAACCGCCGAGGAAGGCCTTCTCGTGCTTCTCGGAGGAGATCATACGCTTGAGCATGCTGCTGCGGGCCTCGACCTGCTTGACAATGTTCTCGTCAAAGATGGTCTGAGCAAGAACTGCGACAGTCTTGTGCTTGGTCTCGATACCGAGCTCCTTGGCCTTGAGGTAGACTTCAACATCGTCAAGCTTGGAGACACCACCCTTGGCCTCTCCCTCAGAAAGGATCCACTTGCCAAACTGGTCGTAGGGGTTACCCTCACCTTCCTCGTCCTCAGCACCCTCAATAACAAGAGCACGCTTGAGGTCGTCAGGCAGATCTCTGGCACGAGCCTTGATGGCTGCCTCAGACATGTCGACAGTCCACTCGACCTCCTTCTCCTCCTCAGGCTCATCAAGCTCCTGAGCCTCAGCGTTGATGCGGCGGGTGAGCTCGTCGTCGCTCCCAGCTTCCATAGCGAAATCGCCATCGTCTTCGTCCTGATCGGAGCTGCCGTTGGGGCTGCCGTTGCCATCCTCGTTGACAGCAGTGCCGTTGCGCTCGGCCTCCTTTCTAGCTCTGCGCTCAGCCTTCTTGGTGGACTTGTCTTTCTTGCCCTTGGCAGGNAGCTGCTTCAAGATGAAGGAAGACAACTTCTGGCGAGGGTCGGCCTCAGTGATGGTACCGCAAGCCTTGCAGTCCATGAGAATACGCTGGTCCTTGATGCTAATAACAGTCTCGGGGTTCTTGCAGCTTCTGCAGAGGACGAACTTGTTGATGAAGCCGTCGAGGTAGTCCTGCAGCTTGGAAGCCTCGTGGGCTCCGTTGATAATCCATCTGTCATCCTTGGGGTCGTTGGTGGTCTGGGCACCGAGTTCGAAACCGAAGTACTTGATGACGTCTGGACATGGTTAGCATGAAGCAGGGTTGATTGGGATTGGCGGTGACTCACAAGTAGGAGGGCGGGCAAGCTGCTGAGCAACGTTGCTCAGGTTGACGACGACGGTCTTGATACCGTTACCCTTGCCTTCAATCTTGGACTGAAGACGCTCCATCTTGTAACGGTAGAAGGGGTCGCTGATGTCCTGCAATGGTGTTAGCGCAAAGCGGGTCTTGTGGTGGTAAGGGGGCGTACGTACGCGACGGATGTTGACAGAACCTCCAGCCATGATTGCGGTTGTTGGTTTTTGTAGGTAAAAATTGGTTTAGGAGGAATTTAAGATGTATGGGATGGTTGGTGGGTTGGCGATATTAGTCGGCAACATGCAAGTGTTCAGTCGTTGGTGAGTTGGTTGCTACAAGGTCTTCGCAATATACGAAAGGGTTGCAGCTTGGGAGGGTCCGGAACTGCGAGTCGTTGAGAGCGGCGGGACGAATACATAAACTGCCTGCGTGGTCTGAAAGTCGCGGGTTTNTGGTGGATGTGAACTCGGATCCGGAGTGCGGGCGAGCGTGANAGATGGGGAGTGTTGGTCTGTTGTCTCAGNGAAGGTTTGCGAGCGTCTGAGGCNAGGCAAACACAAAAAGTCTCCGTGTCGTGNTGGAAGGAAGGAAGGAGGAAGAGAGGAAGCGTCAAAGTCCTGCCTTGAGTGGTGGTGGGTGCGTGGCTGCCGGGAAAGTCAAAGGCAGAATTTGTCGTTCCGCCCCACGCTCGAGCTTCCAACGCGTGATCNGCAACCGTTGTCTGCCGATGACCACTGCGACCCTCTTTGTTCACGGCCACCAACCATCAAAGCGTCAAGCATCCAGCGTGTCGGAGTCTGCGTTTGCATGTGGAACGTGTTTCTGACTTGTCTCGATTCTTCTGCACATGCTGCAGTTCTTGTGATTGTGCGGCATGCACCAAAGCTTGATCGTGACTTCCAAGTCTCCATATTCAAAGCTTCGAAAAGACACATCTCTATGCATGCAGCAGCTTCTGTGATGCTCCCGCTCCTGCTTTCAGTCACAATACTATGGCTGGTCCGAAACATAGCCCAGTCCATTCACCATTGGTTCAATGAATGAATCGCTTTGTACAAAGAGGCTCCCTCACAGCGGCAGCGACTATCGGAGGTGCAATACAGCTATTCAGATTCTGCCGTGACTTGACGCCGGGATCGGTTGATCTCTCTTCCCAACCACAAACCTGTCCTTTGACCTGTTGAACAACACGCAGCGTGCAGTGAACCAAGATGCATGTAGATTATTCTGTCTATCTTGTGACCGACAACACTCCCGCCATTCTCGGCGACCAGCATCTTGTCCAAGTCGTTCGTGCTGCCGTGGAAGGAGGTCCGAGAACATCAGTCATCAACACCTCGCGACTACTCGATCTGACATTTTTCCAGNGCGTCACAATTGTTCAACTGCGTGACAAGACTAGCGACACTGCCGAGCAGATTCGCATTGCTAAAGCTCTCCATGCTGTGACCAAGCCCGCAAACGTTCCCCTTCTCATCAATGACAGGGTAGACGTAGCTTTGGCTGCTGGTGTCGAGGGAGTTCATATCGGTCAGGATGACATCGGTAAGCATGCTCTTCCACATCATCTGTCTGTTCCCAGTGACTTTGGAGCTTGATTGAAGCTTCCGAACCTGCCCTGCTCTCCTGATCTGACTCGTAAATCTGACTGTACATGTCAGNACCTCGCATCTGCTCGCAGACTACTTGGAAAGGACGCCATCATTGGTGTAACCACAAACTCTCTGGAGGAAGCTGAGATTGCTGCCANNCAGGGGGGAGCTGACTACCTCGGCGTGGGAACTGTATTCGCTACTCCCACAAAGGAAAACACGAAGTCCATCATTGGCACTTCTGGAGTACAGCACATCCTCGCCTCTCTATCTCAATCCGCACCTGGAATCAAGACTGTCTGTATCGGTGGCATCAATGCGAAGAACTGCCAACGTGTACTCTATCAGACTGCAGCCGCAGAGAAGAGTCTCGATGGTGTTGCTGTTGTTAGTGCCATCATGGCTGCCAAAGATCCAAAGAAGGCTGCTTCTGATCTCCGCCAACTTGTTGCGACTCCACCTCCCTTCGCTACTTCGATCTCTGCTCCAGCGCTCTCTCATGAGGACATTGTGCGCAGAATTCCAGAGCTTGTCAAGCGTCTAGCCAGCAAGAAGCCGCTATGCCACAACATGACCAACCTGGTTGTGCAGAACTTCGCTGCAAATGTCGCTCTGGCCGTCGGCGCAAGTCCCATCATGTCGAACAACAGCATGGAGGCCAGCGATCTCGCATCTTTCGGCGGTAGTCTTGTTATCAACATGGGCACCACCACTCCAGAGATGCGGGCTCACCACTTGAACACCATCTCGGCCTACAACAGCATTGGCGGGCCTATTTTGCTTGACCCCGTTGGCGCAGGAGCTACTCAACAGCGCCGTGAAGGTGTTGCAGCACTTATGCGTGGCGGTTACTTCGACGTCATCAAGGGCAACGAAGGTGAAATTCGTACTGTTTCTGGAGCCACAGGCTTCAAGCAGCATGGCGTGGACAGCGGTGCTTCAACCTTGAACCTGGATGATCGTGTCAAACTCGTCCAGTCAGTCGCCGCCAAAGAGCGTAACGTGATCTTGATGACTGGTGAGGTGGATGTCATCTCGGATGGCAAGCGCACTTTCAAGATCAGTAATGGACACCCATACTTGGGCGAAATTACCGGGAGCGGGTGTACCCTGGGTACGACAATCGCGAGCTTGCTAGCTGTCGAAAGGGAAGACAAGCTTCTCGCTGCTGTCACTGGCGTTTTGATGTACGAGATAGCTGCAGAGAGGGCTGCGAAGAAAGATTCTGTCAAAGGGCCCGGCACTTTCGTCCCGGCTTTCATCGACGAACTTTACGCAATTCGTCAGGAAAGTGCAGCAGGAAACGGCGATTGGGCAAAGGCGGCAAAGATTGAACGCGCTGATAGCTAAATCTAATTACGAAAAGATGAGGTATAGAAATCATTGTGACTCCTACTTTCTCATTAATCCTCCTCGTTGACCCTTTCCACCCTACCGCTCCTCTCCTTGTGCCGCGCGAGTGTATAGTATAGTGCATAAACACACGATACTTTTCTATTCGAGGCAGATGTCCAAGGAGAGTTATCATCTTAGGGCTATTTCTTTCTTCGATCACTCATCCGCTTCGCAATCATGTATCTTTGCAGCATACTGTAGCATTATCCTTTGGCTTGAGAGAGAGATTGTGACTGTGTTGAGCACACAGGATCTCAGGCTAAAAGGGGTCTAGTCTTGCCCGAGATTATGCCTCTCCAGCAGCAACCTTGGCGTGGCCAACAACCAGTTCCAACTTCTTTGCTTCGGCCAAGACAGTGGCATCAATATCCTCCTTCAGGCTAGGAGAAGAGGCCTCCCATCCCAGCAGCTTCCCAGCTCTTATGGCTCGGCATCTAGAGTTGCATCCCCACAGTGCAGAACCAAAGGGCTTGATCTTCTCAACCTCACTGGCTGAATACTCTATAACCTGATCATCTTTGAGGAAGCCTTGCTTATGAGCTGACTTGGCCACCTGATGTGCTACCTCTCCCCAGACGAGGTCCCCTGCTTCACAGAAGTAGTAGCCTTCGTCGTTCCAGGTAGCGGATCCGCCGCCGTTCGAAGCTGCCTCTACAAGCTTGAGATAGAGGTCTGACAGATCGTGAACGTGAATCTGGGTCCAAAAAGTCTTTCCAGCACCAACTTGGATACCATGGCCTTGCTGCATGGTGCATCGAGCAAGCGAAGGCACTTGGACGCTTGTCTGGTTGCCTGGGCCTCTTCCAGCTCCGTAGATACATGGAGGACAGACAATGGCGCTCTTGACGGTGTGTCCATCACGTACCGATTGGACTATTTTGTCGACATTCCTGTGAGGCGCATGGTCTGGGATGCCAGTGATCATCTCCTTCACGTTGTCCCAATCATCGTGAATTTTACTGGCGTCTTCACCGAACATCTTTCGGTCGAGATCCGTGTACATGAGGATACCAGTTCCGGACGTATGGATCAGGAAACCGGGTGCTTCGGATTGTCTGGTCGAGAGACCCTTGATGATGGCTTTGGCAGATGCTTCATGGTCTGCATCTGCCCAATCTGATGAACAGGTCAGATTAACTGTTGCATAAGGAGGGCATCATTAGGTATTTGACGTACGACACACAACATCTGCCTTTCTTGATTCTTCTTCGAGAAGATCGGATGAGTCCAAGTCGCCATAGACTAGCTTTACCTTGGGATACTCCACTACGACTAGGGCACCCTTATCAGAATTGCGAACAAGAGCTGTGATTTCGTATTCTGGATGAGCCTTGACGATGGCATGTAATGCATCACCCCCGATGTATCCGGTGGCTCCTGTCCTACGCAACCGTCAGCGATGAGATCTGATGACAACCAGACAAGGACCTACACGAAAAGCTTCATCTTGACTGAGAAACAGCAGGAGTTTGAGAGTTGAAGCGATGGTTATTGCAGTGTGTGCAAGTTATCCAGGTTGTCGAGAAGAAATGGGAGTATAGTCGTAGACAGGAGGTGTGTTCCATCGTCACACTTACCAAGCAATCAATCAGCTAGATCAAGATCGAGGTGAAGGAAGGTGCCACCTGACCACATACCTCCATCTCGAAGTTTAAAACCACGAAAACCTGATATTGACTGCGAAGATCCTGCGAAGAGATGGATATGTATAATTTAGTTTGTGAAATGTCATGGTGAGAGATCAATCGATGTTGGTGATACGAAACGTGAATGTTGTGCGGGCAGCCCTGGCTTGTGTCTCAGGCTCAAGCTGGACCTTGCGCTCGTCACGTCTCCAATCGTATCCTCAATTGTTTCAACTCGAGAAGTCATCTGCAGCAATGCGAAATGTTTTGGACAAGTTAACATCTAGATCTTAACATCCCTATCAGTCGACATGTGGTCAGGACTCTTCATGTTGCTCGTCTTGAGCACCATCATGACAGTCGCGTAGGTGAGCATCCCTCTGTACACAAGCAACCCAGACGACTGACACAGCGCGGCCAGTTCCTTTCTCGCCGGTTCCTTACCACTATCCTTCTCTCTTTCTCAACGCCAGCTTCGATTGACCACAGCAATTGGTACCGGCGTCCTAGTAGGGACCGCCCTCATCGTTATCATTCCAGAGGGCATTGAGACATTGTACAGTGCCCGCGAGGTCGAAGGCCATACTCATGCAGCACGATCTCTCTCCTTACAGCCCCATAATTACAACGGGCTGAATGATCCATCCCCTCTCGACCTGTCACGCCGCGACTATCCAACTGTCGATCTGCATACTAGAGATACGGACTTGACTGGACCTGATGATNGGACGTCCAGAGGACGGACAAACCCCCAGAAAGAGCCTGATCACAAAGCAGAAGAACACAAATCAGAGGACCACGATGATTGGGAGCCTCATGCTTGGATCGGTGTCTCTCTAGTCTCGGGCTTTGTCTTGATGTACCTGATCGACCAACTGCCTCGCCATGCGGCAGCTTCTTCCCAACCACAGAGATTCCATATAGCGCTGGATCGCTTCAATCTCCAGAGATCTACAAACCAACCCTCCGAGGCAGAAGACCCAGATGGTCCACCGCCCGATCCTATGCAGCAATCACGCCCGTCCTCAACCACTGTAGGTCTGGTCATCCATGCTGCTGCAGACGGCATCGCTCTTGGAGCCTCGTCAACTGCTTCGTCGCGAAGGCTGGGATTCATCGTCTTTGTGGCCTTGATGATTCACAAGGCTCCCGCAGCGTTTGGCTTGACTTCGGCATTGCTCAAACAAGGCCTCTCCAAGAGAAGAGCGCGAAACCACCTCGTTGTATTTAGCTTGGCTGCACCAATCGGCGCCTTGTTGACCTGGGCTCTTGTCAACATATTCGAGGGAGGCATTGGCCAGAACGAACATGGCACTCGTTTCTTCACCGGTTTGCTATTGTTGTTTTCGGGGGCACCTTCTTGTAAGTTGACGCAAGCTGTCTGACGCTTCCTTTGCTCCTAGTCTAACCACTCAACCAGATACGTAGCAATGCATGCCATGCAAGACACGAAACACGGCCACGACATGGGAAGTGCCAGTCCTAACGGCTATGGCGACTCGAACGTGTATGATGGCTACCAGCCAACATCCAGCAAACAGGAGAGTCCTGTGCTGAGTGACACGCTGGCTGTAGTAGGTGGAATGTTGCTTCCGCTCTTGACACAGGTATTTGGACATGGCCATTGATCTCATTAGATTATTAGATTATTGCTCAATGTTCGAATTTCACGATATTTTGACAGAATCACTATCCTTGTGCGAAAAGACCCTACCTACGTCTCCAGTATTGAGATCAATTATAAGCTGTGCTGACAACCGGATGTTGTAACAAGCATCCGGCTCAAGTTTTGGTCAGAGACACAGGCTTCACGAGACGGTGTGCTTGGGCGTATTTGGGCGAGACAAGTTTCAGCACATGGTAAATGCGATGGCTGGACAATGGCAACAGTATGAGGGCGGCAGTATTGGTTCGCTGCATGCAGGCCCGGTAGATAGCAGGTGGAGAAGGTCAACGGCTGGATATTCTGGACATGTGGACGGAAGCGGAATGCAGGCGTGACCCAGAGCAATGCCGCTCTTGACCGGAGGCAGCATCAGACAAGGTCGACTGTGTGAGTCGTGGTTGGGCATATGTTCGCAATCAGTGAGTAGAGCTGTGAAATGTCTTCAGAATCGAGATTTGAGTTTGGCAATAAGGTTCTTCACGTCATCTATAGAGTCTGAGTTGAGGCAACCTAGAAGGGTGCCTTGGCGGGCGGTGACCGTTTGCACTGATAGTTGTCTCTACCACAGACGAGGTACTGATATCGGAGCTGGGCTGACAGAGGCAAGAGAACAAAAGTCGACGCAAAGGCGTGCGAGTCATTCTCAATATAGGAGTTGTTTTGGGAGGGTAAATTGTAGGGCGGGCTTATTGTTCAGGCGTGCTCTTGTGTTTCAGAGTAACCAGCACCTCTTCAGACTTTCCCGGCCTCGACTATTGCGCAACCCAGCCAGTCCATTTTCCCCTACTCTCTCCGGCACAAACACCCTTTCCGCGACCCTCACAAACAATCGCATCCATTCTTTGGCCAACCCCGGTCTTGGTCCCACTTTCGACAGACACTGTGCCGTCGTTGATCGCCGTCGTCCCCGCCAACCCGCCGTCCGATCGCAAATCCGCCCGACCACGAGGGTTGACAGGGCTCGAACAAGCACAGGAGCGACCTTCACTCGCACAAGACAGCACAACCATGGAGGATCCCTCCGACTGGCATCCCTCGTATCCGCAGACCCAGCGTCCTTTATCCATGCCCGTCGAATACGACCCTGAGGCCGCGTCGGGCAGTGAAGCGCGCATCTTTGGTCAGCGTCATCACAAGCCCCAGACTTCCGTCTCGCGCCCTTCAACACGCTCAATATCCTCGTCGTCGACCAGCGTACCCATACCCATTCCATCGAATCCAAATGTCATTCCCGGCAATCTACTCCCGTCAGCGCCTGCATCTCCGCCGACCCCGGCCCCGTCGCCAACGCCTGGCCGTCGTCTTCCCAGCTGGACCTCTTCAACAGCACCATCTCTCGATTTGCACATGGCCGAGGATGGCGATCTGGACGACCTCGGCAGCGAAGCTACTTTCACCCTGGACAAAGGCTTGAGGTTCAGGCATATGAAGACCATGTTTTCCGACATGGACAACGACGAACGCAAACGCATCTTGACGGAGCTATTGGCCAACTGCGACGGGAAGCTACTGGGCTATGTTGCCAATTTCGTTGCACCACGATTAAAGAGAGATCCATTTGGCGTATTACCTAATGAGCTCTGCCTGAGGGTACGAAGCATGTCTTGTTTGGAGTTGGTCTGGTTCTAACATGACTACAGANTACTCACATTCATCGATGATGCCAAAACACTTGCCCGCTCGTCGCAGGTATCGAAACGATGGCACGAGCTGGTCAGCGACGACATGGCTTGGAAGAGCCTTTGTGAGAAGCACGCATATCGTCGCATGTCAGATGACACTCCTTCGACCAACACCAGGCAGCAACATTCGTCGCCCTACGAGCCGTCTCACTCGGGATCGTCTCTCAGCTTCGCCACGCATGCTCTTCGCATACATAACCCCGCATTTGCCAGCTTCAGCACTTCAACTCCTGATCTAAGTCGTGTCAAGAGTCTCGACAGAACAACCTCCGCTCCAGTCCTGCCTTCCTCGGCCATTCGCCGACGACCACAAGCCATGACTTACCGCTCTCACTTCAAGCAAAAGTACCAGGTCGAAACCGCTTGGAGAACTGGCGGCAAGGTCGACCAAAGACAGATCACCCCAGATCAAGGTGTTGTGACCAGTCTGCATCTTACCGACAAGTACATCATCGTTGCCCTGGACAACGCAAAAATCCACGTTTTCGACACCGAAGGCAAGCATCTGAGATGCCTACAAGGCCATGTCATGGGTGTGTGGGCCATGGTTCCTTGGGGTGACACTTTGGTGTCTGGTGGCTGTGACAGAGACGTCCGCGTCTGGAATATGGCGACTGGGTGAGTTTAGATGCCGTTTTGACGACATTGGATACAACGCTAATTACGCCTGACAGACNAACCCATTCACATGCTGCGTGGTCATACTTCCACGGTTCGTTGTCTGAAAATGTCCAATGCCACCACCGCCATTTCTGGTTCTCGTGACACCACTCTTCGCATCTGGGACATTGAGAAGGGTCAGTGCAAACACGTCCTCATGGGTCATCAAGCAAGCGTTCGCTGCCTTGAGATTCACGGAGACCTGGTCGTCTCGGGAAGCTACGACACTACAGCAAGAATTTGGAGCATCAGCGAAGNNGAAGATGTCTCAGGACGTTGCAAGGACACTTCAGCCAAATCTATGCTGTCGCCTTCGATGGAAAGCGCGTTGCTACAGGCAGTTTGGATACCAGTGTCCGTGTCTGGAATGTGGCCGATGGGTAAGCATTTCCTCAAACGATCGCTTGAAGACAAGCCACTGACACTTTACAGCAAATGCCTTGCAATCCTTCAAGGCCATACTTCTCTCGTCGGCCAACTCCAGCTCCGTGGTGACACACTTGTGACTGGCGGCAGCGATGGCAGTGTTAGAGTCTGGTCATTGCAATCCTACACACCTATTCATCGTCTTGCGGCGCACGATAACAGCGTGACGTCACTGCAGTTCGACGAGTCGCGCATTGTATCTGGTGGATCTGACGGACGTGTCAAAGTATGGGATCTCCAACGCGGATGTCTCGTACGAGAACTTGGACAACCTGCCGAAGCAGTCTGGCGTGTTGTCTTTGAAGAGGAGAAAGCAGTCGTTCTTGCATCTAGGCAAGGCAAAACAGTCATGGAGGTCTGGAGCTTCGCCCCACCGGAGGATGGAGACACAAGCAGCACAGCATCGAGCCCCGCGGTCGTCTCGATGCCTGCGCTGCCAGCCAGTGAACCCTCACCAATGCACATATCAGATGCGCCCGAATCTGAGGTCCAGGCTGAGGACACAATCATGACAGACGAGACTCCACGCGACAACGAGGTCTCTTCACCTGTCACATCATCATGATAACACTTCTTGGTATGAACAAGGCACGGCATCGAGGCATCTTATGACTATTTATGGGAAGCATAGGCGCAGGGAGCTCAGGAGACCAACCAACCAACTTCAGGAAAGGTATGATGGCATCGAGGGTCATGGGGATGCACAAATTATGGCTTCCCTCTCATTGTGTTTACGGCGTTCTTGGGGGTCGTTGTCAGGGCATGGCGGATCATGGGGGACTGACAGGCAATTTTCTCGGTGAACAAGAAAGGGAAAAGGAGTTTGTTCTTGGTGTCTTTTTTGAGACGTTCTTTCTCACTATAACGCAGTAGACTCATTAGCGAAGCATTCATTGTCATATCGCACCATATCGAATTCTAGAATAATACTCGGCCATGATCTATCGACCCAGTTTCCAGCTCAACATGGCTCTATCTCTGCATATCTCTTCCAACATGGCTGGCAAGGAAACGGCATTGAGCGGGTTGGGAAAGTGATAGGTCGGTGATCGGTCGTTCGGTATAAACGGCAGGCGGGTTCAGGCTGACATCATCGCCGTAGCATCCGGGGGAAGGAGCAGGTTGGAGAACACCGGTTCAGTCAAGTTACTTTTGTTCCACGGCGGCTCCTTCTTTTGGTTTGCTACTTTGTTGTTCATCTCTTGTCTCGTGCCTGCTTCTCGCGTCGTCTCGTCGCGTCGTCCAATTCTCGGCCATTTCACTACACGGTTGTCCAGCTCTATCCAGCAGCAACATTACATCATAGCTTTGTAGCTTTATCCACGAGACACGACAAGAATGGTTCAAACCAAGCCCGAGGCGCCTGGCGCTGTTACTCCCCAGAGAAAGATTGAGCTCTTCTCTGGCACCTACTTTGCTGCTTGCACATTGGGTGGAATCATTGGTCAGTCGTCCTTGTATCTTGAGCAGACTTGCAGCAGCTAATCTGTGTGTCAAAACANNGCTTGCGGACCTACCCACACAGCAGTCACACCTCTCGATCTCGTCAAGTGCCGTCGCCAAGTAGACAGCAAGCTCTACTCGTCCAACATCCAAGCCTGGCGCACAATTTTCCGCAAAGAGGGACTTCGCGGTGTCTTTNTTGGATGGTCTCCTACTTTCATCGGTTACTCGTTCCAGGGTGCCGGCAAGTACGGCGCCTATGAGTTCTTCAAGTACACATACGGCAACCTTTTCCCCAACACCAACCAGACCATTGTCTACCTTGGTGCTTCTGCCACCGCAGAGGCCATTGCCGATTTGTTCCTGTGCCCGTTCGAGGCCCTCAAAGTCCGCATGCAGACCACCCTGCCACCATTCGCCTCGAACCTGCGCGAAGGATGGGGCAAGGTTGTCGCACAAGAAGGCTATGCCGGTCTCTACAAGGGTCTTTACCCCCTCTGGGCTCGCCAGATCCCTTACACCATGGTCAAATTCGCAACCTTTGAGTCCGCCGTCGCCCAAATCTACAAGCAGCTCGGTAAGCCCAAGGAGAGTTATGGCACCTTGGCTCAAACCGGTGTCTCGTTCCTCGGTGGTTACATTGCCGGTATCGGTTGTGCTGTCGTTTCTCACCCTGCCGACGTCATGGTCAGCAAATTGAACAGCGACCGCAAGGCTGGTGAAGGTGCTGGTCAGGCCGTCAGCAGAATTTACGGTCAGATTGGCTTCAGAGGCCTTTGGTCGGGTGTTGGTTTGAGAATTGTCATGATTGGCACTCTTACCGCTTTCCAGTGGTTGATTTACGACTCTTTCAAGGTCTCCATCGGTCTGCCTACCACTGGTGGTCACTAAGATTGTTGGGACTGACGTCTTTCTTCTCTTTGCTCTTTTTCCAATATAATGTTTGTGATTTTTATATTTCAAGCGGTGGGCGTTCAAAGGGTTCCTAGCGTACTGATAGATATGGAGAAATATACGAATTTTACAAAAACCAGTGCTCAGGACCTTGCAGAATTGAAGCCTGTCCTTGATAAGGGCTTATTGGAGAGCTATAAAAGGCACGTTCGCCTTTGGAAGCTAGAGTCATGTCGAGAGCGCGAAGCAGCAACTCCTGATTAGCAATCTTACCAGGTTAGGAGACATTCTGAGAGCTGTTTACATTCAAACACTGCACAACAGGCTGGAAGGTTTGGAAACTCGGGGTGTTTAGTTGGGAAAAAGAGTTGCTTTTTGTTTGCATGCTCTCTCTGTCTAGGAGAAGCAGGTATTACTCGAGGGCCGACCTATACAGAAAAAGGTACTCGCACCTCGTCTCGGAAAATGTAGAACAAGTCTATAGATGAGAGGTAGTGGGAAGGAATGCAGAAGAAAAAGAGGTATAGGAGGAGTAATCTCGACGCCTGATGCCATGCCATGTGTGTAACGAAAGTAGAAAGAAGAAAAGGTCCCAGAGAAGTGCGCCGCCCAAAGAAGAGTCGTTAAAAAGGATTCAGAAGCAGAAAAAGACGGGAAAAGCCAAGGTTTACTTGAGCTTCTTTGTCTCGGGCTCATAGCTTCTATCGTCGTCGCCCTCGACGTCCTTGACAATGTTCTCCATTTCCTTGACCTGACGTTGCCACTCGGCTTGACCCATCTTGGTCTCGCGGCGGAAGAGCTCGTCGTTGGGCTTGCGGTAGCTGCCACCAAGACGGTCCCAGAGAGTGGTGAATTGTCCGTAGTTGTAGTTGAAGTACAAGTGGTGCATGGTGTGGCAAGCAGCGCCGTTGATGATGGGGCTGTTGGCAACGTACTCACCGTCATGAATCATGACGGTCCAGATGTTGATGAACATGAAAAGAGCAATGTAGGCGAACTTTTGCAGCGGGAAGATGAAAGGGAAAACGTGGTAGGGCAGCGATTGAGCGTAGCCGTCGAGAGGGTGGAAAGCGTGCGAGGCGAAAGGCGAAGGCATGATCCACTTGTGGTGAGGCTTGTGCAGCTTCTTGTAGACCATGGGGTGGTGCAGGCCGCGGTGAATCCAGTAGACGAAAAAGTCGGTGAAGCAGACGAAGAAGGGGAACTGGACAAGCAAGTACCAGCCACCGAGGTTCCACGATGAGCTCTCGGGCAGGACGTCGTAGATGTTGGAGTAGCCACGGACCTCGCCCAGGAACCACGGAACAGTCAAAGCGGACATGACGGGCATGGCTTCGAGCGCCTGGCGGATTTCGAGGCGCATCTGGTTCTTCAGGAATTTGGGGTGGTGGACTGTTGTCTTGTCGAAGACGAAGATGTATGAGAGACCGGCGCAGATGAAGTAGTTTAGCAGACCGAAGACCNNCTGTAAAATTGTTAGTCTGCGATGCGGTTTCCAGAGGCTGGTTAGTCCCAAGGCATACCATGTGATAAGGAACAAAGAGACGGCTTGTCTGGCAATGTTGTCTCGCGGCCATCGGCTCATGTAGGCGTATGAACTAGGCTCGACCGAGAAGTACTGGCTCGCAGGCTCGAATTTGTAGGGNGTAACACCGCGGGCCATGCTCGACCAGGTAGCGTTAGGTGAGCCAGCAAAGTCACCGACAGTGCTCATGGCCAACATTGACGACGTCAAGGGCAGAACGGTCGCATATAGTCGATCGAATGCATATGTGTCGAGTACCTCCAGTATGACATCCATCGTCGCGGTATTGCTGTGTGGCGCTGTTGTGATTGTACGAAGCTTTGATTGTTGATAGGCGAGTATAAAGGAGATAAAAGGGTCCAGGCAGCTCCTTGGTAGAAAAGATTGGACAGTGAAGGCGTCAAAGTAGAAGGTACAGTAACCGGTAAAGAATGACAGGCGCGTGAAGCGATTGAAAAAGAACGACTTGTTTATCTATCAAAAGTGGCAGAGTGAGCGAGCGCGCTCCCGCAGCTCGGAATCAGCCCACAAAAATCGAACCACAATCAGAGGCAAATGAGGGAGCAGTGGGGCCTGGCCGTCCGGTGAGGTTACGGAGCAGAGTCGAGCGCGCCAGGGTTCAGCCAGACGTGCGTGCCGCTCCTGCCCGAACGAGCAACAATCGTCAGGGCCGCCTTGTTCCGCTGTCAGTCGCCTCTCCTCCCTAGTTTCACCAGAACGCCTCTTTCTGAACCCCTTCCGAACGAACCCCTGCCATTAACTTTAACCCGACGTGCTCGCCTTGTCAACTGGGCTGGGCAATCATGCTTTTGTACACGCGATTCCCGCAGCCTGCACGTCTCCCTGGCGCCATTCCAAGAGCCCAACGCTGCAGAAGTGGTCTGTCTTTCAGTCACTGTCGGTTCCAAGTTGCGGCCAAGCCCTGTCAGCTCTCCTCTATCTCCCCTGGTGTCGTCTCATCTCGAAAAACACAACGCTCATATCTCGGCGCACGGAGATTACACCATCTGAGGACCCGAGCAGCCTCGAAGGCCTTGTTCTCTTTGTTGTTGTGTTGTTTTATATCACAGCACAATAGGCGGCGGGATGCGTACTTGTGGTTGAAATGATTGTCATTTGTGAGCGCTCATCGAGGTGACCTTGAGAGCATTTCTCAACAAGCAAAGCGCCATAACTAGTGTTTGACGCGCATGGTATCATCAGCCTCTCCCTATCACGCCGTGCTGTAAAAACAAAGAACCCCATGAACCTGCAAACGATACGCCCCAGGAAATGCAGCCGCACCCCAGCTTTTTCTGTCCCCACGGTCTTCACAAGATACCGTGCTCGCCGTATGTCATTAGCTGCTGTCGTTAATTCAATCGAGATGTATCCCTAGCTACCTCAGCTCCTAGAAGGGCTGTTGCTGTAGCTTTGCGCATCTCTGTAGGGGCCGGACCAGGTTGGTGCCCCAAATGGCCAAGGTAATCTTTGATCTTGTGGTAATCCTCCATTCGGTTGGGGTGCTTTGATCGGAGGTAGTGCAAGAGTCTCGCCAGGATTCATTGGTGGTAAGCCAGATCCTACTACGTTAGACGGTCTGTTGGCCAAGTCAGCAAACCTGCCGTCTTGTAGACTCGCCGGAGTATTGAAGGAAGTGTTCTGACTCGTGTTGGTGCGTTTAGCTGGCCGTGGGGGTTCATCCTCATCGTCCGATAGGGTCAAGTCGATGACTGCCGCGGAAGGGCGCTTGGCGCTGGGTCGAGGTGCGACTGTCGATGCTTCACGTGAAACCGGTGGTGTTTGTTGTGCAAGGGCCGGAGTGGCCGAGTTGTTCTCGGTCTTGATCTTTCCAACGATCTCAGACTTCTTGGGGGTGTCTTGGATCTCGATAATGTCGTCGTCACTGTCATTGTCATAAGCTGCCCGTACCTGATACTTTTGGCGGCTGTTGGCATCGTCTCCATGGTCGACTGCTTTCCACTGTCCATCAGGCTCGATCGTGACTTGATCTACGGAGCTAGAAGTGTTCTGTAGAATGTCTTGTACATAGTTGTCGACACAGAGGCTCTGGTAAGAGAGGGTCTTGTTGCAGACGGGACAGGTCCAAGTTGGTGCCTGTTCCTGGAGCTGCAAGAAGAATGAACCATCGAAGCACTGGTTGTGCGAGCAGACATTGGATCTGCAAGGAATGTTGATGCGCATGGTTGAGATAGGATCCTTGAGTGACATGACGGTAGAAGTGGTGACGATATCTGGGTCTTGTGCTTTGGCCGCCACTNNGGGGTGTTAAGTCAGCTTTGCATGGCGCAGGAACGAGCGTCTGGAGAACCTACTTTCTCGAAGCACAGTATCTCGAGGAATCCTGCTTCCCGTTTGCTTGAGTCGGGTTGCGAGGTCGCTTGCAGATGTCAACTTGACGAGGTTAACCATAAGAGAAAATCGCNNTTCGAGTCAAGTCAGCACACGCATTCACAAAAGTTGGTAGGGAGTGGTCCGACACACTTCCTTCGTGAGCGCATAAGTCACTTGGATGACATTCTGATAATTGGGAATCTTGCGGATGAGATCGGTGATGTCGACAGGTTTGGTGGTACCAGGCTTATTCTTCAAGCCCTTGAAGCTTTTGCGCACTTCGTCTCCGTTGACCTTGACCTCAATCTGACTCGGGAAGGCTATGTCAACGTTGAAAGCGTAAGGACCCAGAGTCGAGGTAGTGGCGCAATAGAGCATGACGCGCAGAGAAGAGTCGGCTTTGAGAGATGTACAGATAGGTTCACTGAGGAAGACCTTCTCGTCTAGCGTATGACGATTGTGTGGCATTTCTGAANNTCTGCTGTGTCAGTCTCGTATGGTGGTCAGAACATGTCGGGATAGGGCCATGTAGCTACCTGACAATTCTTTGGTAGGTGCGAGTGCTTCTTTGATCTGATAGAAGGGACTCTCTTTGAACTTGACCGAGGCACGAGAGGGAGCGGCTGTGCGCGCTGGCTGGGCCTGGTGGTATTGAGACAAGCCAGCGGGCCTTGAATAGGCAGGCATGCCGGCAGTAGTATGCGGAGCTGGAGAAATGGGAGTGATGGTGTCGCGGGCCAGCGAAGGCTGATGACTTTGCGCTGGAGGAGTGCGACCTTGGTGCTCGGCTCGGTAGCGCAATCGCTCGAGTGCTTCTGCGTCGTTCTTGCGGAGGTAGTGGGCGATGACNTGGCGGACGAGTTGTTAGCGGCGGCGGGTTGTGAAAGTGGACGGACTCGTGGAATCGCTACCTTCAGAGATGCGCTTCTGCAGAGCGGCCTTCACGCCAGACACCTGCAGACCCTCTTGACGACAAATTTCCTTTAGGTCATTGTTGATGAGGGATTTTATTTTGCGGTCCACAAGAGACGCGAGGTCCCGAAGGCGGACGGAATCGCTTGCCATCTCTTTCAATCGTGCCTTCTTAACTTCATGCAGTGTCTTGTGCCAGGGTAGTTGCCAGGAGAAGTTGCGAAAGAATGGGCGATTCTGAAACCGGTCAAGAAGTTCGGCTAGTGAATAGCAGAGCACTTCACTCAGATACTCTGTCGTCGAAGTGAGTAAGTGAGGGCAAAGTGCTCATGTCCGAGAGACAGTTGAGGACCGAAGGCGATTGGGACGGGCGGCTTCTAGAAGTGAGATGGTTGCAAAAAGCACGATATCTACGGAATCGACATGGAAACGATTGACGACTGCTCTATGCGCCAGTGCTAGAAGAACGACGTTTACGGTGCTTGGACAGAGACATTGTTTCGTCGCTCGAGGGCAGCCTCCAGTGGGCAAACATCTTTCGGCCTTCTGGAAGAACGTGACCGTGCGTGGGTCGAGCAGCAGTGACGACCTCGCGCCAGTCCAAAGTCCGGCCCGCCAGGTTCCATTGCCTAATGCGGCGACCTTCAGCGTGGCGCCGACGAGGCAGAGAGAGAGGCTTGGACCTCGATGAGGAGCCACTCCTGTTGCAACACTCACAAAACCAACAGGAACCCAACATCCCATCTATTCTTGTTCCTTGCATCACAGGCGTCGATACTCGCAGTCAGTTGCTTGTGGTTTCACACGCGACTTGCGAGAACAAGAATTACCAGACCCTGCACGCTCCAGCAGGTGCAGCAGCTGCCTTTCAACAGTCGCCCGATCGTCCTTCTCCGCACGTTTAAGCGACTGCCCGCCGACCCGCTTTCTTGTTCCATCCCAAGAGAATTTATCTCTTTCTTTCACCGCAATCTCGCTCAACACAACCCCCTCCACACAGCAAAAATGGGCAAAGGTCTACGATCAAGCGTCAACAAGACCAACAACAGAAAGCTTAAGAAAAATGTCTTTGGCCCCGTCGAGGCCGCCCGCACCGAGCGTCTGTCGCAAAAGCTGCAAGAATTAGCCTCGCAGCCAAAGCCCCCAAAGTCAGACATGGAAGTCGAGGAATCAGGTGGTGAGACTNCCCTTTGCCGCGACACGTTCCTACCCAAACTAACGTCGCTGTTCACAGACTCGAAGCAGGCCGAGTCCGAGGCCAAGGCCACCAACGCAAATGGTGTGTTAAATGCTCTTGCAATCCCGATTCCAAAGTCGCTCGCCCATCAATGTCCCGCTACTGCTGCTGCCTCGATGAACATGCTCACTCCTCCACCCACCCCTCCGCTCGACATTTCCGACTTCAGCAACCGCTCTGTCAGATCTGTGCATGGACGTTATGCCGATGAACAGCTCTTCTTCCACCTCCTAGGTGTTTCGACCGACATCCACGGCTTCGACCCGTTCGGCAACATCTGTTTAGGGTTCGGATCCGATTCTGAGAGTGACAACGAGAGCAGCAGCAGTAGCAGCAGCCTTGGCAGCGGCTATGAGTGAGCCAGTTNNGACTGTCTGAACGAGGCTAACCCGCCTTTTTCATCATCAGACACCGCAATGGACCTCGACTTGACCAACGCCNCCAGATCAAGCTGGATCAAGGCCGAGAAGAGAGCCAAGGAAGAAAAGCGCAACCGCATCGCAAAGAAGCAAAAGCGCAAGGTCATCAACCAAATGACCTTCAAGAAGAACCCTCGTACCGGAAAGAAGTGAGAGGCACCGACATGCCATTTTCACGCTTCGAGACACAGAGACGAGATCGAGACACTTGATCTCAAGGAAGGACAGGTGGAGAGGGAAGGAGCAAGCATCAGGGTGCGGCCTCGTCGCCGCAGCCCAACGGAGTTCTGGAAAGGGTAGAAGGTCTGTCTTGGGTTCCAACAAAAGGATTACCGGCGTAAGAAATACCAAAGGTTGGCGGTTCTGTCGGAACAAGATGACGTTTCGAGGGTGTAGATGAAGTTTTGCTTAGCATACGCGACTGTCATATCCATGCGAAGAATCGAGTTGCATGTTTCTGCTCTGAGATCCGAGTCCGGTTTCCACATAATGTGGTTTGTGGTGAAAGCAATGCTATATGGGTATCCACGCCCGAACTCCTAGCTATAAACCATCCTCTCATAATTACAGTGTACAGGCAGTACGCTCAACACCTACTATTGCGCCTTTCCATGCATTCCAAATACTCCATGGACTCCGAGATCTGAAGTTCAACGTGCTCCATACTCACATTGACATGACATCGACATCGCCATCGCCAACGTCGATATGCGGATCCGGAATCTGTATATCCAGACTAAGGAAACCTGTCCTCCGTAAATCAATCAGCCTGACCTCTCTGCCTTCCCTTTCAGCCTCAGTGTTCCATCCCTCGACCCATCTTTCCATATCTCTGACTCCTCTCTTCACTCCAGTCCAGCCAAAGTTATCCCACAAGAATCCTGTCGCAACGCCCATCAAGGCATCAAACCAACTAGCCCAAGTATTCGGCTCAAAGGCATGCTTCAACATGGGATTCAGCGTCTCGATGACGTTTCTGAATTCGGATTCGGACATCCATAGATCCAGGATTTCTGGATATAAGTTTTGAAGGGCTGGGTAGAGGTCTCCTGCGGCCAGCCAATCTCGCTGCACTCTGATGACACGAGTGCTTGAGTATAGAGGAGAGGAGATGGCGACGTGAGGATTCAGATGTGGGAAACAAGGGTGTGAAGGACCCCAGGGCAGTTCGTCGTCCAGTTGTGTGTCGTGGCTGTGTGCGCTGGCCGTGTAGTCGACGTTGGGAATGCCTTGCCATCCTGGACTTGGCGGGAGGAGGCTGGGATGTAGACTTGGAGCGCGAAGGGAGTTGCGACTGGATTGCTCGTGGAGAGTGCGTCGGCTGGGTTTGCGATTGACAGGGAGGGAGGCTCGTGAGGGTCGTGAGTGGAGGCTGTGCGGTGGTTGCGATTCCAGGTCGGGAATTGGAGGAGGTGGTGGGTGGTTTTGGATGTTCGAGGCCTCTTCTACACCGGCAAGTTTGTTGAAGGGTTGCATATTGTTTGCTGCGAGTTGATCGTCTCTCTCGTCTGGACGATGGATGTTGAGCGATGGTTCGAGGTTTGTTTGCGCCGGCACTTGTGGAGCTCCTTGGTTCAACGGTAGTTCAGTTTCGAGAAGTCGATGCCCGAGATGGCAAAGAGTCCAACGCAGTTGATAGTTTCTTGGTGTGATCAAAAACGTTGTACATGGTCTTTCTGTCGATGGTAGTCGCAATTTCCGAGGGCCTCGATGGCGCTCAAGATGCACGGCCCTCGTCCATCTCAAGCCGTTGATTCCTATCTTCACCTTCTGATCTTCTAGAAGCATCAACTCGCCATATCTTTTGCACTTGACCCTGCTACAGTTTATCATGACTAGACACAAGTCCGATTCACTTACATCAATGTCCCTCCAAGATGCTGTGTATGTTACCGTCTGCCTGGCCATGACCCTGTTTGACATCACGCCTACGCGGTTAAGGCAATAGGAAGCGTACGCCTCCTACCACCCAAGTATATAAACACGCAGGTATTTGATACAGTCTCTCTTTCCCACATGTCTCGAGTTTCCTTCTTTGCTCGTCGACTTCTTTTCAATCTTCGTCACAATCTTGCAAACATGTCCAAGCCAAAGACCGACAACGCCTCGCTCTCCGCCACCACCCAAATCCCCCAAAACGAACATCCCGCAAAGCTATCTCAATACACTGGTCTCGAGCACTTGCCAGCTGCGGCTAGGTTTCCTTCGGTCGTCAACCCGCTCAGCATCAGAGTCCAGGATGGCACCGATGGCACATTTCCCGCATTTCTACACCTGCCTGAGAACTATCAAAATCAGCAAAGCACAGCCGCAATCCTTCTTTCGGGAGCTGGTGGTGGTGTGGTAGGCCCCTCTAGCATTTACCTCAGCATGGCGGACAAATTGGCCTCTTTGCAGCATGGCCTTCCCGTTTTACGCATGGATTATCGCTTCCCAGCTCGCAACAAATGTTGCGTCCCCGACGTACTGGCAGCCATGGACTATTTACAAGCCCAGCACAATGTCAAGCGCTTCGTTCTAATCGGGTGGTCCTTTGGTGGCGCTCCCGTATTTACGGTTGGTGGTCAAGACTCCAGAGTTGTAGGCTGCGCGACTGTCGCTTCCCAAACCGCAGAGACAGAAGGTATTAGGGCGATAGGAAGAAGAAGTGTTCCGGTTCTGCTCTTGCACGGTACTGGTGATCGTATACTGAGTTCGCAGTGCAGTGAGAGACTGTACAATATGTATGGATCAAAGGGACAAAGGAAGGCGCATTATTTCGATGGGGACGATCATGCCCTCACAAGGAACAGCGCCGAGGCTGAAAAGATGTTGTGTGAGTTCATCACGGGCATAGCTGGATTGAAGTTAGAAAGTGTTGAGAGGGAGATGGTGAATAGAAGTCTTGTTGACGAGGGAGACAAGACTGAGGCGATGAAGAGGGGTGGTGATTTGAGAGGTGCCGAGAGCATTGAGTAGGCGATGTAACGAGTTTAAATGCTGAGTGACATGTCTCCCGGTCATGAACACAACCCTACAGACTGAAGGCGGCAAGAAGATTGGCCGTTTCCACACTTCCTAATCTCTCCCCATGTATTAAAGCATGTGACGCGTATAGCTATAGGGATAAACAATAGTCATGAGAAGCAAGGCAGCACCCACTGAGAGACAAAATCTCATCAGCTCTCTGTGGCTATACCTTTGATGTTGGATAACACCGTGTCTTTCTATAGTCTAAAAGTGCCTTTATGTCGCAGTGGAAGGGCGGGATTACAGACTTTTGTTCACGGGGAGGTCTGACAGTTGAGTCGAAGAACGCTGGCCGTTGAAGCAAGCGTGGACAAAGTCTGCTGAAATTGGATACTCGTGTGACGCGAACCATCCATCAATTTTCATGTCCAGGTTCCCTCAGAATCAATCTGCGAACGATACACTCGGGTCTGACCAAAGATTGCAGTCATTATCCGACTCGAATCAATTAAGCATTATTCAGGCTTGTGTGCGAGTTCTGCAGTACGTCTTTGACAGCGAGGAAAGGCTTCATGTTTTTGGGCAGGGAGTGAAACACAAAAACATGCAACAGCTCAAGACCTGCAGAACTGACAGTGTCCGGTTTCAGTAATGCAGAAAGGTGACTTGCTCTGTAGACTCGAAGCCTTGTATGGCTTGTCGTTGCAGCGCACGCGCCAGAGAACATGTCTGACAGGAGAGGGCTGATCGTGCCGAGCCAAGTGCCCTGCCTGCACGGCGAGTCAACCGAGTTTGCAGGAGGCACCTTGCACTACTAACGGCCGGTAAATCTGGAGAGAAGCCTGTTTCGACTCCGCACGGTCAATAGCTGATGGCTGCAAGGTATTGCCACAGTGAAACACACAGCACATGTGTCTCGACGACTACTCGATGACACTTGCGTAGTGTTCGACGAACAAAGAGCACAGGGAGGGTGTCAAACATGGAGAAGGAGGCAGTTGAGATTATTCCCGATTTGCACACAAGAGTGGAACCAACTGCATCCCGAACGGGTGGCTGATCTTGGGACCCACATGCTGGCACAGCTCAAATTGAGTTTTGGCGCAACCGTGCCGACTGGTCGAAGAACAGTCGGAGTTGTGGGAACGGGGGCTTGATGAGGTTCTTGTGTGCAGGCGTTTTGCCATCTTCATACGTGTCTCTCCTGTCCGCCTCTACTCATCACCATCTCTCCACAGCATACCAACCCGCCGGCGCCATCGTCTCGAGTCCTTCGGCGCGAACCCATCGTCGGGAGTCTTAGTACGGTTTAGGGTCACCTAAACACTGTGCCTGTTCGCGACGCCGAGCAAAGTCGCGACGCGCTTTGAAGTGTAGCGCCCATCGATCCTCAGTTCTCCCCATCACCAAGCGACACCGCCAACTTCCAAGTCGCCATGTACAACGCGCATCGTGGTATAGCCGGGGCACCGGCTCCGCCAAACAACCGTCTCGTCGAGCTGCTCGAACAGGTCCGCGCCGAGTTCGAGGCTCAGGGTGGACGTGCAAACGAGTATGAGCATCAGCGTGAGTCGTCTCCGTTTGTCCCGACAAACACCTGCCCTTGGGGTAGTTATCTATCCACACATGCGCCGTCTGCTGTGCTTTTGCAACTCTTCCTTCGCTCTCCCTCTTCCCATTGCTGGCGACATGGCCTTCCCCAACCCCGATGTTGTGTATACCGACTACAACGGAAGCTTATACGATATANNGTCGCAAACCAGATCCAGGAGATGGAGCTTGTACGCAGCAAAATCTTCCAGCTTGAGCAGACACACATGCAGATGAAGCAANAAGTATGTTACCACTCTGCCATTGTGTCTAATGACAGAAGCCAATTAAAGTCTCAACGCAGGTACGAAGAAGACATCTCTCGTTTGCGCCGCGACCTTGAGGCTCGTGGAGGCCCAAGCCAGTCTTCGCACACCGGCCCTTCGCAGCCCCCTCCGCCCTCGATCGGCCACGGTCCCGCCAATCTCTTCCAGGGTATCATGGCCGGCGCCACTGCTCAGGGTGGCCCGGGTCTTGCCCCTCCGCCTCAAGATGGCCCACCTCAGGGAGTCCCTGCTCACATCCAAGGCCCACCTGGGCTGAACCCCTCCGGGTCCTCCTCAACACGCTCCTTTTGGTGGTTACGGCCAGCCACCCGCTGGTGTCAACGGTATGATCAGTTCATGAAAAGATTCAAGCAGAACTAACATACTCCTGCAGGATATGGCCCTGCACCACCTCAGCCTACCGCTTCTCCCGGCCCTGGCAAGCCCCGCACTAACGCTCGCGGTCCTCCTGGTATTCCTGGAACCCCTCAGCAGAACAACGCAAACCCCTACCCCGGCTCTCCTGCCATGGCACGTCCTACCCCTCCTCCCGCTCTTGCCCAACAACAGCAGGCCCTTTCTCTGCCTCAGCACCAGCAATACACTCAAGAGCTTGGTGGTAGCGGTAATCAATTGGTCGACTTGGCGGTTGAAACTCTTCCCAGCAACCTCAAGCGCGAGGGTGAAGACTGGTACGCTGTTTTCAACCCCCGCGTTCGTCGCACCCTGGACGTCGAGCTCGTTCACAACCTGGCCCACCAGAGTGTAGTCTGCTGTGTTCGTTTCAGCCGCGACGGAAGATTTGTCGCTACTGGATGCAACCGATCTGCTCAAATCTTCGATGTCGAGAGCGGCCAGCAGGTCAAGCATCTGCAGGACACCAGCCTTCCCNAGGATGGCGACCTTTACATCAGAAGTGTCTGCTTCAGCCCTGACGGTCAATACTTGGCCACCGGTGCCGAAGACAAGATTATTCGCGTTCGTACAATCTTCCATATTGACAATGTTTGTCTGCTGACTCAAGACTAGATCTGGGAAATTGCTGCTGGTCAGATCCGTCACCAATTTGCTGGTCACGAGCAAGACATCTACTCTCTTGACTATTCTTCTGATGGTCGTTACATTGCATCTGGATCTGGTGATCGTACCGTCCGTGTCTGGGATATTCCTAACAACCAGTGTGTTTTGTGCCTGACCATCGAAGATGGCGTCACCACCGTCGCCATCTCACCCGACAACCGTTTCTTGGCCGCTGGCAGTCTGGACAAGAGTGTTAGAGTATGGGAGCTGGCGAGCGGAAACCTTCTTGAGAGGCTCGAGGAAGCTGGTGGTAACCCTGGTCACAAGGATAGTGTGTACTCTGTCGCATTCTCACCCACCAGCAGAGAACTTGTTTCTGGCAGTCTGGATCGAACCATCAGAATGTGGGAGCTCCAAAGCCACTACCCCGGCAACCAAAATATGCCCCCAAGAAACCCTCGCGGAGGCAAGTGCATTCGCACTTTCGAGGGCCACAAGGTTTGTTATTTCGCTCCGCTCAAAATGTTGGAAATCGAATACTGACATGTGTGTANNAAGGACTTCGTCCTCAGCGTTGCACTCTCGCCCGATGGCGAATGGGTTCTGTCTGGCTCAAAAGACAGAGGTGTTCAGTTCTGGAACCCTCAGACTGGTGATGCTCAACTCATGCTCCAAGGACACAAGAACTCCGTTATCTCAGTCGCACCCAGTCCCGTCCAAGGCGGTCTGTTCGCTACTGGAAGTGGAGACATGCGTGCGAGAATTTGGAGGTTCGTTGCATCCCGCCAGCCGATTATGTTTCTTTGACTGACAATATTCTAGATTCTCCAGATACGACCCCGCCCGTGGCTGAGCAGCTGGGGCCAAATGATGTGACCAAAGTCAATGTTATTGGATGTTTACGTACATTGTTTTCGATTTCGCTTTCATTTGCCGGCTCTCTGGTTGTTCTCACTCGGCCTGCCTGTCTAGCTGCCATGTGGTAGATGGGGGCGTCAGAGCATTGCATCAATATGAAAAGACCCAAGAGCAACAAAGAAGATTGAAGTTTGGTAAGGCGAGAAGACAGGCGGAGTGTCTGTGGGGACATGGCCTCGTACATCAATGGTTCATGAATACCAATATTTCGAGGCGACGGACGTGTCTCATATTTCGAGCGCACAGCTCAGTGTGCAGAGAGGTTGGCTTAGTACCTTTTTGTAGCTTTCCCGGACCTTGTCAATCAAATTTATACCCTTTTATCGTTTGATACCTTTTATGCTTCGGCTGTATGAAGAATTCTCGATGTGACTTTGTGTACGCATGCGTGATGACAACCTGGGCTTGAATTGAGTAGGCACATCTTCTCATGACGAAAGAGCTCCATACTGCTCTTGTTGTTGTTGTGGTTTCGTTCCCAAACTGAGGTTTTGCAAGAAGGGCGGCTCGGAGGAGCGCCAAGATTCGATGACCAGAGGAAGTCGCAGTCGACTTGCGGGAAGCTGCTCTTGCCCGGCATCTTCTCACTCTGTCAACTTTGTCAGGCAGCAGAACCTTTGACTCGAGAGCTCCCTCCCAACGCGAACCAAAGGGCGACTCGAAACCATCATCGTCGACCGAGTCTCCATCGACGCTCCACTTCCCATCGAGGAAAAGACCCGTCTCCGGGACCAGCGTTAACTCCGAACGCGATCGCGCGCATTCAATCCATACCATCTTTCGAGCAGTCAATACGTAGCTTGTCGCACAGCCGTCCAGTCGCATCATGACACCTACGCCCCCGACAACCAATTCGTCGACGGGCGCATCTCCCGACAATGGCCAGTTTCGCGTGGTGCGCAAGAGGAACCGAATCCCTCTCTCATGCGGTCCTTGTAGGCATCGAAAGTGAGTTTTGTCGCAGAGGACTTGGTTACAGACATCTGACTGCTGTTGGAGGCTGAAGTGCAATCGTGGACACCCTTGCGACAACTGTACTAAGCGCGGCGACACTGCCTCATGTGTCTATGCCTCTCCCAGCGCTCGCAAGAAGCCTGGCATCCACCACGTACCCACTGGCACCCCCGACGACATGCAGAACCGCATCGATCGACTCGAGAGTCTGGTTCTGTCGCTCATGACCAACGGATCCCAGGCTGCTGGTCCCTCGGCTGCACACGCTGCCATCAACTCAAGCCGGAGCAATAGTCTTGGTACCTCGATTAGCATGCCCTTGGATCCCCACAGAGACAGCATCAGAGAAGTCGAAGGAGAAGATAGCGATATCAACGACGTCGCTCAAGACATCGGTATCATGAAAATTGATGGTGCAAAGGCTTTCTTCGTGCCTGATGCGCATTGGTATGCCATCTTGTCGGACATTGCCGAGGTCAAGAACTACTTTGCCAGTCACAAGGAGCAATACCAGGAACAATTTAGAAAGGTCGAGGCCTCGAAACAGGACGATGCTTCGGGCTCGTTCCTGTTCAAAGGCCCAAGGCTGAACAACAAGACTGAAGTCCTCGTTACCATGCCCGACAAGAATGCCGTCGATGACCTGGTGAAACGCTACTTCCAATCATACGATCCAGCCGTCCGTATGTAAATGCTCCAAACACTTTGCTCATCTCTTCGGAAGCTGACTCTACCAGATATCATCCACGGCCCGACATTCCAGGGGCAATACGATAGACACTGGCAAAATCCTAACGAGACACCCGTAACTTTCCTCGCGTTGCTGTACGGTATGATGACTCTCGCGTTGCAATCGTACACCAGAGCAGGGGATGAACCTCCGGAATACCAGGGCAGATCGCATGACCTGTCCATCTCCTTCAAGCGTCTCACAGCACAATGCATTGTGCTTGCAGACGTCACCCAGCCAATGCCGCAGCTAGTTGATGCTCTCATACTACATATCCAGGCCGAGCACAGCAGCAGCAACGACGCCGAAACTGGCATTCTCTTGCTTGTCAATCTGTGCACCCGTCTGGCGATGCGTATGGGTTATCATAGAGATTCTGGCCCGTACCCTAGTGTTTCGCCATTCACTGCCGAGATGAGACGACGGGTTTGGGCCTTTGTACGACAGGCTGATCTGCTTTTCTCGTGCCAATTTGGCCTTCCTCCCCTCATTCGCTCAGATGCGACCGACTCTGACCTTCCCCATAACATCTTTGACGATGAGTTCACCGAAGACATGAAGTTGTTACCTCCTTCTCGGCCAGATGCAGAAGTCACTCCAGCATCGTACATGATTGCGAAGGCTCGGTTGATATCATGTTTGGGCCAGATTGTCGAGCGCATCCAATCAGTGACATCGTCTCCAACATACGAGGAGATCATGAAATTGGATGCTCAGCTTCGTGAGGCTCGTACTCAAATCCCTCCTCATCTCCAGATGAAGCCTCCTTCTGAGCTGGCCACGGTTGCTCCAAACCTTATCATGCAAACGTATGCCTTGGAATTGATCTATCTCAAGTCGCAATGCATGTTGCACCGCAAATTTATTGCGAGAGGACGTGACTTGCCGCGCTACGCATACTCTAGAAGAACTTGCATTGATGCCTCGATGGAGATGCTTAGCCACCAAGCTACACTCTACCTGGAATCACGAGATGGTGGCAAGTTGCGATCCGTCAAGTGGTCCATCTCTTCGCTCACGACCCACGACTTCTTGCTTGCAGCCATGATCGTGTGTCTCGACCTTTACCACACTTCGGAATCTGATAGAAGCGTGGTCAAATCCTCTTCATCAAATCCATCGTCTCCATTGACAGGAGATGTGTGGACACAAGACCGAAGAGAGCAGATGATCGTAGCGCTTCAGCATTGCGCCTCCATCTGGGAGAGTTTGCGAGATAAGAGTATGGAAGCTTACAAAGCATCTACGCAGCTTCGCGTAATGCTGGGTAAGCTGAGAGCACAGGAACAGCAACAGACAGCAATGGTCGGCGGCAGGGAGCAGCAAATGCGTAATCCCAACCAATACGGCATGCGTGGCCATTCTTTTGGTGCCTTCCCCAACGGCCAAGTGTCTGACCTCGTTGAGGACGAGGTTCCGCCTGAGCATTCTGCAGCAATGACATTGGGCCTGCTGTCCTCGGGCGGCGTTAGTCCCAATGCTGGATTTGCCTCGAACGCACCAGGCTCGCTAGGCATGGAAACACGTGGATACCCAGCCAGTATGGCTGGCCTGCTCAATGAGCCCATGTCTGAGCGTACGGGATTGACACCACAGTACAGTGGCGTGGATGTCAACGGTGCACAAGCTGTTCAAGGTGCAGCATCTCCATTTACACAGCTATTTGGCGGCGCAGCACCAGAAGTAGATTGGGTATGTGTTCCCCCTGCATAGTTTTGATGAGACGTATGGCTAATTTGAGACAGGNGCGCATGGGACTCATATGTCCAAGGAGATCCCATGCAGATGTGGTCGATGAATCTTGAGGTCAATCCATTGGATGGTCAACAAGCTCAACAGCAGCAGGCGCAACAACAGGCACAACAGCAGTTGGCTCAACAGGCTCAGCAAGCGAGCATGAATAACATGTTCATGGGCCCAGCTGGTGCAGCCAACATGATGTGAAGGACAAAATGAACGGGACCAACGCGACGAACGAATTAGGGAGACAAATGCGGGAAAAGATATCATTTGAGCATCAGGCGTTCTTGTTAAGGCCGGCTATATTGTTTGCTCGGAGGGATGGTTTGCGTTGACACAAAATGGCTAAGAGGACGGAGAGTAATTCGTATGACATTCGTGGCTATGGCTATCGTTACAAGCAGATGATTGCTCTCAGTAAATCGAGCAAAGTTCATGTTTACTTGTAATCGGAGTTTGGGTAGCCGCCCTTGTCAACAGGGTTGGCAGGACCTCCTCTTTGACCCAGCACACCGGCAACGTCAACTTCCTCCTTCTTCTGTGCCTTGATGTCCTCTCTGGCCTCTTTCTGCTCCTCCTTCTTGCGGTCTAGATCAGAAGCTAGGTCGGGTGCTGCTCCCGTGGCTCCTGGCTTCCTGTCGACAACGTCGGCGACCTTTCCTTCACCCGGAGCAGCCATCTGTTGTGCGTCGAGTTCTTGGTTTCTACCGACAGACTCGTGCGTCTCGCCCTTGGCCTCTTCGCCGGGCGGGGCACCACGAATACCACGGGCTACTGAGGTCGGGGTAGCCTCGGACTGGGAATGTGCTTGCTCGGAGGGGATGCGCTTGTCGCTGTCATGGGTCAGTGACCGAGGACGAAAGGAACGACTGACGGGGTCAGGACATACATTGCGGGCNGAGTCATCTTGCTGGTTTGCTTGGGCTTGTTCTGCGGGCTCTTTGGTGGCAGGATTGCCGGCAGTCGTGTATGCTGCGTCCAAGTTGGGCTGCGAAGGGCCCTTGGGATCGAGGCCAGAGGACGACATGATGGTGCTGTGTTGGTTGTATGTGGTTGGTATGTGGTTGGTATATGCGGGACTATGGCAGCAATTGGATGTATGGGTTATCTCTTGAATAATAATACTTTGCTGATAAGAAGCTGTCAAGCAAGCTGTTGGTTCTGGTGGTCGCTGTCTCTCCCGCACATCGTCATTGCTTTCCCCACCAAAAACATGCCGCGCGACGTCATGGCTCATCATGAGCTCGAAGATTGTCTACCGCGTACAAAGGTCTCTTCTCTCGCCCGTTTTTCACTTTGCTCTATCAAATCTGAATTCTACACAACTTCAGAAACTCCAAAACATATTCAAAATGGCATCTCGCAAGGAAATCATCAACAAGATCTACAAGATCGTCCCTCCCATGCTCGAGAGCTTCCACAAGGGTATGAGGACCCCCGGGCAAAGTCTATACAAGAAACTCAATTGACTTTTGTGCAACANNGGTCAGCTCGGTCGCGTGGCCGTCATTGGCGGTAGCGAGGACTACACCGGTGCCCCCTACTTCTCCGGCATGGCCTCTGCAAAGCTCGGTGCCGACATGTCACACGTCATCTGCGAGCCCGGCGCCGGCCAGGTCATCAAGACCTACTCACCCAACCTCATGGTCCACCCCTACATGCGTCAGAGCAAGAACATGAAGGAGGGTGAGACCATCGACAACATCTCAAAGACCGTCACCGACATGCTGTCCCGTCTCCACGTCGTTGTCATTGGCCCTGGTCTCGGCCGCGATGAGGCCATGCAAGAGACCTGCGCTCGTGTCATTACCGAGGCCCGCAAGCAGGGCATCCCCTTCATTGTCGATGCCGATGGTCTTTTCATCATCCAGAACAGACCCGAGTTGGTCGAGGGCTGCACCGAGTGTATCCTCACACCCAACGTCGTCGAGTTTGGCCGTCTGGCAAAGGCANAGGGCATTGACGCCACCGGCGACCCTACAAAACTGTGCGAGGAGCTGGCCAAGGCATTCGGCGGTCCCACCATCATCCAGAAGGGTGCCAAGGACTACATTTCCAACGGCAAGGTTACCTTTGTCAACGACAACGAGGGTGGTCTCAAGCGTTCCGGAGGTCAAGGCGACACTCTAACTGGTTCCCTCGCCACTCTTCTCGCTTACAGAAAGGCCTACCACGATAAGCTCTGGGACCACGAGAACGACCTGTCCGAGCCCGAGACTCTGGCTCTGGTCGCTTTCGGTGGCTCTGCCATCACCAGAGAGTGCTCTCGCCTCGCATACAAGGAGAAGGGTCGTTCGCTGCAGGCTGGCGACTTGACCGAGCACGTCCACACTGCTTTCCTCAACACCATTGGCGAAAAGACAAAGATCTGAACATGTCGCCTGTAATGACTTTGACGGCTTTGATACAAAATATTTCTCTTACCCTTCTTATTGTAATGTAGCGTTTGCATCATGAATAGAAATGATCATGACCTTTTTATCAGTATTGTTTTCCTCTCACCAAAGTCTTCCTTGTATAGGTTTATGCAACATTTGTGTAAGTCAAATGAACATGCGTCCAGGGTCACTTTTGAGAATGCTTTTGTAGTGAGCTACTCGACCATTTGCTTATGCAGTGTCTGCGATTCTTGATAACTTCTTCTATAACTACTAATACTACCACGGGCACCATTGGAAATCTTGATGACACGACAATTGTCATATTTGTCGTCTAGATGCCGACCAATGCGTGTGGACCATGAATGAAGCTTTCTTGCAGCAAATTCAATTGACTCCGTGATCGCGACAAGCATCAACCACGCCCTACCTCAAAGACATGTGTATCGGAACGGCTTCATGAGTAGTTTTAGCAGCCATACAGATACGATCCACTACAGAAACAGGCACATAATGTGGTGGACATTGTCCTCAAGACACGAACAGGGCCACTACCTCGACAACCAAGCATGTTAATCACAAGGTATTCGTCTCCGATCTTTCGGATTAGGACCGACGAGCTCTTGACCCTCTAGGAAGCGACCGCTTCGTCCTTTGACCTAATCAGGATATAGAGGCTCAAAACCGCGACGCTCAATGGCCTAAAACAACATTATAGATGCGTCACGATGCAGTCAAACGTGCCAACAGCAAAAACAAGGTCAAAAGAGGTGGTGAGGTGTAGCAGCGCAGATCGTGGAGAAAGGTCCTCCAACACGTTGATCCACAAGAATAGTGGAACCGTAGGTACGGTCCGTCAACTCACCATGAATGACCGTAAGACGTTTTCGGGTCCTGGACTTCACAAGCTTGAGCTCCAAAGCATATATGATCAGCAAGAAACTACTAAACACGGTGGCTGGAGAGCAAAGAAAGACACGGTGCTTTGGTGCATGATCCTAGTTAGATGACGCTTCAGCTGTTCGCATGCTTGGAATCGACGATCAGCTGAGGCGCGTGTGGATAAAAGGTTGCGTCCCCATGTTCTTGCTCGACACGATATTAAACATAGCTACCTATCTCTATCCAACTACATACCACACCAGCTGCCTAGCTGCACCCAGTCAACATTTCAAAAAGACCAGGAACAAGAACAGGAAAATGGCAGACAAGGTGTACGTTCTGCCCTTCCTTACCATCGAAACTTTCGGCGACACAGGAGCTGATTCCAAAATNNACCAACAGTACCCAAAACACACCCGATGTCGCAAAGGAGCCATTACCTACTGGTCGCAACCCTCTCAACGGCAACCCTGGCAATGCACTGAGCCAGCGCAGCCCCACAGACACCGCAGCAGGAGACGACAGCAAGAAGGGCAAGGATGACAGGGATTCCAGCTTGAAGATCAAGATTGAGCTGGACCTGGACGTGGAGGTACATCTGACTGCGAGAATCAAGGGAGATATCACTATTGGTCTCTTGTAAAGAAGGTTGTTGGAATTAATGTTGATGAAGAACGGAGATTGTACATTACCGAAGACAATGGCCTGTAGATACCACGAATTATTAATTGAAGATACCGAACAACTCTGTCCATCATAGAGGCATTTGCCATACAAATAGAGCAAGCGACCCTGTGCAACCATACCGGACGAGCAATAATTGTCCATCGAATGCAAATGCATTAAATAATGACATCACGGAGATTTCGCGGGCACCAAAAACCGTGTTTGCGGGTGCGACTCAAAAGGTACATAGATAAACCTTGAGAAGCTTCACTGTGATAGCTGTCCCTAAACACCAAAAGTGAACACCTCTATCTGGCTCTATGGTCTTTGGTATCCTGACAGCCGTGGCGGCCTGTCCCGCTATCATCGGTACGACCGAGGCCATTCGACAGGGACAGCGTCAAAATGCTCGCGAGGAACACCGAGGACGGAAGTCAAACCTGACGATTACTTTGCCAGTCAGGAATTCCTACAGCGAACAATTCGATGGTGCAATGGTTGTGCTCAAGGACAACAAACTGTACATCGACACGGAACACAGTCGATTAGGTGCGAACATGGCCCACCCATTTTCTGGATATTACCTCCCTGTGCCATGGATGGGTGAACGCTGGAAGAAGGCAGGGTTCAGGCATGGCGAGGGAATGGTCACTACCATCAGCGATGATCCACCGTTTTTAAATTGGGTCTATCTGGACAGCAATACACACGAGGTCAAATACGGCATACGTGTCGAAGCGGAACCCCATCACGTGGGTCCCTGGGACTGCACTCCCATCGACCGCCGCTTGACGTTCGAAGGATGGGAGGGTTTCGTCATTGTACAAGAAGACGAAGAAAGTGACCTCTGGGCATTGTATTTCGACCGCGACGATGATGGCTTGCGAGGTGAAGGCAAAGTCGGCACCCAGGACAAGAGAATGCTTTTGGTCGAGGTTTCGAGAAAGGAAATGCGGAGGACCAAATTGGTCTCTGACGAAGAGAGGATTACACGGATTCGCGAGCAAGCGGATAAGGAGAAGAGGCGAGCACAAGCAGAACTCGAGGTCACAGCAGCAGCACCTACCGAGGAAAAAGCACCGCAAAGCTCAGGCTCACAACCTGCGACGAGTGTTGGGATCAAGGCTCAGAAGCCCGAGAGCGAAGAATCAAAAGCCCATGATGACACTCTAAGCGCATCTATTGAACGAGGTCTTTCCAAACCTCTAGATTCGTTGCACATCGGATACAACAATGGGACCTCGAATGCCGATATCAAGGCGAAGGATAACGAGACTACAGCCGGAGCAGGATTAACAACTCACCACGACAACAACTCGAGCGAGTCCATCTACCAGGAGTCATCGCAGTCATCAAGCTCGTATCACACCGCCAGCTATGAGATTACTTCTGAGACTCATACGACCACTACAACTTGGTGATAGATGGTCTGGTTACCTGGGAATGTGATCTTTCCTACCATCAAGCTAGCTGGACAAAGTACAATGCTCTTCGACATTAAGTCAATCTTTAGAAGAAACTGCATTTTCAAGGCGACCCAAGGATATCAAACTCGAGGAAACAGCATTCGGGTTGTGTTTCTGGCCAAATCGGACTCAGGAGAGCACTTGCCGACCGGGTCTAATAACATTATTCCATCAAGGCTCCGCACCTTCCCCAAACACACGCACACCGCGCAACAGAATCCTTTCGTACGTTAAAGTTGCGATAAGGAAGAGTTATGAAGCGCTACTCGAAGTCCGTATCAATTTCCACCGTGCGCCTTCACCAAACTTCAATCGAATTCGGCCGAGGTCTACTCGTATACTAGGCCATGACTGGTTCTCGTATGCACTTTGGTGGCAGTCCCAAGTGCATTCGTGACATGCAGAAGCGAGGTATATATATATATATATATATATCAACGAGTTCGCCAGCCGATCCAGAAAAGCCATCGCAAATACAACTTTCCCCATCTATTTTACTGCCAACATCATTCCTATCAACCTCTAGCGGTAGAGAAAAACCCACTATGAACTCAACCACGACCAATTCAACCATGATCAGCCCATCCAGCCAATGTCCCGAATTTCCAGAAAGCCCACCCAACATGACCGTCTCTAGCTTTTGCGCTTTGGGGTCTTGCGGCCACAACACAGCCATCATGTCCCTCTGCTGCAGCGGACTATGCTTTGAGAATGTTGGATGCCGTCTCGACTGCGATTGTTGGCAAATTGTCATGATCGGGCTACATATACTTTGGATCCTGGTAATTCTTGGGTGAGCATGATGAGGTTAGTGTTTCGCGGATAGTGATGGTTATTCCTGGCTTTGATCAAAGGCAAGTGCCCGCATCTTCTGTATTGGCAAAGTATACTCGTGTCCTGCTGCAGCCTTCAGTCCTGCCATTCACAGACAGATACGTAGTTGATGGGAACACAAGGCTGTGTTTGCGTCCGCAATGTAATTACGTGTCTCACAGTCCGTTCGTTGTAAATTCGTACGACTTCCTTTCACTGCAATTCTTGGATTAGAGCACCGACTATCGCAATCAACATGGATTATGGCTTTCTAGGTCTTAGAGCGCTATATATGTAAAAAGAACCACGCCATGAGTATGAACTCCTCCCACTATCAACCTCGATACTACTCAAGATTGCAGGATGCCTTCAGAAATACTGCGAAGCACTTTCGATTTCAATGCGCTTATGATTGGTAAGATTCCAAGAACGACCCTGGTCTTTGGTTGTGATGTTGATATTACCAAGGTCTTCGGCGGCTATGTGTAGAGATGTCCAGATCAACCATCCTTGCACCATACCGGCCACTGGAACTCGTCTCAAGTGGCGGGTTTGTTTCGGTCATGCACCTCCAAAACCGCATCTCAACCCACGATCTCGACTTTTTCCCCAACGAACGAACTTATGGAAGACACCATCGAGCCGTCAGAGAAGAATTGCTGCGTTTGATTGCCAAAGTCGCCAGAAACCTGAGGTACAGATCCGATTGGGCCAACGACGAGGTCAAGTTTTTCTTGACGCTCCTGAATGATCCTGAAGCCCTCTTCAACGAATCAAAGCGGCAGATGCGTGCCGTCTACCAAAACGAGTATCTAGCAATCTATGCCGTCAAGTGGGAGTGGGTACTCGCTCGCAAATTGAAGCGACTGCAGAGACCCGGCCGCTACCAGAAGCCTCAAGATTGGTTGGACTGCGTGTCCATCACAACACTCCTCCTCGATAGGGATCGTGTTCAGTTAAGTCCTAGTCTGTTGAGACGTTACGACCATACTAACGTCGAGACGCCTGTCCGGCCCAAGATAGTGGTCGAGTTGAGCAGTCGTGTGCGCCAACGCACCAATAGAGATCCATTCCCTGGTTCGGTCTGGGTGTACACGCGCCGTGGATTCCACTACCAGTGGACTACTGGAGAATCGATACCGCACAACTTGTGGCCTCCAAGGAGAGGGCGAGTCAGCGTTTACATCGCTCATCAACGACAATGGAGGATCTTTGACTTCAGACGGCAGATTTGGTTGTGATCACCGCTAAGCAAAAACGGCCAAAAGAAGGTCGCAACGAAAGTGTTGTGGTGGAAGAGGGCGAGTAATCAAATCGGCAGAGGGCAAATGTAGCCCCAAGAAACAGCCTACGTATTGAATATTTGCCTCCGTTTTACAAGAAAGAAAGAAGCACTTACTGTTCATGTATCTGATTGAGCTGCTACCTAGACCGTGTTATATTCGACTTTGGAAAACAAACGGTCGATGTCCTGCCTAAAAGTCAAGTGTCACGAGTTTGCCTCGTGCACAAGAGCAAACACTTGGAACCGTCATAGAAACAGCCGTGGATATGTATACTCACAACTGCCAGTCCGCTGATTGTTTCCCTGATCAACACCACTGCAACTTCATCTCACCATCATGTCCGAGTCTCCACCTGGCAGGATGACAGCACTCCCTAGACACAACCCCATTACCTCCTACCTCTATGCGAACGTACCGACCAGATACTGGGCGCTGCTTTGGCTGTTCAGAGGCTCCTCCGTCCACCCCATGACTATCGTCCGGAAGCTCGTGTTTTCCCCACTGACTTTGACGCTACCAAGGCCTTTACCACTACCAAGAGCCTTGCGCGAGAATGAAAGTCTTGTGTGGAAGAGGTACGATGGCATCCACGCACTTCGATACGTACGAAGGTTTCGGTCCCATGATAAACCAATCTACTCGGTCTATCGCATGTGCGAGTTCATCTGCTCAGACGAAGGCGATCAGCTCATGACCGAGACTGACTACTTCTTGGCCAGAACGAACTGGCTGCTCGAAAATATAGCCGATCCGGATGAAGACAATCCAGAACGACGTGCTCTTTTGGCCGCAACCATTGAAAGTCTTGTTGACGCTTTCAACGAAAAGCACGATCTCGGAGTGACACGTAAAGGCGTGGTTGTCCCGAGACAAGCGTGTCCAAGATGGGTAGAGGAAGTTCCTCCACTAGATCGTTTTCTTGACTTGGTGCAAGAAGAGGAAGAGTTCTTCGAATCGTCCATCGAACGGACTGATCCATTCACGTTGCGCAACATTAGAGCACATTCAGCGCATATTTTCAACTTTTGAAGTCAGTTTAGAATCAAAAGTGTTAGTCAAAAGTCCTCCATCGAAGTTGCGTAAGCTGAGAAGAACGAGGAGGTGTACAAAAAGTCTTCATTCCTTCCGCAAATGATTCTCGGTAGCAGAAATCGACTAAGTCGATCATGGAGAAACAAGACGGAAAAGTGCTCTGGCGAGGCGCGTTTGCCTGCTCCCTTGCGGAATGGGTGGATGCATTTGTTGTGGTTGTTTTGGAGAGAAGAAGGCAAGAACTGTGGGAAGACTGGCATACGGTTAAACTTGCAAGCTTTGTTTAACGCAACTTGTGCCCAGATGGTCAAACAGCTCACCCCACAAATTTGTGATTTCGATCAAACATCTCTCATCGTCCCTCGAACCACTGCTACCTACTTCCTTCCAAAACCCACACCGACCAAGACTTGCCCTCAACTGTAATGCCGCGACACGACATGAGAATGACTATTTCGATACAGTCATATTGCTCAATGGACCACACGGCTTCGCTCGATTGTGGCCAACCTTCGCTTTACTGAGAGATGCTCGATCCAGTGTGCAGTCAGATCCGCAAGAGACCATAAAGGCTTACACACAAGCTTCCTACTGTCAATATCCTTGACCATGGCGCCTGCCGGACGGCTCCGCACCGCGACTTAGCAGCCTTGGGATTGATGCTTGTTTTAGCCGTGTCGCGAAAGTGATATAGATGGCTGGTCTTCCCCGCCATGATCGACATGGATTGTCTTCGAATTAGGCACAGCACATTTAGCCAGAAATACATACTCCATACCCATGAGTACATCCTGTTACTCTGCGGGGATGTCCAGGTTTACAGGACGACTAGCAAAGCGCCAGGTCCGGAATGGGCGGTCGACATGCCGTCTTCCGACTTCATCTCCTGGAATTCATGCCTGCGGCTGGCCATGATGGTCCCATTATATACCTATTCCAGGTGGTCCGGCTATCGATTTATGCACCTACGTAACCACAGCTCTCCAATGTTCCCGTGGTATTCAAGGCGGGGACAACAGAAAGAGTGCTGAAAAATTGTCGTGTTCTATTTTGCCATAACACCCGCCGGTGGTATAAGTTCTCGAGGTAAGCTCCCTCTTGAAATTGCCTTGTATCCTAACCCATCTTCCATATTCAGGGAAAATCAAGCCCAGGATGAAGAACTCTCTTATGTTGACGGCTCTTGCGAGCACCGTCTCAGCCAAAGGATGGGGCCCTTACCATCCTCCTGCCTACTCGAATAATTCCCTGAGCTTCGATGCAACTATCAGAGTCAATGCCGAGCAGCGATACCAGACCATGCTTGGTGGTGGATGCTCAGGCGCGTTTGGAGCAGCTTGCACTACCAACACTCTTTCAGCAGCCGACCAGGACACAGTAGTCAGAACATTGTTCGATGAGAATATCGGTGCTCTGTCTATTCTCCGCAATCTGATTGGATCTTCTCCTGGCACGACTATACTTCCTACGTGCCCAGCAACCCCCTCCGGTCCCTTCAACTACACCTTCCCAACTGCCAACAACGACAGCTGCCAGTTGACACTGGCCCAAAACGCACTCAAATACAATCCAGACCTCTACTTGTACGCAGATGCTTGGTCAGCCCCAGGCTGCTTCAAGACCACTGGTCGCGAAGCTGGCGGCGGTCTCATCTGCGGTGTCAGACGCTCCAACTGCACATATGACTGGCGCGAGGCTTACGCCAACTACCTGATCGAATACGTCAGACTTTATCAGCAGCGTGGTATCAAAGTTTCTCTCCTAGGCGCCTACAACGAACCTGACTTCAATCCTGTCACCTACTCTGCAATGTTGTCTGACGGCTACCAAGCCTACGACTTCCTGAGTATCTTCTACCCTATGGTCAAGAAGGCTTTCCCCAGCCTGGCTGTGTCCTGCTGTGACTCAACCGGTGCCCGCCAACAGCGAGACCTTCTTTACGAGCTTGGTCGCCTTGGTGGAAAGACTCTTTTCGACGTCAACACCTACCACAACTACCAGTCCGATGTCAAGAGACCTNTTGACGATCTATTGGCTGGTCAGCCTACCCTCGAGACTGAATGGAGTGATGGCGGCAGCACCTGGACCAGGACATGGGATGTCTCTGGCAACAACTTCGAAGGATTCCAATGGGCTATCTACATGCACAATGCCTTCCGAAACAACGTGGCTGGTTGGAGTCACTGGTGGTGTGCATGGACTTCGCCCACAGACGCCTCCCTCGTCCAGGTAAACGGCACTTCTTATCAAGTCTCTGCTCGCTTGTGGGCCTTCGCTGGTTACTTCCGTTTCGCGCGTCCTGGCGCTGTTCGTCTGTTCACCGACAGCAGTGTCGAAGAGGTCTATGTCACTGCATGGCAGAACAAGAACGGCACCATTGCCATTCCTGTCATCAACGCTGCACACTACACGTACACTTTGAATGTGCAGTTGTCTGCCACCAATGTGTCGATCGCGACTGCCTACTTGACAGACAATGACCACAACGTCACCCAGGCTGGTCAGTTCACCTTTGAAGGCGGCAGGTTCACGGCTCAGATCGAGCCCAGAGCCATGAAGACGTTCTTCTTGGAAGAGGCCGCGGCTTAATCGCATTCAAACGCTGGTTAGGTGGTTGTATGACGCTGGAAACCAGTACAAAATATTCCGAGGAGATTTGTCTTTTACGCTCTCTAGCTTGTTGTTGTGGTGTGAATGTGTTCAGATAGCTATCAAGATCTATAGAACATGAGCCAGAAGTTACATCCTTTGTCAGTATTCAAGGAGGTGCCAATCGATGAGTGCCAGAATGTGACTATTTGGGACAGGGACGAGAAGATAACGACTCAATGGGCGGCAAGCAGAAGAAAACGCAGAACGTAAAGCAGCAGGGTTTCATGTGATCATTCAGCGCGGTACGGATCTACCATCCAACTGTCTATACCTAATTACGGCAGACGGCACGACGGGTACGCCGGAGAAGCGTTACTGTCACCAAGCGATTGCACACAAACACTTTTTGATTGTGCCGACAGGGTTGATGCAGGGATAGGGGATTGCTGAAACACGTTTATAACGCAGGCTCACGAGGCGGAGGAAGAACGAGTTCGCCAGACACACAACCACATACCAATCAGCCCACACTAAGATGCCTGAATGCTTATTTGTTTCATGATTCGTAATCTCGCACTAGCTGATCGGTATGATGTCTCATTGCTCCACCCATGTCCTAATTTTCGAGGAGAACCCGTCGTCAATCCTTTACATGAACTTGTTGGCCTCCTGGTCGACAAAGCCGTCGATGGCGCCATCGGCACCTTGAGGGACACCTTCCTTGGTCAAAAACTTGTTGGCCTCTGAACAGATTGTTAGTTGTCATCGCTGGCGAAATTGAGTAAAGCAGTCGTGCATACCGGTGTTGAGCATGGCATCTTCACCGCCAGTTTTGAGGGTGTTCTCGAAGCCACCGCCGCTGCTGTTGTTGCTGTCCGAGTTTCCACTTGAATTGCCGCTCTGTTGAGAAAGGTCACGCTCGGCATCTTGAGCAAGGCCACTGTCTTGCTGGTTGTTGTCACCGCCCTCGAAGGCCTGCTCAGCATCACGTATGAATCCAGACATGTTGACGGATGTGTTTGAAGCGGTATTGATGTGGTGTTGGTTTGTGTCTGTGTTTAGATGTAATGTTGATGGAAGATTCAAGTAAAGAAAGGAAGGCTGCTTGACGTTCTTATACCTATCCGTCCCTTGACCGCTTGTCGTTCCACTCAAGCATTCTGACGTCTCATGAGCTCATGCTGCAACCAAAGAAACCAGCTTGATGAGATCCGGACCTTGGAAGTGAACCCCTGCCACGCACGGCAATGACGAATCACCTACCCGCAATTGGCTTTCCTGGGCAATGCTTATCGCCACTTGGCATTCTGTGACAGGCAGGTACCCTATTGATGCCTGCAAAAATCAACCTGCTCACCTCCTTTGACAGTTTGACTTGACCGACGTGATTGTGTAGCCCATCCGTGATACAGGAGTTCTTATTCTCGGGACTTGATAGCGAACGCAGAGCCAAGATTAGAGAACGCGGAGATCCACCCCACCACCGAATGTCCACGACAGCCAAAACATTCTTCGGACGGTCGGTCAGTACGGCCACTCCGCGTTTATCCAGAATTTCCAGATCTCCAATCCTGCGTTCTACCTTTCTAGTTATTTTGAAGCTTGTCCCGAGTATATACCTTTGCTATTTTGACCGTCTAGCTGGATTATATATATAATGCTGTTCTTATGCTTATATCTAGCAATTTTATAGGTATCTAGGTTTATAGACTGCCTATAACGTAGCATAAAAAATATCGATATATAATTTTAGTGGGGGTATTTGTACTATAGTAGAAGGGGGCCAAGCAATCTAGACTTCGGAGGCCCCCGCTTTATAATATAACATAGCTATATCTCAGAAACACTAGAAAGCTAATGATGTAGAAAGATAGAAACAAAAGCTACAACACTAGAGAGGTAAGGATAAAGATGCTACGACGCTAAAAAGGTGGGAACAAAAAAGCTGAAAAGCTGAAAAGCTGCAAAGGTAGGATAAAAGCGGAGTGGCCGTACTAACCGACCGTCCTTCGACACGTTCCCATTATTGATCATCAACTCTGCGACGACTTGCCTCAACCCTGCCAATCTTCCACCTCGTAGAATGCTTCAAGACCAAGGAAGCACTATCTCACCAAGCGCGCGAAGAATGTATGCAGAGCCCACTCGAAACAAGCGTGCCTGTGATTGTGATTGGGCGGACTCTATGCTAGGCCAAATCGCTGGACCCTAATGTCTAAGAATACTTTCCTGGTTCATCTGGTCTTAACATAGGAAAATTCAAGCGACGCATTGCAGTCAATTCTTTAGGATGACGGCTCGCAATATGCAGGACAGTGCAGTAGGTCAACGGTGGTCGCGACGAGTAACGTTTATGCTTTACAATACTGTCGAAGAGTCCAGCACCGCCATGACAATCCATTGACTCTACCTCGAATCCTTCACGAGGACGGTGTACAAGAGAGCAACATTTCCCTTCTCAATTTTCCCTGTTTCATAGCATAGCTGAGCGCGCCTCCTGCCAGACAACATGCTGCTTCTTTCGGTAATGGTCGCTCTTATGAGCGCGAGCCATGTGCAAGCCAAGGCGGTCTTTACTCATTTCATGGTACGCTATTTTGGGTGATAACACGAAATCGATGCTGACATACCATTAAGGNTAGGGAACGTCAACTCGTGGGGCACATCGGACTGGCAGAGAGATATTCGTCTAGCCCAGGACTCCCACATCGATGCTTTCGCTCTGAACATCGCGAACAACGGCGGCTACGCCGGTCAGGTCGCCAATGCATTCTCCGCAGCCAATTCCCTTGGGTTCAAACTCTTCTTCTCCTTCGACTACGCTGCCCAAGGAGCATTTGCACAGCAGGATGTCATCAATCTGATTAACCAGTATCGTTCCAACGGTGCATACTACCAATACAATGGCAAGCCATTTGTGTCTACTTTCGAAGGCCCCGGAAGCTCTGGTGACTGGAACACGATCAAGTCTCAGACCGGATGCTTCTTCATTCCCGACTGGTCGTCATTGGGCGCTCAAGCTGCTGTCAGTCGTGGCGTTGTGGATGGTCTTTTCAGTTGGGAGGCATGGCCGTCAGGACCAAACGACATGACCACGAAGCCAGACGAGTCTTACAAGAGCGCTCTGGGTGGCAAGCCCTACATGATGCCTGTTTCCNCATGGTTCTACACCAACCTGCCTGGTTATAGCAAGAACTGGCTGTGGCGTGGCGATGATCTGTGGTTTGACCGCTGGAACCAGGTCATGTCTGTGCAACCAGACTTTGTCGAGATCTTGACATGGAACGATTGGGGCGAGTCGCACTACATTGCTCCTTTGGACAATAGACAATGGGGTCTGTTCAGTGCTGGCAATGGCAACGCGCCTTACAATTACGCTGAAGGCATGCCTCATGATGGGTGGCGACAGTTCCTTCCCTATGTTATCGATATGTACAAGAATGGCAGGGCCTCTATCTCGACAGAAGGTCTCGTCGCATGGTACAGAAAATCACCGGGCTCGGCGTGCTCCAGTGGAGGCACCACCGGCAACTCGGCAAGCCAGGGCCAACAAGAATACCCTCCGACTCAAGTCGCACAAGACAAGGTGTTCTTCTCTGCACTGCTTACATCTTCCGCTGATGTGGTCGTCAGTATCGGCGGTACGACCCAGACCGGATCCTGGGAGAACACTCCAGGTGGTGGCTCTGGCATATACCACGGTAGCGTGCTATTCAACGGTCGCGGTGCTGTGACCGTTAAGATCTCCAGGAACGGAAAAGTCATCATGCAGATAAATGGAGATTCAATCACAGACAGCTGTACCAATGGTATCGAGAACTGGAACGCATGGGTAGGCAGTGCTAGTGCTAGTGCTACAGGCTCTGGATCTGGCATCGGATCCAGCTCATCTTCCAGCAAGGTTTCCTCCACCCTCAAAACCTCTAGTACCACCCCTGCTTCTACACCCACCAGTGGTAGTGGCTCATATTGTGTTGCCGGCACCGGAAACGGCAACCTAGCCGGTCTCTGCAGTTTTTCTTGTAATCATGGATTCTGTCCTTCGAACGCTTGTACCTGTACCCAGCGAGGTCGTCAAGTGACTCCTCCAGCCGTCTCGAACACTCTCGGATTCCCTGTAGCGGGTCAAGATATCGCTCTCTACAGTGGCCTTTGCGAGTTTACTTGTGGTCACGGCTATTGCCCTTCAGGCGCTTGCACTTCGGACCCCTCAAAGGCAGCAAATGGCGATGGCTCCTTCTGCGCTGGTGGCACCGGAAGCGGAAATTTAGCAGGACTTTGCAGCTTCTCTTGCAACTATGGATTCTGCCCTAGCAATGCTTGCACTTGCACCCAAAGAGGAAGTCGGATCAATCCTCCTGCTGCCTCCAACACTCTTGGGTTCCCAGTCGCTGGCCAAAATGTGGCACAGTATAGCGGTCTTTGCGAGTTTGCTTGCAGTCATGGTTACTGTCCTTCGGGCGCTTGCACTTCTGATCCTTCTAAATCGGCTTAGACAAAAAGTGCTGGCTTGCATGTCGCCGCTGCTTCGTGCTTGCCTGTCGTTCTCTTTTCTTCTTGTCGGTGAGAGCTGCTAGTAAATTCAAATATCTGTTTCTACACCTTTGTGCTTGTGTGTCATCGGTATTGTCTTTGACAAGCTTTGTTCAGGATAAGATGAAAGCACGTTTTACTTGATTTATTTTTGTTTCTTGCTCGGGATGTATCAATGGGAACGATTGTCATACTGGAAAAGAGCTATAGTCCCACTGACCGCGTCATATCCAATCATACCCGGGAAAGAGACAGTCAAGAGGCTGATACACCATGCCGAGACCAGAGCGCTCAACATGAGATGAGTGCATTCTGATATTTCCGAACATTGAGGCGATCTTGGTCTTGATCATTTCATCAATCCAGCACCTTTCAACTCCTCCTTGACTGCCTCATAAGCTTTCTTTGCGTCGGCATTGAACTTCTCCTGCAATTTGGCTTCTGTCTGTTTCTGTGCTTGTTCGAGCAACGCCGTCCTGAGATGAGAGTTCACGACTTTGAAGATCTCTACGTTGAGTACGTTAGATCTCTTTTGAGGAAATTCGTCGCCCTCGAGAACCTCTTTGTCAATGTCCTTCAGGATCTTGGGCTTGAAGGTCGTTTGAGCGAGCAACTCCTTCACGGCGGCATTTCCGGGGCCTTTCGACTTTTTGAATCCGTGCGAAACTTGATCTAAGCGCCCTAGTTTAGCCTCGAAACAATAAGACGCCTCGGAACAATAAGACAGCAAGCGAGATCACGAGCTGTGATTCATCACGTCCACGGTGACAAGAGTAAACAACTGTGATCTCTTTAAAAAGATTTGTTGGTTGTTTGTGAGTTTAGTCTGTGCACTGTTACATCAATCATCAATACTCGGTAGCTCAAGATGAGGAACCATTACGCTCTGCTCTCCTGGCAACGAACCTCGAGATGCGCGCCCCTGATATTCCTCCCGGCCAGATTGGCACCATACATTCCCACAAGATTGACATCAACAGTCCTTGTGCAATCTTTCACATGGCATAAATCTGCTTTGCTGTTGTCAAGCCTTTCATATAGCATTAGATCACTTCTAGATACAGTCACAGTGGTAGAGCGAGTTCGATATCTGATACGACAAACATGTTTGATATTATGTTACTACTGAAGACATGTTTTCTAAACGCCGCTACAAACGAAATATACAAAACCACTATTAGTTGGATGCAAGCGATATCAATAGAGCGAGAACAATCAGGATATCTCTAGATATCACGAGTTCGTGCTCGAGAACTAGTTGGACCCGGGGGTGGGTCGGAATCAGTCGAGGAGTCACCCCCGGTGGTAGGAGCATTGGTCGTGGAACCAGCTGACGAGCTAGCAGTAGCTGAGGCACTGCTGGAAGACTCGGTCGATGAAGTGCTGCTAGCAGACTCGGTCGATGAGGCGCTGCTAGAAGACTCTGCGGATGAAGTGCAACAAATACTACATGTATCTCCCTATACGTCGCCGTGGAAGCAACATGGCTATTGGTGTTGCGGTTGCGAACTCCATCACTGGGCCCTGGAAAGACGCAATCGGCAAACCACTTCTGGAGAATGGCCGTATTGATCCCACTGTTTGGATCGATGACAATGGCCAAGCTTACCTTTACTTTGCCAATCCGGGCTTGTTCTACGTCAAACTTAATGCTGACATGGTGTCTTATTCTGGCAGCATTGTTCAGGTTCCCACAAGCGTCGCCACCTTTGGCAGTGGACGCGAGCCGGATGGTACGACTTTTGCTGAAGGTCCTTGGATCTACAAGCGCAACAACCTGTACTACTTGGTGTATGCCACCAGCTGCTGTTCCGAAAATATAAGATACTCTACTGGTCATCCAATCACAGGTCCTTGGACTTATCGTGGTGTTGTCATGGCATCGACAGGAAAGTCCTTTACCAATCACCCAGCCGTCATTGACTTCAAGGGCAAGTCTTACTTCTTCTACCACAACGGTGCTTTACCGGGTGGCAGTGGCTACACCCGCTCTACTGCGGTGGAGCCTTTCGCCTACAACTCCGATGGCACGATACCGCTTCTCACCATGACCAACGCGGGTGCCCCGCAGGTCGGAACCCTGAACCCGTACACTCGTAACGAAGCAGAAACCATGGCATTATCCTCTGGTATCCAAACTCAACCTACGACTGATGGTGGACTCGCAATCATCAACATCGAAAACGGTGACTATGTCAAGGTCGAGGGTGTCGCTTTTGGCAACGGGGCAAAGACCTTTTCAGCGCGTGTCACTTCAGCAACCAGTGGTGGAAAGATTGAGCTTCGTTTGGGTAGTTCCACTGGCACTTTGGTAGGCACTTGTACTGTGCCTGGCACAAATGGATGGCGGACATGGCAGATGATCTCTTGTGCTATCAGCGGGGCGACTGGAACCAAGGATCTCTACCTGAAGTCCACTGGTGGTAGCGCATACCTGTTCAATGTTGACTATTGGCAATTTGCCTAGGTAGATCTAGTGTAAGTCAATTGGTTCCAGTGTTTCGTAGTTCATCCCGGCCAGTGCTAAAGGTGAATGAATTGGAGTTTTATCCAAGGGAGACTTCATAGCTCCGTAGTGCTGGCCCCTTGTTCCATCTCCACTTGCTCCAAATGGGTTTGGAGCTCCATCATCAGTTTCGTCCACTTGCGGCACTGGCTGCCGGTTGCAGGCATACCAGTCGCACCTACTTGTCGTCTGGAACCAAGAGCTTGTTCGGTGTTCGGGACAAAGTGGCCCTTCGAAGAGTCGCGGCGGGGCTCCGGTGGTGCAAAAATGACGGACCGGCGGCAGTTGGCGCTGAAGCTCTCTACGTCGAGTGGGGGAACATGAGGGGCACGAAGGAAGCTTCACACAGTGGACGTTTGCTGGCAGCCTGAGAAGACGGACGGTATCAGTGCGAGTGCGAGGGGCTCCCGATAACTCTCTTTCTCAGGAGCGATTTCACCATGTTCTACTTATACCACTCGGGTACCCGAGTACCTGTTCAAGCATCGACTCCCCAGCTCTTCCGACGCAGTTCACCATGTTCGCCAAACAGGACAACCGCCTTGTCTTTAGCTATGATGCTGACAAGCTCTGGGTCGAGCCCTGGGGCAGGAACGCCCTCCGCATCCGCGCGACTCAGCTGAACCAGATGCCTTCGGAGAATTGGGCTCTCGAAGGATCAGCAGGTCCCTCCGCCGTCATTGAGATTGGCGAGAAGTCAAGCTCCTTGACCAACGGAGAGATTAAGGCAGTCGTCACAGCCAAGGGCAAGTTGACCGTCTACGGCCATGGCGGCAAGATCATCCTCGACGAAGCTGTTCGAAACCGCCGTGACGTCTTGGACCCAAAGTGCAGCGCAATCGACAGAGAAGCTCGTGAATTCCAGGCCATCCCCGCCACGAACGACTACCACATTGTTTGGCGCTTGGAGTCGCTGGACAAGGACGAAAAGATCTATGGCATGGGCCAGTACCAGCAGCCCTACCTCGACCTCAAGGGCCTCGACCTCGAACTTGCACACCGAAACTCGCAAGCCAGTGTGCCTTTTGCCGTCTCCTCCTTGGGGTACGGTTTACTCTGGAACAATCCTGGTATTGGAAGAGCTGTCTTTGGCAAGAACATCATGTCGTTTGAGGCATTGAGCTCCACCGTCTTGGATTGCTGGCTTGTGGCTGGAGAGACACCTGCCGAAATTGTTCAGGCATACGCTGGAGTTACGGGCACTGTCCCTATGATGCCAGAAGTATGTACACAGACACACGTCACCAGTGCTGTCTTCTTGCAGGAGACGTACTCATTACTAATCTGTGCATAGTATGGTCTCGGCTTCTGGCAATGTAAACTCCGCTACCAGACACAGGAAGAGCTACTCGGCGTTGCAAGAGAATACAAAGCTCGCCAGTTGCCTATCGACCTCATTGTGATCGATTTCTTCCATTGGCCCTTGCAAGGTGAATGGAAGTTTGACCCTACCTACTGGCCAGACCCCGACGCCATGGTCAAGGAGTTGAAGGAGATGAACATCGAACTGATGGTTTCAATCTGGCCTACCGTAGACCGAAGATGCGAAAATTACGAAGAGATGGTGGAGAAAGGTCTCTTGATCAGATGCGACCGTGGTACAAGAATCTCTCTCGACTTCGAGGGTAACACTGTACACTTCGATGCCACCAACCCCGAGTCCAGAGCATATGTTTGGAACAAGGCCAAGCAAAACTACTTCTCGAAAGGAATCAAGGCTTTCTGGCTGGACGAAGCCGAACCGGAGTATTCTATCTATCATTTCGACAACTGGAGATATTGGCAAGGTTCAAACGTCAGCATCGGCAACATCTACCCTCGCGAGTACGCTCGTGCCTTTTACGAGGGCCAGGAAGCCGAGGGTCAACAGAACATTGTTAACCTTCTGCGATGCGCATGGGCTGGCAGCCAGAAATATGGTGCTCTAGTGTGGAGCGGCGACATTGCCTCATCTTGGTACAGTCTGAAGAATCAATTTGCTGCCGGACTCAACATGGGTATGGCAGGCATCAGTTGGTGGACAACTGACATTGGTGGTTTCCATGGTGGTAACCCGGATGACGAGGCCTTCCGTGAGCTGTTCACAAGATGGTTTCAATATGGGGCCTTCTGCCCTGTAATGCGCCTGCACGGAGACCGTGAACCTCATCAACCTCAGCATGGCACCACTGGTGGTGCAACATGTCTGTCTGGAGCTCCGAACGAGGTCTGGTCATACGGTCCTGAAGTCTATGAGATTTGCAAGAAATACATGAAGATCAGAGAGGATATGAGGGAGTACACGCGAAGTCTCATGAAGGAGGCCCATGAGAATGGCTCTCCAGTTATCCGCCCCATCTTTTATGACTTTCCTCAGGATAAGAAGGCGTGGTCAGTCGAAGACCAGCAGATGTACGGACCCAAGTACCTGGTATCGCCTATTTTCAACCCCGGCCAACGCAAGCGAACAGTCTATCTCNCTGCTGGTGCAACTTGGAAGGCTTCTGAGGGCAGCGAGGTTTATGAGGGCGGTCGGGAGATTGAGGTTGATTGTCCCATGGACATGATGCCTGTTTTCGTAAAGCAATAGACTTAGATGCTTTCGACGCGCTAGTCATTTTGCGATGATACCTTTATCGGGTTTTGGCCGTACTTGTAGATAGAAACGCTAGTATATAAGAAGGCTTGTCTGTCAGTCCATCATTTCTTCTTTACCACTCAAGACTGTGCATTACAGCTGGATGTCAAGGACTGCCGTATCATCAGGATTAAACAAGATTGCCTAGAGCCCTCGATCTTTCACAAACAGCGCCTGGCGTCGCACGTCCACGCGAACGGTTCAAAAGCGGTCTCGTTACGCTGTCTTGACGCTATCCAACAACAACAGCTACGTTTCTGATACTTTTTGTGTATTCTCTGTCGAGGAAGCTTCTGTCCAAGGTTCAGGATGTTGATGTAATTGGGATGGTGACAAGCTTCGAGAGGCTGACACCTTCCAACTTGGCCTCTGAGATTAGCCGGCGGTTTAGCCGCGGCGGAGCTCGAGCTTGGCGAGACAGAAGTGCCGAGTCAGGGAGTTGTCACGTACACCTCAACACCGTCATTATCAAGAGCGCCATATGTCGCGTACAATGCCTGAGAACGGGCCTTATACAACCCGCGATGATACACAACGAAAATGCTCGACCTGCAACATTGTTTTCCAGAGATCAACACACTTACGACGCCATATGTTGACGCATACTCAAGACAAGCGGTTTGTATGCTCACAATGTGGAAAGAGCTTTGTTAGAAGGTCCGTAGCTGCCTTTGCGATTCTTCATATCATCGATATTATACACTGGTGACGCCAACAATAGTATCATGCTTCTACTGCTTTGAGGCACTAGCCTCCTGTCGCCCTACNNTTCTTCCTGTCGTTCGTACTTGGTACTGACACAAACCGTAGGGACACCCTTCATCGGCATCAGATAACCCATCGCACAAGCTCCATTGGAAGCCATTTGGGATCTGCCGATAGTCTCTCCCCTCGAGCTTGCAGGGCTTGTGCTACTGCTCGAGTCCGATGTACGAGACAGAATCCGTGCGAACGATGCCACTCAAGACGACTGCAATGTGTCTACGAGGAGTCGGATCAAAGAGCTGAGCCTGAGGTAGACCAAGAAGCAAGCATGGTATCTGTTCAAGAAGCCAGCATGATATCAGTTCAACCTCATGAGGAAGCTCCCAGTCTGCCTCAGGATCGCTCAGCTATCATGAACGACGACGCAGAACATATGGTCCAGCAAGTGCAAGCGACGGCAAGCGAGAGCACCACATCATTCTTGCCAGCTCCAGACTCACAGGCCACTGAGACAGAGGACAGGTCTTTGATGAACACCAGCTGGGTAACGCAAGATCCCGCATCAGTGTCGCCCTACAATTTTCATGATCAAAGAATGGTTGCACCTTTTTTGGGAAGAGACCCGCCTTCGCTGCCAGCGACAAACTGGCTGCCGTATACTAATGGGATGGATTGGGACTTCGACTTCTATATGACTCAGGCACTGAACAACTTCTCTCCGACTATGGGGATGCACCAATCTACTATCTGGTCGCCCACTAGTGGCAATCCTCTGGACAATAACCACATCAATACCAATACGAGTCCCGAAGGTGGGAGTAAGGGGTCGGTTGCAGAAGAATCTCCAGCGGTGTCTATTACCAATTCTGCGACTTCTTCAAAGCGGCATGGGACATTTTACGCTGACGGAGAGGTGAGCCGACTGGCAAGACATCGCAACGCCGAAATCTCACACATAGGCATCATGGGCAACGGGCTTGACTTCAGTCCTATCGAAACAGAACCACTGACCGCAGAAGCTTCTTCTCGGCCAATCATCCCACACCACACCTACAACCGCATACTAGAACGCTTCGACGACTTATGCATGACCGAAAACCCAGTCCTTCTCTTCGAGAGATTCCGATCTGACCGCTTTCCTTCTCGCCAAGCTCTGGAAACATGTATCGAATCTTACTTCGAGAACACCAGCACGATATTCCAGGTTGTCCACCAGGCAACAGCAACACTAGAAGGCGAGAGCGACTGGATTCTTTGTTTGGCGTTGGCTGCCATGGGTGCTGCCACGTCATCATCTGTACCATTGGTGACCAATGCTGAGGCCTTGAGGACCTTCCTGCAGCGAGCCATTATCACACGAAATATGTTCGTTGAACGCACCAGAAGCGTGCCAGAGCTGTCTTTCATGCAGGCTTGTATCATCTACGATGTCCTAGAGCTTCATTTACAGCATAACATCAACGAAGAGGCCTTGGCTGGCACTCGATCATTCTCGGACTACTGCACCAACGTCAAGAGATCTCGTTGGCTAAATTTGCATGAGCCAGTTTGGGACGACACTTGGACAGAAGACAATTGGAAAGCATGGGCCCATCGCGAGAGTCAGCGAAGAGTGGCATATTGTGCATGGCAGCTTGACAGTTGGTACTTCTTGACATCTGGCAAAAATCTCTCTGCAAACTTCTCCCTCGGCGATGTTCAGACAAATCTGCCTGTTCATGAAGCTTTGTGGGTGGCGACATCGCTGGGAGAATGGATGAATCTCAAGGCAACGCACAAACAGCCGATGGGCTTGACCNCCTTGCTAACGTCAATCTACCAGCAACAGCCGCTTTCTCAGGAGCTCGGCGACTTCGCACAGACGATCGCTGTCCATGCAGTCTGCCGGCGGACAATGGAAGTGGGATCTCACATCCTCGATCCGTTGGCCGGCCTCGACGCGGGGCAGCAACAGCGCGGCGAGTCCGTCAGAGACATCTATTGGCTGCCCTCGGATCCGGAGTATCAAAAGTGGCGCAACAAAGCCCTAGATTGCCTGGACACATTACACTGGGGAACGCACGGTGTCATAGCTCGCCTCCAAGGTCTTGAGCCACCGGCAGTCTTGCACTTGCATCTGTCGCGATTGGTCCTGCTGGTCCCTTACCAAGACGTTTATGACCTAATGTCCGAAGTCGTCTCATCACATGGCAACAATTCATCCTTCGCTCATGGTGGTAACTCTCGCTCGCGACGAGAAGATCTCGTGGCCAAGATCTGGTTGTGGATCTCCAAAGATCATTACAAATCCAGATTAGCCATTGTGCATGCTGGAGCAATGTTTTGGTACATCCGGCACCACGGTACAGGCAACATTCTTGAGCCGACCAGTCTCTTCATGTCCAGCGTCATATTGTGGGCTTACGGTTCTTTCGTGCCCCTTNTGCAAGCCTCGACTGACGAACACCATCCTGCAACTTCTCGTGTGGACACGGATGAAGAATACGATCCGAAGATGATACAGATTGATCGGCCTTGCGACGATGAGCTCATTCAAATATTCATTCGTCGAGGAAACTCCATGCAGCCGCATATGTTGGGCGTAGGGAATATCTGCCAGCCCGGTGGAGCGCTCGGTGTGCTCAAGGTTGGTGCAAGACTGATCAAGAATCGATGCTCAGCATGGCCGATCTCCAAGACATACGAGAATCTCCTCCTTCATTGCGCTCAAGTATCGGCGAGGGCTTCATAGAAGCACCAAGCATGATATGGGTACAATCAAGGCAAGATGTTATCTTCTTGTGGACTATAGTTGTTGCGAATTTTATACTGTAAGGAGGAATAGATGTTTACCCGAGCTTCATGAAGCAGATTGAGCTACCTTTTGGAGTCTGTATAAACGTAAAGTACGTGACAGCAGACTATCCCTTGAGCGCACTGCCCCGTGAGATTCTCTTGGAGAACGGTAGAAACCAATCAGCTGATTGTGTCGTGTTTACTTACTGCATCCGTTACAGTGGAGTCGAGGCAATTTTCGATATACGAGCTGTGTAGAACATTACACCTTCCCACAGCTGTCCAGCGAAGGATGACCGGCTTGAAGCGGCTCCCAAACCCCTGGAAACTTGTACCTTGCATGATGCCCATTCCCAAAGGAGCATGTGTGCATCGTTCTTGCCAGTTGCTGAGAGCGAGTGATGGCCAAGCCCTAACTTTGGTACCGAGTAGACCGGAGTTCCGACGGGGCTGTCATCATACCGGAGGGGCAAACATGCTCGATCGGGCAATCCCGCACAGTTGAAACATCTCAAATCGAACTGTCCGGCGGTGGCACGCAGGGTTCTCACGTGAAGAACGTGAAAGTAACGTACCGACATGGAACTCTACGCGTTAAACTTTGCACTGTGCAGGATCTCCGGCCTCTCCCACCCCCTCCATCTTTTTATCGCCCTACCCCATGGGGTGCGGGATTAAGATCTAAACGACTTGTATGTATATATAACTATTCCCATGATCGGCGTATAGCGATACACTACTTCCCAGGATTATCACCACCTAGTGGCTGTTACCTTCTTCCCCATACTATACTACAACACAATCAGACCACGCCCTAACAGACACATCCAACATGGCAGATGAGAAGAACGACATGGTCCACATCGAGGATCGAACCGGCTCCTTCGTCGGCGACGAAAAGGTCGACCATGGCTTGGCTGCTGCTGCGACAGATGAGGAACACAACTTGACTCTGATGCAAGCCTTGAAGAAGTATCCTCAAGCTTGTTTCTGGTCCATCGCCATATCGACTGCCATCATCATGGAAGGCTACGATATCGTTCTGATCTACTCCTTCTTCGGGCAACCAGCATTCGTCAAGAAGTACGGCGACTACGATGCTGCGACTGGAGAGTACAGTCTCTCGGCTGCCTGGCAGGCAGGTCTCGGCAACGGTACACAAATCGGCACAGTCATTGGCGCCTTCCTCAATGGTTATCTCACTCACAAGTTTGGCTATCGCAAGGTCATGATTGCGTCCCTTCTTTCTCTGCTCGCCTTCATCTTTATTCCGTTCTTCGCTCCTTCCGTCGAGGTCATCTTGATCGGCCAAATTCTTTGCGNNGGTGAGTAGGCAGTCAGTCATGCTGGTTCTTCTAAAGGTCTAACCTTGCAATACAGAATCCCGTGGGGTGTGTTTGCCACGATGGCACCAGCCTATGCGTCCGAAGTCTGCCCAACCGTACTACGTGGATACCTTACAGTCTATGTCAACCTTACGTGGGCCTTTGGGCAACTCGTAGGCGCCGGTGTACAGTCCGCAGTCAGCAGTATCACAACAGAGTGGGCATACAGGATTCCTTTTGCGATCCAATGGGCCTGGCCTATTCCGATTGCTCTATTGGCCTTCTTCGCCCCGGAGTCGCCCTGGCATCTGATCCGTGTTGGCGACAATGAGAACGCTCTGCGCTCAATCAAGCGATTGTCTCCATCCAAATCAGAGAGCGAACATAGAGCTCAGCTTGCGATGATGCAACACACGAATCAGCTGGAGATGGATATCAGTGCTGGCACTTCATACTGGGACTGCTTCAAGGGCATTGATGGTCGCCGTACCGAGATCGTCTGTATGGTAAGTAGCGAGTGTACAAACAGGTTGCCGAGAACACAATTATTGACGCTCAACAGGNTCTTTGCTGCTCAACCATTCTGTGGTAGTGCCATGGGTGGAACACCTACTTACTTCTTCATCCAAGCTGGTCTCCCCACATCTATCTCCTTCAAGATGACTGTAGGTGGACTTGCCATGGCTTCTGTTGGCACCATCATCTCATGGTACCTTCTATCTGCTTTCGGTCGCCGCACTCTCTATCTCTGGGGCCTGGGTCTCCTTACCGTCGTCCTCACCACAACCGGTGCCATCAGCGCGGCAAACGCCACAAGTGTAGCTGGCAACTACGCTCAAGCTGTCATGATGCTCCTGTGGCTCTTCATCTACTACCTCACCGTCGGACCGATCTGCTACGCCATTGTTGGCGAGACCTCCGCGACTCGTCTCCGAAACAAGAGTGTCTGCTTGGCCAGAATCGCATACTACATTGCCAACATTATCTGTGGTGCAATCAACCCTTACTTCTTGAACCCTACCGCACTGAACCTCAAGGGCAAGACTGGATTCTTCTGGGCTGGCACCTCTCTCATATTCTTCATCTGGACATTCTTCAGACTTCCCGAGTGTAAGGGCCGTACTTATGAAGAGTTGGATGTGTTGTTTGCGAACAAAGTCAAGACGCGCGAGTTCAAGAAGTTCAATGTCAACGTCTATGCTGAAGACGGAGAGACTCTTGTCAAGCAGGAGTGAGTGGGCTACGCGCTTTGACTGTAAGAACGTGTTTACGAATGTACATGATTTAATGGCGTGGACGAATATGACCTGTTTGGGCTCTTTGTAGGTAGTACCTTGTATATGCTTTGACCTGCTCCCAGACGTTTCTTCTTCCCGACGCGACGAGCGTGCAAAATGTAACATGTCGGCTGTATCATGTCTATATCATGATAGCTTGCTACAACCACCGGACCCCTTTCCTTCATCTTGTATCTTCGATGTTGCCATACAGTAAAGTACGAGAGAATGACTCTGCATGTCGCAGAAGGTACGATCCCTTCAAAGTAGGATTGTACCTACCCCTCCAAGGCCTAGAAACTTCTCACAGATAGTTAAAGCTCTGAGCACACTAGCTTCCGTTCTGCATCCACGTATTTCCAGGTGTCGTTTCATGCAGAAACCCCAAGTCGCGTAACTGACTATTGGCATCAAAGCAAACGATCAGGCGGGAATGCCATGCATGCGCTGACATCTGGTACTTTGTGAAGTATGTAAGCAGTACAAGCTTTCTACAAAGAACGAAAGTGACTCACGGTTCCCGCAGAAGCAAACATGTTTCCCGACGGGAAGGTGCGGTGTCGACAAAAGGGCGTCAACAGTGCGGGGCGGAAAGTGTAAAGATATTCTTCCGGTGGGGTTAATAAATCATCAGCTCAACCATCACTTTTTTTAAGCTGATACTTTTTCCATCAACTTTCCATCAAAGAATCATTGGGATGGGCATTGACGATCGAACTGGCGACATTGAGCTCTCGACAGTCGCTGTACCAAACGAGGACCAACAATCTCAAGACCTTGAGATATCAAATGTTTTCGGTAGAGCCGAAGATGGCGAGGTCTTTTCTCTGCCTCCAGCGGATGGTGGAAAAGATGCATGGCTGTTTCTGGCTAGCTGTGTGATATTCGAGGCTGTCTCTTGGGGTAAGTTGTTTGTGACTTTTTCATGTTCTTGCATGAGACACAGCACGATTTTGCAGTTCCCTTGTTCCTCCTCATTATACAAACTTCACAACGAGTGCTTTACTGACGACACTCACCAGNGCTTTCCTTTCAGTTTTGGTGTCTTCCAATCTTATTATGAACAACACTTTGCAGACAATGGTTCGAGCGTTGCTGCAATTGGTACCACAGCAACGGGTCTGCTATATATGTCAGCCCCCTTCTGGTTCATCGTCCTGAAGATGAACCCACGATACCGGAGACCGAGTGTCTTTGTTGGTTTTGTCGTGATGATAGCTTCATTGGTTGGCGCATCTTTTGCACAATCGGTCAGCCAGCTCATCGCCACCCAGGGTGTCATGTACGCTGTCGGCGCTTCAATGCACTACTACCCGTTGTTCATCTACCTGGATGAGTGGTTTGTACTGAGGCGTAACTTTGCCTTTGGGTGTATCTGCGCATCTTGCGGCGCTGGAGGTGTCATCATACCTTTCGCTCTGGATTGGGTACTCCGAACATATGGCTTCCGCACTGCATTGAGGACTTGGGCTGTCGTTGCTGTAGTGCTCACCGTACCAGCAATCTTCTTCATGAAGCCGAGAATTCCAGTCAGGCACCATAGCAATGTTGGACCGCAAAGAGTCGAGTTTGGATACTTGAAGAGCAGGACTTTCTGGATTTTGCAGAGCGCCAGCATCATCCAAGGACTGGGATTCTTCTTGCCGAGCGTTTACTTGTCGTCTTTTGCACAAGCAGTCGGGTTTACGGCTGTAGACGGCACACTGGCTATTGCCCTCATCAACGGCGCACAGATTGTCGGAGCCACGTTTATCGGATACCTCGGCGATCGATATCACGTCACGACAGGCATCCTAGTCTGTAGCATTGGCAGCGTCGTCGCCGTCTTTATCTTCTGGACCTTCGCCACCATAAAACCTATGCTCTTCGTCTTTGCCGTCCTCTACGGCGTCTATGCAGGAGGCTACTCGACAACATGGTCCGGTGTGNGTAAAACGGTACGCGAGAATGGATATCCCGGCGCTGAGACTGGGATGATCATCTCGCTGTTTGCCTGTGGTAAAGGCATTGGTGCTGTGGTGTCGGGGCCTATGAGTGAAGCTATTCTTGCGTCGGATAGCTTTCGCTCGAATGCTCCTTATGCTTTTGGGACTGGATATGGTTCGCTGCTAGTGATGACGGGTATTACTGCGTTTGTTGGCGGGTCTGCTTGGTATGCCAAGCAGTTTAAACTGATTCACTAAAGTCTGTATGCTTAGGAGAGGGTTCTTGTTTTAGACTACACTTCGGATTGGCGCAATGAAGTTGGGAATCATGGTTGTGAAAAAGAAACGGAAACAACTTTTATAGAGTTTGTCTATGGTTTATAGTGTACAGGTAACGAGTAATGAGCAATGAGCTGTGTCTAAACAACGAGGTTTCGTGATATGCGTGACACTGCCAGGACCCTCGAGTCAAGGAAAGGATATTGGCACATTTGATGTGTGAGGATGCATGGTGTAAGCTTCAAACAACAACACCTTTGATCTGCTTCTTGTTGCCGAGATTGATATCGCGCCAAATCCAGACAGCGATAAAGGTAAGTGCGGTGATGGAGGTAGCTGCAATACACATATCTCTCTGAGCAATACCAAATGCGACGCCGATTGCATCTCTCGTCGTACTGCCAGCAGGATACTTGAGCGCACTGAGATAGCTGGTGTAGACCGATGTTGCGACATCGGCGGGCAGACGCTTATTCAGTTCTTTAGGGTAGACGTTCGTCCAGATACCACCAGCGATGGAATCGCCAATAGCACCACCAACGGATGAAGCCAGGTACAGCAGGGCGAGGGTAGTCGCAAAGTCTGCGTGGGTACCTGCGGCGAGAGCAGCGACCTGATGGCAAGGTACCAGGGTGCCGCCGGCGTATGCGACAAAAATCTGTGCGCAGACGACGTATCTAGGGGCTACGCCGGGTTGTCTGAAGTAGATCATCAAGCCGGTACCGATCATGTAGAGTGGGACAGAGACGAGGGCGATCCACTTGTAGCGTTTGGTCCATTTGACGAGAATGCTGATTATAATCAGTGACATTTCTTGACAGGAGACTGGAAAGAAGGCTTACCCAGTGATGACGCCGAAGAAGCAAGAGCCTACGGTGTAGATCTCTCCCATGTACGTAGCATCGGTGGTATTGAGGTTGAGAACCACCTGNTCAATTGTTGTTAGCATATGTTGCATACTGGCCGACGTCATTCTGCTTACCTGGTTGAATGTATAGTAGTAGAGGTTCCAGCAATAGAAGGCTGCGTAAAGACTGGAGATACACAGAACTGAACCGAACACAGTACGATCCTTGAGTCTCTCCCATGGCAGGAAAGGCTTACTAGCACCAAAGCGCTCCCATGCAGGGAACAAGCAGAGAATGACAAAGCCGATGACCAGCATGGATATGATGCTCGCACTCTTCCATTGCCCGGCAACCGAAGTCGCGAGAGAAAATGGTAGCAAGAACAAAACGAATCCTGCAACAAGCAAGAAGACACCGACTATGTCGAACTCCACCCAGTAATGCGAAATGCTTTGGTACCAGCCACGAGCAGGTCTTTCTGCTTTCTTGTAAAGGCCCATCTTTTCAGCTTTTCGCTGATAGTAAAGGAAGACTCCGCAAAGGGGAAGGCAGGCCACGGGAGTGACAATGGCGAATGTTCCATATCCCCACCTCCAGCCAGCTCCATTGACGAAACTCGAGACAGCATATGGAGTGGTAAAAGCGGTACAGATGAAAGGTGTTTGTGAGATAGCCAGCATGAGGATTCTGTGCTTCAACCTGGTGGTGTCGGCGATGAAGACGGTCATGACATAGTACATGCCATCATAGCCAATGTAGTAAATGACCGAAGCAGCGGCGTATGTCTGAACGTTGTTCGAGGCGGCGAAGATGATCAATCCGATGATAGTGATGCACATCATGACAAAGAACCCTTCGGCGCGTCCCCAGATGTCAATGATTTTGGCAGTCGGCAAACGCAACACGCCTCCAATGATGGAACTCATTACAGAGCTGACTGATAAAAGCTGCGACGTGCTGAAATCAGCATTGGCGTAATTGCCCAAATAGCCAGTAATGGTTGACATGAGAGCAATTTCGAAGTACACGACATAGATNCCTGTCGCGCGTTAGTGCGCTATCGTTGTGTTGTGACAGAGAGTCATATACCAGATATAAGTCAACCATAGAGCTCGCTTGTTCCAAGCAAGAGTGACGCCCTCAGCTTTCTGAACTCCAACTTGGTAGTCGGGGTCGACTTTTTCACCATCGTATGCAGCACCGGACTCGGCACCAGTTCGAGAGGCGGAATTTTTATTAGGACCATATCTTTCCTGGTAAGGGTATCTTTCCTGATAATCTGGAGACTGCTCACTCGGACTGTCGGATGAGGTCAATCCATTTTCTTCTTTGACGACGTCATCGGGCTCTTCGTCCTCTTGAGAGTGGTAGAAAGGATTGATGTATGGCCTATCTAGCGCTTTCAGGAAACCCATGATGGCGAATGGGTTCAGTCAAACATAAGAGTCAAAAAGGACGTTGTTTAAAAAGATGAGAGATTGATAAGATGGGGCGCACGAATTTTATCTGCCATGAGCGATTACACGTCTGCCGAGATCGCGTAGGTTCAGAGTCTTAGGCGAATGTTCTTTTTGTGGGTACTGAACGGGCGAAACATAGGAAGATCCGGCGCGCGGTGGGCGTGAGGTCGAAAGGCGCTGAGGATCGACCGTGAAGGGCTTTGGTGGGTCGATAGAGGAAGGAACTGTTCACAGCTACTCGATTGATACTAGGTCGCTTTGCAAAATTTCCCAGCAGACCTCAGGAATCTCAAACACATCCTGCAGACAACATAGTATGACCATTCCTCACTCGAAAACGACGCTGGCATCGAACAATTGATGGATGTCATCCCCGAGGACGCGGTTGTTCGGCTGCGCTAGGGATCTTATCAGATTATTGCCGCAAGCCACCTAGGCACGAAAACAAGAAGCCCTGACGCGCAGCCATTTCAACGACAAGACTGATCAAGCAACAACGGTGTTTGCTTGGTCGCTTGAGATGATGGCCGTTGCATGATAATAATTCTCGACCAGAATGGTATCCTCAGTGTGCCTCAATGGATGCTGAAGTGTAGTTGCTCAGCGAGATTGTGGTTTGCAGATTGGTCGTCTCAACGCTCTCCCAATGACGCGCAGCCGCTCACGTCATGCGCAAAAAGGAAGGGTCGACATTGTAATGGCCAAAAGTCGTGGTATGGATGCTCATGCGATGCCCGTGACCCTATTCTCGCAGTAAAGTTACAACACCACGTCCCGGAGATGCGAGAGTGTTATTATAAGACAGCATACAGGCATATGTTATCACCCGTAAGATGCGTGTAGCTTAATATAGCTCTTTGGATAGATTCTGGATAGTGTTGAGCATTTCCATCATTTCTTCATAGGCTTGGGCAGAATTCTGTGTTTGAACCATCAACTTCACGGGCTCTCGTCCAATCTTTCGCCAGTGACCAGAGCAAGATTAGGCTTTTGTATGATAACCACCTGGCACTGAAGCGTATATCTCCTGCCTGACTCCATTTACCATTCTGTTCGAATGCAGAACAGCTCAAGCAGGTAACATCGAGTATACCGTCTGACCTCGGCAAATCCTGCTGAGGCTGATCACTCTTCGCGCACGAGACGCCTATGATCTATCCACTTTCACGAACGCGACACGGCATCAACCAAGCAACATTGACAGTACACAGTATGCCGTCTTCGTATCAGGGGCAACTCTTTTCTATGCGCTCTCAAAGACAGCAATTGGTCGTTTAGCATCAGCAACGACATACCTGCAGCTAGCTGTGTATTGACGACAATGGGCGAGCGTGCGCCCTGGATCAGAACGTTTCGTGATGAGTTTGATGATTTGACAGAGGCTACCATGGCGGCTTTGCAGAAAGCAGACTGTGAAACTAGGGCTGAGGAAAGGATTGGACAGTGCTAGCACCCAAGTTCACCACTTTTGGATGGGCTAGGCATGACAGATGCCGCAGCATTAAAAGGGGTTAGAGAATTATCGGAATGGTTCCAGTCATAGTAGACCTAGTCGTTCTTTTCGAGATGTATTCATCTTCTTCTGATTGTAAATATTTTTCCCTTCTATATTTGACATAGCCCCTTCCATCTAAATTTTCGACTTCTTCACGGCCTTCTTCTTGGGTGGTCTCAATATGCAAGTCTGCGACATACTCGCCACCATCTTGCCCTTGCCATCCCAAAGCCTTGCTTCGGAAAAAGTCCTCGCCGCATCTCCGGCATACGTCTTCCACTCACGCAAATGGAAATCATTGATGTTGATCTCGGGTGTCAAGAACCTGAGCGAAAACTCCAGCGTCGAGCAGGCTCCGGATTCAGTGAGAGGCATGCTTTGTAGCACCAAGGGCTGAAAAGAAATGCTTGCATCAAGCAGGAAACCCAAGCTGGTTACATTTTCGGCATGGGTGGAGACGGTTTCACGCACACGCAGCCAATCTGCTGATGAGCGTTCGGTGAGNGGAAGATGTTCTTGCGTGGTCTTGTGGCCTTTTGCAAAGCCTTGGAGGGTTTGTCCGTGGATGCTTTGGGGTGGGAATTTCATCTCGATGAGGTCGCTCATCATGCTGAAGAGCTTGTCGTGTCTGTCGACATCGGCTTGCGTCAAGATTTTNTCCTCGACCATAGTTTTCTTGCGCTCGGTTGGTGTCCAGGACTCCGTGACTTGTGAATAGTGTTTGGTGGGTGATGCAGAGTATACCATAAACGACTCTGGCTCCACGACGTGAAAGTCTGCCAAGGCAACCAGACATACTCTTTCTTTGCCATCATCCTGTTTTTGCAAGACCTCGACGAGTTTCGTGGTAAAAGTTTTTGTAGATCGGTATACTTTTGTGTTGATAAACACAGGTCGATCTGTCAATGCCGGACCCAGAAAGTTTCCATTCAAGGCATAGAGACGATGGCTTGCAGGAATTTCAGAACAGGCGGCTTGAGTAGCCACGCCGATGGTATAGCCTCCGAATGCAATTGGTAAGATATTTCCCATGCGAGGTGGGTTTGATGTGCTCTTGAAGNNCCTATTTCCAGCGGGTCTGGATTAGCTTGAAGCTTTGGCAACCCGGTCTCAATCGCTCTACTTACGGGTTTGCTCGACTTGCTCGAGCGCGAGGATCTCCTTGAGAGTCGTCATGGTTTTGGCGGTGCTAGAGATTCTCCGTAGGAAGATTGTGTGTAGAATTAAAGGAGACTTTCAGCTCGACAGCTGGAGGTTGGTTCATCAGGCCTCGGCACATTTACCTGTGTTTGACGCCAGCCTCGGGTGCAATTAATTGCATGGAGAAGAAAATGAATAAACCTGTCGGTCGGCCTGACTCAGCCTCAGCCATAATTGCAGATGGCTTCGTGGCAGTTCAGAAGGCAAATGCTACATAACCATATTTGATGGCAATTTTATTACGTACGGCCACAGTCAGCTGAAAACTGGGCATCCCGTCCGCTCTGCCATACATAAGCAGTTGAACGGCAGATTAGTACTACGGTGGGTGACCACGTGGGAATCCCTGCTGCTGTACGTTTTGTTTTGTCTTGCTATTTTGTTCCTTCCCCAATCGACCTCCGGGTGTCCACATATCGGGACGCGAGAGTGTCTCCTTCATCTTTTGGCTTTTTCATGAAGAATGTCGATCCTGATGCTAATCTCAAGCAACGAGAATCAGCATATGGCGACAATCGGTGGTAGAGGCCACACACTTCTCATTCAAAAGAGGATCCCAGGAACGAGACCACTTGTCAAGCTATGCTAGCTAATCATATGTGAGCGTAATGACATGAACTAGGCACTTTGTGTATTCCTCCTGTTTTATCGTGGGGTCCTGCTGTGGGGCCCCGGAAAATGGATTTATATGTGGTGCAGGAAATGCGGAAGTCGGAAGTTGAGTCGACCACTACTCGAGTACTTTCTCATCAACCTGTTGCCCCGACTATCAAGCGCTACTGATGGATAAAGCGGGGCCCCAAACCACTAGGTTTCCTGTCATTCCACATTCTGTATTCCTCTCATGATTCATCTGCGCTGAGAGTCTTTCTTTCCGATACTCTCAAGGACACGAACATGGATAAGCAAGGCGTCGAGCTCTCAGAGATCAGCGAAACGAAACGAGACCTTCACGGATACGATGATTCCGAAGGCTATCTTGCCGAAGTCAACACCCACGACGCACAAGCTCAGCCCATCAAAACCACAAAAGACGGTCATGTTGTGCTCATTCCTCAGCCTTCTGATTCGCCTCAAGACACTCTGAACTGGAGCAAAGTCAAGAAGCACGTTGTATTGTTGGTAGTTAGTTTTGCCGCACTACTACCAGACTATGGCAGTGCTACTGGTGCCGTCACTTTGATCCCTCAGGCAGCGTAAGTCTTGTAGCGGCATCCAATCATCAGAAATGTGTCCTCTGACAGTGTGCCCGGTCAGCNNGAGTGGAACATGAGCCCAGATACTGTCAATCATTCACAAGTTGGAAATGTCTTCATGCTTGGTGCGGGTGGCATCTTCGTCGTTGCTCTTTCCGCCTGGGCAGGCAGACTCCCTATCTTGTTCTACTTCCTAGTCCTTGCTACTGCTACTGCAGCATGGTGTGCAGCAGCAACCACATTTGAGAGCTTCATGGCCGCCCGCATCCTCAACGGCTTCTTCAGTACCGTCGCTCAAGGCGGCGGTCTCATGTTCATCTTCGACATGTTCTTCTTTCATGAGAGAGCAAGGAAGATCAACATCTGGGCCGCATTCATCATCCTATCACCGTATCTGGGTCCTATGCTCACGGCCTTCATGATAACGACACAGAAATGGCCCGTCGCCTTTTGGGTGTACTTTGTCATGGTAAGACCGGCCTGTTATATCGATCACCGTTCAGTAGTTGACATCCCCTTCTCACAGACTGCTCTGGCCCTTGTCTGTACCTGTCTTNTTGTGGAGGAAACCTTCTACGATCGGCGCATAGCTCCCTCAGACCAGCCGCCCAGAGGCACGCGACTCCAACAGATCTTGGGCATCTGCCAATACCGCTCACGCCATCTCCGCAACTCGTTCGGTCAAGCCTGCTCCCGGCCATTCCGTGTCATCATCAAGCCCACCGTCTTTCTATCGAGTCTATACTACACTTTGACTTTCGCCTGGGTGGTCGGCATCAACACAACCCTCTCAATCTTCCTGACACCACTCTACAAATTCGGGCCCCTGCAGATTGGATATTTTTACTTTACACCCGTCGTAGCAGCCCTCATCGGAGAAGTTGCAGGCCATTGGTTGCATGACTGGATAGCCAAAAGTTACATTCACTCCCACAAAGGACACTTCGAGCCCGAAGTAAGACTTCGTGCCATCTGGCTCAGCACACCTTTCATGATCGCAGGACTAATCGGCCTTGGCTTCTCGCTTGAGGATGGTTACCACTACATGATAACTGCACTGTTTTGGGGCCTTTATGTGTTTGGCATCATGATTACCACCGTCGCCCTCAACGCATACAACCTTGACAGCTATCCCGAAGCATCTGGAGAAGTGGCCGCATGGCTGAACTTTGCAAGGAGTGAGTTTTGTGAATACTCTTATCTTTATGAAGGCCTTTGCTGACTTCATCAAACAGCTCTTGGTGGCTTTATCGTCAGTTACTTCCAGGTCACTTGGGCTGACGCCGTGGGTACGAAAGCGAGCTTTGGTACTCAGGCTGCTATAGTCTTTTTTGCAACTGGCTTTATCATTGCATTGCAGTTTATTGGCAAGCGTCTGAGGGTAAAGTCTGGAGCACTGCATTTCCCACCTCTTGAGAAGATACATTTAGATAGGCGCTACAGAGATAAGAGACATTAAATCGCTCGGTGCGATGAATCTCCAGCAATTGTCACCAGCTGCATTGATCGACGTGCCACATTCTCGTTTGGATGCGCTGTGGAGTTTTCACAGATCATGAATCAAACTTGAACTCATGTTCTGTTCCATGACGGCTGCTCTGTAGACGGAGGGTTATGGTTCTTGTGTCAAGGAGATTTGATATTGCTACAGAATAATTTGGATCAAAGAGTCACGACCGATCTGATTCAATAAGTGGTAGCCTGGCTCGTTTCTTCAACACTAAAAACCACTAAGCTCTCTACTTGCGCGCAGCACGACGACGGCTAAGCGTAGGAGGTACAGGGATAGAAACAATTACATCCGTACGACCAGCTCTCGGTCTCAATCTGGACGTCATAATCTCGGGGTCTGCATTGAGGCGTTTTGCACTGGCAGGCACGACTGGAGTGGTAGCTTCCTTGGGCGCGGCAGGAGGGGAGTAGCTGCACGCTTCTTGCAGCAGCACCCGATGAGTTTCTACCTCTTCTGGTGCGTCGCTTGGGTGCTGGTGCCGCGTCCTCGGCTTTGACGCCAGGGACCAATGCTTCAGGGCCCTTGGGTCCTTCGAGCTCTTCTTTAGTGGTTGTTGCGTCCTCGTGCGGATCAAGAGCTACAGGTTCGTTCCAAGTGGCCACACCATCTGATGCTTCGCGCATGAGGGTAGGAGCTGCCTTTTTCTTGTTGCCGGTGAGGGGATCCCATTCCCAGCCTTCGCGCAACCACATCCAGCGTAGACATGCTCGCAGCTCTTTATCCAAAGGTACCACACGTTTCCATTCTGGCTCGAAATCAGACTCGTTCTTGCCTTTTGAGGCAGGCTTGTAGCCAGTAACGCCTTCACCATTGTAGCCTTCTGCCACACCACGGAATACGTCACGACAGAAGATTCTCCAAGAGTCCCAGGCATAAGGTCCAAGACCGTAAATGTGCGCGATTTCGAGAGCGCCAGCTTCGCTACAGTTCTCAACATCCTCATCAACAGTCTCCTTGGGCTTGAGGTGACGGCCATTGCCTTTGTTGGGATAGTCCATGGTGCGGTGAAGCGTTCCCTTCCGTGGTGGCTGCTCAATCCAAGTCTCGGCAATCTTGATCAGTTTTCTCGCACGCTGGTTTTGGAAGCCTAGACTGTGGATCATCTCGCTGAGTTCAGTGACATCGGCAGCGGCCACATCGTTTGGCGTAGGATAAGTTTCCATCACTTGCTCAAAGATGGGCACTGCAGCCCTACCGGCAGTCTTGTTAAGGAAGGTGACAGCAATCAGTAGACGGAAGGGATCATTGGCAAGTCTTTCTTGGATTAAGCCGAAGCGAGGTGCTGAGAGTTTTGGAAAAGGAACAGCGGATGTACCAGCTGGCACACGTTTTCTCTTCGGTGAAGGGGTGAAGTGCTCGGAAGTTGCGCCAGTCGATTTGCGTGGCTTGCGTGTCTTGACTTTCGTTTCCTTCTTTGCGCTTTCGTCAGACCTTCATCTTCGCTTGGTGCCCAGCCGAGAGAGGAAGGTGCAGGAGAGTCGGGTTCTGCTGGTGAATCGTCTTGTTCGTCGTCGGAAACTCCATTCTCAACATTAGGCTCGGCCTCGAGTTCAGGGACGTCCTTCATCTCGACGTCTGACTCCTCTGTGTCAGGTGAAAGTTGACTTCTGGCAGATTCGCCGTTGTGCTCCTCTCTGAGTTTGTCTTTTACCACCAGCACTCGTCGCTCGAAGCTTGAGTCTGCACGATCAAGTACTTCGAGAATCTTGATTCGAGCCAGTCGTTCAAGTCCACCCAACGCGTTGCGTGCGGTCGTTGTCTTTTTCTTGTAGATGTTCTCTTCACGATCAACTTCGTTCATCAGCTTCTCCAGAATGTCCTTGTTGTCCTCGGCGCTGCCGTCACCGTCGTCCACCAGCAATTGTCGCAGATCTTCAATTCTATTTTCAAAATTGTCGACTTCTTCTTCCCAAGCTGCAAGGAAATCTTTCATAGAATTCGTAAAGGCTTCGGCAGGTTCTTCCGGCTCGGGATCTGAACGAGAGGACTGTGCAATGTCTTCGATCTCTGCCTCTTGGTTCTCGGGCTCATCCACTTCTTCGGCGGCCTCTAGAACTTGCTCGTCTACGGCGGGCCCTTCAGCTTCAGAATCAGAGTCAGACGGCTGGGCGATTTCCTCAATCTCGGCGTCTTTGTTTTTAGGAGAGTTTGGCTCCTCGGCAGGCTCTGGGTTTTGCTCGACTTCAGGAGAACTTGCCTGCTCATCAGATTCCGGTAGTTCATCCAAAGCTTTGTCGTTGACTTCAGACTCCACTTCTAACTCAATTCCGTTGGGTGCGTCCACAACTTCATGAACTTCCTGACTTTGACGAATGACAGGCTCACTGGGTTGTTCTTGTTCTTCAGTGGTGACGGGAGCTACTTCTTGGGTCTTTTCAATCGATTCAGTTGTTGATGGCTGATATCCACCAAACTCCATCAAAGTCTCAGGGCTTGGGATATCGGGAAGAGGGACCCGTGTAAGAGGGGCATCCTTTGGTACAGAGCTCTCATGAAACGATTGGAAAGCGGCAGAGTTGTCATCCGTGGCTTCTTCAGCGATGTTCTCTGTTTCTTCTTGAACTGATGTTTGAGAGTCGTTGTATTCCATGGGAGAACTAATGTTCTCTTGTTCGTTAGTCATGACGACATCGATCGCCGGTATGACAGGGTCTGTCTGTTCTGGTGTAGCGCCGACTTCAGTATCAATATCCATGGCTGAAGGCTCAGTCTCAGGTTCAGGTGCAACAATAGGGCTGATTGAAGGTGCTTTGTATGGCTGAAGTTGTACAGGACTCGACTTGGGAGCCTGAACGGGAGCTGGTCTCTCGTCGTCGCTGTCACTGCTGCTACTGCTGCTGTCATCGTCATCGTCGCTACTATCGTAGCCCAATTTCTTTCCAGCAACGAATGCAGAAAATTCAGCGAAGGAGTCGGTTACAGACTTTTTGTGTTGGTGTTGGTGGATGGGATGGATAGAGATCTTGTCGAGGTTAAAGATGACTGCGGTTTGCTGAAAGAGTTGGAGAGCTTGGGCCTTTTTAAAGATGACTGTGAAGGAGCAGATGAGAAGCTTGAAGGTGCTGCTTTCGGAAGCGCTGTCTTCTTGACGACTGGACTGCTCTTCTTTGCTCCTGCTGACGAGAAGGGCTTGGCACTTCCTCGTGTGAAGACACACTGGTCTCTCTTGTTGCAGGCGAAGGACTTTCTTGACGCAAAGCTTCCGAGGAGATTTCTCTCTGTATCTGATCGAGAACGGCTTGTTCGTCGGTTACCTGTGGGTTTGACTTCTTGTCAGCTTCACCAGCTACGGATTCGCCTTCATCCGCTTCCATGTGCTCATTGCTCGGAGAGGTCATGTCTTGCTCATTTCCCCCGTTTTCATCGTCGCTGGAAGGGTCAGCTGTTGCTGATATTGTTGGCTTGCCCAGCACTGGTAAAGTGGTGCGACGGATGAAGTCAGACATTGTACCTTCTTTGGCCGGTAAGTCATCGTCGTTATCGTCTTCATCAGAAGAGGTTGTTGAAGCATCTTCTGTGGGAGCTAAGTCTTCAGCAGGAACCGAGTCTTCACGAGCAACCGGAGGAGGCGGAATAGTCACAGGGATATCAGCAGCCTTCGCCTTTCGTGCTCTCCTTTTACGCGACTTCTTGCTGCTTTCAACTTGCGCAGAGTTTTCAGTCTCGGGAATGGTTGAAGGCTCCGGAGCAGATGGTTGAATGGGTTGTTCGGTTTCTACGGGCTTCGACTTCGTCTTCTCAGACTTGTGCCTACTCCTCCTAACCTTCTTAGACTTAGGGTTGGCTTGCACAGTGCTTTCCGACGGAGCAGGCTTGGAGACCTCCAATGGAGCAGGTTCAGAGCTGTCCAGCTGCATGTTCTCATCCACAGAGGGCTGTTCCTCGCTAGCGCTTGATGGCACAACAGGGAGGGTCTTCTCCGTCTTAGGTGCCTCCTTGACGGCAGGCTTTGAGACCGAGGGTACCTCACCTGCTGCAACCTTTCCAAGAAGCAACTTTTGCTTCTCCCGACGCTTTTGTCTCTTCTTCGAACCACCAACTGATGCTTCGGGTTCAGTCTTTGGCTTCTTCGACGCCTTCGGGGTAACGTCCTCTCTTTCTCTTTTTGTCCTTCTTGTCCTTGTTATCCCTCTTCTCTTTCTGCTGTTTAGGCGCAGGCGCGACAGGCGCCTTTGGGGGTACGGGAGGAGCGGGCTTGACGGCTTTCTGAGCGGGCTTGTCCTTCAGGTTCAGTTCCTTGACGTCCATCTTCGTCTCGCGATAGGGCTTCGAGGTAGTGGGAGTGGAAGGAAGCTCGGGAGCAGCAGTCGACTTGGCCGGAGTTGGAGTATTGATAGCCGGACGCTTGTTGACCTCCGCGCGAACATCCTTGAAGCTCAGTCCTTTGGCCTCCAGATTCAGGGCCTCGAAGTAGAGTTTGGTAGTCTCCTTGTCCAGAGCCGAAGAGTTCTCAGAAGGTTTCTCGCTCATGGCAGCCACCTTGTCAAAGAAGACAGCCTTTGAGGCGGTTCGAGGTCGGTGAGAACATCCTGGTATTCCTCCTGTTCCATGCATTGCAGAACACTCTTGGTTTCCAAATGACTCTCGCCAGGAGTGACCTTCAATGAATGCAAATATCTGCTTTGTGCAGCGTGGTTGTCGTGAATGATGCGAATCACTTTGGCCGCTGCGGCGACAGGATCCTCTGGTCGCGAGGCCATGGCGAAAAAGATGTTGTGACTGTGGGATGCTATAAGGAAGACGCGATTCAAATCATAATGCGTAATTCGACCCGATGAATGGATGTTGGTGAAGTTGGTCAAAAATCCACGGATAAAATAAATTTGGTCGGATGTCTGCGTTTCGCGCCGCCCCACAAGTTCGTTCGAGTCGGCTTCGGCTGCCTCTCTGTTGCAAAACTTTGTCACGCTGAAACCATGTAAATGCACCTTGAAGATTGATGATCCTTAGAGAGCGTATGCTCTGTCGATCTACATAGACAGTCACTGATCTGAAGCCATTGAAACATATACAGCTTGCAGATTTCGAAAGGGTCGAACTTCAGCATGAAGAAATGGGCTTGCGATGTTTGATCTGAATTAGTTTGGGAGGAGACAGGAGGCAGGAGCCATACAAAGCAAGAAACACGTTAACATTGCAAGCAGACTTGAATGTCGGTCAAGCCAGTATGGTTGAAATCATGCAGCTTTTTTATCTAACAGTCAACTGAAACGCCCATGTTGCTAAATCGAAAACTTGTTGGAGCATGCATTCAGTGCCTTACGCCTTGTGCAAATGCTTCCTGTACTCTCTATCCATTATCCGCAAAGAAATCCGGTGCCTTGGTATCCGAACTCGGCTTCACCTCAGTCTTCGGTCATCGTTTACATGAAATCATCACTGTCGAGAGTTAGTACTTTGCCATGCATTTGTAGGGCATTTCGATTAACTTACTCATCGAGACCGTCATCGTAGGCAGTTGTGTCAGTCTCAAGGTTTCTGGCACCTGCAAGAGTGGTCTTGGTCTTTGCGGCTTTGGACTTCTTGCCTCCCTTTGCGGCTTCTTCTCTTCTCTCATCTTCTCGTTGGAGAGAGTGGTCAAACCACTGGCAATTTTCTTAATCTGGTCGCTGGGGAGTTCCTTGACAATGTCCTTGGCAAACTCCTGCATGAAAATGGTGTACTGAGCCTTCTTAACGTTTGACACCAGAAGAGGAGCAAGAATCTCGCGGAGCTTGGCGAACTGGTCTTTGGTAGTAGGGTTGAACAAAGGCATGGCTGAGAGATCGATGGCGTTGCCGGGCTGCTTCTCGTCGGCGACAGTGATGGCCTTGGGGTTGCTACGGGTGGCAGGGACACCGATACCCTCAAAAAGATCCTCGGCGTGCTTAAGGTCGGACTCCTTCTGCTCTCTGCGCAGTCTAGCCTTGCGCTCGGCCTCGTCCTCGTCGTCATCGCTGTCGAAATCAAGATCTTCCATTCTCTTGCGCATGTTCTCTTGCCTTCTCTCCTCTATTCTCTGACTCTTGGACTTGTGGTTCTTCTTTGCCTCCTCTTCGGCCTTGGCCTTTGCTTCTGCGGCCTTCTTTGCCTTTTCTCTCTCGACTTCCGAGTCTTCAGCGGCATCCCAGGAATCAAGGACCTGTATGTGGGGTTAGTGGTTGTTGGGCAGCAAGACGGTTTGGTGTCGCACTCACATCGCCGTCCTCCTCCTCGTCGTCAAACTTGCCGCGACGTGCGACGATTTGGGGAGAGCTGGGAGAGGAACCACTGGACTCCTCGTCATCTGATGTTGGGTCAGTATGGTTGTACGAGAGTCGATCGGCACGCGGGCGTGGTGGGGTGCGACATACCCCAATTTCCTGCCATAATTGCGGGTTTTTAAAGGTAGTGAAGATATGAGAGTGGGATGTGTGTCGAAGAAAGAGTGAGAAGCGGTCCTTGTTGCGACAGGAGGGGTGGCTGCAAGGCGGTGTTTGGTGGGATGACGGTTGGAGGGGCGCCCAATTATTGTTCTCTCCCGGGAAAAAAGATGATTGTCTGTGACTCGCTGCTCGTTTGGGTGACTGACGCCAAGACTCCGGGAGATCGCAATACGTCGACAACAGCGCCCAGCCAAGCCAGCTTCAATGGCAGCAAGCCAGCAATCAACACCTTCCAAATATCACTCCCGACCATCGCACCTTCCTCTCTCTCGCCGCACCTGCCTTTTTGCTTGACGTCTTGACGACTTTCCTTGCATCTCAGTGTTAGCCTCTACCTATTCCGACTCGCAGGGCCGCCATTGCCCCCAAGGCTCGACGCTCCTACACAAGCTCCTGATCCCGCCGCCGGATGAGGTAGCCGCCTACACATCACAACCATGGCTGCTCTACCCATCAAGTTCACTGAGCTGCTCCAGGTATGCTCTTTGCTACCGCTCAATTGGCTATCACTGACACCTCTCGACAGCTCACAGCGCTCAACATTGACGTTCGTTCACCCACCCGCCGCAATCCTACCCTCCAAACCTCACTGACCTCGATCCTCTAGCCCAAGTCATTTGGTTTCAACTCCTGTGTAAGATCTTCACTTTGAGAAGCTCTCCGACAATCACTCACACATACTGCAGACATTAGAATCAGATCACTATGTCTGTGTTTGCGACACCGCTTCGGGCGAGGTTGTTATTGTCAACCTCAAGAACAACAACAGTGTCGTGCGCCGCCCTATCAAAGCGGATAACGCAATCATGCACTGGACAAAGGACATTATCGCCCTGCGTGCCCAACAGCGCACACTTCAAATCTTCGACCTAGGCGCAAAGGCCAAGCTCAAGTCGGCCACCATGAACGAGGACGTTGTCTTCTGGAAGTGGTACAGCGACAAGAGTTTGGGTCTGGTCACAGAGACTAGTGTCTACCACTGGGACATCTTCGACCCCAGCCAGGCCGCTCCCGTAAAGATGTTTGACCGCAACTCAAATCTGGGCTCTCAGATCATCAACTACAGAGTCAGCCATGACGAGAAGTGGATGGTTGTCGTCTCCATCTCGTCGGCAGGAGGTCGCGTCGTCGGAAACATGCAACTCTACTCTCGCGACCGTGGCATCAGCCAGGCAATCGAGGGTCATGCTGCTGCTTTCGGCACAATTCGCTTGGAGGGCGCACCTGCAGACACAAAGGTCTTCACCTTCTGCAACCGCACTGCCACCGGCGCCAAGCTCCACGTTGTCGAGATCGACCACCAGCAAGGCAACCCCGTCTTCCCCAAGAGAGCCGTCGACGTCTACTTCCCGCAAGAAGCCGCCAGCGACTTCCCCGTCTCCATGCAGGTTTCGGAGAAGTACAAGGTCATTTATTTGGTGACCAAGTACGGTTTCATCCACCTGTACGACTTGGAGACCGGCACCGTTATCTTCATGAACCGTATCTCGAGCGAGACAGTCTTCACCACCTGCCCCGACAGCGAGTCTTCCGGTATTGTCGGAATTAACCGCAAGGGTCAAGTCCTGTCCGTCAGCCTTGACGAGAACACCGTCATCCCTTACCTACTGCAGAGTCCCGAGAACGCCGAGCTTGCCTACAAGCTTGCTTCGCGTGGTGGTCTCCCCGGTGCTGACCAGCTCTACCAGCAGAGATTCGAACAACTCCTGTCCTCCGGTCAATACGCCGACGCCGCGAAGACCGCTGCCAACTCTCCTAATGGCTTCCTCCGCACACCTCAAACCATCGAGCGCTTCAAGGCCCTGCAGGCCCAACCTGGACAACTCTCCGTCATTCTCCAATACTTCGGAATGCTGCTCGACAAGGGCAAGCTCAACCAGCACGAAACTCTCGAGCTAGCCAGACCCGTTCTGCAGCAAAACCGCAAGCACCTTCTTGAAAAGTGGATGAGCGAGGGCAAGCTTGGTTGCTCCGAGCAGTTGGGTGATATCGTTCGTCTGCACGACCTGAACCTGGCTATGCAAATCTACAGGGAGGCCGGATGCCCTCAAAAGGTCATCGCTGCAATGGCAGAGTCGGGCAACTTCGACCAAATTCTTTCGTACTCCAAGGAGGCTGGCTACACACCCGACTTCAACGCTCTTCTTCAGCACATCGTCAGAGTCAACCCCGAGAAGGGTGCCGAGTTTGCAACTGCCTTGGCCAAGGAGGACGCCAACCTCATCGACACATCTCGTGTTCTCGACGTCTTCATGGCTCAGGGCATGATCCAGCAGGCTACTGCATTCGGTCTCGATGTTCTGTCTGCAAACAGAGAAGAGGACGGTCCCCTCCAGACTCGCCTGATTGAGATGAATTTGATGAACGCTCCCCAGGTTGCTGACGCTATCCTTGGTAACGAGATGTTCACCCACTATGATCGTCCTCGCATTGCCACACTTTGCGAGCAGGCTGGCCTGTACACAAGAGCTCTGGAACACTATGAGGATCCTGCTGCCATCAAGCGTGTCATTGTCCAGTCTGACAAGATTCCTGAGGAGTTCTTGGTCAACTTCTTCGGCAAGCTCACTCGAGCTGTCGATGGAGTGCATGGACGAGATGCTGAAGGTCAACATCCGCCAAAACCTTGCCGCCGTCATCAATATCTCAAAGAAGTACTCTGACTTGTTCGGTCCCCACCGCATCATTTCCTGCTCGAGAAGTACAGGACTGCCGAAGGTCTCTACTACTACCTTGGTGGTATTGTCAACTTGAGCGAAGACGAGGAAGTCACCTTCAAGTACATTGAGGCCGCTACCACTATGGGCCAGATTCAAGAGGTGGAACGTGTCTGCAGAGAGTCTAACCACTACAACGCAGCCAAGGTGCGCGATTTCTCAAGGAGGCCAAGCTCACCGAGCAGCTTCCTCTTATTATCGTTTGCGACCGCTTCAACTTTGTTCACGACCTTGTTTTGTACCTCTACAAGAACCAGCACTTCAAGTCTATCGAAGTCTACGTCCAGCGTGTCAACCCTGGTAGAACTCCTGGTGTTGTTGGCGGTCTTCTCGATGTCGATTGCGACGAGAACATTATCAAGAACCTTTTGAGCTCGGTCGACTCGACTGTTGTCCCTATCGACGAGCTTGTCTCAGAGATCGAATCGAGAAACCGCCTGAAGCTCCTGCTGCCTTTCTTGGAAGCCACCCTCCAGGCCGGTAACCAGCAACAAGCTGTTTACAACGCTCTTGCCAAGATTTACATCGACAGCAACAACGACCCTGAGAAGTTCCTCAAGGAGAACGACATGTACGACACTTTGACTGTCGGTAAATACTGCGAGAAGCGTGACCCTAACCTCGCATACATTGCCTACCGCAAGGGCCAGAATGACCTTGAGCTTATCGAGATCACCAACGACAATGCCATGTTCAGGGCTCAGGCTCGTTACTTGCTTGAGCGTGAGGACCTCGAGATCTGGAACTACGTTCTCAGCTCGAACAACATGCACCGCCGTTCTCTCGTCGACCAGGTTATTGCTACTGCCGTTCCTGAGTCTCAAGACCCCGAGCGTGTTTCGATCGCTGTCAAGGCCTTCATTGATGCCGACATGCCTACTGAGCTGATCGAACTGCTCGAGAAGATCATTCTTGAACCTTCCGCTTTCAGTGACAACGCTAACCTTCAGAACTTGCTTATGCTCACTGCTTGCAAGTCTGACCGTGCTCGCGTCGGCAACTACATCCAGAACCTTTCCGAGTACAGCCCTGAAGACATTGCCACCCAATGTATCGAGGTTGGCATGTACGAGGAGGCATTCGAGATCTACAAGAAGCACAACAACCACACTGCTGCTACTGATGTTCTTGTTGACCACGTAAGTACCACTTTCTTAGCTCGTGACATCTTAAGGAGTGCAAGTGCAAGAACGACAGCCATCGAAATGCACGAAGCGAAACAAGCGACAGTCGTCTCCGGTGAGAGCCAGCATTGTTCTAGCCAATGAATGCTCTCTCAATGGAGAACGGTATCTGCTCGACTGGTTTCGTGCGTTCCGATGGTAGTCCATATCTTGAGAGTGCTCTCCTGAAGATGACTTTATCCAAACTCTCATGCCTCTATTCCACCACTCAAACATATTGCTAACTCTTTTCGTCAGATTGTCTCCATAGATAGAGCGCAAGAGTGGGCTGACCAGGTTGATACTCCCGAGGTCTGGAGCAAGGTTGCAAAGGCCCAGCTCGACGGTCTTCGTATCAGCGACTCTGTTGAGTCTTACGTTCGCGCTCAAGACCCTCCAACTACAACGAGGTTATCGAGATTGCCACTCACGCTGGCAAGGACGAGGATCTTATCAAGTACCTGCGTATGGCACGCAAGACCTTACGTGAGACCCCGTCGACACTGCTCTTGCCTTCAGCTTCGCCCGTACCAACCAGCTTAGCGAGTTGGAGGACTTCCTCCGCACATCCAACGTTGCCGACATTGAGGCTTCTGGTGACAAGGCTTATGAGGAGGGCTTCCACGAGGCTGCCAAGATCTTCTTCACCAGCATCTCCAACTGGGCCAAGCTCGCCACTACTCTTGTTCACCTCGAGGACTACCAAGCTGCTGTCGAGTGTGCCCGCAAGGCCAACAGCGTCAAGGTCTGGAAGCAAGTCAACGAGGCCTGTGTTGCCAAGAAGGAGTTCCGTCTCGCCCAGATTTGTGGTCTCAACTTGATCGTTCACGCCGAAGAGCTCCAGGACCTCATCAAGCAATACGAGTACAACGGCTACTTTGATGAGCTCATCTCACTCTTGGAGGCTGGCCTTGGTCTCGAGCGCGCTCACATGGGCATGTTCACCGAGTTGGGTATTGCCCTCTCCAAGTACCACCCCGAGCGTGTTATGGAGCACCTCCGTATCTTCTGGGGTCGTATCAACATCCCCAAGATGATTCGTGGTTGCGAAGAGGCTCACTTGTGGCCTGAACTCGTGTTCTTATAGTAAGTTGCAACTCCCCTTTTCTACCCTAAACCCACCTCCCCGTACACTTTTCCCGTGTGCGGAAGTTTACAACTTCCGCCCTCCTCCCTCATCATCGTAGAGGGATATGTCAACTACAAAATTGCACGATTGTTTTCGAACTCGGGGATATGACCAAAGAGAGTTGATGAGATGTCACTCTTCGATGGACACTGCCCTGTTTCTTGACACCATCGTGCATTTTCATAGCTACACGTGTTACATACTTCTTCACACGCGGGGACCTTTTTCTTTTATAGCTGGATGCACCAAGTACTGACGACTATACCTTCAGTGTTCATTACGACGAGTTTGACAACGCTGCTCTTGCCATGATGGAGCGTGCTGCCGATGCTTGGGAGCACCACTCTTTCAAGGACACCGTCGTCAAGGTTGCGAACTTGGAAATCTACTACAAGGCTCTTAACTTCTACCTTCAGGAGCAACCTCGCTTCTTACCGACCTCCTCCAGGCTTTGACTCCTCGCATCGATGTCAACCGTGTCGTGCGCATGTTCGAGAAGTCTGACAACATTCCTCTCATCAAGCCTTTCCTTCTCAACGTTCAATCGCAGAACAAGCGCGCTGTCAACGATGCCATCAACGATCTGCTCATCGAGGAGGAGGACTACAAGACTCTCCGTGATTCGGTTGAGAACTACGACAACTACGAAGCTGTCGCTTTGGCCCAGCGTCTTGAGAAGCACGACCTGGTCTTCTTCAGACAGATCGCTGCCAGCATCTACCGCAAGAGCAAGAGATGGGACAAATCGATTGCTCTCTCAAAGCAAGACAAGCTCTTCAAGGATGCCATCGAGACTGCGGCCATGTCGGGCAAGGGCGAGGTCGTCGAGGAGCTTCTTCGCTACTTTGTCGACATTGGCAGCCGCGAGTGCTTTGTCGGTATGCTTTATGCTTGCTACGATCTTATCCCTCTCCACGTTGTCATGGAGCTCTCATGGCGTCATGGCTTGAACGACTTCACCATGCCCTTCATGATCAACTACATGTCACAACAGGCCATGGCGATTGATCAGCTCAAGAAGGACAACGAGGAGCGCAAGTCAAAGGAGACAACGCAGAAGACGGAGCAGGACAACACACCCATTCTCGGAGGATCACGACTGATGCTGACTCAGGGCCCGGCTGCAAGCGCGGCGAGCCCGGCACCTTACTCCAACGGCGTGATGGCGCAACCTACTGGATTCCAGCCCACAGGATTCGGAGGCTTCAGATGAATGATTTGAGGAGAATAATATAGAAGCGGGGACGAAACAATGGATGGGGTGCATATGCAGGGCAGCGGCGTGTCGTTGTAGCCCCAGCGCATTGTTGAGGATGAGGGGCGTGCTTGTAGACATGTTGCAGGCCTCTAGGAGGGACTTTCTTGCACACAAGTCACAGTCAAAAGGCAGTTATGGAGCGGCGTCACTGCATGTACTCTTAGTTTGATGCAAATGAATTTCTTTGGATTGTTCATATATCTCTTTGATGCTCTCTGGATGTGGTAACTGTTGCGGGTGTGGTTATGCGTGATAGGCGGCGGCGGCGGCGGTGGGGCACAGGCCATTGAGTGATCGACTGTCACATGCTAGCGGAGTCGCGCACAAGCACATGCACAAGCTGAAGCAATGCCAGCAGCATCATCATCGGCCCACAGTTCCACATTCGCTGATTGCTTCCTTCATCTCTCCCTTTTGTACTTGTGTCTCGCTCCTTCCCTTACTTACATCTCTGACGACAATAGACTGCAACTTCTGTTTCCTCGCAGCCATCCGCACCGCGTCACATCTTGGATATCCTGTCAAACGCTGAACAATACCAAAAACAACACGCACGTGCATCTGCAAGAATCCGTCCACCACCTCGTCAGCACACGAGACACGCCCCAGACAACATGGCCGATCAATCGCCTCCTCTCCTTCGTCCCCGTCCTCGTCGTCCGTTCGAACTCACACCCATGTCGTCGACCGCTGACAACTCTCCCAATGGCCGTGGCACTCCGGACCCCCAATCCCCTGGAGCCGACGAGTCAGGCCTTCCGCCCTCTCGTACCCGCTCCTTCCTCAACCTGACAACCTCCACCCTCTTCGGCATCTACTCTCCCGCTGGCTATGCACCCGACCGCGATGAGACACCCTGGGGCACGGGTGCTCAGACACCCATCGACAGCAAGGGCATGAACATGGCTGATATTGACGGCAACGTCGACGACGCTCTGATGATGAGAAGCAAGAAGAGACGAGGCAGCATGCTCGAGGCCTCGACACGGCGTGTCCAACGGCCCAAGAAGAAGACATTCACCAACTGGTTCCTGCCCATGGTCGGCAAGAATGTCGTCTTGGGTCTCGCTGGCATTGCATATGGTCAATTGATTGCACATTTGCATGACAGACAGACTCTGGTGCCTGTGCAGGTCGAAGGCATGCCCTCGGGTTCGTGGGCGTATATTGCCTACTGGTGTTTCAGTGGTGTTGCTCTGGGTCAGGCGCTGCCCTGGGTTGACTCGATCTGGATGAGCGACGGTAGTGGTGAGACTGAGGCCGACAGGGAGTACAGGACTTCCGGAAACTTGCGCAGTGCTCAGGACTCGCATACCCGCAGCCAGAGCTGGACTCCCGGTTGGAACGAGGTTGTCAGATTCATTGGTGCCGCCGTGGGCATTGTCTTTGCTATCGTAAGTTGCTCTTGCGTTTTTCGTTTTCCCTACTTGATATCAATTGCTAACGCCTCCACAGCGTCGTCTTCCTGGCAATCACCTCTCCAACTCAGCCTCACCCTCGCCCTCGCAAACCCAGCCATCTGGTACCTCCTCGACCGCACAGGCCCCTGCTTCATCCTCGCTACCACTGTCGCCCTCACTGGCACTGGCCTCCTTCTCTCCATCAACCCCGACCTGATACCCTCACCCCATACGGCAAACATCCACTCCTTTTCAAGCGTAGCCAACGCAACGGCAAATGCAATCCGAGGACAAGATCTGGTGCTTGGAACCTTCACCATGGAAAGTGTGGGCGTTGCTACTTGGATTGCTAGTGTTCTGTTTGTCAGCGCCGTCGCTTTTGGAAACATTGGTCGTAGACTGTAAGCTGCTCGATCTTCTTTTGGCATAACAAGGTGTACTTCACAATGGTGGACACAAGGCAGTGGAATATCTGCACAACATTTCGGCGTCATCTGTCTTAGTTCAGATAGGTCATTTGCATGGTAGTGGAGTCTAATGATCTACCTTCTCGATAACCAAGCAGTTATGAGAATACAAATCTAGCCAAATTGCTTTGGAGTTTTATTGAGAACTCCATGTTCGATCCGAACTTGGTCTGCCAATCAATGCTGTGTCTCTCGCGCGCTGTGACTTGACACCACCAATGTTCAAAACAATTCTGCCAAACAAAAAAAAATTAAACAAAAGATTAAACAAAACACAGCTCTAGTTCTTGTAACTTCAGGTCACGAGGATAGGTCTGCTAGTGTATGGCTCCCACATTGGAGCTACACCTCCGGAAGGATCGAATAGTAGGCTGTATCGCGTGGGTAGAGATTAGGGTCATCCTTTCTGTTCTGAAAAAGTGCGCTGCATTCTGATTCCGCCGTGAGGGTGGGTGCGAGGTTGAGAGCAAGGCATGTGCTTAGCAACTCGTAAATGTAAGACGCGATGCCAATGATTGATGCGATATTCAAAAAATCGTTGAAACATTCCAAGTACAGGCGTAGCTTGCTCTTTTCAGATCTTGAACATGTCGAACAAGAATCTATGTGGCCTTCTTCTTGGCCGCTTCTTCCTTTTCCCTCTTTCTGGCCAAGAACCTTTCTCTCGCGGAACTGATGTCCGTGTCTGTTTTCTTGCTCTTGCTGGCCTTGGCCAATCGTTCTTGTTCCTCCTTGTCTGCTTCCAAGGCTCGTTTTCTACTTTCCTCTAGTTGTTGCTCCATCATTCTTGTCTGTCGTTCTCTTACGCCGTTGTCGCGTTTTTTGTTCCATTGCGCTGTATCGTCTTGTTTCTGGATCGCGGCGGAAGGTTTTGGTGGGGCAGAGGGCGAGGCGAGAACGTTGAGACCTGCAGTGAGGAGTTGGCGTTTATCTGCCACTTGACCTTCGTCGTTGAGAGTGATGTTGACGCCCTTGGCAGCCAATTCTGCCACGCGGTCTTTTTCCTGTTTGGTGTCTGGATCGTCTGCGATGTTGTCGCCAGCGAGTTTGCGCTTTTCCATTTCGGCAGCTGCTTCGAGGGCTTCGGTGTGTCTGCGCTCGCTGTCTGCCATGACATTGCGATAGAATCCTTGCATTCCTCCGCCCATTTTTCTTTTCCTTTCTTCCTCTGCAGCAGCTTTTTTCTCTTCTTCCTCGCGCAAGCGTTGGTTTTCTTCTTGTTGGGCTTTGTAGGCTCCCGTGACGAAGCTCTCCTTGTCTGCAAACTCTTCACCTTCGTTTTCACGTTCCTTCTGCAGGAACTTTTCGCGGGCCACTTGCTGGTCTTGCTTTCGTTGTGCGGCTGCTGTGAGCAGTGCGTTCATGTATTTTGGCCCTTGGTTGACGGTTTCTTGCTTTGCGGCTGCTTTGCGCGCGGAGGCGGCTGAGGTAGCGGCGGAATGAAAAGAGTCGTAGTCGTAGATTGTTGGGTCTAGTTCTGTGGCTTTGGCGGCGTAGGCGGCGCTCTCGCGTTGCGCGGAGAGATCGCTGTATTCCTCTGGGTTCACGCCTTGAGGTTTCCTTGTCGGTGGTTTGGTAGGAACGGAGCCGGGTTTTGGCTTGTTGAGAGGCTTCTTCTTGGGCGCTGGTGCTGGGGCAGAGGGTCGTGATGGCTTTGAGGCGTCGAACTCGGTGAGCTCTTCTTCAAAGGCATTGGACTTCGGAGCTGCTGCTGCTGGGGTATCGTCATCCGAGTCGTCGCCTAGCACGTCCATAGCGACTGGACGTCTCTTGGGTTTTGGAGGCGAGGCCGGCGCCTTGGACTTGGTGTTGAGGCCGAAGGAGAGCGACATGGTGGCAGTGCCTGGACTGTGTCGATATTGGGTGATGTGATATGCGTGCGTGATGCAACGAGTAGGTGTTTATTCTTCACATTGTGGTGGTTGATGGTCAAAGAATTGCGCAAAGTCGTCTGGAAGGCAGTTCGACATGGTCTGTGCGGACTTCGTCACCAGCAGTGGTCTATCACTGAGCAGGTCTCGAACTATCTTGTACGTTTGAATGTTTAGAAGGATATGCTATGCAGGCCGAGGAGATGTCTGTCTAGATAGCATAAACACATTTCATTACTTCGTGAACTTCAATGGTCGAGCCGGATGGAAATTTGTCATTTAGCATGATGTCATGAAAGCCCCGCATCAACTCTGAAGTCCAAGCTCCTCTTTTATGATGGTCGAACGGATGTCTTGAACGTTGATTAGCTCTTCATTTCTCTTGCAGTACTCAATTGCTTCTATTCTCTTCATACCCTCTGCAACTCACCGATCCAAAGCAGATCCACACAATCAAAATGTCTACCGGAGTTGGAATGTCTTCGTGCTGCTTGACCGGCAAGGTCCAAGAGGGAACCNCCAAGGGCCATGTCGAAACAATCGCTGGTCTTCAAACCTACGTTGCCGCGCCCAAGGACGGCTCGAAGTGGAAGACCGTCATCTTCCTCGTCGACAGCAAGTCAACGCCCTCTCAACTTTGAAGTCCCGCATACTAACGTAAAGCAGTCTTCGGATGGGAGTTCAAGAACACTCGCCTGCTCGCTGACCAGTACGCCGCCAACGGCTTCACTGCCTACATTCCTGACGTACACGAGGGTGACTCGCTCGACATTGAGTTCCTCCAGACTGTCGAGCCCCAGAAGACCGAGCGCGACTCTCGCTCGCTCACAGAAAAGGCCACTGCCACTGCAAAGACTGGCGCAACACTCGGCCCCTGGCTGCTCAAGCACCGTGAGAGTGTCGCTCGTCCCTTGATCGAGAACTTCATCAAGCAGGTTCGCATGATCCCTGGCACCAACAAGGTCGGCGCAATTGGCTTCTGCTGGGGTGGCAGATATGTCGTCCTGGCTGGAGACAAGGACTTTAGTGGGGCTGAGGGTATGGGTGTCGACGCCATCTACAGCTGTCACCCTTCGCTCGTTGCCATTCCTTCCGACTTTGAAGGACTCGCTGTTCCCGCATCGTTTGCGCTCGGTGACTCGGACAGCTTGCTCGGAAACAAGGAGGTCGACCAGATCAAGGAGCTCATGGCCAAGAAGAAGAGCGAGGGAATTGCCACTGAAGTACGTATCTACGAGGACCAGGTCCATGGATTCGCACTGCGCGGGGATTGGAACTCGGAAAAGGACAAGAAGGCCATGGACGAGTCGTGCAAGCAGGGCATCGACTGGTTCAACAAGCACCTGGCATAATAAACTGTACGGGGTATCTTAATAATCTAGACGAATGAAACGATGGTCATGCGCTCAAGCGGAAGCTGCAGCCTCTTGGTTTTGTTGATCGTGTTGGTCGAACTTTTGCTGGACCGGGTTGGCAGAACCGATGAACTTTTCGATCTCCTTATCCAGGGCGGCGAGATTGTCTTTCTTCTTGTTGTTCACGGCGATCAGGCTTTGCTTCTTTTGAGANAGCCCTTGGCGTTGTTCTTCCAAGGCCTGACGTTCGGCGTGTTCGTGATTGATACGGGCCACCATGAGATCGTGTTCGTCTGCGCCGGCAAGCTCAGGGTTGATAGCAAGGATTTCGTCGACGGGAATCAGTGGTAGAGTCTGATACTTGTGACTGTATAGTTGTTAGATAGCACTATAGACGATCAGTAAGACAGAACGTACTTGTAGCCCNTGGCAAGCGGCAATGTCGCCGATGAGATGACGCTGTTCGTAGTACAGGTTCTGCAAGTGGAGGTGCAGAGAATCGATCTCGGACTTTGCTTCCTGGGTTTGCTGCTTGGTGTTGCGCGTGTCGAGTACGGCGCGGCGATTGAGACCGCGCAGCTTGGCCAGGTTGGCGTGAAGGGTCTTTTGCTGACGACTGAGCTGCATCTCAGCATCGGGGTCAGGCTGGGCGGCGCGATTCTGGTCGATGAAGTCGAGCATCTGCAGGCATTGTCGGCGAGCCTCGGCGGCGGCCTGCAAGACGGACTGGAGGAAGGCGTCGGTCACGAATGCGCCGGCGTCCATGGGTGATTGGTCGGCCATGGGGAACGATGTGTGCGCGTGTTGTGAATTGTAGAATGTGATTTGCGAATGTGGAGAGTTGATGGTTCGGATGGTCACATGAAGGGAGACAGGGTCGCTTGTCGGAGATGGCTCGCTCAGCATGTGAATCGATCCCAAGACCCTGCAAGAAATCGATACCAAGCGTCGGAGCTTTCGTATCCGGCAGCAGCCAAGCGACTATCTCATAAAACTCAATTCGCGCTGCATCATCGTCTGGATGTCATCGCAAAGAAGGAAGGCCTTTAAGGCATCCTTGAGAGGACAGCACGAGAGGAGTAACCGTTCAGTGATCAAGCAGTCCCTCAGCACGAGCAATGTATCTCGATGAGTGCTGAAGCCTAAGGCAGCATGCAGTTGATTAGCAATAAGCTGTACCCTTTGGGAAGGTGGGACCAAGCCAAGACGTCGTCACCCAGCCATTTTATGCCACTCAGGTCTCGCTTTCCACCTACGTGGGCCTTCCACGCCTCTACTTTGGCTCGCTATGCCGTGCCCTCTTTTTCCCGCAAGTACGACTGTGACCTACTAGAACCCGTCTCTCTCTTACCTTCCTTCTTATGCATCCACGCTCCATCTGTCACCTAAAGTCTTCTCCGCCCGCTCCCGTTTGCCACGCTTGACATTTCATTTCTTCCCCAAACTCGGTTGCCCCGGCGAAAGTCTGATTACTTGAATCGCCCACCAAAGATCAAGATCACCAACCACAATCTCTTCGTCCTCCCTTTGTAGTTTTCCATAACAAGTTCTGGTCTCTCTTCTGCTCTGCACCAATCCCTGTTCACAATGGCTACGGCCACTTGCACCACCACCATGACCGACTCTCACGAAGAGCCCGCCCTTTGCTCAACCTCAAGCGGTCGCCCTGGCCTACGCGTTAGAGACGGCCTTAAGAAGCGTCGCCATTCTTCCTACGTCCCCCAATCCTGGTCCGCTGATCACGACGACATTCAACTACTGGTCGACCGTTTCCTCAAAGAACTGGGCCATCGTCTGGAGTTCCTTGACTCGTACGGCCACTTCAAAATCGACTCTGGCATCGATCGCGCATACAGTACTCTCCATGCCGTCCACGAATCTTGCAGCAAGGTGTCGGACGAGGTCATGGATGCGGGCAGACGGCGTGCCAAAATCATGGTCGACGTTCTCGATGACCGATATCGGGGCGCGTTGGCAAAGAAAGAGACCTTGGAGAACAAAGTCCGCGAGGGTGTCCGTTTGATGGAAGAGATACTTCGCGACTTTGAGACTCGTGCTTATGCTATGCGCGATGCCGGCCTAGGAGCAGTTGCCTCGGACCTCATGGACTCTGGAAGGAGGAAGATGGACGAGGGGATTCACATTGCTACCGAGCTGGTGGATGAGGGTATTGACAAGGCTCGCCGTGCAAAGGAGGCTGTCAAGGATGCTGTCAAGGCCAAGATCGACGAAGCCGTCAAACGCGCAAAGGAGCAAGGCCTCATCACGTACCACGACCTACCGGACCCTTGGAGGATCAACCCGCATATCACTCGTGGCTACCGCTTCTGTGAGACCAAGGTCGACTGCTTGCGCTCTTGTCTGTCCCTTTCCAACGAGACGGTCAACATTTATTCTCACTTCCTAGGTCTGCTGATCGTACTTTCTATCGCATTCTACTTCTATCCTACCTCGGCCCATTTCTCCATGTCGACAAAGTCGGACATATTCATTGCTGCCGTCTTCTTCTTTGCTGCGTCAAAGTGCCTGGTCTGCAGTACTGTATGGCACACCATGAACTCTATTTCCAACCAAACTCTTATGGAGAGATTTGCTTGCATTGACTACACCGGCATATCCTTATTGGTAGCCGCGTCGATCATGACTACAGAGTACACAGCTTTCTATTGCGAACCCATCAGTCGTTGGATCTACATGTCTCTGACAGCCGCCCTGGGCGTCGGTGGTGTAATTCTCCCCTGGCATCCAACCTTCAACCGTAACGATCTCGCATGGGCCCGCGTCGCTTTTTACGTTACTCTTGCAGGTACTGGTGGTCTGCCCGTAATTCAGCTCATCTACACTCGTGGTGTGAGCTGGGCAGTATACTTCTACACGCCCATCTTCAAGAGCTTGTTTGTGTACCTCACCGGCGCGATACTATATGCTGCCAAGGTCCCTGAACGCTTCGCTCCAGGCTTCTTCGACTACTTTGGTGGTAGCCACAACATCTGGCATTTTGCTGTACTTGGTGGTATCTTGTTCCACTACAGCGCAATGCAGAGCTTCTTTGGAGACGCTTTCCGCCGGGCAGAGAGTCAATGCACTGTCTACTAGATTTTGTTCTTTCATTTCTCCTTTTTTCACCTTCGCTTCTCCTTTTGAGGGCTCTTGCGCAAGTGTTGACAAGATGTCCCTGTTTGTGCGTTTTTCCTTTTTTCTTGACTCTTCTTCTTACTACCTCTTCTTTTCCTTACAATCCTTCACCTTCGCTTCTAGTCTACTGTTGTACAAATGATCGTCTATATTATTTTGTAAATACGAAGACCAATGAATTCAACATACCTACTCCGGTGCATAATGTGAATTGCCTGCCATCGATGTGGGAAGCAACGTTCTTATGCTCCATCTTTGTCGTGACTATGAGCTTGAGCCATCCACAAGTGATCCCTAGATGACCAATGTGCATACAGTACACATCGAATTCGTCCTGTCCATGAAGTGTGGAAACGCATGTCTGAGCAAAAATCCAAAAATACCAAAAACACCAAACGCGGCAGTGATTGAGACGCAACCACCGACGACCCTCAAATTCTGCATTTAATTCTTTTACAGCGACCACAACCTGTCCCCAACTCGTCTCTTTCACGTTCCTTTGCAAGAAAACAGATCCTGGCATCACACAAACGCGCCTCTTTCACAGACAAAAACCATGGCAATCACAAAATTCGTCTCTCTGGACCATACCAGGATTCCAGGATTTCCAGACGCGCCAGTTCATCTAGACAGAGCACCCATCAAAATGGTCGACGACGTAGACGCAGGGTTTACCCAACACACCGATACCAGCAACTTGACCACCGCAGTTGGCATCACCACAATCCTATTTCGCTGGTCTCCTGACGCCTTGCACGCGTTTCTCGACATCGACGCTTGGTTCTCTTTTACATGGCAACTCACAATCTCCTCTGTTTGCAAATACGAAATCGGAAGAGTGGAAAACCAAATCACGATTGGAAAACTCGATGCCGAGGGCGAAAAGTGGGAATTGATGTTGACGTACAATATCGCTACTCAAGGACAAGACAGAGGCAAATGGATCCCCAATACTGCAGAAAGCATGCTAGGCAACACAGACTTGACCGATGCTGCTCAAATCGACAGATTGGCGAGAAACTTTGCAAAAGATTTGTGTTTGCAGGAGGTGTGGTTTACGAGTAAAGGGCGCAAACATGAGTTGTTTGTGGAATATGCCTTGATGGATCCGTTTAGCGATGGGATACCGATGAATCCGCATTGGTTGTATGATGCGCCTAATGTGGGGCATTGCACTACTTGCGATGTCTATAAGGATGTTAAGCCATTGCAGCGCTGTGGGAGATGCGGTACAGCGGCTTATTGCTGTGCGTTGCATCAAAAGCTGGATTGGCCGGTGCACAAGACTACCTGCAACATGAGTCTGGAAGATAGAGGGCAAATGTTGAAGATTTCGCAGCATGGAGGGCTTGTGGGATGGGATCTTTCTCAGAGGTTGGAAAACGAAGATGAGGAGGAGCCAAAGGGAGAGGAGGCACAGGCAAAGAAGATGTCCAAGAACCCCAACTTTGTCACGCCGCAGCTGAAGGGGCAGCGTCAGACGAATTTCAGCATCAATATGATGTAGAGAGGACACGAGATTGGAGAGCTTGGAAAAGTCCCTGTTGGAACAGAGGATGCATCAATATATGTCTTCAAACCCTTCCATTCCTTGAACCTGCCATGTTTCAAGGAACGCAAACGCTCAAGGATCGGCTGTGGAGAGTCAAGGCTCACTCTCTTCTATTACATAATACCACAACTGCTGTAAATGATTTCTGTTTTCAAGCCAGGCACTTTGAACAGTGTCTACTCGCAGGAGAGAACCGCATAGATGTTTGTGATCAGACTAAGTGACCCTGACCCCCAACCCAACACTGCCTGTCCTAAAACACTCGACCCCTCCGCACCCCAAACACTCCTCCAATATCCATTCAAAGCTCAACCCATAGAACGTCTTCCATTTCTTGGTTTTACCAGGCAAGACACCATTCCACTCGCCCCTTGCCCTTTTGGCTCTGCTTTGCGCATCTTCTAAAGGTATACCTCCATCCCATCGTTCCCTTAGTATCTCTTTCGTACTTTCTTTGTATTTGGGAGAAGACTTGACGAGGAGGGCTAGAAGATGTTGGCGTGCTTCTGTGACCAGGCATAGGTATGCTCCTGTATTTGGAAGAGAGAAGGTCAGGGTTTGTGGTTGTTGGATCGACGATTTTGGTTTGGTTTGTAAATTCAGACCACGGCCGCCGCCGCCGTTGAGGTGTACGGCTGAGGAGCCACCTGTAGCTGCTAGAGTGCCTGTCGCTGCTGTATTCCACGAGTTGGCTAGGGACGAGGAGCCGGGTGAGGAGGCTTGTCCGGGTAAAGAGTAGAGATTATCACTTAGTGCGCTCGTCGAGGTCATAAAACCAGCTGCTATAAGTTCTTGAACTTCGTCTGGGAGAAACAGGCTTGCTGGTACCGTGTACGAAGATGTATTTTCCTCCAGCACTTTTGCGTATTTTTCTTTTAGCCCTTGGGAGAGAGCTGGGTGTTGTTGTATTGTATTTATCCAGTCTTCAACCAGGACGACACCTTCGCCTATTGCAAAGCCGCCTTTGCCTCTTCCTGGTATGTTTATTTTCTTGATAGTGCCAGAGTGAATCAGGGTTGCGAGCCGGCGTTCGATGTCTGTGGTTGACATGGAGACTGCGTGGAGATGTGCTATCGAGACTATCGGAGGCATGTTCTTTCGATAGTTGAGGACTTCGGCTATTCGGGTACTGTTCATTCCCGCAGCTCTTTCTGGTATCTCGGTCCATGTGCGGTGTTGGATATAACGGATGAGGCAGACGGTATCTCGTGGTGTTTTCGGCGGCGGCAAAGCATTGACAATGCCTGTGTTGTCGAGAGGCTGTTCAGTGCTTGTGCTAATTTCGGACTGGCTTCTCTTGACTCCGGCTTGTGGTGTAGTGGCTGCTTTGCGTCGCGGATGATTGCCAAAGGGTGACGAGGCCGAGCGGAGTAGTTGAATGGGCGACTTCTTGGGTCGCGATTGTAGCGGTCTCGGTACGCCAGTTGCGCTGAAAGACATGATGATGACTTAGGTGAGTAGGTGTCTCTATGGTATAGACTGCCGAGATAGCTAAAGGAATGTCTGCCTTGTGGCAAGAGAGGCACACGTGATCACATGAGCAGGCGAAGGTGATGAGAAAAGTACTTATGGTATGGATTGGCAGACGACTGTGGTAGCCGGACCGGACCTATCGTGAGGAAGATATTACTGAGAGCGCAAGCGACGTGCAAAGGAAGTCGACATGCAACTGTTTGCTCTGACATTGTGAGGTGGAAAGGAGGAAGCGTCGAAGCGTCGAGTGAAGTCGGGATTCGGGATCGACAACTGCGGCTGCCGAGAGACTTTTGATGATGCATGAATCTAGCAACCACCACTCGTGCCTTCTTTAATGACGACCAACCTTTTGCTTTCCTACCAAGACGACTCGATTCCTTCAAGGCATACTAGAATGGAACCTCCAAGTTTGGGGGATGCGGTTCGTATACTTGATTTGGCACACATACATGAGAATCGGCCATATTCCACCGGACCACACCTTTACCTTCTGCACTGGTATTCTGGACAACAGAGAAATACCTTTCTGGGTGTCGGCACCATGAACTTGGCTCCCTCACCATCTTGACAGGCTCTTTATACACGGCATATCTTCCGAACCAAATCTTGCTATCAGCATGAGCCAATCCCATAGCGGATAGAGGCCCGTGAATACCCGCCTTTCTTATCGTGAATTTTTCTTATTCTGTGCACGCCCTAGAACACAGACGCTCCACGCCCAACCCACACACGCCCTGCGCCCTAGGGAGTCTCTGTATCAGAGTCTTTTGCCAGGCATCCTTTCGTGCAATGGAGAAAACCCATGCTTGTCCCGGAAATGTCTCAAGTAGGAGTCTATAATTTCGAAATACAACAAACTTTGTTCTGCAACTTGAACACTTAGTCGACTTGTGTATCTGTCAGAGCAAATATGTCTCAACTCGACGAGAAGAAGACGATGCGTGAATTCGTCTACGAGGAGACCGAGAAGAGTTCCGCTTCCTCCAGTCCGGATCTTACACCTACGCATTCATCATGGTCAGAGAAGAGCATACGAGAGTCTCTTGAGGAAGAAGTCTACGAACCAGAGACACGCCCACAATCCACCGACTTGGAGAGGACGCCCACCAATGTTCTCAACAGAATTGCATCACGAGTAACGACACATTCTCTGAAAGAGCCAGGTCCACCGCCTGATGGCGGTATGAAGGCCTGGCTCATGTGCGGCATGGCTTGGCTTGTCGTTTTCTGCAGTTGGGGCTTGACAAACTCTTTTGGAACTTTCCAAGCATATTACGCAGATACCCTTGGAGAGACTGCCTCAACCATCTCATGGATCGGATCAATTCAGGTTTGGGTGCTCTTCTTCCTCGGAACTTTTGCTGGTCGTGCAATGGATGCTGGATACTTTGTGCCTACGTTCGTTGTGGGTACTGTTCTCCAGCTCGTCGGCATCTTCATGACATCCCTATCCACCAAATACTGGCAGTTGTTCCTCGCTCAAGGTGTCTGTACTGGCATGGGCTCTGGAATCTTGTTCACACCTTCCATGGCTCTTCTGAGCACCTACTTCTCCAGCCACAAAGGCCTTGCTGTGGCACTGGCGACCACTGGTAACTCGGCTGGCGGTGCTCTATACCCACTCATAGCTCGCCAGCTTCTGCCTCAGATTGGCTTTGGATGGACCATCCGTGTGCTAGGTCTCATCAACCTCATCTGTTTGTGCACCGCCGGTATCGCCATGAAGCCCAGACTCCCACCTCGCAAATCCGGGCCCCTAGTCGACTTTTCCGCACTCAAGGAGCTGGGCTACATGCTCTTTACCATTGGCATGTGCTTCCATTTCCCTTCGCTGTACTTTACGAACTATTACATTGCATCCTACGGTCGCGATATGCTCGGTCTCTCCTACTCAAACTCGGTCATCCTGCTCATCATCCTCAATGGTGTGGGTATCCCTGCTCGCGTCCTGGCAGGGCATGTCGCAGATCGCTATCTGGGCGCACTTAACACCCTCATCCCTGTATTGCTCTACGTCAACGTTCTCGCGTTCTGCTGGATGGGTGTCTCCTCCCAAACCTCACTCTACATTTTCGTCTCTTTCTACGGTCTCGGGCTCGCAGCCTTCCAATCTCTTATCCCCACTACGGTGGCCAGAATGACCAAAGATATCAGTAAAGTAGGCACGAGGATGGGTATGGTGTTTACATTCCTGTCCTTTGCTTCTTTGGTTGGCCCACCCATTGGTGGCGCTCTGCTCTCGGTAGACGGAGGTGTTTATACCTATGCACAAGCTTGGTCTGGCGCCTCTGCTGCTGTTGGCACAGCTCTTGTCCTTGCTGCAAGGATCTATGCCTTTGGTTGGGGCAAGGTCAAGTGCTAGATCGATTGGACTTTGTGCTGGAGCAGATCCAAAAGGAAGATTTTTACGTCTAACGAAGATAAAGTAATAGACTACGCGATAGAAATAGATGAACAATGAACAACATTGATGACTCAAGACTGCAGCCTTCCGAAGAACTGATACATACCTATCTCCAGCCTCCGTTACGTATGTGGATGAGTAACAAAAGTAAGAAGGATGTGCTGACTCGGTTTTTCCCATCCTTTTCTTTCCAGATCAAGGTACCGGAAATGGAAGGAGCATTGTAAGAAGAGGAAAGCACATCTGGCAAGTACCAGATGAAAGAAACGGCCGAGGTATAAGACTGGAAAGAGCATCAACGGTAGCAAACATGGAAGGAGCCAATATGTTACAGGAAGATACGAAACACTGGTACAGCAGAGAAAAAAAAATACGAACCATATATAAGAGATTAACAGAAGAAAAGCAGGTATTGCTAAAAACATATTGAACTCATCTGTTCAAAAGTAGAAGCCTGTTCTGTTTCGACCCGAAGGACAATTCTATATTGGCACTACAAGTAAGCAAAATCGAAAGATCCTTAACACAAGAATACCATAGTTTGTTGACAGAAGATCCATCTTCGTCCTCGCGCAGCAAAGGGAAGATGATGGGACATAGCAGACCCAAACAAGAACAAACACCACTCCATTTGAGTAAAAGGATGACCCAATCCTTACCTATGCAATCCAGGCAACTTTCGATCCTCTCGGGGTACAGGTCCATTACTACAAACGTCCCTCTGCAGCCGATTTCTTGTGCAAACTACTACAGTCCGAAATCTTCTATGGCTTTTCGAGGTGGATGTTCAGATATCAAGCTTTTAGTCGGCGGGGCCGACGTGGGGGGAGTCGATCCCCGGACCTTTTGTTATTCTTCAGGCGTTGATTTTGGGGTCAATCTCATGTTGGAGTTTGCCTGTCGAGCCATTGAACGGTCTTTGTCATGCAGAATGTGACTTTTTGGCAACATATTCTTCAGTGAAACATTTGCAAACGAGATTACTAAATTGTGTCCATGGAAAGGGACTCGACAAGTCAAAGATGATTGGAAGGCTACGACAAGTAGTGCGAGCCAAAGAAAACATCGGGAGTCTTGGAAGAAGCCTTGATACAATAGGTAATCATTGACTCTAAGCAAAGAGCTAAGTAAAGACAAGAAAAAATACCGTCCATTTAGGAGGAATGGGGATAAATACTATCAAAGAACACGAGTACTTTCACACACAATGCCTGGCACCTTTTCTCGTCTAATCTTCATCGGTATCAGTGTCCGTATCTGTCTCGCTCTCCGTCTCTTCCTCTTCGTCTGTTCCGCTCTCTTCATCGCTATCATCATTGGCTTGCTTGATCTTTGGGTTCGTAGGCTTCTTTGTAGCGCCACCGCGCAGAGTTGCCATTTGTCCTGCAATCGAGTCTGTTGTTGCAAAGTCAGTTGCTGCTACGTTTATGAAAGACTTTGAAGGGGCAAACTCACCTTCTTCGGGCTCAGAGATATCCTCATCCTCCCACTCGGCCTCTTCGATCGAACTCGGGTCCTCGACAGAAAGGATAACATCCCTCTTGTCATCGAAACCAATGTAACTGTCACATGCGAGGTGCATCTGGAATTTGTAGTGGGCGGGTTGAGGAGGAGCTTGGAACTGCATCTTGAGCGTCTGGACAGCAAAAGTAGGCTTGCCAGATTCATTGAGGATGGGCTTGTCGAAGGTGGTGAAGGTGAATGGCGGCACGGCAACCTTGCCCTGACGGGCGTCGGCGAGGAAGAGGTGCCAGCGGGGAGAGTGGTCGCGGGAGAAGTGAGGGGCGTGGGCGAGAGGNGGTTGGTATTGCTTCTGCTCGGCAGGGTCGGGGCGGGCGTTGGCTTTGGTGTCGGTCTCGTCGGGGTCAATATCCTCGAGGTCTGAAGGGTGGACGTCGGGGATGCTGCGGGTACCAGGAGGGATAAAGCGGGCCTTGACGACGAATTGAACAAGAGAGTTGGGGATAATGTGCTTCTCGCCAGTGACCTTGAAGAAGGTACGCTCGATGACCAGACGGGGAAGCTGAGAGGCGACGCTGATGGCAGTGTCTAGTTGAGATGTAGAAAGACCGGCAGAGGATGCAAGTTCACGGCGACGGGCGTCGGGGAAGTTCATGAAGGTCTGGATAGTCAGATGGCTGCGCTGGTCAAGTTGATCCTCGATAGCCTTGACAGCCTGCTCGTTGAAGTGGGGGAGTTGCAGAAGAGGAGGTGATTCGGGAGCAACAGCTTGGATCAAGTTTTGCGAGGTACGGTAGGATGCGAGGACGGGGTTGGTGAAGCCATAGGCCAGACAGACAGAGACAAAGGCCTCGTTTAGGGTGAGAGCGGTGGGGGCGAGCTGGTACTTTTCGTCGTTTAGGGTCTGGTCGTCGAGCTCAACACGAGCCAGGTAGGCCCAGAGCAGCGCAAGAGTCTTGCGACGCACAGTGTCGTCCATGTCCTGCAAGAAGCGACGATCCTTGTCGGTCAGAACGCGAGCTTCTTGAAGCAGACGCTTCTCGAGCTGTCCAGTTCCAGCGTCGGCCTTGTGGCCGTGAAGGAGTGCCTCGAACTCGGCACCCGAGCTGAGCAAGTTGACAACACCGTGGTCGTCAACGCGCTCAGAGAACTCCTTGAACATGTTGCCAGCGCTGTTGACCAAGATCTTCTCGCGCGTCACCTTTTGCGATCCGTACCACCAGCTACCCACAAAGTATGGCAGCAGGATTCCCAACAAGGCGCCGTAGACGAGCAGGATGTATTTTCCATTGCCCTCGGTAATCAGGAACTGAGGAAGAGCAATACCGAAGCTGGTGCTCTGCTTGCCGTCTGGGTTTCCGTATTCGATAAAGTTTCTGCGCACATCCTCGTCGGTGAGCNNCTTGTAGGCCTTGATGACCTCAACCCAGCGCTCGTTGACGGTTTCGAGAGTCTCGTTCTTTGCCGGGTCGGGCACGGCCTTGTCTGGGTGCATAGTGACTGACAGCCTGCGGTAGCGGCTCTGGATCTGCTTCTCGGTTGACGACATTGGTACACCCAGAATCTCATAGGGGTCCCAGATTTTGGGTGTGCTGCGCTGTGTTACAGCCATGAGGTAAACCATCAGGACGATTGTGGTCCATCCGATACCGGCCACGATCATGCGCTTGATCTTGCGCTCCCTCCTCTTTTGCCGTCTCCTGTGTCCGTCGATGAGATCTGCATGTTCGGGCGTGTAGGACGACTCGATTCGCGTCGCTGTGTTTTCAAGGTCNTGGACACTGGATGAGTACGAAGCTGGATTTGAGAGGTCGGATTGGGTGTTACCTTTGCTGGGCTTGAGGAGAGAGTATGTCACTGGTAGCGTGACCAGACCAGCTACTGTGACAAAGAAGAAGGGGAAGAACTGGCCCTGTTCGTCATAGTTGTATTCGGTCGACATGGCGGCGGCGCCTTTCTATTGTACGCGGGTCCAAGCCAGTCGAGCTGTGGACAAAGGTCCGAAGTGAGGAGAGTGGTCGGAATGCAAAGTCAAACGCGCTGCGTCTTGACAGGTCGTGCTTAGAATAAAAATAAAGGAGGGTTCTCAGAGTTGACTCGAAGCTGGAGACAGCAAGAGCACATGCAATTGCGATTCGTGTCTTCTTGCCAACTCGAAACTCACCAACGCCCGCATCATCCTTGGCGCCCATGCCTTTCCATCAACCTCTATCATACTCGATCTTTTGAAATCTATTAAGAGTCACATCTCAAACTATCATTCGTGTCCCGGGCTTCAAAATTATGTCTATTGTTTGGGTATAGTGGCTATCTCAGCACATCTTCTCCGTTACGCCTGCGCTCAGGGAATTACATCACCACCAAAACCAGCCCCTTACTTGTTCTCGTACAATGCCCTTAGCAACGAATCGTACGCTCCTCTCATCACCATTTCATTGTCCGTCTCAAAGTCCAACGCGAATCGCAACCTTCTCGCCGCTTCTTTGATACTATCATGGCCCTTCTCCTTTGCCTTTGCCTCCTTAAGGATCTTGCGTGAGTCTGCCATTCTCCTCCAGAACCCTTGCACTTGCGTCTCGTACATCGTCTGCTGCAGTGGCACCTCGTGCGGGTTGATCTTGCTCGTCACGTTGCCCAGATACTTGTCCATCCTGGCCCATTTGTCTCCGCCCAGGTCAAGGAGGTGCACCATCAGGTCTCCAGAGTCACCTTCGTATGTCTTGTTGTAGTCAAAGGCATTGTACCAGAGTCGCGGTTGGTAGGTCACTCTGTTGCGGAATCTCTGGTTCTCCATGATCTGTTCGAGCGCCGCATGATCCTTGTTCAGCGAGACGTGATGCTTTCTGTCCGTAAGAGGCACCGCAAGCACCTGTATCAAAAACTCCAGAGACCAGGTGTCGACTCTCAAGAAGAAAACACCTCCGTTGAAGTAGCCGTCATCGTCGTGGGTTGCGATCAAATTGATTTCCTCATCCGGAGGGGGCATGAAGAGCTCCAATGGAATCTGCTGGTTCAGCACAACAGTGTCCGGGTCAACCCAGCTGCTCGAATTAGTCCACACTCTCACACATGTAGATAAAGCCGACCAGACTTACGCGAGCCACTGCATGCGCTGGTCCCATGGCTTGGCCAGTTCTTCTACGAGAACAGACATGAGATACGCCGGCTTGGCCAANAAGCTTGCATGGATACGCTCTCGTAGAACCTGCATCTTGTAGCCATGCAAAGCATTGTGTCGTTCGTGAGTTGCAATGGCCGCTTCATAGAGATAGTTCGGCTCGCCGAAAAGTGCCGACACTTTCTTGATGCGGACGGATTGAGCTGGACGGTGTTTCGTTCCAGTACCACCTCCGATTTTATGTCCTTTGATTGACAACGGGATGTCATGAATGCTGTGTGTTGTCTGTAATGATTGCAGCAAGGTCACTACTCCGAGTGAGATCAGGACGACCAAAAATAACAAGCGACACTATTGCATATGATTAGTCGACGGTCTCCAAGGACCAGACTGTCTCCATTGAATCGCATACTGTCTCTGCTGTCAGCAATGCCGTGTGATGAAACCCCTCGATATGGAATATAATAATCAAGGCGGTGGATCTGCTTGCTTACCCTGAGCTCCCACGCGTCCAGCCGTCGTCCGTGCTTGCGGCATGACTGCGAACTATCCAAGAAGTATGTTTTTGCGATCAGAACCTCGATGGATGAAGTGTAGAAAGAAACGCGACGACAAGGTCGATGGATCTCTCCTTCCTGTTTGCGTGCCACAGCACTTTTGACAAACGGACACAGAGCACATCTTTCAGCAATCATTTTCGTCAAACCGTCGCCCCTATCGAGCACTCCCCTTCGGGCCTTGGCAACGCTTCTGTGTTCGAAAGCTGTCAACCTCGTGGGGGTACTTGAGGCTGAAGACGAGTGGGCTGGCTGAAGAAGCCTATCTAGTTCTGCAGAACCACTCCTGAGCCCCCTGAACCTAATCGTCTGATGCCTACTTTGGTAATTCTCTAGAAGTATACAAGTGGATCGATCCACTGCATGCATCCTTCGTCTTGTACAACTCTCGATAGTCGCACTGGGAATGCAGACAATAGAATTCGATCACGATCAGGGGGCAAGTGGACACTTGCTCGACACGTTTGGATCTGTAGCTGAGTATTAAGGATGTTCTGAGATTGGTGATACAAGAAGTTAATGAAGAAAGGTCATGCGAGGAGTGGCCGACCCGTAGGTCTTTCTGGCCAACCTCGACGAATGAATGGTGTGCGTGGTATGCATCCTTGCCAGCTCTGAGCCCTTGCTTTGCCCTTGGTATCTTCCGAAATGCAGCAATACAATGACAATAATAGTGAAGAAACCACATCGAAAATTGATGGCGTACGCCGTGAAACCGACCATGCGCCGATGATCCTGCAATTGCCCATTCGAGTAAACCCCTGCCATGCCGATGGTAATCCAGATTTGCCGATACGCCGTGTGTCGAATGCCGCTAACTGAAGACAAATATGTAAGAAGTGAAAGGTCATGGTCGTTATTTCACATTGCGATTCTTGCCCTTCTTGGATGGAGCTGCTGATGTGATTTTGCTGGTCTGTATTAATTCGCCAATATATNNCTAATCGAGCGTTAGCAAGAAAGTTGTGGTGATGTACAACGAGGTTGATGCTTACGACTGGAGAAACTTATTGCCGCCTTCGAGCTTTTCGTGCTCAATTTTGACAGCCTCGACGCGGTCGACGATTGCCATAAGACTTGCTCTAAGGGCTTGTGCTTGCCTGAGAGAGACATTGTTAGCACGACGAAACTAGGCAGGGCATGATTCTCGATTCAAAACATACTCGATGAGATTCCGACGGGCATCCTCGCCCAGTTTCTCAATGACCTCGCTCGTGCGTCTGGGGCTCATGCTGCGGACATCATCGGGTTCATATTCTTCTTCGCCAGGTGCCATCTCGACACGCGGGCTGTCTCTTGGGATGATCATGGTGCCGCTGCTTTTACGGCTTCCGAGTCTAGGTCTGGTGGCGTCTAGGCGACCGCGAGTAGGTATGTCGTTGTCTGATGACGTAGTTGAGAGAGGCGGGGAGTAAGAGGGGTTCGACGGAGGCTCGCTGAGGGCCTCGATGGGTGCAGAGTCGACGGTATAGTGTGGGTATGCAAGCGATGTCATATTGTGGTGGAAGAATTGAGTATATTAGACGATGTCTGACTCTTGATGCTCAAGGGCGAGCGAAGTGCAGACAACAGTTCGAGATGACACAAGTGACGCTGAGTGGTGGTGTTTGCGGCGGTGTGTATTGTTTGATTAGATGAGAGTGAGATGGCGGGTTTCGGAGAGACGGCGGCGCTAAGAGAGGGTTTGCAGCGCGTGAAACACCATGTCTTCCTTGAGGGTGGTAGCTGGGAGAGATGTAGTGGACGAGCAGCGAGCGGTCGGTAGAGGCCGAAAAGCGAACAAGGAGAGCAAGTGGAACTGGATCTGTCAAAAGACGGCGCTGCGTTGAAAAGACAATTGGACGAGTCGCGGGACCAAGAGCGATGGGCGCCCAAGCTCGGCTACCAACGAACAAGACCCTCAAGACCTCGTCATATATGCGGGTCCGTGAACCCTTAGCCTCGAATCCCATTCTCCCTGCCTGCTATCCACCGCCGACCAGGCCATCTGGCCCTGTCAGATGAACACATTAACGGCTCTCCGTCAGCTGAGAAATTCGCAATCCCTGCCAACAATTCCAGTTCCCAACTCGCTCACCGCGCAGCTTTGTATAACGCGACTGCCTCTTAAAGGAGAAAAAGCTTACATGCATTGTGATGCTGATCTGCCCTCCAAGCAGTAGCATCCGACAAAGATCTGCCCTCCTGAACACGCCAATTGCAACACCACCCTGCCGTCGGCTGATTCATGCTCCCCGACTCCCCGCGGCCTTGCCTATCCTCTACAAAGGGTTTTGCTGAACCTGAATTTGTGCCAACCTCATGTCGTGTTTTTGCCCCAAATCATCCGCGTGAACAAGAGGCCACGCACAGGATCGTCCTTCGTGTCTGTCACTGACCCGCGCCCTCTGAGTCCTCGGACCGTCTCTCTCCTTGCCCTCGTTCATACAACTCCACTCTTTACGGACTCGAATTGTGTACTGCCGGCTTGGCTGTACCCTCTTTGCATCCACACAGATATTGACACAATGCGAATCCCGAGATTGGTCCAATCAGCTCTGCTTCTTGGCCAGACTTGCGGTTTCACTTGTATGTTGCAAAGTGGTCTTTAACAAGTTCAACAGGACCCTGTTCACAGCCTCTCACTAACGGCGCTTCTTAACATATCGACATATCGTCATTAAGCCGAGTCAACCAACAACCTTTTCTGCTATCGCATCTATTCGGCCAAACTGTCTTCTCACTTTCTCACATGTAGGACGTAGGCCAAGCATCCATCTCTCTGTCTATCACAAACTCACCTGCAACGACGTTCTTCGTTCAGGTTTGTCCATGTCGATCACTCCTCACAAGGCTTCGTTTTGGTCTTGATGCGCTCCGCGTTTCCGCCGCATGCCTCCGTTTCGCGCCGAAGTGAGCGCTTGTAGACATGACTCGGATGTCAATTCTCCTTGTCACTTTTCACCGCTGCTCCATCACATCGGAGTTGCTTGCCCGCCGAAAAACTTTCTCCTCCCCTTCTTGTTGATCTTCATCTGTGAAGCAGCGAACACCTGTTTTCGACGGGGTAGGGTGAACTCAAATCGGACTTCGCATCCGACCACCGATCTTGCCCGCTCAGATTCAGGGGTGTTGAACCTTGGTTGACTCCTCAATGTCATGTTTGTCAGGCGAGTCTTCCACATGATCGAACAGGATCGTGGCAGCCCTGTGCCAATTTCCCAGTCGTCGAGACAACAACGACTATCAAGGCAGTATTCCAGAATGTCAAACGGTCAAGCAAGCACGATAAGATGTCATGGAAACGCACGCACGCGCCGCAGCCGGCTCGTGACCGTTCAAATCCAGATTCAAACGGTTGCCATGTTTTTCATCGTGAGTATCGAGGCTGTCAACCGAGACAGACTTGCGACAGTGGCTTTCAGCCTCTTCTTTGCGACAGACCTTCGCTATGACAATCCCACGTCGAACTTCTGCTGTCAAACCAGAGCACAAAGGTGGTGGTAATCGTCATCAATGACAAGTCCTGGGGTGGTGAAGCCTTCATCCGGCCATGACGAGAGTCTAAATTTGTCAGGCATGATCAACCACAGCAATGGCACAGAAGACACCATCTTAGAGCATTGTATTCTTCCAATCTTTCCCCACGGACAACTGTCCACTTCAGGTGCAATCATTGCGCCTTCTCGAGGCCAGAGCTCGCCAGATGATGCCGACATTCAGTATGCCCGTTGTCTATGCCGTCTGCTATTTGGAAGCAAAGGCTTCAGCTCCGACGTGCTCAGTCGAAAGACCCTAAACTCTGCTCCTCAGCTTCCTCGGATCCGATATCAGGCGACCGTAAACTTGATGATACATGCTGCCTTGTTATGGACATTTGCCAATTCCATCATGCCAACTTCTGTTGCACCTGATCGAGATCTGTATCTGTGGTGTTGACCGCCTAATTTTGACAGGAAGACCATCTTGTAACAACCTTACTGGCTACGGCTGAAGCCGCTGGCCGACGCACAAGCACTCGCACGATCCAGATGTGGCTGGAGCAAGCCTCCCCCAGAAAAATGCTCCATGACGAGGACCGTGTGCAATTCAATACAAAGCCGCACCGGAAACAACAAGTCCATCACAGCTTCGCCCCACGAGGCAAACGTCGATGCGAAAACAGTCAAGAAGCACAAGCAACAGCATCGTTGCGTGATCGTTGAGCCCGCGGAGCGGCATTTCCTGGCAAGATGCTATTAGGAGCAAGTGGCATGGTAGGGACTTGCCATCGCGACTATTTCCAACAACAAAGTCCGCAAATTGCATACCCCGGCTTTTCGTCATGTTCGATGGCGCAGTCTTTCTGCACGAGCGAATTCGAAATCACGATCAAATCTCCCATCCTTGGAATAACCCCTGAAACACAGCCGGGATTCCGATCGTCTTCCAAGAATGGTGGGCAGAATGTCTGGAAAAGGGAGCAACGCGTAAACATTCACTTTCGTTCTGTCCCATGGAGAAGTGCCCATCTCGAAAGCTTCCATTTTGAGCGTGGCTGTTCACTTTTAAGATACGAAGTCGGGACCTCGGCAACACGAACAACATTGCAACTCGCAACATTCTTGCCGAGATACCCTACGACACTTGACCAAGATTCAGTTAACAGACGGTTGATAAAAGACACGTAAGATGGTAAGGATTGAACGGAAGGAGGATATCAAGCAAGGTAAATATGAAAGATATGCAATGCTACAGCAAATTCTGTTTCTATTTATAATACTACAGCATAAAGGGCATACAACCACAGCCGTCCAGGCATGTAACAACAATACAGAGCATTTCAGTACGTGAGCTCTGGAATCTTTCAAGTTCCCTGACGAAGGACGCAGGTCCTATGGCACAGCCGAGCTGTCGTTTGGTCTTTTTCCTTTCCGAGAACAGGGTGATTCCCACGGCAACCTGATCAACCGTCAAACATAACTGTCCGCGATTGCGGCACCGCTTCTACACCCGTCCTTCTTCGCTATGCAGACGAGCATTGCGGCGGCTACAGCGGTGGCAATCTTTGTCTCCGCTCAGTCTGATCTACAGGCCACAATATGGACACGTCATCGCCCTCGGAAGTATTCAAGTGCAACATCCTAACGAGTGATGAGATGGGCCTTTCAATGAAGGAGACTGTATCGTGTCCAGCAGTGGCAAACGATAGGCAGACGCCTTGCTGGTGGCAAGAAGGCCATTTGTCGTGACTTGCAAACTCGACATCCTCACGCCTTGCAGCCACCTTCTCTCGGCATCCGAGCCCGAGCTGGAAAGACTCGGAAATCGTGATGCTGGTCAGACTCGTGATACGAGAGTAGACGTTTGGCGTCGATATGGAGTAGGGAACTTGGTTTTCACATGTTGTGGTCCCATGCGATGCGTGAACGTCCTTGCTGCAACGTTGCGGTCACGCTTTGGTACGCCGACTTGGCCTTGCTTCGTCCGTATAGGTTCTTCGAAAAGTGGTTGTTTCACACAAGCAGGTAAAGCGCGTAAGATTTCGTGATTCATATATCGTTCAGGGGTCTTCGTAGTCAACTCCGTCAAACAGATCCAGCACAACTTGAAGCATCAGAGGACAAAGGTCTCCAGACTCATCGCCTTCGGCAGCGCCGTAATACTGAGTTTGGCGAGCCTCGTGTTGCTCGTTCGAATGGTGGAAAGTATTGCTGTGGTTGGAATGATGGAAACCAGGTCGTTGCTGGTTGAAACTCATGTCATCGTCAAGCGTAGCCTGCACGGGCATGAGTGGAGTGGAAAGCGGTGGCATGGCGATGGCCTGATGGTGAGCCTTCTTGTTTGCCCTCAATCTGGTTCGGCGCCTATTGTGTAGTTTTCCCATCTTTTTAGAGTAGTTGTGATCAAAAGTGTGGTTTGAAGAAAAGGAACAGTAAACACAAGAAACAGGGAGTTTAAGGAAATTGTTGTGATTCACTCATGACTCCTACCTTGGTCTTTATACTCGAGTACGTATCCAGATGTTTTCTCTCAACAGTCACGCCGAAATCGCTGGATGGTCACTTAGATGGAAGCCTAGAGAACTCTTGGGCCGCAAGTAACCACTTTGTCACGCTGACATGTCGCGAGACAGCACGCAAGTGGCAGTGACTCATTTTCTGGAAATCTGGAGTGGGCTCCGGGGTTCTGCACAGACCACCATAGAGTGTTCTGGCTATTTCTCTGACTACCACAATGTCTTTGGAATGGATTTATCGTGCTGTTGCCTGGCGACAGGTATACCAACGATAGAGTCATCGAGGATAGCGATTGGTGGTGGTGGTTGTGGTGTTGTCATGTTGTTGCTTGCTGGTTGAGGAAGGTAACACCATCGTTGCTGCCTTCTATGCTCATCGAGTCATACTGCACGACTGCCAGCTTTGTCGTTTACAGCCGCCGATTAACGAGCGAAACGAAAGGCAGGAGAGCATCAATGACACGAAAACAGTTTGTGACTGCCTTTCTCGAATAACGTGTTGGCAAAAAGACAAGCAGGGTCGCTTCCATCAGTCCCAAGACTTTTGACGACGACTTCTCCAGCATCTCCAAAACCAAAAAGTTGCAGTCGGATTTATCTCACAACCACACCAACGAGAAAATGACTGCGAAACAACTCGCCTCTTCAGGGCTATCGCTGCCCAATGACACGTACATTTACTCACTGGCTCGCACAACAACACTCTGTGCTGCCATCTCCTCGGATGATTCACTCCGCTATTTCGATCCTGCAAACCTCTCGCTTATGCATACCGTATCCAAAGCTCACGAGGGCATCACATGTCTAAAGGCGACTTCGGATGGTAAAGGGCTGGTGACGGCGGGAAGAGATGGTACAGTTAGATGTTGGGATGAGAGGGCAAAGTCTGCTGGTGTGCAAATGGCTGATCGTATGTTTTCTGCTTCGTTCTCCCTTGTTGCTGCCTAGCAAGTTTTTGTGGTCGTACAATTTTCTGATGACTGTTGATGTTTAGCTCGTGGAGCTGGAATTTCTGCGTTGGCGTGCCGCGATACGTTTATTGCTGCCGGCACTGAAAGCACCAAGGAGGGATTGGGAGACGTTAGCGTGCTTTTATGGTAGGTGCTGCCTGTTCTCCGACATGTACGATGAAGTCTTGTTGATATTCTTCTTCTAGGGNATACGCGGAATACTTCCAAGCCATTGCAGGCATACACCGAGAGCCATACCGATACTGTCACTCAGGTTGCTTTCCATCCAACACAACAAAACACCCTGCTCTCAGGAGCCACTGATGGTCTGGTATCGATATTCGACACGACCATCTCGGACGAGGACGATGCCCTAGTTCAGGTGCTCAACCACTATGGTGCCGTGCACTGTGCCGGTTTCCTGAACGCCGAAGAAGTCTATGCCGTCAGCACGGACGAACAGCTTTCAGTGTACACATTGAGCAAGCCCACCGACCCTGAAGACGCCACTCTTCCAGTCACTGCATTCGGAGACGTCAGAGAACAGTTGAAGAGCAGCTACGTGATTGACATGTTCCCAAACTCGCCTTCAGCTTACATCGCTACTGGAGACACTTCGTAAGTGCCAGCAGTAGCATTGAGATCCAGAACCCATTACTGATCATTCTACAGTTCTTCTCGCCTCACTCTGGTTCCGCTGAATCCCAGCTGGTCTTTCGACATGGCAGGCACAATGGACTTCCCTGGCGCACACGGGGATGAAATCGTCCGCGACTTCCTCATCGACAACCATGTATGTTAATCCCGCGATTCTGAAAAAGTGTAACACTAACTCGTAATCAAAAAGAATCAACGTGTGATCACCTGCGGAGAAGACGGACAAGTTCGTCTGTGGGCACAAGAGGCACAATCTCAAGCAGCCTCAGCAGATGCCATGGACATTGACAAGAAAAAGAAGCGCAAGGACAAGAAGAAGAAGGATAGGTTCAACCCTTACTAGAAACGAAGTCTACGGATATACGATGAGGAGCCTTTGTCGACTTCAGAGGACTGTGGTCAAAAACGATTTGAGCATCAAGTTGGCGATGCCGCTACACACAACTGATCTGCTTGTAGTGAGCTGTTGCCTCTCTCATCGAACCCACTGCTTGCTCTAGCCTCCGATGTGCCGAAGACCATCATACATTTAGCTATAGAAACGCACAATACCTTTCAAAATGGAATGGTGTCCATGGAGAGACATCATCTCAGGTTGATTTCCATGGCTAAGACTCTGGATCGAAGAGCCATTGTGCAATTCATCTTTTCTTTTTTTTTGGGAAAAACATTTACTCGATACGACTACAACTGCCTCTGTCTTCTGTCTGTCCTCATCTCTATCCATCCCTTGTCTTTCATACATATCCATCCCATTTCTATCTTGTTCTCCTTTCTTCACTTTTCTTCCTGCTCCTTCCTCCTTTTTTGTTCGATTTATCATTTTCAACTTTTTTGCTTTTCTGTTTTCCATTTTCTGCGCATACCACGTCCAAAACTACCACTTCCCACAGAGCGCATTGTCGACTTCGGTTTTACTCGCCATCAGGGTGAAGAGGGTGCTTCTCGAGGCACTTCTTGTTGCACCTGTTTTGACACTTTCTTTTTCCCTTTGTGGTGATGTGCCAGCTGTTTTGCATTAGCCTCACATGCACACGAGATGTGTTGAGATCATGAGAGGTGAACTTACTCGCACTTGGCTCTGCACTTCGAGGTATGGGTCCATCTCTGGCAATGGTTGTCATAGCCCAGTTCTGGATCTCCGGTTGAACGTCCGACAAGCTCTGCTTCAGCAGAAGAGGCAGTGTAACCAGACCCCTGTCACGCACCATTCTGTCATAGTCCTCGACAGAATTGTCGTAATACTTGTTCTCACTGTCATAGATGTATCTTCTGAGACCATTTCTGTGACGGCAGCCCTGGATGCATTCGACGAAATTGGCAGTGCGAACCTCTCCCACCTCAAAGAGGATGTCCCATTTGGAGCGACATTTCTTGTCGCGCGAATGGCCACCACAGGTGAGTTCGCCCACGCAGAGAGGCGTTGGTACAGCGTACTCGGTTGCCATAGGAGTGGCAGCGCTAGCGACAGGAGTAGGGGCGGCGATGGCCAGGAGGCCGAGGCCGAGGGTGCTGAGGACGATGGCTGTGGTCTTCATTGTGAGTGTGGGTTTTGGTATGTTGGTAGAGTGTGGTTGGTGAGTGTGTTGAAATAGTCCAGTAGTTGAGCAGGTCCGTTGTCTCGACGAAGTCAGTTGTATCTGGAGAGGAGAAATACATATCCGAGTGGAGGTCTGTCGCTATTGTATACTCTCTGTTAGCAAAGAGAGACTCACAAGGATGAGTCAAGAATCTCTCTCACTTTCCTTATACCATGACTGTGACTTAGTATGACTCTCTTGAGTGATTTATTTGCGCATGTGGTGGTGGTTCATCGGCGTGCCATACCAGTAAGATTACATCGACTCTTCCTGTGCTACAGTCGTCACTCGATTGGATCTATTTGCGTTATAGAAAGAGTTAGTCACGTTGTAGAAATTTGCTGCTCGACGTTGACCTTGTCTCGATCCTAATATCAACATTCAGCAATACTTGTGAGCAAATTAATCTGCTCATACGCTCGTGTATGTGTGATCCATCAGGAACATGACTCCACTTCGGATGCGCACATATCCTGGAGGTGCAACATAACATGGAGCCCTAAGAACAACATACCAGATTGGAGATGAATTGGTTGATTGGGTCGGGGCTGTGTTTTATGTCCTGACATGTACAAAGAAGGACCGATGCAGTATCCTCGAGAAAAAGAAAAACAGAAAGAACGACCCACTCCTCCTGCCTTTACTCCAGCCAATGCATGGTCTCGCTTACGCCCAATGAAATCGAAAGAATGTATATTTCTCCACTCCAGTCGCGCCTCATTGTAGACAGTCCCTTTTTACATTGACGAAAGCCCCAGGTCCGCCATCTGAGCTCAGCATGTCTATCAGAACTTCTGCTTGAGCTACGACCTTTTCCAAAGCGGCGGAAGACGGCTTGCCGAGTGACACNTACGCTTGATTAGCTCAATTTTGACGTTGGAGAAGGTCGAATGACTTGCCTAATATTGCGCTGTTGACCTCCTCGGCAATCTCGACTCGACCTTTGCCTTCCATAAGCCCNCCTACAACAGATTCTCGGGCGTCTTGATAGGCAATCAAGGCAAAGGTGTCGTCCAATGCCTTTCTGACAGCAGGACGAGGGTCATCGCTAAACTCAGCCTTGAGCTCTTGACCAAACTCAAGTGCATCCACAAGTAGTTGTTCACTATCCGTCGACGAGGACACTAAACGGAAGTCGTCGGGTGCCGTATCCATCAAGTCTTCTTTCCCTTCATCACCGTTCGCGCCATCACCGAAGCGTAGGCCGGGATTGAAGGGCGACGGAACGGGCATTGGCGGAATGATTGGTGCATGCGATTCCCGGTGTAGTTGATCGTCGAGCTCCATCTGTTGGTCGAATGTTGTACCGTTTGAGCTCGACAGCTTTTGAGGAAGCTTGCCAGCTGCTTTTGGAGCGACCGCTGGCGGATCCGTGGTCGAGAGGTCGTTGACTCGACAGATCATCTCAATAAACTTGCGACAACGAAGTTTGAAGTAGACGTCTTTATTCTCTTCCCGCTCCAGTACATGTGGGTAGTAGGTGTTTATGTTTTTCAACGCCTTGTCAATCTCGCCTTCTAGGATGGCGGAGCGTATNGCCTGGAGCATTGTCAGTCAAACAAAGGTTGGTGTAGTATGAGATAGAGAAGACATACTTTGTCGCCTGATGGCATGTAGATCTTGTGAAGGATCAAACAACTCAACGCCATCGAGGTCCATGTGTAGAGGCTTCCTTTCGTCTCGAACTTCCCTGTTAAACGCTCGAGCGGTTTCGACATAGCCGTCATGAGCGAGGTATTGTGCCACGAGCTCCTGTACCAACATTGTCTCATCGCGAGCGGTCTCCAGCGTGTCTGCCGAAGTCTTGTTGATCTCTGCTTTTACCCTGTTCCTTTGATTCTGGACTTGATTAGCAAAGATGCCAACATCAGAGTGAAGCATAATACTCACCTCCATCATAGAGTCAATATCGAACACGAACGGAGCACTACCAAAATTTACTCGAAGGTGTTCGTTATTCTTCTTCATACCCACTGATGGGTACAACTTGTCACCCCTTACGTTATGGAAGGCTTCGCCTGGAACGATATGTTAGCAGCAAGTCAACGGAGATGGGCAGACTACGCACCTAAGNAAGACACCATTCTTGGTGAAGAAGGCGCTTCCTGTCTCGAAATTGACACCACAGCCTACGACGTCCCAGGCTGCAAACTTGGGACCATACGGCTTTCCACTAGCAGTGCAAGAGAAGCTGAAGCCATCATCGCCATGGTAGGCCCATGACTCGGGTTCCCATCCTGGTAAGCGGTTTAGACTAGCCTTCGGACCGGAGAAACCAATTCCTATTAAGCTGAGAGACAATTAGTCAGCAGGTTGTGTACGAAAGCGATGAGGGAGCATACCCNNTTCTTTCCCCCTAGACAAGACCGTGACCTCGAAATAGTATATGCCAACCTCTTTCGGCATGGGATGGTCACTGCGTATAGAAGCAGCCTCATCACTGGTCTTGGTAGAGCCAGTGAACTTGACCTCGGTGCCTCCGGCCGACAACTCGAGCCCAGGCCACTTGTCTATGTCGCTCCAAGATGTAGGTAATTTCCTCGGGCCACCACTTCTAAGGGGNTTGCGAGCCATATAATCTTGAATGATATCCTTCCTCGATCTATGGATGGTCGCGCTGCCAATGTTCGCGGAGAGATCCTGAGAGGATGAGACGGTTTTAGGATGTCGCCGCAACTCGTCAAACTCGGCGAGTTCCAGATTGTGGTGTGTTTCGAGCCTCTCGACGTGACGCGAGTTGCGAAGGTAAGAAGGGCGGATGAATAGTGGGGGCGATGGCGGGGAGTCCTGGTCGGGCATTTTGGTGGAGAGATAAGGTCTGGCAGGCCAGAGGTCTTGGGATTTGGGCTGTGCCATGTTGGGACGCGTCGGAGGGTCGTCTTCAGGGTGGAGGAGGTGTGAGAGAGCGCCGAAGCGGGCGGTCGACGAGTTGGAGCCCGCGCCAGCAGCGACCGAAGCGTACGACGACGATGTCAGAGGTTGGTTTAAGCGACGATAAGATTGAGGATGCGGATAAGGATCGGTCATAGTGGGGTGTCGACGAGTATTGTGTGAATTTGGTGGGTCGGGGCCAAGTCGAAGTGGCAGCTGTCGGTCGAGGTGATCAAGGTAGAAAGATGGAGCCAGCAATCATGACGCTCCTGCTGGCATTCTGTCCACGACGTTTGGCTGCACGCACGATGTATCACACAGATATCTACGAATCCTGAAACACACCTTTCGCCCACGTATCTTGCGAGCTCGGGAAATGGGAAGATCAATCGAACTCTTGTTGCTTGATGCAACTTGGAAATGCCCTCATATGACCGTCTTGCCGATGACGCCTGTTGATCTCCGCCAAAATGCCAAGACCGATGGTCAGAGCTCATATCAGGTATCAATCACATGCCATCAACCGGCAATTTCTATATGTTATGGAGGAAACGATCTTGTTATTCAGTATATCGAAGGGTATCCATAGCTATCGTGTCATCAAATATTCTGTGCTTCGACCAAAACTTATTATAGCCCCGTCGCCAGTTTGTTCCTTCTAAAGCTTGACCGAGCTTACCGCCCAACTATCACGCTATCTTCTGGCCTTGACAACGCCATACCGAACCTCCGACCAACGGACAAAAGAGATGCATTGCGCAAATGCTTGTGACCTGCTACCGAAACGCTGTAGAACGAGGTACATCATTGTACTGGGTATCGAAAGTGATGTTCTGTAGAGAGAAAAGGACTAGCATGTGTTAGTGATCACGAGCAACATGGTCCATATCCGTGTCAACTCACAATTTTGTGATATACTCGTTCATACCTCGACGGGCAACACTGGTGCGGGCGAGCTCTCGAGAGCATTTTCTGCCTTGGCTCCTTCACCACTATTGCTTCTGTCGCTGGGGAGCGCACTGCTCGCCAATCTGGCGTTGTCCGCTTGACTGCTGGACGAGTTCTCACTCTTTACGTCACCGCTGAAGGACGAATTGTCCTTGAGCGGTGCAGCCCATGATCCTACTGTCCATGCAACACCAGATATGCTCTTAAGTTGGAGACCCTTGCGTTCCCACCTGCGGCAAGGCTTGCCGGATCTGTCCAATGCGCGAAGACCAGCATTGATGGCACCTGTGTTGGCCTTGGGGCCTAGCTTGTGTGTGGCGATAGGAGCCACGCCGCCGAACGGACCCTTCTTTGTGCCCTCGGCAGTTCTGTCAATGGTTCCGTCAGCCCTGGACTTGAGTGTCAGTACACAAAAGAAAGAGGAAATGTGATTGGTGTGCGAGTCACGTACAGACGAGGCTTCTTTTTGGGACCGGGCTTTCCCTGGGCTTTGCATTCGGGCCCGCCTCAGTTTGAGCAGCAGTTCTCTTTGTGCCAGGCTTGGGNNACCAGGAACACCCTTCTTCTTGCCGTTAGCTGCTGGNGGAGGAGCTAGCGAGTTGTTGTCTGTGGCAGCGGCATCGGTGCCGGGGGCAGGAGTTCCATTCGTCTCCGAGGCGTCTAATGTTGGGGCGTTGATGACGGGTGTCGAGACTGGTGCAGGAGAAGCTGTGGGTGATGCTTCAGAGGCATCTTCGGACAACGGGCCGAACTTCTTGAGCAGATGGGGAGCTAGACGGAGAATGACCGTCTTGTTAGGCTTGACGGCGGATTTGGCTGAGGATTTTTGCGACGGTGTGGTTGCCATGGTGGTCGATGTGGTTGATGGGTTGAGGGCGACGACTTGGATTGCGCCCGTGGTCGGTCGTGCGGCTGGCTGTGTCTCGTGGGATTTGTGTGGTGGATCAGTCACAGTGGCAGCTTGAGGGCTTCAGAGAGCAAGGCTTCAGGAAATGTGGGAGCTTTTGGCTATTGGCGGTGGTATATCAAGAAATCGAAGGGTGGTGATGGTTGTGTGATGAGGATGATGGGATGGATGGGAAAGGGATAGAGTGCAAGGCACTTTGACTCTGTTGTGCGCTGAGCATTTTGCCGGCCGTGTGTGAGGCGTTGGTCCCATTTTCTTGGTCTTGAGTGAAGGTCGCGCTCGTTCTTGTGAGAAAGGACAGCCGTGGTTCTCGACCTCCGCCCAATCAGGAAACACCCTCCAATCCGTACATCCTCCATCCTCACCGACACTTATTTTTCATATTCAATATTCTCTCCACATGATCATCATATAATTCAATAGTTACCACCGTTCCTGCAGTGCTATGGTTCTTTGCTTTACTTGGCCACTTGTACATGAGCTCCTTGGTCCCTCGCGCTGCACCCGCGCGTCTTTGTTCTAACTTCTGACGCAAGCGAACTTTCTCCGTCACGGCTACGGTACGCGAATCACACCCTTTGATAGCTTCCTCCAATTTGACATCCGCGCTTCCGAGAACCAAGGGGCGCCATCTGTCCTCAATCCACCTCGACATTCTCGTCATACAGGCCTCCACCGTCCAGCTTTTCCAAACATGTTTCGCCGGATGCAACCTGTCACACAACGCTCTATGCAGGCGCCAAGATAGGTATACATGCTCGGGTCTCGACGGGCGCTTTTGGGAATGCACACGATCAACAGCCTCCCCGTTTTCGGGTCAGCAACGCAAATTCCTTCTGTCAGCTGTCCAATTTTTGTCATGGCATGATCCAGCGCTCCAACCTACTCTACGCGATTTCACGCGACGCGGCCCAGGAATGTCGGCCGTCTCTTTTCTTCACGTCCGAACTCTTACAGTATACTGCATTTCTGCGTGACCATGTCTGTTCTCCTTGGTCCCAGGTAGGTGAGTTTCGTTCTTCGACAGCCTTCTGTCTCTGGCCTGTCGTCTCGGCGCGATGGATATATACCTTTTACTATGGCCTTTATGAGGTAGGTTGGACAATCAAGTCACTCGCTACCATGCTCTCGTTAAGCACTTCTGGCGTCTTTGTCTCAATCGTATATCTCGTTGGCACTGTACAATCCCTACACATACACCGTCCTCATAAACATGAAACCAATCGGCGTGATGCTACACCCATATCGTTGCAGAGCGAACCCAGCTCAGCACCAGCGACGCAAGCTGCTGAGCTGATGGAAACCGTCACGTCTATTCAGGAAGGCTTGTCTGACCTACCGCAAGATGTACTCGAGTTTCTCAAGGCAATTGATGATCGCCTGCACGAACAAGAGGCTCTACTAGCAAGTCTGCTAGCTGTCTTTGCAACTGCGTCAGAGGCAGCACCGCCATCGACAACGTTGGCCATCGCCAATGCAACATCGACCGACATGCTTGTGCTTTCTAGTACAAACTTCGAGATCTCAAGTTCTCCGACCGTCGAGACCTCTTCTCTGACCACAGCGACTGCGTGCCGTCGTGGTGGAGCAGGCCCACTCGTTGCCTGCTCTTCCTCGTCCGACCGGATTTCTCCATCAATCTTGACCGCCACCTCATCAACACCAAGATCTCGCGTCACTCGAACTTTGACCAGAACAACGCACATACCAGTGTCGGTCACCACCTTTGTTCAACCTATACCGTTCTCAAACACCACGAAATCTGGTTCGACAATTCAGGAGACATCATCCGCATCTTCAATACCTGTGCTGCCTATACCATCGGTCTACAGTCCTCCAGATACTGACGGCCCGAGCATCAATGCGACTGCAACTTCTGCAGACTCACAAGCCATAGCACCCTACAACTCTGTCACATCCCCCACAAGCATCAACTACGTCTTTAAGATCGGCCGACAGAACAACGTCGCTGTCTACTATGGCCAAACATCCGAAACCGAAACCGGTGACCTATTGCAACTCTGCCAAAACACCAATGTCGACATCGTAGTCCTAGCCTTTGTCACATCCTTCTTCACAAACGGCGGCTTCCCTTCGGCCAGCTTCGGCCCTAGCTGCAAAGGCAGCACAACAGCCCAACAACTTCACGCCCCCGGATTGCAAGACTGCGCCGACCTCGCCTTCGAAATTGTAAGCTGCCAACAACTAGGCAAACCCGTACTCGTCTCTCTAGGCGGCTACTACTCTAACGTGACCTTTGCCTCTGATAGCGAAGCCATCCAACTGGCCAAGAACCTGTGGGATCTGTTTGGCGCAGGTAATGGCTTGGATGCCTCGCTACGTCCATTTGGGTCCATTGTCATCGATGGCTTTGACCTCGACAACGAGTCCAAAGACCCTACCTCGTACACCACTTTTGCGCAAGCCCTGCGCACACTGTTTGCTTCCGACACGAGCAAGAAGTACTATCTCTCTGCTGCACCTCAATGTTCGCGCCCCGACGCCAGTATCCCCGTCTCTGCCTTGGCGCTCTGCGACTTTGTCTTTGTGCAGTTTTACAACAATCCTTCTTGCGATTTATCCTCTGACGGCTTTGCTGCCTCGTTTGGTGGTTGGAGTGATGCGCTTTACGCTGCTAACAATGAGACCAAGCACTTTATCGGCGCTGGTGCTTACGAGGGTGCGGGAAGTGGGTATGTTGAGGGTGCTGCGTTGGGACATCAGGTCAGTCTTGCGAGACAGCTGTATACGAGCAATCTTGGTGGTGTTATGCTTTGGGATGGCGTCGAGGGATTGGCGAATGTGGATGAGTATGGGAACGATTATCTGGTCTATGCCAAAGGGGGTTTGCAGTAGGACTTGAGACTCGAGAGTGGGAGAAGGGGTGTTGGGTTTTCATGATCTGGTGTTTGACAAGTTCTGAGGTTATGATTTTATGAATATGAAATTTTTGTTGCAGTCAGATTTCCTTTTCGACTATTGGAGGCAATGGATGATTGTGATAATGATGAATGGTTAGCTTTTCGATTTGTCTAATTGCAAGCTATAAACATCTGTCTCATAAGATTCGTACAGGACTGGTCAGAGCAAACCCTCGAAAACTGTTACTTTGCGTCCATACATTTGATCCAAGGAGCTTCCTCCTTCGCTCCTTCCTCTTCTCCCCACTCCTTTCCTCTTCCATCTCAGTGCTGGTCGCGACGCAGAAAACGTCTTTTGTGTCGCGATGCATCAGTAAGTCATGAGTGTCGTACCTAGAACAGGGCGACACCAAAGGGGGTGCCAGAGAAACAGAGGAGTGCAGTGTCACAAAAGGCCAGCTTATGTGACGCGGCCTCTAGCATCTGCAATCCCCAGAAAAAGAAGAAAGTAAGAAACCAGAATAGGTTGTTGGCAGTGGCAGGGGAGTCAAAAATCATAAATGAACGTGTATGCTCATCAGGCATGAACTGTCGTAAAAGGCATTGAAGGGATGTCGCTGCAAAGCCGAGGCTTCAACGACGCACAATCAAACCCTGGCGTCTGGTGGTGCGAGTACGGTATTTCTTTTCGTCTTCGCTTTCAGAGGAACAATCACTGCCTTCACCATATCCGCACACGTCGCCGCCACAGTCGAGCTTGACTCTCGCTCCAGACCTGGTAATGCCAAAGCGATTGCAGGTGCAAGCACTCGTAGACGACGACCTCGATGTCGCGCTCGCAGACGAGGGCGACGAGGAAGCACTGCTGCGCGACGAAGTAAGCGACGGCACATCACTGTCGCTGTCACTCTCGCTATCGGAATCAGAGTCGAGTTGAGTGTTGCCGAGGCGGCTGGCAAGTCGATCCACAGAAGATGCGTTGTACTGTTCGCGAGTAATGGCGCGGGTCTCGTGGGGGCGATTGGGGCGCGGACACTTGATCTGCGAGGGCGACAGCGAGCGGCCTTTGGGGATGTGTTCGCTGGTGCGGCGGGTGTGCTTGCTGTGACTGTGTGGCTTTGAAGATGGTGCTGGAGCAGAGGGCGCAGTGGCTGACGACTTTGCAGAGGGGATGTCGAGGATGTTGAGTTTGCGGCCTGTGGTGGGTTCGGTGGTGGATTCGCGGGCTGGGTCGTGCGAGACGTGGTAGCCGTCGATGATATACNNTGTGTTTGTCAGAACTCGACTCGATTGTTTCGTGGAGGTGGACGTGATAAGATCACATACGTAGTACCAGTATCTCGAGCCAGGCTTCAGTGTCGAGCCCTGGAATCTGAATGTACCTTTCCAGCCGCCTTGTTTCGCAGAGTCCTTGGAAAGAGGAAGTTGACTCTTGTAGCTGTCCCAGGAGCCGATGAGGTGGACTGTCTTGCAGTTGGACGAGGTCCTCAGTGTGAAGTTCAATTGTACGGCTGCCATTGTTGAAGTATTTCTGATTACTGTTCTTTCTTTTCGAATATATGGTCGGTAGCGTGAGAGTACCGGATTAAAATTGACAGTTTTGAGCAAGAAGAGCTGATATTACTTTGTTGATTTCCTAGTCGACCAGCGACAAGAAGTGATCAAGAGTTGAATAGAAGTAAAAACGTAAATGTAAATAAAGTGATTATTGGATAGGGGTTGTGGTATGGGCAAAAATAATTGATAGTATGAGTTTTGTGAATTAGGAGCACCAGGCTCGATTAGTGGAGAATAAAAAAAAAGGGGGAGTAAAATAAAACAAACTAACAGTCAGCTCCGGGCTTGACAGGTCTCGCTGAAAGAAAGAAGGAAGAGAAATCGAGGGAGCGCATACAATTATACTTATGCCAGTCACCGGTCCTTCCCTTACACCAAGGCACACAAGGCACACCAGATACGCACGCCATGCCGAATCGCGAAAAACATGAGTTCAGAGTGCACCGAACAAGGAAAATCATAAAGGCGGGGCGGGAGCTCGCATAATCATCGTCTCGTCCTGGCACTATTGGCAAGCCCGCATGTGTGACTGCACATCCTTGGGTGAGGTGACTCGGTCGCAGCGCTTGCAAAGAGATGGTGAATGGAAGCAGAGTCGAAGGCGGTTCTGTGGTGAAGCTGATTGGATTCAAGGGTTCACGCGACGCTCCAATCAAGCGTCACGACTTCACCAATGCACAATGCGGGCAGGAACATGCACAATCGAGTTGCATGACACCGCCATGGTTCTCTTCGGACTACCGCTTATCGTTTGCTAACTCTCGACAAATGATAGTTTGCCGTCCGGCTCCCAGCAGAATTTTTGATCCTTGACCCATGCATGGCGAGGCTGGGAGGACTGGCATGTGCACTATCATATCAGAGCGACCTGTCAAGACCAGTAAACTAAGAGTCATGGATGTGATAATGGTATCTCATGGGTCGTAAACAGTCCGTAAGCTCTCAACTAAGGATGGTGGCGGGTCGTCTCTGCATTATTCTAGTCCTAGAAGATCTTCCAATTCTTCCGGACTGAGGGTGCTCTTCCTACGCTTCGGCCTGCCTTGGATTTTGGTCTTCTTCGCAGGACTTCGCACCTTGCTCATCTCCTCATCGAGGTCGATATTGAGTTGTGAGTCCTCGTCTAGCCCTCTGTCCTGAGCGCCGCCTGCAGCTTCGGCTTCAGCTTGTGCAAGGCGTAGCTTTTCCTCGACCGACATTTCAGGGTCTTCTTCTTCCTGCACATCTTCGTCTTCCTGTTGCGGCAAGTTCTCAGATGGAGAATCTGCAAGCCTTCGTGGCGGTGAAGAGCCGCGTGATCGAGAAGGCTATATATTCGTTAGATTGAAGTACAAATGCGAATAGGTAATAGTACTTACGAGTCTGTAATGTGAGCCAGCGGACGGGGTAAGGTCTAGCTGACGGCGTGTGGGAAGCGAGGATCTGTTTGCAGAAGCCTTGACGAAGGCGGGCGAATCGAGTCTGCCTGGGGTTGGCTCGGCCGGATCAGTGTTCTCGGAGGCGTCCATGGCGAATGCAACTTTGCGAGGCGATTGGACGTTGTGGCTCATCTTGTTGAGCGTACGTTGTCCTCGAGGGTTGAGGTTGAAGAACTCTGGTGGATCTATGCTTCTCTGCGACTTCACGGTGCTCGGTGGAGCTGGAAGACCCTCCGAGGGNGTTGGACTCAGTGTATGAATGGCGCTGTCGTGGTCACTGTCCGAGCGAGCATGTTGACTCGCGCGGAGCTTCTGAGCAGTTGGAGGGGCCTCGAGGCCGACACCCAAGCCGAGACCCTTCTTAAGTTCCTCGAGGTTGATGGTATCGCCACTCTTCTCCAATCTTGTGCACCATCCGTTCATCATATAGAGTAGGTCTCTCCACCTTGCCTCCATCTGGTCCCAGCCTTCTCTCAGTCGTGCTATCTCGTCATCTCTTGCTTCGACCTCGTCCATTGAGACAAAGTTGGGATTGGTCAAAACAGTTTTGAGTGTGTCGAGCATTGATTCAAGCTCCTCAGCAAGAGATCCGTGTGCGAAGCCGAGTGTGCCATCTTCGTTTTCCATGCCGTCAACTGTATTGTCCAAGTTCTGTTCTGGCACGCCCAATAACTCTCTTAGCGTGACCAGAGTCCCGCGGATCATCTCAATCAGAGCATCATTCTCGTCGCTTAGTCCAGAGCTCAGTTGTGTGAGGAAGTCGGTAGTCTCTTGCTTCAGGTTGTACTCTGGATCCGAGATGTCTCTTACTGACGTGTTGAACGAGTGCGGACCTCTTCCACCGACAGATATGGAGGGAGCAACGAGACCACCCTTGTTTCCTCTCTGCTGGCCTTGAAGGTGTGATTTAAGACGCTCTATGTGCGTGTCCCGCTTTCGTACGTCGTTGGCACATTGTGTTTTGATTTGCGAGACAGATGCTTTCAGTCGTCCGAGTTGATCGTTCAGTGCTTTTGTGGTCGACTCGAGTTTGCGCATTTCGATCTTAGCGTTTCTGGCTTCGGTCTGGGCTTGCAGCAGGGAGCGCTCTCGAGTGTCGAGACGAGTTTGTAGTCGTTCAAGGTCGCCATCTTTGCGAGTCTGGTCGGTGCGGAGGGTTCGGAGGGTCAATGAAATCTGCTCGCGGTTCTCTTGGTCTCGGTCGCGTCGTAAGAGAAGATCGTGGACAAGGTTGATGATCTGAGCTCGTGTCTCTCGAGTCGGTTTGGCAAAGTCGAGAGCCTTGCTGTCGCGGAGCAGGCCTCGAGCTAGGAGGAGATTGTTTAGATAAGTTGACGCCGTGTTAAGCGTATCATGATCCATTGTGCACGATGATGGTTGATAAGATGCTGGACGCTTTGCATTGACTTGATTGACTTGGTTGTCTGAATTTGCTGTTTGGTTGCGACGCCGTCCATCAACAGATTGCCGAATTGGGAAGATACCGTTGCACCATCATGATCTCTCGCGTCTCCCTCCACCCTCGACATGCAAGCATCCATCCTTCTGTGCAACGAGCAAGCTACTTCTACTCTTGCTTCTAACAGAATACATGCCGCCTAGCTCAAACTCAGGTCAGACATGAATTCTCCGAACTATTTGTGACCAGCGCACTCTGCGACATCTCGAGTCTCGCTGCTCGGCCTTCGCGCTCACCAACCATGACGCGTGTGAATCAGAAAAATGTCCGAAGCGTAAAGTGGGGATGCTAAAAATGCCGTCCGGCTGGAGCCCTGCGGCACCTTGATCTTCTCCATCTTGGCACTCTATTGTCCTTCATCTGTGTGTCTGGTCTATCTATCCAAGGCTTACCTTGCTCTGCAAAGAGAGTGGGAATGAATCTCCATGAATGTCAGCTCTCTACTATTGGCACATGGAGCTTGCGAACACCCTGAGAAGCTCGACGGTGAACAGCATCGACAAAGTAGGTTGGTCTGGCTGGTACCTGAGGATTGCTCGCATCAGGTACAGCCCTTCGGCCCTCAAACAACTCCGTTCGGACATGGCGGGACAACAAAATATCCAATGTTTGAGACCCCCGAGACAAACATGCCTTGACACAGGTAGGTATATAGATGTAGAGCTACTCGCTGTAGTTGTGATTCCAGAGTTCCTATTCACCTCACATTCATATTCGCTACCATCATCATGACCAACTACCCATCACACGAGGGTATGTAAATCCAAACATCGCAAGCCCTTGCAGACATGCGCATACTGTTTGAAGAACAAGATCTTCAAGGCACAGCCAGTCTTCCGAGCAAGTGGTCTTTTGATTGGATCAAGAATGCTAACAACCTGTAGAAATGCTTGGCTGCATGGCCGCCTGCTTCAACTGGGCAGACAGCTACGACACCAAGGTGAGCACACGCGAGTCTTTGATCTAATTGAGGATCACAGGGNNGCTGATAACCTACCGCAGGACTGGAAGAGACTCGAGACTGTCATTGCACCCGAGCTCATCATCGATTACCGTTCGTTCCTCGACAAAATCTGGGAGGCTATGCCCGCCGACGAGTTCGTCAAGATGGCATCTGACCCCAACGTCCTCGGCGACCCTCTGCTCAAGACCCAGCACTTCATTGGTGGTACCAGATGGGAGAAGGTCTCGGACACTGAGATTATTGGCTGGCACCAACTTCGTGTACCTCACCAGAAGTACACCGACGAGTCCAGATCAAAGGTTGCTGTCAAGGGCCACGCCCACAGCACCAACAAGCACTGGTACAAGAAGGTCGATGGCGAGTGGAAGTTCGCTGGACTGAGCCCTGACATCCGCTGGTTCGAGTACGACTTTGACAAGGTCTTTGCCAGCGGCAGAGACTCTTTCGGCGAGGCCAAGCAGGCTGCTGGTGAGTTGATAGTCCGCCTGCTTCTTTCCACGACCCGATCACTAACATTGCTCGCAACAGGCATCCCTGAACAGGCATAGATTTTGCGTTGAAAGATATCATTTTGAGTGGTTATACCTTATGCATGAGCCCGGCTGGGCCAGGGTCGATTGTCGATTTAGCGAATGAATGAATGAATCCCAGTTTTTAAATGTCCATGCTTGGAGCTCCTTAGCTGAGATGTCACTGTCACCTTGCTGCTGCCGTTGGCGTGCGAGAAGCCCCGTGCTCGAAAGCCGCGCCCGATGGACTGGACTTGTCTCTCCTCCTGAATGCGCAATTGCTGCCAAGAGCAATATAAAGACTGGAATGGTGGAAAGATTCGAGATTTAGATGAACCCGAATGCCGGTGCCGCCCCTATTCCTGAGCATCAACCCCCACAGATCTTCGAGGTTGCGTCAGGCAGGAGCGATTCGGTTTGCACGTGACGGGGCAACAACGGTCAACTTGGCAGTTCTCTGTGTCTCGACGTTGCTCGAAAGCTCCTCTCCCTTTCGCGCGCGCAAACAGCATCTTTTCTCCTTGTGCTATTCCCGCGGTTCTTTCGTCGTCTTTCGTCTCGTCCTTTGCTTCCCGCTCCTGCTCCCATTCGCACCCGTGCTGCCGGTATGTCGCTCTCCATTTTACTCGTCCACAATCACTTTCCTCCCAATACCCTGGTAGCCGATCTTCACGACCACCTTGGTTTCGCCATCCTCATTGGCGTCGCCATGACGAGCTGCATCTGACCAATTCCGCATCCCATTATCCAAANNCCCATCTCGGCCGCCTCGTTCGGGTTCCCGAGCCACGCTTTCAGCACTGTCGCTACTGAGCTCGTGAGCACTTTGGAGNCTTTCGCGTTGATGCCGCGAATCCTCGACCCCGCCGAGGCTGCCGAGCTGGCTTTTCACCACACTTCAGTCACAACCACCACCCATTGCCACCACCACTACACTCCACCTTGCTTCAGCCCATTGTCGCACACCTCGCCTAATACGCGCTAACTTCAGTGACAGATTCGCGAGTGAATTATTGTCAACGGACATTCCTTCGGCGCAAGTACGACTCGTCTGAACTTTCACGTTCCCATTCAGGAATTGCATCGAACAATACCGAACGTCTTTGATTCTTTGCCTGTCTTTCCCACACCATACACCTCCAGCTTTAATCAAGCTTCTCATAACTTGCGACGATAAACAATCGCGACAAGCATCTCTTACCTACTACGCCGCAAGATTTGTGAGTACGCGACAATCTGCTCTCACTGTTGTGTCGAGTCTTGTTACTGACCCTTATGCCCCAGATCTCGGCGTTCCTAATCCATCTCGACTTTGCGATAACATCCATCTTCGAAAATGAGTTTCCAACAATTCGGCGACTCTTTCCAGGGTCAGCAACCTGAGGAATCCGGTGCTCCCGCCGCTCAGCCCCAGCAGCCCTCTATGGGCCAACCCATCGAATCCCAACAGGGCCAGTTCCCTCCTACCCCTTCCGGCGCACCTGGATCTGCACCTGGTCCTGGCTCCCAGTCTGGCGGCGAGCCCAAGACCACTTTGTGGTATGTTGAATCGTTGAGACGAACAACGCGTGAGCATCAGCTAAGACAAGATACAGGANTGGGTGAGCTTGAGCCCTGGATCGACGAGAACTTCGTCAGAAGCGTCTGGTTCGGCATGGGCTACCAGGTTAACGTCAAGATGATCCGCGACAAATTCTCCGNNGGTGAGTAGCCTGAATATACATGAAAAAGGATGGATTTCTAACCATACTCGGCTAGAAGTAATGCTGGATACTGCTTCGTCGACTTTGAATCCNCCGACGCTGCCACCAAGGCTCTCCAGCTCAACGGCACTCTCATCCCCAACTCAAACCGCCCCTTCAAGCTCAACTGGGCTTCTGGTGGTGGTCTTGCTGACCGCAGCCGTGACGACCGTGGTCCCGAGTACTCCATCTTCGTTGGCGATCTCGGTCCCGAGGTTAACGAATACGTCCTCGTCAGCATCTTCCAGAACCGCTTCCCCAGCTGCAAGTCGGCCAAGATCATGTCGGATCCTATCAGCGGCCTTTCTCGCGGTTATGGCTTCGTCCGCTTCTCTGATGAGGCAGACCAACAGCGTGCCCTTACTGAGATGCAGGGCGTTTACTGCGGCAACAGACCCATGCGCATCAGCACTGCTACCCCCAAGAACAAGAACCAGCACGCCGGTCCTGGTGGCATGGGTGGTATGCCCGGTGGTCCTGTTGGCATGTACGGCATGGGTGCCCCTCCTCTTGGTTTCTACGGTGCTCCTCAGCCAATGAACCAGTTCACTGACCCCAACAACACCACCGTTTTCGTTGGCGGTCTTAGTGGTTACGTCACCGAGGACGAGCTCCGCTCCTTCTTCCAGGGCTTTGGTGAAATTACATACGTCAAGATCCCTCCCGGCAAGGGTTGCGGTTTCGTCCAGTTCGTTCAGCGCCACGCTGCTGAGATGGCCATCAACCAGATGCAGGGCTACCCCATCGGTAACTCGCGTGTCCGCCTCAGCTGGGGTCGCAGCCAGAACAACTCTGGCCCTGCCGGCACTCCTTACCGCCCTGCTCCCNCACCACCAGTCTACCCTTCCATGGGCATGCCTCCTCAACACCCTTACGGTGGCTTCGCCCCCATGAAAGTGAGTGGACAGCAACAACAGCAGCAGCAGTTCTGGTCCCCAGATGCCTCTAACCATCAACAGTAAGCAGTTTTTCCTTGAGCCTTGAGTGGTTTTTAGCGGGAGTTGGACAGGTTCATGTGACTGGCTTTACTTCGACGAATCTATCCTGCTTATTGCATGCCCCCTCACGACCTCCTTGTTCTTTTCCCCCTCTCGGCGTCAGTCCTTTCAGCAATCACACGAAACCAACACAGTCATGCGGCGAAGGATGGATGGGGCTCTTTTTCAAAAGTTGCACGCTCTCTGAACTCGACGTTGGCCTTGTTCAGTCTTTTCTCTATTTCTTACCTCTCTTATTCTTCTCTTGGTTCATCGATCGTGCAAGCATAGGAACGTCTATGCTTTCCGTCATGACAAACACCAATGTAGTTATTTGCTGCTTTACTATTACCCTTGCGTTTCCAATTTTTTACTACCCAAAAGGAGGGCGAAAATGGTATCAGTTTTGATTTTTTAAATGTTTGAGTACAATCTTTCTTCAGTGTGGTCAGCATCTTTTGAGATGATAGCGGCCTCTTTATGGCGTTAGATGCATCTCTAAGAGGCATCTGAGGTATATGCGGTCTTTGAAGAAGCTTGTCTGGTATTTCTGCTTACATTTGGTAGACAGGGGTTGGTCGATCTATGTAGCTGGAACATGTCTGTTAGACAGATAGCTCAAGCACATAGCCAATGTCAACGAACCATTTATCTTGCTTGAAGCCCCCGAGAAAGCCACTGTCTTCTGTGTGTGCCTTCACAAGCGCGTAACAGGCTTCTGAAAGCACCGACAGGCTTCAGTTTCGATATCAGACGTGTCCGTATCGTTTTGATAGCAACATACCGGCGGAAAGCAACTTCTACTATGATCAAACTATCGCTGCTCTGTCTGACGACTCTGCAATGCCGTCACTCACAGCTAGTGGGACCATGTTGCAAAGACCAATCGCTAACTCCTTTGCTAGTAATTGAAGCTCAGACGCAGCAAATGGTGGCGAGAGTGGTAAGGTAGTGTAAGATAAGTGAGTTCAGATCTAGGAGAGTACATCGTCGAGCCTTTCATATCAACAACGCCCTTGACGAATGACAATATACATTCCTTTGCGAGAGACTGACACTCAGGTGTGAGCCTAGTGAAGGGAAAGTGCGGGACAAGCGATCATTCAGTCAACGCGATACAAAAGTACATCGACCGTCTCCAGACTTCTTCGTGGATACATTCCGTCGAGCTCAACAAACCATAAACGACATCCTCGACAAACGACAACATATGTCTCTTTGCAAGTGACTGACGCCTGGATTTGAGCTTAGGGAAGAGAATCAGTCACGAGAGTACGTCGACATCGAAAACACTTCGTTAAGACAATTTGTCAAGCCCAACGGACCATGTCAACGCCATCGACGAGCGGAGACATATCTCTTTGCAGCTCACTGGCGCCTAAGTGCGGTAGTGGATGAAGAGAGTATTCCAGAGAAGTGACGTTTCGGTCAAGATACAAAAGTACAGTGTCATCTGGGCTTTTTCGTCGAGACATTTCGTCGAGCCCAACGGATTCGACACAATCTCCGATAAACGACTAAGCCAGATCCATCACAAAAACTGGCTGGTAGATATGTGATGGACTCTCTTCACTCCAGCGGTGTCCAGGCTCGAACGTCGAGACGACTCGTTCGGCCTAACAGAACCGAGACGATTCCGACGAATGGTGAAGTGCATCTCTTTACAGCCAAGTGAAGATTGAGCGTAACTAGTGAAGGAAGTGTGGATAGTGAAGAGCACGCGAGTGGTGAACAGAGCGTAAGTAGTGAAGAGAATGCGCAAGACAAGAGACAGTCCAGTTAGGATACAAAAATCACATCGACATCGAGGCTTCGTCGAACAGATATTTCGTCGAGCTCAACGGACTCGACACGATCCCGAAGGCCGACTAAGCAGAATTCAGTAATAAAAATGGCTGTCAGGTTCGTGGTTGACCGTCTTCGCTACACCGACGTTGAAGCTTTGGCATCTATCGTGGGATGTTCCTTCCTTGACAGACATTCTGGGCCACATCTTTGTTGACCCCAGTTACTCCTTCTTTCTCATTCCAATCATCATACTCTCAACGACTAACTTTGTTGTATTGATTTGCATGTCGAATCTGCTTTTAGACAAGCTTCATAGCATCGATAGCGTATTACTTTGATTCTTTCATCATGCGCTTCGAGGATTGGGACATCCTGCTCTTCCCGCAGGTGACCAACACACCCATCCAAGAATTCCGTACCGAGTGCTTTGGTATTGTTACTCGTAAGTCTGACTATGTTTGCTGTTCAATAGTCATTACTAAGAAGCATATCTAGNCAATTGGCGCCTCTCCAACTCTCAACACGTACATTCCTTCGTTGACTCCCGGAACTCCCTTCAAACTCTCTCTGCACTCGTGGACCAGACCAGTCTTGTCATCTCCTCAGTTCGTGAGAGGCAACCGTGTCATCCTGGCACTGCACGTCGCCGTCGACGGCAAGACAGTTGCGTTAGTCAACACCTTGAGAGTATCCACTGTCATAGGCTGGGCTAACAATGCGAGGACAGAGNTTCGAAAGATCAACCTTGACGCCGACTTCCCTTTCCAGGTCAACAACTCTCCAACCAGCAGGATGCTCTTTCCGCCCTTCAACGGAGTCATGCGCGATCAACTCCAGCTCCACATTGCCGATAACGTTGGTCGCATCACAGTCTGCATATCTGAAGGTTACTTCTACGAAGCAGTCGGCACTGGCAAACCTCACTTCTGTCCTGTCAAAGACATCATCACCTTCAAATGGATACATGCCCCTCGCAGTAAGTCACACAATCCTGCTAATCTCGTCATGCTAATGTATAGTTATCAGNGTCTTCTTCGTAAGGCTGGCATCGCCTGGCCTAACCCTCGACTCTTCATGAAGCAAGAGGACTCCTTCGGCAACAACGTGCCATACATGTCTCATGCGGTTGACTATCAGGTCAACAGCTCCCAGGGTAATGGATCTATTGACCCACCCTCGATGTCTACTTCTGGTATCGATGGGCCAATCTCTTACCCATCGAACACAGCGCTTCTGCAAAACTATGACCAAGTCTTCACTGGTAACGACCATCTTGACTTTACTGACCTGACTGTATCTTCCGACTTCTCATCAGGCTATACCTTTGGAGCACCTCTATCGGACTCTATCCACGCACCTCAGTCTGACTTCAAGCACACTCAGACGACAAGACTTCCCAGCAATCAAGTCAGAGAGATTGCCAGTGCTATCGTCCCTGAACTGATCGAACGTGGTGTTGCCATGCTTGACGGCTCTTCAGACACCCATCAACCTGGCCAAGGCTTCATGAGAAATACATCGGACATCAGTATGCACACAGCTTGCGAATAGTATCCTTTATGCGTTATGGACGCTCCTGACAAGCAAGATGTGCTACACGTACCTCGCAAGGCCATCGCAGTTCCCACACAGGCCCCCAGANGGCCGCAGAGGGTCGGCTCAGCCACCGAGTACCGTCCGGCGAAGACGATTGCCAGGTCGATGAAGCCATACTTTACCATGGTTCCCGAGGCTGAGATGCTGCGCTTGAGCTTGGAGAATTGAGTGGACGCACGAGGGAGATCTCGAATTGCTCACGGAAAGGGCGATACTGCCAAAAGTGTAAATTAGATGGACCCGTATAACGAGGCGGGAGTTTCTTGTTGTTTCCCTTACCTAAATAACAATCAAAATCATGCTTTTGTGTTCTTCCTCCCGCCTCCCAGACCAAACAGCACTGGGTTTGTTTACGTTCGTGCATTTCGATAATCGATCAAACTTTGTGAATTTTTATTGGAAATCAACAACAGGGTTAGTCGACACACAAGCCCAAGATAAGACCCCAAACATTTCCATGGACATCTAAAGCACCCTAAATACCTTTTTGACTTGCGACAGCGCATTCTAGCCGCCTCTATGCATGAGAGAGCATCGAAAATTATCGTCAGAGGTGCGACCCTGTCTATATCAAATCCACCTCCAGTAAGGGAGAGGTCAAGCGATTATATACTGTGTATTTTTACAATACCATCTAGAAGCGAGAAAGACGGAGGAGAGCTTTGTTGGGCAGTGCAAGGTTTTGTGCCCCTGGGCTGTTGTCTCTACCATTTACTTTGTCTTTCATCGTAAAAAGTATGTATTGGGTAGGCTATAGAAATGCACACTTGTTTTCGATTTCAGAGTTGTGTCCTAGGAGAGCTTGAATGGATGACCGCTTTCAGTGGGCACCTTATTCTTCTGGAAACCATTTTGCATTTCTATAGTATACTCGTCGCCCTATTTTGTCACAGAAATCTCAAGGTGTTGCAGTATACGGTACAAAAGGCTTCCCNCTCACATCCTCTCTAATCTGCAACGCCAGCACTCGAGAATAAAACCTTGCATTCGCCGTACTGCCGCCGAAATACCAGATCCCTGGATGACCGATTGGTTTGGCTAGACCTCTGATTTCGCCTTCAGCATCGAGGCCGAAGAAGTCGTCGAGGTGGCTGGCGGTGGCAGCACCAACTACACTGGCAACGCTTTCGCGGAGGTTGGATCTAAAGCCCGTGGCATAGACTATTAGGTCCGCGGTTATCTCTGTATTGTCTTGGAAGCGGAGGCCGGTGGGTGTGAAGGAGGTGGGTAGGATGCCGGATTTTACTTTTACCTTNTTGAGAGGAGTCAGCTATACTTCATGTGGCAGGAGGGCATAACCTGGGAGTCAGTATACCTTTCCAGACTCAAAGATTGGAGATACGGAACCGTGATCGAGAATATGGCCACCAAACTTTTCGATTGGGTTGGCGAGCAGATCTGGGCTTTGATGCAATTTGAATCCTGCTTCTCGGAGAAAGTCATAGCGGTGTTGTTCTTGTTCTTGAGACTGTAGAGCTGTTGCGCCTGCGATGGTTGATAGTCTACCCACTGCGTATGGCGGTGTCAACATCAATCTGTCTGATAACCCCACGTCGGTTTGGGGATTGTAGAGNGGATCGATCAAAGGATAAAAGACTGTGGTTGAGATGACGTGAGTTGTGCTGCGCTGCACAATGGTTATCTCTGACAAGTTGCTGTCGACCATGTTTTGAGCAATATCCATGGCACTGTTGGCGGCGCCGATGATGATTGCCTTTTTACCGGCGAAGGCGTCTGCATTTCTCCAGTCGACTGAGTGGAGCAAAGTACCCTGGTATTGGTCACGGTTGGCATACTCGGGCTCAGGATATCTGGGCACATCCAAGCCGCCTCCGATGGCCATAACGAGGTGTTTTGCTCTGAGCTTCTGCAGTTGTCCTTCTTTGCTTACAACAACATTCCAGCTCTTGGTATCTTCGTCCCAGCGTGCTTGATTCATCGAACTCGACAGCCAGATCTGAATGTTGTGCATGTCCACGTACTTTTGCATGCCTTCAGCCAAGTCTCGAGCGCTGAGATTATATGGCTTGTCGGCATATACACGTTGGAATGGCATTTCGCTATAACTGTTGGAGAGGTGCAAGTGTATGGAGTCGTATCGCTTGGTCCAGTTATCGCCAACGGATGCATTGCGTTCGACGACGAGATAGGGAACTCGTAGTGCATGCAATCTACCTGCGGCACAGAGACCCGCCATGCCGCCCCCGACAATGATACAATCAATCTCATCACCATCGACGAGATCGGCAGCTGGTGCAAATTTTGTATCGGGGAAGCTGTCTGGGTTTCCATAGCCGTTTTGATCCTTGAGAGCCTCGATAATTGTGCAAAAGACCCATATCTTATAGTCGCCGCTATCATCAGGCACCATGTTCACCAGGCCTGAGCATTCAGCAGGATGGGTTCCGTCGGTCTCAAACCGAAAAGCAGCAGTTATCCAAGTTGGTCGAGGTCCCAACCTTGCCGTGTTGGGTACAAGGCGGAAGTCGTGAGACTTGTACTCAGCCTTCAACTCGTTCCAGACAGTAGATATGGATGCTGCGCTGTTGAAAGTCCGCTGATGTCCAGTGACACTGAGGGAATCNCTCCATATCGCATCGTCACTCAGATCGCTTTGCTGTAGGTTCTCAAGACGAGCAATGCACGAGGTGGCTATCGCAGCGCAGTCGACGTTTCCATCGAGCGTGACGCTGGGCAAGCTACCCTTGAGCTGATTGCTGGAGATCACTGGCGTTGGAAAGGTGCGGTTCTGTACTGCTGCCATCTTCGATGTCGGGTGAGAAGTCAATACTGCTCATTCAGACCGAAGACGGCTGTCATATTTATGGCTCTCGTATCGCATCCTTGCCATACTGCTTACAAAACTCAAAGCATCTACCCGTATTGCTGACTATCCATCGAAGGGAGTGGTCTGCCGGCTGCACCGGCGACTCGCAGAGAAGTCTAGTCTGCGTAGAAGCGGTATAAGACTTGACGACCACGGTCGAGCATTCCTCCAGGAAGCTTGGTATACAGTCAGCGATCTGTATGATTCTATCAAATGGGCTAGACGTGAAAGGACGCGAAGGAGGAAAGAGCAGTAAGGCCGATCAACCATCGTCGCTGGTGAGCCTCGGCACAACCCCTCGCCCGAATCTCTCTCTCCGCATCACTTGACCTTCTTCCACAGCGGCATAGCCGCCATATATTATCTTGAATCAAAGTAGAAGACGATGTGGTAGGTACTTGATTGATTCATTCATTCTAATTCCATCACCACCACCGGCAACACGTAGCACCATGGCCATGCCCACGCTCAGCACACCTCTGACCACCCTGCTTGGGATCAAATACCCAATCTTACTTGCAGGCATGGCTCGCACATCATCCGGTCCTCTGGCTGCCGCAGTCTCAAATGCAGGCGGCCTAGGCACAATCGGAGGACTGGGATACAATCCACAACAACTCCGCGACATCATTACGGAACTAAAATCGCATCTCTCGTCTCCAGACCTACCTTTTGGTGTCGACCTGGCCTTACCACAAGTAGGCGGCTCAGCACGAAAAACAAACCATGATTACACTCATGGACAACTCGATCAGCTCATTGATGTGGTGATTGAAGAGGGTGCAAAACTGTTCATTAGTGCTGTGGGTGTGCCGCCGAAAAGAGTCATCGATCGCTTACATGAGAACGGCATTTTGGTAATGAATATGGTTGGACATCCTAAGCATGCGATCAAGGCACTCGAGGCCGGTGTCGATTGTGTTTGCGCCCAAGGTGGCGAGGGCGGAGGTCACACAGGCGATATCCCTGGCAATATTCTGATTCCGGCTGTTGTGGATGCAGCTAAGAAGTACAAGAGTCCACTGACCGGTGAACCTGCCTTGGTAGTGGCAGCAGGTGGCATATGCAACGGACGTAGTTTGGCAGCCGCGTTGATGCAAGGAGCTGCTGGTGTATGGGTCGGGACAAGGTATGAACTTCTTCCACTCATTACAAGTTTCGGGGCTGACCGTATGGTGACANGATTCGTCGCAAGTGTCGAAGCTGGATGCTCGAAACTGCACAAAGAGGCAGTGGTATCAGCCAGATTTGAGGACACGCTGCGTACATTAGTTGTCAGCGGTCGACCGCTTCGCGTTCGCATGAACGACTACATTCAATCTTGGGAAGACAGACCCGAAGATATCAAGCGGTTGACCGAGCAAGGCATCGTGCCGATGCAANAGGACATGGATGACGACAAAGATGTCGATCTTCCATACTTGATGGGCACCGTGGCTGGCGTGATCGATAACATCCAGCCCGCAAAGGACATTGTGGAAGACATGATCAGAGAGGCTGTGGATATGTTGAAGAGAGGGCAGAGCTTTATCGCGCGCGATAGCAAGTTATAAGTTGGGAAGTCATCCTGTACATACTAGGAGTGCGCCTATATACTGCAAACGTATACCAACCCGTTACTCTGTAGCGAAGTCACCAATTCATCATGCATTCTCCAGCACCCAGCTTGCAAGCCAGAGAACAGATGAAGGAAAAGTTCAAAAATTTGTCAAACTTGATCAAGTTTCAATAGAGTATTGTTTGCAAAAGGCCCCTGATGGCCTCGTAAGTGAGCGCACCTTGTGAGAGCCACCTCCGAAAAGGCTGGACATCTCCCCAGTGCTGGACTCTGACGCCTGCTCCACCAAAAGCATGCATGGCAGTTCTCGACCACTCAAGATACCCAGCGCGAGAACGATTCTGACACGAAGGCCTCCAAAAATGTATGAGGTAGCTATCGCCGGCTCAACCAGATGTGCGAAGCACAGGAATGCTCGTCGCATCAAAAAGCCCTTCACCAGAATCGCAGGAGTCGCGAGTGATAAAGTTACACTGCAATACAACAGGAGAAGAAGAGAGTATGAAGGAGAGAAGGAGAAATGAGGGAGAGAATGTGATTTTATAGCTGGCTCAAATGGCAGACGGATGGTCTCGGGATCAGGAACGCTAAGTCGGCGACATGAGTTTGTCTCAGCAAATCCATACCAACACCTGACCTACCTTGATGGGCACATGACACGTGTATTGGGCAGCCACCACTACCGGGTTCAGTGCGAAAGGGCTACAATGAATCGACAGAATATCACGATTGGGTCGTTTGGCGGGGACTTGTCTGATGATACGGTCGTCGCAAACAGTTGGTTGATTCCAGTCGCGGTCTGAGCGCGGTAATGTGGGTGCCTCTGATTACGAAGCTGTTGCTTCGAATCCTCGTCCAGATCATTTGATAATATTCGTAGTTGACAAGTATCCGAGTAAATGTTGGCAAAGCAAGACGGACTGTGTTAGGGATGAATAACTGTAAAATTGCCTACCAAGACCAGACCAGACCAGACCAGAACGCCCATGACTTTTGTGTGTCGCATACAATCATCCTTGCCTGTCAGCACAACAAACGCGCAGAACATGACTGGGAAAAAGAGGAAGATATGAATTGTCGTCGAAGCTTTTTGTTTCGTATTTCCTTTTTTCTTGTCCGGCTCCTTGCTAGAAGAAACTACGCAGCAGCTCCCGACCCATCAAAAAAGACCCCGGGCGACATCATCGTTACCAGAGAACTTTGCACTTTTGCGCCCGCAACGAAACTCCCCTTCAAAATCTCCCCAAGCCAGCGGTATCATAGAAGAGGGTTGAGGTGAGAGAGGTAAACATCGACGAGAGGGTGGAACAGTCGATCGATCTTCGGAATAGAAAGTGTTGCGGTTGACGGTTTTGGAAGAGGGGCATGCGCTGGTCGCTTATCGGAGACGGCGGGCCTCACGCTCGGACTCGAGCAGGCAGAGGATGTCGTCCTCACGGACTGGAGACGTGGTGTTAGTATTTGAGACAGGGCGAGTGGATCGCAAGGCGAAAGAATCGTACCGGGACCCNTTGACGTTGCGGATGATGGAACGGGTAGTGTCGTCCATGAACTCAACGCGGACCTGGGTAACACCACCGCGGGAGCCTGTCGCAAAANNATCCGTCAGCAATTTGTTCTGCAGGCCGTGCAATCCTCCATGGCCGTGTCCGAGTCGTCCAGAGTGTCTTTTCTCCCATGCGCGATCCTCCTCTTTCTAGCAGACTCTTTCTCTCGGCGGGCGATGGAGGCTTGTCGATGTTCTTCTAGGTGGACGTACCGGTACGGCCGAGGACGCGGGTGACCTTGACGAGCTTGACGGGGACCTTGGCGGATTCCATTTTGAAGTCTTGTGTGATGAGCTGAGATAGCTTCTTCTGTAAAATGGGCGAGGGCGAAGGAAAAAGGCGTCGACTGGGATCGAGAATCTTCAGGCGCTGCGTGAGTCTGGGGCTGCTGCCAAATTCGACGCGTGCGTGCTAAATTCAGCCGACGTCTTTCCGCGTTCGCGGCTAGTGCAGAAATAGAGGTTGGCGCCAAGCTTGGCAGTGACGGAGGGCAGTTGCGGCGAACCAGCGACAACTCGGGGAAGACAAGTGGCAGTAGCGAAGTCGCGTTTCAAAAAGTTGGTGATAGCAGACCCAACCCAACACCTGTCCAAAGCGAAGAGTCATGTCGGATGCTGTCCTAAACTAGACTTCAAATCAAGTCCCTTCCCTCTAACCCGTCGACTGAGCTTCTGAATCGCTATAAGGAGCTTTCGACTATTTCATATCCCTCTCAGCCTCACAAACATGGCCAAGATGGGAGGAATCACTCACCCCCTTTGTCTGTTCGCGTTCCTGTTAATTGCATTTGCCTCGACGGCATCTGCAGCGTCAGCAGTCCTCGGAATCGATCTTGGCGGTGCATACATCAAAGCAGCAATCGTAAAGCCCGGAGTTCCCCTCGATATCGTCCCCACCAAGGATTCAAAACGCAAAGAAGCCGCTGTCGTTGGCTTCAAGCCCGTAACTGGTTCCGCTCTCGACTTTGGCTCCTACCCGGAAAGACTGTACGGTGGAGATGCCCTGGCCCTCGGTGGCCGCTTCCCTGCCGATGTCTTCACTAACCTCAAGACCCTCCTCGGCCTCGTTCCTGGCGAACACGCCGACTCTATGATCAAGAACTACCACGCCCGCCATCCCGCAATTAAGTCGAACTTCGAGCAAGAGAAGGGAGCTGTCTCGTTCGTGCCCACCGCCTTTAGTTTGGAAGAAGCGCGATGGAACCTCGACGAGTTGCTGGCCATGGAGCTCAAAAACATTCGCACAAACGCCGAAGCCATGTCGGGCGGCAAGGGAGGAGAAGCCACCGACGCTGTCATCACCGTCCCCGTCCACTGGACTGCAGATGAGAGACGTGCCATTGAGCGTGCCGCCGATTTGGCTGGTATCAACATCATGAGTCTCGTCAGCGACGGACTGGCTGTCGGTATCGACTACGCTGTCAAGCGCACCTTCCCCAGTGTTAGCAAGGGCGAGAAGCCCGAGTACCACATGGTCTTTGACATGGGTGCTGGATCGACAACCGCCACTGTCCTCAGATTCCAATCCAAGGACGTCAAGGACATTGGTCGCTTCAACAAGACAATCCAGGAGGTTGCCGTAGTGGGTGCTGGCTGGGACAAGACTCTGGGAGGAGACGAACTCAACGCTCTTATCGTTGACTACCTGGTCGACAGCTTTGTCGCCAAGCCCCAGGCCGTAAAGGCTGGCATCACCGCCGAAGAGGTCAAGAGCCACGGTAGAACCGCTTCCAAGATTTGGCGTGAAGCCGAACGCGCGAGACAGGTTCTGAGTGCCAACTCCGAAGTCAGATCGAGCTTCGAGGGCTTGTACAACGATATTGATTTTGCTACCAAGCTCACTAGAGCCGAGTTCGAGAAGATGGCCGCTTCTCATGCCGACCGCATTCAAGCCCCTGTCCAACAGGCTCTGGACGCTGCTAAGCTGTCTTTCAAGGATCTTGACTCGGTTATTCTCCACGGTGGTGCCATAAGAACACCATTTGTTCAGAAGAAGCTCGAATCCATGACTGGCAAGAACACTGAGGTCCGCAGCAACGTCAACTCTGACGAATCTGCCGCTTTCGGTGCTGCTTTCAAGGCAGCTGGTCTGAGTCCTAGCTTCCGTGTCAAGGAGATCAGAGACCTTGAGGCTGCTGTCTACCCTGCCGGCATCAAGTACCCCTCAGATGGCAAGGAAAGATCGCAGAAGCTATTCGTTCCTACATCTCAGGCTGGATCTGCCAAGGAAATCACCATCAAGAACCTTGACGACTTCACCTTTGGCATCTTCCAGACTGTTGGCAGTATTGATCGTCCAGTCACCGAGGTCCACGCCCAGAACTTGACCGCTTCCGTTGAGGTTCTGACCACCAAGTTCGGCTGCTCCAAGGACGAGATCTCGACCAAGCTCAAGCTTCGCATCAGTCCCGTTGACAATATCCCCGAGATTGTCACTGCTTCCGTCAGCTGTGAAGTCGAGGGTGGTAAAGCTGCTGGTATTGGAGACTCAGTCAAGGGCCTCTTCGGATTTGGTTCCAAGAAGGGCGACCAAGAGCCCNTCATTGAGGATGAGGAGGTGGAAATCGTGAAGGAATCTAGCTCCTCATCCAGCTCTTCTTCCAGTACTGCGAATGCCAAGTCGAGTGGTTCTGCCGCTCCCGAGGTCGAGAAGAACAAGAAGCGTACTGAGACTATCCCCATCAAGCTCACCACTGTTGCCAAGGGCCTTCCTCAGCCCGCACCCGAAGACATCAAGCGCATGAAGGAGCGTCTCGCTGCCTTTGACCGTTCAGACATGTCTCGCATCCAGAGAGAAGAGGCTTTGAACGTTCTTGAGGCATACACCTACCGTACCAGAGATCTCCTCGAGAACACTGATTTCGTTGGTGCCTCGACTGAAGCCGTCAGATCTCAGTTGACTTCTCTGCTCAGCAGCACTAGCGAATGGCTGTATGGCGAAGGCTCTTCCGCAAAGGCCGAAGCTTTCAAGAGCAAGCTTGCTGCTCTCAAGGCTATCGTCGACCCTGTGCAGAAGCGTAGAGAAGAAGCCTCAGCACGTCCTGAGATTCTCAAGTCGCTGCAGAGCTCTCTTGACCAGACCAAGTCGATGGTCGACGCTATTGGCAAGCAAATTGCTGCCTCGATCTCATCCGCCTCTGAGGCTGCTTTGTCGAGCAGCACGACCGCCGAAGCCAGCCCAAGCCCCAGCTCTGCCGATGACTTGGACGACCTCGACGAGCCAGATGCTTCGTCCACTTCCTCGTCTGCCAAGCCTAGCGAATCAGCTAGCTTAATGCCTTACACCGAGGAAGACCTCGCCTCCATCACCAAGGCCTATGAGAGCGTCGCCGAGTGGGTCAAGACCAAGATGGCCGAGCAAGACAAGCTCCAAGCCTTTGAAGACCCAGCCTTCACCGTCAAGGAAGTCGAAGTCAAGGCCAAGGAGCTCAACAAAGCGCTCATGGATATGGTGACCAAGAAGATGCAAATGCCCAAGCGCGGCACCAGCAGCAGCAGCTCCAAGAAGCCCAAGGCCACCAAGAGCAAGAAGGCAAAGTCGAGCAGCAGTGAGACGTCTACGGCGTCAGAGTCTGCTTCTTCTGCTAGCCCTTCTGTTGTGGTCGAGGAGCAAGAGAAGCCCATTGAGCATGAAGAGTTGTAGAGTAGCATTCTCCCTTTTAGCATAGAAGATCTATAAAATCTCGCCATTTCCATTTTTACACTTTGTAGTTGACAGTTCTGACCAGAGTGTACAAATTCATGTGAGGCTTTGAAGGACTCCTATGCATGTATTGCTATGGTTCGAATGCTGCTTGTGTTGCTCCTGTAACGCAAAATCTATCTAGCACCGACAGCACCATGCGGCACACCCTGCCTCCTCCTGGCAATAGCCTCACCCATGGCATTTCTCACCTCCACATTACTCCTCACAGTATTGTCGACCAANAACCTCTTCATCCTACCCCTCATCTCTCTCATTGCAGCCTCATCATTTGCAAACGGCGTCATCTCCAACCCCATGAGCATATTAGCTTCATTCTCCAGCGCCTGCCCCAAAGCTCCCAATCTCTGCAACTGCTGCTGAGAAACCTGTTCCTCCGTGTTCGCAGCAGCGGCCGCCTCTGGAGAAGCCAATAAAGGCCCAATCTGCGAGAATGCGATGAAAGCCGTCAAGACCAATTTCCTGAGCAAGGAAACAAGTTGGAAAGGCAAGAATGGCGGATGAGTTGGTATAACTCCAAACACTGGATTCACCAGCTGCGTCAACAAGCGAGGAAACTGTGTGCTGGTCAAACAATGCACTTCAAACACATCCAACGCCGCCAACGCCAAAAATCTCCAAAACGCGGCTTGCTTGATGTAGCCGAGGAAACCAAGAAAAGTCAACACGCCTGCAGTGCCGGTGTAGTAGATGGAAAGGTTGCGTAGGCCTATGGAGAGGTAATCAGGGATCGTGGTTGCTTTTTGCCAGAAGAGGGTTTCGGGGCCGAGGCGGTCGTAGGCGAAGCGCTTTGTTGGGTCGATGAGAATGTCGCGGCAGAGTTTTAGGTGGACGTAGTAGGATTCTGCGGCGCTGCGGTCGGTGTCTGAGGATACTTTGTCTGGGTGATGGAGGAGTGTNTCTTTGGTTTACTGTCAGCCTTGTTTTCTTCACATTGTCAAGTAAATATTGGAGCTGTCGTACAATCTTCTGAATCGGCTGTTGATTCCTCTGTCGTCGACTCGNAGTCCCACGCCGAGGTCTTGGTATAGGTTTCCTGCTACGCGGAGTTGGAAATCGGCTTCGTAGATTGTGTAGAGGAGGTAGGCCACAATGACTATAATGTTGATTCTCCTGCGGTGCTGTACAAAAGTCCTGGTTCCGGGTTGAGGTCTGGGGTCACCTGCGCGTATCCACACGGCATAGAAGATTGATTGGGCCCATCCTGTCACTAGCTGTTGATGTCAAGTCAGCAATCTATTCTTATGCCGATTCCACACAAACAAAAAAGTCTGACAATGTCAAAAGATAGAATCCGAATCTCGAGCACAATGAATATACTATGTTTGAACCCAATGACTCGATTTCTTCAAAGGGATACTCGTCCATATTGATGTTTCGTGGATTGGATATTGGAAGAGAAAGAATTATGAGCGAGGACTTACGTTGGGCAGGATATACCAACCAGCTAGAGAAAGCAAATTATCAGACATTTTCTAGCCTGAGTTGGTTTACGAACGAGGTTGGTACGGAGACGTGTGTGGTTCGAGGTGGAACGAACGCAACTGGTCAAACAAGGTTCTGGACAGGAGGCTTGTTCTTAACCCCGATATCTCCGCGTGGGATCCTCGACTCGCAGGGCACGGACGAGAAGCGCGCATGCATAAACTTTCATAGCTGTGAAGCCAGCGATTTTTGATCTTTCCTAATTGATCTTTCTCACAACACACAACCACAACACACACAATGTCAACAGACAAGATGACAAACACACCAAAATCAGCAAAGACAAAAAAGAGCAAGGACGAGAAATCGGCAAAGAAGCGACGACACGAAGACCAAGCCACGGCAGCAGCAACAGAAGCACCAGAGACGACACTCGAGAGCCTACCAAAGCGTCCGCGCATCGCATCGCCAGTGCCAGACGCAGCAAGCACATCGCCCTTTGTCAAGCAGACCTCATCCTTCTACCTCCCTCTGTCGCCAATCTACCATCAATTCCCCGTCGACGGCCTTTGCGCCGAACACATTTCCNCTCTGCTGCTCACCTACCACCCACCCCTACGCGGCGTCATTCTCTCCTACGACAACCCGCGCCTCTCAAACACCCCCGCCAACGCACCCTCCTCGCGCGACGGGCCCGACGCCTCTCCCACCATCCTCGCAAAGTCAATCGACGAATACGCAGTCTCGTTTGTCTGGCTAACCGTCGACTTTATCTTGCTACGCCCTTCCNCCGGCGCCGTCATCGAAGGCTTCGTCAGCCTCCAAAACGAATCGTATCTGGGTCTGGTGTGCTGGAATTTCTTCAACGCAGGTGTGGACCGCAAGCGCATTCCCGCAAACTGGCGCTGGGTACCTAACCACAATGCCAATGCCGGCACCAAGAGCGCAACCGACTGGATGCGTGGTCTGCGCAACAAGAGTGACGAAAGCAGTGGTTACTATGTTGACCAAAACGGCAAGAAGATTGAGGGCAAACTCAAGTTCACAGTCAAGGACTTTGAATCTGCGCCCAGCACAGAACGCGAAAGAGGATTTTTGAGTATCGAAGGCACGTTGTTGAGTCCGGAGGATGACAAAGCGTATGACAAGGAACTCAAGGCTGCCAGAAGGGTGCCGAAATGGAAGAAGGCGCCTGCTTTGAACGTCAACCCAGAAGGTTACATTTAGTTTTTGATCTGGCTTGAGGAGGGTCCTATTCTTTTTTTCTTTTCTCGTCGTACATAAGCGGTTTCCTTGTATCAACCATACCCACCCACTTTTCTCGAGGAAGCCATCAGGTTCTATATCCCTCCCTAGATCGCGTGTAAAGAGGGCCCGAAAATTGTTTTGGATTGAGAACTCCAAGAGCTTGTCCCTAAAGCATCGGCTTCTTCAAACGGAAGTTCCCAAAGCTTCATTTGAGGCTCAGAGAGGGCAGACACGCAGGATGTTTGTGATATGGGAAGATTTCTGTATTTGGTTCTTCTCAAGTTCGTGGGAGCTCTACTCTATCTATCTACGTCCTCCTTCTCATGAAAGCCAGTCCAGCTAGAATACTTTTCCCTTCCTTCTTCGACCATAAAATACACATATAGGAGCCAGTCCATAGTAAAACGCCACCAGCCCGCAGGCACCTCCATGCAATCGCTAATGCTAAGAATGAAAAACACAACACAACAACAATGACAAAGACAAGACATGCAAAGATGCCAAAACAGAAACGGAAACAGAAAACAGAAAAACCACAATCATGCAACAATGCCATCACCTTCGATCATCTCTTTGAGAATATCACTGCCAGGTCCCTTGAGAGCAGAGACCAGCTCGGCATGGCCAACACAAGCAGCCATTCTTCTATCATCGCCCATTGCTGCGCCAGTGAATCCAGACTTTGATCGTCTGCTGGGTGTGCGGGAAGGCGTCAGAGGCATTGAGAATGATGAAGCGCCCTTGGCTTCAACAGCAGAGATCAGTGACAATGTCTCTAGGCCACTGACTACATCTCTGAACTCGATGCTAGTGAGGGCGTGCAGCAGATTTTCTTGATTGCACAGTGTGCAGTAGGCTTCATACAACTGCTTGACAGTAGGCGCAGCATTCGCATGCTTGGAAGGTGTCATTGGGAATGTGACTACGCTGGGAGCCTCGCGTTTCTTCTTCTCGAGAGCCGATAGGGCGCATAGCACAGCCTTCTGCTGCAGATTTAGAGATGCTAGACGTTGAGATGCTCCGTTGCTAAACACAGCAGCCGTGACTTTAGCGACATGAGCGATGGTCGCTCTCGGCGCAGTCTCGAGCGTCAAATGGCTGATTGAAGGAAAGAGGGTAGTCTGGCGGGGATCCTTGAGAGCTGACCTTTGAAAGGCTGTCAATTTAACAGCAGGAGATGCAAGGTTCAGGTTCTCCTTTAGCGGCGTCTTAGAAGGGCTGGCTTGCAGACGAATGCGCGCTTGTTCAACCTTTGTCTCTGACTCGATCATGTCGACAGCTCTTCTACAGATATCGAAGGCTTTTCTGAGGTCACCAGTCTGAGAGGCAACCTTCTTGGAGCAGAACTGAATGGCTGCAGGGTGTAGGAATGGGATAAAGTTGGGATCGGCCAGAGAAGAATCCAGCCCCTTCAGTTTTGACGCGATGATATTGGCAATTTGAGGAGCGGTATACGGCATGAATGGCAGCAGATTCGGCTTGAGATTGCGTGACTTGAGGCGAGGCAGAAAACGGTCAGTCAAATCGAGGGCATTAGCAATGCCGATAAGAATGAGACTCGAAGAAGGTTCCATGGACCATTCGAAAAGGCTGTACAATAGTTTAAGGTCCAGATCGACAAGGCGGTCAATCTCGTCCAGGATGACGACGTGGTTCTTCTCGTGTTCGAAGAAGTTTGCCCGCAAGAAGTCAAAGTCCACAGCGCGTCCAGATAAGTCGTTCAAGTCCAGATCTTTCGACAAGGTGTTGGCGAGGTCTTTGGCCGTCTTGATACTCATACAGTTGACAGTCGAGATGGTCATTTTACGATCCGAGTCCGTAGCAATATCCTGACAGACCTGGCCAACGAAAGCACTCTTTCCGGTTCCTGGGGGTCCTGAGATGTACAGACATCCGCCTTCGCTGGAGTCCAGACGCTCTGATATGAATGTAGACAACTGCTCCTTCTCTTCTTCTCTTCCGACCAGCACACCGGGATCGGTACATCTTGAGAAGATTTGACGGGCTTGGTTGTAGATATTGTTGGCGGCACTTGAAGGTGTGTAAGGACTGCGGGGNGTATCCGGGCTGCTAGTAATAAGATGGCGATGTCTTGGGGTGATTGTGACCTTTGAGGCTAGGGCATCGCGATGTCGTGGTGTTTGCGGTGTGGCCAGAGGACTTGACTTGGTAACAGTGGATGATTTGGTGGTCTTGGAAACCGAGAAATGGGCACTGATCTTATTCGGTGACGATACTACGCGTTTCGAGGGTGTGGGCTTTGGTTGTGTTGCAGGGGAAGAATTTGGCTTGAAGAATGGATTGTCGTTCTCGTCGTTCCCTAGTACCAGAGTCTCGCGGCGCTTTGCCCTGGTCTGTATGCCGCTGTCTGATGCTGCTCATATTGTCAATGTCTGAGCACGCGTAGGGTATCGGTAGTTCGTACCATTCGTTGAACTCCGGGTACGTTTGCCCAGGACTGAAGCTGACATATCTGGTGATACTTGAGGAAGTGGTGACTGTGATTATGATATTATGAATTGGAGAAGGTGCAAATGATATGATCAATGTATCGATGTGCAATGGATGGGAAGGAGCGACTCGAGGAAGCGCGTAGATTGCAGACGCGCCTCGCGTAAAGTGCATTGTTTAGCGCGAAACGAGCGCACGGACTTTCTGGATGCATTCCATCGACGTGCTGCATCACGACCATCATCCAGAATCTAGACTCATCGACCAGTCGCGCGGTCATGGCTTTTGGAAGAAGCAGTCCGCCGCCTTCCCAATCCTCGGCCAAGAAGCAGCAATCCATCTCCAGCTTCTTCACTCCTAAGCAACCCGCTGCGAAGAAGGCTACCGCGCCTACGCCATCTACAACCAAGACACCATCAATAACCAACGCGCCTGACCTCACAAATTATGTCGCAGACACGTCCGTAAAAAGCAGTCCACCTAAGCCAAAACGTCTCTTTGAAGAGTACAGCGACGAAGATGAAGACTTGCCTGATCCAAAAAGGACGCGTCAGGATGTAGACAACTTGGAGAATGCGGCACCATTACCCAGCACCACACAGCCATACAGACCTGCGACTGCCAATGCGTCTGCACCTGTCTCGGACCGTACATCCAGATATGTCTTCTCAAGTTCTCAGCCTGACCAACCTCTACAAGACGTCCAAGACGATGAGACTGTCCGCAGGCAGAAAGAGCGTTTGCACCGAGCGTTCGTGAAGAAACTCGGCAGGCCTGACAGTCTCACCGACATCAGACGTCGCAATCACTTCATTGACGAAGAACAACCTGACGGTGACGAGGATCTCGATGAGGAAGAGGAGGAAGTTCAGAAGCCTGCAAAAGGTAGAAAGGGCCCTGCAGTTCGGAAGTCTGCCAGCAAGCTCACGCCCATGGAGAAACAAGTCGTCGATCTCAAANAGAAGCACATGGATACACTTCTGGTCGTGGAAGTGGGTTACAAGTTTCGTTTCTTTGGCGAAGACGCTCGCATTGCTGCAAAAGAATTGCAAATCATGTGTGTACCAGGAAAGATGAGGTTTGATGAGCACCCGTCCGAAGCACACCTTGACAAATTTGCTGGAGCAAGTTTTCCTACCCATCGTCTGCATGTCCATGTCAAGCGTCTTGTCTCTGCCGGACATAAGGTTGGTGTTGTTCGTCAACTAGAAACAGCCGCATTGAAGAAGGCTGGTGACAACCGCAACACACCTTTCGTCCGCAAACTTACAAATCTCTACACCAAGGGTACCTATATCGATGACATAGAAGGTCTAGACGGTCCTGTAGCTGCACCGGCTGGAGGCGCTCCTGCAACTGGTCATCTGCTCTGTCTGACCGAGACAAATGCCGGAGGTTCAGGCACGGACGAGAAGGTACGTCTTGGTATTGTCGCTGTTCAGCCCACGACAGGCGATATAATCTACGACGACTTCCACGATGGCTTCATGCGAAGCGAGCTCGAGACTCGCCTGCTTCACATTGCGCCTTGCGAGTTTTTGATCGTCGGCTCTGTGTCCAAAGCAACCGAGAAGTTAGTCGAACATCTATCAGGCAGCAGAACTAATGTCTTCGGAGATCGCGCACGTGTAGAGCGTACCGAGAAGTCGAAGGCGTTCGCGGCTCAAGCATACACTCATATATCTGATTTCTACGCTGGTAAGATGCAGTCGGATGAATCGTCAGAAGAGAAATCAGCGATGCTCGACAAGGTTCATCAGCTTTCTGAACTCGTCACAATGTGTCTTTCGGCCATGATCACTCATCTGACCGACTATGGACTCGAGCATGTCTTTGATCTCACCAAAAACTTCCAATCTTTCAGTGCACGGTCACATATGCTTCTGAATGGAAACACACTATCTTCGTTAGAGATCTACCAGAATCAGACAGATCACACTGAGAAGGGCAGTCTGTTCTTTATCCTGAACCGGACACGAACTCGTTTCGGTCAGCGTCTTNTACGCAAATGGGTGGGACGTCCGCTTCTCGATCAAGAACAACTCCAGAAGCGTATCGGCGCTGTCGAAGAACTCCTCGACACTGACCGTGCTATCCCCACTGACCGCATAAAGAATCTACTCGCCCACGTCAGGGGCGACTTGGAAAAGTCGTTGATCAGGATCTACTACAAGAAGTGTGCTCGTCCAGAGCTGGTGTCTGTACTTCAGACGTTGCAGAGTATCTCAAATGAGTACTCGCATGTCAAGACTNCAGAAGATTCTGGTTTCAAATCTCCATTGCTTGCTGAGGCTATCGCGTCCCTGCCGTTGATTTCCGAAGACGTCATCTCTTATCTCGAGAGAATCGACCTTCAAGCCGCAAAGGATGACGACAAATATTCCTTCTTCCGCGAGCAGTACGAGACTGAAGACATCACTGATCACAAAGTCGCGATCGCTGCTGTCGAGCATGATCTGGACGAGCATCGTCCTGAAGCCGCAAACATACTCAAGAAGACTGGCAATGTCAACTATGTAACAGTTTCTGGCATCGAATTTCTGATTGAGATTGAGAACATTCATCTCAAGAGGGTACCCGCGTCTTGGATCAAGATCAGTGGAACCAAGAAAGTTTCTCGCTTCCATACACCAGAAGTCGTCAAGTTGATTCGCGAACGTGATAGAAGCAAGGAAGCTCTTGCCAATGCATGTGACGCAGCATTTGCTGAATTGCTTTCTGAGATTGGTACCAAGTACCAGACGTTCCGCGATTGCATTCAGTCGTTGGCAACTCTGGACTGTCTGCTGTCGCTGGCCGACATTGCGAGTCAACCTGGCTACACAAAGCCTGAATTTATCACCGACATTGACGAGGTTCGCATTGAGGTCAGGGAGGGCCGTCATCCGATGGTTGAGCAAATCCTTCTTGATTCGTATGTGCCAAACGACATTCAATTGTCTTCCAAGGAGAGAGCGCTTCTGATCACTGGACCAAACATGGGCGGCAAGTCATCCTATGTCAGGTCGGTAGCCTTGATCAGTATCATGGCACAGATAGGAAGCTGGGTGCCTGCATCACAGGCAAGACTTACTCCATTGGACGCTATCTTCACACGTATGGGCGCATTCGACAATATGCTGAAGGGCGAAAGTACTTTTATGGTGGAGCTGTCTGAAACATCAGACATTCTCAAGCAAGCGACACCTCGATCTCTGATTATCCTAGACGAGTTGGGCCGCGGTACGAGCACACATGATGGTGTGGCGATTGCACAAGCCGTGTTGGACTACGTCGTACGCGAGACCAAAGCACTTACGCTGTTCATCACCCACTATCAAGCACTTTCGCGGATGGCCGAGCGATACGAAGCACGAGAACTTCGAAATGTGCATATGCGCTTCACAGAAGAAGTGGCTGGCGATGAGCACACTGACATCACTTTCCTCTACGAAGTCGGAGAAGGTGTCGCACATCGCAGTTACGGCTTGAACGTGGCGAGACTTGCGGGACTACCCAAAGATGTGATTGATGTTGCAGCGGTGAAAAGCACACAGATGGAAGAAGAAGCGAACAGGCGGAAGATGGCGCACTTGTCGCGACTGCTCGCTGCCACTCTCGAGAGCGACCAGTCATCCAACACCGAGTTACTTATGGCTGGCCTTGACATGATGTAGATGTGGTCTGGGATGAGTAAATGCCAGAACGGCGTAAGCTTTGATGATTGATATTGCTCGAACAAAATGAGCTTTTGCTTCAGTGTGGTTCGTATATTCATGGCTGCATCCTCAGAAAATGATAGACCAGACGGAATCTGTCATCCAACCATCACTACCATCGGTTCATGTCACCGATCACACATTTGTAGGCTTGTCAATAGAACGACAAATTCACATCAGTAGGTTGTACCACTATAGTGTAGACGGCGTCGAAACACTCCACATTGACATCTGAGCTAAGAACAAAATCAATTTGCACTAACGCTATTGCCCACAAATACCTGCTTTTGCACTGACATCATTTACCTGCATTCTTCTTCCACGTAGACATACCACTATAGCTGAGCCATAACAAGGCACGATTTACATTCATGGTAGAGACTCTGCCATTGAGAAATGTTCGAGATGATGGCTTTTAGAATGACATTCTCTGCTCCGAAACTGTTGTGTTCGCTTTGTGGCTGTTGATGTGATGGCTTTGGATACTGTTTTGGAGGATGCTGTTAAAAGTTGAGGTTTGTTTGAGTTCGAAGTGGGATGGTTGTGGAGAGAGTTTTGGAATGGAGTGATGGTGTTTTTGGAAAGCCAGTGTACACTTGAGCGAGGTGGCCGGCTTCTTTTGTAGCTTCGCTATGCTTGTGATGCAAACAAAGGCACAGAAAATACCGTGTTGTACAAGTGTGTGGTCCCGATCAAACAGTGTTGCAGCAGCAGAGTGGCAGAAGGAGTGTATGGCAGTCTGTCGGCTGGCTGAGTGGTGGTGTGAGCGGCTATACACAACCTTGAAAACAAAATCGATAGAGAGATGGTTGGATGGACCAAAATCACTCAGAAGCTTTGGATGATCAGCAGTAAATTCTCAACATATCTCGCGACCCAAGAATATCATGCGCTTTCAAGCAACGTATATCATCATCCTATGTTGGACCTTCCTTCTCTTTTCCTTTCTTTCCATCACTCTTTCCCCTCTCAAACAAAGCATTAAAAGGTACTCACCACCAATTATACCCCTAAATCATATCAAACACTAACCATCACTCTACACAGCTCATCTGAACACCCACGAATTTTCAAACCACCATGGCACCACTCTCCCACTTCACCCTCGCGGCCTTCGCCATCGCCTCCGCAGCAGCTGCACCTCTGCCCGCTCCACCCAGCCCCTCCATCACACTCCGACCTCGTGACGATTTCGACACGGAGGACCGACCCCATCCCTACGACGATTGGAACCCTTTCGGCAAAGAGTTTGTCAAAATGCTACCCAGCCCCAAGAATGCCCTGGAAAGAGCTTTGGAATGGGAGAAGTCATTGAGGGGTGGAAACAAGAAAAGATATGAGGACCTTGCTGGGATCTTTGGTCCCACTGGCCCAATAAAGGACAAAGATCCCCAGAACTGTGTATTTGATGAGCCAAATGGTCTGAGCTGCAATGATCCTGTCAGAGGTTTCTGTTCCTGGGACTGGCCTTCGGGTTGGGTGTGCGCAAACGACAAAAAGGAGCAGGCTCCTGAGGAAACACCTACTCCCACGGACCCTCCTACTCCTACAGACCTTCCGATGCCTACGGAACTTCCTGTGATCTATACCTGCCCTGGGGTTTGGTGTTGGTGGAATCAGGGAAAAGAGAGCAGAGAGGAGAGCGTTGCTAAAAGCGAAGGCTAGGACCGCTAGGCTCCGTTTGTTGATTCTGAGTGTACGGTGTGATGATTGACACGGCATTTGGGATTGTTCAAGATGCGAACCAAAGTATCAAAGCCATGATGGGTGAAGAAGTGAAAAGAGATGTACAGAAACGGTTTTGTTTATTGCGAATTAGGAGTCGGATTTTCGGACACTTACCTTTGGTATTGGGAGTAATTAACCTACACACACATTGACTTTCGCTTGGGACACCACTCTTGTGTGATATCTAAACTCAAGATGTACAGTGAAGCTTTTGGCAAAGCTTACAAAGTTGGTACTGTTTTGTCGCTTGACTTTTCAGAAAAATTGGGAATCTACCCCTGTAAGCAGACCGGGTGTTTCGCGCAGACCATGACTTCTGACATGAGACGACAGAAGCCAGTGCTGCTGTACCAAAGTGATGCACGACTTGTGGTGATGCCCAGGGTCATGTCGTCGAGAGGCTCCGGCGTAAATCCAGTACGAGCTCTGCAGATGCAAACAAATTTGGTATGTTTGACTAACCGGTGTTTCTGGTTTCTATGTTATTTCTTATGCCTAGCTCTTTACATTCTGAATTTCTTCTCCTCTTCCTCGCGAAGCTGTGCGGTGGCCTCACGGACCATCCACTCGCGTCTATCTTCCTTCATGGCGATAAAGACCCAGAACCAATGAAGTGTCTCCATGAACATGAAAGTGAAAACGAACGAGTTCTTGACAAGGTCGAGCGGGTTTGAGTCGCTCTTGAGAGCTCGGAGTGTCGAAGTAACGGTATCGTCACCCCTGTTGAGGTAGATGTATCCTGTACCGACAAACAGCATGAAGAGACGGAAAGGCAGGACGTTGGACCAGTATTCGAGGCATGAGCGTTCAGGAAGGCTGGCTGCGATCAAGTCGCTGACGCCGAGGAAGGCCAGGAAGATGGAGGCGAGAGCGGTAACTTCTGTGGGCTTACTGAAGGCAGAAGTTGCAGGCNNTGTGTAACTGTTAGCTACAGGTGATGGTAGCTAGAGATGAGAAGTGCTTACGATCTGCATCGACTCGCCAAAGATGACAACAATGTTCTGCTCGGCCAGGACTTGCGGCCTGTAGAGGAAGAGGTATGCCGCCGTGATGTGGATCAGCGATACACTCTTGATGAGCGTGTACGACGATATTCTGAAGCCCATTTTGATCTGTATCTTCCCAAGCTCTTGCTGGTAAGTTCGTGTCAAGGTCTCGTCCTCGAGGGGCTCCAAGATTAATGTTTCATGGATGCACCTGCCGAATTAAACCCGGCATGATGACGCCGCTTGTTCTGCCAGGGTCACTTTCCTATCGCGGCGCGTACCAATTGCTATCTATCGCTCTTGCCCACCTGCTTCCTGTTTGTAGTCATTCACTGCCTAGACATCTGAGATGGAGAAGGAACCTCTACTTGGTGGACTGCCTGTTGAGGCTAAGTCGACCAAATCGCGTTCTTTTCTGAAAATCATACGCGTGCTCGCAATTACCTTTGCTGCCTCGTTTGGTACATGCTATTATCTAACAGGCAATTGGCCTCTTGACTATCTTGTGTACTCGCCAGCCGAGAGAGTCTTGATCCGAAACCCCTTGATTGGTATGCTTCATCTCTGTTCATTCCGTGCAATAGCTTTGTAGAGTCCATCGACTGATTTGTTCCAAGATGGTCACAATGATCTCTTGATCAGGATGAGGGTTGATTACAAGAACCACATCTATGATCCAGCATTTACCGACAAGATGGAAAATGGTGGCCTGCAAGGCGAGACCGACATCNCTCGCATGAACCAAGGCAAGCTCGGGGGTGCATTCTGGAGCGCTTTTGTGCCCTGCCCAGCCAATGGGTCTGATTTCTCTGATGCTGCCTACGCTCCCTATGTCAAGACGACTCTTGAACAGATCGATCTATTCAACCGCCTTACAGAGATGTATCCGCGCTACTTCACTCCGACTAAGGACTCGGCCTCGGCTCTGCGTGCCTTTGCCGCTCACCAATTGATCTCTCCTATGGGTATCGAAGGTCTGCACCAGATTGGCAATTCCATCTCGACTCTTCGCCTTTATCACCAACTTGGAGTCCGTTACGCAACTCTGACTTGGAACTGCCATAATGCATATGCCGACGCTGCTCTCGTCACGAACTCCGACAACGAGACAGTTGTCGCACCTCCACTATGGGGTGGTGTTTCGCCTGCGGGCAAGAAGTTAATCCAGGAGATGAACAGGCTTGGTATGTTGGTCGACCTCAGCCATGTAAGCCAGACCACCATGGCCCATGTCTTAGGTCGAGGCGAAGATGGCTGGTCAGGCAGCATTGCCCCACCGATCTTCAGTCACTCTAGTGCATACTCCATCTGCCCTCATCCCCGCAATGTCCCTGACCATATACTTCCACGTGTCCAAGCCAAACGTGGCGTTGTAATGATCAACGCCAATCCAGACTTCATCAGCTGCCGCGCCTCAAATAGCTCCTCTGGTCTGCCTGAGTTCGTGCCCGAGACCTCGACTTTGCAACAGGTGGTCAAGCATATCAAGTACATTGGAGACATGATTGGCTACGATCACGTAGGAATCGGTACTGACTTTGACGGCATTGAAAGCACACCTGAAGGCTTCGAGGACGTGTCCAAATTCCCGGATCTCGTAACTGAGATGCTCAAGCAGGGCATCAGCGAGCTGGATGCTGGCAAAGTCGTGGGCAGGAATATTTTGAGAGTCTGGGCTGATGCCGATGCTGTTGCTACTTGGATGCAGAGAAAGGGTGTCTTGCCTCTTGAAGATGAAGTAAAGCATCCTTGGGAATGAGTACGAAACATAACTCGCCAATATGTATGTATATAGATGTCATGCACGCCATTTCTGATTTAGACTTGACAAGTTTTTCCTGTGTCTTCTATTCAATAGACGAAAACAAAGCCAAGGAATAAAACTAATCATGGAAGTGAGGATCGTAGTCAGAAGTTGTCCGTGATTATTAGCTCGCGTATGCGGCTGACCGGAAGGATTCCTTCTGTTGAAGACCGGTCAATCATCACGCTTATATGACTGGCGCGTATCCTTGACTTCTCACTTCATACATCAATTTCTGTATCACCTAAAATTCAAGTCATCATGTCTTTCCTGGGTCTTTCTTCACGTTCTCCTCTCGCGCTCAATATCGGAGCTGCATCCGGCGTCTTCCAGCTCGCGCTTGGACTCACTGGCGTCTTTCAACCTCGGGTGATGCTCCAAGAGGTATGGGGCTTCAAGCCCTCCACGAAACCTGGTGAAGAGCAGCTTCTCATCGAGTCCTTGATGCAACTTTATGGCGTGAGGAACATTGCACTTGGACTCATGATTCTAGCTGTCAGAACTCTCGCTGATAGTCGGACGCTGGGCTGGGTTCTCATGACCGACATCCTTGTCGCAATTGGCGACGGCTTTGTGCAGAAAAGATGCACCGGTGGAGGCGAGTGGAAGCACTGGTCCTTTGTTCCTGTGGGAGTCGGCATGGGTATGCTTCTGCTGGGCTACTTTGATTGACCGGTTTACTGTATGTGACCATTTGGTGCTTCATTGGTTGTACCGTGCTGACACGAGGCAGCAGTATGAGTCACTTTGATGCTCCTTGGCATTGCTACACGAGTGTGCTATCATCGGGGAAAAAGGATGATATATTGTTCTTGTGGTTTGATGATTGATGCTTACTGGCTGCTCGCCTTGTCGCTTCATACGACCGGAAGGATGCGGCTGTGGCATGACTACCCGAGCTTGGCCACCATAACGTCTACTACTTATATAAGCACGAGTGAACTCCTTGTTTCTTTCACTCATCTGCACCATACCATTGAACAGAAATGCCTTCATTTCCTGAGCACGATCTAGTCTACGAAGATGGCAGCAAAACGCTGCACTACCTCTCCGCCGGCCCCGACAATGGAGACCTGATGATCTTTATGCATGGCTGGCCTGGCATTGGCAAGACGTGGCATGACCAGCTCACCGAATTCTCAAAGAGAGGCTTCAAAGTCGTTGCTCCCGACATGCCAGGCTACGGTGGATCAACCGCTCGCAAAGTCGCCGAAGACTATGCTCAAGAACAAATCGTCAAAGCCATGTTGGCTCTCCTGAAGCATCTCGGATACAACCAAGCTATCTGGGTAGCACACGACTGGGGATGCGGTACTCTTTGGACTCTTGCACGTACTCACCCGGAGGTTTTCAAGGGAGCTTGTGGAATGACCGTCCCCTATGGTATTCTCGAACTCGGGTTGGAAGAAGCTCTTAAGCATGTCGATCGCAACGTCTATCCCGAAGACCAATACAAATACGGTCAGTGGAGCTATCAAGCTTATTACGAACAAAACTTCGAAAAGGCCACAAACTGGTTCGACAAGGACATTCGCGGGTTCTTGAGGATGGCCTTCACAAAGGGCAACCCTGATGCCGTTGGCAAGCCCGCACCTATGTCACGAGCTGTTGAAGATTGCGGATGGCTGGGCGGTGCTGAGAAGCCCTTGCCTGCTAGCGCGATCCCTGACGCATACGCCTGCATCGACAAAGAGACGTTCGAGGAACTCGTGGCCGCAATGGAGAAGACCGGCTTCTGGCCTGGCGACGCCTGGTACCTCAACCACAAGGCAAACCGTGCCTACAACCTGGAAAACAGCAAGAACGAGGGCCACCTCAAATTCCCGGTTTTGTTCATCGAGGCCAAATACGACACTGTTTGCGAGACTGTCGTGTCAAGTATGGCAGAGCCACAGAAGGAGCTTTGTGAGGACTTGACCTATGTGAGCATTGCTGCTGGTCACTTTGTTCCTGTCGAGAAGCATGAGGAAGTCAATCAAGCGATCGCAGAGTGGCTCGAGGCCAAGGTACGTGGATAGAAAAATCAAGTCTGCAAAGCGAGAGCTTCCGTCATTGTGTCCATACAGTAAAGACATCTCGATTTCTGTGATCAATGTAGAAGCTCTGCAATATCAAGACACGTTCATGATCTATATCGTTCGCGAAACTAAAGTGGGGACAACAGATACGCAAGCGACAACAAGGAAGAGCAAACATCTGAGCGTGAACACCGGCTATCGAGTCAGGATGAAGCTGTCTTTTTCTGCCTTATCAGAATGTTGGGAATCAAAAAAATCCTTTGGTTGCTCACACTTTTGTGGAGTTGATGTTGCCATCGGCGTGTGCTATTCGTTGAACATCGTTGAGGATAAACTCTAAATCGAGGTTCCACAGAGACTATAAGATCAGCGTCATTCCCACGCGGTTTGATCACCCAGAGGCTGTAGCCCTTCTCGAAACCAGCTAGACATGTCCTGACTCCGAAGCGCAATCCTTGGAAGACGCGCGCGCACTGCGGGCTTCCAGGAACATGTCGAGCGGAAGCCATTGATAGACGCACTACCAAATGTTAACGCGTGAAGATCTTTTCGATCATCCATGCATCCTATCCCGACCCGAGATTATCGCAACCTGGACGATGCAGCAACATGGTTGTACAGGCCCTAATGCCAGCTTTTCTCGTGCTCCCTTATAAGGCAGCGATGCCCTTGCTATTGCGTCTTCTGAATTGTTTCACCTGTCTGTCTCTCTCGTTCTTTTCGTTGTGCTTCCTATAAGCACGTTCATTCGTTTTGCAGCCATGCAATTTTTGACTCCATTCCTTTTCTTGTGCAGCAGCACTTCCGTATTCGCACAACAGTATGCTGGAGACACTATCAGCGCATATCTTCCAACTATCAACAATGCCGAAGTCGCTTTCTTCAAGATTGATGACCCAAGCGGCAAGAACGATGCACTTACTCTAATCAACTACTACTCTCACGGTACTGATGGAAATCGTATTGTGGAAAGCAAGATCCAGAGAGCTGTAATCGTGCTTCACGGTCTCTTGAGAGATCCTTGGAACTACGAGAACGATGTATGTTGCTCGGCGCTTACTGATCGTCCTAGACTGACAAGATCGATAGNNATGCTCAACGCTCTCGCAATGGTTCAAGATACCAACATCAACCGTGACTCGGTCGCTGTTATGACTCCTTACTTCCCCAATGGTAACGACAAGAACTCCAGTTACCCTTGGACGGATGGTCAGAAAGCGGGCCGTGGATCCACTTCGAATGCATTGGTCTGGTCTGGTTCGCAATGGTCTGCTGGCGCCAACAATCAATATCCTCACAACAGCCGAAACACATCAAGCTACTACATCCTTGATGAACTGGTCCGTTATTTCGACGACAAGACGCTCTTCCCCAACATGAAGCAGATTGTCCTTGCTGGACACTCTTTGGGTGGTCAAATGTTGCAGCGCTATGCCGCTATCGGTGACAAGCTTGAGACCGAGTCGCCTGTTGTTTTGTGGGTTGCCAACGGAGATTCTTGGGCATGGCTCAGCGACTACCGCCCTTTGAACATTCCTGACTGCCCCACCTACAACGATTACCGCGAAGGCTTCGCTCAATTCGTCGAGTATGGCATGACTTACGGCGCCAACTTGGTCGCACAGGGTCTTGACGCTATCAAGGCAAACTTTGACAGCAAGCAGATTGCCTGGGCTCGCGCTCTGCAAGATTTTGGTGACCACTCTTCGAGCTGTGCACCCGAGACTACTGGTCAGGACAGAAACGAACGTTTCTTCTTCTTCATGAAGTGGTTCCAGCCTAGCTGTCCCGACCCTTCTGGCACCAACTGCGATACTGTGGATTTGGTTGATGCCCCTCATGACAACGGCCAGATGTTCCACTCTGCGGCAGGTCTTGCCCGTCTCTTCACGGACAACTTCTACGGCAACAAGAGCCGTGCTTACGACTTCGGCTACCCTCGCAAGCAGCAGGGCGATGATCCTTTCCCAGACCCTAGCCTTGTCAACACTCCTGGAGCAACCAACTACAACACGTATGCCGGTGGTCTGACTTACCAGGGCTGCTGGACCGACCAGTCCCCTACCACAGCACAGGCTCTCTCCACTCTTCTGTACGACGATGCAAGCAACACAATCGAGACATGCACATCTGGTTGTGTGAATGCTGGCTACAAGGTCGCTGGAATGTCGGATGCAACTAAGTGCTGGTGTGGTAACGAGGTGAGCTCAGCATCTGCTATTCTTACCGTCGACATGCAGTGCAAGTCTCCATGCCCCGGAAACACTGCTGAGATATGTGGTGGCCTTCGCCGCCTTTCTCTCTTTTCCGCCGGATATCCCTCTTTTGTATAATCGTAATAGGCACGGATCTGTGATGGATGTTCAATAGAAAGGATTTAATGTATAGCAAATCGTCTATCTAGAACGACATAAACTTCGATGATTTTGTGAATACAGCTTGCCGTCAGATATACTACTTTGCAGTCCAGGGAGCTTGTCACGAATGATGGACTTCGAACGGCATGCACGAAGTATAATAAAACCCGAAATTGAGGAGGCTTGTTGAGTCGTAGCTGCCTTTTGAGAGCATATCGATCTACGAATGTTGAGATCCTTGTTCGACACTTCCTCAGACATCAGCCAAGTTCCTTCCGCATCCAAAGCAACGCTGATCAAGAACAAAACTTGATCTCTCAAGATGGTTTCCACCATCAGCGCATCATAACCATCTCAGTATTCATACCTCGCTGTCCACTCCAGCATGGCCCCCTTCACATTCCCATCATTTCTTCTCGAAAAGCGCCATGGGGGCGACGTGGGATCCCCTGAAGCTTACGGCAAGAAGATGGATATATCAACTGTGGTTGCTCTAGCCATTGGAATCCTAGCCCTCCTTGCAACAATCTTTCAGACCTTGCAACAGTACATCGGTACAGCAGACGGCTACAGACGTTGCGGTCCTGGCGTCATGGGCCCTTGGGGTCGCAAGACTCGACTACGCTTCCGATGGAGGGAGTTCAGATTCGAAGTCCTCTACTGTGTCCCTTTTATCGAATATGGCCTGCCTGTCAAAGGCCAAGACGGTACTCGAACAATTCGACCCTTCTGCGGCCAGCCAGAGCTCACCACCTTCAACCCCAATCCGCCAGAAAAGCAAAGAGACTGGAACGCCGAGCTAGCAGGATGGGTCCATCTGATGCACAACCTGGGTCTACACGATCAATCTGTCAGGCAGCGCATTGCTCCCGTCAGTCCTCGTGATGCAGGACGCATGGCCTATATTGACTGGATCCGGTGTGCATACGTAGAACAGGCCTATCGCAGTTGGGACTTCGTGCCAGACGACGTCCTACGCCCACTGGCCATCACGACACTTTCAGGTCTGGCCGCTACCACTCGCCGCTTAGGTTTGAGCTGGAAGCAGTTTGAGCCGAACATGGGTACCTTGCAAGCTGAAGGCAACCACCAGGTCATCACTTCAACCGTGATTCGAGGCATGGGGGTCATCATTCACTACCTTCGAGACCCAGATCTGGACTCGGACGCTCTCGGCCAGAAACATCTCTACAGCACCTCACCCTTGAGTCAAGCTGATGAGTTACTGTTTGGGAGGATTGGACATACCGACCTGTTCAACCTTCATCGCGAGCTGCCTCATCTAATACTGCACATCGGCACACTGGCTGATGTCACATCCACATTGCCAGCTCTCTTCTCTGATACGCCAGCTGCCGACAATATCATCGCCACGCTTCGTGCCCGAAGTGAATCGGGAGACAAGGACTGGATGGAGCCTGTCAATGATATTGTCGCGTTCCTGACTCCCTTTCTCGGTGTTTCTTCCAATACTCGACCTGTCATTCCATGGCCCAATACTTCAGCTCGTGGCATGACGCACACAGTCTTCAGACCCTTTCGAGACGAGCTCACTGCACTCCTGCTCCGTAGAGGGAGCACTGTTTCGTCAGAGTCCCATAGGCTGCTTAGTCTGTACACAAGCTTAGAAGCTCGTTTCAAACATCCACCAGCTCAGCGAGACAGAAGTTTCAGTTGGGAGATACCCAAGCTTACCTTCAAAGGCGAGTTGGCGACATCCGAGGCATTTGACGCGAGGGCAATCTGGGATGTCATGAGCGAGTGCGAGTCGATACTGCATGCGAATCCGATCATCCGCGCCGGCAGATACCATGCTCTTGTCGTGCAACATTTGACATTCTCAACACGCATCGAAGCTTTGGCTACAGATGGCGACAAGATGAAGCGTATGTTCGCTGCCCTTCCGGAAATGACACGTGCTTTGAGCTCGGAATGGGACGTCCAAGGCCAGATTCTGGGAGCACTCTCCGGAGCTTCAGGCGAAGAGCTGGGTGAAAAAACGGAATGGGTGGTGCGACCGAGCGAGATGCAGGTCGAGGACGCTTGGTTGGCGATGATGCTGAGAGCCATGTGTTGGCAGAGGCTTCATGTGGTGCAGCCGGGCATGCCTTTGCCAATTGAGTATGCGAGAAGTATGCTACCTGTGTTTATAACCTAAGAGTTTGGATCGGATCGGCTTGCCAGCTGGCCCCTTTAGAGTGAGGCTATTATTATCATCCATAGACTGAGCCTTTTGATTGGAGTGTATCATTTGCGATCTTACTCCTCGCTATTCCCCTGACAGTCTCATTTGTACATGTGACAACTATTGCAGTGGAAATATTTTGTACATTCATTGTCCTTCCTACATCTTTTTCTTCTTTCTAGGGCATCCTTTTCCCCCAAACCATCTGATAAGAAACGCCGTATATTTGTACAAGATATGGGGAGCAGCCAAGCGTGAAGAGGTAGAACCGATGTAGTCTTTCTAGTTGATCTGCTTGCCGTAGAAGGGGATACCGAGAGCGCTGAGCAGCAGTCTGCCATCTCTGTCGTTTGTGGCGGTGGTGTGGACGGTGACGTGGAAGCCAGGGATCATCTTGGGAGGGTACCTTTATTCTCTTTGTCAGTCTCTGTCGCATTGTCTCCTTTCCGCCAGAACAAAAACTTACATGTCATAGTTGACTTCAACCTCAGGGAACAGCGCCGTCTCCTCTGGCGTAAATCCAAACGTCAAGTTACCACTCGAGTCTCCAGAACTGCCCTTTACTCCCTTCCACTCCTTGATCTTGGGCATGACGATATCGATGACTTTGGCGAGGAAGTGCTGCATGTCTTCGCCTCTGAGCTCTGCGGTCACGGACACGTATTGGCCTGCCCTAAGCCCGAATCCAGCAACGTTTTTGCGCGTCTTGTGGGTTGTAACGCGTACATTGGAGATTGCTTGCATAACCATACCCGCAACGTGCAAGTGTGCGGAATCGTCAAGGGCGCCTTTGACCATGGTGTGCACGGTGATCTTCTCCAGCTTGGGCACATTGCGGAAAGTGATTGGTTTGCGGAGTAAGCGCAAGACATCACTACCTCTGGGTCCTCTCAGAGGACGATTCTTGTAGTAAGGGGAAGCACCCTCCCAAGGCCTGAGACGCGGCGATTTGGCAGGGGCCTTGTAGCCAGGCGGGAAATGCGTATATGCCAAAGTCATGAGATCGCTCTCGAACGTGCTGCTATACGTCTGCTCCAATCTCGGCACGGAAAANGGTCCAGGCACAAACAATCTCGACGCAGGATCAGAGTTTGGCGGCGGCTGGTGAGGGTGCAAAGGACCGCGGTAGTACTTGGGCGGACGGAACTTGTATCTGCTGGCAGGCAATTGGCGGTTTCTCTTGCTGGCGCGACCGACGGGGTCGTAGGTAGTGGCCAGGTTATCGATATCGGCGTCGAGGGTGCGCAGCGAAGAGCCGCCTTCGAGTTCTGTGATGGTGTCGCCGATGTCTGTGGATGCGTGGCGGCGGCATTGGGATAAGACTGGGTTCGCCCGTGTGGCCAGCGGCCTCCAGAGGCGCTCCAGCGAATGTGTTAGCGACATGGTGTCGTCGGTGTGGTGTGGGCAAGCAAGCCTGTTTGTGCTGCTGCTCGCGCGACGGCAAGGTCGATGTTTCGCTTCGCCGAAGAAAGTTGTTGAGCACGGGCCATGGCAACTTTTGACCAGGGTCACATTTTGGGACTTGGTAAAGAGATCTTGCTGAAGCACCAAAAACGCCATGCTTTCATAAGTAGGTATCCAGAACAATCAAAAATAGTATGTGCAATCATCATGCAATCTCGTCTCTATACGCTTTTTCCACCTCATCATCGTCCTACGGCCTCTTCCTCATCAGGCACCTCTTCTAACGTGCCGCTCCTCGACCTCCTGCCCCCGTGAAACATGTCACCCAATGTAGCACTCAGACTCCTGTCTCTCTTGTTCGAAGAGCCCGGTCTACTCCGCACCCTCTGTAATGGAGCACTAGTGCCTTCACTCAATGCTTCTATGGCTTCTGTGCGAGAGCCCCTGCCAGAGGTCCTGCGGCGACCGCCGAGGGATGGCGGTGTATCTACAATGCCTCTGCGCAGACTATCCGCTACGATGGCGGATAGCGAGGACGAAAGCGGGTTTGTCAGAGGACCAGGCAGGATCTGGGTCAACGTGTTTAGACGGCCTGGCGTGGCTTCGCTAGGGTCAATTTGACGGTAGCGTTGCTGTGATGACGACAAGGTGTTTGGGCTGTCTTGAATCGAGGGACTACTAATGCCTCGGTTGGGCGTTGTTGGCCGTCGCGGACTCAGCTTTTGAGAGGACATGGTGGGCAGCACAGGTGCAGAGGTTGTGGCGTGCATGGGTGGTGGGTTTTGNAGTCGTTGCTCGGCAGCTATGCTGGCGTCCGAGCGTGGGTGAATGGAGGAGATATTGGCGGGCGCGGGCAATGTCCAAGGGTTGTCATTCAGTGGAGAAGAAGGCTCGAAGCTGAAGTGTTGGGTCGGAGTATCGTCAGAGGTGATGACGAAGGAAGGGGCTTCTGACCGAGATGACTTTGGTCGCAGAGAGGCACGACGTGCGTCGCTGTCCAGACGTTCACGAATCTCTGGTTGTTGGTGTTCTTCGTCGATCAGATCAATTGCTTCTCCATCTTCCGAGCCCTCCTCCTCGTCTTGCTCCCTGCTCTTTCCACGTCCTGAAGTGATCAGCCAGACTCCTGAAAAGGTCAAGGCACATCCTGCAAAGAATTTGATAGCGTCGTCGGTCGTCGTTCGTTCGAAGTCGCGGTACAAAATGGCACTGCCGATAATGACGGACAGTGTGAAAAGCACAAATTGTACTGGAATGACCTGGGTCGAGTCAAAGTGCTGCAGAGCACGGTTGAGGTACTTGATTTGCAGGACGGCGGTCGACACCAGAACTGCAACCAGGAGGTATGTGATGGGAAAGGTAACGACATGCCAGATGGTGTTGGAGAGCAACGATGCAACACCTTTGGTCGAGAGGGCTGTGTAACCACCTGCCAACGAGCATTAGACCCTGCACCTTGCAAAAGAAAGCAGTATACACTTACCAAACAAGCCAACAAGACCGAGGTCAATAAGAACAGACTTGTGACCATACCTCGAGCTCACCGACATCAGAGCCAGCATCAAAAAGACGGTTATGCCAAAGTACGTCTTGAACTCCCAAGTCGAGATCAGTTCCCAGATCTTGTCGGGGCCCAGCTTTGGGTTGTTGTCGCTGGCGCTAAGGACGACTGTAACACAACCACCCACAGCCACTATGACACCAAATCCATCTCTTATCCTGAATTGCTCGTGTAGCAGTAGAGGCGCGATCAAGCAGTTCGATACCAAAGCCACGACACCGAGAGGAGACACGACCGAAGCAGGTGCGAAGCCGTAGGCGAGGAAGTTTCCAGCCTCGCCGACTGTCATGAGAGCGATTCCAAGCCACCAGATAGGTGACTTGAGGTACGACTTTGGTCCTGTGGCTTCTGANCTTTTGTTCGGGCGAATGGTGGACTCGGAAGAGGTCGAGGCAGACGAAGGAAGCAGCGGATCCGATTCAGAAGGTGCATTGAGATTCTGAGCTTCCCTTTCCTCAGCTATACGCTCCTGCTGAGAGTCACGATTCCGGCTACGTCTGTCCCTTTTCCTCTCTTGCTCATCTTGGTGGTATTGGCGATTGAGGCGGATATGGGCATATCGCTGCGTGTTGAGGGCGAACGAGATGAGGATATTGCCAATGATTGCGGTGGTTATGCCTATGATGGACGACCATCCGCCGTTGACCTTGTCCAGGTTTCCCAGATGCAGAAAGTCGAGCAACATGACGGCGTCAAAGGTCCGGAGGTCCCGAAACCTGTACAGTTCTTTTAGAGGGTCGTTGTATGTTTATCGGTCGTCTCTAGCCATTGCAGTATTATCCAAACGACTGTCTCTTCAGGTAAGAGAGCACGCAACCAAGGATCGCGACGAGAATGTCACCGCCGGGACCATCTTCACATGCTGCACGATGATGAGAAGGCACAAACTCAGTCTGGCGTTCGGCGAATCATCTGCCGAATCTCCGCTCGTGTCCAACCAAATCTCCGTCCCTTCCGCATACCAAGCACTTCCCTCGACTTGCTACTACTCATGTGCAACTCCTGTTCAGCTACTCACAGTATGAGGATCACCAAGTGCTATTGGAAAAAGACTTCGGGAAACATTCAATCCTGTGATCTATCAAAGTGGCCAACCGATTTCCTGTTGTTACAACCTTCCCAAATCTCCCATCCTGAATCTCAAACAAAAAAGCCGCCATGATTACTAAAAAGTGGGTATACCTGGACCTGCCAGAAAGAAGTTGACAAAAGTGTCCGTCGCTATGCAACATCAAAAACAATGAAGACCTCAAACACCTTAGAGGATGAAGTAGGCCATGGCAGCTCCCACAACAGAGACAAGGCTAGTAGCGACAGTGTTCGACACACCGGCGCCAGTGCTCTGCTGTGCGGGCTGGCTTGAAGTAGAAGAAGCAGAAGAGCTGTGAGACGAGCCCTTCGATGCGGATGCAGATGCTGATCCAGCGGCCGACGTGGCGCTGGCGCTGATGCTGCTGATGACAGAGCTAAGAGTCGAGGCAGTCGAAGTAGAGTTGGAGCTGGTAACAACAGCGGCGCTGCCCTGGGCCTGAGCTCTGATGACGCTGATGGATGTGGTAGGAGCGACGGTGTTCATGCTGTTGGAGATGACTGCAGTAGACTTGAGACTGACTTTGCTTGCGGTCTTGGAGGCAGAGCCGCTGCTGCCAGAGGCTGAAGACGATCCAGAAGAGCCAGAGGAAGAACCGCCGACCAACTTGATGCTCTCGTAGCTACCAGTCTTGTCGGTCCACTGGTACTCCGCGGCCGGGTTGTAGTTGGTGATGCTGACAGACTTGACGTACATGGTGAAAGGAGCCTTGGAGAAGTCGGTCTCACCACCAGCCCACTCGATCGTGCCCTTGGCGTTGGTGGCCGGGTCGCCAGCGATCCAGTTGCCCAACTTCAGGCGCATAGGGGTCTGGGGAAANTTCTGACCGCCAACGGCATCGGCGTACATGAGTGTGCGAACGACCACACCATCGATGAGCCAGTCAATCTTGTCCTTGGTCCAGTCGAAGCTGTAGGTGTGCATGATTGTCTGAGGTGATGTGACACTCTGGTAGGTACCACGATCATACGAGGTGGTGTTGCCCTTGCCAAAGTAGTTGGTCTGAGCCTGGGTACCGTCGCCGCCGAGCCATTCCCAATCAATCTCGTCCAGATCCTCGGACTGGAGAACCATACTGCTGACAATGCCAACACCAGGAGCTGCTTGCATCATAACATCGACACGTCCGAAGAAGATGTAGAAGTCAGATGAGATGGTTGGTGCTTGGTTCTTGCCATTGATGACGAACTGGGCACCCTTGGAACCATCGTAGGTGAGCGAAGTGCCGGTGGCAGTACTCCAACTTGCAAGAGCTGACTTGCCCTGGGTAAAGTCGCAGGCAAAGCTAGCAGAGTTGAGTCCAGTATCGTTAGGGCATGTCTTGTCCATAGGGTTGCAGGTGGTGTAAGTCTGCGCAAAGGCAAGGGGAATGACAGCCAGGCCGGCCAGGGCAGAGTTTCTGGCGAAGTGCATGTTGTCGATGGTGTTGACGGAACGTCTCTCGATGGGAAAGAGAGGGAGAGTCGTGTTCAGTCTTGGCCTTTTAGGGTCGAGGATGTGAATGTGATTGTTTGTGAGTGGGAGGAATGTGGGATGAAATTGTGCACAGACAAACAGAATCGATATGTGAGGTGAGGAATGCTGTAACAAGGGGGAACGGCGTTCTATTATGTACTCGACCTCCAGCCCAGCGCCAAAGGCCATTGACAAGGTGAACTATTCGTATTATAGCGAAGCACAGATTCTGATACTTACTAGCGTGCCTGCGCCACCTGCTGCCACCGTTTCGTCCGTTCACACTGGCTGGCAGGTTGGTCGTCACCGAGGAAGATCTGGAGAGACCTACATGGAGCACATCCTCTGCTTCAGCCATTGCTATCGTCTGTCTCATTCTGTCCTCTGATGATACTCGGCTGTCACAGGACTCTAGAACAAGTCAGGAACAGGGGCTTGCAGCAGAGCGCTTGGGGTTTCACAGCGTCAGGGTAAAAAGAGGTGGTTGGGTGCTGCAAGCGGTGACAGGGTCCCCAGCCCTGCCGTCACCCGGCAAACCGAACCTTAATCTACCGGCCAGCCATCCGCAATCGATGTTCGTCGTTGCCCACAAGGCAACCGCGCAATCGACATGACGACGCGCTGATAGTCCACAAGAACTGCCAGTAGTGTTTCTCTCTCTCCTCGTGTCTCCCCTGCTTCTGTCTCGAGATTCTTGTTTCTCAGCAGTTTCTTGTCTCTTCCTTAGGGTTGACCTAGAGATGCGCCCTCAACCCGTCCGGCTGCTCGCATCCAGAGCCGGAGCCTCAGCCAAGACGGCAAGCTTTTTTCTATTTTCAGCTCCACGCTGACGACTCTGTCGACTCTTCACGATTTTTACGAACAACCTATCTTGGTCTCTTTTGCCTTCGATTGCCCAGCTATTTTTGACCTCTCCGTTGTGGCAAACGGTCTTCTTACTACGTCAAGCATTATCGTATACCATTCTCTGCAATCAGCTCTTACAAGCGGCCAAGACAAGCAACCGCCCATGCCTAGCGCCGAGGTGTTCGGCTTCATTTTCTCGCCCTCATCCTAAGGCAGCGCCGACGCTTGCTGAGATGAGCTCTCTTCTTTGAGAAATGGCAAATCATACAGAGATGAGAATCATCTGATCCTGACTCAAACCAGAGTGTCCCATACGGTATACGGTGTCACTGTGAAGAGTTCCATTCTACGACTCGAAGCTGCTTGTCACGCGTCGGCGACAACACAGACGACGCGCAACTCCTGAGCTTCGAGAAACCATATCGCCCCGAGAAACCTTGTATACGTATTCTACCCCTATACAGTAACTGTAGGTTCACCAAGGAGACACCTCTGCTCCAGGCAGCAATCGATCTCGCAAAATATCCCTCAAACATTTATCTCTCTACTGACCCCTGGCTGATATGCCATAACCACTTGGCGCGTTGTGTTCTTGGTCTTGGAGACACGCCAATCTCCACTTCAATTCAAAGGATCACTTCATATTCTTCTGGTCCATGGTTGATCCTCAAGGCTAAGGCCCTCAGATGGGTGAAATACCAAACACGTGTCTTCTCTCACGACAATGTATATAGAACAAAGTAAGTTACAAAAACGCACAATTGCTTGCGAACTTGAAGTGTAGCCATAGAGATAGGCTGAGGTACTGTTATCTCTATGGATGCCACTCTCTTCTGGAAAGTGTTATGCAATTTTATGGCTACAGTGTGACCGTCCCCACCACACGGGGAGGCCGTCGCTTGTGTGTCAAAACCAGTAATTCATCCTCCTTCCACACTGGTGGAGATAGAGATGACGTTGAACAGACCATCACAGATTGACCTTGCTATTCCCACACCCTCATCTTCTTAATCTCCGGCACAAAAATNTCATCAACAGTACATCCATCTTGGTCTCCTCTCCTCTCACAGCGCTCCCAATGAAAGCCTTCAGGATATTCGCCCGCAAGATCCGTATCGATGGCACCATCGCGATCTTCCAAATGATCATACCAAATTTCGCTATCCCAATCGACAAAAAGTTCGCCTGGTGGCTTGGATCAGCACTTTCTTTGCTCGTATACTGGAATAGATGTGAAAGGAGTTGCACTTGAATGGTATCGACAACTATCCTTTTGNTTTGCAGTGACGTCGAATCCTTCTTTGCAGTGCTTGCACATGGCGTAGCGGTTTCGTTTGGCGCCGGTGGGTGTCTGGGCTTGAAGGTCTGGCGTGGCTAGAAGTTCTTGTTCGACGAGAGCGCGTGCTTCTGACGATGTATCGCATACTCTTACCATCAAGCTCTGGAGTCGCGATAATGTGGTGCGGTCGATGGCATGTTTCAGTTGTGCTGAAGGCATGTTGGGTGATAGTTAGTGTGAGGCGAAGAGGGACTGCGATCAACTTGATTGAGAGATAGAGGTGCGGAGGTGCCGCTATGGGGGCCTGATTGCTGGGCCTGATTCCTCCGTAGAGAGGTAGTCGGCTCTCTTTGGCTACCTGAATGATTTGGAAACAACTGTGTCTGGCATCAAGTGCGCACCGCTTGATCTATCACATGCCTACCCTCCCATGACCATCACAGACCTCAGAAGAGCCCCCAAGAAGTACAAAGACATCCCACAAACTTGAAAGCTGACGACCCAACCAAACCAATCACTTCCCACCATCTCTACCACGATAGAAACCCTCCATCTCAGCCCTTTGCTCCCTCCAGATGCCCTTGAGCACTTTGTCATGACTCGGATCAGTATCCCAATACTTCGCATGGAAACTCTTCGCTCCACCCCTCCAATCCTTTTCCGTCGGCCAATTGACATTCCACCCATGCCACAGCGGTTTCCAAGGCATATTGCCTTCGCGTCTATGCGCGTAGTTGATCAGACTCTGCTCTTGCATACCCATATCGAATCTGCCAGGTACCGCCAATACAGAAAGATAGTACTTGAACAACTGCACTGAAGGCGAAAACACCGTAAATCCAAAGTTCATGTAGTTGCCATCGGTAGGGGGCGGGTAAGGGTGATCGTAGCCCCAGTAGTCGGTATGCGCTGCCATTATATAGGTCCTAGGCATTGTTGCTTCGTCTTCATGCAAGTTGACCGTGTCTTGTGCTGTATGCTGCGTGATCGTAGCTTCATCATAGAAAATGCCATCCAAGCGGTCCGTAACCAAATGATCAGAATCAATGTAACAAATCTTCGAATACTGGACAAGTTCAAAGAGTCGCAGTTTGGTCATCATGTCTTTCCAGCGTGGGTCNCCTGGAATTGCCCATCCGGGAGAGATGCGAGAAACTTCTATCACTATGGCGCCGTCTTTTTCCAATCGAGCGCGTTTGCGTGGGTGTGTTTCGTCCGTGACGACCACCACGAAGGGGATGGATGCGTTCGTGCCTGCGGTGGGCGAATGCATCAATTGGTAGCCCAGTACGCGTGTGGAAACATAGTAGCCATCATCGTTATCGTCTTCTGGTTTGTTGGGGTCGATGCCGCCAGTGAAGGCGCCGAGGAAGGTTACGAAAGCCACATTTGGAAGATTCTTCTTGCGCCCGTGAACGGAGGGGTGATTTCGTTGGCGGGCGTAGGCTGTTGATGGGTTGGAGCGGAGGGACAAGGTCAAAAAGCAGGAGGCCAGGAAGAGGAGGGCGAAGAGACCGAGTACTTTTGGCGATGAGGCGCTTATCTTCGACATCGCTTGAGCATTTGTTGACCACAACGACAAAGTAAGACTGACGAGGAGAGAAATAGAAAGTAAGGTTGGCTTTGGGGAGGGGTCGCTGAACCGCGAAGTGTGGCCATTCGTTGAAGCAAGGGTTGATCTTGCGTCTCGGCGAAGCTACCCTTCTCCCTTTGAGAGCGTTGTGCGGAGGAAGATTTCCAGGAAGGAAGATATTGAGCAATCTGATAAATCGTAAGACGTAAATTGAAGAAATACTGTACAACGCTAGTCACAATCCTTTGAGCGCCCATGCAGGTATACTTGAAGACGATGCTTCACCCAAAACATTCAATCCCCTTAAACGCCGGAGAAGTCCCTTCCCAATGCTGTTGTTACATAGAGTGTAGGTGGGTAGTGGTGATTAAACGAGTTGGCCAGCGAGTCCAATGAACAGAGCTTGTGCCGCTAATTGTATGGTCCAGAGGCCAACCTTTTTCAGTCGTCGAGTGCGGGCTCCGTCGTCAACAATATCTCGGGCGAAGGCTTCGTATGTCNNTGTAGAATGTTAGGATCAGTCGGATACAGGACTCAAGAACCTGCTTACCTCTTTCGATAGATCGTCTAGTAGCCCGCTGTCGAACACCGTCCAGCTTCCGTCAAACTCACTGACTCGCTTTACCACGCGACAGTTGATAGGAATGAATGTTCGCTTCGAGTTGATGTATGCCACAATGGGACGGATAAGCGCGTTGTTGACATATGACAAATCCCTCGTGAAGATAGGGACAGCAGCTCGGACATCGTTCAAGTGTACGCGAAGATCCATGACGATGAATCTTTTATCCTCCTCATTCTCGTCTGGAACTTCCTGCTCGTCGTGATGATCACTGGTATCGTGTTGATGGGTGGTGTGGAGATAGTTGTGCGCGACGGTTGCCTCCATACGGTCATAGAAATCAGACATGACCTTTGCGATTGAGCCATCTTGGTCCGCCGGGAACATGATATCGGCAACAATGTCAACGTTTCCCTCATGGATCCATGAGAAAGGGCCCTCGACACCTCTGTTCAGATGATCAATATTCAGACCATCGATACGGAGACGACTGTGCTTCTTCCAAGCAGAATGATCGCCATCTTCCTCGTTGATGCTCAGACCAGTGTGACTATGTGTTTGACGGGGATGAATGGTGAATAGAGAGTCGTCGAAGGAGCCGGAAATCATGTTGGCAGACATCAAGTCATAGAACAGCCACTGTTTGCGGAAGCGAGGAAGATCGCATGAGAAGATGGACACTGAGAATGGACGGAAGTCGTTTGGCTGGTAGACAGTAAGAAGAACATCCGACACCTTGAAAGAGTCGATTTCAAAGTCTCCGGTTGTGTGTTCATGTCGGTAGGATTTGGGATCGATTGTTGGGTCGCCGGGCAATATTGAGGTACGATCAACTACTCCTCGTACGCCCTTGATCTCGACATCCCTCAGCAATCCCTTGCCATTGAACCACTTGGTAAAGGATAGAGTAACGTTGACGGTATCTATCGAGACCTCGTACTGGGTATAGTTGGTATCCTCATCTTGCTGTTCCTTGCGCTCGGGCTTGCCTGCAGAAGCAGCCGCTGCGGCGGCGGCAGCGGCACTTGCGGAAGAGCCTTTCGTGACGTTTGAACTTCCCTGACCTGGACGTCTAGACACAAAGACATTCTTGAAAGAGATGACACCATCGTTCCAGCGCGGCACAATAGCAGACTCGAAGACGACCTTGACGCCAGAGGACTGAGTGAGGTAGTTTCCGACCCAGCCAGCAAGAGTCTCCTGAGCAAAGACGGTGTTCATGAAGAAGATGGCGAGCGAGACAAAGGTGGTGGTGCCGAGTACGATCCAGAGGATGTGGCCGAAGACGATCCACGACACGAAGGCGCTAATGTCATCGGTGTTGAATGGACGGGCACTTCGGATAGAGAACCACTTGAAGCGAATGCCGAGTCTCTGCCAGAAACTCGTGGCTGCAGCTAAGAGCTCATCTTTTGTTGGGCGGTGCAAGTGCGGCAAGCGGTCCATGAGATGGTAGTGATGCTGTGTCTGATTCGAAGGGCGGGCATCTTCGGGTTTTGCAGGCGAAGGCTGTTCGTGGATCTTGTCTTGGTCACCCTTGCTCTTCTCGGGATCAGGGTGTACGTTGTCGCTTTTCGATCTATAGGTGGATGTGTGGAACGAGTCCTCTAGGTGTCGATGCCGTAGGGTCGAGGGAAAGTGATTGTTACGTGACGTGTGTGAATGTCGCTTGAGGGCCTGCGCGCACTCTCGAGCAATGTTGCGCGGTGCTGCTGCATGTCGAAGCGAAGGAATAGTATGACTGAGGCCGATCTGATGTCTCGTCTCGAGCGACGTGCTATAACATCGCGTTAACGGAAGAGCAGAGGCTCCAGCAACGCGCCATAGCGGGCTCGCGCTGAGAGTCGTCGCCGACGCGGCGCCCGACCGTGCTGTAAAGATGGCAGCAAAGGCATTGCGAGCTACATAGTGACCCATCGTCTAGTCTCTACCGACTCAGCATTGTTGAAAGTGCCTCGACTGATCTCGAGAGCAACGGCACATCCGCTCGTCAAAAATCGTCATAGAAAATCTGCCTTGGCACTCATGCATGTGAAAGTGCACGGTCGGTATCTTTGACCATTGTTTCTCTCGAGCAGTCAATTGTGTAGCACACATGAATTTGAAATAGTCTTATGTCTGTCTGAGGTCAGGTAGTCAGCGTTTATGGCTACTTAATGAAAGTAGTTTACCACTTCCAGACATTGTAGCGGCGGTCGAGAGACGGGAACGGTTCGTGGTGGTTGTTGCCCTACAAATATAGAAATGCAGCGCACTATCGTAAATCATGGTTCGCACATTCTGAAGCTGCAGAAAGACTGTCAGTAGACAGACCTAGCCTTTAGCTTCATCTCAGTACCTTGTATTTGTATTGAAGTGTGCGTATTGATAGGTAGCTGCCGATTAGATATGTAGACAGGGTGAGACTGACAGCAGCCTCATCGGCTTACTAAGCTCATAAGCACAGGCCAGCTCCAGTTTCTCACCTAAATCTCTTCTGCGTCTCTCGACTCTTTCCTTTCTCCTTCATGAACAACGCAAAGCGCGAAAAGCGCATAACACTGACGTTAAAAGCATTTTCGATTTGAGACGCCTCTTCGTGATGGCTCCATGAAAACGAAAACCGTCTGTTCAGTGGAGAATAGAGTAGTATAGGGTTATGGGTGACGTTCTCTCCTGCCTTCGGGCCCATGGAGGGGAGGTCAATGACCTTTCGCACATCCTTTTAGGAATTCATGTCTTTTAGATCTTGGAGTCTCTCGTGCCTTGCACGCAGGACAGACTCGTTTGCTGAGAGTTCTGAAAATCATCTTTCGGGCCATGATAATCACGCAGCCTCGCTCATGCTCAGTCCCAGCCTGTGAGCAGTCACCATGGACCATAAACCTGTACATGATGTCTATCGCAAGTCGGCCAGAGCTCGACGATGATCGCCGAAGCATGTTCACGAAAGTGGTAAAAACTTCTCCGGACGTTCATCAGCATCGTGAACAGTTCAAGATGGCTTTTCGCTCTCGGAACGTGATCAGCATTGATATATGGTTGCAGTCGGACCAACCGCACCTCTAATGTGAAGCCGCGGCCGCGCTTTTGCACGTACTAGTATCATCGAAACCCACGAAGATGAGAGAAATCACTGCTCATCAGTGGGTGAGTACATACCTAACCCCTGTAGACTTTTCCGCGAGGTTTTGACCCAAACTCGAACGACGTTTCAGACAGCAACGGTCGCGGCTCCCAGCTTCGAATTCCGNNAGGCGAGTGCAGGCAAACCGCGGGCTCTGACATCTCGGCCTCAACCGAACAGCTTTCTTCGTGGACAAAACTTTGTGTACGAAAGTCAACTCGAAGAGACTGCCTTGCTTTGGTGTCTTCTTCAAGGTCCTCATATTATAGCGTCCGCAGGATCCTCACTCTCGGCTCCATTGCCCTATACCAACCTTTCCGCGGACCTGTGCCCTACCGCTTCGCTGGGTCATTGGTTGTCGGGACTCAAAACNNACTCGGTCCTGCCTGTGAGCTTTGAACGACAATCTCCCAATCGCCATGTGAATCTTCTTGCTTGAGTTGGGTGACCCGTCGATCTGGGATCTGGGGTTCTGCGCATGGGTTTTGCATCTCGTCATGGGTGCATCCCCGCATACTCCTCCAATTCAGGCCCTGTGGACAACCTGGTATCACTGTCGTTTGAAACCGTCATTTGAACCTACTTGCCTCTTGCGCACCCTTCAAACACCCATAATGATATGGACCACCGATCAGTATCGATATCAAAGAATCTTGCTGAACCTAGCCACCACTAGGCATCGTTGACGTGGGTGGTGTTCTCAAACGGCCATGGCTACCGACCTCCGAACAGTGTTGCCCTACCCGGTCCGGATACCACACCATGATTTACTTCTGGTTATACACAGCCGACGTTTCAGCCCTGTGGTGCGCAAGTCCAGCCTGAAATGGGCACGAACGTGTCCTGCATACACGCAGGGCAGGGCATACATGTAGGGACATGACTTGGGAGACTTCATACACCCCAACGCCTTTGTCGAACTCTGTGCTCCCCTTTCTCGTACGCAAGTAGATCTACAAGTATCATTGGATCTAGCGCTTCACCATCTTTATATTTTCAGCCTGAGCCGCAGGCGAGAGAGATCGTTCTCTTGGCTCAAGAAAATTATCAAACATTATGTACATATTCTGATACTACCCGGTTTCTACTTCGGTTTTTTCTTTATCAATCGAACCTAGCACAATGAATACCTTTTTGTCAGACAGTTTCGAGTTGCAGGAAGTGACTCGGGACGATCTAACCATCGCATCACTATGCTGGGNNGGTACGAAGGATTCGTGTAGCAGCTTAACAAGGGATCAGAACTGACTCAATGATAGCTTCACACTCGGATTCGGTTTCTTGACAGTATGGAAAGCCATGAAGCAATCTACGGCTATGTACAAGCGATATGGCCTTCGTAGGCTGAGCAATGCGTACTTGTGGATGATTTGGGCGGAGATCACCGTCTGCCTTGCCTTCAGTATTGCTTGTTGGCTATATCTTAGAGGCATTATTGCTCCCAGGTATGAAGCCAATCATGAAAAGTCATCCTATTATCCTAATGAGTCATTGTTANGCTTCGCTTTCTACTTTAGCATCTTGACGTTATGGGCTCTGCAAGTTCAGTTCCTGCTCCAGATTATCATCAATCGTGTTGGCGTGCTTATGCTGGACCGCAAGAGGGCAAGAAATCTCAAGTATGGTGTCGCTGTCCTCATCACGCTCATCAATATATCTGTATATTGCATCTGGGTAAGGACTTGAATCAGGCTCTGACAAGGGACCAATCTGACTCTTTGATAGGTTCCGGCAAGACTGCAGACCAACGAGACGTATATCAAGATCAACGCCATATGGGACAGATGCGAGAAGATTATTTACCTTATCGTGGATGCTGCACTCAACTACTTGTTCGTGCGCGTCGTTCGCCGTAATCTTGTCAAGCCTGGCCTGAAGAAGTACGAGAGCTTGGTCAGGTTCAACCTGTACATTATTGGCTTCTCTTTGGCAATGGACATTCTCATAATCGCTATGATGTCCCTGAAGAACTCTTTTGTATACAGTGAGTTATCTGGTGTTGAAGTACAACAGAACCACGGAGACTAATATCAATGTANNGTGCAATTCCATCCGCTTGCATATGTAAGCCTCTTCTTTCATCTCACGCTTCTTGCCAAAATTTCTGCATTATATGACACTAATACCTTTCCACAGATTGTGAAGCTCAACATCGAGATGACAATGTCGGAACTCATCTCCAAAGTTGCAAGAGCTCAGAATAACCCACATGGTGCTGTCATGCCGAGCACTAGCACTGGAGACCACTCGGGAGGACGATCCCGCATGACCAGAACCGTGGACGACAAGACTCTGACTCAATCAAAGATCCATGCTTTCACCGGCCGCTCGGAAGATATGGAGATGGGCATACTCGAGAATACAGGCCCGCCACACAACAACAATCTCCACACGCAGATTGAAGCGGACAATTCTTCGACTGACGGCTCTGACCGCGATGATGAGTCAATCAACAAGGCAACTGGCTTCGTGGTTCGAAGGAAGCAAGAGTTCCATGTTCGGGTGGAGCAGGCAACACCATCACCGGATGCCGACTTAGACAGACAATTGGACGACGGAGGCATAGAATCGTCAAAAGAAGGTGTGGATCAGAAGAAGACACAACAATGGGCTTCATATTAGGACCACAGCACAATCAGGTTTCAGTAAAAGGTAGTCACCAAGCCACTCACGAGCAGACAAGCACAAATATTTCCCTCTGTCGGTCTCGCAATATACCCCCTGGAGGACATAGAGAAGTACATACATACACCTATAATTGATTGGAAACCAAACAGCAGCTCAAAAATCATACTAAGTTTACAAATAGGGTAGTTGTTTTTCGAAAGGTCTGGCGCTGAACATTTCCAAGCTTGGTTGCCCAGATTCTTGGAGGATCTCGAGATACCGCGGCGTTTATTGGATGGGTGAACTCCGGTTCCTTCGAGATAAACTGGGTTATGTGGCTTGTTACTGGCTGAAGATCTGCTGCACAACGGCACAAGTGTCTGGGGATAAACTCTCACGGACTCGATGTCGTGATTTTAGGAAGCGGGTGGATGAGGATGGAATTGGCCGCCAATGTGCCAGTTTGCCAAAAGTTTGGAGAGCAACCACAGCGTCGAGACATACCACCAGTTCATCCGACCTCCCCACAAACCCTTCCCCTCGAATTTATACCCCCACAAGGCGGCATCATGCCTATCATTGATACTGGCAAAGATCTGTCGGCTCTCTTCTCGAAACAAGTGAAAGAGACGCCTGATGCCATTGCTCTTGAGGACGAGTCAAACACATACTCGTACGCCGAGCTCGACCAAATCGTTGAGGCTCTCTCTCAACGTCTCCGCAACTACGGCGTCAGTCGCGACACACTTGTTGGTGTGCTACTTCCTCGCAGTGCCGACTATGTAATTGCCTGTTTGGCTTCACTTCGTGCTGGAGGAGCTTTCCTCGTTCTCGAACTCGCATACCCTCCGGATCTTTTGGCCGACGTCATTGACGACGCTAAACCGGCTGTCGTTATCACCCACAGATCTGAGGTCGGCAAGATCCAGGAAGGCGTCCCAGTCCTCACCCTTGACGAAGAAGCACAAGAAATCAATGGCGATCAAAAAGAGCCAGCACCTTTACCAGCTGACGATGATCTTGAGCGCCTTGCTTTTGTTGCTTACTCGTCTGGTACCACCGGAAAGCCCAAGGGTATCGCTAATCCCCACAGAGCACCTGTACTGTCATACGGCTTGAGATTCGCTGTCTCGGACCAGCAGCCTGGCGACCGTGTTGCATGCAACGTCTTTTTCATCTGGGAAATTCTGCGTCCCCTACTGCGTGGAGCCACTGTCGTTGCCGTTCCTGACGAGGTCAGCTATGACCCTTCCGCCCTTGTTGAGTTGCTTGCGGCCAAGAAAATCACTGAGACTCTGATGACTCCAACCCTCCTGGCCACTGTCCTATCTCGTCACTCTGATATCGCTCAGCGTCTCCCTGACCTACGAGTCCTGTGGCTCAATGGCGAAGTCGTCACTACCGACCTCGCCCGCAACGCCCTCAAAGCTCTGCCCAAAGTGCGTCTACTCAACTGTTACAGTGCTTGTGAAACGCATGAGATTGCTTGTGGTAACATTGGGGAGATGCTCGAACATCTCGACGAGGCCGCCCTCTACTGTCCGGTTGGCCCATCTCTTGACCCCGAGCACACCTATATCGTGGATGAATCTGGCAACAGAGTTGAGGATGGTGTTAGTGGAGAGCTCTTCTTTGGTGGAGACCTTTTGGCACGTGGTTACCTCAATCTACCCGAGACTACCGCTAAAGCGTTCCTGAGAGACGAGTACGACTCGACCGAGGGCGCTCTTATGTACAGAACTGGAGATCTGGCACGCCTGCTTCCTTCTGGCCTTCTCGAGATTACTGGCCGTGTCGGATCAATGATCAAGCTGCGTGGCTATTCTGTTGTTCCGGCTAAGGTTGAAAAGTCCATTGTCACTCATCTCGCTGTCAGCCAGTGTGCAGTCGTTGCTCACGGAGAGGGTCTTGACAGACAATTAGTGGCCTACGTTGTGCGCGACAAGAATGAGACCAAGGACCGCAAGTTCCCCGAGATCCTCGAATCAGGACACAGCCCTGAAGCTCGCAAATCACTTTCTGAGGCTCTGGCGCAATACATGCTTCCCTCGTTGTGGGTTGTGCTTGAGGAATTGCCTCTGCACGAGGTTTCTGGAAAGGTCGATATGAAGAAGCTGCCAGCGCCTGTTACAACCCCACCGAATGGCGCCAACGGAACCAAGGCTGCCCAGGCACAGGACCCGATCGGTGTTAACGATGTGGCTGAGATCTGGGCTGCCACCCTGAACATGCCTCGAAGCATTATTTCTTCTTCGAGCAACTTCTTCGACCTTGGTGGCCACTCCCTTTCGCTCGCAAACCTGGCCGCGAAACTTTCAAAGGCTTTCGGCTTCCGTGTTCCCGTCGCTCGTCTTGCAGACCCTCCCACTCTTGCTGGCCACGTTGAAACTGTTCGTGGTGTTAGAGATGGACATGCTGCTGCTGTGCAAGCAGATCTCCCTGCCGTGCTGCGTAAGGATTCTACTCTTGACAACGATATCCAGGCCAACGGAGCCAAGTTTTGCCCCCTGAACAAAGCAAACACTGTGCTTCTAACTGGTGCAACTGGTTTCTTGGGTGCTTTCCTTCTCAACGATCTTCTGGAGAACACATCCGCTCAAATCGTCTGTCTGGTTCGTTTCAATAACCCCGAAGGTAGCGATTACTCTGCTGGTATCGCAAGATTGAGAAGACATCTTCTCGATTTGGGCTTGTGGCGTGATTCGATCATGGAGCGTGTTGAGATCCTGCCCGGTAACCTTTCCCGTGAGCGCCTCGGCCTCAATAAGGACCTCTGGAACGACATGGTCTCAAGAGTCAACGTTATTGTTCACGCTGGTGCTACTGTCAATTTGATCTACCCTTACGCCTCTCTGCGTGGCGCCAACATTGAGGGTACCAGAGAAATTCTCCGCCTTGCTTCCCAGAGCGGTGCTACTGTTCAGTATGTCTCAACTAACGGCGTCTTGCCTCCTTCCAAGCATGGCTGGCCCGAGTTTGCTATGCTTGATGTAGACTCTGTTCAAGACAAACTCCTCGACGGCTACGGTCAAACCAAGTGGGTTGCTGAGCAGCTCGTCCACGAGGCTAGTCGCCGTGGTCTGCCGGTCAAGATCTTGCGTGCAGGTACTATCAGTGGTCACAGTTTGACCGGTTCTGCTAACGCCTGGGACTTGGTATCTGCTCTGATCGTTGAGTCAATCCATCTCGGCTTCCATCCGGATGTTGAGGGATGGCGCGCTGAGATGACCCCTGTAGACTTCGTTAGCAAGGCCATCATCCATCTTGCCAACCAATCTCAGGCCAAGCAGCTCGTATTCCATCTTGGAGACCCCACTCCTGTCGACATGACCTCTGTCTTTGCAGACTTGGAGAAACTTGGCTACCCCACAAAACCTCTTGACTGGGAAGAGTGGATCACTATGTGGATCGAGAAGAGAGGAAACGTCAGAGGTGGTGATGGTAACTTCACTGTCGACATTCTCCGCAGCGGTATGCCTAGCGTCGAGTTCCTCAGAGGTATCGTTGTTCTCAACAATGAGGCTACAAGACCTTTCCGCTCGGTTGTCGAACGTCCCAAGGTTGATGCCGTTCTCCTCGAGACATACACTCGCCATTGGTTTGCTAGAGGATGGCTGCCCCGTCCTCCTTCAGGTCTGAGCTCTCTCGGTGGTGCTGCCCACATGCCTCGCAGAGGACCTCTGAGCGGACGCGTTGCCATTGTTACTGGTGCTTCATCCGGCATTGGTGCTGCTGTCGCTGTTGCCCTCGCAAGAGAAGGTTGCCATATTGCTCTTGCTGCTCGCCGCACAGATGCCCTGGAGGCACTCAAGCGCAGACTCACCGTTCGTGAAGGAAAGGTCATTGTTCGTCAAACAGATGTCACAAACCGCCAGCAGGTGGAGGACCTTGTCAAAGCTACCGAAGAGGAACTGGGTCCTGTCGATATCCTTGTTTCATGTGCTGGTGTCATGTACTTCACCATGATGGCCAACGCCAAGGTTGACGAGTGGGAGCGTACCGTCGATGTCAACTGCAAGGGTCTGTTGAACTGCCTGTCATCCACCGTACCCGGCATGCTCGAGCGCGGTGCTGGCCACGTTGTTGCCATCTCGTCAGATGCCGGTCGCAAGTGTTTCCCTGGCCTTGGTGTTTACTCAGCTAGTAAAGTCTTCGTCGAATTTACTTTACAAGCTCTGCGTCTCGAGACTGCAGGCAAGGGTCTCCNNCGCGTCACTGGCGTTCAGCCCGGTAACACCCAGACCGACCTGCTCACCATGTCAAGCGACAAGGAGGCTGTCGAGAAGTACGGCGAGCCTTCTGGTGCTCAGATCCTGGACCCCGAAGATGTCGCCAACTCGATCGTGTACGCACTCAAGCAACCTGCCCACGTTGCTGTCAACGAGATCCTGATCGAACCCCGTGACGAGCCCATCTAAGCGAAAGAGAAAGAGAGTGACGGAAGGATGAAGAGATCATTGCAATAGTTTTGACGGAAAGTATATTTTGCACGGCCATATTTTGTAACAAAAACACACATTTCTGCGTGGAGGAACCCTCGTTCGCTACAACTGCAGGTGTTGGGAAGGAGTTTGCTTGTCATGTCTTTTGTAATACATAAAACATCAACAACGGCAGATTTCGGGGTTGTTCTCTTTTTTTCCCTTTGGGGAGTATCGCACTCAGCAAACATTTTGTACTAACCAAGCTGACAGATACTATCCGCTCGCGACAATCATGAATATATCATATTCTTTCACTGCTAACCCACAGTTGCATCAAACGCAGTTCTCACGATCAGCAACCGGGAGGCAAGTCTACTATGTTGGTTGAATGGTTCCAAGCAGGTTCTTCATGACATTCACATTACGGGCTCTACAAACAAGGTAAAAGCTAGAGGGCAAACATAGTGTCAAGATAATCAACACACGCTTTCACCATCTCTTTGAACATGACTGCTCCAATCTAATGCTATCAAGGTGCAACAGGGAAAGTGGTTCCTACCTCTGTTCCGCTGAGATGGAGTATCATCGGCTCTCTTTGGACATATCTCGTGAATCAATTAGTGCTTTGCCTTTTTACCGACGTAGAATAACAAGTGCTGAGATCTGAAAGAACTCTTCTTGGCGCCAGGTAATTCCTAGCCTGTTCAATGCATTTCATCTTCTTTCAAAAGTAGGCAGGTGCAAAAAGAGTCAAAAACCAGGCGCTACTCTAAGAGAGTTAGGTTGTTGGTGCTGTAGATGGATTGTAGCCTATGATGAAAATAATTAAGGTGCATTTGTTGTGGTCATCACACCGCAGCCACTTGGAGTGCGCGCCTATGGTAGACGTCTTGCTCGACTTGTTGGTCTTTACATCGCTGGTCCGAAGTTTGTTTGTTGTGGTATGGCGAGTCTATATGGACTGCATTATGTAAAGAGAAGTCAACAGCGTGTAGACACTGATGACAAGTCTGCTCAAGCAACCCCAAAAGCATATTCAGACACTTCTGTTTACTGAGGCAAAAAGTGTCTAGCCCCTGAGTCGAACTCAAGACCTTTGGGGTGCAAAAACACAAGCCAACCATCGGTCGAGGTGGTCTAGCAACTCTTCCGTGGAATACGGTCAAGCCAGTGACTTTGGACTCCTGATTGGTTTGATGATGAGACCAGATCAGCTCGTATATAACACCAGCTTGTTTGGATACGTGGGTGCTGATGAGTTTTACAACACTTCTCACACGAACACAAGACCTGCCATCAACAACCGTTCGCGTCAGTGGAGAACTTTTGATTTGGAACCATACGTTCTCTTTGAGAAACTGAGAATGAAACATTGCAGAACCTTAAAAGTTGCTCTTTCGTCCTGTGATTTCCTGCTACTTGCTTCCTTTGCTTTTCACCCTCAACTCCTGAAGCTCCTGCTCAAAAATGGATAATGCAAAAACAACTCGCCGAAACACCATAGAAACACCACGCGTTTATGGTGCTGTCGTCTATCCAGTGCCGCCGTTGACCTCGACGACAGATCCGTTCATGTACCTGCTCTCATCGCCCATAAGGAAAGCTACCACGTCGGCAATCTCGCTGGCCTTGCCCATACGTCCCATGGCCACTTGCTCGGTTGTCTTCTTAAGCGCCTCCTCACCAGCAACGACGCTAGCATTGGTTGGTGTCTCGATGTATCCAGGAGCAACGACGTTGACACGAATGCCCTTGGGACCCAGCTCCAGAGCCATGGACTTTGAGAAACCGATGATGCCGTACTTAGTTGCGCAGTAAATGGCCATCTGCTTGTGAGGGTGGATGCCACAGATAGAAGACACATTGGCAATAGCACTTCCACTGCGCAAGTATGGAATGGTGGCCTTGGTGACGTTGTACACGCCCTTGAGGTTGACAGCAACCAGCTTGTCAAAGTAATCTTCGCTGCAGTCGACCAAGTCGCGTGCGACGGGGTTAATGCCCGCACAATTGAACACATGGTCAATACGTCCAAAATAGCCTATCGCGTCCTTGACAGTCTCGATGCAGCGCTTGTACTCGGCCACATTGAGCAGGGTCACTTGGTGAGGGCCTCCAGCGCATTGCTTGGCGGTTTCCCGGCATGATTCGATGTTGATGTCGCTGAGCGCCAGGCGTGCCCCCAGTTTACTGAGCTTCAGTGCTGTCGCCCGTCCAATTCCGGAGCCGGCTCCAGTCAGAAAGACGACCTTTCCTTCAATGGTGTTTTTGTTCATTGTGTCGTTGCTCGCAAAGCTGTCGATCGGAGTGAGCCTCCGTAATGGCTGGGGTGGAAGCTGCCTTTGGATGGCTTGGCGGAAATCGTCAGAAGATCTTCAGGTTCGCAGAAGAAGCGTCGTTTTTGAAATCTTTCGTTGAAGATGAGGATTGATAGAGAGATGAAAGTTTTCGGTGTCACTGAAGAGCTGTAATCGTCGAGGTAATTCAGTCACCACATGGCAACTCCCAGCAATCTGTATGGTCTGTTGGGCGCTGTCAACACAAAAGATAAGTGGGGCCAACGACGATAAGCCTGTGAAAGCCTCATGGCGTTATCGGGCCGTCTGGGCAGGGTTTTGGTATGCACCAGTCACGCATTTTGTCATAAATGTTTCAAAGGTCAATATGCGTTATTCGAATTGGGTATCATGATTTATCTTTGGCGTCGTCGTGACAGATGAGCATTACAGATAGATATCATCAATCATCGTCTGGCTTTCTTCTTGTCTGGGCCATCCTCTTCTTCGTCACTGAGCTCAGCATATATCGTTTTTGGTTGTGTCGTGGCCCAGGCATTCGTGAACAATGGATCGTTCTTGGCCTTGTCGGCATACTTGAGAAGAGCCTCTCTTGGATCTTCTTCGCGCATGCCACTAAGAGGAATATGTTCCTTGATGTAAGCTGCATCTGCATTGCCCTTTGCAAAGGGCGTTGTGTTTGGGATGTGTGGCCGTCTGGGATCTCTTGATTTACCAGAGGCGGTAAGGCCGATTGTAGGGTGCCTTGAGGCGAAGGAGGCAGCGGAAGGAGCTGAACCNCCAGGCAAGATCACAGCGTCACCGCCAATGCCGTGAGACAGGTCCATAGTCAGATTAGGGTCATCATCGATGTGACGACGCTTAGGAGCCTTGAGCATGACAGTCTTTGCACCGCCTTCCGATGAGTTTGGATTGTAGAGAACATGTGTCTCTCCATTAGCCGAACCTGTTATAATTTGGTTCAGCTCCTTGTGCCAGAAGACACTAATCAGAGCAGAGCCTGGTGTCACTGGAGTTACCAACTCAGATCTCAGGGTAGCAGGGTTTAGAATGTGAAGGTCGCCGTTGGCAGAGCCAGTGAGGACTTCGGTACCCGATGGCGACCAGCAGATATTCGACGTGGGGTATTGGCTTGACATTGAAGGGAACTCGACAGTCCTTAGAGGTTGCTTGAATTTCCTGGTGTCCCATAGCTTGATGGTGTCATCACCTCCGCGCGTCATGACAAGCTGACCAGTAGAGCTGACCTGCAGACCACTGGTCCAAGTGTCCTTGGTGTGAGCATCGCGGATCTCGGCAGCAGGTCTGGTATAGGGGCCGTTGCCATCCCACATGACCAGACTGCCATCGAGAGCAGCAGCAACCAGAAGATTGTGCTGAGGGTTGGCAGCCCAAGCGAGAGCAGTGATTCTCGTCCTTCCGGCGGAACCAGCAGCTCTTGATTTGTGGACAATGACGTTTTTCTGTTGCCTAGGGTTGTTCACATCCCAGATACGGACGGTAGAGTCTGTTCCTCCAGTCGCGCAAATGTTGCGATCTTGTGGGTGCCAGACGCCGCAAGTGACCTCAGAGATGTGACCCTTTGTGTGATGCATGTCGCGCAGATACATGTCGCCCTTGACGAACTCGGCGAGAATCTCTCCATTGCGGTCTAGTATGCGAGGTTGAGGATGAGCGGTAATAGCGAGGATGGTGCTGGGCGAGATGGGATTGAACGAGACGTGGTTGACGGGGTGGGTTTCGGTCGAGGCTGAGCCTTTGACGGACGAGGGATCGACGGATCTGAAGGCGCGGATGGTCGAGGGTGTGAGAGAAGCAAAGTCGTGGAACTTGAGAGTGCAGTCGTTGGAGCCAGTCACCAATCGTCCTCCAGACGCGTCCAGTGTGATGGATGTGACGGCGCGGTCGTGTGTCTTGAAGACCATCTCGTGCGAAACGGGGTATTCATCTTCGTCATCTTCATCGTCTGAGTCGTCATAGTCCGAGTCGTCATCGTCCGAGTCGGAATTCGAGTCGGCCTTTTTGTTAACAACTATTTGTCTCTTGCTCTGCTCGAATCTGTCGTCGGCTTCGGCGCCTTTGGTCTGTTTGCCAAACGATGTCGTCCCGAGGAACCTTTGAAGCGCCTCTTGATCCTCATCAGGCACCTCGAGTTCGGGCGCTACAATCTCGTTTGACATGATGGCGGTGGTTTGAACTGGTGTCCGTCTTTTGGGTTGCATAGAAGCTACAACCATCTTGCGTCAGTCACGTCGACTTTTGTCCCTCGGGCTCGCCCTTTCGCTGCCCACAACGCCGCAACCTTCACTACATGTGAGTACTCATAATCGTACTCATCTCTAAACACCAGGTATCATGACAAGCAAAGCATTCAATGCTGAACATGCTCCCATATTATGGCTGGCGTTAGCGTCTGGGCTATCTCTACACCTTAGGGGCACAGCACCGTGATAGGCAGGTAGCCATATGATTACCCGACTTCTAGCATCTGTCTGTTCCCTTCACAAAAGGGTAGGAGCGCACTTTGTCAACCATGATCGTACTTTCCAGCACAAACATGTGTCCTTGATCACAAACACAGCACCTTGTCGTCCGCTATGTATCTCGATAATATTTTCGTTTCGAGCGATCAACCTCTCTCCGAACTCCACAACTGGAATCCTACCCTACCTTTTGCGGCGTCACTGTGCTTTGTCATCTCTGTGTCTCTGAGATGGCGTCAATTGAAAAAGTCGTGCATCAAGATCGGATCAAATCACCAAGGGAATCTCAAAGTCGTGAGTCTCCGCGTAGCTAGCCATCAAAGCATATGGCGGGATCATCATCGAATTGCTTACTGCTGTTAAGNNGCTTGCAATCTGGTCTTGCTGATATGCCAGTCTTCTATCGTAGGCACCTCTGCATCGGTGCCGACTAAGCCTAACATCGCTCTATCTGAAGTAGCCCATCTCGTCGCAATCATTGGTTTTACGATCATATCACCACGAGAGCACTACCGCTCTGTGAGTCCATCGGATTTGTTAGTTTTCTATCTATCCATACGCACTTTCTTGAACGTATCCACGTTACTGCTGTTTTGCGACAGAGGCTCCATTTCAGTTCAGGTACTACGAACAATCATAGAGGCCGCGAACCTCACAATCGAGTCTCAAAGTAAGAGATACTTCTTGCTCGACACTTTCCGGGACCTTGCACCCGAAGAAACAGCTGGACTTTGGAGCAAAGCCAGCTTCGCTTGGGTGAGTTCAATACTCTTTGCTGGAAACGACTTGGTATTCTCTCTAGGATCATTGCCCCAGAATCCTCCTCAGTTTGAACCTTCGAAATTGCGTCAGAAGATTTTGATGGCTTGGGATCGGAGATGTAAGTCGTTCGATCGCATCAGGTCTATCAGAATTGACAACGTTCCACAGCAANAACCAGAAAGTCGTTTGTCATTGCCATTCGTTTTGGCAAAGTGCCTCATGCCAGACTTTGCTACCATCGCGCCTACGAGATTCATGCTCATTGTCTTTCGCTACGCTCAACCTCTTCTCATGAGCAAGATGTTGCAACTGCTAGCCAACAATGCTTTGGGTGGGCAATCGTATCAGCTTTCATGCACCATAGTCATCATCTCAGCGGTAATTTACATTGGACAAGCGGTATGAGAACCGTGGCAGAAGTCCTCATTCAACTAGACTGACACACAAACAGNNATTGTTTCTTCAAAATATCGACATCAGCTCAATCGTCTCAAAATCATGACCAGGGCCGCACTTGTTGGACTCGTATACGAGAAGACGCTTAGTGCACCCTCTGCTACGTACAAGGACTATAGCGCAGTCACTCTGATGAGTACTGACGTTGATGCTCTTAGTGACGTCAGTGAGATGTTTCACGAGGCTTGGGCCGAAGTGTTAGAAGTCGTTGTGGGTATGATCTTGCTGGCTCAGCAAATCGGATGGTTCTGTGTTATCCCTCTGCCAATAATATATGGTAAGTCCGAGGATATCTTGAGAGCATACTCCTGTTGACATGATACAGGCTGCTCTCACATGACTCGATATGTAGCACGAAATCTGCGTCCTAAACAACTTGCATGGAACAAAGCCACACAAGACCGTGTCAACAAGATCGTCTCTGTGGTCAGCAAAATTAAGATCATCAAGATGCTCGGTCTCGCAAAAATCGTCGAAAGACAAACCGGCAGCATGAGGCAGGCGGAAATTGATGCCTCGAAAGACATGCGCTGGGTATCTGTGCTCGCTAACGCAAGTGGTAAGTGATGCGAACTATGTATCAAGATTTTAGACGGACATGTCTAACTGAAAACAGCAAATGCACTTGGGTTGTTCACACCTGCAATCACCATCATCCTCTTCGCTGCTATGGGAAACTCGAAACTCGATGCGGAAACAGCTTATACAACACTAGCAGTCCTGGTCATGGTCACTCATCCTGCAAATATGGTCATGACCATAGTACCTAGGGCAATTGCGTCTTTGACCAGTTTCCAGAGGATACACGATTTTGTCAGCAAGTCGCATTTTCAAGATGCTCGTCTCCCCCTTCAATGCACGGAAGGAGCGACCTTGATAGACACTGATCCTGTTCTCCAGATGGCAATCGAGTTCAAGGATGTTGAAATCAAGTTAGCAGGCACCGCACCTCCAGCTCTGGATAACATCAATCTACGCATCAGCCGTGGTTCTATCGTTGTATGTACTGGACTTACAGGAGTAGGAAAAAGCATATTGGGCCTAGCAATTACTGGAGAATTGGCGCCGTCCAAAGGATCCATATCCGTCATCAGCGGACGCACAGGGCTATGTGCTCAATCACCATGGCTTTCAGGGCAGAGTATACCCGAGACGATCCGAGGCCTCTCTACTAACTATGATGACGCCTGGTACCAGAGAGTCCTGGCTGCTTGTTACATAGATGACGATATCCTGCTACCGTCTGTCACCCGAGCTGCTGAACATGGGCATACACGACTTTCGGGAGGGCAACGGCAAAGAGTCGCATTGGCTCGTGCTGTATATCAACGACACGATATCCTTGTTCTCGACGACCCATTTTCAGCGCTGGATCAGCGCGCACAGGAGCGTGTGATTACCAATCTGCTTGGTCCTAATGGACTGCTCAGAAGCCCATACACGACTGTGTTCTTGATTACAAATGTCTCCCGTGCTCGCTCTTTCGCGGACAGAGTTTTGCTATTGAAGAACAATTGCATCGATTTTGATGGTGACTGCAACAGCTTCCGCACCTACTCAGGCTCATCAATAGAACGTATCATCCCAGCTGACGACGCGGCGAAACTCGACGATGAGGAAAAGACACAATCGACCCGTGTCAAGACAAGCAAGCCTGCCACCAAAGATGATGAATTCGACGTCGATAGAAGACCTGGCGACATGTCAGTTTACCGATACTACCTTAGGTCGGTGGGTGGGATGAACATGCTCGCACTCTTGGCCTGTACACCACTATATTCGTTCTTTTCTATCTTTCCCCACTACTGGCTCAAGTGGTGGACACAAGCAGGAGCCACGAAAGATACCCTCTATATGCTCGGCTACTTGTTGTCTTCCACCATTGCCTGGGCGTCCACCAGCAGCATGCTCTGGGTCAACTTCATCAAGCTAGCACCCAGATCTGGAGCAGTGTTGCATTGCAATCTGCTGACTACAGTGCTCGGAGCTCCAATGTCTTTCTTTTCGACCACGGGTACTGGAGCACTTGTCAACAGATTCAGTCAGGATATCGCACTCATCGATCGAGAGCTTCCTTCTGCAATGGCTGCACTGTGTACACAAGTCTTCAAGCTCATAATGCAGTGTTCTCTGCTAGTCACCAGTCAAAAGTTACTCATTTTCGCCTTGCCAATTTACGGGCTCGCCATCTATATGGTTCAAAAGGTGTACCTGCACACTTCGCGCCAACTCAGATACTTAGAGCTAGAATCGAGATCAGCGGTGTATACGAGCTTCTTGGATGCAGTCGAGGGATTGACAACCATCAGGGCTTTTGGATGGCAACAAGCATACCTCGATCAACATACAAGACACTTGGATCTCTCTCAACGAGCATTGTATCTGTTTTTGTGCGTGCAGCGCTGGCTAAATGTCATTCTGGACTTTGCTGTTGCCGTTGTGGCTGTTGTAGTCATTAGCCTTGCGGTTTTCTATACTGATGAAACGTCTAGTGCTGACGTGGGCATCGCGTTGAATATGGTCTTGGTGGCCAACACCACATTGCTGAGGTTGATAGAATCTTGGACGAGTATGGAGGTGTCAATTGGTGCTGCTGCGAGGCTGAAGAAGCTGGAGGATTGGGTGGTGGGTGAGCATGCTTGTGCTGTTTCACAGATGGCTGTGTCTGAGAATTGGCCATCCGCTGGAGAGCTTGTATTGAAGGGTGTGAGGGTGTGCTATGGGTAAGTCGTCCATCCTCTATGAGGGAAACATGTCTTTGCTAAAACACTACCATGCAGTTCTCGAGTCATCCTAGACAAAGTCGACTTGACCATCCCAGCCGGCACAAAAGTCTTCATCTGCGGCGAAACAGGAAGGTAAGACCACCCTGCCCCTCTGCTCCTTCACTAGCATCACTCTAACACCCACCCANGCGGGAAGAGCACTCTACTCATGGCACTCCTACGTCTTTCCCCAGTTCACTCCGGCTCCATCCACCTCTGCGGCAAAGAAATCTCCCACGCAGCACCTTCAATCCTCCGTTCCCGCTGCTTCATCTGCGTACCACAAGACCCTCTCTCCTTCCCCGAAGAAAGTCTTCGCAACAACATCGATCCCTATCACCACCACTCATCCCACCAGATCATAGAAGTTCTACAAAAGTTGCAGCTGTGGTCTTACTTCCAACCTATCACCAATGCCACCAACTCTTTCGACGGCGATGACAACGATGGCATCCTCAACTCACTACTATCCTCCTTCCCTCCGGTCTCAACAGGTCAAGCCCAACTCTTCTCTCTCGCCTGCGCTATCCTCCGCTCGAATCACCAAGCGAAGAAAGGACAAAAGCCCATCATACTCCTCGACGAACCAACCGCCGATCTTGACGACGAATACCAAGATTTGTGTTCAAAGGTCATTGAAGAAGAATTTACCCAANAAGGGTTTACAGTGATGATGATCACGCACAGTTCCAAGGATTTAGAGCAGAGGGTGAGACGGGGCAAGGACATGATTGTTGAGGTCGCGAATGGAAGGGTGAGATTGGAGAGCTGTTGATGGAAAGAAAAGAGCGTGGAGAGCTGCTAGCGTATGATTCATGCAGGTGAGAGGCAGGCCATTGATACTAGTTTTCGTGTTCACGCGACTACTGCCATCAAGGTCATTTCACAAGCAAGAACACAGAAGACACAAAAGCATAGACCAGAAAGAGCGCATTCTATTCCTCGATCTCTGTGTAACTTTTAAGGGGTGCTCGAATCATCAACGACGTGGAAGTGTGGCTCTTTCGGGAATGTGACTGCTGGTAGAGAAGATGGAAACAGAAAAAAAGCACAAAACGCTGCAGATTCCGGAAGAATAAATGCCAGGGTTCACTTTGGTTACAAGTGCCGCCAGTGTGCGCAGTATGGTGGTGTGGTTGTTTTTTCATTGATGGAAGAAAGCAAAAACCCATTCCTTCTCCCCAGAGTCATTAAGTCAATATCAGCCATGGACGCGCGCAGATGCGGTCCGCCCTCGTGTGTTTCTTGCTGCATAATTTTCCTCCGCGAGTGCATTTTGATGACGGAAGAGCGTGCCGCTGGGTATTTAGAAGATGTGGAATTCGATTACTGAATGAGCGAATCCCGTTTCCATGATGGCGAAATCGCTTAGAGGTCGGCATCGTCCTCGTCGGGGAGGGGCATGTTGGAGGCAGCCTCCATCTCCTGCTGGTACTGCTTGAGAACAGCCTCGTCGACCTGGACCTCTGGGGGAGCAAGGGCGGGGGCGGCGACAAAGTCCTGAGGGTAAAGTTAGCGACACGCGACAGTCGTAAAAAGCCAAGGAAAGACGTACAAGNNAGTCTGGTTGCCGACAAGCTTTCTTGCGAGCCACAGGAAGGGCTTCTCGAAGTTGTAGTTGGACTTGGCCGAGATGTCGTAGTACTGGAGGTTCTTCTTGCGGTGGAAGGTGATGGTCTTGGCCTTGACCTTGCGCTCCTTGACATCGACCTTGTTGCCGGTGAGAACAATGGGGATGTTCTCGCAGACACGGACGAGGTCACCTGTGGGTGGGGCGTGTTAGCGGGGCTGGCAATCTCGAGCCTGGGAAGAAGGCGGGGCTGGGAGATGTTTGAGCTTACGGTGCCAGTTGGGGACGTTCTTGTAGGTGATGCGCGAGGTGACATCGAACATGATGATACCGCACTGGCCGTTGATGTAGTAACCGTCACGGAGACCACCGAACTTCTCCTGACCTGCGGTATCCCAAACATCGAACTGGATCTGGCCGAGGTTCNNTGTTGGCACGGGGTTAGTCGTCGGCGCATCTCATCGGGCGGCGGAAGAGGGGAATCGTACGGTGGTGAAACCAAGAGGGTGGACTTCGACACCGAGAGTGGCGATGTACTTCTTCTCGAACTCTCCAGTCAAGTGACGCTTGACGAAAGTGGTCNNTGTTTTGTGGATATCCAGTTAGTCTGAGTCGCTCTTTCAAAGTGAACGAATGGAAACGATGCGCAGGTCGACGGACGATGCGAAATCGAGAGTTGGAGATGAACGTGCCTTGCCGGTACCGCCGTCGCCAACGAGGACGAGCTTGAAGGTGGGAACTTCAGCCATTGTTGTGATGTCGATTTAGTGTCAAGTAAAACGACAAGCTGCGGACAGAGTCAGAGGTGGATGCTACGCGGGGTGATGGAAGCTGGCAGGGGAACTGACGGAAAGAGATGGTTGTGGGAGAGTGGTAGATAGAGGGGAGCAAGAGATGTTGACGCTCGATGGCAATCATGTTTTTCGAACCCATTTTGGTGGCCCGAGCGCCTGACTTCCCTCTCACTCGCAAGATCTTGGCATCGCGTTGGCCGCTTCCCAGTCAACAAACACATCCGTCACTCGTCTTGCTATTCGTCCTTTCAGCCATACACCTTTCACCGTCTGACTCAACCATCTCCTGTCTTACTAATTGAACCAACGGAGACTGCTGGCTGAGCTCTGTTGCTGCCTCACTGTTCGATCTCAGCAGACTCCAGCTGCATCGTGATGTCAGTGTTATGAGCTTTCAATCCTGTCTTCTGATTGGGGAAAAAATATGCATAGTTGATTTCTAAGCACTAGGCTGTAATGCTGCTTTTATGCCAGCCCTATACCATTTTCCCCAGATTGTCGAAAACAAACCCATGAAATGCTGTCATGTGCTTCAATATCTAGCTTGGTAGTTTGTGCTTTCATCCGTCTGCTGTCTCGCTGTTTGTAAGCAGTCGCTGCTGCCTGTCTCTTGTTGAGGTGATGGCGACTGTCTCACAATCATCCATGTTGGCTCCTCTAATTGTAATTGGGTATCATTGTCGCAACTTCGTAGCAGCCAGTGTCTCTCTTCTTGTTAGGCCGCGGCCTGCTGTTGCCTAGCCTGGCTTCACAGAGGCAACAGGTGGCAGCCCAGCATACCCCTGCCTCCCCAGTTGTGTCGTGGCGTGAGCTGCATCTCCAACCTCTGCTCGCCAGCACCCGCCGCAGCAGGTCTGATGACTTTGACTGTGATAGCGACGCCCTCGCTCTGCTGCACCGTCTGCGCAACCTTGCTCAACTTGTCGTGGTTCATCCAATCCACATCGCCGAATCTTGTAATTTTGTCGCCGGGCTTGAGACCTGCTGTGGCTGCTGGTGATGATGCGACAACGCTGTTGACTTTGGCAAAGGGTGCTTCAAGTGCGACGCGCGAGCTTCGTGCTGCTTCGGCAGTCTGGGTTGGAGGTTGTGCTGCTGCTACTGGTGGAGGGGCTACTGCTGCGTTCTCCCAGTGTGCATGCATGGCCTTCTCGATGCGAGTCATCAAGTCTTTGTAGTCGTTCTTCAACGGGATGATGCGGGCGCGTGTTGTGCGGATCTGGGCGATGTCGAGGTCGGGACGAGGGTAGCCATCGAAGGTGAGCAGTGATGTACTCATGTTGACTCCATGNCTGCCGAGACACTCGTCAGCTCGAAGACACAGCGGAAACAACGGAACGTAAGGACTCACACTGTCTAGCACCGAGCCCAGTGCCGACAACTCGCTCCAGACGCGATCCTTCTCAGCAATGAGCTCTGGCAGCGACAACTTCTCTCTTTCTGCGCTATTTGCCTGCGTGCTACTGGGACCCGACGCCACCGTCGGCGCATGTAGATTGTCCATTCTCAGACCCATTGAGTATATTTTCGTTCAGATGGAAGTTTGTTTGTTCGATGGTGGGGCAAACGTGAGAGTGTGGAGAAGACATGCCTTTTGCCCCTCACTTGCTGCGTCTGCGAGAGAGCTTGGGCCAGTCACTCCATCGAGGTCGTTTTCTACTGGTAGGGACACTAACTCATACCAAATGCCATTCCTAGGCCTCTCATGAATCTCACTTCATCGGCCTGGCTTTGTAATGCCCGTCCCAGAGTCTCTCGGTATTGCTTCTCCGCATCCCTTCTAACCCTCTCCTCAGTAGTCTCTACCACAATCTCCTCCTCTTCTCTGGTATACAGCGTCTTGTGGCCGAATCCCAACACTCCTATTCGGCCATCGCCGGTCTTGAGTATCAGATCTGATTGATTCACATCTAACCTCTTACTAGACCACGAGCCCATCGATGGTTGCAAAGGCATGATCTTTTGTACGATATCGCCTTGGAATGGCTCGTCATCTGGCCTCTGAGCTGAGCTCTGTGCTTGGTTAAAGGACAGCGTATCGACTGCCTCGTTGATGTTATAGGTTCGGACAGTCGTCATGCCATCTCGTTCTACCCACTTCAGGTTGCCATCGCCATCACTGAACACTGTAGAGTTTCCATGGGCCGCTACTGACAGCAATCGAGTCGAAGCGGCCGTCTGCCGATTTCGATAACTCTCTGTAATGACGGATCCTGATCTCGAAGGTGCCAATCCGTAAAATTCAAGACTGCCTTTTCCCTTGTACTCGCCAGCAGCAAAGATAGTTGACCCAGGAGCAGTCTTTGCAATATACACATCTGAGATCGATATCGTAGGATCCTGAAGCAGATCCAAAGAACGTGAAACATATGGTCGGGGTGTCTCTGTGATACAGGATATGCGTCCTCCAGAGTGCACTGTACCACGCACTTTGGGGAAGAAGCGACGATCGTAGTTTAGTAGGTGGGTGAATCTACCGGCTATCCAGATGGATTCATCTTGCACTCGATCTAGAATGGATAGAGGTCCAGGTTGGGAGAGTGATGCATGACTAGATGCAGGCCCGCCGATAATCTCGCATTGCATAGAAGGATTCACCGCCGACCTTGACTTGTTGCGAGGATCATGAATGTGTACTGTCCAGTTCGTGCCTACAACCAGACTTGAATTGCGAGCCTGTGACAGAGCAGCGACGGGAAATGGAAATGTTTCCTGTGAAACGACTTGAAGTGTAGCAAGGTCAACCTCGACAAGGGTACTATTTTGGGCGAAATAGCCTCTTCCTCGGTCATTGTCGATGCTTACAGACTCGACCGCGCCTGTCTCTGTCATGATTGCTTTGACCTCGTCGCGAGACTGGTTAGCACGAGAGCCACCTAGGAGAAGGCCTGACGAGCTTTTGCCTACAACGCGACCCTGTGGCAGATCCGAGTCGGTATACCTTGGTCGTACGTCCCATATACAGACACTACCATCATCTAAGGATGCCGCAAGGTGTTTTGGGTTGTTATCAGAATCTTGTATCAGACCAAGTCCAGTGGCTTCCAAAGAACCATGCCCCGGCATGGATAGCCAGCCAATATTTATTGGACCATGGCGATGGATGTACTCATCATAGAAGTTGGTCGTCTCACTTCCATAAGAAGGATCCCAGTTCGCGAAAGCACGCTGTGTTTGTGCGGCAGGCGATAGTTTTGGCGCAGCGTCTTGACCAGAAGATTGTGAAGACTGTCCGGAGAGTTGGTTGAAAGCAGATCTGAGGGTGTGTAGTTGAGTGTTTGTAGGATCGACTCGTTGACGCCTACGCCTTGATTCTGCTCGTGAAGCATCAAAACATTCCAGTTTCCAGATATTGCCATCTCGACATAGATCTAGGAAGCGACAACTAAGATACTGGCATCTGACAAGGTCATTTACATCCAAGACTNNGGAAGAAATTAGTCACTTGTGCTGAATGCTGCATATACTTCTGCTATTACAGGCAAGTATTTGGAGTACTATCTCGTCTGGTAACCTGTCCATTTGTGGGGTGCTGAAGTGGATTGACCATCCAAGCGTACATCTAATAAGGATAACAAGAAGTAGCAGACGGAATCAATAACAAGTCGATGATAGGAGAGAAAGTGGTGGCCAGAGGGATGGTGATGGACGTCGGTGGGGTGAAACAGACGGCGGGCGGGTCGATGTCGATCGGCACAACGGGCCCGAGTCATCGACGGGAGCACAAGAAAGTTGACAGCACCCATCAACTCTCTTGTCACATACAACAAAGCACAATGCCAGACCAGAAGACGCCCCTCGAGCCGCCGCCGGCCTACGATGCCGACTCGGAACACACGCCGCTCGTCGCCGGCGCACCCGCCCCTGTCCGCCAGCAGATTGCCCGCGCCCCTCTACCGCTTGAGCTTCCCGCACTGCAGGCCCTTCGTGGCAAGAGAGTGATCCTAGCCTCGGCCTCGCCACGACGAAAGCAGCTTCTCAATCAGATCGGTCTGCGGGACTTGGAAATCATTCCTTGCACGGCTCCCGAAGACTTCAGCAAAACACTTGCTCCTTTCGAATACGTCCTACAAACAGCCGAGCAGAAATGCACCCTTATATATCGTCAAGAGATTGATTCCGAGAAGGGCGAGCCTGCGCTAGTCATTGCTGCCGACACGGTCGTTGTGAGCCCAATGGGCGACATTCTGGAGAAGCCAAGAAGCGAGAGGGAGCACATTTCAGTCCTCAAGGCTTTGAGGAACAGCGGCTGGCACAAGGTCTACACAGCTGTCGTGTGTATGGCTCCTTTGGAAAGTGCCATGGACCCTGGTTATGCTATCAAGAGAACCGTTGAGGAGACCAACGTCAAGTTCGACCAAGCAGGTACTGCCGCCTTCCTTACTATTCATCCCCACAGTACTAACCACGNNTCCACAGTATCCGACGAACTCATTCTCGCATACGTCAAGACTCGCGAAGGTGCCGACAAGGCAGGCGGCTACGGTATTCAGGGCATGGGCGCCATCCTTGTTGAGAAGATTGATGGTTCATACGACAATGTCGTCGGTTTACCGCTCAATGCCACCATGAAGCTTATGGGCCAAGTCTTGAACCCCGATCTTCAGGCTGAAGAAGATGAAGAAGAAGAAGAGTGATCTATATCCGTATCAACAAACTTCTCCGATGACATCGTTGCTCATCTGCCGCCTCCACAACCTGCCACGCAAGAAACTCGCTCAGTCTCCTGATGTTTTACTTTTTGCTTCGACTGGCGAAGCATAAATCCCATGCACAGCCTTTTCATTTGTGTCCTCCATCCCGCTTTTCTCAGGACCTTTGGGTCAACGCCAAAACATGCGAGCCATCGCTATCGCGCTCTCTTGCCTCGCTGGCCTCTCGGCTGTGCAGGCTACAAGCCTCGTGACTGTCGTCAAAACGGTCATCGAGGACAAAGCTGTTTACAGAGTCGACATCTCTACTCCAGCACTTGACGGCAAGGTCAAATCCGAGCTAGCAGAGATTAATCGACGTAACGAAGACGACTCGCCTGGAAGCACTACGATGACACGCATCTGGATCACATCGCCATACACAACCAACTTCGAAATCCCAATAACACAGAACCCTTCCGACAAGCCAAAGTCCGAAACCACAGATGATGAAGAAGGCTGGGAAGATCTCACAGAGACACCCACACCCACACCCACGACTCCCGACGAAGTCATAGAGACAATCACGCGAAGTCAATCACCAGCAGGCGCTCCGGTCAGGAACACCGTAATACCCAACATCCCGCCTAGTGCCGCTGCACCCACCTTGACAGACATCCCCAGCAACTGGCCACCCAAAGTCGGGCCTAATGCCGACCCAAACGAGCAACCGCCTTTGTTCCCCGAGATCGTCAACCCGGGCTATGTGCCCAAGCCGCCGCCTACTCCTGTGCGATGGTGCGATATCTATCCTTATCCTGACAGTGATTGCGAGACCATGCCCACTGTGACTCCCACGCCCTAGTCTAGCATTTATCCTGCAGACCTGGCTCTTCGTACCTAGCTTGGCCTAGTTTTGGCAAAGATGGTACTGAGGACTCAGGCTGCCGGGAGAGTGGCGGGTCGCGCAAATATATATCTTCGGGTATTCTGGATTGGTGAACGGGACGATGGTAATGTTGTGTTCGTGAAAGGGAGATTAGACAAGAACGACAAATGTCAAAGGAATTTATGGCAAATGTATGTTCTAACACTGTATTTATCTATGTGTCCTCTACTGGCCATCAACCTTTGGCTTTGCGAGCTTGTCGACCGACTCCTTGTTCTCTTCCCAGTCTGGGCGAGGAATCTCAAAGCCCTCTGTGATGCGCGAATAGGTGATACCTCCAAGTCTGGCAATGGGCTTGAGGATAGCAGGGTCAATCAAGTTCTTGTCTTCGTTGATGGCGTCTTCGCGAGCCCAGAACCTGACACCCTCGACGATAGCCAAGACGCCGGTCTTCTTGCCAGGAGTGGCTCTGCTCTCAAACTCTTGCGTGTTCATCAACTTGCACTCTGCAGCGAAGATGGCCTCCTTGACACGACTGGCCTTGACTTGAGTGCAAGGTGCGGGNGTCAAACCACTCAATGCCCACTCAGAAACACCGTAGGGAGCATTGATGGAAGTGCTGTTGGCGGCCTCGATGAAGTGCTCAGAGATGATGTTGAGCACGCACTCGCCCGTCTCGGTCAAGTTCTTCAACGAGTCCTTTGCATTGTCCATGCCACCAGCGTAGCCAATGACGAAAACAGGCGGATCGTGGTTGACCAGCTGGGTATACGAGAACGGCGCTAGATTGGTGCTCTTCCCATCTTTACTCCTCGTCGACACGAAACCCACGGGTCTGGGGATAATGGCCGAGATCAACAGCTTGTAGTTGGAAACAGCAGGGCGGCCCTCAGCGTAAGGGTCAATCTCGACGTGTTCTTTATGCAGGGATTCGCCATTGTCGTTGGCGCCGTCGCCGAGCTTCCAGTCCGGGTTGCGGACCTTGGTGTAGTGCCATTTGTTCTCTTCTGGCCAGTCGGGACGCGAGGCCTCGACTGATTTGAAGTCGGGGTGGGGGTTGCGTTTGATTTGCTTTTCGGCGTCGTATTTGTGGTGTTCCATCTCTTGCGCCGTGGGGTTGTGCTGGTGTTGCTCCTTGTCTGAACTCATCTTGGCGGTTGGGATATGCTTGTGTCGGGGGGGAAAGGGTAATGTCAATAATGGTCGAACTGAATTATTGAGCTCTTGGACTGCAGGTAGTTGTATTGATTAGAAATGTCTATTATATTCCGTCATGGTTGACCACCTCGGCAGGAAGAGCGGCAGTGGGTCATCAAGCATGGAATTGTTCCGCGTTTGCTTCAACCGCATCTCTTCCACTCTTTGGCACTTTGTGTATACCCACGACTACTTCATCAATTGTCAGAGATATTTGCCTGTCTCTACAATCATGCTTGATTGAGCAAGAGGAGTCGAGTATGATGCCTTGCTTCTTTGTCTGGGGCGGAACCACGCGACTGGGTTCTACCTTGCTATGATTGCAACATGAGCAAATTGTGACGCGCGACTGAGAGAGCTTTTTGCTTTCTGTGACCACGAGGGATATGTAGGTAGCTTAAGGAAGAAACAAACAGGGGCCTTTCGTTATCCATACATCACACGACACTGTAACACCTTGCCATACAAGCTTGAGGTGCCCGCAATCTCAACCCCTTCCAACTACACCATCATGCCACCGTACGTGCGCTTCTCACAGCCCCTTTGCCCACTCATCCGAGCTGTACAACCGCGCCAACATGCCTTTCATCAAAAAGAAACTTACCGCCGCGTCAGTACTCTACCGTGCTTCACTCTCGACAACAAAGTCTGTGTGGTAACCGNNGGTAGGACATATCAAATGAACAATGGGCATGACAACCATCAGTTGACATCACGATGCAGCGCATCTCAAGGTCTAGGTCAACAAATCCTAGCAGCCTTCTGTCTTTCCGGTGGCCATGGTGCAGTGGTCGACCTCTCTCTAGACAGCGCCCAAAAATCCATCGAAACCATCAACACCGAAGTGAAAGAAAAAGGTCTTCCACCAGCAAACCTTCACCCCTATGAATGCAACACAGCAGACGAAGCCGTTGTCAAGAAAACATTCGCCCAAATTCTAAAAGACTTTGGCAAGGTCGATGTTCTCTGTACGAATGCTGGAATCACTGGTGGAGTCGCTGCCGAAGACTATGATTTCAACGACTGGAAGAGTATGCTGGATGTCAATGTCAATGGTACTTTTCTGTTTGCCAAGGAGGCTGGTCAGCATATGATCAAGCAGGGTATCAAAGGTTCTATTATCATGGTCTCGAGTATGTCTGGTGTGATTGTCAACCGTCCTCAGAAGCAATCTGCGTACAACACTGTAAGACATCACCGTTCACCTTCTCGAGAATGACACAGCTAACCTTTCTCTTCCCAGTCGAAAGCAGCAGTCGTCCAGATGATGAAGTCATTCGCGAGTGAATGGGGTGAGCACGGCATTCGCGTCAACGCAATCTCACCCGGCTACATTCAGACCGCTGCCAACGAAGGCGAAGAAATGGAGAAGCTCAGCAAGGAATGGGTCAAGAATATTCCCNTGCACAGAATTGCCAAGCCAGAAGAGTTCAGAGGTACCGCTGTCTACATGGCTAGTGATGCCAGTAGCTATCTGACGGGCAGTCAGATCGTTGTGGATGGTGGATATACTGTTTGGTAAAGAGGTTATTGCATGGGATGGAGTGCCGGTTGGTATCTGGCTACTACAAGAAGGTCCCTCGACTCATGGTCCATGTTTTGATGCTGTTCGTCAAGGCGACATGAGAAAGACGTATCAAGTCTCTTGGACTGTCCTATCCTCGTTTTCGCTCCCTTCCTGGGCAAGCTACAAAACGGATGATCATTTTTGGCATCTTGGAGACTTTCATTGAAAGCAGTCTCACATCACCATCTTGGTTTATGAATCTAATGTCGAATACCACTGGCTGTACAGTGTACAAAGCGAAGGAAAGGATGGAGGAGAGGGAAAGTGCACGGACTGTTCCTGCTCTTCTAACGTCAATCCGTACGTCCCTACTTTCTCGTCACCAGCAATCAACATGAATATCACCATACATCTTCGTATACGTTGCGATCAATTGCTCGAAATGAAGTCTTCTTGCTGAGGCTTGGTCTTGACCATGATACTAGAGAATATCTGCTTCTTACATCTGGTACGATAACAGTGAGACTTACGTGTTGTATCTCATTCGAATCCCTCCTTATCACGATCTGAGCTCTCTCCAGGATGCGGAGTCAAAGCCTACTGGATTCCGAACATGAATTCCTTGAGCGAGGCCAGCCCTCGGACGAATCTCAGTTGATAAGAATAGTCTTCACGGCCATTGCAAACTTTGTTCAACTTGACAAACGTCCTACCGTTCGCAGGGTACACAACACAGTTATTTTGAGATGTCACTCTTTGTCTCTTCGGTAAGATGGCAAGCTTCATATTCAAGTCAAATTGGGCTCTTTTCATCAGACCAACCAGGAGTCCAAAGTCACCGGCTTCACCGTGTTCCACGGTGTAGTTGCTAGACCACCTCGACCGATGATTGGGTTGTGTTTTGCATCTGAAGGTTCTGAGTTCGACTCAGGGGCTGATAACTTTTGCGCTAGGCAAATGCGTCTGAAGATGTCTCGATCTCTGTATTCCAGTGTATCGCTTTTGACTTGCAAAAGCTCACTTTAAGTGCGTGGCTGTGCACACATATTGTGTGTGAAGGCTCCGTTCTATTGCTGAGGATGATATAACTATTGATTAGTTGTCCTCTTGCTCATGGGACCAATCGTGATGGTCCCGGCGGGTCCTTGGAACACTGAAGTCCCTGAGTTTGACTCAGGGGCGTAACCCTTTTGCACTCACTGCTGATGTTTTGTATGTGATAGTGCTTGCTTGCGGGATTCTATTTGGATTTATCTCATCTCCTTGCTATGATTGCTTTAGGATGTGTGTGTGTGTGTGTGTGTGTGTGTGTGTGTGTGTGTGTGTTTGCTATCGCATGTACGAATTTCTTGCAGTAATGGAGTGTCAAACACCGATATATCAACAGAGCACATGGGGAGTGGGATGACCGATGAGTATAGATCCAACATTAATCAGGCTGTAGAGCGTGTTGGAAACTCGAATACTTGCAGGTATGAACAGGTCTTTCTGCCAACTCGTCGATGCAAGTACATGGAGATGAGATCTAGTTTGGTCCTGATAGTCACCCTCTGCCATAGCAAGTCACCCCTTCTACATGTGCTAGAATCTGCAGATTGTCCATCGCGCCATGAGAAAGCGCGTCTGTGGATACCAGCACAGGAAGAATCAATCAATCCAAGGCTTGGTTCTGACACTGAGATTGGTTCGTTAGCGTTGCAGTGAGCAGACGGGAGATACAAGCATACCATGTCCCAATAAACACCCCGCTTCTTGACAAGTTCAGCATGACTCCCCTTCTCCACCACTTTTCCCTCATCAAACACAAAGATAACATCAGCAGTCTGGATAGTAGACAGCCGATGAGCAACCGCAATCATTGTCCTTCCGCTGCGTGCCCTCTCAAAAGCAGCTTGCACTAATTTCTCGGACTCAGAATCTAGAGCTGAAGTTGCTTCATCAAGAAGGAGAAGTTTAGGATCGCGTATCAAGGCTCGAGCGATGGCGATTCGCTGCTTCTGACCACCTGACATTGCTATGCCTTTTTGGCCGACGTCGGTGTCGTAGCCTTGAGGTAGAGATGTAATAAAGTCATGGATAAGGGCGTCGCGACAGATCTGGTGGATTCTCTCATCTGGCACAGAACTGGGATCGGGTACGCCAAAGAGAATGTTGTCACGGATGGTTCCTCGAAACATTGTGGGTTCTTGAGCAACCAGCGATAGATTGCGTCGGTAGTCGTACACATTCATGTCGTTGATGTTGACGTCATTGCAGGTGATTGCACCTTGTCCTGGGCTCACATCGTAGAACCTTTCCAGCAGAGAGATGATGGTTGTTTTGCCACATCCAGATGGACCGACGAAAGCTGCGTATTGTCCTTTCTCGATGCTGATGCTAAGGCCCTCGAAGACGGAGTAATCTCGAGTGGGATATTTGAATGAAACGTTCTGGAGCTCAACTCGCACTCCACCGTCAGCTTCGGGTATACTTTTCTCATTGCTCTTCGCAGCACGATTAGTGTCGGCAGACGCCTGTATCTCAAAGATACGATTGGCAGCGGCTGTTGCTTGTGCAGTATTAGGGGCGACACTGAGAACTTGACTTGCGGCCTCTGCACCCTGGATCATTGCCATGTAGCAAACAAAGAAAGCTTCAAAGCCAAACTCGCCACTGGCCAGAAGTCTACCGCCATACCAGAAAATCAGTGCCTGACAGCCAAGACCAGCACTATCTGCGAACCCATAAAGTCCAGATGTCCACAGGGCCTTGGTGTGAGCTGCTTGGACATGTTGAGCCAGAAGCTTCGCATATCTCTTGGTGATTGTGCTCTCCATAGTAAGCGCGGAAACTGTTCTGATTGCACCTATTGCTTCGGTAGCAAACTGCGAGCTTTCTGCGAATACCTTGGAGTTCATCTTGTCAAACTGTACATCGTGTCTGTATCTCCAGAAACCGGAGGATAGCATGATGGGCATGGTGACGAACAAGGCGACAATCCCAAGTTTCCAGCTGAAGATCAAGGAAATGACTATGCATCCAATCACGTTGAATGTTCCAGATAAAGCGAGTGCGAGATTGAGACCAAAGACTTCTTCTAAAGACTTAGCATCGCTAGCGATACGTGAGCTCAATGTGCCATGAGAGTTGCTGTCCTCGTCGAAGAAGTTGATCCGTTGGTAGAGCATATCAGTGAAGTGTTGCGTCTTGTATACTGCACTGACGAAATATTGGACACGCAAGCCTACCCAGGCTTCGCAAAGGTTTGCAAGGCCCGATCCTGTAGCAAGGACAAGCCACATAAGAGCCCAAAATTTGGACCTGCTTTTNGCGTCTTCGCCGTTCAAAAGGAAGACCCCGAGGACTTTTGCAAAAAGCCAAGCTTGAATAGGTGTAGCTGCTGCGACTGACATGGCAGAAAAGAGGATACCTATAAGAGAGTAACGATGAGCTCGCTGCGTGCGCAAAAGTCTCTTGAAAGTCTGGAAGAGGGTCTGAGTTTTCACATTTGACGCTCCATGGTGGGTGTCGACAGACTCCAGTCCTGTAACTTGAAGAGTGTCGCTTGTCATCTTTCCAGGCACCTCATTGACATGCAGATCTTGCTTTCCAGATTCCGCGTGATCGGTAGCAGAAAGGTGCATTGACTGAGCACGTATCAAAGCACTGTATGCACTGGATGATTCCTCGACAAGACTCTGATGAGTTCCCTGCTCGATTGCATGTCCATTCTGTAGTACAATAACGGAATCAGCTTTNTTGATCGTTGAGAGACGATGGGCGATGGTGATGGTTGTGCGGTCCCGCGCGATCTTGTCAAGGGCCAGTTGGATGATTTTTTCGGATTTTGCGTCTACGGCGCTCGTTGCTTCGTCGAAGATGATGATTCGTGGCTTCTTGATTATGCTTCTTGCAATGGCAATTCGCTGTTTCTGTCCTCCTGAGAGTTTTATACCACCATCGCCGACTCTCGTGTGATATCCCNNTGTGTCGATTAGTACTAGGCAAGCCTTGGGCGAACGTAGGTACAGCAATCCTATACTTACATCAGGTAGTCGGGTGACAAAATCATGAGCATACGCTTCAAGACATGCCTCCTGAACGAGCTCGAGTTTCTTTTCTTCCGACCCGTTCTCCCACTCAGTGCCGATAAGTCCATTCGCGACGTTGTTGATGATGGTGTCATTGAAGAGGAAAGGCTCTTGCTGAACTATTCCGACTTGAGACCTCCACCATTTGAGGTCCAGGGTTTCGATGTTGTGATCACCAATGGTAATGGAGCCGGATAGGACAGGTTTGACCTGTAATTCAGCTTGCTCGTCAATCACTTCGTCTTCCAAAGTCTCGGGCTTCTTGGATGGCTTCTCTGCGACCACCTTCTGTAATGTATGTTGATCTTGGAGTGAATACCAACGTTCCAGTAGACCGACAATCGTACTTTTGCCCGAACCAGAAGGGCCAACGAAAGCTGTGTTCTGACCCGATCGAAGGCAGAAGCTTAGTCCGTCCAGAACTCTGACGCCAGGACGACTTGGATATTCGAAAGTGACATTGTCGAAGACCACATCTTTCGAGCTGATATCTGGTCTGAGAGAACCAGAGGCAGGTGGCGGTGCATCGATGACTGTCAAGAGCTCGCAAGCAGCAATCATGGCTTTACTAACGGCCATGAGAGGGGTTGATATAAAGCCCAGCGAGGTTATGATCATCATGACCGACATCAGCACGACGATGACCACACCAGAATTGCTGATACCGCCGGCGATGTATTTNTTGGTTCCATACCAAAATGCTAGGCCAAAGGCGCCGAATATCCCAAAGTACTGTTGGTATTAGCATGCTTACCATTGAGTCTGGTGAGTCGCTTTGAAACATACCAGCAGACCAAGTTGGAGACCTAGGAATGGAGCAGCCTTCTGTGCTCGCTTCAAAGCTTCTTGTACCCAGTTATCATAACGGGCGAGGACATGGCTTTGGCCACCGCATGCTAAGACAAGACGTATCGCCCCGAGAGCCTCGCTCGCAACAGCCGTTCCTTCTTCATCCGCCTTGAGGGTCGCAGTCTGACCTTTGAGGATGAGTGGCATAAGGAATGTAACGACCAGCATGGTATATAGTATCAAGGAAGAGGTGACCAATGCCAGGTCCCAACTCCAGATGAATGCAATGATAATGGCAGCCACAATCGTTGTGATGTACTGCAGCAATGTACCAAGGCGTTCGGAGATACCAAGCTGCAGGGTGTTTGTTGTTGCGGTGATCGCAGTTGCGGGAGCTCCTACTGGCATGGAGTCGATGACATGGATTGACTGCGCGAGTAGCGATTGCAGATAATGAAGGCGTATAGCTGACGACAGTCTAATGCCAATCATTCTGAAGCAATACTTGTTGATGGTGTTTAGACCCCAACGGCCGATGAAGAGAGCCATGATGTATAAGGCCTGGCGGTTTAGAATACGGTCGAAGTCATCTCGTGTCAAGGCGGTGGATGCACTGTAGTAATCCGTGAATTGACCAGCGAGTTGTCCGAACACGACATTCATAAGTGGAAGAGTTATTCCAGCGCCGATTGATGCGACAGAAGCGATCGTGTAGACCAAGAAGTCCCATCTCGTTGCATATGAGAAGACCCGAAGGTAGTCGGAGATTTTTGGTGTCCTATCTGTTTGCTTTACGTCTGTTTGGGCTTCTTTCTCATCGACTGCAGCAATGTCTTTCCCCATGTTGCTCGAGAAGTCGAGACGGCGAGTTGAGGTTCGATGGTTGCCAGGTCCATATGTAGCACAAAAGGGCCACGTTTAAGTCCTGGGGCGGCTTGCTCGCCTTGACATTTACTGTGTTACGATCGAGTCATTCTATGTCGACTTTGCTGGCAAACCTCAAGCTGTTGCCTGACCGGTACAGGAGGGGAAAGTGGCGTGCTCTTCGCGGCATATCTTATGGCTGCTTTAACCAATGAAAGAGTACATGGAAAGCTTGGCCGATATTTCTTCGAGCCCTGCGTACACTAGTTCGAGCAGGGGATAAACCTGGACACATGGCATCATGTAGTGCATGTTGTACTGCTCTCTACTTCACCATTGCAATGAAAAGAGAACCCAAGGTACAGCGGACTGATATTACATGGTCAAACATGGCATGGGAAAAGATGGTCAGGAACGGGAGGAATGCTTGACGGATAGGGAAGTTGCGGGGAAGAGTTAAATGCGGGAGTGAAGGCGGAGGACGGAAGAAGCCGTGGACCATGATGATCAGAAAAAGTGCAGCAGCCAGAGCCGCCACGCCAAGCGGACATTTGCTGGACAGACAAGATGAGGGTATACGGAGTTGCCAGAGCGCAGAGCAGCGCATTGCGATCGCTCGAGGTCGCCTCGCGCAATGCTTGCCGCAGAAACTACTCTGTTTCGCGCTGGGCCTCGCCCGCTCTGCTGCGCTCCCAGAATGCTGCCATCACCGAGAGGACTACCGCGTGGCAGCCCAGGAGACTGCAGAGCGGTACTGCCGCTGCTGTGTATGTGCTTGCTATTCACGCCATTTCAACTTCAAGACTGACACCAATGCAGGNNCTCGACCACGCCATGCAGGACCCCAGCTCGCTCTCGCAAACCGACATTGTCAACAACCTGAATCCCAAGGAGGCCGCCCGTCTGGACAAGCTGAGAAACATTGGTATCGCTGCACATATCGACAGTGGAAAGACGACGGCCACTGAGCGCGTTTTGTACTACACCGGTCGTATCAAGTCGATCCACGAAGTCCGTGGCAAGGACTCGGTCGGAGCAAAGATGGACAGTATGGACCTGGAGCGTGAGAAAGGTATCACCATTCAGTCGGCTGCCACCTTTTGTGACTGGGTCAAGGTCGACCGTGAAAACGGAACCGAGGATAAATACCACATCAACTTGATCGATACCNCTGGCCATATCGACTTTACCATCGAGGTCGAGCGTGCTTTGCGTGTGCTCGACGGTGCTGTCATGATTCTGTGCGCCGTTAGTGGTGTTCAATCTCAGACCCAGACTGTCGACCGTCAAATGCGCCGCTACAACGTTCCCCGTATCTCCTTCATCAATAAGATGGACCGTATGGGTGCCAACCCCTTCCGCGTGTGCGACATGATCAACAAGAAGCTCCGTATCCCTGCCGCCATGATCCAGGTTCCCATTGGTGCTGAGGATGAGTTCAAGGGTGTTGTCGACATTATCCGTATGAAGGCCATCTACAACCAGGGCGAAAAGGGAGAGACAATCGTCGAGTCGGACGAGATCCCTGCCGATGTCAAGCAGGTCGCCGAGGAGAGACGCAAGATGCTCGTCGAGACCCTCGCTGATGTCGATGACGAGATTGCCGAAATGTTCCTTGACGAGCAGGAGCCCACTATCCCCCAGATCAAGGCTGCCATCAGACGCGCCACCATCGCTCTCAAGTTCTCTCCCGTCATGATGGGTTCTGCACTTGCCGACAAGTCCGTCCAACCCATGCTCGACGGTGTCTGCGATTACCTTCCCAACCCTTCCGAAGTCGAGAATGTCGCTCTCGACAAGAGACGCAAGGAAGCCCCCGTCAAGATGGTCTCCTACCAGGAGTTGCCCTTCGTTGGTCTCGCCTTCAAGCTTGAAGAGAGCAACTTCGGACAACTTACCTACATTCGTGTTTACCAAGGAACCATCAAGAAGGGACAAGTCGTCTACAACGCTCGTACCGACAAGAAGGTCAAGATCCCCAGAATCGTGCGTATGCACTCCAACGAGATGGAGGAAGTCAACGAGATCCACGCTGGTGAAATCTGTGCTGTGTTTGGTGTCGAGTGCGCCTCTGGTGACACCTTCACTGACGGTACCCTCGGCTACACCATGACTTCCATGTTCGTTCCTGACGCCGTCATCTCGCTCTCCATTAAGCCCAAGCAGACCAAGGATACCCCCAACTTCAGCAAGGCCATGTCGCGTTTCCAGCGTGAGGACCCTACCTTCCGTGTTCACGTCGACACCGAGTCGCAGGAGACCATCATCTCCGGTATGGGTGAATTGCATCTCGACATTTACGTCGAGCGTATGCGCCGTGAGTACAACGTCGACTGCATCGTCGGTCAACCTCAAGTCGCCTACCGTGAAACCATCCAGTCGCGTGTTCCCTTCGACCACATTCTCAAGAAGCAGACTGGTGGTGCTGGTGACTACGCTCGTGTCGTTGGATGGATGGAGCCTACTGGCCAGATCGCCGACAACCACTTCGAGCAGCAAATTACTGGTGGAACCATCAGTGAAAAGTACTTGCTTGCTTGCGAGAAGGGGTTTTACGCATCTTGCGACAAGGGTCCTCTGCTTGGTCACCGCGTCCTGGGTGCCAGCATGGTCATTAACGACGGTGCCACCCACATGACCGATTCGTCTGAAATGTCTTTCCGCAACGCAACCCAACAAGCCTTCCGCAAGGCCTTCCTTGCCGCCCAACCCCAGGTCCTTGAACCCTTGATGAAGACCACCATCACCGCACCCAACGAGTTCCAGGGTAACATTGTCGGTCTGCTCAACAAGCGCAACGCCGTCATCTCTGATACCGAGATTGGCCCTGAGGATTTCACTCTTTACGCTGACTGCAGTTTGAACTCTATGTTCGGTTTCTCTACCCAGCTCAGAGCTGCTACTCAGGGTAAGGGTGAGTTCTCCATGGAATTCAGCCATTACTCGCCTGCTCCCATGCAGTTGCAGAAGGAACTCATTGCCAAGCACGAAAAGTACCAGGCCGAGAGAAACAAGAAATAAGCAATGAGCTTTGTATAATGAGATGGGAAAAAGGATCTTGTACGATATTGTTGGAATGGCTGGGCCATGTTTTGAAGACACAAAAAGTTCATGTTCTGCTGTTCTCGATCGTGGCATAGGGACGGCGTGAATGGAGTGTTTTTTCTGGATGTACATATATACTAGTAGTTCTTTAGCTGCGGAGTTGGTCCCTCGATAGACTGAGGTATAGAAGTAGACTCTCGACTTTTGCTTTCTTCGTCTAGCTATGTCTGCTCTCTGGATCTACACGATACAGGACATTATCAATGTTCTGTTACAGTTCAACTGGCGTGTACAGGATGTTGGCTAGGACGGCATCATATACAAGTCGGATTGGCCTTTTTCCATCAGACCAACCAGAAGTCCAAAGTCACCGGCTTCGCCGTGTTTTACGGCGTAGTTGTTAGACCACCTCGACCGATGGTAGGTGTGTGTTTTTGCACTTCAAAGATCTCGAGTTCGATTCAGGAGTGGACATTATCTGCACAATTAAACAGACGTGTCTTACCAAAGTTCGTACAGTGACATGAGATGTATCAACTTTTGTTTTATTCATATGAAAGTTGTGGGTATCTTGTACAAGAGCAAATTGATGCTCCGAGTCGCCTTCTGGTCTTCTCATCCAGCGGACTGTTTCTCTAATCCAGACCGGCGAAGGAGCCCATGCTCTTTGCGCCTCCAGACTTGTCCTTGCCTTTTGCACGCTTTCTCTTCTTTCTGCGTTTACGGCCCATGTCTTCTTCGTCGCTGCTGTCATCGCTACCCATGTCGCTGTCGTCATCGTCACTGCATGCATCGCTGCCCTCGGCTTCTCTCTTGAGATCACCATCCACGTAGGCGTGCTGATCTTCGTCGACCATCTCGTGCCAGACCTTGATGGTGCTGCCACCTGCTGTGATGAGTCTTCCTGCAACGTCAAAGTCCAAGCTTACGACACCCTCGACATCGTCATGTGTGATCTCCGAGATGACCTTGTTGGGACCGAGCTTAACGAAGCGAACCTTACCATCACCCATGCCCACAGCAAGAACCTTGCCGCCAGGACCGACGTCTGGNGGTAGGACGCGAATGACGTCCAAACTCTCACCACCACCGGCGCTGCGGTCGACAGTGATGCGCTCATCTTGATCATCCCAGACTCCGCGCTCCCAAAGTGTAAGCACACCATCACCACCACCAACGACAAGCTTCTCGCCCTTTGACGAACTGGTCTTGCGTGCGGGCAAGCCAGAGACGAAGCAGGAGGAAAGCAGAATCTCTTCTTGGTCTTCGCTACGGACCAGAACGCCGCGACGCAGATCAGTCACACTGAGAGTAGTGCCGCCAGTTGTGACCCATTGTTTGCTGTAGCCAGAAGTGCTGGTCTCGGAAGCAGGAAGTGGTGTCAGGGAGGAGATATAGTCTTCGTGGGGGTGGTGTGTTTGCGAAGGACGAGTAGTGGAGAAGGTCGAGAAGTTGGCTTCGCGGGTATCGTAGAGGTGGAGGGCAGAGCTGTCGGTTGCGAGGAGGAAGGTTTGGGGACTGAGAATGTGTAGGATCGAGGGCTCGTCAATGTCGTCGGTTGCNGCTGTGTCATCTGTAAGTCGACAGCGATGGAGTCTCCACGTATTGAGTACTCACGGATCAAGAGGGACAGCGATCTTGGTGACAACCTTACCAGTGACACTGTCGGCGCCCTTGACGATTCCATCGGTACCAGCACTGAAGAGGGTGCTTCCGTCCAGACTGTAGCCGAGACTTCTGCAGCTGCCCTTGTGTCTACGCGTACGCCACGCAGCCTCGACCTGACCGCGTCCAGTTGCTGCAGCTTCAGCTTGAGCCTCATCCTCATCATCGCCCTCGACTGGTGGCAGTTTCAGCGTCGCAACATGTCCGGAGCTAAGTCCTACAGCGACCAGGGGTGCTGTAGGGTGTAGAGCTTGGGCGAACAGCTCCGACGAAAGCGGGAGCGTGCATATCGTGTCGAACATGGCGATCTGTCGTTCTTGCCAATGCTGGCAGGTCGATTCGTTGTCGCGGACGCGCTTTTAGGAAACTGCTATTTTTCTATGTCCCGATATAGTTAGTGCCGGGTTTAGGAAGGACTTACCCCAGACTATGACATCGCCTCGGCCGTTCCTTCCCCCTCATGAACCATCTCGGGGAACCTCTGGAAAAGCAGTTCCTTCCTCGTCAAGATCCACTCTTCGTCCCTTAGCCTCCTTTTAGACCCTTCAGTATGATGTCGACATATTCCTAGTGCTGCTCTGTAACATCGACTTCTCCTACCTAGGTATCGTCTCCCCTTTTTCTCCAACCATCAATGTCATTTCTCTAGATCCTATCTCTCTCTTCCCTCGTTCCTATATTTCTATAGATCATCACTAGAACAACACTCACCAATGAAGAAGAAACAAAACCAGATCACCTTTGGTTTCTGCGACGTCAACACAGGACAACGAGTATATCCGGCCCTCACCGACTTGCCTGACAAGCTTCCTCCTGCCCAACAAATCTACACTTCCGAAGACAACATGTACGCTGCTATCACTTGTTCACCGCCAATTGGGCAGCCTACCACTGTTTCTAGAGACCAGGATGCTGTACAGACTCCATCTTTCTATAAATGATCCCCCTTGCTAATATTCCTCTAGACTACTTTCTCTGTCTTGTTAGAAGCGTCTGCTTCAGCATTAGGTACATATCTTCAACCCCTGTCGTTGTACATATGCACTAATTAAGATTCTCCAGTAAACGAAGAGAAGATCAAAGTCTCAATCTGGCACAACCACAAAGGTCAACACGATTGGTCAGAACTTCCTCTCCAGGCATCCAGTGACCTCGATGATGTTGTGAGTCGTCGAACAAAATGCTTGTGCAATATAAGCTTACATTCCAGTNTACTCGTCAATTCTAAACCACAGATCGCTCGTAAATGGTATACTGGCGATCTCGCTGGAAGACCCAACGACCTTCGACCCGTGTCTTTCACTGTCAAATTCCAGATCGGTGATGATGCAGGATGGAAGTGGATCAAAGATCAAAGCGGATTAGATGATGGGCAACTCCACTATCAACAGTCTCATGAAGAGCTAGGCTTCCCTGAATACTTCAGCGGCACAAGCTCCGACCTCAACATTCGCAAGACGACTGCCGATACTCCTGACACCAAGCTGTACTCCATCACGGCTTCTGTTGAGCCCGCCAAAGGCAAAGATTCTGGCTACAGTAAATATGTCCTGGGCACACCAAGAGAGTTTACTCGCTGGTTTTCCTTAGTACGACTCTGGAGTCCCTGGCTTGCTCCGCGCCAAGGTAAAGACAAGTTCCATCTGGACAAAGACGCCGTCCTCGCAGCTTTCCTACGACATGACGGAGCTCATGTTGTTTGCCTTGCTATCAGTGGTGTTGAAGATGTTCTTACTATCTTCCAGCATGATGACAGCGGCAATGTTGTTATGCAAGGTCGCAACGATCGTGAGAAAGAAGGCACTAGCCACATAGTCGTTGCAGTCGCAGATTCTTTCGAGGTAGCGAACGCTGCAGTCATGTATCATGCAAGAAAGATAGTCGGAGGCTACGAGTCAGTATCTGGTAAGGTAGAAGCTGAAACCAAAACTCTGATGGACAAGAACGTCAAGGCCGAATGGCTCGAGGAGTGGTATGATGGCTTCACATACTGCACTTGGAACGGTCTGGGCCAGAAGCTCACCGTGGACAAGATCAATGAGGCCCTGGAGTCGCTCAAGAAAGAGAACATCATAATTGAGAATTTGATTATCGACGACAACTGGCAGTCGCTGTCGGAGGGCCAGACACAGATGGACAGAGGCTGGACTGACTTCGACGCGAACAAGGAGGGCTTCCCACAAGGTCTCAAGCATGCTGTCACAGACATTCGCAAGAAGCACCCGAACATCAATCACATCGCAGTGTGGCACGCAATTCTGGGCTACTGGGGTGGTATTGCTAAGGATGGCAATATTGCAAAGAACTACAAGACAACAAAGGTTCAGAAAGAGCCAGGCGTTGCAGAAGGCGAGATGTTCGTTGTCGAAGCTTCTGACGCTCAGCGCATGTACAATGATTTCTACTCTTTCCTGAGTGATTGCGGTATCACTGGAGTGAAGACAGACGCACAGTTCTTCTTGGACATGGTTGTTGATGCACCCGATCGCCGAAATCTGACAACGGAGTATCAAGATGCTTGGACAATTGCTCATCTTCGTCACTTTGGTTCACGGGCTATCTCTTGCATGTCTCAATCACCTCAGTTGCTCTTTCATTCGCAACTACCGACTAACAAGCCCCGACTTCTTGTTCGCAACTCCGACGACTTTTTCCCCGAAGTACCTGCTTCTCACCCTTGGCATATCTTCTGCAATGCTCATAACTCTCTGCTAACACAGCATCTCAACGTGCTGCCTGATTGGGACATGTTCCAAACATCACATGAATGGGCGTCTTTCCATGGTGCAGCTCGCTGCGTGTCTGGTGGACCAATCTACTTCACTGATTATCCTGGTAAGCACGACATCAAGTTGATTAGCCAGATGACAGCCAGGACCACACGTGGAAAGACTGTCATCTTGCGTCCATACAACATCGGTAAAAGCACGAGTGCCTACACTGGGTACGAAGATCACGCTCTTCTGAAAGTTGGTACCTACCACGGATACGCTCGTACTGGCACAGCATATCTGGGTATCTTCAACTGCACGCAACGCCCGCTGTCTGAACTCATTCCCTTGTTCACCTTTGCAGGTACTGAGGAAGGCAAATACGTGATACGTGCATTTACTACTGGTGCAGTCAGCAAGCCCATGTCTTGTGGCGAGAAAAAAGCTCTGGCTGGTGTCGAGATTGGTATCGGCGGATGGGAGATTCTGTCCGCTCATCCTGTTCACGAACACAAGCTCCGTCGTGGTGGCCCCATCGCAGTATCTTGCCTTGGTCTCATTGGCAAGATGACTGGCGCTGCCGCCATAATTAGCAGCGACATCTATGTCGACAGCCAAGGAAAGCTGCGATACTCCGTTCTCATAAAGGCTCTGGGCGTACTTGGTTTCTGGATCGGCGACCTGAGCAAGGGTTGGAACGTTGAGAAAGATATGCTGGTCTTGATCTTTGGCAAGCAGATCCCTGAACACTGTGTGAGCGTGAATGGAGATATGTTGGAAATTGATGTGGATAGAGCTTGGAAAGAGACTGGACAGAAGGCTGGGTGGTCGAATGAGATTGAGGTCGAGTTGTTCGTGTCTTAGATTGGTCTTTGTTATCTTGATTTAGATCTCATGATTGTTAAGAGCAATTCTGTGCTTTCTTGCTCTCACCATCATTAGAAACCTCAGGTTATAGAAGATTCTCCGGGAAACGTCAAGAGAAGAATCGCTGACCTATTTGTATGTGATCTGACGTTACCTTTGGTATGCGTTGACCGACTGAGGCCGGCAGAGCTGATAGACAATCCCGAGAACCATACCGTTGCCTGATCGACGTGGAGGGACGGCAGTCTATGGCGACCTTGCCATCCCCGTTGAGTCAGGTCAAACGAATCAAGCTTCTCGAAGTGCAAAGCAGACCGAGATCCGAAGCATGAAGGGCTGGCTACCCTTTGAGTCTTACATCTCCGCCGAGACGATCGGCATCAAGCATGGAGAGACGGGAGAGACCCCGCTCGCGTTTACCCCTGTGACCATCAACCAGTGCAATAGATCCTTCGGGAGGTGGGCTTGCAAGCATCACAAGAACGTCTGAACCCAGCACCAGTCGTGGGAGACAAGAAGGAGGAGCAGAGGCATGCAAGAAATGGATAGAACGTGGTCATCAATAGAAAAAGTTGTTGAGCGGTGCTCGGCGGGTTATCGAAGGCAATGAACAGCAACATGAGAGGTACGCTCCAGGCCAACTGCACGATGAGCAGAGCTGATGATGCTCAGGAACTCGATATAGAGACATGATTCACGGATGAGAGAGAGAGGACTCTTTATAAGCGGTAATGGACCCTTGGTATGGCTGGTATGGTGGTTGAAGGAGTATTCACGTCGCAACGGCTGCGTCGCAAAGCAGGAGACGTGAATCAAGAGTATTTCGCAGATTATACACATCTTACCACAACCGTCTTTTCGAAGAGACAATGAAGTTTACCAGATGAGATCCTAGGGGATTTGAAGGAGTCCGACTGCGTCTGGTCCATCAGGTTTGATCAGGGGGTGCTCCATCGCATCTGCTTCGCACTCGAGCTTTGTGTTTCGATTCGAGAAATCAAATCCGGTTACCCACTCGTGCTACTCTTCTCTTTTATCTTGTTCGATGATCACGATAACCTCTTGAAGTGTCCGAGATCGAACAAGCACAGGTACAGAATTTCGGGAGCTGACAGAGGTGTCTTGGTGCATGCATCACTCAAATTCAAACCTCTGAGCCTGCAAGCAAAGCCGACCAGGGACCACCACTTACGAAAGAAGAAAAGGAGTTCTTGAAGAAGCACTATGACGGTGAGGTCAAACTTCTCAGGGCATACGGACTATCCATCTACAAGGAAGATGACCGAGAAGAAGGCCGACGCATTCTTAGAGCTCGGTCTTCTCAAGAAGCACTATGGTCATCCTGGAAATTTCATGCGCTGCCATGGTCTCAAGCTCTGGGACGATGATGATTGCGAAGAAGCAGTTAGTATCGGCAGAGCTTTCATGGACGACCCTGAAAGCGAGAATTGGGCCAAACGTGCTGAGAGGAATTGCCAGGCACACGAACAGATCGGCCCAGTCGTGAACTACGGAGAAGTCGAAAGCTTTCATCTGACTTGCGGAAGGAGGAGCATCGGGAGAGAGGATTGATCTGCTCAGTGCTTTGATGTCCCAACTGATCTCCAGAGGGATTCAGCAAATCATCAAGTGTTCATGTTCCAAATTCAAGCATCGGAAATCACGAGAGACCGTGGCGAAGAAGACAGAGGTAAGAAGAAAAAGAGCGGCAAGGCCAACGCCAGACGTGATTCTTCATTGTCCGGTATACACAAAACGAGAATCAGGTCCCCATCCATCCTCCCCTTTCATATCTGCCTCACAACACCACACCATCATCTTCATCCTCCTCCTCATCCTGCATCTCAGCAGAATCTTCCTCCTCCTGACCACCCAGAAGCAAGAGAGAGCCATGCTCACGAGCCTTCTGCTCAGGGGCAGCGGAGGCAGGAGCAGGCAGACCAGGCAACGAGACCTCCAGCGAGGCGATAGCGAGAGCCTGCTCGCGGATCGGCAGGGTGTTGGGGAGGGGCCGTCCAGGAGAAGGTGTTGGCCTTGGAGGCCGGGCTGCTGGATGAAGGCAGCTGAGGCACCACTGACGACAGCGAGGGTGTCGCCATTGATGGCAGGCAGAGTGGTGGAGGCGGGGGCGGAGCGTGCAGTGAGGACACGGCGGTTGAACACCTTTTTGTAGAGGTGGTGGTGGGCGCTCTTGATGCGCTCCGGGCCGTCTACTGTGATGCCATTCGTTAGCATTCCATACATGCAGTATGTGTGTGGGATGCAAGAGACGGATGATCAGGAGGCTTTCCTCGCTGCAAGACATCCAAGGTGCAGCTATCAAAAGGCATGAACTGATTGAGAATCAGAGATGTGTCCATTGAGAGCATATGAAACATCAACTCTCAGTGGACAAGCCCACAACTCTCAAACACTCTATGCCTTTTGATAGCTAGATTCGGGGACTCAGAGGTGGTGGGATGACAAAGCTTTTGTTTCCAAGTCAGACGGAAAGTGAAACTTACGAAGTTCAATGAGCGGGAAAGCTCCTGTGCTGAAGTCGCCAGTCTTGGAGAAGCGCTCGTAAAAAACCTTCATTTCGCCGAGGACAGCGGCGCCGCTCAAGGGCTTTGTCAAACGCGTTTTGTGAAGATGACCCAGATGCCTCTTCAGTGGAACGGCGCCTGGACGCTGCCACTTGTCCATCGCACGCGCGCAGTAGTTGACAAACGCGCCATAAAACTCCATGCCAAACTTGTGGTTGGCCAACCAGGTGGCGATCTCGGCGTGCTCATCGCACCACAGGAACTGTTTCGGGGCAGGAACGGTGGATGCCATTGTGTTGTCGTGTTTGTGTTCAAGTGTAATGCAAAGGTGGTGGCGCGTCGTGGAGGATAAACTGCGCATGATTGTGAGATGAATCTGTGGAGGCAACAAAGAGTGAAGCGTGTGCTCGCAGTGAGTTGGCTGGTCACTAGTGCGGCTTGAAGACTAAGAATTGGAGTGAGTGGCTTGATCGAAGCAAAATAGAAGCTGGGTAGAAGAATCGAATCCAGAACCTTGTAGCACGACAACCCCTACCAAACCACGTTGGAGCACTTATACATAACACAGGACTCTACTAAGACAAGAGCAATCATGAGAGAATGGTAGAAGAAAGAACAAATGGCAGAAAGGACAAAAAAGAGTAAAAAGAGGAGCTTGCGTCTTGCCGGCGGATAATCCTGACAACACTTAACTGTGCACAATCGTAGGCCTAAGTCCAACAAGTTCAGGGGGAATCATTCCGCTACGCCAAGTACCCGGAAGTTCCTGCTCTCCCCGTCTGATAGGCTGGCAAACATTCCAGGTTATATGCCCTCAACACAGAAGCGGGGCTTGGCAGTCACATGCGATAAATTCTCACTATTACCATCTCTTTCTTGATCATGATTATTTTTATGCAATGAGATGGAACCAAACTACTTACAAAATACAGTCATGGTGCGTATACATTCGTCTACTTTTGGCGCTTGTGTTGTCTGCCTGCTGGTGCGGTCTTGAGAGCCGGCAGCTTCTTCTGCATAACAGTTGGGGTCGGTCGTGCTGGTCGCACCACACTTGCAGGCAGCTGTGGCTGAGCTGGGCGCACTGCACTCACAGGTGATGACAGGCTCTTGTTCGACATGTTGGCCACAGTGTTCCTAGAGATGGCATCCATGACCAAAGGCCAGACTTCAGGAGCGCGACTGTTTCTCCAGCGAGAGGCGACTGGACGGGCGTAGAAACGCTGTAGCGACCAGCTTGCCCACTTTGGTACCTTAGACGTTGCGTCACTGGCAGTGACCTGTTCAAGGTTGGCTAAGCGGCCCAAGCCCTCGGGACGAATTCTCATCTCTCCTACGCGCAATGTCTTTGTCCTAGGCCAGGGAAGGAAACCGAGTGTCTGGATATCCATAGTAGTGTCGTTCGGCAGGCTTTTAGCAAAAGAGACCAAGGCTTCCTTGGAACGGCGAGCATGAGCAGGGACGTCGAGGAAAACATTGGCTATGGTAGGCCTCGTCAGGGTATGGAAGAGAGGGAGGAGAGTTGCGGATGCAGCAATGACTAAGAGATGGGTTAGCAAGAGGCATCAAGAGGGCAAGGCGACACAGATACCTGCAGGAGTCAACCACAGAGGGCTTTGGTCATCTGCGTAGACATTGGGAGCAATGACAAGGCAGGCCATGATGAATACCCCCAGACCGGTGAGCTTGATTGTACCGATCGTGGCAAGCTCTACAGTCGGTGCACGGTAGATCAGCAAGCGACGAGGATACGCTACTAACATCAGTACAGAGACCAAGCATTAATGATGGTCGACTTGTGGTACTCAGGTTCAAGGCGGCCTCTGAAGCAGATGTCGGGCGTGGTGCGGGCCGATACTTTGGCAAGGCTTTGGCGGCATTGCTGGCGAGACGGTGCTGGAGCAGACTCGCAGCAGAGGCCTGTGGTCGCGCAGTGGCGAAGCGACAGAGAAGCCTCGACGGCTGGTGGCAGAGGAAGGTCATGTCATGGTATGGCTCTAGAGAAGGCTTGTAGGGCTAATAGCGAACCAGAAAAAGAGGCAGGCACGATACGACGTTGAAATACGGTCCATCTGCGGGCCGTTCCTCGCTCCATCTGGGGAAGACGCCCAGCCTCAACTGCCAACGCGACTCATCGCAGAGGAGTGCATTCTTGGACAGCTGTCATGCAGTATCTAGTTGTCATGTGTTTTGATCAGAGTCGGTCGAGCGCGTCAACATGATCATCTCGCGAGTAGCCGGCCTGCTGGGGCTGCTGTCTGGAGCACTTGGATACAAGGCTCTCTCGGACGACGGGCTCCGCAACATCGCCGACCCGGCCAACGACTTTGACATCAAACAAGGTGCCCTACTGGCTCCTATTCTGCAACCGCGTGTCCCTGGCACTCCTGGTTCGACTGCCGTCCTAAACCACTTTGTCGACTTCTTTCGGAAGGAGCTACCCGCATGGGACCTGACGTTCCAGAACTCTTCATCGACGACACCCATCTCAGGCAATGACGAGACTCCCTTTGTCAACCTCATCGCGACCAGAGACCCCGCATGGGCAGATCAAGGACATGTTGGAAGACTCGCCTTGGTCGCCCACTATGACAGCAAAATCGACCCACCAGGCTTCATCGGAGCCATCGACAGCGCCGCCCCATGCGCTATGCTGATGCACGCTGCCAGGAGTCTAGACGACGCCCTAACCAAAAAGTGGACTGCTATGGAGGCTGAAGGTGAAAGCGAGTTGGAAGAGGCGAGTGGTATACAAATCATCCTACTGGATGGGGAGGAGGCCTTCAAGGTCTGGACCCACGACGACTCCATCTATGGCGCAAGGTATGACCAGAAGCTTGACATCTCGACTCATGCGTGCAGCTGACTTGTCGCANGATCTCTGGCAGAAGAGTGGGAGCAGACGATGCACCCTGCCACTTCCATCTACCGCACTCCGCTTGACGCCATCGATCTCTTCGTCCTACTAGATCTATTGGGCTCTGCAAACCCTACTGTTCCCTCCTTCTTCCGTACCACTCACTGGGCCTACTCGAATATGGCAAACGCCGAAGCAAGACTGCGTTCCTTGAAACAACTGCAAACCACACCCGCCAGTCCCTTTCTTCGAGAAGCAAACAAGAAAGAGTCCGACAGGTGGCTTGGCGGCGCCATCGAGGATGACCATATACCTTTCCAAGCCAGAGGCGTCGACATTCTCCACATGATCCCTGCACCTTTCCCAGCCGTCTGGCATACAATGGCTGACGATGGAGAACATCTCGATATACCCACCGTCAAAGACTGGGCCAAGATCGTCACGGCCTTTGCCGCCGAGTGGATGGAATTAGATGGCTATCTGCTTCCTCCCAAGAAGAGAAGTCCACTGCCGGAAGCGGACAGGATTGACAGGACCGAGTTGTGAGTAAGCCTTGCTCACGCGCTGCATTACTACCATCGCCACTTGGATTAATCGTGAAACAGGCAATAATCCCCTCTGCATCGCTAAACGTTCCGCTTTTGAATTTCCAGAAGCGCATAGAATGCATTCCAGAGCTGTTGGTTACCACAACCCAACATTCCTCGCTTTCTCAAGCAGACTTGGTTCGGCCATGCCAAGAATATGCAGCATATGCGACATCTCGAAAATGATTTACGACCGACTTGCAGATACTCAAAGATATCAGACTCCCTTGTGCAAATACATCTTGTATACTCGTGCATGTACTGAATGGGTAAATCGAGCTCATACCAGAATGGTAAGACAGACTGCTGCTTTCTACCAACCATCTTTCTTTGTTTTTGGCGAACAGTCTCGTGCTTCGTCCATCGATGTCTTTGAGATTCCCGCATGCGTACAGCTTCCGTTTTCGGAATACATCGTCTTCAACATATCGTGTATATCATCTTTGTCTTGATGGCGCAAACTTCATTTTCTTTGCTCTACACTTTCCCACATCTCCTGTCATCATCCTCTATCCGCTCGCAAATACCACTACACACTTGTCGCCATCATGCGCCGCCACCACGAGCGCCCTCGTTGGTCTCACGTAACCCAAAACCCAAAGGACCCCCGTGAGGTCAAATACAATGCAGAGGTTACTGCCGAACTGAACTCCTACGAAGCACTTGCCATCGTTGATAAGCAACCTGAGTCAATGGTCATCAACAACTTGAGAGATTGGGAGAAAGACGCTATCTACAACATCGTTGTTCCTTATCGATCTGGACGCGGTTTCACACCTACCCCTCTCACGTGGTCTTCGCCTGAGAAGCACCAAGTCGGAAAACCATCCGCTGAGGAGCAGATGGCTGTACTAAACTTCGGTAGACTGATTGGCTCATTGGCTGGCGGAAAGATTGTGCAAATTCCTTACGCTGAGAAGTTTACTGGTGCCATTCCTGTCATGGACACTGAGATTCCTGGAGACATGTTCTATTATCTACCCGCTCACATCGAACAACTCGCGATGAACCAGCAATACTTCGAAACAAAGCCTTCCTTTATCGTCATGAAGGCTGGCGAGATGCCCAGCTATGTATTCTGGAAGCGCAAAGCCGAGTTCCCAGCACCATCATACACTGAGGCAGAGCTCCTGGAGCACCACAGAACCACCAAATCAGGCGCTCCTACACCGGAGGCACGCCCTAGTCCCCTCTCTGCCACTGCACCTGTAGCAAGTCCTGCTCCGCTTTCTGTCAGCATCGATAAGGCTGCAGAGATGACCAAGGAGAAGCGATCTCAGCCAGTTTGGGAAGTCTTTGACCCTCGCCTCGAAGAAGATCCCATCGAGTTCTTGGACTTCTACAACACTTGCTTGCATGGACGCAAAGGAATCAGATCCAAGTTGATGCTTCGTGAAGCTGATATCGACCGTGTCAACTACATCAGCCCTTGTCTTGCACACAACCACAAAGAGCCTGCCAAGGAGTCGGAAGCTGCTGAAGCCGAGGAGACCACCATGGACGTCGACCCCGTGCGCAATGCCCCTTCGCCTAAGGTCGTTGGACCCTCTGTCTCGCAGCCTTCCGAGACTGTTGCCCCCAAGCCATGGGTACAACCTGGACCAATAGCTGATGATGATCCATCATGGCAACGTCTTTTCGCCAGGCAAGACAGAGAAACACAGATTAGATACGCACGTATTCGACCCAAGCCTGTCTTCACCACCGAATTCTGTAACGCACCTGGCACAACGACGCTTAATCCCAAGAAGGCAGTTCTGACACGCGAGTTGTATGATAAGTACTACCGCCGTGCCGTCTTGGCCCATCGCGAGATTGAGAGCCGTTCCAAGTGCTGTCTTGCTTGTGGACTGCAGTGGACCAAATGTACCACAACGAGATACAACCACTACAAGCAGCACCGTGCCGAGCTCAAGCTGTACCTCAACCATTTCCAGAACGAAAATCCTCTTATGGAGGACCCATTGCGTGTCGAGAATCTGGATGCAGCAAAGACTTCTACGATCAAGGGCGTGCCTGAGATCAACTGGTTCAAAGAACTGGAAACCATCATTCTCAATATGGAGAACGAGCTACTCGAGCGTCAGCAAACTTGTCGTATCTGCGACAAGCATGTCGACTTTGGCGACGAAAGCATGGCCGATCATTACCAAAAGCATGCAGACCAGCGCAAGCAGTTGCGAACTGTTGGCGCCATTGTCGGCTCGGTCCCACATACTCCTACTGCTGTTCTCGTCACGAGTAATGGAGCAACTATTCTTCCTACGTCGACGTCTGAACAGTCCTCGCCTGCACTCAGCTACCACAAGCCCTCGACCACACACCCTCTCGTCCAGAAGATCGATGCTGAGAAACGCAAGAAGAGGGCAGAACTAGCCGCAGTTGCCATCATGATGGCAGACAAGGCAAAGGAGCTGCAGGAAACTGGTACTATCCAGTCTACCTTGTTGTCCCCGATCTCGCTTCCTTCGTTGCCCAACTCGAGCAGGCCTGTCGTTGCCGCACCAAACGATGCGATAGACACTACAGAGGATGGACCCGTCCACTCGAATGTCGTTGGCAAGACTACAGCTCGACTTGCCCTCAAGCCTTGGATGAAGCCTCCTACGCCCAAGTCCATGTCGCCTGTAGCTACTGCGAATGATATGGATTTCCTTTCTGGAAAGGACGGTTACAGGGTTCCTACCATGAGCCCAGCCACCAAACGTGCCGTGATGGGTGGTCATCGTTCTGCAAAGCGCGCAAGACCGAGTCCTAAGGTCCAGACTGAATTCATAGAGATCGAGGACGATGATACTGATCTCTATACTGATCCTGCCCCCTTGCTTCTGTGGAAGAAGAGAAAGCCGATTCTAGTCCCGAGGACCCAGAACTGGTGCTGGCTCTGAGCCAGCTCAAGGCCTACTGCGAAGCCACGAACATTGCCAGCAAGGCGCTCGAGAACGCTCACGCAATGGTGGTGTCCTGCTACCATTCAGGCGATTACACGGAAATTCCCATGGCACTACTCCTCTTGGCATGTGTGTACTACGCGTGTCGTAACAACGGATTCTCACGCAGTTTCACAGACCTCTCCAAGACTTGCGGCCACACACCCGAGGAGATCAGAGAAGCAGTCAAAAGCCTGCCCGAGTACTTTCTCGAGTCCAAAAATTTTGCCAGCCCCGCTCAAGACAGCGTCTCGCAAGCCGCGAGGCCAAGAACCGTCAGATCCTGCCTGAAGCCGTAGACGACGATACCGATTTGTACACCTCCCCTGCTCCTGGCCCGGTCGCTGCTGTCGAGGAAGAGGCTGACTATGACCACACAGAGATCATTCAGGCCATTCGCAGCAACTCGGGCGAGCTGGTCGCCTTGGACGACTCCGAGTCGATCGAGAGCGAGGACGGCGAGGAGGTGCCTAAGGAGTTTGGGGCTTGCGAGCGCGGTCACGGCTACGCCTATGGCGAGGACAGCGACGATGACGAGGACGAGGACGACAATGAGGACGGCAGTGACAACGACGACGCCGATGATAACGAGGACGGCGGTCATAACGAGGATCGCGACGACAACGAGGATGCTGATGGCAATGGAGACGCTGATAAAGTGCCCGAGGAGGATGGAGCTGACGAGGGTAATGACTCCGAGGACTTTGACGACAGTACCAGCGAAGACTTCTGGTATCCTCACGACGATGTTCCCGACTTCGACGGAGGTTTTGATGTTGATCAGATGGTCGATGCCGCCACACACGATCTAGATATGAACCCCGAGCAACTTTCTCAGGCTAGAGATGCTACCCAGACGCTTGTCAATCGGATTCGCGAAGACTCTGCCTCTACCAAGAAGCAGGGTCTCCACCAAAGGGAATGGACACAAAACGCGGTGAGAAACCTTTTGTCCCTCGCGACGACGGAGGAGAGGTTCATGCGGCAAAGATCCTTGCTCGTGCTACTGGCAACAACAACCTTCGCAAGATGAATCTCAACCTTCAGCAGGCGTTCTCCACTATTGACATGACCAACGCGTTCATCCATAGATTCCAGCCGAATGTGGAGGAGCCGAGCGACCTTACGAAAGAGCAATGGATTGAGGGCTGGGTCGTAGATCACCTCTACAACCTCAACAAGGTGCTCCAACGTAAGCGCTCCAACAAGTCGCCCACCAAGCGTGCTGAGTTTAGCTTCAAAGACGTTCATCTGGACACCAGTGATCTGTTGAACGGTATTCGACTCGAGTTGTATGATCTCTGGAGGGTCATCATCAAAGCCAAAGAGGCTTTCGAAGAGTTGGTCGCTGCAAACCGCAAGGGCCCTCTCTCGGAGATCAAGTACAAGATCGTAGAGCTTCTTAGAGGTGTCTTGAAAGACACCTACCGCCACGGCTACACGGACGCACCCTTCCCCATTCGACTCATGGTACCTGTCAGGCACGATGGTCTCGATCTTGAGCACGAAGACCTTGAGATTGACCAGTTGCTGACAGATGCTCTTGATTGGGGATGTGGAGTCAACAACCTGATGTGTCTCTCGGATGAGGCTATGAAGATGGCCATAGAAAAGGTCAAGGCCGAACGCGCCTCACCTAGCGAAGGTCACCCTGTCATCTCTAGAACCAGAATCGTGCGTGAAGTCCAGGCATTTGTTCGATCCGAGATCAAAGCAGAGAAGCGCTGGAGGCGAAAGCAAGGCCAGACTACTCCTACCCCTCGTCTGCGAAATGGTCCACCGAGACTGTAGCCAGCCGCACCCCTCGCAATCCTATTAACTCGCCTTGGACTCCGGTAGCTCCCCAGTCAACCAGCAATAGCGGTGTTAGCAGCAAGCGTAAGCGTCCAGCACCCCTGTTCACCCCCGTCTCCAACCGCAAGCGCAAGGGTAGCGACGACTTCTTCCAACCCGGTCCTCCCACCCCTTTAACCCCGATGAGGTATCACCAAGACTGCGCAAGATGCCACGTAGAAACGACGACCCACTCTACCGCCCCGGATCTGCCCTATTCGACCCCACCACACCTCCTTCAACGCCCAGGCCTCGCAAGCGCAGCAGCAGTCGGAAAGCTACTGATCGCAATGCTACAAAGGTCGAGAAGAAGCTGAAGAAGAAGAAGCAAGCCAAGAAGGCTGAGAAGAAGGCTGAGAAGAAGGCAGAGAAGGTTGAGAAGAAGGGTAAGAAGGTTACTTTCGATGCTGCTTTGGGCTCGATGACACCTTCCCCCAAGCCTTCCACTTCTTCACCAAAGTCATCGCCTCAGGTGGTCATCACTAAGAAGGCTAAGTCATCTGTTTCCGTCCCCAAGAAGGCCACCAAGGTCATTGCCTCCGAATCTTCGAATAGTGTCAAGAAGCCTGCTTCCAAGGCTGGTGTCAAGAAGACTGCGACCAAATCCAAGAAGACTGACGTTGTCGCTGCTGCCACAAGACCTAAGCGCCAAGCTGCCATTGAGGCCGAGAAGAGCTTTGGAAAGACGAAGATTGTTAGATAAAGAAAAGAAAAAAACGAGAAAACAGTGGAAGTTAATGGATGTAGAGGTTGAAACGTGGGTATGGATGTTATGTTTATGTTTTGGAAGTCGCTTTTGGGAAGTGGTGATATTGTTTGCACAGTCTTGAATTGAGTTGAACTCCTTTTGATGACGTTGTCTCTCGCTTCCTTCCGTGCCAGTGTTCAGTGATTTTCGTTCCATCTTCCAAATCAGAAAAACCAAACACTTGTGACTTGTGATGCATTCCCGGATCCGGAGGAAAGGACTTTGCAACGCGGTCTTTCATGTTACGCTCTACAGTACCACACGGTCTTCAGCTTTGCCCTCGGCCATCGCCAATCTCAAAGTATGGGCAAGGCAATATTTCTCGCACAATCGGGGAGGTGCTTACATCCAACGGGGACGGCTTGTTGGTGGGTGCGGAAGACCAGCATGTCGGACGGATTTGCGATGGCGTTATCTTTGGGTCCTTAGCCAATCTCCAGTAAGACCAGGAACAGGAGGAAGGAACAGATGGGGACGGTAGAAATCCTTCCTCTATGGTCGCAGTAATAGAACTTGAGAAGCGGGTCGGTCAGAGTTCTCTGACCACCATTCGTCAAACATTACACTTATCCATGCCGTCCTGTATTCTTTGGGCGAGACTCTTGAGAGTGACAAAGGCAACAAACTATACTGCGCACTGGTATCGCTGTCTTTCTGGGGTGTCGCCTCAATATCAATCATCTGAGTCCTGTCGCCAAGCAAACTCTTGATTCTAGGTTCGCGTCGCATCAAAAGTGGGAGCAGATGCTTATGACGGGATATACAGTTGGCGCAAATGCGCAGGAAACTATTAGGGTGACCGTCAGTCTTCGAAGTAGACCTCTCCAGTTCTTCTGCGCAGGGTCTGAGGCAGCGACATATGCGGCAAGCGAAACGATTTGCCAGTCGTGGTCCATCAAGCTTTCTGTTTCTTCTTTCAAACTCGACTCGGAGGTACTCCCAGACGGGTTTGTTCGACAAATCAGTAGTGCAGTAGAGATATCTGTTGGTTTGGCCGAGGTGGAGAGCGGATGCGAAGTCGAGATTCTCGGTTATCTGGTTGACGAGCTCGCCAAGCAGGGCTTCAAAAGCTGAGAGAGCAGCATTGGGTGACATTGTTGGCCTTATTTTGTATCTTGGGAGTTGATGAGAGGAGAAAAAGAAGTGCGACAATCTTGTATTATTTCGCAAGGTGTCATCGACTGAATGAATGAGTGAGCACGTTGTCTCGCAAACTCACTCAAATTTCTGTCGTAGCCTACTTGCCCCGAAAATGAGCAGCGGGCATTCTAGCGATCTTGGAACCACTCGTTTGACAAGACTTCAGTGACCGATGAACGAGCAGAGGGTTCCTACTGCGTCAGCTCTCTGATCATTTTCCCAAACTGCTTAATCTCTTCTCTCGTAAAATCAGGTCGCTTGTCGTCGTCAAAGTATGTTAGATCCAGCCACTCTTCTAGCGTGTATACTGAATCCTCAAGGTGGACTTGGTCTGTCTAAGTCAGTACATAGTACTCTGTGTACCAAGAGGATAGAGGTGTGCTGACCCCATTTTGGCATCGCCTTCCACTTAGGTTGACATCTCTCCGGTGGTCCTCCAATCAGATCAGCTATCTGCTGGAGTATGACCCCCTTCTTTGCCAAGATGGCGGTACATGGTGCGTGGCCAACCACCAGCTCGAACATCTAGTCTGCGGATGAGAACGAGTCTACTGATGGTAACACTTTTTCGACTCACCGTACAACCTAGGGTCCAAAGGTCGGCTCGGAGATCGTATTCATCCTCGAACAATAACTCAGGAGCTCTCACTGCCATGGGAGTTTGTAACGTCTTCGGCCTGTCGCGTAGAAGAAACGATCGACCGCTCTCGATTTTCTGAGGATGAAGCTGATGCCACTTTGATTCTCAGAGTCACATTTTTGCTCAGCCTAGAATCTCGTGCGATCCAGGTCGTTGGGAAGCCTCCGTGGCCTAGCCTGTGTAGGACTTTGTATCTTTCTGCTTCAAAGACATCGCCCAAAGGAACCGGATGATAGCCACCAGCTTCGTATCGATACAAAGGCTCTGCTTCAACTCCGCATTTATGATTAAACAATTTCTTTGTTGATGTCGATTTAATGTGGATGTATGGTGCCAATTTGCCCAGGAGGAGTATTGGAGGCGCGTATCTCGAGCTTCGTTGCCAGGGTAGCAGAGCGCGATAGCTTCTCATCTTAAGCTCTATGTATTATTGCATCAATACATGCACTAGAGTCATAAACAATAAACAAATCTTTCCAGAGAGATCACAGTTGTTTACTCTTGTCACCGTGGACATGATAAATCACAGCTCGTGATCTCACGTGCTGTCTTGTTGTTCCGATACTAAACCAGGGCGCTCAGATCAAGTTTCGCACGGATTCAAAACACATATGCGTGGTAAGTGCTGCCCAAAAGTAGATTTTCTGTAGCAGTAAAAGGGTAGTTAGACAGATAGTAACAATGGGTCCGTCGAGACGCGACGCATATGCCAAGAGCTTCTCGCCCTTCCACGCGCTATGGTCGCTGCCTGCAACTATGCTGTAGCACTTTCACTTTTCATGCATGAACAAGGATTGAGACGCTTCGAGCCTTTTTCATGAGTATAAACAGGTCTACCACCCGAATGACTCTTCAAAATATTCCACATTATGACATCCGCGTTTCAGAGAACGATGGACAGCGAGTCTGGCTTCATCAGCCATGGCAGGTGGTCCACACACCAGAACTGCCACCTTCGTCCCCGTCATTTCCGCTCTTGCTGCAGCTTTAGCAATCGTAGCTACAATATCTGGTCGTCCGTATTGCAGCTCTGGCATCACCGAAGCACTAAAGTCATCTCTGAGCTCCTCCTCTCCATGTTTTGGTCCTTCACTTTGTCGTGTGAAGAACAGATCGGCTGAGAAATCTTCTCTTTGTGCTGCACTGTGCAATTCCCGAGCAAAGACTTCTTGGATGAAAGACGCTTGGCGCGCCGTCCAGAGCAGATGTAACTGTGTAGTGTTGGTCTTACCTGCTTTGGACAGTGACATGTGTTCCAGAATATATGGTACTGCCGATGCGATACCAGTGCCGCCTGCGATCAGCACCACCGAGTTGAAAGACGATATCGGGCAATGATGCCCATAGGGGCCCTCGAGGAGAATTGACGGATTTGTGGTTCGCGTAGGCGATCTGAGACACTCATCTCGTAAACGTTTTGTCCAGCCATCGTAGGGACGGATCCAGAAGGTCAGAGTTTGGGTAGTAGATTGGTACTTCTGACCACAATCATCTTCACCAAACTCGTCCTGTGTATCGGCATGTTGCAGGAGAGAGCTGCTAGCACCGCCCAACACAGTAGACTCCGAAGACCAAGCTCCTAGTGTGAAAGGATGATTCTCATAGCCTTGCCATGTGGTAGGCTGGTAGAGATAGTAAAATTGTCCAGCGGCAGGTCGAGTAAGAAGCGATCTCGTCCTTACGTCGAGTCTAACCACATCAGAATCCTTGCTGTATGAAGCAGTCGATTGTGTACGATGAATGACTTGCTTGCCAAAACGGACATGAAGATTGCAAGATATGAGGCGCAACAGTCGAAGCGTACGATCTAGCACCCATACGATCACGATCGGCCATAAGTATGCATCATATCTCGCATCGAAGATAGAAGTGTGTCTATGCAAGTAAGCACGGGAGATAGGCAACACAGCAAGGTGCAGATCTTACAAGAAGCAACCCACTAGAGTAATCACCGAGAGTGCGATGTGAAGGACTAGGAAGAACTCGTAGAACTTGATACGAAGCCACGACACGGAGAACAGCAGTAAAAGGCTCATGGTGGCTATCGCCNNTACACCAGATTAGTTAGTGGATGACTTGATTCGTCTATTCTAACATCATACCACAACACCAAGTAGGAGCCAGAGCTGAGTGAACTCTCTTCTGAACATGCTCCATCCTTCTGCAACTTGTTAGCCTGTATCTAGCAAGGGAGACGGCATCGACAAACCAAACTCGACAAACAGCCAAGTATATGCAACCGAATGTATGATGGCCAGTATTGTACCAGCTCGGGCAATATGTCGGTGATAAATGTTGAAAGCTTGATATGAAAGACCAGTAGCCCACATGAAGACATTGTTTCTGCCAGCGAATATCCATATCCAAGGAAGAGCAGCGTAAGCCATAATGCCTGTGCGATCAGCGACGTATCGCCAAAGTTGTTGAGATTTATCATCCCAGNNCTGAGAAAGTCAGCTACTAATGATATGAAGACAGAGTTATCAGGCTTACTAGATATTGTTAGATATCAGACGATAATGAGATACTGACAGATATGTCGTAAACGAATAAAAAGCTGCCACGACCACGGTTTCCATACGTGTCGGGATAGTACACCAGTACAGCAAACGCTGATGGTGCGAACCGAAAGCTGGTGCAATGACCAAATTTACCCGTATCCAGATCCATGTCGATTGGACCAGTCGTGCCATCCTGCCTGACTGCATGTCGAGTGGATTGAATGTTCTGTTATTAATATTGAGAAGACGAACGATTGATGCGACACTCAGAATGACACCCCAGAATGCATAGAGGGCGAACCCTGATTGATGGTGCCAGTTCATCTCATACTCCCAAGTCATNCTGTAAAAATCAGTTGCTGAACCTGAACAGCAATAAAAAGAACATACAAGAATATCCCCAACCCGCTGGAAGAATGATTTGGAAAGTCTGATAGGCTGGGTAACATTTGCACCAGCAGGTATCTCATCGAATTCGATGACTCTCATCTGAGTGATATCGTCGTCTGTGATGTTGGCGACAACTTCACGCCAGTCCAAAAACTCCAACCCATCCTGGTCGCAATCTCTGCGAATCTTTTCGAAGCCGATCTGGATCTCTTGATCTGTGCAAAGTGTCTTTCCAGACGCATATGTCGAGATAGTCCGTAAAGAATTCAAACATTTGGGTCCGTAATATGTGCCGTATCCTTCTCCGGTAAAAGTGATGTAGTTATACGAAACTGAGACAGAGTTAAGGCAGTACTCGTTACTGGGCATCAAAGTGCTCTGAATGGTTGCTATACATATTCCGACTTCGTATAACAATCCAAGCAATATTGTTGTGTTGAATATGCAAGAAGCTACCGAGATCCAGGACCAGTCAATCCATGGTCGGGTATGGGGTGATGTTCTCTTCGGGATGGCAAACGGCCTTTGATTCAGCGGACCTCTAGAGTTTTGTCCCTCCAGTAGCGGAGAAGAAGAAGTCAGCATCTTCGAGGGACAGATAGTGATGTTCCGACGGGCGGTGAGACTCGATTGCTTATCAATCTAATCAGATGACGCGAATGATCGACTTGTCGGTCAAGAAGCTGGGCACCATCCGAAACAATCGAGCATACCAGATACTCCACAGCCTCTCGCAGTAGACTCGTAACGTGAAATCGGATGTATTATTGAAGTGTAAAGATGAACAGTCGAGCTGGCAAGAGCACGAACGGAAAGCGCTGAGTTCTCCGAGGCTCGGCAGGGGATCTTGGCGATAAGATAATCTGAATCGCGGGTCTAATCAGAATGCCTAATGAGGTATGTTGTTCTGTACCACTTGAGGGCGGAAGGACGAAACATCAAGGCAAGTATATACATAGATTTAATTACAGACTTTCAAGTCCAACCAATCTCATCACAACTATCAGGGGCATTCGCAAGCCAATTCTCTATGGCTGCTGTCTTCCATCCAGAAACCCACATGTGAATATTGGTTGCATTCTTCTCATCCACCCATGACTCTTCTGGTCTCTGGTTGCCAAAACGAAAGACACTGCTTAAGTGGCAAATTCCGCCACTGTGTTGCTTCTTCTCTTCGACAGTGGTGAAATTCAAATGCGCCCATTGAAAACATGTATCCACAATTTCACAAGCAGCATTGCATGCATCAGGTGAGGAGTTTGGGTCCTTCTCTACAGTGGATTCACCAACGCGCTCGTCTGGCTTTTCTTTTGCCTGAGCCTTCGTGCGAGGAGCCTTGATTGTGTATATGTTGTCCTGCGACATGTTGTCCCACTCAGAGCGCAACTCGGGGAACTTGACCCCAGAGAGTACGTCTCTGAAGAGGTGTGAAAAGCGCAGATAGGATGGAGTGCTTGAAGATGAATTTGTATAAAAGTCATCTTCTAGCATCCATAAAGTCTGGACTTCCTCAGATCGCAGGTGGTGTTGAGTGATGACGGGGCGACACCAGATGCCAGCGCCAATGGGCAAGTTCATGGGCTTATGCCCACTGAACATGGGTGCGGCCGAGGTCAGGTTGAGGTCGAGCTCTTCCTTCAGAGCTTTCGCCACAACGTAATCGCCAAACCACAAGTCGGGTATCCTGGCATCCCATCGACTCGCGAGACCCTTNTTAGTAACACAAAAGTCGTACATGGCGGCACGCGACAGCACAAAGCCACTTCCGCCATGTGCAAAAAAANNGAAGCCATCTCCCTCTTCTTTCTTCATGGGCTCCCCACGGCCCAGATACAGTGGCTCGCTTGGGTCGAATCTCTGAAGCCATTTCACAAGGTTGTGCCACACGATATAAGTGTCGGTCTCGGCAAAGACGTACCACTCCTTATCTGGCTGTAGCTCCCAAGCTCTTTCTATCATGTGCAGAAACTTGTACTTGTCCAAAGCCCAAGCAGCATTGTGTCCAGCGGTTCGCCAGTCAGAATTGGAGTCTTTCATTGTGCTCAGTGTTTGGATGTCGCGGCCCTCGGCCTGATATTCTTTTTGCTTGCGATAGAGCTCGAAGTCGGCGTGGTGCTCAAGAAACTCGGGATCGTAGCGAGAGAGCACATCGTGTATGTGTAGCGAATGGATGTCTTGCTCCAAGTCGGAGAAGAGGAGGAGAGTGTCTGCGCATTGCAGGATGGTGAGCAGCTGCGTCGGTAGCTTGTCGAAGGCTTCGGTGGCGCCGGTCTTGATGGATAGGACGATGTCGCTGATTGCTGACGATGGCGGACATTGAGAGAGCTGTGGTGCCTGTGTAGAGGCTTTGATGGACAGAATGTGAGGACCTGGGCCCAGGGAGGAATGAAGGTAGAGATAAGTCAAAAGAAAGACAGCCGAGACGGCGGCCAGCCCTGCCGGCAGTGGCGCTCGAGGAAATGTCAAAAGCATTACGCCGACCTGCACGAAATCAACATGGGAAGGCACGACCTACCTGTGGTTGTTTGCCTATTTCTCAGTATGCGTAACCCAAGCGTCAGGGGCTGTCGAGAGAGTCCGCCGTTTCTTCTCAGCTGAGACGACTTTGACCGAGGCCGAGGCCGCTAGCCTAGCTTCTGACATCTTCCCCATCTTCACGTCGACACAACAAGATCGATTGACCATCAGTAGCCACAAATTCGGTGATAGAGCAGATTAGTCTCCTCAGATCCTTGTTGCCAACAAGTCGAATTGCATCGCGACGGATTGAGGAGCAACGGTCAGAGTCCATTACTAAGTCCGGCCCGGATTTTACAGTGCCATCTTGACCTTCGGCCGGTGAGACATGCGACGATGAGTGGCATTGTCATATACAAGTACGGATTTTGTTATGCACTGGTATCGCCGGTGCGGTTCCCTTGGCTGTACGGGGACCTCAACTCGGTATAAGACCTAGAGAAATCCTAGAGTCTGACCATCAATTCGAACCGACGAAGCAGATTTCATTATAAATACTCACGTCTACAACTAAACACAACAAGAGGAAAGCCATGTCTCCTCCTTCTCAAGCATACCGTCCATATTTGGAACCGCACCAAGATCCAGCTGGACCTGGCGATGCCCGCCCTACAGCTATCCAAATCGTCAAGGACTTAGGCCTAGAGGGCAAGCTTGGAAACATGACAGTCCTGATCACTGGCTGTAGTGCAGGACTTGGAGTCCAGACTGCTAGAGCCTTGTACTTAACTGGCGCCAAAATCTACATTACTGTCCGCGATGAGCAGAAAGGTCAAAACGCTATCGAAGCCATCACCAAGGATGCACCCGGAGGACAGGCCGTCGAGGTGGTGTATATGGATCTCGGAAATTTCAGTAGCGTGCGTGCTGCAGCAAAGGACTTTATGAGCAGAAGCGACAGACTCAACATTCTGATCAACAACGCCGGTAAGTTTCCATATCCGCCAACCCCTTCGCTCTGACTAACCGAGCGATACANNGGTGTCATGAACACTCCCAAGGGCAAAACTGTCAGTGGCTTCGAAACTCAGATGGGCAGCAACCACTTCGGCCATTTTCTCCTGTTCCAGCTCCTCAAGCCTCTTTTGCTTTCCACGTCAACACCTAGCCAGACCTCTCGTGTCATCACCTTGTCTAGCTATGGTCACACCTTCTCACCTATCCGCTTTGACGACATGAACTTCGAGAAGTCCGAGTACAACGCATGGGCAGCTTATGGTCAAAGCAAGACTGCAAATATCTACATGGCCAACAGCATCGATCGCCTCTACGGATCTCAAGGCCTACATGCAGTGTCTCTGCATCCGGGTGTCATCTTTGATACTGGGTTGATGCGCCACAGCTCCAAAGACGCCTTTGATGACTTTGGAGGTGCGGATATCTTCGGCAAGCTCGAGAAAAGTCCTGAGCAAGGTGCGGCAACTACTGTATGGGCTGCGCTGACACCTCACTTCAACAACAAGGGTGGTGTGTATTGTGCTGATTGCGGAGAATCTGTCGAAGCTAAAGAAGATGCGCCGGTTGGTGGTCCGGAGTATGTCAGTCATGCTTATGACGAAGAGGCTGAGGATCGTCTATGGGAGCTCAGCTGCAAAGCTGTTGGTGTATAAGCCATAGGTAGGATATGCTAGCATGTGAAAGTAGTCTGGTTTATGATTCTGGTATCTCAAAAAACAGCCTGACCTAACTCCGCATCCCTTGTGCTCCTCAACAATTACAATTGCGTGTACCCGTCTTTCTTGTTCTTCAGAGTCTCGAGCCTCCGACTTGTGGGCTGCCGGCGCACCTGACTTTGCTGTGGTCGGTCGTGTGTGGTTTCGTCGAAGCTGATGAGTTTTAGCTTTTGTTGTGTATATGGTTGTGAATTCATTCGCCCGATGATGTATCTTGCTTCTCATATGGCACGGCCAACATTTTCATCGCCTGCTTACCATCAGCATCTTGTGGAGCATTGGACAAAGAAAAGATAGAGCTGACAAAGGGAAAATGAGATAAAAGATGCAAGGACTTACGTGTTAGACTCGAAGGGGCGAGGGTCCAGGTTTTCCTTCAGCACTGTTTTGCCATCAATTATGCGAATACGAGGGGTCCCCGGGGAGTGATACTGTTGAAGGACATCAGGCGCCGTGCCATTGACACGCGGCGAGCGCGTCGACGTCGCACGCTGGCGCTCCAAGTCTGCTGGGTTGGGGCCTGAACGCGCCATACCGCTGAACGGGCATCTGCTCATGCCATCGCCAAGGTGGGTAGCTTCTTCGATCGGACGGCCCAGTGATGTTTTTCCGCTGTCGGTGCTCTTGCCGCTACTGCCAGTGCGGCTTGTGTTGATGGATGAGCCGTCGTCGCCGAGAACTTTNTTGCCGTGGAGATAGCCTTCGCGCTCCTCCTCTTGGATCTCGCCTAGCAGTGTGTCGGCTTCTTCTTCGATGAACTCGGAGCCGTCGGTGTTGTGCCATCGTTCTATAAGGTCGTTTTGAATCCAGATGACTTTGCCGAGGGCTTTGACGATGGCGATTTTGCGGTGCATTTCGAGGCGTGGGTGGGAGAGGATGGCTTCGAAGAGGGAGTCTTGGATGAAGCCTAGACATGCGCCTAGGAAGACATAATCGACATGGAGGGGNTTTTGGCGACCTCTGCCTACGTGCATCAGGCTGTGATAGAAGTGTAAGTGGATGACGTTCGAAGTTCAGACATGGCTGTATCATCGGATTGGCAGATAACATACCCGACTTTGTCTAGATATTCCTAGAGAATGTTAGCAAAAATCCAACACACGGTAAGAATCGGTACTTACCCAGTAGTCCATTCGCGTGCAGTCTGAATTGAGCTTTGTGAGGTACCACCTCAAGAACNNTGTAGAAGGTCAGACAGATGCACTCGGTTGATGATAACGCAGACTTGCCATCTTTCTGTGCTCAATTTGAGCACTATCTTCTGTAGGCCAACTCTCAACTGGACCTTCATCTTTGCTGTCCCTCGTGACAAAAACACGAGCCGTGATGTCGTATTTGAGAAGCTTCTTGTACACAATGTTGACGATAGCAGGAATGACTGCTTTGATATACTTTTGACCAGATATCAAGGCTTGTACGTCATCNTACAACATGTCTGTGTCAGAGCCGTCAGGTAGATATTACCAATATGACTGACCAGTTCCGAACTCCAGGAACGAATGCAACCATTGGACCCTAGCTGGCAACGATGTGAAGATGTCGCGACGGCTTACGCGCTCCATAGATTTTGGCGGGTCTGCATACATGATCGTGGTGTGATTAGAATTGATAGTGTATCCGCCAGAAGAAGGGGTGGGTATAGACGATCAGATCTGAACGGCGTGTGATGCTAAAAGTGCAAGAGGCAACGAAGCGGCGTAGAACCAAGGTCACGGAGCTAACAGGTTTAAGAGAAGCAGGGGAAGGCAGGCAAGTGTGAAAAAGGATTGATTGATCATTGCGCTATCAGCTCGACCATGGACATATCCGGAGCGAGAAATTGACACCTCTCACTGACGAAGCCGAACTGTCGCATGACAGCATGGTGCAAGTATTCCCGATGCGACGGGTCAATAGGCATAAAAGACCCAGCCTGTCTTGCTTAGCGCAGCCCTGGTTGGCACATGGCACTGATGATGCAGGTTGAAGGGAGTGTTAAAGAAAGCTCTTCGGCCTTCGTGATTGAACTTGTTCCGCACGGACGTTCAATTTTGGAGACCAGGGTCCAAGCACCTCACCTGATATCCTGTCTATTCCATGAGTCTGCTGTTTCGAAGCACGCCACTCGCGACCTATATTCGTTGTTAGGGTCAAGAAGTCGCCAGTGTTGAGGTTTCTAAAATCCGTGGTAGCCCTAGCCAAATCCTCCGACAGTGATGCAACACAATCGGTGAAGCTGCTGAAGCATGAGCCAGGAACCAAGCGATGCAGGGAGCGAAAAAGAACTGTCGAGCTCATTTTGACCAGGTCACTGGTGCGGACGGAACCATCTTCAGATTGCCGCTTGTGCTTCTACGCTGGCCAAGTCCAATCTTTTGACAATCGATCTTCCACTGGGCGGTGAAACTACTGCACCGAGCTCTCTAGCCCGTCCGCTGGCGTCTTAACTCTTTGACAGGCGGGCTCCACCCTTGCATGCAAGTAACACCTGAAACATGATCGAGCAATCTGGCGTAAGCACCACATGGCTCATACAAGGGTATCTGCATGCTACTTCGAAAAGAACACCGCCGGCCGCAGGGGCGGCCGCAATTTCTCTGAATACGAACAAAGCCATGCCTAAAGACACAAAATCAGGGGTAAACCACTTCTGGATTCGTCAAGCTGCAGGAAAGAAACACACGGGTCAAGCTCGCGCAGAGAAAAAGCAGACTTGAATCGACAACTGCACTTGCTGACTCGCCAAGATTGAAGCCCGTATCTCACGACTCGCAAAATTGCGACCTGCTCGGAGTGTAGGATCCTGCATCTCGGGAAAGTTGCAATGTTGCTGATCCTGCCACTGTGTTTGTTTCCACACTGTTCTCGCTAGCAGAGGCCAAAACGTGTTCCAAAGTCGTGGACACCGATAAACGTGCAGATGCAATAGCTAGACAAAGCTGTCCAGCCTGGACCAAACCATACCATCTATCTGGCACAAATTATGGAACATGTTGTGCAAGCGAGATAGTATACAATATGGCTGAACCGATACGGGAATTCGGTCAATATCGCGGCGGTTGCGTGATCAGTGATACACTCCAACATAACATAATCATACCCTGTGTTATTACTGTGATTGATCTGCTGATGCCCTCATGTGTGATGTCTCGACGCGAGGCTTCGACAATCCTTCTGGAACGAAGGAGTCCGGCGTGCCTACGGGAAGGCGGAAGCTGCCTCCCGCTTGTAAAGCGGATCATTTTATGGATTCAATGTGCAAGGCACAAAATCTTTGTCGTCTTAATCGCATCAAAGACCTTCGAGCGATTGACCAACGCCCTTTTCAAAGAGGGACATTTCTTGTTGAATCGCTGTGTGTGCTTACCTGGTAAGTGTTGGTTTGTGGTTCAAAACGACCAAAAGTTGATTTTGGCCGCCAGACGCACTGCAAGCACCCCAAGATCCAGACATCGATGCAAAGAAGATGTTCCGGTGCGGGAATCGAACCCCGACCTCCTCGGTGAAAGCGAGAAATCCTAGCCGTTAGACCACACCGGATTATTGAGAAAAATGCTCTTTAAACCCTACATAAACTACGGTCAGAAAGACAGCTTGCTCGCCCATCAAGCTCCACTTCGTAAGGGAGGCATGAGTAGAAATTTCGCACAGCAATTGGACAACTTCGGAACCCGTGTGAACCAGGTTGTGCTGAGAAAAATCAGTGATGGAACATGTGGAGAAGTGTTGAGATGGAGACGTGGCAGGTCGGTAGGTGGATCGAATCGAGGACGGAGCATGATCTGCAAATGGTTCTCCTTGAGTCCGTGGAGTATCGCTGATGTTGCAGGGAATAAGCTGGAAACAAAGAGAGACGAAATATATAAACTTGGCCATGAAGATACCCTTGGTGCCTGACAAACATAGTACAACAGACTGGTTAGACCTGACATTCTCCAGTGTCACATGCAGACGTAGCACACCCAGTCGTTGACATGTTTCCATGAACATGATGGTCCCGGGTTTCCCCAGCGAACAAAGGAAGCTTGGACGTGTGATACGGCGTCACATGAAGAAAAATATGGAGATACAAGTGGAGTAGTAGACAATCATCAATGGCCATGCAGAGTCTGCTGTGAAGGCTGTTGCAACCTCAATTCCTTTGTGTTCCGTCGCGCGCTGTCCTGAGTATCGACACCTATTGCTCTCACCACGAAAGAAGCGCTTCCCTTCCTAGTATATATACCCTCATCATTCCTTTTGAGCATTGGAAGCTATAGCCATTTCTCGACGCCAACTTTGGATAGTCACACAGACGGGTACACACGTTGACCATGCCACCCACATACGCGCCCACCTTTGGCCCCGACGATGCCTCAGACGACGACAGCGAGTACGAAGTCGATACTAGAAGCGAAGTCGACAGCGACATGGTGGCCGACGATAACAACGACGACCCAACCCTCGCCATGGTGGCATCCAGGACTCTCTCGGACAAAGCACCCGACATGACAGCTAGCATGCTCCTGGAGCGCGAGGAAGAGCCCGAAGGCATGTTGCCCAGAGACAAGCAGCGTCGCACAACCCACTACAACTCGTCGCTCGAGAAGGCTATGAGCCACTCCGAGGCAAAGCAATTCTACCAACGACAACGCGCAGAGAAGCTCGATAGTCCCACCATGGGCAAGCCGCGAACACTCAGCTCCCACGTCGCCGCCGATGCCTCTGCCAGCTCTCCGCTCAACCCGCTAAGAGCCAGTAAGAGCAACGCCAGCCTGCAAGCAAACGACACTTCATACAAATCCGCCCTGCCTGTTGGCATTGCTAATGCTGCGAAGCTTCCCACCAGCGCCGAAGTTCAGACTCCTGGCCTCGGCCACTTCGATACCGCCCGCCACTCCTTCTCCCAACAGAACGACGCTCCTTCACCCTTGATTCAGGCCGACCGAGAAGCTCGCGCTCACACACACCACCCCAATCTCCCTCATGAGCAGAAGCCGTTCCTGGAGCAACAGGGTCTACATGGTGCAGGGGCTGGTGTGGGTATGGGAAGTGGCTCTGGAGGCTTTGCAGTAGACGACTCCAAGGTCACTGCTGAGCTGACATCCATTTACAGCAACATCCAGAAGGTGTTGGATCTGAGACACAAATACATGCGCTTGTCGCTACAGGGCACCACAGACAATCCCAAGGACGAGCCTGGCTGGACCATATACCCTCCTCATCCCGATCCTTCGTGGCAAGAGTACGAACAGAACATGACAGAGAGCCAAGACCTTAAGACGCCACGCAGAAGACCTCGCAAGATGGGTCAGAACATTGGTGAAGATTTCGAACTCGAAGATCTGATGCCTCTACCGGGCCCTGGCGAGATGGCCTTCCGTCTCGATTCGAACGGCGTCTACCAAGTCTATGAGAACAACAAAGCCGCCGATCTCGACACTCCCATTGTTCACATTCCCACCATCCGCGAGTTCTACATGGATCTCGACGCCATCTTGACCGTGTCTTCCGATGGTCCTAGCAAGAGTTTCGCTTTCCGTCGTCTGCAGTATCTCGAAGGCAAGTTCAACTTGTATATCTTGCTCAACGAGTATCAAGAGATCGCAGACACCAAGGCCGTGCCGCACAGAGACTTCTACAACGTCCGAAAGGTAGACACTCACGTGCACCATTCCGCTTGCATGAACCAGAAGCATTTGCTGCGTTTCATCAAAAGCAAGATGAAGAAGAGCCCCAACGAGGTTGTCTTGTTCCGTGACGGCAAGCACCTGACTCTGCGGGAGGTCTTTGAGAGTATCAACTTGACTGCATACGACCTCTCTATCGACACTCTCGATATGCACGCTCACACCGACTCTTTCCACCGCTTCGACAAGTTCAACCTCAAGTATAATCCTGTTGGCGAGTCACGTCTGCGTACCATCTTCCTGAAGACGGACAACTACATTCACGGCAGATACTTGGCAGAGATCACAAAAGAGGTCATTGCCGATCTCGAGGCCAGCAAGTACCAGATGGTCGAATGGCGCATCTCAATCTACGGTCGTGACCTCGAAGAGTGGGACAAGCTCGCAGCCTGGGTCGTGGACAACAAGCTTTACTCGCCTAACGTGCGATGGCTGATCCAGATTCCTCGCCTGTACGATGTCTACAAGAACTCCAGCTTGATGGAGAACTTTGAGCAGGTCATCCAGAACGTCTTCCAGCCTCTCTTCGAGGTGACGCAAGACCCTACTTCGCATCCCAAACTGCACATCTTCCTGCAGCGAGTCATCGGCTTTGATTCGGTTGACGATGAGAGCAAGACAGAGCGCAGAATCTACCGCAAGTTCCCTCTGCCCAACGAATGGAACACTGCACAAAACCCGCCCTACTCGTACTGGATCTACTATCTCTTTGCAAACATTTCGTCGCTCAACGTCTGGCGCAAGCAGCGTGGCTTCAACACTTTCCTCCTGAGACCCCACTGTGGTGAGGCAGGAGACACTGACCATCTTGCTGCTGCTGTTTTGTGCTGTCACAGCATCTCGCACGGTCTGCTGTTGCGCAAGGTACCTTTGCTGCAATACATTTTCTACCTCGAGCAGATCGGTGTTGCAATGTCGCCCCTATCCAACAACGCATTGTTCCTTGCTTACGAGCGCAACCCTTTCCTATTATACTTCCGCCGCGGTCTTAACGTCTCCCTCTCGACCGACGATCCCCTGCAATTCGCCTTCACAAAGGAGCCCCTCATTGAAGAGTACGCAGTGGCTGCTCAGATCTACAAGCTCAGTGCAGTCGACATGTGCGAACTCGCCAAGCACTCCGTCCTCCAAAGTGGATTCGAGCACTCGGTCAAGCAACGCTGGCTCGGGCACAACTACCACCTCNCCGGAGTGGCCGGAAACGACATGGCAAAGGTCAACGTGCCAAACATCCGCGAGGCATTCCGCCACGAGACTTGGTTGCAAGAACTTGCCATGTATGCTAATCTCCCCAAAGGACGACATTCACCCACGTTTACTGATTTTCCGCTCTAGGNNATTGACCGCTATACCGCAGCGAGCGACCCGTCGCGCAAACTGTCCATGTCAAACCTCAAGCCCAACCATCCCTTCTCTGCCAACCTTACAGCACCGGGCTCGCCCACCGCGCATTCGATGCAGACGAATCCTTCGNGCGACGAACCCCTCAACCACTCGGAGTACTTCCAAACCAGAAACACGCGGGATGGCAATTTCCAGCTGCCTGCCCCCGCCGCTCATCACCACTACGTTCCCAACGCGCAAGCTGCTCGTATCTCGCAGTCGCCCAGTATGGTCAGTCTGCCGGGCCACAAGCACACCCGCTCGTCCAGTATGGTTGGACACGGCTCGCCTGCCGGTGGCTCCGCGCCTACCTCCATCCCACCGGACATGGCACCCATGCCCATGTCCTCGCTCGACGCATCCGAGCCCCGCTTGTTCCCCGGCGTTGTTAGTAAGAGTCGCAAGGGCAGTATGGTGACGAGCAGATCTGGTGTTGATGTTGGTAGTGAGGATTACAATGTCCCTGACCATATGACGCAGAGTTTGCCTGCTATTGCGCTGGGTAGACCTAGACCCCACGAGCATGATGCGGCGGTTGTTGAAGATGAGGATGAAGTTGGCGAGACTGCTTGAGTGTTGTGCTTGTGAGCATGAGTGTTACGGTCTACCTACAGTTCTTTGTCATGTATTGTTATGCTTCTGTTTTTATTCTGGTTGGGCGGAAGAATGTCCTTGTCATTGGCATCTCATTACGATTGGTGTGTGTTTGCATGGGATTATGTCCCACCCGGAAGGACAGGGTGGCTATTGAATGAGGAATCAACAGACGTCCGAATGTATTACAACAAGAAAGACAATAAACTCAATGTCATTGATATTACTACGATGCACCTGCCAATCACGCCCACAATCCTCCATCTACACGCTGGCAGGGAAGCTATACTGAGCAATAGTAATCTTGTCGACCTTGAAAGTCTTGTTGTCTTTTGTGACAAGATTACCAATAGCACCATTCTTCACCAGAGTAGAAGCGAACTGAGAGTCTGCAGCAGCAAGAACGACAGTCGTGTTGACGTAAGAGTGCTCATACACCACACCCTTGAATTTATTCTGCGCTTCTTCGGCTGTGCCAAAGCCAATAGCCTTGCCAGATTTGGTCGTCAGGGTGGAAACAGTCTTGTCTTCAACGCTGACGGTTTGGATGGTGTTGCCTGAGGCTTGATCGTATTTGTCTGTTTTTTGTCAGTGAATTGAAATGATCGAGGTTTCTTGCATAACGCACAGNTGAATCTTGACACCTTGGTTCGAATCTACGGGAAAAGTGTTGCCTTGAAGTTGAACGCCGTTCTGCAGCGCACTGGCAAATGCACACCATTGTCCGTTTACGTGCGGCTTACCACCACATTGGACGCCTTGAGCATCTGTGGAGCCCAGGACGATTGCTTGGATGAGTTGGCCCTGGTCGGTTCCCATACCGGGCCAAAGAGCCAGACGAGGGGTATCGCCGCTCTGGGTCTTGCCGGGGTAGAGAGTAGTCTCTGCCTCGATGATGTACGAGTTTGTGGCACCTAGAGAAAATGCATTGCCGAAGCGGATGTTCTCCGAGCCAGAATCTTGGGCAAAGGCACCGGTTGCGGCGGCAGCGAGGGCACCGAGAAGGAAGTTGCGGTTGAACATTGTAGATGTTGGTATGTGCGAAGAGAATGTATTATTTTGTCACGACCAGCGTGAGAAGTTCGAAGGTGAAAAGGGCAGAAGGGGAAAAGAAAGTGCTTGAATATTCAAAAGGCCGACGCAAAGGATGAGGATGAGTGAACATATAGTCTTCTGCTTTGAGTATAGAGCTAGAGTAATCCGTGTCTCTGAAACATCTGGTGATTATGGTTAGCGAAGACCTGTATAGGGCAGCATATAACCTGAAACGCGTCGTCTGGAGAGGCGAGCAAGCCCTCATCGGATGCAGATCATAAAGCTTGTTCCACCAGTCAAGAGTAACCATTCAGACAGGCGCAACTATAGGGCTACATTTGATGTCGTTTCACCATAAAATATATCACCGATGTCTATAGATGCCTACCCACACTGCACGCAGTCGTCAAGCTCGCATAGTGGTATAGTCACGGTTCGTGACGAACAGCGTAAGGATGTCGATTGCCGAGAGTTCGAAGTTGATGAATGTTGTCTAGGGCAGAACTCAGCGCGTGGCATTATTGACCATATTGCCAGTTCATATGGCAGGAGGAGGTTGAAGGGTGTTGGGTGGCGTAGTTGTCACCGTGTTGGATAGCATCGATACGCTCCGTCACCGCTCGAGGCTGCCGTTCACCATGTCAAGGGAACATAAATTATATTGACCAGTGCTAACAAAAGAAGAGAAGGAACGAGTTGCTTGTCGACGCTTCCCCAGACAGGAAGGTGCAACGGCCGGGGTTCAGCCAGACCTCGGCCGAGCTCTTTCCAATTCTCGCGCCTCCTTCTTCTGTGACAGCCGCCTTCTATGCATCAAGCAATGCGAACCTCTTCTTGATCCTGGATATGAAACGGTATGCGAACTGTCACCTGTGAGGCATATTAGAGCCGTATCGGTATGTGACGGAGTGATGAGATGGATCAAACACCGTCGGCATTCAACGGGTGATCGACAGTCTGGCAATAACAGCGGGGTCATTGTTGCCGGCCATGCGTGCCGACTCCCTGTTCGTGTGTATCAGTCGGCAACCGACGGTGGTTGATGCCTGACCTCCTGTGTCCAATATCAAACGTGAGTTGCTCTTAAGACTGACATTTAGGACGACTATCAAGAGGAGTTGTATCAACATCGATTCAGACCATTCAACTAGAATCTCAACATGCATACCACAAACGACTATCCCNCGGTCGAGGTCGACAACGAGATCAAGGGAAGATTGGCCTTGATTACTGGAGCTTCTGGAGGTATTGGAGCCGCATGTGCACGACAGCTCGCAGCTCAGGGCGTGCATCTTGCACTTACTTACGCATCAAACCTGGAGTCATGCCAAAGACTTGCTGATGGGCTCAAGAGCGAGCCAGAAAACGCGGATCTCAAGATCACTATCCACAAAGCAGATCTCGCCAGCATCGAAGAGACGACAGCATTATGCCCCGAGGTTGTCAAGCAACACGGACGAGTCATTGATATTCTGGTATCCAATGCTGGATATGGTGTCAGGATCCAGAACGTATGGGAGATTCCTTTGGAAGAATTCGAGCACACCATCAACGTCAATCTCCGAGCTACGTTCTTGCTTGTCAAGGGTGTTGTCGAAGGCATGAGAGATCAGAGATGGGGCAGAATGATCTTCATCTCCAGTATTGCAGCCTATGGTGCTGGCATCAACGGTTGTCGTAAGTTGAGCCTCGCCCCATCATCATTCCTACCATCTGACTGATTGATAAGATNNTATGCTGCTTCTAAGGGTGGACTGCAATCAATGATGAAGAACCTCTCTTCTCGCTTGGCACCTTACAACATCTCAGTCAATGATGTTAGTCCTGCAATGGTGGGAAGTACTGGTCTGTTGCCTTCTCCCGACAGCGTTCCTGGAGTCGTCGACAGTATCCCACTGCAGCGTCTCTGTACCCCTGAAGAGGTTGCAAATGTTGTTTCTATGTACTGCAAGACTGGATTTGCCACTGTAAGTAGTCAACTTGACGTCTTATGCTGTTGCTACTGCTCACACTCATCAGNNGGTCAGTCACTTGTGGTCGGCGGTGGGCTGCGATAAGAGGTGCATTTGCAGCACGGCGTATCAAGGCGTTTGATTTGCAATTTCATTATCTAGTGTTCTTGATAGAACAATCTGGTATCATGGAAAATTGTTACATATCTTTGCCATTCTGTGAACTTGCAGAGAGTATGCCATCTCGAGTGGTACTACAACCAAGGACGATAATTAAACATGCGCATCGAGTTTTGTTCTCGTTCACGCGACGACAAGCAAAAAGATGGTCGCTGGCCAGTCATGTGAGTTATTCGAATGGATTCAGGTCTATACCCATGTTATGTGTTGACTTTGAATTCATCACAGTCGATACCCATGCCCTCCAACAAAGCACCCCTGACTGAAGACGCGATTCTTGCGACCCAGAGTTTCGTCTCATTCAGCAAGAACAGTTCCCCACTGCGGCCAAAGCAGAAGTTTGCGACACCACCAGGAACCAGAATCTTGCCGATCAGGGTACCTCCGGCATTCCAGACATTGAGACCATCTCCACATCCTGAATAGACATTTCCAACTGTATCGCACTTGATACCATCTGGGATGCCGGTGTCTGCCATGGCAAAGAGCCGACGATTGGCAAGAAAATCTGCCTCTGAACGCCGAATCACATCGAACGCATAGNNCTGCCGAGCCGTCAACATGTTTGCCTCTACGAGGACTAGATCGTAAACTTACATGGAAGATGCACGAGTATCGTCTATGGTTCCATCGCCATGAATCCACTCTGTGTCTGTTACATAGAGTGTCTGCTCATCGGGAGAGAAGCACAACCCATTCGGTCGCCCAAATCCATCGGCAACTGCTCTGACACCNCCGGTTTCTGGCTCGAATCGGTACAGCTGGTTTGGCAATTGCGGCTTCGGGCAGAAGCCTTGCTCTGAGCCGTAGATCGGATCGGTGAACCACACTGTCCCGTCCGACTTGATCACGACATCGTTGACCGAGTTGAGCCTTCGCCCATGATAGCTGTCCACGAGCATCTGGACTCTGTAGGGNGCCTCGGCTTCCATGAGGACGAGACCGCCCTTGGATGAATGATCTCCCTGGGCGCAGAATAGGATACCGGACTGGTAGTTGACGCCACCGTTTGCCATTGTCATGTCGGTATCGATCCTCTCCTTCGTCCAGACGCCGTCGCGCTCTCTTCTAAGCTTGTGAATCATGATACTTTCCCTATCAGTTTGGTTCGACTTGCACCTGTTACTGGTGACAAATAGCGAGTCCTGGTCAGGGAAGTATACACCAGCTTCATGTGCAAATGGCAAATCATCCTCAAGAACACAATCCAGAGTTGCGGAAAGGCCAATGATATTCTTGAATGAGTTATCGTAGATGAGATATCCATGTCCGCTCGTGGATGCCATGTCATGTTGCCCATGTAGAGCTTTCTCATGTGGAGTTAACTCCTGTTCGTTGTCAGCATGAAAACAAAGCTTTGGACAAACAAACATTGTACCCTCAATGTTGTCAACTTGCTAGCCATTTTGTGGGCACTACTGAATGGCCCGGCAATCGCAGGCGATTTTTATCTTCTCTAAATTCCGGCTTCGCAAAGACCTCGGTGGCTTCAGATATACTACGGTGCCGACAACAATCGGCTTCTGCTGTAAAGCCGACTCGATCGAAGACGACACTGTACGAAAGCTTCTCCTGTCACAAAAATTGTTCAAGGTCTGCTGACAGCTAATAACACCGATGATGGGTACGAATAGACGGCGGAGTCTGACGGCTTTTGGCGGACCAGGTGGATAGACGTCGTTCGATCATGGGTTCGTATACAAAAGCATGTCTGATTATATCGGTGGATGACGGTTGGATGTTGGAAATCGTGATCATGTGTTTACAAGGGACAAAGATCTAGACTTCCGGCTTCTGACGGAAATCGGCGGTCTGCATCACAAGCTCAACGGTAGGAAGTTGCGATGCAAAACCTTGCTCACCTCGAACCCCAGGTCCTCTTTCCCCAGACCCCATACCACGCGTTCGCCTTTGTCAAGGCCCCGCATGCGCTCGACCGGATACTAGAGGAGCCTCATCGATTAAGAGTGCCATCGGGTTTTGATCTGATCTATATATTCTCCACGCTTTCGCCTTTAGGGATCATCCATAGCTCAAAGTCGACAACTCAACCATTTTCTCATCATGGCGATTCAACTCGAGGGCAACTCCCTTCTCTATACCGTCACCACCCTGACATGTCTTGGATTCCTCCTCATTGGTTTCGACAATGGTTTAATGGGAGGCTTCATCAATGGTAAAGCCTTTACCGAAACCTTTGGCATTGACCTCAACACAAACTATGGCACCAACATCATTGCGCTGATTGTATCAATCTATGAGATTGGTTGTTTCATCGGAGCTGTTACGACCAGTTTCATCGGTGAGAAGCTGGGTAGACGCAGATCGGTTCTGATTGGCGTGATCATTATGATTGTTGGTAAGAACATGAGTTCAAACTGCAGTCGGCCCAGATCACTGACATAAATAGGTGCAATCTTGCAAGCCACTGCCTATCAAGTCGCTCACATGATTGTTGGAAGAATTGTCAGTGGAATTGGCATGGGCTTCATCAACTCAACAGTACCAGTCATGCAGGCCGAGTTCTCGCCCAAAGCAACTCGAGGCAGATATGTTTGCGCACAGCTGTCGACCCTTAACTTTGGTAAGTCTAATCGAGCACGTTGCCGACTCTCCTTTCGGCTACTGACCGCTACCANNGGAATCATGATGGTCTACTGGATCGACTATGCTTTCTCGAAGTCGGACAATGGACGCAGCAGTAGCTACATCTGGCGCGTACCCACCATCCTCCAATGCGTCTTCCTGATTCCCATGATCTTCATCATATGGGTAATCCCCGAAACTCCGAGATGGCTCGCTGCTAGAGACCGCAATGAAGAGGCTCTCGAGGTTCTGACCCGTTTGAACAAGGGCAAGATGAGCCAGGAGGAGATTCAGAGCATCCACACTGATATCGTCCGCACCGTGGCCATTGAGAAATCCATCGGTGCTGGCTCTTGGTCGGACCTTTTGAAGAACGACAGCATTCAGAGTAGACGCAGATTCCTTATTGCGTGCGGCATTCAGGCGTTCCAACAGCTTGGTGGCATCAACGCTCTGGTTTACTACTCAGGAACTCTCTTCCACGAAAGTCTAGGCTTTGACGCTAACCTTTCCGGTCTCATGTCTGGATTCTTGAACACATGGTTCTTCTTGGCCTCCTTCATCCCTTGGTTCCTGATTGACAGAGTCGGTCGTCGTCCACTTTTGTTGTCCATGATCAGCGTGATGGCAGCCGTGATGGCCGTCCAGACAGGTCTTGTCTACCAGACTCAAAACAACACATCCATTGCCCGTAAGTCTTACTCATTCGACGCTCAAAGTCACACTAGACTGATTTTCAACCAGATGNGTGCTGGTATTGGTGCTGCAGCAATGCTGTTCATCTTCCAAGGTGCCTTCACTATCGGCTTCCAGGCCACCGTCTGGGTCTACCCATCCGAGATCCTTCCTCTCCGTCTGCGTCAAAGAGGTTCTTCCATTTCTACGGCCTGCAACTGGATCCTTAACTTTGTCATCGTCTACATTACCCCACCTGCCATCAAGAACATCCGTTGGAGGACCTACATCATCTTTGCTGTGCTCAATGCAGCCTGGGTACCCATTATCGTAAGTTCCTCAAGGTTCACTTTTGTGATATACGACTTCTAACGTGTCATTACAGNNTACTTCTGTTTTCCAGAAACGAAGGGCCTTGCGCTTGAAGACGTGGACAGACTGTTTACCAAGGAAGGATTCGAAGAGGGTTTTGATGCTGCGATGAACGAGAAGGCTGTCGAATATCGCACCGATATGATCGAGAAGGTCTGAAGGTTGTCGAGATCATCTTTCAAGCGTAATGATTCGAGGATCATCTGGTCTGCAAACAGATCTGTATGAGTCATGTCAATTTACTTTTTATCTTCCACTTTCTATCTTTGAGATGTCATATGAACGATCTCCTAGGGCAGCAACAGAACTTGAGGATGATTTTAGGTCCCGTTCCCTAGAAACAAGACTGCCACAATGTCTTCTCTTTGCCAATGACTTATAGTCTATAGTATGTTAGACAAACACACTAGTGCTTGCTGAATTAAAATAATGATCACAGAGATACTTCCAAGATGATGACTTTCCTTAGACACTGCTGCGTTTGGAAGAATATTGTGTATCGATATACTATGAGCGACACGAGGAGAACAACGGCAGGACGGTTGTCAAGGGGTCAGGGACAAGAAACAATCGGAAGGTCGAAGTCAAACACGTGTTCACTCAAGGCCTCCATATTGATTTGTATCTTCGAATGGCTCAGCGTTCTTTATACATATCGATGTAGCCAACAAAGTTCCTGCCATACTTCTTTGGCGATATTGTACGTTTCTGTAAGGGTGTTGCATTGCTGATGAGAATAACTTCATCGAGAGTATATCTTGCTCTATACTCCTTTCTGCCTCCTCCCGCAAGACCCTGATGCTTTCTTTCTCAGGATTCTTATGCCGAAGATTTGCTACGTGATGCGACAGATAGATATTCAACCATAGAGAGGCGAGTAATAGTCGTTGTTGAGTTCGAGAGGTTGTGATGAGAGAAAGCAGATGGATGTGCCGTCGTGTATCCTTCTCAGGTTATCAATCAAGAAGTCGGAGTTCAAGTCGATTTTTCAAGTGCGGCTTGGAAGAGCAAGTAATGCGCAGAGCTGGAATCAAAAGTGAAAGCACAAATTACAAGCAGAAGATGGCGCAGGCCGAGATAGAAAATGATATCCGTTGGTAACGAACGAACAAGAAGTGAAGCGATAACCTCTATGTGGGTTTTCACGAGGGAAGTATACGAAAGATCAGATTGAGGTGTGAGATACTGCTGATAATTATCATATGCACACTCTGATTCACTAACCTACCCTTATATACTCAGAAAGTGGCCCTTATCACATCCCACTTGTAAGACACAAACGTGAATTTGGCGTAGTGGGAGATCCCCTGCTTTAACAAGTCGGGAGTAGAGGGGCTATGCCCCAAAAGTTTTGTTTACAAGAATGAGGGTTCGACTCCTGGAGGCGGAGATTCTGGTTTGGTGTTGATCTTTTGGTCGTGGTCAACAGAGAGACACGAACACGATTATTGCTACTTCTCTACCGTCTCTCTGGCATCGATTGTCTACTCACATCATCAGTCCTCCCTGAGTCAGNNGCATATATGTGCTGTCATANNAAAACTGTGTATTTTGTTTCGTGTCATGCAATAGGGGGTGAGGATAGATCCGTGGATGNNGAAAAGATAAGAAAAAGAAACACACATCCCTTCTCATCCTCAGCGCCTTAAAACACCNCCGATCTAATGCCCACAGACGAGCATGCATCCTGCACAAACACGTCTCACACATATAAAAAAGCGTGATGCATTCATGCAAATCCAACTTTTGATCGTCCTCTCCATATCGAATCCTCTACGTGTCATCCCCACAAGATCTAGATTGGCGATCTTGTTTGTGTGGGTATCGGTGTAAGTCGTTGGCAATATATCAACCAATCGTTGTTCACTCGATGGTAGGCTCAAGGGTAGAACCAGCAAGGATGGTGGCCNNCTGTTCGACGTTAGTATGTAATCAAAGGATTGCAATGGATTTCACTTACCATCCAATAAGACGCCAATGCTTCTCGATTCTGCGAGAAAGAGCAACCTTCTCGCCGATCTCGGTACAGGCAGGGCTGGTGAGCTGCAGTCTGGCAGCATCGGCCTTGACAGCGACAACCTTGGCACCAGTGGCGGTAGAACCAATGTTAACCATGAGGACTTCGTTCTTTGCGAGCTTGGCAACCTTGGCCTGCTTGCCGTCGGCGGTCTTGACACCGAGCAGACGACGGAGCAGGAAGTAGTTGACCTCAATCTCGGTGTAGATAGCGGGGAGCTGGCCACGAAGACCAAGGACGAAACCGACCAGACGATCGGCACGGCAGAGGGTGGGGTCAACACGGGTACCAACACCAATAAGACCACCGGGGACGGCGAACTTCAAGTCGTTGTTCTCGGCGAACAGCGAGACAACTCTGGAGAAGATGGGCTTGCACTGAATCTTTCCCTGCTCATCCTTGCTGACGATACCGGGTCTGATCTCAATCTCGTCACCGAGCTTCAACACACCAGTCAAGATACTGCCACCGGCAACACCACCCTTCAGGTCCTCAATCTCGGCACCAGGCTTGTTGACGTCGAAAGATCTGATAACAATCATGTGGGGTGCGGCGGTGAAGTCTCTTGGGGGAACGGGGATCTTGGAGACGAGGTACTCGTTGATGGCATCGATGTTGAACTTCAGCTGGGCACTGATGGGGATGATGGGGCTGCCGTCGGCGACGGTACCGCGGATGAACTTCAGGATAGACTCGTGGTGTTGGCCAGCAGCCTCCTCACGCATAAGATCGACCTTGTTTTGGAGGATGATGATGTGGTTCAGCTTCATGATCTCAATGGCGGCCAAATGCTCAGAGGTCTGGGGTTGAGGGCAGGTTTCGTTTCCGGCAATCAAGAGGAGGGCGGCGTCCATGACGGCAGCGCCAGACAACATGGTGCTCATGAGAATATCGTGACCGGGGCAGTCGACGAAGCTANNGGAGACCGTCAGATACAGCTAGTAAGTGACGCTGTGTGTGGTAACTCACGAAACGTGTCTGAGCAGACGGTATGTACCAGCACATCCATCTCTCTCACATGGAGGGTCGACCTCCTTGTCACTCTTGTAACTCCTGTAGCAGGTGGGGCGCGGGCACTCCTCGTTGTCGCACTTGTAGACCTTTGCGTTTGCGTAACCGAGCTTGATGGTAATGTTTCTCTCCAACTCGTTCTTGAAACGGACAGTCTGGACACCAGAAATGGCCTTGACAACAGTCGACTTTCCGTGGGCGACGTGACCAATGGTACCGATGTTGATGGTGGCCTGGCGCGAGATGATCTCGGGCGACAGAGGGTTCAGGGCCTTGACATCGATTGTTGACGGGTCGGGCTGCTCGGCGATGAAGGGCTTCTGGACAGCGGGAGCGGGAGCAGACTTCTTCAGAGCCGACTTGGGCTTCTGCTCAGGAAGCTCATCTTCCGACTCGGACTGGTCTTGCTGAGGGTTCAAAGTGGGCGAGGCAGGTGGTGAGACGTCCTCGGGGTATTCGCCGTTCGAGGCCATGATTGCGGAGGGCGCGCGGTTGGACTCGGGGTGGTGTAGTCGGGGAGCGCAAGGGCGAGCGAGGGCGAAATTGGCTATGAGTCTTGCGGGCTCTTGCTGTGACGTGCAAAGTCTCCAAACTCTCAAATTCTGGGAGCGAGCCCAGAGCATATGGCCAAAAGTCGTCTCGAGCGGCTAAGCCTTCTGGCCGGTCTTACTCTCGACGACCAAGCAGTGTCGGCCAATCAGATCGCCGAGCGCCGTCAGCACGATTCTTGTTCTCGCCGTCGGACGTCCACGCACCTGTTCGACCTACACGCCTCCTCTATCCACCCTCTCCCCTCGATCCGACACCGTCAATCGCAGACATGTTGGCCAGATCCAGCCTGCGATCCGCGCGCATTGCCGCTGCAGCTCGCAACACCGCAACCCGCCAGTCCACGGTACGCTTGACACCTCTACACACGTCCACACCCCCAACCAGACCTCGACCGCCGAACCCAAGTTGAATCACGCCCAACTGACGTCTCAATCCTCCAGCGCGCTGCCTCTTCCTCCTCCGGTGCCGAGTCTTCCCAATGGGCAACCACCGCCACTGCCTCTGCTGCCACCGTCTTCGCCGTCGGTTCCGCCGCATGGTACTACTACCAGTTCGGTCGTGAGGCCCACGCCATGACCCCCGCCGAGGAGGGTATGTCTCCCACCGCCTACAAACACCTTCGACCATACAGCGCTGACCATTGGCACCACAGTCTCCACGCCACCAAGTACCCTTGGGAGCACGAGAAGCTCTACAAGACCTTCGACCACCAGTCTCTCCGCAGAGGTTTCCAAGTCTACCAGGAGGTCTGCGCTTCCTGCCACTCCCTCAAGCGCATTGCCTACCGCAACCTTGTCGGTAACTTCATGACCGTCGACGAGGCAAAGGCCCTTGCCGAGGAGAACGAGTTCGATACCGAGCCCAACGACGAGGGTGAGATCGAGAAGCGCCCCGGAAAGCTCTCCGACTACCTTCCCAGCCCCTACAAGAACGACGAGGCCGCTCGTGCTGCCAACAACGGTGCTCTTCCCNCGGATCTTTCGCTCATGGTCAAGGCCCGCCACGGTGGCTGCAACTACATCTTCTCTCTTCTGACTGGTTACCCCGAGGAGCNNCCCCCAGCTGGTGCCGTTGTCCAGGAGGGTCTCAACTTCAACCCTTACTTCCCTGGTACCGGTATCGCCATGGCCCGTGTTCTCTACGATGGTCTCGTCGAATACGACGACAAGACCNCCGCCACCACTTCGCAGATGGCCAAGGATGTTGTCGAGTTCCTGAACTGGACTGCCGAGCCCGAGATGGACGACCGCAAGAAGATGGGCTGGAAGGTCATGGCTGTTGCCGGTACTCTCTTCGCTCTCTCCGTCTGGGTCAAGAGGTGAGTCACGCTGCATAATTCTATGGGGCTATCAACAAATACTGACTTTGTGCTACNNAGATACAAGTGGACTGTCGTCAAGACCAGAAAGCTTGTGTACAACCCTCCCACCACCAAGGCCGTCCGCAACCCCTCATCTCCCCGCACTGAGGTCCACACCGAAGGCCAAGGATTCCTCAAGTAGACGATTTCTTTGATAGGAATCTGGTAATTATATATTAGAGGAAAAATCTAGGCGATTGTCTGGACAGCTGATGGATGACTACAAAAGGTCAAATGCCAGTTTCCAGACAAGGGTTGCCCGTTGAGGGAGAAAATTCCGGTCCTGTACAGCATCTTTGCGTCCTAGAGTAGAACGCAAGGGTGGACCTTCCTTTTCTATCTTCACTTTTTTTCTTTGTCGTCTGTACTATGAGCCCGGAAAATTCGATATGCTTGCATGTTTCTACCTAGACCGCATATTCTACCCAACACTTCACGACCTTGTTCTTTGCGAGTTGCGGCTCTTGATAGACTTTGGATGTGATGATCATAGATTGCCACCAGCCTCAGGCATCGATATGACTGTAGGTGCCTGCGCAGTACAACTTAGTCAGGTAAGAGGTAGGTGACCTTGGTCATTCTGGCATTGTTGTTGTCAATAAAATCATCGCTTTATTCGCATGCATACCTAGGAATATAGGTCACAAGTGTTGTGGAAGAGGGCCCGCATACATCAGTACGACGGTCTCCAAACCGGGTTGGTCGCTGTGAGCTCTCCTACTGACGGTTGATTCGTTTTATGCCATCTTCGTCTGTCTCAATAGCCAAGTCGAATTTCATCAATCCTCGGTGGTGTTGTTTGGTCTTAGCAGAGCTATTGAGACATATCGTCGTAGAGGCATAGTAGAGGGTGTTCACCAAAACCATTTGCTGATGTCTTCCGTCCAAACATGATTTCGTTCTAGATCTATCCATTTTGACGACCCTGAAAATAATGGTCGAGGTTGTAGTAATTGTGCAAGCCTCAGATGTTGCACTAGTGGCACAAGTCGACAGGGCGGTGAATCGGAAGGTGGCAGAATTTCCAAGCATGCATGAACTTTTTCGAGAGTCGGACTGTCGCATAAACACGCAACNNACACATATATACAGCAACATGTCGACATCGCAAGTGAGAATCCAGCTCAGCACGAGGAGTCCGGATATTGAGCTGCCCGAGGACACTGGTCCGATTCTCGTCTCGACCGGTAAGCAACACCTTGAAGTCGCTGGTTTGCGCCAGCGCGATGCCTTTCTTCTGCGAGGAGACGGATAGCTGACGATTGTCGCAGAGCTCCGTAGATACCAGCTCTCAACTCTTGTCAACCGTCTGCTCGAGACCGAACAACCCGTCCCCTTCGAGTTCCTTATCAACGGCCAATTTCTCCGAACGTCGATCGATGAATTCCTTACCGCCAACGGCATCTCTGCCGAAACAACCTTGAATGTCGAATACGTGCGCGCTCTGGTGCCGCCGTCGCACGTCGCCTCATTCGAACACGATGACTGGGTCAGCAGTATTGATCTTCTCTCGACCACTTCGGCAGCTGGAAAATGGGCGGGCAAGAACTTTGCTGGTGCTGGAAACGAGCGTTTGGTGTCGGCGAGTTACGATGGACTGTTGAGGCTTTGGAATCAGAGCAAAGAGATTTTGGCAACAAGTGGAGATGGTGGACACAGCGGACCTATCAAGAGCGTCAAGTTCTTGGATCACTCGCGCCTGGTATCATCGAGCGTGGACCGCAGCGTCAGGATCTGGAACTACAACGACAGAGAGATCACACCCAAGGTCGAGCTGCTAGGACACACGGCTTCCGTGGACAGACTGGCCGTACACACACCCTCTCAGCGCATCTTGACCGCCTCGCAAGATCACACCGTCGGTATCTTCAGCAGCGACATCAAGAGCAACCCCTCAGCACCCGCACATCTCCTCCCCAACCCCTCAAACAAGCGAAGGAAACCCAGCGTCACCGTGCCCCAGCGCGGCGCACTCGCTCTCCTGGCCGGCCACAACGCTCCAGTCTCGGACGTCACCTTCAAGCCCGACGACGCCACAGTCGCCTACTCGACCTCCTGGGACCACACACTCAAGACCTGGGATCTGGCTACTCACAGCTGTGTCGACACTCGCGCAACCTCGCACCCTCTGGTTTCGGTCGCTGCTCTGCCTCAATTGAACTTGGTTGCTGCAGGTACCACCGCCCGTCACATTTCTCTCATCGACCCTCGCGCTTCTGCAACCTCGATTGTCGCCATGACACTCCGTGGTCACAACAATGCTGTTGTCTCACTCACACCATCGCCCGACAATGGCTTTGTCTTTGCCTCTGGTGGCCATGACGGTAGCGTCCGCGTCTGGGATGTCCGTAATGCCAAAGCCGGCAATGGCGGTGTTGCCGAGGGCGGCATGACCGGCGAGAGCATCTTTGTTCTCGAGCGCGACGGCCAGGGCGAGAAGAAGCCCGTTGGTGGTGAGGGTATCAAGGTCTTTGGTGTGCAATGGGACGAGGCATGGGGTATTGTCAGCTGTGGTGAGGACAAGAAGGTGCAGGTTAACCAGCCCAGGTAAAATGCCAAACCAAAAAGCATGAAAGTGTTTATTTCATACCCTTTTCAACCGTCTTGCCTCCTTTGTTCGATTCATGGGTGTTAGTAGGGGAGCACTGCTAGAGCCAAAAAGGAACGCAGCGAGTAGGAATCGAACCCACGATCTCCTCGGTTCAGGGAGATATCAATCATCACGCCGGTGTACCCGACGAAGACCATCTCCGAAAGCCTGTGTTTGCAAGACACATTTGCGAGGCGCTCTAACCACTGAGCCACCGCTGCTGTTTGTTGTTGGGAAGTAGATGATGGCTTGATATATAGGATTCAGGGGCGTTTTTGAGGAAACTGAAGAAGGATGGAAGGGAAGGGAAGGGACAAGTATTACTTCGGCTTCTATGGACTATACGGAATGTCTTGTCCTCGATTCAGGAGTGTGTAGAGGTAACGTAATATCCTTCAGAGGGGTGAGTATCATGATCGGACCCGAGTGTTTGGATTGCTTTCCTGTAAGCGCCCATGTCATTTTCATATCAAACGAGCCCCTCACCAACACCGACGCAGAAGCCAGTTTCGCTCTTGAATTCGATACAACTTCTTGCCTTCTCTCAATTCTCTTGTCTTCCTCAGCTTTTGTAAATCATCGATTCATCATGGATGTCCTGAAGATCTTCTTGCCTTGCTGTCTCGGTGCAAGCCACGACGAACTCATCAACGACATCGCTGATCCTGTCGCAGAGAAGTTCACCACATACACCGACATGCCCTCCGTTGTCGAAGTCCAGTCCGCAGTCGAGAGTACCAGCAACAAGCTTCTTCACTTCATCACTACGACCGACACATTCAACACACCTGCTTACAATGTGCAGATCCAAGACATCATCAAGGCCAATCAACCCATCACCGTCCAATCATCCTGGTGGATCCAGGCGGTCCTCAAAACACTCCACAAGGCCATGACGGAGCTAGTCAAAAAGGTCGAAAACCACAGTCAGGAACTCAGCCCTGCGATGCACAAGCTCTTCATTGAAGCCGAAACTCTCGCTCAAGAGTTTACGAGGTTCACGACTAATTACCCTGACTCTACCTTCTTCATCGAGACTGTTGCGCTGGCTCTCTTGATTGAAGTGTTGGCCCCTGTCCTGCTTGAGGCCCTTGGCTTTGGTATCGAAGGTGTCATCGGAGGTAAGTAAACTGCTGTCCATCCTATCATTCTTGTCGCTAACTGAAGACAAATAGGCAGTCTCGCGGCTAGCTTCCAGAGCCTATATCCTGATGTTCCCTATGGCTCACTGTTTTCCAAGCTGCAGAGCTTCGCCGCCAGATATGGGAAAAGTCTGGTCAAGCACTGATTCGGTCGGAAGGTTGTGGTGGGGGTCATTGGCAAACACGGTAAATTCTGTGCCAAGTTTGCCCATCTCCTAAGGCGACGCATGGTGCTATCGTTGGCTATGAAATTGCACAGTCCCTTTCCTGAACAGAGGTGTTACCCTGAAGAGTCTAAGGTGTTGTTCTCGCCGTGAATGCGACTTCTTTCCAGAGAGTATTGTGCATTTTTATAGCTACACTATGACCATGTTCAGCACATGGAGAGAAGAACAGTTGTCGAAGAAGAGAATAGCGAGTTGACCACATGTTCACTGTGGTTTACGGCGTGTTTGCTGAAGAGATCGTCCTTGAACAAGGGTAAAGCGATAGTATTCCCTATCTTCTTTGGGGACTGACATACAGGTGAACTGATATACACCCTCACAGACTGATGCTCTTTGTATCCTCCTTGAACTCCATCTCCTCACCCTTGCCTTTCGTATCGGCCTTCTCCGTCATCATCGGCTCATGGTCTCCATACAAGAGAGCCGTGAGGCCAATGTCCCTCTCGATCTTTGCCTTGAGCGCCAGATCAGCCTCGGCGAACCCGGCATCTCCAAACAGTTCATCCATCTCTTCCAAAGTCAGGCCCTTGGTCTCAGGCAGCAGAAAGTATACCCAGAGCGCGGCCACGACGGTCACACAACCGAAGAAGATGAAAGCGCCGAATTGGGACGTCTTAATGAAAGGCGAGGTTGAGATTCCAACGGCAAAGTTGTTTAGCCAGTTGGCACTGCCACCAAGAGAAACGCCCTTGGCGCGCATGCTGAGGGGNAAGACTTCGGATACCACGATCCAGGATACAGGACCCCAACTACATCTTTTGTCAGTATAAAGATCTCCGAGTTCATTCCAGGGAAGGCCTTACCTGTACGCAAAATTGCCGATGAACACCNNTCGAATCGAAATTAGCAACAATATACAGAATGGAATGGTAATCAGTCGACTCACCCAAACAAAGACGATACAGACCCAGCCGGCCGCGACGTGGCTCGGCCAGTCATCTGAGTAGGATCCAATAAGCCCGGCAACGATGAAATGACATGTGGCCATTCCGATCGCTCCGGCAAGAAGGATCGATTTGCGGCCGAACTTGTCGACGTATAGAACAGCAGGAATGGTAAGGAGAAACTCAATCACACCAACAACACCAGTAGCCAGTAGAGATAGTGTGTTACCCTGGAATCCGAAACCTTTGAAGATGAATGGAGCACTAATAGCTTTGAGTCAGTCGTGCTCTGATATGGTGAGATTTGAGTCTTACTAGTAGTTGATGGCGTTGATGCCGTTCCACTGCTGGAAAGTCATCGTCAAACATGCTGCCATAGTTCGTCTGCGTAGGGATGGGTTGGTGATCAAGGAAGCATAGTCATGGAAGCCAATCAAGAAGTTGCTCTTGAAGCTTCCATCCTGATACTGAGGATACTTCTTACGTGCGGTCTCGACTTCAAAGTCGCGGAGAGCCTTGATTTCGAGGTATTCGACGCGCACGCCCATATCTTCGGTGGTCTTGTTTCTCAAACGGGCCAATGTTGTGAGTGCCTCTTCCCTNCGGCCTTGATTCATCAGGTGGCGTGGCGACTCGGGCATAAACATCATCATACCTGCTCCGAGGATGAGAGCAGGAAGGATCTGGATACAGATTGGTACCAGCCAAGCGGCGTCTGATTGCGAATCACCAGTGCCTCCGATGAAGTTTGTTCCNTGTCGTCTGTCAATTCTGGAGCTGCAGATTTCTTTCATCGGTATGCACTCACCATATCCGATCCAGAAGGAAATCATGATGCCGAAAGTGATGGCAAGCTGTTGCACTGCTACCAAAGATCCTCGAATTTCAGGNGGCGAAAGCTCGGCGTTGTACAGTGGGACGACCATCGACAGAGATCCGACACCTAATCCAGTAACGAAACGACCTGCAAGAACATAGTCTTTATTGACAGTGCAGGCCTGAACAACAACACCGATGGTGAACACACAGCAGGCAATTAGTGCACACCAACGTCTTCCGACAGCATCGGCCAGATAGCCATTGATGAGAGTTCCAACCCAGGCACCGAGTTCCAAAATCGAAGTCAGTAAACCTTGGGCAAGACCAACTCCACTAGCATAATTGTTGGTCNNTGAGAAACTCATTAACATAGATGCACATGCTTGGAAGTTCGTGTTACTTGCAGCTCTGATAAAGGAATTCATGGTCAAGACCTGGGCGAACATGCCCTGATTGTAGCCATATACGAAACCACCAAGCGAGGCAAAGAAGGCAATGCCAGTGGTCTTGCCTGATGCAATGATACCCTTGATGCCTGGTGGACCTGAGAGGCGAGCTCTCGCGGCGGACAGAGGAGCACCTCCATCTACTGGCGCCATGATTGAAAATGTGTATGGAGGATGTTTGTGGAGGAGGTATGGGGTTACGATTCTCCCCCATATGGAGAGAAGTGTCGACCCTTTTAATACATGATAACAGTGGGTCCTACTAGGTAGGATCGATCAGCAATGTTGTTCCAGAGATGACCGGCCTCGTTGTTGCATTTTGCCTGAAGACGATTGGCCTTCGATAGCATGCGTTTCAACATGGTTCCGATAAACAGCGGGCACTGCGCAACGACTTGAATGCTGAGGCCACCGACATATCGTCAGTGCACCAAGGGGAGTCTGGATAAATCATTCGAGTCCGCAATTGTCAATTTAGCCAGATCCCGAAGCCCGGGACTCCACCCAAGTCACCAGTTGAGTTGGAGATATGGAGGAGAAAGACCCACGCTGTTCATATCTTCGCATAGAGTTGTAGACACAACAAGCTGCTCTCCAAAGTCTGTCTTCCGAACTTGCCGCAGGATGCGACCAAATTGCAAACTGATAGCTTGGCAAACAGTGCCGTCGGTGTGGCGGTGATGCTTCATGCAGCCTGAAAGCCACCAAACGCTTTCCGCCCTCGTGCTATTCGTTCATCTGCGTTGCCGGCATTGCTTGGTAGCGGACAAGGCGGCATGGCTTGAGGTCGGCGGCGTTGTCGTTGTCTCAAGACTTCACGGCAGTTCGGCAGTGAGTGCCCTTTGTCAGTGCATCAAACCATCTCACGACGTCAACTGGTGTCTTGTACTTGAAGATGTGCATCTGGATGAAGAGCCACCGAGAAGGAAAGTTGAAGCGGTCTGGTAGGTTCGATCCTTTCAGTGATCTATACCGCACGTGGTGTGCAACTTCGAGGTCTACAGTACAAACGTGGCTCCGGAAGCTTTCGTATCCGGGACAGTATTGCGACCTTCAAACCACATTTTTGAGCAGTCTTCATTCCTCCTTACAACTTGGGATTGTTGTCGGCAAGCTCGGAGTGCTCGCTACTCGGTGCAGTTTGATTTATCCGCCCGATCTGCCGCACGCGTGGAACGTGTAGACGGAATTAGGTGTGACTGATGCTAAACTCCGTCCTTCGAGATCGACCACCAACAGCAGTCAACATAGGTAATATTCGAGTACTGGCACGATTCTCTAGATCCCGACATTTTGGCAGTCTCGTATAGTATCTGGCAGACATGTTGTTCCACTGTGTACATGATTGAGGTTTGGGAAAGGGTGCTGGGCTCATTTCTGTACAGTTCAAACCCAGTTGCAAAGTTTCAGATCATGTTTTGTATTTTTCGGCTATCTAGCTCGGCACAACAGGTATAGTTAGATTTTATATCGCTCAAGAGCTTTAATGAACCCCTAACCATCATGATATCCACCTGAATGTATTAAAATGATTTTGGGGGCGCTGCTACGTGCACGTCGGCCTCAAAATTGGTTGTCAGCAGTGGCACCCTGCCTGAAGCCTGGTGACGTCAATGCATAAATTTATGCATATCCATCAGACTGGAACGCGTCGACTTTCGCGTTGTTGGTGCAGTTTCTCCAACTTGACAGCAGCTAAACAAGATCAGATTCTGATGCTCGACAACAGAACTCCTCGTATTGTGCAAAGAGAGGGTTTGACAGGATGACTCAAAGCGGGGATGTCAGGCGCTTCCTTTCCTCCGCATTTCACATCTTACGAGACAGCAGCTGTTGATCTCGTAAGCAGCACTTGCACCAGAAACCATCTCCTCAGTCATACCGGACGCGTGTGAGCTTTTACAAGTCCATACACTGACCATTCAATCGTGTATCGCTGCTCTGCAAATATGACTTTCTACCAGGCAACGGACTTCCACGAAGGTGAGAAGTTGATGCAGAAGAAACTACGTGTGCCCGAGATGGACAACCCAACCATTCCAATGCTTTCACCTCAACTGTCCACTATGCTCCAAAGAGCGCCACTGCTGGCGTTCGGCACTCTAGATCCTGAAGGACGACCTTGGACGACTGTATGGGGCGGTCGTAAGGGATTCTCTCAACCTCTTGGAAACAGCATGGTCGGCATACGAACCTCGGTGGCATCCAAGCTGGATCCGGTAGTAGAGGTATTGGTCGGTCGAGATGCAAAGGGCGAAATCGTAAAGGAAGAGGGAGAAGGGAGATTGCTCAGCGGACTGGCTATTGACTTGGACACTAGGAAGAGGGTCAAGCTTGCTGGAAAAATGGTGGCAGGCACCCTTGGTAGTACTGATGGAGAAGATGGTACATATGCGAATGTACAACAAGGTGTACTACAACTGGTCGCACGCATTGATGAAAGCTTAGGTAGGTTCGACTAATTAATACTAATCATGACGAGCTAACACAGAACAANNGGAAACTGTCCAAAGTATCTTAACAGACGCGACATATCACCAGCGAGCACCAATCCTAGACTCGTCTCGGACTCCGTACCGTTAGACGAGAGAGCTGTTGAGCTCATACACAAAGTCGATCTGATGTTTCTCAGCACAAGCAGCGGATCTAGCATGGACACCAATCATAGAGGCGGCCCTCCAGGTTTTGTACGCTGTGTGTCGCAAGATGGCCGCTGTACACAATTCATCTATCCTGACTATTCCGGGAACCGCCTCTACCAAAGTTTAGGTAACCTGATGCTTGAACCGAAGGCTGGCTTCTGCTTTCCAGACTTCGATACTGGCGACTGTCTCTTCGTGACTGGTCACGCGGAGGTTCTCTTTGGACAGGACGCAGCAGAAGTTATGCCTCGCTCAAACTTGGCAGTCCGAGTAACTATCACAGCGGCTCGTCTTGTAGCATCAGTACTTCCATTTCGTGGCAACACTGGCGAGTTCTCTCCCTACAATCCACTTGTGAGATATCTGTCCAGCGAACAAGCGAGCAGCAGGACCGAGGGACAGAATACCAACCAGAACACCGCGAAGCTGTTGACCCAGACACCGCTTACCCCAACGATCTCGCGCTTTAGGTTCAGCTTGTCGAATGCAGTGACCTACACCGCCGGTCAGTATGTTACCATTGATGTTTCGGAGCACATGGACTTCGGATACAGCCATATGCGTGATGATGACCCCAGAAGCCTGAATGACGATTTCGTTCGCACATTCACTGTGTCCTCTCCACCTGGTCTGCGACCTCATCCAAGCAAACGTCTTGGTGACGATGAGTTTGAGATCACAATACGGAAGGTCGGAGTCGTGACCGATTTCTTGTTCAAACATGGACTAGACACCAGAGCAAAGGGCTCTGAGCTAGAAGTTGGGATCAAGGGCTTTGGAGGCTCGTTTATGGTGGAGCAGACTGAGGACAAGACAGCTATTGCATTCATTGCCGCCGGAGTAGGCATCACGCCATTGATGGCTTGTATGTACTCACTCAAGCTGGATTCTTTTCGACTATTCTGGACACTGCGGGCAGTTGATCTAGGTCTTGCTGTGGATGTGCTTGAAGGATTGCAAGATCTGGCCTCAAGTCTTACTCTGTTCGTCACAGGCATCCTTCCTGAAAATGAAGAGCAGAAGGCAGGGATTGAGAAGCTCAATGATTACGGTGTACGGATTGCGCATCGTCGTATGGAGAAGAGCGATCTCGAAGGGCTGACGCCGAAGATCGAAAGATGGTATGTCTGCACGAGTCAGAGGAGCGCCATCCTGCAATGGTTGAGTGGACAGGAGGTAGTTTATGAGGATTATAACTTCTGAAGTGTTCGGATATCCTTTTCGAATTGGTACAAAGGTAGCGAGCACTGAACGCCATAATGAAGAGTATCAAATGCAGCGCATTTGCGTATGTCAATATTACAACAAGGTACAGATGAGCATGGCGACTGTGCCAGCTGGGTAGCCAAGAGACCAGGTGCTGCAAACAAAACATTCGTTTGGCCGAGCATGAGAATGGGAAAAGGCACCACTTGCGAGCGTGCATGGTGAGGTAGTACTCACCAGCGCTTCTCCACATCGAGTCAGATACGGATGACATGATTAGGTGGGGAGACAGGTATATTGGAGCGGAGGATTGACGGTGAACAACGAGCCCTGCGTCCACACGATCAAGGGCATTTTGACGGATTACCATCGCGGCATGTGTCTTGATCTGGACGAGTGGGAGCTGGCAAGACAGATCGCATGGAGTCAGAGATTCTAACCAATGTTCTCTTGCTTGCGCGGTATGAAGGATTCTCGGTCTCGGTCCGATGATCTGCGAGAATGTTACTTAAGATCGTATAGAACGCATAGGATTACCTTCAGAAGCAGAAGGCTCCAAGGTTGGTGAACGGCTGACACATACATTGCATAAAGAACGCAACAAACTTTCTTTGCACCACCAACGCACTAGCCTCAACAAGAAGCATTCCCCGACGACACACCCTTTGCTCTGTATAAGGCGCCAAATCATCATCATTCTGCGACCGTTTAGATTGCTTGTGCGCTCTTGAGGATTCTCTCGTACGAAACACCCCCAGCTGGCAATGTAACATCGCAATGCGCTGGCTGGCTGGGAACGCGTGGTTGTCCCGAGACGGGACGTCTTTCGTACGTACGACAAGCAGAGTTCACGATGGTGCTGTCGGGCTATGATTCTCAGCTGGTAGTTGCAGGTGCGAGCCGCTGTACTGCCATGTAGGTGAACTGGTATATACGGTGCTTCGCTCCTTCCTCTTCCCCTGCGATCTTCTGCCGTGCTGTTTTCTTCCTCAATACCGAAAGACCCTCAACACGCCCACATGAGTACCCTGTCTCAACTTCCAGAAGCTATACCTCTGCCTCGCGCACCGCCTTTTGAATCACCCTGGGTGGACACCGCGACTGATATGACGAGGCTGGCTCCCGAATATGGCACAAGGTTGTTGCCCACTCTCATCGATGATATTGCTACGACTACTCCAAATCGTGTCTATGCTTCCATACCACGAGACGACGCAGACATGTCCAAAGGGTTCAGAGACATCACATACGCCGACTTTGCACGAGCAATAGATGCACTATCCTGGTGGCTGGACGAAACTCTCGGCAAAGCTGATGGCACATTTCCTACATTCGCATATTTCGGATCCAGAGATCTTGGATACGCTGTTGTAGTAGTGGCAGCTGCAAAAGTAGGCAGAAAAGTGCTACTGGCTTCTCATCTCGCATCACCAGATGCTCACCTTTTCCTTCTTGACTCGCTGTTATGCACTGCCGTGATATATGCTTCTGAGATGGCCGCGCTGGCACAATCTTTGCAAGCAAAATTCCCAGGTGCCAAATATATCAGTACTACGTCTTTAGGCGAGTTTCTGACCGAGCCGAGTCTTTCGGCCAATTGCGAACGATACGCCTATTCGAAACCATACTCTAAAGCCCTTTCAGACCCTGTGATGGTGGTACATACGTCTGGAACGACAGGACTGCCCAAGCCCGTGATTTGGACCAACGATATGCTGTGTTCGGTTGACAGATTACATACTCTGCCAGGCAGTGTGGTGACACAGATGGCAGGACAGAGCATCTATTGCGCATTACCTGTGTTCCACACTTCTGGCATGACGGCCAGTCTTCTCACACCCGTTTTCCTCAGCACAATCATCATCTTGGGACCTGCCGGTGTTCGACCTGACAAGCAAACTGTGCTCGATGTGTTGCGCAATGCACCCGTCAGCGCAGCATCTTTTCCTCCAAGCCTCTTGGAAGAACTCATCGCAGACCCCGTGTGCCGCAAAGCTCTCAAACAACTCAAGAAGATCGTGTATGGTGGAGCTCCGGTATCCGCATGGGCCAACCGCATCATAGCCTCCGAGTTCAACGGCACCGTGTCATCAGCACTCGGTAGCACGGAAGGAGGACTCTGGCTCACAGGCTCGTCACCCGACCCAGCAGACCAAGGCTACTTCCTGATCCATCCATTCATGGCACCATATTTCCGGCACACAGAGGCAGATCTCTACGAACTTGTCATAAAGCGTACACCGCAGTCAGAGGCCTATACGAACTTCTTCCGCTGCATCGACAGTACGCCACCACATCTGGCAGCACATTTTAGCTTCGATAAGAAAGAGTCTATAGATGAATTCAGGACGAAAGACCTGTTTTCACCGCACCCAAGCAAGCCAGGACTTTGGAAGTACAGATGTCGAAAGGATGATCTGGTACTTCTGAGTGGCGAGGTCAAGATGTATGCTGGTGCTATCGAGGAGGCCATCTCAGCACATCCAGAAATTGGCGCTGTCCTAGTAGGCGGCCAATATCGAAGCAGACCATTCCTACTGGTCGAAGCTGCCACGCCGATCACTACCAATGAGCAGAAAGCAGAGTTTGTGGATAATATCTGGCCGGCAGTGGAAGCCGAGAATGAGAAACATCATGCATCTGTAAGATTGCAGAAGGAGCTGGTGGTCATTGTGGGTTCCGAGAAAAAGATGACACGAACGCCAAAAGGGACTGTAGATCGCAAAGCGACATTGTCAGCGTTTGAGAGCGAGATTGACGAGTTGTACACATCTTGGTCAAAGTTGTAGATAGTCACACTCAACCGCTGAAAATTACAACAGTTTCACGATGTCGAGCATTAATAAGTGTAAGAAGTTCCTGATTTGGTGGAATGGTCTTTGATTCTCCATGGATCCCATCCATCTTGTAAGCCAACGCCGCGCGCCATGCATCAAAAGCCGTGCCGGATATGATTAAAATACAACCATCTTCTTTTCCCGATCCCTATTGAAAGGGTAGAGAATATTTCCTTCGTCGTAAACACATGTAAAAAAAAAGCAAGAGAGCCAGATATCGAAACGCTCTAATCCTGCTTGAGAGGCACATATCTCTCTTCGATGCCGTTCTTTGTGATGATCATCATCTGCAGACCGTCACCGACCTCGATGTGTCTCTCGACAGCACTGGTGAAAGCATCCATGACCACATCTTCGACGTCCTTTTGAGGCAGGGGCTCGGGGACACGAGCTTGCAGAGCGTGACCCTCTCCTGAGCCGGGAATGTACTGGTTCTTGAAGTTGACCTGGTTGTCGAGGAAGGGCATGATCAAACTCGAGGCGGCACCAGCAGCACGGCACTGCTCTCTCTCGTAACTGCCTACAGGGTCGTACGAGTACAGAGCACCCTTGCCTTCCTCATCGATTCCACCGAGAATGGCGTGGACATAGTAAGGGAAGAAACGCTTGTTGTAGAGAATGTGGGAGAGACGCTGGGCGCAGGCGGAGACGGTCATGGGCTTGTTGTGGCGGTAGCGGTACATTTTGACGATGGTGTCGAGCTGCTCGGCCAGGGCGTTACCGTCGGCGGCGAAACCGACAACGGACAGAACGATGCGGGCGCCCTCCTTCTCGGGACCCTCGCCGCCGATACGGAAGAGCTTGGGGGCGTAACGGGTGTTGATGTTGTAGCCGGAGGTGTGGCGGGTGTCGCCTGCCATGATGGTGAAGTCGGCGCCTGAGATTCCGAGAGTGCTACCACCATTGTCTGTGTATCTGGAAAATGGTCAGAACATGGCTAGATGGCATGAAATAGATAATATGCGTACGGGNTAGAAACCAGCATGTTGACGAGGCCCTGAGTTGACAGTGACTTGAGGCGCTTGGGAGAAGGAGTAGCCAGGTTGGCCGTTGGGAATGGCGACTGTCACCGAGGATGCCATGGTTGTTGATGTGATGGAGTGGGTTGAAGTTTGGTGTTCTGTCAAGCTAGTGGTAGCTGTATGCTGCCTTCACATCGGGAGCTTGGAGTGACGATGCAGTCGGCGCGCTCCATCGGCTGTGCCAAGACTCCCGAAGAGCCGCGTCCCGCTCTCCGTCATCGCTGATGCAAAACATGGCTAAAATTTGGTTGACTCCCTTCATTCAGTGCTGAGTAGCAGCTCATTCCTCTTGTCTATGATTGAATTAGACAGCTATAGACCTGCGTGATACAGTCATCGACCTAGATATCAATCCTCAACACAAATCAGACCAAGGTTGTGGTTACGCGACAGGAAATCAAAGATCGAGTGCAAAGCACCGAATGCCCCACGTGTATAGCGCTTTCCGTTTCTCATCAGTCATAATACCGAGAGCCCTCGATTGCGCCTTCTCTCATACCCAACTCTTTCCTGTAACCACCCTCTCGTCACCCAAGTCTCTCGTTCGCCATGGATCTCGTCAACCAGTATGTCAATGCAACTCTGCACTCTCTCAAAACTCTGTCCTGACGCGACTTTCTCAGCCTCACCGACCGTCTCTTGTTCGCCGTCCCCAAGAGTGATTGACCCCTCATTGCCCCTCTATATGCCAAAAGACACCATCCTAACCCTTGCTCGCNNAGAGGACGCCTTCACCAAGCATGTATCGAGCTTCTTCACGGTTCCGACATTCAATTCCACAGACACTCGCGTCTCGACATTGCCCTCGTCAAGAACTTCCCTATCGCTCTCGTCTTCCTGCCTGCCTCCGATATCCCCACCTTCGTCTCCGAGGGCCGCTGTGATCTCGGTATCACTGGTCGCGACCAGGTCGCAGAGTACGAGGTTACCGAGCCCCCAACCGAGTCTACTGGTGTCGAGGAGGTCCTTGACCTTGACTTTGGTCGCTGCAAGCTTCAGATCCAGGTCCCCGAGATGGGAGAGTTCGAGGATGCAAAGTCATTGGTCGGAAAGAACATTTGCACCAGTTTCACCAACCTCGCCGAGGTCTACTTCAGAGAGCTCGAGGGCAAGAAGGCAGGAGAGAAGCTCGACACTCATATCAAGTATGTTGGTGGCAGCGTAGAGGCTGCTTGCGCGCTGGGCGTTGCAGACGGCATTGTCGATCTTGTTGGTGAGTTTTGGTGTCCGTTAACAAGACGGGACAACACTGACACAGCGNTAGAATCCGGCGAGACGATGCGTGCAGCAGGCCTCAAGGCCATCTCGACTGTCCTCGAGACCACCGCCATCTTGATCCGCTCCAAGAACCCCACCAACCCCGATCTCGTCAATCTGATCGCAACCAGAATTCGTGGTGTTATCAGTACGCTTTTCCATCTCTTGCATCGGTGAAGCCTACAAGCGTTAACATTGTTACAGCCGNCCCAAAAATACGTCCTCTGCACATACAATGTCGAGCGCAGCAACCTCGACCAAGCCTCCAAGATCACCCCTGGCAAGCGAGCACCTACCGTCAACAGCTTGGAAGAGAGCGGTTGGGTCGCTGTTTCGGCCATGGTCTTGCGCAAGAACGTTTCCAACGCCATGGATGAGCTGACCGCCATTGGCGCCACCGACATCCTTGTCACCAAGATTGAGAACTCGAGAACCATCTAGACAATTTATAGATTGTGGAGATACATGCAAGACTATGAGAGGGTAAACTTCTGGTCAAAAGTCACGTAGGATATATACATGGTGCTAGGACAAGGAACCAGCATCGGCACTGAGACGAAATCAGTTTACGAACATGACATCAACCTCCACTTGCAAAGCTCCGTCTGATGGACTCGCATGAATAGACTCTGCACGAATAGATAATGTGCGTAGCATGTCAAGAGAAACAAGAATACGATTTTGGTAGACACAAAAGCCCCTTGACGCTGAACGCAGCAGTAAACCCCCAAAACTATGCCAGGAAATGGATATTGTAGAAAAAAAAGAACAGGAAGGAAAGAGAAGTCAAGAAGAACGAACAAATCACTCGCTCTCCTCGGCAACCTCCTCCTTGTGCTTCTTTGACCTTTTCTTCTTCTTTTCCGACACTTCCTCGTCTCCTCTTCGGTATCCTTGTGCTTTCTCTTCTTCTTTTCCTTCTTCTCTTTCTTTTCCTTTTCCTCGCCGGGCTCGTCGGGAGCAATGTAGTCTTGTTGTCTGGCCAGTCTCTTCTCCTCCATCTTTTCGCGCATGGCGTCCTCCCTCCTTTGCTTCTCTTGTCTCTCCTTTGCTTGCTTGGAGAGGAAGTACTCTCCGGACTCGATTTGCAGATCGACCTTGCTCTTTTCCTGGGCGGGCGGGAAAGGTGTATATGTCTTTTTGGTCTTGTCGGTGACGACGTGGGGCACGCGTCTCTTGCTCAAGTTGCGCTTCTTGAAGTGAGGGAGGAAGCGGTCCCAGTTTTCGTTTGCGAGTTCCGGGTCCTTGGCTAGCTCGCGCTTGATCATGAGTTCCTTGATGTGGTAGATGGGGTGGATGTTGTTCATGCAGTCCATGATTACACGGCGCACTTCCTTGAGGCCCTTGTAGCCGCCCATGGCTGAAACGGTGTTTCCTTGGACCAGGATGTAGCAGGATGTGAGGAGCTCGAGGGCTTTGAGGGTGCTGCCGTTGGGACCCAGGATGCGTTGTCTGCGCTTGACGAAGCGCTCCTTGTTACGCACCAGGCCTCTGATTTTGATAACATCGCAAGCCATGTCGTCCTGCAGGATCTTGACGGCTTGGGGTGCGGGCACGCTACGCGAGAGCAGTTTGATGAGGTCGCGGGCTTTGAGGACGGCGGCGGGATCGTATGTCTTTCGTGTCGTCTTGACGGTCATGCTACCTTCGACCAAATCCAGAGTACAGGCCACGCCCATCTTTTCCAGCGAGCGAGTGATCAGCGGCCATGATGCCTTGAGGTATGTTTCGCGGTATTTGGGGAAGAGGACGGAGAAGGAGGATTCCTCGCTAAAGGTGCCGCCGATGTTGTCTTCGGGCTTGAACTCGTCGATNCTGCGCCGAGGAGGAGAAAGTCAGCTTTGATGTTTTCTTCATGAAAAGGTAGTACTGCAAAGCGCATAGCATACCTTCCACTTGTCGATGTCGTCGGTATCCCACGGCTTTTCTGTGTTATGTGTTGAGGGCATGTCTGCGGTTGTGTGTGATGAATGGCGTGAAAGAGAAAGGACGATCCCAGAATATTTTGTCGCCGCAAATTCCAGAAGACGCCAAACCATCGACTGGCGCTCGGCCTTGGCGCGTCACATGCGGGGAATCACTTTCACCTCCGAAGCCTCATAATCATCGCCGCATCTTTTCCAGATCATTGCACATGAATTGATGGACAATCGCTGGATATGGGATCAAGCAAAACCCGTCTTGGTAGTGCATGGCAAAATCTGCATAGGTATCTTTATGGCCTCAAACCCTCCTTCCTATAATCCGAAATACTCCATGCTCCCTGTATCTTTTGCGGTATACCTTTTCCAGCTCCCTCCTGTATAGCCATCTTTAGCGCCTTCTCTTCAAACCATCACAATCGAGCTCTTCGAATCATGTGTGGTGTTGTTCAAAGGTCAAACAGCTTCTTCAGCTCGGCAGCAGTGTCCTCGGGTGTCTTGACGCTGTGGCCGATGGTGCGAGGGTCCTCGTAGATTTCGTAGTCGTTGCCGCCCTTGTATGTCTTGTCGCCGAAGAAGTGAATGGTGGTGTATTCGGTACCGTGCTGCTTCTCGGCCTCGACGTGCTGCAAGCAGTATGTCTTGTCCCAGCCTCTGGGGAAAACGTCGAATGAGATTTGTCCACCGATCGAGTAGCTGCAGGTACCGTTAGCTTCGCTTGAATGATTTTGAACACATCAGCAAGAGACTCACGTCAAGCCAAGGTCAGGGAAGGCAGTCTGGATGTCTCCGACAAACTTCTTGCGAATGCCGTGCTCGAGATCGTACTTTTCGTACTCGTTGCGCTCCTCGATGCTGGCGTTACGACCGATGGGGCTGACGTTGATCATGCCGTTGCGGAACTCGATAAAGGTACCGCGCTTCTTGGGGATTTCGAGGTCGGCGATGTAGTGCAGGATGAACTTGACGAGCTTCTGGTACGGCTCCTCGCCGATCCACTTGATGAACGACGCCGATGCGAGGGGGACGCCCATGCGGTATGCGGTCAGACCGTTCTCGGCGAAGCAGAAGTCGAAGAGGCTGGTGACGGGGACTGAAGCAGTGCCCAGCTGTTCTTGCTGCTTGACGAGATCGCTACCACCGACGAAACCAATGGCGACCTTGTGACGGAGCTGCGACAGGAGAGCGAGCATCTCGGGGAGACCGTCTGCACAAATGTCAGTCTCCTTCTTTCACACATCTTTTCGTTGGTGTATACACACTCTACGGGCAGGGGTAAGGGTGCCATCGACGTCGAACAAGCAGATGGTGTTCTTGACCGGACGCTGGTCGAGCGCCGGGATGACTGATGCTGCTACGGCTGCCATTGTGATTGTGGTGGGCGTGAGAGGTGTCGGAAGGACAACGAGCGATGGGAGAGATCTGCTTTTGGGTTACGATTCAGGGGTAAAACTCCTTGAGCTCTGTCTCGATCTTGCGGGGTTCGGAGAAGGGACCGTCGTGCACTGACAGGGTCAATCAGATCCGTCTCTTGCTTGTGATCTTCTCTCCTCTTATACACTGCTATACCAATAGAGACAGGTGGTTGGAGTCGTTCCTTCTCTACGTGTCCTGAACAATGCACGTCATTCAAACTTGGTAACTCAGCCTCCATCGCAACGGGATGCACCCTGATTTTGACAACGGCCAGTAACCATCAACCACCTGTTCTCTTCACGTTTCGACTTCTACCAAGTGACTCACGAATACGCGTCCTCGTTACAAATATCTCGTGGAAAGACACTTGTCAGTAAGATTTCATGTATGCCATCCAGGTTTGGCCTCGAGAGATTCTTTTGTTCACCCGTCAGACATTCTCTACCCCCGCTCGTGAGCAGCTATACGTACTGTGATTCATGGTTTCTCAATATCGCATACCTTCGTGACTACTTTTACCAAGACAGGGTTCAAGCTGCCGCAGCAATGTGTATTATGAGGGCTCAAACCGGGACGTGTGAATAGATTGATGCAGTATAAGTTCGTGGGGATAAGTTCTTTTCAAACCACAATGTCGGCGCCTAGAAGGCCTTGCGCACTTTCACAGCCATTCGACAAAGCAGAACATTCAGGAGAGCCGTCACTCGGCGCATCGTCACAACAACGAAGTTCTCTGGCACGTCAACAGACTCGCGGTACGCGATTGACACAATAACAGCAACGGAGAATCTTCACAGTTGGAATTTGCACCTTGTTTACAACCCTCTTCGATTATCTGAAATCCCTTCACTTCATTCTTCGGCATCACCAGCATGTCTGACAGAGCAGACTTTCTAGCTGGCATTGCCGCCAGTGGTTACGGTGGAATCTTCGGAATCGACGGTGACTTTGGATCGTTCATTTCCCTACCCCGATCCTTCTCCTCCCCACGGATCGTTTAGTGCATTTGATCACGACATGTCAGACGCATATAACCTATCGCACGGTGATGGCTCCTCAAACGACGAGGCCCTCCAGACTCAGAAGAAGCGCAAGCAAAAGAAAGCTAAGCACAACCTAAAGAAAGCTGCGCGCAAACAGGAAATTAGGGAGGAAAGAAAGTCCAAACGTCGTGCTGAGAGAATGGCCAAGACCAGAGAACACATCAAAAGGTCGAAGAATCCAGGCATCGTCTGATCTCTAACTATCTGGGCAAAGACGTCAGCAAAGTTTTCAGTAAGCTGTCGGAAGAGTCGAAGCAGAATCTCGTCCGCATCTCCTTTGGAGCCCGCACTAAGACCGGTGAGTCTACGGAGAAGCAGCTCGAGCATCTCAAATGGGCAGCCACGACTTTCAGCTCTGCTGCTCTGTCCTACTACGTCCGTGTCTTCAAGGTCGACAAACGTATGAGGAAACAGATGGAGCAACTTGAACACGAGGAAGAGCCAGTCAAGGAGGAGCTAAGCGAGGCCGCCAGAATCGAGCCGATCGAAACACTGCCCCAGCGCGAGAGGTTCCAAGTACTGATCCAACTGGCGGAGGAGAAGAAGCACGAGGACAAGAAGGCACGAGAGAGCTTCAACAGATGGTCTCTGGCCCAGCTAGATGGAACGTGGGGTCCTAGGTTCACCAAGGTGATCCAGAATCAGCCATACAGAGATNCAAAAAAGAAACTGCGGGCATTGCTGAACAGAACACTTTCGGAGGTACCTTTCGACGCAACGGAGCGTAGGCTTGACNTTCTGTCTTTACTCATGCGCATTTCGGAGTCCATCGCCCGTCGACCCTGGCCCGAGAGACCAACGACATCGATAGACNATACTCACCCCCGAACAGAAACGTGCAAGCCGAACTTTTACAAGACAGGGAAAGTGATGGAACAGCAAGGCAAGCCAATGTCATTGGAAGACCTACAAGTACTCAGCCCTGAAGAGAAACTTGCAGTACAGGCTTTTCAAAGAGAATGGAAGGAGATGAAGCAAGAAGACAATCTCCTTGATCAACTTCACAAGCGCATCGAGAAGAGTTGGCCACATGTATCCAGAGGTGGGGTCGAAAGACTCCATATTGAGGAGCTGATCGATAATGTCCGACTCATCGACGAGAAGATCATGGGTATCCCTTTGCTTCCATCCACTGGCTGTATCCAACACATCGTCGAGATTGTCGATCGAACATGGCTCATGGAGAATCGCTATCCAGACGACGACTGTTGTACTATGCCGGCTGAACTTCTCGAAGAGTTCGACGACAATCTCTACATGAAGGATGTCTACGATGACTGGAGAGCTACTAATCCTCCTGATTCTGAGCGCCTTTCGGACTTTGTGAAGGAAGGCTCTCCTTGAAGAGGTCACACATCATACAACTTTCAAGACACCATTCTGCCTCAGCACATTCAACTCACGATCGAGACCCTCTAGATGGAGTCCAGAACACCACTGTTCATTTGAACTATTTCCGGCTCGAAGAACAATGATTCATGAAACACGGTGTCACCTTTCTGCCTCTTTTCTTCTCTTTTTCTTTTGTCCAGTCAAGTAAGAAAACCAGCCTGCCTTTCAGCCCCTTAGACTAACCAGCGCTTGCAGCGAATGACACAACAGTCAAAACATCAACGAAAAACAAAAGAGAACGAACCATTTCCTTTGCTACAAGCGCGATACCCAAGAAACAATACACCCTTCTTCTTTTCCACCAACCCACGCTCGCTTTGTCTGGCAAGCGTATGCCATGATCAACAACACTAGTGCACGAGAACGTGTAATCAAGGCAGATATTCGTTTATAGAAACCTTACTAGTAATCAACAAGTCCAATACGTCTCCTATATCGTGCTGCTTTTCTCTTCCTTGTAGGTCTCTGTCTGCGCCTGCCACTTCTGCATTCAAGCACCTCCAGAAGCGGCGGTGAATTGAAAGTATACCTGCAGCGTAAGGCCCATGACAAACCTCTCCACTCATTCAGAGCTTTTCCTAATGTGGAGCACAATCCGGGCTCGCCTGTCTCTCTGATCTCTAATCTTTCGTCTGGACCTCATTCCAAGCATCATACCGGCTTCTGGTCTTGATCTGCTTGTCAAATCTCTCAACAAACTACAGAGACTCCTTGCTAGGTGACGACAACAGAGGTCCATCACCAGCAACAAGCTTAGCAATATGAATCTGGTACTCTACCTCCACAGAACGCATGAAACAATGAGTATTGATCATATGAAGGTTTTCATCCTCATCAATGAGTGTGTCAAGAAACCATCTTTGAAATTCGTGTTTTAGGATGGTCTGGAGATGGGGTCTATATGGCCCCGGAGCTTTTTGATGATACGAGTGTAGGTTTGACGGGGTTGCTTGATTTATTTGAGTACGTCAGACTCTTTTGCATCTTCGGTGGCGGCGTCGGCGCTGGCGAGACGTGAGAAGGTGATCTAGATTTCTTTGCGTGCGGTGGCCTTGAGGACGCTGTCGATGCATGTGTGTTCGAGCTTCATGACTTCGGAGTAGTTGTGGTCTTGACCTCTCTAAGGAGAGGCCTGGCAGGAAGTCTGACTTCATTGTCTGTCCAGCTGGGCCCTACCTGAATAGAGGTCTTGACTGAGACACCAGCAGTAACATTTTCCCATTCATCGAGTCGCCAGATATTCACTTCCCAATCGCCTTGTTGCATTGTCTCGACCACATCGCTTCGAAGCTAGAATGAAGCGGTGTTGATCTTTGCAACCATCTGAATGTTGTAAACACGTGAACCCCAGAGTCTCGGATGTTCTTTGCTGTCTTGCTGCGATCGCCCTTCTCGTCATCCAAAAAATGCTTCTCAGATTGGTCGGTGGCGATCCTCGACTGGTGTTCCAAACACAAGTGCGAACACTGCTCTAGTAAAACAATCTCCCCTCGGTGCCGGGAACTTGATGCTGTACTGTCTGATGTCGCCAAGAGCCGGAACCAGATTGGTGCTGAAAAGCAGACCAAAAGGAAGCAGGTGCTGCCAGATACTTGCAAATGTACTAAGTCCTGCAATCCACGGTTTGCTAGACGTGGATATGCTTGGATGGATCTTTCGGGCTTCTTTGGTTGTCACAGCCACTCGCCTGGGTGCCCTGGCAGTCGTCATGAAGACGCCCTCCAGCATGTTGCCCAAGATGTCTGAGAGCCAGTGTGCAGGGTATCCCATCTGGCGAAAGTGAACGACTCAGCTTAAGAGGGCCGTAGGTTGAAGGGTGCTCGCACGTCGTAATTTGTACAGTATCTGGTCCGAGGATATGGCAGGCAGATCTTGAGTAGATGTGCTTGGAGGTAGCTCTCGCACACGTGGCGAGCCATGAGATTCTCAAGTCGTGAGGGGGCTGTTGATCCCACTGTCCACATAGTGTAGTCGCTGACCTCGAGCGCTGGGGTTCCCCAATCCGTGAGCGAAGGTGAGTCTTGTCGAAGTTCTACGTTGAAGCTTCGCTCTACACTTTTGAGGTCGGTGAGCAGAGTGTGTTCTGATAGGAATTGTTCGTGTGTGTCAAATGTCGGAGTATTCAGTAAGACGCAAGACTTGACAGCGGAACTCTGATCTGGGTAAAGAAGGGGTACTCCGTATAGAAACGTGCTTAAAGCACCTCCCACATAGTCGCTGCAGTCAATCAGCACAATTTCAAAAGCAATGGTCCATATGTTTAGAGCAACTTACGGTATGTCACTCATGTGGATGCGGTTGTAGATACTGGGGAAAAGCGCTGGGTCAAGCTTGCCTTGCTGCTCCCCTCTTAGGCTCCAAGCATCGTGCTTTAGGCGATCCAGACAATCGTTCATCTCACCAACAATGAGCTCAACAGACAATCGTGAGCGAAGATCTTTGATCGATTTGGAGACGTTGTCAAAGAACGTCATGAACCAACCCCAGAAGCTTTTCACTCCGAGCTCCCTGGCCTGAGCCTCATCTGGATTAAACAACTTCTGAGCAACCGCAGGTGAATCGAAACAGAAGTTTGGAACTTCTGGTGGACGGCAACGATCTTCGTCCAGTATCAAGTCCAAGTCGATGTCGACAAGCGTAATGTTCGGCTTCCAGGTACTATCGATTAGTTTCAATGCCTCCTGGCTGACAACTTGTGGTGTATTCGGAGCCCGCTTCGGGTCTTTGACTAAGCGCGCGAGCTTTTTCTCGTGTTTCAAGAGGTTTTCGTTGTCTGGCAAGACAATACCATAAGCCCAGAACAGTTCGTCATCGTGCTCACAGAATGGTAGGACCCTTGGACCTCGTCCTTTAGAGATAAATCGTGCCTTAGCTTCAGAAGAATGGCGCAGACCACCTTCTCGAAAGTCACGGGTTTCGTACTTTCCGTGAAGATGATTTTCCAAAGCCAAAAGGTGACGCAAGATCCCTGAACGTTGTGCGCTTGCAACGTATATCCAATCCGCAGATAAGATACTTTTCTGGAGGTCATCGATCAAATCAGCAATGGTCTGCTGGAGCTTATTATAGACAAAGGATGGCATAACCAAAGATCCGAACACGTAAATGACACATGCCATGGCTTCTGTGTTCCGGGTCTGCTCGAGCAGATGAAGCATGATCAAGATTTTCGCAATAGCAGCTGGTTTCAGATCAATCAGAGTAAAATGAAACCTTGTTGTTGATGTGTGTGTTAGGGTAGATCACCCCTTCTTCGAGTGAGATGAAACTCTTTTTGAGGCAATACCTATTCGATAACCTCCGCAATACCATCACAAAAGACAACTAAAACCGATTTTGCCTCAACAGCCAGTCTACAGCCCGATCCACCCGCAAACCACTGCCCATATCTGTGATCCGTAACGCCTCCTTTGCCTGTGCATTCGAAAATCCGATATCCATGATCTTGCCAATGGCCAATCCACTCGTGTCCTCGGCGAATCCCTCAAAGCTGAGCATGCTCAGTCTGTTGAACGTGTCGACTCTATGTTCGATGATCGGGCTCACTTTCCTGGGCGACCAAGACATGGGCTGTGTTCTCCAACCATCTCCGGCATCTGTAGAAGGAGATCTGGGAGAAGTGGGGGTCGATAACCTCCTTGAGATTGGTTTCTTGTGTACCTCTGGAGCGAGCGCGCTGTCATGACGACTCAGAGCGCATGGTGGTTCTTCAATCTTTCTGCTTCTCAGCGACATCTGGCGATAAGCAAGGTTCATCTCCGCAGTCTGACGCTTTCGGAGCAATGTCTTGGTGACATCCTTTGACTGAGTACCAGCTGTGGAAGCAAGAAGCCGTTCTTCATAAAGTTGAAAGACAGGTTCTTGGAAGAACCTCCGACGGGTCATACCGGAATGCGGAGGTGTCCAGTCGGTCCAGTCATTTAGGTGAGCAAAGTCGAGTCCGGCACTCGTATCGTCAAATCTTGCGAGCTCCAAAACAACCGATGGCCCAAGAGATAGAATATAAGCTATCCATTCTTCGACGACACGGCCTTGTACCATCGGATCCATGAAACCACCGCCAGTATGACGAAAGATGCCACAGCTTTGTGCTTTGCTTGTCTCCCCTTCGTAGGGTTGCATCAAAGCGTAGAGACATTCCCAGATCTCTGACATATCATAGAGCTGTTCAGCAGATAATCCAGAACAGTTTCCAGCCGCGAAGTGTTCAGGAGCGTTGAGCAAGATCCCGTCAATCTCGATTTCTGGACCAAAGCTTAGAGTGGCAGCACAGCCTTTNTGGTGTGCCAGGATACCGCCCTTGAGCCAGTCAGTTTGGCCTTTAACGTCATTCTCCCGCCCTCTATCGCAACCGAACATCTTGCAGAAAGACCATACACGGTATATCGCGTCCTCGAATCTTGTGGATCCTTCAGTCATGAGACTAGAGACAGTCTCAGGACGAATAAACGACTGACACTTCGTAGCAATGATGCTCTTGAGTTCTTGGACGATCAGCCGATCATGCACTGTACACGACATGTAGGCTGAAGGGGAGATCTCGATGTCGTCAAGGAAGTCTGTAGGCATGAAATTGCCAAATGGAAAGGGNGAAAGTTCCCTCAACTCCCAGGCTGGTGGCGATACGTTGAACAGCGCCGATTTCATGAGTCTTAGCTTGTTGTTTTCAAAGCATTTCCTTGTTGTTTTGTTTACCATCGTCAAAGACTTTAGGTCCTCAAAGGACGCCGAATGAGCCATGATCTTCAGACACAAAGCCTCGTGCTCAAATGTCAAACCTGGTGATTTCTTTGCAGACGATGCATTCCAGGACAGCCACATAGATCCAAGGTCAGGTGACAATGAGCATCGTACGCTTGAGACTCTACGAACGTCGTCTTCGTGGTCGTGCGGACCCTGTTGCTTCCCGGGTGGTACTGATTGGCGGCGGACTGGTAGGTCTGCCGCAGGCAACGGTTGGGACAGACTCAAATGGGCGGGCTTGACCCACTGACGTTTACGTGACTTTTTGGGCAAGGTAGGTGCCCGAGACATGTTGTCGATAGCGGAGTCGAACTTAAATGTTTTGCAGACATGGTCATCATCTGACGGTGTTGCTGAGAGTCTTTCGGAAATCGTACTCAATTGCTGTTGCAGATCGTAAACGGCTTCGCTGAATGTAGGACTCGGAGCGCGATGACTTGGTTGGCTCGTGACCTGAAGATACTGAGTCTCAGAAGTAGCACAAGGGATATTAACATCTCCTGATGCTTCATCGAATATACCTGCCTTGACAGGATCAGTGATGGAGAAAGCGGCGCTTGCAGATCGCTTGGGAACATCCAAGTAGTTCCAGTGTGAGTGCTGTACCGCTTCGTTTGGAGATTCTGCTTCTACACTTGTCATGGACGAGTGTCTGCTGTAGCAGGAAACGATGTCGAATATATCATCTTGGAAGAGCGTGTTGCTCGAGACTGAAGATCTACTGTTGCCACGACTTGACACAAATTTGACCTCGCTTCTTTGTGTCTCTACCACAGGACTTGTATTACGAAAAGCTGGATGAATAGAGCTTTGGTCCAAGCTCATGGTCTGGGATGATGATGATCTGCGGGAGGTGGTCGCGGTAGTGGTAGGAGTAACACGGGCAGGCTTCGACGGCTGAGGTGGTATAGGTGCGTCGTCCCCCAGAATCTGGCGTAATTTACTTTTTGGAATCTTTACAGACAGTCGTGGCCGGCAGGCTCTGTCTACCTTTGATGGTGATGGTGTGACGGCTGGGATCTGGAATGTCGCTTCTGACTTCCTCTTGGCTTTCTTCTCCACGTCCCATAGAGCCACTCCGTCACGCCAGACTCCGATTCTGCTATCAGACACTCCTTGTATGTGACTGCCAGATCCGGATGCACAGTTGTTGAGAGGAGAAGCAGAAGGGGTTGTGTTAAGAGAACTCTTCTTGCCAATGGCTTGCAGGATCTCCTCGTTTGGAGAGACAGCCATAGCAATATCCAGAGCCGACATTGAGTGTGCAGCCACGCGTGGTGGCACTGCGTGCAGAACCGTCCCCTCTTGGTTCCTTGAAGGATATCTCAGTTTGCTCAACCAAGAACTCTTCTTTGGGCTGGTAGGGGATGCTGTTTGCTTCGTTCCAGGAGTCAAGTCTGCCATGGTTCCATAGAGAGATAATGTCTTTGGTGTAGAAGTGATTGTTCCTCGTCTAGAGAAGATAGACACACTTCTTCTGCACTCGTTGTCAATTTGGCAAGAAGCGCGGAAATTTGGTTGACGCTCCATAGTAAGGTTGACGAAAGATGATATCTGATGAGTTGGATAGCTTGTTCGGATCTGACATGGAATCTGCTAGTTTGAGCTCCAGACGCGGAGTGCAAATTCTTATGAGACTGCCAGTATTATGTCTCTCAGCGATGAGAAAGGTATGACATGACCGACAAGCAAGGTGACACTGGGAGATACGGCAAGATAATGGAAGAGGCGGGTGCGAATATGGAATGCTGTCCCGCCAATACGTCCACGAGCTTCCCGCAGACTGCAACATCCCGGCAGCCGAAGCAATCAAGTGCCAACTAGGTTGATAGACATTGGACGATTCCGCAGCGTCGACAAACATGGAGTGTTGGAAGTACACGCAGAGTAAGCTGAGAGAGTGGCCGAGGCCGATCTCCCCGCTGCTGCTCCGAAAATAGACTCTTGGGAGTGTTGCACCGGGCTCCCCGCTCCGCTTGTCGACTCGGAGTTTTTGTGCGCCGATCTCTAAGAATCTCCTGGTGTCTTCTTGCGAATATTCCACGAGGTGCTCAAGTACTTGAGCGAGGGATCTATGCTATGTTCATATAGAGCGTAGAGTGAGACACGTAAAGCTTACTGCAATATTCAATAGCGAGGCAGAAATAGCGTGGTGATGGCGCGCGATCCAAAATCTCACATTTCCAGATTGGGCCGTGCATACACTCCTGCAGCTAACGGAAACCTTCATCCAGCTTGCATCCATAAGGCGGAGATTCGAATATATTGATCAATGCTTGGGGGTTCCCGGGAGCTGTATTTGAAATAGGATCGGAACTGCAACGTGCATCCTTACTCCTTGCTGTTGTTCTTGTTGGTGTTGGTCCTGTCCTCTGATCCTAGAGCTTACCAAGGTTTGGGAGGACAAGCGACTTGTCAGCAGATAAGGCGTATAGTGTAGGGGGACCAACAGCTGACTTTCAGAGGCTGCTTACCACAGCCTGCCGCTCGATCTGACGCCTCGCAAAAGATTCAGGAAAACCATTCGTCACTTGTGTTTCGGAGGACATGTAGAACGATACAATGCACGAGCCGTTGGTAGTAGCTCAAGGTAGCCTTTGGGCCCTGTTCGACGAAGAATATCGACACTGCTGTTTTACTAGAAGGAGCATAAGGTCAGAGGTGTTCTGAAGAGTGTTTTCCATGGGCTTTTCACTAGTGACCTGTTTCAACGTCAAGTAAAACTGATCATTCCGATTATCATACAAGGGCTACAGAACTGTGCTCGACTGCCTCAATCCTACACATAGCCTCCATTACCAGCGAGGCAGTGCAACAGCTTTCTTGTCCAGATTGTGAGCGTAATTTTCTATGGCCTCCAGCAAATTACCCTCTTCGTCGCTGTCGTCACTTGCTGATGAACTATCGTCAACGTTCTGGTTGGAGACTTGCATGACAGGCTGCGTTGCTGGTCTGGGCATCGCGTTGTTCATACCCTGCGATACCACCGACCTCCGGACTGGTTGAGTTGCAGACATGTCAGTAGTAAAGTTGTCGAGCATCTGAGCTGCTGCGTTCGGATTATCCCTCTCCCTCTCCCGCTGACGTTTCTTGGCCGAACGTTTGACGCCTTGTTCAATCATATGACTCAAGACTTGCTCTTCATTCATGTTGACCAGGTTTGATCGCTGCCAAAAATCTTCGGGGGCCATGTTTGCGGCATCGAGCAGTCTCTGGTCGGCCTGGCGAATAAGCTCGGCCGTGTCCTGCGCGTTATCCCAATCGAACGCATGCGGGTTGATGGTTCGGCCCGCGTTTGCATCGTGGGCCGGCTGACTTGAAGTCACATTGTCAGACCTGGACAAAGGAGCAGCTTTCTTGACAGGCTGGGTCGACGATGGCTGCTTGGCCTTGCCTTTCTGTGAAGTAGGAGTAGCTTGAGAGAGCGTCCCGAAGGCTTGGCCCTTCTCCAGCATATTCTTCGTGGCCTCATCCAAGCCAAGGGACTGCCTTTTTGGCTCTGACTGCTTCTTTGATCCTTTGGTGGAGGCCTTAGTCTGGGAGCTAGAGGGTGTATCCTTACTATTGTCGTGTTTCGGAACGCCAGTCCCGTTCGTATGTTTGGCTGTAGTCTCACAGCCATTTTTCAATGCTCGTTTCGACGGGTACCTCAAGCCTGAGCCCCTCAAGATATCATGAGGTGCAGTCGATGGTGGTGGCCTGAACGAATCTGCATCGGCCAGTATAAGACTGCCTTTTCTGCGCCCTTGTCCTCTACATGCCTTTTTGCCGCTCAATTCGACGTCCTGAGACTCTTCCGAGGACTGAGCTGCAGGAGACGTGAAACACTTGTTCTGATAATCCTGCGATCTTGAAGGAGATGGCTGCGGAGGTACTTCTGTGGTGGAGGCGGTAGGTACCACATTCGCGGCTGGTGAACTAACTATCTCGACTGCTTGTTCTCCAATGCTCTTTTCTTTCGAAGTGGCGGCAAGCTTTTCGGTCGTTGGCTGAGTGTCTTTTCTGGGTTGAACAGCAGCATTCAGGTGGGTAGTACGCTTGATCTTGTACACTTTGAAAGGGCCAAACGATCCATCCTCGCGACTCGGGAATGGCATCCCTCCATCAGACTTCTCACTAGGCCAGTCCTCATCCTCGATCTCCCTGGAATCGCTCCTATAACAATCGATTTCCTCGACATCGTCCTCGTCTGAGTGGATGTTTGGTCGGTCTTTTTCTCGCTGTTGGTCACGTTGTTGGTCACGTTGTTGGTGATGNTTCTTTGCGGCTACTGATGGGACGAATACAGCTTCAGATTCTTCCGTTGTGGGCTGCCTGGAGACGTCGTTGATAGCTGATGTTTCATCGCCAGCATCTTGATCCGGCGGAGATACGCCGGTTCTGTCCTGCGCTCCGGTTAATGGACTTGAGCTTGGGAATACTGGGGTGGAATGGGTCGCATGCACGATTTGATTCTCGTCCAGCATAGAGACATCTTCTTCATTGTCGCTGATCACGTTCTCCGCTGTGCTTATTTCGAATCCGGGCATTTCGTCTTCTTGTGCTGTGCTCAATATATCGCGTTCCGCGGGTACATCAAACGCCTCTTGATGTTCGCTAGTCATAGCACAAGTGGTCTCAGAGATTGGGATGGAAGGCATAGTCGACGCGAGAGGTGTTCTCATTTTNGTGGCAGTGTGGAGAGCCGCACTCCCATGAAGGACCTTAGCTTTGGGGGTCGGCATCGAAGCAACAGGCGGACTACTCCTCAGAGCGCTCGCACTAGGAGAAAACAGGGTTTGTGGATCATGCTGCAGACTGCTTTCTGCAGTATTCTTCTTCGGACCTTTGACAGGACTGCTGCTGTGCATGGCTTCAGAGCGCAACATCTCTTCGTCTGTGATGTCCTTGTCATCATATGACGTTTCTTCATCAGAAGAGATAAACAGACTGTCATCCATGGGAGCGTGCACACGTGGGGTGACAGAAGCAGTTGCCGAGTTCCTGGCAGAAGCAGGTGTCGACTTTCTTAAAGAAGCAGATGTCGACTTTCTTGCAGAGCTTGTCGGCAACTGCTGACCGTTAAGTAGAAAGGGGAGCTTCGATTGGCGCAAGCTCTTAGCTGTGGAGACGCCTGACGAAGAGAGATCGCGAACGGTTGTCTCTTTCGCAGACTTCCGTGATGCGCTTGGTCCGACGGGCTGAGTTGCAGAGATCGATGCGAGAGCGACAAATGGCCTCTCATGAGCAGATCCAAGATCAGTGCTGGTCTTTTGAAGCTGCGTCGTGCGTCCGAGTTCTGCCATAGCAGATCGTGCCATCACCGGAGGAGCACTTCGTTTCGGTGTTGAGATTGCTGGGGCCTTGTAGGCGCTAGCTGCCTTCACTTCGGATGGCTTAATTTGAGGGGTGGCTTCTGCAGTAGCGGCGGTTTTTGTTTCTTGGAGGAAGTGATGACTACCTGTACTTCAACATCGGATTGTCTCCGTTTCTTCGTGCCTTGATCGGCAAGCGGCGTGGTAGTTGGACCGNGACTTTAAGGCTTTAGCAGCAACCTCCTTCCTGTTGGAGGCTGGACCAGGGGTCGATAAGACCTCTGTACCAATGCTGCTACCCCGGGGACGGACAGGGCGTGGCCGAATTGCACGGCCGGCCTGCTTGTCAATTGCTGCTTGTTTCTCCCAGGTGGCCAGTTGCTGTTTGAAATCGTCTTCGCGCTGAAGGTCGTCATCGAGACGGCGGCGCTTGACTCGTTCGTCTTGTTTCCGGGCATCCTCGGAGGCTTCGAGCCGTTGTCTTTGTCTCTCTTCCTTTTCTCTTCGCTCCTCGGCGCGTTTCTTGTCGTTGTTGAGCAAGGACTTCTGGTGTGACATCTCTTCGAACTCCTTAGCTCTGGCAGTACCCGCCCTCCTCTTAAACTCCCTGGCTTTCTCGCGCTGCGTTTCGACTCTATCGCGCGTATCCGGGCTGTGCTCCCATAGAAAGTCGACAGAAGGAGATCTTCCGAGATTCAGGGGNTTTGCTTTGGCCGCTGCTCGCTTTGCGCTGTGGAACAGGCTACCAGCTCTATTCGTGACTTGTTCCAGAGGGCGAAGNGGAAAGGCTTCTTTGGCGACACGCTTCATCTCGACACCCTCAATACGACAAGCCAGAAGAAGATCATCCTCCTCTTGTGTAAACTTCTCGTTGGGACCAGTCGAGGGTGTTCCATCTTTCAGCTGCTCTTGGTAGTGGACGCGAGCAGATTTGGCCGTGTCTTCCTCTTGCAGTCGTTTGCGTACTTCGACGTAGTGAACTTTGACACTATCGTCGGATCGGTCACGGAACCGATGGTCGCGTAGAGTCTTCCAGGTTTGGTTGTTGCGTATGGCACGGACAAAGTATGCTTCTTCATCTTGGGACCAGGAGGCGGCCAGACTAGTTTGTCGTTGCTGAATGGCCAAGGGATTGAGCTTAATGTATGCAGCCGCTTTCTTCCTGATACTATCAACACTTCTGTTTGGGAGATTGCGCTGCTTCATTTCCGCATGAGTAAGCCCTTTGGCAAGTCCTTCAACCAGTGACTCCAATTCGTCATCTGTCCAAAGATTGGCGAGGTTTTGTCTGTTGGTCTCGCGGCTCTCACTGCTGCCCAAGCTCTTTCTTTTGTTTGATCTCGATGAGCGCGCTGGTGTCCGAGTTATCGAGCTACTGAGGCGAGGTTGGGAGTCCTCCGAGATGGGGTCGGCCAAGTCGAGTGCTGTTTCGTTGTCTGCTGGTGCGGCCGCAGGAGATCGGTTATTGCTTACATGGGCNAGCGGGGGCTTCTGAGCACTGGGCACTGCATCAAGCGTGGAATACTGGGAAGCTGTGTTGGCTGCCGCAGGAGGGGTCTCGGGACGTGGAATGGCCGTGGGAGCTTTTTGAGGCGAGCCGAGCTCCGGCGATTGGACAAGATGGTCTTCGTATGAGACTTGTGAAAGCAGTTGCGAGCTTGGAGCGGTCTGACTGCTGGGCGGGACGAGGGCGCGAGGAGGACGATTGAGTCTTGCCGGAATAGCAAAGCCATCTTGGTCTATGCGTTTCTCAGCTGTGCTCTCGTTGGATTCGACCGGATGGTCTGGATCGAGGTTGTCGAGTGTGACGCCGTAGCGATCAAATTCAAGGCGCCGCCTGTCGATTTCTTGTTGTTCTTGGAAAGACGGAGGTACGATCGGAGGATGAAGGTGCGAGTCGAACGGCACAGTGTCGTCTCTACCAAGAGGTAACGTCTGGATCTGGACAATACGCTTCACAGGGTCTGTAATCTCGCCGAAGATGTCGATAACGGTATCGCGCATGTCAATATCAGCTCCGGTGCTATCCTGCAGTTTCTTGAGGTAGTAATCACTNAAGACCCTGTGTTAGCTCGTTGAAGCTGCAACATATCTGATTTTCATTCACTTTCTGCGGCCAGCGCTATAGTTTTCTCTATAGCGTTGCTGGACGAGNGTCCAGACACGTTGGAAGGTAGCATCCTGTTCAACGGAGAGAAAGAACTTGACAGGCTCTGCGGGAGGCCTGAGAACCCAGACCGTGATACGCATGGCTGCGATTCGGTGGAAGAATAGGATGGAACAGCTGGGAGGTTGTACAGAAAAGTCCAAGGAATGGAACGAGTGACAGCTCCGGCTGAGTGACGCGCTCGCGACTTCCCCAGCACGCGTTTGAGTGGTCCAAGCACTTTGTAGAAGTGCCCTTCACTTTTCACTCTCACCAGGTGTGAGTCTTCCAAATACTGGAGACACCGCTGTCTGTGATTACTTCGCAGGATCTTCTGTGTTTGTTTAGTTAGAGGTGATCTGATGCAGTGACTTACAAACAAAGGTGGTGCATCTCAAGTTCATCATGTAATAACCCAGATGGTTGAGGGGAAGCGTGAGTTGATACTGGCTTCTTTCTATTCTACCTAAACACACTGAGCAAGATGTGGCCTTCCAATACTGCACCGCAAGTTCAGCTTCTCGACTGCGGCTTGCAGCCACGTAAAGATAGAAAATAGTAGGTTTCTGGGCATATTTGATCTATTCTGACCTAATCTGGTGAACCTTTCCGCCAGTTTCGGGTGACCCTAACCCTGACCACTTGATCGACGCCTTGACCAACTGTTTACGGCTCCTCAGAATGTACCGTCCCGCATACCGATTCGAAGGTTTCAACGTTTGTGAGAAGCTGTTGGCATTGATTCATGAATTTTGAGAACGCTACTTACTTGTCCGTTCGAGTATACGGTCAGTCACGTCTTTGGGCATACAGTAAATTGGGTCAATCTTTTGCAGCCCTGGGTATTTCAGCAGACTGAGACCAGCAATACCGAAGTGCGTGTGGAAAACGTCGACCATATCGCCTGCTCGGTCTGAAATGCCGCCCATGTTTGGGTCCTGGCACTTCAAAATGAACTCTGCCAGCTTCGTCTGATCGATCCAGTGGATTCTATCGATCATTGCCAGACTGCTCACAACCCACCAACTGTAGCACACATCTTCGAGCTTTTCTGGTCTGCCGTTGAGGCCACCATTAGGAAGCTGTCTCTCACTAAGCCAGCCACCGAGTTTGTCAATGTCGACAAGGTCCAGGCGGCCTGCGATAGCGAGCGTTCCAACGCATGTAAAGACTTGACCCGAATGAGACTCTGCTCCTGGGCCTGTCCCGTAGCCGCCATCGAAGTTTGCGCAGGACTGTACATGTTCTATGGCCTTGTCGACATCGACCAGATGCATCAAGCCAAGCAGGGAAAGGGCATTGAACGCACCGTAAAGAAATCGTGTATCGGTCTCGCCCCATTCATCACCAGCGAAAGTGCCGTTGTCGAGCTTCTGTAGGCCAGCGATGACTNNGTAGATTGTCAGCCACGCAAACAAAGCGATTGCTCATATAAACTGACAGCGACCTATGCGATCCTTGCCCCCAGGTACCCTTTGCTCTAGCTCGGCGAAGGCGTCTAGGGTAGCAAGTATCTGAACGGCACTGACGGTGTACAGCATGTGTGGGTCGTGGCCAGGCGCGGCACCGAAGCCGCCGTTCTCGTGTAGGCAGGAGAAAACAAAGTCCAGCAAGCCGGATCTGGGCAAGGCATCGGGTTGGCCGAGCAGGTAGAGCGGAGTGATGCCCCAGTAGATGCCACTCATGCGCAAGTGGTCGGTGAGCCAGTATTCGAGTTCATCCTTCCGNCTGTTTCGGGCGTCAGTAAGGAGCGCATGCGATCGGGGACAATGGCTGCGGACCGTGTCGAGGGACTGGATGTAATCGACGTGTTTCTGGGCGTAGAGCTGGAGTTCGGCGGGGAGGTCAGACAAGACTCCTCCACGTCCGGGACCAGCGACGAGAGACATGAATGATGGGTGGATTGACAGTTGTGGATACGAAGCAGTGATGAACGTCAAGAAGACGATGCGGGGTTTCCACAACCTGCGCGAAGCACAACGTTTGTCTGTTGGAGTGGAAAACCAAGACTACAATACTGCATGGAATATCTACTTTGAAAACTTCGTAACAATCCTTCGTTCCTCTGGTTGCTTTCAATCGCTAGATCGTTGCTCTTCAGTGGACGTTGCCCTGTTTCTGGAAACTATTGTGTATTTTTATAGCTATACGCATTACACACTCTCGCACACTGGAGAGAGGGGTGCAAATGGCACGAGTCAACAACCCTGGGGGATGTTTCGAACCCTGTCCTAGGAGATCGAACATCCATGACATTACAGAGTTTCGTCCAAGATTGGGTCGGCATCCATTGAGAGCATGTTGTCTCTCGTGACAAGCAAGGTCTTAAGGTCTAAGGCTTTTCTGCTCATTGCGCGAGATATGAACTCCTAGTCAATATTCGTGACCCCGTGTTTTAGCACCCATCGGATCTGTGTATTCGAGACGACCTTGTAAAGTGACGAGATGCCAGGAACAGCCTGTTTACTTTTTTATGAAGCTGTGTTCTGCCATGTCTATTCCCAATTCTGCAGCAACAGGCGAGACGACTCTCGGTATTCCGTGTAAGGTCAAGATGGTGTCTCCGGCATCGAGACAGTTCCAAATGAGCATCTCAATGTCAGTACATTCTTGGTTGATGTCGTCTTTCTCGACCTCGAAAGCAGCTAACATATCGTTAAAGATGAAAACAGCACTTTCTGTGTTTCTGGTGTCTGCCTTTCTAAACTCCGGTGGTGTATTGTAACGTTCCTCTTCGCGTAACAACTCGAGAATCTCGGGATTAATCTTCGATCCGCTCGCGCTATGTAGCTTATACGGCGACACATATATTACTGGTGGGCCACAAAAACTCATGAAGCAAAACGAGTTGAGCAAAGCGAAGGGGTACACCTGGGATCTCTATCTCAAGCAGCTCGCCTTTTATGAATGCGCTATTGTAACCACAGTTGCAGCACCGCAGTCATTGTCGTTTTCCTGTTGTGCTGTGTTGACAAAATTTATCTCTGTCTGTAGCGTCAAATCCCATCCAGCGTGAACTGCAAGTTCTTGTGAAATCTGCAACAACAAACCGTTACAGAATGTCTGGACATCATGGTTGGATTCTTGTCGTGAGTTCCAGATGATCACATCGCCATTGATTGAAACCTTTACGGCGACCCAATGAGTGTTAGTTGGGTTAACCGCAAAGTAGATATCCCTAAGATTCGCTTGAGTCATATTTGACGTAGGTGGGAATTCTGGACCCTGAACAGACACCTGCATCTCACGCTTGGGGCTTTTAATATGTTGTTCCATTGTCCAGCAAGCGTCGTGGGAGGCGTTAAAGGGTGGAAGATCATAGCTTACGTGGGCGTTTGTAAGATACGCTACAACATCCTTACACGGAACGTATGATTCTTTAATAAGACTTACAAGGACATCGATTGTCCCACTGAAGTACCAGCCGTGTCGAGAGTAGATTTATTGCAGTTCCTTTGTAAGGGCAAACTGGCCAGCAATAGCCTGTCCATTGTGCATACTCAGAGCTTCGGTAGCTTGCTGCCATATCTCCGAGGCCAGTCATTCAAGATTTTTCTCTGTCGTCTTTTTTTTTGCTCCAGGTCTTCAAGTATTATCCTCTTGGTTCCAGTCGGATTTTTGTCAACCGACGAGGGACGGCGTCGATGTTTTTCGTGCGGGTTCTTGATGTGTGACGAGCGTATCACTAACGGCAGAAATTCAGAATTGGGAAAGGCAGGTGGCTCGTCAAAGCCGGAGGCTGAGTGCTGCGAAAGGGCTGGAGCAGCAGACGACTCTTGGAGTTGTTCGGATGGGTTGTCAAGATCCGAGGAATCAGGGATGAGTGGATCGACGTTGTGGATACGAAGCAGCGGTGGAAGAAGACGACGTGGGGGAATTGGACATTCCTCAAAGCAGAAGACGGACCCTTGATGGAACAACGAACGCGACGCTCTCCCCTCGAGTCAACCGCCCACACGCTTTGCCTGACAAGTCGATTGTGACCATCTCATCCACAAAGTCAACACGCTCCTTTCTCCATTCTTGTCGCCCATCTGCCTCTTCGCGCTCCCGTGGCACAGCAACAGCAATTGTTGCCGAGGCGTGCATTGAGCTGCATCACTAGACAAAAACTAGCCGAGCAGCCCCCTTTGAAAGAAGCTACATCAAAGAGAAGCCCGCCGTTCGCTCCCACCCAGGACGTTGATGGGTGAATCCGTTCACGCCGGCACGCAGCAGCAGTAGCAGCACATCGAGACACGCCTCTGAACAGCTTTGCCCGTCTGCGCCGACTCGAGGAGACAATGGACAAATCCCCTCGACCATGGCCGACGCCCGCCCAAAACACATGAGTAGTCCCATTTCTCTCCATGGAATCGACATCTCTTCCCTGGACGCCCGCGATGTCTTTGGTTTGACCATGGGCAGCGACCTGGCCGCTCTTCCCGCCGCATCACCCGACCTCTCGCGCGCGCGTGAAGACGCCGACCGTCAGAGCTTCCGTTCAGCTCACAGTCCTTCTCTATCTGCTGACCGCATTACCGACGATGGCCCTGTCTCTCACTTTGACCCTCCGTCCGAGTCTCGCTCTCGCTCCGTCTCTACCTGGATCTACCCCTACCGCCGACCTCCAGGTTCCTCGCCTGCCTTGTCCATTGGTGCCAAAGACAGCGACGACGCTTCGGGTCAGTCAAATTGCTGCCTATTGTTGTGTCTCGTTACTGACAATAATGCCCAANCAGCTGCTCCTATACCTGTCATTCCTTCGTTAGATTCAAGCCAGCGCNCCTTTACCGCCGCCGCTCCGCAATCCTCACCAGCCGTTCATTCCACTTCAGCCTCGAATCTAAACTCGAACAATACCAAACCCAAGCCGGGCAAANAGCGTATGCCTGTTTTGNGGAGATCAAAGTCACTGCGCGCCGAAGATCAGCTCAACGCCCTCACCGACAGCAAGTCAAAAACAAAATCGCCTGTCATCAAGCAGTCCAAGCACGGCGTACATAGCAAGTCAACGCCAGCCATTGAAATGCCGCCCATGCAGAAGCCTCTTCCCGACAACAACCGCAAGTTTATGGGCATCATGCGCGACCGCTCCCAGGACAGGGCTGATGCCGAACCGGGAAACAAAGCAAAGGCCAAGAAGGAAAAGGGCCAGGACCGTGAGGGCCTCATGTACAAGAACAACAACACATCGGCCTTTTTCGACTTCCGTCAGAGCTCATCACGCGCGACCGACGGTTTCACCAAGGCCAGCAAAGGCTTGTTGAGCAAGATCACTCGTGGTGGCAGCAACCACGGCAAGCCCCAACCTGTCACTGACGATGGGGACTATGTTGTGCAGGTTCTGAACAAAGGCCTCATTGAACAGACGCGCCTTACACGAATTGCGCAATCGTATGATGACTGCAAGGATAAGACCGAGTTCTGGATGCCCGCTTTGCCGTGGCGCGCGATTGAGTACGTCCCCCGATCTTTGACCACTTTACACGCTGACTCTTTGCAGTNNTACCTAAACGGCAAGTGCGAAGAAGAAGGCCTCTACAGGGTCTCCGGTGGTGTCGCCAACGTAAGAAAGTGGAGGAGACGCTTCGACACGGGTGAACACTTCCGCTTTCAATTCGTGTCGAACTTGCGCTGATTCATATCCANNGAGCTTGACATCAATCTTCTAGACGAGTCGGAACTGTACGACGCCAGCATTATTGCCTCCCNNCTATTCAAGGAATGGATTCGTGAACTTCCCGAGGACATTTTCCCCAAGGATTCACAGCACCGCATCACCTCTCAACTACCTACCGAGATACCCGACAAAGGCTTTGTCCCCGAGATACTTCGCTGCGAGCTTCAGAACCTTCCCNCCTTCAACTACTATCTCCTCTTCGCTATCACCTGCCATCTTAGCCTGTTGCTCGAGTATCAGCACAAGAACAAGATGACTTTGGACAACTTGTATCGTTGTTTTAATCAATCGCTAAAACTCGATGGCCGTATCTTCTATACTCTGGTTGGAAACTGGCGCCTGTGCTGGGCTGGCTGTGTTACCGAGAACGACTACCTTGTTAAGGAGTATGATTATCTCAAGCACCCTTATCCTCAGTTCATCCAGGATAGTCTGGCAGCGAACGAGCGTGCGATTTCATCATCGGAAAGTAGCGCCCCTCCTGCCAACGGAAGCTTTACTCCCGAAGCTCAGCGCCCTGCGACATCGCACACGGTCGTTTCGCAATCCAGTGAAAGCGATGAGCCCTTTATCACTCCAGTCAAGAAGAACAAGCGCAGCTCTTCCGATGTCACCGGACTCTCGCCAATGCGGTTCAACTCTAGTCCTCTGTACTGGGGACCGACATCCAACCCCTGAAAAGTTGATTGCATATCAACAACACATCGCTGTCTTCTTCGGAGCGCTCGTGCGCATTTGCTTCGCCCTGTCACCACAAGACGAGAGATATGACCAGGCTGGACCTTGTTTTGTCTCACCCGGACTGGGCGGCTTCTTTTTCTCCCTTCCATTCAACTCCTGGTTTTTGTTTTGGCTCTGCTCCTTTTTTCGATTTTTGTATGTACGAGTTGATATACCCTCAATGTTTTTTGTGCTTTTCTCTTCTTTTCCTTTTGCTGGGCGTTCTCTGGGTTGATAATTTGGGACGAGATGACAAGGGATGGAAGGTGTCGAAAATCAAGAAGTGGACAAAAAGGATAAAACTGAGGAGAGAGGTGGTAGACCTCCATGTAAGATCAAGTGGTTTCCTGAGGGATGAAGAAATAGAGATAGGAAGGCATGGTGGCAGTCCAATCGAGTGGCTGCTTGACTTTTCATGCAAGATGAGATATGAAACTTCTTTCTAAATGCTCGTCCCTATCACTTCAATTGTTTGGTCATTGTTCGACCCCTTCTTGCAGTGTTCGGCTCGACTACCTAGTTTTTGTGACGATGCTTGGCAGGCATTCCGATTGTTTTGGTTTGCAAACACAACGCGCAAAGACGTACACTAAATCGACCCTCACCACTAGCAATGTAGATAGAGCGATCGCGCATCTCTAGCAGAGAGTTATTTATCCTCCGAGAAGCCTTCGATCTCTCACCCTCGTCAAAGATGTCTGCTCCGACCTCTCGCTCTCCCTCGCCGGTCCAAGCACCTCCTGTCCAACAAACACCAGGGCCGCGCGCCGCCGCTCTGCAGAAACTATACTCGGACGCCATCTCGCACACCCTCCGCACATGTAGCTACTCCAACTTTGCCTCGTCCTTCCCGACTCCGGCCAGTCATGCTCCCGAGGCCATGAAACGCCTACATACCGACTTTGTCGAGAAGCTGCACCGCACGTGTAAGCTCAACTTTGAGCAGATCCTACGCGACCGCGAGGTTGTCGCGTCGCTGAATGATCTGGATCGCCTGGTCGAAGACGCAAGAAAGAGAANNAAGACTGCTGCTGAGCAAGCGACAAGTGGACAGGCAGTACAACCGCCGCTCCCGTATGTTTCTGTCCAGAGTCATTGCATGTGAATACTGAACTTACGCGNNGCTGCTAGTCCTCACACTCTGCCAGCTTCGTCGCTGTATCTTTCACATCTTGGGCCGTTACTATCCGACCAGCATACTTCTCTGTCATCGAGGTTACAGACTGCTCAGTCAGAAAACGCCGACCTGGTCGATACGGTACTACAACAGCGCCGTGAAATTGAGCAATTGGTTTCGCAGCTGGAAACGACGATTGCCGACGTTGATGCTGCCAATGATGCTCTGTCTATTGATGACATGGATGCCTTGACTGAGGAAGCAGTCGCCTTGGACATGGATCAGCGGACTTGAGCTGCGCATCGTACACGAGCGATGCGCGTTCTTGCTACTGCCACATCATCTGTACGACGATCAGATGCATGTTCTCCTACCTGCATTGCCCATATCCTGCCCATGAATCGTCGCAACAAATTCCTGCGACGCTACTGTGGCTTTCGAAACCCCCTGGAGGCACATGTAAATGTTGTTCCAGAACAGCAGCGATCAACAGAAGGAATGGCATTGTTCTCACACAAGCTCTGTCAGCGGACCTACCTCGCAGAGCCTTTGTATTCGCAACTCCTCAGCGCCCAGCTGGAGACAAAGAAACCGGCGGCAGTTGCGATATTTTGCACAATGAGATGGGCGTGGCCGTTGCGACATGACATAGTTTCACCACAATAAGGGCGAGGAGAACATGAACTTGAAAGTTTGATAGAACAAAATATTTCCTTTACACAATCGTGACTTTTTGCGCCTCGTGCTCTTTCCGAGAAGCGATGAAGCTGCTTTGACCACTCGACCAAGCGCTTGTATTGGCTTTGGCTGTATTCGCCGTGTCCGCCTGGCTCTAAACGCTGATAGATTCGGCGCTTTCTTTCGTGATGTTTGTATCGTCTTGAAGTACTTTCGGCAGGAACAACTGGGTAGATTCGTTGAAGTTTGGAACGTTTCATGGAAAGTCTCAGCGACCACCGAAGCCTGGTGGGGGAAACCTCTGCCCTGTCCTGGAGGAGGCTGGAAACCAGGAGGTGCACCGAAACCAGCTGCGTGAAAGTCAGTCGGATTGAACAGATAGATAGCCAATAACGCGAGTTAACTTACGAGGACCACCGCCAGGAGCACCAGGGAAGCCGGGAGGAGGGCCTTGGAATCCGGCTAGAAAGTTGTGTAAGTAGACATTCAAAAACAGGAACGACTCAGAACATACGAGGACCACCTCTACCACCAAAGCCTGGTGGAGGCGCGCCGGGGAAACCACCAGGAGCACCAGGGAAGCCAAATCCGGGAGCGGGACCGCCAACACCTGCAGCAGGACCAGTAAGACCGGTAGGAGGCAGACCTCTACCTGCCGGGCGAGTGATACCAGGGCCAGCAGTCATAGTAGGAGCACCAGGGCCTGCGGGACCATCCTTGGCCAGTCTCGTCGAGGGATCTGCGGGTGGAGGACCTTCGACAGTCGAGGCGACAATATGCGCACCGCGAACGATGGTAAGACCAAGGGTACGCTTCTCCTCTGTCTCGACGAATTGAGGCTCTGCCTGTCCAGGAGCTGCCGACTTTGTGGGCTTGCGCTTTACTCGTCTGAACTCTTCCGTGTCGGCGAGGACGAGGTTCATGTGCTTGTCGAAGGCGAGCATCTGGCCGGCCATCTGACGACCGTCCATCATGGTGACGCGCAGACGGTAGTTGATCAGGCCCTGCATCTTGCCTTGCTTGTTTGCGGCGGCCATGCTGAAGGTCGATGCGCGCGGACGCGACTGGTGTGTGCGAGAGCGGGATGTCCTGGAGGAAAGCGCGAGTGCTGCGACAAGGACGAGTGAAGCAGCAGAAGGATGCGACGGGGTTTTGCGAAGATGGATGGATAGCAGGAAATAAAGAGTCGGTCGCTGTTGCTCTTTCCAGACGCAGCTTGCGCTTGCGCTCTGCACCGGGCAAGTCTGTGCCAAGGAATCGCGCCGCCTTCTCCGCATCCACCATCGCGCAGAGAAGTTGGAAGCTCTCGTGCTTGCTGTTCCGCCAGTCCATTTCAATCCCATACACACATCCAGTCATGGCCGCCACAAAGATGCAAACGCCGCTGAGCCTTCTTAGAGCATCTGCTCCAACCGATCGCTTCGTCCACACATCCATCTTCCACGGCGCACAACGATCGCAAGCCTCGGTCCTCGTCCTCTCACGCCATGCGTCATCCGCTGCTTCGACCTCGACCACATCCACACAGTCGCAAACACCACAACTCACATGGGACGAGTTTCTCAAGCTCCGCCGTACTCGCCGCTTCATCAACCTCGGCTCCTCTGCTCTCAGTGGTGCCGCCAGTGTCGCCGTTGCTGTGCCTGCTTTCGCCGAGTTCGAGATCGAGAACATTGGCGCTCAAATGACTGGTCTCGATCCCATGTTCATCATTGGCGGTAGTTTGATGGGTGTTGGTGCTGTTGGCTGGCTGCTTGGTCCGTTCCTTGGGACTGCCTTCTTCAACATCTGGAAGGGAAGCGTGAGGAAGGAGTTTGTCAGAGTACGCCATGCTCCTGCTCGCTTTTGATCCGAGTTTTGTGTACTGACCGTATTTCGATTACAGAAAGACAAGGATTTCTACTCACACATCAAGAGATTCCGCGCCGACCCTGCCAGCTCGTCTGTCAACAACCCCGTTCCGGACTACTACGGCGAAAAGATCAACAGCGTCGCCGATTACAGACGATGGCTAAAGGACCAGAGAGCCTTTACTAGAAAGAAGAACAAGAACCTGCTCTAAGCAAGCCAAACGTAACCTTGCACATCTGTATTACCACCATTTCGTTCAGCGCAGGAAGCTCGAGCTATTAGCGATTTCATATCAACATCAACATTAATTCGTCCGTGTTCTGTGAGTAGTCCCAAGAGTTGAGCAACGTCCCGAGTCGTGTTACTTCGCCTTCCAAACGTTTAGACTTAATGTCCTGCCCTAAGACATGATACTCAGTCTTGATTCTCGTCAAAATTTAGCTCCCAGTTCCTTTTCCTTCTTGATCTGTTCCTTGTCAACCACAATAATCGCTTTGCCTTGGATCTTTCCTCCATGGACCAGATCAACCAATTCTTCAATCTTATCGAGACCGTGGAATGGGTTGGTCTTTACTTTGATGCCGTGCTTTGCGACGAACTCGAGCATGCTTACACTCTGCTCTGGTGAACAGAGCAAAGAGCCTTTAACTCTGATATCGCGGAAAACAAATTCCGCGAAGGGAATGGTGACATTGTCCGGCTGTGCGATCTGTACCATAGTACCGTGCATCTTAGTCAATGCGCAAGCCAGTCCAGCAGCATCGTCAGCATCGCTCAGGGTTATTGACGCATCGACACCGGCTCCTCCAGTAACCTGTTCGCAGTATGTGAGTTAAAGATCGAATTCGCATACGGTAGGAAAAATTCACCTTTGTACGGCTGCAACCACACTGTCTTTTCCTTCGCGTGCATCGACAACCACATCTGCGCCATTCTCCTTGGACATGGCGAGCCCTTCGTCTCTGGCGTCGATACCAACCACGTTGAGGCCGAGCGCTTTTGCGAATTGGATGCCCAGATGGCCTAGACCGCCTCCAGAACCGACCAGGGCAATCCACTCCCCGCTTTTGAGGTTGGCCTCTAACACGCCTCTCCAGATTGTTCTCCCTGCACATGCAAGCGGTGCTGCACTCTCAAGCGTGACCTCGTCTGGAATAGGGGTTGAGCTTCTGGAATCCACAAGTGCATACTCGGCGAAGAACCCGTTCCTGTGCACGCCAGAGTGTCCTGCGATGTTGGTACAGTATTGCCGCCATGTCTCCGGTCCATAGCAGTCCTGGCAGTGGCCACAAGGATGGTAAGGAAGTCCACACATGACACGGTCTCGNAGCTTGAAGTTCTTGACAGAACTTCCAACTGCAACTACAGTGCCAGCACCTTCGTGCGAAGCTGTCACAGGAAGTTTGGTTCCGAACGTGCCGTGCTGTACCATGGAATCTGTATGGCAGTTTGACGCGACACCGATCTTGACCAAAATGTCCTCAGGAGCAAGATCTTTGGGTACAGGAACGGTGTTGATCTTGTATGGTTTGTCAAACTAGATTGTCATCTTAGTCTAGGGTCAATCGGACAGACACGAATTGTTTAATACCTCGACCACTTGAATGGCCTTCATCTCTTGAGGAACGTCTTTAAGATCCATGTTTGGTATTGTGTTTGAGCACTATGGCTAACAGTGCATAGAGAGTGTTGTCGAGAAGCAGAAGAGCGAGTCATTATATCAATGGTAGAGAACAATACGTCATGCGGGGGGATATTTTGTCTATCGGCGATAGCGACATTAACGCCGAGATGGTAAAGATAAATTGAAGCCTGTTGATGCCTCTCCCTATTCTTCCATGTCATGATGGACGCACATCTGCATGTTACGATTTCATATCACAGTAGCCACGCCGAGAAGAGGTTCTCGGCATCCAGCGTCACGGATTTCGATTGGGAATCCAGATCCGAACCACTTGCTGTCCAGGGGTATGTCCTCGAAGAAACCACTACCAAAAGAAACATTCTCGAAGAACGATAGCCTACCTTGCATTGGTCTCACTGTACACATAGCTCACACCGATTGAGGATACTGTTTGAGAGATGCGCTGTGAGGTAGGAATGTCTGTAATCTGTAAAGGGTCAATTGATGATCATCTCGAGTCAAGCATTCAGTACCTACACTCTTCGGACCATCGCAACAGGCGGCTCTCTGAGATGTGCAAGAATCTGAGAAACATCGAGACTGCAAAGGTATAGTCGGTGCTGGACGTTGCTATCGCCGGTAGTCTGCCGAGGGTAAGAAGGTTCGGGCGGGTCATCGAGTGGCTCTTTCCGTGCAAGAGAAGGACCACCTTCCACACCCAGATGCCTTGACAACAGCATCAACACTGGTACTCGGTATCAATTCACTCCTTCCCTTGACTTTGTTCATCTCCCCACTTACTCTCCTTTTGGACTGCCATTGATGGATTTGCTAGCTCCTGCATCTAGCCAGGCGCAGACCAGGACCGTTCCCCTCGTCTGCAAGATATGCCCACGCAAGCCCAACTTCAGTGATCTGTCGCATCTCCTCACCCACATCAGTAGCAAGGCTCATCTGTCAACCTATTACAAGCTCAAGGTCCGCTCAGGCTCCGATGATGCTGCTCGTCAATCCGTCGAGCGGTACGACATATGGTACGCCGAGAATGACATTGAGTCTTTCATGTCGGAGCGTATGAAGCACAAGGATAAACGCAAGAAGATCAAGACTGGTACTTACTTGCCTGTTTCCGATGGAGCTCCCTTTACTGACCGACGTCTGTCAGAGCCCCACGCCAACGTCAAGATCATCAAGAAAGAGTCCCACTCGCCAACGTTCACTCCCTCATCAGCATCTTACGACGATATCCCATCAGTCTACCCTCACCCGTACGCTGCCTACGGACCGATGTATACTTGGGCAGCACACCCTTACCTCTCCCACAAACAGGACTCGGCATCGGTCGAGGACGATGATCAGCTGGCCCCAAGTGAAGTATCACTCATGCCACGAAAGCGAAAAGTCAAGAATCAGACACCTCATGTTGGAGACGTCGATGACGAGGACGAAAGCAGCAAGCTCAAGGGTGTTGTTTGGCCAGGTATGGGCCTCTTTGATGCAGCCACTCCGGAGTTGAAGAAGAAGCGTAACCAGAAGAAAGACGTCTCTGTGAACGATCGTCTTGCCACCATGTCCGAAGGAATTCAGAAGGAAGAGCTGATCTTCAGTTCATCTGGTACTCCCCTCAAGAGAAGAGTCATCTCTGGCCAGCCACAGCCCGAGGAGGATCTGCTGCCTGGTGAGGAGCTACCTCCCCGTCCATCCAAGGCCAAGCGTGCTCCCAGAAAGAAGCCTCTTGACGGCAAGAAATCTCTCGAGGACAAGAAGCCCTTGAAAGAAAAAGATCACAACACCGGTACGAAGCCCAATCTTCGCCTCAAGGCCAAGAAGAAAGCCCGTAAGCAGCAACCCGTTGCTGCTGCCAATGCCGACACTCAGGAATGGAGTGACCTCAAGGAGGAGGTGCCCCGTAAGACCACACGCAACAAGCGCAAGAAAGCACCCATCGACGAAGCCGAAGAGGAAGGCGAGACTCAGATTGAGATGGAAGAAGCCACATTCGAGCAGCCTGTTGTCATGACGCACCTCAACTCTGAATATCAACATGCTCCAATGTACGTTGCAGCAGCACCCATGGGTTTCAGAGCGGCCGAGCCCACCTACATGAACATGACGGGTCAGAGTTACTACCAGTTCCCGGCTGGACAGAACAACCCCTTCTCGTACGATCCATCCCCCTTGGCGACATGGGATTACTTTGGGTACGGCATGGGAAGCAGCATCGCAAACCCTCTGTTCACTGGCATGTACGGAGGCAGCTTTGACGATGATGATGACGAGGACAACGAGGGGACCATCTCGGCGCCCATCTCGGAGTCACAGTAGCGAGAGGAGGGAATTGCACTAACCAAGAACGAGGGACTGTGAATATATATGGAGCATTTGCTTTTATGAACGATAATGGCGGACACGATGATGGCGGGCTGCAAACTGGAACGGACAAAAGTACTTGATTCTCTTTTCTATCTTAGCGACGACAGCACATGGAGCATGGAACGTACGATATATGATAGCTGCAGCATCTGAGCTTGCAAGTAATGCTAATTTCTGCACTCGTATACAAAGTCTTGTTTGCTTGCTTGTTGATTGTCGCAGAAGGAAGGAGCGACGAGACGCGACGAGGAGTCAAGTGAAGCCTTCTGACCGGAGTTTGCGGAGTTTGCGTGGCTGCGCGAGTGACGGCGTCCAAAATTTCTTGAACTTATCGACGAAGAAAACCACAAAACACACCAGTACAGCAAACCGTAATGGCGACACAATTACCCCCTCCGTCGAAGCGACAAAAGACAGCGGCGACCGCGCGGGCCCGCGAGCAAGTTGAACCCGAGCAGATGCCCGATGGCATCCAGCGCATTCAGTTCATCGACGCCGACTCAGGCGAGTCACAAGGCCCCGTCGTGACAGTGCCCTTGTCCGAACTGTCGCCCAAGAATCTTTCCCTATTGTTGAACACCCTCCTCGGCCGCGAAGACCCTAGCGAGCGCCTTCCCTACCGCTTCTACGATCCTCTCGGCACTGGCGATTTCGACCAACAAGCCATCATTTCGGCCTTTCTGTCCGGCGACTCGACAACAGAAGTCCAACTAAATATTCCCTGTCGCGCAGAAGCAGTTTTCCGCGTAAAAGCTGTCACAAGATGTTCTGCCGCAATCAGCGGACACGGCGAGGCCATCCTCGCAGCACAATTCTCCCCGTCCTCGTCTTCGCGTTTGGCTACTGGTAGCGGCGACAAAACTGCACGTATCTGGGATTGCGACACTGGTACTCCTATGCACACGCTCACTGGTCATACGGGATGGGTTCTGACTGTCAGCTACTCGCCTAATGGCGATATTCTGGCTACAGGCAGCATGGACAATACGATACGCTTGTGGGATGCCCAGACTGGTAAGCCTCTGGGTGGTCCTATGAAGGGTCACACCAAATGGGTGACTTCGATGTCGTGGGAGCCCTACCACATGCAGCAAGTTGGAAGACCTCGAATTGCATCCGCCTCGAAGGATGCTACCGTCCGTATCTGGGATGTCACCAGCAAGCGCGCCGATCTAGCCTTGACCGGCCACAAGGGCAACGTGTCTTGCGTACGTTGGGGAGGTGCCGGACTCATCTATACTGCCTCACACGACAAGACCATCAAGGTCTGGTCTGCCGAAACTGGCTCTCTTGTGCACACTCTCAATTCACACGCTCACTGGGTCAACCATCTTGCTCTTTCCACCGACTTCGCTCTTCGCACCGCCTTCTACGATCACACTGGCAAGAAGGGTGTCCCAGCCACACCTGAAGAGAAGCGCGCAAAGGCAAAAGAACGCTACGAGGCTGCTGCTGGTGTCAACAATCAGAAGAATGGCGGAAAGGCTGTGGAGAGACTGGTGTCAGCCAGTGATGACTGCACAATCTATCTTTGGACACCCATGACTTCAACAAAACCAGTGACTCGTTTGTTAGGCCATCAAAAACAGGTCAACCACGTCACGTTCTCTCCTGATGGCACTCTTCTCGCGTCTGCTGGATTCGACAACCTCATCAAATTGTGGAATGCTGCTGATGGAACCTTCCTTTTCACGCTCAAGGGTCACGTTGGACCTGTGTATCAGGTCGCTTTCAGTGCCGACAGCAGACTGCTTGTTAGCGGTAGCAAAGACACCACCCTCAAAGTCTGGGATGTCAAGACTGGAAAGCTCAAGGAAGATCTGCCCGGTCACAAGGACCAAGTCTTTGCCGTAGACTGGAGCCCTGATGGTGATAGAGTAGGCAGCGGAGGTCAAGACAAGCAAGTCCGTGTCTGGAGAAACTGATGTCGAGATTTTGATACCCAAACATATGAATTTCACTTCTTTTGCATTTCGCATCTTCTATCAAACGATCCTCAAAGCAAGTTTTGAACACTCTTTGTTCCGATCTCACCAATTCTACTGCCTAGGTGACGTAGAGGAAGTCCGGTCGCTTGTCCCCCAACATTCTGATTTCAGACTCGTCCTTGCCTTCAATCCAGTGGTCGCGCTTGCCGGCTTGCCTCTTTTTGTTCTCGGCTTTCAGCAAGAGGTGTGTCATCAAACTTCCGCAGAACAAGAAGAGTGACAAGTACGCCAACACTACTCCATGACCGAGGTAGTATTTTGGCTTGTCCTTGGCGCGGTAAATGTTTGAGGACACCACGCCCTGGAGGTTGCCCCATCCGATGACGATACCAATTGTCACACCTCTCTTGTAAGCTCCTTCGACGTTGTTGGAACACCATGTGACGCTGTTACTGATCAATCTAGATGTCAAGTTCGGTCAGCAATCAATTCCATCCGAGATCACATCCATCCAAACTTACGGGTAGATGCCCAGAGCACCGAGGAATGTACCGGCATATTTGACATTAGGGTTTTGAGATCCGATGAGCATGCAGAAGCCTGTGATGCCAAGCAGAGAGACGCAGACGTTGATGAGACCTCTCTTCTGCGTTCTGTCGGCAATCCAACCAATGAATACCGTAAAGACCGCAGCACAAGCATATGGTGGAACGGATAGCAGGTTTGCTGTGGTGCCGCTGTATCCAAGCGCATTGATGATGGTGGGCAAGAACAGTGAGAAGGCGTAGAGCGCACCATCGGCTCCCATGTAGATGACCGCGAAGCACCATGTCTTCCAGTCGGCAACGCTCTGCCAGAAGTATGTCATTTTGAACTCCNNTGCGAGCCTCCACATTAGCACTGAATGACACTGTGACCAACAGAAAAATCTTCCCTCGATACGTACCTCGTGCTCGGCACTTGCTTGCTGGTCTTCCTTGAGTCTTCTGATCACTCTGGCACGATCGTCGACAGACAAGAACGTAGCCTCATCCGGGAAGTCATGGACCATCCAGTAAGACACGATTCCAACAACCACAGTGACCAGGCCTTCGAGAATGAAAATCCAAGCNCTGTTTGAAGAGTCAGTATCATCTATGAGTGCAAAGTCCGTCAATCTTACCCAACCAGGCTTGCCGCCAACGCCTTTCATTTGAGCGATACCTGCTGCCAGGAGACCGCCGAAACTGCCTGCCAAAGCTGCTGCGGAGAAGAAAATGGCTGCTCTGATACCGAGTTCCTTACGCTTGTACCTAAATTCAAATCAGTATATCTCCTCGAATGCCTGATTAGAATTTACCCACCAGCACGACAAGTAGTAGTTGACTCCAGGGAACAAACCTGCTTCAGCGAAGCCTAGCCACCAACGTGCGGCTGCGAGACCACCGAAATTGTGGCATAGGCCCATCGTAACCATCACAATTCCCCAGAGCGTCATGATGACGGGAAGAAAAACGCTGGGTCGCCATTTCTTGAGCAGGACGTTTGTCAAGGGCTCAAAGACCGAGTAGGAGACGAAGAAGATGGAGAGCGTTGCATTGTATTGGCCAGGGGTGAGGTGTAGGTCCTTGGCCAGACCGTCCACTTTGGCATTGCCGATGTTTGTTCGATCGAGGAAAGAGATGAGGTATAGGAACGAGAGCNNTGTTGTTCGAATGAGCGACGGATGATGTTTGCAAGGAGCGATGATACTGACCCATGGGATGAGTTTGAAGTCGAGTTTTCGGACGAGGGCCTTGTCNCTAATCACAATATCCGGTTAGTCGATGTGACTCGTCATGCTCGATGGAAGGGACGATATTACTATTCTTGCTCTTTCTTCGTCACTGAGTCCAGCATCAGGGTCGTATATCCCAGTATCGATGGTCTCCAGCTTGGAGACCCCAACTTTTCTTCCATTGGGTAATGCGACATTGTTGCAAGGTCTCTCGGCAGCAAATGACAGTAATACAAGGAACAGAAACCAAGCGGAGCAAGCGTGGGCAGACGATCCTAGCTATATGTACTGCGAGACGGTTGGCTCTGCTCGCGATTACCGGACGATCCTTCCAATCAATCATCCTTTCATGTGATCCGTTATATACGTTCTCTGGGTTGCTTTTGTCCAACCATCTCCCTCGCTCGCGTCCTTGCCAATCAAATGCTGCGATTCAAGAAAGAACGTGCCGTGGCTGAATAAACGGTATGACGTTGAGCTTATCTCTCCACGTCTTTTGGTGGCTTTTGGTGCTTGTCAACCAAGAAGGTTTTGACAGAGGGAAGGTGCGGGTGGAGAAATGCTGGGGGTGCGGGGTAGACGATCGCCGAAATCGGGGTTCTTTCCGTTTTGATGCAATGGTATTTGACATCCATCCTTCTTTTCTCAACTATCGTGAAGTCAATTGTCGACAGGAAGGACTTTACTTTGAGTAACTCAGGCGCCGCGGTCGTTGTCGATTCACGACTCCTGAACTCTGCGGAAGCACACGGATCTGGACAACTGGAAAGCAAGAGCGTATTGGTATTTTGAGGCCAATTGACGTTCGCCAGAGATACTGCACTCTCTACGGTCGATTGCTTGAAATCCATGTTCTTACTATACAATCTCATAACTTTACTTCTGGGAAGAGATCCCTCCGGAATCCCTGGAAAAGGTCCCGGACCTCAAGAATTCCTGGACGTTCTCGGAGAAGAATCGCGGAACTGGAAAAGATCGGAGTTCCCAGGAATCCCTGCCTCCCGTGTGCTAGTATGTAAAAATGCACAGTGCTATCAAGACACAGGGCAGTGTCCACTGAGAGCCGACATCTCAATGGCTCTCTTTGGCCACTCTGCTGCTTCGGAAAGCAATTGTGTCTTTTCATAGTGTACAATTCGCTCTTCAGTTGTCATTGGGAGCAGAGTCTGGTAGATGTGGTTGACCTGTTCATCTGATAAGATAAGATAAGAGGGATAGTCTCAGACACTAATACGACTGGAGACGTATAACTGCACTGATATGCAGTGAGCAGTTGTCGAGTTCCAGGCAGACATAATACTTCTATTCCACACTCTGGAGACGCTCCGCATGGTGGATTGCCTACTCTACAAAGTTCAGGTCGATTTGACACCAAAGCTTCTGTCGTTCCAAGAAAGGTGACCAGCGTTAACTTGTCCTTGTCGCTCAATGGAAGGCAATATCTGATGTTTCCGTTTGGCACATGGACGATTGATGACCTGCCGGATGTTTTCACAAGACTGGCTTCGACATCGATTGTCTGATAAGAGTATCAATCAAGCCAATCTTTGTCAAAAATCCTCTTGATATCTGCAAAAGATATCGAACTATCTGAAACCATAAAAATATCAGTTTCCACCTTTCCCTCCACTCGAGAGGTGTCAGTATATAACTTTTCGGCCAGTCCGGATAGCATTTCTTGTCGCCGCTGAAATCTCCATGGAGACTGCCATTTCGGGCGCAAAGTAGGATCCATGATCATTGTGGTTAATTTCTGGCGCTTTTAAGCAGTGCGGCCTTTACAAGTAGCCGTGGCAGCTGTCCAGCGCTCAGAGAAAGATCTGTCTTCAAGCTGGAGACCTTGTCAGTCGTCGTGGTTGATGTCCAGTGCTAATCTGTCTTCAGCAGATTGTAAGAATGCAAGAATGGTTTCAAGATGAAATCAGGTCCATCGAGAGTGTATAATTATACTTTCTCACTGGAAGGCTGCAGAGTCCTCGATAATGTTCTGCTTTTGTATAGCACTGTTTGTAATGTCATTTGCTCGTGGAGATCTTGTACTTTTTACCGATGATGGGTTTCTTGGGATTAACCTCAACTCCCGGTCGAGACCACGGCCTGTTTCATAGCTACAAAAAGTCAGACATTACTGTAGGAAAGTCTTATGTCCACTGAGATTGCGTCAAGATAATTGCTCCACTGGCAAGATAATAATGTTACAATATACCTGCTGCAGTGATTCAGATATCCGCAATAGTGCTAGGATATAGCAGAATATCACATGGAGTGCTACGGCATCCTCAGCTCAGACTTGACTGTTCATCACAGAAGCTTGGGACCAGTGCAGACGACCTCAACCGATACTCACTGCATAGGGTTCTATCACTCATTACTTTCACTATCGGGTAGGAACGGAAATCCGTGCCCCTTCGAGTAAAGTCACGGTATATAGCTTTTCAACATCACCTCCCTAGTACATACACCTCACACCAGGCTCTCACATCACACTCCACTCTTCTCACCTCTCGTACCGTCAGCTGGCCTTCCGTGTCACTAGCACTTGCTTCGTGAGCTATATATCCATCATGTGGCAACTACCAGCCTCTAACTTCTCTTCTCAACACAACTCCTTTCAACAACAGCCTCCCTTCTCATCCATTCCTCGACACACTCTTCCTCGATCTCAATTACTTCCACTGCCCCCTCTCAACGATATGGCCTACACATCAGGGGATCCTCACATGGTCGAGCAGATGGAGATGGTCAGAAGGCTGGCAACACTGGAGGCAGAGTTGAGAATCGAGAGAGAGCAGCATGCATTAGCACAGCAGTGCATCACTTACATGGCACGCCAGCTCGCCTCTCAAGACCTAAGACCTGCCGTTCCAGCACTCAGAGAAGAATCCCAGCCCCGCGGCAGAAGACTCGAAAGATATGCGGCCGAACCCAGAGCCCAAGCAGAGATCGAGCAAAAGCCAGAATCGAGAGAAGATGAAGGAGAAGAGCAGATGAGAGAGCAAAAGGCCGAATCGGAGGATCTTCTAGCTTGTGACAACAAGGAGATGCCAGTGGATTCTGTGCACTCGCCTATTCTAGTACCTCACAAGACTCGCCCTGCACCCACTGGTCCAAGATCCGAACAAACATTCAGAACCAAATGCCTTGCTTTCCTGGAGCGCGACGAAGAGAGACACGAGCCAGTCGACACCGGCAAGGACGCAGAAGGCACGCTTTTCACATTCGAGAACAGCGGCGACGTCGGTAGCGAAGATCCTCCTTCCAGTGACAACGATGACGCAAAACTCATTCCAGTTCCCGACACACAGGATGCAAAGAAACATGAGCAACCCCTTACGCTTAAGAGTCTCTCAGATCGCTACAAGGACCACAAGCCTACAGAGGACGGCCTCAACGCATCAGTATGGGCTGGGGAACCTCACCTGAAAGGTATTGTCTCTGGACCGCTTGTCGAGAGGCAGAGTGGTGATCCGCACGAAGCAGAGAAGACGGTCAACAAGTCAGAGGAGCAAGAAGATCTGATGCAGTTTCCCGAGACTGACGAAGTATCCGAGGACACTGCGATCAAAGAGCCCGAGAAGATCTTGAGCGAGGAGCAGAAGGAAAAGGCCAAACGAAGCCATGCAGCAGAACTTCGAAAGAACCAAGCATTGGTCATGTACGACCCTGCCCCCAGCGAGGACGCTTTCCGCACAGTGCTGGTGACTGACATACCCAAGGAAAGTTCGGCTGCAGATGTGATGCGCATGGTCTCGGGAGGCATGATTGTCAAGGTTCAGTCCATGAATACGACACCCATCACAGGCAGCAAGACGATGATGATTACGTTCCTGCAGGCTAAGGACGCCCGCGACTTCTTGAAATCGGTGGAAGGCAAGACAAAGCCGGAATTCAGTCTCCTCAAGTCACCGACCTATCCTACCATCCCAAGGCTCGCCGACGACATGATGTACAACGGCGTCACACGTTGCTTGGCCATCCGCGGTGTATACGAAACCATCACTATGAAGAGACTCTGTGAGGTCGCCTGGCCGCCCGGACTCGAACGTGACAACATTGTTAATGCCAGCAGAGACGAGCAGGGCGTATGTCATCTAGAATTTACCTCCGTGTTGGCAGCTAAGATGGCTCACTGGTTCCTCAAAACCCGATTCGACGGTGCCGAGCACGAAGCGGATCCGTGCGACCGCAGAATTCCTGGCGTGGATGAAGAAGACGGACTGGAGGAGGAAAGTGAAATTGAAGAATCCGAAGAAGGCGAGATTGTCGGATCGGGAGACGGAATCGAGACTGAGAGCGAAACGCAGGCAGGAGCCGAGACCGAGTCCAAGTCTAAGTCGTCTGCAGGAGAAAAGGATGCGGATGGATGGCCTATCGGAGGCTTGGATTATGATTGAGTCAGGCGAGTGCAGCAGAGGAAAAGATTTGATAAGGAAGAAAGGGCAGCGAAAGATCTAGGATGGCGATATCAGGAGAAGCTGGTCTCGAGCATTATATTCTCCTCCTCTATTCGACAGCAATACTTGTATCTAGCCAGCAGTAGGCACAATACCATCTCAAGGATTGGCCATATGACAATTGCATACAATGACGACTGTTCGGAATCTGCGAGCGTGTCGAAGTGGGTCTTAGGCTCTGTATCGTATAACAGCAGGTCGATAGACGGTCGAGCCGTTGTTGGCTCTTCACTTGTTGAGTGTGCTCGCCACGACTGTGTCTCATGGACATGGCGGAAGCTGGACTGTGTGTTCTAGGCGCATAGTGGATATGGCCATGCGCGGCAGTGGCTTGGACGTTGGGTCGTGATGGTCAGATCAACCGATTTGTTCGCTGCAAAACAAGGTGTCAGCAAGATACAGAACGATATGTGGTGAACAGGAGATATCATACCCATAGGCCTGTTTAAGCTCCTTGATGGGCACAAGACTCAGGTAGGTGGTCATGGTGGGCACGTTCCTGACGGCGGTTCTCTGCTCGATCTTCTCGAAAGCGGGCTCGTCATCGCTCACGGCATCTTGATTGGTCGCGTCCTTGGTGGCAGAAGGGGTGGACTGGATCAATTCGGAGCCAAGGGAATTGTATTGGTAGACTTTCAATCCATTCTCTTTCAAATCTCTCTTTGCGATTTCGACAACGCTGATGAGCTTGTTGGCGACGGGAGCTTTGGCGTGGAGAGCGACGATGGCAGGTTTGCTGTCGCCCGGCGTCGACTTGATGTGCGCGATCAGGGACGTCGTTCGGTTGGAGATGCTGCTTGACGAGATGACACTCAGTTGCAGCACTGTATACTTGGCCGACAAGTCAGGAGATACTGGAGCCATGACTGGTTGGAGTGTTGACGACAAAACGTCTCCAAACCAGAACTCCGCAATCACCTTGATGATGCCCGCCAAGCTCTGAACCCACCTTCTTGAATCCTTTGCGACAAACCAACTCTCTCTTCTACCACTCGTCCAGTCATGCCGCCGTCAGAAAAGGAGCATCCTGCTCAGTCGCTCCTCGCACGCGCCCACGAACCCAACACGACCTCTCAAGTTTTCCGCGAAAAGGTCCAGAACCGCCCTCTCCTGCTCCGACCTTCCTCTCCCGATCCTCGCGAAAATGTCCGTTCTCAAAGACAGAAAGCAAGACTCGAAAAGCAAAGAGCCAGTCGCAAGTCAGAGAAGCCTCGCCCCTTGACTGCAAAGCAANAGAGGGTCCTCGGTGTCTACGACATTCCCAAAGACCAGCGCAAATACGACATCTACCTGCCAATTTGGAACCTGTGGTGCGCCTACATGCGCGAAATTCTCTCCATGGACAACTCTCGCTACGTAAACGCTGCCGCTGTTGGTCCTCTGCTGGCCAGTGCGGATTACCACGGTGCCATGGTCGATGTTGTGAGATGTCGCTGTGTGGGAAGAGTCGGCATTAGAGGAATCGTCGTCAAGGATACAAAGTTTACCATCGAGATCATCACTCCAAAGAACGAGCTCAAGAGTATGTTGTCTCCGCTCTTTTCATTAGCGTACCTCTTTGCTAACACTACAACAGTTGTGCCAAAGGAATATACCGTCTTTAGATTCGAGGTACCCTTTGCTGAAGAAGACGGCGACGGCGATAGCCAGATGCTCGAGCCACGCAAACCATTCATCTTTGAACTCCATGGATCCCAGTTCGAAAACAGACCGGCCGACCGTGCAAACAGAAAGTTCAAGCAGCACATTGATCCTGATCTGTGAGAATACTTCTGTTTGACCTCACCCCACCAACAACAGCCCACCTTACTCTCAGAGACTGCAAGCAACCATGCTCCAGATCTCGAAATGTGTAGTGTGCCCGGCTTGCGAAGCAAGAGCGTAGCCGATTCTCGTAACGCTTGCCTCTATGCAATTGCTGCCACAGGCGGTACCATCCTGCTTCGACCTATCTTGATTTGCTCAAAAGCAGAACAAGAGAGGACAGCCCAAATGTGAAGCTAGCTATGAGGGATCTTCCATCAGATTGACCCGAAGAGCCAGAAAGTGCTAGCAAGTTAGCTACTGCCTGATGGTGCAGAAGTAGCTAGCCACGTCGGACGACCCTCCAAAAGGTACAGACTTACTACTACCTTTTTCTGCACCTGCAGGAGCAGTGAACTATGTATCCTGCAGAGAGTGCATGCCCTTCAGGGTGGTTCGGAGGACAGAAGGTTGAACACAAGAACACACTATGACGAGCTTAGCCATTATATAGCACATGAATGATACCCACGATATCTCCTTTCCTCTCTACAATCATGTATACCTCTATTGCCTCCTTCCGCCATGCATGTCTTCAGTGATATCATCTGAACATAGAATCCTGTATGCATCGAAGGGCGGGGTCACCAAAAAAGATGCGACCATAAACCACAACCCGCCAAGCCCAGACTTCCTCCGCTTTCCCTTCTCTCTCTTCCGCGCCGCCGCTCTCGACTTTCCAGACCCAGAACTTTTTTGTTACCACCAACCACCACCTACCTTTTTCGCAACAACTACCGCCCTCCGACTTTCGCCTTTTCAGCCTCTCCGCGTCTACTCGAGTCGACAATAGGACATAATCCCAATACGCCGCAGAAGCGAAGACAGAAAAAACACCATCGGCCATCATGTCGTCTATGCGCAACGCAGTCCAAAGGCGCAACCACAAAGAGCGCGCCCAACCACTCGAACGCCAGAAATGGGGTCTCTTGGAAAAGCACAAGGTCCGTTCTTCTCTTGCAGCAATTAAAATTCTTCTATGGAGACTTCATCTCTACAACCTGCAACACTGCAAACAGAAAGAAAGGAATATTAAAAAAACTACAGNNGACTACTCCCTCCGTGCAAAAGACCACAATGAAAAGAAACGCCGTCTCAAAGTCCTGCGCGAAAAGGCCGCCCAGCGCAACCCCGACGAATTCGCTTTCGGAATGATCTCTAGAACCACAAAAAAGGGCGTCCAGCAATCGACAAGGGGAAAAGACAACGGCTCGCAAACGCCGATGAACATGGATATTGTAAAGTTGCTCAAGACACAGGACGCCGGTTACCTGCAGACCGTTCTGCAACAGACTCGTCGCGCCAGAGAGAAGATTGAGAAGCGAGCTGTCTTGATGACTACTGGAGTCGATGCGTCTAGCATAAGCAAGAGAAAGGTGTTTGATGACAACGGCAACTTGATTGAGGAGACCACAGCGCAGCCCGATTTTGACGATGATGATGATATGGACATGGATCTCGACGACCTGGCAGACCTGGGCGACCTTGATGGACTCGATGATCTTGATGGTATTGGCGGAAATGGCAGTGGTAGTGAAGACGACAAGAGCGAGGATGAAGAGAGCGACACCAAGGGCCTTTCAAAAGAAGAGATCAGGCAGCGACGGAAGAAGAGACGTGCTCAGGAAGTGCTGCAAAACCATCTCGGAGCAATCAAAGACCGCGAGCGCGACCTGTCCGTCGCCCTGAGTCAGCTCCAGCATCAGCGGGCACGCATGAACAACACCGTTGGAGGCGTCAACAAAGAGGGTGTCAAGTTCAAGGTCAGAGAGAGAAAGCGTTGAAAGTGTGTTGAGTCTTCAGAAGGATATCGCGAGCCAAACAAAATATTACATGTTCTGCGAGGGAGCGCCCGCGCTCTCACCAGGTTTCTTCGAGTTCTGCGCCTCATGTGTGCTGTTGGCGCCATCCTCGTCGTACAGCCCTTGTTCCTCGATGTATTTGACCACGGGCTCGGGCACCAAGTAACGGATGCTCATGTCGCGTTTGCGGAACAGGCGGATCTTTGTGCTAGAAATGTCGTTCTGCACCAGCTGCTGTACGACGTGGATGTTTTCTTTCCATTGTTGCAGTGTTGACAAGGCCTCGTCGATATCGGTACCAGCTCTCNNTGTCTTGTGTTAGAACTCTCTCATTATGAGCGTCTGGGAACAGCAGCAACATACCTCGATGATAAAGGCGCCAAAATTGCTCAAAATGTAGTCGATATCCTTCGGGGCCCAAACACCAGGAGCAGACATCGTTTGGATCAGATCTGCGCCCGCGAGCAAGGCAATTTTTGCCTTCTTGGGCCCCTGCGGGGTGTTGAAGGGTCCACGGGATGTATTGATTTCATGCTCGAAGTGGTCGAGCACCTTTGCCGTCTCGAGGTAGTCTTCGTGGAGAGCCTCCCATGGATCCACTNNACAGGACCAAAGTCAGGAATTTGATAGCATAGAAACTCAACACAAGTGTCAAAACATACCACTAATCCAGCTGCTTTGCTCGACTGCAAGACTGCACATGTTGATTCGGTGTTCGGCTTTGACAAGGCCACTCTTCTTGTACGCATCACCCACGGCACTGATGTAAGCGCCAACAACCTCGAAGTTTGTGTTGAAGCGGGCGTAATCAGCCGCCATTTCAAACATTCTCAGATGCAGAAAGGTGATGGGACTGAATGAACCGCAAGCCACGAGTACCAGCGGCGTCCTTGAAGAATCCCTCAGTTGTGATTGCAAGCGCTCAGTTGGGAATGTGTAGTTGTTCATTGTCATGGTTCCGGTGGGTGCAGAAGACATGGCGACGAGATTCGAGAATGTGTGGTATTGGCGACGCTCCGGGAAGAGGCGGAAGGACTGGGATCGGAGAGACTGGACAGAAGAATTGATCGGGAGGTGATGGTAGATTGGGCGAAGGTTGTTGAGCGATTTCTTGTTGGATACGAAAAGCGGTAGTTGCGACAGTCGCGGCGTTGCGCCGGCAGGACAGCGGAGTGGTGGCGTGGTGGGCGAGTGACGGACGATGAGAGCGAGTCTTGTTTGCCTGAGAGACGCCGTTATGATGGTCGGAGTAGGCGAAATTCGAAAAGCAAAAAATATAGAGGCAGGGATTGGTTGTCGATAGAAGAGATTCTGGGTGAGCGGAACTGGGCAGTCGAGACTCGGGATGTGTGAGGGCACTGAGGGGTGAGTTTAATCGTTTGCTGAAAAATCACGTGGAGCACGATGCTGTTAACTCCGGCTTCGCTGTTCGAGGCGAGAGATTGCGATTGCAGCGTGTTGGTTCAATCGTGACCGTACAGCTGTGAATTTATAGTCGGTGGTTGATGAGACGATTGGCCAAGATTCAGGCAGGAGCAATGATTCAGTGCGACAAAGAGGAATTGGCAGAGGTCGCTGCTGCCTCTCCTCCAGATTACATCTCCGAAGACACACGATGACATCGCGGCCTGCCGTCTCACGCGTATGCCCGTCATACAAACTGTCTATCAATTATGCAGGAGCACGTGTGCAAATCTACAGATAAGACTGGCAATCAATTCGTCTCACGGCTACGTGTTTGCGGGTAATTGTTTTGAAGGCTTCAAAGCTGAAGCCTGTCTCTTGGTGTCTTGATGAAAGTCATAGACTCTGTGCCAGCCGCCTAAAGTAGCTCAGGAAGTTGCCCCAGCTAAGGCAGACATTCAATTGACAACACTCTATCTGTCTCGCAGTGCAAAAAGAAATCTCGCGCTGTTGCCTTACCGTGATGCGAGTAGAACCAGAATCGGCAAAAGTATCCCTAGCGAGATTCGAACTCGCGACTTTCGCATTGCATAATCTGCTCCACTGGAGCAATTATAAGAACGACACGCTAGCCGCTGCGTCACAGGGATTAATAATGACGGTGGGATTCTTACAGTATATAACCTTTTCACAATGAGATGCCTCTCACCTTAGAAACAACTCGCCTTCCCATCGCGCTGTTGTCTTCAAGGACGGTTGTGATCATCTCTGCTTGTACACACCCAGAGCAATCATCAGCCGAAAGACAAAACCCGGTGTCGCGTGTCGGTCTCAAGGCTATATTGAAGTCGAGGGGGAAGAAAAAGAGAAAAACTTCATGGTCGCAAATTGGACAAAACTTTTGCTGCTCGCCTAAATCCGAGGCTCTTCGCAAGCTTTTTCTCCTTCGCGGCCTCTCAACAAAGACTAGAACCGGCACTTGTTAGTGCTAACAAGATCAACGTCTGAGTTTTGGAGAGCACAGATGACACAGCCATGAGAAAAGATAAAAGAATTCGAATTAACAATGCGTCGGGCGCAAAATGCACACCAGGGGATATCGATGCTTAAAAGTTGTCCTCTATCACCATGCCGTGAATTACAAAGCTGTACAAATCTGGAACCATCCATCTAGTCTATGCTTTCTCGTTGACTCTTTTCTCGTAATGAATAGAAGCCGGTGTCAGAGGGCGCGAGAACAGTGACTGTAAACACAAGTCAGTACGGGTTCATTGGGGATTCCACAGCAGATCGAGACATACCGAGTAGTCAGTGTCAACAACACCCTCGCGACCGTTTAGGTTGCGGAACTTGAACGATTGAACCATGGTCACCAGAATGGTTTGCAACTGCACATAGGCAAACTGCTCACCAATGCAACGATGTCTGCCAGCACCGAAAGGAAGATAGGGCGAGCTGGCACCCTTGGAGACCAATCCATAACCGTAGTCAGTCTTCTCATCGTCTTCGACATTGGCAGAAATGACAGGCTTGAGGCTTGTGTACTTGCCAGTAGCCTCAGCGTCCCAGCGATGCGGCTCCCAAAGGTCAGGCTCCGGGAAATACTCAGAACACTTGGATGTAACACCAGGGGCGGCGAGCAGGACGTGAGTGGTGGGAATGATGTAGGGAGTGCCTTCGACAGGCATGGGCGACTTGACAGCACGCATGATACTGTGGATAGGGCTGTGAAGACGCAGAGTCTCCTTGACAACTTGAGAGTGGAGAGGCAGGCGAGAGAGATCCTCAAAGGTCAACTCGGGCAGGTCGGCACCAAGAACGGCCTTTTGTTCGGCAAGCAATTCCTCGACAATGTCGGGGCGAGAAGCCAGACGAAGCAGAATCCATGAGATGGAAGCAGAAGAACTGTGCTGGCCAGCCATGAGCAAAGCAATCATCATATGAGCAATCTCCTTGTCAGGGATCATCTGGCCAGTCTTGTATTCGCAGTTCATCAGGTTCCAAATCATGTCCGTCTCGCCATCTTCGGGCTTTGTCTTGCCGCTGTCGCGTCTGGCCTTGATAATCTCCATGTATGTTTCGGTCATCTTGCGTTGAGCAGCATCGCGCTTGCGGTTCTGCGGGAGAGGAGCCCAGGGAAGCATGAAGTTGATGGGNGTGAAGCCCATGTCGAGGTCGTGGTACAGGTCGGCGAAGGTGCTGTCAAACTTTGCGCGAACTTCCTTGCCCTGGAGCGAACGACTGGCGGTGTAGATTGTCAACTCGGCCATGGCCTTGGGGACGTTGAGTTCGCCGGCATTGCCCTTGAACCAGTTGGAGTTTGCGAAAAAGTCCTTTGTCTCGGCGGCGATGACGGACACGTAGGAGCGGAGGGCATCGGTGGTCAAGCCGAACTTGACGAACTTCTTCTGCTCCATGAGCTTGGAGTTGGGGCAATCGTAGACGACATCGGTGCCGAAGACGGGGGTGGTCAGGGGGCTGTAGATTTCCTCGGCGTTGACATCCTTGAGCTTGCCGTTCAGGATGAAGTCGTTGCCCTTAGTGCCGAGGCAGACAGTGGTCTTCTTGCCGAGCAAGATGAAGGTGAAGACGTCGCCGTACTGCGATCGNAGAGAGTCAGTTGGGACGCTTGAGAGTTGGGCTTGTCGGACATGGCAACAGACCTGGGCACGGCAATTGAAGAAGAACTTGTAGGGGTCAATGCCGTAGGTGATGGTGCTGCCAATGAAGGGCACCCAGTGGAAGACGAGCGGCGGCTCGGAGCCCTTGCGACGGACGGGCAGCAGTTGCGAGAGAACATTGAGGACAATGGCGAGAACGAAAGCCGCGCCGCCGACGATCGAGACGGCGAGCCACAGAGGCTTGTCGCCCAAATGCGCCGAAACGGCGTCAGTAAAAGTGGCCAAGACTCCCATTGTTCGTTGACTGAGGTTCGAGGAAGAAGATCGAGCCGCGGGCAACAATTGGGTGTTATTGTTGTCCCTAATAAAATTATGGTCTGATCATCCCGCCAAAGTTGCGGGCCGCCGCCCCTGCCCAGCAAAAGCCACTCGAAACACGTACGATAGGTCATCATGCCATTGCTTCATCTTGCAAAACGATCGACTTTTCCATACAGACGCGTGAATAATTATCGTACCATGGTCTTCTATGCGTTATGCCTTTGCCTCCTCGGCCTTCGCCTTCTCTTTNGCAATCTCCTCCTCTCCGTAGAGCGTTTCGTCTCCCTTGCCTCCCATCTTGACAAACTCGTCCGGGTTTCTGTCATGCGCCGGTGCCTCTTCCTTGACATTCGTCTTCTTGTCTTGATCCTTGTTCTGTTCCCAGACCTTGACGTCTCGATCGTCCTTCTCTGTTGCCTGTGTCTTGAAAAAGGTTGCATCGTTGATGGAGCTGAGCAGTGTCCTCTCGCGGACTGGCTTTCGCTTAGAGAAATCCAACTTGCCCATTGCCCCTGTCAAGCCATCTGTGCTCTCCATGCTTGCTCCAAAGCTCATCTCTGTGCGTCCAGTAGTCCACGGGTGCTCAAGGCATTCATCTATCGTGATTCTCTTCTCAACATCGACTGTAAGCATCTTGTCAATCAAGTCCAGTGCCGGGTCGCCGACGCTGTCCCAGTAAGGACTCGGGTAATCGAATCGCCCCATCCTGATCTGCTGGCTAAGCGTGTACGGATTCTCACGCGAGTAAAGCTCGTCGCTGAATGGTGGGAAACCACACAAGCAGATGTACAGGACAACACCCAGCGACCATACATCGACAGCCCGTGTGTACCTGCGACGATTGCCTTGCTCCAAAATCTCGGGCGCAACATACGATGGTGTGCCACAAAGAGTGGATGTGAATGACTCTTCTCCAATAATCTTGGCGAGTCCAAAGTCGGCGATCTTGATGTTCAAATCACGGTCGATGAGAAGAATGTTTTCAGGTTTGATGTCGCGGTGAACAATGTTGCGTTCGTGNCTGCAGGACACCTGTTAACAAGGAGAATTTTGGGTATCACTCGAGCCACAACATACCAGATATTTAATGCCCTGGAAAAGCTGAACGAAGATCTTCCTAGTTTCAGTCTCACTGAGCTTGTGTTTAGCGACGATCCAGTTGAAGAGTTCGCCTTCAGGGGCAAGCTCGAGGACCAAGTACACGCCGTCGCTTTCATCGAACGTGTCCTTTAGACAGAGGACGTTGGGATGCGAGACTCCCATCAGCACACCAATTTCTTGTTGCAAACCATCTACTCTGCTTCTCTCTTCGGCAGCCTGAGAGTTAGTCGTCGTCCGGCGCTTTTCGAACTTTTTCACAGCATAGCGAGCACCACTGCACTTCTCGGTACACAGGTAGACTGTCGCGAAGTGGCCCTTTCCGAGCTGTCCTTGAATCGAGTATTGTTGACGGAAGCCATTGGTGTCACGTATGCTGGGGTATCGGAAGATAAAACGTGCCACATCCAGAACGGATAGTTCATCGCCGTCGTAGAGGTCGCGTCGCTTGTTTCGACCCACAATGGCATTGTTGACGTACGTGCCGTTGCCGGAAAGATCCTCGACGACAGCAATCTGGTCACTATCCTTATTCTCACAGAACAGCAGGCAATGGCGGTTGCTGACTGTGGGCGTCTTGATGATACGATCNTGATGATTGGCTGTTAGTCTGGCACCTTGTCCGGACCAAGAATCACACTAACCACACTCGGGATGTCTTCCTATGAGATAACCGCCAGCGGGAATGCCCTTTTCTGCCTTCTCCTTCTCGTATGACTCCTCTTGGTTGAGATACTCGTCGCGCGACACTGCACTCTTACCATCGGTACGACCGACCTTTGTTTGGGGTACGGGGCATGCCGCACGGCGTCTCAAGACTAGAGGTTCTGAAACTCCATCAAGGGGCACGAGGTAGCCCCAGACCCCTTCGGCTTCCTCATCTTCGACCTCGTAGCTGATGGGTGGTGGCGGCAAGAACTGGCTGTAGGGCTGGGTGTCGGATGGAGGCGAGTGCAAGCCGGCGGCAAAGGGAGGAGAGGCTTCGGGCTTCTCGGACAGCTGCGAGACACCAGTCGAGGCCGTCAATTGTCCCTCGGTCGAGTTTGAGGCTTTGCGCGTGACTGGCGATGGCAGATGGGTGGGTTGGACAAAGCGAGGCTTCTTTTGCGAGTCATTTTCGATCTCATCTGTCGACGCNCTGATGGATGTCAGTCAGCGAGGTGGATGGGAGAGAGAAGACACGGTATGTCAACACACCCTCGCTCTCTTTAGTGGAGTCTGGTTCTCTTCCGCGGCAGGAGCCATGGCGGGATTGCAATTCGTGCGATGCGATGCGATGTGGTGCGAGAAGGTGCAATGGCGTAGGTCGACGAGCCGGAGGAGAGGGGTTGTAGATGGTCAGATCAATAAAAACAGGTATTAATACAAGTACAGCGGTCGTCGAAGGAGAGCTTGCTAAGAGTCTGACCAATGCAGCTCGTACCTTTTGGCTACTGCTATGATGGAATTGCCAAGGAAGCCCCGGATAACTTTATCGAGAGGCTCGATCTCTCTCGCTTTTGGACGTGTTGATGCAAATGGACAGCCATCTGCCTTCTGTCTTTGGCCAAGGCCATTCATACTCATCTGCGATGGACAAGGTGTCTGCCTTTCCCTTCCTCACATCCGACGAGTTCATCAAGGCCTGTGAACACGTCCAGCCGCTGCTATCCGATAGCGCAGTGTTCGACGATGACTCTGCATGCTTGCGCATCATCCGGCGCTTGGCTGCGGCTTCCATCGCTAACGCCGAAGGTCAGGAACATGTGGACTCGCATCTCGAAACACCAGAGGATTATGATGAAGAAGCCATAGTCAAACATTCTCGGGATGATTCGCTTGTCACTGTACATTATGACATCTTGCTCTCTCCCAGCTACAGAGTACCCGTGGTATACATGACCGTCAGCCCTCCGCTTCCCGTCTCCCAATTCTTTGACCTTGTTGTGCCGCATCACTTCCGGGACGCAATGCGCGAAACAGGCATCATGGGGGCCGTGTCCATGACGGTAGTTGTTGATCTCGCAGAAGCAGCTTCTCCAGCTGACCATGTACTGGCAGNNGACCATCCTTTGACGGGAATGCCAGCATACTTTGTACACCCTTGTCGCACGGCAGACACGATGTGCGCCACAGTATCTGAAGATAACCGTGTCCAGAATTATATGCTTCTCTGGCTAGGGATTGTTGGAGCAAGTGTAGGCTTGAATGTGTCGAGCACAGATTTGCACCGTGCATGATTGAAGTCGTCTATTCTTCGTCGCTCTCTTCCATGGCTTCATCGTCCATGTCCATGGGAGCCTCTTCTTCTCTCCCGTCATCACTTTCGTCCCTGGGTCGCTTTACACCGGCAGTTTGAGCAGGAACACTAGTAGCCGAGTCGAGTGTAGGNGGCGGAGCTAACGGCGCGGTGGCTCCAGGAGCAGTAGAGGCGCCTGGAGCACCTGAGAATATTGATTGCTGGAGGCTGTTTGGCTGGGCGGCGGCAGGGGCCTCGGGTGGGGGAGGCTGTTTGTAGGTGCCGTCGAGTTTGGCAAGCGTGTCAGACTTTGTCGCCGAATATGTGATTTTNCTAATGCGCCGATTAGCTCGATGCGAAGAGCAAAGAAAGGAGGTCGTAATCAAACATACCATCTCCTTGCCAAAGAATTCAAAGCCTTGTAGCGCGCGCATGGCTTGTGTGCTGGACGAGACGTCGCGGAACAAGACATGGGCCTGGCCGCGCATCTTGGTGGTCTTCATGGCGACAATGTCGAGGATGGAGCCATAGACGGAGAAGAGCATGTACAGGGCGCGCTTGAGATCATCCTTCTGGAGCTTGTCGGGCAGATTGGAGCAGTACAAGGTGTGGTTGGGGCGGACGCCGGTCGGCGGAGCAGCCTTGGAAGCCATTTGCGATGATGCGACACACGAAATCGGGGCGTTAAGCGGATAAAGCAGTACAAGAGGTAGTTGAATGGCTCAAAAAAGTAACAGAAGAGGCACGTCGGCGTCGGCGTCGGCGTCGCTCGCAGCGGAGCGCCCGATGAAGCTTGGAGCCCTCCCCCACCGTCGTCGTCACTGCCTTGTTCCTCATCCTCTTCCCCAAACGACTCCCTCTATACCATACAACAAGGACAGTAGAGAGATACTCCTGTCACTCCCAATCGCCATGGCAGCCCCTCAAGTACACCACCTCTTCCACCACCCGATCGCCGATCACTCCTTCTCTGCCGACCGCAAGACTCTCGCCGTTGCTAGAGACAACACGGTCGAGCTGTACTCTTCCAATGGCTCCCGCTTCGCCTTGAACGACGAGCTGCGCGGCCATGACAAGCTCATCACCGGCGTCGACATTGCTCCCAACTCGGGCAAGATAGTTACCTGCTCTCAAGACCGCAATGCATACGTCTGGGAGCCTTCGAACGGCTCCTGGCGCCCCACTCTTGTCCTCCTCCGCATCAACAGAGCCGCCACATGCGTGCGATGGTCTCCCAACGAGGCCAAGTTCGCTGTCGGAAGCGGTGCCAGAGTTGCTGCCATCTGCTACTTTGAAGAGGAAAACGACTGGTGGGTGTCCAAGCACCTCAAGAAGCCCCTTCGTAGCACCGTCACCAGCGTCGCATGGCACCCCAACAGTGTCTTGGTTGCTTTGGGCAGCACCGATGGCCATGCTCGTGTCCTCAGTGCCTTCATCAAGGGTGTCGATGAGAGACCGGCGCCCTCGGTCTGGGGTGAGCGTCTGCCATTCAACACCATCTGCGGAGAGTTCTTGAACCAGACTGCTGGTATGTTTGATGCTCTCTTCATCTGTTACGACACAGACAGTAGCTAATTTGTCATTCACGTAGGTTGGGTCAAGAGCGTTGCCTTCAGTCCTTCTGGAGATGCCGTCGCCTTTGTCAGTCACGACTCGACCATGACTGTCGCTTACCCCGCCGGAGAAGGCCAGCCTCCTCACGCAGTCATCAACATTAGCACGCAAGTCCTCCCCTTCGCTGATCTTCTCTGGATTGCTGAGGGTGAGATTGTTTGTGCCGGCTATGTAAGTGTAGACAGCTTTGTTTTCCTCTGATTTATTCGTTAACCCCTCTTTTAGGACTGTGAACCTTTCCGTTTCTCGGGCTCGGCATCCGGTTGGTCGCTCGTAGGATCGCTTGACAGCACTTCAAAGTCTGGCGCAGCAAACCAGCGCGACGAGTCTGCTCTCAACATGTTTAGACAGATGGACCTCCGCGGCAAGGTTATTGACGATACACAACTCAAGACCGTCCACCAAAACTCCATCAGTACTGTCCGCGCATATGCCGGTTCTCCTGATGCTGTCAGTCAAATCAGTACTAGTGGTGTCGATGGTCGCGTCGTTGTCTGGAACCTGTAGATACAACTATAACAACAACACAATAATGCCCATCTTGTACGCTGCGCGCCTTTATCATCCCTTCCTCTCAGCTCACGATGCCACGCTCTCAAAACCTCGTCTCTGTCCGCTCTGGGTCAGGACTGAGGCCTCGGCCACGCGGGTTTCTCTCCCTGTGCTGCTTGCAATACTTCTCAGACTTGGCTTGCTTTTCCACGGCTTTGAAGATTGAGCGGACTTCGTTTGGAACTTGTGCCGATGACATGTTCGTGTTCCTCGCTCGTGTCCTGCTCTTTGTCTGTCTTCGAGCTCTGCTTCTCGCGTGTTCGGAAACGACCATGACCCTCCGATGTCGGTTGTCCTTCTCCTTTTCCTTTTCCTCTTCCTCCTGTTCCTCTTCCTCCTCCTCTTGAGTCTGCGCGCCGGTCGCTTGCTTCTGCACAGTCACTGTCACCTGGGGGGGGGGGGGGGGGGGGGGGGCCAATGGTGAGCGGTTGCGGTTTGGAAAATCGCGAGACAGTGTGTTTCTTTTCCGCCATTTTCTTGAGGAAGATACGGCCAGATTCCTTGAACATATTGAGTATGGGCGTCATGCCTCTGGTTCTCTGATGGCGGCAGCGGCAGCGATGCTCGTAGTCGGGAAACACGCATTCGAGTTTATCGTTGGTTCTTCGCAGAATGCAATAAGGTAGCATGGTGAAGCTTTCCGGTCTGCTTGAGATATCAGTCAAATCTTTTCTCGAGCCATGGGTAACTCATCTATCTCAAAAAGACACGAGTGTTTTAAGGTCTGGGTTTCGGCGTGGGAGGCTTACTTGCTCCTCATTCCATGGACGCTGCACAGAATGGTGCAGCCATGATGAATTTGGGGACAAGGCAATTGACCTTTGAATTTCAAGTGGCTGGGAGGTGCATCATATCCCAATACCGCTTGCCAGGCCCGGAATTCGCGATATGTCTGTCACTCTTCATGCTCGATTTATGACTCGACGCGAGCGGGTCCTCGAGCTTGGGTGATCGCACGATACGTGCACTCAAAGCACCCAGCAAGAACCGAATGCTCTGAAGGTCGATGGAATCACTTGAATTGCTTTCCTTCTGTTCTCGACTACTACCATCGGTTGCTGGTGTCGTGTGTGCATTCAAAGGTTTATCGATGAACAAGAAGTCAATGTGAAGAGACCCTGGAAGCTTGTCTTCGGCTCCACGTGTTCGGGGTGTGAATGACAAGAAACGGCCGGCTCCGGACCGAGGCGGCCCCGGATCCTAGTTTCCAACTTCACACTGTGCTCGATTCAACTTCTGCCTTCCGGCGTGAACAGACAGTGGATCTCTCCTGCCTAGACTGATCTTTAGCCTGGATGGTTAGCGACAATCACGCGGTACCTGCCACCAGAGCAGTTCAACGGATTCGCGTTCCCTGCGCCGGTGTCCATAATGACTGTGCGGCGCCTGTCTGTTCCGCCGGCACATTTTTGAGTCTGTTGGACCTTTCTCAAGCCCAGCAAAGACACAGCCATCGCCAATAGAGCTCTCGCCACATGCATGTAGAGGCCGTAGAGGGAATCTCTGCGAAAATGCTATAGCCATCAGAGCCGGTACTCTCAGCTCGCCGTACAGAAGCCTGGAATGTCGTTTCATAACTGACATCGCACCGCCAGACGCTTTGACAGGTTGACGGCACTGCTACTGCTATCTGCATCGGTCTACAGCCCCTCGTTTCTTGTCCGGGGTCTGGTTCAAGACAGCTCTGCTCATGACGACTAAAGAGCGCCAAACTGGTGTTGGAGAGAGCTCCGAGTTGTTAATGAATGGTGCTCTTTCGAGTAAGCTCACGCCGACAGAGGCGACGTCGGTGGAGCTGAAAGTGTAAGCGGGAGGGTGAACAAGTATGGCCCTTTGGTACGAAGGGATATTCACGGCTTGGTGCAGTTGGTGCATGTTTGTGCATTGGGATTAGGTAGGCAAAATATGCAAGATGTAGGCATCCCCGTCACGCCCCCACGGACCATACAGGAAATCATTCTACCTGCCACACATTATTCAAGCGTTTCCTAGACAGAGAGTGTGATGCACTCGCTCAATTCTCAGTAGTTGACTCCTAGATAAGTAGGCTGTCTCGCTCCTGTCGTTTTTGCCTCGGTCAGTCCGCTTTCCGTCTTGCGAAAAACCGCAGTGGCTTTGATCCTCCGCGTCTGCGCTCGCCGCAAATCCTCTACAGACCTACCTACCACGATTCACCACTCTGCGCATGCCACTTTTCTTCATCACATTGCACCCATCACCGTTAACTGATCAATCTGAATTCATTGCACTTTCAATCTACCTACCCAGTCAACCCAATGAGCGATGGATGAAGTGCCACCTTGGCAGCACATTACTGAGGGCTACGAGAGCCCGACGGAAGAGGTACGTCCTTCTTGGTCCATGATCGACGCGCATGGAAGCTGATTGTACAGATTGTCGAGGGAATCAAAGCAGCAATTTCTCTGAAGACGTGGAAAACACGCAACTCCGATAGGGCACTCGAAGTCCTAGGGAAAATGACAGCAAACTGGGACTGCCAAAGGTCCGTCTCATCGTTTGGCCAGCCGAAGAGAGGCACACATCTCCTCAATTGAGATCGATCTGGAAGTTCTGTTACAGAAATTGTTTCCGTCTCGCCCCCTATGGTAGAATTTCTTCTTCCCCTGCACACATGCGCCCCCAAGAGGAATCCGCTAACAACAACAGCATTCAACAAGGATCGCAAGCCATATGCAGAGTTCGAGTGGGTCACTTCTCCTACAGTCTTTCGAAATCCCCCGAGTGACGCATCTTCAACCTTGCCACGACCACTAGGTCCAGCGGCGAGCCACGTTCCTCTTCCTAAAACTTCGGCAGTAGCGCCTGGATCCAGGACCCCTACAAGCGGTACTCTTTTTCAATCAGCTCGTAACTCTCGCCCACACCTACCTGTTACGAATGGACTATCCCGGAAGCTGGGAAAAGCCCCGATGCGTTCTGCAGAAGCCCCCGTTCGTTCGCCATCTCGAACTTATATGGTGCATCCGTCGAGAAAGGCTGCCATCGACAATTCCGGCAGTCCCGACACCGCAGCTCAGAACGAGGCATCCCACGCGCCTTGTACAAGCTTTTGAGAACCGTCAGCCGGCCCCCAAGCCCGGAACTTCTCAGGCCCTGCAGAAGCCCCATCTCCATACAAATCTGCTGAGAGATAGTGAGGCCCCCTCGAGACCTGGAGTCGGAAAGGTCAGAGCTCCGTACTCACCAACTCCTGGCCCATCTGGTACCAGAACTCAAGGCTCAACTCAAAGCACGAAGCACGTAGCTTGAAGCGAGCTTGGATCCCCATCCCTATTTTCCAGTCACAAACACCTGCCTTTGGCTGCAATCACTCAACTCTTACGAGCAGCAGGTAGGCAGCCTGCAAGAGATGTTTCATCTTCCGCCGAAACAACATCTCCCTCTGCACCGCTTAGAGCCGAGAAGAAGAGAGCATGCACGGAATGCAAGTGGACACACGTCGGGACATGCACTCCTTTTTGCGGTGATTGTGGTAAGCGACACCAAGGCAAATGCCATTTCTGCGATACCTGCTTCAGAAGACATGTCGGACAATGTCACTACTGCGAGGAGTGCAAGTTGCGTCATGTGTCGGAATGCCGTGAGTGCGCAGACTGCAAAAGCTGGCATTTTGGCCGCTGCCTTCCTGTCTGTGAAGTGTGCGGAGGCAGACACAAGCATGCTTGCAAATACTTCAGGCCGCCAGCAAAGCCTCAGCTGTTCAGTTCGAAGAAGAGCGATGCTACCAATATCACCAAGGTGCTCCAGACGAGCAAGAAGACGCCACCCATGCTAGCAGCTGACGCGAAGTGAGACAAAACGCCTGCAGCAACCAGTCAGTCAATTGCAAGCACACCATCGCTGCGAGAGATTGAGAACGAAGAAGTGGGCCGCAAGCGAAAGCCGACTGATCAAGATGTGGAGGTTGAGGTCTCTGTGAGTCAATCGCAGGCCGTTCCAGGACTGAAGAAGAAGAGGAAGAGTGAGATCAAGGCGGAGCGAGGCTTGGTAGGCTCGCGGTACAACCCAATCGCTCTGGAGGGCTAGGTCAAAACTCTTGATGAGATAGACGAGGATTCGGCCACGATGGTTTTGCTGTACAGTAATGTCTTTGCAGGGATACGGTTCGCTGGGGTGGGTTTTCTGGTGTTTTGCTTTTTGAAACGGTCTGGCAGGAGAAGAAAGAGTGGCTATGAATGAGAAAAGAACGGTTGACGGAGCTGTACAGACGATGGCTTGATGAGATGCAATAGCTTCTCATACGCGACATATCAGCAGAACTGACTTTCTACTCAACGATGAAAAGCCTCTCCTGCGAGGGGAGAACATTGTGCAATGAAATCAGAGTGCTGCGACAACTGCTGTCTTCTAAAATGCTATAAATGATGCTTTGCTTCCGGAGTCTACTTTGTAGTTCACTTGACTGTCAATACAACTGCTCTTCTATCGGATATACGAGCAACGCTCCCGAAAGTTGTGGAATGGGACGAAGCGCTCTGGCTCTGGTCTGGGGTGCAAGAAAGGCATATATCTTCTATATCTATCTGTTATATGCTTCCAACAACACTTGGCTCTGCAATGCTTCGATACTACTATGGGAGAATAGTGCAAACTATCCCAAACGGCGTGCTGGCTCAGGTGTATGTCCTGTTAACTTCCTTCGCTGCCGGTTTCGAACCTCTCTGGAGATTGAGCCTCAGATTCGCCTCCCACCGTCGTGGCGAGTCATTCCCAATGAGATTGCGTCTGCGGCCGTTGCTTGTTCACGATATGAGCAGCGTGGCAGCAATCAGAAGCTGGCCAGCAGTAGAGAAGTCTCTCGACAGTCGTGCTGCGACTCAGGAACATAGCGTTGAGTCGCTGGCGAAGTACAGCCTGCGCAGATGGGATGCACATCCTTGGTGCTGATGGTGGCATGTCAGGCATCTCTGGTCTGTTCTGGTTCTCAGAGAAAAGATGAAGTTCTTGTCTAACTTGGGAACATTCAATCCTCGTGGTAAGAAGTGTCAACGCCCATCTCTTCGCCGACTCTGCGGACGACGTGACGTAGAGCATTGCATGCCGGACTGTCGGGGAAATTGTCGAAGAAGCTCTCGCCAAAATCGCAAGCCATGCCAATGCGAGGATCCAGAGGGACTGCACCGAGGAAAGGTATAGACATGTCCTGGGCCAAACGTCTAGCACCGCCAGTGGTCGCCTTGAAAATCTGACTCTCGTGGGTGCATTTGGGGCAGACGAAGCCTGACATGTTCTCGACGATACCAAGCACCTTAATTCCAGCCTTGCGACAGAAATCGATCTCCTTGCGTACATCGAGCAGACTGACTTCCTGTGGAGTGGTGACAACAACGGCACCGTCAACTCCAGATTCCTTGAGGAAACTGTTGACACTGAGATGTTCGTCGCTGGTACCGGGAGGAGTGTCGACAACCAGATAGTCCAGCTCGCCCCATTCTACATCCTTGAGGAATTGTTTGATAAGGCCGTTCTTCTTGGGGCCGCGCCAGATGACAGCGTCGTCGCGATTGGGCAGCATGAACTGTACGCTCATGACACCAAGGTTTTCAGTGACCCAGACAGGGCTCCATCCAGCGTTGCTCACGTGGATAGTCTCTTGTTCTACGCCCATCATTTTTGGGATGCTGGGACCGCAGATGTCGGTGTCCATGATTCCAACCTGGGCATCGGGGTTGGCGGCGAAGGCGTGAGCTAGCATGGTAGTGAAGGTGGATTTGCCGACACCACCCTTGCCGCTGAGAACGAGAATCTTGTGCTTCACCGAGGCGAGACGGGCGGTAATGAGAGGAATGTCGGGATCGGGACCTTTGGGAGCGGTGGCGCAAATCTGCTGATTCGGACAGCCAGCACAGGCATCGCCTTTACCAGCACTCTGCGACTCGGGGCCGGGGCAGTGTTCTGCGAGAGATTGTTAACAATAGTAGACGGCGGACGGCGAGCAGAAAGTACCAGGCTCGGGGGCAACTAGCTTCGGGGCGGCCTTGAGCGGAGCGTTGATGTCGGCATTGTCATTGTCCTCTACCGAGGCGGCCCTTGAATCCACGCGTGCATCCATCGTCTGCGTCTTGTGCGACTTGGTCAGTCGAGAATGGCGATGGTTTCATTGCTTTCGTCGACCTGCGCTGCTGACCAATTCTGCCCCGCCATCGGCCATCGGCCATGACGCCAGCCCTTTTGCTCTCCTCCGCCTTCCGGGACACCCTCTCGGACCACAGACATCTCAATCCACATCAACTGATGAATGTAAAATTACGAAACAAATCACAACTTTTGGTACGTATACTGCACAGCTATGCTATCGATCTCTCTTCAGCAAACGGGCCAATTGCCTCTTTGAGGTTGCCAAGGACCTTGTCCTTTTCTTTCTGGATGCGCCGCACTGCCTCTCGGCTTTCAATGCCCAGCTTCTTCTTGTCGTCTTCACTGAGTATCCCGACATGATGTTCACCCAGCTTCAAGAATATCGCTGTCCTGAGCTCTTCGGACGACTGGCTCCGTACCTGATCTCTATGCCTGAGGCCATACTGCAATATTTCAGACGTACCAAGCCGCCGCTGCTTCTTCTGTTTCCGAGTTTGAACCAATCTGCTCGATGGAGCTGCATTGCTTGATGCAGCTGCACTGCCTGACGGACCTGCACTGCTCAATCCATTTGGACTGTCGGCCACAGTACCTGGCCTTGGGTGTCGGTATCGACGCTTGGGAAACCTCAGCGTCACCGGCGTTGGACACGCTGAACCCGTCTCCTCTACAGATCGGACAGCCCTCGCAAACATATCACGTTCGTACCTCTCCCACGATTTCCATACTCTGTCACAGGTCTCCTCATATGGCCTACCGCGATCAGGGCCGAAAGCATCAGGTAGCCATCCTTGGCGATCTGGAGGAGAGATATACGTCTATGCAATCAATACGTGAACGAGCGGCGAGCTACCCCAGAGACGAGTTCGCCGCCTCAAGGTGAGTCGTCCCTTCACCTTTTGGAAGGGGGGAGGGGTTGCACGAAAAGGTGCCATGGGCATTCAAGCTCAATAGTGATGTTCTTGAGGATTACGAGCGCATCGCTATCCTTGAGAGAAATGGAGGATGCGAGACCGGAACATGGATAGATGATATCGATGGTGCGGCTAGTTGAGCGACAGGGCGATACGAATGCTGGCGAGTGGAGTGACGGGTCTGATTTGAGAGTGATGGTAGTATTTTGTTCATGGGAGTGTGAAGGCCGCAGCTGAGGTCAACAGAAGCATGGGATGGCTAAAGTAGGCCGCCGTTGGATCCTTCCGAAAGTGAAAGAGCGATGAGCTACTTGAGTATGACGGTGACAGCGACCCCGCACTTTTGGCACGCGTCTTTCAAGGACTTGCGACGCGACTTTCTCTCTTCTCTTATTCTCTCTGGGCAATCCGTCAAGATTGTTCCCGGCAGCCATGTTCATTCCTTCGTCGCCGCCGGTGCTCCCGGATGAGGTTTTCAACGAGCCGCCGAGCTCGCCGCCGCTGCCGCCGGCCGCCTTTCCATCTCGCAAGCGACATGCAGCGTGGGAAGATAGAGAAGATAGCAGCATGTCCAGTGATCCCATCTTCAGCGAGGACGCGTCAGAAGAATCAGAAGTCACAGGGATCAAACGCAAGCGCTTCGTGCGCGGCCCTTGGTACCAGCATGCTCAATCTCCGGCCGTGTCGCGTGTGCGAGGAGAGACGCGCAAGCCCGACAGCGGTGTCTGGCTAGGTTCCGACAGTTCGACCGACAGCATTGGGAGCAGCAACCGTCGCATGCAGAGCCTGACCTTCAATGAGTACATGCACAAGGGCGCCCCTCTTACTCAGCGCCAGACTCCAACCAAGCACCAAACTCCCACCAAGCCGAAAGACTCGATCCAAGAACACGCCGCCACTATCGTTTTCAATTCCGTCGACGCTTGCAGAGATTCGATCGATCTCTCGTGAGTGCTTGCATGCCAACACTAATTCCACCCGGCCTACTGACGTGCCTCTCACAGTGATATGCACCTTGGTCGTATCGACAACGAAACCCTCAAACCGCTCCACCAGCTTATCCGCCTACCCGTCCCTATCAACGACACCCAGAAGATTACTGTCGATCACTTCGCCCCACTTACTCCCAGCATCAAGCTTTTCCTCTCCAAGAATGACCTGCAGCAGCTACCGTCTGAGCTGTGGAACTTGGGCAATCTGGCTGTCCTCAGCTTGCGCTCAAACTCCTTGACCGAAATCTCACCCTCAATCGGCCGCCTTCGCAACCTCCACGAGCTTAATGTCGCTGGCAACCAGCTTCCCTTCCTTCCCTTCGAGCTACTCGCTCTGGTTGAGAACAAGCTTGTCCAGCTTTCCCTAAGTCCAAATCCCTTCGTACAGCCTCTACCTCTGCCGACTTCGACCATGCTTAGAAACGTTCCTTCCAGACGCGACGACTGCTTGCGCGAACTACAACGTCTACGCGCACGCTGTCCTGAAATCGACAAGACTCAGCCGTCGCATGAGGCTTTGCTGCATCGTCTCTATGCCTCTCGACTCCACGCCGCTTCTCAAGAGCTCAAATCCACATCGACTTACGTCGCTTCATCGTCGACGTCTTTCTTCGAGATTGATGGTTCGGTCGTCCGTCCCCGCTTCCGCGCATATACCGCACATGCCAGACCAGATCATTCCGCTTCATTCAATCCCCCTTCGCCACCTTCATCCGTGCGGTCTGCCGCACCTTCTCTTTTTGAATTGAGTGCACGCGCTTGTGCTCGTTCCCAATACGTGGGACAACTGTCTACACTTCTCCCCGAAGATGCGTCTCCACCTGTCAATACGGCAATCAGCAAGGTCATGGAAAGCAAGGAAATAGGTATGCAACACTGTTCTGTTTGCAACAAGCAGTTTCTTGTGCCCAGAGCACAATGGGTCGACTATTACTACGTTGGACCTGGTAGTGAGATGTGCTCCCCTAGTGAATTGTTCAGGCCGTTCGTGCGCAGGGCTTGCTCTTGGATTTGCGTTGGTCGTTTGAACGAACAAAGAGAGAAGCACTGGGAAGATTGCGAGAAACACATTCTGGAATTGGCACGGTTCATGTAAATCGCTTTTTGTCATGGCAGCAGGCCTGCTCCGTGGGTTCTTGGATCCGTACATACTCCATTAATTTCTTCAAACCTCTTGATTGAATCTCCTGACTTGATATCAGCAAGTTCCTGCACGTCGTTATTTCGAGGTGAGATAAAGCATAGATGAAATATATATTTAGCATGTGCAATAGAATCTTATCTTTGCCCGGCTGGCACAATTGGTCAGCGCGTGAGACTTTTAAAGCTAGAGATCTCAAGGTTCAGAGTTCGAGCCTCTGGTCGGGCGACGTGTTTTTAGTTTTGTTAACGCCCATCATGGTTCGTTTCTCTCTGGATACCTCTCGCATCGATCTGGTCGACAGCAGCTGTCTAAGGTGCTTGCTTCTTTCTATTTTCTCTGTAGAGACCGATACTCTGAAACGACCGTGTCGTGGCGAGTTTCGGACAGGGTGTCACCAATCGCATTGGAAAAGTGGTCGTCAAAGCTCCCATACCCGATTATATCCTCCTACTTACTTCTATACCACTCGATTCTTGCGGACATGGCTCTCGGCGTGCGAAATAATGTGGTCGAGGGTTTCTAGCTGACGGCGATTTTATATACGTTGGGTTTGCTACAAAATGTGTTTCTCTTCATGCTTCACTTTGTGTTGCAGCCCAGAAACAGAGGATCTCGGCCGTACTTCAAGCAAATTACAACATCTTGGCCAACAACGATGATTTCAGCATACATCCATGCTTTCCTATGAGCAAATGGCTTGTATCATAGGACTACCTAGTTTGAGCTTCTTATCCGGTGATAATGAGTTGGCCTTGTCGTCAGAAAAGGTTGGATATGATAGAGCAGGGTCATACTCGTAGCACCAAAATGGGCGTATGAGATGGACCAACACACGAATGGTTGCTCCATATCATCTGCCAATGCCTGTCACGTCGCATCATGTCTCCAAGAACACGCAATACCTCCGGAAGGGTGTGATGTCCATCGACAATCGCGGTCATCTTGGCTCTCTCGCGGACTCGGTTTCGTTTTACCGAAGTACTGTACGTTCGCAACAGTTGATGCAGCGATTGAAGCATGCATGAGCTTCATATAGTTTGTGCAGGAGCTTATGCCAGGACGCTTGCACTCGTGGTCTGGACCTGCGCTCGCTTGCTGCTAAATCAACCCACTCCATGTCTCGAAATAGGGTGTCGGCTACGTGCTCGACATTTGCCTAACCGCAGCAGTCTTGTTGTCAACGTAGCATAAAAACCCCGTGGCTACCTTGAGGCTCGGGTCATGCCTCCGGATGGACACCAAGAAGCAGAGAATACGTCGTATAATAGCATCATTATGCCCATGCTCAAACCTATATAGAAACTGCAACCAGCATGTCTTCATGTAGATGAGGATCCCTTTCCAAACATCTCTTGATCAGCATCTAGCTATAAGGATATCGACGTGCCTTATCTGGGCGGCGAGATCGGCAGGAGTTGGGGGATTGCAACGAGATTGCGACGTACCCAAGGAGCATCGATCCGGAGCGCGAAAAGACGGCAATTCAATTGTTTTCACCACGACATACCTTCGCCAGGATGCCAAGGTCTTACATTCCTTACAAGCGGCTCAACAAACATCCTAGACGTCTCAATCGCAAAGTGCTCAGCGCAGTGCTCCTGGCCGCTTACATGGCTTCCCAGCATGTGTAGATGCTTCCACTGTGTGCGAGACGGCGAGTTCGGCAGAGGAGTAACTGTCAAAGGCGGTTCGCATGGTTCGCATGAAGGCTGCAGGAGCTCGGGGTTTATTTTGGACGCAATCTTGTGATTCGTGCAAGGGTCTGTGTGTTGACGGTCGATCAATTGACTTTGCGCCCGCCAACGGCTGGGGCCAACAAACACGCATGGGGAAATTTGATGATTTGGTTGTCTTTGTTGGCATTCCCTGACCAACACGCTGTAGTTGGCACAATTGCGCCGACAGAGGAGCTGCACAGCAGAGTGACAGTTGTTGGGATCATGCGTCCACGAGTGCCGAGTCCGAAGTGTTCTAATGAGCCATCTGCTGCATGAAGGGCACAAGCAAGAGTCGGTCGGCATTATCACTCTAGACTATCGGCAGCAGTTCACAACACACGCCACGAGCGGAGTAGTATGGTACAATAAGCTCACTGGTGCGAGATTGCCTTGGCAGGCACGCAAACTTGCCTCCTTTGCGACAAGCCTCNNGAGGGAGGAAACGGGCAGGCTTAATTTTACATAGTTCGTCGATGGTCGTCCCTTCCACATCTCCCTCTCCTTCTTCTTCGACCTTTGCGCCGCCCATCTGCATGTTGTAGCAGCCGACACTCTTTTCCCGGACATCACTAACGAACCAGCAGAAGCATTTGCTTCTATCCACTCTTTTGGGATCCTACGACAGTCACTCGCTTGCACCTCGATCACCGCATTCCCTCGCCGAAAAGTAACCCCAACCAACGACTCCGGATCGCATTCTTAACCGGACCAACAATGAAGTCTTCGCTTGTTGTGCTCTCGGCCGCCTTTGGCCTGGCTGCCGCTGTCCCTCGCCACAACCACCATGCTCACCACCAACACCATCAGGACATGAAGCGTGACGCTACCGCAACCGAGAACGTCGACGTCTTTGTCGCTGGTCCCACGGTTGTCATGTACTCGCTCAATGGAAACATCATCTCCGAGTCTGATGTTCTCGAGGGTATCAAGAACGGTACTCTGGTTTGGGCTAACGGCGCTCCATCTCTGGCCGACCCCTCGTCCTCGGTTGTGTCCTCGACCTCTTCTGCCGTCGCCGCTGCCAGCACTACATTCTTCACTTCAACCTCGTCCAGCTCTTCGTCAGCCTCGAGCTCAACCAGCATCTCGATCAGCACTAGTGTTTCCTCATCCCAGCAGAGTGCCACGTCCTCTGCAGCTTCGTCGTCGTCGACTGGCCTCGACACTTCTTTTNTCCCTGACGGAGAAATCGACTGCTCCGATTTCCCCTCCGACTACGGTGCTATCTCTCTTGACTACCTCGGTCTCGGTGGCTGGACTGGTGTCCAATCGCCCGGTCTCGGAAGCTCCNTTCTTGGTCTCACCAACATCAAGACTGTGACTCACTCCAACTGCGGAGGCAGCAACTGCTGTGCCGAGGGCATGTACTGCTCTTACGCCTGCCCTGCCGGTTACCAGAAGGCTCACTGGCCCACTACTCAGGGCTTGACTGGTCAATCTGTTGGTGGCCTTCTCTGCAAGAACGGCAAGCTCTACAAGACCAACCCTAACCACGACACTCTTTGTATCACCGGTTCTTCCGAGGTCACTGTCCTTGTTCGCAACGAGATGTCTTCGAGCGCTGCTGTCTGCCGCACTGACTATCCCGGCACAGAGTCTGAGACAGTCCCCGTTACTGCCAATCCTGGCAGTGTTGCAAACCTGACTTGCCCCGATGCCACCTACTACGAGTGGACCGGCAAGACCACCTCTGCTCAGTACTATGTCAACCCTGCTGGAGTCTCGGCTGAGGACGGCTGCCAATGGGGTTCTTCTGCAAACCCTTGGGGTAACTATGCTCCTCTCAACCTCGGTGTTGGTTACTCCAACGGCGCTGCATGGCTCGCCATCTTCCAGAATGCTCCCACCACCGATGAAAAGCTCGACTTTACCATCACCATTGAGGGTGACAACATGAACGGTTACTGCAGATACAAGGATGGACAGTACTGCAGCGGCAAGAACTACGACTCATGCAGCTCTACCTCTGGGTGTACCGTAAGTCTCGCTTTGTCTGTTTAAAACATGCTTTGATGCTAACGTTTCAACAGGNTCTCCGTGACTTCTGGAACTGCTTACTTTGTTTTCTCCAACTAAGGTTCTCGTTTTGACCATGAGTTTTGTGGGCGCAAAACCCACGTTCTGCCAGTTTGAAGCCTCTTGTTTTTGACTGCTGAGCCGTGCTCATGCAAGCTGTGTCTACTATATGGTCGCTGCCCAGATCTTTCGTCGCCGTCCCTGGAAGCTCTTGATGAACTCAGCCACGACCGGACTAGCCAACTTTGTGCTATCGTCATTTTGACCTTGTCTTGCACCATGCCTGTCACTTGTTGATATATGGTAGCTTTTTGGCCTCCGAGATATGTTGGTTTCTTTTCTACTTTTCAGCGATTTCAGGCCATGTCAGGCCATGATCCCAGCCATCCTGCCTGTTATCGCTGTTTTTAATTCTCTTCTTGCTCTCTTTTGTTGCCATCAACATTTTCCTGAGATGTCATATCTTATGGGCTCTTTCGTGTATATATTGTATCTTCTACCACTTTTTGTTAATGTTGAATCATCTCCCAAAACGTATTCACTTTGGTAGTTCTATCGGAAAGCATTAACATATTCGAATGACAAGACGTTGCCGCTCATAGAGTTTGGTGATTCAGTCAAGAGAGATAGGTATCTGCGATGTATGAAGAAGCACACAGAAGCCCGAATACTGGTCATAGAAACAAGGAAGTCACCGACTTCGAACAGTGAACCTCAGAGCTTGAAGTAGAACATATGGAGAAATCAGCATGTGCTAGAAAGGAAGCATCAGCTTTCAACTGCAAGTATCATGTCGTGGCATTGATCGCCCTTGTCACGTAAACAGCGAGGACACGATCACGGGCTGCACTTGAACGGGGAGCCTCTTTACCAATGTACTCTAGGTTGGAAGAGCTTCGAGTAATTTTACATGACTAACTTTCTGTACGAACAATCTTGGGGCTTACCAAAACAGCTGCATACACACCTTGATGACTCTTGCTTCCTCTTGCTTCCTCTTCTTACAGACAAAAGCAATTGTTAGATGCTTAGCATGCAAAAGGGTCTCGCCGGGAATCGAACCCGGGACCACTCGCAATTGGCTTAGAGTTTTCAAAGTGCTGGAGCACCTCCCTAAGCGAGTATCATACCGCTAGACCACGAGACCTGATCAGAAGTGACTGAGGTTGTTGAATTGTGCTTCGCTCTAGCCGTATATATAAAACAAGATATTCATGGAGCACCGCCTCGTGCTTCAATCTCCTTCCGGAATCGCAGCACACTGATCGCACAGCACCTAACTCTACAGGACATCCCGCTGGTCGTACTATCGCCCTGTCTACGATGTGCGATTGCCAGAAGCTCACGTAACCTCGACAGTTCAGTACCTGGTAATGTGATCATGCCTTGTGCAAGTCGTGCAGAAAGCTGGTGCATCATCCACGTGGTTCTGCGGCCTGCCACAGTTCGCTGCAGCTATGCCGATCATGCTCAACTCTCCTTGCGTTGCACGTTGGATACGACTCGGATTACACAGCGTATCGGTATACAATGTATACCGTCGTGGTACTCGAAGTGGGTTGAACCCGGGATGCCGTCGAGGAACCTCCAAGAGCTCGGCCGTTTCATCTTGCCTTTCGATTCTCCTGACTCCGAGCCAAGACTCGTCCGATCGAGCGGGTCTTTTTAAACTTGGCCTATTTTTATCAAGACACTCAAATCGCACTCTACGTCGTGTCTCGGACACAATTGCACATATTGCTCCTCGCACTTAACCAACACGACCGAAGGCGCAAAGCACGATTCAAGGCAGATGCACGTCGGACACGCAATGCCCAACTTCATGACGTGCCCGCAATGATGACAGACAGTCAGCTGCTGAGCAGTGAGCACCGCCGTCAGAACTTCGCATCTGACTCTGACCCCAATGCCTCTCGCATGTGTTTCAGAAAACACGCCATGTCAACATCGCGGTATCTGCGACGACGGATCGCCGTGCCGGAATTGCAATAGGATGCCCTTGGACACATTGGGATATCCTCAAGCGCATGGACTCCTCAATGGATTCCTCGTCGCTTCGAATCTGGATATTCCGCTGACGGCCGCCCTCAGCTTTTGGACGATCTGCCGGTCCTTTCGGCACGCTGTAGCAGAGTCAGATCATCTTCGTTCGCTACCCAAATCCCCGAATCCTGCAAACACAGCATCAGGTAGGTCGGGAGCAAGCAACAAGGCGACTCTACCACAAGGTCTGCAACACAGGCAAACCACACCTTTCGAGTGCCCGATTGTCTTTCACATGATGAGTCCTGAATAGACCGACTCAGAAAAATCGCTTGGGACAGGCTAAGCTCTGCTTTGTCCTTCGAATTTTGCTAGCTCGCTGTCACCGTCTCACCTGCGCGAACCATTTCAGAATCAGGCATGCTGTAACTGCCAAGGCGAATGATTTGTGTGAAGCACAGCCTAATGTTGCTACTGCTTCTTTATTTTTGGGGAACAATATAGCTTTGATCGCCAAACTGACTATGTAAGACTAGCTATGTGGCTGGGCCGAAACTACTCAGCCATGCCACTCCTTCCGAAACAGGTTATAAGTTCTTTCCAGGCGCAGACTCTGAGTGTCCTTCGCAGACAGTTTTTGCATCATCTCTGTTTCCTAATTCTTATCACACACCAACAATGGCTCGACTGTCAAATTACCTTCTGACGCTCCTTGGGACCTTTGTCTTCACCCAAGGTACTCAAGCTTACGACTACCTCTCTCATGCCCGGTCTTCTTCCGATGCATTGATGCACTGGTACAATCAGGCTACTGGAGTGTTCAATGGCACAGGCTGGTGGAACAGTGCAGAGTGCATCACTGCACTGGCCGACATGCAAGGAATCGATCCGACATCCAACTTTCAAGATGCCCTACGGAACACCTTGGAAATCAACAAGAACGTCTGGACCACGAAGAGCGACTTCTACGACGACGAAGGCTGGTGGGCTCTGGCATGGATTAAAGCATACGACTTGACGCATGACCAGGAATATCTCAACACTGCAGAGCAGCTCTTCAACGATATGGCCAAAGGCTGGAGTACCAACTGCAACGGCGGCATTTGGTGGGACAAGGACCACACATATGTTAATGCCATCGCGAATTCTTTGTTCTTGAGCGTAGCTGCTCATCTTGCCAGTCGAACTCGCAATATCAAGTACCTCGACTGGGCAGTCAAGGAATGGCAGTGGTTCGAGCAATCCGGAATGATTAGCAAGAACAACACCGTCAACGACGGACTGGACGGCTCTTGCAGAAACAATGGTTATACCGTATGGTCCTACAACCAAGGCGTCATTGTTGGAGGGCTGGTTGAGCTGTCGAAAGCTAGCTTCGATGACTCTTACATCGTCATCGCCAGAGATATCGCGTGGGCTGCGATCGAGACTCTCACTGATAGCAATGGTGTTTTGCACGACAGCTGCGAAAAAGGCTGCGGAGGTGATGTGTCTCAGTTCAAAGGCATTTTCAACCGTAATGTGGCCCAGTTATACACAGCGACCTCGGATCCTGGCCTCAAGAAGTTCTTGGAAACCAATGCCCAAAGCATATGGAAGAATGACCGCGACTCCCAAAACCGTCTCGGGCTCAAGTGGTCAGGGCCATACGACAAAGCGGATGCATCGACACATAGCTCGGCGCTGATGGCTCTGATTGCTGCCGCATCTGTACAAGGTAGCTGAACAACGACACCATCACAAAAGGAGGAGTTTGGAGTTTAGAGCTTGGAACAGGGCAGGCCACCACCACGAGCTCAGTGTTTGTTTGACATGACGACTTTTATCTTTCTTGTTTTCTTTCATTCAAATGATACCAATCAATAGAGGTGCAAATTGCGACCTGTACAGTATATTAGGCATATAGAGAGCCATCAGAATTTCTAATGCAATGTTCCATTGTGCCATCCTTCCTTATCAGGCTAGTGCGGGGTATGCTTGATCTACGTCTTGGCTTCCACAGACGAACGCATGGGTTTTGGCGCAGGAAGGAGAGATTCACGTCCCGTCCAAGGCCTCTTCACTTCACTATTCTGTAACACCTGCGTACAGAGGTCTGTTATCCAGGATGCCTAGATCCGTTCCTTGGATGGCGTCTAATGGTGCAAAGCAAGGACAGGCATCCGATTCTTCGAAACGTAAACGTCCCAGCGAGGTGATTGATCTTACTGACGGTGCCGAGTCGCGTCCGAATTCCAAAACGCCTCGTACTTCTCATTCTTCGGCACGTACGCCTTCACGCTCGCAGAGCTCTGCCGGCCCCGAGTTCCGCTGCTGCTGGAAGTAGACAATTTGCTCGTACTCCTTCATGGACTCAACCAAGTCCCTCGTTGCAAAGGAGCCGTACGGCCTACATCCCACCATGGACTCCACCCCAGCAACACAGCCAGGCCGAACGCNNGACGCTTGGCTTCAAGAAGAAGACAACGACATTTTCGAAAACGTGGCATCCTCGCAGAATCCCTCTGTGGCTCATGACCAGTATCAGAAGTATGGCTCCTTAGACACCAAAATTGTCGGTGTTCGCTTTTACACAGGCTTTGCAACTGTCGGCGAGAGGATTACCATAAAGCGAGAACCAAGCAACCCTTATGATCCCAATGCCAGTAAGTCATCGAAGCATCAGCTTTACAGATTGTCCGCTGACTCCAAAANNGTCCGAGTCGACAACATGGCGAATGAACAAATCGGTCACATCGGAAGGTAAGGCTCATTGGCACAACCGATCTTTCTTGGAACCAAAACACTAACCAGGGAAATACNNAGAAACGTAGCAGCTAAGCTCGCAAGATACATCGACAACGGCTGGCTTCTCATGGAAGGATCTCTCTCCGGCGAAATTGGCCAGTACGACTGTCCTGTTGCAATCAATTTCTTCGGACCTCCTCTGAGCTCACCCTTGAGTGAAGAAGTGCGCGAACGTATGATGGTCGATAGGTTGCCCACTCAAGACATTAGTAGGTATGAGCGTGACCAGAAGAAGATACAGCAGACCGTCGAACGAAAGATAGCGGCCAACTTTCAATTCAAGGCTTCACAAGCACCTGATCTTGGTGGCAGCTCGCAGGAACAGACAATGCAAGACATTATCAGTGGCAGCGAACGCTTCAATCCGAGAGATGTCAGCCGAGCCGCAGAGCAGTTTGGTACTTCCGAAGATGACCTTGCAGCCATGGTCAAAGCCAAGCAACCTATGCGCCTTGCTACCACCATGCTTCCGTACCAGCTACAGGCATTGGCATGGATGCTCGACAAGGAGAACCCCAAGGTCCCCGCAAAGGGTTCCAAAGAATTCGTACAGCTTTGGCGAAGACACGAGCGCTATCCGAACGCATTCACAAACATTGCAACCAATTTCTCCATCAAGGACAAAGAACCCGTCCTCGCAAGCGGTGGTATCCTTGCAGACGATATGGGTTTGGGTAAAACGTTGGAGATGATCTCACTACTGGTGTCGGATCATGAAGATTTCACTCCAAGTCAGGAAGGTGAAATGAACGCAACACTTGTCGTTGCGCCTCTGTCTGTAATGTCGAACTGGAGCGATCAGGTATGCTATTTGCAGGTTGTAGTTAAGGACACAATGCTGAAATATCTCNAGATTGCAAGACACGTACGCAAGGACCAGCCCTTGCGCGTATACACCTACCACGGGGCTGGAAAGAAGTCGATGAGCCCTCAGGACTTTTCTCAGTACGATGTTGTCATCACCACATACCAGACACTTGCAAGCGATTGGGCTTCCGGCGGACAACCTCCGAAGTCGAAAGGTTTATATTCGGTTCGCTGGCGACGTATCATTCTTGACGAAGGACACAATGTTCGGAACCCAAGCAGCAAAGGTGCCAGCGCCGTCACTGCTGTGCTTGCACGCTCACGCTGGGTACTGACCGGTACACCCATCGTCAATTCACTCAAGGATCTTTACTCATTGCTACGCTTCATTGGAATCACCGGAGGCTTGGAGAAGCTGGAGGTGTTCAACAGTGTCCTTGATCGACCAGTCAAGGCAAACGACTCGAGTGCAATAGCCCTTCTGCAGGCAGTCATGTCTGCATTCACCTTGCGCCGTCGCAAGGAGATGAAGTTTGTTGATCTCAAGCTGCCAGAACTGTCCGAGTTTGTGCATCGTATTGAGTTTGCCGACAAGGAGAAGGAGAGATATATGGCACTGTTTCAAGAAGCTCAAGGTACATTGTCGTCCTACCGCAAGGTCGAGGGTCAAAAGGCTTCCGAAACGTATCGATACTTGCTGGAGGTAAGGGTCTACGCTTTGCAAGATTGTTGAAGGGGTTTCTAATGTGTCGTTTTAGNNATTCTCCTTCGCCTGCGTCAAGTGTGCAATCACTGGCAGATGTGCTCCGAGCGCGTTACCAATTTGATGGAACAGATTCAAAAGCAAAAGGTTGTCGAATTGACTCCGGAAAATCTCAAGGCTTTGCAGGATATGCTCTCGTTGAGCATTCAATCCCAAGAAGAATGTGCCATCTGCCTCGACGACTTGCATAGTCCCGTCATCACGCCCTGCGCTCACGTCTTTGGTAGAGAGTGTATTGAGCGTGTCATCGACACGCAGAAAAAGTGCCCGATGTGTCGCGCGGAGCTCAAGGACAACTCTATCCTTATCCAGCCAGCCAATGACTTTGGTGACGAGGCGAAGGATGAATCAATCGATTTTGATGCTAGCAGCACCAAACTTGAAGCACTCATCAAAATTCTCAAGGCATCCAAGGGTACAGGTAACAAGACCGTTGTCTTTTCTCAATGGGTACGTGATCCTGAAGTTATCAATGAATGTGTGATTGCTGACTCTGTTTACGATAGANCCAAGTTCCTCGATATCGTGCAGGCAAGACTTGACCGTGAGGGTTCCAAGTATTGCAGACTCGATGGTACTATGTCCGTCAGACTTCGAGATCAAGCATTACATGCCCTCGAGGAAGACCCGAATTGCACAATCATGCTAGCGAGCTTGGGCGTATGCAGCGTTGGTCTGAACCTTGTCGCTGCTAACCAGGTCATTCTTTCAGACAGCTGGTGGGCTCCTGCCATCGAAGACCAGGCTGTTGACCGTGTACACCGCCTAGGACAAACGAAGAAGACCAGTGTCTTCCGTCTCGTCATGGAGGGCAGCATCGAGGAGCGTACACTGGACATTCAGGCCGAGAAACGCAAACTCATGATGATGGCTTTCCAAGAAAAGGACAATAAGAGGGGCAAGACTAAGGCCTCGAGGTTAGGTGACGTGGAGAAGTTGCTGAGATGAGGAGTGAGTTAATGGCTGGGATAGAAGGACAACATGTCTCACGATTGGAATGAGTATGCTTTTCCTAATAATAATAGTGCTTGCTCGTACGGCATACATGGAGAATATTATCCATTGTCTCATTGATCGATGTTGCTTTAATGCGCTTGCTGAGTCGTCTCCACATTGCTGTCAATTGACAACTTGCTCCTATCGAGTTAATTTCTTTCAAGTGTGCTTGACAAGATACCGACCCTATCCCTTAATGCACTTGTAGTCCTTTCCTCGACATAACTATTTGCTTTGACGCTGGCTAACAAATCGCGAATGGCAAGCCTGATACGTTGTCTCGATAGGAGAGATGGCTTGTACTGTCTTTGACTTAACATCTAAGACGGGAAGTTGGCACGTATATAGTCTCATCCTGGCTCCACGTCAACTTGCCTACTTTTGTACAATTAGAATCAATATTGCAATTATTAGATACACTGCAGAACGAAATATAGTCTTCTTTCTGTCAACGAATGATAAGATTTGCTTCTAGAGCACGCTGGTTGAGTTATGTGCTTGTATCAAATCCTAGCTGGGCTACGAATAGGTCCCGCATGCCCCGTCTTGCACGTAAGCATGGCAAAATGATCTGGTCAGATACAGCTCAGTTGGACTAGACAGCAAAGAGCCAAAACTGCTTGTTCGCATGCACATCCCTCGAATGACAGCAAGAGAAGTGTTTCCAATCTCCGCACGGTAGCTTACGCTAATATAGTAAGGTATATATACCGCATGAACGATTTCCGCTCCCATCTGTCAGCAGCCAGTTCACACAGTGAACTAGATCATCAGACCTGCCGGGGTAGCTCAATCGGTAGAGCGTGTGGCTCTTATCATTCGNATAAAGTACAACCTCAAGGTCGCGGGTTCGAGCCCCGCCTTCGGCTATTCCTACACAGCGCTGTCAGATATCTTTTTTGCATCATTGTGATGTGTTGGAAAGGGGGGTGGAAAGGGGGTGGAAAAGTGCGGTGAAAATTTTGGAATTTTTTCTGATGGTGAAGCCTGGCTTGGCGGACAGGGTCGGCGTTGAACTTGAAATTCGCTCACCTACAATTCGCGATCATCGCTTCTGATCTTCTGTTTTTGTTGATGTCTGATTTTGTCGCAAACGTTTTTCTAGGGCAGAGAATCATTTCTCCCAAGGAACAGGTTATTGCGAAGTCTAGAGTGCAAAACAATCTTCCCATACTGAGTCGAACCAGCCGAAGATGCGGCTTAAACCAGGTTGTTCAACTCACGGGTACAAGCCCCGTCTTCGGCATATAATTGATGTACGAAATTGAAGACGCAGGTATATATGCACTCAGGATCCGGAGGATGATGCGAGTCAACGGCGACGGTGACGATGGCCACGACGTATCAGTCAATGGTTGTCTTGAAAGTCACAGGCAAGAAAATAGCAAGATCACGCATAATATGGAACACCTCTTACCGTGACGGAAATTCGATTTGTACAAGGAAATATGCATGTTTTCGTCGATGCCTTGACTGCAGTTTTGTACCGTCTTTGTCATGAGAAACATCGTAGGAGCCAACCTCCGGGCAAATACATTCCGGAATTTCAGCTGCTTGTTTGCTCGTGGCGTTCTCCTGCTTGTCGTGTAGCCTGCAATACGAGACAGACCAAATATTGGCACTCAACTTTTACAACTGCAGCAGACATGTGATTGTATTACACAAAGACCAGAATCTGGCAAGAGCATAGCTGGGACGATAACCATGATAACCATATAGATGGCGAAGGAATAGATGTCAGACTCGTCACGCGCAACAGGTTTCGCCTGGTTGCAGGCTGCTTCGAACTCGAGAAGCGGCAGCATTGGGACCTGAGCGACGGCCTTTTTCTCGAATTCGAATTTTGACGCTGCTTTGAAGGTACTCTCTACTATCATGCAGAACACAAGAGACATGTGGCTTTACAAGCGTGGAGTAGACAGCTAGGTATGGCCATTCTTTCACCAGGTTGATCTAGAGGCAGTTCCTTCGGGTGACAGAAAATCTGCAAAAGACCGCAGTCTTGCAGGGGGGGAGATGTTGCTCAGGGTCCTCGGCGTTCAGTTCCCCTTAACCTACGGTATGGTACGCTACGACGAGAACGATGCCTTACGAGTCGGCATCATGCACCAGCCCTCTCATCAGCGTGGTAGCGCAACCAGTACCAGCCACTGGCGTGGTAGGTAAAAGTGCTTCTACAAGAATCTGGCACATATGCGCGAGCAAGGTTTCCCCCTGGTTGGTTATGAGCGGTCTGCCTGGTATCCACCCTCTGCTCGGCAACATCACGAATACGACAATCTTGGATGTGTGGTTGGAGACTACCGGCCAATCCTAAAGTTACTGAGCAACCGAGCCTGGAGCAGGGCACAGGGAGATTATAGAGGTATCCATGAGTTGCAGAGGTTTGACGACACTCTGGATGGTCTTGACATTTGGCATGACTACAGCTGTCGTTGGTTAAGTCCCGTTATACTTGAAGTTTGACTGCAGGCTAACTAGATTGGGCAGATATCGTATAGAGACGAGGCTGCGTACAACACTAGCAACATTACACCGTTCCCTGGCCTGCTGTTGGACCCGAGAGCAATTCTCAGATTGGGTTATTTGGGCCACATCCGACAGAACTACGCTTGGGCCTTAACCGTACACTCAAATGCTGACAAGACTTCCGTGCTCGTGGCTCCCGCTGTCGCTGTCCCAGCAAACGCCTTCCTCGGTATCCTTTAGGGCAAGTGCATGTACAGACCAGGTGAGGATGATGGTAGCGATGGGGTTTGTGGGTCCGATGAGATCGGCCTGACCATCGGTGACGAAGGGCGCAAGGGTTTGCTTTCATACATGAACCGCACTCAATCGTTTGCCGACGGCAATGTCATTGGTGGTTGCGAACAGCACAACGATCCGACTCGGCCCAACAGCAACGCCTTCCATATTCTCCTTTCCGCATACGGGGATATTGGAGCCTTTGAGCCTCTTGCGCTCTGGGAGCACATGAAGCAGCAGACCTGATTTGGTCAGTGTTCTTGCATTCTGCCTTCGTACTGTGGGTCCTCGAAGATCAAGACGATGTGTCGGCAGGGCGAGGAGACGCTAGTAGCCACACATCTCGCGCGGTCGCCGATAGCCTATACAAGACTGCTCACACCAGAGTGGTCTGCGACAAGACCGCTTGGAGCAGGTGTGTTGACGAAGGAAAATGGAGCGGTGGTGCATGTTGCGATTCGAGAGACGGATTTCCTCGGTAGCGCCATCTGTATCCTCACGTGACCGTCGGTTTGCCCGGGGAGAAACGGGTAGATGGTTCGTCAAGACGCCGAACCCCCGGGTGGAAAATTCGACATTCCTGCTCCGCTTATGTTTTCTGTTAAGAACTCTTTGCAATTAGGTCCAAAGTTGATAAGTCCACTCCTCAAGCTCGACCATCAGCGCACGAACTCTTTCTCACGATGTCTAGGGATACACACATCTTCGATGGGTCTTAGAGGTTCGTGGGAGTGCTAAAGTCTACATAGACGTTGCCAGATTCGAATTTCCCCCAAATGAGGCTTAATGGTCGTACGTTAAACCGTCCAGATCCTGTAATTTATGATCTCTAGCTAACCACCCTAAAGTAGTCGTATGATTGTTGCTTCGGGTAATATCCCGACTCGAATTCGAGTCCCAAATGTGACAGGTCCCGGGTTCAAATCCCGGTTGAGCCCATTCTTTTTGCACTTTTTGCAATATCAAATTGTGTATCGTAGACATGTAAGGCTAAGTCTGAGGAGGGAAGAGCTTTTTATACTATCTATGAGAACAAAGAAAAGCCATCCCGGTACCGCATTCGACGGCCAAATCACGCTTCCTTGTTCTTGTGGGGAGTATACATTGCGGTTGGCTTCTGTCAGTGAGAAAACGATAGTCATCGTTGCAACGAGTTATGCGAATGATCTCCATATTCGCCCTGATGGCTCGAGAGGTACTCAACTGTCTGACTCTGTCGAGCGGAGCGAGACAATAACTTAGTGCACCTACAAGAAGGCAGTGGCTTGTTGTTGCCCAAGTCCAAGTTCTGGCTGTGCTTTTATTCTTGCACTTCTCCATAGTATGTCTTGTTTGTTACAGTCTTCTAGGCCACCCCACCGGCTATTCACTTACCAATAGGCCGACCACTTTGTGTTGCGGTGTTAGTGCAAATCCTAATGCCATCTACTACTGGTATCGAGAGAACGTGACAAACTCTATCTTTCTTTAGCGAAGTGTGTCGTTATTCAGCGACTACCAATATGGAATGCTGGTAGTATTTCCCAATGATCGTAACCCGTAACTCTTGGGTCGCTGTTTAAACAGATGAAATAGCATTTGCTCTATACTCTTAGCTAGTGCATTTCCTAGGATACAGATGCACAAAAGCAATACATGAGTTAGGCTCCATCTTATCTTGATGCGAGAGAAGATACTCAGCTGTAAATGATTTGAAAGCTACCCAACTCTACCAAGTCGTGCGCTTGCCAGTGTTTCCCGACTGGTCGTTATTTCGTCACATCCGGTCATCTCTCTTTCTCACAAACGACTTCTACCTGTCGCAAAACATTGGAACGGTTAGATGAGAAGACCCTCGAGAACGGCCAACTAACAACTTTTGATAAGGCTGACAGGATAGCATCACAGACAAGAAGGATGTCACCAAACCCTGAAGCTAGAGATATGATCTACTCTTGATCGAGATAAAGCTGACGAGCAAGCCGAGCGGGAGGTGAAGGGCAAAGTTCTACTTGAACCTGATATGCCCGCCCCGCAAGGTTACGAGTTCAAAGGAGCCAGTATAAAAGCAACGGGCCCGACGTCGAGGGTGGGTACTCGCCTAGAATTCACATTGTCGAATTTGTGATGATGCGTCCTTGAAACTCAAACCCAATCTCATCTTCATTCCCAACGATGTTCCTTAGGCTAACATTCAGCACAGCACCGCCACTATCAGTGAACGATTCAGGGATGCAGAAGAGCTCCAAGCGTACGATGGTCACGAAATTCAAGTAGAAAAATTCACATAGTCACTGTGCATCCCAAAGAAGAAGACGATGAAGATATAGGAAAGAAAAGAACTTTTTGGTCATGGCTAGGAGTATTTGGCCGTACCTACAGGGTAGTCGTCTCAGACGGTTGCAACCTTGGGCTCAGCAAAAGGGGTCTCGGACCTTTCTGCGTTGATAGATTTGACTGAAGTGGTGGCCTTTGCTCTGAGAGCCTCGCGAATCTCCTCAAGACTTCTGTTTTGCCAACCTGCGAACCCAGTAGAACTGAGGGGATGGAGCACACGGTTGTTGGGAGCGTGTGCCCAGTCTTCGACACGGGGAGGAGGAGTGCTGGTCAAGACATCGATATCGGCAGCTAATTCGCGGCAGTAGTCGTCGAGGGGCAGGTCGTTGACGTCGTTGCCAAAAGGGTTCTCGATCTCGGTGCCGCTAGAATAAGTCAAATCTCGGAGGGTGTGCTAAGACAGGAAAAGCAAGACGTACAGGTTGTCGTTGGCGCGCTTGATCAGCTTGCGGGGTTGGACTCGGCGAAAGAGACACCCATATATTCACCGGCGGACTTCCAAGGTGTAGGCTTTCTCTTGCGTAGGGCGACTTGATCGGCCGTGCCAGCCATCAAGTTAAGATGGGCGATCAATGGCTCCAGGTCCGGATACTCAAGGGCGGGCTCGAAGCGCAGACGATGTTTGAGGGCAACAGCAAAGGCATTGACGAGGTTGAGAGCACTCAGCTTGTCCAACAGATCCCGCTTGCCTAGCTCTTCGGACTCATGGTGTCGCTCTTCGACGTGCACCCAGATCAGGCGAGCCAGATTGCGGGAAGTCAGCACCAGTTGCGACCAGTATTTGCGACCGTCGTTGTAGCGCTCATAGGCGGTCGAGGAGCGAAAGGACAAAGCAAGACCGACCACGAAACCCAGCACGGTCAGCAGGAGCGAGTTGATACCCAGGTTGGCACGAGTGTATTTCGAGATCAATGTGATTGCAGTTGCCCAGCCGCCAATGAAGAGCAACGGAAGCAGCATCTTGGGCAGAACACTACCGTGCAGGCGCATGAAAAAGGGCAACTTGGAGTGACGTGCCATATCTCTGGGACCGGCGAAATAGTCCTCCATCTCGAGGTGGTGGGGTTGCGGTCTGCGGGATGAAGCATGGAAGCCCTCAGCCTTCCATGTTGCTTCGCGAGAGACGTTAACTGACGGGGCTCCCGTAGACATGGTGGCCGTGGTGCTTCTTGCAAAATCAGACGAAACCATGGCGCTTAATTCTCGAGTCGGCTGCACTGCGTTGACTCGGACGAAGAAGTTTGGGAAGTCAAAGAGGAGGAAGCGTCAAGCAGGTGTGAACAAAGAAGCAAGCAAGAAAGGAATGTAGGTGAGCGTGAGCGAGCGAGTGAAAGTAGTTGAAAGAGCAAAGTGCGTGTTGGACAACAAAGAAGATGGACGTGTTTCATCATGTATTGGCATGCATCAATCACGGCGCCACCGGGCCAAGGCCCTCTCGTGATACGAATAATCAATAGCTGCGCAAACAGACAACAAATCAATCGAGGCAGCGTGTGCGGTGCATCGCATTCTGTTTGGGGCTGTGCAATGCAAGAAAAGAAAAGCTCATCCAAACGGTCCCCTGAAGAGTGACAGTGCAGATCTCTCTCCACCACTCATTCGAATCCGGGGATCTTCTTGACACGCGACATTTCGGCAGTACCCGCCCACCCACGAACCCAACATTACTCATGCCCGGTCGATACACTGCAGTCTGACCCTCTGTACCTTGGTCTTGTCCATGTCGCCTGCTCGACGGAACTCGCACAACACCAGTCCATGCCGTGCTACGATGCATCCCCAGCGTGTCACGGTGCCCTGACCGCCAAATTACCAGACTGAATCTCCGCTCGTCTTCCTCAGCCTCAACCATCCTCCTGACTCGTCAAAGAAGCTTCTCTTGGCTATTGTTTCGTCTTCGTCATCGCTTCCCAAAACACGTCGTGGCCTTTGCATCTTCCATACCGTGTCTGACGATATTCTCTTGTGTACGCCAAAACTACCCAGCGAGACGGATGCCAGACGGATGCCCAAACATGGCGCTGCCGGACTGTTCAACCATGCCGACAATCGCCTCGCCATGCATGCATCTGCAACATCACCATCTTCGAACCCCAACTCGCTGCTCTTTGCTCCCTCCGCCACTGTAGATCACCTCCCCACCCCAGACTGCTGCCGTGTCTACATGGCAAGCTTGAAGAAGGATACAGAAGCACAAACACCCACAGAAAGATACATGCAGCGGTCAGCACTGCCTTTCCTTCATAAGCCTGGCATCCTCCTACAAAATCTCCCCGCTCCCAAACACTCTAAGCCAATTGCGAGTGGTCCCGAGCTCGATTCCCGGCGAGACCCTTTTCGCATGCTAACTAGCAATCGCTTTTGTCTACAAGAAGAGGCAAGAGTCATTAAAGTGTGTGTGCAGCTGTTTTTGGTAAGTCCCAAGATTGTTTGTCCAGGAAGTTAGTCGTGTAGAATCGCTCGAAGCTCTTCGAAGCTAGACTAAGTTGGTAAAGAGGCCATGTTCCTAAAGTTCAACCCATACGAGACCAATTGACAGAGACCGGCTCTACAAGGTTTGTTCCTACAGTCGTGGCTGAAAAGAAATTCGTGCTCCCTAATTTGATGAGTATAAATAGACTACCTATTTCAAAGTTCGCCGCTTCAGATACAGTTCCAAATGCCTACGTCGCCCTCGTGGGTCAATGCCACCCTATTACTGGTCTCAACAAATCGCCAGGGTATGCTTCCAACAAAAATTCACTCTGGAAAGGCGGATGAGCGTATGGTCCGGGACTCCAGTGCGATGCTCAAGTCCAAAATCAAGGGATTTCCTTTTCCAAGCCCTCAAAAGGACCCTGATTGGGTAAATCTTGGCGATTGTCGGCAAAACCTTCCCGCGCATCCGCTCCTTTCTCCCCAGGCTCAGCGGATCCACCCTAAAGGCCTCGACCAAGCTGTTTAACTCTCCTATTGCCAGTGCACTCCTGGCAATCTTCAGCAATCATTGGGTTGATTAAGATTGGAAATCATGGAATATTCTATCTTGTCCTTCCTTTGCCTGCATCGGTACATTCTTCTTATATTTGCGTGGCTGTCGTCCAGCCGTTGAGCGTGTACTCTAATTCTTGCTTTGCAGTTGCACTTGTGTGTAACCTACACCCACCCATCCTGCTTTGACCTTGATACACCTATAATTTGTAAGTGAGTGATTTCTTTATAGTCCAAGGCCGGTACGAAAAACTCTTCCTGCTCATATCCTAAAGGCAGAATCAAGCGGCACATCTCATCATGTTACTCGAAGACAAATCAAGACCTCTCTCCCAACATTCACGAGAAGTCTATGATGTTGTTGAGCTCTCTGAGACCGAGGACCAGCCCCCTATATGGCATTGGTGCACGACCTACCTACCCCATCTCATCGGTACACCACTTTCAATACTGTCATGGGCTTTCTCGCTTTGCTTCTTGCTGTTGCTTTGGCGGGCTCTCTGGGATGGAAATGGCAGGCCAGAAGTTGTTGCTGCATGCTATTTCGGCACGCAAATCTCACTACTGAGTATCAACCACCAAGAACTTCTCTCATTGAGCCAACGCTGACAAACAGGCANNGTTGCACGAGTGGCTGATGACGGCTGGAGGTTCCTTTGCACTAGTCCGCGGTTACGTCCCCGAGTTCGACTTATCGGCTCAATAGTCCCACATGCCGATGTTATCATCACAACATGCGGAGAAGAGATTGATGTTGTCATGGACACTGTCCGAGCAGCATGTGATCTTGACTACCCTGCAGACAGGTACAGAATACTGGTTGCCGATGATGCTGCAAATCCAGATCTGGAACTGCGGATAGCAGCACTGGCAACCAGGACTCCAGTCACACTCTTGTACTATGCAAGACCAACCAAAGGCGGCATGAAGGCCGGCAACATGAATTCCGCCCTCAACTATCTACACAACCTTGGTGGGGCCGAGTACTGCACCTTCTGTGATGTTGACATGATACTCGAACCGGAGTTCCTTCGCGCCACGCTTGCACTTCTCGTCAACGACGATCAAGTCGGAGTAGCTGTTGTCCCGCAGGTGAGAACGAAGAAGTCCTGACACTCTTGGATCGAAGCTGACATTTCTCTTTATTNNCAGAGGTTCTACAACGTACCGACAAATGACCCTCTTTACCAAAGTCTCAACGTGGATGGCAAGTTCGATGAGATTCAACGCGATAGCATGAATTGTGCATGGGTGACCGGCCCCGGCGTCGTGTTCCGTTGCAGGGCGATTAGGGATATTGGAGGCTTTCCCGAAAACGCCCTGGCTGAAGACATCATGACCGGATTCACGCTTCAGGGTCGCAGGTGGAAGGTCGTGTATTGTCGCGAGGAACTACAGTTTGGTCTCGTTCCAGACACCTTCAAGGCCCACGTCACGCAACGAATGAAATGGGTAGGCGGTTCTGACATTTGCCTTGACTCATTACGAGAGCTAACTGCTTCCAGTNTTGTCGGGCGCCTGCGCAACTCCCGCAGACTCAATTGTGCTATAGTATCGCCGCTGGTCAGAGGCATGACCTGGAAGCAGCGGGTTTCCGCAATATGCCATTGCGCTTCACCAATCGCATCTATGATGAATAGGCCGCTCTGTTCGTGGATCATTCTTCTGCTTGTTGCTTCTGGACAGCCGTTGATTACTGCAAAGTCGAGCGAACTGCAGAAAATACTGTTTGTATATGTTCTGGCCAGGATCACAGTTTTCGCCGAAGAATTGCTCGCAAGTACAGGTTGCGGCTATCTGGCGCTGCGTCGGAGGATTGAAGGCATGCACTGGCTACACACCCACCTGTTCGTCGCCCTTGCCAAAGATTTGTTCCCAAAGTCACTGGCGGGAAAGCGTCTTGGCTTTATACCGACCGCGCTGGCAGAATCAAAGATTCAAGAACGCCGTCCCGATCGCCGCCCTGGACCTTTCCAACGTTTGCGGGTGATGTTCCTCTACCAACATCTGTGGTATCACGTTGTTGTAGCTGCAGTCGCAGCAGCAGTCTTCAGCGTGGGACTTGCCAAAGCAGGCAATCAGGGAAGTCTGCATTACCTCCTGACACATGTGCTGGTTCCTGGCGTTGCATGGAGCAGTCATTTTGCCTCGCTCAGACCTATCGCATATGCCATCGCGCCTCCAACCATGCCAGAGCGACGAGAGATGATGGACCGAGACTTCGCCCGCCCAAGACCAGAGGGAAAGGAGAACGAGGACTATCTTCAGTTGCACTTGGAGGACGAGTCTGACGGTTACACATTTGAGGTCTGGCGGCCAAAGGCGGAGCAGAAGCTCGAGAAGTGGGATGCTTGGGCAATTTTGCCAGAAGTTCCTCGGAATGTAAGCCTTGTGTTTTGGGTTGTCATTGGTATGGGACTATGGCAGTGAATTTTGCCATCATGACATATGTCGATAGACGATAAATTGGACGCCTCGAGAACATGAAACGCTTTGCCGCTGAGCAAGTCAACAGATGTGATTGGCAAAATGTGATGATGTACAGCGAATGCAATTGGAGCACTTCGACGTGTCGTACTGGTGACAGCCCTCCGAACATGCTTGGGATGGAGGCTGAGCAAAAGAATGGTGGAAGGATCGAGCAAAAGCATTGTCGCAGCCGTGAATCGAACACGGGGCTCGTGCATGGCAAGCACGAATTTTACCACTAAACCACTGCGACTTTAATGGAAGTATTCAGACTTTAAGCATGTATATCCAAATGGAGCAATGAAGCTCCGTCATCCTTTACTGGACAACCCCGGCCAGGCTCGTCATCTGTCTGCAGTCGAGGATAGTAGCACCATGATTCCACAGACGATATTGATGCGTCGAGGCTTCAGGCTCGCGATTCCCCTCCCGACGAAGGAAAATCATGGCCCGCATGGGCGCTCCTCGGATGAAAAGCTCGACGGCACTCAGAAAGCGACGGTGCGCGCGGAAACCGAAAGGTAAAGCGATGGCCCTTCACAAATTTGCCAGCGGTGATCTGGATCAGAGGTATCCTCGGACACGCGAGCTATGGTGATAGCAATAGGTGGTACTTATCATAATGCTGAGGGAGCAGACAGGATGCCGTATTGGTGGCTGCTTTAGAAGATAGGTCTGGAATGCACGAGCGGTTGCGGGCTTTTGGTCAGCAATTCGGGATGGCAGACGATTGGTTGCGGCGGGCGCGGAGGTCTAGGCGAGCGTGGCCGGCGCGTTCAGCTGAGCACCGTTCGCGTGCTTTGACGACAGTTGGAATCCACTTTCAACATATATACAACACTCGACGACCGCCCGAGTGCCGGAGGCGCACGCCATCCGAGGAGAGAGTGTTCTCATCGCTTCACCACTTGCTGTCGCGCGATCACCACCACAACCTTGTCGAAGAGCTGCTACCCCGCACGCGCTGATAGGCCAATTCTCGCGCAAGAGAGCATCGTCGAGCACGCCATCATTCGGCCTGCCATTGTCAGGCATTATCTACGTTCACCACGGCCACGACGCCTGCATCGGGAAGGAGCGCCGCCATGAATTATATACTCGTCTACTCGCTGTCTCTGCTGCTGTACCAGGGCCTCTGCACCGCCGAACAGCACCGCCTACGACACTACCTTGACCTGCTCTCCAAGCCCATCAACCGCCTCGATCTGTCCCAGAACACTGCCCGTCGTGCCCGCAACCCTCGTCCACACCATGGCTCCGACCGCCGTCCAATCGCCGCTTGATCTGCCTCATTCTACCTCGTACACATATCAGAACCCTTCCCCCAAAGTCTTCCCCGACGGTGTCAAGACTGCCGGCCAGTTCGATCCATTGTACAACCAGCTCGCCCAGTACTCGGCCTTTCCCAAAGAGATCACCGGCCCTACAGTATGGCAAGCTGAGGAGTACAAGAACAACCCCGAGCGCTGGACACACCCTTTCAGCAACGATGAGATTGCCGAGATCAGCAAGGCTGCCGACGACTTCATTGCCTCGTCCACCCCGTTGACCGGCATCACCAAGGAAAAGTTCCCTTTGCCCTCTGCCACCGGCCGCCTGCTGCACTCGCTGCGTCACGAGTTGCTGAATGGCAAAGGCTTCATCCTCTTCAAGGGCTTCCCCGTGGAGCAATGGGGCCTGCACAAGTCGGCTGTTGCCTACATGGGCCTAGGCACATACCTTGGCTACTTCGTCAGTCAGAACAGCCGTGGTCACGTCTTGGGCCATGTCAAGGATGTTGGCGAGGACAGCAGCCAGATCGACAAAGTCCGCATCTACCGCACCAACGCCCGCCAGTTCTTCCATGCCGATGACAGCGACATTGTCGGTCTCCTCTGCATCGCTCGAGCCCTCGAGGGCGGCGAGTCTGACCTCGTGTCGAGCCACGCCGTGTGGAACGCGCTGCAGAAGGAGAACCCCGACGTGGCCGAGCTGCTTACCCAGCCCATCTGGTACTTTGACCGCAAGGGCGAGAAGTCGGTCGGTCAGCAGGACTGGATCCGCACATCCGTCTTCTACCTCGAGCCCAGGCCCGACGGTCGCGTCTACTCCAAGTGGGACCCATACTATGTCAAGTCTCTCACACGCTTCAGCGACACCGGCGCCATCCCGGCTCTTTCGGCCGAACAACTTCGCGCTGCCCAGATTCTCGAAGACACATGCGTGCGTCTGTCTCTGCACATGATCCTCGAGATTGGCGATATCCAGTTTTTGAGCAACGAACACGTTCTGCACGCTCGCACAGCCTACAAGGACCACGCCCCTCCATTGCCGAGACGTCACCTCATGAGACTCTGGCTCGCTACCCCAGATACCGAGGGTGGCTGGACCCTGCCTTTCGAGGACAGTTCTCACAGAAAGCGTGGTGGCATCCAAGTCAACGACAACCCTCCTGTTGCTCCCCTTGACGCCGAGTAATGACCTTTATGATTCCATGTCACCGAATGTATATATTCTCAACCACTTAGACCAAATCAATGTCAATGCAACTCATGGTTGCTATCGATTTTTCCCCCACCGTGCCTCTCGCTCCTGCTTGTCACAAGAACTTGAGCCGCCCAGAAGTTTTTCTTTTTCCCCTTCCGATTGAGTAGAGACTTCCTGACGTCCCATCGTTCATGTCACTATCTGTGTCTGCTCATCAGAGGTGTTTACATTCTTCGCCTCCAAACGAAACGGCCAATGGTGCGAGACTCAGGAATGCAATGTGGGTTCATTCCGAATCCATTCCCCATACCCCATGTTTTGTTGTCTCGTTGACACAGGAATGCCACCCATGGCTCGCGAGAAAAGACAAGATGTGGCTTGCTCCATCTTTCTGACGGCTTGCTAAACTTTGACCACACTCCTTTTGTTGCCATGTTTGGACGCTCATTCGTATGTTGCCTCTTGCCACTGTCGGCCACCCTAGGTGATGCAGCCGCAGCCCTTCATCCTTTTAGGCATGAAGCTATCGAGGTTCGCCGCAGGCAAGCTGATGCCAGCAACGATGCTCTACTTCAATCCAGCACCGCAGGCTCGGTGTTGACATATATCACTCCTTCTCCAGGCGCTTCACCAATTCCGGTCACACAGCAGAGCCAGCTGGTATCTTCCAATATGCCTATATTCACGCTATGTGCACTGCCACCAGAAGCTTTCTTTCCTGCCACGGTAACACCTACGCAGACTACCGCTCCGTATCGAAACTACTCTATCTCCATTACCCCTGGACCCGGCACTTGCACTACAATCTACAGCCCAACGGTCACGATGGTATGCGCTACTACTTTGACCGGTATCGACCGCATGTATCCTGTGACTGCCTGCGGCCAAGACATTACCTTCTCAAGCGACTTTGGCTATGTTCTGAAAACACCCAGTCCGACATTAAGCAACGCAACGGACGCTAAAAATACAGCTGTACTTATCACCCCCACCCCTACTGTACAGCCATTGACTACATACTATGTCGCCCCATGGACTGAACTCACTAGTGCTGGCCCTCCTACGGATGTGGACAAGAAGATCTGTGCAACATATCCAAACGGAACCGAGGAATGTGTTGTTGAGTACTATGTATGGAAGACCAGTCTCGTCACCATCCCAATGTCTACAGTCACCTCGATCAACCTGACCACAACTGTGGCTGGGCCTTCGCAGATAATCGTGGAGACCTTTGTGGCCAACGTGACCGAGATGCTTACCACATTCTCCATGTCTACGACTATGGAATTGACCTACTCTGTCGAAACGGAGACAACCAACATAGCTACAAGGCCAACCGTTTCTACTGGACCTACTGTTACTCAGACGTACACTCTGAGTCAGAACCCGCTACCCACAATGTAAGATGATATGCGGCAATATGTTTCATCAAGAATGGATCTGACATATACTTCAGTACCACAACAAGCACATCCACGCGACGCGTGACGAGGACCATCTACATATCAGGGAGAACCATGACGACCACAGTATCTGGTGTACACGTCACAACTAACCCCACGGCCGAGTAAGTCTTTCCAGAATGTACTACGCGGCATCTATTGACATATTGTTCAGATCTCAATCATCTGCTGTCGCTTCGCCTTCCCTTGACGTGGCGAGTATCTTGGGCATCGGCACTTGAGACGTATGCGGCCTAGTTTATCCCTCGCTGTCCGGTTGTTACTTGGTTGATAAAAACAACCGCAGGTTCTGTTTCATGTTTTTGTGCGCTCGATATCGGACTTTGAAAAACAAATGGCTTGAGCTGCTATTGTAAGCTTCGATGCTACACCGTTTTGTTTGTACTCTTTGCCCATGATTAAAACGAATATAACCAGTTGTTCCCCAGATGCTAGACGCCTGCATTCGCTCTTGGTCATCAGTATGCTTGTAAGAATCTGCCAGTGTATCCGATTACTCGTTCAAAGTCCTCGGCAATGGCTCTTTGCTTCCTAAGTGCAGTTGAGCGGAACCGAAGCAAACGCAACGCAACGCATCGCACCCTTATCCAGATGCACGAGGAGATGTGAACATCGGCAGGACAATGCTGTAGCATCTAGCCATATTGGTCCAAAAGTAAAATGCATTGTCAAGGACACTTCGTTGTCTGAGAAAGAGGTTCCACCTTTGTGATCAACTTTTGAGACAACAACCCTAGATATTCTTTGTGTTGAGAGTGCGATCAAGACCCACACAAAGAAATTCGCAAGGAGAACCCTTGTTCCCTTGTTACCCTTTGATGACCTTGTCTACTTCAAAACATCTATTGTTTCGCATAACAATACAGTTATAACCCCCTTCTTCCAGCAGTTTGACCCTCCTCCGAATCTCACAAACTCATCCCATCACATAAAATTCTAGACATCACCTTGCAACAAACATGTCAGCAACCTCTCGCCCCAATGTCGGTCAGGAACCGTCAAAGAACACAAACCATCGAACCTTCACCAGATATCCCGTAGCAGAGGCAAAAACGAGCGTCGCTGGTAGACGTCGTGTAGCCCCTCGCGTGTCGAATATCAACACTCAAGCATGTAACAATGTCCGAGACGAAGAGCTGCAATACACATACCTCCGCGACAAGATGCGCGGAAACCCAGATACCAACAAGCCTCTTCCTCCTTTACCTGGCAAGAGATCTTCCTCGCGCCCAGCTAGTCCCATGGATCGAGCTGCTCACTGGGTAAACAAGAAGGTTGTGACTCCTGTGAAGGAGTTCTTCAAGACACCCGAGGTGAACGAAATGATTGGTCGTACTTCACAGGAAACAGGCAACCAGTTTTCGCCTCGTCCCTACGCAATGTTCACAGAGACGAAAACCTCAGCCGAGCCGAAGAGACATACAAGAGGTAAATCGAGCGTTGACCGCCGTGAAGTCGCTCCAAGACGCTCCGGAAGTGTCTCATCGCGTGAGACTTTCCACAGCTCTCCAGTCACCCCCAGATCTCGTAATTCTGACAACTCCATGACAAGCGGTGTTCGACACGCAATTGACACTACACAACAGGTTGGTAGCCGGCTTGGACTTAATCATGAAGCGGGAAGACTCGTCTTCTCTGACGCAGCACCAGCCGGCATGATGGACCCTTGCAGCGTCTGTCACAAAGAGCCTAAAGGAGTCTTGTACCATGGACGTTGTCGAGATTGTAGGTAGACTTTGTTTCTCCCCTGTTGCATCTGATGCTTAATCATAGATCCATATGTATCCCAAGTTTCATATTCCTTGTCTCTCCTTTCCTGCCAAAGTTGTCTTTGCTTGCCAATCTTTATCTTTCGAGTAGGAACTGACTTGCCTGTGATCTATGGCATGACCTCCTCTAGCGATACTTTAATGATGACATCCAGTACCGCGCGTATATCGCGTCATATCAGGATCCATATTTACCAAAGTACATCCAAGCAATGTTATGCCCAGTCAGATCTCGCCACTTTCTAGCAAGGTTCTTGTGATATGTACTGTAGTGAATTGCCCACATTGATTGGGCCGTGATTTAGTAGTCCGCCCCATGATCTGGTTCGCGAATAAGTCAGTCAAGCAACTGCTCTAGTGTATACCACGACAATCAATGTAAACCAAGTGCGAACTGTGGTCTCACGTCGCTGGGTTGCTCTGTCAACATAATAAAGTGGACCGTGCAGATGAGTCCAGTCTTGGCAGGCACAGAAACACGTTTGATACACGACTTTGCAGGTCCGCTCGTGCTTGCTACTTCGTGCTTGATGAACCTGCGTTCGGCGCACGAGCTACTTGCCTTTCGCCTCTTACCTACAGATGAGTTGAAAGTTTCCATTCGTGCGGTTCTGGCTGTTTGCGAATTCTATGATTGTTTGGGCCTTTGGTGTGTTGTGTCAGATTGAGATTGTGGGACGACATATGAGTTCGGTTGTTCAAAGGAACACTCAGGGTGCAAGATAACCGTTCGTGCCAATCGCGTGGTCGAACTCGACAGTTTCGCTGCTATCCCCCTTGTTTATCGTGATTTCGCTATGCCGACAGATCGCGAGCTGTTGACCAGTAGTGAAGGCAAGGATAAGGGAATGGGCAACAAGTGGCTCAGAGGATTTTGGCTCAAAAACAACAAAGGCGGCGATGCAGACACCAGCAAAGGAGATGACAAGGGCAGCGACAAAGCGCATCTTGATGACAGCGGCGATGTAGAACAAATTCGCGAAGAGATCTCAAACGTGATTGTGGAGGTCATGCGCAGCAACAGCCGCGATCACCAAGACACTGATCCAGGTATTTATTTGTTTGGAAGATTGTCAAGCAGTCGTCAGCCGTTCCCTTCTGCGAGACCAAGCCCATCGTCTCGTGGAATGTCGGCGCCAGGACGTGTCCCATCATCTCCTCCGGCCACCCTCAGAATTCGTCGCAACGAGCCAATCAGAGGTAGGGTTTCATCGTCGACACGACCGTCAACTCGAAAATAACAAGCCAGCAGAAACGATCGAACATTCGCCAGAGACGCCTGACGTGTCGCCTACTCTCCGCTTTTCCAAGCCTCTCCTTCCTGGCAACGCCCTTTGTGAACGGCATCCCAGTGACGTGGCATCCATCAAATCAGAGTCCATTGAACAAGAGCACATTCGCGTTGAACCAATCCGCGTTGTGCAGAACTCGAGTGACCAAGCATCCATCAAATCAGAGTCAGTTGAACAAGCCATCGTTGGCCCAAGCCTCGTTCAACAAGCGCCTGGTGCACTAGACTCTAGTGACGAGGAATCTGTCAAGTCCGAAACCGTTGAACCAGGCCTTATCACACGGAACCTCGTTGAACAAGAATCCATCAAGTTAGAGTCCGTTGAACGAGACCTCGATCTTGTTGAACCACACCTCGTCAGACGAGGACCTGATCGGAAGGAGACCACTAACGAGGAGTCCATCAAATCAGAGTCCGTCGAAGAAGACCCCATCGACGAAGACCCCATCGAAGACGACTTCGTGGAAGAAGATAGTTCAAGCGAAGAAGACTCCAGTGATAGTCAAGAAGATTCCAGTGAAGAGGACGTCGGTAAGCAACTTTAGCGTCAAATTCCACCTTCAGACACTGACTGATCGGGTGACAGAACTGCCGTCTTGGCTTGGTCGGTCACCTTCTATCGACCTGTCATCTCGGATTGAACCACCTCCTATCGAACCATCCATATCACCCAAGACCGAGCCGTCTTCTCCCATTCAGCTGTTCCTATCGCCCAGGACCAGACCATCTCTCTCAGTTTCACCCAAGACCAAATCGTCCTCTCCCGTGCCCATGGACACTGAGCCATCTCTGAACACAGCTGCCATGGTACCTCCTTCTGGTCCCTCTCCTGTGGAGCCACCCTCTTCACCTCCTTTTTCCTTTGCAGCATACACAGTGCTAGGGGACGAATATGATGTTGAGATCTATACTATTTGTCTCGAAGAATACCTCGACGAAATGGACGATGATCACGAAGCCTTGACAGCGACATGGCTTGCAAAGGCTAGAGTCTACCAGCGCCCTACCCTGTTCCCACGATCCAGGAACAAGTATTCCACGAGAAACCGTGACAAGCCTAGAAAAGACCCATTCGCAAACATCAAACCCCAGAAAACTGGCCGCAAAATCACTTTTGTTGGAAAGGCTTTCTCACAGCTCAAACCTAGAGGTGAAACAATCACTGCCTCGGCTCGCATCTCATCGTCGAAAGGGATCTTACCATCGAGATTACTCTCGACCGAGGTTCCGAATTACACCCACTATACCAGGATTCGCGCCAATGTACTAGGAACAAACACTCGGCAGTTGCAAGTCTGGCCATACTTTGGAGAGGATGTTGATGACGATGGAACCATCCGTGAGAGGTTCGATGTCATCGTGGAGGATCGACCCCGTAAGGTTCTCATCTCGCAGCAAGTCAGTACTTACGGCCCCTACTTCGAGGCCTTTCTCGAAGAGGTTGATTGTCCAATGGATACCATCCTCAAATACCTACTCGAGGCATCAGAAGGGCCAGACGGGCTATTGTCAAGGTTGGCAAGCTTTTCCAACGACCACAGGCTAGCCAAAAACNTCGTACGCGCTAAGGACAAGTTTTGCAAAGACGACTTTGACCGAACAAGCCAGAGATGGGTTTCGGTAGCATCTAGTCTGCCTGAGATCAATGATGAAACACTGTGGAAAGCTGCTGCCGTCTGTCACGCCTTCTGGACTCGAACCAATTTCAGCCCCTGGCAGATTGCACGAAAGTATGCCAAGTTCCCTAACCACAACATGATCGAAGGCCTTGTTACCTTTGAAAAGACCAAAGACTACGCCAGCGTGGCCTGTACTATCTGCCAACTTCATGACTGCCCTTTCCACGGTACCATTCGCGAGAGACCAGACGTCAAGGAGGAGAGCGACGAAGAAGATGTAAACTCTGTCGATGCTCTAGATGTGGACTATCCACCACGCGTCAACTTCAAAGAGCAGGCTATAGCTCCATTCGAGCGGGACACGTCAGAAGACACCGGCACATACACCAAGAAATCCTTGAACTGGTGGATGAATGAGGCTAACAGCGTAACTTGGGACCACAGCCAGCGAGGCCCATTCTTTCCTTGCAGCCATATCGGAATATCATGTGAGGGCGCACGCTGTTCATGTTTCGAGGCAAGGGTCTGCTGTGAGAAAACTTGCGGATGCTCATTCAAGTGTAGCCGTCGCTTTTCAGGATGTTCATGTGCGAAGCGAGCAAAGTGCTGCGCACAGGACGATTCGTGCGAGTGCTACAGAATGAACAGAGAGTGCGATCCAGATCTCTGTGATTCATGCGAGGCCGATGTCATCCTAGACCCAGTCAACAGATTCGACAACGATTACCTTCCTCGAAGATGCCGGAATGTCGCCATTCAGCGTAGCGTGCCGAAACGAACACTTCTCGGCCGGAGTGTTATTCATGGCTTTGGACTGTACGCTGGGGAACCAATTGCCAAAGATGAGTTCGTTGGAGAATATCAAGGAGAAATCATTACCAGAGACGAGACCGAAAGACGAGGAGCCATCTACGACTTCCAGAAGCTGAGTTATATCTTCGACTTGAACAGAGGTAAGAAGCCAAAACTATACTTCGGTGCTTTGCTGACAAGATTACTCGTCCAGNACCAGACAATCGACTCTCAACGAATGGGTAACAAGATCCGCTTCATCAACCATGCCGCGAAGCCCCATCTTCGCAATGTCTATCCAAAGATAATGCTCTGCAATCTGGCCCACAGAATTGGCATGTTTGCCCACAGAGACATCAAGGTCGGCGAAGAGTTGTTCTTCGATTACGGCGGAAGCTATCACGACAAGCTGTTCGGTGAGGAAGAGAAGGCTCGCAGGGAAAGGAACAAAGGGAAAGGCAAAGCTGTCGTCACACACATTCGTCCATCGAGAAAGAGCTACCAAGCACAGCCAGAGGTCGTAGTGGAAGTGCCACCGAGAGAAAAAGAGCCCGAAGAGCAATACCATGCCGACGTCAACGATGACAGCGACGACAGCGAAGACGACCGCCCGACTAAGCGCAGAAGACGATCGAGAATTCCTTCACCGAAGAGGCCGAGATTGCCTTCACCCAAGAAATTGAGACTTTCTCCACCCAAGAAGCAGCCAGTCGCAAGGTCAGCTGCCAGAAAGACCGAGGATCGATTTCGTGTACGCGGACGCACTCAGGGTCCTGCAGTCAACAGCGCCAACCCGCCGGGCTTGAAGGCCGCCATGAAGTCTGCGCCCATCCCAAAAATATCTAACCATCGGGCTCCTATTTTGGTAGAGTCATCAGAGGAGGAAGCGGAGGTAGAGTCGGGATCGGACGATATGGAAATGCCAAGACGTAGTAGTCGGCCGCGCATGGTGTCCAGAAAGCTCAGAGGGGATGATTGAGCACTTGATCACTCTCTTAAGGGGAAGATTTGGCAGCACTGTAATATTGGAAATCATTAATTTCAAAGATGTATTTTCAAGACAAGCAAGGGCGACCAGGTTTTCAGAAATGGTGACAAACTTCTCATGCTTGACGCAGAAGAGGTGAGTGTTTGATCTGATGATCTATGCTTATACCAATTGAGTATTAAGAAATGTACAGAACGGGCAACACCGCAACCTCCCACCCCATGAAAACCTTTAGACCCTCTGGCAGTTCCGAGTTTTTCTGTCGTAGGACCTCATGTAACAGCTTTTCCAAGATCAACGGCAAAGTCAGCGTCTCAATCAACAGATTGGCCGCTCGCAACGTCTCGACATCTTGATCGCCTTCTCTTGTTTTGAATAAGACCTTCATGGCTTGCTTAGGTTCCGGGCATACTGAAGATGAATAGGCCAGGTTTGTCGAAAACACCCAAATCTCGTAGGGGAGAGTGGGAAAGACGAATTTACGCACGCCTTGGGTTTCTATCGCTTGGTTGAGATAACAAGAGAACCAATTTGCTGCGTCGTAGGATTGCGGTGTGCTATTCTTCTTGGATGATAGAGCAAGGTACGGCTTCTGCAGACGGATGCCCTCGGTCTGAGGATCGCTATAGCCTAGAATCGTGTCACATGTCTTGCAATGGGCTTGATGGATGTTGTCGCCGTTTTCAGATGACCGACACTAAACTTTCGATCAGTCTCTGTCAAAACAAGAATGTGATGGTGGCGGGACTGTGCCGTTCTGATGTATCATATCATGGCCAATGACTTTGAGCTACGACGATGATACGCAGAGGCGAGATAACATCGATACAGCGAGCGACCCATCTGGCCAAGCCGAGGGTCTGCTCACCGCACGAACATTGTCGTTCATCTTGGATTTTTGTATCGGAGCGGTATCTCATTGAGATGACACAGTGTTCACAGAGCACTCCTTCTTGAAACCCGATGGAAAGGGAGAGTGGGAGAGGCAAATGGACAACAAGCAAAATGCATGACTTACCTCGACAGTACAATCATCTTCGAAGAGAAGGAAACTCATCACGTCAACTAGACCAACACCAACCTGAGCCATAAGCTTGTTGCCAGCAGCATAGCCTTTNTTCGCCGGTGCCTCGTCGTGATTATGATCAGTTTCGTCAGGTTTGTGGCAATGCCACAGGTCCATCATTTCAGCCCAAGCTTCGGATGGAAGATTTTTCCAAACTTGAATCTTGTCGCTTGACACAAGCGCATCGCAGTGTTTGCAGTGCACCCTCGTTTGGAGATCAAGATAAGCTGCAGACCAGAGAACGAGGGGTTCTTGTTCGCCAAAGATGGGCTCTGCTGATATGCGATTCACGCATTGCAATTCGCCCGTATTCGGAAGTTGTAGATGTTGAGTACCTTGACCAGATATTCTCGCTGGCAGCATTATGCTATTGGTATGTTGGTCGTGCTCAAGAACAAGCTTTGTACGGTTGTTCGATAGAGACAGCGCAGTAGAATCGTTCCTAGGGGTTTCCAGTACTGTCGTGACAGCCAAAGTTTTGATATTGGGCAGATACTCGGCATAGAGATTGGCCATCTTTGACGTTTCGGGCTCGCGGTCGTCTTCCTCATCATCCTTGGCCATGACAACATCCAGAGCCCTTGTTCCCAGCTCGACAGTATGCTCCAGGGCGGCCAGTTTGGCCATAGCGCTGATCAAACTCGGATCTTGGCTCTCGACCCTTACCTTCTCTTTGACTTTGACGTGGGCACCACGGTACGTAAAGACGTCTTCGGCCTCGTCGTGGGCAGGAGGTCGTGGACCGGCACCAAGAGCATGTGCAAGTCTGTCGCGGAGGCCGAAGCCAGTGAACGAGGGAGCACCACCAAGGGGAGTGGAGGAACCTGTATTTGAGGCGGGTTCGAGAGTGCGGACGTGAAGAAGGAGAGCTGCGTCTGCGATGCTGAGATGGAAGGAAAGGTTCGGCGGAGGTGGGGGTCGAAGATCTGAGAATCATGTCAGCTCAGGGGCAGATGGTGTTTTAGGGGCGTCAGGCACCTTGTCGTCGAGAGGCTCAGAGGCCCAGGTCCTGTCGGCTTCGTCGGCAGCAGGTGGGCCCTTGAGGGCAGCTTTTGCATCGCGGATGTTCTCGTGCAGCAGAGTCAATTGGCCCGAGATGAAATTCGCGTCGCGCTTGTCGCCAGTCCATGTCGTGGCGTCAACAACATCCAAGCTCGAGTTGATCAGAGTCCTGACTTCGGCGATTTGTTTCAGTCGGAGAGCAGGAGCCGAGGGCGAGGTCGAGATGGAGAGCTTGTAGCTCGTTTGGCCGCGTGGGGGCGGTAGCGAGGCGAGACGCAGCTGGATGTCGCCTTTGGTGATGTTGGAGCCATTGCGCGTAATGAAGCCTTTGATGGCCTCGCTACGGTGCGAGGAGACGACCAGGGTGCTGCCTTGGTCTTGCGGTGCCAGCAGAGCGCTANNCAGTCCTCGAGGCCAGACTTCAAGCTCGAGAGAGTTTCTTGGAGCGCGTCAAGCAGCCATGACAGTTCACGATGTCGAGTCTCGTCTGCGCGTCGGACAAGCGATGAAGGCGAGGCGTCTGGCAATGGCGGCCATAGTATTGTTGACATGATGGCTCCCACAGCATATCGTTGTCATCGTCGACAAGCTTCATTATGCGCGCCCAATCACGTGTATGGAAACAAGCTTTACGTGGGGTGCTCGGGGTNNAGCATGGGCCGAAGATTCCAAACCTGGAAGTTAGAAATACCACGCCGATGATGGCTTCCGATGTCAACAAAGCTGGTTATGGGAAACATCGCAAGTTCACAATTTACATGTGCACTGTCTATTACCTCAAGTCAATTGACCTTCTACAGAATATACTTATTGCTGCTGGGCAAATTCCTCCAGCCATTGTGCAAGCTTCTCGACCTTTTCCACACTAACAGCATTGTAGTTGCTGATTCTGCAGCCACCCACGCTGCGGTGACCCTTGCAACCAAGCAACAGTCTCTCATTCGCTCCAGCCAGGAACTTCTTCTCCTTGTCGTCTCTGTCATCCTCGCTGCCAATGCGGAAACAGATGTTCATCTTGCTGCGGACTGACTTGTCGGGCACAACGTGGAAAACGGGGTATTTGTCAAGAATGCCATAGAGTCGAGAAGCCTTGTGCTCTGACTCGCTCTGCTGCGTAGCAATCTTGGGCCCGGAGGTGGAGACTTTGGAAATCAGAGATTGCATCACCTGGCCGGCGATCCAGACGTCGAAGATGGGAAGCGTGTTGTAGAGAGAGTTGTTCTTTGCAATCGTAGGCCAGTCCAGGACTACAGGACCAACGGGCAGATTCAGTTTGCGGAGCAAATCGGGCTTTGCGAGCTGAGTGAGGAGGGAGTTTTTGATGATGGCGATGGTGATGCCTGTTGTGCCGACGTTCTTTTGTGCACCACCGAAGATGGCAGAGTATCTCTTAACGTCAACCTTGCGGCTCAGGAAGTTGGACGACATGTCGGCAATGACTTGGTACTTGTCCGAGTCGATCTTGGGAAANGCAGGGAATTCGACTCCGTCGACCGTCTCGTTGTCGCAGAAGTAGACCATGCCGCTGTGAGCCGGGTTGGACGTCAGTGACCACGAAGACTCGTCGGGGATGGTGCCGAATTTGCCATTGTTGTGCTTGCGGCTGTCGACAGCCACGTTGACGTGGTTTGCGCCGACGAGTCTCGCGGCTTCTTGACTGGCCTTCAAGGACCAGCTGCCAGTGACCAGGTAGTCGAGCTTGAACTCGTCGTCCACAGCCTTTCTCAAAGCCTCAAAGACCTTTGTCTCGTCTTCCTCTCCTAGCTCTTTTACAATCTGCTGTCTTCTCTTCTCGACCCACAGAGCAGTCATGTGGTACACCGAAGCACTGAATTCGCCGGAACCTCCGCCTTGCAGGAAAATGATCTGGTAGCCATCGGGGCCTTCTTGGGTGGGAATGTCGAGCAATTGAGCCAATGCCGACTTTGTGTCTTCAAGAATCTTTGCTGCGTCGCCTGAACGGTGCGAGATTTCTGTGATGCCGATGCCGGAGTCGTTGTAGTTGAGGAGGACCTGGGAGGCCATTTCCAGTACCGCTGTGGGCAGAGGGGCGGGGCCAGCGCCAAAGTAGGCGGTTGCTTCGCGGGAGGGCATATCGTCGTATGTGTTGGGGCGGAAGAATGCTGTACCAGGAGAGAAGGGTAGGGTCGGAGAGCTTTCGTGTGTTTCGATTGACTCAGAACAACAGCTTGAGTCATTGCCAATTTTCTCGTCATGCCGATGACGAACTGCGGAAGTGCCAAGACTTCCGCTCCGCTGCTCTAGAAATCTCCATACTCACACATGGTGAAAGGAGGGGTTGTCGAGGATGCCTCTTCGAATCGCTTACGTTTGACTGTGTAAGGGGCTCAACGCCAACCATTCTGAGGTTCTGCGAGGCATTTGGCTCTTTCTCGTTCGACATATCGAGCTGTTCGTTAAGCAGGGCGTCAGGTAAGGTAGACTTGCATGTGAAACACCTGGAAGATGCACAGGAATCCCCATCAAGCATTTTTTCATCTCCATACCTACTCGTACATTCTGCATTCTGGAAACAAACATCACAACATCTTTGTCCAGGTATGTAGAGATTCGTGAAGCCGACGGATCAGCCCTGCACCCGGACAGAGTCTCGGATGCGCCACGTGCCGAAGCTTCCGCACGGCAGCCAATCTTTGTGTGCTTCCACCGACCCATTCAAAAGCTCCCGAGCTCCCATGCTCGGAATCCTTACTTGCTTGATCCATCCGCTCTCACCACAATGACACAGGAACTATACTGGCTTGCAGGGAATGCCAGAGATGTGCGATGTTGCTTGATAAGCACGCTTGCTGAGCTACATTTAGGTTGCAGCTTATATAAAGCCGATGCTCGACTCAGCCGTCTCTCTCATCTATCATCATTCTATACTTGATTTCACGAGCCGGCAAAACATACAATCGCCAACGTTGATCATGTCTCTCCCTACCAGCGCACGCGTTTTTCGTCGCACAGATGATGGCAAAGACATCGAGCTTTCAACCGAAGACCTTCCCAAAGAGCTGGCACCTACCCAGGTCCTCATCCAGATCCATGCCGTCTCGCTCAACTTTCGCGACGTAGCCATAATCAACGACAGATACCCTGCGCCCGCCGCCCATCGCGGTATCCCCTGTTCCGATGCTGGTGCCACTGTCATTGCTGTTGGCAGTGGTGTCACTGATTTCGCTGCTGGCGATCATGTCTCGCCTACTTTCCGCTGGACGACCAATGATGGCGTGATGAGAGCCCTAGGTGGAGATTTCGACGGCGTCTTGAGAGACTATGCCATCTTTGAGTCCGAGGCCTTGATCAAGAATCCAGACTACTTGTCACACGAAGAGGCCTCTACTGTTCCTTGCGCCGGGGTCACGGCATGGACTTCACTGGCACAGGACGACTGGAAAAAGGCTGGCAAGATAAAGACAGCGTTGATGGAAGGAACTGGCGGTGTATCCCTTTTCGCCCTGCTCATCTGTCTCGCCGCAGACATCACACCTATCATAACGTCCTCATCTGACAAGAAGCTCGCTGGACTCCAGAAGTTTGCATCCCCCAGCAAGGGTATCCTGACTATCAACTATCGTAATACACCCGATTGGGCCGAGGAAGCGCTCAAGCTTACTAATGGCGGTGTCGACGTGCTTGTGAACAACGTGGGCGCAACTACCATGGACCAGAGTTTCAAAGCCCTAAAGCGCTTTGGTACGATCTCCTTGGTCGGCTTTCTGGGCGGCAACCCCGACAAGATGCCTGATGTAACCATGCAAATCCTCCAAAAGGGCGCTCATGTTCAGTAAGTCTTTCCATCACCTTCTGACTATCTACTTCGATCCCTCGAGAATCTTGGCTAATATGAACACGAATAGGNNGGTATCGCAGTAGGTACAAAGCAAGATCATCAAGACCTTTGCAACTTTTTGGGTGAGAAGAAGGTTGATCTCAAACCCACAATCGACAGAGTCTTCGGCTTTGAGAACTCCAGTGAAGCGTTCAAATACCTGTACTCTGGCGCCCACGTTGGTAAAGTGGTAATCAAGATCTGAGGGTCGCAAATAAGCAAAGGATGGTAAAAGAGGGACCATCTCGAAAAGGTGTGGAATATGATACAGTGCATGTGGTCCACTGCTGTAAGCCTCGACCTCCCTTCCTCTGACCTTTCCGTGTGCGGAATGCTATTACAACTAGCTATAGAAATGTACAATACTCACTCATCCGTCGAAACGACGTTTTCTTGTAGTAGCCTTATGGTTATGCGTCTATTTATAAAGCAACTGTGCATTTTGGTAGTCGATAACGGAACTACACGCAGCCTTGTTCAAGTGGTTGATAATAGAATCGTAACAGTGCTCTGCATATAGGAGGGTGCAGCGATAACAAAATGGCCGCGGTAAGGACGAGGTTCGCTATCTGACCACCCACTCTTCATGATTTACCACACGTCCTCTGAACGGCCTCGGCAAAGGAAAGAGGAGAGCTCAACGGGCAAGACGAAGGTTGGAGTATCAAATTTCGAGCACCTATCGTATGAGTTTTAGGGTAGGGGGTAGGTCGGATTCGATCTGTACTACATGACCATCCATTGATATTATATCAAGCTCGACGACTATATGTCAAGTCAACCGTTGGTAACATATTTCGTTCCTTCAACGGATCTTTGTCTTCTTACACTGATCTACTGAGATCGAACAGGATAAGTTCACATGATGCTATACTGAGAACGAGAGAGCGCACATGGAGAATAAGGGGACACAAGGATCCGACGAACGAAATACAGTACCACATCCATGACGGTACAACGTGTGACCATTATCTGGAGGTTGATATCGCGACACCGTCTTCCTTATGCCCATGGTCACGCGTACTCGTCAGCTTCCATCTATGGCTTTGACGGTATGACGTTCTGAGTGGTGGACGCTAAGTAAGGATGTTGCATGCCAGCTTTAATCTTGTATTCGCGCAGGAGAAGAGTAGATGTCTCTGAACCCGAGATCATCTTGCCCTTTCCCGATTCGCGTCCATCATGTTCATCCATGCCTACATGTTCTCAAGAGCTTACGAGGCAATATATCCAGAGCTGAGTCTGGACAAACAGGACGGGGGTCAAATCTCGGGTTCCAAACACCAATCACTGATTCGACGTTCATTCGGTCAACCACCAAGCCAAGGTATAAGCAGCGGCATAGCACCGAAGTAGCCAACGAGAGTTTCTTCTCCGACGCCCAGCCAAGAAAGGCCAGCCAACACCAATGAAGGACAAACCAAAGGCTCGTTCTGCTGTACGAACCTACAGAAGCACCTACGTGGAACTGTAGTCTACACACTTATCTATACAGCGTATCAGGTGCAGACTTTGTCGGAGAGAAGCGACGCGTTAGACAGAACAAGTGGGACAACCTTCGTTGCCCAGCTTTAAGCAACCCGTGGGATGCAGCGATCATCATGAACAGGCGCGTAGCTCGAAATGACATTTGCCGGGTGTGGCTGCTGACCAACACGAATGAAATGAGGTGAACGACGAGCTTCGATGCTGGAGAGTTTCTTCAGCAGATGGCATATAACCGGTCAAGTGCCAGGTACGAGATAGATGGTGCGCGTTCAGTGCTCGGCCGGGCATAGGCTGTCAAGCGAGTCGAGATATCGAGGAAAAGCAATCATACAACCAGATTCATAATCGGTTGAAGCGCTGATATTTGGCCAGACTTGAGTAAGTTCAGACATGGTCCATTTCAGTCTCGTTGTTTTGTGTTTCCGCCTGAGGATTTGCGGCAGCGAGTGCAGCCTTGCGCTTTGCTTTNTTCTGTTGACGCTGGGCACCGATGGGGAACCTCTTCTCGGTATGACAGTTCCGGCACTGGATGACGAGTACGTCGGCACAAGACTTCTTCTCACCCCTGCTCTTGTTTTCGACACGCGTCTCGGAGGTTGTGTCTGGCAGTAGAGGGGTGCTGCAAACCTTGCAGATAGCGCGCTTCATGTCATGAGAAAGACGAATCTGAGCTTTCAGCGAAACAGCCTGGAGCTGGGCGGCGAGCAGAAGAGGCAGACCGTGCTGTTGCAGATGGGGGTCGACGTGCGACGAGTTGGTATGGGTAATGGGTGTTCGTTGTAAGGCGAGATGGGTTGCGGCTTGGTGCAAATATGCGATGCGTGCATGCAGGTGTTTGTTGGGCACGCTCTTTGCCTGGTTGGCAGAACCCTTGGCCATGGTGACTGGGGCGACAGCTGTGATGGCCGACTGGCTCTTGAATATTCTCCAAGTGAGAGAGAGGAGGCAGAAGACGCCAAGGCGATAGTGGGTTGCTGGAGGCGAGGAGCGCGACGCTGAAGGGTCGATAGGCGAGGATTGAAGACAGTGTTGGACGGCGGACGGTGAACAAGGCGGAGTCAAGAGGGAACTGGTTGAGTGACGAGCTCGCGCGGTCGCGAACAGCGGCACTGCAGAGCTCCAAGCTCGTACGCGGAGGGTGTTTTTAGAGAAGGGCCCTCGTCGCGCGCTCGCGAATTGAGTAGTGACTAGGGCAAACCCTGAATGGCACTCGTTGAAGACAGCTGGCGATGGCTCCGCTCTCGGTGTGCTTGTGGGACGCTGGAAAATCCGACACCAGCTTGCAGATGGATATGCGAAACCTACGATGCGCAATGGCGATATCTACTGGTATAGCTCACCTGCGAACACAATTTGGTCTGACTCAATCACAAGCACCCGACTCCTGCAAAGCCATACAGTCACGTGATCGCAAGCAGAATTTCTGACGCTGAGAATTGGCACCCCGTTGCACAGCGACAGTCAACATGGCCAACAGCGAGTAAGTCTAAACTCTGCAGAGTGCATGGTACTTGTGCGAGTCGTTGTCTAATGAGAACCATCCAAACATCAGGTTCGAATATGTGCGCAAATTCGAAGAGTGGGATGCGCTTGCACCCAGTAATTGGATTGTCGTAAGAATTGATGGCAGAGGCTTCAGCAAGTAAGTTCTGTTCGGTTTCCCGATGTGTATTAGATCTCTTCAAGTTCTTGACTCGTTTGTGTCTTGGACCCTCTCAGCCTCTATTACGAGTAACTGAATGCACAAGAGCTCGGCGTGGGAAGAAATTGGGTGCGTGGGAGAAAGAACAATGGTATGGCGTGTGAGGTTTGCCTGCGGTGAACGGTGGTGCATTGGGATGAAGGAGCTGCAGTTGAAAAACAAGAATCGCGCCCTTCGCGTATGGGGTCGAGACGACCATTCGACACTGCCACTTTTCGTTATGTGAACGAGCCACTGATATTTTTTTCCAGATTTTCGAAACGCCAGGGCTTCGCCAAACCCAACGACCGTCGTGCTATAGACCTCATGAACGCCGCCGCTGTCGAAGTCGTAAAGCAGTTTACCGACATTGTCATCGCCTACGGTCAGTCTGACGAATACAGCTTTGTACTCCACGAAGACTGCCAGCTTTTCGAACGACGAGCAGCAAAACTCGCGACAAGTATATCGACAGCATTCTCGGTGGAGTACTGTATGCAGTGGGATGAGCACTTTTCGGGACAGCCTTTGGAGAGGCCTTTTCCGACCTTTGATGGCAGATGTGTATTGTATCCTAAGAAGAAAATTCTGAGAGATTATTTGAGTTGGAGGCAGGCTGATTGTGAGTTGTGCTTGCTTTTGAGTTTGTGGGACCGGCGATATGCTGATCATGCGTGACAGGTCNATGTAAACAACCTTTACAACACGACGTTCTGGAATATGGTCAAGGGAAATTCAGCTACAGATACACCGGCCATGACTCCTACAGAAGCCGAGTTGGCTCTGAAGGTAAAGCTGTGCTCACCGTCTCAATTGGCCTCTGATCTCTGCTCACACAGACAAAACAGGNGGACTTTCTCAGGAGACAAAAACGAGATCCTTTTCAAAAGGTTCAACATCAACTATAACGCAGAAGATGAGATTTGGAAAAAGGGCAGTGTCGTATACAGANAAAGTATGTTCATTTCTTCTTCCACCTGCTTTCATACTCATGGAGATTGGTAGTTCGAAGACAAGCAATCCACCACAGAGAAACCAGCGGAGAAGCAACTTTCTAGACCAACAGATGACCGAGGAAAGAAGAAGCCACCATCGAAAACACAACTGGAAAAAGAGAGGAAGAGAAAACAGAAGGCTAGGATTGTGGTGGAGCATGTTGATATCATCAAGGATAGATTCTGGCTGGAGAACCCATGGATCCTGGAGTAGTCATGAACGTGGGGGCGAAGGAAGAAATCAGGAAGAGCGAACACATAGAAGCTTCTTTCGTGATCCGTGTCTGGGACGGATTGACACGGAACAGCGGCCATATCGCGATGAAGTCCGAGCATCTCCTGTGGTACGACCACGACTTTTTCCCCAGCTGCACGAATTCTGTTCCATCATCTACATATTTGTCGGAAACCAGAGACATCCAACAGCACGAAGCTGACTGCCGGTCTGCACCATCATATTCATCTGCTGTTGTCATCGACTGCGAACATGGAATCGCGGACAAAGCACTGGGTAAGCCCGACGCGTGCACAGAGACAAGCCGGGCTGAAGAACAATACTAAGCTATGGCCAACTTGCCACCTGAGACTGGACAGTATGCCCCACAGCTTCATGTCGTATTTTTCACTCAGTGTATCCTGAAGACACAAGACCTCAACCTGGAAACTTGTCGAAGTGGCTGGCTTTCGCCCTCAATGGCCATAATCGCCTCAAGCATACCCTCAGTCCACATATGAGACAAAATGGCCAGGTTGGTCCTCATCACCATTTCCTCCTTCGTTTGTCACCTCTCCTTTGTATTGTTCTTCCTTTCTGCTTTTGTCCCCTGTTTCTGATCTTCGCACACACCTCGTTCTTTGCATACCCTTCAAGAACAATCACCTGCCAGCATATTCTCGAAATCCGTTGCTATTCTTTCTTTTGTATTCTTCCCACCAGATTGTTGCTCCGTGATTGTATTGACGACCGCATTTGGCCCGACCAACTGACTTCGTACATCTCATACTTGACAGTCCCCTCTCATACGATTCATCTCTTTCTCCCTGTTCATCTTCCTCCCTTCAAGTCGTCAGCCCTGTCGCCAATGGATCCCTCATCAGCAGGCCAGTCAATGAATAAGTCGGCTGTCTACAACCAAGTCATTACTGTCACTGATCGTCATGGCGAACAGAGCCAGTTTCCATTGTGGTACGTCGACACGCTGATAGTGGATGCCGTTGTCCATGGCATCATTCCAGGGGTTCAATTCGGCGCCAGTTTGATCCTCACTCTTGTACTGGTTCTTCTCTCTAAGCACGACAAGCGACGCTCGCCGGTCTTCATATTCAACACGACCGCCTTGTTCTTCAACATGATCTACGCTCTGTTGCAATGTTGCATCGTGACCAGCAGTTGGTGGGACATCTATCCCGTACTCGTGGGCGACTACGGCGTGGTGACGCCAGCAGCTCAACGTCTGACGACGGCTGTGGCGGTCTTCGTCACGCTCGTCGCTTTGTGCATCGAGGTCTCGTTGGTGTTGCAGGTCCATGTGGTCAGCATCACGCTGCGGACGTGGCAGAAGCTGTCTATTCTGGCAGTCTCCTCATTCGTTGCCGTTATGGCTATGGGCTTTCGTATCGCGCAGTCCGTGGTCTCGGTCAGATGTAACAACAAAGCAGATGCCTTTTGCAGCAGCACGACCTGGCTCGCCAAGGCAAAAGACATCAGCTTGACACTGAGCATCTGCTTCTTCAGCGCCATCTTTTGCGCCAAATTGGGATGGTCACTCCGCGAACGTCGCAAGCTTGGCAGGAAGCAGTTTGGCAGCATGCAAATTATCTTCATCGGAGGATTCCAGACCATGTTCATTCCTGGTATGCATTCTCTTGTTCCTACAAACCTCAGTAAAATAGCTGACATTCTCNCAGCAATTTTCTCGCTCATTCAGTTCATCAATGCGGAGAACATTCCTAACATCGGCACAAACATCCTGACAGCGACTTGTATCTCGCTGCCACTGACATCTATCTGGGCCGCCTCCCACGCTTCCTCGCCGTCCAAGGCCGCCCGTGGGCACGACTTTCACCGCAAATTCCTAGTCGCCTCAAGCACGGCCGATCCTACTCTTCGCAAGCCGAGCGACACGCCTCAATGGTCGCCATCTCAAACGGCATCACAATCAAATGTAAGGGGAAGGCTGGGTGTACTCAACAGTGTTGACAGTAGGTCCGATGCCAGCAGCTGGACCAAGTACAGCCCAGGCCCAAGACCTACGGTGGGGGTGAGAGATGTTGAGCGTGATCTGGAGATGCAGGAATTGAAGGAGAGGGATTGAGGTCTGTCAGCGAGCAGTGTGGGAGGAGAGTGGACAATTTGTGATGCTGACATGGAGGTCTGGGCAATACGAGCGACTTCTCCGAACCAACATGATGATGTTAATCAATATTGATTGCTTTTGCAAAACATCGTATCGCATTTCTCGGCCCGAACCTTGCAACCGCGTCGGGCCGAGCACGTGACTGTGCACAAGTTGACATTTGCCGCGTGTTCACACGCCAGCCGCACCTGAAACTCGATGGGAGGAGATGACGTATAAGGCGTTGTGGGGTTGGCAGGAACGGCAGCAGGGATGGTAATTGGCTTCTCGTCATGGTTGCGTTTTTAATGTTGAGCAGAGCCTCTCCACAATCTGGACTTGCCTTGGTTTCCAGCAGACATCGCAAGCACCATGTCAGAATCAACGACAGGCACAGGTGTCGTCTACCAGGACCTGCACCCCGTCAATCATCCTGCAGTGCAACAAGACACACGCGATGTGCGCACCACGACAGCCACGGACGCCGCCCAGAACTTGACTGAAGAGCCCACGGCCAGTCACGCTCTTGCCCAAGCCGACATTGATGAGAAGGGCGTCGCACAGCTCGCTCACAATGCTGATGTCAAGGATCTGGGCTGGAACGAGCCTCCGTCAAAGATTCCCGCTCCTCTGGTCGGTGGTATGGACAATGAAGAGCTTTGGGTCTTGGTCCGCCGCTTCAATAAGGTGAGTCCACAGCAACTCCTGCCCGCCGATGCTCTTTAAGCTGACACGCACAGCNAAATGTACCATGTAAAGAGTTATCCCTACCCCGTCCCTGGCAATCTCGACCTGAATATTGCCGACGAAGACGAATTCTCGCCCGACAAGCTCCGCGCCACCATTGAACGCCTGTACATGACGGTCGGCCTAGGTATGATGGGCTTCATCAAGCAGGTCGGCCGTCTGAGGTCATGGCGGGAACGCAATCGTACTGCCTATTTCTGCGCCGCATACTTTGTCGCATGGCTGCTCGACATGCTCGTCCCACTGTTCACCGTCACACTCGTCGTTCTGATCGTCTACCCGCCCTCACGCGACGTCATGTTCCCGCCCGCTCCTCTCGCTCTCGTCGACGCTAAGACTGGCGGCGTGCAAAAGCCAAAGGCCGGCGTGTTAGGCAGTACAGACACAGCTACAGGAGCTCCAGAACAGCACAAGGGCGAAGCTGCCGAAGCAGAGGCGAGCAACTTTGTCAACAGCATTGCCTCGGTCGCTCTTGCAAGCGCCAGCGGAAAACACCCTCAGACCGAACCCCCACCAGGACAGGCAGGTATCGCTGACAGCATCCCTGATCCCACCGCAGTGGCCATAGGCGCCAGCTCTGCAAAGACGTCGGCTGAAGGAAAAGCAACTGCGCCCACACACGACAAGACAAAGGTGCCCATGGAGACTGCCATGTGGAGCAAGATGCGGCCTATCATGCATGGTCTCGCCGACGTGGCCGACACGTGGGAGCGTTTCGCGAATGCCCTTTCTCCCACTCCACCTTTCCCTCGCGACCTGTACCGTCTGCGCCTGGCCGCCGTCGTCGTGCCTCTCATCGCCGTCTCTCTGCTGACCTCGGCCTACATGTTCACCAAGGGTGTCACTTTCGGTATCGGCTTCGGTTTCTTCGGCGATCCCGTGATACAGCCTGGTCTACGATGGCTCAACCGTACCTTCCCTAACTGGCAGAAGTTGCTCGAGATCCGTAACACGCTGCTCAAGGGTGTCCCTACCAATGCTCAGCTCACCATTACTCTTCTTCGAATTGGTGAGACGAACAAGGCTCCTCTTCCGCCTCCGCCTAGCAGCAAAGAGCCTCCACCGGACGTTCCAGCCGAAATCACAGATGAACATTTGCGTGCGACTGGCGCCGACTGGCCTTTGAATGCCACTCAAGAGGAATTGGATGCAGCCATGGCTCACGACCCTACCACTGCTCACGNNACCGCCGGTGCTGATATTGACCACAGCAAAGACAGCAAGCACGGCAAGAAGGGTCACAAGCTCGTATCATTCTTCAAGAGCACCGTCAAAGGTACTGTCGAGACTGCTCTTGGCGCCGACAAGCTCAAAGCAAAGGCAGGAAGCGAGCAGTCCAAGCAACGTCTCGGTGCTATCCCCAAGTCAAAAGACTACAATGTTGACGGCCCTGTCGACTTTGCTTGCCGTTTCCACGGAAAGAAAGGCCACACTGTCATATCTACCAGGACAGCCATCCCTGCTGTCTCTTTCACCTTGGACAAGAAGGTCGCCGAAATCGGGTCTCTTGGCCGTGAGGAAGAGTTGCATCCTGTCTGGACCGTTCCTATAGCAGATATCAAAGAGATGAAGAAGGTTGGCGGACTGGGATGGAAGGCGAAGCTGGTGGTAGGCTGGGCACTCGATCGCGAAGTCGCTGATGGTATGGAGATCGTGAGCAAGACTGGTGAGGTGTTCACCATTACTGCCATGCCCCTCAGGGACGAGTTGTTTAACCGACTCGTGGCCATGGGCGGTCAGAAGTGGGAAGCCTGGTGAGGAGAATTCCATTCGACATGCACTCATATAAGAACAACGAAATTGCACGACAGTCATGACAGAAGCTGAATTTTCCGATCTGAGCGAGCCTCATATGACATCCTCGAGTGTTTTCAGATTCCTGAGCTGTGTTCTACGTGATGTCCATGCACGTATTGATCTTGGTCTCGACCTCGGATTTCTTCCGAGCGATACATCTTGAGAAGTCTCATGACCAGACCGCCATTTGTATGTGACCAGGTCGTAAGGGTAGCCATATGATCGAAAATGACTCGAAAAGTCCCAGCACGTACGCACTTAGTTGAAGACAATCTTGACCTGATAGGCTACAAGAGGCCATGTTCGGATGATAGGTTCTCTTCTTGTGAGAGAAGAAGTGCTGGATTATAGCTTTTGCTTTTCACACGGCCAGTGGTTCGAAGACCACTCCATTTTGTGGGTTGTAGCAACCGAGGCGATTGAAGTAAGTGCATCACGATAAATTCTGTGAGATGTGATGATCAGAAAGAGCCGCCATAGCTGCAATTGGGCGCAACCATTGCCCAAACAGCTCGCCGGTTCCTTGTGCTGAGTCGAGTCATGGGAAGCCCTGTCTCGCTGATAGTCTATGACGTGTGATTAGAGAACAGCCGAAAGAAGATGGACGCCCTGTCGTGTGCGTCGTCGCGCAGGAGATGACAGTGACATTTACTGATAGCAAGAGCAGCTGGACCTGGCTACTGAGACCGATATTCGAGATGATGGTTCAGTGGTGCTTATGTGTATAATGGTGGTTGTTGATGGGCGAGAAAGGGAAACGCCTTGATTGGCCCGCCCCGCTTATCCGGAGCGCGGGGTTAATCACGCAACCCTCGAAGAGGAACTTGTCCCTTGCTCTTTCACTTTCGACATCGTCTTCTCTCCGTCTTCCTCGCACACAATCGCACATCATGCCTGCGCGCGTGTCGCCACCACCGGCGGCCAACCTGAGCGGCGGCCTCACTAAGGAACAGCTCGACTTCTGGAACACAAATGGCTATTTGCTCATCCCCGACGCCCTGAGTCCAGACACGACCAAGGCACTTCTTGAAGAAGCTTACATCATGCTCGACGACTTCTCTCTCGATGACCACCCCATGACCAAGTTCAGTACCGGCGAGAAGAGCGACCACGTTGGTGACGACTACTTCCTCGACTCCGGCGACAAGGTCCGCTTCTTCTTCGAGGAAGGCATGTATCACTATCTCTATCTCACTTACACATACTAATACAAGACCANNGACGCCTTCGACGCCGACGGGCACCTCACCAAGCCTAAGGCTAAGGCCATCAACAAGATCGGCCACTACCTACACGGCCTCTCCCCTCTCTACCGTAGCGCTTCGCTCTCCTCGGCCAATGCCGCAATCGCAAAGTCCCTCGGCTACCACGACCCGAGAATACTCCAGTCTATGATTATCTGCAAGCAACCAGAGATCGGAGGCCGCGTCCCTCCCCACCAAGACAGCACATTTCTATATACAGATCCACCTTCCGCAGTCGGCTTCTGGTACGCTCTCGAGGATGCAACAGCAGAAAACGGTTGTTTGAGTTTCGCAGCCGGGAGTCACAAGCGTGCCNCCATCCGCTCTCGCTTTGTTAGACAGTATGAGGAGGACGGTACACCTACCGCAACAGGCACTGGCTTCGCCGAGAATGAGGGCAGCCAATGGCCGCAAGGACTCCAAGAAGACACCGAAGTCAAGAAAGAAGTTTATGAGCTCGGCGAAGTCAAAGCTGGCACTTTGGTCCTGATTCACGGCAACCTTCTGCACAAGAGCGAGAAGAATACGAGTATGAAGGGCAGGATGATTTATACCTTCCATTGCATCGAGGGCGGGAATGACTATGACGCAAAGAATTGGTTGCAGCCTCCGGAAGAGGGCTTCTCCAAGCTCTTCCACTCATGACCTTAATCACAGCATGCTTGGTTGACGAGTATGCTCTAGCTTTGAGGAAGATTTCAGGCTGAAGAGACAGAAGCTTGGGCATACAGGACTTGCACTTGTATTTCTTTACTTTGCATTCTCTCTGATCGGATGATTCCGTCCTCTTTTGACGTTAATGACACTTTCCTTTTCTCTCTTCTCACCCAAGATCTCAAAGTGTGAAACGATGCTCACCGAGCGAAGAGACCATTGCAATTCACTTACTAGCTAGCGTCGCCATGTTTATGCTTCATGGCGTCGCCACGAGAGATCGCACCAAGCCACTCCATGCTTGATGAGGGTCCAAGTGTCGCCGCGCTCATTGAGAGCAGACCTTGCAACCGACTCTGACTCCAAATTTCATGGTACGAGTCAACGGGCAAAAGTCGAGACGGGATTGCACGGTCATGTTTGACAACAATAAAGCGAAGACTCTGCCCTCTCTAAGTTCTCGATGTTTGAGACTTCCGCTGCACGCCCTACTCTACTGTTCATCTGTCATGAAACGCTTTATGATATGGACCACGCTATCATTCGAAGCCCTATGGTTCGAGGGTCGAGCGGACTTCTTGTGAGACGCAGGCAACATCTGGCGCAAGATGAGAAGGAATGCGGCTCATGTGAGGGTATCTCTGCTCGTTGGGCTGAAACAAGCCGATGCGGACGTTCAAAGTTGCCTTCGGACTGCAATGCTGTCATCATTCACGGTCGAACAGGACGGGTCGTGTCACAAACAACGTCATTGATAGAATCCGATCGAACAGTCCGGGTTCAAGAGTATCCTAGGCAAGGTGAGAAGGAGTGGTCTCGCGATGCCAAACCAAGGGCACAAGAGGCCAGTAGAAGGTCACGACCGTCTCCCAATGCTTCACTTGCCTTGAAGTTCTGCAATGCCCGAAATCTTACGTGCAGTCGAACACGGAATTCTTGAGCACATGAACGAACATTAACGAAGAACATTGCATCGATGGTAACAAGCTCTGTTGAAACCTCAATCTTCGTGGCCGAAGCCTAACCACAGTACGACTGACATTTGACTTCCCTGAGCAATCTGGGATGATAAACAGGATCGGTTGAGATCTGACAACGCATTATCACGGCTACTGGAAGTTGAATTGAACGTCAAACGTGGACTTCCAATGTGTGGAATCGTGGGACGGGAATCATCTTCCCGAGCGAGGCTCGAGGAAAGATTGGCTTCCTTATAGTAGTAACGGGTCGCTCATGCATGATATGTGTGAGTATCTTTCATGAGATCGACCGGACTCGGAGAACTGTGCCATCTGAACTACTGTCTGTAACACCACTTATAGGCCACACTTCGCGAATCGCTCATTTTGGGATGCCACCACTGATCATACTAGAGTGAAGATATTTACCAGCTCATAAGTACCTGGTATTTTGATCCTTCTGTTCCTCCTGCGACTGTTTCTACATCACCTTGTCACTTTGCTTACTCAACAATCTCCGCCCATATCAACAGATTGTGCTTTGGCTGGACATCGTGCGTTTCCGGAAGTTTTGTAACCCACAGAAACATGTCCGGACTTCTTGATTCGATACTGGCTGCAGTAGTATCAGCATTGTTATGTTTTTTTACTCCGATGAGCACGCCTTCGCTCGTCCAGGCTCACTTGTTGTTACCAAGAGTTAACGTTACCATCTGCGAGCAACTCGACTGCCGCCTCTACGGACACATCAAGGGTAGTCTTGGCGACAGTTTCAGCAGCTTCCTTTGCGACGTTGGGGTCGTCAAGTTCAGCCTTCTTGGGCCTCTTGTGTTGATCTCGTTTTTCGCGGTAGATGATGTGGTTCTGAGAGGCCTCTCAAATGTGAGGTTCGAACTCGTGCGGGTGTTTGTTGAATAAGAGGGCCTTGCTCTGCTGGTCGCTGAGGAGTCGTAGTGTGCTATGCTGTGTTTCCGTCTCTTTGTCGTACCTCTTGATGTCGTCGTCAAACTTCTTGTTGATGTCTCGACGAGCGTCCAGATGAGCCCTCTTGTTTTGAGCCACACCTCCAGCTGCACCGCGAGCCTGTCGTTCGCGCTGGACGACCCCAAGCGACGGGACACAATTTGACTGACAGGAAGACTTCTTGTTCGCCAAGGCTGCTGTCTTGTGAGGGTTATGAGCATCGCGTTCTGTGAAATAGTCGACGTGCTGGTCTTTGAGATGGGACTCCAGGCTCGTTTTTGAGCCTGTCAACAAGTTTGAAGATGTTTCGGCAGAGCCTCTTGTTGAAGGGTGAGTTGTTGTCGCCTTGAAGCATGCAAAAGATGCGGCTTCTAAGGTGTGCGCTATGCGAGGTAGTACAAGTTTCTTTGGCGTATGGAGTGGTCTCATCGGAAGGAATCAGCTCTGGCACTGCTTCATGCCCAGGTGTGATTTCAGGAAGTCTCGCGACAACGGGTTTTGAATCGAGAGGTTTGACCACACATGCCTCGAAGGCCTGTTTCTGAGCTTACGGACTGGAGGCCTCGCGGTGAAATTTGCAGTAAATGCGCAAAAAAATGGCCTTGTCAACGACATCATCACCGCGCGGGCGGTACTCGCGAAAGATGCTCGAGTAGCTGTGTTTGAGAGGTCCAAACATGCCGACATCAAGAGGTTGTAGAAGGGGAGTTGCATGCGAAGGAATTCGAAGGAGAACGATGCGCGAGCGCTCGCTCTATCAATGGAGGCGAGTGACTGATGAGTCGAGTGGCCGTCAAGAACAAGAAGGCGCTCCGGCAGGGTTTCGACATGTAATTTGGCTCCGTTAGAGCCTCGAGGTCGGTTTTGAGTGTCGAACAGCTCGAGCCACATGCACGCTACCGCTTCAGAATTCCAGCCATTTGGTGATGCTTTGACTTTTGAGTTTAGACAGGATCGGGTCTTGAGCTAGCACGACACGAAGAACCTCCTCATTGACATGCCGATTTTGGACGATGACAAAGGACAGTACCATGATACTTTAGGCATAGGTAGTCGCTATAACATTGGCACATTCTTTCTGAGCAGGAGTGTGCCGGAAGTTGTCAAATTCATTCGCCCTAACAAGGAGTTTGGTGTGCGATTCACAACAAAGCTCGAGTCTTTACTACTGGCGCACGGCACGATTATATAGACAAGCAGCCACGAGCTACTGCTCTGGTCACGCAATAACATCCTCCTCTACTGAAATTGTAGCACACGCTGCAAGTATTATCGCTGCCGGTGCTAGCAAAAAGAACAACGGTGGCAACTTAAGTTGAATCATCCAGTTCTGCCATCACAGTTTCTTATTATATGTAGCAAACATTATAGCAAACATGGATGCCTGATTATTAGCCGAATTACCTGGAACTTCACACTCCTATGTGGCAGCCACTTCCTTGTAAAATTCAGCTATAAAAGAAGCCGCTAGAGCTTCTTAAAGCTTTCTCCATGTTATCAACACCCACTTCTACCCGCGTATTGATTCCGGTTTACAACTCCCTCTCGAAACTTTCTCTTACTTACACTCTTTCATCTCCGTTTTTTCTTCTATATCTTTTCCGTCTTCCCTTTCTTCTAACAACTTTAACAATCGTCCCACACTGACATTATCACATGTTAGTAGCAGTTGCATTATTAGCTAGCTTACTTGCTAGTACTAGCAAGCGCAGTAGTAATAGCGGTAAGCTTCCTTATACGCTAACTAACAATGGTGATCATACTAGTCACTATATAGCTAGGTAGGTGGCTGGAATTAGTGAGTCGCACGTGCTTTCTTATTTCAGTCTTCTAACCTTGTAATAGAAAAGCTCATTAGTAAACTAGATGTTATGGCCAACTATCTGCGGGAGATCGTAGGTCACGTGGTTGGTCTTGTGAAGAGGAGTATTGAACAAGTGAAGCAAGTAGTGCGTAGTAGTGTATACCAAAGGGACTGTTGGAATAACTAATTAAGTTGAACGCAAAACTTCCTCGTGAAGGCCTGCCTACCTATATACATGTGCTGTAATGATTGTCTGTAATCTAGCCTGTATGGGTCGCTACTCCTCAGTCGCTGGGCGACTCGTAGAGAGCGACGCGGTATAGATGCGTCGTGCGGGGTCAGTCGCTGAGCGACGAGCCAAGAGCGACGCTTGCCAAGGTTGAGAGAGCAACCCTGGCTGCTGCCTGGCTAGTGCGAAGCGCACAGCCTCGGATCGTAACACTAGATCTGGCTTTCATCACTTAATTCACAGATTTATTAGTCTGCTTTGCCTCTTACCGATTCTAAGAAACACATTAGACTTAATGTTAAAGAAGATTACTCCATAGTTTGTAACAACTTCTAGCTCTAAATCATAAGATCACCTTTAGAACAGAAGAATGGCAAGGCAACAGCTAACATTCCTTATGCTCTCATAGCTACCCAGCTTACTCTTTACTCGAACGCACTGTCTATTCTTGCAAAATGCTTACCTTTACTATTAAAAAGTAGCGGCAACTTTGGGAACTACATTGTTATAAGTGGCTCTAATAGTTCTCTTCTTGCCGGTGGTTGCACTAACTATAGCCGCCCTGATAGATACAAGAGATGTTCTCTATAGAATGGTACTAGTTAGCTAGGCTTATCTTTATTGTAGTGATTGTCCTATGTTTATACAGCAAAAGGTAACTATCCCGTGGTTTCTAATAGTAGAGGGCTGTTTTTTTCTTGCTTATTCTACTAAAAGATGTTACTGACTTTTTGTGGACAACCTAGAGCAAGGATAGCAATGTTGCGCTTTTGCTCAAAGTTTGCATTCTAGCCTTGCGATAGAAGGCGACGAGGTCTATCGACAATCAGACGCCGGGGGCCTCTTACGGACACACTACTGCCCCCCTAGGCCATCTGCTTGGTAGTGTCGACCTTGCCGTCGCCGTGTAGAGGTCGAAACAGTTGAGGTGGGAAATGGTACTTTTGAAAGCCGGTTCGACAAGGTCACGCTCCGGATGGCCACCCTCCATTTACCCACACACAGACCATCGACTGCAAACACCGGGCCACGAGGG